GCATTCTGTCTGCAGAGCAGACCATTTTTCATTACCCAAACCCTGGCAATTCGAATCAAGGCCCTAGTCTATCTACAGGACAATGATTCCGCACTCAAGTATGCTACCCCACAATCGTCGGTACTGACATGAAGTGGAGTGACTTCCTCCAAGGTTATGTTATCTCCCACTGCGCAGCTAGTGACCGGCAAATTCAACCGCAAGGAAATGAAAACGCCATTCAGTTCTATCCTAATTTTGACCATGTTCCTGGGGCACAGCACTTGTATCATTGCAGACACGAGACCGCCCGCTGGCTCGTGCTGATGAACAATCACGACTCTGGACACACCGCCCTTGATGCCCATGCTGTGACTTTCGTGGATCCTTCGCTTGGTGATTGATCAAGCTACCTATTGTCATGTATATACTATGGCGTCCATTTTTAAGGGTCAATGCGCCCATGAGACTCACTCCGTAGAATTATATATCTGCGTCGCTGGTCCGCTCATGATTACAGATGAAAACCTTATCATCCCATATCACTCCTCCATGACTTAGGGCGTCTCTACCCCTTCACGATTTCCTCAGCAGTCTGACCTCGCACGGTCGGCGACTATTCACTTCACCCACTCATCATTGTCTTGAGCAAGCTACGCAAATATCTGTCTCCTAGTCAAAATCCCTGCCGCTAGAAAAAATGGGCAAAGCAAGATCGCTTGATGTCTGTCACGACAAGTGCACCGAGACGTGCAAAGCGTAAGTCATCTTACTCTTACCTTGTCACTCAGACTGACTGACCTAAATTACAGTCACCGACCTAAGTCCAGCAAGATTGAGTTATTGACCCTCTGCGATGGAAACCTCCAACGATCCGATGACCATGTTGGTACCAATGACTTGATTGAGCGCCTTTGGAATACAGGTCCTTCTTCGAGTCCGATCCCGCGCAAAATCCGCGTCCGACATTGCATCGAATTAGTCGACTCAGTCTTCCCCAAGATTAGTGACAGCACTACCTAGCCCCTCACCATATCTGCAGCAAGATACAAGGATGTTGTCGCAGGACCGTATCTGCTTGCATATCGCTTTGTCATCATTCGACAAACGACACGGCATATGAATATTTCATGCAGCACGTACTGCAGTTGAGTTCAATAGTCAGGGGCTTTCATGCTGAGCCTGTAACAACAATGTAGTATTATGGTGTGTATGACTAGATTGTACGATAGACATAACACATGGACAGGCAAGGGCGGGATATCTACGGTTCAAATCATGTAGTTTACTTTGTAATGTTTGTATGAATTAACGATTCTATTCTCTACCACGCTTATACGTGTTCTCAGTTGCTTTACATCTTTCGTCGGTCACATGAACCTGCCATAACCCGACCACACCGTTGGGTGCTTTCACTAGGAGTTCCAGATGCTAACCCGCCTAAAGGACCTCTCTCGATTGCCGACGAACCGATGAACCTGGATTCTAGAACATTATTGCTAGTCCGACCCGTCAGCACAGCTGCAAGAGTACACCGCCGATTCACCCCCATGCTCAGTACCGTAGCAGCCAGTGGCGTTACCTTATTTGCCCACGTCTGAATACCGTCAGCACCGAATCTTGTCGATGCTTGACATCCCTGCTCCACCACGTGCTATATGAACGTGAGAACCATGATCAGCAATAATGTGGTCTTCCGGCATAGCTGGGCGTTGAAGCTCGTGCGGCTGACTGTGGGATTCTATTCAAGGAGCAGGGGTGGTGAATGGACCTCTGAACTATATCATCACAGGAATTCTGCAGTTCGGTGGGTAAACTATGGAGCTACGGTATCCACCGACAAGGAAGCAAATAGACAAACAAGAAGTAATTTGCTATCGCAGCGTCGCATTTCGTTTCACGGGGGGCCGTTGAATATCCAAGTACCGCCTGATAAAGGAGCCCGGCCGCAGGGCCGTGCAATTTTGACATCGGACGTGATTAGTCGAACCAAAACAGCAGGGACTAGTGCAGAGAAGCAAAGTTGGATGCATAGGCCTCGCAAATTGGCTAGCAACTCCGTAGACGAATCACGCTCCTCAGACGTTACCTCGAACTATGAATTTCGTTCAGGGGTCCGCCACGTGGCAGCCATGTGCAGATCTGTGCTGTGTTGGGGATGCTAGGCCTATATCAGACATGGCTTGCCTCAGGGCGTATGGTGGTGCCGCCTTATGAGAGGATCACCCAGCCAAGCCGAGCCTGGCTTGGGGAAAGAATCTGGCAGATCTCCATGCTGTGCTGCTGGGTGGTCAATCCCCTCGAGCTTTTCGTTATCAGAAGTCCGCCTTACCACACACCGTCATCGTTCCATGGATCTTCACTCTGCCCGTTTACCCCGCCTCTCTACACCACAACGTGAATAGTTCCCAGGCGCTTTCAGCTACTCTTGCACACCGCTAAAAAGATCTTAGGCGACTAGAGATCGAACTGCAGACTTCGGAACATTTCGATCATCTGGTGCCTCGTTAATTACTAGTTTAGCCCTAGACTAGCAAACATGACATAGCCTATCCTGCTTACTCTGGAAGGTGCCTTTTGCTTTTCGGATGTGGTCATCTATTCCAGCCTGGTACTTATCCTAAAGGCCACCCCACTCCGTTTCATGAGCTTGGAAACGGCAATCTTAGCCTTTTCCACAGCTTGTCATCGGAATCTGCGTTTCGGTGCTTGTCGAGCGCCAGATCTCTAAATCGCATCTACCACACTACGCTTAAAGCGGCTCAGAACGTTGTGAAATGCAAGTGCATCCACAAGCATCATGATTGACTTGTCCTGTTGGCTCGTCCGTGAGATGTTATTGAAACTGAGGCTATCGTAAGGAATATAGGCTCTTCATGGTAGATGGGATCTAGTGTTCCAAACTAACGAGTCTTGTAAAGTTAAGCAAGCAGATGTATCATATGACGAGCTCGTAGTTTTTCACTACTTGAAGTAAGACAATCTACCATCAAGCGGAGCAGTTCCCAAACCCAGAACACAGCGTCTTGGCTGTCATTGATGATAGCCAAGTCACTCAAGAATCGCCAACCATCATCTATCCTTCTACATGAGAGACAAATCAAGCGGAGATGTCCTGTAATATTCGCTAAGGCATAATGTACCGTTTCTTGGATCTCGAGTCGTTCAGACACCGTCTCCAATTTCTAATGAAAATAGCGGTGTAGTTCCAATCGAGAAGTCAGCCTTGTAATAACGAGCGAATAGAAGTCCGAGAACGAGCAAGTCGAGATCAGATAAGGCATACGCCAGAAGGCGTAGTCGCTTCACCGCATCGTCGGCTGTGCAGAAATGATTCTACAACAAGTGATGCGGTCTCAGCTACACTCAAAGAAGAACAACTCCTCCTGGCATGTGCCCGAAGCGAGGTGCCTGATCTTGTCGTTGATGTCTCTTTGGCCTGTTCGATACTTCACTCTCATGCCGATCGACGTCTGGGATCTAAGGCACAACATCGATCAGAAATCACGCAATACAAAGCCTCAGATCTCAACAATGGACCATAGGCTAGGACGCCTTATCGCATTATAGTAAGTCGTTGTTCGAGAACATGCGAGTCGTGGTTGGCTGGTGGTACCAATCCAACCCTGGTGATGGACCAATTGACCAATGTGAATGCTGTCGACAAGTTACCAGCCGAGATGTATTGCATAAATACCCACCTCACCCGACAATACTCTGTACATCTCCACGGTTTGGGCTGCAACGTACTCATTACTGTGACAGAAGACTTGGTATATGAAGAGCACCAGCCAATGTCGTACGTTTCTATCATGATAAAGCACGAACGAGGATTATAATCCTGTCGGACGCGGGCCCCAGCAGCTCTTATGTAAAAATGAAGCATGGTAATCTTCACCTTACGTTGGGGATCGTAATTGGAGCGCATGTCTTTTACCGAGCATCTTCGCAGGGGTTCTTTCTGGAGCTTCCCGCATGATCCGAACCGCCCGTCTGGGTCCTTGTCCGGGTGCAATGCCAGAGCACTAGCTCTAGAAACTCGACAGTAACCGTGCATATGCATACGTAACCTGCGAGAAGAGGGTATATCCTCCGAACACCTCAAGTTCGAGGCCTAGGCTTTTCTAATTCCAGGCTTTCATTCATCGAATCAAAGAGTGCGCCAAGTGCTGCAATCATGGACGCCACAGACTGCAAACACTTCGTCCTTCAACTTCCAGACCTGCTTCACATCTCAATGTCGGTGAGCCGGATTTGTCCCCGTCTCTCCCTGGGCTTTCCTGTCATTCTCTAAATGAAGGCTGTGCGCTTGAGCCTGTTGATCAGGGATCCCCTTCGCGAAGTGTTAGCGGCAATGCGGAACCGTGGTCCACTGTAAAAGATTGATGAAAAAACACTAAAATGTTAATGAAATTTACTAACAATGAGTTTAAGCATATTGATTATCTAATCTCTCAATGCAAATCGCCATCTCCGGTGGCCGCCAAGACGTCAGTTGTGGTGCCGGGACCCTCTAAAGCCAAGCTATAGATATTGCCGCCGCAAGGTTACCTCGGATGGACCAGAAATAAACTGATAACCTGTTGTTCGAGCAATCGCGATACTGGCTGTCGCTCGTTATGTTGCATTTTTCACCGGCTCTGACTAGCTTGCATCGGGGACGCAATCATATGCATACCGAACCGAGTCTCCCAACAGGGCAGTTCAGCGGACACCATGCATAAGCTTGCTTGCTTGCTGACGGGTGCGCCCGATCCCAGTTCCTGGCTCCCAAACCCACGATATGAACAGGAAAAGTCTTTAGCGACACATGCGGGAAAGAGGACCGCGACCCCCACCGGTTAATCTCCCTGTTATAAGTCGTTCGAGATGATACCACTGCACGCCTATATGTAGGCCTCTTCGCGCTCTCGGTCAAAGGAGAAGAAGCATCACTTACTCAGTCATTACTCACTGACCTGCAAAGCCAACAAACCTCCCTCAAACGACACCTCCCTCCCAATTCTCGGCACCCGTTCAAGATGCGATTCTCCTTGACCAACGTCGTGGCAGCTGCCCTCACCCTCAGTAGCACTGCGCTTGCTACCATCACTGGACCTTTCTTCATCACTATCGTCCCAGAGGACGGATCTACCTCTTACCCGGCTACTATCGCAACCGTCTCTCGTGGTGCTCAGATCCTCTCTTCGGCCCTTACGTACGGGCAGGAGTTTACCTTCAACACGTAAGCGGCCCAATCCCCCTTAGTCGATGCGACCGGCCTGAAAATTAACTCTTCGCGACACAGAACCGCAAACCGCCTTGTGAAGGCTGATGAGACCAACCTCAGCCTCGGAAGCGGTGCCCTCACCACTGACTCTCCTTTCCTCTTTGCCCAGACTTCCGGCACTCCCCTTGCCCAATTCAACGTCAGCGGCAAGACCTACATCGTCAAGTCCGGCACAACCGACATCTACCAGTGGTGGAGCACGCCTACCACCACTGGCCTCGCCGTCCAGGTCAACTATGAGGGTCCCGGCGCCGCTGCTGCCAACGCTGCTCTCCGAATCGACCTGACAGTCTAAGAGGCGGTCCAAGGAAGAAGGAGAGCCGGCCGGTTGTGCGTAAAGAGAAGGTGATGCTCCTGGAATAACAAAAGGGGTATGAGGTGGAAGACGCGCCGCCACGATGAACGGCCTAATGCGGATGTTTTATGACTTGCAAATGACGCTATACGACTTTATGGTAGACTATTCGGTTCACTGAGGGGATTGTTAGTATAATCAGATAATAGATTCAACTAGAACATCTTACCTGTATCAATGAGAATTGATTATATCAATTGCATTTCTCGCCTGCTGTTCAATATGTAAGTAAGTTCAATGGTGCGAGTGTTCTGAGACCAGCAAGGAGGCAGCCGATATTTAGCATGGAGAGAGAATGCCGCTCCCGCCCTTGCCCACGCTGTACATTCGTCGAGTGGTCGCGGCCCACCCTATCTTCAACAGACCCAACTAACCTTCGACGTAGTCACCGTAAATTCAGGCTGAACGCTTTGCACGATACGAGGTAGGAGTCACTGCGGACACTCCAAACTGAAAATAGGCTGGGCCTTTTGCTTAACTAAGATGCCAAGTGAGCCAAGAGTATTGAAAGTCAATCGAGTTCAATTGAACTCCACGTGGGCTGTTGGCTCAAAGCGACCAATCATTGCTATAGCCCTAGAAGAGGCTATGCAGTATGCACCATATGAGCGTTCTGGCCAATGAGCCCCGACCAGTCATCCACGAGGGTTTTATCAACGTAAGCCAGATTGATTCACATACATACACCAAGACTGTAACTCAGGAGAAAATCTGCGAAACCCCCCGTGTTTATCGGAATGGTCTATTCTCTTCCCGAGCGGAGTAACCCCCGACGAGCGAAAGGGCTGAAAGTCCCTGACAGGTGACAGGGTGACAAGGTAACAGGCGGTTGACCTGAATTGAAGGGGCTAGACCATCGCCAAACTGTCCTTAAGAAGATCGCCAAGATCAGCACTCAGACGCTAAAATTAAACCCTCGACGACATCATTGGATGGCTAGCGGCCTACGCCTTACAGCTCGGTCGCGAGCATTAATTGGGCAGTTCGTCCCACTAATTTGACGTTAGGCATAGGCATTGCATCCAATCCTACATCGCAATTTCAGGGTCCTGCAGGCTGCGCGGCCTGTGCCCCAGGAACACGACAGGTAGGGAGGTCTGTTTCTTCAATATCTTCATGCTCTCCTGCGGCGCGGTAGCTGCCAGGTGATCATCGTAAGCGGATGCCGAGTTCGTCTACGCCGCGAGCAATCACCGAAGGAAGGGCTGGCAGGATTTCGTGTCATGCCATGTTGGCAACACATAAATACTGCGCCTGGCCGACCTGGCCGTGGTTGCAGGATGAACCTTTGCTTGGCGCTGCATTTCGAGGTTTCTTCATACTGTGGTTCTTAAAATCCGAATGAACGGAAAACCCGCATCATGACCGGTTCCACTCTTCTGCAATACGGGCTCCGGACAATTGTGCTCTTGTCATCGATTTTAACAGTGGTGCATGGCCACAAAGACGTGGAGACTACAGTCGTGCAACGAGATGCGCCAAACTTCGTTGCTAGGATCTTGCCTTTAGGAGCTTCCATAGTATGGGGTTACAATACTCCAGAAGGCAACGGGTAAGGGTTTCTCCCCCCTCCTCACAACTATACCGCGCAATTCCGGAGCAAAGCTGAATTTGGAGTCCAGTTTTCGTTTATTCCTACGAGATGAACTGACAAGTAATGGCTGGAACGTCAATATGGTTGGCTCGAAACAACACGGCACCATGGTGGACAACGTAAGCAACATGCCACAGCCATTGACCCGACACGAGCTCTGCATATCCTGACACTATGTATAGGACGTCGAAGCCCATTCAGGCGACACGATTGACCAAATCCACACAGCATCACTAAAATCCGTTGTATACCAACCCAATGTAATAGTAATAAACGCCGGCAACAATGATTGCCACCTACACATCGACATCAAAAACGCTGGTGCACGGTTAAATTCCATGCTCGATGAACTCTTTGAGCGGATACCCGACGTCACAATCGTCTTGTCTACACTCATCTTTTCTACAAACAAAGACGTAGAAGAGGATCGGGGGACATTGAACGACCAAATCCGTGGCCTAATCATCGCCCGCCGTGAGAAGAAAGAGAAGATTGTACTGGCAGAGATGACCGGAGCAGGGGACGCGTTTGTAGAGACGGTGGATCTGACGAGTGATGGAGTACACCCCAACGATGGAGGAGCCAAGAAGATGGGCCATGTTTTCTACCAAGCCATCTTGCAGGCTTATGCAGAAGGGCTGATCACGAAGCCGAATTCATCCGATGCTGTGCCTGACGAGGTTCAGGTTGCGAAGGTATCGAGTACTACGATCGTAGTGGCACCAACGACGACGAGCTCGGTCATTATTGTTCCGACCACTACCTCGTCAACAAGCACAACATCAACTACGCCAACTCCGACGCCAACTCCGACAAGCACTGCCTCGTCAACGACGACCACGGTACCGAAGCCGTCAACTACGACAGCCACAGCAGCTGCGTCAGGGAACCTTGGGGCGGCCCAGGTGCACACAAAAGTATTGAGCACGTTCACCACTACTAGTAGTGGCATCAGCAGCACTACGACTAGAAGCACGTCTGCCACCACCTATTCGACCAGCAGGGGGTCAACAGTGACCAGCAGCAGCAGTAGGCCGACATCGACACCGACAAGAGTGTCAACCACAATTACATCAAGCACCGTCCGCAGCAGTCCAACTAGCAGTGCTGTGCCCAACAACGCGGCGACAACCTCCAAGCATATGGCCGGAGGAGGCGGCGGGGCACGCTGGGTCCTGGCCTCTGCGGGCCTCGCGTTGAGCTTCACCTGGCTGCTGTAATGGCACCGACCACGATTTAACACCGGAGCTGGACAGCCAATACGCTACCAATTCTCTCGCTTGACGACGAGAACATGCATAGGCGAGCATGTGGGATATTGCATTGGAGTTTATTGATACCCCCCTAAGTAGAAGTTGAAGTACGAGTTTTTAGTTTTCAGCTGTCGTCATTTGAAAGAAGTAAAAGTAGCGACAAGGTCTCTGTCGGCGAACCAGCAGAGGGACCATTACAGAATTGTCTTGAACCGCTATCCTGTTGTCCGCCAGCCTCCGGAGTACTATCCTCCAAAGCGTCTGCCATCTATCAACCCCTATCCAAACCGTTCTAGTCATTGGTGCTGCCAGCGCCTTCGCATTCCTCGGTAATGTGGTCCATTGTCGTCCGAAACCTATTTATCTACAGCGCGTCAGAGATTCTGCGCAGCACTTCTGCATTATGCTGCGAGAATCATATAGCCAGCATATTTGTAGTAGACAAATGGATACCAGATTGGCTAGAGTTTACCGATATTGCGAAACGAGCCTTCCTGAGAAAATATCCGTTTCGAAGTGTACGACCTTGACAGCCATGTATCTGCGCCATATGTATTCATGTTCAAGTCTGATATCAAGATGCATGGGAGACATCTAGGTTTCGAGGAGGCTGGCAAGCTGCGAGTATGTTTCGAGACCTGCAACTGGGAGTTTACGAGAATCCAGGATGCAGTGAAGAATACGTAGCGCGGAATGGTACACGAAAGAAAGGATTCCAAAGGGTTTTCGCGTGTCTCAGAAGGGTACCTCTGGATTGAATACGGACTAATGACCTAAAATGGGGATACCTCTAAATAAACCTTTCTTCCAGAATTTTGACCTCAACGATAGCAGCTGTGAGATTGAGCATTCCATTCCTATAACAGCAAAATTGACCTATCATGTTCGCACATGCACTTATTGCGTCATGTATGGTGATTTGTACAGCTTCTAATATGACCCGGAGAGCCCCCTTTCCATACGGCTGATCGACATGGGACAAAGTCCATTAGGTAGAAATGGCCTGGATTCTCCGCGTAAACAACGTCTGGGTGTTTATGCTCCCGAGGGTGCATTTAACGTGTATGCATCTGGGGATGCTCCGAAAATAAATATGATCAGAGAGACTAGATCGGCATGGAATCTAAGCATAATTGCACGAAACTTGTAGCATTGTAAGCTGCCGAAATGCTCTTTTAGCTGAGAGCGAGGGATATGGTGGATGATGGCCGTTTAATCGTGTGCTGTTAAGTTCGGCGTTAGTCGCCTCAAAGAGGCATTTAAATTGTAAAGTTTCTATCTTTAGAACAAATTTGACCCACCTTCACTAGAGCAATCAATGTCTTTCATCTCCCATCCAAACTCTTCGACATTTCGCATTATCGTGGGTCGAGCCCACTCGGTATCATTTTAGTTTACATTCGCGTGGATTCCTACGACATCCACACGCACATAAGATCTCTCGCTCGGGATAGAGATCAGACTTGAAAGATTAACAATAATGAAATGCAAGCCGGCTGGTCCTGACGCCTCTATCTGAAGTATATCAGGAGCACATGCATCGCCGCTCTGGTTGTCATCTCCGTACCCGCGAACCTGCATTGTAAGCTACATAGCATTAACAGGCATGCCATACACTTGAGCAGTAGGCCACAAGACGGGGGCGCACCCAATCTCGGATTTCCAGCTGTGCATGTTCAAGAAAACCGGTGTCAACGGCACTCAACTCAATGGTCTTTGATCTTCTAAGGTGTCGTTCATAGGTGTATATTTCAAGAATTTTTATATGCTTGTTTATTCATTGTCTCATGTGTAGGCAGCCATCCGAGTGGGTTGGGGAGTCTGTCTAGATCTCTCCATAAAATAAGGATTGTGCGTATGCCTAGATTTACAGTCTATGCTGTATCTTTTGATATCGTCCCAAGAAAACCAGTATAACGCCGAAATGCAAATTGTTTAATGCAGCCGATCTAGTGTTCAAGATTTGTACGGGAATCGAATGGTTTCTTTTGTCTAGAGCGCGAAGGCAGCCAGTGCCGCCGCGCCGCCCATCAGTCCGTATCCCACGGCAGTAGCAGCAGCGGCATTGGAGCCCGTCGTCGACGTCGCCGAAGCGAGGATGGATGTGGCGACGGCGGATGCCGAAGCGATCTCTGAGCTCGAGGCGCCGTCGCTCACGTCATTGCAGATCTCGGTGGCAAGGTTACTGACGTCTGTGCGGTCAGGCCAGTTAGCAGACAGTCCTGGTGTGGTCAAAGTGCTTTGATGGGGAAGCACATACTGTTCTTCTCTTCGCTCGTGCACGAGCTGGTCAGGACGCAGACGCCGGCTCCTTGGATGAACTGCTGCTTGCCAGTGCCGCACAAGCAGGTGAAGTCGGTGACGGTGCAGTTAGCACTCTTGGCGCCACTCTCCAAGCAGTCCAGGGCGCATGTGGGAAGTTGTGCCACCAGGTCGGGGAGGCTGGTGGAGTTTGAAGACTGAGCCGCGGCGAGAGCTGCGAAGAGCGGCACGGCGAGGTAGGTGAACTGCATCTTGACTTTGGACGTTCTTGTTGAATTGACGAAATGACACGGTGTATGATGCGACGTATGGTGTGATGTATTGTGTGTGTCTGCGAATAAAGGGCAAATCCAGTTCCTCTGCTTTGATTAAGTATGATGGACACGATGGAAGGAAGGGGCAGGGGCAGGGCAGGTGGCTTTGTTCAAGGTGATGCGTGTGGGCAGCCCCGACTATCGAGCTGATCAACGTGGGATTGTAAGCGGTGCAACCCACTTATTTCCGATGACAGAGCAAACAAGAGCCAAGAAACAACCAAGATGGACTTTGAGACTGGGCGAGACTTCCTCGCCTCGTATTAGATTCAAGATTGAAGATCAAAAGACCGAGATTATGTTACAGGGCCGTTCTGGTTCCCGCAGGTCCCGGTATCCGGTTTAACTTCTGGGGGAGTGTCACCTTGGCTGCTACTGCATGTAGCACATACAGTGCCCACATAGCTACCTCCTAGTAAGAATGTACTACAGTACATACTGGAGCCGGGCAATGGCAGAGTGGTTCCTGACTCGCCTGGGGGTGGTTATGTCACAGATCTTGAGGGTGGGCTGGTGTTGTCGAAAGAAGGTGTAGACGGGCGGGTAGGCGCATGTCGTTGGCCAAACGCCCGTTGAGAACAGTGGAAATCTTCGTATTTGAAACACACAGCCACCATCATTCCATCTTAGCATTTTAGCGTGATGTCATCCCAGCCGAAATGCCAACGCTGGTCTATGCACAGATCCGACCCGAACGGGTTCCTGGAAAATCCGTGTTCCGTCAGCCCTCCTCTGACGCTTGTCCGCAGCTGGCCCAGCCGCCAATACTTCCAAGCACACAAGGACGAGGGAATCCATCCGTCCATGTCGTTTATAATGTGTAAGTGGTATCATTTCTATTCGCATTGATCTTACTCCCTCCTGATAAACAAAAACCGCCATATCGTTCACCGAGGGGTCGTCAGGGAAAACAGCCTGGCTCCTCTTTCACCTTCGGGTGTTATGCGACAGCCAGGTCTGGAGCCAAACGCTTCTGCGCATGTGCCACATGGCTGGTTCAGCCACCTACCACAGGTTACGCGCTGCTCGCCACGATAGTAAATAATGTTCCGGATATCATCGAGTGCTACCCTGACAGCGCTGGTAAGCTCGTCAGTATTGGTTGGCGATAGCCCTGAGAAGCTCAACACCCTACGATAAGGTTCGAGTGCGCAGAGCAACGCCATGCCATTATGGTATCCTAGACTAGTCCTTTTTACTCCCTCTCCTCGGCCCAAGAACTTGTAGGGACGGTAATTTCTGTGTCCCTGATATTGACAAAGCCAAGCTGTTGCAAACACTCCTCATATCGCCTGGGTTTTGGCACGTCGCACCCCTGGTTCAGAGCTCCCGAGCTTGATCAATCTCAGCCACCCATCCATCGTCAAACCCCGAGTGCGTGTTATCTATGGCCTATAATTGCCATGCCCCTGGCTTGGATTTTGATCCAGCCACCAGGGCTCAAATTGTTATATGCTCTCTAAAATACTGATATCGGCAAAATACAAGCACCCATGCAACTTCCTGGAAGAGCCAATGCCTGATTGGCCTCTTCCGACGGTCAATGATCCTACGGCTGCAGAACTGCATGACGAAGTCTTTTGATGGATCTTTGCCGAGTTGCATCGTAGATTGCAGGCAAGCTGCTGTTGATGTGGTTCGCCATGTTCTCGATTCTGAGCGCTAGTGTGTATATAGCTTATAGTCTCACCGCCGTGCCCCTGTCACCAGAAGACCACTCGTTTCCTTATACTCCATCAAGTGGATACATGGAGCCGATCCCGGATTTGTACAAACGTTCACGCATGATCCACACCCGATTCCCCCATATATATCCACTTGTTATACAACAATCAAATGGTGTACTGCAATGACATGATTCCGTATCCTATGATTCTATACCAACCCATACCGACCTCGAGTCCAGATAACGTAGAAAGCAGTTGTTCCATAACTCCATAATTTCTCATGTCACATCGCGCGAAACTAAACAGGGGGTGAGCCAGTCCAATGCCAAGCGTAGGGCAGGAGCGAGGATGGGTCTCTAGACTAATCTAGCAACTCAAAAATGGGCGCTTTCTACATGGCCTTCGTAGGACAAAAAAACACATAATTTTAAATACTCTTTCGTGCCTTATACAACAGAACAACACAACAACTTTTAGGGAAACCGACGGTATGACGATGTTTAACTATTAATCGCCGCAACGTTACTCTGAAAGATGGCAGCATATACCCCTCGGAGCTCTGGCCCGATCTACAGCGATGCGCCGCGGGTCTGTTGTTTATACAGCAGCATGGTGGGCTCAGTGGGAACATGCCTCGCATCTATGGATCATCGTGAGTAACTAAAGTTTACGTTACACTTCATTCTAGAGTTCTCTGATTTCTCCGAGTTTTCGATTGGAACTTAATACCTGCGCAAGTCTCAAGCAGCAAGTTCGTCTGGGAAACACTCAAATTATCTAATAGTATTAATTCCCATTCAAGATTGCAAAAGAAAGAATCTGACGTTACTCCGCACCAGCTACCTTACTCATGTCGACTATGGAGGCCATGCCCTCCCTCACGCACTCGCCGAGCTGGACTGGCTTGAGTCGTGCGTCCGATGCGTGGAATGGATGCGGGCGACTGCCCCTATCCTCGGAGTAACGCTCCCGTCGAGTTCTATTGAGAACTAAAGCAACACACCAAAGGTACTAATAGATGCCTCGGATTACAAAAATTTTGTGAGGACCGAGGGCCTAAGCGTAATCGTCCAGCAACTCAAGTTGGACTCCGCAATCTGTGATAGTCCACGAACAAGAACCGCGCCAAGAACGGCCGGCACGTGCACACCAACATAAGCAAGGCCGGGCTCAACGTGATCACGGAGACCGAGGCCCACGCCGCATGGCAGCAGCGCGATGTGGCTATTAACACCTTGGATTCGGAATACATGAGCGCGTCCCCCAAGTTCGAGCATGCCCACGGTGGTGAGAGGCCGATCGGGTGGGAGGACGGTGCCTGTCGGGTCTTGTGGCCGGTCGCGGTCGGTCAAGATGCGGATATGGACCCAGTCTGGGGCAGGTTCCTCAAACGCCATGGTGCCTGCGGCGTAGATGTTCGTTGGGGCCGCGGCTAAGCTGGCGAGAAAAAGAATGGAAATAATAAATAGAACGTTCAATGAAATCCTTATCGCTCATCGTGCCTCTAGTCAAGCACCGACGCGACACCGACTCATACTAGTCGAAAGACCTCGGACGAACTGTAAGCAGAAACTACATCTATCTAACGGGCTCTTACAATAAATATTGGAACAAGCACGAGACGCCAAGGCCTATAGCCGCAACGTGGGGGGTCTACTTCTGCAACGGCAAACCCGACGACGTCGAGAAATTTCCTCGGGGGCCTTTATTTTCACCATGATTGAAATTATGATCAGGTCAAGACCTCTCTCTAATTGGCATGGTGCTGAAGCAAAATAGGGCGTTCGTCGCACACGGATTAGTTCTCATCTTGGCTTAATATGCCCTTGCCTGCCGTCCGCAGGGCATTCACTTGCCGCAGCGCCGACGATAACCATCGAGCATTGTTGCTGCTGCTGCTGCTGCTGCTGCTGCTGCTGTCGTCCTTATCTTTGCGCATGCCGCTTGCAGATGGTCATCTCGTCTAAGTGGGCTTCGTCGCTATTTCCGTGGCTGCATGACTTGTGCTGCTTTTGGTGTGTATTTGTGCTTGTCGCATGCTTGCTTAGGTGTGTTCTCCGGCCGCGTACAATATAGTTTATCGGGCTGGTACAGCGGCTAGATTTTGGACAAGATCGGAAAAGCGGAGTGGGTCGAAAACAACAAGAATAAGTCCGCTTTAGACATGTAGTATTCAACTGACAAACCCAAATTAGATTTTGGTGAGAGGGTTATAGGTATTTCCGAATCGTTGCCCCGGAATGGGCGTAACAGCGCGACCGGAGTCTTCACCATGCTCATTGCAATCATTGGTCGGTCAATTGGATTGCTGGCCCCCCTCCCACGTCAGGGATAGCGGGCAACTGCGCCGTGCTGAGAAGGATTGCGGCTGGAACACGTCCGTCCGACTTTGCTTGCTTACGAGGCGAGCCGACGAACCCTGTGGAGGTGTATTGCGCAGTTTGTGTGCAAATACCGGATCGTTTCAGTTTCAAATGCCCTGTTCGTCATGACTGCATCTGAGTGCGCGGCGGCAAGCATCGCCCACTCCTGCACCCTCTGCAGCCAGCTCGTGGTCGATCTGGACCAGAAGACCCAGCGGCATGTACTGGGCCAGCTCGGGGAGCTCCAGCGGCGACCTGGGGCCGATCGGTGCGAGCTCCTTCGGCAGTATGTCGGCAACAGCAAGGCAGGCCCAGAGACTAATGTTGAATTTCGGGTGAGTCGATACCGCGGGCGCCGCGATGACCTGCGAGCAGCTGTCATGCGGCAGGGCTGGGATGGCGATAACGATGACGATACCGACGTTCAAACATTCCGGGTCTACGCCGCAGGAGGTGACGCCGCTTCCAGCGCCCTTCCGGCCCGGCCTCCAGGTCTCGACGTCGGGTCAGAGAGGGCTTTCAAAGTGGCTCGGAGGTATCTCAGAAAATGTAGTAGTAGTCATCTGGGGTGTTCTTTCTCCGGCAATGCTCCGCTCCCCACGCGCGTTATCGATGTCTCCGGAGACGTTCCGCGACTCCTGGAACCCCGCGCTGCAGGCCTCAAGCTTGCGAAGTACGTTGCACTGAGCTATTGCTGGGGCGGACCACAACCAGTAGAAACTACCAAAGCCACCTTACACCGGCATCTAAACGCCTTGCCGATGGAACGGCTTCCCCAGACGATCAAGGACGCCATCGCTGTTACACGAGGCCTAAAGGTCAAGTACTTATGGGTCGATGCCCTCTGTATCATTCAAGACAGCCTCGAAGACAAGGCAATTGAGATCAGTCGCATGACTGATATCTACAACCTTTCTCATGTCACGATATCCGCCAGCACGGCGGCGACATGCCAAGATGGGTTTCTACAGCAACGCAAGCTCGAGAAGCAACCCATCAAGCTCCGCGCCAAGTTCTCGCATGTCAGGAAAGGCAATGTATTGCTCATGGTTGATTCCCAGGGCGACGAACCCATCCACAAGCGTGGCTGGACAATGCAGGAACATCTTCTTGCACCGCGTCTTCTTTCCTTCGGATCTCTCTGCTTGGAATATCGCTGTTTGTCAGGTCGGCGGCGTGATGGAGGCACCCCTCTGCCCTGGAACCAGCAGCAAACGGGTATGCCGATCACGGAGGGAGGTGTTGCCTCTGTGTTGTACACATCCAAGTACGGGGGGATGGCAAACCTGCGGAGCCAGAAGAGCTTCAGACGGAACACGTTCTTGTATCGCACGGGTCTGATGTCTCTCGCGCTGAAGTTCACTGGGGAGGCACAAGAAGACAAGAGCCGCGTCGTCGCCCAGTGGGCGAACATTGTTGAGGCTTACACGGGTCGTGGTTTGGGCTTTCTAGATGACAGGCTCAATGCCATCTCTGGGATAGCAAGAAAATTCTGTCGACCAGAACTGGGCGAGTATCTTGCAGGACTAATCAGCTTCGAACTTCCATCCCAGCTTGTATGGTCACGAGCCGCCTCCCAGACATCTCTGCCGCGGCCAAAGGCCTACAGGGCACCATCATGGTCATGGGCTGCTATCGATGGCCAGGTCAGCTTCAATAATGTGTGGTGGGAAGCTGCCAATGTCACAGCCATGCTGCTTGACGTCCAGGTTACACCAGCATCTAACGTCGAGAAATATACCAATTATACTTCGGGTTCAATGAAGATATCTGGAGCCGCAACCACATTAAGACTGGAGCTCGATCCAGGAACAGAAGAGTTATCCGTACCCCGAAGTCACCAGGGTTTATCTCTCACCCTAGACACCCAAGAATTCCAAGGCATCAGCACACTCGATGTAACTCTACTGCAGATATTACGTGACTCGCAATTGCTTCGTGGGTTAGTGCTTGAAGACAAAAGTAATGGCATCACCTTCCGACGTATTGGCTACTACGAACTCCCAGAGTATGGTGACGAGTTTGCGACACTGCGGGAGGAAGGCTGGGTAGTTCGGGAATTTTGCATGGTTTGATACAAATCACATCCCCAGCCCTTTCAAACTAGCGAACTCAATAACGCATGGTGCTATGACTATCGCAGTGGCCCCGATAGAGAATGTGCAAAAGTCATGTCGGCGGACTCTCCAGGTTCCTGAGTGTGGCAAGTGTTATCGACATGGTAGAAGTTATTACAGTGATTGTCACTCAGACAATGCCATACAATTATCAAGGAAGGCGAGGATACACCGAAACTGAGGCATGATAAGAGCGACTCGCCAATAGGGTTGCGTTGAAGCAAGGATCAATCAGCATGTTTCAATCATATCCAGCAAATCAGCGTCAGCATGCGAACAATATCAACCATAATCTTGTCACGAAAAGCTAACGCATGAAGATGATGTACCACGTCCCCAACCACCCGACTGCATCTCCGGATCCCCCACCTCGACCTCAACTCTTCCCCCTGAATCAGCCTTGCGACCTCAATAGAGTACTGGAGTTGCTGGAGAAGAGGCAGATAACAGAACCCACGCAGCCGAGCCGGAAACAAAAGGTCAAATTTCTGCATAAAAAAAGTGACAACTCTTACCCAACCCACCCATAGGAACGTGGCTGCTCGCATCGGCCTAAAAAGCGACCTTTAATTGACACGCAGCTCGGAGGCTGTGATTGATCTACCGCGCCGGTTACAGAGCTTCAAGGAAGGATCTCGCCTTGTGCTCCACCTTGCCGCACGGAACAGTAATGAGATTGTAGACAAGAAGGGGAAAATGGTAATGAAAGAGATCCACGGAAACGGGCAACACAAACTTCCCGAAGCATAACTGTAGACGGGGAATGTCTTGGTTAGGCCGTGGCGGTGTCAAATATCCACGAAGAACGTGAGGTGTGGAGTCGAACTGGCACTTAGCATTGAAGCCCTCTCATCATACAATAAAACGATCCTAGATCCTCCTTTGTCAGTGCGGGTATCATACATTTATTTTCATTCATCCTTTAGTGGCATTTTGAGGCGCAGATGGTCACAATTCTTCGAAATCGTCCTAAGTATCGAAGTTGACCTTCTTGCGGCCTCTTCCTCTGTCATCTTCCATGGCGTTGAGAGTCTGCTCAATATCCATGAGACCTAGCATGTCGGTTTCCAGTTCTTGTTCGAAATCTCGTTCCTCCACATCGTCAACCTCCATGACGTCGGCTGCGGCGTTGAGGCTCTTGCCGAAATCAAAACCTAAAAACGGTACGGCGCCAGCTTCGTTCGTCTCGGTGGAAGGTAGAACCAGCTCGGTTGGCTTCTCCGTCTGGGTGGGCGGCCTCCCAAGAGTTCCTCGTTTCCTGACTGACAAGTTGAACTCCTTGCTGGGAGGAAGTGCCGGCTGTGGGAAAACAGTGACGGCACCACTGGACCTTGCGGCTTGGCTGAGTCTCTTCTGAAAGCTGCCCTTCACGCCACCAATGCGGGTGCCGACGACGCCCTCACTCTCCCGTACCACGACAAGCCTGCTCTCACCACATATAATAACCTCGATAGGGAGGCCCTCATTGTTTGAGTTGTCATCTTCATCCAGCTTGGGGATAGCGCCGACGCCGACGCAGCGCTCGCCCATCAGGCCGACAACAAGATCGTTCAACTTGACCATCCTGGTAGGCTGGGCTCCACTGAAGAGGTTGACTCCGCCGCCAACCCCTTTCCGTAGTTGAGCCTCCCAAAACTTGAGAACTCCGGGAATAACCACGACATGCTCTGCACCTCCGATCCACATGACGACGCTTTCATCAGCCGTCGTCGTTGCACGGGCAGGGAGTGGGGTGACCAAGATGCCACCTTGAACTGCTGCTAAACGCTCAGGGCCATGCAGCGCACTGATGGGGGCTTCCCTCCGCGAATGAGGAGTCATGGGGACGAAGTCACTGCCAGCGCCAGATGCTCTTTGTGAACCAAGATTCCGGAGGGGACTTGTGCCCTCAATGTGGCCGGTCGCGCTAAAGGAGGTCAAAGCCGCACCCTTGATTCCGGAGCCCGGCTTGCCAAAAAGCGCCGGTCCTTGAGGCGAGACACCGTCGATGTCCCAAATGCCCCATTGTCCATCTGCCAACAAGGCAAGAACGGCCCTGCCGTAGGAAATCCAGGAAGCGGCAATGATGGGTTTCCTGGATGCGGTAGGGCGCGCAAAGGGTGGATATAACGATATCAACCAGGAGCCTTGAGAGGGGAAGGGCCCTTCGGACAAATCGTCGGGGGGCATGGACGCCTGAGCATAGTCGTAGATACGAACGGCGTGTGATGATGCATTGCAAAGCAGCTGTGTTGAATGGGTAGGGTTGAAAGCGATGCCGGACAGCGGACTTGGCAAGAACTCGGTCTGGAAGGCTTCTATGGGACGGTCCTTGGTAGGTTTCTCCAGCGGCACATCCCAGAGACGCAATGTACCGGAGCCCTCATTAGAGTGGGCAGCTACAACAGCGCGCGGAGCAGCTCTACCAGCTGACCTGGATCGTTCTGTGGATTTGCTGCGCTCTGCAACTGATTGTGGTTTAATGAGTGTTATGGCTAAGCCATCACTTGGCTTCTGTTGTCCATTGAGCAGGGTCAATGTCTCGCCCCATTTACCATTGCCAGCCTTGCCGGCAAGGAGATTCTGCCGTAACTCATCCCTGGCCTTGCTCTCAGGTGAAGGTGGCGTAAGCGGTAATGTGACGAAATATACCTCGCGGCTAACGCAGGAAACAGCGAAGACGATCTTCTCCTTGAGCACTTGGGTACCTTCCCATGCAGCATCATCGGCAGTGCATGGCGTCATGGGCAGGGTGGCGATGTGAGTGACGGCGGCGCCAAGGGACAAGTCGAGGGTCTGGGTGATCGCGGCGTGAGTGTTCTCGTCTTGTTCGGTGGATTCATCGAACTCTGGTTTGTCGGCGAATGCGGATGTGTTCTTGCCGGCTGCTGACGCGTCCTCGTCGTCGGAATCGATGATCATGACGGCGTCGGCCGATGGATTGCCATTCTGTTTACCATTGGTATTGGGTGCGCCTTGGTCGCAGGACGCAGCCTTGAAGCGTTTGCCTCCTCTCCACAGGACGGTAACACCATCTTCGTGGCCGTAAAGGATGACAGTAGCGCCCTGGGGAGACTGAACAGGATAGGTCTGGACGGTATGTGTGCGGCGGGAGAGGTTATATCTGTAGGCAATTAGTGAGATTCCAAGTTTAGGCAGAACAGACAAGACAGCCAGAAGTGAGTACGATTGGCTTGTACAAAAGACTGAGCTGAGATGGATTGGACGGGCCATACGTGTGCTGGGTGTTCTGGGCAGTCCGCCTTACACGCGGCGCTCCGTTGACAGCCATCTCGATAAGGCAACCTGGTTGCTGAGATGTGAAGTGAAGCTCTTGTGATGGGTAGAGCTCAAGCGCAAGCTCAGGAGGGGACTCGCTGGTAGATACGACAGGCAATGCTATCTCGTATCTGATAAATTAAAGCATCAATGCATACTGTCAGGGGCACGAGAGAGGAGTCTGTACAGTGGGAGCAGTCGTCAACTGTTGTCATGGAAAGCAGAGCTGGGCTTGTGTTGAATTCGCAAAGTCGCCCTCGCCTCTGCCCAAAAAACCCACAAACGCGACGTCGAGGTGAAGCTTCAGTTGGCGCGCAGGCTAAAACTAACCTCAGCTAATGAGCTAAGCTACGGCCACCTTCCTAGAGCACGCTGCGAGGGCTGCTCTGGAGGCTGGCCCGTGCCACCAATGCTGCTCTACTTCTACCTTGGCTGGTTATTTTGTACTAACTACGCACTATGCACTATGCCGCAACCCAGCAGCCGCCTGTCGTCTGCCAGCATTTGCAGGATCCCCGTTGAGATGAAGAGCAGCATCTCACCTGCCGTGGAATGTGTTGATCGTGCTTGGATCAAAGTTTCACCAATCTCACTCCCAGAGTATCCCCTCGTCTGGGCGCTCAGTCAAATATGTCCATCGCCTAAACGCCCGTTTCAGACACAGCCGATCCCAACGTCACGGCACAGCGGCGTCAATGACCCAATCCGGGGAAAGTTGGAGCAGATCTCATTTTCATGCCCCCGACAAATTTGACGGAAAGAGGAAACCCTTCTTTTTCGGCTCATGTTTGCCGGGCTATTCATCTTTTTCTGACATGTGGAAATGCTCGATCATCGTCGTTCAATGCTACTCTTTATCCTGGCGAACTTTCCAGAAAATTGGAGGCTTAGGCAGGATAATCAGTCTGGGGTCATGAGTCCCGTGGTTAATGCCGTTTGATATGGTACTAACTCCTTGTGAATATTGATACTTGATTGGTCTCAATTTGGATTCAAAGTACTACGACCAGCACCGGTTTGTTGTTTCAACCAGACATCGTAACACAATCTCCTCGCTCCCTCTCCCTCTCCCGCTCTCTCCCAGGCGACCTTGATGCCCGTGTACCGTTTTACTCATACCGAGGTGCCATGGAAACATTATTGGCATACAGCCGGGTGAAGCAGGGATAACTTCTCAGTTGAACCACTATCTCGACCATAGTTGTCCCATGTTGTCCTATACTATCGACATAAAACATAAATCCTGCCGTGCGGTCACGGCCAGAGTCGTGTCTTGAGCTACCCCAGCCGTTGCCACTTGAGACGGGACTGTAGTGTTATGGTATCGTAGTGTCACGGGATCATGTAAGCCCAGTTCTCATGAATAAGTCATCCAGTAGTGGACTATGTGAATAATATACAGCAGAGTGCCTTCATTTCCTGTAATTGCCTACGCTACCGTCTATCAAAAATATGCCATCCGCTGAGAGGAGACCAACCCCAACCACCTTTCTGCGTCATGTCCGTCATATAGGACATGGCAGGGCAGATACCTCTGCTTCTCTTGTGGTTCCTCCCGCTCCCCCCGAGTTTTGAACGTCGCAAGGGTTCATCGATACTTTGCGTCCTTGCATCGTCTCAACTACCTCCTAAATCTTCCAAGCCTGAGCCCGAGACAAACACTGGTGGATCGTAGGATACCCGCGTCGCAGTATTCGGTACTCTGCCGATATGGTGTTCACTGTAGGGTCTAAGAAAGGAGAGGACGGTGTAGGGAAGGTCCAGCAGTATGTAGAGTAGATCAACGGCCACGTTTACTATATCGTGGCAACTCAGGGATGTTGGTGAAATCCCTACACCAAATCAAAATAACGCCATAGGATCGTCGGGGTATCATCGACCGATCAATGACAAGAGGTTGACCACCATGAACGCCGTCGAGAATGCCATTGTGAACAAGAACTGAAAAATGTGATACAAGCGAAGTCGTCGTTCGTCGTAACTGCTGACCCGATCGTGTCGTTGATAGTCAATCATGCATTGGTAACCTGTTACGAATTAGCACATGTGTGCGAACAACCAACGTGTCTCCTTCTCTCAAGGAGTTAGTAACGCACCCTCAGGATCCTACGCGAGTAGTCTGCTTCGTCTGCAATGCTACCGCTGCTCATCCTCCTTTGAGCCATGACAGGGTCCAGACGCTGGTCAGAGAGGGAAAGGCCGCCGCTGCTAGAAGGGGGCTTTCCTCCGGAAATGAAAGCATTGACCGCAGCGTTACGGCGGTGTTCCTCCTCAATTTCTCGGTTACGTCTGCGTCGGGTAACGAAGATACCAGCACCAGCGATGGCGGCAACGGCGACAACACCCACAACTACACCAACAGCGATGCCCACCGTCTTAGATGAGCCAGAACCACTGTTGCTAGAGGCGGTCTCTGTCGGCGTCACGGTGACAATTACACCTGTTCAAGTCATCAGTACTGGCCCACAATAGTCATCCGACGAAACCTGAGAGGCACACATACCAGCGCTGGTCGAGACGGCAGCTTTGGACGTCGTAGACGACGCCGCCGTGGAGCTGCTTGAAGATGACGAGCTGGTGTCAGTAATGTTGTCTGCGTTCTTGACAGTAACCCTGACACCAGTGTTGTAGACTGTGTAGGTGTCGGCTCCACCACAGGCTTCTTGGCCAAAGCCAGGGCAAGGCTCAGTGCACTCGCTATCGTCGACCAATGTGTTTAGGGCGGGATATTCACTGCCACAGTAGCAGTCTTGGGCGTTGCTTGCACCGACATATAGGCCCAAGTCGCGGCAGTATCCGGCACATTTTCCTTGCGCGTTGAATTCGTATGTTCCGTTAAACGTAAGCCCGTCGATATTCGAGTAACAACCATGGACAGTATCTGTTCCTGAGGTGGGTGCTGAGGCTGCAACTTCGGTAGCAGCACCAGTGGCCAGGACAAGTTTTGAAAAGGCCAAAAGACCGGACAGGGTGACTAGTTTCAGCGACATGGTGGTTGTGATTGTTGACTGTATTGTCAAGTTTTTTGAGATTTTTTTTATATCAGTAAAGGTGTAGCGAGTGTGTTGGGTGACCCCTTGGAACCGGTCAACGATTCGCAAGAGACGAAAACGAAGTGATGAAACAGAGAGAAATCTGGTCTCCACTGGGGAGTGTAATTGTTATGCGTGTCAGACTGACGGTGAGGTGATCAGGTCTGCATTCGTGCCTTGACTGGACTGAGAATAAATGGCTGGTGGACGTCTAAATTTGAATCGAGCTGGACGTCCTTTGATAACAATATCCTCTTCTTGCTTGGCGGGGGGATGTGACGTTTGGTCTACTTCTGACTCTTTCTCTTGTCCCTTTGGTCCTCTTGTCTCCTGTTCTTTCCAACCGAATCAAACAATGGCCGTGATGGGTGGTCCTGTTGGCTGAATAGTGGTGGGCCAACGACAATGAGGTGTTTGTGGCGGGCTGGTAGTCCGAGTTGAGTCGAGTCACGCTGACGTGCCAGACCAGAATTGGAAGATTGGGGGGGGAGAGACACGGTGGCTACGATACACGGCGGTGTCGAGGAAGTGATGGGGGATAAAGAATCAAAACACGGAACGAGAGGCAGGTCAGACGAAACCAGACGAGTTGAGTTTACTTTACTGAATGAGTGGATGCCCGGGAGAGCAAGGAAGGGAAGGGAGGGTACTTGGGCTTTGGGGTTGGTATTTGGTAGAAGCGAGGGCCCGTGAAAGAAAGTCGAATCGACGAGGGATGGGCAGGTTGGGTTTGGTTTGGGTTGGGATGGGATGGGAATGGATGGAGCGAGAGGAGACCGGACAGGAGAGAGGAGAACAAAGATTGATTGATTGCCTGCTTGCTTGCTTGATTGATTGCCCACCATGGGCCCAGGAGTGCTGGAGGTCCATGTCCCCGCTTGTTTTGTCCGACGTCCCCAGCACAAATCGAATGAGATTATGAGAGGATGCAGCACCACAGGCCAGACATGGCACCGAAGCCCGACCACGGTGGAGAGAGCTGGCCTTGGGCTCTTGGCTGTGAGTGGACAGGCCAGCGCAAGCGAAAGCGCGGGAAATTACACCGGACCAGGGTCGTCGCACATCTCCAGAGCTAAGAACTCTGCTAACACCGCTAGAGCACCTCTGCCTGGGGGACAAGCTAAGAAGGGGGGGGGGCTTATGCTGGGCTACGTACCAGCGTACCTGCAGTTCGTGTTGTGTTTACTTCTTTCGTTCACACCCCTTGCAGTAGTGCGCGCCACTTTCAACCATTTGTGGTTTAAATCATCTCGAGTACGCCCCAATGAGTGATTGAGTCTCGATCGACCTTTCGCGTCATTGGCTTAATTATCATTATTTGAAAGGCACAGGCAGCCCTTTGTGCACTCTCTGATCCTGCATCATCATCTCCTTGCACAAAGACACAGAAAACGCGAAATTGCAATCCTGGAAACATGTCTGTACAATTAAGGCACAATTCCCAGGGTCTTCATAATGATCGTCAGGAACCAGACGCATCCTAGCGAAATGATCTGCACATCTTTACAGCTGCTACCGCGTACAAAACCACAATTATTCAAGGCACATCATTTACGGATTATCTCCCTTGCATTATTATATGCCATCAGACCTATGCAGCGCGTGTGTATCCCTTATCACCACCCACCCTGAAAATGTTTTCCTGGGATGCTGCAGATCATTACGACCACAGGCCAAGCCTCCAAGCCACTGGGCGCTGCAGATTGCAACTTCCGACATGCATCATTGTTAATGCTTTGCTAGCACAACAGAGTCGCTGGCACCCATATTTAAACTACCCTCTAACGCTCAGCTGTGTTCTCGGCACTATGCGGATACTTCGCGGTCACCAACCGGCTCGGCTGAAAATTCTCTGTCCGGTGATACCGTCATAGAGATCCAGACCACTTCTATTGCTGTAGTCTTGAATCCAAATGAATCAATCCGATCGCAACTGAGCCTGCGACGAATCTGTACGGACCTCAAATTGTCCTCGGTCGCAGCTCAGCAACTGCCGGATTGGACGTCGTGCGCGGTGACTCGTCGCTCTGTATCATCTTGAGACAATGTAGCTTCATTCGTGACTCCAGTGTACAAAAGAGGAAGCACACCTGACCCTAGGAATGAAACTATATCACAAGCAGGCAAGCGACTTGTGCCGGGCTATTCATATCATAGCATTACCTGGTTTGCCGATGTTCACATCTATCTTCTCCATTCATTGAAGAACCAAGCTCTATCCGTACATATGGCCGACTAGGCCAGGTCAGGGCAAATACCCAGCAATGATTGACATTAATGACGGCGATAGTGCACGCACTTAATTGCTGACGCAGAAAAGCACGCCAAGGCCAACATGAAACAAGAAACACGGCACCGACTCTGCCGGCCTGGATAGGCGTTGCCCAGTCATCTGAAGATCTGAAGAAATCATGATTTTGCCTACCTGTGAATGGCACCATGTTAACTGCCAATTCTACTCGCCATCAAGAATCTTTTTCAAATGCCGTCCATTGTTTGGTATGCGGGATGATGGATCAGTTGTCGAGGTCGAGACTCGAGTCCATTTCCTTATATTGCGTAAACGTGCAAGCCATACACAAACCCGCACAAAAGTGTGCAGTAGTGTAGTGGAGTATCATAACATCACATCTACTCAAAGTCTCCAACAGGCTACGGCTTCCTTCCCTTTTTGCCCATGTTCAGACGAATCATTTATGCATTTCTTGGCCTCACAAACCGACGTTATTTGTTAACAGCGTTTGTTACACCACAATCCTGACAATTGCATGCAGGCAACACACCAGTAAAAATAGTAGCTAACGTAGATGAGACTAACTTGACTTGCACGAGGTTTAGGCTAAACTGCTCTAAGGTTAGTAAACTAATTGGAACTTATGGACACCGCGAATAGCGACATCTGGCCCCAAGCTTAAGGTGTTCATGCTGCGGGAGACAGGTCGTATCTGCACTCACCAGCCAGCACTTTCTTTCTCAATATGCACGTCTTACGGTTGTCGCTGGCATGCTGATAGCCAACCTTGAAAGGGAGACAAAACACGCGAGCAACTGGGAAAACACGAACCCAGGTCCTACACAGCCTCAAGCCACGTCTTTTCACCCTGGAAATCTCAACCAACTACAGTGAGCACTCCAGCAGCGTAGCATTCCGGCACCCACGGCACTGGGACTGAATAGATTTTATATGGACCTGACAATACGGCAACACGAGAATTAGCATGCGTACAGTTATACACATTTCAATAGTCTTTTCTTGGAAGCGTTTTGCGATCCCCTACCGTCGATCATTCAGGCGACTCGTGGTTTGTGGACCGCTGACGACAAGATGAACGCAAACAGCCCGTGACGCTAAAATGGATGCCGACAGCCCTTTGATACCTTTGTATAGCTCACAAGAAATGATTACTATTGAAAGACCTGGTTTGTCAATCATGGCCTCTGTACACGGCCCATCGAACAATCCATGCCCTCTCGAGATTTTGATATATTGGTCGAACTTTACTGAAGTGCAAGCATAATCTGCATCGCAAAAGCAATGACCACATCCGCGCCGTGGGTTCACCAGCCCAGCTAAATTGCTGGGCGTGTGCCATCACAGCACGCCAATATTTCAGAACACGAACCTCTGTGGGTTTGCTCATCATACAGTTTGCAGCGTCAAAATTTCCACCCCGATCGTCATATCTTGCGTTCAGCATCTCTTCGAGGTCTTGCTTGCATCTAATGTGCACCTTAGTATGTTTCCCAGATCTTTAATTCATCAAGCCCCAGGTCTTGGCAAAGCCCCGTGGCCGCTGGCCGCCGTGCGGTAGACTCGGCACCTGCACCATCCTAGCCCCTGGTCGAGCCCGCTGCGCCGTTTTTTTCGGGTCGAAATTGCGAGGCTTGAATAGCAACGATGGTGTCTTCCTAATCTTCCTAGCTGTCTTGATATGACTCCACCGCAGCTGCTCAGCGCGGCAGTCTCGAAATTTGACAGGCAAACAAAATAGTTGCGAAGGGTCGGCCTCGAGGCCTCCCTTATTCCGGAAATTGAAAGAGTGGACAAGGCCTACGCAGACTCCACGAATCTGCATTGCGCCGCCTCATTCCTGGGGGTTGCTTGGACCATCAAGTGTTCGACCGAGTCCAGAACAATTGATTGTCTTCAGGAACTCGTGGACCGGATATCCACCATCTGTCCATAATGTTAATTCACATTGGGGCATACTCATAAAAGTAAAAACGACGGTTTCTTCATAAGGTTTGTTCGTTGTTATTGTTGTTGTTATTTCTGCCCGTAACAAGCTAAATCCCGTCTTCGCCTCGTTGCGCATCGAAACTCCGTGGGGAATAGGGGGGTAGCCTTTGGTCGGTGCATAGAGCTTATTGTCTAAAACCTTCAATGGTTTCTTGAGATGTCCCGGCTTGCGAGATTGAACCCTTCTTTCTTTTTTTAACGCGGCTGGTCTGACTCGGTTTTGGGGTTTTTACGACAGATTAACAGATCAATGCTTCTCAATAACCACAGGGGGCCTCAACAGTAACAGCGCCATAGTTATCCCCGACGAAGCCGACTGATGAAAATCAGGCGCGCCTCGTCTCACCAACAGTTCATCGTTGTAGTATCTTGTTGATCCTCACAATATTCTGCCCGGCAATTTCTCGACGTGCGAGTATCTAGTCGGAACATATCCTATTCGTTACATTGGCAATACTCTCTTGACTTGCCCTAGCCGGCATTCCGATCAGCCTGGAAACGCTTTGACCTTGTAACTATTTATATATGCCTTACATGCCTCGCTATATTGCGCGCCTTTATTATATAAAATTATGCATCCAAGGCTCAACCTGGTGGTTGTTGTTATTCGTCTGATCTCCATAACGGTTATCTGGCTCGAGTAAAAGTACCGTAGATGGTCACTGGGTCCAGCGACAAGTTGCAATGGGATTTATACTTTTCACACTCCGTGGTCGCGATAGCGTCCGAGAGACCAGACCTAAGGCACGCAGATACTAGAGCGACAAGTTGATGAAAATTACTGAATACAGCGGTTGCTCTGTGATTTAACAGGAACGTTTGTTCTTATATCGGCTGAGGTAGTACAAACGTCTTAGCACATTGGTCCTTTTCGCGCACTCGGCAGACGTTGTATGGGGCTTGGACTTAACTTCTCTTGCTTCACGATATCCAGATCACAATCATCCGTAAGGACTTGATATAGAAAACCATGGCTATCGGCACTCTAGGGTGGCTCAGGCAGTGCAAATATCTAGTCGGTCGTCTGATCTATAACGTTCCGCCTACATGAGGCCAAACGTTGGAAACGCGATTTCATGTATACTGCTTCGCCCGCTCTTCTACCGGCCTCGGCTCTCAAAGCCGCTATTGTATCGTGGACCCAGCGCTCGCCGTGCCGGCGATGGAATTTATAGACTAGGCGGTTTGTTTGACACAGCTTTAAGTATTCGTCCTTATAAGGTGTATTTCGCCGTAGATGTTTCCTCTGTATCCATATTGTTTGACGAAAGCCAACGCTGTGCTGGTCATTGTGATTGCTACAGAGACTTGATTGGAGATTCTGTTGCGGTTGCGCTTACCGTGGTGGTTGTTGCTCACATTGATTCATCAAGTATGCATAGTGTTTCGTGCTTGGTACTATAGCAGCAAAGGGTGATTCGCTCATCTACAAATCAGCAAAGTGGTTTGCTGTCAGCTCTTGAAAACGCTACGATGTTGATGTAGATGTTGACAATGATTGAAACCATGTATTACCATTCGTGAACTCCGTCCTGCTCGATGTGTCTAGAATTATATGTTGTGGATGAAGATGTGCGTACTACTTTTGAACACGTACAATTCAAGTTCTGCCGAGTTAAGCCCCGACAACATAATTTATTCAGATGCGAACGGGTGTTAATAAAAGCGTATAGGATTCTGATGCTTAATCATGGAGCGGCCGTGAACCATGCATTAGCACAAGGCCTCGAGTATATAGGGACATATTCTTCTGCTCAGGGTCATGTATCTCATTACCTTTCGGAGTTGGGCGTTGATCCCTTGGGTCGGCTGTATTAACATGAAATTCTTTGTTAATCACCAAGTTCGACATAGATCGTTTTATAGTTAGTCTCGTATTTGAATGAACCTTTTTGACTTCATGCAAATGTTCAATGTATGCTGAATTTTCAACTGCAGTCTACCTGATGGCCAGTCCGTTTGCACATATGGTTGTAATAGTACTCGAAAACTAATCATGATGTGGATTTAGAGGTCATCTCATGACAGGTCCGCTAGGGCTTACTTGCGGAATGAGTACACATTGGTCTCAAAGCTGCTTTGCTTGTATAGCTAATTTTGCCAGAATCGGCACCATCGTCACCAGTTGTTGCTACTCCGGAGCTAATTCGAATACGACAACATAAGATACTTGCTTACTCCCCCCATCTTGTCTCATAGCATGACGACGGAATACACGTCGACTGAAAATACGTAGAACCAGACTATATGTAGTAGATATGGTAATTGATTTGCAGCCCTGAGCCGGTCAACGGCAAAAAAAATTAATTTGTATTGAACTTGCTAAATTTCAAATACCACGAAAGAACGTTAAATCTTATTTTTATTTTTGACATATTCATATACATATATGTCAACTAGTTATGAATATCTTTCTGCGTTAAACCTTTGCCCCGAAGGTATCCTAGTACGTGTTTACCAGTATTACGAACTATACGAATAGATTACGTAGCAAAAGATTACTCTAAATCATGCTAGGCAAGTACAGTAAAAAAAAGTTGAAATAACTTCCCTCTTTTCCCCGGGGGAACTAAAACAAGCGAATGGAACTGAATAGTACATTTTACAATCATAATAAATATCGGCTTGGCTCGTCTAGCATGAGGGGCACGCATAGTTATACTTCTGATAGTTTATTCTGTTGGATATATACCAAGTCTCTATTGGGCCAAATCCATGTTAATTTCCTCCTTCCTCCTCCTGAACTCGACTTTGCCCTTTGTGCTGACACCGGTGCTCGTCTCAAAGGACTGCGACTCGGGACGGCCCTCGCCCGGGACGAACCGCCAGTCGTACTTAAGCAGCATCTGGCACAGGGCAATCTTGACCTCGTTGGAGGCGAAGAAGCGGCCCGGGCACGCGTGCTGGCCGTGGCCAAACAGCATGTGTTCCGAGCTGGTGGAGACGAACTGCCAGCCGTTTTCGTTACCGGGCCGGCCCCGCATCTTGACGAAGCGGGCTGCGTCGAAGGCCTCCGGGTCCTCGTACACCGCCGGATCCATGAAGCTCGTCATGACGTTGATGCGGCTGCCCTTGGGCAGCACCGTGCCGTCCGACAGAGTAACCTCGTCCTCGACGAAGCGGTTCATCGACGTCGAGGCCAGCGGCCTCAGTCGCTGGCCCTCTTTGAGGAAGCTGTCCATCAGCTTCAGCTTGTATAGGCTGGTCTTGGCCCAGCCGTGCTCGCCGATGACCGCGATGACCTCTCTCCTGAGCTCCTCGACGACCTCCGGGTACTGGCAGAGATCGAAGACCGCCTGTGCCGTCGTCTCGGTGGTGGTGTGGATGGCCGCGAGAGTCAGGGACAGCTGGGCGCTGACGTAGTCGACGACGCGGCCCCTGGAAACCTCGTGGAGCCAGCCGATGGCATCGGCTGTCTTCTTGGGCTTCTCGCCCCTGGCCAGCGCCTCGTCGACCGCCTTGACCCGGCGCTCGACCTCCGGGTCGATGATCTTGTGTGCATCCCGGACGGCAGACCGGCACGATCGGCATTGGGGGATGAGCCAGTACGCGACCGGACGCAGGATGCTGGGCACCATCCTCAGGAGGAAGGACGCGGTGAAACCGTCGACGGTATAGTTCTTTGCGATCTCGAGCCATCTCTCGTTGCGGCAGAGGGGCATGCCGAGGAAGACGCGCGACGAAAGACGAGCTACCAGATGCAGAATGGTGTCCTTGAGGACGGCCGACTGCCATTCATCGTTCTCTCCGTAGATATCGTGCAGCGAAGCAGTTGTCTCGTCGACGAGGTCGTCCGTCAGGAGTCCCAGAGACTGTGTAAGCTTAACTCTTACGGTCTCCTGGATCAGGGTATCGTCTTTGAGGCCTTGCGCGAAGGGCTCGAAACCGGGATAGTTGGTGAAGAAGTCCTTGGCGAAAGCCTTGTTAAAGTTCAGATGGGGGTTGTTCCGCAGCTCGTCGGCGAACTTATTCGGCAAGACTATCTTTGGACCAGTACCACTCATCACCTGGAAAGCTCCAGAGTACTACAGCTCCCGTTAGTCACCTTGGTGGTGTGACGGAGCAGATGCGGGGCATGTATACCTTTTTCGACCCTTCCGCCACAAGTTGTTTACCCTGGAACAGCCAGCTCTTCTTGGGGCCCATTCCATCGATTGATGCCAGCGGGAACCCAGCCAACGGTCTCTCCTGAGTAATGATTGAATACAATATTCCGATGACTATAGTCGCAGCGATGCCCACCAGGGATAACGGCAATCCCTCTGGCAGCGCATCGCGAATAGCGTCCAAACCCGTGACGATGGACATTTTTCTTTTTGGTGTTGAGCAGTGACGGCGTAGGGCTGATAGTGACCAACAAAGCACAAAGGCACTGGCGGTAACAGATCGACCAACATCCTTATATAAGACCGTAGACTACGCAGAATTAGTGCAATGCATAAACGGTTAGGATATCCGGTCGTGGTGGGCATAAAAAGGTCTGTGTGCTGGGTAGTGACAGCGCTAAAGGATATTAGATATAGAGACCAGTGTTTTGGGACCGCTCTCCAACGGCAGCATCAAACCACTACAAGCCTAGTGCAGAGGCCCTGACGAGCTTCGAAAGAGGATCTTCCAGGCTTCCAGCGAATCATGTTGGATGTATTGTCCGAATACGATCAAAGAACACGATCTCGAACGCGGGTGGGTGACATTGACCCGCATGCGGGAGGTATACGTAGCAACTCTTCGCGTCTGTCAACTATGCCGACCCAGACAATTCTCGGCCAGGGTTCAATTAGACTTCCATGTATTCTAGACCTAAAGGGGTTGATAATTCTACAGCGGCTGAGCGTCTCCCTGGACTAGTCGTTGTCATTTATTAATAATGAGCGGTGCCTCCATGATATAATTACACGGCTGCTTGAAAATACTCCGACAGATTATACAATAGCAGCCGTGTTTGATTGGTACCCATCAAATTACTAGGAGAGACCTGCAGTTGTTGTCATTCAGGAGATTTGCGCTTCTTCTTGCTGCGTTGTGTCGCCTTCCTTCGTGGCACCTCGCATACCGTATTCGTAATCGCTCGGGCTGTCAAATATGAATCCGCTTCCGCCAATGCATAATAACAAATCATTTCACTTTGGGGATCACGTCCACATACAATTGCGGGGAAGTAAATGAACCCGGGAGACCGGGAGACCGAGCGAAAAAGAAAAAGAAAAAAGTTTGGCTTCGATTCTTTATTATTGCTGTCAGTATCCATTCATCTTGTGATAACAATGAGCTCATCCCAAGAGTGTCGCATGCAGCTCACGAGTCAAGTCAGGTGCGTCTTGCTGCACAATGACATCGCCCCAAGTTCAACGGTTGATCTATGAAAGTCTAACTTTGGACACTTGATAAATAGAGTTCTGGTGGTTCCTGCACCATCTAGATTTGACTACAAACCGGCCCGCAAGGACGGCCAGACCCACCCCTCTCCACGCTCGCCGCCACCGCTGGATGCGGCTCCGTAATACAGACTCCCACTCGCCGAGGCGGTCGGCCCTGCCGATCCACATCTCGTGATAGTCCTCGTCCCTATTGGTCCGACTGTCCCAACTTCTGTGACTGCCGTTGGAGACAAGGCGGCAATCGCAGACACTGTACCAGCTGGAGCCGTGACCGTGGGGTCTATACTTACGGTTGAAGTGACCGGCGTTGGCAGTACAGACAGTGTCACGGCATTGGTTACTGAGTAAGTAGCCGAGACAGACGTTGTGTTCACCCCAACACCGACCGGGCAAATGGAGGTTGTGATTACCTGCGGTCCTTCCACGAGCACGGTCTGCGCCAAGCTTGCTGGACAGTTTATAGCCGAGACTGCACAGGCAACCAGTGACTGCGTGGGCATAGTCATTATCGTCTGCGTGACCAAATCCACGGGACAGGCCGGAGCCGTTGTTGCGGTTGATGACGGTGTACTATCACCAAAGCAGGTGCTGGTGGAAGCTGAGAATAAGGTCGTGGCTGCGGTTGGGTTGATACCCGGAAGGTCGATTATACCAATGTTGGCACCAACATCAACGAACACACCTGCGTTGATGTCGATTTCTGCGAAGGCCGGGAGACATGTTTGGTTAGTCGAGAACTGTTCGCCAATGGTGATTTGCGGGATGTTGATGAAGGCGCCCGCTAGCGCAGTAGCACCTAGAGAGATGCCAGCAGTCAGTTGGACTCCTGCCTGAACCCCTAGCTGTAGAGCCATGGTCACGTTTGCTGGGACGTCGGCAGTAAGTGGCAAAAGGCTGGCTGAGGCGCCGTTGCTTCGTTGGCGTTAGTTAGAGAACCAAGTCACGCAGGTGGGTCCCTTCAACGTACAACTGAGCGACAACATCCTTCGTAGGATCTAAGGACAGGGTAAATGACGATGTGTCCGGAACGGTGATTTGGAATCCTCCATTCACGTTCACCTCTCCGGTGAGCCCGAGTACGAGATCCACAGAGAAGACTATGCCTATCTGCGAGCCCGGGATCTATAGAAATCAGTCACATACCCGAGGCGGACGGTGGAGGCATACTGACTGCAATGCCCAGGGGTGTCTCCGTTATGAAGAGGGGAACCTTGACCGTTCCATCCAATGCGGCGCCGATACCTACATCAATGAGCGCACCAACACCATTGAATTGCACCGCGAGATCAATGTCATTGAACGGATTTAGGTCGCTGAAGTCGTCGACAATCTCAGCGAAGTCGTCTGGAAAGGTCGCAGAAGCGGTGAGCTGGCCCCATGTCCGGCAGTCATTGCACTTCAGAGACAAGCTGACTGACTGGCCATCCAGTGGCTCCCACTGACTGTGGTCGAAGTATGTTAGTCGGCCCGTATATCCAAGAGCGAAGAGGACCATACCCAGAGAATAAAGTTTGATCCTTGACTTGGAAGCTGATATCAAAAGGAACATCTGCATCTCTTCTTTGCAATGTGCTAAGTGACTGCTGTCTGCCCACCGATGAGTGACGCAGCCGCGTTCCCGGTGCTACTTCGACTTGCTGGCATAGCCCAAGAGCTATGAGGCAACTTACGACCAATACAGATTGTACGAGCATTTTAGCGTTCCGATGAAGTGGAATCCACTAGAGCATCACCGTCCTTGCAAATTGTCATGTCTTATATAAATTTCAACCATCGTTCTCGATGTCTTTAGGAACGCTGGCCCAGATAAAAGTTACCGCAGGATTGATAGTGAGGCTGTAACCAACTATACCTAGGAGCATGCATATGCTGCAGTCATAGGGGCTAGAAGTTGGTTACAGGAATGAAACTCAAGCACATGTACGCCAAGATAACTCTATTAGGAGTGCGTGAACTCCGGCAGACCGCGAAAGGCCACTTCATTTTCGGGACAGACCGAGTACGGCAGCCTCAAAGGTTTTATAAGTGAGCCTTGCAAATAATGCTTCCCGCTCTATTTGCAGGGTTATTTGTTTGTCTTCCGTCGAACGGGGGGGTCCTTGCATACTACGCGGCGCAGTGATTGGTCCGCGCCGCATCCTTCCGCCCCCTTGGGATCCTATTATGCACATCTCACACACAATGCGATTTGAAGCTGCGCCACGGGGTATTAGAGTCTTTGAATCAGCCTGGGGATCTAAATTGGGAGCCGTACATTGCGAACAGGGGTTGATCGATTCACGCATAGCCCATAGCAACTCTTCGCCGTTCATGTGGGGGTCAGTTTCATTCTATATTACGCCAAGACAGAATTGCACAAGATAGCTTTAGCAACCGTCGAGCTAGTACGTTGAAAAGCACTCTCCACGGTGTTTCTTCCAATCAGTCTTCTTGCAGTCCCCTGAGAAGTACGAAACGCCCCTTGCGTCTTGAACATGCCTTGAGCCCCTTGCCGTTAGCCCCTTCTTTCCTTCCACAACTGCGACACCGATCCCTCAGCATCAGATATTCCAATTTGCTATCTTTTCCAAGAGCGCTCGTGTCCATGATGCCCTCAACAAAGGGCACCGAGAACGTGAGGTTGCTAGCACCGCGCACCATATACTTGGCCCCGCGTCCCAGTCGAGCAGGAGCAGGTGGTCTTCCGGTAGCCTTACATTTCCGCAAATACAAAATGAACTGCTCGCCGGTGATCTGGCTGAGTGGGATCGTGGCACCGATTTTCTTGTATTCACACTTTGCTTTGTGTGACCAGGTCCTGCAACGTTCAATGAAGGCTGGGATGAGGCAGCGCCAGACTCTAAGTTCCTCATCGTTTATATTTAATGCGCAAAAGTCAAGTTTTCGGAGCACAAGGGGGAAATACGTCAGCTCGCCTGCCTTAACCATGTCCAAAGTTGGAGCCAAATTGCTGTGTATATTATCAAAACGACACATCCCGCAGCATCGTCAAGGCAGACCATGCACACGAATACACACATGACACAACCTAAATCTGGGTGCTGTAACATGAATACGCCGGTCTGGCCGCCGTGGAGATTTGAGGAGAGCATGAAGATAGTAAAGATTGACTCCTTCATGTCAAGTTGCTGATTTGCTGTCATTCCGAGACTTGATATCCCCATTGGACCGGCGCGCTTTTCACGCTCCTAGAACGCCTGGGTAAGCAAGCACAGCCATGAACTCAATGTGCTTCTGATTCGCTACCTCAACATCGAGAGTTATTAAAGCGCTAAGATTCTGATGCCAGCCATTCAGAACCGTAGGCAAGGAATCAGGGCCGAGGATGACGGGATATATGAAGTCGGACAAGGGCTCGGCGTGTAGAGGATTTGTTACTGGAACTATTATTTCCACATAGCTAGGCTTTCGAGGAATACGGGTCTGACTTCCCTGCTTGAAAGCTGGTAGCGGAAACCGTGGTGGAAGCACGATGGCGCCGTTGCCGAACACGATATCGATTGTAATTAGCGATGTTTGCTGGAACTTGGTAGGTACCTTGTACGTCCAAACTTTGTTGTCTTGGTCCGTAACTATGTCAACGTGCCCGGTCAATGGCATGATCCGTTTAGTGGTCTCATCGTAATTAGCGGATAGCCATGCATATGGTGGCCCCGCATGGTGGCTCCGACAAAGTGGCCACAGACTCTGCACCCTTTTCAAAGACAATAGGCCGCTTGATCGTGTTCGGCATGTGTGTGCTGCCAAAGACATGAGCTATATCAGCGGTAGTTGTCGAAAATTTCGCCTAGACATGATCAAAGCTACCACGCATTACCATCATATGATGAAGTATAGGCTGAATGTCAACGTCAGCTTAAATAAGTTTCGGGATCATATCACAACAAGGACGAAAGAATGAAGTAAGATAGTGGAAATGACGAATTACCGGTCCAGCCATCATCATCCCCAGTAACAGAGAGTTTGAAATTATTCTCGTCAACATCGTCAAAATTGTCAATTTGTCCAGCGCACATGCGAAGACCCAAAAAGTCATTTTGGGTTGCCCCGCCAGAAGTTATCGTGAGCTGCCAAATTGCTGCGTTGGTTTTCATGGGATCCGTAGCGTAGAGTGTGCAAAGAGCGATACGGCGTATAACCAGAGTTAATGCAGAGAAATCTTCCGAGGACGACATGGTTTTAAGTGCTGGTTGGTTGTTCAATCGAAGAGAACTGTCCATGTAGAGTCCCTGTATATGAAGTTACAAGTATAATTTCCGCAACCCGAGATCACTAACAGTTCCTTCCTTCCTGATGAGTCACATTAATGTCTGGAAGAGTCGTGACCAATTGGTATCTGTTGTCCCCGGAATAAGGTTCAGGCTCAATCTATACTTTCCTTGCTAAGCCTAAAGCACTGTATAGGTGATGGCTGAGTCTCTAAGACCGTCGAGTATGAACCTGATTCTCCGCTCCCTTTCCCACGTCTTCGCTCATGAGAATTTCGTCACACAGGAAATATCAGTTGAGTTGGTTCAGTACTCTATCGCACTCGGTCCCAGGAACAACGACATTATCGCACCATCTCCACATAGAAGTTCATCAAATTGTTGTCGACTTGAAGCAGTCTTGAGAAGCGTCTCGATGCATATTGTAGAGCTCATTATGTCCCTCGACAATGGCTTGGTACGCATGGTGAGCTTGGTGCCAGATTTTGGGGAGGCGGTCGCAAGGTCAAAACCAAGTATGGGATCCGTACCGTAATGAAGAATGTTTGTTACCCGAAAGTGTGCCAGAGAACAAGGGATCAGAGACATTGACGACAGATGATACCAGTAATGCTCATTTGTTGCCGGCCTCTGACCGGCTTGCATAGCCACGAGGCTTACAGCAGCGGCGGAGAGAAGACGGGTGAGGATTATACCATGACCTCCAAACCGGATTACATGGTAGCCTTTCGGCCTTTGCAACTCTCTATCAAATGCGGCCTTGGCTTTCAAGTTGCCGATCGTAGAGATCATGCATGACCATATTTCTCTGACTAGACAAAGGGTTCCTTCATCTCAGAAACCAAGTATGCCATCGTAATGACTCTCCTCCCAAGCAACCAGGGATTGGGAAGCTTCAAGCAGCTCAGATACATGATCTTGCACCACTACAGCAGTAAATGAATCAAAACCGAGCTCATGATAGATTGACCAAGCCGTGGGGGATTCAACACATCGCTCCGTGTCAGTAATCAAAGAGAATGGGAATGCATTTCGAGCTAACTTGAATCAGTGAGAGTGTTCCGTATCGGCAGTAAACCTCGAGTTGCTGATCAACTTACCTAGGATAACAGGACTATTGCCGCAACATGGCATGTCTAATCGAAGTCCCGCTATGGAAGCGCATAGAATTATGTCACGTCGTTCGCCAGACCGGAGAACACATAGTGCCCGTATGTACAATTCTGAAGGCAGAGCTCTCCCACGTTAGTTCAGACCCGATCCAGCAAGACACTCTGGGAGTAAGGCCGCCCGATCCCGTTCCTCGATTGATGCAACGGACGAGATATGATCAAGATGAGAAGCAAGGCGTTTTGGAGGCTCTATGAAAGATGGTCCGGGCAACAAACATCATCGAACGCCTTCTCAACCCCCTGCAGGAACTGCTCCAGCTGATGTGCTAGGCCTCAAGCGGAGCATGGGTGCCATCGGAGCTTCTGCATTTTTGGCAATGAGATTACCAGAGTTAGACATTTTCACCAAGCATATTAAAAAAGCCATTTCCTGACAATATTCTCATGGAATTTCCCTATGTAAAATCAAACCCATGAATACCGAAGAACCGGTCATCGTCATCTGCGACGTTCTGTCTTAACGCCGACGCCAATGAGCCATGACGAAGCCCTAGGGTCTTCTTTAAAAAGGCAACCATCCAACACCCCGGATCAACCTTGACCGTTGTTTCCCATCTTTAGCTTACAACTTTTCCCCGCCGGCATTACATTCTGACATGAGCATCGTAAAGTAGGTCTCACACCATTTCTCGTCTAACCTGACGCTGAAGGCTTCAAAAAAACAAAGAGATATCGTATACCGTACATCATGTGCAAGAATCGTGAAAAAGACGATACAGCTGAAACTGTTTAACCGAAGAATACATCGTTGTTGCTGGTGTCGTTGTACATATCCACGGGGTTGAATGCCTCCTCAAACTTGCTGTCCGAACTCAGCATCAGCATGCCGGGGTCTCCGTGGGTGAACTGCAGAAGCAGGTCATCCTCGTCATCGATACCAGCTAGTGCTGGAAGACTCACGTTCTCACCTGCCGTGGTGATGAGCAGGCCGACTTGTGAGGCTCTCGAATCAACATCGAAGAAGCGATTAGACGCCGGTGGAGAAGACGACTGCGACAGCTCGGGAACCTCGTTGTAGTGGCTAGCGACACTCTTGGCCGGGGATGCCGGGTGTGATGGCAGCCCCTCCACGACGGGATCAGGATGAAGAGACATGTGTGAAAGTTGCGACACATACGAATGTATGCTCGCCGCAGATGGCGAGTGAGCACTGGCGTTAAGGCCCGCTCCAAGCGAGGGCATCGGCGCCGACGAGGACATCTCTTGCAAGCTGCTTGGTCTGATCGTGGAACCGCCCATAGACACGTCCATAATATCATCTAGCATATCGAAATCGTTTTCAGGGTTCTCAGGGGAGTTGGCAGCCGAGCTGTCGGAGTAGCCAGACTGAGACGAAGCAGAGGAGACGGACTTGTTCTTTCTGCGACTGCGCTCTGCCTTGTCTGTTCGTTCGTCCATATCGGGTCGGTGCTTTCTTGGGCGTCCTCTCTTGACCACCTTGCGTACCACGCCGTCGAAAGCTCCGATACACATACCCCGCTGTTTGTGTCGAGTCAGAGCGTCGTGGCGAGCGAAGCTGTTGCCGCATTCGCAAGGGTAGGGCTTGACACCCGTGTGGATCTTCGCGTGGCGCTTCAGGTCATGTTGTCGCACGAAACATTTGTGGCAGTTAGGGCATTTGTACTGCCTGTCGTTGAGATGTGTCTGAACGTGCGACTTGATATTCTCCTTCCGACCAAAACGCTTGTTGCAGTCATCAAAGACGCAAACCCACTTGTTGTCAATGGCTTCAGGTCCTTGGATATACTGGTGGATGTCATCGAGAGTGATGCCTGTTGTTGTCCTTGTCTGCTCGATATCCAGGCTAGCAATGCTGGCGGCGCTGGCGATGCTGGCCACCGATTCAGTCCTACGGTGGTGCGGCGAGGGGCGGCGAGAAGGCATCTCAGTAGACTGTGCCTCATTGGCTGAGGCCTCCTGTGCAACAGCAGGAAATCGGAAATCCTGTTTGAGGTCAAATGCACCGCTACCGAAATGAGATGCCATTGGTGAAGCGTGTTGTGAGAAACTGCTCGATGCGCTTAGAGGGTGTGCAGCCATCGGCAAGCCTTCGAACTGTGTGTTGATTGTCATACCAGCGTTGACCTGGGACATGTCCATGAAGGCGCCGTTTGTCATGGGCCCGTCATATACACTGGATCTGCGCGAGTTTGGCATGGAGGGTTGCACTTCTGCGGCTTGACGCATCTCATCGAAAGTGGTCCTTGCCCGGCTTGGTTGGTGGCGTCCGGGCTTCACGGTCTCCTCCATCGACTCATCATATCCTTCCATGAACCGTTGTGGCTGGCGGGTGTGCTTGATGGTTCTGCCATGGGGTGTTTCCATGGGGGTCATGGGGAAGTAGTCTGCTTGCGTCAGTGCTTGGTCTTGGGAAGACTCGGGCTTGCGAAAGACGTACCATTTGCATTCTGGTGTGGTGGTGTAAGTGGTCTTTGTGGGTCTTCGACGCGCAGGGTCTCAAACTTGACCACTCTGTCCATGATCCCATTACTTATCCTTCGAGAGTTGCGACCACTGTGCGAAATCTCTCCTTCCGACATCCAGGCCGGTGCGCCGCCTGGGCTTTCGCTGAAGGATATGAAGGTGGGCGTGGACATGGCGCTGCTGGGAAACAGTTCAAAGTCCTGAGACGCTGTTATACTATCGGAGTAGCTCTCGTGGTTCTTCTTCATCATTGTGCTCATTGAGCCGTTAAACATATCAAAGGACACGTTCATACCGTGGGGGCCTGGAAGCCCATCAAAAGCCTGTCCTTCAAAACCAGACAACTGAGGAGTTGAATGGGGCGAGATAAGGTAGTTCTCGTCACTTGCCAAGTTCGTGTAAGCTTGCTGAGAGCCCGGGCGTGCTATGCGTTGCTGCTGCGTTTCTCGCAGCACATGCTGTGTTGTGTTGATTCCTGTGTTAGTATGTTCACTTACCGTGTTGTGAAACTCCTGCCGAAAGGACGGTGATTGTATCTGTTGTCGTCGGGTATCTAGGCTCATGCCTCGTCGATGTAATACCCGTTGCCGTCCTTGGATGTGTTGTTGTTGTTGTTGGTGTTGTTGTTGCTGCTGCATCTGTTGGTGTGGGTGCAGGTTGTTGGGCAGGTTATTGCTGGCGGCGATCTTCATGGCCTCGAAGGCCGAGCCTGTTGGCGTCGAGTTTTGCCGTCTGTGGTGACGGCTTCGGCCCTGAAGACCGCTCTGGGGCGGATTGGACAGCATCGTGGGGGAGGGGAGTCCGGAATATGGTTGTCGTTGTCGATAGATTGTTGTTGTTGCCAGTATGGGCTATCAAATGGATCCGTAACTGCACGTACCCGTTAGCCATGGTTTTGCTCATGGCAAAGCAGTCGCATTGCGGACACGGTAGTACACACCTCACGCAGCGCAAGCCAGTCAGGCCGGGCAGATGGGTGACTTTGGGTCGTACTCAGCAGCAGCGAACTTGGCAGACGAGAACTAGAGAGGTTAGGTTATGCCTTGGTCAGGCACGTGTAAGTGGTCTTTGAGAGTGTGGTGTGTCTACTGTGTAGACTCGCTCTTGTGGAGGTGTGCGGGCTTCGTCCCTTTGGACTGTACTGTAGCGAATCTGTACTCTGCGACGATGAGCAGATGAAACTGGAAGACTTGTATTGCAGTTGGAATCTGGGGCTTTTGGAGTTGGATATCAAAAGCGGGTAGACGTCGCAGTGGTCAAGATGCATATGGCGCATTGTTGACTAGTCGCACGCTCGTTGCCATAGGCGACAAGTTAGACAAGTTAGACGTCCGTCGGCACTCATCCCAAAACGTGTTGGCGCCGGCTTGGCTTCAAGGAACCGCCCTCACAATGACCAGGAACGGGGCCCGTGGATCTGCATACACACGGATTCGTACAGTAGTGCAACTAACCTTTTGCTGCTGCTATCTTGGGCTTTGCCCGGGGAGTGCCCCGTTCGTTGTCCAGGCTCAATTCAGTGGAGGCAGAGGACGTCATCTTCGCGCTCTCTCTGTCTCTGGCCCTTGCAGATCAATCAAATCAGCATCACCCCAGCGATCGCATAAGTAGCTCCTCCAACTCCTCCCCATCTCTTCTAAGACTTGTCTCGCAAGATCGGTGGCCAGTTCATCTGCTCATGTTTACCTCACAATGCTTCGCGTGGTTCATTGACAGTCAACCTTGATCTGTCGCGGGTCCCTTGCTCAACCTGTCGGCCACTACACAAGTTCATGCTTTCCATGGTTCATACCGCACGTAGTTCGTTCGTCTTTCCCATCGCGAGCCGTTGAGCGTCAAGGATAAACAACCCACGCGTCCGAGCAACGCCGCCCGCCATGGCCCGTTCAACATTGTGTTTTTCGTTCCTGCGACCATCCCTTTTGGGTGCCGGATGTCCGCCCCTTCTTCTAGGGCGACATATAGAAGCCAGACCTTTCTGCACACCAAAACCCTACAGTTGAGTTGCGGGCGATGCCGACTCCATCATCTTGAAATCAATATATTCCTTTGGTGCTTCGCTGCCCGAGTCGTAAATCTCGAAGAAAAAGAAAACTGGCCGCCAGTAAGCCGTGTCGGCGAGTCTTGCAAGTCAATCTCTTGACGCTCAATTCCGCTCAAGCTACGCACACCATACTACCCTATAAATCCATAGCGCTTCCAGTCACGATGGGCGACCAACCTTACCGTAATTTAGAACTCGCAGAGTCGACTCACAGCTACGGCTCGGGATTAATGTGATTATCGCACGACCATTGTCTATTGCAGTATCCGAGAACTAATCTGCCAGTTGTTGCCTTGTCAGGTTGTGTAACAGCCTCCACCATGAGTGTTTCGCCGCCAAAAGCCCCGAACTGCTCAGTGAATCCACTAGCCAACTCTCATAATACGCGTCCCCTTCTCGTCTTTACCACGAAACCCAAATCCCCCCCAGAAACAATCCTGCTTGCCAGCAAAAAGGCACTTTTTCCTCGAGAAGGTTACTAAACTTTTCGTTTTTCTTCTTCTTTCTTTCTCTGAGGAGATACCATTACACGTTGCGAGATGCAAGAGAAAGCCCTGGGCATGAAAACATGAAAAACAGCCACCAGACTGACTGTATCGGGCCAACCTATGCTACTCAAAGCTGTCAAGCCCATGTGGGTGACGGGTACGATGGCTAGGCGACCCCGGACAATGCCTAATTCTTCACTTGTTATGGCAGATACCATCCTGAATTGATTCTGGCCCATCCCGGCTTTATGCTTTGCCCTACAAACACACTTGACAAACGTGCCACCTCCAGCCCTTCATGGAAGCGTCGACACATTTCGATAGAGCAATACTTAGGGGATCTAATTGGATGTTCATCGTGCTAGGTTGGTTGGCTTGGTATGATATACTGATGAGCATGCTCGCCTTTCGAATCCGGCTGGTGTTTCACGCGAAACGCGAAATGATCGGTAACTTATGTGATGGTGGTGAAGGCGCTGCGCCTTGGAATCAAGATGGTACGCTGTGCTCCAGTTTAATGTGGCCCTACCCCAGATGCAACTGCGCTGGAACTTTGCTTATCAGGCTTACAGTAGATCTTGCCTAGACTAAGTTGGCGATGATAGGGTGTCAGCACTATGATACACTATAGTCGTACTCACAGCATGCACGACTTACTCATACACTGGCATTAGCGGCCTACTGGGTTCATTTCTACATAGTCCTACGCAGTAACAAGAGCACGATTGCTTCGCAACCTTTTAGTGGCCTGATTCAAGCTTGAATAGTGGCCCGGCATTCTCGGAGTGAGTAGCCCACGCCGAATGCTATGTTACACGATGGTGCTCAAGCAGGAAGTCGAGCACGGTTCGACAACTGCTGGTACTGCGCTTTCACATATGCATTTTTTTTTTAAGTGCATCAGTAATCGTCATACATACGGTTGACATATTAGTGCCAATGTTAATGAGAGAGGTAGTTGATGGGCGGCCATATAAGAACAATAATCTCCCATGTATGAGTTCCTAGGACTTGGCAATTTTCTGTTTTCTAGCCTTCACCTGCCAACCTATATATCGATTTCGATTGAAGAAGAAACAAGATAAATCGCCATGTCTGAAGCAAGAAATCAAGGCGCGGGGGCCACGGAATGTCCTTTCAGACCTGGCAGCACCGCACAATCTTCACAGGCGACATCAGAAAGGCAACGAATCAAGGAAGATGAACTACTCCCTATTCCCCAGCCTCCAGTCCATTGGTTTGTTCGAAATATGCCCGAGATTGAACCTTCTTTCCCCGCGAGCTCGAATTGGCGACTCGCTTCCCTGTACGGTGACATTGTCAAACTTGATCTCGTTGGAGATACGGCCGTGATAATCTCTTCGTACGAGCTTGCCAACGAGGTCTATGACGAAGCGCGCTTTGAAAAGACGGTATCGGGAGGCCTCAAGGAATTGCGCGCTGTCATCGGCGATGGCCTCTTCTCGGCCTATCCTCACGAGAAGGTATGCCACTGCAGCCACGTTGCTTCCATGGAGTTCCCTGGTGCTGAGGATTACACAGGCCTGGTATAAAGCGCATCGTATCTTGATGCCAGTTTTCGGTCCGCTGTCCATCCGCAAGATGTTCCCCCAGATGCAAGACATGATTTCTCAAATGGTATTGCGATGGGACAGACTCGGCGCAGGAAACGAAATAACATGCGCTGACGACTTCACAATATGTATCCCAGTTTCGCCTGTCCCCAACAGACACTGACAACTGAGCACAGACTGGCTTTTGATACGATCGCCTATTGTGCATTTTCGTACCGCTTCAATAGCTTTTATCGAGATGTCACACATCCGTTCGCTGAGCAGATGGCCGCCACCTTGATCGAGGCAGGAAAGCGGGCAAGCCGGACGAACATCGAGAACACCCTGAGGGTGTTCTCGGCGGCCGAGACCCAGAAGAAGGTGGAGAGCATGTGGAAGCTGTGCGACGAGCTCGTCGCCGAGCGCAAGCAAAACCCGAGACCGGACGTTCATGATGTCCTCAACGCCATGCTGAATACTGCAGATCCGGAAACAGGCGAGAAGATGTCGGACGAGAACATTCGCTTCAATATGTTGACCTTCCTGGTATGATTTCTTGAACCGTCCTGCAGTCCTCCCTCACTTTGATGCTAAAATGTCTCGCGCTGGGCAGATTGCCGGCCACGAAACTACGAGTGGTACACTTTCGTTCCTGTTCTACAACTTTCTTCAAAATCCAGATACGCTTCACAAGGCGCAAGCGGAAGTTGATCGGGTTGTTGGTGATAAGATCCTAGAGCCCAGTCGTACGTATAGAAGATCACACATTCTTTTCCTTGCTCTTTGGGCTTTGGGAGAGTAGTTGTCGAAAAAACTGTCTACTCCCCCCCCCATCCCTCCCTTTTTTTTTTCCCCCGTTCATTCTTTTTTCTTTTTGTTTGGTGTCACACAAGTGGTTGTGAACGATAAAATGTTATGGAGAAGGGACCCTCTTTCTTATGGAAGAATCAACTAATTGTGATGTTGGTGATGTGCAGATCTTCCTCAGCTCAAGTACTGCAAAGCCTGCATCCAGGAGACACTGCGAGTCCTGGGTCCGATCACACAGAACGCGCTTCACGCCAAAGAAGACACGGTAATCGGCGGCAAGTACAAGGTCAGCAAGGACTGGACTCTGCGCGTCAACCTTCGAGGGGTCCATCATGACACCAGGGTCTGGGGCCCCGACGCGGACGAGTTCAAGCCCGAGCGTATGCTGGACGGGGGGTTCGAGAGGATCCCGCCGAACGCCTGGAAGCCGTTCGGCAATGGCGCGCGCGCATGTATCGGCCGTTCCCTGGCGGAGCAAGAAATGATGATGGCGGTCGCGATGGTTCTGCAGAGATTCCAGGTCGAGATGGCAGACCCCAGCTATAATTTACGTGAGCCGCGTCTCCCTGTATGAAATATGTTTTGCAGTGCTGACATGACTGCACAGACTTGAAAAGCACCTTGACAGTGAAGCCAGACGACTTCAAGATCAAGGTCAATCGTCGTCCCGGAAAGGATGCTTACGTGGGCATTCCGGGCTCTATACCTGCCTCGGCACGAGAAGGTGTCCGTGAGAAACCGGCAAAGTCCAGTGGCCAAGTAGATGGTGCAGCACCCGGGAATCAATTGCTGATACTTTATGGATCCAATGCCGGCACCTGCAAATTCCTTGCTGAGGACTTGCAGACAATGGCCAAAGCACAGGGCATGAATGCACAGATCAAGACCCAGGACGAGGCAACTGAGCATCTCCCGAAGAAGACGCCTGTTGTGATAATCACGCCATCTTATGAGGGCAAACCCGCCGACAATGCTCGGAAATTCGTGGCGTGGATCCAAACTCTCGGATCTGGTGCACTTGACAACGTCCAATTTGGGGTCTTTGGCGTGGGAAATAGCGAGTGGGCCAACACTTTCCACAAGATCCCTAAGCTGATCAGTGACACCTTGCCCAAGCTGGGTGCCAAGTCCATCATCAAGTCTGGGTTCGCCGATGTCAAAGAGGACATAGTGGGCCCTTGGGAGGATTGGCGAGACGAGTTCCTGTCTTCAGTCGGCGATGAGAAACAACCGATCGAGGCCCCTGAGCTTTCAGTCCAGTTCGGCAAGCCAACCATGGCCAATAAGCTGGCCGGAGACGACGTGCTTGAAGCGCTGGTCAAGAAGAATATCGAGATCTCTAAAGCCGGTATTGGTGCTGCCAAGAGACATATAGAGCTCGAGTTGCCCAGAGGGGTATCCTACGAACCTGGAGGTAAGCTTTCCCCATCCATGGTGCATCACAGTATCTTGACTAAATCGTCGCCAGACTACCTCGTGGTTCTGCCTACAAACCCACCTGAACTTATAAAGCGTGTCGCACGCAGATTCAACCTCAATATCGACGACACCCTGACCATTGGTGGTACTAGCAAAGATTTTCTGGTGAGTCATCCAACATTTGCGTTTTTTTGAGAATCATGTTCTTCCTCATAGTTCTGCACTCGCTCTTTGAGAGTGGATACTTGTTTTTGTGATGTTCTGCACACCTGTTGCCCGCGGCTGATATCTTCCCAAGGTCGGCGGAGGCACCATCAATGTGGTGGACCTCTTGTCCTCCCGCGTCGAGCTGAGCACTCCCGCTTCCAAACGTCAAGTACAGACGCTATCGGGAACCGCCAAGGATGAAGAGCGAAAGAGACTCGCAGAGATGGCTTCCTCGGACGAAGCGTTCAACGACCAGGTACTGGGCCAGCGGCGGTCCGTCCTAGACCTGCTGGAAGACTTCCCCAGCTCCGTGCTCTCATTTGCCCAGTACCTCGACATGCTGAAACCGCTGGCGCCACGCCAATACTCCATTTCCTCCTCGCCGCTGGCGTCGGAGCTGAAGCAGCAGCACCAAGAAACAAAGCCCGGCAGCGACGACGCCCTCGACTACCACCCCACCATCGCGTCCATCACCTACGACGTGTACTCGGCGCCGGCGCGCAGCGGCCACGACCGGCTCTTCCAGGGCATATCGTCGACGTACCTGGCGTCGCACGGGCCGGGGAGCAAGGTGCGGTGCTACGTGCGGCGGTCCAACTCGGGCTTCCACCTGCCGGCGGACCTGACGCTAACCCCGGTCATCATGGTCTGCGCGGGCACGGGCCTGGCGCCGTTCCGCGGCTTCGTGCAGGAGCGCGCCTGCGTAGTCGATGCGTCGTCGAGACGCCTCCCGCCCGCCCTGCTGTATTTCGGCTGCCGCGACGCCGCCAAGGACTTCTTGTACCGCGACGAGTTCGCGGCGTGGGAGCGTCTGGGCGCTGTGAGCATGCGGCCCGCGTTCTCCCGCGCGGGAGAGGGGACCGGCGGGTGGAAGTATGTCCACGACCGCATGTGGGACGAAAGGGAGGAATTGAGGAGGTTGTTCAAAGACCAGGGCGCCAAGTTGTATGTTTGCGGATCCGCATCGAAACTTGCCAAGAGCGTGGCGGATGTCACTATGCGTATCTGGTTGGAGGTAAATCCGGGGAAGAGCGAGGCCGATGCGAGGGAGTGGCTTGACAGTATCAGGGAGGCGAGGTATGTTAGTGATGTCTTTGGCTAATTTGATTCGCTTCTTCCGTGGATGGTTGGTTATGACGACAAAATTGTGCTGGCTGCTGGTTTTCTTTTATAGCTACATCATCCTCGTACAATCACGATCGTTATCAGTTTGGCCAAGCCCAATATCTGTAGTTGGCGGTGGTTTAGGTGCCGTCCCACGACTATATGCTGTGAGATATCATGTCCAAAGCTAGAGATGAACGATTATCAAGGTATCGCGCAGCCTCTAAGTCCCAATTCTATGTTGGCATCCCATTGATATTCCAGCCTAGACTATTTTTTTTGCTAGGAATTCTGAGATGATAGTTAGAAGGGACGCATCGTAGATGGAGTGCCCTCACGTTTACAAAGATCAAAGTTCTCCAACATTCGCGTTTTGCAGGTGAATTTCACCCCAGCCAACGGCTGTAAGGCTCTTATGTGTCTTCAAAAACTTGCTTCATGCGGCGCCTCAGTCCTCGGAGTTGTTCGGGCTCGTTCAATGTCAGCCTGAGATGGGGTGCCGTGGATAGCTACTCGAGATACTTGTGCAGCAGAAAGATCGACCTTGCCTTTCCTCACCTGCCCTTGAACACGGGCTTCCTCTTCTCCTTGAACGCCTCAAGCGCCTCATCGCGATCCTCCGTCTTCACGACGCGCTCGTACATGGAGTTCTCCATATCCTCCCGCGCCCAGTTGACGGCCTGCAGGGCCGAACGCACCGCGACCGGACCCCCCTCGCAGATCTCGAACGCCAGCCTCACGGCCTCGGACAAGACGGACTTCCTCGCCCTCGCCGCGAGGTTCAGATCACCATCCTTCTGTTCGCCCTTCTCGGGCACGGCGTCCCGCTCATCCTCGGGCAGGATCTCGACCAGCCGGTCTGCGATGCCGAGGAAGTACGCCTCGGGCGCGGAGACGCGGCGGCCGGTGAGAATCAGATCCCGAGCCCGCGGGAGGCCGATGAGGGCTGGGAGGCGATAGGTGCCGCCAGCGCCAGGTATTATGCCGAGACGTGTCTCGGGGAGGCCGACGGTCGCTGTGGAGGCAAGGACGCGGAAGTGTGTCGAGAGGGCAAGCTCGAGACCGCCGCCGAGGGCGAGGGAGGAGATGGCGGAGATTGTCGGGATGGGTAGATTCGAGAGCGACCTGAAGGTGCCGCGGAGATCTGCAAGGAATTGTGTAGTCCTATTAGGCGGATTGGCGTGTTAGCCATGCTTATTGTTTTGTTGAAGGGTTCTATCTAATAGAAACAAGTGTATCCCGAGGCGTTGCTTACTCTTCTTGTGTGAATCCTCTCCTCTCCTTCAAGTCCGCACCGGCACAGAAGCTCGCATCCACGGCGCTTGCCAGGACGAGAGCTCTTGTCGGGCCAGCCTCTGTAGATGATGCTGTCGACAGTTCAGTGCCCGACATGCTGTATTGCGACTGGACGTTGTCGATCTCTGCTCTCAGGGACGCCAGGAGCGCCTTGGAGATGGCATTGCGCGCCGCTGGGCGGTTGAGCTCTAGGACCCTGATGTGCCCGGAGTTGGGTGCTGGGACATTCACGACGTTGATGATGGGGCCGGCGTCACTGGAATAGCTACGGATACATCGGATAGAGACACGAGAGCCCGTCCTCAGGCTCAATCGGGCGGGCATTTTCGTGGATGAGTGTCAAGGGGGTAAACCGAAAAAAGATGAAGTGTCTTTCATGCAATTAGGGACAGTCGACGGTCACTGAAGTCCACTGAAGTTCAGTGACATGAAAGATGATCGCGACGTTTAAGATCGGCTATCGCCGGCGAGTTGTTTGTACCGAGGCTGGTGGGACACGACGCACCTCAGACTCGGACTCAAGGCCGTGAGTCTGCATCGTATTGTATTACATTGCCAGTGAAGTGTAGCATAATGATGTGTCAAGAGAGAAAAGATGGCCTGAGTCTTCACAATCACTTCAAGTCTTGTTCGTTGTAGCCGCTGAACCGGCACAAGTTTGGGGCGCGCACTTGTCCTGCAATGATACGACAACTGATTGTATCCGGCGGCACTAAATTGAAGACCTCTTGCAGCCAAGGCCAAACGTCTGCAACTATACATTGGCACCATTGCACCAATGAGAGTAATTGAATTTGCGTCTGAGATTGTATGTATCTGCTGTTGAATTCCGTTTTGCTTCTCTCAAGAACTGGCATGCCTTCGCTATGGGCCGTCTTAGGAACCGACCAATTATAGCGGTGCCATATCGACAAATGACGTACATGGTTCCCAGCACGATTGTGCGTGCTCCATACTTTGAGTCTTTGAGACTTTGAGCCTTTGCAGCCCTTGCTATCATCCAACGTCAGCCCAAGCACTTTGAAGGAAACACCTCAAGCTCGAACCGACGCAGCCTTGGGTCCTATATCCGATTTCAACACCGATTGTTTCAAACAGCAGAACTATGGCCGATCAAGATGGACCTAACGCCTCGTCTTTGCCGCCAGAGGCGATAGCGTTCGCAGGCAGAATGTACGACGCGGCTCGGTCAGGCCAGAATGAAGTTTTTGAGCAGGCATTGCCAGCTGGATTACCCCCCAATATGACGAACGAGAAAGGCGATACTCTTGTAAGCATAAGCCTCTAGTCTATCGAAGAGCATGGTTGGTTGCTGACGAGGTCGTAAGCTCATGCTGGCCGCATATCATGGTCATGCCGACTTGGTCAAGCTTTTAATACAACACGGGGCGGATCCGAATCGCGCAAACGACCGGGGCCAAAGTCCTTTGGCTGGTGCTGTGTTCAAGCAAGAGCCGGATGTCATTAATGTATGTAACAGGGGGGTTTTTTATGCTACCTTGCCTGGCCTTGGAGACGATACTGAACAACTTCGCAGGTATTGCTTGAAGGCGGCGCTGACCCAGACCATGGCGCTCCTACGGCACTAGAATGTATAGCAATGTTCAAACAGGAGGATCAATGGAAGGAAAAGTTCGAGTCTGCGCCTGGCAGAGGGAAAGCGGTTCCAGCAAACCCGAAGTCACCGGCACGCGCGACGACTACCAATACCACCTGACCGGCACCCACTACGCCAACAACTGCGAACTCGCCGCGGTAGCCTACGACGTCGACCTGAACGCCTTTGCCTCGTAAGATCCCGGCCTCAGCAACGTATTGGATCCGGCGTGCGCATTTATTAAGGGCGTCCGCTACTACGGCTCGTAGTACCTTGAACAAGCAAAGCAAGATGTCGCCATAGCTATAACGAGTGCAAGTGACGACCCGTCAAACACATCCCCGACGCCGCCGGGACCCATTATGTCAGGCTCACCCGTAGACTGTAACAAGTAGGCCATCGTTAGGGGTCCCCTATAACAAGTACCGGTCCCACGACCTCAAAAGTAACACCGTTCGGCCTAACTATCACTGGATCGCCCGCCAACTACAACAAATGGGCCTTCGTCACAGACGGCCTTTCTTGCACAGACCTGGCCGCCTAAGCGGGCATTTCCCTCTAGCAATTCCTGGCTGTTAGTTCCGACTGTATGACTTATTACTAGCTGGATGAGGCGTACTGTGTTGGTGTTAGTGGTTAGTAGGGTGCGATAAATGCTGCTGGCTGGTGACAGGTCCGAGTTTCTTGATAGTTTGACCGGTATATATGGACTAGGATCGATTGAAGAAAAAAGAATGTTTTCTTTTGTGCTTGTTGGTAGCTGTGAGCGCGATTGTTGGCCCTTCGTTGAAAAAAGTGAGTTTGTCCTCCCTACCTGCCCTGTTGATTCTGTTATCTCATCAGATAAAGATCGTCGGATCCTGCTCCCTCTCCCCCACAAACTCAAACGCTTCCCAGCCCATGTTCTCCCCGTCCCCGCCCACAAGATCCTCAAATGCCCTAATGATTTCGTCCCCCGGCCTCCAGTCCTCACCGACCTGCCACGTCACTTTTCCTTTCCCATCTCCTCTAGGCGCATCGTATCTCACCCCCCATCGGAACATGACGGTCTCATTCTCAGCCGAAGGAGGCGCGTCGTCACTCCCTTCATACTCTTGAGCCCGCTCCTCGGAGGGTCGCCACGTAAGCCACGTGAACAGTTCGGCGTCTTGAAGGGAGGGCATCTTTTGTCGTTGGATAGACGAGGCAAACGCCAAGAGCAAGGGGTTGATGCGCTCCACGATGGGGAGCGTGCGGAACATGTCAGGCTGGCGGTCGACGCACATGTCGTCGTCGCCCGTGTATTCGTCCTCCTCGCGGGACCACAAGGCGTGTGTCTCGTCGGCGTCTTCCTGGCCGGGCGGGTAGTGCTCCTCTCTCGTGATAGCGAAACCTGTAGCGTGGGGATCTTCGCCTCTCGGGCCGGAAAAGTACCAGCTGCCGTCGGGCGCGCACGGGTGGAATTCTACTTGGAGGTGCCGCATGTGTGGCCATGATAAGGAATGACCTGTTGCACCATCACCACCGGAATGGAAAAGATCGGGGGTGATGAGCGCGCGGATGTCTAGTTCCTCCAGGCGACTCCCCAGGCCCCGTAGCCCGAGAGACACAGGGTCCATGTCTTCAAACTCAGAGGTCAACGACGACGACGCACCGACGAGGTCAGGCATCTGCGCCGCTTGGTCCGTGTCGTCCCCCCAAGGGTTGGGCTTCCAGAACCAGAGACGGACCTTGGTGAGGGAGGATGGCAACAAGGGCATGACATGGCGCAAACCCCGCCCGAACTCGACGCGGGCGTCGCGCCAAGGACCTTCCCAGACGCGGGCAAATCTGCGCAGCGCCTGGGACGAGAACGCGATAGGAAGGCGCTCCCATAGCCAGGGGCAGTCGAGCTCGCGAAGGTGAGGGAGGCGGGTGGCGAGTTCGAGAGGCGCGCGCGGGGAGACGGGCCGCATGTGGGCCAAGTTCATTCCCGGCTCGGAGGCGTAATCCGGGTCGGGGAAGACGCGCAGCTGGGTGGCGCGGTTGAGGAGAGGTAGGCTGTCCGGGTCCTGGACGGTGAGGCGGCGGGTGTGGAAGGTGCGGTGCAAGCAGTCTGGGTAGATGTCGAAGGACTGGTTGACGATGCGGATGGCGGGCCGAAGGCCTTCGTCTTGGCGGATGAGGTCCAGCTCGTCGGAGGACTTTTTGTCTGACATGTCCTCGAGGTCGTGCAGTGCGTTGAAAAAGGCGTGCACTTGGGCTGAAAAGTGGGCGTTGACGGCCTCAAACTCGGCGGGCGGCTCCCTGCACGCGAGGGGCGCGCCAGGCGGGTTGAGAAGCAGGGGCATTTCCGCGTCGAGATTACACTCGCGCAGGCCCACGTAGAGACGCGGCATGCGCGCGTTGTAGGCGCGGACATTTTCGAGGAGGGAATCGAGGATGGCGTCTTGGGAGGGCGGCGTGGCTAGGATGTGTTGGGACGCCATCTTTGAAGATGATCGGATTACCGCCGCGATGGCTGACAGGTGTTGTGTGATAGAGGATTAAGTTAGGCTGTGATCTAAAGAAAAGAAAGAGCTCCAGGTAAGATCAGGCTTACGCCATCTGGAAGTGGTTCAAGTAGGGCTCCGGCCCGTGTTCTTGCCCAATCGCTGCCAAGAATCCAAGCATCATTGGAATTCGCAGTGGTCGATATATCCCGGTTGGAAATGGTCGGATGATCCTTCTTCAGCACCCAGAAACGTTTGGAGGAAGTACTTCAAGCTCTCTAGCTGCTATGTCCGTAGTAGTAAGAGTCGTCCCGGAATCTCCACTGATTGCGCGGAGGCATCGACCCACCAGATCCCTTATTTGCAACTGTACAGTCTTTCAACCTGCTGTCCGTCGCAGACGACGCATTCGTGGCCGTCCTAGAGTCCATTTAACCCCGGATCAGAATCCGGAGAGCGGGAATCGACGTCGCGATGCAAAGGGCCCGCTTATACGAAAAGCCTTGACGTGAACGGTGTCATCGTCGCGATGCTCAACGCTGGCTCCAGCCGCCCAAGTATTAAATGAATGGCGAGAGGACATGGGTCAATGAACTTCATGTCATCTAAGACGGTTCACCCACACAAGAATAACAATCCCGACGTATCTGAGCGGCTCTAGACGCCCGCAGCGGTAGGCGCAGGCATTGCAACTCGTCCGAAAATGCCGTGTGGAACATCGTTGATAAGTCGCCCATTTGGTGACACGTTCGAGACGTTATCTTTGAGATGGTCCCGTCCCCACTGCCCATTGTCGAGCGCATCCCGCGAGTCTATTCTTGATCCGTGACGGCCAAGGTGGCTTCGGTTGGTGATGTCTGCTCAATCCGTGCTTCACCGTCCCACGCAAATGGTGGCTCATTCATGGAAGGGGTTCTCCGAGTGGCTGGCTCTATTTACGAAACCGATCCTTGACGACGACGAAGGAGGATGAAATTGGCGTCTTGTGGAGGCTGGTGCATTGCAGTGCTGGCTTTACAGCTGCAACTGCTGGGGTCCAGATTCGCGATTATATCCTTCATCTCGGCCGAATGAGCGCGGGCGCTTCTGATGAGCAAGAAACTCATCGAAGTCCTAGACGAAGCATAAACTCCTTTAAATCCGCCAGCCTCGTCGCTGATTCATCGGGTCCCCACTGCTCCACACTGCCGCAGAGTCAGATGGTTAGTAGACAAAGGCGGATGGGATACTAACAAGCTATCCCAGTCCTCCAGCGGGCGCTTATAGCAAGTTTTCGTGCCAGTCTTTACATTCTTGTGAACTGTGTTATTATTCACAATGGAAGACTTGATTTCTACGTCAATCAGGAAGTAATTTCTCCTACATGGTACACTTTTAGGCTTCGTTTTCCTATATTGGTGGCGATAATTCGTATCGGGAAGGGGGGGTTTCAAGGTTGCAAGGAGAGGGTATTAGGAGACAAGGCTAAGCGAGTCTTATTTATACTGGTCGTACCCCTGATCGTTTCTATAAGCGGTAACACCCTGGCATTACGAGCATATGGGAGAAGACTACGCCCCTAATTATTGGTTATACGTTTCCAGCCTATGCCCTTTCAAAGCGAACACACGATTCCAGACGGCGCTCATCACGTTATTGAGCACCTTATGCAGCTAATTGATACGTTGCCTTGGTGCGAATGATCTATTGTCGCGCCGGGAAGGCATCTTATTAGCCATGCAAACTCGTCTGGAGGTTGCTGGCCGACAGCCCCTATCCATCAGATGAACACTTGTTCATCCACACCTCGCTGTCTCATGCTCTTCCTTCTCGATGACCTTGAGCACTGCTTCCTGATACGCCAGCAAGCTCTACCCACTGCTACAGCTGTCGCACACGGGCATCGCCAACGATGATTACAAAAATATCGATACAAGGCAGCCCCCAATGAACACACGTGAAGATAAACGGGAGCCAGGTTGTACAAGCGCCTGGAAGTCCTTGGAGAACGCAGCTCTGGTGGCGCGGGCCGATTATTTCGAACCCAGATGATCGTGGCTCTCTTCTAGTTGTTCCATGCGAGTTTGCTGTCTCGGACTTCCATGATCATCGAATTAATTCAGATGCCTGCGTGGGCAGCTTAAGTCACCGTGAGGCATTTTTGCCACTGGCTGGAGTGCGACGTAGAGGGATATGAAAGGAAGAGGGCATGATAATGCAAGCAATAGCGGCGAGCTTTGAGGAACTATTTATGAAGAACAGTTGACCTCACGATCGAGTAGGCCAGTAGTTGTGGCCTCTGGCTGAGGAACAAAGCCAGGCCCTATATCAGGCTTTTGATTGGAGGAGCGGACGAGCTGGTGGGTCGGATTAGGCGAAAAAAAAATTCTGAGGTCCCAACTGCAATACACGAATTTCAGCACGAGTTCACAGGCTGCAAAACTACAAGAGGATTACTGGCGCCATAATCGACCTCGAAGGGACCTTGAAGCGACAGCATTGAGCATAGTTTGTTCTGATACTCAAGGTGCATTGGCTGCCTCCCGAAACAATGCCGCTCGGCAATCGGCATGCTACCTACCACTCATCGCGCGAACATCGTCCCGCAATGGTGTCGGTATTGCATTCATCGTGAATCCGTCTGATGCTTCAACCAAATGTGTACCTGTTTCTTGGCACCGCGACGTGTCACTTCACTTGCTCCGCAGAGAAGGCGGTGCCGAGCACAGAGTGGGGTTCTGTGCACAGTTGGTGCCGGTTTATAAAGTGGTTCGGCGGGCTATACCCGTTGACCTGCATAAAACCAAGGACCCTTCCTGCATCTATGCGCCCATCTCATCATGTCTGTATAACCTTTGTTGACCGTACTCCTTGCCGATCAGCCGTTCAACGCCATTCGATACCAATCAATCTTCCAAAAACACAAATCAAATATCAATAGCGTCCAGCTGGTCTGTCGTTAACGCCGTGTGCTTAGAAAGGGCCTGAACGGGCTCGAACCTCACCGCCAGAAGCCAAAATGGGTCCACGCTCTGGACGGACCCACGTAATAGGCACTGGTCTCGTCTCGTAATTACACACGGATCAATAAGCGACCTTTTCGTCTCCTATGCGGGGGCGAGATTGACATCGTGGACGCAACAAGCTCCCCTGGAAAGTGACGCACTGAGTAGCATGTTGGCGGATCTCGAGCAGCATGTGAGGAGGGGGAATGATGCCATACTGTGCAAAGTTGGTTGAAACTTGCGCCATAGGATCGAGTGCGAGGTCAACTCACGCCTGTGGCTTTTGGTTCCACATTAAATCAACACCCGTTAGAACTTGGGCCCCAATGAAGCCTCCTTTGTACGCCGGCGATCAGCTCGGCGGGGCTGCACGTAGCTGTTGCGCTTCCTGTTTGTGAATGGGAGGCCCTCTCCGCTCCGTGGGGTATTGCTATCCTGCAGATCAGCCAACGCATGAAGACGACTTTGGATCGGCTGTGGCTGAGGGGGTCTCTCAGGCGGAGTATGTCTTCAAGCCTCGCTTTGTAACTGAATCGACACCATGCATTAGGACCGAACACCAGACCACGTGGGCCTCCGGTGAACCGCTTGCTCCTCGTGTGTATAAAAGGCGGCCCTTGCTACCCTCCAAGCCAAGTTGCCCTTAAGCTTAACCCGTACTACTTCTTTATCACAATCTTAACTGCACCTCACTTCATATCAAACACAATGGCCGGCAACTTCTTCCAGACCGCTCAAGAGATCCGTGTCGATGACGGACACTTCCTCCGCGGCCGCCTCCAGAGGGTCGACGGCGAGTGGGTCGATGCCGAGATCAACCTGAACGACCACCTCGGAAACAACAACGGTATGTGTACCCTCACTTCAACGTTCCGTGATACTCCTTCGACTAACGTGTCTGGTAAAGGCCACTTTGCATGGGACAGTGCTGGTTTCGCCAACTCGGCCGAGGACATCCGCCTCTCCATCGAGGGTGATGGCCCGGTCGCTGTCCTCCGTGCCCGCCTCCGCAACGAGAACGGCGAGTGGCAGGATTCAGATATCAACCTGAGCGAGCGCCTGGGCAACAACAACGGTGGTTTCTACTGGTGTAAGTGAACCTCTGAGGCACTCGTAATTGAGGTTTATCGAAAGCTAATGAACGTCGTCTAGCATAAATACATTTACGTTAGACCGGAACTAAACACTACCCTCAAAGGATAGATTGGTGGACTGGGCAACGCTTTCATGTATTTTCATGCTCGATCAAACGAGCATGTAGTTCTCAGGCCTAGTGCAGGATAAATGAGAAATGACAATAATTAACGCCGATATCAGCATCACGCATTGCCTGTGAATAGATGCTGCTAATGATGGAGCATGTAAGACTTACTTGCCAACATTGGATACTAATTCGTGCTTTCTATCGGGGCTTTTATCCCATGGAAACGATGAATGCTATCGATTCAAAGCTTGATGAACAAGAGTTCAAAGCGGCTTTAATCGTCCCGCAGACTGATGGGGGCCAGCTCACGCATGGACGGAAGTATGCTTCGGCCAAGGATTACGCCAACTCTCCGTGGTATGCGAAAAAGGTGGCGTTTCTTATGATGAGCCACGCGACAGGCGCTACGGCAGATCAGGGGAAAATCGTGCAACGACGTCCATCGCTGGTTCGCTGACAGTTGAGTTGAAACGGACAATGCGGCCGACACTGACGAACGCCGACTGAGAGTGATAAGGCATCAGTATAGTTACCCCGGCGAGATTGTTTTTATCACTCCTTAGACTGCCAGGACGTGTCGGTACTCGGGGTCCCGTCTCGGTACAAATACGATACTCTGAATAGGAGTCTTCTGTATCCCGATATCCGGGAGGCTATCTGAAATGACCATACAATGATTGCATTGGTACTGGCTGATGCGAAATGGTCGCGCTTTTTATGTGCCCAGTCCATATCGTGCCGAAAAGCTCCCATTCATTCACCATTTCGTACTCATCGCCCTGTCACCATATTCATCAAAAGCCATTGGAGATCATCATTCACATCAGACCAACCAGGTATTTCACCAAACAACCCACCGCCTCATTAGTTCATTACCATTAAAGACGAACAGCGACCATTTCGGAGCAGAATTCGTGCCATACGGACTGCTCAGACCTTGCCATGAAAAGGCGGGTCCGACAATTGCGCGTGGACAATGTCAATCCATGTAGACAGAGCCTCCGCATGTCAATTCCAGCACACAAAGGCCCCAGACTCATCGGAGCGATGGCAGTGCATCTTGAATAAACCTGAACACTCTCGCATAATGCTATCAAGTCTGTTCACAGTTGGACTAGCACGTTTTAGACTTCGTTTGTTTTGGAGAATTCTTGCATCGATGGCTTGATTGAACCCGCCTTTAAATGCAAGATCATTGACCTGAGAAGAGCCGCATTACCTGTAACAATTCTTGCCACCGCGCATCCTTCTGAATCTCAAGCTGCCCTTCTGAGGTCATAACCTTGAGATCATCTGCCTGAGATGTACCATACTCGTAGCCCTCTTCGTTGTGCACAAATGCTCTCAAATCACGAATCCAATCATTCATGAGCTGTTTCTCCTGGGCATTTGGGTTGTGCATAATTGAATAACTAATAGGCTCATGTCAGTAGTTGCTCGAATGCACCATGGCTATATCCCAAAACGAAAAAAATTTGTTGGGCATAGACAAGAAGTCTCGATACATAAAAGCAGTAAATGTGGTTAATAAACGTGACTTACTTCCATATCGGCCTGTCCATAGCATGACTAACACCAAACGAGACGGGAGCAACTTTGTCTGTAATGAAGGAGAGTCGATAGGCGATCAAGTATCGCCACACATTGTTGATATCGACTTCATTTTCTAGCAAGTTACTTACTAGATAGCGTGACGGAGCTCTCACTTGACCATCGGCAATGATCTGGCCAAACAAGCGCTGCCAGTCTTGTTTGCTTTCCGAAGCAGGCGATCCATAATAACCTATGAGACGTGTAGTCGTCGAAGGTGGATAGTAATTGGAGATTTGGAGCTGAAGGGACTCCACGCTCGCATCTGGGCCGTTCGTGACCGCATAGAGGGTATCCTCATCTCGGACCTCACCAATGAAAAGTCTCAAGTTGCGTCTTTTGAATTCCCGAGCAAATGAACCATCACGGTAGTACTCAAATATACCATCACGGACAAACAGATTGTCCGTGACAGGACGGAATGTATGGTGTTTGAGTTCCATGACCGCAGAGCAGAGGTCCTTTGCACTAATACTTCTTAAAAAGTTCAACTTCTTAACCCCATTCAGCGATGCTGGCACATTGAAGAATTCGCAAAGCTCGTCAAATTGTGGCTCACACTCCTCAATCGTCTTTGGTTGAGTCGGAATGGCGTTAGATATCATGAGCAGACGTCGGAAATGGTCGACCGGTTTTTCGGCTCGGAAGTCATGTAAGGTCTGAGCAAGCACCGAGTAGGCACCTGCACTGCGACCGGACAACACAATGTTCTCTGGGTCGCCACCAAAAGCCTCAACGTTCTGATGTACCCAATCCATAGCGAGGCGCTGATCCCATAGCCCGTAGTTGCCACACGCTTCACCATTGGACTCTTCAAGAAGAGCACTACCGGCCAAGAAGCCGAAAGCGTTGAGTCTGTAGCCGACCGCAATGAAAACGGCTTGGAGTTTGCCTGTTGAGAGGAGCTCTGTGGGATTCATGCTTTCTTCCTGGCTAGGATCACCCACTTGAAACCATCCCCCATGGAACCAGACCATCACGGGCCATTTCTGGCGAGGATGATCAAGTTTAGGCACGGGAGTCCATATGTTCAATCGTAGGCAGTCTTCATCGTAAGTGTGCTTTGGTATATGTTCGCTGACAGTTTTCGAATAATTGGCCTGAGGACAAACAGGGCCAAATTTGGTTGCGTCGAAAGGAATACCGCCTGATGTTGAGTAGCTGTAACTTTCGGGTAAAGGTTGGGGTTTCCGCCATCTCAGTGGACCGACTGGCGGCTGAGCGTATGGAACCCCAGCAAACCTACGAGATTTAGAGTCGTATTGTAGACCTTTGATGCTGCCGCTAGCAGTCTCAAGGTCTACTTGACACTCGGTTGTGGTATAAGAGATCGAATTTCCCATGTTCAAGGCGGATTATGGACTTGTGTCGAAAAGAGCGCACGACACATCATTGTGAGAAAAAAAATATCCATCATATTCTTTGTCACTTAGGAGAGGGCATCCCCTTGTCTCAACACTGCTCATACTGTAGTGTCGACGTAGTGAGTGGTCCGCTGGATGCAGTTGGGGGCCAACAAAGTTGCCGGATTCGCTCATGCTGATTGGCTCAATTAATCGACGACGCGTTTCCATGATGAACAACGAACATGACTAACGTCAAGCTAGCCTCCATCTATCCACTGCGATAGGGTTCGAACATCACTGAAGAGCCGTCCACTTGATTGATTGGGGATTCAATCTATCTAGTGTCAGAGACGCACAGCATCTCATTGTTATCGCCCGCCCTGAATCTCGTTCCGCGCGCAATGGATGGTGCTCAATGGACCAGCCAGAGGGGACCCGCGTTCATCGGCGTCGCACCGAGTATGGCAAGCGATCGAAGCAAGGTACGCTACCAATCATGTAAAAGTCACGCAGAGGTATTCACTGACAATGGTAACTGTAGGGTGCCGGACATGTATTACTAAGAAAGTAAAGTGTGATGAGCAACACCCACGATGCAAGCGCTGTATCCGCCTTGATTTACACTGTGAATGGACGGAACAGGTACCTTCGCTCACTCTCAGAAGACGCGGATGGGGACCCATCAAGGCGCGAGATAGCTGGACACCTAAGTCAATCACACCGAAGCCTGCCGCTTGCGGGAGCAAGAAACTGGAGGAATGTGATGCCGACATTCTCTCAGACAGTCCGAACGATTTGCAAGACACCGTCATGTATGAAGAAGATCGCAAGACGCGATCAGCCAGCCCAAATACAGACCGACTGTTGAAACGGACCCGTGCTCAGGATCTACGGGAAATGAGGGTTGAGAAAGAGCCCTGGCTTATGGAGGCAGACGATGACGCCCTGGCTTCTAACTTAAGCGTGGACAGGTCTACGCACGCCAATATGGATTCAGATCTGCCTTTGACAGGACATCAAGAACCAGACAACCACAAACGAAGTATCATGACTGTTCCCTTGCTTTCAGACGCTTTGCTTCAGTCTAATTTATTGACGGTGGCGACGTCTATGTTATTCGCTGGTGTGCCATCTGTTATGGTCAGCGGCAGCGACTATCAAGCAGTCGAATTTCATCGTGTAATCTTCGCGCCATTGAAGTCAACTCGCAGTGCAGCCGTGTCTGCACATTCCATCTTCCTTGATCGCGCTCTTAGCAACACTATGGCATTGCACTTCCTGCTTGCTGTTTCACACAGCGAACTTGCAATCCACCGGGGCCATGGCATGCAAACGCCGCCGGAATCATGGCTCCACTTCAACCGCGGGTCACAGCTTCTTTTTGATGCCGGCAATGTGGTGTCACAGTCTGATCACGTCGGAGTCTTACTTTCGTTCCTGTATATGTATATGTTTTGGATGCGGCGCGACCCCTTCAACAACTCAATGTTGCGAGAGCTTAGCCGAGCAGTCCTCCTTCACGTCGAAACCTACGCCTTAGATGACCTTTGTGCGAACGCTGACCTTGGCGAACCCGAAGCGTCGTCATGGACAGACAAAGTTTTGCTGTCTCGTATCCTAACTTACTTGTACGACCGAGACGGTTTCTGCTGTTTTTTTGGTTGCGGCGGAGCTTTCGCAGGCTATGTAAACGTGCATCATGAGAAACGAGCACGTATGTGGCGGTTGTCGCAGACGGGATTTTCAGCTTCGGCAAGAAACAACTCCACAGCCATGTCTTCTGGACAGCCGACCATTTCGCAGAATGCGAAGGTCACCGATGTATATTTCCAATTGATCGCTATCCATCATGATATCAATCGGTACAGTCAGAACATGGAAGCACAAGATATGGGACAGGAGACAAGAATCAAACACGAACTACAGCGAATGGAACTGGTACGTTCTTGTTTTCCTTCTATTGTCTTTCTGTTTTGTTTTTGTTCTATCCTCGCACTCGAGTGCCTTTCGCTTATCATAATCCTTCAAGGAACAACGTTGGTTGGTTGAAATGGTCGAAGACTGTAGGGCACAAACAACACCACCGTCTCTCATGGCGCTCGTGACTGTGACGTTCTACTATGCACTGCAGATATACTTCCACCGTAGTCGAAATTCTGCTTTTGGAGAGCTCCCGATACCTGCTAAGGTGCAGATTGCTCTGTCTCAACTAGTGGCAACTGCGTATTACACTGTGGCAACTGGCCCAGTTCAGCTTCTGGAGCGCTTTCAGTGGGCATTGCTGATAGCAGGGACCGAGACCCGCGATCCTATTCATCGGGAGTGGATATCTAGGACCATAGCCGACCCCGGTATGAAAAGCGCCCTGCAACTGATTTTAGACGCCAAGAAAAGTTACTGCATCTCAATGCGGGCGATCCGACAACTTGTATCTGGGGTAAGCCACCCTAGCTGAACTCCACAACTAGGGATGATAGGCGGGCTTTCCAGTCACAATGGCTGGAACGTGAACCTACTGGCCGTGCTCGTCGATTAAACCGACCAATGACAGACGAGGGCATGGTTAGTCTGAGTCGAGACCATCTTTGTGGGTCTGATAGGGAGTCGGCATTCGGATGGGTCGCCAGCTCTCCTTATCTACTTTGAATTATTGTGGGTAGTGATTGATGCAGATTGGAACGCCTTGCGCATGTAAGACCAGAGTATATGTATATTAGTACGGCCCCATTCGAACCTCGAGAAATCGATATGTCTTGTACTCAGGCACTCCCTTGAGCAGTACACCAAGTCACACTGGTTCGCAATACCAGAAATTCACGATGGCCGGAGAGAAAATTCAACACACTGACTCAGAGTCAAAGGTTGGTGATGATATGGAGAAGACACGCACAACCGAATGCGGTACCATGGAAGTTCTTGGCGAAAAGGAGCAGAAGAAGTTGGTACGAAAGATAGACTCACAGTACGCTTGAGGTGCAAATAGTCTACCCTTATCTGTTGAACTAACCTCTTGTGACAGTCTCATGCCCATCTTGATTATCAGTTATGGTCTTCAATACCTCGATAGTACGTCTATGCCTATCAACCTGCAACTATCTTAGTCCACGAATAGGCTACTGACTGTATGCAGAAACAAGTTTGTCGTATAGCGCAATTTTAGGAATCCAGCAAGATTTGGTATGCCACGAGTTTTTGAGTGAGCCGTCTATCTTATTAATATCGTTTATAGAACCTTCACGGTCAGCAGTATAGCTGGACATCAAGCATATTCTATATCGGTTACCTGGTTGCGTCATATCCCATCTCATTAGGCTTCGTCAAGTTCCCTCTTGGGAAATATCTTAGTATCTTGATGTACGATATCACTACTCATATGCTCGCATCAATCTTTTGCTAATGGCTGCTTGCAGTCTGCTTTGGGGTATCGTCCTGACTCTACACACCGTCGCGACCGATTATGCGAGTCTCATGGTCCTGAGAACGTTGCTAGGTGTCTTTGAGAGTGGTATCAGTCCTGGTTTCTCTCTAATTACTGGTATGTGGTACACACCAAAGGAGCACGTTTCACGACACTCGTTTTGGTTTGCCGGCAACGCATCAGCCAGCATAGTCGGCTCGATGATTGCCTATGGTATTCTCCATTATCAAGGATCTTTCTCTCAGTGGAAGGTGAGCTTAACATGAACATATCGCTTTTTAATGATATGCTAATAGTTGTAGATGCTATTCCTCATATTTGGTCTTATTACTGTTCTCTGGTCTGCGATTGTTTGGTTCTACCTCCCCGACTCGCCCGAGACTGCTAAATTCCTTACCCCTGCTGAACGTGAGATGGCCGCACTTCGGCCCAAGAAGTTCCAAAGAACCACCCAAACTAAGAAATGGGATCGTGCCCAGTTCCTTGAGGCCATCAAGGACCCTAAGTCGTGGTGGTTCTTCTTTTTCTCCTTCGTCACTTGTATTCCCAATGGAGGAACGACCAGCGTAAGCAAGCTCAGCAATTTTATGTACAAGCTTAATGCTAACTCATGGGGACAGTTTAGCACTCTTGTCATCAAGAGTTTTGGATATGACAGCTTCAAAACAATTCTCATGGGTCTCCCCGCTTCTGGTTTCCAGCTTCTCACCGTCATCCTTGCCGCTGTCGGCACTACGTATCTCCGCAGGTCGCGTCTTGTTGCCCTCGTCCTCATCTACCTCATGGCTATTTCTGGTATTCTCATGATCAAATTGCTACCTACAACAGAAAGGCTCCCTCGCCTTGCGGGCTTCTGGCTTATCACAGCCGTGGCTCCTGCCTTTCCACTAATGCTTTCTCTGTCGGCGAGTAACATTGCAGGATTTACCAAGAAATCCACTGTTATGGCAATGATATTTTTGGGGTATTGCGCTGGTAACCTCAGCGGACCGCAATTCTTCATTAGCACTGAAGCTCCCAACTATTCTGTACGTATTGACACATGATACCCGCAATGAGCAATGTTGCACTCTGAAAATAAGTCTAACTATCCCGTCAGACGGCTTACACTGCCATCTTGGCCTGCTTCGCCATTACAATCGTCCTAGTCGTCATACTGCGCTTCTACCTGGTGCGAGAGAACAGTGTCCGGGACAAGGAGCAGGGCATGCAGAGGGATCCTGAAGAGGTTCGTGAGGTAGACCTCGGTCATGATGAGCAATTGCTCGACGTGGACGAGACAGACAAGCAGAACAGAGACTTCCGTTACATTCTGTAACATAGTCATAGCATTGGCAGCTGGTGGTTGAGTGATCCAAAGCTAGGTTTAGCAGTGCAATGCGATTTGTAAATTTCACGAGTCAATTGTCTAAAATAATACGTTATACACAATGGGTGTTCGATTTGTGTCCTTTAGATCACCTGCATCGGGCGGAAAGCAGGCCAGAATGTTGAATCAGTCATAAGACCTTCTTGTTTTTTGGGTGATGGACAAACGAATTTGAGAAAAACCTATAGACCTGAATCATCATTGATTCAGCCATAGTACCCCGTCTTATCACATATTATACTTCTGATTTTCCTTCAAAAACTCTTGCCAACTCTAACAACTTTCAAGCTTATTCTTTATTATTAGCGGTTGAATCAATAGGGATTATTGGCTACCTCCGTGAGCTTTTGTCTGCGCCACTTGATTGTTTTAGCCTTTGCCACAACCTTCAAAGCATGGGAGTTATGATCACAAGTATGGGTCCACTTTGGATTGATTCAAAATCATGAATGGCATGTTGGGGAACAATGAAATAAATCAGAGTTGTAACTTCGCTCATGTTGATTCTTATTCAATTTAGCGCTCTGGCATGACATTGCCATATAGCGATTAGAAGGCATGGTTTTGATTTCAAGTGCGGAGCCGCAGAGCTCGTTATATGGATACCAAGTTCCCAGAGATTACGGTGATCACGCTTACTATCTAGCCTATCGATTTACCTTGGCTGTTGCACTAGGTCAGCAATGTGCGTTGCCATATATTACTACCTATATCATCGCTGATGCGAAGTCGGGAATTGTAGTACAGCGTTACCAGTTTAATTTTGAATCTTTGGGACGCCAGTTTTTTCAGTTGCAAGGTAGCTTGATAGAATAGGAGACTACATGCAAGCTGAGGAATGCCCCCCTTGCTAAGCGAAGTTCGTGACCCGTGCACAATGTTACCTGAGGGGTGCTTTTACGATCATTAAGGGGTGTCCACACTATGAGCTGAGGTATCCTATGGAGTGTATTTGTAATATTATGATTGGTTAGGTTTATTATGCGACAGAAGACTTCATCTACTCTAACGATGACTCTGCACATCTGAAAACAAGTAAGCACCCCAATGGGTTGACAAAGAAAGTGCCATACCCTTATAGTGACAGTAGTGAGTGTTATGTATAAGGGTGCGGCACTTTTTCTGGTAATAGCCTTGGTACCCGTAATGGATCGACTCAGAAACAGTTCCTAGTTTAATGAAAACTCACGTCGTCGGTCTCGTAACCTGACAGGCGAGGGCGTCTCAAGTTACTGCAAGCCTTGTTAAAGTACTAGATGTACTTCGTATTAGTACTAGGATTAATTCCAAATCAACTTCTAGTGACTTACTGTTCTTTTATACGACATTTTGTCGTTTGCTTTCCAATCAATTTTACACGCAACTAAAGACGAAATGTTGTTATGAATAAAAAGGTAGTTACAGGTTTATGGTAAAGTGGAGGGTAAGATAAAGATTGATTCAGGATTAATTCAGAACTGGTTAGCAAGGCTACGGTTTTTACACACGTTAATCTAATCTATTCAGTAGCTATCAATTCCTGTCTACTATACATAAAAAAACGTGGGCCTATCAAAATATTGTCGCCCCATAGCATCCCTCAGCTTACTTGTGGGCACCCCTCATGCAACGTAGGACCACCTCTCAACTTGTCCGATTCTCATAGAATAGGTCTCAAGAACGATTAGAGTTTAGCAAACCAGATCGACTGCTCCATGACCGTGGGTTTACCATTGGATAGAGAGTCCAAACCAAAAAATAATGACTGTCTCCATCGAATCAATGTCCTTTAGACTTCTTAGAGGAGCATGACAAGTTCATGCATGTCCAATCTGGAGAATTTCCAGAGTCTTTATACTATCGAACTCAAGTAGGTAATATGGAGATTTTCAGTTCCTTTCTGTCGACAAGCCAGTGCACTCTGGCCCTACGATGTTGAATGCGTATTTAGGGGCATCGCCTGATAAATTCCTCGTCTCGAAATGTCCACTTCTTTTTGCATCTTGAACCCGAATAGTACTGCTGCGATGAGCTCTGCAGGGTTGAGCATTGATATCCACGCTCGAGTTCCGAATGGGCCGCCATGATAACATTCATCGCCTCCTGATTGTTGCTCGCTATTTGTGAAATCTGACAAAGGCTTGTGCGAGTATGACGACAACTGATACGGTGTTACGCTGTATGCGAAATGAAAGAAGACGGAGAAAACCACGAGCTCGCAGCTGACAAGCAGAGTCGGAATTCCGATCTCTAGATCTGTGTAGCTGAGCGTGTCGCTTGGCTCTAGTGGTGAAGGACTGGCACGAGTCAGAACCATGTAGATGATCTAAAACCTTGTTAGTCCTTCGGTGCGAAAGTCTTGTTGCACAAATGCTGTGGAAAATACGGAGACTCACCTGCTGAATGAACTGCAATCCAATCAGCAATTTGAACGCGAGGAGCTTCTGAAGCGCTCGGTGCGGCCGCAGCTCAACTTTCAATTTTGCGTATGTTCTTAAAACGGCAATAACAGCCAATATCATACTGGCCTTTTCTATGATTTCCAACCATAATGAGGCGAAGTACGCTTTATGGCTGCCATAACAGTATCTATCCGCACCCTCACTAATGTCGGCGAAGATAGCAATTAGTATTGCGATGAGGGGGTACTGGAAGACGAGGATCCAAGTCTTGCGATATGCACTGACGGCTTTGGCTGTGGTGCTGCCCGTCTTCTCCTGCAACCGCTTCATGGGGGCAAGAAAGACGCTTCTACGTGTATTGGTTTCCAAAGACACGAAGCGACAAAGAAGAATGAAGAAATTCGCCAGTGCAAATGCCTGCGCAACTCCCAACCAGGAATGCAAGTAGACGTATGATACTGGCACGCAGACTTCGATGAAACTACCAACGGCGTATATAGGTATGAAAAGACATATTCTCATGATGCTAGGACCAATTAGTAGAAGTTATCATGCTACTCGGACTGATTTCTAGCGTACTTGGCCTGTTCTTGAGGCTTGCTCAAGTTTGTTGCATGTCGGAACATGAGCGTGAAAAGCATGATTGTGGAGAATGCTGCACATGAACCGGATACGATTAAATTGATTTGATGAAAGGAGAGACCCCCGGATATTGGCGACGTAGGTACTGAAACACAGGAGGTCAACATTGGGCTCGCCTATATCCGTCACATTGGACTTGCCCGTATCGAATGTTGGTTGGTCGCACACATGACTGCTGCTGCCATTCAGCCCATCATCTGTTGAGGACGACTTTGAGTGATGATTTCCCATGGCAAGAATCAATATCTTGTCGTTGTTGCGATTGGGTTTGGATACGCGTACAGCGGATTTGAGACAAACCCGAAATGGTCTGCGCCGCCAAAGAGGTTGATGATTTGGCACCTTCCATTGTTTCGAGCCTACTCATGGCGACCTGTATATATATTATTCAATGTAGATGATCAGTTCAGGTTTCCGAATGCGATACTGCAATTATCCTGGTCAAACCGGGCAGTGCCACAATGTTTGTTACGGCTCGGAGTTGTCGTAAGCTACAGTGGTCCAATCAACACACAGCCCTGCACTCCAGCGTTGCCTAAGCTTTAGTTGCAGGTACGATACCGAGCGGTGATCCTCCGGCTGATATGATATAATATGGGCACTTGGTCACCAGTCCTTTGGATTGGTCGAATGCCGAAAGTACGCGGCACTTCCCCACAAAATTGATAAACGAACCCACAGCTAGAGGGTTTATAACTGCAGCAAGGATTGCACTTATGTATGCTTATGAGTGCAATAAGACAATGCGGCCGCCCCAAAAGGGTTGACGACTCAAAGCCAATCACTTGTCGAGAAGGACGAATATGGTTAGAATGGTAGCTAATACCAACCTGTTCGAAATAACATGAGACTCAGCTTCCACCGAGGCCGTTTCCAGTTAGCTTTCAATTGTTGAGCGCATGATAAGGAATATTGAGGGTGTAGCACTGGTGGTCAAAAAGTTTCGTAGGTGCAAGCTATCAACACAAAAATCCATCCAGTCGCATAAACTCGAACATCCACTGGTCTCCCCATGATAACCCATCTTATTCCATATTATACTATGGTACTGTTGGTGCCGCATCAGAATGACAGACTGAATCTTACAATATTCGAGCTTATGCTATATTGTATTGACGAACCCCCCCCGGGAATCAATCGGTGATCGGATAAGCTTTGGATGTCCCACCTAGCCCTGAAACTACGTAGTATAGCGCAAGGTTCTTGAAGGCTTAATTCGCCGAAAGCATGCGCTATGGCTAGATGCGCATCGCGGCTACTTAGGGTTGCAACAAGCCATTTGCAACAGACACGCTCGCTTTCGTTTAGCATCCTTTGCCATGCAAAACTAAGAGGTAGACCTTGGTTTCCAGAGCTACTTGGAATAAGCAGGAGGCAGTCCCATTGATAATATCAAGTCCCAGCAAACTTGAAATTAATAACTTTAGGCTGCGGAATTCTGTCGCTAAATGCTCTCATTGAGATACTGTTCGTAGGAAGGCTCGAGGCCATTCCGCACTGACATCGAGCTCCAGCTGAACACCTCGAGACTGATAAACAAGACTTTGGGGGCTATTCTAATTTGCAGTAATACCACCCACCCAGGCCATGTGGATATCGGCCTCCGAATTGCCAAGGACGCATACCCTGACGAAAAACAACACAGTATACATCGCTTTGCGTGACGATGGCCTTGCAATCGGGATGAGCTACTACAATATGGAAATGGTTTGAATGGCGGCATTGGATTCGCAATAGTGATAGTGGACCTTGATCAACAGTCGACATCTCGGCCAGTTCGACCCAGATTGAAACGAATTTCAATACTGGTTTAATCCGGTCCGTGCAAACTGGGAAGGAAGTCAAGTACGACTATAACGTTCGAATCAATGGCATCTTATTCTTAGTTGCTAAGCCAGATTACGAAACACAAGGCTGGCGAAACCTGCGATGACGATGACCACATACATTCAACTCCATTTATCTCCCAATCAACCATGGGAGATGACATATATCACGTCGAAAAAAGCTGAGATTGGTCCTGACGACATCGATCTTTGAGAACATGATATTTCTTTACAACTCATCATCAACGCTTCTCCGACTTCTTCTGAACGCCTCCACCGCCGCCAACGCCTCATCCTTTCTGTATGCAGCTTGCGGCCACCCAAAACTACGATACAGATGCCGGACCCATCTCTGATCCAACTTCGACGGAGTGAAATACTCCTCCTTTTCCTGCGCCATGACCTGATCCTCCAATATGGTCTCATACCCCTCCTCTTCCTCCTCCACGTTCTCGTCGAAATGCTCCTCTCCCGGAATCGGCACCATGTCCAGGGTCTCGTACCTGCGCTTCAACGCGCCGAGGTATGACCCCACGTCTTCGACGGCATCGGTGTCATACCGGATCATCTCGACGTGCAGCTCGCCCGTCTTGGTGTTGAGCAGCATCATGCGCCCGCCGCTCTCGTAGCCGTCCGCCAGCAGGATGGAGTGCTCGACGGCCTCGGGCGCCAAACCGAACATTTCCTCCTGCCACTCGAAGTTGGAGGCGTGCTCAGCGAAGTCCGAGGCGGAGCATACCGAGTAGTCCACCACGTAGCACTTGTAGTGAATCCGGTTGTAGTGAGACCGGCCATCATCGGTGATGTAGGGCAGGTGTTTGAGCAAGTCGACCACGAACGGCGTCTTCTCGAGACAACTGGTGGCCTCGGGTGTTATGTTCGGCCAGCCACCGGGCGGAGGAAGCTTCAAAGCATCCGCAGGAAGGCACAGACGGGAGAGAAAGATGTAGAAGTCCGATACGAAAACTGCGAGCTCGTCGCGTGTGTAGGGGAAGTCGACTTGAGAAAAACACTCGGAAGATGCATCGCCTTCGGAGACTTCATCCTCGCAATCTTCTTCTTCTTCTTCTTCTTCTTCTACGTCGTGATTGTGGACAGCATCCGCTTCCTCACCTGGTAACGTGCTTTGTTGGACCAGCACAGATGATTGCTTCCCATCCGGGCTAGCTGCCATATTCCCGTTCTTGGAGGTCGAGGTTAGTTTTCCTCTCAGGTTTTCTATTCCTGTCCTGAATGTATAAATATCCGTGGTTGGATTGAGAATGCGGCGAGTCGTTGCTGTTCTTATATCCGGCAGGTCGGCTAATCTGACGACGGGACTGGCCTAGGTTACATTGTTAGGTCTTGGCGGCTAGGCAGATGTGGGCGGAGCAAACTCACTACAATGTCGACTAGAACACTTGTTGAGATCCTTCGTGCGGACCATTTCCAAGTGAAATGTTTACGCATGGTCTTCGTTTGGTTTCTCTTAATACATCAAATGGTGGCCACCTCGGGTTATCGAGGGAGATGTTTTAAGAAAGGCTTGGGCCTTTTGAGCCTTGCTGGCTTGTGACAGATCCGTACCATGACATTTAGTACGAAGTGCCATCTCTATATTGAAGTGATCTGTCTTGGAGTGCAAGCCGTACGTTCTGGCTTAGCATGATGCTTTCCTTCTCTGCCTTGAACTTAGAAAGCTACACCACGAGTAGAGAAGGAGACTCCTTTCGGCAATACCTTCCATCTGCAAGCCGTACAGTCGCGGCCTACGAAAACTGTGCGGTTGAACTACTACAGCTTCCAATGCCCTCTCGGGGCTGATTAGACTGATGCGCTGACACCGGCTACGTATGTACATATCCGAGCGTCGCCCGATGGTAGCTGTGGAATTTCCTTTGTTCAGTTGACCCCGTTCCTAGAATCATGGCGCTGTGGGGATGGGAACGTGGGCGCGTTAGTTGGCAGATGTTAGGTAGGGTACTTCGGACAATTCTACTGTGGACCTGCCAGGTTGATACTACACAACCGTGGCTCCGATACCATACGGAGTATATATTCTTCAGCTAATTGTTTCGGTTATCAAATTAGAACAGTGGGGACGCGGCTCTACGACGCTATTTTTGGCAGTATGTGGGTTTCCGTGACGCTTTGTCGACAATAGGGCTTGTGTGCCGCATTGGTAATGGCCCTGAGTACTATAACTCTTGTCCCTCTTATGCTATCAGTTCTCGGGAGATTTCGTGTCTGTGTTATGACCACCAGTCTCGGCCAAACTTTGTCATATTGTCAGATGTTGGAGAATGACGCAAAGCTTACTGAATGATCAAGGAGAAAAGTGCCAGGTGTGAGTAATGTGTTCTAAAAGAGGAAGCTGAGTTGACTCTTTTTGGGCGTATTTTAACAATGCCCATTTCTATAGTTGTAGTGTACACTGATTTGCCAGTCGGTCTATCTGCCAAGCCGACACCTCCATCCGACGACATGTAGAGCTCCACAAAGTTGATAGCAAAGGCGTCAGCAAGACCATTTGCTTTCATATGGCATATATGCAAAAACTAATACAGACGAGCAGGAGAGTGCGATGCAGTCCGCCAGGTACGTGGAACTCCGGTACTGAACCTGTTGCTCCAATATAGCATATGTGATGAGTGGCGAGGCTGTGACCCAGAAGCCGCGCTGATCTACTTCTCGTCGGGATCAAGCCCAACAATCATCTTTCGAATACGAGCCTCGCCATCGGCACCTTCTGCCTTTGTTGATGATTGGATCCATTGCTGGAGCTTCGCGCGCAGCTTGTCAACATCCCCGTCCCTTACGTCGAAGCCTCTATCCTCGCAGGCGAGCACGACCTCCTCGGGGTCCAAGGCTCCAACGCCGCCGCCGTCCCGGATCATGATATCATCCTTGAGAATCCTGCTCACCGCAGCCTGAGCCTTGGCCGCAGCGAACGGAGGATCAATGCCGACCTTGTCCCAGATACTGCTACCGAGGCCCAGACACCTCACAATGTTGCCGGCGGACGCTTTCTCCAGGGCGGCAGACTCAGTGATGTGGCGCATGTTTTCCAAAGATGCTGCGCGTCGCTCCTGAGCGTTGGCTCGCAGCTTCTCGACTTGTTTGGGTATGCGGCAGGTCAAGGGCGTCAGCTTGGGGAAGACAAGGACCAATAGCGGCGTAAACTCGCCACAGATGAGGAAGACCAAGCCGAATATCGGTAGGCGGGCTATGTCATGTCTTGTTCGTTCGCGGAGAAGAACTGCAGCCCTTGTAGGTGTGACTTTTGTGTCCGACCCTGTCAAGTTGGGGGGTCCATCTAGGGTTTGCGAAATCTCCTTCAGGAGCTTGCGATTCGTGTTTATTGCCTTGACTCCGTTCTTGTAGAAAGTGAGGTACGTCTTGCCAACGCTGAAGAGGTAACTGAAGAGGGAAGAGTCGGGCTCCCTCTTTGGAATAGTAATCAGTGGTGGTCTTGTTGTCGCGGGTGGGTTGAGCGTTGAAGACAGGGCCACGTCTGGGTTCAGAGGCGTCGAAACCTGTGTGGTCGCATCTAATGGTGTCGTAACAGCTTCGGTGTTGATCTTGGGCTCGTCTTCTTGTTTGGCTTCAGCAGCTGCTGCTTGACCTGAGGCATAGCGACGAGAGACAGGCGAGACTGCATGTGGTCTGCCATTCGACTGTCGCGACGATTGCGGTATTGCAATGCGACGCGAACAACTGACAGGTGTCACAGATTGTGCTCGGGGCAGCTGAACGCGTAAGAACTGCCTTCCTAGTTGGACGTTCATGTTGGCGATTAGAAGAATATAGTGTTACTGAGAGAACCGCATGCTGGCAGGAAACTATCGTGGGTTTTGTGCGGTCCGAATATTTTTTCTTTTCTTTTGGCGATCGCATGGGACTGGATTTGGACATGAACGACGTCAGCACGCTAGAAGAAAAGAGGCCCATTGGAAATCTTCGGGGGGTCTGCGGGTGTGTCCAGGGGGTGTCGCGCTAGAATCTGGGGTAGAATTTAGCGGCATGGCGTCACCTAAAACTCGCATGACACAACAGTCTTCAACAGACTCATGTATCAAGACGAGACACAAGGGTAATTCTCTCTTATTTATTCGACAGTCTGCTTTACGTATATGAATATAATGGTCAGTCGCGGAACAAAACTCATCTCGCATTCTGGCGCTGATTGAGCATGCTCGTTGCCATCAGCCACAATCATATAAATATACGTCGTTTGACGTTTAGTCTCTCGGACCCCCCACCAACACGTCAAGTTACAGCTTCGATCCAGAGTTCAGAAAAGCCGTGCATTCAATTTCCACCAGAGCACTGAATGGCAGCTGATACACGGCAACGCAAGTGCGGCACTTTTCCAATTAGCATTGCGCCCTCGACACATGACAGTGGATGAACCTACTGGTTTGACGTCCATGGTGAAGAACTCGTCCCAGGCCTCATTCATAGCAGCAAAGTTGTCCATCGTTGTCAAGAAAATGTTGACCTTGAGGGTATTGCTGAAGCCGCTGCCCGCCTCCTCCAACACTGCAGACAAGTTCTGCAGAGCCCGTCGCTGTGGCACAATCTGAGTCGGCTAATCTTGGTAGACATGTTATATCATTGACTGGACACTTACGGTTTGTTCTTTCACACCACCTTCAACCAGCGTGAACGTTGCTGGGTCAAAGCCAATGTTACCCGAGCAATACACCAAACCATTGTACTTGACAGCCTGCGAAAACTGAGGCAGTGGCTTGGGCGCCTTGTCCGTGAACACACGCTCGATTGGAGACATCTTCAACTCTATTCTTCAAAACTATGCTGGCCTTGGGTTCTTCGTCGATTGCCCTGTCGGGATGAAGATAGTTCAAATACAGAGCACTGACTGACAATCAGCTATGCTATAGTAAGCGCGCGGGGTTCAATGTCTCCACGTTTGATAACAGTGACAGCTTACAAACAGCCGCATGTCAAGCGAAGGGCTTGGCTAGGGCCCACCCAATTGGGCTATCCTTCATTCAGGAGGCCCATTCCAATCGAATACCCATTGGTGCTTCCACTTGGATTCAGGTTGTCAGGGTCATTCGCCTCAGAAGCTTTCAACTTGTTGACCGAAACGCAGTTGGAAAAATATGTTGCCGGCTCCACAAATCGTTCCAGAAGCCAGTGGACTGGGATTACCAACCATGCCCGTGCTTCTCGAAGATGCGCCAAAAGGGGTTTATGCCCATGTAAAGTGTCCCTTTGCCAGACCAACGGTCTTTTGATTGATTTCCATGCGTTGAGACGGCTATTGTTGTCTTCGACCTCTTTCAATGGGTACCCATGGCTCATCCTAAAGCGCTGTTTTAACGAGTTACTGCGACCGTATTTAGCGTTTATTACATCCAATCATTTATAATAATCACTTGACACAGAGCGTACGACGAAGATCCAAGCAGAACATCATGATCGTGAGCTCGAGGATTCTTCGGTGTAACTCTCATGATGAAATGAGAAAAAAAAGCCCGAGAAAGAAACCACTCATTCTGTTAATCTGTGGAAAGCTCCAGGTGGCGTGAAGAAGGGAACCCGACTTAACATAGATGAGTATTCGGCATCCTTTGCAACAGGAATATCGCCAGTATACTATAAGGTAGCAATGAAAAACTCGTCCGTGGCATGAGCGCCAACGCTGTCGGTGCCTGCCTAGTCCAGCGGCTCCCAGAAAACCTCCCGCCAGAAACAGCGTGCAATCTTTTTGAAGAGAAGATTGGGCGCCTGGGTTCGGAACACGATGCCACTTGTTGCAGAGAGGGCTGAACCAACGGAGAAGCTGAACATCTTAGAGCAAGGCTTCCAAAATCTAGGTGCATTCACCGCAAGGTCGTGCACACGATCTGCATCATAACGCCTCTAAATAGCTGTGAACAATTCAGGGCTCGTTGCGTACTATGAGGCTCATTAAAGAAGCAAGCAGGCGCATCCGGTTTACTCTTTCCAATGCACACGTGTAAAACGTCCCCTCGACTAACACTCCCGAGATTGCCTTTAGAGTATGAAGTCATTTTCGTAATAACCATTCACACTGCGCTGCATCCCTCTGCAGTGTCAATTCTATGTGCAGCATTAGCAAATTGCAACGTTGCGGGGGAAAAAAACGCAATCAGCACTGTAGGTACTACAGCAAAGCAGGCCTTGGATTTCTTATTCAAGATCGTGCAATAGAACGTTTGGATATTACTTACCTTTGGAGCACGCTGGCTCTCATTGCATGTTTAGACGTGATCAAGTGGCAAGAGAATCGCACTTCCCGAGAGTGGAATGCTGAGAAAATCTGGGCATTCCAAAACAAGGTCACTGATGCTTCTTGATGCTTCAAATCGGTTTACTAATAACTCTCTGCCGAGGTCTGATTCATTCACGATATCATGAGAGCGCATGTTTAGCAACGGCAAAGCCTCAAAATTCGACAAGCGCTCTAAAAGGATCTGCTCGGGCCGCTCCTCTCACGATAGTGAGACGGTGGATCCACTTGAGCTCTCCGGGAGTCACCGACCCTCGCCTCGGCCGAGACCATCAAGTCGAGTTCGTTGGTTGGAGGTCAACTGACTTGGCGGCAGGGACAATCCAGCAACTCTGTAAATCTTCTGCCCATGATGGAAGGACCTTCTTGATTCAACATGCTTTGTACTCGGGATTTACCCACGCCGAGGCTGTGCCAGGTGCTTGCTCATGTCGCTCGTGTAGACTCTGCGGGGCTGTCCGAATAGATCGTGATCACTGCTGACTATCATTTCCTACCGAGAGGGCATTCGCTTGCTCAGCTTGTCCAAGTTCCAGGGACTTGTCAAAGGCTTTGACTAGGGCTTTTGCTGCATGCGAAATGAATTTAAGAGAAGTGACGGCTTGACAATACATGTTCTTATTCAGCTCATGTGAAGCGTGCCAAAGCTTTAGGTGTTATGCTGCACTAGACTAGAGGAGAAGAGCGTCGCGACATACTTTCAACAGTCTGAATGAATTAAGAGTTTCAAGTACAAGACTCCTCGTTTTGAACTCTGTCTATAGATCGACGATTCTCGACAAAACTGGGACCAGAATGCAAACATTCCCCGTGCAAGGATTTAGAACAGCAGCTCGATGCGACGCTGGAACGGAAACGCACCCTGGAACCGCCGGAAGCTATAGTGGAGTGCGTTGGCGATATGACGCATCACATTCGTTAAGCTCAACGTCGTCTCATTATCAGGCCACTTTGAGAAAAGCCGTAACCCGCAACATATGCACCCCAATATGATCCCAAGTGTTTCTGGAAAGCACGATTGTATATCGTTCTAGAATGCATTTGCTTCACGTGAGAGACATGCTACTGCATGTAACCTTGCGAAAAAACGTGTTCAGGCAGTTATGTTACTATAGGAATCAGATGTCACTCACATGACGTGTCACTGCCCGTCTATCATGTACGTTTTCTGTAATGGCTCATTGATTGGCTCCCAAGGTCTGTCCCGAGGAATCTACCTGGCCTGTCAACTTGCTTCGCGACTAGACTAGTCCTGCATATGCTGGAGTCTACTCCAAGCTGCTATCAGCACTGCATTCACCTTAAACACGAGCCCCGGGTCCTTGAGAACCTATAAAACCTACTTAGCTGTAACCCCTCTCAGAGCTCATGTACCAGTTCTCACTTCAATCAACAATCAACAACGAACAAAGAACACCACAGACATCACTGAAGACCGCTAGGAACTGCGAAAGATCAGTCGGGTCTGTTCACCAACATGGAGTGTGACAAAGCAATAGTAGAGGAGATTAGGCCGTTCGGCGTAGCTCGATCTACTATCAACGAGAAGCCGCTTTCCAAGGAAGAGCTGGAGAAGTACGATGACTTCTTCAAAGCGAGCTTGTATCTCTGCTTGGGTATGATCTACCTCATCGACAACCCTCTTCTACACGAGGAGTTGAAGAAGGACCACATCAAAGCCCGACAGCTGGGACATTTTGGATCTGCACCTGGTCAGATCTTCACGTATATGCACTTCAACCGTCTCATCAAGAAGTACGACCTCGACGCCATTTTCGTCTCCGGTCCTGGCCATGGTGCACCTGCTATACTCTCCCAGGCCTACCTGGAAGGTACCTACTCAGAGGTGTACCCCGCCAAATCCGAGGATCCAGAGGGCATGCAGAAGTTTTTCAAGCAATTCTCATTCCCCGGTGGTATTGGCTCACACGCTACTCCCGAGACACCTGGTAGTCTCCACGAGGGTGGCGAGTTGGGCTACGCCATCTCCCACGCATTCGGCACGGTCTTCGACCACCCGGAGCTCATCACAGTCACCATGGTAGGCGATGGTGAAGCAGAAACCGGACCTTTGGCTACTTCGTGGCACAGCAACAAGTTTCTGAACCCCATCACCGATGGTGCTGTGCTCCCAGTTCTACACCTCAACGGCTACAAGATCAACAACCCCACTCTTCTGGCACGTATCTCCCACAAGGAGATTGAGCAGCTGTTCCTCGGATATGGTTGGCAACCATACTTCGTCGAGGGCGACGACATTGAGTCCATGCACCAAGCAATGGCTGGAACGCTCGAGAAATGTGTGAAGGAGATCAAACAGTACCAGAAGCAGGCACGCGACTCTGGCAAGCCTTTCCGTCCGAAGTGGCCCATGGTCATCCTGCGCACTCCCAAGGGCTGGACTGGTCCCCGCAAGCTCAATGGTCACTACCTCACTGGCTACTGGAGATCTCATCAGGTCCCCATCACCGATGTGCGCACCAACCCTGCGGACCTCAAAGTTCTCGAGGAGTGGATGCGTAGCTACGAGCCTGATAGGCTGTTTGGCGCTGAAGGTAGAATATCCGCGGAACTGAGAGATGCGATCTGCCCCACCGGCAACAAGCGAATGAGTGCAAACCCTATCGCAAATGGAGGTCTGATCAAGAAGCCTTTGAAGATGCCCGAGTTCAAGGACTACGGCATCCAAGTTGACCACCGCGGCGGTATCTTGAAGGGCAGCATGACAAACTGTGCCCTCTTCCTCAGAGACATCGTCGCAAAAAACCCCGAGAACTTCCGACTGTTTGGTCCTGATGAGACCGAGTCGAATAAACTTGGCGGAGTCTACGAAGCTGGAAAGAAGGTCTGGCTGGGCGAGTACTTTGAAGAAGATGACGACGGCGGTAATTTGTCTCCTTTCGGCCGTGTCATGGAAATGCTGAGTGAGCACACTTGCGAAGGATGGTTGGAAGGTTACATCCTCAGCGGACGCCATGGCTTGCTGAACAGCTACGAGCCTTTTATTCACATCATTGATTCGATGGTTAACCAGGTAAGTCAGCATTTTCTCTCGAGCCTTGTATATTGTCTATTAGAGAGGACATTTACTAACGAATACTCAGCACTGCAAATGGATCGAGAAGGCCTTGGAGGTCGAGTGGCGTGCAAAGGTTGCGTCGCTTAACATCTTGCTTACTGCTGTTGTTTGGCGCCAGGACCACAACGGTTTCACTCACCAAGATCCCGGTTTCCTGGATGTAGTATGCAACAAGAGTCCGGAAGTTGTTCGCATTTATCTGCCCCCGGATGGTAACTGTCTGCTTTCAAGTGAGTTGAGCCATTCCGTAAAACTGCCCAGACTTGACACTAACAGCGACTAAGCCATGGACCATTGTCTCAAATCGTCAAACTACGTCAACGTCATCGTAGCGGACAAGCAAGATCATCTGCAGTTCCTCACTATGGACGAGGCTGTCGAGCACTGTACCAAGGGAGTCGGTATCTGGCCACATTTCAGCACAGACGTGGGCGAGGAGCCGGATGTCGTCATGGCCAGCTGCGGAGATATCTCCACGAGCGAGTCGCTTGCCGCCATTGACCTCTTGCTTCAGAACTTCCCTGAACTGAAGATTCGCTGTGTCAATGTCGTCGATCTGTTCAAGCTTATCCACCACGACGAACATCCACATGGTCTGAAGGATCGCGAGTGGGCTGCTCTCTTCACGGATAATAAGCCCGTGATCTTCAACTTCCACTCTTACCCCTGGCTCGTGCACCGTTTGACATACAGGAGAAAGGGTAGCCACAACATCCATGTTAGAGGTAAGCCTTCCCAGCCGAATTAATGCAGATACCAATGACGTGAATGCTAACATTCGGTGCTAGGCTACAACGAGAAGGGCAACATCGACACGCCCCTGGAGCTCGCCATCCGCAACGGCACGGATCGCTTCAGTCTCGCCATCGCCGCCATCGACCACATGCCCCACCTGGGCAACCGTGGTGCGGCCGCACGCGAGAAGCTCAAGAATGTCCAGTTGGCGGCTCGCAACCAGGCGTTTGAGATTGGCCAGGATCCCGAGTACTTGACCAAGTGGACGTGGCCACACCGGGGACTCTGGGTCCCCCCACCGAAGAGAGAGGCAATTAACTAAACTCGTCGTGAGATAGAGGATAAACACTTGGTTTACAATATATGTCAGAAGACTATCGATTAGACGAGATGAAGATCTGGTTTATGGTGCTGCAGAGCCTCGGAGAAAGACGGTGATTTCCTGGATTATATATCTCTTATGTTTCATTTAGGCTTCATGGCCGATTTATGATACTTTATTCTCTCTTTTGCAATTCTCGTGCTGCACATGCCTCCTGAATCCTCGTGGAAGGCAAAGACTGTTGCTCTAGGTGGAACAAGGTGAGAGTGACGAACTTCTGACTATGAACAAGCTTGCACGGCGGTTCCGGATGCAAAGGTAGTCGTCTCGCCCTCGGTTCATGGCCTCCCAGGCCTGGCTTCTTTTGTTGAACATTCTTTCTCGGTCGATTGAGGAGGAACTAGTTTCTTCTATGAGTACCACACAGCATTCGCGCAACACCCACCGTCAATCAAGTCGAGATGCGCAACAACGTTTGCCGAGCTCGCATCAGCAGCCAGCTCCCAGATCTCCACGAAGCCGACCGAGCTATCCTGCGTCATGAAAGGCAATATCAGTATCCTTTCTCAAAATCAAAGCAGAGGCAACTTCGGGGTCCGTCCTTCAGACACAAAAGCGAAATCGCTCTGGCGTGCATCGGCGAATTCAGCTAGGTAAACGTACCGTCAGCGCGGCAAAGCGATCAGCGAATGGGCTCGGCGCAACACTATTGGCCGCACCACCGCTCGAAGTCGTCGGGAGCAGGAAGTTCTGCCCCAGGATGCGCCCCTCGCCATCCAGCGCGAATGCCGAGATGTAGCCCGTGGCGTTCGCGCCGCGCCCGCGGTTCGTGGCCCAGAGGTAGTCATTGCTGGGCGACAGCGCCACCTCGTCCGCCCAGTAGTTCTTGGCATCCTCGCCGGGCGGCAGCAGGGCGTACGTCGCGTTCTGCGCGGACGGGACCCCGGTGTCCCCGTCGATGGCGTACTGCGCGAGTTGGCTGGATCCCTCGAGGATCACATACAGGTACTTGCCCTGGGGGTGCACGGCGACATGTCGCGGGTGGGCGCCCGTGGACGGCGCAGTGAGGTTGGCGACGAAGGCCACTTCTCCGGTTGTGGGGTCAATGCTATGCGTCCAGAGCGTGTTGCCGCTGTCGTCGGCAGAGTACAGGAACTTGGAGTCCGGGCTGAACGCGGTGCCGTGGACGGCCGACGAGCTGGAGTAGGTGTAGTTCTGGACAGCCGATTCCAGCCTGCCGGACTCGTCCACGGACAGGACGGCGCCGCATCCCGCGTTCGAGCCGAAGAAGGCCCCGTATACGCTGTGCGGAGGGTTGGGGTCGGCCACCGCGAAGATGGCGCTGGCGGTGCAATTGCCTCCGGCGGGGACGGTGACATCGTGGGTTATGCTCGTCGCGTTGGCGACCGAGTAGCTCACGAATGCGGGACTGGATGCCTGGTAGGCTGTGCTATAAAGGTTGGATTTGTCGTGCTGGAGTCTCGGTGTTAGCGGATCTTTGCCTAACCACAAAAACGGTGTGGACTGCCGAGATCCTCACACTTAGAGCTAGCCATGACCCAGCAACCGGGACCGATGTGTTGGCCACAAGTTCCAAGGTGAGCGCTTCGTCGTCGAACTCGAGCGTATATAATGCCTTAGTACCGAAGGTGCCGACAATGAGTTCGTGCGTTGCGGCATTGATGGTGGTGAAGAAGCCCAGAAGAGCGCCAAGACGCAGCCGGTTATACATAATTGCTTGGCAGGGACAGTCAATGATCTATTCGTGGATTGAAGCATAATGATTGAGCAATACTAAATCTCGCAGCTGCGTCCAGTGCACGATTATATATCAGAGACTCTACCGACGTTCTCGAAGACCATTAAACGATATTACGATTGACTTGTGTCAAATTAACATCAGGACAAGGCCGCGCGTTCTGCATCTTCGGTAAAAGCAATTGGCCTTTGATATAGGGCATTTATAGGTGCCATGGTGGGGCTTTAACTTTGCGGCGAGTTACCGGAAGAAGGCACCTGCTAAAGCGGGGTTGGTGAAGCTCGAAACTGCGGTGGCTTGTATGCGAATGCTACGCCAGCATCCCCTGGAGCTGATGATCTAACCTACTAACCTCACCTACTGTACTGCCACCATTCTAAGGTCTCTGAAGAGCAACGTTATGCTTGATTAAATCCCCGAACAAGTGAAACATGTAAACGCACAATGCACAAAACTTTATGCAACGTTTTCAAGAAACATTACGTCAATCTCCTAACCTAGACTGGATTAATACGTTCCATCGCGCAGTGTCCATGCTGGGCTTTCCACCAGCCACGGTTTTTTGTACCCCGACCACAGCGGCATTTCAGCTTCCAGCGTCAACCCATCCACTTTTGCACCGCTGTCATCCACAGACCACAACGTGATGGCTACCGTGTTGTTGCCATTATGGTTCAAGATGCCCTCAGGTACTGGGAAGTTTGTCTGTGGTCCAAGATTGGCGACTAGAATCAATCATATCAGCTACTTATTCCTCAGCGCAGGGACTCCAGGTGATGCAACTTACTATACTTGGCGAATTGCCACCCGTTAACGAAAAGCTGAACCCTGTAGTTTGAGATCGTGGTATTCGCAAACACAAAACTCAACGGGACATCATAGCCATCTGGCACATCCAGACAAAATGTGGTCGTATAAAACCCGACACCAGCTGTTGCAAACCCGTCTGTAAAGGGATTTGCAGCTACCCAAGTATCACTAGGTGGGCTCGGCTGGTGGTAACCCTGACGCTCAGCGAACAGCCCACCTTCATTTCTGGGTCCACGAGCGAGATCGTGGTAATCCTCGCCTCCAGAGTTACCCGTCAGCTTCCAGGTCATGTCGGCTTGTGGATGACCTGCCAGATTGTAGTTGATGAGGCCCATCGGCGACTTAATTGCATCCGTTCCGGGGGCTTCCTCGTCCTGGCCCATATGATCGATCAGCAAGACAACGACGTTGTCGCTACCGTTCTCAAGGGAATGGCCAACGATAGGTATGGTCGATTCATAAGTTGAATTGCCTTGACCGGCGCCACCACCATCCCAAGACGACAGGAATTTGTCGTTGAGCCATATGGAATAGCCAAATCCAGAACCCCCGGTTATATTTACATACAAACTTGACTCATTTCCAACGGCCGTGAAATGTCCTCGGTAGATGACGGAACCGGAATGAAAGCCATAGTCACTGGCGTACAGTGAAGTTGGAGTTAGCAGTGCCTGAGGGTTGTTGGTGAAAGTATGATTGCAGACAGTCCACCCCACGTCGTCGTATGAAGCATCTATCTCAGGTAACGAGTCCACAAAACGCCACTCAAGACCAGTGAGATCTGGGAGCTCGAGCTTCGGGGCTTCGTACACAAGCCTTGCAGTAAGCTTTCCGTTGTCAGCCCGCTTGGTCGGCAGCTCGTACCCGTTAAATTCCAGAGTCTTGATCGATCTCGTGGGCTCATGAACAATCTCGATGTCCGTCGTCGCGTTAATATCACCAGTCAAGCTGAGATTTTCACCCGATATCTCTGCCGTGCGTATCAGATAGCCACCATTTATGATAACATGCGACTTGGAAGGCGATGAGTAATTACCGATCGGACTGTCCGAAGGCAATTCAATCACCCAGTAGTTATATGCTTCGTTCCGCCAGAGCAACAGCACCTCGAGCTCATCGCCGAAGCTGAGTACCTCTGCGTCTCGGGAAACTGTCCATTGGAAGATGTACGTGCTGTTTCCAGTCTGCTGACTTGTGGGCTTCTGTCGCGTAGAACTACATTTAGGTACGTGTCCCAGTTTGGAGAAATCCAGGGCAACCTCATGTAACTCGTCTTCGCCGCCATACAGGATCAGAGTTCTTTTGCCTTTCTGATCTTGAGCCCAGGTGTATATCTCGGCTGTGCTATAGATCAAGTTGATTCCGCCGACGTCGTAATCGGTGACATGGATCTTTGAGTCTCTCCGCGAAAGCGTCAACTCACCACCGAGCTGCGGAATAGAGACGCTGCCCTTAGTGGTCGATACCAGGAGCTTATAGGCGGTCGTGTTGATCGATGTCCAGTCTGCATGTCTGACTATATAGAAATTGGTGGGGGTATCAGTTCCGAAGACAGGAGTAGTGGCGATTTGATCTGTCGAAACGTAGGAGCCGTTCGAGGCGCTGCCTGCGACTGCTGTCAAATAAGCTGGCGAAACCTTGAAGAAGTTGGCCTCGAGTTTCGACTCCGAGTACTTCTCCCGCCAGACATGACGGTTCTCCTTGATGGCAGCGCCATAATCATATGAAGTGTCGCCGCCTCGGTAGCCAAGATTACCCCAGTTTGTCCCACCGTACGTCTGATATCACTAGTAAGTGATCGCGACACGGAAGAGTATAGTCTGTCGCCAATGGATAACTCACCATGTATATGTTGAAGATCTTAATGGCAAAGCTGTAGTTGTTCTTCCACAAGACTCGAACCGACTCCTGATTGACAAGTGCATTGCAACCGTCTTGGTTGATGGTTCCCCACCCAGTCCCGGAGCCACCTTGGAACTCAGCGACAAAGAATGGAGTGTTCGGACTATACTTCTCGTGTAGTATTTGCCACTGATAACAATCGTCAGTCATCGCAACTCCGCGCCAAAAAAATAAAAATAAAAATAAAAATGCCGGCTTACATTCTCGGGCCATCTGATCTTCGGCCATACATCTGGATGTGCACCTACAGCTATCAACACATTTCCGCATCCAACAGGGACAGACCGGCAACTTACAATCATACCGCATAGGATAAGCGTCAATACCATACACTGAATCAATTAGCCAACATGAACGCCACGGCACAATAGGCTGCTTACATTCTGACTCCCCCAGACCAGTGCCCGGCGCCCAATTTCCTTGGTTTAAATGATCATTGACCATCTGCGGCACGACGACACCCGCGTCTTTGAACTGCTGCTTGACATGCTCCATGTAGTTTCTGTTCAGGTCCGCTGGGAATTCCGTGTTGTTAACACCAGGCCAAGTATCATATTCATTCTCCGGCTGCAGCATGACCACAGGCCCACCATTCGTGATCTGGGCATCCGCGATCAGCTTTCCGACCGCGGCCGAGTACTTCTCCGTCGCATCGACGAACTCCCGGTCGTCCCCCCTCAGCGGCGCCTTGATCCGCGCCGTCCATCCGGGATACCCACCAAGCGCCGTCTCGGCGTTGATGTACGGGCCCGGTCGCGCGATCAGATAGATGCCCGCCTCTGCGGCCGCCCTGAAGAACTCCTCGAGGGCAAAGACCCCATCAAATCGTACCTGGCCCGGCATCCCTTCTACAAGCCCCCAGTAGGTGTAGAAGGAGACGGCGTTGAAGCCCATGGCCTTGATCTTCTGGAAAACATCGAGCCAGAGCCCTGGGCTTGGCAGCCGCCAAGGGTGGAACTCGCCGGAAAAGATAAAGAGGCGCTCGCCACGGATGGAGACGGAATATTTGTCATAGGTGACCTATTCACTCTGCATCAGCACACGTTGATTGGGCTTGCTGAGAACGAATAAACCTTACCAGACCAGGCAATTGGTCATTCTTAACGAAAGATGCACTGGCTGCTGCTGGCAGAACACCGGCCAAAGTGACCGCGGCAAGGCACGACAGGCTCGCTACTAGCCATGAGAGTCGTGAGGGAGCCATTTGATGTGCCAACAAGGCTCAGAAGAGCACAAAGCCTCACACCCCGAATTTATCGCGGTAACCAGTCGAGCCTCTGACACGGGCTCTCCAAACGTAATCCACGTTCAAGCAAGCCATCATGAGCACAATTGGAGGACTTCTTGCCTTATATACAGAAACATGCATACATAGATACATACTATCGTCGCCGTTTTTGATCTTTCCCCACGATCGCAGATCTACGAGATGCGAGGTACTGTAACGTAGACTAGTCTTGGCCCCGTTGCGGAGAAAAGCGCATCCCCAACTTGTGTCCCCAGAGAAAACAAATGCGCAGCAGCAAGGGCACCGAACGAACGAACGCGGGGTCGTGATAGGCGCGTGTACTCGATTGGTGTAAAAACCTCGTTGCTGGCAGACTGATGCATGCAAGTGAATTCAGCCAGAATTATACAGGCCCACTGTTTGCCGCCAAAGGGCTTCCCAAGTACCGTACGGAGTAGCAGGCAGAGGAAAAGCCACTTGGTAGAAGCTTAATATGGCGTCATTTCTTTTGTTGTGAGATATGTACATGTAAAACCCCATTCATTGCTTCTGGTTCAGGAGGCGGGGTTATAGAGCAGAGCTGGAGGTGTCAACGCTTGTTGGTCTACGCTGGCGGATTGGTTCAATACGATGCACTGAGTTCCGAAACGCTATTAATTACAAGATAGGAAAGATTCGCAGGCTGCCATGGACTGATATGCTGTTTTGGCTTGACGAAACATGGGTTCTTCATACTTGTGGATCAATCGGAACGTCTACTACTGGTTGATAATATTAGTGGTAGGCTTGGGGCAATTGAGAGGAATTTCACTGGCACGTCGAAAACATACGCCGTCCACACAGTTAAGAAAACAATATGCTTCATGCTAAATGATTTGCACTATTACGAGATACGAACGACTTATGCTTCGTTGTCGACACGGCAGGAAACCATCACCCAGATTAGTATACATGAGCCCCTCCATCAAGGCAGGCTGTTTCGCATCGATCCTCCACGACCTATCCGATAGTACTATCCACCCACTTCAGCCATTCAGTGTCTTTGCATAATTCGTCCATAGAAACTTGGGAAAGGCTCACGAACAGTTCTTGAGAATCTGCTGAAGCACGCGCTGGCAATATCAACGCGGTACCGAGATTCCATGAGCCATGCGCTCTCCTGATTGCTTCCGGATTCTTCACAGAAACCCCTGGTATCTCCCATTCAGCATCAGCTCCAAAGTGCCGCCATGTGTTGAATGCCAGACACTGCGACATCCGCGGATCGTAGTTCACTCCTATGTATCGTGGGTCTGGCATGGCCGACACCATGGCTAGGCGGTGCTTAACATACTCCTGATCCACAGCATCGATAGAACCCTTGATGTGCGGGACTAACGATGCGAGCGTCGCTATATCCACGGAGCTGCGGAGAATTGTTTCTTGCGAAACCCTGGTAACAGCTGGGAGTGCGGCATTGCCAAAGTAGTCCCCCGTCAAGTGCTGGAAAGCTCTCGATCGCCAATTGACAGAGTTCCAGAGCTTCGCTGGTCCCTTGACCTCGATCGATGGTAGGAACTTCTCAGTTTTAAGGCGAGCGCTAACGATGTGCGCAAACGAAAGCGCAGCCAGGCATGTATAGGTTGATGGTGTCCTATCACCGTATTGGAAGTGCGATTCTATCGTGCGTTGTAGCTCGGCGATGCGGCGCTTCTTGAACACGAAAATCTTCCCTATTTTGGGGATAGTGTCCAAAGGCTCTCCAACCTCTGAGAAACGTGGTTGTGTAGGTCCCTTCAAGTTAGGTAGTAGTGTGTACTCGGGACACTTAGAGATAAGCGACTCCAGACTGCCGTCAACCTTATGATGAGACCTAGGGCCATCAAAAGCTTGTTCTGATGGCCGATCAATGGCATCCCCCCTTGTCTGGGCCGCTAAGCACTCCAGGAAGATGCGCAGGGAGTCGCCGTCGCAAAGGGAGTGATGTAGATATACGGCCAATAGAAGACCTCCAGGAATGACAAATGCCTGGACCCGGGAAACCGGCAGCGGATCCGTCTCCGTTCCAATCAGACCTGGTATACTGAAGCAAGGCTTGATAAAAACACCAGGTGGGAACCCGTTCTCTCTTATCTGGCTGTAGTCCGCGGGAATTGCACCTGGTTTCATTGAAACTTCAAACGGAATCCGGAATTCGGGTGATTGGATCAGATGGGCATGCCCCGGTTGTGTCGAGTCTGCAGCCAGTCGAGCTGCAAACAGTGGGCGCTCTTGTCCGAGACGCTCCAAAGATGTCTCCAAGTGTCCCACAGCATCATCACATAACGCATTGTCCAGAGGGAAACAAAGGACAACGGAGATGTAGACTCGAGGAGAGCTTTGGTTCCAAATGGAGAGAAGCTCCAAGCGAGCAGTGGCGCAATCGATCTCGGGCGACGCAGACATAAGTTCGATCGGGAACGGCAGAAGGCTGTGCCGGTATGAAATTGACGATATCCTTGAGTGCCTGTTTACTTGAGGGGCAGCGATGGACAAATGTTTCATTCGACTGGATCCGGATCAGCCAGACGAGAGAAAGGAAGAACTCGCACGGATCGTTCAATATTGGACTGTTGAGTACAGTATCGAAAGATAAATAGTCCACAAGGAGCGATGTTCAAAAATTGTGAGAAATGTTTGCAGTGTAAAGAGGCTTCTTCAAATCGTAGGTTCCTTATATACTATTGCTTCGATTGAGTTCGTCACAGGCTTCCTCAAGCTCTCCATCAGCAATAGCTTTGTCGTTATATAGCCTTCTTCGTCACCAAGGTATACCATCAGTAACCCTGTCTTTGTGACGCCTCCGTTTCAGCAGCTGCAGTTTGTTGATCCGCTGATGATAGTGAGTGTTATCTGATTGTGATTGAATTGACTTGTCCTGACACCTCGTTGACGAATGTATCAATGGAAAGGGCATCCGCTGTTTTTTGGGGAGTGAGACCGTCAGGGTTCACCCTCGGATTTGAGAAGTACAATAGTACTTTATCACTTTGATGAAAGGAGCCTGGGTCCAGCTACGACGTAAGCCGTTGTCAGGTGGCCGCTCGGTGATAATGCTTCCCCAACGAACAATAAGCTCGCCTCGACTCTACTCCGCAATAGATGGTGATACATGTTCTTGCTGTGAAGGGGAACACGATTGATAGCACACCCGGCGAGCCTTCCCCCAACTTTGTGTCGCGGATCAACGGCTCAACAAGAAGTGTTCTTTGCTGTTATTTGAACCGGTATAGGTAAAAGGAAATGCTGGAGCGTCATCGTTGTTACCCCCAAATGGCAGGCTATTGCCTGATAAAAGAAGCACGAAGCACGGCGAGCCAGAGGCCCCGGCTTCGAGCAAGTTCCCAAAAGCAGCCAGCTGCATAATGCTTCTGCAGGCGCTCGTCACATCACGGTAGCCACTCTATGGTGGACATGCTCAGGTGTAGGCCCAGCCCAAAGAGGCAGACGGGGGAAGAGCCGACCGGTGCCACAAGGCTCGCCACAGGGAATGTTGACAGATGCATAGATAGATCTCGCCTCGGCGGCGGTATTGTACCCGTATGCGATCTTGTTGGCAGACAAGGGGCTTGGTGGACTCTCAGGGCACAATGCAAAAGGCGGTCGAGCGACCAGGGTATACTTTTGGTCACATTTGGTCCCAGGGGTTTCTTGGTCGCGAAGACTTTCCAGCCCTGCGCGACAGCTAATTGACATTGTAGCACTGGTTGAGGAATAGTGGTTTCCTGATGGGGGTGTTCGCTGGCATCAGAATGGCCCCTATCACATATCATGTTCTTGGATTCGGGCCACTTTCTGGCAGAAGCAAGTTCGGAACCTGTCCCCGGAGGACCCGGGGAACTCAGCCCTGGCGACATGGTCTCGCTCTTGTCTCCTGGGAACGCCTCATTGCGAATCCATGTCTGATGGCGGGAGGGCTCTAGAGATGACCTGCATGATGATTGGCGACGGAAATGATCCACATGAGAACGATAAGGGACGGCTCGACGGGAGCATACAGAGTCGGCCAACGTCGGAGCATTGCGCTAAGTGGTCTGTTCATGCTCCCCAAAATCCAATTCCGCCCGTCCTGGCAACAAAAGCATCGCTGCGTGGGCGAGGGCGTGGGCGTGGGCTGCCCACGTGCGGAGGCAAAGCTAACCTACTAACCTTGGGCTGGCCGAGTGGTCGGTGCGCTGAGTGCACTAACTTACACTCCTGCAATCAATGCTACGGAGTGACCTTAGGGAGTACCTTAACGAGTTACAGGGGACTTCTTTCCCTGTAGCTGAACAACCAATGCTGGGCCTGACGAATGTACAGCCATGACGCTTCATGACGAGGGATGAATTCCGGGGGAATGCCGTCGTCGCCAATGCGCTCCATTGGCTTCCAGAGAAGTCGTGACCCAAGACATCGGCAAAGAGTTGGTGCTCTGGACAAGTGCTTACGGCATGATGAAACAAGTCAAGCGCCTCCTGCCCCCTAGACTTATATGACATAGAATATTGCTGTTTTCGAACAGCTGCAGGCGACGTGCCGGGCTGTCACCTCGATAGAGGGCCTCGCGCGCAGTAGAAACCAGTACCCAGTACTCAGTTCCCAGTACCCAGTACCCAGTATCCAGGAAATCTTGCAGGGCATTTAGTTGGTAGCCCAGGTAGAGCAGCTAGCGTGTCGCTCACCGCAAATCTAATTGAGATCTTGGTCCGGATCACCGTGGCTCAGAAGCCCTGGAACCAGAACTTGGCAGAAGCTACATACCCCCATATCCATATCTATATCCATATCCTTATCTTGTACCGCAATAATGATTGTATGTACTCCATACTCAATAGGAGAACAAGAGCCACAATTCAATTCAATCAAGGAAGCCAGCTCCCGGCACGGGTCGATACGATGCAGCATCAAATACCCAGCCGGCATAAACCTTGAATGCCCAATCCAGTGCGTTGGTGTCTGCGTGGTCCCCTGTGCGAGGGATGATCGCTCCTGGCCTAAAATAGCATGAGCACCTTCAGCCCTCCCTCGTACAACATAGAGCAAACGGCCTGCTTCTGTCAGTCTCGCGTTTCATATGCATGTATGATAAGTCGAATTAGGAGCGCTAATTCCAGTCTGCATCTGCATTGCAAATCTTGGCTCGGTTGTCACATATCGACGAGGCGGAATGGGGAAAAAGAAGAAGAAAAAGGAAAAAAGGCTCTGGACACTGCAAATATGAAGTCGAAGGTCGTGCGGGTGAGTCCCCGACCCTTTAATGGGCTTGCGTGACATCCGGAACCGCTTAGAGCTTCCGGTTGGCCTTGCATGTCGCTAGCCGCTGCGAGTGTGCGGCTCTACATATGCATTATCCCACGATACTGTGGAGTCAGAAGAAGGGCCGGCGATGTCGCATCAGCCGGCAGTCTGCTTGGAACGAACAATTTATTGCATGGCGGTATTCATCGTTGGTTCGCGATGTAGTATTTTGCCATTTTTATCTCAAGGGGCTGTTCCAGCACCAGCCATGACCATGCAAATGCAAATGTTTCTACTCGACCTCGACACATCGCACTAACCTAACAGTGAGCCCCGGACTGCTTGAGAACCCGCCGACTCCACAATGATTCCGACTTCAGTGAAAGTCAAAGCTGCTGTGGTCCGTGACCACCACAACCATTCTTGCTTGGAAATGGCTAAGCAGCAACTTCGTACACTTCTTTCCGGCATCCTCCGCAAACGATAGGAGAATGCATCGTCGCTGGTGCCAGTCACGTCTTCCGTGGCCCGTTATGTGTGTTCTGATTCTGGCAAGTGATGCAGGCCGTACTAAGCGACGAACGCTAATCGGACTTCATCTGTGATCGTAATTTAGCTCTATTTATCTCGTCGTTATGATTGGTCAGAAACCCACTCGGCCGTTGTGGGAAGCTGGCTAGTCGCGATGGTGCTAATAACGAGATGAGCACACAAGCCCACCGCTGCGAAGCAAATTGCGAGCCGTCGGTAACGGGTACGACTTAGGCATTTAGTACTTCTCAATAGGGGACTTTGAGATTACAACACATGGCCATCGTCTGAGTCGTAGACTGTGTGTACCATGAGCTTCCACGCGCAATGCAAACCTGCTACTACCAGCTCGCCTGGGGGCACCCGCAAGGTTTGATGGATCACGCAACCATGAGACCATCGATTGGGAACGATCGCCCGCCATGAAGCCGTCCGTGTTCACTTGACGGTAAAAGAAGCGGTTAAGGTGTACATGACGTTTTGTAGGTCTATAAACAACCTATTGATGTATGCATCGTCCTAATAGTCAGCATATATGATTACTGCCGCAACTGTTCAGTTGTCAACTTCTTGCAATTCTTAAGGCTCTGTGCCCTTCAGATGAATCTAATGCAGAAATTCTAAGGGCTGGTGGTACTAGTATGACCATGCGTACCAGGATGTCTGCAACCTCATCTGTCACAAAGATTGAGCACTGGGCCCCATATGCTGGTGTCTCGATGGGCTTTCTCATGCACCCATGAAATCGCAAGCGCTCAGATTAACAGCACGACTGATTCGAGCGCGCCGAAACAGCTTTGAAGTTTCCAGAAGGAATTAAGGTCACATTTCGTGCGTACGGGCCCAAAGGGATTGTACAGTTCTCGGTTGTGTGTACCATCGCCGAAAGCAGCTCCACTTGTTTAAATCATGCCAGGCACGTAACTCCAAAGGCCGCTGCACGGAATGAGGTAAGCTCGATCGATAGTTATACTATGGAATATAATCGCCGAATTTCCACAGCCAGGTGTCGGGTTCTCCGCAACAGCCTGCTCAGGCTCTTTGTTAATACTGGCCAAGAATCAGGCAAACACGCCGGGTTCGAGGAAACCATAGATGAAGTAGTATACTATAGGGGTGATGTGGCAAATTAGAAAACCCTTGAAAAGGGATATTTCCGTGGGTCTGTGGATCCATAGCTATGTAAACAGTGGTTATTACTGTTTACTTTCTCCAGAACTCGTGGCGATGCTTCCAAAGGTCTTCCTTTGTGTCGCTTAGTCAACTGTTTGCTACACTGATTGTCTCGTTTATATGCACAGCTTCTCGGAGACTTGATGACGTGCATGCGAACAGCAGAAGCTCCACCCTATAAGGACTCCGACAAGATCACCCGGGTCGCACAACCCGTACTTTCCAATACTCATTACTTCCTATGCCCTAGAAAAGTCTTTGCTTCCACTTAAAGACACGTACTTGGAGTATGTATCATATCAGGAGAAAAGGTTTTGTGAAATACCCTGACGTACTGCCTAGACTTGGTTAGCATTAAGAATCTGTCAGCGCCCAAATTCGAGCGAAAAATGATCCAAAATCTTGTAATGGAAGAAGGAAGGCTAAACACTGTTCAGTTGCTAGTTGGTGGATTTGCCCGGCGCAATTGATTTGGACAAAAGTTACCTAAAGCCCCCTGGGCCGCGGGCTTTGTCGAGAGGAATGGCAATGGCCTGATCTTCCACCTTCACGGGGGCCCAGGTGTTGGGAAGACATTCACAGCCGGTACAGCAATATGTGCTCATTTACCTATTTAACGAATTCTGACTATTATTAGAATGCATCGCCAGCGTTCTAGAGGGACCCTCTATGCTTCTTACAAATACAGACATCGGCACTACCGCGGAACTAGTTGAAAAGAACCTGAGACGTGCTTTTCAAACGGCTAAGAGCTGGAATGCCGTATTTCTAATCAATTAAGCAGATGTTTTCATTGCGAATCGGACAATCAAGAACTGTCACAGGAGCAGTTTGGTAGCAAGTATGCCAACTTCACTCTTTTTGGGCACAATTATGTTTTCGTCAAAACTCTTAAAGCATAACTAAAAAGTTCCTAGGTTTCCTCCGTGCAGTGAAAGAGTATTTGCGCTCCAAAGAGATGCAGAATTTGGAAATGAATGGCCGAGAGATCCACAATGGTAAGCCAGCAGTCCCATGGCGCATTTCTGAGATACCGAACTGACTCTGTGAACTACCTTTTAGCATTCCAAAAAGCCGTTACCTTGGCTGGGCACAGCGCAGAGCAAGGTGAAGGTGGCAAGACTGTCCTTACGGAAGAACATCTCCGAAGTGATACAACTTCATCAATCTTTCAAGACATATTTCTCAGACTTGCACGGATCAGAAGGCTGTCGGGCCCTCAATTGAGGCGAGCGCTTAGATTTATTCATGAAGGCGATTGAAAAAAATTCGGGATTAAAGCACGCCGTAGGGACTGCGAAAAGATGAAAGTGAAGCTGGCAAGATTGCGCAATCGTTTGTGCACCCTAGTTTCTCACCAGAACTCTACTAGAATATTTTGAGACCAATGGAGACAGTGGGGTTTATTTTATTGTTACTCAATACATTTGGATCATTGCGACGAGTTTACTAAGATTTTATATTCACATCCACAAGTTTAATTTTGGTAAATTGTTATAAGTCCCTGGTAAACGTTTTGATCTTCTACGTCAGGGACTCATTCATTCATTTAGAGAAGCATTTCCCAGTGATCAAGACGCTCATATAGAATATAGACAGGGCTATAAAAGGCGACCTAGGACCAGTGAAACTGGACGTGAGGACCTGGTATCCGCTCTTAAGTCACTATACAAATAAGCAAACCTTTCCCGTGAAGAGCTCATTTTACCCGTAATATTTAAAGGACTGTCACCTATCGCAGACCCAAAAACCGCCCGTCAGTACCTTGAAAGCTTTCCCACATTGTGGCTTAGAGGGATCATGTCTGGAGCGATGATTTATTGGACGGTTCGAACATCGTTCTTGGATCATATGTAGCGGTCATTAACAGAACATGCTACATTTTAGGCGATGAATTCAGAATCATTTGGGCTCTATTTCTGCCTCACGCAACTTGGTCACGAGGACAAACGTATATCTACGTCAAAGTATAAGCCCCATTATCAATTAGCAAAGAAGCCCAAGTAATTCTTCACAGAAACGTTGGCGTTGAGGACTTATAAAGACAGTTTATCATTAATCATTCCACGCTAGAGACGCTACTACACCGCAAACAACATACTATACACATCGCGAACCATTGGCAGAAAGACGACTATCCTCCCTTGAGTAGGCTATCATCTTCCACGTTTCTTCTTCCTACGTGGTCCAATACGCCCATTTCTCTATTGACATGTTACCCATCACTTGGATGGCGAGGGTGATAGAGCGGGAATTGATGTCCGAGTAACGAGACATTTCTGTGGAAAATCTGGTGACACTCGTCCTGAAAACTGCTGAAGAGTCGCAGAGTGAGAACCCACACATCGCTGGCGGGACTGGCGTCTACAGGTGTGTACCGCATCAATCTAGAGTTGAATAGAAGGTGACTTTTGAGGATCTGCCATCTCCTTCTGAACAAGTATGGGTCAGTATTACTGTACATGTGAGGCTGATAAGTCGAACACCTACTGGTAGGACAGTATTGTCCGCTCATATCCATTAGCTATCATTCGGTTTGCAATGAACTCCCAATTCGCCTGATTGACGTCGCCAAGAAATTCGTTGGAATCTGGTTCTACTTGAAGGTCGCCGATAGTAGCAATGTGGATGAGTAGTCTCGCATCTTCAATGACTTCCCATGGCCTGCCTATTTCAATGTGAGAACTGCCTGTTGGGTATTGAGAGGTGCCGTTCGTGATAGGCGCCGGGATACTGGGAATAGTTTGGAAAGACATGATATTTTGAAGTCGAAATATATGTACTGTTGATGAAAATGTAGAACAATAAACGGCTTTACTGAACCAAAGCGTACGTGAATGTATGAAGAACTTGCTTTGTGTTTGGTTGAAAAACTTCAAATGAGTCCGGAAGGTTTTATCATCGAGCGTAGAGTTGACTTGTACTGGAAGGGGCGCTCCTGCCTTGATCATTCCTTATGAGTGACGAGAGAAGAACGTAACTTCCAAGTACCATACAAGGAAGCTACAGTGGAGATTTTCTCCATAATCGTAGTCGTTTTGGTAAGCATGTCATGTGAAGACATCGTACTTACGATGAAACAAATTAAGAGACAGGCATGCTGTAGCACATCATCTAGACTAGCGATTGCTCGACACATCGGTCTTGGGAGACCAGGTGAGCATTTCAATCTTCTCCATCCATGTAAATATAAATCAATTCCCAATGTTGCAAAAAGGAAATGAAGGAGAGAAAGAACAAAGTGGCGGTGTCAAAATTCCAGACATATCAGTTACTGGTAGGCAACTTGGACTCGTTCTACGTACTGAGTCTAGGCCTGGGCTCATGTATAGAGCTGACTTGTTTGATTCTTAGCAATGACTTGACAACTTAGACAAGTACCGGGTCACTCCATACAAATATCTTAAATAAAGGTCAAACAAAAAAGTCTAGGAAGCACATAACCAATCTCAATTGTGCAGATTTCCACTGTTCCTGCAACGGAGACGCGGAACAATTGGCTGATCGCCTTCGAATAACTTTGCGGGAGAATTCCGTTTAGTCTATGCCGAAACACACGGTGCGGGATGCGGGATGGGCAGGCTAAGGACTCGAATATTCACGAACTTGTACAAACCCAGACTGGGATTAAGCCCACCTGTATTACCCAATTTTATATTATGTCATGCTGCTAAATGTCAGCTATGGATCACCTGTTCATTTGGTGGCTTTCGAGACTATTAATGTTATACTAGTAAAAGTTCGCTGGGGATTCAACCTAGCCTTCGTGAACTTCAGTACGCGCCAATTGCATGAACCAAATTCGAAACTCAACTCGGTTTAGTCATTTTTACGGAGGAACGATTTTAGTTTCAGTTTGAAGGATGCACGCGATTTGGCCAGGATGGGGATCAAACTTTTGTGTGGGTTACGGAAAGCTTCCGAGAAGGACTTCGAGAATCCTAATGATATGTCGTGCATACCATGGTTTATTCATAAAAAGTAAAAATAAAAAAAAGCTTTTCATCGTGTGTCCATCGTAGAAGAATGATTAGGCAGGCACAACATTTCCTGGATAAACCTCCCCAATTTCCAAAAAGCTACGCTTCCAGTAAAAAAAATACAGGCGCCATTGAACTGATTTCTGCACGAATGTAGAAATCAACTTGATATGCAGAGATCGGCAGTAGCGTGGACAGGTACAGTTGAAGTCGGGCATGTATCGCATCCCCGCTCCGCCGCATAATGTCGGCTTCCCCTCCTTACTGGCGGACAACTACCCAGCCGCCAGCCACAATATTTACCAAGCATTTATCGCTGGAGTTTATCGGGTGGTAGATCGCAGAGGCTGAAACATTTTCGATATAGTTCCCGCAGTGACATTCTCCCAAAACCCCAATGGTTAATTCAAGGCTCGACGTTTCACAAAAGACGCCTCGATCGTCGGAAGTAAACGTGTCTCGGACACCACGCCAAGACTCGACCTCTATAAACAGCGATGCCCCAGACGTCTTCCAGAAAGCTAACATTTGAAACAGAATAATCAGAATGTGCTCTGTATTCAATATGGCACACTACAGAATCGCAGCTTTTGTCGCTGTAGCGGTAGTATGTGTTCGAGTGTTTCGTCCATGATTAAACTAGAACTAACGGCGAGTTCAGATCAAGGCAGTTGCGGCTGCTGCTGGTCCATGTCTTGCTACCGCGTCTTGGGATGACACTCGGCTCGATGTGTTTGCCCTCGCACCAGACGCTTCGATTGGACACAGATACTGGGTCGGGCAACAACCCTGGCAGCCGTCCTACGGCATTGAACGACTGCCATCGCAAGCCGGCAGTTGCCCGTCTGTCACCTCATGGGGGGAGGGCCGTCTAGATATAGTGTATACCAGCAGCTCCGGTAAGGATGTGCTGCACAAATATTACGGTGGCGGAAATTGGGGACCTTCGTGGGAGGGAGAAGAGAGTTTAGGCGGGAATTTCACTGTTGATGCGGTTTCGTCTGTCTCATGGGATGAGAACAGGTTAGATATCATCGCGAAATCCAACGGTGCTTACTTTCACAAAGCGTGGACTGGAGATGACTGGTTTCCGCAAGGAAAGGCCTGGGAGAACTTTGGCGGCGAGTTCATCAGTAACCCAGCCATTGTCTCATGGGGCAACGGACGTCTTGATATCATAGGACTAAATGATAATGCTTCGCTCCTCCACAAGTATTACGATCATGGCTGGTCTGAGTGGGAAGACCTTGGGGGAGGTCCGTTCATTGGCAACCCAGTCGCGACGTCTTGGGGACAGGGCCGGCTCGACTTCTGGGCAATCAGTTCAGATGGCGAGCTAAATCATATCTACTACGCTGGAGACAAATGGTCAAAATGGGAGGACCTTGGTGGTTCATACACCGATACTCCAAAAGTGGTGCACTGGAATGTGGGTCGTATCGACATCGTCGGTAAAGGTCAGGATGACGATTACTATCATCTTAAAAGCTTTGATGGCTCGCAGTGGAACCCTTCCAACAAAGATTGGTATAACCTTGCCGGACCGTTCGAGTCGGAACCTGCTTTGGTTGCCAAAAATGGCACGAGTAAGTGAAAGATCAAACACCTGGATTTTTTGAGCTAACCAAGTATCAGATTTTCTGCATGTTTTTGGTGTGGATGATAAAAATGAGGTTAGGATGCAAATATGGTCTGGGTACGAATGGCAACCATCTTACAACGAGACTTGGTCTTTAGGAGTTTTGCCAATCCAAGCTGATAGTTTGGTCCAAAGCAACGGCCAAAAGGTTCTTAAAGGGTCAGAACTATGACGAAGGAGTACTTATTAGGTCTACTCTCTAACCGTCGCGGACAAGGAAAAATGTACGACCCTCAGGATCGGTAGGACAAGCTCTCCAAAGCATATACGCTAACTACAAGGATCTGTTCTCCGTAAAGCACCTAGTATTCCATAGTCATAAATGCCTAATCAATCATGAAATTACTGCAGTACTCATCAATGCATTATAGGGAGCTAAGACCCCCGAATCTATACATGTTGGCTAAGAGCGAGATCGATCAGAGCTTTAATTCTACCTCATATGGGACCACCTTTCCGGCAGAAAGTTGCTCCACAAGTTGGCATTATTTCAACTTCCTTTCACCACATTGAGAAGCACTGTTACATACTTTGTAGACCATTGCAGAGCTTCCATCACCGTAGAGAACAAAAGCCATAAGTTCGGTGTCTTCTTCTTACTCCTGCGGGAGCTGTGATGCATAATCTGGAAGGAGACACTACATGATGAAGGAAGGAAGCGCATTATGTATTTACATGCGACGACAAATATTGGTCGAGCCAAGCTAATTTATGATCTAGTTTCGCCTCTTATTCGAGTCAATCATGAAAGCCAGCTCTGCGCAGTCTGAAACTACAACATGAAGATCGAAGGGCTCGACAAAATGAACTCTTACAAGCCTATTGTGTCGTCTACGTCAGTCTGCAGCACGATGTTCTTGCATTTTATGAAGACCGTGCGTACGGGGCCAGCATGGCTACAGGACTGGACACCACCAGTAAACCTAGGTACGTGGGTGTGAGCCCAAGGCTTCAACGAAAGGACCGCCGTGTGGGATCCCGAAGTCAGTGATTATGCACCCGACTACTAGCGGGTCACCGACCAGCGAGCAGTGTAGTTGGTGGTTGTTTTCTCGGAACAATGCTATACAGCAGTAGTAGCCACGTTGTTTTGACGTTAAGCATTGCTCTCCAGGTCTTTCTTCTCTGCATCCTTTGCCTCCCTTCTCTTTCTCTCCTCTTCTCTCCAGCTCTTGCCTTTGAACAGCACCAGCCACAGACACGGGCTAAATACCAACCATACGCCGGAAATGAAGACACCCATCCAACCTACTCCAATCTTCTCTATCATGAGCGGGGCCACCGCCGTGCCGCCCGCACTGAACAGACATCTAAACAAGTTGTTGGCCGCTGAAGCCGTAGCCGGGGTGTCCTGATGCGTGTCTACGATCAATGTATTCATACCCTGCAGGGCGCCGCTGAAGAACAGACCTTGGAAGAACAGAACCACCTCGATACCAGCTAGACTAGTGTTTGAGTTCATCGTCCAGGCGTAGGCCAGCACAGTGCCGCATGAGATGTAGACCATTGGTATACAGATTTCGAGACGGATACGCTCGATGGGGAAGACCTCTATCTGCTGTTGTTTTGACATGTCAAGTTCGATGCCCAGCTTGCGAGCGTGGCGGCGGAAGTTCCAGTCGAAGAGCTGCCCGGCCGTCCATCGCGAGATGAGGGAGCCAAAACCGAGCGGTAGATAACACAGACCGATCTTGATGGAGTCAAAACCAAATCGGCTCGCAAGCTGTTCCGAGAGAGTCGTCATGACCATCTGCCGGGAAGATTAGTATATGGATACGATAATTTCCATGGCTGGACAGATACAACTTACGAAATAACCAGCAAACAACAGAGCGCCAAAACCCAGAGTGATCCCACCCTCAGGCTCAAATAGGATCTTTAATGCGCTCAACGGGTTGGGTCTTTTTCTAGGCTTCGTGATGGTCTCCGTTCTCTCCTCGATCTGTGTGGCCCCACTCCTAACGTTCAACCACTGCACCAGGCTCAAATTCCACTTCTGGGGCCGGACACTGCCGTTGCCGACCACCGCACGGCAGGTCTCCGGCATGAGGCACGCCACGACAACCAGTAGGACGCCTCCGAGCGCCATGAGGAACCAAAAGATACTCCGCCAGCCCGCATACCCGGCCAGCAGCCCTCCAAATACAGGCCCCAGTGCCGGCCCGAGAGAGATACCCAGTGACGACCACCCGATATAACTTCCCCTCTCGGCCCTCGTCACCATATCGCTCACCACGCCGCCCGCTAGGGCGATGGTGGCGGAGCTGCCGGCCGACTGCAGGCAGCGCAGGACCATGAGGGCCGGGTAGCTCCACTGGAGGGCGAGGGCGAGGTTGGCGGCGACGTAGATGCCGAGGGCGACCAGGTATGCGGGCCTGCGGCCCCTGGTGTCGGCCAGCGAGGCGATGAAGGACGGCGCCAGGCCCTGGAAGATCTGGTACGTGGTGATGGTCAGGTTGACGAGCGAGACGCGGACGCCGAGGTCCGCGGCGATGTCGTTCATGGCCGGGAGGTAGATGGAGCCCGTCAGGGGGCTGACGAGGCCGATGATGGAGATACAGAAGACCATGAGCCGTTTCTGGGAAAGGGTCAGGACCGTGTAGGGGGCTTCTTCAGCTTGCTGAACTGGGATTCCTGTTTCCGTCCCATTGGCTTTAGGGTTGACGGTGCTGTTGGGGCTAGATATCTCAATTGTCTCAGAGGCGATGTCATCTGTGGTAACCGGTAGTTCTTGACTGGGCCTTTCAGACACATCGAGACTTTTGGATATATTCTCAGAACGAAACCGGGTCTTCTCTGACTCAGACCGAGAGGAGCGGGTTGCGGGACGAGAAGACGGCTCCGTCTTGGCACCCAATATGCCGGCAGTAGTCCGTTTTTCGGCCGCCATGGTGACTAGGAAGTTCCTACCAAAAAGTTCTGAAACCTCAAAATGTTGAATTGATTATTTCAAAGAGTAAAGTAATTTTCAGTGTTAACATCACCGTCGGGTTTTCACCGTCTATTGTGTAATTTGTAGCCGAGCCGACGTCGGCCCCGAGCACATTCTTGGTCAAGTGCACGGAAGTCGGCAAGGATACAGTGCTGTGGTAGTTAGATGCTATGGATATGCTTTCGAGACCATTTGCCAGGTGGCATGGAAAGTTCGATCCTTCGTTTTTGAGAGGACTTGTGTTACTTGATTCTCATCTATCCATTCTTCTATACCCTTTCCCCACCCCAGGTCGTTGCAACGCAGCCCCGGATCATTGACGTTGGACGGAACGACCAGCATCACAACCGTGCTAAACCAGTTCAAGGTAACAATTGGACATTGAAGAAGTGCGAATAGGATGTTATGACTAGTTCATCTACTTAAGCATTGCCAACTCCAATCTCATGCGATTGAATCTTTATCTTGGTTGCAACAAGTGCATCGCCATATGCCTCACCAAGATGTGCTATGCCGTTCTAAAGGCCTAGAGATTCGATTAAGCATAAGCATGCCTAGGATTAGTCTAGTCTAGACCAGATCGCATGAAGTTGTTGATCACTAATGCGTGCTTGAATTTTGTACAGCATGCAACAGAAACTCGTTATATGATCCTATTCAACAGTTTCTCGTTGCATCTTTAGTGATATCTTTATCGTTGTTCTTCGCCGCGCTCTCTTGACGAGAAACATGTCTGTCAAGAATGATATATGCTGATAATATTTAACAAAATACGGATCCGTACAATGAGTGGGCAGAAGCCTCCATACATGCTTGCCCCACCTAAAGTTCTCACTTTTCTATCTTCAAGAGTGACTTAATTCCAATATGACTTAGTCTTACTCGTCTCCTGGAAGTTCTGTGGTTAGACTAGTTTTCGAAGTAAGGCCTTCTCTATTCTCCCACATATAGGCACTAATCTGACATACGGAGACTTTTGCTCGATCAGAGTACCTTGTATGGGAAATAAGTTCAAAGCCAGGTGCTACACCCGGGGTTAGCACGGAAGTAATCGGAAACCAAACGGACGTAGTGTAGGGGTATAATAGGTCATTACAAAGAGTTAGTGGCATGCTCGTTATTAGTCGTCTGAGTTTTCCCTACAGAATGGTGTAGATATCTGTGAAGCCATTTGTCATAAGGGCGCAATTGACACGCCTCTGCAGCGGGATTACTCAGGGCGTATGATGGACTCCACTATGATCGACTGCCAACGGAGGGCGGGGGCCCAGCATTGGACTCCCCTCAATCCATACATATAGCCGAGCCATTCTGCTCTCTATAATGTTGCGCCATCAAGGTACATACTTTTTTCGCGGTAATTGTTCGAAGTTTTAGTGAACAGCAGAACTAGACACCAACGAAACGAAAATGAGTTCAACTAGAGGAAGCTGCCTGTGTGGGGCCATCCAGTTCGAGTTTACAGGTATATGCGCACCGACCTTGCGGGCTACCTATTCGTTGGCTCTTACTTGTGCAATTCTGTTCTGACTTCACAACTCCAGGTCAGCCAGAAGCCACGGCGCTCTGTCACTGCAAGGATTGCCAAAAGGTAGAACCTCTGGGCCGTCCGCCCTTCGTTTCCTCCCCCCTCGGGCCGAACTAATCTGTTTTCTTTTCCTCCCAGTGGACCGGATCCGCCTATACCTCCAACGCAGTGGTGCCCAGGAAGTCCTTCAGAGTCGTCAAGGGTAAGCACGTTCCCGGCTTTTTGAGCCACTGCATCTCCCCGGCGCATGACCGAGTCTGACAAGAGGCTGTCTCCTAACCGGTACCAAAAGGCGAGCCGAAATGGTACGACGCCACGGGCGCGTCGGGCAAGATCAACAAGCACTTCTTCTGCGGCACGTGCGGGTCCAGCCTGTACACGGAGCTGGAGATCATGCCCGACGTCACGTGCGTCAAGGGCGGGAGCCTGGACGGCGGCGCGGCGTCGCTGGGCGGGGAGATCGGGGCCGAGTTCTATGTCGGCAGTCGTGTCGGGTACCTGCCGGAGATCCGGGGGGCGAAGCAGGAGCCTGCCTTGGGTTGAGATGCAGCGCGCCGCTCTCTCCTGAGGAGCTGGCTGCAAGAGGCTTGAGTTGTTGATTGGAACGTTGGATATGTTGGCGCTCAAAAATAATAATCGTGGATCTTAAGCTAGTAGAGACAATTGATTGTGATAGTCAAATCACTGGGTAACAGTATGATGCTGAAAAGAAAGATGATACTGGTCTAAAGAACAAAAGTAGTGCTAGCTTGAAAACACAACAGCCTTTCGAGTCCAAGTATGACCGCCAGTCGACCCGTTTTAGGTTGTGCGACGTAGTCTTTGAATTTGTCACCGAGTTTCTGACCAGGTAATGGATCCAGCGCTGACGAGTGTTAAGTTTAGGGCGTTCCGATCATGAACATAATCGCCGACACAGGGCTCAGCACGACAGCCCGGGACGTAAATGGCACAGCTGAGTATATGGCGTGACGTCTACGGCCAATGAGGCCCAGAATTGGCGGTAAGGACTTGATCTTGGCACTGGGCCGAGTGGATGACATGAATGGGACACTCTATACTGCGAAGCAATGTCAAGGTTAGTCCAGGGCAGATATCACACAACGGTCTTTGGACGCAGAGAGGAGTAATTGTAGAAGTCAGATTCTAGTGTCATTACTTTTTGACCATCTATGGTACTGGCCGTACATCCGACAAGCAAGCCAGGGTATATCCTTATTATACATTTTCAGTCGTTGAGTGGGAAAGTTACATGAATATCCATCATACACGGGCCCGAGCTGGACAAGTCCAAGGGGACATGGCGTCTGCGCGGTGCCACAATATCATACAGAACCTCTGGGCCAGTTGGACATTTAAGCGTCAATGAAGCCCTTGACGTTCTTCAGCCAAGCCTGGTACTCCTTCTGCTCCTTCAGGTCCATGTAGTCAGGGACGAAGACAGCGAGGGCCTGGGTAACGCCACGCTCCTCGAGGTATCGCTCAAGAAGGATCTGGAGATCCTCGTCGAGTGTGCCAAAGGGAGGGCCGGGGAAGACATCCTGGGCGCGGTGGGAAGCGTCGGCGTCGGTGCTGTGGGCCAGCTTGGCGTCGTCGTAGTAGTAGAAGTTCTCGACCATGATCTGGCCGTCTTGGGCGAGGGCCTCGATGTTCAGAGCACCCTTGCCTTCCTTCTCGACAACGACGTTCAGACGGCAGGGAGGAGCGGCGTCGCTATCCTCGCCGTCGAGGCCCTCCTCGGCCTCCTCGACGGAGCGTTCGGGCTCCTGGTTCTCGAACTGCTCATCGGTCATGGCGTCATCCTCGTTGTACATGTCGGGCTCGTAGTTGGTGAGGTCAGAGATGGAAAAGGAGACGGTAATGCTGTTGGTGGAATATTAGCATGTATTCGCAACGGGTCTGGGGTTTGGAGTTTGGATATTGGATTGGGCATGGGAGTGGAGTACTTACTTCTCGTTGCCGAACTTGCGCTTCAGGACGACATCCTCTTTGCCGAGAGTGTCGATGAGCTCGAAGGGGCTGTTCTCGAGGAAGTCCTTGACGCTGGCGGGGGTAGGTTCGCTGTCCTTCAACTCGTTCTCGTACTGCAACTCGCTCTCGAGCTTGGCAGACAGCTCCTGGTCCACCTCACCGGCGGGGGCTCTCCTGAAATGCGTCGTCGAGAACGCGGATGTGAACTGTGATGATCGGAGGGGTGCCCATGATGTGGACTTGAGGAGAGAGCCCTGACGAGCCACCGAGGGTTGCCGCAGGGCGGCAGAGCTGAGACGGGCGGCAGCACGGGGCGCCGAGCGGGCGAATGCTCTCATGGACATCATATTGATATGTGGGCTGTTGGGAATGTTTGATGGAGGATTGATACAAGGTGCGGTGATGGATCGGTGAGAGAAGTTTGGTCCTGACTTTGAGAAGCTTGCGACAAACTTGAACATGTACGGAGCAGCAGGTGAAGCTCCCAAAAATTTTGGAGAGAGGATAAGGGGGCACGGGCCTTGCACCTGGCTTATCGCCAGCAGGAACCAATCCTAGGTGGCGTTAGTGCAGACGAAGACCCTTGGAAAAACATTCAAATCCACAATTAGGGGGTGGGGACTGTCAACTGAGTCTTTCCTTCTTTCCTTCTTTCCTCCTGGACTACTAGTACACAGTAGTCTAACCTAACCTAGGTAGTCTAGTCGAGAACGATTTATTTACTTTGTCTAGCCTAGGCTAGGTCAGTTAGTAAATATAACAAGTAAACATGACCCGGACACGCCACACTTGCAATATTCTACTCTGCACCCAGCCTCGTGCACGAAATGTATTTGCATCACATCAACCCATTGCGTTAGAGCATTCACCAATCTTTGCCCTTATCGAGCACCATCGATAGAATTATACACCCATGCCGGCGATTATTCATTACCCTATACTCCGTCACCGTTTCCCCCTCCCCCCGTGTCCCTATAATCACTATAAACTCCTATGGCATGCGTGCAGCAATGCAGATATAATCTCAGTCCATGCTTGCTTCCCCAATCGCCCAAAGATGCATCAAACCCGATTTCTCATGCAAACAAAAACCGCGAGAGGTCTATCTTTCTGGGCTGGTCTGTTCGCTTGCCCATGTTCTCCTGTCCCTCGTCTTCGTTTTCGCTTTCCGGTACTATCATGTCCTCGCTCCCCTCCGTCTTATGGAGCGCTTCCACTTCTGCCAAGTCCATCCGTGGTAGCGGTACAAATGCTGGGTTGACCGGAAGGTTGTCCAGGCTGCGTCGCCCTGCACTGCTTCTCTTTTTCAATGCTTGCGGAACAGCAAAGGTAGGTGTGGCCGGCTGTGTGACTCCCTTCATTGCTCGAGCGCCTAGTCGTTGCAGCGGCGTCATAAACGGCGTTGCAGGCGTGGACATTGCCGTAGAAGCCGCCCCTACCGACGATGTCAAGGAACCAGGCGTCGACTCAGCACTCCATGACCGAGCCGAAGAACTTGGCGTAGGTCGAGCATAAGATGTACGCCGACCTTGAGAAGAGCTCGACGCCGATGCTGATGTGGCGTGAAAGGCAAATTGGCTGATGGCCGGTTGGAGGGGCGTCTCGGAGGCTTCGGCCTCGTATGCTGAGGCTGATTCCACAACCTCGATGTCGTCTCTAGAATTACTGTTTGTACTTTGTTGCGACTGTTCCTCGAATACGAATATCTGGCTGCCTTTCTGTGATCTTTCCCACCCGTCCATCTCCGGAAGGTCCCGTAGGACATCCTCGATGGAATCGTCCGACATCAAGTAACCCTCCGATTTTCTCATGCTCGTTCTCTTCTTGCCCGTCGGGAAAAACTTGCTCGTCTCCTGGCCAGGCAGGCTTGCTAAAAGTGCGTCATCACATAGCCTCGCTTTCTTGGGCGGACGAGCCGAGACATTTCCGCTGCTTTGAGGCCCTGGGCCAGATGGTTGGCGTGTTGGACCTGCGGTCTGGCGTCGTGAAGTTGAACCTAGATTGGTGCCAGCATCAATGAGCAAGCTTGAGATTGGCTCAGTACGGCGGCGAAGATTGCGTGATGCCGATGAATCGTGCCGCCGGTTGGTGTAAGGACGAGCAGTGGTGGTTGCCGGGGCGCTCTGCTCGTCGACATAGGGTCTAGGTAGAGGGAAGATAATTGGGCGTTGGCCATTCTCTGTCATGTCTGCTACCCGATCGGGATCAGGGATGAAGCAGTTGGGGTCCATGTTGCCAAGGGGGATTCGCCCATCCTTTTTGAAGTAAGAGTCGATGGGTTTCTTGGGTGTGGGCGCAGGTAGTGATGCTTGAGCTGACGAAGAAGCACGACGCTTCTTTGAGCCAGGCGAAGGCGGCACGACTATGATGTTCTGCTTGGTGATCGGGTTGATATCACCCGTGGCCATTCCCTTTGCAACAGAAGCCTCAACATCTGCACCTATATAAGGCATGTCTTCGATATTGAGATCCTCGGGTAGCGGAGTCAGGAAAACCTGTTCCTCAGCATTGGGACAGTAAACGCGTTGATAAAGAAAGGTGCGTTCTGCTTGTCGAAAATCCTCGAGGAAGTTGGGGGCACGCGAAGTTTGCCTTCGAGGAGAATCCTCGAGATGACTTTCTCCGGGGTCTTGAACTTTCGTAACATTCGGTAAGCAGTCTTCAGACCGAGACCCTCGATGCCACTGAGATAGTCGCAACCTCGGAATATGGCCATATGGCGGAACTGTGCGTCTGTCCAGTCCGCCATGTGCAGGTCACGACATGCAGAGAAATCCCGACGGTTGATCTCGATGCACTGGCCATAGTCGTCGAGTTTGGTGAAGAGTCGCTTAGCGCCGAAGACCAACAGGTCCGAGTCCTCGGAGAGGATACCATCGACTAGACCTTGGCGCTCAAGGTAGACCATTTGGGGGTCTGCTTCGTAGGGTGCAACGACATACGGGAGACCTAGCTTCTTCAGCTCCTCAATCAGATTCCGGGCCATCTCGGGCGATATATCGACAGCTTTCTGCAACTCTTTATGTGCCAACGATGGCTTCCCGGCTTTCAAAAGCTCCATGCCAGCCTGGCGGCTTTCTTGACGGCGCTTCCGTCGATGTGCTTCCTCATCAGACTTGCTTGGTAGATAGCCTCCGTCGAAAACCAGATATGGTGTCACACCGAAATGCTGCATCATTTTCACGCGACGCAAGCAGTATGTGATGTACTTCTGGGTGGGCTTGCCTTGGGCCAGTTCGATAGCACAGGCTATCGCGCCGCGGTGAAGCCATCCGTAGGCGTCGACAGCCAAGGTCTGTCCAGCATGCTTTTTGAGCTCAGTGGGACGCTGGATGGACTTGAGAAGCGGTAGCAGGCCTTGGACGCCCATGGTGGGTAACGGGTGCAGAGAGCAGACCCTGGCGGCGGACGGTCTGAACCACGAAGAATGATCACGGAATAGCAAGGTCCATTGGTGAGTTGTGTGCTGTTCCCGAGGCGATAGTTTGCGGTTTGGAGGCCAGGTGCATATAGGTTTCGTCAGCGATGCGCAGAGATGGCAAGGAAGGCGTTGACGTTGGGAAAGAGCGTGAAGCGCGCCTGGGGTAAATTATCTTGTCGATAAGACGCGTCTAGTCCAACGGATCCGTCCAGCAGGGGACTACTGTAGAGTTAGGGGTTTTGACAAGGGCTGCCGCCAGCTTGGCGCTAATGTAGGATGCTGCCAGGGGCAACCGGCCCTGATAGTGGGGATGCCGAGAGGCCCAAAGCATTTCCGGCAGGTCCTGCTGGCTGAGGCTGATGCACGAGAGGCTTTGCAAGCAGGCAAGGGCCCCGATTTCCAAAAACTGCCCGCACTAAAATAACGGCCCCTCGGTTCCAGCGCCCAGGCTTTTGCCCCACCGAAAAAGATCTTATCGGTGAAGAAAATCGATCTCTACACGGGAACAACTCAACATAGCCATACACGACACAGCAGCACTCGCTTCATATATTGACCATACGCTCGCACCTACGCTCACAATGGGGACCTCACTGGAAAAGACCCGCAAGAGAATTGCCAAGAAGAAGGGGCCCATTGATGCCATCCATCAGTTGTCCCGCGATTCCAAGAGACTCGGTAGAGCGCAGGCCAGAGATGAAAAGCTGGACAAGGTGGCATCCGCCAAAAAGAAGATGAACAAGCCCTGGAGTATGCTGCACACCCGGATCTTTCTCCACATGCTCTCGACGATCTGACAAGTATTCTAGTGGAGCGTGCATCCTATTTCCAGGAAGCCGTCAAGCAAAACGATGGGAAGCCGCTGGACATGGCTGTTATTCAAGACCTTATCAAGGGGTAGGTAGTCGCCCGCTCGTTGTCCTATCATGCCCATCGCACAATGCTGACTCCCACGAAGCTTCGTGCACCAATACGACGAAGAGCTCAGTGAGATCAAGAAGACTCGCAGACCTGGCCGTCCTGCAAGCACCAAAGAAGACTTGCTCAAGGTCAAGATCAGCACTCTGGAAAAAGAGTATCAGTGCGGTTTCTGTGAGTAACCACTATGCGCGCATCCTAGCTGCTCATGTGCCTCGCGTGGTCCCGTGTCACTAACGGCAATTTCAGTGACTCCAGAACTCACCACAGAAGAGGATGCGCAGCGCTTCGAGAAATGGGAAGGCTCTTGGACATATCTGACAGGCTTGAAATGGGTCAGAATCTCGACCGACGGCAAGGTTTCGCAATCCAGCTTCCCCCCGAGAGGCAACTGAGCCACTCCTCAGCCGCAGGTTCACGACGCCCCGGGTTTCGACATCTTCGGCTGATCTTTCTGTTTTAATCACGATTTTCCGGGGCATTGCGTGCGGCGTTTTGGAGTTGCTGATACACAAGCAGTGTGCCATGCCCGTTTCTCGCAACTGATTCGCGACAGCGGTTACCTACAGATATAACATGCAGCAACTAGGCCGTTGGGGTTTCCACCAACGACAGCCCCTCTTCATGCTTTAAGCACGGTTTGGTTTCTGCACGAGGATCTCGAGGTCTCATGTTGGTCCCGGCGCCTTAATGATACTGCGGTGAAGACTTGAATGTTCTATTTCAAATGAATGTCATTGGGGATCCCCCAAGACCACATCAAGATATCCCGAATTCTTGACATCCGTGTCTTCCGCAGTCAAGGTTTCGACGTTGGAGAACTGCGTGTTTATAGGCCAACGATGCATCTGTCGTATCACTACTGTATATACAATGTGGAACGCTTCCGACGTTTATTGGCATTCGTCTGTGATTATGCTTGGCGGTCAGGCAATCTATTTGCGGCAAGTGGGTGCCCGCAAGGCAAAGGCTCAGCCCTGGAGATCCTTGGCGTCACTCGATCGCAGATTCCCGTCTCTTTGACGAGACCTCGCGATCTTGCCGCACCCGAGTCCATGGCATTTGGCTCTGGTACATAAGGTCAGAGCTGTCTCATGGAAGTGCAACATTCCACAACCGTCTTCACCAATCGCATATTATCATGCCCCCGCGGCTAGATGCGAGTAGGACTTGTTCTCCTCCTAGATTCTGAGTTCATGGTACGATGACAGATAAGCTTGCGTTTGGGCGATTTCGTGATACCAATCCAACTGCGGCGCTTGTTAGGCCTGTCGAGCCCAGGGACAAGTCTCGACGGCCTTTTCTCTACTTCTCTATGGGAATTACTATTGGTGCATGGAGGGTTGCCACGAGCCAGGGACCTAGAAATGGCCTGACCTCACGGGCAAGACCAGGATAGGGATGTTTTGCAGGAGCAGTGATATCTCAGTGGTCATATTTGGTATAAATACTAGGCCTGGTGCCTGTTCCCATTATTTTGATGATCTCTGCCCCATATCATATATATCTACCACTCTCATCACTACTTGAAAACAATCGACAGATCTCACTGCTTTTGCCATTCCTCGCCAGACGAGTATTTTTCACGTACGTGTCTACAACAATGATGGTGAACGTGGTGATCTGGTGACCTAGCTGATCCTCACCTCCCCAGCATGTGTAAATATATATCCCACACGCGAGCCTGTTTCATCTGTGGACACGAACACACGGTTCTCATATCCGAAAAGCAATGCTCAACCGCCAGACGCAGCGGCATTTTCGGCAGTTGTGGCAGGGGGATCAGCAGCTATACCAAAAGCACACCACAGAGTTGTTGGGAATGCAAAGAAAACAGTGCAGTGGTATCGAGGGCACACGTTCTGCAGCAGGTTGGCTTTCATTGATTCGAGCTCGCCGGAACAATTCACGCTGCCCTTCTGGGCTGGCACTCTGCGACACTGGCCGGGCTGTACGTCTGACCACATCTACACACAACCACTATCATCGGTGAATTGAGACCCGGGGCAGTATGACTATATTACTTCGGTGCACGGCAGAGAGGCTGGGCTCTGGCGGTGTCAGGACCACTACATGATGACCGATGATGAAAATACCAATATAATGACAACATTCCTCAACACGGTTTAACATCAACTACCAGATTCCGGGACATCACCGATGCGCCTGGCCTGTTCAATCATTTGCTGGGTATTTCTATACGTTGTTCCATGAGGCGGCAGTCGCTTCGCCATGCTCGAGAATGACCTTCAAACCGTTGTCTACACAGTACAGTGTACACGGCTGACGTAGTTTACATTTTGACCCCTGCCAACAATCGTGGCCTGTCGCACTCGTCACAGCGCATTAAAGATAGAGAAGAAAAAGAATGGCATGTTCATCAGGCCTGAGTGCTTTGAGCGCTTGGCCATAGTTCATGACTGCCTGTTGTGGGATTGCTTTCTTAGTCCAAGCGCGTTACACCCATATAGGCCGCCGTCGCCGCCCCCATTACCGAGCCATTACAAGGATCCCGTTCTGGCTAGACACTTGCGGTAGTGGAGGTTCCACCTCTTGGAGCCTGGAAACCATCCGGGTAGCCAGAATCCAGACGCTGCACCGTACAGATCAGATGTGACGAGAGAATGGTGACTCGATGATATAGATTGCGGGAATGTTACTTTGGGGGGCACTGTTGCTTTGCTACGGGGCACTGTACGGTCCGATCATCGTCCAACAAGAGCCCGGAGTTCAGCGCAGTACTGAGCCTGAGCGATGACATGATTGTCTGTCTTATCACTTATCGCCGAAACGGACTAGCCGGCTGAAGTCAAGTGGCAAAGAGGCAATCACGCACGTATTTGGGCTTGCAGTCGCCTGACTCTCGGACTCGATAGTGGGTGGATACAAATCTGTATAAGCGTGACTCAAAAGGCTCCTCCTGGGCACCAGGCTGTTGGATGCCGAACGAGAGCACGACCAGGACCCTGGGAATTGAATCGGAGTGAGTGCTGTGCCTGACGGGCTCCCGGATTTGGCTTATATATCCCCCCATCAAATGAAACTCTCCTTGTAATCTTCCATAGCATGTTTAGAAATCAGATCTGACCAGATCAAGCCAAGTTCAATCGAATCACAACCAGGAACGAACGCGTCTTAGCACCATCCAGTTTGAGGCGACACTCGAACGCAGCGGGAGGAACAACATTCATTCCCCCTTGGGCTTTTGGTCCAACATTGTCCCCCAACATATTCCCCATTATTCATCCAACGTCACAACATCCTGGCATGACCGATGAACTGAACTGAACTGAACTGAACTGAACTGAGCTGAGCTGAACGCACGGATAAGTGGCTGCATTGACTCGATACATAACTACGTCCCAGACCCTGCCGCTCCGCCTTTTGCCCTTCTAACCCTCCTGCCCCTCCTTGAAGCAGGAGCCGGGCCCCCCCCCCCCCCCCCCCCCCAACCGTAAACGTAAACGTAAACGGGAACCCAAGACAAGCATAAGCACAAGACCAGCACTTACCTTGGGTTAGCAAGTCAATCGAAACCTTGACACTCGCCGATCGCCACAAAGCCGGCGACTTGTCGTGTACACCCATCCCATCCTTTCCATCCACATCCATCCAGACTTCACCCCCGCCCTCCCCCAAAACCTCACCCGTTGTCAAACGTCGTCCCGTTTGGCAGCACTCCCACAGAAGCCAAGATTCCGCCGATAACTAGAAAGCGGAAGGCGGCTGAGGCTGCAGCGGCAAGTGCTCCCAACAAGAAGATCGCCACGGTCAAGGACGCCGACATCGAGGCCGAAACTCCTCCAACCCCCGCAACCATGGACTCCGACGAGGACCTCGCCTCGACCCTCGGCTCCGAGGAAGACTTCAATCTCCAAGACGACAGCGACGATGCCGAGGAGTTCGACGCGTTCGACGAGGACCCCGACGACGAACCGGACATGGGATCCGTCAAGGAGTCGAAGAAGAAGGTGGCCTATGACATCAGCTACAAGGTCTATGCACCCGAGGACATCCAACAGCAGCAAAAGGACATGATGGATGAAGTAAATATGATCCTCGAGATGCGTCCCGAGGATGCTGCCATCCTCTTGCGCTACTTCCGATGGAACAAGGAGAGGCTCATGGAGGACTACATGGACAACAGCGCCAAGGTCCTCGAGGCTTCTGGTCTCAGGTCGACTAGTGACAACCTGCCCAAGCTCGAGACCGTCCCCGACTTCATGTGTGACATCTGCTGTGACGACGAGGAGGGCCTCCGGTCCTTCGCCCTGAAGTGCGGACACCGTTTCTGCGTCGACTGCTACCGCCAGTACCTCACCCAGAAGATCCGCGAGGAAGGCGAAGCCGCTAGAATACAGTGTCCGTCCGAAGGCTGCTCACGTATCATCGATGCCCGATCGCTCGATCTTCTCGTCACCCACGAGCTCAGGGACCGCTATCAAGAGCTATTAAACCGCACGTATGTTGAAGACAAGGATATTCTCAAGTGGTGCCCAGCCCCGGACTGTGAGAACGCCGTCGAGTGCGCCATCAAGAAGAAGGACTTGGACAAGGTGGTTCCCACAGTTGCCTGCGCCTGTGGCCACCGCTTCTGTTTCGGCTGTATCCTCAATGACCACCAGCCCGCCCCCTGTGCCCTCGTCAGGCAGTGGCTCAAAAAGTGCGCCGACGACAGCGAGACTGCCAACTGGATCTCGGCAAACACCAAGGAGTGTCCCAAATGCAATTCCACTATAGAGAAGAACGGCGGTTGCAACCACATGACATGCAGGAAATGCAAGCACGAATTCTGCTGGATGTGTATGGGCTTGTGGTCAGAGCACGGCACCAGCTGGTACAACTGCAGCCGCTTCGACGAGAAAAGTGGCCATGACGCCCGAGATGCCCAAGCCAAGTCCAGGAAGTCTCTGGAGCGTTACCTCCACTACTACAACAGATACGCCAATCACGAGCAATCGGCCAAGCTGGACAAGGACATCTACGTCAAGACGGAGAAGAAGATGGTTCAGCTCCAGACGGCTTCCGGCATGTCTTGGATCGAGGTTCAGTATCTCAACTCGGCATCCCAAGCACTGCAGACCTGTCGTCAGACCCTCAAGTGGACTTACGCCTTCGCCTTCTACCTGGCACGCAACAATCTTACTGAGATTTTCGAGGACAATCAGAAGGATCTGGAGATGGCCGTGGAGAACTTGTCCGAGATGTTTGAGAAGCCCGTGTCAGAGTTGGCAGACCCCAAACTGAAGGTGGAGATCATGGACAAGACGGCCTACTGCAACAAGCGCCGCATCATCGTCCTCGAAGACACAGCCGACAACTTGGCAAATTGTAAGTCGATTGATCATTTTTGGCAACAACTCTTGAGCTAACTGGTTTTCTCAGGCCGATGGCAGTTCAGCCTTGATTTGAAGCCCGCGGGTACAGGCAGTCGGAAATAGAGAGAGAGAGAAAGAGAGAGAGACAGAGATACCATGAGTCTTGGCTAAGGTTTTAGATCCCGCCGCTCAATACTTGAGCTTCTGATGATTGAGAATTACGAGCGTCCAGAGGGAAGAAGGGGATAAATCTGCTTCCGGGGCATTACGAGATCACCGAGGTGGTGACAGCGTTTACGGCGTTAGGATTACATAGGGTTGAGCATTTTCGTCAGGTAGCGCTATAATTGGGCATTGCTATTCTCCAATGTCTCTGTATCACGCTCATCACATTTACTACACGACTTCCTATTACGATCAAATCCTTTAGCACCAGACTCGAGTCGCACCTCCGACCCCTTTCAGAAGGGGAGGAAAGGGGAAGGGGGGTGGGGGTGTTTGGGCTCGTCAGAAGCTCTTACATCCGTGTCGAGACCTTACCTGGTTGGTATCCCTCCGGCGCCTCCGTGTCCAAACTTCGTCGCCCTTCCTTGGTCATCATGAAGCTCGAAGTGGCGGATCTCCTCTTCCGGCTAGGTGTGCAATACAATCGGCGTAATGGTGGGGGAGAGCCAGCGAAATCAAAAGTTGCCGGGAGCCTTCGTGAGTGGGATGAACTCGGACAAACGTAGGCAGCTGGTAGAGAGTTTTTGGTAAAATGATTTCAGATAGATGTTGAATGATTGGCAGGTAAATGCAGGTAGATACAGATGTTGAGAGGAGCAGTCAGTGCCATGCATACGTAGCATGGCGCATCAAGCTCAATAGTTTGCATTTCAGAGTATGTAGTGCAATTCAAGAACGATGATTTACACAAACGCTGGGGTAGCTTCAGGCATTTCTGCGATTCGACTTGGGCCCACAGTACAACCCATTCGTAATAGACATGTAACTCAACAGACTCGCCACTCTCTGTTGCACCGCCTACCCTAGAACCTTGTCCGCCAAAGTTTCTGGACGACGTTAGTGAGTACTTCGTGACGACCGAGCGCCTCAGTGATGAGCGCAGTGGATGATATAGCTTACCAGCAGTTCCGGTGTTGTCGGGCTCTACGTGAACCGACTTGACCTTGCCTTCCTCGAGGATCAAAGCGAAGCGCTTGGATCGGCGGTTGCCAAAGATGGCAACGCTGTCGAAATCGAGGTCCAATGCCTTCGTGAACTCACCAGTCGGGTCTCCCAAGAAGCGGATCTGGAGGATTGGATCAGCTGTGGTGAACCATCATGCATACTGAAGGTGTGTTACTTACGCCGGAGTCCTTGGTAGGGTCAAGCTGGTCTTGCCACGCCTTCATTCTGTGGGCAACGTTAGTAGATGCAAGGGCTTGCAGACGATCCTTGGGATAAGCATGAGATCCAAACCTCGCCATATTGCCGACAAGTTCTCGGCACATTTAACTCGACTTGAGGACGAGGCACATCTCATGCCCAAAGGAATATTCTTGAATGGACAACTTACACAAAAGGGTCGTTGACACTGACAACGACAACCTTGCCTCCCTCGGCAATGATCTCAGCGACCTGGGGGTGGTTGATGTAACTGGGGATGTGCTGATTGGAACAGGCGGGAGAGAAGGCAGCCGGAACTCCGATGACGATGCCACGCTTGACATTGGTGAACTCTTCGGCGAGGTTGACCTTGTTACCAGGGCTGTTCTCGACCAGGTCCGTCTGGGGGAGCTTGTCACCTGGCCGGACGAACAGAGAACGCGAGGTGTGAAACTGCGACGCGCGTGTGACGGCTGGAGCCACACGAGGGGCAGCACGCTGGCCCAGGGCACGGGGGAGGGAAGAGAATGCACGAAGAGCCATATTGGTTGTTAGGAATGTGTTCAATGAATGTTGGTAAAATGTAAATAGTACCGTGTAGATAGCTTGAGGGCTAGAGACCACCGAGGTCAATTGAATTGAGCTTGGGGGCTCTCCGGGCCAATGACGCCATGCCTCCGTCAAAGTGCACCGTGCCACGTCCCAGGGGAATGGCGGAATGGAGACAGTGCATTGCGACGCACTAACGTTAAGAGCTGGGGCAGAGCGCGGGGGAGACTGGGGGCCCGGTTGGGGCCTAGACGCCGCTCCCTTTTCTTCTATTAGATCTTTAGTCTAGTGCAGCGCCTGAGTGAGGACCTTAATCCAACCTCAATAAAGAATAACTGCCAAGGCGATGATGTCCCTTGCGGATGGTCTTGAACATGGACTGTGTCTTTCCTTCCTTCGTCAATCGTCAACCTAACCACTATTTGGTATCAACACTCTTCGAGTCAAACCCAAGTTGACTGTAATCTTTGCGTAACCGAGCGCCACACAAGCGATCAGGGCCGTATTGAAATTACTTGCAGCCTTGACCCCGTACCGCGCCGCATTATTTTTGCACGTTACGGCCTCCTGTGTAATTGGGTTCTTATGTGGAAGGTTTTGAAGCTCACAATTTGGGAGTACTGGAGGGTATTGCAATGTAGACTCGCTGGAACCGCTCACCAGATGAAATTGAAGACCCGAAAACTACCTATAAATATTCACACGGACGCATAACTCTACGTAGAAAGTCGTTCTCAGATGTATTGTCAATACTGAAGGCCACGTCGAATGACATACTGAAGTAATGCCCCGAGAATGAAGGTATATGACGACTGAAAGTAGGAGCATCGGAACTGTGAAGATCCAGCAATCCGCTCTCAATAGCCAAGCTGCCTTCCTCATTTGTTTGTAGTACCAGGGGAACGGAAGATGATTCGCACTACAATCGTCTAGCAATCCAGAGAGAAAAAGTCACGGCACGAAAACGAAGCTACTATGACTACCGTTTCTCTTCTCGTTTCACGCTTTAACCTACCAAACTGGCGATCCAGCAATACATATAGGTATGGTCGAGTGGCTGGTCCAACTTGGATCCTTCCATGTTTTACACCGCACGCCAAGCTTGATTCTGATCTGACATGTGGCGGGTGCGTCGCACAGGTTCCCAGCCCTCTGGGGAAGAGTAACCCACACTATGAGAACAAGTGCTGACACTCGCAACTAAATCTTCAGTGACTAACCTGAGTCCCTCGAGGGATCGGGCATGCGCCCGCATCTCCGTATGCGGTCCCTCTCATTCCGGATACCGCTTTTGCTGTCTGTGCATGGGATCTCTCCGCGAAGATGGCCATGCAGAACTGAAGGGAAAGTAGACTTCCGAAGGCTTTTCAGCTGCGACAATAAACGCGCGAGAAACACAACAGAATATTACGGGAGTGCTCATGTATATAGACAGATTGAAAATGTTAGCTAGTACCCGCAGAAATATAACCACTACGCGGTCCGATACCAACGAGTGACTGTGGCACACTTGTCGGCATTGAGAGTCTGTTACATTTTGAAATAAATTACCGGTTAAATGAAACGCGTTCGGTTCATACACGCTGTGTCGCATTGGAGGATAAACTTTAGTCACTTGACCTATCCCGAGATCTACTCTTCATCATGCAAGGGTCTTTGATAGCTGTGTCTATCAGAGATAGGTCCCAATGACTATAAAGCCCATCTCTGCAAATCGTCCAGCACGTAGATATCCAGGGCGCAGTTCTCTTAGCACTCAATAATCACTCCATATTGGACCTGCCATCATGTATATGATGTTGCGTGTGACCGGTTTAGCGGCTATAGCTACGATAGCCCAGGCCCACTGTAGGTACTCATGAAGAGTCGAACATGCTAAGATTAACACACCCTCCCTAGTCACGTTTGTGCGCATCTCCGTGAACGGGGAATGGCAAGAGCCAACACGGTTCATTCGGTAAACGGTTGGCCCCTCTCACTTGCCACGTCTGGCCAGAACTGCTCACACATAGCCCAGTAACAAGACCACACCGTTTGAGGAGCCGTACACGCCCAACACAAACTACAACACGCGCATGTACAATGACCCGACCTACGCGACAGATATCTCGGAGTCGACGCGTTGCGGCCGGGACAACATGGCCCACGCAGGGGATACTGAGGTCCTAACCATTCGTGCGGGCGATACCATCGAGTTCGCGCATCAAAGATACGAGCCGGCTTTGTGGACGGACGCTATGTGGTACAACTGCACCGACGGACGGGGTAGTTGCAACCCAAACCAGGTCAATGTGAGTACTACCAGTGTGCTCGCCCACCCGCCTGTTTTTGATCAGCTCCTAGGGCATAATGGATATCAATCACCAAGGGCCCGTTATCGCACATTTGTCGAGAGTACCCGACGGGGTCGATGTGAAGGAGTACGACGGCTCGGGAGAGTGGGTCAAGATCTACACCCTAGGCATGGAGTGGTGGGCGAACCAGACAAATCCGGTTCACTGGCTTGCCTATAATGACCAGAAGTGGCCCGAGAAGGCAAGTTTTCTTTTCAGGCTTCTTAGACTGGAAGTATTGACGATCGTAGTTCATTTTCAAGGTCCCGGCTCAGACACCAGCTGGGCAGTATCTGTTGCGTATAGACGAGGTTAATACTGGTCTCGAAGAGCACAACGAAGTCTTCAACTCCTCTTCACCAGGACAGTTATATCCTAGCTGTGCGCAGATCCAGATTGAAAGCGGCTTTGGTGGAAACGTGCCGGAGGGGATCAAGATCCCCGAGGCGTTTTCACATGCATCGCCAGGTAAGCATCAATCTCTTCTCGATTGAGGCTGGGGACCTCTACGCATCGCTGACCTTCTACGCCAGGAATGGCCATCACACTCGCCATGTATAGGGACACGGACGTTGATGCCGCATATGTCTATCCCGGTGGTCCTCTATGGGATGGAGAGAATTTGGTACAAGACAGACCCACCGTTGTGGATGCATCACGGTCAAAATAGCCGGATCGTATGTGACGAGTTGCGTTGATCAGTGAACAAGAATTGCCATTACAGCTGTAGGGTATGAATTTGCTCAAATTGCCACGACGCCTTCGTCCACTCGCTTTACCGCAAGTGTTTCAACTTTAACCGGCTCTTCCACCTCACTGATGTTGTGTTCCTCGTCTATGTTTGATGGTTTACTGCGATTTGTCAGTTGAAGACTAATTCCTACAGGTGGAGCAACATACCCATCTTTGAATAGAACTCGAACGACCTGAGTCATTATTACCAAACAAACAACCATGCATGCAGAGTATACGTAACCCTTGGGAAACCTTGGGGCGTCGACAGTGGGGTATACGAAGAGTGGGATCCAGGCGTTGGTTGACGTCGCGATGGCCGTCATCAGAATCAGCGTCAGCGACCGCTCTTCGATATTGTCCTTCATGATGATGTTTGCCCAGCCGTAGAGCACCGAGGAGACCGCCACGGCAGAATAGCTCACACTGAAGGCAAACCATTTCGCTGATTCCGGCACATTCCAAATTGCAAGGATAACAAGGCCAGTAAAGTTAACTGTGGAGGCAAGAGTGATAGCAGCTGCACGTCCAATCCAGAGGTCGGCGCTGAAGTTGATGAAGAGCACGAAGAAGATGCCCAGTGCTGGACTGATCGTGGCGAGTTGGTTCATAGTCGCTGTGTCGAATCGATGAAGACTCTTGATCCAGAGCAAGAACGCAGCACTATTCGCGGAGGTATTAAAGAAGAAGATATCCCACAGAACTATGGTGTAAAAACGCCAATTGGTGAAGATTCGTTTTAGGAGCTTCAGAGAGAACGGGGTGCTGTGAACCTTGGCGCCAGCATTCTCTAAGCGCGATCGTGCTAAATCGAGCTCGGAATCCTTGATAACCAAACGATTAGGCCTAGCTGGCGTTCCAGGCCAGACAAAATATCCGAGAATCGCAAGGGGCAGTGTGATGATTGCGTTGATGATGAACAGCCATCTCCATCCTGCCAGTCCATGCACGCCATCGAGATATGTCGTTGCGGCTGATTGAAGTAAACCAGCAGTGAGTGTCCCAAGTGTCAGGCCAACATAAAAGATGCCCCCACGTCGGCCGATCTCGTCACTCCTGTACCAACTCCCCAGAACAAAATGCACACCTGGAAAGTAACTCGCCTGGACCACGGTGTCAATAAATCCCCGATTGATCGAAAAAGCCAAACTCACCTCGAACAAGGAAACCATGAAGCGATAAGCCATAATCTCGCCGTAGCTTTGAGCCCGGTACTGTAAGAGTGTGAAAATTCCCCAACCAAGGTCCAGAGTAGGCACCAGGAGATGCATTGGCACGCGCGGAAATAGGTAGATGAACGGGAGTAACCCAACCACGTTTCCAACGACGAAGATGGTCTGAAACTGTACGAGCTCATTGCCCTTGAAGTTAAGCTCGTCTGACATGCCAGAAACATAGGCGTTATCTAAAATGCAAACGTGAGTGTCTGGCCAGAACTTAATTAGGTGGACAAGACAAATTGGCTTACTGATATTCGTTTGATCAATATATTTTACCCAATAGAGGATAAACGCATATGGGACTATTAGAAGATCGAGCTTCGCAATGAGTTTCTTTTCTTCCGGTGAGTCGGTTGGCGAGTACCATTGGTACCACCGTCTGGTTGAAGTCGATTTCGACATGTCTTCTTTTAACTCGTCTGCCCGGGTGTCTCAGAGCATTGCACGGAACTAAGCCAATGGGCAATCGGTCATGTACAAACAATGGCACCGAGTCTATATACTTCATCAAGTCGGCCGAGCTACTTCAAGTCGTCAATTACAATGTTAATCACACCACTATGAAAGCGGGTTCGATTGTAGAACCCGAATTATATCCTATCACGGGTTGTAGAACTATCGGTTCCGGTGCCGTGGGATAGGAAGCGAGTAGACATGAACCCCACGTTCAGGCCCGGTGTCGATGATGCCATCTGCGTTATGATCACGCAACCCGCTTTCCAGTCGCATCCGTTGTGGGTGGCACCACTTTTCTTCTTCTTTTCTTTTGATAATTAAGACCGGTAGACCAGGTTTCTGATGCTAGAAAGTAGCACACTTTGACAATGCTTGACAGATTGCACCTCTGGTTATAAACAGATGCAGTATGAGCAAGGGGTAGAATGCCCCGCGCACGCCGATGGCAAAAAGTGCAAAATCTCCTATCACCATGTGCTCACGCACAATGAGTTGATAAAGATATTGAATCGTTCAAGCCGCCCAAGGGCTAATTGTACCGAAAGGCAATCATTCGGATCCGAGGCCCGTGCAAAACAACATCTTGCGGCAGAGCCATAGTCGACCTAGCCTTTTCAACCTAGCCAACCGGTCAAACAAAGCGCTTATTCAAGTTGATGAGCTATGATTGACTCCCAGCGATGGATAATCGTGCTAGCGACAGAGGAGGATTGACGCGGTTTCGTCCAGACGATATGGCGCGGGGGAGAGCTCTGATCTGGTCTGGATACGGTCTACGACGAGCCAACGGCGCGGATTGGGAATTTTTGTCATCAACATCGTGTTAAAACGACAAAGGTGCTGGACTGGTTTGACAATTGCACGCGGAGCACTTGCCCTCAGAGCCAGGATCGGGTGTCGTGATTTGTCCTCCACTGTGTCTTATTGATAGGAAGCCCGGACACTGACAAAAGATTTGTTGTCGGGGCAGAGGGACTAACGTGACACCAGTATTACCAACAGGCAAAGTTGCAATAGAGGAGCTCTCGACAAGTTGGTCATATTGCTGCGAAAGCGTGTTCTGTGTTGTGTCCAACTTCTTTTGAGGCTTGAGTTGAGATTGTTAGTGCCCGTCCTGCTGCTAGTCTATTCTAAACTAAATACAAATACCCCACGGTTGCGGGCACAATGGTCTTGCGGAGTCATGACTACTACGTACTAAGTATTGACAAAGAGAAAAGGCTTACACTTATACATCTACTCAGATGGAAAACTTATCATGATTCGCATTGTTATGAATGCTTCTCGTCCCTGTTTGTCATATTGTTTATGCACTACTGAAAAGGAGAACGATGCACAAGGTGTTCATAGTCTACGGGTGCCTTACCTAGTCTGCCTAGCAGGCTTGGCTTCAGGTCTAAAATAGGTGCTCGGCTGTCGGTCTAGACTAACCTAGCAGGGTACTCACGAATGTGACTTATCCAGCTGCGACTGAGCTCAACATCGATCGACAATAACTCTTATTTCTCATTTCGGATGGAGTTTACGAAATTGCCAAATCCTTCGCGTCTCCTTGACCCAAGGTACAACCGGTAGTGCTGACCATGTGTGCCTTGGGAGTCTAGGAGTACATTTTCGTGACCGAATTGGACATGCGATTAAAATACCGTCAGAGGCCCGGCAAATCGTCACTGGCTATCATAGTTGCCAAAAAATCCAGCACTTTCGCACCCATCTCTTCCAATTAGCCCTTGTTTATCTAATAGTCATTCTTTTCCAGAATGCGGACACAACTGTTGTTTGCCACCATCATGGCCGTTGCTGGCGTGTGCGCAACGCCATCAAATCGGAATGGACGTCAGCTTGCACGAGGGTCGCAGTCATTGCCACGAACTACAGGATCTGGACCTAATGCCGTCCTAACTGCAGACCTGAGCGCTTCACACGGTCGTATTCAGTCAGCAACCACAGAGGACACGATTATGGCGGAAGCTGATGGAGTCTATGGCACATGTCTGGTAGTAAGTCGCGACATCGAAATGAAACCGTCCAAACCGTCCGCTGACCCCACTAAAGCCGACTAATACCACTGTATCCGATTGTCAAGCGGTCTTGGGCGATATTGCGGCCTTTGGGGATATGGAAGGCAGCAACGGAACAATTTCTGTTGCACCGGGCTTCTGTCTGAACTGGTGGGAAGGCACCTGCCAAGGACGGGTGTGTGGTAGAAACTCAGGGCTCTCAGCAAGCTCTGACTGGATCGTGGAAACCATGGAAAGCTCAATATTGGACACATGCATCACAAAGGGACAAACTGGTGTCGTTGCGGATTGTTCTGACTGGACTGCCACTTGTGGTACATATCGTCTGTTTTTGCAGACGTACACTGACCTATAGTCCGACTCACGTGCGCCGCAACAACAGACGCCATCATGCGTCTTTTGGAATTACTGAGTAACAGTTCTCCACTAGACTAGACATGAAACCAGAGGAAATAATGCAATATTTTGGTTCGCCGTGCCAAACTGGGATTACTTTCTTGGTGTTCTGAATCTGTCAATTTGAGCTTGACATAAATCCCTTCTGCTGTCAATGAACTCGATATATTTGGAGCACGAGAAACCTGCAGAGTCAAAGCAATGGCTTCCACCATCCTCCAGCGCCTGTCAGCCACTCCCCATTTTCACTTGGACTTATTAGTCTTGCCATCTACGCCTTCAAATTCGTCGAGTTGATGCACTCCTGGCATTTGCATTCGCAAATTCGGCGCAAGGTAACGTTGGGCAACTTACCATGAGAGAAAGACAGAATTCCTTCCACTCGAATTTCTTTTTCCTGGCTTCTTACAGAGCTTCTTTTCGTCGACATTTCATATGGACGTAACCGTGTGCGTAGTGGTATCATAGTGACCAATATTGTTTCTAGGATATCGTAGAATGCCATAGAACAGAACGTCTATCTAGTGACAGAGGTTATGCAATTCAGGAAGAGAGATGTTCTTTGGGTTACCAGATAAAGATCAGAGATTGCAGCATGTCGTTTTTATTTAATAGGTCTACTTGATCGTTTGTTAAAAATAACTCCATAGTAGGCAAGTGCAACCATGGTGCAATCATAACGTCACGTGTTGGCGTCAGACATGGCTCCCTAAACATCAGTCAGACCATTTCTGTTGCTTAACGCAGGGTCAAACATCGAAGGCCCGTCTTGTCTAAATAATTTTAGCAAAACATATCATGCAAGACGAAATTCATTGCGCCTTGCGATCTTGCTGCTGCCGCCACCGCTGCAATTATTACATCACGGCAGCTGCCAATTTACAGTATTGTCGCAATGATAAGTTTGTACACAAAAAGCCGAAATTACTTACGCTTCGTTGACTTATGTAAGTATAGGATCGGGACCGATCGTGACCCCAAATGCGGACGAACTGCAAGCCGCAATGTGGGAACTTTTGTCAGCATAGCTGAGGTGAATGCCAAGCTCTGTTCAATGCCAACCACGAAGCGGCCGGCCTAGTTTCCTGCTTACACAGTCTCGCCCCGAGGCATGGCAGTGCAATGCTCAATTACCTCGAAATTGAACTTTGCATGATTGTTTTGACGCTTCGGCACCGATACGGAGCGCTTTATCCAAGTCATCCCCGCCATACAAGGTATGTAGGGGCCGAAACTCAATTGGGGAGGGGCAGCCCAATCGATGTAAACAAAAGGGAGACGTAACCCTTCTCACGAACAAAATCAATCCAACATACGTCAATTACCCCGTACATCTGCTTGCCGGCTGCAAGCTCTAACGCATCCGAGATGGCTTCATTCTTCAGCGAAAATAACATATCATACTACACGGTATAACATCGCGTAAACTCTTGTATTAGAACCCGGCTCACATTGCACAGCTTCCATTCGCATTGGTACTCGCCCTTCTTCCTCGGGTATATTCCGGTTTGGCAGGTCCCGGCAAGAGGTACTTCGACCCTCAGAATCCACGCAAGTTCGTGGAGACATTGGCCAAGGCAGAGGCATTGGATAAACAAGTCAGTTGAAATGATCAATGCATGGTGAGGTTAATGGACACTGATTGATGACATGCAGCTTCGATTGAGGCTCCAAAGAGCCGAGTCCTGTAGCGCGAACGCGTTCGAAGGCCTGCCTCTCTACGCAGCAGCAGTGACTGCCGGCAATGCAGCTGGTCTGTCGCCCCAGGCGCTGAACTTCCTATCGTTGGGTTATATAGCCAGTAGAATATTGTATTCCTGGGTTTATATTTTTGGGCAGGACAACCCAAAGTTGGCTGCCTGGCGAACGCGCGTGTGGACGGCGGGAGTCGGTTGTGTCATGACGCTATTTATCAAGGCCGGTCTTAATTCCCAGCCGAAATAGTTGCATTACTTGGCCGCGATAGAGAGAGTCGGTCGCAATCATTGATGGAATTCCTAAATCAGATGATTTTTATGCTGTAACTTATATTATGGGGTAACATATAGAAAGCAAGCTGTAAGATATTTTTCAGTGCTTAAGCAACCGCTTGTGGTGTGGGGTGGAGAGGGACATCCACTAAACTCCAGAGCTTTACCGCACAATGGTTGGCAGTGTCGCAACTGACTTCACTGGGCAAAGTATTCGTCCACCTGCCATATTGAAGATGTCAACGCGCATGGCTATCACAATCTCCAAAGCGTCCAAGGCGAGACCATTGGGTCTGATGCATATCCAATGCCGCGTGAAACCAGGCGTCAACAAGAACCGCGAGGGCGTCAGCTCTCTCACTGCTGACGCGGTCGAGCTCAACGTCGCAGCGCCTCCACGTGAGGGTGAGGCCAACAAAGCTGTGATTCGGGTCATGAGTGAGGTATACTGTTTAACTTTCCAGTGTCAAAGATCAGTGCTCAATATGGACTTCTGCAGGCACTCAATATTCCAAAATCAGAAATAGTCATCAGCAGTGGACTCAAGTCGCGAGACAAGACAATCGAAATTAGTCCCTCTACGTTGGGCTTGTCGGAGGCTCAGAACAAGGATCAATGGCCAGCTCTCGTCAAAGACATACTGATTAAGCACATTGCTCAATCAACTTGATCCAATGAATATTCAACGATACAATAGCACGTTCCTAGCATAATTACCTCGCCTATTTCTGCCTCATAGCCTGACTTTTGTTATCGGCCATCCTCTAATCACGGCCAGTGTCACAATATGGCTTACGCTCAACAGGACTATCTCAACGTTACCTTTAGGACTTTCCATTTATGGTAACTAGCTTATCCTTATCACTTGGCTAATACTTGTATCGAATTGGACTCTCGATACACCATGTCACCCGCCTGTGGCGACGCCGGAGATCACTCAATTTGGTTGCTCGCAACCTGCTGGACATGTGCGGTAAGAGCGCTGGCTCAATTGTCAATGATGTCTACAGTAATTTTCGATCTGCATCTTTAAATGCAACGTTATGTTATAGCGAAAAGGCGATGATCAGTTAGTCCTCTATTCAAAACAATTGCTTGGCTAAATATGATGACCCGTGACATCGGAGCGACCCAGCAAGGTACAGAACCTGGAAAGTCGCATCCCAACTCGACAAACGACCAGTAACCCAAGGCAGACGCAGTCTATCTGAAATGTACGGATTAGAGGAATTTGTTTTGCTGGGCATTCAGCTCGAGGGGTTATCCTAAATCATCAAGATAGGTAGCGTCAAGGGCCGAAACGTGCCGCCACCTATTAAGTGCCTGAATTGTCAACACAGCCATCAGGTGCATCTTCAAATGGAGGGGCTTTGCTGTCATCTTTCCGCGTGGGTAAGAAAGCGACGCGCATCAGAACTGCCGATATGCATGACAGGGGGGTTTTGATGTGCTACAGGGGCAGCTGGGTCAGGGGGTCGCGCTAACAGAGGAAAATTGGGTGACTTTCATATTTCTGAGACGGCCCGTTGGTATGCCTCCTACAATAAATGGTTCGGTCGTTACCTTTCCACAAATCACTGTACCATTGCCGCTGATAGGCCTGAGGTGTGTTGTATCGTTACGACTCAGCGATTGAATGGGAGGATCGATATATTGCGCTCATCATTGCTTGGCAGCATCGTGCTGGCTTATATAACTAGGGCCAGTACCCGATACACATTCATCAAGGACTATGTCTCAAGTCTAGGATTATAGCGAGCATCGGCAATACACAAAATGTTCGTTCTGCCACTTCTAGTTTCTTTCCTGGCCTTTACTGGCCACGCTTCAGCGGCAACATGGTATTTTCTTCGTTATTACACGCCGTCAGGAGCAAAATTCACTTCCTTTTCTGGACAAATGGTCATACCTGCTCTGCCGAAAGCCGGCACATATTATCTCTGGCCAGGGCTACAACCATCCGATGGCAGTGGGGTTTACCAGAACGTATTAGATGGCCGAAGTGGAACTTGGTGGATCGGTTCCGGATGGTGCTGTAGCAATCCAAGTTTACCTTGGGGAAGTGGTTTCAACACTTACGCCAGCGAGACAGTCACGTTCAGTAACACCCTGAAAAGTGACAACTCCGGCTGGACGTCCACCCTCACCCGGTCCGCCACCGGCGCTAGTGTCACAGACACATTTGCGCTTGGTACGTGAGGCACCTCTTTTGCTTTTGCTTCATGCTGACCAAGTCTACTTTGAAGCCAGCAAGTCTTTCAACCAGGTCCTATTCGCTATCGAACTGTAAGCTTCTGGTTTCATTGTTGGTTTACGATCCCTCGTACTAAATTGTTCAAGCACGGGAGTAAGCTGGGACTTTGGACAACTAGCTTTCAACAACGTCAAAATTGTGAGTGCTATGATGCCTAAGCCCAATATACCACGATGCTGATCGTATAAAGACAAGCACTGGCACGGACTCCAGTTGGTGTGACTCAACACCAGAGAACTATAATAGTGCAACTACCTTCTCAATCTCTGGTGTTAAAGCTAGCGTTTCAGGTTCTACTGTGACCTGTACTATTTCATCGCTTGTTCTACAAAAGCCAGCATAAGGCGAGCGATGTTTACTATAATCACATGAGTATTGTATCAAAATATTGCAATATATTCTTTGTACTCCACATTAGTGCCTCATAAGTTCCGTTCTGCTTATTGTTCGATCATTCTTACTGTCACACTTTATCTACGTCGTCCCACCCATCTGACATCGTTGCGTTGGGCTTTTCAACATGTGGGATTTAGAACAAGAAAGACAAAAATGAGACAACGGATTCTCACCCTTGATGTCTGTTTTGTGTAAAACTCCATGTAATCAAATTAACATGACCTTCGGCCTGGCTTAAAGTCGTTCTTTAACTCTAAGTAGTGTCGATCTTATAGTATATCCTACTCAACCTATTAGCGCACTCTAATGATGTGATTAATCGTTTCATAAGAGTGCATAGGGGATTTTTAGTATGAGTTCAAAAGTATCTACTCCACCAGACCTGTTCAAGAATTGTCAATATATCACCGTCGCCACATGTCAAAATCACACAGCCAGTCCCAAAAGCTGTGGTAGTAGATACGATGGTGGAAACTTAGAGAGCTGATGAGGAGAAGCATGTCAGTTTTGGCGTACATTATGACAGTTATTCAAGTGTTCCAAGAAGGATAATGGAGAATATCAGGCTCTATCATTGGGAGTGGTCTGAATGTGAATATTTGATTCACAAACTGAGATAAGATCACCATTGAGGCAGTTGAACAGAGGTCGTATGAATGCAGGTAGCATATTTTCCTCCTCCATATCCCGACTCTCCTCTGGTCACGTCCTCTCGCAGTGATGTACTTTCGCTCAGATATGGTGATGCTTTCACAGTCGATCCCAAGCATAAAAAAAGTCCAAAGCCTTAGTAACAATTTATGACACCATGATCATCTTCGCGGATAAGAATTAACAGGTCAAGGACGAAACGGTTTATCAGCCCAATCTCATGTATCATGTATCATTGCTGAGCTCAAAGATAATTTTATACTAGCCATTCAAACGTTGCATAGTCGGAGTAGTCGTCGTTTATTAAAAATCTAAAAAATCTAGATATATATCAGAAGCAAAACAGTACATACATTCATATATCACTATTTCAGTTCACATGTAAAAGGATCCTTCTATTCTACCATCCATATCGCTTAATCGGTGGCAATAATGAAAACGCCAGAGTATCACACTAGCTGTGCAAACACGACGTATGCTGCAATCTTCAGGTGTCTACTTGAGCGGTACTCCTAGGGGCCTGGAAAGAGCTTAGGTGCGACGTTCGTATTTAGCGTGGAGCAACTCCAGAGCAGTAGAAAGGATCCTAGTATCGGCTGTGCACCTCGGATAAAGAAGTGAAGCTTTGCAATTCGATATGGCCAAGGAACAATTTGTAGCGAGTGAGTTTTCATCAGCTTTGTTTAATTTGCCATTTAGTCTAGCTTGAACTAGGCCCTTGGGAAGGACACGAGGCTCCATAGCGTTTAGGCAGTATTACAAAATGAACCGGATGATATAGTATTCAGTCTGAGTATGGTTCAATGTTTTCATTTCCCTTGAAGTCCTCGACCCATTCGTACCTGATCACTAACCTTATATTTGTTATAATAAGCAGAACATGAACTTCCAGGTTAATATGGTCAATCATACGATGAAGTTCAATCACAAAGGAGAAGTATTCGAGAACGCAACCTTTGATATCATTTCAAATAAATGTAATGGTGTTAGATGCAGTGTAAAGTGACACAACGCTCATTATAAGATAGCTAATGAGCATTATGTCAATATCTAGCAATGGATATATACCATGATAACTACTATTCAAATAACGGGGGTGCCACTCTTTTTGGTAGTGTCACACAATAACCATCAGCTATTTAACATGTCACTGGAACCATTGATTTGTTATGAAAGTTCTAGAAAGAGGTCATCTATCGTGCTTATTTTATTTCTTAGCCGTTCTATGCAATCACGGCGAGCTATATTAGTCCAAATGAGCAGAAATGTACACTTAGGTTAATTGGCATTGTAATGCGATCTAAGAATGATAAATGAAGATAAAGACACCACACAGATGATACAAAGGAGATAAATCACTCCAAGTTGCCGGATCTGATGGAAAGATCTCAGGATATGAGCCAACCACTGGTCGGTACATGATCTAGATCATCATGAGCTTTTCTTATCTTCTTTTTCCACTTGGAACTCTTGGGTGGGACGAGCATAATACCCATGATCTAGACTCATATTAGGCATCTTGATTATATTTGTTGTTTTATTGTGGCTGGTGCTCTTCTAAGTCATACTTTCCAAATGCTTGTCCAAGCGCTTTGCTTTTGGACGGTCAGTTAAGTTTCCACTATGAGGGCAGCCCATCTGGAAAGATACAAAAACTTCATTTCGGCATCATATAAATACAATTCGTAACAACGCAGATGTAATATGCCTATTACTGTTCTGGAAAATACCGCACTCAGCCAAGCGCAAAGTTGAAGTGTGTGAACGGTCTTTTGCTATCAACCCAGACTGGTACACTACTGCAGTCTTTCTATTCGAGGGGAGGGGTCTCTGCCACCCATCGTAGACAAGATTAGAATTTTGACACAGTTGAATCGAGGATCTTACATTTTGTCCTATTGGCTAAAACGGACTAACGCATCTCATCGCTATGTAGGATTTGATTTAATAAAAAAGGTATGGAATAGGAGTCGATGGGGATATTGCCCTTCTCGCTATGATATGCTTGTGTAGATCACATATAGCTCAAACAATGAAGAATACAGAGCGGTGCCGTAGCGTCAGCTTGTGTTCACTTCATGACGCATCGTCCCAGCATTACAGTTTCTTTGCTCTTCGTCGTTACTACTCTATAATAGGTATTGACTTCATTTTTGTTTTCTTTTTGGCTAGCTAGGCGATCAGCAGCATCGACTCATACCAAGCACCGAAATCATTTACTCGTGAAGTTATATGCGTGACCTGGTTCCCAATAAAAAAAACGCGAACTGTTGAGGTCAGCTCAGCCTATGCTTCGGGTTCATGCTTAGTCATCACATAGTGACTCTCTGATCAAGGTGACAGTAGCTCAGCTTCTAGTCCGGAAACGGCATTCACAATTGGAAACCGTAAACATCAACTGACAAGAGTTCGTGCTGCTTGAATAGTGATATAACTGGCTAACTCTGAACGTGGGTTTTGGTGCAGACTAGACTAAATTAGCCCATCCGAAACCTCATCCGAAGTTCCGCTATCGTGTAAATTGTGACCCGCCGGATCCTTACCGAGAGCGTCTTCCGCCATGAAGACCCACCACGGTGAAGATTACTGCCCGTGTGATCGTGGAAGAGCTTGCCTTCTGGCTTCTTGAGCGTAGTAACTGATGCATGTAGCACTTTTGACTTTTTAACACCAGTAAAAACAATGACAGCCACCACTCCCCTGCCGGAACGATATTCAGCAAGTCTGACGGTGCAATCTCCGCTTGGCTCCCGAACACACGGGCCGGGACTCATAATCATATCGCCCGCCGGCGCGCCCGCAGGTCTCGAGATAGACCCGCAACAGACGTTTGCACAAGAAGGATACACCGTTGCTCATTTGAGGCTCTCGTCGGGCTACAGTAGCTTGAGAATTCGAGATGAATTGAGAGAAGCTACAGAAGCTCTGGATTTCCACGACTGCTGTAGCGAAAAGTCGCGATATGGTATCATCGGTAAGATGCTCTATTAAGTATATGCTAGTTCTCTGTTTGAGACGCGTGTTGAATCTTGCGCAGTGTATTGCCCGTCGGCCTATCCTTATTTGGTCGAAGCGATCAATGGGAATGGAGAGATCAAGTCGGCTGTCTTCTTTGGGGAGCTACCGAGCTCGTGTCTGAAGCCGCACACATCTGTTCAGAGCCAAGGTTCTAAGTTCGCGTCAACTGAACACACACGTGCTCTGAACTTCTTGGGAACCTGAGTCTATGTTTCCTTATGATGAGAGAAATGGTGGAAAGCCCTCCCAGTCATTAATGGAAGCAGAAATCGGAGTTAATGCGGGTCAACTGAGACCTATGCATGTGGTAATGTGCCTTTCAAGTAGTGCTGCGATAGAGTCACTGCCACAGGGAACACTTCTCACAACTTTGAACACCCCGATTTATTTAAGTCGGCTAATGTTATATAGTCTGCTGCTCTTGGTTAGAAATGAATATATTGACAGGTTTCGGATTGTGTCACATTTTTGCGTGCTACTCATAGGATTTCGCTTATCGAGAGTTTTGTGAACGAACCGGCTCAAAGATTCTTGGAGGTACAGTGAACCACGGCCTAAAATAAGGTACGTGGCCTTTTATTACCTAAGTTGAGCTCTGTTGTGAGGCAAAGACCACTGATTGAATATGAAGAGAATCAGAATCGTCTTGCTCTCTTTATGTCATAAGGTAGCGGTGCTCTAAGCTTGAAGGAAGTATGTTATGATTTTCTTTGATATCTACAAGACCATTGAAACAAGGTACAGGCTATAATTAACCAGTGACCATGAGGAAATTGATCGTCGTCCGATCAGACCACCTTCGATCATGTAATTGTACGCATGTGTGATGGCCTCTCGGCATAGTACTAGAATTGACCCTCAGGATCTGCCGATGTAGGTATTATTTTTCGATTGATGACATATTTGATGATATCAGAAGGGTGCAGGCCGACACTCAGATGTCGTGTGGTCGGCTTGTGCGTGCCCTTGTACTCGGACACATAAAATTGTACGTCGTGTTCAAAACTCGTCGTCAAGCCGATATAAACGCATATCTAGTCCAGGCAGACGCATCCCCGACGTTGCCCATGCTCGGGTGTTCGTGGCGGTGTTGATGAGGTCTGCCGGTCCACAACCTCCTCGGCCACATCACTGATATGGACCTTGTCGCACCAGGATTGGGGAGGGGGGGTCCGTTGAGGGATAATGCAACTAACTACTGCCGTAAATTATGACAATTAAGCGAAATATATCTACACTATTACATGTTCGGGGCATCATGAACCATTATAATCGGTCTTTGTCACTTTAGATAGCAAGGTAGATTAGAAATAGAACGGCTGTAAGAAGGAATAAAAGCTTCCTTTATTCCTGCTTTTTACAAGGTTAAAAGGTGATTCCTGTACATAGAACTCGTTATTTAACACTAAATTAATTAAGTGTAATAAAGTTTTATAATATAATAATATTATATTATCTTTCTATCCTTTTAGATATTTAACTTACTATTATATATGTTTAATATGAAAAACTTAAACAACTTTTTATTATGAAGAATACTAAGAGTAAGTTGTCTTAATTGGCCCTCCGTTGCACTAAGGAGTACCAGTGTTAGATCGCCTATAGCCAACATTATGCTCTATCGAGTATATCATTACTCTGGTCCCTTCCCGCCATCCTACCAATATATTACTGACAAAACGTTACGGCCGTTATTCACTGCTTCGACAGTTTTGGGCCTCTTATAAAGCCATATTATCTAGTCACGCGTTGTGAGATCCTACTTATAAATAAGGATTTTGTCCTAAGGATCATGAAGTTAGATCCTCGCGATCGTACAACAGCCGACAGTTACTAGAAGACCAATGGTTTACTCAGGAGTCAAACTACACCCCTGATCCGTCATAATTATACTACACAAATCTCGAACGCGCAATGCTGGCTCAGATAACAATTTCGGAGTAAGTTACTGCCTTTCAAGCCGGAACAGTTGAATTTATCAACCATGTTCGGCTGGCAGGACCTGGCTGACAGCCGACGCGTTCCGGGCTGAGTCCATTGAGGCTTATTTTAACGGCACAGCAGCTCTGAGGTTCTTCATTTCTACTCAGCCATGGCGCCTAACCTTTATTATCAAATGCGGGGAAATTCTTCCTATGACCTGCCTAATAGAGCCCGGCGTCTAGATCGTTTTGTCCACAAATATCGTTTCGGTGTTATCACTATTTAGTCTCTTCTTGCCCAGCTTTTCTCGTCGCTTATAATTTAATATGTCCAAGTGTATTGTTCAGCCCGCTCCCGACTTCATCCCTATTTCACTTAGTTCGGCCTTGTTTCATTGGCGCCTCCGTTACTTTTTATAATATATTGTAATCGCTATACTGTGGTTCTCTGCAACATGCAAGCGGAAATTTTCTCCTATCCACCCTTAGGACAGGTGACAAAGGTGACCGTGCCTGAAGTCAGCTTTACCTGCGTTCTGAATCTTGATCTGCAATGCATGACCGGTGATTGGCAAGTTTTGCTTCGCTACACGTCTATCGGCTCCGATACATGGCAAGAAGATATATTGACACGTTCCGAGAGGCATATTCTCAAGTCACAGGGTCAGAAAGACCCAACAAGAATCCAGTTGTCATTTGAGACAAAGATATTGATTACAGCGGCTATTCGATTCGAAACCAGGGCCAGACATGGCTCCAAAGGAGCTTGGATAACGGCCCTGGGAGATTCGAAGCTTGATAGTATCGTGACGCTCGCAGACGTGACTGACTCACGAAATCAGAAGCTACTTGACATCAACGACTACATAAGCGATCTCAACCCTGAACTTCGGTCAAGACTGCTGGGTAATGATTTGAAGTCCAACGTCACCTCCTGGATAGTCGAAGTGCCAGTAGAGGCCGCTCAAGGTGAGGCGGCACATATGACACAAGTTATGTTTGGAAAGCCATTTGGTGGTGAGTTTCTGAGGTAAGTTTGGTTCAAGATTGTTACCTTGTCTGGGTGGGTAACAGCACATGTCGTTCCTGGGGCGCCTCAAGCTTGCTCGTCATAACATGCTTTTAGTTGGTTCGCTATATCACGAAATACGACCTCCTGGATGGCACCTCGCCAAGGCCGGACCTATTTCAAGCTAGACGTCGCCGCAATTCTCTGCTCCTTTGTCAGCGTTCATGGTCAACATCTTATTGTTCTTGGAATCAGCGGCTTCGAGAACGTTATGGCCATTTTTGGTGACGACAATGGAGGAGCTCTGATGATAAAGGTTCGTTTTGATGCTTGCTTCGAAGAAGTCAAACACATCCGTATCTAGAAAAGTCAGCTGACAATACAAAGATTCGCAATGAACGTGAAGCGCCGGGTCTTGGTAGAGTCATCCTAGCTGTCGGGATAAATTTCGAGGAGACTCTCGCCTATGCTTTGAGCCAGGCAAGAGCAATGTTTACAAACACAAGCGGTCCTAACAACTCATGGGCAAGCAACCCTATTCCGAAGCTTAGCCGGGATTGGGCTGATCATTGGATGAACGGGCTAATCTACAGTGAGTGATTTTCCAATGTTTCTATATTATTTTTGAGCTATGCTTATATACTTGAGTAGGCCCTTTTAGCAGCGTAGTCCAGAAAATTTCATTGCATGAAATTATGGATGGCTTAAAAGACCTTGAAGCAAAAGGGATTATTGTTAGCAGCTTGATTCTAGAGAATGGCTGGCAAAAAGTCGACCAAAACGCTCCATCTCGATATCATGCTGGACTGGTAGACTTTGATACTGATCCGGCAGCCTTCAAGTTGGGTCTGAAGCATGCTATTACTGATATAAAGGGCCAACACAGATCAGTAAGAAATATCATTGTCAATCATCCGATCTTCGGGTACTGGGGTGGGGTCTCCGAGGACCCAAATGGACCTCTCAGACAGTCTTACGAAATCGTCCATGTACAGCGATCGGAGACAATTCAGCCAGGCCCCAAAACGGTCCTTTCTTTGGCGTTGGTCTCGTCACGGGATGTGAAACGATTTTTCAAGGATTACTATAAGTGAGCTGAAAATGGCTACCCTACTTTATCAAAGGAAAATGTTGTTAACCACGCTTGTTAAGGTTCTTATTGTCCTGTGGTGTTAGTGCCGTCCAAACTGAAGGTATCTATATGCTGGAAACGTTGAACTCGGCAGTCGAACGCTGCGCCTTATCGGAAAGTTATCTAGACGCACAATCTGCAGCGTCTTTAGAGTATTTCCCAGGTGGCACATTGGCTAGCATGTCCTTGTCACCCAGCGCTCTGTTTAACAGCCTGAAATCAACTCAAGCTGGGCAACAAGTTGTGAGGAACAGTGCCATCTTTCCTGACCACAGAAAACATGTATTCAATAACGCTGTTAATGCTTTGTTATCCAGAGCCATTGGTAATATCCCTGATTGGGGCCCAGTGCAAAGCACCAAAGATAATGGCGCGTTCCATCTGGCTGCAAGGGTCATTTCAGGAGGACCCATCCAGATAAAATCGTTTGATGGTTCCAGTGCCGCGGATCTCGATGTCGTCAGACGTGTGAGTGGCCGCACAGCTAACGGAAAGATCGTGGTTCTTCGACCTACTGGAATCGGCAGAACAGTGAACCCATACGTTGGCTTTGAAGACTGCGTGCTGCTCAAAATTGGGAATACACATGGTAGATATTTATTCCTCCTTACGTTACTCTTGAGGGAAAATATTGGCGGCTAATGTGATATTTCAAGTCATTGGCACACTAGTCGTTTCCATACTCGGTACCTTCAACGTGTCAGATCGAGCACTCTCAGAGATTCTTGACATCAAAGACTTCCCTGGTGTGGATCCTGCCAAGGAATACCTCGTGACGTCGAATTCAGGCATAATTGGTAACAGTCTCAAGGTCGACGGCCAGTCTTTGATTTTAGTAAACCTGGAGCCGTCAAGCTACGAGTTTCTGTGTGCATACCCTTTGACGACACTAACCAATCCGCAAAGCGAGACTACCATCCACGTAGCCACTCTAGGTGTTCGAGAAAAGTTACTGGGTGCGGCTGCAATTCTGGATACTAATTTCAGTATTGAGAAAGGCCTACTTGGTTTCAGGGTGGTTTTGAAAGTCCTTGGAGCCTTGGGTAAGAAAAGCCTCCTTCGGCATTCTTCAGAAGACTCCGCATTGAGAGAATTCAAGAAAAAGCTCACATTCTGTTAGACCTGTATATCTCCGACCTCCCAAGACGTACAATCAAAGAGGGAACATGCAATTTAACCCTCCAGGGTCGAATTGTTACTCCCAGTATTCAGACGATCAGGGTTACAGATCGCATTCTAAGATTAGATTTGGAGTCCATTTGGAGCGAGCAAAAGATCGAAAGCGAGTCGGACGAGATCTATGTTGAATTTACAATACCAGAAATTTGACTAGCTTCATCTAAAGATATGTTAGTCATAAGTGGAATCACATAAAAGCCATAGAGAGCTTCTCAACAAAACGAGCAACTATATTTTAGTTGAGGCTTGCGTTCATTATTGTAAGCCGTGGCGAACTACCACGCTGCGTGAATACCATCCCCATAACTGCCAGGTAATAATACTGCAAGGAAGTGCTACGGGACTCAGTTAGTATCGACGCGCTGAATTCTACCCTTGGGCTCTATCAGTCCCCGGGGGAAGATATACTTATATATCCACCAGGTCCGTGCACACTAGCACTGATAGTAGCCCCTGATGATGTTTGGAGGACATTGTTTGTCAACTCAATTTTTGTTGCATTAATGAAATACGTTTAAGCAAATGGGAAATTGGATTCTGGTGGTAGAAAACTCCTAATCTTAATTTTAATCTTTTTGGAGATTCTTTTTTGAAACTTGATCTGTTCCGCTCGGTCAGGTTCCTAGCTGCAAGTTGTGCCTTGACGATGTTCAATACCGACCACGACGCGATTACCACCACATTTGCGTTGTCTCAAGGAGTGCAATGTGCGCTAAGGCTGATGTTCTGTTATATTTGACCGATCCTCAAGACTAGCTATCCTTGAGTACATTCATTCGATCTCAACAGAACTTCATAAAAGCTTATAAAATCATCGGTGCCGATGGCCGTGCCAACTAACTCTGCATGAATCCCAATAGTAGAATCTCTGGGTGGATGAACCTCTTGATAAGCTTACATAACGTACGCCAGACTGGTGGCAGTGCCTTCAAGTGGAAAATCCGAGGATTTTCGTCTGCCCAAATAGATCGGTGGCGAGGCAATAGTAAGTAAGAGATTGGAATTATACGGTCAGCAGAAGCTCATCTAGGGTTCCCAATCTATCTTATAGTCTTGTCAACCTCGGTGATCTTGGAAGAGCGGGTTATTCGACCCGACGTTGGTATTTTTGACAAATACGGAATCAGTATGTAGTTGTGGGGGATGTTGGTGTGATTGGCCAGTCACGGGCACTCTGAATCCTATTAAGATGAGTCGAGACATACCTCCAGGGGTATCAGGCGACTTACAGCTCGTCAGATGATGGTGACACAAGTGATAGTGGTCGCAGTGGTGCTGTAATTTCCATGTACACAATAATCTAGAGCTTAGTAACTCCCACGGCAATTCATGACCCTTTATACACACGTGTTTTGTACCTTTGGATGATTTCAAATCTTATTACGATTGACTCCCTCTCGTTACTGAAGAGATCTCAGGTATCTGGCATGGTGCGACTGATGGTGTTATTGCATGCATTATTTACACAATCATTATCGTCATCATTATCCCCACTATAACGTTTTCCTTGATAAACAAACGTGTACAATTTCGTTGTCACATTGTCGACTTCCACCGTTGTGGCTATTACGCGGAGTATCGTCCCACTTCCCATCGTCCCACCTCCCATTATCCTCATGGAACCAAGCCACGACACCGTATACACTTACAGCACGAATTCCTACACAACTAGTACCAAGAGTCCATGGCCCCCTCCAGGATACACTAATCATGATCTCCATATCACGATCGGCCCCGGGACTTCTATGTATTCTTGGCTCTGGCCACGCATATTTCATCGAAATATTGGGCGCGTGGCCGTTCAAGTTTTGAGTGCTATCTTGGAAATACCACGCACCACATAAAACTTTGTCCATATGACCAGTCCAGTTTGGCAGAGGCTTCCATGGCCGCGGCGGTAATTGAGGGGAGGCGAGGAATCAACCACACTGATCGCAGACATGGAAAATTCTGCAAAACGTCATCAATTCGATTGCTCATTCCGAGCGAGCGTTTGAAAAGAGCAAAAGAAAAAAAAAGAAAAAAAAAAGTTGTAAGTCAATAATTCTACAGTGTGCGATGACAATCTAAGCGATTCCTATTTTGGAATGCCGTAGCGAGCCGAACAACTGCGAGCACGAATTTGAATGGTCAGCCGCGCTGAAAATTTTGAGACAGGAGTTAAAAGTCTGTGCAGCCGGTAATGTAAAAAATAATTAACCCTGGAAACAAAATTCTGATTGCCCCTGACTTGATTCCAGCTCAGCGCTTGTACTATCAGTCGTGGGGGAGGCGATGAGGCGACCCTTCAAAAATCCCGATTGACCCATACCTCTGCGACTCAACACACTGGCGATTGCAAGTAAGATATGAGACAAGATCATGGCTGGTCAAGAATGTGCTTTTAGAATGGCCGAGTTTGGCAACTCCAAGCTATTACGGTGAAAAATTTTTGAAGGATACGATGCAATGTTCGCAATGCTTCCATGGATAGATCTGGCGCAATCACGAAGTAATATGATGTTAAAAGAATGTCGGAGAAGGCGAAGACAAAATGATGGTGCGAGATGACACCAGCCGCTGCTGATCAGGTCACGTCAGCCGACAAATTGACATGACAAAGGGCGCTGTGCCGAGCTCGCTAGCAGCCGGCTCGCAGGCGGGAGAAACGCCAAGATGTAACTTTCTTCGAGACACCTCAACTTCAATCTGCGCAAAATTGATGCACCAGAGACCCAATGCAGACAAAGCTGTAGCCATATACTAACTACTGGAACAGGATTATTATAGTCTCTTCGTGTTGTTGTTCAAGCCTCGCCATGTCATGTTATCTCTTGACAGTCCACAGCCATATCGAAGAAAGATACGAACCGGGTGGTGCTGAAGCAGACACAAACCAGCGGGACACACAAGGCATCGCGCTTGAGAATTTCGATGCGCTATGCCAGATTGAAACATCTGGGTGTGAAAGCGCTCCGCCCTTCGGATCCACAGGGCGTCGGCTTGCATCGCTTCGCTCATCAACAACAGGTTTCAGCAAGGGCGCGCGCAGAGCCATTACTAACAGTTTGACATTATTACCAAAATTTTCATCAAGGTAGGAACAACACGGGCTCAAATGAATGAGTCAAAACAAAAGTTGAATACATATAAGTAGAAGTGGAATCTGCCATTGTCGTGAACTACCTGAACACCAGTCATCAAGCAACCAAATCCACAAAAGTCATCACTCCCACAATTCCCACTGCTATAAGACCTTCAATCTACACTGTCCAGCCAATCAGATCACTGAGATCTCCCAGACCCACCACTATACACTTGCGCTTGCAAACAAAACAAACACCCACTTTATCAAACACAATGTCTCCTTCAAACAACTCTCTGAAAGACGCCTGGGCTGCGGTGAAGCGCCACGCCAAGGAGCACCACGACTCCGTCAACTCTGCCTATGCCGCCTACTACGGTGCGCCGGTGCAACCTCTAGTCCACACCCCTCGTGCGCGTGCTGTATCTCCCGAGGTCTCCAGCGAGCCCCGCCGTTCGTCGGTGGACAAGACCTGGAGCAAGGTCAAGAAGCACGTCAAGGAGCACAACCAGAGTGTCAACGCTGCCTACACAAGCTACTACGGCATCAACACATCGCGGACAAACACCCCCGGCACCTCTGCGCAGGCATCGCCCCGTGTCTCGATAGACCGCTCATGAGTCATCAGGACAACACTTCGCTGGGATCCTGACCGCATCAATCCTGCCGTCTAGGGTTGCTGGTTGGGATTTGAGCTCAGTGTGCTGGGCACACGCATCGCTCGAGCACACAAAGCATGCATTTCATGATTCAAAAGCATTTGAATTTCGGGTTCGGAGGAATACCCCTGGTGTTGGGAGTTTGATATGTGCTGAAATACGGTACATCTAGACGTGTTATAGAGTTAATAATAATGACAATCACAGACTTGCAAGATTTTCATACTCAACGTAGGATGGTGATGTTTCATCGTAAAGCCCTCAGCTGTACTTGAGGTCGTTAGTGGTTGCTTTGCACCTGAATATCGAGCCACCTGCGCATCGATGATTTGGTGCACTCACTTCAAATCGTAGTCCTTCCAGAGGTGGCGCTACCTTGACCTCGGCCACGTCACTTGAGCCTCCTTCGATGCTCAAGGTTATGCTTGGTGTAGTGGAATATATGCTCAAGCATATAGAGAGCACTTAAAAGCATGTTTAACAACTGAGGCAAAGGAAATATACTATGCATGACCAGATTGGACTCTTATGTAGCCTACATTGGCACCAAATTCATCGCTGTGGCTCATGACTATCGAAGGATCAATGGGTAATCTAGCCGTCAAGCATGGTTTGGTCGTTCCATATCAACGTGGTTTGTTTTTTCAAGTCTGCAATACTTCACGCTTTCGTGTCCACACTAAATAACCGTTAAAATATTTAGATACAGATTTTCCGCTGTCCGCGGCCTGGACTTAGTGATTTCATATTCATGTAGACGCTGAGCCTTCGTTTGCAAATGAGAACATTCGGTCTCTTCTAACACGAGAACAGTAGGTGAAGACAGCTCTCGAACTTAATTTGTTAAACGAGTGTATCTGAACTAAACAGTTGATGAAAAAGAATAGCGTACTTATGGTTTTCCTCCTCTACCAGATGCCATCGCTTTCCTAACTCTCCGTGCCTTATACCACCACGTGCATCGAAATGGCGTGCACTCAACTTTGCTTGGGCTGATCTTGACCACAGCCATTGGCGTACCTTTTTATTAGCTACTTTTTGAGACTGTTACTTAGTCAGCATGCTTACGAGGCATTTCGCAAACGGTACGTAGTTATTCCAGTGTTTCCATTCTGGGCATTCATGTGAATAGAAACATACGCAGCGGTATTTGAAGTATCCGCCACCTCCAACAGTCGGGTCCCGAGGAGGATCGTTGTTAGGTTTTACCCTGCCAGGATTATCGCCGGCTTTATCTTTGTCAGATCTGTTGGTTTTAGCACTTTCGGTTTTGCCTGCCATTGTGATCTCCAGGGTAGGAAACATCAAAACTGCAGCCCGCGAAAATGGGTACAAAAGCGGATTTTGCGGTTCGTGTCGTTTTGGAAAAGTTTCTTGTTCAAGTGAATCTAGCAGATGGTCCAGCAATATTGAAAAACTGTGTGTTTGTTGGCCACAGAAGATAATGGTAATGATAATTGAGTCGTCTGTTTCTTTTCGGTCTCTTCTGCCCATCCAAGGTAAGAAATTCAACCATTAATATAGTCATCGGCTTTATCTCAGGTCATTGTGATCCAATTGATATTCCATAGTTATATCGTCAGTCTTTGGTGATGCTGCCATACTCTTTGCTCTTCTGATACGCCAACATCCTGATGCGGTTCATTGTGGTGATGCCGAGCTAGAATTCAAACACGCAACCACACTCGGAAGTCGGAGTTTAAAGCCAACAATCCCGAACCTGATCCGGGTCATTCAAAGGGATGGGAATGAATGTTGTATATTTTCATCAACCTTTACGAGCCATTCCGAAATCCTCCCTTATATACCACTACTAAATACCAAAGGAGACTCAGTAATCAAACGCTAGCAGCCTCTACATGAGCTTAAGGATCTGTAAGTGGGCTTGTTTCACGGACCACCGTCCCAAACGAATGCGAATAACAGACACCCCCAGATCGAACAGGCCGAACAGCGTAAAACGGTATCACATGGTTATCACAAAAAACATGCAGCTCCCTTTGTAGCTTACGGCTTTGTGGCTCGTGCTCACGATATGGGTCCAACTTTGAGGTCCTGTACGCTAGATCTGGCTACAGCTACTTCGACAACCTATCTAGATATCAGAACAACGGGGAATATACTTCCATGTAGCGAAATCAAGTAAATTCAGCCTGTATAGATATTAAGCAGTCAAATACGACCTAGGGCTAAGCTTGCCTTGTAGTCGTTAATGTGGCAGTCAACATGAGTGGAATATACTAAGACATAAACCTAACCATCTTCTTACTCCAGAAGACATCCAAATGGCCATGGAACGTAGTTGGCATGCTACAAACATCGCGTCACCAGATCAACCATACCCGGTGACATCGGAGACTAATGCAGTCTAACTGCACGGCTATGGTTAGCACAAGTCAAACAATATTATACCGCCGTAGGCGATATCTCGCCACCCGTGGACATGAGCTTGTATGGCCAACTTTGGCCTCGAGTTGGGACTGAGATACAGAAAATGTGTTCCGCCAAGATATTCCTCTCGTAAGCGTCTGGGGAGCTGAATGCATTTATGCTGTAAATCCCATTGGTCACCGTTATTTGGTGCATCTGTAGATACTTAGCCCCGGCAGTGGCCATGAGTTAACTAGTGTACATGCTGCAAGAACTTTTCGGTCGCCCCTCCAAGCGGCCAAAAACCAAGTTTGTGCCTCCCATCTCCACGACGATACATCTCGCTCCGCTTTTTCCGTCGGAAACTCTCGATGTTCTGATACCGCATTGAGCGCATAAGTAGTACAGAGCCAATGAAGAGAGGTTGCTGGTACAGGGTCATGCACACCTCGGTCAGATTGACTTTTCAACACGGCACCTACATGGCACACAGTAACGGCCACACATGCGCCACTGAGGCGCAAGTTCGCGTATTGCAGAATGGCATTCAACCGGCCTGCCGATCAATCGGCAATTCCATCGCGTATTGTCGTGACCATCGGTCTTGGATGAGTTAGCAAGTGGATAATCGATCGGTCGTGAGCTTCCTGTAAGAATATGTGTTGACGATCTAAGTCCCTAGCGCGAGCATATGTATAGACCAGGGGTGATACGGTACACGGCAAAAGGAAAGCTTCGAGAAGATCAGCAGCTTATTCCGAGAATCAGACCATTATGCCAGCGATCCTCGTCTCGAGACATTCGCCTTGGTTCCTGGATTCGAGTCTGCAGCTGCGTAGAGTTTAGTTGTGGCCACCGAGCGCATACACTTGCACACTATAGCCTGTCAGTCATTCGTGGCCAGGGTCGCAATGCACCTCCCCAGAGTGAACTGCTTTTACATGCATCTGCAATTCGTTCGCTTATCAAATCAGCGGAAAAGAAGGGCCTTGACCACTAGATGCAGACAAAGGGAAACTTAGACATTCGCACATTAGCTCCATGTAAGCCTATTGGCGACGTAATTTCTTCCGGATCAAGAGTGTTCGTACATAGACGCGCACGACGAGGCGCTGAGGACTTCGCGCTGTATCCTAGCGTCCCAATCAACAATCTTTGTGGGCTGGTTAGTACCTCGTTTGGCGGTGGCTTGAGTCTCGATTGCCAAATATAATTCGCTACGTCGAGAAAACTGGAAATTTCTAGTATTGTCTGTTGCGTGTTAGCGTCGCAACTCGCTGACGATCTGCTGCATTGATTACCAAATTCTTCTGCGGTTTGCGGGGGGAGCATTCCAAGCATTGACGTCGGCTCGTCTGAACTTTCCAAAATCCATCCGGCCAGAGTGGAGAACGAGCAAGGTTCACACTACCAGCGCAATCTGCAAGGCGCTGCGGCTCATCTCTCATCTCTCATCTCTGCCCCTTTTCTAATTGACTGGTTCCCTGATAGTGCAGTAGGATCACAGTACAAGGATATGGAATTGACCGGTAGGCAGCCGGTTGCAACCTGATCTCAAAAGAGAGCCTTTACCGGGCCTTCGAGTCAAACCGAACGCCCCAAGAAATCGCATCCTTACCACGTCATAGGTTTCAGGTATCAATATTGTAATCACGCGGGCTATTTTAACCCAGAAAGCCATGCGAATCATCCCGCTCGACGTGTGCCGAACCGACCTCATCATGTCTGTGTCACCGTAACGGCAACATTACCCACCATCGATTGTTGTGGGGCCTACAGGGGTTTCGCGAAAGACCCAGGGGTCGCAGTCGCGGGGAATCCATGAGAGATTGCCACGACCCAGTTGCCGCGTGTTGTAAAGTTTGATTAAGGTCAACGGCATGGGAAAGGGTGTGTGAGGTGTGAGAGATAGGAGTAGGATCACAGTAACTTCCTTACCTTACGTATGTACAAGACACTTACGCCCACCATCAGCTGCAGGACAAAGGTATAAAGAATTGTTATTGGTCTAAGAACATTTCAGAAAGTCGCAAGATGCATACACGCGCCAGTGCGATATGCCATTCCCCAGTCTAGGGTCGTTCACGACGGTTTGCAAGCTAAAACAAATCCTCGTTGATCATGCACACGCAGATGTATTACCCGGATGCAAGGTGTTTGTTATCCTGTTGGCCGAGTCCCTGAGGCTGCTCATCGCAGGGAGGTCAAGCCACTCATCCGCTTCGCGTTCTTTTCACCCGAACGTACATGACATGTAAATGGTCAGCGTGATGCAGATTTTGTCGGGATCCGGGATTTTGATTGGCGATCCACGTGTATCATAGTAACTTTCAGCATATCTATCTGCTACGTATGTACGATAGAGACTTGGCGCGATTGCTGAGAGAGGCATGGCCAGTAGCATTGTGGCTTATGTGTGTGTGGCATCGTATAGTGATAGTAATGTAGTTGACTAACCTAGTCCTCCTCTAGATTTTGGGAACCTCCAAAGGTTTAATTAAATCAAGCATAAGGCAACCATAACCCAGGTACAACGAATAAATGGTTTGTTATATATTAAACTTCGTGTCAACTGGAGCCGTAAGGCGATAGATTGCCATGCGGGAAACATGCAGGGCTTGTGCTCGCTAATCCCGAGCTGCCGGTTCTCCAACTCCCTCCCCCCCGGCAGATCTCAAGCTTAACAAGATTGATATCGAACATGGTCAAGGTTGCCAAGCGTGCAAACCAGCTTCCAGGGCACGCGCGTTGGATCATGGTATAATAGAACTTTGTTCGAGGTAGCATCAATATGGTGGTATAATAGGTGTTGTGACACCTTTTCGGCCCATTCCCTGTGGCGGAGGTATTTTCGGAGATGGTGAGGCCTGGGTGCATCACAGTAGTCGCGCATACCGCGCAGGCGCGATTGGGGGTTAAGTATATAGCGGAGATGTCTTACGGCACACACGAGGCCCAAGTTTGCTATGAACGCATCTTTCAAGTTAATAAGTGATCGATGTAGTCTTCAATCATATTGCTATCCATTTCGGAGATCGAATTGTAACTACGCATCGTGCCATCATTGCTAAAACAGCACATGGACTACACACTAATTAGTTTCAACGGGTGCGGCTCCTAGGTACATGGAGATCCCATTCATTGTGGGGTTTGCATACTTTGGCCTGTTTAGTCTTAAAACAGGTCTACTACACAGTCTCACTTTCGTTCACGCGAAGACATGTAAATCCTCGGCTGGAATCAAGCACAGTATATATATGTATATATCTATCGGAGCAGGACCCAAAAGCAACTCATACAGATATTTTGACACATCCTCTCCGATGGCCTGCCTTCAACAGGCCGCACCGGGTATAGCTGCTCGCTAAGAGCACCGTTCAAGCACCATGTTTGATATCCTCATATTATGAATGGCGGAGAAATAAAGTCCTAAGGAACGATTCACCTCGAGTATATGTGCAAGGAACTAGAGACACGCTAAAGAAAGACAATGTGACGTAGCCTCTCAAGAAGAACGACTAAAGCAATGCCAAAGCAATTCCATGCCCTGCATGCTCGATGCTTGATTACTTGCACAGTTCAATCTGCAGGGATTGCACTCAGGTCGAATCGGCCAAAGAAGCAGGCCCTTGCAGGAGATCAGTAGAAAAGCAGTATTCACCGTGGTACCTAGAGTATCCTGATCATGGTCAGGATACTATACATTATCGAACTCGGTTGATTGTACTTAGGATGTGGTTGCTAGAAAGGAGTTTAAATAGGCTAAATCAACTCTTCAAACTGGGTTGAAATGGAGTACTTTCCTCCACCCTTTCACCATTTCGAAAGTTCAGTGAATGCTAGCCAGGCACAAATTCACTCTACGGCTTGGATATTAGTCAATTCCGAATTGCACGGCCCTGATGTCCATTAGGATGTATTCGACCCTAACAACTTCCGACCCTATATCCGACGGGTCACTCAACTGGAGATACTAGCCGCCGACCGCCGATCATGTCATAGTCGATGTGAACACCTTTGGCACAATGTGAGCGTATGAAGTCTGGGGTAATGCTTACCCTTCTAGACTAACATAGACACAAGTGAATAGTACCCCAAATACGGATTACACCGTCGCTGTATTTGAGAAATACATCGGGGATTGCCGCCGGAATTAAGACCATCAAGCAAGCCACGACGGACGTTACCGGCTGGATATCCTTGTTTGGAGATGCGGAAAGCGAGTGTACTGCGTCAGAAGTTATCCGAGTAGAACAATAATGCTGCGGTTTTCTATTCAAAGATTTCGTTTCCAAATACCCGATAGTTCGACTAGCTTAGCCAATCTTGGCCTGTGCAAGGACATGGGTGCTTGTCACTTGCAGGGGCCTAATTCGCACTAACTAGACTAGACTAAGTCTCTTCTGAATACTTGCATCCCCTATACGGATCTGTACCTAAATCGCGACGATGATGAACTCTGCACCATCCTTGTCAGACAAACTTGGAAGATTCCCGATCGGGCCCACCACATCAAGATCATCAACATCCACAGACCTCCGCCGCTCCGCCAGGCCCAGTACAGGGGTCAGAAAACTCTTTTCGTCCTGCTTTCCCATGCCTCCCTAGTGCTGTCCCAGTCGTGATGTGGGTGTGCACACCCTTTGTGGCTTGTGATCTATGTAGAAGGAGGTGGCTCGTTCAGACACACTGGTCGTTACCGGGGCTGGAAAGTACTCGCCATAGCCGTACTATTTTCTTGTAACCCCCGATCTATACACACCATATGGCTTCGAGGGCTTTTTTTTTTTTTTTTCCAACGGGCGTTATATCCCGACTTGTGACCACTGACAGTCGTAGAAAGAAGAGACCAATCTTCCGCTCCTGCCTCCCGCAAGCTATACTCGACATGAAAGGCTCGCCTGATTTACTTGAAGCTCGTTGTTCATTTGTGGATAGTGCAGGCATCTGCGACACCAAAGATTCCATTCTTGAAGAGTACTTTTCCTGCCCCACTCTACTTTCCCTTTGGTTGCCATCTCTCAACTTCTTTGGCTAAAGGCCGCGATACGAACTCTTGTTGGAGAATATCATAGGATGCGTTCTTTCTCGATACTGTAGATATGCTCAACCATTGGCGGCATGTGTGCAATCTCGAACCATAATGCCAACCTGCAACATCGCCTCCGACTTTTTGAACAGCTGTTTCGCCAATATGAGTGCAAGAAGCTCACCAGTTGAGCCACTTGTGTCACCAAGCCTGGAGGACATCAAGTTCCGTTGTCCACGGTGCCCACGAAGCTTCAAGCGCATGGAACACTTGAAAAGACATAGGCGTACCCATGATGGAACGAAACAGTTTGTATGTTCTACATGCTCTAAAGGATTTGCGAGAAGGTATGCTATACTTCAAGTTCACCCGTATTATTTTCATCTAACCTCTGAAGCGACATACTCCACCGCCATGAACTTATTCATTCGGCAACAACCCATGATGCAGCTGATACCAGAAGAAAGAGGGCTTGTCTAGAATGTGCCAAAGCTAGAGAACGATGCACGAAAGGGGCTCCGTGCTCTAGGTGTTCTGCACGGTCGTTGAAATGTACATATCCTCAGGGCAATTCTGAGGACCTGACACGAGCAGCGGTCCAACCCACGATCACAATTGATAGCCAGCAAAGGCATCTTCACTATCAGTCTCCCGAATATAGCGGCCTTGCAGCATTGAATATGACCACTTCTAATCCACTGACTGAGTATGGTCCGGAGGGATTCGGCAACATGCAATATGCAGATGTCTATCCTGGAAGTCTGGAAGGAGCCACCATCCCTGTGACTTTTCCACAAGCTGCCAGGACTCCGATCAGTACCAGCACTCAGAGTCCTGTTCCATCTTTAGGGGTTCCATCATCGACGCAGGACATCTATAACCCCTTCGGCTACGCACCAAGGGCCGCATCAACGCTCGGATCACTTCAAATCCAGCCAACATACAGCCCTGCTATTGCATCGCCGATTAGCTGGACTTCTACAACTGAGACTGCCGATGTCGCATACCAAGCTCTACCAGGGCTTGGAATCAGCAGAGTAGATCTCTCTCCGACATCACATAGCGAAATACAGTCGCCGGTGATTCCGATAGCAACAAGCTCGTACATGTCCGGCACATGGATTACAGACTCCAGATTGGTGCAGCAGAACTACAGTGATGCACGAAATCAGTCCGTGAGTTCCGACGCACCTTGCTCTAGCCCTTGGATGTCCTTGTCTACGATGAGAAGCACGTCACCAGCATTTCGTTCCTCCCGAGACGCACCAACACCAGTATCGCCGTGGAATGATACTTTCGGAGGCCTGAATGTTTCACACAGTACACCAACCTATGCACCTGTGCCACAAAGAAGGCCGAACTTTGCGACTATGGACCAGGAGTCGTTCTGGATCCCGCCATTGAGTACATTCTCACACGACAGAACAGAGACACACACTGATTTCCCAAGGATTAGTGTAATAGTGTATACCAAAATCGTGCAGCGGTTTCGAAAGCTCTGCATCAACCCGACAGGGGCATATGCATCATTTCTTAGCGTAGATTTCCCAAGCTTGGGATACTTGAATCTCTTTGTTGGTCTATATTTCCAACATTTTGATCCCGTCCTCCCAGTTATACACTCACAGCAACATGATTTGGATGACTTTTGGCCGCTTTCAGTGGCCTTAAGTGCTGTTGGCTGCCAATATAGCAAAAGCCCAGAGCTGTTAATGTGTGCTGGGCCATTACATGAATTTCTCAGGAGAGCGCTGGCTGTTGAGCTGGACTCCGGAAACTGGGCCCGGCATGTTGTACCACTTGCTCAGGCTCTTGTTCTTAGCCAAATCGGCAGCCTCTACGGTGGCTCGAAGCAGTCTATCGCTCTAGCTCGGGCCAGACACAGGACACTGGTAGAAATCGTGGAGACATATGGGCTGTTACGGTCCCAGTCGGGTTGGGCTCTGACAGGTCTGGTAGAAGAAAGTTGGCGGCAGTGGCTTGGGGATGAGACCAAGCGTCGACTTGGCTATTCCATTTGGGTAAGCATGTCTCTAACGGGAGGACCGAATGAGAGTTGGCTGACCACAACAATAGCTGTTAGATTCTATGTCGGCTTATCATTTCGGGCAGAGACCTCTCCTTTGTCTGGAAAATGCGCAATGTGAGCTACCATATGCGTCCCTGTGGACCGCCAAGACGGCATCGGAATGGCTGGAGAGGTTCAATATTCTGACCAGTAGGTCAGTTGCTCCTGTTGGTGCTGGTAGCAAACTCATACCGCCAGGAAACCGGACTTTGCCTGCGGCGATGAATGTTTTGCACTTGAACGGAGAAATGACGGGTGACCTCGGCGACTTTGGTCAACTCATTCTTCTGCACGGTATTTATGAGGATACGATCCGATCCAGGAACAATTTCTCTCCCACAAGATCCTCCCTCATACTATCCGCAAAAACAAAGAGGGAGGCAGCACGAAGCATAGCGTCTCAGCATCGTACGTCACTGGAATATGTCGAGATGATGAACCGAGCAGCAATGAACGATCTCTACCAGACTGGCATCGAACCCACGTCCGTGCTCCATCTGGCTATCGCACGAATAGTGCTACTAGTACCATACGACAGCATACAGATGTTGGCCAAATCCGTCGCATCGCAGCAACCAGGACGTATGAACCTGCCGGACAATGCCATCCAGGCGGAACAGGCGGTCCTCCACTGGGCTCAGCAGGCAGACGTACGTAAAGCTCTTTCTATCTCTTTCCCAATTGACTAAGCATACTAGCTAACACAATGTGAAACCCAGCGAAGCGCACGGGTGGCGGTAATACACTGCGGAATATGTATATGGCATCTGAGAAGGAACAGCAACAATGCCTTCTACGAGCCTATATCTGCCTTCCTGGCAACCCTGACGGTATGGGCATATAGCCGTTACACCTCTCGGACACTTCAGGAGGGCCAAGAGAAGGCCCTGGAACTTCTCGACAGGATACCAAGCGGAGAGGCTACCCGTAAAGCTGGCCCGAACGTTCGACCCGAACCAGAATTTATACAATTAGATGGCCCGAATGACGACCAGACGCTGCAGTTGTTCATCAGGTTGGGCGGGCCGTCAACAATACGCGCGCATATGACAGGGGTCGGCAACATATTCTCGTCGTCGGGTCCGGTGAATATCGTGAAGGAGGGACGCAAGATATTGGCAAGTGTGTCCTCGGTTTGGGGCCGCTCGCAGGAATATGCCGTTATATTGGAAGCGCTTGAGATATATAGCATGGATAACTTGGCGCACATGACCTGAGGAATACATCGACGGCGTTATCGTCTGAGATCGGGATCGATACATTGGACATACGGGATGGCCAAGAGAAAGAATACATAAAGATGCATGGACTTGTTAATTGTAATACTAATCGACCAACCGTGGCAAACTAGCTACAATCAAAGAATTCGAGTTGACAGTTCCCCTTTTGGCGGTCGTTTTACATCTCCATGTTCACCATCAAGGCCATATTGATGAGTTACCATCCCTCCGGGAAACCCCAAAGAGGATCGCACCTCCACTCTGAACTCGGCGTGCCCCACTCGGTCCAGCGAGCGGGATACTCTTTGACCTTTGAAAGAATATCGAGGTCCCAGGTCTCGACTCGCCGACCGGTTTCTGCGTGCCTGTGGTCTAGCATGACTTTGGAACCGCCCAGGTGCCACACAATCCACAACTCACTGAAAAACCCACGGCCCTGACAGATGACCAAGCTCTCTAAAGCAGAGCCCTGTTTCTGTACATCTAGATATCGGAACGAGGCAATAGCGTCAGCCTTGGTGAATTCGGTTTCGGCCATCCTATCGAGGAGAAATGGCTCGTCGTGGAGAAACACACGTAGGTGTTTGAGGGCACGCATCTCTGCAACGGCATCCAGATACAGGAGGTGCGCGTCGGGATGTGAAGTTCCAAAGAGATGTCGGCGGTGCATATCCAATCCTAGCCAAGAGACGTTGACAAGAAGACCCTTGAGTTCCGTGATCTGTGTCATGGAAAGCACAAAATTCGGGTTTGGATGGTGGAACCGAAGTTTCTCAAGCACACTAGCTGCATGTCTGCCAGCTGCGAGAAAGTCTATCAGCGTATTTGGCTTTATGGCAACCAGACAAAGTTCATTGACTGTGGTGGAACGCAAGAATCTTCCCATCCCTGGCGGCTCGGTGAGGCAGTCTTCGATGCTTTCAACGCTTTTGTAATTGAATACTTTCAACGTCTGCAGCGAGGACAGAGGGACATCTTCGAGTCGCAAAGTCAGACTTTCCAGTAGTTTTGGGTGCCCGATCGTCAATGATGTGAGCTGTGACCAGCGAAATGACTTCCAGTCGCCCCAGGCTTTGTCGGACATGACCAGGTGCCCATGAAGGGACAGCGAGGTCAGAGGGTGATACGTAGGCACGATGTTTTCCAAAGCCCATTGTTTCTCTTCCTCGTAATTTTCTTTCAAGTATGTCCACTCGGCCATAATTGACATCTCGAGGGTCAAGCTTTCTAGTTCTTCATTGATCTTTAGGAGAGCGGCAACCTCCTGCGACGCGCATGCAGGGTATCTTGTTTTGAGAGAGGGATAATACCCATCCTCACTGGAAGATTGTAGCAATGATGCCGAGAGGGCTTTCAAGGCATGGCCGCCATCCTTTCTCGTGGATAGAGACGACGTCATATACGACAAATCCAAGGAGCTAACGTCCAGCGTGTGCACGTAACGGTCCAGATGAATGGAAACCCTGCGTTCAAGTTTGCCAAGAATTTCAGGAATGGCCTTTCTCAACTCGTTGATGTGAATGTAATCGTCTGTTTCATCATCATTGTCTTCATCCCTATGTAGTAGCACGTTGCTATCTCCGATTATCCTAGACCCAGTCAAAAATAGCCGAGAGAAGGTATTGTGACTTTTGGAAGGCAAATTGGAACAGGATGTGATGCTTGATAGACTGTACAGAACAAAGTAGACGTGTCCGTGTTTGAACAAAAAACGAACATGGTGGCCATGTGTCTCACTTACTCGATCTTTCTGAGATGAACTAATAGGGGAACGAGCTTCTCCAGGCTCTCCAAGAATGTAACAGTTATGAGTCCCCTTGTGATAACGATTGAAACATTCCTGATTGCCTCGGATATGCGCTTATTCGAAATGAGATGGTCGATGTACGCCTTTTGTTTTCGAGAGCGATGCGCAGCGACGAGTGTGATGTCCTGGAAAAGGAGACGAGTCGCAATTTCATGCCACTGGTGACACACGAGATTCGCGTTACAAAGAAATGCGGCCGGCATTTGTGGATTGTCGAGCAATTGGGTGAGAATTAGCTCTTGAAGCTCGAAGCTTAAGTCCGTGAAGGAGCCCATGCTAGGTACGTCGCTGAATGCGCGATCCGAGTGATAGGTGCCACAGGGAAACAGATATTAGACTTGGAGAGCAGCAGAATCCACATTCTTAGCAAAACTTGGCGATATGCGAGTTCGATTTTCTTATTGTTTCTTACATATCCGGCAACAAATTTATTTCAACGGTTGTTATCTCGTTGCCTAACGCCCGGCTGACTAGGTGTTAAATTAGCTTACCGTGGCACTAACAAATAGCCAATGGCCCCGCACTAGAATCGGTCACAGTGGTAACTGTGGTACCGATGGTAACAGTAGTAACAGCGAGGGCCATGAATATATGACGGACATGAATGCAGTGTCTCCTATATAATACCTGGTCTACGACCATATTCTATCATATACCCTCGGGAGTGTAACTTATCGCGTTGAATGATGCCTGGGGACCAGGCGCGTTGTATGTACATCAACTCTGCAGCATCATGCAACATCATTAATGCCAACCGGAGTGCCTACTGATACTTTCTATTTTAGGTCGATAAACAACCACAACTGCGAACAATCAGATTATACAGTGCATGAAATGTGAGCTTGACCAAAGTTTCATGACTCCAGACGATGCGACTGCGACTGCGATGCATCAATTACGGTGGAGTCTTGCGCGATTGATGATGAGTTGTGCCTCGGTACAGGATTTGAAAAAATGCAGGTTTCGAATTAGTCTAGGTTGTTGGAGTCGAGGTAGACTTTCATGATCTGAGGCTCCTTATATTTACATATGTCCAAGGCACCAAAGCCACCCATGCTCATAGATAGAAGTAGCAGAATGGTCCCGAAAGAGTATCCATCACTTCCCTTATCGTTGTTGAGTCGGCCGCATAGCCCATATCAATGACATCGTCAAGTGATGTGAGCTCCGACTCTGGCTCATTGGCCCATGTAACATGGCCATAGTCACCTGCATTGATATCTACCTGCCTGGTCTTAGGGTCAAGTGCTTGCCTGTACCGAGTGTTAGTCTGGCATGTCAAAATGAAAGGCAATACTGTATACCATAAAGTCCACATTCTGTCCATCATACCGTGGTGAACCCAGAATGCTGGATCGCCTAGGAAAATAGTTAGCAGTGTTTTGGACACAACAATGCATCTGCAACGGTAGGGTACTCACCTGGGGAGGTGAATAGGTCACCACCAGGGTCGCCGCTAGATTATAGAGTCAGTCCGTGAGAAGTATAGGTGCAGAGTCAAACTTACTTGATCGTGTAATGGATGCCGCCATGGGGTCCAATTTCAACAGTGTATGGGACACCTTCTGAGAGGACACGGTATGCCGTGATGTTGGGCTTGAGAAGGAGATCTAGCTCAAGGTCAGATAAATGGGAAGATTAAGACGGCCGAGCTGTTAGACTTACTGAGAACTGTGGTATAGTTTGCATATCGAGTGTTAAGAGCTGGGCCAACATCACGCTTCAGCCCTCTGGGGTTGTACCCGAGGCCGCCATCTGGTCCAGCATCAGTTCCCACCAGGCCGGCTACAGGTCCCAGGTTTACAGTCATGTTCGCGAATGGTCCAGTGGTCACATAGCCTCCTCCCAGACCTGCAGCTAATTGGATGTCGCCGCCACCAACACCAGCTGGAGGCGTAATCACTGAGCCGTTATGTTCGACATAGTCTCCATTGCCACCCAAGCTGTAGGCGTCCCCATTGAAGATAGGCGATTTCTCAGGTGCGGAGGCATACTTGGGCCAGTCCCAATACTTGAAACTATGTTAGCGCCATTTTGCGGCAGGTACTGGGCTGACTTAGACTTACTGGTTGATAACCAGTGTAGCCGCATTCATCCCGAAGTGCTTTCTCGTACTGATAGACAAACCATCTGTGCCAAGCCATGAAGTTACCCGTATAATGAATTGTAAGAGTTTGCTGGATGTGGACAACAACAAAGTCATCGAACTATTACTACAATGAGTCAACAACTTCCGGTAAAATAGCCTGAACTGACTTACGCGAGACTGCGCACCCGCGGAGACGTTCGAGGGTGTCCGGGGCGGAAGGGTTTGCAAGCATTTCACAGCATTAACATAGGCCAGCCGCTCAGCTTTAGAGAGTGAGCCACTATTCACGAGAAATTAGCTTGTGCAATAGGAGGGATATTTGATGCATAGTAACTCACTATTCTCTGCGAAAATAAATATTCCTTGTTGAACAAGTCGCTTGTTCGCCACGCGCCCGCAGTGATGCCTCAGTTTCATTAAGCGACGCTAGCTGTGTCTCTGTGATCGAGTCAACGAGTTGGCTAAATTGCTCTTGGGCCTCATCAAGGTCCGCACGTCTCGAAAGATCGGCGTCGATTTCTGGAGGACTTGGCGCCGCCGTTGACGATGACAAGAACTGCGCTAAGGCAGGTAACAGGGTATATGTGCCAAGTCTCATGTTGACAGAGTCCAAGCTGTGGAATAGCTGTGATAAAAGGACTGGACGGTATCAATCAAAAGGGATAGTAGCACAAGAGGCAAAATGAAGGGCGCAACTGGAAGACATATGAGTATTGAAGACTCCCCTCAGTGGCCATGCCACCGATGCTACCTTGGTCCCGAAGGCTCCTAGCAGCCGTCAGCCGTCTGAAGCCCTGCATTGCCCACGATCTAAGATATGCAAAAGAAAACAAGGAGTGAATCCCATTGGTGCGGATTCATTGCGGGAACAATGGTTGCATATCTACAATATCAGATGTGCAAGGGTAAAGACCAGGATTATGTACAAGCGAGGTCTAAAGGACCCGAGAGCCACCTGGCTAATTGGACTCGGCGAATGAGACCCCTATACAGAGACCCGGATAACTGGAAATGCCATTCCGATAATCTATCATCGAACGAGAGCTTGATTCTCATCAATCGAAGACCGAGGATGTTACCTTGAGAAGTTAGCTCTCGAATTAGAGGCTCCGCTTCCGTGTTACCACTTTGTAATTGTAGTGGTCAATAAAAAGACCTATACTCCACAAACTGGGGCACACATAGACGTTCATTAGTCGCCCGCGACGGATCGATCCGGACTCCACAACTTCAACGGGAAAAACTTGCCGGAAAATCTCTCTCCAACACAAAAAGCTTGTGGAAACCGATATAAGGGTCGCCTGAGGGAAGTGTTGCATCAAGTTGCCCGTGGGAGCACTTCTCTTTTGGAAACAAATATGAATCAACGTCACGCCGTACAGTATTCATCAGATACGGGAATAACGTTACCCACAACACATCATGGGGATCTTGCAGCTGTGGCTTTGCTGGGGATATCTTCAGCAAATCCTGCATGCATAACGCATTCTTGGCACAGGGCCTAATTCGAGTTGGTCCGGGGTCGTATATTACATTACCCGGTTTTGAAAGAATCTTCAATTCCTTGACCGATTTGCCTGCAGCCTGGCCTCGTCTTTTCCACCATGTTTATACATGCGCGTCCTTCCTATTGTAGTAAGCTCATGAATAAGTACGCAATTACGTTGGCATTTCTGTTCGACTGTCCTTTGGATTGGATCGTGCCATTTTCTACTCACCGTCTCATAAGAACGAGATTAAACCAGGTTTCGAATTGGGGAGCCGTGTTGTGATTTTTGACTCGTCCCGCCCAGTGATTTCTTTGCATCTGCCCCAGCAGTACGGAAGCGATTATCTCGCTTACCACCGCTTGCATACTCAAGTGATCTTGCATTAGGCCGTGCGTATTACGTCCACCACATACATGTACTGGTACACTTCGTAAAGAAATTGATTGAAAGTTCCGTCCTGGGCAAAATGTCATACACCTCGTCTCGCATCCACAAAATCGCACTTAGACATAACAATAAACACTCGACATATGGTCTTCAGCTCTGCGAGAAATTTTCTCTCTTCGTTTCCTTCCTCGAGAGCTGCTCTGAAGTACGTGCAGGATGGCCGACACCACCAACAAGCCGGCGGACGTGGATAGGGGGCCACAAATTCTCATTACCTGTGGAGTGCTGGTCGCTTTGTCGGTGTTGACCGTCTCTCTTCGCACCTGGGTCAGAGTCAAGATTATTCGCCAGATGGGCTCGGACGACTATTGCATGCTGGCCGCCACGGTACAGTTCAACATAATCCACCAAGGCGGATGTGATCACTGACTTGCGCACAGCTGATCCTGTTCGTGGAGATGATGATCATCGTACCCGAGGTAAATCACGGTGCCGGCCGCCATTATCAGTATATTCAGCCTCAAAGCAATATAGTTAGAGGACTGCATCTCAACTTCGTCACGCAGCCTCTCTGCTTAATTGGGCTCTGCTTGACCAAGCTCAGCGTTGGTCTGTTCCTCTTACGTTTGACACCCTCAGCTCGATACGCGAGGTTCATATGGGGTACCATGATCTTCACGATACTCTCTGCAATAGGAAATTTTTGTACGTGATGAAAACTGTCGATCAATGACTATGCTAATCGGTACAGTGACTGTTTTTTTTCAATGCCAGCCGCTCGCTTTCACATGGGATACATCCATCCCAGGGGGCAGCTGTATTCCATCTGCGAACTTGAAATTTGCTGCATTCTTCAATTCAGGTCAGTTCCCAAACTGAAGTTCTCGCCAGAGGCTCAAGCTGATTGATCCAGGTGTATCCGTACTGACAGATCTCATCTTTGCGTTACTGCCAGTGCCTATGTTGTGGCACGTGCAAATGAACTGGAAGGTCAAATCGGCCGTTGCTGGAATTCTCTCCCTAGGAATATTGTAACTCTAGCCCAAATTGAATCATGGACTTAAGGCTGACGACCGAGTTTCACAGTGCGACTGCGGCAGCGCTTGTGAAGATCACATTTCTTACGGACTACGGTAAACACGGTGACTTCTTGTTCGACAGTACTGACATAACCATATGGTAAGTTCAGTATTTCAACGGTGACATGCCTACAGCTACACCATGCTTGTTGGAATGATGCTGATAGTCATGTCTGATACTAGGACGACTGTGGAAATCTCCACCGCAATTATGGCCGCCTCAATCCCTTGCCTAAAACCATTGTTCCGATCCCTCCTGTCCGGTTCTTCCGCAGCAAAGTACAAAATCAAAGATGCTGGTGAATATGTGCGCCAGACCACTGCGAGCCGTCATGCCACGCGATCGACAAGGACAGGCGACGATTTCGAGATGTTCAACAGAACAAGGATCATGGCCGAGGCTGAAGCCAAAACGCATCCCGATAACACATCAGAAGAAAGTATTTTGCGAGAGACCGGCATCACTAGAACAACACACGTTTCGGTGTCAGTCGACCAATACGATCAAAAACAGCCAAAAGATATCGTGTAGATGCACGACCGACGAAGGGGCTGAGGCAACTACGTTAAAAAAAAATTGGAGATTTCAGGAAAGCTGTTCAATGGATTAAGCAATGCAGATCCCCTTCGTGCTGAATTCGCACCCAGCAGACGCATCGAATATGTCTGGCTTGCGCAACTGACCCGCAACTGAACCGCAACATCGTCGGTCTACCCAGCATGCAGTCGAAACTAGACAGCAAAGCAAACAAACAGTGAACACGGGATATTTGAGCTCTATGGAACCAATTGACGTCCACATTCCGACTAGAACATTTCCAACAGCGGAATGCGGGGTACAATGGATGCTTTCGTCACGACTTGTAATGCACAGAGGTCTATGTGGCTTCCTGGGCGGCGTTGTTTGTTTATTATGTACTCAGCCAAGTTTGGGGTGGACCATGCAATCCAGGGAGTGTGCATTCCTGTGTTCCTGGCAGTAATCTTGTTGCATTATTATGGCGAGGAAACTTCAGAATGCGACCTGGAAATCACGTGGGGCTAACAGGCCCGCACCCGAACGGGCCGAGGCTCACATACATTAAATTAAAGCTGCAGCTCCGATGGAGCATCAATGATGATGTCAACGAAAGTGGATCGTCATTGATTTATCACAACCATAAACAACAAAACACTTCATCTCGGAACGTTCTTTATCGGACTTCGACAATATAACGCCGAAGACTCCAGTCTTTTGCTGATATCGTGCTGTATCGCCGATGCAGTGGCGGCCGCTCTAATTCCGCAGTAGCACAAGCGAATGCGAGGTCGTAGCTGCACTTTGCAATGGATTGCTGCAAATCGCGATCTGATGGGTCAAGTTTGCGTCCTTTTCTGACCACTTTAGGGCAATGCTTTGCTTCTTTCGGCGCACAGTTAGGAGTGGCTCCCTTCAGTATTTTATCATTGGGCCTGTCTCAAGCGTTAGCTCTGTAGCTTATTTGAAATAAGATAGTGCTAGCAAAGAATCCATGGAGTATCCTACGTCACATCTCATTCTAGGCCACACCTACGTTTGCATCTTGTGAACGTCGAGTTGTTCACAATATGACTATACTGTGTCGTCATCACCGGTTCGTTCATATATATTACAGCCCCCGCTCAAGTAGTCAGGTGCGGATAGAAAATCAAAGAACAACACAGCAGTAAACAAACTCACCTGGCTTCCTTACAAACTCTTCGTATACACATAACTTCATTATAGTAACTTTTTTTTGATCAACACCGCAAGCATGCCTTACCCCGATGAGTTTGAAGGTTTCATGATCAATGAGCTTGGCAAGTACAAGGAGTTCAAGAAGCAGACTGTACGTCACTCTCATCCAACCCGCGCCAGTACCTGACTAACACCGTCAAACAGTTCAAGCCAAAGAAGTTCCAAGAGAATGATATCGACATCAAAATTGAGTGCTGTGGTGTCTGTGGTTCTGATGTGCACACTGTCACAGGAGGCTGGGGCGAAGCGCCCACGCCCATCTGCGTTGGCCACGAGGTCGTCGGCAAGGCGGTGAAGGTCGGCTCTGCAGTCAAGAACGTCAAGGTCGGCGACCGTGTCGGTGTTGGTGCTCAAGTGTGGTCATGCTTGAAGTGCCCTCAGTGCAAGAGCGATAACGAGAACTACTGTCCTCACCAGGTCGACACCTACGGTGCACCGTACCCCAAAGAGGCCGACCCCGACGAGACCATCTCGCAAGGTGGTTATGCGTCACACATCCGAGTTCACGAGTACTTCGTGTTCCCGGTTCCCGACGCTATCCCCTCACACTTTGCCGCGCCGATGATGTGCGCCGGCCTGACGGTATGGTCGCCACTGGTGCGTGCTGGTACTGGGCCTGGCAAGCAGGTCGCCATTGTTGGTTTAGGTGGTCTGGGTCACTTTGCCGTCATGTGGGCAAATGCCCTCGGTGCTGAAGTGACTGTGATTTCCCACTCTCCTCACAAGAAGGATGATGCTCTGAAGCTCGGCGCCAAGCACTTCGTCAATTCTGGTGACAAGGATTGGGCCAAGCCCCTCGCATTCAAGTTCGACTTCGTGCTCAACTCCGCCGACATGACGCACACCTTCGACCTCGACAGCTACCTGTCGATTCTAAAGGTCAACAGCCGCTTTCACCAGGTCGGTCTGCCCGACGAGCCCATCAAGGAGCTCAACCCCAAGCAGTTCATGGCCAATGGCTCAAGCATCGGTGCCAGCCACATCGGTTCGCGCCCGGAGATCTTGGCCATGCTGAAGCTCTCTGCGGAGAAGAAGCTTTTCCCCATGGTTGAGACCATCCCCGTGTCTGAGAAGGGTTGCGCTGAAGCTATTGAACGTGTCAAGAACAACAAGGTTCACTACCGTTTCACTCTTACCGACTTCGACAAGGCATTCGGTGCCTAGGGTTGCATGAAGATATGACATTATGAGGCACTTGAATGATTACTGTTACGGTTACAACAGTGCAGGAAGACTAGGCTTGCTGTTTCATCCTATGTATTGTGAAATATCAGAAATATTAAGAATAAAAGGCTAAATCACGAAATACATAAAAACATTTGATCGCATAGCTGATCTCACTTAGCGGATATATCTTTTCCCAATCACGTAACCGCATGTTTAGGATCGATCCACCATTCAGGCCACCATTACCTCTAACAATATGAAGGTCCGAACAGAGCTTCAAGATCGTCGCGGGCGTCTTGATGATATATCCTGGCCTTAATTAGTTTGCACGGCTCTTATAGTAAGGCACTTAGACCATGTAATGTTTATTACTAGCAGGTACGATCTAATATTTTAGAACTCTATGGCCTTCTCGTACCCTCGAAGTGCCGGGAGATCTATGTCCTCGAGATTTTAGTATAGATCTGTTTAAATAAGGCTTATTATTCGTGGCGTTAAGATAATAGGTGCGACAACGAAGCTTCCCTGGTAAATATGATGTATTTCAAGTATAAAACTGAATGAACGTGTGTTAGACAAATTAGGCATTTCAGCCTACCGCCGAAGTACAAGCAAACAATAACTAATGTGATACTAAAAGAATGTAACAGGAGAGATAATAGTCTCGCCGAATCAAACTATTTTGTACTTGCCAAAGACATGGAATAACAAATTTCTTTGGACTTTCAATCAAATCCAACACAACTTGATGATGACTGCGATTCCTTGCTTGAATGGAGCGTACTATTCATTCGCAGCAGCCTCTTCTGATGTTGGTTCTTCGGCTCCTGGAGCAGAGGCCTCTTCTGGTGCCTCTTCTTGCACTTCATCTGCAGCTGGCTCCGATTCGTCGTGCTGCTCGGAGTCAGTCTGAGGCTGGAGATATTGCTCGAGCCACTCCTCAAACTCTTGCTTCTGGGCGTCAGGGGTGGTCTTCTTTGCATGGATCTCGTAGATTTGCTTGAGCATCTCGGTGTACAGCTCGACCCCATGCTTGCCGTCCTTGGAGTAGGCGTCCAGGATGTGCGGCACCGCAGCGATGCCCTCGCTGACGATCTGGTGGAATATCGGGTCATTTAGCAGCTTGGCAGTGAGCTTGGCGCCCTCAAAGCCGGCCTGCAGGAGGCTGTTGGATTGCACGGAGACAGCGCCCATCTGGGCACTGATCTGCTTCGTCTTAGCCGCATTGCTTTTGATGATATGAATCAACTTTTGTTCGGCTGTTCCCTTGATCGCCTGCTTGGGATCAAGATCGAATACTAAATAGGGACATTATTCGATGTATGTAAAAGCGATATCGGAGAAAGGGGCCTTACTGCATACTATAAGGGCAGACGTATTCTTTCCGGTGCGTAGCAAGTCCACGAGGAAGGGAAGAACACCTTGACCTTGTTTCTTAATCTTTTGCCATTCTGGTAATTGAAGCACTGATTTTGGACTAAAGCCTATTAGTTCGGGATCTTATATGGTTTCTTCTTTTTGTTGGCACGCTTACTTAGAATATTTAGTGGGTTTCTCCATAGCGACTAGGAAAGATTTCCAATTTTGGTCGAAGTCCTGTTTGAGCTTGTTATCTTGCGCAGGAGGAGGCGTCGGCTTGGTAGTACCAGGAGCGGGTGTTGGTTTTGCTGGAGTCGGCTTTGCTGGAGTCGGCTTTGCTGGAGTCGTCTTTGCTGGAGTCGGCTTTGCTGGAGTCGTCTTTACTGGAGTCGTTTTTGCTGGAGTCGTCTTTGCTGGAGTCGGCTTTGCTGGAGTTGGCTTTGCTGGAGCTGCCTTCGGTGGAGTTGAGTTTTTGATCGGCGCTTTGGGGACAGGCGCTGGCTTCTTGGCCAGATTTGCGAAACTCTGGATTAGCTCATCGTCCTCAGATGTCAAACTGTTATGGGCTGGGGACGCCATGGTCCCGACCGTGTCCGCAATTGAGAAACTGCTCACTGCAGCGGTTCCGCTACCGTATTTGAAGAAGATCTTCCGGGTACCGTAATCGCCGCCGTCGAAAACGTCGCGAGGGTGTACGATAACTGGTCCGCTTCCCAACTTGCAAGTCCAAAAGCCGTCGACCTTGCGACTGAAGTGCTCAAAACGACCTGTTCTGCTTGAGTAAAAACAGTCGACGTCTGCTTCGTCTGCGTTTTTCGTCTGTGTGAAGCCGAGCTCCGTGACTACACGTGTCAAGTTAGTCTGTACAACACTATACTGCGAGGTCGGTAGACAGAAGACGGAGCGATCAATGTATCTCAAGAAGCGAACTTCAGCCTCTGGATGCTGAAGAATCTCTGTTTTTGCCATGTCCGTTCGCCGACGAAAGCTCGAGCACTCACCACGCTGGATGAGAACTTTTTCATCATCCCACAACTCGTCTGAGAGCCACGAATTGCCACTTGGTGGTACATTCCAATCGGGTGGGAATTCAATAGGTTTTGGCAATACGTCTAGCGCCCAATGCCAACATACCCAGTTTCTGTCACTCGAGGGTATGAGAACGAGCCATTGCTTCCCTTTGAGTTCAGGCGCTTCCCCTTCCACCAACGCCTTCTCTGCAGCAGTAGGCTGACGACCACTGCCGCTGCTTGGGTATTTGGTTGGTCTCGGTGCTGGCATGATCGCGATTGGGAAAAGATGGGTGTATGTAAGGGGTAGATAGGGATATGAAAATCACAGGCGTTTGGAACTGTGGTGGATAGAGAACTTACAACAATGCAAAGCCTTACACTGAAGCAGGCGAGGATATTTATGTGAAAGCTAACCCTTCGAGTTTTACTTTGGTCGTGTGCGCTCGCGTTGTTTCCAATAATATTATTATTGATCAGGTCCTGCGAAGGTGCTTTCGTTCTGTCAGGAGGTATCTAAAGTAAGCTGACGAGCTCCAAGTAAGCTGGCGCGGTGAAAGGCGGGGGCTAGTATCGCGTGTGACTCCAACAGGTCTAGACGGGAATGCGCACACCTCAAATTATGGCTTCAACTGGTAGAACGAGTAAGACGATTGGAATGTTTTCACGTAACAAACGAGCAAGGAGGGATTGAATTTGTAGCAGAGCTGTATAATTTCCTGGTAATGCGTATCCAAATATGATCCGATTTGTAAATAAACAAAACACACCATGATATGTTGGAATCTCTCAGTTATAATCATAACAGGCGATGAGCAGCGAAAGACTCAGTTTTCTCATCACAAAACATTCGCTGAAGTGTTTGTTTGTAGTTCCATCTACCTGTTGCCACTTTAGCATATATCGCACCATAACATTCACGACATTATTGCGATACAGCATGTGCAATGGTCGTATACAAGCCGGCCGCAGCAATGATCACATCAGCCTCTTGCTGACAGAATTCGCCCAAAAAAGTGAGGAAAAGAAAATTCTCAGCCTTTGAAACCAAAGCTCTGGGCCGTATGGCCGGCTAGCCCAGATTCTTTGCTTATTGGTAGGCTGAACCTTTAGCAGGCATTCGAATCCAGTCAGATCCAATAGAAGTGTTCATTTTCCTGCGGGGAGTTGTCTGCAGCACTTATAAATCCATAGTATTCAAAATGGAGGCCGGGGTCACTTCTACCTTTACATGCCCTGTTGGGTTATAGATGCGTAAGCCATTTTGTATCTGGCTCGAGTAAATAGGAATGGTGCAGGATCAAGGTGGCGTGGGCAGATCACTTGACGAAGAAGAAAAGCCAATATTCCTCAAATCATAGCAAAATGTATCCTATTTAAGACATACCATGTTAGAGAGTTCGAATCTAGTGCTTTCTTTCAGGATCCCCGTAACAGATCAGCCCGTCTATCCATTAGTCGGTGCTGACCGAGTACACCAAGATGAAAGGCACACTGTAGAGCGAGCCGGTTATTCGCAAACGACAGTTGAACACCTAGTGGGCTGATGAAAAGTTGCGAGAAACGTGTGTACTTAGATATGGTGTATTGCTTAAACTATCGCATGATAGTATGACTGAAAAGGACGCTCTGCTACGGGGCTTAGAAAGACCGTGATCAAAACTAAAACATAACGGAAGAGCAGGCACAGCTTTAACGCAGAGCCACAAAGATCATACGTCACAACGGGTTAACCACATTACACCACTTCAATGGTTTAGAAATCCATTTCAAAAAAGGGACAAAGTGTTATTTCTAGTACGCACCGGTTTTAACAGAAATATATATGCAGGGCCGTTATTATGCGCTAAGACCAATTTGGCGCTCAATTCAGCATAAGGTCTGCCATTTCGGATCCGGAAACCTCCAGTCTTGGACATCGCCATACCGAAAACCGCCACCTACATGCAATACCGTAATCAACACGTCTTCCCACTGGGACTGTCCAGGTCCCATGTCCGTTTGCACACCACAGCTAGCTCATAATCGTAGTATGATGCTTTCATCCCAATGGCTATCCACTGGTATTCAACCAACCAGTTGGTAGTCGTAGCAACTCAACTGACTGTCGTCAAACGTTAGGCTTGAGACCCAATCTTTGACTAGATTGTATCCGCACATGTTTCGCAGTGGATAATCTCTATCACAACTGAATGAGTATATTAGTCGGTGGAGTGTCTTATACGCTTCAACCTTATCGGAAGCAGGCGACAGCGGGCCGGAGCCTGGCCTATATCCAGAACAGTGCAGTGTGGTTGTCGTGAGAAGGGTGATTTTCTCATCAGTTGTAGTGCGCAGCTCATCGTGGCCTCTGGAATGGGTGCGCCTCGGTATTGAGCACATAGTCATCTAGACTAATGAGGTCAGGTGGCGAGAAAGCAAGGTAAAAGTACTTCAAGGTCTCAGCGAACCAGAAGCTCTATGAAAGATATCAGCGAGGAAGAAGGCCGCATTTCAAGGACTACTTACCTCCATGTAGTCTTCATTCTGTGACGTATCGACAGGACGAGTTACGTCCGGCACAGATCCGCTTGCATGTTGAGTATGCGTCGCATTCCTGACAGCCAAGAACATATCCCATGCGGCGTCTTGGAACTCCTGCCTCCCGGTGATGCGGTACAGTAGGAAAACGGACTCTATGGCCTCTGGTCTGAGAATGTAACGAGGATCTTTCACGGTGGTGAACCCCTTGGGCAGATGTTCCTTCCACTCTGGCCGCTTCCTCTTCTCTCTGTTCCAAACGGACTCGTCCCATTGGCAGCTAGTTCGGGACTCGCAGGCAACCATGTTCCAGCGCTCGGGGCCTACTCCTGATGGCATCGACTTATAGGCATACATGCAGCCCCTTGTGAGCTTAGCGCCAGTTTCGATGTCCTTAGGTCGGTCAAGCAATCTCCCACCAAGCGCGAATGCACCGCCCAGGTAGCACGCGAGATGCTCGGTTTCGGGATCCAATTTCGAGTGTTCTTGCGTTGCCGCATTAGCGTTTCCTGCTATCAAAATGTCGTCCTCGTCGGGTAGCATCGGTCGAAATATCATATGCTCATCTGCTGCATTCAGAAACCCTCTTGACATGGTGTCATAGATGGGCTCGGCGCCTTGGAGCAGCCCGTGCATCTTTGGCAGATATTCGTACAGCGAATCAGCACATCCTGCCAGGGTGAACTGACTCCCAGAAACGACGTCTTTCCTGTCCATCGAAACCATCATAGGCCACAATCCGGGAATGTTGGTTTTGTTCTGGCCTTGAAAGAAAAGATTCATAACTCCTGACACTGCCGTGTAGTATTTTGGATCTCCAGTCACCTGCGACAGCCGGGTCATCTCTAGTGATAGTGTTCCCGGCGATGCCGAGACTACGTACGCTTCAAGTTGCAGTCCTTCGCCTGATTTTGCCATTTCGAAATCGATGAAGTCCACTGGCATACGGTTTTCCGTGTTGAAAGCTCCATAGAGCAAGTCGCCCAGCTCTTTGGCTTTGACAAGCAGTACAGGTCGCTTGCTCAGGTCATATGCAGCGAGCAGCCCACCCAGATACCTGATGTTCGTCTCAAAGGTGTTGACTCTACCTGACGTCGAATTTCCAAAGTCAATCTTTGCCACTGCATTCACTGCTTCGTCAAATTCTGCTTTCAGACCCATAATCCACAACGTGTCCAGTGAGTCTACTAGAGTCGCGGCCCATCCCGAAAATTGGTCGCGGAAGCCCCCCGTGACGGGCATAAGAGCATCTTTCATCCAAGCGAACTTGCGGTACGCTTCCCAGTCCCGCTGGAAAGTGCGCCTGACCTGTTCTCGTCTATACTCTCGTGACTCGGTCTCCTTTAGCGTCTCCTTTGGAAAATTGTATTGGACCCTGGGGAGCCGCACGAACTTGCTGAGCGGAACCTGAGAGACGCCCTGGGCAGAGTGTTTATATTCGACATTGCCCCAATCAAAACTGCTGGGTTCAACCGCGGGCTGCTGTGCCTGTCCCTCTGCATTCATGAACTGCCTCAGCCGTGCCGATTCCAGTGATGTCCGTGGTGTCCATCTGGCAAAGAGCAAGTAGCAAACGGTGACGGCGAGTCCGATAGCGACAAAACGGTTGCGGTTACCTCGCGCGGTGCGATGCATCTCGATTACCATGCACACGCCTGCTGGGCGTGGAAATACTGTTCAGACGAAATGGCCACGGTATCTAAAAAGCTTACGGCAGTGCTACCAATCTGCCGGAGAATAATGGTGAAAATACGACAAGGAGGACAGACACCGAAGAGTCGATAAGCGTACAAGGCGAACAATGCGATTGACGTCTGTAGCTGCTCCATCCGCCATTATGTAGGCGCGATTGAGTCGAGAATAATATCCTGGGTGAAGAAACAGTGGAAACATGGTGGCTTTAGGCTAAGTGCCCATGGGGAATGAGACATCGTGTCCAGCTGACTGTCATCTTGGCATCTTGGCAAAGTGCACGCCTGATGTAGAAGGTTGCAACTCATGGCGCCACTATACCTGATGGGAGCTTCATGAGATACGGGTAGTTCTTCATTTGTCCGCTCGAGAGCCGAGCCTCATCCCTTCGACGCCTAGCTGCTGGGCGATGCCGGGTTTGGAAACGGAACCTCAAACAGAATGTCGCGAATGAGTGGACGGGATGGCAAATTGGGCCCTCGGCTTCGATTACAGGCATCTAACCTAACCTAGTATCAAGCGTTGAAACCCCCCGAACCGCAAATTTCATGACAGCAAGAAAAGAAAAACTACTTTCGCCAGTCTACGTACTATGTAGGTTAGATGCTAAGGTTAGGGTAGGAGTGCTAAACTGGCGTCGGTCCCAGCTTCCCGAGCTCCACGCCTTGGCGGCGCTATTGGTGCACCTAGTTAACGCTTAAGTTTAAGCGTAATCTGTTCTGGGCCCCCTACTCATGACGCAACTTTGCTGCAAGGCCTTTGGCTTTCCAGCGACTACGGCATCGTGCGATCTGGTATATGATAACATTAAGACTACACTACTCCGAGCATTCGGCCAAGCGCTTTCCCATTAGATGCATTGCCATCAGAACGGCCTGAAGTCTCGGTTCGGCGACTGTCTCTCTTTTCAATTACTTTGTCATTCTTGTAATATCAGATTATACACCACATCCAGTCACGGTCAGAGTTGGGAATGTGACTTTATCTAATGGTCAGACTGCGAGAGTGACACAGTGTCGCATTTAGCATGACCATATTGGATAGATCATAATTGTTGATATTGACTCGGATAAATTTGAAGCTAGCTACTCGAATGAATTGATGTGATTCATGTTCCACAATCTTTCATGTTCATCTTCAACCGACCCCCTCTTCCATATGTTCCATTTGGCATAACTCCGATATCATTACAACATAACAGTGTGCATACCAAGAATGATAAATCATATTGCTAAACCATACGTAGCTTCTTGACAGGCATTCCTCGGGGAGCAAGTAGCGATTTCAGCCGCTTCAGGCGCACCCGCTTTTGCCCTAGCGACTTGAGACGTCCCTCCAATGGGTCGCCCACACTCGTTTCAGGTGTAGATATCGGGTCGTTCATTATCTCGGAAGATGGATAGTGATAACCCTGGAGCATGCCTTCAATCTCGAATATCTGACCTAGACGTTCAGAGTTAGGGATATTCTCGGTGATACCCAGAAAATCTCCAGGTGCCCCTTTAGTGATAGAATCCGGAAGAGGCTGGTCATAAAGCGTACCGAACCAAGCTTCACGAATCGTCAGGCCGAGTGCCAAGGCAACCTGCCTGGCTACACTGTTGCCCACGATATGCCATTGCTGTGAGGGTGTCCCCGTGATGACTTCGTGATCGAGAAAACCTTGCGCCCTGCGCACTTCGAGCAGAGTCAATGGGCGCGGCTGGTGCCAGTGGTTCACGATACCGGTCCGGTTATCAGTAGGACCACAGCGCGTAACAACAGTGCGGAACAAACTGTGAGGGTGGACACGACCCCAACCTTTACTACCTGGTTGCATTCGCTGCTCTTTGGGGTTAGGAAAGAAGAAATCTCGGTCAGCAGTTGATATGGCGCCAGCCACGCGAATTCCGTCCTTCTCATACCCGAAAAACGTTTTCGCAAAGGTCATTCCATATGGCTGGATCGGGATTTGGAACATTTGACCTCGAATCCGCGGCGTGCAGCCAATGGAAATTCGATGGTCTGGAAAGCCAATACAGTAGTCCACCTTCGCATCCCGAATATCAGGGAGGTCTTCGGTTGCTTCTAGAGCGCTCATGAATTTGAACGGGGTTGGTAACCGCACTCTTTCACCAAATGGCTGACCATTTGACATTTTCCCAAGAGTACCCATCATGGTGCCTGGTGGATGACAATGTGTGGGACGTGGTGCCTTCGGCATTTTGACTCCTGGCGCAGCGAAGCTGAGGAAAACACGACTTCGCATCTGCGGCGCACCATACGTCCAGGCACCAGCATAGACAATACGTACTTGATAGCCCAGGCCAACAATGGCGCAAACGATCTGAGAGAAGAAGCAGTCTTCTCGCTTGTCCTGGGCTTTAACCATGGACCCCACATTCTCCAGAAGTCCGTACTGCGGTCGATACAAATCCACGAATGAAGCAAAAGAAGCGACGAGAGACCGATTCTTGTATTGTTTAAGCGTTTTCTGATCCTCGGCTTTTGTAAGCCGCGAGAAGCCTTGGCAAGGAGACCCACCCGAGATAAATTGTACGTCTCCCGGCTTCGGGACACCGACGTTTCCGTTCAACGCCCACTCGAGGAGATCGTCTATCGAGCCCAAATAAGGTTTGCAGATGCTTCGATCGCAATTTGCCATATAAGAATGGATGGCGTTGGAAGAGATGTCATTAGTCCAGTTCATCGAGACCGCACCTCCATCTTCAATTCCTCTGCCAAAATTACCTCCTCCGCAAAACAAATCCAAGCCGCGCAACTTGCCGATTGATGGGGTGACACTTGGTTGGAATCCTTGTCGGATGTCCAGACAATCCGGGTCTTCTATTGGCACGAGTTGACCGTTCTTTCCAGTCCGATGCGTTATATAGAATACATCGCCAGTGCCTCCCCGGTCATATGGACAAGGAATCTCCTCCGCAGGCATGAAGGCTCTGACCAAACAACGGCGAGCGATTCTATCAACCTCGATCTCCACAAGCTGATCAGAGTACACGAGCTCATTCGGCCTATAAGATTTGGTGCTGTCCATTTCGTTTCGACGAAGTAGTTGACGAAGTCTGACCCATCTCTTCCGGTTTCCCTTGTAGATGCGCTCGACAACCAAGGCATCGAGCCGATCCGACTTCGGCAGTTTCACCAGTACCGTATCCCCTAGTTGGTACTTACGCTCAGATCCAGTGTGCTTGATCTTGTTATGATGGTTGCATGTCAAGTGATCCTCGTCCAGTGCTACCCAGCAACGCTCCCCGGCCAAATACGTCTGTCTCACGAACAAGTTGTCGGATATGGTCGAAGTCGGGTTTCCGAACCATGCAACCCGATGCGTGCCAAGAACCTCCTCCTCTTCGACACGCGCTGTCTCGCACGTGCAAGTATCTGACAAGAACAATTCATTCGACCAAGGATACTTCATTAATGCGCACGGTGTGTCCCTGGCCTGGTACATCCAAATTACATCGAAGGATCTTCGGCCTTGAGGTGAGATATGTACTAATTGGACCATTCCATACCAAACATGGTCACTATCGTGATGTTTTGACGTCTCCCTCTTCCACTTGGTCCCAGTGTTTTCGTGGTCAGGAGGCGTCGAGATTAAGTCCCCTGCTTCTATTTTCAGAAGGAAATCCTCATCGTCTCTAGACCGATTGCTTCCTTGGTGGAATCTCTGCTGTCGCGTACTGGTGATTCGAATCTGCTGAAGGTTGTCTATGTGCACTGTATCAGTAGGTGTGACTGGTTTCATGATAGCACTTAAGCCCATGTGGCTGAAAAGATCGTAGATATACGGTGTAACAATCGTTTTGGCGACTGTTTCTTTGTCGGTCGTCTTCTGTTTGTGCTTCGTGCCCCCGTCGGATGTGGTGCTGTCTTCAGCCATGCGTTCCCCATCCGGAATCGGGCCAGAAGCTGGAATCATTGGCGTATATGCGTTTCCTTTGATCTCACCCCAGAAGTCATGCCAACTGGCTATGTTTCTATCGGGAAGAGGCAGCCCAAAAGCTTCCTTCCATATGAAACCGATGTTAGCAACAATAGCAGCACGGAAGTCGTGGGAATGATGAGCACGATACCACTGCTGGAAAGCAGGTGACCTTTTGTGCCTACTGGTGATGTAGGCAGCGAAGTCTGATCGAAAGTCCTCGAGTCTTGCCCGTCGCCTTTTCTTCAGAAGGTAAAAGCAATAATCCACAACATGTTTTGTCAGATTCGCAATCCAAAGGAATGGCACCCAGAACCGCTCGTATTCTGGGGATGGACGCCCCAGTTTGTAGTATACCTCATCGTTCTGATTGACCTCGGATCGAATCCATACCTGGTCACCGACAGAATGTTCTTCAACGTCGCAGTAATTGCCAATGGGAAGTTCGCGAAAAGGTACCCTTTTTACAAAGTACTTCTTGTCTCCGACACCTAGTATACCGTCGAAAAAGAACTTATCAGATGCCGCACGGGTAGCCAGATGTTGTAATGGTCGTAATTCGCTGGGATACAATACGCTGTCAATGTATATCGTGAAATTGGAAAGCTCGAACTCGATAAAATCGCCCAAATCATGATTCTGGTGCTTGAGTATTTGGAGTAAAGTTGAGACGGCTTCAGCTTCCTTGAGTGTAGGAGCATCGGGTTCGAAGCCACTGAAAAGGGAACGGGGATTAATCAATGTGGACTGTGGTAGCTCAATTACCAATGTCTTCGATGCGGGCATTCCAAGAGAAGTTTCAACATTCGATGTATCGAACGCGTTACCAACTAGTGTTGAAACCTGGAAATCATCAGATGTGGATGCCGGTCGGAATGTTGGGTCAGGACCGCTCTCGCTCTTGCTCTGGATATCCAGGCCGGCTGGTGTTGCGTCTGATGCACTTGGAGATATGCTAAGCAGTGAATAATTCAACCGCGGCCCTACTTCTCGAGCCTCTTCTGGTGCAGTAGAATTAGCCCCAAGAGCCAACTCCCCAAATTTTGTCCACCTCGCTCGTGGTAGTTGCCCCACCTGAGTGGAAGGCTGAAGAGTGGAGGCCATCTCTGCCCTCGCCACAGCATCTGAGTAGGAAATCCAAGACGGCCAAGAAATTCCATCACATCATATAGATATGAAATACATGTCTTTACAACTCATTCGCGATCCAGTGGCGCACCCCCTGGCCGGATGACGTGACGAGGATGGCCCAGATCAAGCAACCCCGCTGTCGAATGTCGCCTACACTCACACGCAGACAGCCTGGGTCACGAAAGTGAGCCGAAATGTCGCGTAGAGTTCAGTGTGTCTGCCAACCGGTGGTGTTTGAGGAGAATGCGCTAGCTAAAGCCTCGCAAGAAGTCGACGTGAAGGAGGAAAGGGAAAAGTGAAGAAGAAGAAGAAGAGGGAGAACAAAGAGGGTTGGAGCCAATGCCTTGTCGTCAACGAGATAAAATTTGGTTAAGTTTGAGGATAAAAGAAGAGAGTTTGGCTGGATTGTAAGGGATAATAGATTCCGAGATCCCACTTCGAGATTACATTCCAAGAGAGAAGGAGACCAGCACCGTAGGCACGCGAGGCGTCAATTATGTTTTGCGCCAGGTTGGCCAATCAGAAACCAGGCCGTGGAATACCCCTGCCGAGTGGCTCTCAATCAAAAATGCAGGAACATTTTAGCGCACCAACCTTAGTCATCATGCTCAAGACTTTAATCTCTATACTTTGACCTTTGAACTTTGAACCGGCGTGTTCGTGGCTCCCAAACTTCAGGATTGCCAAGTGCATATATATGTTTGATACTTTGCCAAATTCTTATACACCCCCAGTCTGACCTGAACGTTTCTCTGGTATTTCTCTATTGATCCTCCGGAGCCCACACACACGGGATAGTATCCCGAGGGAGTTCTGGAAAACACTCAGTGATTTATACAATACGATCTGAGAAGTTAAGAAATGGATCTAATTTCATCGACTGTTGACATTGTTCGCCGCCTTGTAGTCTTGTCAGTCGTATCTAGAAGGAGCAGACAGGATTTCTAAGCCTTTCATACCAAGTGCCTACACCGCAGACTGGAATAAGGTGCATAGTGCATGTCGTTTTCTAGAACTGTAAATACCGAATGAATCTCTTGTTATCGTTAGGCTGAACTTGAGGTTCGCTTCAATGATCCGACACATCATACTATTATGAGTTGGCAGCGACACCACGAGTAGTGTTATTCCTGTATTGCCACAATGCGGGTTGGTTGTGTTCCAAGCTTAGCTCTAGCAAGGTGCCCCATATGAAAGAACGGAATTCAAGTTGTCGAATGAGTTGGTGGCAGCATATTTGATGGAGGGGTAGCTTATTTATTTTAATTCAGCAGAAGTTTTCCCAACGACCAGCGCACAGGACCACCTGAGCGGTTACGTGGTCTAACCAGAGCGTTGCCAGCTTTCCTTAGAAGGCTCAGGTAGCTGGTTCGAACCCAGTCTGTACATGGAGTTTGTTATGGTGACTACGAACCGCTGACCTGTCAGCATCCAGACCGTAAACGATAATGCAGGGATGTACATTGAGGGCTTAGTGGGCTTCTGGGGGCACCGTTTTTTTCTTCTTTTCTTTTTCTTCTTCATTGTCTTTTACCATTATAGACATGTATCTTTTTACTCCAACGCTCTCGACTTCTCCCCATTATACTCGATGGTTTCAGTAACAGCAGGCCACCTACACGTGGGAGGTCGGCCACTTAGCTCTAGTTTCACGAGCGGCAGCAAAACAGGTCAGGGTTATGCTTAAATGGCTATGCTATTTATGATACGACTCTCCCTACAACAGACCTAAGCGGCTTAAAATGGCAATATCATGTCCCGCTAGTGATGGTTCGGATGGCTAGGTCACTCAAATATCAACCATCCCGGTAACTCAGTGCTACCATGGTGGGCGAGTGGCACTTCCCCGTAATCACAAGCGAAAGGACTACATGTGCCAAGAAGACTTAAAGAGCTATGTGTCGCTTCGTAAAGTTGGAACATCTTGTTATCGACATCCAACCTGATCCTGTGATGCTTCGATGATTCGGTACCGGCATGAACATTGTCTTGGCAAGCTAGATAGGGATCGTAAGCACAAGGAAGGATCGAGAATATATATGTATATTTTGATTCGTGCAAGCTGATTCTGCGCAAGGTCACAAATCTTATATTGTAGGTTGAAATGTGATACCCATTGACAAATATCAACACTCATGGTAAGGTTGTTGTCACTGTCTTCCCATTCGCTTGGCGGCCGATAAGAAATCCTTATCGCGAAGCTCCCCCTTCTCCACTTTTAAGTTCCGTGGAGGATGTTGAGTCCCGGCGCGACGCCAAAGAAAGATGTCACTGAATGGAGTTACTCACCTCGGCGCACCCGTGAAGTTGGCGGCACCAAAGAAACAGACCAGAGCACGCCGAACCCCCCCCCCCCCCCAATTTGTAATCTTCCACTGCATATCGTATCAATACTCCCAGTTCCGCGCCTAGGCCTTGCCGTGCTTCCCTACTCAGAAGAAACAATGCCGGACGTGTTGGATAGCACGCTTCCAAGAGCTGGCACTGGGGCATCTAGTCACCGCGCCCGAACCGCCGAATGCAAGTCGCTAAGTCGTTCCGGCCCTCGTGTGTCGAGCCCACGTAGCTAACTGCTCCTCCGATGCCAGCATCTCGCTAAAATGAACGCCAAACCTCTCATCACACCACGCAATGCCGGCTCCCTATGGGGAACGAACGCGAATCTGGCCCAGGTCCTCTCCAGCCTGACCAGCACAAGGCGCCACCGGTACCCCAATCTAAAGCTCAAGCCCAGCCGCATGTTGGCTCTCCGGCTGGAGCACAAAAGCCAAGAGCCATCCCGTCGCTATGCCCCGCTCTTTAGAGCGATGGCCAAAATGAACAACGAACGATTGCCTCTGATGACCTTTCAGAAGCTGCTCAGGCAACAAGATCTGAGCAACGAGAAAAAACTTGGGGATATCGTTGCCAAGACGAATCCCGCCCTGTGGAGAGACCGCCTCAGCAGTCTTGAGAGGAGGGGCTGGAAAGAAGCAGACATCGATCACTGGGTCTGGATTCTGTCCGCCGAGGATGGGGACGCTTGCGTCTCGAGGTTGGTCTCGAGCGACAGGCCGAAGCCACTGTTTGTTCTCATGGTCATTCTGTCGAGTGGACGCCCCTTTCGCTCACCAGACTCCCTCAAGCATGTTCTCGACTACATTACAAAGAACTACTTGGCTCCACATGAAGCAGCTGCGCAAGATCAACGCCTTGGTGCCGCACCTCCCATCGATTACAGACAACGGCTTAGTCTTGCCAAGTTCCTGATTATTCTACGCCGACTGACCGCACGGGTGGTCAACTACTGGCCAAGGTCCATCACAGCTTTGGCCGAGATGACGCGAATCTATATCGCTAGCTTACCGCTTATCGAGAAGGATGGAAACATCTACCACAAGCGATGTAAGATATTCAACACGGCCCTTGTACAATTCAGCCGCCCCGCGTCTTTCGAACCAGTTCGTCACATGGAGTTCAACTGGCGAGCTCAGAGGATACTCTTATCCATGTCAGACACCATGGAGCGGCCTCTTGTCATAGACAAGCTTAGTTACCGTGCAATTCGCAAAGTACTGGTAGCACAGAAGAAGTCTGCAGCGGAACGGGCAGTCGCTGTGCGATATGCCAAGACCTGGCCGCCCTACAGGCAAGACTTCGATGGCCATGACGCGAAAAGGACGCCAGAGGATGACCAGTCGCGAAGCGTGAGGGCTGGTGTCCTCGCTACAGAAGCCGGTTATCCACAAGATGACTATGGCAAAGCACTCGGCGTCCTCGGTGGTCAAGGTGCTGATCAGTCCCCAACTATCCAAACCCGCAGTCTCGCACCAACGGAATGGACGGACGAAAAGAGCCAGGAAAACTTCTTCACCATTTGGGCAATGAAAGTTCGAGCAACCCGGAATGCCCAAGAAGCCTGGAAGGCGTTCAACTCGTACACGAACGTGGCGCCAACGCTACAGGTCTACACTGAGATGTTTCTCAAGCTTCACGCGGCAGAAACTGAAGTCGCGCATGATGTTGTGCCGGGTGACTCTAGGGAGGTATTCCCTACCCACCACGGCAACTTCAGCGAATATGAACTCGCGCGATTGACACCGCCCACGACTACGGACCTCTACCAACACATGTTGAGCCGGGGCGTCAAACCTCACGGCATGTGCTTGCAGCATTTGGTATCCAATGCTCGATCGATCGCGGAAGGGCAACAATACCTGCGCGATAGCACTATCAACGCTAGTGCTATCGCCCATATGGTTTCAGCCGCGGGATTACTGCACACAGTACTAAGGCGTGTTCCGTTGCTTGTCTTCAAGAGCTATGTACAGTTACTCTGTCGCCTACATCCTGATCGACGAGGACGTGAAAAGATATCACACAGCGAGCTTACCCGCCTGCATCAAGCAATCAACTTGGCCAGAGCAAGATTGGCACCTGGCACGACCGAAGCAGCAACATTTCGACCTGCTTGGCAAATTATATGTAGAGCCTTGGCGCGACCCAATATCGCACTGACAAATAAGGAGCGAATCGCCAATGACATCGAAGCACTGGATCTGTTCCTCCAGGTCGAAAGTGTGATTGGGAAGAGCATCGGGTTCGACCCAGAAATATTCCTTTACCTATGTCGCACCGTTCAGAAGTTGATTGTGACCCAGCTCAGCCGAGTCGATCTCGACTCAAAGCACTCTTCTTCACAACTACCAGCTTACCTTATGCAGGGAAAGTCTCGTACTGGTACCTTGCTTCGTAACGCCCATACTACGATACGGCACATGTTCAAGAAGCTGGTGTCCCCTGCCTCGCAATCTCAACCCAGTTTAGAGCTCCCTCAATTTCTGAACCCCGTAACACCGGCGCATTTGCATGGATACATGCGGACTCTTGCATTCTTGGAAGATGTTCAAGAGATGGTCGCGGTTCTGAACTGGGTCTTCGACAACAAGGACATGATAGATGAAGAGATAGAGCGGAAGGGAGAGGGTGGGCGACTCATGATGGCCAAGATGCTTTGCGCTTTCGAGGCATTTGCTGGCCCCTGCCTCGAGGTTGATATACGGGAAGAGATTGACGCGAAGATGGAGCGTGTCACTGAGATGGATGATACATGGCATTGGCCCTCGCCAGAAGACGTCGAGGTATATGTACAAGCTGATCGCCGCGGAGGCTCGCAGAAGCTCCAAGAACGCACCATAATGCTTAGAGAACAGCAGTCAGTCAGGTAACCCTTAGTCAGGCAGCTCCACCTTCCCGCCACTACATATTGTTCAACTTCATTATAGCCGGATTTTTGTTTTGTTTTGTAGCTGCTCCTCTCCCCCCCCCCCCCCCCCCCGTTCGCGATCATTCATTTCTCAACCTCTCAACCGTTACGACCTTTCTTCCCCATCCCAACACCATCATCCATCAATCCGCAACTGCACTACAAAATGAACTTCCTGGTGAACAACTGTCCCCAAAATGGCCAAGTGTCTCGACGAGATTGACGCGGGAAGACTCACGATGGACGAGGTGAAGGAGGCACTCGGAGTCGCTGAGAAGGAGGCACCCCAGCATCTGCATGGAGACGCTGACACGGAAGGCGCTGAGGAAGAGCTGCAGATCTACATGTAAAAGGCCGCAGAGATATGGACGTGATTGGCAGCTTGGACATGAGAGCACATGACACCAGAGTTACTAGAACGACAGACGCGTACGAAAAACAATATAAATTGACATCATGCAATGCCTAAAACCATTGCGCTATAACTGTTGTGTTTGCATCCATAACTCCTCGCAAAAGTACCCCAGGCCCACCTCCGTCGGTCCGGAAACGGCTCTTGACGGCTCATCCCGTATCTAGGGAGCCCATTCCGGATCACCCTCAACTTCAATCATGTCCATACACATCTTCAGCCATCGCTCCCTGTACTCGGAGCTTGTCGTGGTCAAACTCATAGGTCCCTGCTCGTGAACAAGATTGTAAGTGTTGATAAGCCCAGTCATGGCTTTGGCGTGAGGCGTGTGCTTGGCCCAGAAAAAGTCCAGTATTGCTGCACGATATACCTCCTTCCCATCGCTTGAGGTCACGCCCGTACGCCAGCTCGGTGGTCCGGGTGGTGCGAAAGGGGGAGCATCCGGCACAACAGCCTCAACATTAGACTCCTCCAGCTCTGCGGCCGAATCTGCCGAAATGCGGACGAGGAAGAGCGAGTAGTCGACGGCGTTACAGCTTGCGAGGAGCTTCGTATCCTTTTGTAGCTGTGCCTTGAAGTCCTCCGCTTGGTCCAGAGTCAACTTGATCTTGCCGTTGAACTCGTCTGCCAACTTTGATTTCGTGGCCTCGGATGTGAGGACGCCTCCAGCCACGTCGCGTTCAGGGTAAAAGTAAGAAGTTGGCTTCAGGTCCCAGAAGTCCCACTTCGGCTTGCTGCCGTCGTCATCATACCCCTCCTGGCCGTAGAGGATGTTTTCCATGACGATATGATGACTCGGGGCAAATCCAAATAGGGACCCGAGGCTCCTCTGCGAGCATGCCAAGAAATCTGTAATGCGCACGAGAAGACTGGCCGGGTTCGATCGCATGTGGTCAACATACGGTATCAACATTTCATTCTTGAAAAACTCGTGCTCGAAGTGTCTTGGTACCGATTTGACCAAGTAGGCGCCGTCGTTTGTGCGATAGAAGGTGGACCCGCTGTAGCCCATATCGCCCATCGTGTGCAGGACATCCTTCTTCTGGGATGCCGCTTTCCAGTCCGATCCGAAGCTTGACTTGTAGCTCTCGTCTTTGATAGCCCAGAACTCACGCAAAGCACTGAAAAGGTCGGCTCTCACAAGCTGGAACGTCAACCAATACACATAGAAGCGGCTAATCAGACGTCTCAGAAATCCTGGTTTAGACTTTGGAAGGCCATTCTCGTCAGTTTCCAGAATGGCGTATATAATAGATCTCGCGATCAACAGTTGCCGGTCGACCATGACAGCGGCTCTTAGCAGTTTGGTGTTTGTGAAAGGTGAACGTTAGGTTTGACAAGAGATGGTGGCTCACTGCTGCTACTTGTCAATCATGTTGATTGCCTCCAGGAAACAATGCTCCGTCTTCTTGGCGACGAATGACGTCACAGCCACGTTGACAGCGAACGGACCTTCAAGTTTACTGTGCTGGCGGCTAGTGAAATTTCGGCAGAAAAGAGGAACGTCTTCTCCGTGTATAGCTTAATATCAATAGTGCCAACAAGATGCACTGACACCATAATACTGAGGATCTTTGCTGGCGAGTTCGATAGTGCCCGTTGTTAGTCCCGATGCTGAATTTCCGAATTTGACCTCACTCAACCTAACCTCAGGCTAACTACAGCAGTCTTTCAGGGGTAAAAGTGTTTAAGCGCACTACCCCACGCATAGCTCCAGATGGTCATTTCGGTTTTGGTTTGTGTGAATACTAGCCAAAATATATTTATATGTAGGAAGCAACACAGAACGGTTCAGAGATCAATAGGTTCTAGTCTTCTCGAATTCTATGCTGACTTCCGTCTTCCTCTTGATCGTGTTTTCCTTCATATCATCAAGCTCGTCCATCTCCATCCCAACGCCAACATGGGTTTCTGATACAATTCCTCGCTGGCTATTGGAGTCGGAGAAATTATCCGAGGTCCCATCCACACCACTTCTATCGCGTGGATACCGATTCATCGACCTCGTGTGGAAGCTGGAGTTCACCGCACTAGTGCCAGCCGCACCGTGGCTCCCCGACCTGCCATAAGCAGACGGTCCAGCGCCGCCGTAGTTTCCGCGATACTTCTTCGAACTGTCCAATTTGCTCCGGAAGCCGCACATGTAGCTAAGTTGTCTTACGAGTGGCTGCAATGCCGGGAAGCACGCACACCAAAGTCCCACATGGCCCTCCAGATCCGTCCAGAACGCCACAGTTGCCATCTTGTAAGTGGTGTCGACGCTGAAGTCAGTTCTAGCCATGATGGTGAGCCGGACGACGCCCGTGACGGTGGCGAAGATGCCGACGCAGAAGATGAGTGCGACACGAACCGCTTTCGCCGCGTTCATCATCTTGCTGCGCACCACCCAGATCGGGAGACTAAAGAGCGCGAGATCCACTACTATGCCGATCGCCGCATGCGTCCACATCATGACCGCTTCGGAATTCTTCGATATACAGTCGCCACTGCCCGGAGGTAGCCACAGGTCGCTGGTTCAGGAAGTCGAGGTCAGTGCAGTCTCTTGAGTATGTCGCTGATATCCTTGCTCACCTTAGCTTATGGCACTCAAGTAGACGGTATAGGAAGCAGACAATAGTCTGAACCAAGATCACGCCTCCAGTGGCATATGTAAGAATCTGGAAAAGTCCTAGGACAAGAGAGATGTTGGTCAGTAGTTCAAACATTGACGAAAGGGAGTCTCACTGTCTTTGGCAAGTCGCAGAAGAAATGCAACGATCGCCAGTCTCATCAGACCCACGCACCAGAAGTACATTAGGTGTTGCGTAGTAAGAGCTGCAAAAAAAGGCACAACAAATGCCCCAGGTATCTGATCCATATGTGCACCAGATCCCAAGCCAACGGCTATTCGATTGCTATAGTCAGTCGGCGTCACGGTTTTGGTGTTTTGGTAAAGAGCTACTCACTCCGTATCTCGAGTCCCGAGAACACAGCTAACAGTAGATATGCGACCACAGTCATGACATCGTCTAGTCCAAGGCCTTTTGTCATAAACGCCCTCACATAGAGCCTGGCACAAACAAATATAGTCGAAAAGACGATCAGACAGATATTGAGATCCCGCTGCGCGAACCCCTGGTATTCCGTGGTCGCGCTGAAGTCAAAGTCGGGTAACGACATGGCGGGCGCCGCTTTCGTATGACAGAGGAACCAGCTCCCGGAGGGGTTATGGTATCAACGGCAATGGATCGAGACCATAAAACAAATAAGCAACGCTGATCACCACGCTTGTCGGTGACAGGTGCCAGATGGAAAAGATCGAAAAATCTGGGGAAAGGATCAAATTGGGTTACGACTTTCATGTATGAAATGGACACAAGATTCTGTGGCGCCACTAGTCATGTGTTCGTGGTTGGGCCAAACTACACACAAGGACATCATTCCAGCCAAAACGGCAACTTGGTTTGATTGACGGTCGTCAAGCTCTGTTCGTCCTGCGCGGAACACCGGGTACGTTACAGGAATAATACAACTAGCCCAGGATTAGATCGAGACAAAAAAAAAATTCAAGATGAGGTGCCCAGAAGTTCTTCGGACGAGCGAATGATCCAGACGGCAGCAAAAGAGTTCTACCTAGACATTTCGCGACAGCATCCTTGCTGCATTTTTGTGGCGTTGAGTCCAATTTGGTCAGGGCCCCGTGCAAGGAGGTTTAGTTGAATTGTCGATGGCATGTTCAGATCGATACTTCAATAAGACTATCGGTATGTAGCCAGGTTGCGATCATTTACTAGGAATATGTCGGACTACTCCTTGTTCCCGGTCGCGACTTAACCGAGAGGACGCTATACGGGGTTTGGTGAGATCCTTGCCAAGTCATGACCGTCCCGATCTGGGACGATACTGCAACGTGAAGGACAGAGCAACAATATCCACCTGTAAATATTGACCAGGATCAAAGGGACCAACTGCCTACACATGGATACGACTGGAACACATGCAAATCCTTCCACATCAATCACACGGTAACATTTCGCAGGTTGAGGCTAGAGTGGCTTGATGTCCAGCATCAAAAACTTCCGTGGGGTTGTTTCCAAAGCAGTCAGTACTCTGCATGAACCGGTATTGCACCAATCTGTACCTGTTCACCAATTTGTCTTTCCAGAACTTCCAAGTGGCATAGACTGCGCTAATGCATATGTAGGTCCCTGGATCTCTGCAACAGGCGCTTCTCGGGTATTACACGCGAGGAATATCCCTGATGACCCCACAAACTTGGTGGAGCCGGTCATTCTTCCATCTTCCGGAGACTGGAGTCGTTCTTTGATGAACAAATGACAGCTCACAACCACGACCTGCGAAATTCCACTATAGTAGTAGTTAGTTCCCATCATTCAGTGCTGTCGTTTTGGTCGGCCTCTTTAATACAGGGTTGTAGGATAAGATTAGCACCCATTGATTGTGTGGGATCTTGGCGCTGTGAAAAGTCAAGTAGCGAGATAAAGTGCAAGGCTCGTTCTGAAGAAGGAAACGAGACAGCGTCCCTACCAACACCTTCTGGGTGGGACTTCCAGCGGCTCTTGCTTCCTTGTCGATTTGCCATCTCAACCCTCGCCCATGGGCGAGGTTTCAGCAACATTGGGCAAGTCTGCCGCGAATCTTAATCCTTGCTCAATGCAAGAATCGGGGGCCGTCGGATAGTATTTGTGAGCGGGGTCAAGCAATTCAGCCGCAACATCATCGTCGTAGTACCTGGTTGTGGTGCGAATGTCTGTAAGTTGAACCGGAGAGCAGACCACCTGGAGCATGCGAGACAATAGTTACATCGATGAAAGGTACAACTATCCACTTCCCGAACAAGCCGCTGCGCATGTCCCCGCTTCCCGAAGGCGCTTTATTGACTCCAACCTTATGATAGGCCGAGATAGGGATGTATATCTGCAAGGTTCATCCGACTCCAGCATAGCCTTATGGATATCTACTATAAGTTACTTAGCTTTGAACGCGTTGATCCTGGTAGAATTTTCAATCCTTACTTTGCCATTTATTCTTCTCGCTACCCGGATGCTTCTCCTACGCCTCAAACCATGAAAGACGAGTTTCTCAGATCATACCACGCCAGCAGTGGGGTATATGCAGCACTCCACTAAAATAGTTCAGTTGTTCTGGACAAATATCCGTGACGATTCCAAGCAATGGATTGGACAATGCTTAGATGTGCAAGCACATGCCTGCGCCCTCCGCGGGGACTTTGATCACTTCCAACTGAACAGATCCCGCACCTAGGCGGTGCGATGCCTAGACTTTCATGCACCAATATTACCATGAACTCGATATGTAGTCCCACTCGAGAGATTATTGAAGGCCACACATGGCTCCCGCTCAGCTATAGTGGCAACTCAACGCGGAGAGTAGCACCCCATCTGCTTGACCCCAGTTGTGATCCACGAGACAGAGCTCCCTGGACTGTAAATTACTTAATACTACCGGCATGTCAGGCTACATATACATATGTAAAGTCTCCTGGCTGCAGCATGCATGTACAGGTCAATTTCTTTGACTGTGCGCGCCACATCACACCACAGACGCTGATCGTATACGCCAATTTACACGGTTATGATTAGAGCTTCACTGTTGACTCAAATTCTACGACTGAACCAAAGCTGAAACGAGTGGTTTTCCTTGATGACAACCAGGTACTTCCTAGCCTGCCACAATGTTCTACTCTACCGTCTTGTCTGCCGCCGCCCTAGTGCTCGCACAGATCTCGTCGGCTACTAATGACACCAGCTGCTCTTGCTCCAATACGCTCGTCCGGAAGGAGTGGTAAGTCAATCCTGCCTCCATGACTACGTTGTGCTCTGCTACCCGAGCATTTGCACAAGGCGTTCTGAATGATATATACCAGCCACCCTAACACTATCGTTTGGTCAGGAGAAATCTGTCGGATGAAGAGAAACTCGAGTATATCTCTGCGGTCCAATGCCTGCTATCAACGCCGGCCCAGCTGTCGGATACCCTACCTGGCTCCGTCTCACGCTTTGATGATTTCCAGGGTGTGCATATCGCGTTGACAGAGAGATACCACTTCACCGTAAGCATCTGCCATTACTAATTTTGCTATCCAGATCAAATATTAACTCAACCTGCGGCAGGGGCCTTTTCAGCCTTGGCATCGAGTGTACGTGAAGCTGTACGAAACTGAGCTTCGCGGCACCTGTGGATACACTGGTGCCCAACCGTGAGCGGCTCTTCTCAAAGAGTACTATGTATTGGCTGACTAACGAGTTCTAGGTACTGGGGTAACGTTGCCACCAAGATTACGTGAAAGGAGGTCATGTTAACCCTATCTTTAGATTGGACTCTGGATGCAGACTCAGAAGAAGGCTTCCTAGCTTCACCTGTATTTGACAATATGACCGGATTTGGAGGTATGTCGAAAGAATCTTCTATGCATCAATATCGAAGCATCCTCTCATCATTGATAGGAAATGGCCCTTACGTGAACACGACTGATTACGAGACCACAAATGTTCCTGTCAAGATCCCTTACAAGACTGGTGGCGGTGAGTAAGAACTGTGGATGTTGCTAGTGCATTGCTAAAGTACATTCAGGATGCGTTGAGGATGGGCCGTTCCTCAATATGTCTGTCAACATGGGCCCTGGTAGCAACATCGAATACAACCCTCAATGCCTTACACGGGATTTCAGTCCATGGTTGATCACGCAAACCCTAAACACCACTGTTGTCGACTGGGGCCTGTCCGCAAACTCCTTTGCTGTCTACGACTATCGCACTCAAGGAACTGGTATCGAAGTCTCCGGCATGACTTACCACGCCGGTGGCCATCTCGGTGTCGGTGGCGATATAGGCACCATTGGAAATATGTAAGTACTGGATCATGCCTGAGCAATATCCGTCATCGCCTACTGCGATTGTCTGTCGACTAATTATGTTCAACACCTAGGTACTCGTCGCCTGGCGATCCGCTCTTCTATCTTCACCATGCGAACCTCGACCGGCTGTGGAACCAATGGCAGCGAGCTGGTAAGTTCTCTTTGTAAGCCCTTTCAGCGTAGATATCAATCTTGACACTTCATTTGCAGATTGGCAAGCACGCAGTATCGATATCGCTGGACCTGATACCATGTTTGCATACCCGTTCGACTTCATGGGCGCTGTCGCGTATACCAACATCACTCTTGACACAGTCCTTGAGTTTAATGGTCTGACAGACGATGTTGCGATCAGCACAGTGATGGATATCAATTGTGCTGCGTTCTGTTATACATATGCTTAGATGCTCTGCGTACTGGTTTAACAAGCAGGTAGATCACATTCATAGAAATTTCTTCTGTACAGTAATAGATGAATAACCAATAATAGCAAGAATCGACCGAGCCAGGTCATCTATTCAGTAATTGTACTAAAAGTTATCTCAATAAATGTTGAATGTTCCCGTTGTGGGGTTGATGGATTTGGTAATGCATGTCGAACAGTTGACAGTTGTGCGGAGATGGGTCCTGAGTAACATTAGAACGCCATACTAAATGCTTCGATGCCGTAAGTGGGACTCGGAAAACGCTTTCTCGGTGATGGCTTGGTGTACATGCGAAATTGTGTCGAGCCAATGTTCTCGGAGGTGGAGCAAGCATACTTGCTCTTCTAGTTACCCAATATTTTCCTACTCCGAAATTAAGCTCCTGGAACGACGGACACATCTTATGCAAATGAGGCGTTTCCAGTTTTGACGTGTTCACGACTTGGGATGTTGATATAACAATAATAATCTGAAAGCTCATCATCCACCATGTCCAAATACGGGCCCAAGAGGGAGTTCAAGACGAGCCGTGGTTGTATCTAATCGTTACTAACTACGCCCGATAAGAGCTTTTCTGCTCCGAAGTCAAACTTGCTCAATTGGTGTCTAATGCGCATATTGTTTTCTTCCCCTCGAGCGGTGGAGAATCGGAATTAGAAAAGCAAGAGTGACTCTAGGTATTCTTCTCAAACGCGGGCATCCTCCAGTGTGTGTATAAGTAACGTTGAAAGACCCAGGATCCAGAAACTTTTTCTCTTCCTCTTAAGATTCTTTTCTCCATGATACTCCAAAGAATTCTTTTTATCTTCAAGTAACCTCTCAATCATATATTATTCTCCCACAACGGCAAGCAGTCTCAAAATGTTAAGGTGGTCAAATCCTATGCCTAAATGGGCCGGGATATGGCTAACTTCATACCTGGCCGTGTTTGCATCTGCATCGGCTTTAGCATCACCTCTTATTGATTCAATCCAAATCAAAGGCCGTCGGGACCCTGAAGACCACACGGATTCGAGCCACAACATTGTGACTAAGCGTCAAGCACCAGGTCGAGGGTTTGAAACACTTCGCCCACGTCCGGTATTCGACTCGCTACGCTGGGATGGTGCGTTGGCAGATTGGAATGAGTATTTCGATGCGGCCTATACCTTGACGCGTGGTGGCTCCTCTCTTGACCCCTACAGCTATGTAAATGAACCTTGGAACGCTGTTGCCAACAACTTGAACGACATGGTCTCCAGAGCAGGAGCCGCTATAGGCCAGAATGTGCGAGAGCTTGTCAAGGATAAGTTCCCCGAAAGTCAACAGGGCGCAATAGTAAAGAAAGAATTGAACACTATTTTCGAACGACTAGACACGCTGGTACAGACTGGCACCGAGAACGGGTGGTCGTTCAACAAGGCGTCATGGAATAAAGTTACCAAAACTGATCCGGCTCAGTGGCAACTCAGCTTCAATTACCAGAATGTTGGCGGTGTGAATATCCCTCTGCAGCCCAGCTTCATCGAGGAAGTTGGTTATCATGACCTTACCCCTGGCCGCCCTGCGAACCAAATAGCTTGGCAACATATGCAAGACGCCATCAGAACTGCTCCTTCTACGGTACACAACTTTGACATCCCCCAAAGAATCGACGGGTTCATTTCTAAAACTTGGGAAGGCATCTTATGCCATAACAAAGACAACATAATGGTCGAGTTCGGGCGGCGCTACAGAGCTAGCTTGCTCCTCAATAAGTCCGGCAAAGGAAAAGGCCCTGATGAATTTACGGCGATGCGACAAGCATATTTTGACATCATTGATGCCTTGAAAACCCACCGTTCTCTGAGCGTTACTGCCTTCAGACGTATCGAGGAGAACCGCCTTCCCGTCGAAGAATGGATCCAAGCTGCGACGCAGCCGATGATGGACCCGACGTTCCTGAAAAACCACCACAACTGGAATTGGTCCAACAAGCAAATTCGACATAGCCCCTTGACCATCAATCCAGCCACCTCGGGGTTGACACCCCCGCCAGGTAATCTGATCAATATTGAACCAATGGACCCGAATCCCCTTCCACCCGATCACCCTTTAGATTGGCATGATCGTGCGCGCCCGGATCTCAGCTCACTTAATACGGATCAATTCGCGTATAATTACGCCAAGTTGCTCGAGTCTTATTATACGCTTTCGACGGGTGGCTATGGAAACTTTCGAGAACGACCCTGGGAAGCACTTGCTAATAACGTCGACCACATGATCTGGAATCTCGCGACTCGTGCAAATGATGTCATCGCGGGAAGGTTCCCTGGCAACTTGCCTAGGCAGGGCGAGCAGATGAAGCTCCTCCATACGCGACTCGAGGCACTGATCCGGATGGCTACGGGCCGACCTTGGATATGGACATATGAAATGTTCAACGATGCAGGGCTGAAGAGGCATGGAAAAATTCCGACAGACTTCTACAAGTACTGGACGTCCAACAACGTTCTGCATCCCGTGTAAGTAACCCGTTTGGACCTTTCTCTTCCTATTCAGACTATCGCATCAGGAGTCCGAGTGGCCTCGCAGAGTGAACACTAATTATATCGCTTCATTTCGAATGATGTCTCCTTTGTTTCCCTTTTGTCGTGTTTCATTTACCTGTTACTCCCTATTCCCCCCTACATTGTCCTTGATGCCTGTACCATTTTCTTGTTTGATTGCGTTGTACGATAGTAGTAAGGACATTGCTGACTTAGGCGTGGGTGGTCAGGGAACTCGGAGCTTCTTGGAACAAACCCAATGCCCCAAATATCGACATCCGTCCCCATGGTATCCAAAAGGGACGGCCACAGACTGTTTTCGATTTAATGTCCCGCGCTCACGCACAGTCAGTGTCCACTGATAAACATCTGCTCCGTAACGTCGAAGACATATGGACCAAGGTCTTGACGCAAAATTATGACAACGTCCTCGTCAACTGGGGACGCATGATCTACGCCGAGTCTTACATCCATGACGGCGACTCTACTAAAGCAAAAAAGGCTGTCAAAGAAGCCTGGGACGTTCTGATCGATGGTCTGAAACAATCATACAAGTCTGGTCCGCTTGACAGACTTCTGAAGAACGAAGACAAGTTGTTGCCCACGTCCGATTTGGTGACGATTGTCTCCAAACCTGGAGGATTTGTTACTTTCACGGAGCAAAATGACAAGTGGCGATCGTGGCACGACGGTCCAATAATAGAGCATCCCGCAACTTATGATCCTGCAGGTCCTTGCGGACCGACTAATCCTGTGAGTAAAACCCTACCAAGAGTTGTTTGGGCACGTTTTGGATAATGTACTAATATCTATGCATAGCCTACCGAGCCGTGCCATAAAGATGACGACAAAGATGATGATGACAAAGACCCATCTTCGAGCACGATCACCTCGAGCGCCACTACTACCAATACCCAGACTAGCAAACCGACCCATACGATGACTAGAAAACCGGATGATCCACCCGAAGAGGGCGATCCCCCCGGACATCCTGGATCTCCCGGACCTCCCGGAGATGGTCACCCACCGAATGGCGGCGAAACTCCTTTCTATGTAAGTCCAACTTTCTGCGCAAGTTCCCGCGGCCCGCCCCGCAATGTGCTCCCAGTATTTTGATCTTGCCGAAATCCGCGTCAAAGGCGCCAGCTCTCATCCTCCAAGGGATGTTCTATAAGATTTGCCTCATCAAATATCAGTTGAACGAGGTTATTTTCGTGGTCCATCTGCTCCCAAGATTGACACTCGACAACCAGAAAATTGTTCTCCTGTAATTTCGGACTTTGAACTGACTCTTAGTCCCACAGACTCCGCCTCAGAGTCCTATCCCGAGTCCGCCGCTGCCAGGACCCATCAATGGGCTTCCGATCGATATCCTACAGCAGGTGCTGAATGTAAGTTCCATCTTCGATTTTGATGCTTTCATTCTGAAGAATGTGTCACGGACTAATGGTTGTTGTAGACTCCTCTCCGGGGTGCGCCACGAGTGCAGTTCGAGCTCCCAGACATCGGGCCCGCGAACAATATCCCCGACTTCATAAATAGGGCCAAGCTAACCCTCCCAGGCTGGGAATTCTCGACGCCGGTGTTGAGTTTACCTACTTGGAGTACTCCGTTCAAGTTCTTCCCCCATGGTTCAGTCACAAGTACCGCAGGAAACCTGGCCCACATGATGGGAAGCACCGCCGGTATTTTTGGCTTGGGACTTTTCGGTTTTGCGCTCATTGGACTTGCTGTCGGCTTGCCCCTTGCTCTCCGGCGCCACGATGATGACAAGAATGATGGAAAGAATGAACAGAAGACCAATGAAGCCATTGTGCAAGCAATGAAAGCACTCGAAAAGGCGAAGGACGATCCTCACTATCTTGTCCAGGAACTCAAGGACAGGCCAGAGTATGGGAACTTTACACAGAGACTTTACACCTATACTCCACAGATCCTTATGGGCTACGAAAACGTCGAAAGCATCGGTTCGGGGCGGTTCGCATCAGTCATGAAAGTGCTCATGGACTCGGACTTGGCACTCCAGGTCATGACCAGCAGGTCAGCCATGCAGATGAGTCTCGATCTCCTTTGTACACAAGAGGGACCCGAGGTTTGCAAACGACTCAACGCGATCTCGGATGCAGTCGCTGGCCGGGATACGACAGATGACCCAATTTGTAAGTGAATATCGCGCCCCCTGAGAAGCTTGAAGCATTAGAGTTTGGCGTCATCGACGTGGGAATTTGTATCCTGACCTATCTTCTCAACAGATCGTTTCGTTGCCCATCAAGCAGCGTTACGTACGATAGACGTGAAGGCGAATGGAGAAGAGAAGGCCGGCAACCATGGCATCGAACAAACCGTTACGTTGTTGGCGTCGATTCTCGGCTGGAGCAACAAGGACGATTTGTGGTCGAGGACGCACCCCGAATTCCAAGAAAAGTACGAGCAGTTCCTCAAGGACCTGCGGGCCCGGCTTCACGAAGACTCCATCTTCGATAACATGCAAGAAGTCGTCGATATCGCGAAGCGTGGCGAGGGAGGACCTATGGTAGATGCGATCCAGAACGACGAGATTTCCAAAGATCTCGCAAAGGACGATCCCGTGACTTCCGTCACAACCACCACCACCACCACGACCTCCAAGCCCACTTCATCGACTCGCCCTGTACCCACGTCGACCACGGCCGATCTACCTCCCAGCACAACCCTTACCTCGATGACAAGTATCACCACGACCTCTGCCCATAGGCCAGGTGACACAACGACATCTTCGTTCGTCTCGCGGACTACTAGCTCGACTTCTTACCAAAGGACAAGTGGCAGAACAACGTCTTCGTTCGTCTCGCACACTACTAGCTCGACCTCTACCGAAAAGACAAGTAGTACAATTACATCTTCGTTCGTCTCGCAAACTACTAGCTCAACCTCCGCCCATTTGACAAGTGGTACAACGACATCTTCGTACGTCTCGCAGACAACCAGGTCGACCTCAACTCAAGTATCTAGCAACACGAAGACCAGTTCATCCTTGTCAAGAACTACCAGTCGGACATCCCTGACTAGTACCCTGGCACCCAGCAACCCTTCCACGAGCATTTCCACCACGGTGACAAGCTCCCAGAGCACTGGACCCACGACATCTTCATCGAAGTTCAAGACGACCACGACTGGTTTCTCAACTTTGACATCAACCTCGAGTCAGGATGCTAGTTCTAGTCTTGCTCCAATCCCTCCGTTCTTCCCTCCTACCGAAACCAGCTTCCCAACCTTGAGACCAACCTCGAGTCAGGGTGTGTCATATACCGGTGTTCCTTCGGGTCGCATGGGTACTGGTGTTCCTTCGGGTCGCGTCGGTACTGGTCTTCCTCCAGTTCCTCCCTTCTTTCCTCCTTTCGGGACCAACTTCCCGAGCTTGGCACCAACCTCGGGTCAAGGTGTGTCGTATACTGGTGTTCCTTCGGGTCGCATGGGTACTGCTGTTCCTTCGGGTAGCCCGGGCACTGGTGTTCCTCCAATTGCTCCCTTCTTTCCTCCATTCGGGACCAACTTCCCGAACTTGATACCAACCTCGGGTCAGGGTGTGGCTGGCCCCGGCCACACGGGCACCGCTCCCCCACGCTACACCACATACACGGGAGCAGTGATCTGTGACGGCAAATCGACCTTCCCGATCCCGACGGAATTTCCCATCCCCACGGACTCGGTGGAGTACAATGGCAAAGTCTGGCATGACGGCAGATGGCAGAACGTGACGCACTGCCCGCTCAATATCACCCAGGTCGTCATAACGCGCATCATGACGACGACGACTGCAGCCTGGATCACCAGGACCGTCAAGCCGTCTCGCACCATGCCATGATCTGTGTGACTATGATAAGCGTTTACCAGTAGCCGCCTAAATTTGGTGCGGGTGGCACTGTCGGTCGGGTGGTTGATAGAAAGATTGACGGTGATATTCTATAAACAGTTATATATGGGGGGCGGGTATACAGCAGCAATACTACGTGCTGGATGTAACATCCCGTCTGCCTGGGTTAGTGTTTCTGGGCAGGTATACAGCAGCATTACTGCATGCTGGATGTAACATCCCGTCAGTCTGGGTTTAGTGTTTTTTGATTAATCATTAGATTGGAATATATTTTGATTCTCCGTAACCGTGATCTTGTCTTACCAGCGTGAATGTGATAGTATCATGTTAACCAGATTTCCTCGTCTAACTCTTTCATTTCGTACAACACACCAAAGTCTATAAATATCGAGACTCCTCGCTTCACACATCATCAAGAAGCTACCTAGCGCTGTAAACTTACCTGCTGAGCATTTGGGCGCATTGCGGCTCTGGCTACGTCCCGCAAGGCTAGCTTGAGGGGGCAAGAACGAGGCCGCTGTGCGGACCTTCAGCCGGCACACTAGTCGAGCGGTAACACGATTTTGTCTCTGTTCTTTGACGCATAAATGCATCGTAGCCAGTTTTACTAACCTTAGATATTACATTAGTCGTCGATGCCATGGCAGCAGATTGCGTAGAGATAAGCAACAAGCAACCTGACCCGCTCCAGCCAAGTGGGGATGATTTGCCAACAGCACAGACAGCCCCCCTCCTAAACTACTAATAGGTTAGGGTGCAGTTGCAGTTGAGTGTTGAAATCCAGGTCGCGTCGCGTCGACAAAGCTCCAACACAAACGAATCAGATTTTATTGGATGCAGCCGGGCCTGCCAGCCGGGACAGACCTCCGCTTTATTTCCACCTCTGCATATGACAGCAGTTCATGCAGAGCCGAAACCCAATATCAAAATGAATGGCTGCTTGCGGATTTGGCGCTCAAACAAACAGGAGTTGCCGACCTCTACTCTGCGTGAAGCCGATAATATTGACTGTCAAGAGTGGCAATGCAGTGTTACCTGTGTTTCTCACGTTACTGGCTTCTCGTTCGATTTCAACTCTGTCACGGAGTATAACTTTTGTGAAATAAGAAAGCAGTACCTATGTAGAGCAATGTCCACGTGTGAAACCGGCAGGTTGGACGCGCTTGTGTAAGTAGTATAGCTTGGAAGTACCACTGCCTACATAACGTGGGGTGGTGCCGCTTTGAGACTGCGATCAGACTCCCCCGAGAATGATCAGACAATTGCATTTTTGGCAGGGTCCTTATTGTCTAGAGAGGGGGGGAAACACAGTCACCAATTCGGACTTCGAACTGTACGAATATAGAAGCGAAATCACCATCATGTCAAATGGCCATACACCGCCTACATTGTCATACATACGCATCTGTAGTATGTACATAGTCAAGTGGTATCCTTGAACATATTTTGAAGCGGGTTGGCGAACATGTCGTTTTTTTTGAGACCCTTGTCTTTCAAAAGCACATGGGAGTCTACCAGATGTGTGCCAAGACGAACCCCTATTTTGCACAGCTGCTGGCCGCGAACTAGGTTAGTCAACCTTCTTCCATCAACCTTCAAATATGTTCCAAACTGTGACAGAATCCAATCTGCTCCTGAAGTCTGTATCCCGTCCATTTGGAAGATTGCAGACTGACTACGCACCCGGGGCAGCTAAACAATACTAGCCACTGAAGACAAAGTCATGATGAAGGATGATGGTGGCTTCCGAGTCGCACGAGCCCGCTTTTCTTGGAGGCGCATTAGAGGAAACACGTCGAAAGAGGATGGCGCGCTTGTCTGCATTAGCGGGCGCCTAGGAATTGCCCGTAGGGCGAACGGGTAAAGGCTTGTGATGCAGGAACAGCAAAATGCCAGACAGGCCTGGTCAACAAAATCTGACAACTGAAGCTGTTGCTTTTTCTCGGTTACCCACAGCAGTGATCTTATGTTGCACACCTTTTGACAAAAACAGCAAGAAGAAGAAGAAAAACGTTATTTTCACGATTCCCATTTCACCTTATCGGCATGTATTACTCGGGTGACTCGATACTATCTGTTGATTCGACGACTCATTTCGGAGCAATGGCAATCCAGGGAGTATAGCTGGCAGTACTATGTATTAAGAACAACATTTGACCCCACTTATCGTTGTGCTGGCAGTATTCTGGAAGACTTCCCAATCTCCCCATTTCCAAAAAAAGCCCGAGATACAGTTTTCGGCAATTGCGTTTCCGCATGCAGTTCCTTTCACCAAACGTTGTCGGCAAGTTTCTGTCACGAGGAGACAGTTCTATGCATTCAGGCCTTGACCCCATGACTCGTCTGATGAGAACTACTTTGTTTGTCCCAGGTCAGGATGCAATCAATGTCAGACGCGCTACTGCTGGCTCTTTGCATCCATCGTGTCGCGCCCTCTTTTGACCGGGATAAGGGGAGCATCGTTAGAAGTTAGAGGTTAGGCTAGTTGATGCACATGTAGCGATCCCCGTTTTTGTGGTTTCCCAATTCGATAGCTCTTATTCCTGGGCAACCTGGGACCCATCCCGTCCCGAAAGCCAAATACAACGCGAACAAGCACAAGACACCGGATTCTTAATTCACCAGAGAGGTACGGATCTGTGGATTGCGTGTGGAAGCTGTCGAACTTATCTGCGAGACAGTCCCCTAGGTACGCATTGGATTGGCTACCCCACGCGTACATGACAAGCCTCAATTGGGGGACATGGCAATCACTTATTACAACTACCGATCTGACGCGGTGTTTCAAGAGCGCATTTCGGGCTTAGCTGGACGCTGTCTTTGTCGAGGTTCTCTGACTGACTTGTACGGAGCACTCGTGGCAGATGCAGATGCGGTCTCGAGGCGGCAGTGCCCTCGTCGAAATGCAAGACCTCGTCCCAACTCGTCATACGGACCGGCTGACACCAAAGCGGAGTTGTGCTCCCTTGCTAGTAAACCCACCCCAGTCAATTGCTCTGCAAAAGCTCAGCAAAAGCTCATGCTCTGATGCTCTGATGCTCTTGACACCTCTAGCTTCCGACTTTCCTGGCTTTAGGTTGGCAAGGTGGGTGTGGGTAAGTTACTGATCTGTACATTGCAGCCGGGGTAAGGTATGCAGTTAGTTAGACTAGTTTGGTTTTGGCGACAGCATTTTGAGGGAGGTTTCTTTTGTTCCCTCCATCCCATCCCAGCATATGAGCGAACGGTGCTTCTAGCGACCTCGGGCTTATCCCAAACAAGTTTATTGGCGTGATGATCCGATGCAAATGCATGCTGTTGTTCAATTTCCAGTTTATCTAATTGCTCCGTACAGTACCTGTCAACTCGTTTCGTCCCTTAACTTGGATCAACAAACTTGACTTGATCCCCCCCCCAGATTTCTCCAGTAAGGCATCTCTCAGACTTTGCGGATAAGCGAGAGGGGGGTCCTGCGAGTCGTCTTGAGCTTCTGTTTTGGATACAGTCGAAGGTCGGCTTTGCCACTTCCCCAACTCGCGAACCCGTGATAGATGGTACTCCATTCTTGCATCATTCTTGGGGATTATTTCGGTGGCTTCAGGCATTGTCCAATTGATTGTGCATCTTTTTCTCCTACATACTGAGTTGTCATATCATTCATATCACCTCATGTTCCGTCCTCTTTCCCGCCAGCAACACCACTGCATAATTAATTACCGACGCCAATTAAATCGACAAAGTGTACATACCGGCCGGGGGCACGACAACAGCCCTGCGATCCAAGGATTATTACGACCGTCACTAGGTTAGTGGTATCACGACTAGTTACAGCATACGGTAGTAGCACATCCTTCTGCTGCATGGCGCCCTATTCGATCACTGTAGCCCGATCATTCCCCTCCGTCCCTCCCTCCTCCACGATTCAATGCATTCAACGGAGGGCAGTCGACGTTCACACCGCCGACGACCAGATCTGAATATCAATACTCTGGCTGCGACCCCCAAGTCCTCCTCGCAACAGAATAGGCGAGCCGCGACGCCCACAAGCCCACCCCAGCGAAAGCCGCCGATACCCTCCAGGAACAGACCCCCTGTGTCGAGCCGGGCGCTTAAAGTGCAACCACAATCCTCCGCAGCTTCGAGTAGTGGGCGAGATAGGGACAGAGACAGAGACAGGGACACAGACAGAGATCGCGACTTTGGGGAGTCATTCCTCGACAATGACACACCAACTGACACCATGGCGAACAAGGAGAACGAGCCCGGGCTTGGAATGGACTTTTCTATGAAATCGCCGGTCAACTACCGAGACTCGCACGACCTGTCGCTGCCAGCACGTCAGGTTACTCGAGACTCGCTCGTCACCAACATGCTCATGTCGTTGGACAAGTTTTCGCTGTCACAAATCGACACCCCGTCGACCCCAATGTCACCCTTTGACAATGACAACGAAGCCGCCTACGGCTCTTCCATGCCCATGGGTATGAGTGTGAGTATGGGCGGGGAGGAGGTGAGGACGATGTCGGGCATTTCGGGCCACGGCAATGCTCGTGCTGGGCGCGGCATGCATAGTAGCTCTTCTTACAATAATTTTCATGGGAACCAAAATGTCAACGGACATGGATACTCGTATAGCTCCGACCTAGAGGGGACGGACGACGCCGCTAGTCGTATTTCGAGTCAGTTCTCGCGTGGCCGGCGCAGTAATAGCAGCTCCGGCTTTCAGTCGAGTCTTGGCAGAATTAATAGCCTTAACATGCGCGAGACATCCTCGGGGTCCCAGCGCGCCAACACCGTGGGCCCTGGACCCGGAACTGGACCTGGATCTGGGACAAGCGGAGGGCGACCCTTACATTCCAGAGGCGGCAAGACCAGCAAGAGCAGCAGCACCAACAGTTTCGATCCTGGCTATGCACAGGTGTTGAGCAGCCAGCGCATCACACATGGAATCGGGAGGAGGTCTACCAGCTTCGATTACGGCCACTCCTCCAAGCCCGTGCATCACAGCATCAACAACAGCAGCAACGATAGAGACTGGAATATAGAGTTTTCCAACAACTCCCTATTCAACGGCGATTACGAAGTTGCCCCAACGCCAACCATTCCCGGGGGTCCTCGTCGGTCGGCTGCAGCTAAACTGACACCCGCCCCTCCGCCCCTGCCGAAAGACCACGACCACTCCGACCGCAAGAAGAGTCTCAAGTCACGGCCAGTGAGCCGCGCCCCGAGCCGCCCTCCCCCCTCGAAACCTCGACAGTACGACATGCCGCCGCATGCCCCAATTGCGGATCTCGACTCAGCGCCCGCTCCCAACGTAGGATACGAGAAATCAAAGACTCGAGACCCCCCGGCCGTGGCCCCGGCATCCGCACCACAAGCAAAAGAGCGGCCGGGGTTCTTCAGGAAGATATTTGGCGGATCGTCCAAGAATGTGTCAAGCGCCCTTGAGCCACCAAGCTCGACACCCGTTTCGGCAACATCAGCTGAAACTATCGAGCGTCAAAACTCCGGTAAAACATCACAGCACATTGCTTCCCAAATGAAAGCAACCTCGGCCCCGCCGTCGAGGGATTCACAGCACTCACAACCTCAGCATGTCATCCAGAAGAAGTCTTCATTCTTTAGGAGAAGGAAGAAGTCAATTGCCGAACCTCCACCGATGCCGCAACCGCCTGTGACCGTAGTCTCCCCGCCTGCACCTGCGCCTGCGCCTGCGCCCAAGGCGATGGACCTGGACCTCGAGCGCACCATGACCATGGCCATCGAGCCCTCACAACACAGCCCTGTCAGCAGTCTACGCCAGGTTATGAACCCCTTCCTGAGGGGCAGCAATCCCGCAACACCGAGTGGCCTTCTGCCGCCCAAATTCGAGAGGGAGTACGTCTCACCTGAGTATGATGTGGAAGACGATGGCGAGTACGAACGGAGGAGAAAGAGCCGCGGCTTTTCGCCCGAATATGATCCCAGCCCTAATGCCACCATCCGGACAGTCAAGTCGGTGTCTGCTCTTAACGTTCGGAACCGCGACTCTGCCATGGCGGGCAGCTCTAGGAGGTCTCGCAATCTGGAAAGTCCCAATAGGGAGCCTCCACAAGCGACGGACTCAAGGCCAGTGCTTACTCGCGACGCCACATCGTTCTTCGAGGACGGCAGTGACACTGACGGTGACAAGTCACTGAACCCACCAATCACGGAGCGATCGCCGGCGCGATCGCCCACCTTATTGAGCCCGGCCGATTCCAAGGGGCTTCCTGGTGGATTCCCCACACCGCCTAGCACGACTCCAAGGGATTCTCCGCGACCAACACCCACACCCGAGCTCAAGGACATCAATGAAGAATCCTCCTTCAAAGAGGCTACTTCACCCAGCTTGGTACTGCAGCACCATATCTCCAATGAAGAAGGGAAACACAGACCAGATAGTCTCGGGCTTCCCATCCAGACCCAGTTCACCAACAGTCCAGGCAAGCCTTCAGGTTCTAACAGGGAGATCTACCGGTCTCGCTCTGCCGCTACCCTTCCGAGTGTAAAGATCGACAGCCCCAAGATGACCGGATCACCCTTGGATGAGCCAGAAATTACTGTAGGCGAGCCAACCGAGGATGATTTATCAAAAGCCCGTCGTATCTTCGACGGCAATGAAGATTTCATACAAAGGGAACGAGCAGCAGCTTGGATGGGCGAGGAAGGGCTCGTTCGCCAACGGACGCTCCGTGCCTACATAGAGCTATACGACTTCAACGAGAAGAGCGTTCTGACCGGTCTACGTGAGATATGCGACAGACTTATCCTGCGTGCCGAAACTCAACAAATTGATCGTATCTTGGTCGCTTTTTCTAATCGTTGGTGTGAATGCAATCCTAATCACGGTTTCAAGGCTATGGGTAAGTTAATTGCCAACAACATTCAAAATGCTTATCCGCTGACTTTGTCCAGATGTGATACATACCATGTGCTATTCCATCATGCTGCTGAATACCGATCTTCACATGGCAGACATTGAGCAGAAGATGACTCGCAGTCAGTTCGTTAAGAACACCATGACCACCGTGAAGGCGGCACTGGCTGATACGGATCCGGATGCGTTCGAAAGGCCTAGCATTCTCCCGGGCAAGAATGGCTTACTGAGCCCCTCAGAAACCGAGTCGCCGGCCCCCGAGCAAGAACGAAAGAATTGGCGGCAATCCTTCATCCCACCGAGGTCTGACTCCCGGCTCGGTGATTGCGGTGATGTGGAGCATGATAGCTGTGGCCCTCTGGTGAAGTCACTGTTTCACGGCAATATGCGACAATGGGAGGCTCAGATGGAACTTGTGCTGAAAGACATCTATAACTCAATCCGCGATGATAGCTTACCCCTGTTCGGTGGCGCCCCTGAGGCCCCACGGCCGCACCAACAAGGTGGTTTGTCTGTCATGAATATGCTAAAGCGCACCCCAAGTGTTCTCAGCAAGGCTCCTTCGGAATCTGCATCCATGACAAGAGGTCGCATGGATGGCCAAAATGGCGGAAGATGGAGCTCGAAGAGTCGGTCACGCCCTCGAATCGGTACTGCTGGTGGCTTCTCGTCAAGCCGTACCAGCTTCGAAGACGGCAATTCTATGTGGAGTCCGACGGTATCCTCCGCTACATGGAGTCGCTACTCGCTGGGTAGGACCCAGACATCTCCGTCCATGGACTCGTTGGGCTCGCATTTCTTGAGGGGCGACTACCAGCAGTCAATCGGTTTTGCGAATGCTCTCTCTCAAGCCATCATCCGCGAGGATCACCAGCTTGAGACCACGCGATCTGTTGTAAGTGACGAGATCAACGGTGCTGCCCTCCTCGATGACGAGTCGCTTGAGTTGATGGGTCCACCATGGGTCAAGGAGGGAATTGTTATTCACAAGCACCACCTCGATGGCATAGACAAGAAGGCTAAAGACCGCAATTGGAGCGAGGTTTTTGTTGTCATACAGAAAGGTCAAATGAGCCTCTTCTCCTTTTCTACCAAGTCGATGCGGCATAAGGCACGCTCGGGACGCAAGCAGGCACCTGGGGCTGTTGTAGGTGGCGGCAACTGGCAAGACAATGCTACTAATATGGGCACCTTCTCGCTGCGTCAAACATTGGCATCCGCGCTTCCTCCCCCTGGATATTCCAAGACTCGGCCGAATGTGTGGGCTCTGAGTCTACCCACAGGAGCCGTACATCTCTTCCAAGTTGGCACACCTGAAATTAGCAAGGAGTTTGTGCTTACAGTCAACTATTGGTCCGCACGCCTCTCAACTCATCCACTCGTTGGTGGTATCTCGAATATCGAGTACGGATGGAGCGATGCATGTATAAACAACGCACTCGTGACAGCCATCGCAAATGACAACCCCCTCCCTCCACGACCGGGATCTGCGGCGGCTGGCCGAACATCTATGCACAGCCGCACTCGCAGCCGCCAGAGCAGCTTACGATCTAGTTTTGAAATGGGAGGATCTGGCCCGCAGACAAAATTACCCGGTGATCGTATCCACATTGCCGAGTGGACACCACCTGCACAATCGATGCGACCCTCAAACTTCTCCGAAGGAGAACAGCTAGAGACCCTTCTGCACTACGTCAAGGGCATTGAAGAAGAACTACAGAAACATAATCAGCTCCGCTCGCCAATGCTGCTGGCCTTTACGCCTAGGGGCAACAACGCCACAAAAGCAATGGCAAACTGGGAAAAGAAGTCTGCATATCTCCTCAGGGAGATCGTCAAGTTTACAACATACGTGGACTGTCTTCAATTCGCGGACACAAGACGCAAAGAGATTTATGACGAACGGGAGGTTGCTAGACGAGCGGCAAGAGGCGAAAACGAGGATGACGACGAGATCCATGATGGCAACGACGACACCATCAGATCATAATAAGCCGACAAAGGCCCGACCTTTACGTTTCTGACCGTGTCTTTTTTTTTTAACGATATATATTATTTTTAGAGCCCATTCGGCATTCCGCTCTATTTCCGAGCATTTACTTCTATGGGGTACGAGAGGTGACAAAAAGAGACTGATGTGAGGAATGCCAGCATTGTTCTTGATACCCGGGATTGGCGCACTCAACTTCTCTGTCTTCTTTTCTTGGGTATGCATGTGTTGAGCGCGGTACTGTAGATCTAGAGATTACGTATATACGAAACATGACACCCCAAACCAAACATGCTGATCGTATGTATGACATGAAGGCTGATTGTCGGCATCAACCGCCAACCTCTCCATCACTTCTTACTTTAAAATAATTTATATGAAAACATGTTTATTTCAATTCTTCGAAAATAGCATAAGTGATTCAAAATAAAATAAAACAGATTTCTTTCTAACATTTACATTGATAGCATTTACGCGAGGCCCTGCTGTCTCTTGGACGGCATGTCTTTGACAATGTCCTGCGTGAAGACGACCCTATTTGTGCACACTGGCTGCCACTCACAGGAGGGACAAGGTCTTTGTGGGAATATGCATTATTCCGTGGCAGTTTGTGAGCACCTCTTACGCGTGGATTTTTTGTAACCACTGCCCTCTCCTAATATTAACCAGCACAACTTGGCCACCAGGCAGCGGCATCGACCAAGCGGATGCTATGTAGTCATCTGTTTCTCGTCGGTTATATCCATGTTAACTTGCAAGCTGCACGTTGACGTGACGGGGGACTTGGATTGGGCTAAACGGCTCGGCTCTTCCCTCTAGGTGGCATCTTAATGAGAAAGCAAATCATTCCAGGAAAAGTTGGGAGCTAGTAAATGGCTATGGTTAGTCAGGTAGTGCTCTTATTTCGTGCTAACCTTAGAGATTTGTTTTTTTGTTCTGCCCTGTGCTAATTGAAGCTTTCGTAGGTCCCCTAAGATAGCACTATTGACCACTTCTAAAGTGTGTCTCCATAGAAAACACCTATGAGAACTTACCGTGTGTGCCGAAATCTAGCTCCTTAATTTATGTCATTACCACCGGCATAAGATACCTGGTAAGCAACCTATTAGAGTTAATAAACAGTTATGCTTTTTATGTTACAAATCTCTGCAACAACATCCATTCAACTTCGCTATCGTAGCTCGCCAGTAGAAATTATGTCTTTATTGGATTCCACCAACGTATAGTGATTATAAGACTTATAAGCAGTGATGAAGCTCGCTCACTATCGAGTTGGTGTAGCGATTGAGAAAGCCACCAAACACAAGATCGAGCAAAAACTAGTGGCCAGTGCTTGCGACCAGTACCTCATTGTCACAATCGTTTATTTACGTCTCACGTATTTGGGTTTCGCTAGTGTGATTATGGCCAAAGGTTATCTTTACTGAGTTCACCCCTGTCAATCGCTAAAAGCTGATCGATTACCTCTTAGATGTCCTGAAGTCTAAGCCGAGATTCACCAATGTCATCTCCCACACTTCCCTCAACACTCAATAATCTAACAACCAAACTCAGACGAACAAAAGAGTACCAGCCTCAGTCATGGCATACGCTGACCCCTTCTTCCAACTCGACGACCAGAGCTTTGCTCTACAGCTTCAACTTGAAGAGATCGAAGCTCAGCGCCAGCTTCAATCCGGCAAATGGATTGAAGAAAATCCGCCGGATTTTGCATTAGCATTCGATGACTTTGAGGCCGAGTTGAAGAAGGCAATTGCTCTGGTCAAGGATCTGAAGTATGCTCACGACATTGCTAATGATGTTGGTCCTGACGTTGTGGCCATCCCAGGATCAAGGATCGAGGAGACGCAGTCTGTTCAAGATCGAGATTTCGCCCTAAGCTTGAACGAAGATGAAAATCTGCCAGATCAGCATGTCACCGATTCGCCTGTAGCACCGTTGCGGGCCCTTCGGCCCATTACGCCCACCGCCAGAGAGCTGTCCATGAACAACTGCCCCAGCTTGAAGTCGAATGCGATGTCTGTGGAGAGTCCGCTCATCCTCATGCCACAGTGCGTTTGGCATGCAGTGATATATATTGCAAACCGTGCCTCAAGTCCGTGTTCCTGCGTAGTGCCAAGGACGAAAGCCTTTACCCACCAAAATGCCATCGCCAACTAATCGATTTCTCAACCATCGAGGCAGACTTGTCAGTCGAAGAGTTGACCCTCTATCGAACCGCTGAGCTGGAGTTTACCAGCGAGAAAAGAGTCTACTGCTCTGACCCTGGGTGCGCCAAGTTTATTCCGATGGCGCAGCGAACCCCGGATTATGCTTCGTGTGAGGCCTGTAGTGCTAGAACTTGTATGCACTGTAAAGCACTCGCACATGCTGGGGCTTGTCCAGCAGACCAAGCAAGGCAGAGTCTTATTAGTCTGGCTGATGAGGAAGGCTGGAAACCCTGTTTTGGATGCGGTGAAATTGTGTTTCGGTATGAGGGTTGTGACCACATGACGTGAGTGATACCTACTGCCATCCGTCGTGCAAGGAAAGACTGATCCACATTACAGTTGTAGATGCGGCGCCGAGTTCTGCTACAGATGTGGCGTCAAGTGGAAAGAATGCCATTGTAGCGACTGGGTGCCGGAACTACTCAATCGAAGAGCTCAGCAGGTAGTAGACAGAGAGGCTCTACAGCCCTTGGAACCTGCTATCCGTCAACAGCGCGTCGCAACTATGGTGCGGGAGCTACAAGAAAACCATGAGTGCAACCACAGTGGGAAGTTCACTAAACTTGAGGGATCGCGCCGCGGCAAGGTCTGCGAGATGTGTGGCGCGAGGCATCGCAAGTACATCCTGTCTTGCAGACGTTGTCACATGCTGGCCTGCGAAGACTGTCGACGCCACAGACTATAGGCCGTTGAACCCGTCGTTATCTAGGATACTCCTCCTTTTTCGAATCGTGCCTCCTCCTTGCAACTGGACAAGCTTGTACAGTAGCAAGTAAGTGCAGCAACAATATACGCAGCCAAGTTCCTCAGATACGTCCAGTTGCCTCTAATGAATGCCTCAGGTATCTACCTGGGTAACCACACTGCGTAACATCCAGTGGAGCACAGGTCAGCTCTGCTCGTCACCCCACACTTACATCACACTCATCAATATACTACTATTGATCATCATCTGTGAAATGCCTATCAGTTTCTTCCCGTCTCTTGATCTTAGGTTCTACATCTCTAACCTCTGATTCCTGAAATGTTCCCCTCAAATCTCAAGAGCACATTACATTTGAATCCTCCCACGCTGCTGTTTTTTGCAAGGAGCCAATGCTCTCAGGGTGGGTTTCCCACCTAGAACCACTATATGATAATGTCAAAGTGACTGCATGGCTCGAATACTTTCCGATATCTTCTCCCAGGGGTTCACCTACAGGCTAGCCTAATATCGTCGCGTACTAGTCAGCAGGACTCCCGACAGTGTGAACGCTGTCACCAGCAAGGCCTACAGTCACGGCGCCCGTTGGCCAGTAGACCGTCAGTTTAGAGCTAGGTCTCGCGAGGAGCTCACAATAACTCTGAGCACTAATTCGCACCATGGTGAGCGGAGGGGGTTCCAATAGATTAGTGCCGCATATGAATTAGAGTTTTGCAGCCCGACTCAGAAGTTCAGACATCGCGGAGGGCCAAGCTTGGGTCCTGTCTAGTGGCCCACACCATTTCATGTATTTACTGAATCCCTGGATCATGTCAAGAAAGATCGATTTCTGCAAAGGGGGCTATTAAATCATTTCCCACCGATGATTCAAAAGCGCGAGGGCCGCGAGTATCTTGTACACGTCAAGCATAGTCTCGGTAGTCCCGATCGAAATCTTGCTTTGGAAGGCCTTTTGTTCATTAATGACTGCAGTAACCACAAAGCTCCAGTCGTGGCCCTGGATGATGATTCCGGGGTCCTCGTGTTCCAGTGGGGACGCTGCTACTGCTGGCACTGGTGTTAATGTCGGGGGAAACGACGGAAGCGACGCCAATCTGGAAGCATCGGGGGGTTGAGGTTCACCAAGCCGGATAGACACCGCAACTGTGCCGTCTGCCAGTTCCCGATTTGTAGGGTCACTATATTCTATGAGCGTTTCGTTTCAACTAGTATGGTGATGGGAAGGCCAGCCTAAGGCGCATAGCTCATGTGGTTGTTAGACTAGTCCGGTGGTTGACGAAGGAGCTGGTCCACAGCTTTTGTTGTGGCAGCGACAACATCGGCGGCTCTTAATGGATCCACAAAGAGACAGAAGTCCACCATCTTATGGAGTACTCTGCTCGGTCGATAGCCCAATGATGACTTGGCTGCGGTCCAAGGCATGAAATCAGTCAAGCGCCGACGGCATTGGGGACGACAGACAGCCTACAGGATGTGGTGGTGCATCTCCATACTCCATGATGCCTCTTCCTCAATTCCTATCTCGCACAAGTTTACGCGATCGACAATACGTTAGAATACATTCACTACTCTAATATGAATAGGCAGTGCGTTCCCTATTTTTACCATGTACGCTACCCCTACATCTTCCAACTCTACAACTCTGCACAGTCAATGGGTCACGTGTCGAACTGGACCGCAATCTGGTTCTGCAAAATATCACGGCCGGCAGTCGATAGATGCAATCACTCGTTCATTATACGGGACTAATCATGCCCGACTTCTTCGACAACCATGATTCGGTTTATTTTGAGCTGTCACCTTGACCGTACGAACCCGTACTCGTTACTATTGTGTCACGCTCGTGCCTAATCTAGCTTACTCCTGTGACGTGAGTTTTTGTTCCATGTTCCATGTTCCATGTTGATTAATCTCTGCCCAGTGTTTTTATTCGTTCTCAACTTGGAAGCGGTAACAGTGCCTGTTTAGTTCATCGGGCATTTCCATGACGGGCAGGTCAAGCCTGCTTCTTGAGGGTATAAATTTGGGTCGAACAACAACACCGCTGATTTAGATGAAGGCCACACTGCGGTATGCCAAAAAACCATAGCGGACTGGGCCGAAAGGCTAGATCTGCCGAGTATTCTTTTGTAAGGTTAAATATGACTTCCGCAAGCGCGCCCGTCCTCATCGAACATTACCCGAACAGGTAATTCTCCTACACGCGTCCGAGGCGTTGTACTCGAAGGACGTTGAAAAAGTAGACGTTGTCCCCGGTCGCTGTCTGACAAGCTGTTCCTGTATGTTAGTAGACACTAAGCTCAGTCGAGCAAACCCAGACAATAACAGTAATGATAGAAATGGAACATGTGAATAGTTGTCACGAATGCGCAACAACGCCTTTCTTACCCGGAAGTCCTCGTGGCCCAGCGCTGTCAGCCGAATCGCCATTCGCATCTCTGCATTTACCGTAGGACAATGACCGCTTTGAATGCAAAGAGAGGCTCGGGGCTCGACCAACTGTGTTGGGTGGAGACCAATAGAAGTGCGTGCAGTTCAGCTCGCAGTTTTTCAAGTCTGGCCACTCTTAGCCGCATTGCAGGCCCACCGGCATGAATGTCAGCTGCAACAAATTGCAGCATGTGCATGGTACACGTACTTGACCGCACTAACTATAGTTAGTCTGTGCAGACGAAGGTTTTCAGCTTGCAACAGTTGTTTTCGTGGGTAAGCTATTCTGGGGTTTAACTCCGTCGGCAGATAATCGAAATAGGATTAGGGGGCGTCCAATGAGAAGACCGCGGAGATTTTCAGCTGTCAACATACTCGCCGCCCCACATGCTCTTCCGACTAACCAGTATTTTCCGAAATCTAGAACTCAATATACCAGGACAATTGTCTATCATACTCCAGCTTCGAGCTTCTTTCAGGAAGCCACCAGAAGGGACAAAGTTGTTTTCAGCATAGACACATGGACTATTGAAGTGGCGTCTACACTTTGCAGTCTGCGCTAAGGGACCAGCGATGACTTGCAGCTGCGGCGGGCTCGGAAAGGGCTTGTGCGGTCCCAACAAGCGCTTGTAGACAGGACCATTTATTCCGTTACTGAGTTCTGATGTTCATATAAATATCACATGCTTTCTGATAAGAGAACCTGGTTGTACCACACGGCAACCATCTCTCTTCCAGACAGAGTAATATCACCATGCGCTACTCACTCGCCGCAACTCTTCTGGGCGCCTCGGCCGTCACGGCCTTGCCCACTGCTCAAGGTGATCTGGAAGACCGAAACCTGAACAAACTAGTTTGTCTGGTTGTCGACTCAGTGGTTACTGCCCTGTCGCAAGCTGCATCTGCAACCCCATTCTGCTCTAGCTATTTGGGTATAAAGACGTCGACTGCGTATACAACCACAACTGCTACCAGCTACCTCACCAACACGATCACAAGTACCACTGGCACCAATACAGTCACTGCTGAGACATCGACGTATGTTAATTGAAGTTTTTCTCTCCTCTTTTCTTGTTCGCCTTTAGCGCCAAGATATTCTGATCTGGCCCTGCACCAGCACGTTTTTTTACCAGAAAAGAATTGTTGACTGACTATGACTTGCCGATAGCGTTCCAACAATCACGCTGGATACGGTCACCGCTCCCATATCCACATACACAGCAACCGCTGATGCTGTTACGGTGACTACATGCGTTGCTGATGCGGCGGAGAAACGTGGCATCAGAACAACGTCGACTTCAACTACGAAGTCCGGCATTCCTACACCTGATTGTCTCAAAAATCTCGCCACAACAGCTGTTTCGTTGGCGTGTTCTTGCTTAAATGTTCCTACTCCCACTAGTACAAGCACGATCATTTCAAGCGTTTACCCAACTACCTCAACAACCACGCTTGTTGCGGCGACAGCCACGACAACCCCACTAACAACACCATACTTTACTCCAACTTACACTCCTGTAAGTCGAAACGTATCATTTTGCATCCTTCTACATGACTAATAGTTTTCAAGAGCACGACTGTCACAATCACCCCTACGTCGACCGCTATCTACTGTCCAAGTCCTACGCCTGATCTTTCTTGCAACAACCAGGGTGCAGAGTTCGCCTACTACGTCTCACCATTCGGCGTGAACAGAGACGGAGTATATTCACAATTCGACCCTACCTACTTTAAGTCCATTAACCCGGTCGTCTCTGGCGTCGCTGGATCCGCTGGTGGCATCAGTGGGTCCTGCCCATACACGTCCTCGAGGTTCAGCTTTTATGGATACACCGAGAACTGCAACAACATTGCCCTTAACTACCGCGGTTACTTGTATGCTGGACAGACTGGCACCTTTACATTCGAGGTCTCCAGTGCAGACGACATCGTCTTGGTCTGGGCCGGCGCCGCCGCCTATTCTGGCTGGACCCGTGCCAACGCGCTCCTGGACGTGACATATCCTGAGATTGGTGCAGGCTCGGGTAATGGCGGCAGCATCGTCGGAACTTACGCTACGACCGCTGGCACCTACATTCCTCTTCGCATTCTGTTTAGCCAGGGCGACGGCCCCTTCGGTTTCAATGTCAAGGTCACCGCGCCTGACGGCACAGTCGTCCTGAGCGCGAGCAGCTCTACTAGCGACTATCTGGTCACACACTCTTGTGATGGGACCTCGGCACCGGCTTATGCATCGTATGGTGCTGAGCCTTAGAATGTCCATCACGGCTCCTGCGTCTCAACGGACTAGCGCAAGATTTTCCACGAATGTAATGAGCGAGTACAAGCTGGATGACATCGCCCCTTGGCTTGCGTGGGCGTTCAAGACGCACATACAATGAAAGAAATAATGTATAATGTTTTCCCAAGAAATTTTGTATTTGCCCTGTAAGCGTTCTGTGTGTTACTGTCAACATGAGTAAAATATGCCGCGACACGCCTGGCTGGGCTAGCATTAAAGCCTACAAGGATGCTGATCTAGTGGTTACCGTTTGTTCGTTGGATGAGGCCTTGCTCATTGAATTTGTATCTTTCCTCTTCAGCCTAAAAGTTCAGATGTGTTAGAAGCTTTTGGCAGACTAGACGCGAAGAACTTACCCAGTACTTGTTGAAACCTACACCCTCGCAGACATCCGAGTACGACAGGATCATAGGCGGAGCCCCTACTGTCATGCTCTTCTTGAGGGCCTCTAATGTTTCCCGAATGCTCTTGAGCTTCGCAGCGACCAGTGTCCAAGGATAAGCTACAGCGCAAAAGCCAAGTTGTGCAAGATCTTGGGCTGACAAGTTCTCAGTCTTTCCCCCTTCGATGACTGAACGTTGATTAGTGCCATATCTCCAATGTCGTGCATCTGTGCAACTTACTGTTGGCAAAGACCGGCATGTCGAGCTCCTTGACGCATCGGGCCATTGCCTCGCGATCCGGGAGAGCCTCAACAAAGACAGCATCAACTCCAATGCGCTTGAACTCCAAAGCCCTAGCCATGGCCTCGTCCCAGCCGTGAATAAGAGCGTCAGTACGTGCTAAGACGAAGATGTCGAGACCTTCATTTCGTGCATCACAGGCAGCCTGGATTCTAGCGAACGCCTCGCCTCTGGAGACCACTGCTTTCCCTTTTGTGTGTCCACAGCCTGTTACAGGATCAGTCCCTAAACCTATATATCTGCGTGGCTATCACTTACGTTTCGGCCAGGTTTGGTCCTCAATCATGATGCCTGCGGCTCCGGCCTGTGCGTAACTTTGTACTGTTCTTTTAACGTTCATCGGGCTTCCATAACCAGTGTCTCCATCCGCCATTACCGGGACGGTGGTCTGGCGACACGCTTCTTGAATCTTGTCACACATCTCTGCCATGGCAATATAGCCGGTGTCGGGGAGGCCGTAGGAGCTTGCGACTGGGTAGCCAGCAAGGAAGATCATTGGGAAGTTGGCTTCCTCGACCAATCGAGACGAGAGGCCATCGTAACTGCAGCAATGGGCGAGAATCTTGCTCGGGTCTTTCGAAGCCGCAAGCATCATGGTTCGGAGCCGCGAAGCCTGGATAGATGGGATCTTGCCGCGCACATTGGGAAGTGTTACATTGACATCTTCGTTCTGTCCAGATTTTCCTGGCTTGCGCAGGGGCGCTTGATCGAAGGCGAAGGGGTAAGGAACCGTGTTGACAATGGATTTGGACATGTTGATGGTGGTGATGTTATGACTTCAGATGATGAGGGCAAAGCTGATTCAGATGGGGATCACAGCTGGAGATGAAGAAGGCTAAGTTATCGAGTCTATGGCTTTTAGGGCTCAGGAGCACTTTTATGGACAAGCCTTCAATCTGTCAAAATATTTATTCCTATATCGGTGATCCTCCGGCCGGCGTTCTGGTGGTTCCGGATAGTGCTGGCAAGACACGGAAGCGCTATAGTGGATCTATTGTTGGGGTATTGCATTAGCTTGACTTGGGACCAGGGCGAGCTGCCGAAGATGGAATCTGGGGCCCCGTGGGGAAATGGAGTGTTGCAAGAGTCATGGCATATAAAATTGCCAATACTAGGTATCCTAGGAAGCCAGTAGAGCCTGACGCAAGGTTCAGTTTTGATGGTTCCTTGTCAAAGTTCAGCCCAGACAGAGCAGCAAGACCAAGCTAACCCACCCAATCCCTTCCAGCTACCTTCACATTCGTTGCTATATAGATACACGTTGAATCCTATGCATCGGAGAACCACTCACCAATTGTGACCACATACCGTCATACACGAGCAGCACTCAAAGCAAATTTCTCGGCAACAGTTGATACAATGATGGACTCCATCGATAACAAGCCAACATCACAAGAACTCGAGATGGCGATTGAACCCGATACTTCGAAAGCAGTCCTCCCAGCGATCATAGTGACCAATAAGCAGCAGGCACATATTCGAAGAAAGGTATGGTTGGCCTACTTGCGGCTTTGTATGAGCTGTGCTGACTTGGTGCTCTTCACGTATCCCAGTTTGATAGGCACATGCTTCCCGTTGTCTGCATCCTATACGTTCTTTCATACCTCGATCGCGGAAATATTGGAAATGCCAAGACTTCTGGCATGATGACGGACCTCAGTCTGTCTGATAACGACTGGGTTTGGATTCTGCAAACGTTCTACATCTGTTATGTGTTGTTTGAGTGGACACAACTGTTCTGGAAGATCCTTCCCGCACACATATATGTTGCGGTACTCTGTTTCCTGTAAGCAAGATACCCAAGCGCCTAGTTCAGACCGTGATCGACTCTGACAAAACGTAAAAAGATGGGGCACAGTGGCTATGGCGACTGGAGCCACCAAGAACCTCGGAGGTGTGATTGCTTGTCGAGCATTCCTAGGCATTTTTGAGGCAGCATTCGGTGCCGGAGCGCCTTACTTCTTGTCCCTATTCTATCAAAGACGAGAACTTGGAAAGCGGGTAGCTATTCTTACCGGCATGTCGCCCTTGGCCAACTGCTTCGCAGCAACCTTGGCTTATGGAATTCTCCACATTCAAGGATCAATCGAACCGTGGCGTCTCTTGTTTATCATAGGCAAGTTCATGGTATACTGCCCACGTTAAGAGCTAAGCTAACCATATATGTCATCTAGAGGGTGCGCCCACGGTTGCGTTCTCTTTCGTCGTGTATTTCTTCCTGCCAGACTCCCCAAGCTCTGCACGATTCCTTAGCGAAGAGGAGCAGGGCAACTCACTCACTCGACTCGAGACGGTTGATCGGACTTCCAAATCAAAAGTCAGCTGGTCTCAGATCACTGCTGGATTGACCGACTATCAGAACTACGTCCACACACTAATTCATTTCGGCTGCAATTATTCATTTGCAAGTCTTTCCAACTTCCTGCCGACGATAGTAAAAGATATGGGATACTCGTCGCTCAACACACAGGGCGTGATCGCGCCAGCGTACCTCACTGCCTTCATGTGCTGTGTGGGCGCTGCCTGGTTCTCGGACAAATATGGCAAACGAGGCTATGTGGTAGCTGGCTTCGCTTCGATTGGGACGGTCGGCTATCTACTCCTGGCTGTCATCCAAGACGGACGACATGTTGGAGTGAGATATGCAGCAATCTACCTTGCCTGCTGTGGGATGTTCCCTGCGCTGTCGATCAACATGACATGGCTTCTCAACAATCAGGGTGGAGATTCGAAGAGGGGTGCCGGTCTTGCTTTGCTTGCTACATTTGGACAATGTAGCTCCTTCGTTGGTAGCGCTTTGTTTCCATCAACAGACAGGTACGTTAACCTCTACCAGGAAGTGTGCCTTCACGTGCCTAACTTAGTAGTTTGCACTTGTTGTCTTCTTTGCTGACACTTTGTACTAGCCCATTCTACGTTCGAGGATGCGCCACAGGCTGCGCATTATCAGGCATGATTGTAATTCTCGCGCTAGGTTTACATTTCAAGTTGAAGAGCGAGAACCGAAAACGAGACCGACTGTACGGACCTGTTGATGCTAATACCGCCGTCGACGTCACTATTGGAGGGGACAAGAGTACCGCATTCCGATACCTTACCTGAGAGCTGTCGCTCGCGCAATTGGCTTGTCGATTCATACTGCGGGTAGGCGGGGGTTGCAAGACAAGGACATTCGTGTGACAGTAAATTATGTAAAGAGATTGTAACCTAGATAGCACCTTACAAAGTGTTGTAATTTTGAGCGCACCACCATGTCAACGACTGGGGGTTCAGTGGGTTACCCAGAAAACAAAATGTTGTGGCATAAACGTCTACGTCCCCTTCTTAGAGGGTGTTCTAGAAATGGGAAGTGCGTCTTACTACCTTACCTGCGATATTCGCTTCGACGCAAAATTGCAATGGGCCTTGAAATTAGACTCCGTCAACAGCTATCACTATTCACTGCATCTAATTACATTGCAGCCGTGACCGAGACGTCGTGATGCATGCGGCCAGGATATGTTAGGGATGCACTGTTGCATGTGTTTGAATTCAGCAACAAGTCCGGGGCCGCGCTTCAGTAAATTCTTACCCAACAGCCACTGACTTAGCAACTCGGGGGGTTGCTGTTCCACCGCTTGCCTGAGCTATCCGTCAATTGCCGGCCACCTGACGACCTGCCTCGTCAACTCTCCGGTCATATCCCCCGCATTGCAGTAACACCTTCGCATTGGAAAAAGCATATCCTACCATGTATAACTGATGGCGGGCCGGCCATCTTTCATATACTGTCATCGGCAGCACGCGGCCTGACATTTGCGGCTTACACAGTACGGTTTTGTGTGCTCCGGACATTTCCGGGCTAATTGGCAAGCCATGACGTCTGACCTGAGCCAACTGAACACTTCCAATCCAACCTCCACTCTGCCTAGGCCAGAAGTAGAGTCGAGGACATTCCATAGAGCTTACAAGGGTGAGTTGTAAAACCCGTGACTGATTTGTTGTCGTTGCTGACATACATGGATTTAGTAATGGTCTCTCACGCATTCACGTTTATCGATACTAAACACACAGGCCTGCTTGCAATGTAGGAAGAAGAAAACCAAATGCGACATATCGGCGGCAGAATTTGCTGCCGGCTCACCATGCGGCAGATGTCAACGCGAGTTTCGCGATTGTGTCTTCACGGCCGAAAGGCAAGGCGCAGGTAGTCGTCAAGTCAAGACCAGTGCTCGTAAGCTACGATTGAGACAGCTTCCTTTCAAGCAGCACAGCTGATTCTGGGCAAGAACCAGATGCGTCCAAAGGTACTTCACTTGAGACCCAACCAACTTGTCGCCCTCGAAGAACCTCCGAATCTATCCGAAGAGTATCTCGTCGAGATGGTGATACGTTGGACTTGATAGACAAGCCTGACTCTTGCTCGGATACTACGCGCAGCAGTCAGCCAGAACAATCAGGTAGCTCTAAGGGACTCACAAATGCGATGATGAGGACTGTGGTTTCCAACGAAAATGACGCACTCAACATCTTGTTTGAGGCTGCACAGCATGAAGCTGAGATTCAAAGTGATCGAGGTTCTGTTGGCAGGGAGAATGACGACGTCAGTCAAGCCTCACGGATGGTTGGTATTATGGCAGAAGCAGCCGTGGCCCACCAAACGCCGAACTTTTCGACAATTTTCTCCCAACCAAATGAATTAACGACCTTGAGCAGTCCTGTTCCAGATGTGGTGCGCATCTGGAATGCATATCGCTTTGTCGTCATGGGTTGGTTCTCCGCTGAGGAAGCAGTGACTCTGGTTGACGCGTAGGTCTGCCTTCTCTTCCTTTCGAGTGCCATTACTGACACGAATTCATCAGATTCTTTCGTAATATGTCACCCCTATCACCTGTGCTGGATGAATTTTACGCGGACCACGCCAATCACTATCACCTGATCACTCGAGAGCCCATGCTGTGTTGTATGATACTCACCATTTCCTCGAGATATCATACTTTGCCTGCTATCGGCGGACAGTCGAGAGGACATCTAATGCACCAAAGATTATGGGAATATTGCCAGAATCTACTTCTGAGATTAATGCTGGGTCAAGAAAAGAGCTCTAAAGCGAAAACACGAACACTTGGTGCTGTCGAAGCATTGTTGCTCCTTGTCGAGTGGCATCCGCGAGCTCTCCATGTACCGCCTGCAGGAGATGGATGGGATTCAGATCTTTTACTGACGACCATGAACGATCGCGACGATAGGGACGCTGCTGTTGAGAACCCATCTCGCAGCAGATGGAGGGAAGATGTAATCAACCCTTCTAAACGGTCTGACCAGATGTCATGGATGATACTCGGCTGCGCAACATCGCTAGCGATTGAGCTTGGCCTTCTGAATGTGAATGAAGACAATGAGGATGAAAGCTTAGGAGACTACGGCCGAAGACTTCGTGCAAGGCGACTTCCTCTTGCAAGATTGCTCTGCTTATTCCAGGAGCATGTGTCCCTGAGGTTGGATTGCAAGCCCATGTTACCCGAAGGCATGACCCACGCAATGTCATCAATGAGAGCCTCGAAGTTGGGTACTCAGAAACGAGGCGAAGATTCGAACTTGATCATGACCGCATGGATTGAACTTGCGAAGCTCGAGAGGTCTATTGCCGATGTGATATTCCCGTCATCGGTAGTTACAAGGCATCTGCTTGACACAGGTCGGTATGTTAGGATGATTGAACATTTCCGTCCTTTACTATCCAGCTGGAAAGATCGATATCTGGACAAGACAGGTATCCTCCCCGAATTGCTTCGAAAAGAACTCACTGTTCTTATTCCTCGATGCAATGCTTACCAGATGCACAGCGCCAACAACCCCGCTTCGTGACATTCTATTTGTGGAGTATCAGAGTGCCAAGATTTATACGAACTCCTTAGGGCTCCAAGCGATTGTGGAGCGGACCATTGCGGATTCCGAGGAAGGTGCTGCTGACAACCAGTTCGGCATGAGTTCAATAGATTATAACCTTGTCCAAGAGGTTTTGGATGCCTGTTTGGAAACTTTGAAAGGTGCGATAAGAGCTGCGGATAACAACCACTTATGCTTCGCCCCTGTACGGCTATTCTTGCGCATCACGACAGCTTCTGTTTTTCTTCTGAAAGCCCTTGGCCTTGGTGTCAACACGAGTAGATTAACAGATTCTTTAGACGTCCTTGCGAGGGCAATCACTGCACTCAAGTTGTGTAAACCAGACGATTTACACTTGGGTGCTCGGTATGCAGCTCTCTTGAATCTGTACGTAGCAAAGTTACGAGAGAAATTTGTTCCTGCAACAAAGCCGCCATTCTTCGCTACGCGTCCGGGTTCGGTCATTGGTCAATCCGCGGAAGGCGCTGGCCAGGCCAATGCTGACTGGCAAATGGACTTTGAGCCAAATCTTCAGAATCTGGATACAATACCTCCAACCACTGCCCAAGTCGAACTCGACGAATCTTGGCTTTCGCTTCCGTTAGATCCATCGCTTCAGCCTTTTATTCCTGGAGACTCGCTGGGGTTTGAGTGGCTCGGTCAAAACTCTCTCGATTTTATTTGGAATTTAGATATAAGCTAGGACGTTATCAGGCAGCAATGCCGAGGCTCAATTTGGTAATATGCAGGCTTGTAGAGTCGACTTAGTCAAGTTTGTGTATACCGAGAGATGAGGGACCGGTCAAGCAAGCCGTTTCGGGCAATCTTCGCTACTGTTAGCCCGCGGCATGATCGCATTCCTCAAAAGGCACATAGCCAAAATTGTAAAACCTGGGTTAGTGGCATTGATGGCCAGTGTCCGAATGTGTGAAAAGTCGGCTCATTCCGTTCGGGAGCAGTCTAAGATCTTGAGCAATTAGTGAGCTTTGCCGACAGTATGGTTTAAGAGACCAGGCGAGCCGGGCTGTGGCGAGCTGAAGCGTAGTGGCAAGCTCAAAGGCTGATGGCTTATTTTGTGTTTACGGAAATGAGCGGTTGTGATGATATTTCTCATCACACACAAGTACCTACCTTAGTGGTAAGTACCGACATGTTCCCAAGTTCACTTTTAAGTAGAAAACTTGGACGTGGACTTGCCCGTTGACTTATGACATTAAAAGACAAATTCGCAAGTGCTCTCAAGCATGTATTTGAAGTTTTGCGCCACTAGTATGAGCAGTGGCAGGACATCAATAGTTAATGTCAGAAACTCATATGAAATAGCGGTGGCAGTGGCAGTGGCGGTCTCAAAATGCGGTATTAACAGCTGAAGGATTGTCCCGCAACTGTTGATCTGCTTTAAAGAAGAAATACCATTGACGGAAAGATTGAACTCTATGTCGATTGCAACACCCGACGTTGATAACTCCGAATCCCATCAGTTTCACTTATTCTAGCAATAGGCTCTCAGACCGTATTGTTTTGGTAACGCCCTACGTGTTACTAGTCATATATGTCTTCCATATCGTAATGCCTCGGTGTTATCGGCGTCGATGGCCCTGCATCCGAAGCATCTCCGACACCGGTCATGCTTAGATCAAGAGATCCAGAGAAGGGAACCGTCCCATCAGGGACACCTGATGTGTCTGTGGGAGCTCCTCCACCGCCAGTATAGTACATCGCTGCGTCCATAGTCATGGGGGAAGGGGGCGGGCCGTACCAGGAGGCGTTGCGAATGCTGCCAACAAAATCATAGCGCTCGGAGTAAATTTGGCCCAAGAGGCCAAGTTGCACGTACAGGGCCCTCTGATATCGTGCCATGATGTCCAGGCGTGCTCGATTCAGGCCACCCCACTGGCTGACACCGAGAATGACACTATCGGCCAGTCGCATCAGGGAGCGAGCATTGTCGCGGCCAACATTGGGGTTCATCAGGCGGCGTCCCAGGTTCAAGCTCTCGGTGAGTTGTTCCATCATCCACTATTGTGATCTCACTCATCAGCTTCTGGTATCAATACTTTTCGGCGTCTGTAGACCAGACAACTTACCAACCAGGTTCTGCCGCCAGGAGTATTCCTCTCGCGCAGCGGGAGATTCGGAGGTGGTACGGGGAACATTTCCAGTGGGACTCCTCCCGGTGTATGTTCGTTCGCGAACCGCCATATTGAGTAAGGGTTATTTCCCTGAGCCGCTCTCGAGACCAGCGGCGGTCGGTAATACTCATTTTGATACCTCGCGACTTCAGCCTCGCTGGGTAGCCCATCATACATTGGGCTCATTTGGGCAGGGTACCACCAACGATTCATGGCCGCTCGATGAGCGCGGCAACTCCCCGGAGCGTTGATGCCATAATTGTTCACGACAGCGGCACCATTGGAGTTGATTGTCAAATGACCCTGGTGCTGCCCCTGAACTGATTAGCCTCTGTAGATACATTTGGTTCGGAGATTTCTCACCGCTGCTTGTTGTGGTCCGGTAGATTGCTGTCCACCGGTCCCAAGCCTAGGCCCATTTCTACCTCCTTGCTGGCCCTCGTTAGGAACAGAACCGCCTGGAAATTCTCCCAGGTGGCCACCGATATTACCATGTCCCTGGGCGCCACCACGGTTTTCCGGCCCTATTTGAGGGGCGCCAACACCTTGCGGAGTATGTGGATATTCTCCCCATCTTGGTGGACAAAGATCGCCAGGTCGCGGATCTACTGTAGGCGGTGGGTGATGATTTGTGAGCTGTCGAGGTGTTAGCAGTTGGGATATCGGACAATGTACAGTTACTGGTCCAGGAAAGAGTCGTGGCCAAGCCACTGTCCATGGATGCAAAGAAACGCTCGGAAGTCGTGATGGCTACCCACCCCTGCTACATCAATCTGGAACAGGTACGCTATTCTCTGGCGCAGATCCTGAGTTGCTGCTGCCATCGCGGCTTGTGACCCTGGTATTGGGTTTAACGGTAAGGTATCTTGCCGCCGTTGCAGCTGTTTTAACACTGTACTCGACCAGTGGTCTCTGATAATAAATTAACATTTTCGGCATGACATATTGACCTCAAAGGGGAGGGGTGGCCCAACGTCATCTGTTCTCTCGTAAAGTTATGCCCCCTGTTACGCATATCCTGCACAACGACATCCCAGCGGCCATTTCCCAACCTTCCGAATCTGTCCCTCGAGTTACCCTCGTGCATATTACCCCACTGCAGCACTCGGAGTTAGTAAAGACTTTTGTACAATAGGCCTGGAGGACTTCCATGGCATCATCAAACGGTCAAAGGGAACTGAATGTTGTTAATGCATAAAAGCATACACCTCATGTGTATGCTGGCAAAAGTATTAAATAATCCCGGGATTTGCTTACAAGCAGAATACTTAAGACTAAGTCCTGAGTCTGATAAATATTCCAACTCGACCGATTAACCGCCATTATTCGCTAATTAGCAATTGCTTGGAAGGATTGTAAATACCCCTAACTTGATACGAGATTTCGTCGAAAGACTCGGAAAAGGGAATCTATTGCAAGAGTTTCTCGTTCAATTTAATTACTATTTAGTGTTGGACAAAGCCCAGAAATCGAATCAAGATCACAATACCGTTTCCGGTATTGATAAAGCGGGACAATCACAAGTCGCCGTCCCAGTAAGTTGATTTGTTCAATAGATCGGCCATCTCAATGAAAGGCGACAAAGAGACCACCACTACGTTCAGTATAGCCCAGATCTCGGCTATCCATGAACTTTTCTCTGTCTGGTGGTATCATCTTGGTGAAAGACCCTTATGAGAGTCCAATTGTGAGCATACTATAGATCACTAACCTACATGAGTTTGTGTACAATCGGCGACTTCATATAGGAATGTCATCGACGAAAGTAGCTGACAACAAAAGTACTACTTTCTTATGGGTAATCAATTCATAAAAGCTCTTGTTACTTTTTCATCGCTTACTAGCCATGGGTCCATTAGTATAAATTTCTCAATTCAATTTTATACGGCCATGAGAAGCTTCTATCAAATGACATGGTGTCTCCCTGGAGCAACAACAAGTTCCTTCACGGCAGGCTCGCTGAAACAAGGGTATAATTTGATGATCCGGAGATTCCAGATGCTTTATCTTGGATTTTTCTCCAGAAGACGCGATAACCTTTGTCGACTTCTTGGCGATACTTGCAGGGCGGGTACGAGCTCCATCAATAAGGCAAGACCGTGATATTGCCTAGGTCCGCAATGTGCCTGATGCAGGAAGCCGACAAAGACGTGTCGCGCTATGAGAAGATGGACTTGTAAGATCAATCCTAGGGAGCTTCTGTCTCAAGTTTGGCCGGGAAATGTCTGCAGCTGTCCGAACAAGAATCCGCATTGGCATCAGGAACTACATAGTAGTGTAGACAGATCCACACAAAAATGCAAAAAATGTACAGCACCCGGCTGAGTACTAATCCAGCGGTTTAAGAATATACCTACCCGGTGCAAAGAGTTGAATTGCTCCGTAGCTGGCGATACAGAAAAGTGCAACCCGTGAGCTATCTTGGATTGATGACCACGACGGCAGTCACGTGTGCGACGTAGCGCTAACTTAATTGCTCTCCACACCTCCCATTTTTAAGAAGGGATGCTTCTCTCAGATCTACAAGTGACATGTTGAGCGCTTGATCACGAAACGACTTTTCGGCTCGAATGAACGCCATCTCTTACACCCCCCGATAATGTGAGTCGGCTGGTGGCTGAAAACGTTCACACCAATGGATTCATCACACCAGCAGCACGCGAACCAGCTAGCGGTAGGGCAAGATTTTTGTGGACCACCACGACAGTGAGCCTGACAATTGATAGTGCGATGCGTGTCGAGTGAAGAAGCACAAGGTTCGCGATACCCTCGTCCTTTCTTATATCTTGATTGCTGAAAGCTTAATCAGTGCTCTAGAGAAAGACCTGCTTGCAGTGCCTGTGTTCAAAATCGACGGGCATGCCACTACAGCGGAAGAGCAACTCGGTCACCATTGACCAGGGTGTATGGCTTCCACAAAGATGCACAGATTTGAGACTGACCAAGACATAGTTACTTGACAAGCGTGGAGCGTCGTCTTCAGAAAATGGAGACCCTGTTCGCCCAACGTCTACCAGATGTCAACCTTGAAGAAGCGATAGCTACTTTGCATTCGGAGGGGCCAGGAAGCCCCTCCACAATCAACCAATCGCCAAGAACTCCTGACTTCAATGCCATCCCCTCACCATCTGCCACGGCACATGTGAACGCGAGCAAGATGTCCGAAGCAGTACCACAGGAGGCCGATGGCTTTGACTGGCAAGAGGATTTCAGTGAGCTTGCCGACGGAATGGCTGCTTTGTCGGTCGAGCCCAAAGGGACAGGATACCTAGGTAGGTTTTCTAGATTGCAGGAAAGCTTGGTCTGACACCTAAAAGGCTCAACTGCAGGCGTGTTCTTCTTGCGCTCTCTATTGCTATGGATGGGCCGCTCGACGTCGATCGCCACTGCTCATGAGGCAGTAGTCAGATCTCCCAAGGCCGAGGAACACAACCTTTCAAGTATGGCACTCCAGTCACTAGTGTCTCGGCAGGTTATGGCAAGCCTAATCGACTCTTACTTCAACGTCTATCATGTTTCCTACCCCTTTGTCCACGAAGCAACGTTCAGAGCTCAGTTTCATGAGATAATTCCTCGTCCATCCCATCGCTCATGGCAGATGCTCCTCTCGACTGTGCTTGCATTAGGTGCATGGTGTATGAACCATCCAAACACCGATTTGCATGATGACCTCTATCATCATGCCTTATCACTAGGAGAAGATGAATCGATGGTTGAGAGTGGAAATCTTACTTTCGTGCAAGCTCTGATTCTCCTGAGCAACCTCAGTCAGAAGCGAAACAAGCCCAACACCGGATCAAACTTCCTCGGTCTTGCGGTCCGAATGGCCTTGAGCCTGGGACTATATCGCGAGCTTCCGGACTGGGACATTAGTTTACTTCAACGAGAACAACGTCGAAGGGTTTGGTGGGGGCTCTACATCTTTGATAGTGGTGCTTCGACAACATTCGGGCGTCCCATTCTCCTTCCCGGGCCAGAAAGTATGGACGTTCGTCCAGTGCTGAACATTCATGACGAGGTAAGTTCTCAGATCGAACCGATTCGCCGTGATTCCTAACGCCGAATAGTCTTTGACACCAGGGACCACAAATTTACCTGCAGAAACAACGCTCCCAACATTGTACTCAGGTCTCAGAGCCCAGAGTAGCTTTCATGTCCAGACGAACCATATCTCAAACCGCCTTCTGAGTGCTTCTGGTATCTCCAAAGAAGAGGCATTGTCTCTTGACCAAGCATTAGATTCGTGGTCAAAGTCATTACCATCCTATTTTCAAATATCGCAAGCGCCAGTATTTTACGAACAATGGTATATGTTCGCAAGATCGAAACTTTGGTGGCGATTCTGGAACCTGAGGATCATTCTCTTCCTGCAGGTTCTGCTGGGCCGGTCGATGGGACGTAGCAACATCACTGCTGCCGGAAAGCCTCCTTACGTTCTAGATGAGACCTGCAGAAATATTTGTGTCGAGGCTGCTCATCTCAGCATCGTCTCGATTCACCAATACCTCAGTCAAGTCGTCCCCACTAGGATTGAGAGCTGGTATGCCGTGTAAGTTCACAAAAGTCACTGGGCATTGATCGCCATCCTAACTATCTAATCCAGATTCTTCATATTCCATGCTTCTCTCGTAATGGTCCTTGCGATACTAGCGGATGACGGTTCCTCGCCCGAGTTGCCTTCTTGGCAAGCCGATCTCGAGACAGTCAAAAGCGTTTTCAGGCATCTTCTGTCAAACAATCCGCTTGCCGCGCGAAGTGCTGATATTCTTGACCGCATTCTTCGGCCTGAGCCAGTGGTAGGCTTCGATGCGATCAACTTTCTTGATCCTGCCTCCTTCGACTTTTCACAATGGCCAGCGGGTGATGGCGATTTACTCAGCTCTTTTGGCTGGCTGGACCCTGGACAAGGTCCATAATCCCACTACTATTTATGCATCCAGTCCGGCTTTCGACATTTATTATCCGAATATCTGAGGTCCGCAAGATGGGGTTTTAATCAGGTCGCTTTTGGAACGTTATTTCTGGCTCAAGTTGTCGCCGCCTTTTTGCTTGTCTCGTTGCTAGAAGGCAAATGGCGTTTCGCCGGACGTGCCCGATCGGCATCTTCGAGGCATTCTGAAACTACAAGGGAACCACGACGCGAGCCAACCAGGAGGTCTTGGCTCAATCGCAACATTGAACTATTCTGTGCTCCGTAAGGCTTCCAACAATAGCTCCAGGAGGCATTCAACTTTGTGGATTTCAAACTTCCTGCTGGCTCTTAAAGGATGATATTGAGCTGAACATCTATCCTGTAAGACTTGAGTTGATATTTTCACAAATGTTACCGACAGTCACGGCTACCTGACGAAATTTCCTCATGGAAGCAATTTCTTGCGCCATTTTAGAACTGAGCTGTTCCGATGCTAATGTCACACAGGGTGGCTACACCTACAACATCGACCCTGAACTTGGTGGGAAATCAAACCCGTTGTTCAAGGACAAGTGAATCCACACCAAAACCATGTACCGCCAATGTGCCATCAATATCCACAGTTAGCAGTCCTAGTGACATCGACAACCTTCCTCTAGTAGTGTACGCTATAATTGCTCTGGCCGAACCCAGAGATGTCTGTAGTGCTCTCCACTTGTTAGAGAGACTCATCTACAACAAAAGCATCCATTATAATCGGAAGAGGCTTGTCAATACGGTATTGTCAGGACTAAGGTGTGGACTTTGGAGTAAAAGAGAAAGAAACACAAGCACCGAAAAAGAAAAGAAAAAAAGGAAAAAAAGGAAAACTAGATAGCACTGCAACTATTACCGTTACAAAACATCGTGAACTTGCGCAATTTAAGACACCATGTTTAGGTAATAGTCGAACTTCATCCAGTCAATATTACATTAGCTTGGCATCAAAGATGGTGTGTATATCTTAAGGCAAGGTTCTTGAAAGACCACTCTATAGAAGCCAGTTTCAAGTACTTTAATATATACCTTCTTTGCACATAGGGTTAGATGGAGGGAAGACCACGTATGAATATTTAAATCCAGGTATCTAGTCCAGTTCACCATGTCGCATCAACTCGATCATTCGCTAGTGTCACTGCGACAACACTCATCTTATCCCACATTAAAGCAACTGCTTTTACAACCAAGCCTGCACCAGATAGAGTGAACTTCGACATTGTTCGATACGACATTGATGAAGCCCACCAGGTTTAGGCATGGGCGAGCCTCTGTGAACTTTGGTGCGCTCTACTTGCCCTTCTATCCCGATCGCCTGCCAGCTCAGCGGTTCACGACACCAATTCCGCATGCGTCAGCACTGGGCAGCACCCGGCGGTTGGGCTCATGAACCAACCCCCGCCAAAAGAAAAAAAAGAACAAAATGAACAGACTCTCGTCTAAAAAGACAAAAAACAAGGCCGATCTCGGGTTCGAACCGAGGCCGCCAGAATCTCGACGTTGATGATGAATCAGAATCAGAATCTGGAGTCCTAAACCACTAGACGAATCGGCCTGGGCCTTTGTTGTTATAACTGTCGGGGTTGCTTGACGTTATAACGGTTGCTGTGGCTGCTGCTTGATGGAATCGGAAGTGTTTACTCGGATGCGTATGTCCTTTTTATTAGCAGATCTAGGCAGGCACAGGAGGCAGCAGACGATGCACGCTTTTGGTCTGGGGGAGTGATGCTTTGGGACGGCGACTATTTTGCATCACAACGACCACTCTTTTTCAAGTACGAATTGCTTGCCTGACTGGGAGAAACGAGAGTGCAAGACTTTACGGGCAGAGCAAAGAGGATCGGGCTCACGGCTGGTTTACAGGACGAACATGCCCAGAACCAATGTTTGACCAAGCGAGACAGTGTTTATTGATCATATCGAGCCAAGAGCACACACACAAACACATACACACATACTATACGAAGGAAAAAAAAAACGAAAAAAAAAAGGGAAAGGAAAAGGATGCCGTAGACTTGTATCTACATTATTGAATTATGTACATTTATATAAGAAACCCAAACCTTGGGTATTAGGAAACATACTAGGCCCAAAAGACCAATCCTTGAAATGCCAAAACAAGATGCTTGGAAACGCCTTGAATGCTAATGCCGATAGGTGTGTATGCGCTTTTCCTATTCCTCATGAAGCTATCTTGCCAACCCATATCGTAATCCTCGTGACCCCGGAAAACTGCCCCGACGAAGAAGATCAATGTCTATAACGAGAAAGTTGTGCCATGATGTTTTGGACGTGGGCTTGGTCCGCAGGATTGCCAGACGCGGGTGCTTGCTGGTAAGCGTGAGGATGCTGGTGTGATGGATTGGGCGCGGTGCCATTGGCTCCCAAAGCACTCAGCACGGCATTGACGTCGACACCAGGAGCAGCACCCATCGGCAGCTGGCCGGGAATACCGGCTTGAGGACCACCTTGGACAGCGGACAGAACTCGTTGCAGCGTGGCATTATCAAGGCCGCCGAGGTTCAGACCAGCAGGGAGTTGACTATGTACGGCAGGATATTGCTGAGGAGGCATCTGGGGCTGCGGTTGATAGTGGACAGGAGGGTACTGACCCCCACCATAGACGGCTGGTGACTGAAGATGAGTTTGAGATTTGGCGCGGGCCACGATCTCTGCTGCAATCTTGGGGTCAAGATCTTGATATTGGTCGAACCGGGCATTGTGTCGACCAGCAGAACGGTCAAAGGTTTGAAGGGGGACTTTGGCCACAGTTTGTGAGCGGAAGTCGAGCTCAATCACACCGTGCACGCCTTCGACAACTTGTCTTTGAATGACCAAGTCACGAGGGAAACGCGGGTTGAGAAACATGACTTCAACCTTTAAGCCACGCTCGATGAAAGCACCCTGAACCCAGCCGACAAAATCACGGTTGACTTCTTGCAGCAGCAGAAGTTGTACGTCCGGCACATCGCCCCCGAAGCGGCGGGGAATGTCAAGATCATCTTCAGATGTAGGTGGACCACGTCGATAAGGACTCGGACTCCGCCGGCGATAGCTACCGCCATCATAGCCTTGAGGAGAACGTGAACGACCACGACGCTGATGGTCTGAAGAACCATCCCATGCTCGATCTCCTCGGCCATATGAGCCTTGTCGGGAATGAACGCCACGGTTGGGAGACGGCTCCCGGGGCCGATACCCATCATTCCGGCGGCTGTCGAGACGGTTCCGATCCCGGTCGTTTTGATTGCTACCACCACGTCCTCCACGGGTTCCTCCGCGTCTGTCATTGTCGCCTTCTTTCTTCTGAGTGCGGGAGAACTCAAGATCTATATCCAGTCAGTTGGACCATAACATTTGGAATGGAACTCAAAGTAACACACGAATTTTTCTGCCACTGATCTCGATACCCTGCAAGGCATCTGTGGCAGCTTGGCCTTCGGTAACAGCATGATATTGCACGAAGCCATAGGCTTGCTTGAGTGATATCTGTGCTAGCCTGCCAAAGCGGGAGAAGATATCGAAAACCTCCCTCTTGGTTACTCGCTCGCTCGAAAGGTTGCCTGGCAGCAGTGTCAGTAAAATTAAAATTAAAAATTGTATGAAAAGTAGCCCAGTCTGCAAGAATGTTAAACGTACCGATGAACAGCCTCGAACCTTCGGGGAATCTATCCCATTTAGCTTCAGAGACGTACTTGCGTTCCTCCTTGAGAAATTCTTCATAACGTTGCGACTGACTTGGCGCCTCGCTGTTTGCACCAGGAATTGGGACAGCACCATATGGATTCTGGATTGGCATAGGAGCAGCAGGGTTGGGGTAGGTTTGAGGGGTTGGAAAGCCGGGGGCGGCAGCACCTGGAGGCGGATACGAGTATGGGAATGTCGCGGTAGGCGTGAGACTGGGAACAGCGGTGGAGGCATTGGGCTGGAAATGACTTGCAGCGGCAGACTGCTGGGACGCAGGCGGCTTGGGCGGTAGCGAAGACTGCGTGTTGGCTGCAGGGTTCACACCGGGTGTAGTCTCACTTGGTGCAGGCAAGTCACCTTCATTCGACCTGGTGGCATTATGATGGGCAGTGATATTGTCCACCAAAGCTTGAATATCAATACCACCATCATCCGTTGGCTGAGGTGGTGCAGCGGTCTCTACAGTGGGAACATGCTGGGAAACGTCTTGCGGAACGACTGCAGTAGAGATGGACTGGGTGGCGTCTGCGATGTCTTGGAGTGTGGATGTCGAGGTGGCTAGAGCCTGTGAAGCAGATGTGTCTTCGTCTGCAGTAGGAGTCTCGAGTAACGTAGACGGAGATCCAGCCTCTATAGTATCATCTGCGGCAACATGACCATCTACACTGGCTGCGCTATCTTGGATGGCAACATCAGTGATGGGGACGGGGGAATCAAAATCCTTGGCGTAGTGATCTTCGTCTTCGTCTTGGCCTTGGTCTTGGTCTTGGTCTCGTGCCTCAGCTGGAGCGTCTTGTTTCTCATCATGATCATGGCCTTTACTAGCATCATCCCGAATAGGAATTGCTTCTTGGAATGACGCATTGGGGTTGTTCTCAGCCTGATCCTGGACGAGAGGCGGTTCGCCGGGGAGTTGGGTAGTATTTGCGATACTTGCCAAGGGCGCTTCTTCAGTGGTAGGAAACAAGGCCATCGTGGACAGGCTATCGGCTTGGTCCTGCAGTCCAGGAACAGCGGCTGGAGAGGAGAGGTTTATGGGTTTTGGCGATTGTGGTGTGAGATCGCCAGCGGTAGCCACGACTTCCGGACTGTCGGCCATCTAACAAGGCAGTTTGTCTTTGTGGACAATGGTAGTATGGGGCGTGTGGCACCCAAGCTCAAGACAGATGCAGATGACAGACCAATGGGCGTATTCTGGGTGTCTGCGTGGAACAACTCGAGTGTCTGGGTGGAATGAATATAAATAATGTGATTGGCAGTGCTCGGGTTACGGCTACGATTCAACTGCGCAGAAATGGATCCGGATTGTCAAATGGAAATGAGAATTCCGTGCCTTTGTTCTGGACTCCAGGTGGAATAAAATCGGAAGCAGCAGAATTCACTCCAGGAGCATTGTGCAGGTGCAGATTTGTTGTTTGGCGAGGGGGGGGAATATGGGTGCGTTCGGTTTATTCTCATGGATGGGGTGGTATGCTTCTTCACCCGAGTCTGGCTTTGGTATCCCGGCGCAAGTGCTGGCGAACTCTGTGATTGAAGACACGTTTGGCGTTGACTGGAGAAGGTCTGCCTATTATACAGCTGTATGGGTTCCTTCTCTTGAATTTGGATTTGGTTCTGTGTTTGGCTCTGTGATAAGAAGAACGAAACCGGTGGATGGCAGAGGCACGTCGCCTCTCGTGTCCTGGGTTCGTGGTTGTGAAAAATGCAGGTAGGAACGATGAGGCGCAATTGGGTCTGATTGAGCACACGACGTGATATCTAGTGTCAACGGAGGCAAATACGACGGAGGTGTCGCTGAACGTGAGTCGGCTGGGAAGCTGGGAGGTAATGGCGACGTCTGAGATTTGCGTCAACCTTTGGCTGTTTCCGTTTCCCTGGCCGTTTGGAACAGAGCAAAGTAAGCAAGCTTCAAGTTGGGTTAGCTCATTAGCATGCCAGAGGGAAAACGGCGCGGGGCAGATGCGGATGCTGCAGAGGCAGTTTGACACACGGGCCATCACATCACTATCGATTGTGGAATGCGTCCCCAGTGCCAGTGACGCCAGCTCGTCAGCCCCGTCTCCCCGTCTCTCTCGCCATCTCCCATTTTGCCCATGCTCCGATCCCCAGGCTTAATGCCGGCCAGGAGTGGTTTAGCGTCTTTCAGCCTGCGTGCTCGAGATGTGAGCGTACACCCGTTGGTCACAGTACACTTCATAAGAAGCAGTCAATGGAACCGCCGCATGACGACTCCATCTAGACTAAGGTTATCTACAGTTGATTATTACCTGACAGTGTTGAATCCCCACCAGCAACCTCAACACTCCACTCGACTGACAGAGACCGTGGTTTGTGGCAGGCCACCATAAGGAACTGGGGCTCCCAACTATCTGACGTACTTGAGCTGGAAGCCAGCTATTCTATCTGGTCAAGAGCGAGCCTTTGCTTTCCATCGGCCCAGACAAGCTCAACATTGCTCTTGCTCATTGCCATTCCCCAATGTGTGCGGCATGTTCCGGTGTGTAGTGAGCAGCTTCTCCAAGAGCCAGACTCCCTCACTAGTTGGTCGGCCACTGGTACATGTCGGCTCCATCAGAAATCAGGCGTTCGACGCTGCTTTTGACCAGGACGATTTAGCTGAAGCAAGGAAGTGGCACACATCATTCGACGAGCATGACCTGCCAAAGGGCCAGACTAGCTTTTCGAGATCAAGCGGTCCAGGCGGACAGCATGTCAATAAGTAGGAAACCTTCCTCCAGCATCATGATATCCTGCTAAATCCACGTCAAGGACGGAGACAAAGGCAACTACCGTCTGGCCAGTGTTTGAGTTGACACGCATGCTTCCAAAGCTGATGCATTCGCCACTTCGATCATCCCGATACTACACCAGCAGAACAGACTCGCTCACCATTCAGGCTCAAACACAGAGGAGCCGGTCTGCAAACACCGATGAGAACTTCGACAAGTTGGTAGAGGAGATTCGACGAATATACCGCGAAGCTGTTCCTGGCGTCACAAATACCAAGAAGGCAAAGAAATACGAAGCATTGTAAGTCGACAACCCTGAATGCGGAAATGTGGTTATGCTGATGCAGCCAATAGAGAGAAAGCTTTCCACGAAAATCGAGTCACGTCGAAAAAGCAGCAAAGCGCCAAGAAAGCTTCACGGAAGGGCTCACTTGATTGAAGGCGAAAAGTCTACAACAAGTGATGCAGCAGCAGGCGTAGCCAGGCAAGTAATTTTTTTTCCCCTGCGGTGCAAGCATTGCAGTACACTCCTTGCTCTCTCTGTGGCATCTAGACTAGTTTAGCAGAGGGTTTACGAATGGAAAGTGTTACCTTCAAGGTAACATATCACTTGTTTCTCATCTCGACCATGATGGAACATGGCAGTCCGGAGAGTCTCTTTCAATTCACCTACAGGATTTCTCATAGAGCGTGAAGGGTGGTGTGACGAGGGAAGTCACCATATCACTTTATTGCAAAACATTCTGTCCATGTCACAAGGGGGAATCAGTACGGACTCTAATAACCCTACATCATAACGTTCTTACCATCATAGATCTCCGTGTGGATTGTGACTCGCCGGCCTAAGAGTTTGGGCAAATTCGGAGGGCAAGCCAAACATGGAAAGACAAAAAAAGAAAAGAAAAAAAAACCGTTGTGCATAGTGCCGGCTGACAAAGATGCGGCCGCCTTAACCGCTCCCGAGTGCCAAAAATAGCTGGAGACTGCACCGCTGCAAGATGACCCTGGTTTCCAATTGAGTCTGCAGAGTTTCTTTGCTCGCAAAATACAGAGTTATCTCTTAAGTCCTGATTTACAAGGCGATATATCAAACGTTACGCAATTGATCATTATTTTCCAACGAGGGCAGAAGTATCGTGATTTCAGGTTATCCCCACTACACTTGGGATACAAATTCTCGAGTATCTTTGTTCATATCGAAACGGGAAGAGATGGTGCGCGCTAGAAAGGCATATCTTTCATAGTGGTGGTCCGTAGTAGTCAAGGGTCTAACGTTAGGGCGATGAGACGCTGGAAACTCGTATCTCCTGGTTGCCAAGCTTCAAGGTTTGAGCTTGGTGCACATAAGCTTCCACGGTCCTTCCGACGGAGTGGTATCTACTGTAAATGGGTGACGAGTTTCCTTCGATATTTGAGTTCGGATGTGCATTGACGACGCAATCTCCTGGGCGTCTCCTGGGCAAATCGAGAACTTGAGTCTGTACTCTGTGTTTGTTTCTCTTTTCGAAAAACTCTGGCCAGACGGCGTCAGTGCTGACCGTTGGGACCCTGACTTGGGCCTGTGGAGTCTCCACAGGGCATATGTCTGAGACCCCGTGGAGGACAAGACGGCACACCGGTTGATTGGCTCCAGGGCCAGTATGCGGTGCTGACGAGCTGAACCTCGGGGCTGATAGTGGACTTGGGCAGAGTCCCTTAATTTTGGAAGGCTTCTCACCTACTTACAATAGTGTAACCTTGGAGATTTTACGAACAAAAGATGGTTTTGTATTTCTCATCAGAAGGACAGGTTACCCTAAACTCAAGGTACTCGCTCAAGGCGGTCAACAACACACCACACCTGCAGATGCGACCGTGAAAGAGCTGTCTGTCCGTCTGCCTTGCTGTATCGCTACGTCAGTCCGTGACTCTCATCCATGTCCTCGGGCGATCCTCCTCCTCATTGGGACCTCATTTAGACAGGGGACCTCCAATCGTTAGTTATCGTTGGGCTACAACAGCACCTCATCCCATCCCTTCCCTTCCCATCCCACGTATTAGTCTAGACTTGATTAGAACTTGGACGCATCTCATCACTCTTGCTCAATCTCTATGAACTTTTCCTTCTTTTCATTGATACCCCGTCTCCTTTCCTGCACGGCGCATATCCCGCTATAGCCAGCCCAGAGGCGTCGCATCGCATCATTCTGATCTGCCTCGAGTACGGATACTTTGCGGTCCTGGACCTCCACTGTTGTCAACCCCTCTTCCTGTGCATCGGTGATAAGCACGAAACAGTAGTGGGAAACTCCCCTAAACCTGCTGACGACAACCTTGCGACGACGCATTTCTTCTGCCAGATCTCTACTGTGCAAAGGAAGCGCGACCGTCCTTCTCGAGGGAATTAAAACGAGTTGACATTCCGTACAATCCTCCATCAACTCTCCCGTCATGGCTACAGCAACACAAAGTAGCGCCGGCGCATCGCCAGGCCGGCCGAACCCTCAAATACAACCGTGTCGCTACAAGGTCGGGAAGACGCTCGGCGCGGGTTCATACTCGGTGGTCAAGGAGTGCGTACACATCGATACCGGCAGATACTACGCTGCCAAGGTCATTAACAAGAGGCTCATGGCGGGAAGGGAACATATGGTATGTGTTCTCGACTGACGTTTGCAACCTGCACAACGACAACGACACTCTTCTGCCGCTTGGGGGGGCTGACAATCTTTGCTTGGAACAGGTACGAAATGAAATCGCTGTGTTGAAGAAGGTCTCCATGGGCCACCAAAACATTCTAACGCTGGTCGACTACTTCGAGACCATGAACAACCTTTACCTCGTCACAGACCTGGCTCTCGGCGGCGAGCTCTTCGACCGCATCTGCAGGAAAGGTTCTTACTACGAGTCCGACGCAGCAGACCTCATCCGCGCCACCCTCTCGGCAGTGGCTTATCTGCACGATCATGGCATTGTCCACCGCGACCTCAAACCCGAGAACCTGCTCTTCCGCACACCGGAGGACAACGCCGACCTGCTGATTGCCGACTTTGGCCTGAGCCGTATTATGGACGAGGAGCAATTCCACGTTCTGACCACCACATGCGGTACCCCTGGCTACATGGCCCCCGAGATCTTCAAGAAGACGGGCCACGGAAAGCCAGTCGACATCTGGGCCATGGGCGTCATCACATACTTCCTGCTCTGCGGTTACACCCCGTTCGATCGTGACTCCGACTTCGAGGAGATGCAGGCCATTCTCAACGCAGACTATAGCTTCCAGCCCGCCGACTACTGGCGCGGCGTCTCAGACCACGCCAAGGACTTCATCCGCCGCTGTCTAACCATCGACCCGAGCAAGCGCATGACGGCCCACGAGGCCTTGAGCCATGCCTTTGTCGCCGGCTTCAATCTCAGCCCCGATGGCGACAAGGGCCAGAACTTGCTGCCCACCGTCAAGAAGAACTTCAACGCCCGTCGCACTTTACATGCTGCTATCGACACAGTGAGGGCGATCAACAAGCTGCGGGAAGGCCAGCTACAGGCCATGATGGATGGCGCAAGGAGTAGAGAGCCAACCCCAGGCGCGCCTGCCTTGACGAGCCAACAAAACAAGGCCGACTCCGGAGTCGGCATGGGAGGCACACGCAACGGCCAGGACTCCGGGTATGGGGGTAGCAGCACCAATGCCGACAGCGAAGGAGACGTGGAGATGGGCGGTACCGATGTGCCGGCCAGCTTAAGGCCAGGCCAGCCTACAAACAAGGTGGTCGAGACATCAAGGGGGCTGTGGCAAGCAGGGCAAGCACGGCGATAGAGACGTCATGACCTGGGAGGGATCTTTCCCACGTCGGATACGGGAGAGACCGGCCGTACTGGCAAGATGCTTGTGGAACGCATGCTTCGCCAGATTGGTCGGCGGGGAGAGGACGGAAGAGCCAAGGGTCGATTCTACATGCATCCAAACATCGATATCCAGCGTTGTGTATTTGAAGAATGATATTGTTAGACATTCGAACGGAAGACGGGAAGTACGAGACCATGCTTAGGCGATCATAGGGCACTGGAGGGATAATACCCGCTTGGATCTATGAGAGAACCCAGGGACAGAGCTAAATCCCCATGGAACGGACCGACATGAGAGGAATTGTACATAGCAGTCTATTTTCTGCAAGCACCATTACATTTGCTGCACTTGTTTGGCAGGACTGGCAATACAGCAGCGTAAACAAAACAAAAAAAAAACCAATCTCAGTTTAAGGTGCGATCCGTCGATTCGGTGAAGTTGTTTTGGGCGTTTGGTTCATGTTTTCCTCGCGGATCTGCACGATTGTTACCACCAGCCAGGATTTACGAACGCGGACCGACGTATTGCGGTCTAGTTAGCTACACGAAACGAAGCAGGAAACATGATCATCGATGATGATACCGACACCAGAGATGATCCCCTCGTCGTCGATTTAGCAGAGCCAGAGAGAATTGCGGCAGGCTACCTCACGGCAACCCCAACAACACGGTCGAAAGCCATGGATGTGGCTAGCTACTACCCTCAGCAGAGCATCGACATCGATGAGGAGTCTTGTTTGGATACGTAAAGAAAGTACTTCCTCCTTCTTTTCCGTTCGATATCAAATCGTCATGATTACTTAGCTTGGTACTCGATTTTCCACGGAAGAATTTCAAGAAGGTGAGTTTCCATTTCTCAAGGCAACTACTTGCAACAGCCAGATAGTAATGAGGCGCCACACACATGGTCTGTGGTGGTTGTTATAATCGGGAGCGTTACTCTACTTGTGCTCTTGTCATCTTCGCCCAAGACTACATCGTGTTAAGGTTCAGATGGAGGAGTCTTCACCGGGCCCGTTTAAGCTGATGCTGGTCGCGACGGCGGCCGTGACGCTGCTACATGCCTCGGGACCGGACCAAGGAAAAATGGTGTCTGTTACGGTCCATGCAATCCCGTGCTCTTTCTGGTCAGAACGTAGCAGGTCTCCGAGCAGCTTTGTTGGGTATCGTTCAGAAACGCCTGTCATGCCCATAAACGGAGCTGATGAGAACCGGCGTCTTCGTCCCATGTTTGGTTGTTCATAGGCTTTTGCGCGGCCGTCTACACCAACACTCGGAATCCCCGTCGAAGAAAATTATGAACTTGGCCTTGCATAGGTTCCTCAGTCGACGCAGCTCACTGGTGCTGTTATGCTTCTTCGAGCCAAACTGGCATCAAAAACTGATGTGTTTCCCCAGGGCCCCGAGCCAGCTGAGGACTAAACAAGTCGATCTTCCGCCCTGCGCCTTTTGTCAACGGTAGGTATGGGAAGAGTCGAGTTCAGACAAAGGCTGCGCGTTCACTGTATCTTAAAACCGCTGGGGCGTATTCGAGGCGTGGATGCTAGGCAAATGTCACGATTTAAAGCTTCTAGTACCTTTGATATTATATGGCTCTTTCACGATTTCCTATGTCATTTACATGCAAGTCCTGAGCGCGGAAATCGAAAGGAGCTAATGATGGGAAACAAGATGTGAGTTGTCAGACGTGGAGGTACCTGAGATGAAAGACGACGCAACTAGACTTGTAGACGGGAGGAAGCGGGTGAGACTTTCCATCTCGGAGGTGGTTTCTATTCTATTGTTCGACATGGAATACTCAGGTGCCCACGACGTCGGATATAAGCTATGCGTGGATGATCTTGCCCGAATCCGCGATATGCCATCATGAGACAGTATCGAGCTGCTGATAGGCTCGGTTTCCAATCCACGAGCACGTAAGATTTCTATGCCCATTGAGGAATTCAAGCTTTTGAGGCTAAATACGCACTGCTCATGCAGGGCGCTCGTCATGTACTTGTACCAGCAGCAAACGTTGATCGCAAGAACTTGCCGCCTCACTAACATGTGATATGGAGATCGGGTAACACCAACTCTTTTTTAGTCGCGCGTAAAGAACCTCAGCCGATTGGTTGACAAAGTAGACACAAGACTTGCCGGCATAGAAACTACAACCGCTCCGATGACTGAAGACTCTCCTTGGCGCCGCACATCAAGCTTGCCATAATGCGATCTTGAGCTTGTTCCTGGGTACCCATGGCTTTCCCTTGGTGATCCTGGTAGTCTACAGTATGTCTGAACTGAAATGCAAATGCAGGTTTGGAGTCTAAGTATAGGCTGTAGCTCATCTAATTTGTAACCAACAGAATCCCACATGGAATCGCGCCGCCCAGTCGGTGTCAATGGCCTTTCAATGCATAGATAATTACATTTAGAAAATTGGGCTAAATCACATCCGTCGTACTGAGAGATATTCCATTTTTTGCTCTGGGTCGGCTTTCGACGTCACTTCAAAGCTGCCCGCAAGGTTGAGCATGTAGCATAGCTGTCATGCGACTCAACCCGCAGGCAGGTCCTCGCTGATCATCGGACTGTGGGCTTTTGTCGATAGGCAATCTTCACATCAAGTTCAGACGAAATTGAAGCTCTGGTGAAGGATGAGTTACAAGGGTCTGCCTGTCAGATCAAGGCCCACCGCTCAGTCAGCAGAGAGCAAGGCATGAACGCGGACTTGATTGCAAACCTCGGGAAAATCATGTCAGCGGGCCCGATATATTCTGCGGGCTCCGTAAGGCTTGTCCCATGGCCCGGATAAGGCGGACCACAAGGTGATTGTGAGTGGGACTACCAAGAACAATGCTGTTCTGCAGGTCAGTCGATCATGGAGACCAATTCGTTACCACCCAGCTGGTGTGTATACTGTAGCCAAGAGCGATCCTGTGAGATAAACGACTATGACTCAGCGAGGGAAGCTTGATCCTCTAGCCGTCACAGTGTATTGCCGTTGTCACATGGCACAAGTGACACGGGTGAAGAGCTTTCAGGTGTGGTGTTCAAGACGCGTATATACAATGAAAGGAGAAACTCGGTCCAGGTTTAGATCGCACGTACCATCCGACTCAGACGGCCTCATGGTCAAGCAGTACAAGTACGCGCATTTGGCCGAAATTGCCCGTGCTCAGAAAAAAGAATCCATCTTCAAGATATTCTGTCAGAAGTCAGGCCACTGCAAATTTCCGAGTCGTCCCAGTGCAAAAAATATTTTCAGCCTGTGGCAGCCCGAGAACACGGGTGAGACCGAGGAATCCGGCCCAATTAGAAAACTTTGCGAGCCGGAAAATGCGAAAATTCCACAGCGGGGCGGTTTTCTGCTTTGTTATGGAAACCGCCAAGACTCCCGGGTTGTCTGATAACGGGGGCGGGGAGATGTGCTCGCGTGAGTCGATCGCCAGTTGGCTCGAAAGGCCATGCGCAAGAAAAAAAAAATGGGCACGCGACCGATCAATCTCCATCGAGTTGACCCGATGGGCGCGATCGCGGATTCTTCTTGGGAAAACCTTCTTGAGTCTGGTATGTAAACAAACACTCGAAAGCTGGCCATCTCTGTCAACATCCAAGTTCAAGAATCCTTGAATTTCAATTCCACGTGGCCGAAATTCTTGATGCGCGGGATGACGTAGCCAGGTGGTGGTAAGGGTCCGTATGATGATCTGGGTTCACGATTTGCATCGTGAGCGCACGGTGTTTCGTGCATGATTCAGAATTTTAGCTGGGTGCTGGTTGAGGCGGGCGGTAGTTGGCCGAGTTAGACCGCATTAGTCCAACCAGCTCGAGTAAAGTTTTGTGTCCGTGGGACATGCTCAAGTACTTGCTTATACTGTAGGCACGAGGTGGGATATTATTCTTGCCAAAGCATCCATCTACTGTAGTTTCTGTACAAAATCGACTCTTCCAGATTGGGTGAGTCAGCTTGTAAGCACGAACACCATTTCACACCCGGTCAGCGGACTCTTAGAATGGTCCGAGGTAAGTCTCTTGTAATGGTGCATGCCAGTTGGTGCACGGTGTCTGTTCTGTTTCATCTCAAGTAACTGGACGGAAAACATTTGATCTGCGGATTGGGCACGCAATTTTGGAGTAGATCAACGTGCTATTGATACAACTGTATGTGGTTGTCTCTGTCACTGGTTTTGACATTGCGGCTGGGTGTAGAAAGTCGATACGGAGAATGCCATGTATCGCGAAGAGGAAGTGGAAGAAGGGCATAAATCTCGACAGCTTTCATCCTGCCGCAGCGGCACCGCTACATCCCGCGCGTGCGCGGCTTCGGATCTAAGATCGGGTATAAAAACCATATCCAGGAGGGATGACCACCGTGGCGCCCGACTGGAGTACCTGTACATACGTAGCAGTACCTTCGCTAAGCGGGTAGGCTGGTGGGGAAGCCAGAAACGCCAGGGTCCCGGACTATGCTGCGTGAGGATAGTGGATGACGACGACGAAACTTTGGCAATAATATCATATTGATGTGATGATCGTCACCAATAGTTCTATATAATCCATTCGGACGGACTTAATGATGACAATAGTCTCTGGCTGTGAACAATGTAATGAAAAAAAAAACCTACTACAGAAACGTGTTGCAAAGTGCCATGTTGAGGGGGGGTTTCGAAGCACCTAGGCACGCTGCCGATTTCCAATGCGCCTCGGATCTTTCGGACTCTAGAAAGCCACTCGGATGCGCCTGTGATTCGAGAGCCCGACCTGCCAGGGCACCCAGGGCTCCCAAGGCATCCAAGGCACCCTAACGCCGCTGCGTACTTACGATTGGCAATCAACTCACCGCACCGCAGTCTTGGCACTTGATGGCTTCAGTGGTGATTGTGCTGCAACCTCCCAAGCCTAGTCTAGTCACAGTACAGTCTGTCTATCAACGGTAACACAATGATGACGTCTAGACGTCTAAACGGCGGGCACTACCGCCGGTGAGCTTTCAACAGTGCCAGTGGTTGCATCAAGCAGTGGGCGAGCAATTTGACAGCAGCGGTTCGTTTGGAGATGGTATGGTATGCACGCGGATCTCCATTCGGGCGGGTGGTGATATGTGTTTGGTCGGGGTCGTCCGTTGCCAGACATGTTTAATCAGCACGCAGGATTGCTACAGTAGAGTATGCATTTCTGAGGCGTCCGCGAATCTTGAGGCGTGCCGCAGTGCCGAACCCCGACCAGCTTCCCCACCAAATGGCTTGGAAGGCTGGGCAATTTCCCAAAGCTTCAGGCTTGCACGTTTCCCGGAAAACAAACACTTTCAATAAGAGTGTTCAACATACCCATGAAGAGCATATCTTTGGTGGGGACTGCATATTCGTACAGTACTATGGTGCAGTAGCGTAGCTGAGCGAAGTTATGGAGCTCTCGAAATGGAATCGGCCTGTCGGCGCCTGTTGAGAATGCGAGATCGTATCACAGTATGTCCATCTGAGCTGCTGGCACCATGGTATTTTGCGAGCGCGAGCATCCCCCCCCACTTGAGCTGAGGTACCTATACTTGGCGGGATTCGATACTAAACTAGCAAGCATCGGTTTGGGAGAATTTGACACAAACCGACGTATGCGGAACTCGTCCAAGTAAAGCAAACTAGTGCTGGTGTACCCTCCCTCAATGGCTATTTGCAAAGGCTCAAGTTCTTCGCCCATGACCCTGTCTTACTTACAATACCGTCTTGTCATAGACACAACTCTTGACTCCACCCTGCCGAGGATTCATTCCCTATGAATGATTACCAACGGACATGCGGGCGTCTAGCATGCATCTTTTGTCTTGAATCCCTGTTTCCGTTAGATCCGCTCTCTTGGGAGCCCTTCTGCATATGAAGTCCTGATCCCCATAGATTAAGTACGCATCTGCACACAACTCTGCTTTTTTTGCCTCTGTACGACGGTAACATTCAGACCAAGTATCTTGGTTTGCACACGTTCGGCCGCTTTGGAAGTTTGGTTGTCCAGACAACTTCCCTCCGTGATAGTAACGTCGACGTCAAAAGTTCTTCATCACAAACGGTCGAGTTATTGTCATTGGTCGCTGCGCCGGGCCGGTGCTTATACAACAAGATGCCGAATCTCAACAACATGTTCCCATCGAGGCCGTCGCTGAACATCGCTTTGCCCAAACGACTCAATCTGGCGGCCCTGGGTTCTCCAAAGCGACCGACAACGGGACGCCGAAGGAGCAGTTCGAAGCCCAAGACATTCGATCCGAAAATCGAGCATGTCTCTTCGTTACAGAGATCTTTTTCGCCTGCAGAAGGTGTGCGGTATCTTCGCCACCAACACAAGTGGACGCTTTTCGACCTGCAATATGTCGTTCTTGCCATGTTCTGTCTGTCCTCGTTGTACATCATCGAGGCGCACGCTCCTCTTATCAAGTCGGCTGCCGTAGTGGCATACACGCTGCTGCTATTGACGCCAGTGACCAGCCAGTTCTTCCTGCCCTCCTGGCCGATATGGACGTACCTATTGTACTTCTTTTCCAGTCGGTAAGTTGTCCCGCCACCACGGCCTGTGCCAACTCCAACTTCGGCGCAAATCGCAGCAGAATGTTCGTAATTACAGCAGCTGACCTCCAACCGCGCAGTTACATTCCAACCGAAGTCCGCCCTCACATTTGGGTAAAGGTTCTGCCGGCTTTGGAGAACGTTCTATACGGGGCAAATTTGTCCAACATCCTCTCAGCGCATACGCATCCAATCCTCGACGTCTTCGCCTGGATCCCCTACGGTATCGGACACTTTGGCAACCCCGCAATCTGCTCCGCATTGATGTTCCTGTTCGCAGCTCCGAAGACGCTGCCGGTATTCGCAAAATCCTTCGGCTGGCTGAGCATATTCGGTGTCACCATGGCTCTCGTGTTCCCGTGCACTCCGCCGTGGTACGAGAACATGTATGGCCTCGCGCCCGCCCATTACGGAATGCCTGGTTCACCCGCCGGCTTGGCACGAATCGATAAGCTCTTCGGAGTCGACATGTACACCACGAGTTTCACAACCGCACCCGTGCCGTTTGGTGCCTTCCCAAGTCTGCACGCCGCGGACGCGACGCTCGAGGCTCTGTTCCTGAACTACTGCTTCCCCCGATTCCGAGCCTTCTTCATCTTCTACGTCGTCTGGCTGTGGTGGGCCACCATGTATTTGAGCCACCACTACGCTGTCGACTTAGTAGGCGGTAGCTTGTGCGCTGCCATCATCTTCTTTGTCGCCAGGACCAGATACCTGCCCCACCAGCAGGGCGAAAAGTCGAACCGATGGCAATACGACTTTGTCGAGATCGGTGAGATGAAGAAGGCCGCCGACGAGGAGCTGGGCTACGGCCTAGGCTTGTTGGAAAGACGCGGCACAGGCGACGACGATGAGTGGTCGGTTGGCAGCAGCACTCTGTATAGCCCCACCATCGCCAGCGGCAGCTCCAGTCCAGCTAGTCCTGTGCTCGAAGAAAACAGACGAAGCGCAGACTCTAGCAGTGCTGGCTCGGCATCTCGTAACCGGTTTTGATAAGCCCCCCACTGTTGCCAATCACCGGCCCGGATCGGAATCTCCATCTTGGATAGATGGAACTGTGTAATAGAGGCCAGCATGGACTGGTCCTGGAGATATGAAAGGAACATCAGCATTGTGAAGAATAATACCCTTGCATCTGTACGGCGTTTTGGGGTTTTGGTTTAGCATCTCATTGGGAAGGCGCCAGCGGGCTCCAACGATGGACGATCATGAATGAACTGCATAATACAGGTCATCGGCATAGACGGCGACTCAGCACGAAGCTCGCTCGAGCATAATATAAATACAAATAATGAGAATCACATCCTATACTCGATTATTATGCAATATTTCCAGTGAAATCATCAAAGGGTTGATTGGTCCCCAAATGCAAATTCAATATAAGACGTTGATAATGGACCGATATATCTCAAGTGCCGCTATATCATAACCCGAGATAGGAAATTATTCATATTGTCCACAGGTACCGGAGCAGTGAGGGAAGAAGATCTTTACCAAGACATACCTCGAGATATTTGCTCTTGAAAGAAACAATCTACGTACAATCACCTTCTGACTGGGAACGGCCAAATATCTCGGGTTCGTCGCTAATCATACACGGAGCGAAGGTTGCTGGGGGGCTCTTCAAGCACAGCTATTGCCCTTCCCAGCTAGTAAAAAGATCCGTCAGCCAGGGATCACTGTTGAGATCCAACATCAGAGCCATAGTATCCGCAGAGATCTCCGCCGTCTCGGCAATCCCCGCGTCCCCGAACTGCCCGGGTCCCGCGTCAGCCGCCGACGAGGTCGCATCCTCGATCGGGGGCAACGAAGAGCCCCATATAGACGCCGTGGCTCGCAGCGTGTTCGAGCCCTTGCTGAACATGTCTCCGCAGGGCATTGTGGCGTCTCCCTTCAGACCAGCCGCGGCAGCAACCTTGGACATCTTGTCTGCCAGGCTGTTGAGGACGGCGATGACGTCCACCTCACGGCGGACCGCCGCGCGGTCCCAGTCGGGCTCATCGAGCACCGAGAGGCGGTATAGCGTCTGCAGGGAATGCGACATGTGGCACATGAACGCAAACGGGAAGCCGACGTACTGCACGGGCTCGAACGACAAGACGATCGACATGCTGCGCTTGATGGCTTGCAGACAGTCGTGTAGTGCCTGTAGCCGTGGGATATCCACCGGCTTGATCACGGAACTCGGACTTGGTCGGGGTTGCACTGGCTGCTTCCTCATTTCCGGGATTGGTATTGATGACGGGAACGCGGTGGGTTGTGGCATGATAATAGGGATTGTTGGGTGGAAGACTACCATTTCGTATACCAACACCTCCGCATTTTGCAGATGGGAAAGAAGTATCTCTAGAGTTTTACGGTTAGCTTGTACGAAGAGTTGAACGAGTATGAGTATGACTTACTATTCTCGGATAGCTCTGGAGTCAGGGAGCGCTTGAGCTGGGCTAGTCTGTCTCTCAATGGTTTGATGTACATCCATGGAGGGCTTGAGAATTCGTAATCCGCGCATTTCCATGTGACACGCGCTATGTCCTCAATTATCAGTTTAACTCTTGCCATTGCCACTAGCAGCTCGTCGCCAAAGTATTCTGGCTCTGCCGCTAGCTTCTCCAGACAGACATCCATGTGAGAGGTCCATCGCACGACATCGATTCTTAAGAAATTCGATATACTGCCGAGGGTGTAAGTCGTTAAAAAGCAATTCTACGATATATGGTCTTACCTCGAGCACATCACAAAGGTACCAATGACAGCACGCCGTTGCTCGTTGGTCTGCGGGGCGCGCGGCGGTAGTGTGTTGGGAAACCAGCAGCTGTTATTTGAGTTGACGACGAATGGTTGATCAAGACGCAAGTCCTGAACGAGAGAATTGGCTAGGTTGGCAAAACGTGTCTGGAAACCCCTCCCACGCGTCTGATGAGTAGCCCTGCTAGAGTTAGCACCCATAGAATTTTGATGACATGGACTGGGTATTATACACGTACCACCCAAGATAGACCATCAAGCCCAACAGCAGATCTATATCACGCTCGAGATCTACGAAAACTCTCTGCGCAAGGACTTCTCTCACTTTGTTGCCATACGCGCACAACCGCGAAGCTGACCTTTCACAGACTGTCCTAATGTTCAACCAGAGGAAAGGCCGAAGTTGTTTCAGCTCTAATGCTGTCGTATCCGCTGTTATCCATACGAATGGAAACATCGTCAAGTAGTCATTTCGAAACCTTTGGAGGATGCTCTCGGCCTCGAATGGTGATAAATCATCCTCGATACCTGCTGTGCCTGACTCAGAAGCAACTTGTGATGCCGAGCTTAAAATACCAGTAGAGGGACTCGGATACGCGCCGGCTGATGCGAGTGCATCACTTGGTGCCTGAGCTTGAACTTGGACTGTGGGTATCGAATTACTGCTTTGTGGTGTCGGCGAGCCCTTTGAGCCGGATTGCTGTGACCGGAGAATCTCGACCAGATCATTCAAACGATCCTCCAACTGAGATGTTCTTGAACCAATGTCAGGCTTCCTCGCAGTACGCTTTCTCACGCCTTCCGAAAGGCGGCATTCCATCCCTCGTCGATGGCATCTTAGAGCCAATCAGCTATGCCACAATTGAGGACGATTGGGCATATAGTTACCGTTCGCAAGTGCCATTGCCACGGGAGACGCACTTGCATTTGGCCTTGGCGCAACCGCTGCACGCCTGACCATATGGGGCTGATAGGCCAACGATGGGCTGCCCTCTTTCACACTCCATCGCCCCAGTGACGATCTAGTTGCAATGCTTCCGGAGTTTACTCAATATCCGATATCCGGCCAGAAATACAGCGGATACATACTAGACATTATGAAACCCGGGAAAGTCGTCTCGACGAGAAGTCCTTTGGTGTTATGGCGGATTCCAGCTTACGGCTTGCCGGAATTCCGTGATAGCTGAGCATTTGCGGGGATTACGGCATTCCGAAATCCGACTTGTTCTGCGCTATAATGAAGCGTATTGTATCGCAGGCAGCAATGTTCCAATGTACATTTCGACATCGCAAGTTGACAAAGAGCCGTCAACCTAAAGAATGTAAGCTGATGAACGATTTATTCTAGATGCCACATTGCCCCAGCACATCCCTTTCGTGTACCTGAGTCACCTACACATCCGTCGAGCGTCGCACAACAAAAGCTCCGCCGCTAGTTTGACTGCAAAAATGAACTGTTGCGCAGAGAAGGCAAGCAGTTAGGTGTTCTACGAGCTGCTCCTTGAGACAATTTGAATGGTGGCTCCGTGATCCCATTATTTTTAGACTCTGTGTATTCTCTTTAGCTAGGCAGCTTTTATCCTTGAGCGATGGTGAAACTACCTTGAATCGCTGTTCACTATTTGTTGCACCTGGCGTTCCTCTTCGGGCTTAAAAGATACTGCGGGTCCCCTAAACTCCGTCAGCCATGCTGACTGGCTTGAATTATGTGTCTATAATGTTCGATGATCCCATGCAGCTACACGGCACCTCGTACGAACAACGCACAAGGGTTACAGGAAAGAATTTTGATATCGAACCATGGTATTCCCAAGCCAGGCGTGTTTGACTTGCAAAAACCGCCGCATCAAGGTAACCATCAATTGTAAAGTATCAGTTCCTTGACTGAAGTCTCTAGTGCGACGCCGCTAGACCTGCCTGTAGCCGCTGCAGCAAGGCAGACCGGCGCTGCGTCTGGTCCAATGCAACCAGAGCGGGCGGTTTGGTGTTCAAATGCGAGAACGCACATGCTGAGGGTGAAGCGAGACGCCCACGCAAAGCGCCGTCTGTCGCTCCTCGGGGTCTTCCAGCTGTACAGATCCCGGGCGCATTGCGCGAGTCAATTGATACTCATGCACTCAACTTTTGGGTCCGGAACTGGACAGATCGACCCAGTGACATTCCGGACATCGGACACGAATATCTCACCTACATTCCAAGTCATTGGGAAACATGTCACACGGGCTCGAGTCTTCGGCTAGCCGTGTCTGCCCAATCGTTAATGGTCTTTGGGCGGCTGCATAATGTCCGCCAAGCAATGGCAGAAGCAGGCAAATACTATGCCCAGGCGATACGGAAGACACAATCCGACATTCAGACTCTGGCCCATGCCGATATCGACGAACTTGTGCTTGCGACTATGCTGATGACACACTACGAGGCACGTTCAAGAGGCCTTCACAGCCCAGTACTCATTGCTGACATGCAAATAGACAACCACGTACAACCATCGGATTAAGTCAACGAATTCCCATTCCGATGTCGCTGATGATGGGGCAGGCTCTCGTTATTGGAAGCATGTCTGTCACTACCTGGGAACAGCAGGGATTTTGAAGACCATGAAAACAGCAGGAGGACAGTATTCGTTGAATTTGCCCCTATATCGGGCTGTTCGGCGACCAATCGTACGTCGAACAATGCGCATATGTCCAGTGTTCTTGATCCTTTGAACAAGCGAACTGATAGGGGACGACTAGGTCCGAGCAGCCATTCTCCGTGGCATGCCTGTTCAACATTGGCTTCAGGATGCTGCGGCGTTCGGGGAAGAAGGTCCTGCATTACAGTTAGACTCATTGATGATTCGTATTGCGGAACTTCGAGTGACGGCATCAAGTTTGTTGCATTCAGTGCCACACAGTACACCATCTGTTGAAACGTTGGTGGCTCTGTTGGCCAGGAGTCTAGAACTAGATTCTGATCTCTCAGCGTGGCCACACAAGATCGCTAAGGACTTTGAATACTCAGTTCTTCCATTGCCCCAAAAAGGCAAAGGCATGCCACCCTTTTGCGGCAATATCGCCCACAACTATCGATCGTATAGCCATGCATCCGTTTGGAACAGGTATCGTGCTGTTCGCATGATTTCCAATAGCTTGGTCTTGCAAGTTATAGACGCCATTTCGAGTCTTATGATCGTGGCGCCAGCTACCATTGTTCAGTCACGGGCATCCCTAAACACAATCCGTCGTCTGGCAAGCGATATTTGCCAGTCTCTTCCATACTACTTCAACTTTGGATATCCGACGAGTGACAACATGATACCAAAGGTCCTCACCCCGCTATCTTGGCCCTTGGCCGTGGCCATCAGCATCAAGGGTGTACCTGACAACGAGATGTATTGGTTCAAATATACACTGCAAGCTGTTGCAGGAGCCCTGAGTGATAGCGTGCTGGAAAACATTGCGCAAGGACAGGTGTTCAAATTCTGATATATCCAGTGCTACAAATATATAGTACCACGGAATAATTTGGGATTTCTCATTGATCCTATAAACGTCTTTAATTTATAAGCTAATAATATCATTAGCAGTTAAATATTCTATAGAAATTATTACGCAAAACTTATTTATAAGTACTTATAAGCAAAATATGAAAGAAACTATAATTTTGCAATTTATTTTAACTTTATGTAGGGTGATTAAATACAATAGGTTTTGGTGTGATTCTGGGGTTGGTGACCAGACAAAATTCCAATCATTTTATATAAAACCACCAAAGAATACAAGCAAGACTATGAACTAATATACACCTACCTAGGCAGATTTCGTCTGAATTCTGAGACTCGAAAATCGTTCAATCATGTCCAACGACCGGTCGAGGGACATATGGCTCCTCCAGATACTTGACCTCGTCTTCAATCAAAAACTTGTCGCGCATTTCGCAGGCTTCTTGAATCCTTTCGACCGAGTTCAAGCCCACACTCGGGACTGATCCCTTGCTCTTATGCCAAGCTAAAGCGACATGCGTCATCTTCCAGCCCTTCTTCTCCGCGATTTTCTCGGTTCTTCTGATAATCTCTTCGTCTTCCCCCGTCACGCCAGGGTGGTGTCCCGATGGCTTTTTTGACCTGAGCGACTTGTCCCACCCAAACGGGCGCGCCAGACGTCCGGCATACAGAGGCGACCAGGGCATGATGCCGACTCCCGTCTCGTTGCAGAACCTGATCATCTCCCGCTCCTCCTCGCGGTAGCAGAGGTTATAGTAGTTCTGCATGCTGACGAACTTGGTCCAGCCATTCTTCTCGGCAACGAACTGCAGCCGTGCGAACTGGGTAGCCCACATCGAACTTGCTCCGATGTAGCGCACCTTGCCGGATTTCACGAGGTCGTGCAGGGCCTCCATTGTTTCTTCGGGCGGGGTATCATGGTCATACCGGTGGATCTGGAAGACGTCTATGTACGTGGTTCCGAGGCGAGCAAGAGAAGCCTCCACAGCTGTGAAGATGGCGCTGCGTGAGAGACCTAGCATGGATGGTCAGAACCTCATTATCTGATATATGATGCCTTATGCTCGTATTTGACTTACCTCCTTGGTTGATATAGTCCTTGCTCTTGTTCAGCACCTCCGGATACGCATTACCGATGACGTTCAGCTCCTCGCCGACATGGTGGTAGCATTTGGTCATGATCACGATTTTATGGCGGGGGATGTCGAACTTTTTGATTGCCTTTCCGATGATCTGCTCGCCCAGGCCGCTGCAATAGGTGCCCGCAGTGTCCCACGTGTTGATGCCACAGTCGTATGCTGCCTTGAGGATATCAAGGGACGGCTCCTCGTCTAGTGCCCACGGTATGATCTGAGATGACCCCATGGCCATGGTACCTAGAATAGGCCATGAAACCTTCAAGCCTGAAGACCCGAGTCGCACGTAGTTGACCTTGGTGGCCTCCACGGACTTAGCGACAGATGGTGGGATGGGAATGCCGTACTTTGACATGTTAACTCGAGTGCGAATGATGATATGCTACGGAGATAAAGGAACGAGGATGGTGTTTTAAGCTGTCCGAGGGAAGTCAATGGTGTGTGGTGCTGTGGTGATGTCTGCAAGTCTTTGGGATCGAGACATTCTGTCGGCTTATATCTTCAGGAAAATGTATGGGGATATCATTCCCCTCTCTGCCATACCACATTGAGCAATTGCTTTTCGGTCCAAACTGGACTTAAGCCCACAAAAACTCCGAAAGATTCCCTTTACTTTCCTTTATCTGAGGCTGAGTGTTGTCATGATCCGCTGGAGTAGTGCAAAACTATAACTCCACACCTCGCGGGTTTGTCTAGAAAGGGGATAGCGCATGTAATGTATACTGTTGGCGTTGTTGAGGTTAAGATTGATTGGCTGTGTTTGTGGGGCTGACAGAGACGCGTGTGGTTTGCGGTACCAATGGACAAGCTTACTTGTTCATGCCCAAGCCGGTCAAAATGAGATTACTACAGATTGAGTGTATATTTTCTATAATCTGAGTCATGATTGCCATGCCACTCACTAAACTAGTGGACTCATACCAGGCTGTCGCACTTTAAATGGATGCCGAGTGGGGCATTAACACCGTGAAGTACATGTATGTGATCGGATATTAGCTTCCCTGTAGTACACAAGATAACGAACGAAAAGTTATTCGTTCAAATTGGCTTGAATGCGGTGAGGTTTTCGGAAAAATAAGCGCGTGTCCACATGTGCAAGCAAGCAGTCATTGGTTCAGTCGTCTGGTTAAACATATCGAATATTTCATTGCAAAGACACGTTCTTGCCGCACACAGGGCTTCCATCTTTGGCGTTGATTAGTTGATGATGCTATCCTAATTCGTGTTTACTGTGTGTGTGTGCTGTGTTTATTTTAGAACAGAGAACAAGTTCTGGATATAAAAAAGGTCAAAAACCTCACTACTAGGATCGAGCCCAGTAGCTATGAAAAACCCTGTCCATTAGGTAGATTTTTCCGCACAGACAACGCCCTTACACGCTGACCCTATAAGCTAGCAAGCCAGCTTTGGGCAAGAACCAGCGCCACTGAGAAAGAATTGCCTTCTTAGAATTTATAATAGTAACTGGACCCGCTCTTGGCATCTTTGCTATTGCAGCTCGGCTACCTTGGGTTGAAACAGGACGTTGACTCCTCATCCTAACTCCTCATCCCGCCATAGTTTCATCTCTTGTTAGTGACCTGGCAATATAGGCCCTATAACATTTGCTCTCAGTCCATTCATCATACAGCCATGACCACCTCCCAGAAGCTATTCATGCAAGCATGTGACGGCATTTGCAAGCGTGCCACCGCAGGCGGTAAGGGTTCAGAATTCCCCAAGGAAGTCAAATCACTCTTCAAAGGGAATGGTCGAGAATATCAAGGAGAGCAGCGTGGAAGATACGGCGCAGCTAGGTATACTACGATCTATGCTTGTGGCGAACCTGTGCCAACGCTTTGGTAGGTCATACAACGTCATTCTACTTTGATATTTCGAGGGGTTGATCTAGACGTATGTCGATATGAATACCCGTACCATCCGGGCTTACTGACCGAATCTGGGACAGAAATCGACCCAATGGAGTTGCCATACCTGTGCCAAGACGACGACAACGCCAAGCAATCCATCCACTGGCCGACCTATTTCTATATTGCTACCTCAAACTTTCGTTCTGAGAAGATAATCATCTACTTACTAATGAACAATTGAGAATATAGTCCCCGGATGACATATCCTGAACTCTTCGAACGCATGAAGAGAGACTGACTCGTGAAGGGCGAGCCGACAAATTGCAGATTGTCGTCATGAAGAAGTTGGGCTCGCTTATCAGGAACAAGAAGTTCGTCTCCCAGGAGAAGTCCATGAATTAGTTCCGATTCCGCCTTTGCGTCGCCGTCTACAACGACCTCTGGCCTACTAGTGCATTCTATCCGGCATTCTACCCCATGTACGCGACGGTCTGAGCTTGGATGCAAGTGATGAGTATTAGGCTAGCCGATTCGTCGAGCCTCACAATGCGGACACTACCAGTATAATTGGCCATGAGCAGGAGGTCCGTCATCGTGTTGAAGACAAGAGTCTGAACGGCGATGTCAAAGAGCGTTGAGCTGATCTCAGACGACATGGCCACAAATTCATGGGGTAGAAAGAAGCGTTTGAAACTCAGGACAAGATCTATTAAAATACTACTACCTATGAATACTGTTAAACTATGGCAATATAGACATAATATCTATATGATCTAGGATGGGAAAAACAGGACGAAACCCCAGAAACTCATAAACCCAGTCTATGATCGTTCGTGAGAGTTGACACGCTTGACACATATATCCCTCCTTATCCTCTGATCACAGAATTCGCAGCTCCATTCATATACGATCCAAGACCCGCGGCGGAACGACGGTCGACGTAACCAGGCGCATCGATCTCGAGCGTCTTCGCCTCCTCTAAACACTCCATCACCACATCATAGAGCTGGCCCGATCGTATAGCCTCATATACCACAGTGCTGTACGCGCCGACGCTAGGCGCTAGCCCATCTTCATCGTCCTCCAGCTGCCCGTTGACACGACCCTCTGTCAGGAACGGCACTCCCAGTTCGTTCCTGACATACCGGTACACCCTGCCGGCCGCCCGGCCCAGGTATGGACTCGCGTCCAGCACCCCGTCCTTCTCGCCGACGGGGCTCTCCTTGCCGAGCATATCCCGGGCCCGGAGATCCAGCGCCTGGCACAGTGCCACGAGATGCGCCGCCGCGAGCTGGCTCAGGACGTCGACGGCGTCGAGGGTGTACCGGACGCTAACGAGGGCCAGGCTGTTGATGCCCTGGTTGCCCATCTCGGCGGTCTGGACATGGCTGCCGACGGGGTTGGCGAGGAAGCCCAGCTCGCTGGTAAGGGCCGCGGCCATGATGTCGGTGCCCTTGAAGAGATAGCTGCGCTCCGGGTCGTCGGCGACTAGGTTCGCCGGTAGGCCGCGGTTCGTGGCCGGGTTGACGAGCTCCGTCAGCTGCGAGAAGAGCATGCGCCCGAGGCTCTGGAGGCCCTGTCGCAGCTTCTCCGCCGCCGACGTCACCGCCTTGGCCTGGAAGTTGCCTCCGTGCAGGACCCGGTCCGCCGCGGCGTCGATCAGCGGGTTGTCCGTTACCGAGTTGAGCTCCGTGGTGATCTGGGCGTGCGCGAGCGCGAAGTCCTCGAGCACGGGGCCGACCCACTGGCTCGCGGTGCGGACCGAGTAGCGGTCCTGGCGCAGCTCACCGGCTGCCTGCACGTTGGTCTGGGCCTGGGCCTGGGTCAGCGCGAGCCGTGAGCCCGACAGGAAGGCCAGTATGTTCCGCGCGCTGTCGGCCTGGCCCGGGTGCGGCCGCACACGTGCGATGAAAGGGTCGAACGACTCGTCCGTTCCCAGGAGCGCCTCAACGCTCATGGCCGTCAGCACCTGCGACAGCGCCGCGAGGTTCAGTGACTCGTGCAGAGCCAGTGCGGCCACGCCCGCAGAGACGGCGGTCCCGTTTACGATGGCGAGTCCCTCTTTGGGGCGGACGGAGGTGGGCTCGATGTCGGCCTCCTCTAGTGCCACGTCGGCACGCACGAGGCGTCTATCCCGGTCCCGGGGTCCGCAATATGCGGAGGCGTATTTCTTGCCTTGGAGAACCGCCCCGATGTAGGATAGGGGTTGCAGGTCGCCAGATGCGGAGATGCTGCCGCGGAGTGGCACGAGCGGTACGATGTCCTTGTTGAGCATCTGCAACAGGCCATCGGTGATACGGAGGCGGACTCCTGATGCGCCCGCTGCGAGTGAATTGAGGCGTACCAGCATCGAGGCACGAACCCATGACTCTGGCATCGTCGTAGTGGACGTTTGAGTCACAGGCAGAGCCTGTGTGATTTTGTGACCGTTGATCTTTAAGTGGCCATTAGTCTGTTCGTGGGCCCGGCCGTTGACTACAGACTTTGAGACGTCCGCATGAGGCTGGAGCTTTGGTTCCCCACCCGCTGTGATACCAGCCATGAGGAGATGAAAGAGGCTCTGCTGTAGCTCATCGACGGCTCCGGTCCTGGTGTCAGCACTGCCGCCGAACCCTGTATTGACACCATAGATGACCTCGCCCAGGGCGATCTTCTGTTGTATAATATTGCTGCACTTTTCAACAGCGTTCTCTGCTTCGCGGGTTAGACTGACTTGAGTAAGGTGACGTGACACTGCTACGACATCTGCGATGTTCAAATCGTAACTCGAGATTGAGATTGTTCGCTCAGAGGACTTGGTGTCAGCCCAATGCGCAAGCATTAGCTCTGAGAATATAGAATTTGATGGAGACATGACAATGTGGTCGTGATAATTGACACACCCGGTTTTAAATTTAGTTGTCCTTTTTAGCCACAGAGAGAGGTCGTTGAATTGGGAGCAACGACGTAGTTACTGCCCAGATGCTTTGCGATATGCTCTCAAAAGTATAAAGTTCTCAACTCTTCCCCGCTGACTCTCACACCAGCGATTGTCCCATACACCTCTATCATCGAGGAGCAGGTATGGTTTTCGCCAGAGCAAAACCAGAAAGCCTTCCAGCACTGCTCTTTACCCCCAGACCTAGCACCCGGCATAATCAGCTGGTCTTGACGTTCATTCCTGCGTAAGCAGCCATATGCATAATGATAAGGGTTTCTGACTAAGACGAGGCTGTAGCAAAGCACACTGTCACGATTGACAACTGAGGCCCAGCCATCTTGAACATGAGAGAATGATGATTGGAGTGATTCGCGAGAGCCGAGACGTATTGCAATTCCAATGATAACCCTGCATTATGCAAGAGAAAGTGACGTGGTTAGCAGATTCGTTGTTACTGTGCAGCATACTCTTTCGGGTAGATGCTTGAATTTGTGGCCAATCGTGCAAGTTGGTCTGCGTTTGTTACCAACTTTATACTAGGTTAGGTAATCAATAGGAAGGCGACCATGTATTGGTCCGTGCCCTCTTCCGGTCTTCCCAGGATTGACACATTTAACCTTGATATATGTATTTGGAACTTTGTGTATCACCTTGTGTTGAATGTGGGGGACCGTGGAGGGGACGCATTGAGCTCGCATTTTGATGGGACCGAGATTTGGTGGGTTGGCGGTACAGCCGGGCGGCGTGATCTGTTTACCACTTTTGTCACGTTACACTTGGTCAGATAGCAAACAAGCAGAAGCCTAGATTTTGCGCGCGAAAGCATAAGAGCAGATTTGCTCTTCGGTATCAATTAACGCCACCAATGGGCCCCACAGATCCATCAACGCCGTTTTCCATGCAAGACTCGCTCATCAAATCGAACCTACGATCCGTCTACCTGTCCAATGTACAGTGGAGACCTTCGAACTTAACCAATAAGGCGCGAAACATGCCATACTGCCCACGGCGAGTTTAGCTAGTTAGCCAGACTGCCGCTTGCACCATAGCTCGTAGTACATTGCCCATCGGATGGTTACAAGTCACTCCTTGTTCCTTTTCTTGTTCCTTTTCATGTTCTTTTTCTTGTTCTTGTTTTTACCCTCCTTCCTCTCCAACCTTTGCGATACAGGCGAGCTCTAGTTGCTAGTAGGGAATTTGGGGGGAGGGATTGGAGTAGAACTAATAGGCTTGGGAGTGCCATCGGTGGCCTTGCCCTTTTCAGCCTTCTTCGACCTCTCTTTCTTCGCCTTGGCAGAATCGACGACCTTGGATGGTGTACCGCTAGCAGCAGCAGACAAGGCCGATGCCGAACGGCCGAGACTAGGGGGCGGAATGGGTGTGGCAGTGACTAGTCGTCCTTGCGACTTCTTGGAAGCCTGAGAGCCAGGAACCGCAATGTTCTCCGATTGTACGGCGGGAGCAGGAGCATTTGCCTTGGGCTTTGCAAGAACCTTCTGGGACTGCTTCTTGGACTTTTCGGGAGACTTTGTCTTCTTCTTGGGAGGCGCCTCGTCGTCAGACTCGCTACTGCTAGTGTCACTGGCTGAGCTGGAGGAATCCGCCGGCTGCTTCCGCTTGGCACTGGCATCAGCCTTGTTGGTCAGAACCGAAGGTGGCAATGCGGCAGCATCTGTCATCTCAACGTCGGAGTCTGAGGAGCTCGAGTCAGAGTCTGACTTGTCGGTGGGCTTGCTCAATGGGACCTGGGGCTTCTGTGCAGGAAGGGGAGAAGGCTTCTGTGAAGGTACACCAATTGGGGTAAAACGGGGCTTCAAGTTTTTAGGCTGCTCTCTGGCAGGTCTCTGCTTGCGCACATACTGATCAGTTGCAGTAGAACTGATCTTGCTCGCGCCGCCAAACTCAGCAATACGGCGGAGGTGCACGACGGAGTCAATGGGTCGGTTCACTAGTGTCCCAATTAGTCAATGCATATGTTTCCTTTATGAATCATGAACTCACAAGAATTGTACTTGTCTCCGCCCTTGGATGGGATCAGTAGCTGGATCTGACTGCTGGTGGTGTAGGGCTCCAGATCCAAACCGTAGGCATCGCCTCCGTGGTTGAGAATAGCACCACCAGACTGAGCCTTTGCCAGATCAATCTCCATGTCCTTGATGACGGTGATGGGAAGGGAGGCTGGAGCAGTGAAATACCACACCTGCTTGCCTTGCAGGTTCGACTTGCTTAGAAACTCCGAGACTTCCTTGCCAGGGTTGTCGGTGGCAGCTTTTCGGAGCATGAAGTCAGACTTGTTGAGCCACTCGGGACGGCTACTGCGGTGGCACGATTAGTATGATGAGGAAACGAGCCTCTCAGATAGGTAGAATGGACTTACACATCAGTAGCCTGCGACACGTCAGCGGTTCTAGCAACAGCTTTAGACTGGTCCTCGCTCTCGCTTTCTGATTCCGAGTCGCTGGTAGCTTCGTCGGCGGCCACAGACTTCTTGGGAGGGATGGCGGCGTTGGTCTTCTTGGCCTTGTCTGCGATGACGTCGGCGACTGATGCAAGCTTGGTTTCAGCTCCAGTGTCGCTATCGCTGTCGCTGTCGCTCTCACTGCCGCTAGAGCTGGAGCTGGAGCTATCCTCGCCGCTGCTGGCCTTCAGGGCGGGCGTCTCCTTCTGAGCGGCCTTGGGAGTCGGTTTGGACGTTTTGGCGCCAGGCTCAGACTCAGACTCGGAGTCGGAGCTGGAGGTGGAGTCGTCATCTGAGCTGGAGCTGGCTACAGGCTTCTTTGCACTGGCAGGCGCAGGTGCAGGAGCAGGAGTTTTGGCAGGGTTGCCATTTGACTGAGGCTTGGCGGTAGCAGCTTTCTTTGCTGCGTTCTTGGCTTGGAGCTTCTTCTTTGCAGCTTCCAGGGTGTCTTCGGAGTCGCTGCCGCTTTCGTTTTCGCTGTCGCTGCTGCTGTCGGAGCTGCTCGTGTCGGAGTCCTGCACGCGGGCGGCACTCTTGAAGGTCGAGGCACCCGGCAAGGTGGAAGACTTGGTGGCCTTCTCCTTGATGTTCTTGGCCATGGCGGAGAGAGAGCCGATAGACTTGCTCGGCGCCATCTTGGATGGTTGTCGTCGAGGCAATGTGCGCGTCGGGATGTGCAAGAAATAATGGAGGGGCAGGTGTGCAGCTTTTCCAAGACGTGAATGGTGTCCGCGATGGACGACTTGAGATCAAACGAAATAAGATAAAAATAAAACCGAATAAACTTTTTGGGACACTCATGTCTCACGTCCCATATCCGCTGGGCTTCCTACCATTCGCCATTTTTGATTGGTTCAACACCCCCCTCTGGCTAGAAGATCCACGCGCCAAAGAATTCCGCCCTCCCTATCAGTGGTCAATGGCGCTGCAGACCCGCTAAAAAGTTGGAAAGCAAAGTCCTAAAGTGCTGCTAGCAACGCGACAACGTTGGCAATGGGCATTTTTGGAAAGGCACAATTGCGGGCAAAGAGGAAAGCGAAAGCGAAAGGTCAAAGTGAACTCATGCCGGCTGAGGAACATCCATCAAAGGCTTGTGTCTCTGTGTACTGCACTGTGAGTTGACACGCTGCTACCCTGGACAATGGCTACAAACAAAAGACGGAAGATCGATGCTGCAGAGCAGCCACAAGGTAAGCCTGGTGTTTCACTGTTTTATATAACTCGCCTGTTCATATGTTAATTTAACTCAACCTCTAGCCCAGAGCGCTGTCGCCCGACTGAGGAACCTCCGCAGTCAAGCAGTGCCATCGCCATCTCCTGTGCACACGGAGAGTCCAGGCCAACAAGCACAGAGCATAGCAGCCATTGAATTTCAAGCGTCACCAACGCCTAAAACACCAAAGAAGGCACGGGCTGCAAAAACCACTTCGGCCACGCAAGAAGCATTGCCCCCAGATGACAATCTGCAACCCGAGACAGGCGGTGCAGCGACGCCATATGCACCACGGGGTGACGCCGAGTTTCTTGCAAAGAGTCCACCTCTGCAACAAACCCCGGTCGTTCAGTTTTCCAGCTTTGCCCCCAACAAAAGCAACTTCAAGAAGAAACCCGCCGGCAGGTTGCAGTTGAGACTGTCCGAAGGAGAGGTTCGTCCAGGCTACCCTACCATTCAATTCTTCAATTGCTGACCAACATAGCGTCTGGTTGTTTTGGGCAGTTACGGCATTACTGTCACAAGTGGTGAAATCACTTTCCAAGGTGCTATACTGCGGTCTGGCATCAAGACAAGATGGGTCCACGCACCACACTGCCATGCCTTACCTGTCATCAGGTGTCCAGAAGAAGCAACAATAGAACTGCAGCCATGTGCCGCCGCCCAGGGCCTGAGGCAATTAGGCAAGCTATCACCCCTCTTTCGCAAATTATGGAATGAGTCCTCAACAATGGGAGATGCTACCAGCGGAGATTCCACATTTACTATTGTGAGTGGCATAATGCTTGCGTCCCAGCATGCTCTAATTGTCTGTATAGTTGTATACCTCTGCCGACGGCCCTAGGAAGGTACTGCTTGCGGATCTGAAGTCTCCGCCGGAATGGAATCGCGAAATCGACAAGCTGCTCATGGCCTCCCGCTCCAAACCCTTGTCTGTTATCGTCACGGGCCCAAAGTCAGCGGGCAAATCCACTTTCGGCAGGCTGCTCTCTAACCAACTCTCAACTGATAGGTCGGATAAGCGGAAGACCAATTCCATTGCAGTTCTTGATCTCGACCCAGGGCAACCCGAGTATGGTCCGCCAGGCCAAATCTCACTTGTAAAGGTCGCTGTACCGAATCTGAGCCCATCATTTTGCCGGCCCCAACCAATGTCCACGACTGGCTCTGACGTCAGTGTAATACGTTCACACACGCTGGCATCTGTGTCACCCGCGTCAGATCCAGATCTCTATTTAGCAGCTGTGACTGACCTCATAACTCATTACCGTAACAGACTTGCCAGTTCTTGTCTGATTGTTAATACTCCAGGTTGGATTCAAGGGACGGGCCTAGACTTGCTCACATCTGTCATCGGATTGGTACGGCCCAGCCACGTCATCTACATGGCATCCGGCCCTCTCGACGTCATCGAAACCCTTCAAAGCAGCTTCAAGAACGGACTGCTCACTACACTCCCGTCGCAAACCACTCAATACACAACGAGAACCGCTGCACACTTGCGTACCATGCAGACCATGTCGTATTTCCATAGTGAGATCCAAGCAGGTGTGCAAATGTGGAATGTGAAACCACTATCCGCGATTCCACCTTGGCAAGTGCAATATTCAGGTCCAACGCCTGGGATACTGGGTATTATGTGTTATGACTACCAATCACCAGCCAACATTATGGCAGATGCTATCAATGGAACGATACTGGCAATGGTCGAGATTGAAAGCCTCTCCGCTATTCTTACCACATCCAATGAAGTGGACGACTCGCTAGAGGCTGGAAATATGGGCATGGACGATGATAAGGCCGATTCTCTAAATAATGTGCTTGCCGACATAGTCACACACACACCAGAGAACATTCCATTGATTCGGTCTGGGATAACCCTCGATCCGAAACATTCCCATACGATCGGTCTAGCCTTACTTCGTGGTGTTGACAAGGTTAATCAAGTCTTTCACATCTTGAGTCCCGTGCCCGACAAGCAAATCAAACAAATCTACGAAAAGGGAAACCATATTGTTCTAGTTAGTGGAAAGCTTGACCCTCCAAGCTGGGCCTACACGGAGGATTTGTACAATCAGACCTCCAATGCCAGCGAGGATACCGTTGATGAACAGATGGACATCATAGAAGAAGACGAAGCACTAGATTCAGATCACGAAACGACCAACGAAGATCTCGACTCAGCATCAATGCCGACACCATGGATCGAAGTGCTTCGTGCCAACCAGAAACGTGGCACCGGGTCTCAGGTTTGGAGAGTCCGACGAGATTTGGGCCGGAACAACGCAAACTAAGATGGACGACTTCTAAAAGCCAACGTGATAGTTCGTGCTTACTAAGAAATACTAGTGCAACCTGTGAAAAAATGACAATGTCATCGGTAGCTGAACTAAGTACCGCATACATGCGTTGTTACAGACCCCAAGCATACGGCAATCAACTCATCCTAATAAAAGGTGGCATGACGTCTCACATGCCGGTGTTGCCCAAAGGCGAATATATTGCATCTGGCCGCCCAAATCGCACCATCACTGGTTGCCGAACGAGAACCTGACAGTTTTCCCCATCAAAAGATGGTTTTTATCGCTTGTCCTTCACTCCAACGCCCAAAGCTACTGTACTTCGCTATTGTACAGTTAGAACTTTAGTAATTAAGCTGATGTACCCCATAGCAATTACGAGTAATAGTAATGAGACCCTTTCAACATATGAGGTCGCCTTGAGTGCTATATCGCAACAATGTGTAGAGCGACACGCTAGCTAGGCTAGTGCTTGCAGGCACGCCCGCGCCATTTAGTGTCTTGAGGTTATGCGTTGTAGCGCCCTGTGCCCAGAAATTCTAATGTCCCGTTGTCAACATGATAATTTAGCAAGATCCTGCGACGTGGTTACTTCAAACTAAGGGTGCTTCGACTCCATGGCAGCAATATCTCAAGGCGGTATGTTAAGTGTCGAAGAAGAGTATCGACGCGTACCCACGTCGGAGATGGCAACTGAGGCTCTGTCCTGGACAACCGAGTGACTCATTCCGGTGGTTGAACCAGCTGCAAACTACACTCGTCCCAGGGTCATAACACCCTGAGCAGACTGAACAATGTCTCGCCTTAGCGGCGAAACTCTTGACGAGTATAAATGGGGGTTTTCTTCTTCTCCAGACCTTCTTGATTCAATTTCACACGAAGGCATCTGAATAGAAAAACCCGCGGGTTAACCGCCTGTGATGGGTTCGACAATTGCGTCCGACGACGAAAACCAGTCGCTTACTATCTCTGAATTCAATCGCCTTCTCCAATGTTGTGCTAAATATAAACAGCACTCTCTTAAAACATCACGGGATGATCATATACCGCTGCTCATCTCGGGCTGTCAGACTCCCAGCATCGTCTTGCTCGGTGACTCGATGATCGAGCGGATGCAAACCACCAGGACCACACCAGGTTTACACTCGTGGCCATCAGAGACATTCCTGGATGATGCATCGCTTAAGAACTTGACTCTGACCTCTGGTGCGGAGATTGAACGCCTCCAGGGCGTCTTGAATGCCGGAGTCGGTGGCGACAAATACGAGAACATCCTTTATCGCCTTCTTGGCGATCCGGCACGTCAACTGCGTGGTCTGACGGACGTCTTGTCGCAGAACAACATTACACTCTGGGTCATACATGCCGGCACCAATAATCTGCGTTCTAAGCGTGGCCTTTCGGACGAAAGTGTTGATCTTATGCGCCTCTTGTTGCAGGCTGTGTTACGAATCTCCAAACCGGGAACAAATATTTTGGTGACGGGACTGTTCTACCGCACGGATATACTAGACCGACTTGTTAGTGATGCGAATGCGAAGCTGAAATTGTTGGTCCGATCCATGAATGGGAGGTCGGAGAAGAAAAGGATTGTGTTCGTCCCGCCGCCGACGTCGGTTGGAGGAGAGCATCTCGAGGATCACGTGCATTTGAATACGGAAGGGTACCGTTTGTGGATTGAGTATCTCCTTCCAAAGGTGTCAAGCCACTCACGATCGATTTTGGAGAACTGATAAAGCACTCAAGGCATGGCATGGCCAAATGGGAACTGAGCTGCGGCAATGAGAGCGTTAGAAGAAAACACCCTCGCACCCATGTGAAATCAGCTACGGCTGAGGATTGCCTGCTCTGCAGCTCTGTCGGGCACTCTCCGTCACAACAGAAAGCACTGTTCTGGTCAAATTATCCCATGAGTTCGCAACCAAGTTTCTATCCTCATTTAATATTTTAATGTAGCTTATTAATTAAGAGAGTTTAGAGCTAGAGCAGGGGTGCCCGCGACAGCACCGTACTATAAATCGGTTGTTAATGGCCAAACGCTATAGATTATGGCATAAAATAGCTGAAACTCCAAAGAAGTGCTACCAGAAAGTGTTGATATCTCCCTACGCAAAAGCAGGAGGAAGAAAAGTGCCTCAAGCCCAGCTACCTCCAAACACATCAAATAAGCACTGGAGCTCCCGCCTCGGAGCCTCACGACGGACAGTAATTTCTTAACAGTCGTGTAAGCCGCTTTAGCTGGTTCGACAGATTTTACCTTTAGTGCGTGAGGGGTTCCCGTTTCAACCTGTTTTATGAAAAAAAAAAAAAAAAAAAAAAAAAAAAAACTAGTACTCTTATACAAATATGGAGCGTGGGTCCTCGAAGGCCCGAGCCTGAGATGTACGAACCCCGGAAATAGAAGGTCTTGAACCGGGCGGAACGGCGCTGGGCAAGTTTATAACGTTCATTTGGAACGTGGTGAAGCCGCAGCCTTATGGGACGCACAACGAGGTATGCTTCTGCGGCAAGAGCCAAAACAATAGACACACAACCGTGCCCCGTTTTGATCCAAGCACACTGATGATCGAGCTGACATGCTACATTGGGGGAAGGCTTACGATGCGGAAAAGGTAGGACATTCTGCATAGTCGCTCCGAACCGAACTACTCGAAAAGGTCATATACAATGCGCATATTTCGACCATCTGTGTAACGCAATAACTAGTGCAAGCAATCGGCCTGCCGCCCGAACTACTGTCTCGCTCCAACCAAAAGTTTGCGTATGCGAGAATTAGCGCCGCGATTAGAAATAAGTTCCAAATTACACAACCAATTAATCATATTATGCGTAGGCCAACACTGTCATTGCTCTCATCTGGTTGGTTCAACGGCTTTGTGTTTTTCTTTTCTCAGTAGACCAGCAATGGGCTATAGCCTACCTGTTCCCTATCATCCCCAATTTCGGTGCTTTAAGATATGGTCACTGGTCTCTGCAATCAGCACTTTGCTGACCTCATGATGACTACTGGTAGCCTGAACTTCCAACGGCTTTGGTAATTACAAGGTTTAGTACACCTTTCTACTTTTGGTGCTGGTTGGCAGCTCATGGGTGACGTATCTAGCGAGTCATCCGTCACGAGACCAATAATTCTGAGGAGGCCGTGGCGGGCGAGGGTAAGGCCTTTGGAACCTCAAGACCGACAAGGGTATCGTGATTCGAGAGACGAGCACATCGACGGGCCAGGCCTGGACATTCATATTGATTCGCCTCTAATTATTCTACAGTGTCACTATGAAGAGTGAAACACAAAAGTGACACGCAATCAAGCGGTCTTCCTCACAGACACCATATCCCTTGAACAAACAAAAGTGGCTAAATCACGCACCAAGTTAGGACAAACCCAATCTGGCGCTCACTTGCAAGTAAAAGTCGACGCCATGTACGCACACTCATAAGTTATTAGGCCCGGGCAATGATCTCTCACGTAGTTACTCTTGCCGTCGCCATACGACTTGTTCCCGTATCGGAAGACGATATTGATCTTGTCCTTGTCGGTAGTCTCCGTCACGTTCTGGATCTTCACTTCTTGATCCAAACCTTCGAAGCTTAGATTGTCACCAGCGCTGACCCCCCACGGATCTTGGGCATGTAGGGTCTTGCAGGTTGCGTTGTAGACCCAGAAGACGCATTCCAGAGAGTCCATGTTGGAAGTATCGCATTTGTAGGAGCCTGTGCATAAGTTGGGATCATCTTGGTTCACGCAAAATGAGTTGTTGGCAGTGTTGACGACGTCATAGGCGTTGCCACTGTAGGAAGGCATGGCAGATGTCACGGGTGAGAGGAGGATGACGACGACGACGAGCAGAGAGAGAAGACGGCTCTGAAGAGTAGCTCTCATGATGTCCATTTGGCAGATGACCAAATATGCGAGCTTCTTGAAGATAGTAAGATTGAAATTTTGGAAAAGCTGGCTCGCGTCCAATCACTTTCTCGGGGCAGAGATCACTGTTGGCGAGCTGGCTATATAGGGTCTTGAGAAGCACACTGCTCATTTGTTTGCGTTGCACCGTGGCAGATTAGACGCGACGATTCCCAGTCGTACGAAGACAAGTCTCACACGAATTTGCCTCATCGTGTGCCAGAGCATAACTGCCATTGGATTGCTGGACTAGGGTGCGTTCGTGGGTGTTTCTTCGCACGTGGTTGCATGTTTCATCAGACGGCGGTCCCGACTGTGATTTTGGTGGTTCGAGGCCACGTGCTGAACAACGAACTGAAGAAACCGCAGTGTCAGGCTTTGCAGTATTAAAGGATTCATCTTGGTACATAATAGCTGGAATAGAAATAGGCGACTGGTCAGAACGACAGTGCCATTCAACAGGAGCTGACGATCCAAGGGCGCACGGTTTCTTTACAGCGCTCGAGAAACGCATTTGGGGTGGGCTTGAAAGTGTTGCGTGCAATGGGTTTGTCCCGTCACCAATATATCATGGGAATTTCTTTGATACGTCAGCGAGTGCACATCTCTCACGACTTGGTCTCAACAATGCTGCTGGCCCAGCGTTTGTCAGCGTGGGGGGATGAACGGGTAAGATACAGTCCATCTCAAACTCCAACAATACTGGATTGAGACAGTATTGGAAACACGAAGGCGCACTCGAAATATGAAAGTGATTGTTGCCAAAACGTAAATGACTTTGAATTTGTTGGAAATGGCTACCATGCTCACAACTGTTGGCGGAATATTTCCGATTGATTGACGTTACGTAATACGCAGTGAATCTCAACTTGGGATCCTGAACACACTTATTCCAGCGAAACACCAACATACCGAGGCACGTCTTGCTGAGGCCATGACCGATTATGGCTCCGTCATGCGAACACAAGAACTGCCAAAACATTCAATGCTGGATGATGGCGCCGCAGAAGCGCAAGCAGCCCCATGATGTGCCGCCGCCAGCTCCCACCACCACCATGTCCGAGACTGCCCCGCGACGAGCGACGCGACAGGCCGTCGCAGCAACGGCAGAATCCAGCACCGAGCCAGAAAGGCAGCGCAGAAGCGGTCGTATACGCGCCAATACACTGGAGGACCCTCAGCACAACATAACGAGCTTGGACACCCCCGAGGCGAAGCGTAATGACGCGTCCAAGAGCAACAGCAGCAGCAGCAACAACAACAGCCGGGCCGGGCCTGCCCCACCATCAAAGTTGACCAGGAGGACAGCGACAGCGACAGCAACAACGACAACGACAACGAGAGGACAGACGGCGGAATCAGAGACACACGCACGATACGAACCAGAACCAGGCCCATCCATAGTGGTAAAGACCGACAAGAAGCGAGCGACGCCGTCGCAGCCGAGCACAAGGCAAATTGCCGTGCCACCGCCCGTGACACAAACACCGTCACCCACGGCACCGAAGACGGCGAAGAAGGTCCACGTTCAAGCAAACACATCGCGGCCACGGTCCTATGTGCCACAGCCCAGACCGCCTGCGCAAGCATATCCACAAGCGCCAGCGAGCAGCTTGATTGACCCGGCCAGTGCTTCCACTATTACGCCGAAACGCCGAGCGTCTGCTGTCGCAATTGCGAAGACGCCAGGGACGCCGCACACAGACCGCAACATTGACAAGGTCGTGTTGGGCAATATCTGTTTCAAGACATGGTTTCCGTCATATTACAGTAAAGAGGTGCTGGGCGAGGGCTCAGGCAACTTTGGTGCCAAGGACCACCATGGGGGAGCAAAGATGGGAGGCGGCAAGAAGGAGAAGGAGGCCATGCTGGACAGGCTGCATGTGTGCCCCTCATGCTTCAAGTATTCCAAGGAGCTGCTATCCTGGACGGGACACATGAGGTATTGTCAGAGTAGAGCATACGTACCAGGCACGAAGGTGTATACACATCCCAAGGGCTCAACTCTAGCAAAACGCCATGCAACGAAAAGTGAGGTGCCTGCTAATGATCCCGAGGGCGAATGGAGTGTGTGGGAAGTTGACGGAGAGCGCGACGTGGTGAGTACTCCCGGCAAAGGGCTTCCTGGGGCCGTGGCTAACGACTACAGTTGTTTTGTCAAAACCTTTCCTTATTTGCAAAGTTCTTTCTAGACAACAAGTCAGTGTTCTTCGACGTTACGGGTTTCACATACTTCTTGCTCGTCTACACCCCACCGCCGGGTCCAACCGGCAAAGGCGCCGCTCCAAGCATTTGTGGGTTCTTCTCGAAAGAAAAGATGTCATGGGACAATAACAATCTCGCATGTATTCTCGTCTTCCCTCCTTGGCAACGGAAAGGCCTGGGCGCTCTGCTCATGGGCGTTTCCTACGAGATCTCCAAGCGCGAGGGCGTCATCGGGGGTCCGGAGAAACCCATATCAGAGCTTGGTCGCAGGGGCTATAAGAGGTACTGGGCCGGCGAGATCGCAAGATGGCTTCTCAGCGTAGAGCCCAAGGATAAGAGCAGCAGTAAGAACGAGGAGTTGTTAGTCGACATTGAGGATTGTAGCAAGGCGACGTGGATAGTGCAGGAGGACTGCCTTGCGATACTAAGAGAGATGGACCTGGTGGAGGAGGCAGGAATGGGACCACCGAAGCCGAAAGAGCCCGAAGAAGGCGAGGACCAAGAGATGGCGGAGCCAGAGGTAGTTGATGTTCCTCGTGTCAGAATTGATAAAGAGGCCGTGCGGCGCTGGGTCCGAGACAATAGGATTGACCTTGAGAGGGTATGTGATCCCGATGGGTTTGTGGAAGGATATGCGATGAAGAAGGATGAGGTTGAAGAGGAGGAATAGAAGCTGAGTCGCATCTGATACCAAACAAAGAATATCTCAAGCACAAACTCCTGTATTGCGCGATCACTCTATTGTCCTTGAAGAGCTGGCCTGAGGACGCGACTGGAGCAGCTATCTCGTTGTTTATCTTAAGTCGAAGAATTTTGCCATTATTGGGGAGATATTCCGTTGTAACGAGCGGCCTTGCTCTCTTAAGTATGTCATCTTCAAGGTCGGTTTCTGTTCAATATGTGAGCTTAATCTCGGGTACGGCGTACTTCCGCTCATATATTTTCCGATACATTCTCAGATCGCCATAGTCTCAAAGTCTTCGGTCTTTACTGTCGTCCCATCCGCTATCGGCAATCTCTAAGAAACAACGTTCTCAGCAAAATTTTCATGAATACCCGGTCTTGGTGGCGATCTCGGCGTTCGTTTGTAACTTCAATAATTTCGAAGTCACGAAAAGTGCTGTTTCCTATTTCTCTCTAATAACACCAAGATTACACTGCATTTTCTGGCAGTCCAAGCTCACTCCATCGACAAACACAGTTTACTACACTGATCATTCCAACTCATTCCCTAGCTGGTACTTGACTTCTTGTCCTCCAAGCTCCTTCCATCAACACGCAAAGTGTAGTCTTGTTATCAAGTGGGCTGTATTGCAAGATGGCAGCTCGGCAAAACTTTCACCTTTTTCCCCTGCTGCTGCTAGAGCTTCGTTTGTTGATATGGGAAGATGCCCTCGGTACCGAGGCCCAACAGCGTATTGTTCCCTTTCACCTAGACGAGTCGAATTATGGTGGCCTGGTTATACCAATGAAGAACCTAGTCTCGCCACTGCTTCTGACCAGTCGTGAAAGCCGCGACTGTGCTACGAAATGGTACGATGCGAAGATCCAGGTCTTTACTCACAAATGCTCGGGTGACCGGTACAAGGTTAGCCATAACGGCAACGGAAAGAACGGTTCAGTTTATCTTCGGCGTACGGCCGGCTTCCTGTACTTGCGACTCGATCGTCACATCTTCCTGCAGACTTGCACAGCTAGCCATGGCTACAATTCAAGCCTGACGTGTTTAGACGATCATGACCACATAGCGGCCGAGTACCAGTACGGCGAACTGCGCAATTGGATTGTACGGAACTGCGATGCGACACTGTCGTTCCGTCATCGCATGAAAATAAGCCACGCGTTATTCGTAACCCCCACGACAAACCCTAAAAAGATATGGCTACAGACAATAACTTCCTTTCCTCGGTTAAACAGACTTGACATGATTACTGAACACAGATGGTTGAGCCAGGATTCGTCCTTCGCCCACTTCTTTCAGGATCTTCATGATAGAGGTCTGGACCGAGCTCTACAGGATTATCGCGAGCAGCACATAGTGGTTCAAGGCCGGTCTGGAGAGTTTCTAAGTGGTTACGGAACAGGGTATGACGGGAAGCCGGGAGGCTGAGGACATGGATATGGACGATGCGTCACTATTAACTACATGTCTTCAGAGAAGGGTGTACCGTAACACTACACAGACGCTTCGAGGGAATGAGCACCTTGTGTGAAGAACGCACCCGGAAGTTACTTGATCAAACGCTGGCTGGGGAGTTTAGAAATTGTGGTTGGTGAACCTCGGAGCGTTAGACTACATCGCTCGAGTAGCAAAATCCGGCATACGAGCCGATAGATAGAAATAATGCTTGAGTTAATTCAAGAACCGATGCCTTTGAAATTCAAGTGAATGCCGGGGACAATTCAATCCGACCATCTCCCGCTGGATGACAATACTGTTCGATACAGACGATCCAAACGATGCTCACCAGAATAAATTTGCGATCTAGGACAAGACGAAGGTTGCCACGAGACTTCCTCGCAGATATGAAGGCCCGGCGATCCACTATGGACTCATTGCTTCTGTAGAACCGCCATGCGAAGTGCGGGCAGGCGGGACTTGTAGATGCTGAAGGTGGGCGACACTCTTTGCATCAACATGATGCCGTTGTCTTGGCTACAGAACTTCCGTGTATCATCATACAGGGCATCTCTGACTACGTAAACTCTCACAAGAACGATATCTGGCATCACTACGCCGCCGCAACCGCAGTCGGTACACAAACGATGCCGATGGCTGAATTGCGCCGCTGAAACCCGCGTCAGCCTTACTGTTGAACACTTAGAGTGGGATATCCGGCTGCGGGGCTCTTTTCTGTATCTTCACTGTATTCTTAGTGGCTGCGCCCAAGCTGACTTCGCGAAGCACCTTTAGACCGGTCAGCCTTGTAAATAATACTGCATAAACCTGTTTGCAACTTTGTCCGATCCCAGTCGAACCCGTGGCCAAACATGCACCGATGCTGAGCCCATCAGCTGAGGGACCAATATGGCTACTACGTTCCATGCTGAAGGCGGGAGCGAATATTTTGAATAGATTACCTTGCCGAATCCAAGACTGAATATTTCAAGAATCGGATCAGTAAGCTGAGAGTTGAAGCTGGGTGTCCCCGCTTCACCAACAAAGAAAAGGACTTGTACGCCAGATATTCGCTGCTATAGTCTTCTGATCTATCAAACCAAGCCCTGTCAAATCTTTTTCTGATAGCTTCTTGCCGCAGTAAACGTGATATCGTTTCGGGATATCTAGTTCTACTGACAAGCTAAACTCGAACCAAGCGACGGGACCAGCTAAGCCAATCGCTGAGTACGAGAAACCTCAGCATAAGGAACTCGCCGTCACTGATGCAGGTGTTCATAACAACAAGAAGGCTATCAGAGACCATCCGTCCCCACGTATTTCTGTTATATTGCTCGACCGCATCGATCGTAAGACTAGTGGAAGAAGCGGGGGTAGTGTTGAAGTCGATGGTTTGTTTGACATGAACCGGTTCTCTGTACTTTACAATAGCAGGTAATCATTATGAGACAGCGATGTTGAACAGCGCTTCCCAATAGTTATTCAGGCCTTGGCATACAGAACAATGGTATATTCAGTGGAGCATTGGAGAACAAATGCAAGGAAATCGCATTGAAACATCCAGAGCGTTGATCTTTTGGCGCTGATGTTGACAAGATGATCTTGCCAGCCAAGTGGGAACTTGGGTATTGGTCTTCTGTGCCTACCATCCCATCACATCGAATCAGTTAATATGTATAACACGCGAACAAGTGGTGTAGGTAATGCTATGTCGGTGCGCTTAGAAAACGTGCCAGCACTGTATGAAAATGTTGCGTTTTGTATCATGAAATTGCACGCGTCCTGGTAAAACTACATTGTGAGTGCAACGACCAGACGGGCTTATCTGTGTCTTGTTAACTTGTTAAGACCCACTGATTATGGCCATCAAGGCGTATCTGGACAACCTTGAGACAGTAACAGAAAAGATGGAATAATGAGCAACCAAAAGACGACCTGCACCCACCAAAGAGAGACAGAGATACGTAAAGTCCCCCATATATACACAAGCGCACGGCGTCCAATGAGATGAATTTCGGGCCTGGCACATGCACTACTGAGTAACTCGACTGCAAAAACTTGGCACCTTCTCCCTTCTCTCTCGCCAATGGTCTGCTGCTCTGACGCTCTGATCTATTCGAAATGGCGGTACGATAGCCAATAGAGGCAGTTTCGTCTTTGTCGAGTTCCTTCGCACCACACTTACACTAAGCAGCTTGCAGATAGAGTGCGTATGTATGTGTATGTCGGTGCTGGTACCGTATGCGCCAAGTCTGTTGCAGTTTGTGCGACAGTAACTTAGTTGGCTTAGAACGGCTGACAGTCTAGGACTGCGGCTAACCACTACCCACTACAATCATGCCCTCTCGCGCCACATCTTTCGGCGTTTCGCGGGGGCCGAATGGACATTCAGAACGTCTCCGACGTTGCTTCGGGCTTAGCGGTTTCGATCCCGAACTAAAGTTTTTCAAGCATCTGGCACGATCCCCTTCAGTATATCATTTCAAGAAAATGAGTTGGTCGTTTCGGGTGTTTGACTTGACCGCATTCAGGATTTCGCGTGGTTTCCTCTAATCCGAACAGCGCAGTGAGTGGCCAGATGCTAAATATGGCTATTTTAACCTTAACGTAGACTATGTAGGAATATCTTGATCTTTTAGATGCCGGTTTAAAGACCATGGTTTATTGACACTAAATGGCTGTATTTGTAAGGACTACATACCTACAGGATTGTGGGCACAAACAGGAATGACAACAGGATAAAATAGACTTGACTATGAAGGAATAAGTGGCTCACACCTTTTGACTAACGTGTTTACAACTCTGTTCTCTGGCCAATAAGGGAGTGGTCTAGGTCTTCTTGAACACTTATTCGATAAGCAAGCGCGGGGAGGCAGATTCGGAATTTTGCTCACCGAAATATACGTTGGCAGTCTTCGTCTGATTGTCGAAAAATTCGCCCGCTGTCCGACCTGACTTTCTAGATGTACTCTCTACGAAGACCAGACTTGGCCATGGCAGTGTAGGGGACGAGACGGCCCGCTCGTCTAAACCTCTGGTTCACAGGAGGGTAAGCCCATTGTGCGGCCCGTTGTTCACAACGTCTTGGGCTCGAGCCTCTATTGCCAATCAATTACTATCATCAACAAAAAAACATTCTTCGTGTTCCCCAATCATTTAGCAGTCCTTGTCCTATTGGTCTACTAGGAGTAGCTAAGGGACAATGTGAAGAAACACTTCGATTGTCTCTCTGTGCATTATCGTCACCAGCCTCTTCGTTTTTCTTCTCCTCAATGGGTGCGATGACAAACTAAGGTGCTCTTTCCAGAGTTTCGCGTAGTATAAAAATCGGTTGACGTTCTGTTCGAGTTCCTTGTAAAGTCATTTTCATGCAATATCAAGTTCCCCGACTGAAGTTATCAAAGCCCGTAGTTCCGTCGAAATGCATCGGCAGTGTCCGAGGAGCTTCCGTCCCTTGCTATTAACGTTGGCACCATGCAAGTACCGCCCATGGTTTCACCCCACTGTCTGTCACGGAAGAAATGCCAAGGTAAGATCCTAGCATCCGAGTCTTACAACATCCACGCGTCTAATAAAGACATATAATCTGTAGGGAAACCATTTCTTTTACGATAAGCATGGTTTATGGTATATATATTTCAACATGTAATGAGCTATTCCGAACCTGATACTTAGCCTGAAGACAACTGCTAAGATGTCGACTTGAACAGGGACGGCAGTGTATATTACCGGGATTTATGGGGGCGCACGTTCTATTTCAGGCGGGCCGTGAAGCGTTAATGGATAGCATGTCTTGCTGTGTTTTGTTACACAAGCTAACGCTCTCCAATTAAGCATCCCTTATGTATGTAGCGACTATGTTTTAGTGGTTGAGAGGGGGCATTTCGAATTCGCTGCTGGCAGCGAATATCTAAACTTTCAATTTCGGATCCAATTCATCACTTATCGTAGCGTGTTGTCTTCAAGCCGTTACGTAACATACTCGAGGATCTTTGAGCAATTGTGAAGACTCGCCACCTGCACTAACCTAGTAATACTCGAGGAATCTCTCGCTCATCCACATGATGACGTAGGACTTGGTGAGGCACAAAGTAAGCTATAGTTAATTGAATTGATTTAACAGCCGGCGGAGGGAATGTTTGCCATGAGAGGCCAAGAACTTAGTCAGCCTGGCGTATACCTATCTATTGATTATTGACTGGAAACAGATTTAGCACATAGCAAAGTTTGAGGGCGTTGCTGGAGAGTTCGCTGGTCACGTTTACCACGCGAGGAAGACATGCGTAGTCTAATCAAAGCATGTAGCAGAACTTGCACATGATTATGGATCCTAGCGTGTATCGATGTGATGAGATTATCAGGATACACATACCCCAATTTGCACTTGACCGGACAAGATCACCGTATCAATCAGCATGAACATTGGTCTCAAAGTTATTAATCGAGATTCTTGGTAGTGCTTCCTCGCTATCTTCGAAGGATCCATTTAGAATTTACACTGACCAATCAGCTCTGTCGGGAACAGCCACTTCAGATTGGATATGCCACTTCTGTTCTCGATTTGATCCGATGGGACGTGACTTTGACGATGCCAGCCTATTAAAAAGACCCGGTTGTCGAGAATGTCGAGGGAAAAACCCAGATACGCAACGCCTTCCAGGTAGAGCGACACTGCAAAATACGATCCTTGCCCGTTTCACACGGATAATAATCTTTGAAAGTTTCATCAGTACGGCCCACCAGGCTCCGCAATCTGTAACACCGTTTTCGCCAGCTGGTTGCAATCTGAAAACCGTACGGTAAGCATTAGATGCTCACCATGAACTGGTCATTAGCAGCAGAAGGCTACGGAGTATCCTTTGCTCATCTCAAGGATGATGTTGATGATGGCACTTGCGGTAACGCGACTCGCAAGGAATTTTTCGACGGCCAGAAACCAACGGCGGTTGGAAACGCTGAGCTTAAGTGAATCGTTACGCATTGGTGCCTTTCGTAAAGGTAAAGAGAGCTGCCATGCGGTGGTCGAGGCTTTTGGAGGAACTGCAACTTTGGGCTTGCCGTCCGATCGTTCAACCGCGTGATAGGGCGTTGAGGAGTTTCGAGAAATGATGGTCATTCTTTGTTTGGTTCCATGTACCGAGTATTATGTAAAGAAGTTGGTAATTCATTTGAAGCTGTACGTTTCGTAGCGCCTTCGTCACCAATAGCCATTGGTGGTATTCCCACTTTATGGGGATTATATTTCCTTGCGTGAGTTGTTTTGACTTGATCAAGTTCCTCCAAACGAATAACCGTAGTCTAATCAAGGTTAATCAAGAAGTTCATGGTAGGGTAAATTAGCGAAGCAAAATTGAGGAAGAATTAATGCAACGCCGCCTTCAAAAAAGGAGAGCAAGCGTTTATTAAACCACCAACGAGAATTCGAAGACGACATACGTGGCCGGAGAGATGCTTATGTTGACTTTAAAGGCATTTGAAAAATGTGGGTCAGGCTGAATCAAGGATCACATAGTCAATGGCCGATACATTATCCAAATAGCCAATACAATGGAATGTCAATGTGTCGAATGTCAGCGTGTCGAGTAGATGAATATCATGCATCGTATCTACCGCCCGAAGCTCACTGTTTTTGCCTGTAGAACTTAAAGCGGATGTTTGCAATGTAGCAGACTAAACTAATGGCTGTGAAACTTGTGCTCTCTGAGTAATGTAAGTAATTACGACCTCTAATCGCTAGCATTCGCTGAGATTTCTTCGTTCGTTTAATAGAAGACTACTTCTGGGGATGATTATTGGGTCGATTGCATGGGCGATTTCCGCGATGTTAAGCTCTGAACTAGTCATGGCTCCCTTTCGAAAGAACGTTTCCCATCATGGTTATTTCTCGCCTGGTATCGTAATAAGTAAAAACTTCGCAAGCGACTGCGCGTACTGGAAACGATCGACAGTGGCCAACACTTCCCCTAATTTGGTCGAGGTGAAAATAGGGACAAAACCTATGAGGCTCAAGATGACGTTATGCTCGACGCTGGGCGAATTTGAGCGGATCCATAGTTAGCGAACAGACGCAAGGATTTCGTGGGATACGTAAGCATTGTAGTATTTTCATTTTTCTGTTTTGTTTTCAGTCTATTATCGTTTCTTTGCTCGTTTAAAAGAAGACGCTTGCTTGGTAACGTTCTCAAACGTAGAGTCGTGCCCATGACTCATCGTGTCCAATTAGATTCGGAGATCCTGCAATGCTCGCATCCTCTTAAACCTGAGGCCGAGCCTTTCGACATGTCTCTCTTTCAACTTCATTGGACATTGGCTCGAATGTAGCAAAATCCCTGTAGTAAACACTCGTAAACCCAAACTTTCTCGATATTAACGGCAAATGCGCTGCAACCCGACCAAGCAAGACAATTTTGATGTACACTCCATTGCATCACGTACTCTCCACATTCTATACATCGTTAGGACCTTTAGACTAACACTTTTACTAATGCCATGCATTCGAATCTCGTAAAGTCATTCCATATATGCCAGTCGGAAAAATGTCACCGTGAGTCTAAACGACGCCGAACCTCGACATAAGTTAGTATCAACACCGGCTACTGCAATCATCCAGTGGTCATCATATTGCCCTTTGTCACGCGTCGTACAGTGCTGGTGGTTCACACAGCCCGCATTGCATTCTTATGCTTGGAAGCCGATCCATACAATTGACATCATTTGTAGGCCTTGATCTAATTAACAGCAAAAAGAATTCAGAATATCTTTACTCCGTATATACTGAACGTCTTGGCAACCAAAGATGCTTGGTAGAGACCTCTGTACATACGTAGAGGACTCCTTAGTACTAATAACAACTGCGCTGTTGCTTTTTAGCCCCTTATTAACAAGGCGTAATTCTCGTGTAGACTAGTCGTATTCTGTTCGAAGTGCCCCGTAGTACAATCCATCTCTCGCTGCGCGCCAGTAGGCACAGCTTAAGCACATACAGTGGCAGCTCAGCAGGTGCATAACCATCGAATTATTGGGGTAGATTCCTATTCAAGTTTCAAGGTATTGTCCGCGAACCATGCACTACTATGTCGCACCGACGGCTGCAGTGCCATATTAAAATCAATTGACATTTGGACGAGAGCCGTATTGTGACGAAGCGCCTGCGCCGAAACCAAGAGTCAGGCGGTTTGAACCCGACCAATGCGAGTGACAAGAAGCACACTTCATGTAGAAATAATAGCAGCTAAATTAATCGCTACTTTGGAGAGACAGTCGACAGCCTCAGAGTGACTAGTGCTGTATGCCTGTTTACAGGCGTACACTCCTCCCTAAATTCGTTATGGCATAAGGTGTGTCAGATGAAAGAGGATGTCTTACGACTGTTTCAGTATCGGGGTAGGACGGCAGCGAAGACACCTATCATACCCAAAAGGATAGCCTATGCCGGATAGAAATTGATGGTAAAATGATCGAAAAATTGTCACGGTTGCAGTAAGTCATGAAGACTTGGCTTGCTGTATACCTTGTAAAAATGAGAAAATAAGAAAGACAAAGAGCAAAGAGACTTAATCACAAACTACGTGAAAATACGCAGTCACGTAGCATAGCTTTACGTAACAAGCTCAGCTTTGCCTTAGCCCGAGCCGTCACAAGATGCATTTGTGTTTCGGTGACTTTAAAGGCATAGGAGGCCGAACGCGGGCATTTGGCCCAGTCCGGTGCAGCTGTCTGAGCTTGTCAAGCTTTTGTATGTGATTGATAATCGGGCTGGGGCACGGTCATTTAACTCAAGGACAAGGCTGAGTGAGGCGACATACTTTAATCGCGGACTACACCTTTGTTCCTTATAGAGGTTTGATTATAAAGGCGATTAGTCTTTTACGCCGGCCTTATTTCTGATTATTATTTTAATATTAAAGGCAATGTATAATATAATAAAGTCTTTCAGAGTAATGACTTCTTATTAAGTATTTAAAATCGTTGAAAAAGAACTTTACATAACCATCCTACTTTATTGAATTTATTTCTGTAGAGGGAGGAATCTTCGCCACCTCACACGCGAAATGGCACCACCACATTAACGTGTCGCATCACGCTAATGCGACGCTCTAGGCTCATGTTTCCGTGATAATAGGCTTAACGTCTTAAGATGTGTTGATTGGCTGATATACTGCTGCCTGGTTGAGATGTCGATAGACATCTCCCCACAATTCGTCTGCACCCTCGATCCTAGGAACTGGCTCTATTGCTCTGTAACCGAAATTGTTTACACGAAAATCACATCTGCCTTGAGGATTCAAGACTCTTCGAGAGGCAGGCCATGCTTTCGAAAACCCGTGTAATGCAAGGCCGTAAATCCATTCTCATCTCTAAGCCACGACTCAGCCTCATCGTCAAAGTTTAGTGCTTATCCTTTACGTGTTCCTAACACATTATACAAGCATTATAAGGCACCAGTTTTCTATGAGTGCTGTCACTGGTCCGCACCCTGTGACTTTGAGGCATGCTTTAGTGGGGTCTTTATACAAAAAATATCACCATCGGGACAGTTCCAAGGATGACTAACGGTGCTCATCGTTACCTAAATCTTCACCCTCGCTTCGGTACTGGAAATTGGTAACAGATTTTCTTTATGAATTGACATCATTATGGGACGACTCTGCAGGGAACACGTAGAACTCGTATTATAATAGATCAATCAAGACGAGCATGCTCAAAGGCTGACGAACTCCCAGGCTATTGTCCACAGCCCATTCTTGTAATTTACCCCTTCTCCGTCAAGTCAATTGGTAACCAAACGCAGAACCACCAAATAATTTCACTTTCAATGCTCGCGGCGGCTATCGCTGTCGGCTCTACCCTCCAAGCTGTGAGCGCGAAAAGCTTCCCGCCCCTTGGCCCCGTTCTTCCTGCTCCCCGATTTCCCAGCAAAGGTGATCTCGTGAAGGAGGTCGTTGAAGGCTTAAGAGCTCAGTTAGATCAGACTTTGGGGGTATCAATCAATGCCAGTGGAATTTCCATTGGTGTCAAGTCGATCCATGAGAAGGATGATATTTTCAGCTACCATTTCACGCCTTCTGTCATGACCGACATTGGCACAGACAATATTGACGAGAACACAATCTACCGCGTCGGCAGTGTATCGAAGTTATTTCCAGCCGTAATTGCTCTTCAACTCGGAATTGACTTGGATGCTTCAGTGCTCGAGTTTTTGCCAGAACTGGGTGAAAACTCTGATGGAGATGTTATAGAGACGATTCAATGGAAGGATATCTCGGCCGGGTCGTTGATGTCTCACTTATCCGGTCTCCCGACAGAGAGTCAGTCTTTCCCCACCCATTCCTCATTGGTTTAGCTAACAGTAGCAGCATCAATGGATTTGACAATATTGGTCGACTATCCTTGGACGAAAAAAGGGCTTCCCAAAGTCCCCCGAGACGAGGCTGCCAAGTGTTCTGGGCTTTACGATACCAAACCCTGCGGAACCGCAGAACTCATCGACGCCCTCAAGCGTAGCCATTCTGTCTGGCTTCTCAACTCTTCACCAGTCTACTACAATACGGGATTTGCTGTACTGGCTTTGGTCATCGAAGCCGTCACTGTTGAGAAGTTTGAGGATCTTGTCCAGGAGCGGATTTTCGACGTCTTAGAAATGGATAGCACCTCCTTCTCGGGACCCGTTGAAGCATTCAACACTCATGGTTTCGTCCCCGTGACAGATGACACTTGGAACATCACCCTCGGAGTCGACGAACCGTACATCCACTAAGACAGCTCCGGCATTGTTGACCGACTGATGCTAACCATATCGCAGAGCCGGAGGTATATTCTCCACACAAGAGACATTCTCGCCTTTATGGAGGCAGTTGCATCGAATATCCTCTTGTCACCAGTCGAAACTCGAAAATGGTTGAAACGCCAGTCCAACACAACATCACTCAGTCAATCTGTCGGCAGTCCATGGGAGATCCTTCGCTCCGATACTCTTACCTCAGACAAGCGTGTCGTTGATGTGTACACCAAATCTGGGGCTCTGGGATTATATAATGCTCTTGTTGGCATCATTCCCGATTATGATATCATTTTCTCCGTCATGGCTGGCGGCCCTGAGGTGTATTTGAACCCGTTCTCTCTGTCACAGTTGGCTAGCACTGTTATCACAAATCTTGTCCCAGCTATCGAGGAGGCTGGCAGGGTCGAAGCATCGATATCCGCAGCGGGCATATATATCGACAAAACTACGAAATCTACCCTTGAACTTGAACTTGGTGATGGCCCTGGTCTCCGTGTCAAGCGTCTCAACATGCGTGGTTATAATGCTTTAAGCGATATTTCCAGCTACAGCCTGCAAGCTGCGGCTATGGAACTCAGCTCTGGCATTGACATCCTAGAAGTTCCCGTCATTGTTCGACTGTATCCAACAGATATAACCAACGAGCATGGTAATACTGGAAATAGTACAGCTGAGATATTATGGTGAGTTGCTTTCGATCTGTATTCTCCAGAACAAGCCAAACAGATCGAAAGCACATTGTTCTATAAAGTAAGGTGTGAAGCAGAAAACAGTAAATAATACATAATTATGTTCTTATTCAAACTTGTTTTTAAAACAGGTTTGTTTCGATTATCAATGAGCGTAAGCGTAATTTGAGTTCGATTAAACATCCACTTTCATACAAACACTCAAGCTAAGAAATAAGCCAAATGTCGGCGTTGAAGCTTTGTCCGCTCGGATCATAGTCAATCTAAATACCATGAAGACATATTGAGAACCAAACAGCGTGAGGTTGTCTAAGGGAGGCAGAGCCTCCATGCAGGCAAGCCTGCTAAAGTGCATGTGGAATAGTGTTGAATGAGTGATTCAACCAGTCATGTTATAAAGCTCAGACTCCACTCTAGGATGAAGAACGGGATGAAGAGTATAAAGGACTCATTGGCAATTGCACAGAGTGCAATGTAGCAAAGCTAAAGGATGCGAAGCGTAGCTGAGTCATCTGTTAGGTTTCTCTATGGGAGAGCACGCAGTGCTCTAACGGAGTGAGCCCTTTTATATAATTTACTATAGAGAAACCATCCCAACGTCAGTTGTCTACCGGGCATTTACTGCCCTAGGCCGGAACGGAGTGGAGGTGTGGAACGCAGTGGAACAAAGAGGTCATTCATTGGCCTGGGGGGGCACACGGCGGAGCGAAGCGACAGAGGGGCTGCAAACACCCCGTTTCAACCATTAAGAGCGAACGAAGAGAGCGTAAGTGGATAGCACACAGGATGTAAGTGCAATAGTCAATGAGTGATTGGCTATGACCGAGGCTGCCGCCTCCTGCTCCTCTGGCTCATTGGTGCTTGGTACCAATATTTGTGGGGTTGGCAAACACCCAGAACAAACACCCCGAATTCATCTACTACTGGGCTGCGCCCATCATTGTTGGCAATGATTTCCTCAGTCTTTTACATTCTTCTATTGCACGGTAAGTTGATCTGGACAGGGTCCACTCCATGACCTCTGGTCATTCCATTGCCAGTGGCATTAAGTTGTGAGTGCTTCACTTTTCCTGTTGACCAGAGGCTGCCGCCTCTCTGACTCCTTCGCTCATTGGGGTTGACATCCCGGGGGGCATATAGTCCATCATGCAACATGGGGGTTGTTGGTTGTGAGGCTGAGCATTTGGCTGCTCATTGTGGCTTGGATGCTTCAGTGGCTGGAAGGCTTGGGTCATCTGCTCCGTGAGGGTTAAAATCGCAGTGAAGGGGCCAATATGGATCTGATGTGGGGTAAGCTAGTTGGAGACTAGACTGGAACCTTCAATGAGAAGTGGAAAAACTGAATGTGGTAGAGAACAACGACTGGAAGGAGTGGAATAGGACCATTGTACTGTCAAATGCATAAGAGATGCTGCACGAGTGTATCGAGAGTCAATTGCGTGGACTTTGGAAGAGTGATGCTGGAATCAGCTCTGGACTGATAGCTGGAGAGTTGCACTGTATGATTAGTGGTCATCAAGGCTGTCAGAGTACACTTGGACTTGGAGGTGCCAACATGCATGAAATAGGCCATGGAATCATGCATCGAATGATGGAGTTAGTAAACCTTTGTGACAAACACTTCAGACTAAACTATGTGACAAACACTCAAGATTGAACAGCGTGATAAACATAGTCAATGGAACAGCGTGACAAACATGAAGACTGAACTTGTAGACAAACATGAAGATTGAATGAATAGATGAAGATTAAGACTAAACCTTAGATAATGATTAAAGACTAAACACTGTAGCCCAATACTAAGAATTCAATGATGAAAAGAAAGCTAAGACTGTGGATGACAGTATGGGCGTCGCCCATGCCGAACGGAGTGAGGTGCTCACACAATAGAACAAACATTGACAATGGAATGACAAAGAACAAGAGTGACAACTGAGTGAATAGATGAAGATTGAATTTGTAGACAAAGACTGAATACTATGTGACAAACATTGACAACTAAACCTGTGACAATGATTAAAGACTGAATACTGTAGCCTAACATTGACAATACAATGATGAAAAGAAAGCCAAAACTGTGGAAGGCAGGTAATGGGCAAGGCCCATGCCGAACGGAGTGAGGTGCTCATACAATAAACAAACATTGACAATTGCATGCACGAACCAACATTGTCAAACTAAACACCAAACAAACATGGACAATGTCATGTGCCATGCAATGTAGACTCAACACCAAGATCCAACATTGACAATCAAACAGCGTGAGGTTGTCTAGTGGAGGCGGAGCCTCCATGCAGGCAAGCCTGCTAAGCGCATGTGGAATAGTGTTGAATGAGTGATTCAACCAGTGAGGTGATAAAGACCAGACTCCATTCTGGGATTCACAATGGGATTGACAGTACAATCAAGTAGGTGTAGATGGCACGGAGTGCCATGTAGCGAAGCTACAGGGATGCGAAGCGTAGCTGAGTCATCTGTTATGGTTTCTCTAGCAAAGACACGTAGTGTCTTAACGGAGTGGTTGCTTTTATATAATTTACTATAGAGAAATCATCCCAAATCTTTGGGAAGCTGGGGGTTCATCCCCCTAAGCCCGGACTGGAAGGGAGGCAAGGAGGTGTGGAACGCAGTGGAGCACCAGAGTGGTCATTCATTGACTGTAGCGACCCGCACGACCAACGGGAGGCAGGGGCTTGCTGTTTCAACCATTAAGAGCGAACGAAGAGAGCGTAAGAGTGGAATCCATGGAATGTAGATTCAATTGACGATCAGAGATTGGCTATGACCGAGGCTGCCGCCTCCTGCTCCTCTGGTTCATTCGTTGTTAAACCCGTGTGGTGGGGCACACTAGTCAACACCCATTTCAAACACCCCGATTTGGGAAAAGACGTAACAGGCAGGATGCCCCTTCAATCATGGTGGATTGCTCTTTCATCTTTATTCAATCGTCGGAGACGCAATTGTCAATTGTTTCATTGTTAGAAGTAAAGCACTATTTGGTGGTGCTATTGTTTTATCCCGTGGTTTATACGACAGAGGAGTATATTTCATCTTAACATGGCCAGTTCATTGTTGCTAGAGAGGTCAGTGGAACAGTTAACAATGTCAGAACAGTTATCGCAAAAGTGCAGTGTATACTGCCTGTTTCCTGGTGTAGATCGGGGGGCTACAAAAAGCCTTGGACACTATGGCGTTGTCGTCGAGGTTGTCGACTTGGACTCGACACAGTTCCAGTTCCGACGCGGGGCGGATGGAGAGCAAGAGCGGGTGGACGAAGAAGTCTTTGTCGCGGCGTACATGCAGGCGATCGAGGTGTACTTGACACAAGAGGTGGTTTTGTTGCTATCTTGTCACGAGGCTTTGCGGAAGGCGCTTCACAAGCGTGGAGTCAAGTTTGGCATTGGGATGCCGGCAAAGGAGGCAAAGCAGTGGTGGATTGCGGATGTTAGGCAACGCGAGGAGCAGTGGCGCAGATGGATGTCCGCAGGATTGGCGGATCACTTGGAGGACAAGTTTGATGAGTATCACAAGAGCTGTATGGCAGAGAGTAATGCAGAGTTGCATGTTTGGTCATGCATGGAGGATGTTCTGTATGGGTGTTTAACCTGGTTCCGGAAGACGTGGTCTCTGTCTGGGGCTGCACAGACTGGTCCCATTCTTGCTGTGGCTGGCTCCTCGGATGTCGACCAGGACGGGGAGAAGAAATGTTGTGAAGATGAAGAACCAGCGAACGTTTAGCTTGGACTTGGTAGTGCACGGGAGTAGAGTGGTGGAATACAGTCGTTACCGTTTTGTTCAAGCTTGTATACCGTAGCTTAGTATGAAGAATGGAATGCTTTGTGAATGGGTTGACTAGAAGTCTGATTACATTCTCATTTTGACTTGCAGGCAGAGGATTTCCATTGACAATCCAATGAATAGATGAAGATTGAATTTGTAGACAAAGACTAAGACTTAGTGCAAGATTAACGTTGACAATCAAACTCCATGATAAATACAAAGACTAGACACTATAGCCCTGAACTTAGAATAGAATGATGAAAAGAGAGCTAGAGTTCTGGAAGGCAGGTAATGGGCAAGGCCCATGCCGAGCGAAGCGAAGGTGCTCACGACACAAGATACACATTGACAATTGCAGACATACCAAACATTGTCAACTAAACACCAAACACCAAGATATTGACAATGTCATGTGCAATTGGAATCCATTGACAATCCTAATCAGTAACACTCTAAAGGAGGCGGAGCCTCCATGCAGGCAGAGCCTGCTAGTATTAAAAGAGGTAAGTGTTGAATTGAGAGATTCAACCAGTGACAGTGCAAAGCCCAAGATCCATTCTGGGATAGAGAATGGGATTGACAGTACAAGCAGTAGGTGGTAGATGGCACGGAGTGCCATGTAGCGAAGCTACAGGGATGCGAAGCGTAGCTGAGTCATCTGTTAGGTTTCTCTATGCGAAGACACGCAGTGTCTTAACGGAGTGAACGCTTTTATATAATTTACTATAGAGAAACCATCCCAACGTCAGTTGTCTACCGGGCATTTACTGCCCTAGGCCGGAACGGAGTGGAGGTGTGGAACGCAGTGGAACAAAGAGGTCATTCATTGGCCTGGGGGGGCACACGGCGGAGCGAAGCGACAGAGGGGCTGCAAACACCCCGTTTCAACCATTAAGAGCGAACGAAGAGAGCGTAAGTGGATAGCACACAGGATGTAAGTGCAATAGTCAATGAGTGATTGGCTATGACCGAGGCTGCTGCCTCCTGCTCCTCTGGTTCATTCGTTGTTAAACCCGTGTGGTGGGGCACACTAGTCAACACCCAGAACAAACACCCATTTTTGAAGTGATAGTAGGGGGGCCCCGTTCAATTGGAGTCAATTGTTCCTTCGTTCATGCTTGTAAAAATGGAAGATTTTACCGATATATCAACTGGCTTTGACCCTCTTTGCAAAGAGGATGTTGTGGATGGGGAAGACAAGAAGGAGAAAGAAGACGTACAGGATGTTCAGACGGATGCTGTGAAAGCACCTTCAACGCAAGCATTAGATGATGCAGAGCATAAGTATAAGTTCCAGGGGACACTACTTTTTGTTACTTATAACCAATGTTGTGTTAGCGATCACAAGGAGTTTTACGAGTATCTTCGAGTACATTTGGAGGCACAGATGCCACCAGTATCCGGCGACGGTTCTGAACGAGACAAGGTGGAGATATTTGGAGCAAAGGAGCTACATGAAGATGGTAATCCCCATTACCATGTACTCATCCGTTTTGAGCATCGAGTACACTGGGTGGACACGTACTCCAGACTGGCAGTGCCGTTTGTGGAAGACGGGGTGAAGAAGTTAGTGTCTACTTCTATTCGAGTGGGACATCCACGTAAGGGGCAGCGCCAGAACTTCTACATGAATAGTGTCTGTGCATACATCCTCAAGGGCACAGGTCTTGGTACTGATTGGGTGTTTGGTCACCGCATCAAGGAATTGCCAGGGGCAGGAGAGGCGAGAAGACATCGTGAGAATGAAGTTGCTAGGAGAGCACTGAAATTGAAGTCGAGGCTTGAGACGAGACTCTTTCTAGAGCAGGAGGAACCTGCCAAGTGCGTATGGAACCGTATTAACATGGAGAGACTGTTGTTAACTAAAGAGCCCGAGGCGAGAGCGCGGTATACTGTTGACTATGTACAGGCACCCTATTATCCTACGAAGACTATGATGAAGTGGATGCAACAAAACTTTGCGAAAGACAAGCCTAAGGGGCGGCCGACGTGTCTGGTGTTGATTGGCAACTCCAGGTTAGGCAAAACAGACTGGGCCATGTCTATTGGCAACCCCATCATGATGGTAAATTCCATGGTATTTGATGAGATGACAACGCATTGCAGTCATATTGTGCTCAACGATATGGATTTCAGGAGTTTTAAGGAGTGGAGAGAGTTCATGGGCTGCCAAATGAAGGTTACTATTACTGGCAAGTATAGGGAGGAGAAGCTGTTGGATTGGGGGAAACCCGCCATTTTCACTGCAACCATGGACAACAATCCATTAACTATTCCAAGAGTGGCAGATTATTTTAGACAAAGTGGAGGAGTAGTAGAGTATTTGACAGAGCGACTGTTTTAGAATGGAACACTGTAGCCCGACATAAAAGACTTGCATGTTAAAAAGAGGGCTAGAACTGTGAATATACGTATGGGGGTCCCCCATGCGACGCGGAGCGGCGTGCTCACGACACAAGATAGAGATAGTCAATAGAACCAACAAGACAGACAAAGTCCATTCATGCATGGGTGGAGAGTGGAATCACTCATTCAGCGAATGAAATGCTAAAGCCCCGACTCCATTCGGGGATACAGAATGGGATGAAGAGTACATACAAAGTATGTGCGATGCAGTGTGTACTTCCAGTACACAACGTGGGGGGTTCAGTGACGATGCTTTGTCATCTGTTATGGTTTCTCTAGCGAAGACACGCAGTGTCTTAACGGAGTGGTCGCTTTTATATAATTTACTATAGAGAAACCATCCCCAAATCTTTGGGAAGCTGGGGGTTCCTCCCCCTAAGCCCGGACTGGAAGGGAGGCAAGGAGGTGTGGAGCGCAGCGGAGCACCAGAGTGGTCATTCATGGCAGTAGCGACCCGCACGACCAACGGGAAACAGGGGCTTGCGTTTTCGAACCTATAAGAGGAGCGCAGCGACGTCAGTTGAGAATTACAGGCTGTTAGATTCGTTGTCAATGCTGGGTTGATTGATAACTAGAGGCTGCCGCCTCTCTGACTCCGTCTGTTCATTCGGGCTGAGACCCGGGGGTAGTATAGTCGCTGCATCACAACCATGGGGGGTTGTTGGTCATGGAGCATGGGGAGTGGCTAGACTACTGGAGGCCGTGGACTTATCTGCTCTGCTCCGTGAGGGCTAAAATCGTAGTAAAATCAAGCAAGAAAAGAGGCAATGTCTTGCATTAGTGTGGGCACTAGCAGGAACCTTAATGTAACGAGAGGAAGAAGTGGATGCCGGAAGCAACAGCAACAACACTAACACCAAGCGAGAATGGAATGAATCTGTATCAAATGGCGAAGCGACGGAGTTCGAATGGATTGGGAGTTAATTAGGTGTACTTTGAGCAAGTTACGAGGTAAACGTTGATCGGTGAGTTCTTCGTGGGCAAGGCTGCTATAGAGTGCACTGCATTGCCAGTCATAACAGCAAGTAAGAGACTACAATTCCACATTGGGTATGGAAGCAGTCATGGCATAAAGGCTTGAATATGGGATGATAAAGTAAGTCGTCGGATAAATGGAGTAGGGGAAGTGAGGACTACAACATTATGGACAGTGATTCACGAAGCAAGTGATCTAAACTGGAATCTTAGAGCTTAACATTCCAACTTGGACTACGAGCAAACATAGTCAATGGAACACTGCCAGCCCGACACTCAGTGGATAGATGGTCAAGACTACGGATGACAGTAAGGGCGTCGCCCTTGTCGAAGCGGAGCGGAGGTGCTCATGACACTAGATATATATTGACAATGGAATGACGAAGACACAGAGTGACAATGGAATGACCAAGACAAACATTGACAGTCAACCTACATGACAAACATTAAAGACTAGAATACTGTAGCCCGACATTAAGAGTAGAACTTTACCGCCGGAGGCTCAAGCAAGAGATGTGGAAGGCAGGTAATGGGCAAGGCCCATGCCGAGCGGACTGGACTTACCAGACTAGAGGAGCGATATAGTCTCAACTACAGAACTTGCGTTTTAAGGCTCGTCGACTGTATCTAGTATCCAGACAAATGATTGGCTAGCAGGGCCTTTCATGGTCAATGCCTCTGAGTTTGGGACTTGTAGTTGAAATAAACTCAACGCTCCACTTAGATCGATTTCGTCTAAAATGCAAATCGCTGACGGATTTGCTGAATAACGATCTCGGCTACGGTTGCCTCCTTGTCTGCAAACGTGCCACAACTAACTAGTATTGGGTCGCCAGGCTCAGACAGTGGTAGACTATACGATCGCGGCGTTGCAATCCACGGGCTGCTCTGTTTGGGTAGGTATATATTTTTGCATACAGTATATCGGGGGAGTGACATGTTTCTGGCCGGGACGGCCTAGGGTCGAAGCGGCATGACTCGCAGCAGCACGAACATTATCGAAGCATGACTCGCTCGGTCTCTATCAGTCCAACTAGCGGAGCCTACAAGCCCACTGCTACGTTTCAATTAGGCTTTAAACTTCGTCCGCGATCCGCAACGTCATCCTCACGGGCCCGCGGGCCCGCGCTGCGCCTCGATTGGGAAATAGTCTCTTGCCAGTCCCATCAAGACAGAAAAAATGAGCTGATGGGTTCTCCGAGCTCCTCGACTGTGCATCTCCGAGCTCTTTCGACTGTGTTTATCAATCCCGATCCTACATCAGCACGTAGCGTCTCCCCGGAAAACTAGGAACCAGTAATGAACGACGCATCTGACGATGTGGCTGGCGCTTCGGAGCCGGAGCCGAAGCGAACTGGAGCCGTAGGTATTGAATTGGCGACTTTACCCCTGTCATCATCGTTGGAAAGAAGAGGAAAGCGGTTCTAATACGGTGTTTGATTGGTAGTGTGATCAATGCCGTAAGCGCAAGGTAAGCAGCTTTCCAAATATACTCAACGCCAAAAATAAGTTCTAATGCGACATCGCCATATGTTCAGATCAAATGTGATAGAGGTGTTCCATGCGCAAATTGTATCATAGCCAAGCGGACGTGTAATGCTACCGGGCCGAACTCTGGAGGAGCACGGCAGAGGGTACTTATCTCCTCTCAATAGTAAGTTTTGAATCCCCTGAATACTCGGGTGCAATGCTCCAGTGCTACTGAGCTAAGAATTGGTTTTTTCTTTCTTTCAAAAAGCGAACAGAAGATCGACCGAATTGAGGACCGTTTAGATGGTATCGAGCGCCTCCTCCAAGATGTCATCGCCTCAGTCCGACCACAGAGATCCGAAGTCCCGAGTCTCTCGAGGATGTCCTCACAGCATGAAGTAGACAGTACAATTAGACCGGAAGCCTCGACAGAGGAACCTGCCCTGCTATTTGAAGGTGGTTCATCCCTTACAGCACATACCAACCTCGTGAGCAACCTGGTTAGTCATACCGTCAACCAGACCAATCTTCCAGAGCTCGACCGCGGGATTCAATCGGCGCTATCGACTTTACGGCACATAGTTGATAGACAGTACAAGAAGGCCGTCGGTAATGAATTAGGGTTCTCGAATCAGAAGCCGTTGCCGCGAGGCGGCTTGAGAGAATTGCCGATGCCTCCTTTGCAGGTTGTGCTGCAGCTACTACGGACCATGAAAGGTGGGTTTCAAACGTATTGCGACGGTATTCCCTTCAGAGATATCTTCGCTTATGTTTATCTCCAGATGCTGGGCCAACAGTGCCGTGGACATTACACTGCATATTTCTGCCAATTCCAGCATTTGCGGAGTACTGCCAACGGGTGTACTTCGCTACTGAAGACTTCGACCTAGGCACGTTCATCGTAGTGAACGGTGGACTGTTCTATGCGCTTGGCGGTAGGGGCCTCATTCGAGAAGAATTTGATGATCCGAACATTAGAGCCGACTACTTTAAATACCGAAACATGTGCGCGGACAACTTGGTCGCGGCTTTAGGTAGCATCAGCCTGTTCATGCCCGCAAGCGTTGTGAATATTGAAGCATTACTTCTAGGGGTAGGTAAGAGAATTAGTTACCTGCTTCCCAAGATACTGACAGGCGTAGACAAACTATGCGATTGAGGGTTCAAGACCGTCGCTTGCCTGGAAAATGAGCAACATAGCCGCTCAAATGTGCCAAACTCTTGGCTATCACCAAATGCCAACAGCACAAGGGACACAGGTACACATTCTAGATCAGGAGCGACGTATAGACGCATTGCGCTACACATATATCGTGAACAAAGCTTTAGCTTTGAGGTTAGGAAGGGCTTCAGCATTTCAGGATTATGACATCTCAGTGCCAATTTACGGTCCCGGAAACCGCCAAGAAACTCTTTGGCAGAAGATCGTAGCGGCCCGAGTCCGCCATGCACGAGTGCAAGGCAAGATCTACGAGCAGCTCTACAGCTCTAAAGCACTAGTTGCACCGCCGGAGCACAGAACAAGCCACGCCATGGCTCTTGCGGAAAGCGTGAAGGCCATGATAGCTGACCTCGAACGCATAAAGATAGAGTTTGGGAATTCCCATGATGCGGCCACCCAAGACATGCCCACAAGAGATGCGTCGATACACATATTAGGGTCCCAGATGATCCAATATCAATCGTCGCTCACTTTGATTTACCGTGCGGTGCCGGAGAGTGGCCATACGTCTAATACCTTCGCCGACGAATGCAACGAAGCAGCCCGTATAGCCTTTCAACATCATAGGAGTTGTATGGCACACGCAGTGTCTCCCGTAGCGCAGACAGGCTACGTACATTGGTTAGTCTGTCCTAGTTGCCCTTTCCATCACCACTGACGTCCTAAGGACGCTGCTGTTCGCACCATTCACGCCTTTGATTGCCATATTCTGTCATGCAATCGAAAGGTTAGATGAGGGCGATCTGCGGGAACTAGAGAGCTTCATCGTATCACTGGAGCCAGTCTGCCCCCTGTCAGAATCTACCGAACAGCTCCATCGCCTTGCTCAGGCGCTGCACAATATCGCATTTTTATACATCAAAGCCAAGAAGTCTCAGTTCGGGATGCAAGACACCGTACCGATGGAGCGCGACTTCGAGTCATATTTGACTCGCTTGGGCCTGATGGTACCGGCGACTGGACACACTGGCTATGATAACGTCGCAACTGGTCCCCCGCAAAACCAGCCACTCGGGGGCTGGTTTGCTGGGAATGTGACAATGATGGGATTGCTAGAAGAGGACTTAGGAGACTTCTTCCCCTGAGTTCATGCGTGCCCGAGATGGAACCTGGGAAGGGTCTGTTAAGGGTCGCACCCCAATTAGATACCGGGAAAGACACTGGCGTGGCGCTTCCTTCGCGAAGTCGCACAATGTGCAGCTTCCACCACCGCCGCACACTGTATCGCTTAAATGTGACTGCAATTCATCCTATCGACTGATCGATGTGATCAACATAGCTCTGATATAGAGAAATTGCACAACGTTACAACTTCCAACAGCAGCTTGACATTTAAGGCTGTATGTGTGCATTCGCTCTTCACTTTGGACGCGAAGCGAGACGCGGGGCATGTGGGGTCACTCACCCCTTAAACCCCAATCTTTGCGCATGATGGACTGTCGACTTCGGTCTTCCGTCAAGTAGCGAGAACCTCCAAATCTATAAATGCTCACCGTCTGAGTCACCAAGCCATAAACCGCAAGACATGGTTTGCGAATCGGCACGTCCTATACGCGTCCAATGCTGGCGTTGTTGCAAATTTGTCTGTTCGCAGCACACACTGACCGCCTTTCCTCAGTCGTAAATAGTTTATAAAAGCCATGGAATCAAGTTGCTTCTCACTCGAGTGGTTTGTAGATCAAATGCCAACTGGACTTGCGACCAATTCGACGGTTTCAAGCGAGGCTCTTTGAGTGACCGCGGAACTCTTATGTGCCCTTGATAGACCATAGAAAATGGCCGATACGAATGTCTTGATCATCGGCTGTGGGGTTGCTGGACCCGTTTTGGCTTTGCTACTGCAGGCCAAGGGTTTCAATCCGATAGTCTTTGAGAAGGTTCAGAAGCTTGGAGATGCAGGCGCATCTTTGATGCTAATGCCGAATGGCATGAAAGTGCTAGGTGTCGTGGGGCTAGCCGAAACAATCTATTCCTCGTCCTTTCCAATCGAGGCGTACCAAGATTACACTGCCAAGGGAGACTTGCTTGGCTCCTCGATCCTTCCTGGACAATTTCAGCAGCGATACGGACAGAAAGCAACAGGCATTAAGCGTACGACACTGAATCTCACTCTCAAGGACCGGATGCTAAGGAGTGGTATCGAGTTGAGAGAAGGGCGGGAGCTTTGTGACATCCAGGAGGATGCAACTTCGGTCACTGCGTGTTTCACCAATGGCGAACGAGTGCGTGGTCTCTTCCTCGTCGGCTGCGATGGGATTAAAGGAGTTTCGCGCAGTTGCTTGCTGAAGCGGAAAGGCAGAGCAGAATCAGCTCCGATCTTTACTGGTCTCACCCAAATAGCCGGAATGAGCCCGCTGCCTCAGCAATTGGAAGCGCCTTCGATGAGAAACTGGTACGGCGAAGGTGTGCATGTTATTTCGTATCCGGTATCCCGTGATTGCATCTCGTGGGCAGTGACACTGCCTCAGGCTGATGAGAGCCCCGAGTCATGGCGTCTCTATGAAGGAGGCACCATGCAGGCACTCAAGGAAGAGCTCTCGCTCGTCTTGTTGAAAGACTTCGAACCAGGTGTCATTCAGATGGTTCAGACGGCGGAACGGTTGCTGAGATACGGACTGTTCGATAGAGCTACACTTGAGGTAGATGAGTGGAACAGCAGCCGATGTGTCTTGGTCGGTGATGCTGCTCACCCTACATCGCCACATCTGGGCCAAGGGGCTAATCAGGCATTGGAAGACTGCTTCCACTTGAGCGAAGCGTTAGGCAACATTAGTCGGCTGTCCCGTGCCGCGGATCTTGATCAACCGGACCTACTTTCCATCTTCCGACAGTATGCACGCAGAAGGCAGCCTCGGACAGCAGCATTGGTCAAGGGGGCACGAGCGGCGGGCGAGAAGCGAGTGGTAACGACAGGGATGGGGGACTGCGAGGCAAGGAATAGGAGAGTGGCGGCGGAATGGCAAGACATCGTAGGCATCAGAGCAAAGTTCGACGGTATATGCAAAGAGCCCTTCGAGGCCGCATTTATCTAACTAGATGTTTAATAAAATAGCATGAAAAGAACTGTTGCGATTGTTAAGTGACTTACTGGCGTTAATCGCATCCTACTTTTCAGTCCCATCGAAGCGAAAGTATCCTGGATGACAGGCTCTGTGGCTTGGGATAGATATGGGTTCCAAGTTAGCAAGCTCAGATACTACAGAACTCAGTTGAGTATAAAGTAGTATAGTTAAAGTTACGGGAAACAGTTTAAAACAAATGAAAGCATGGACAGATGATAAAGGTATCATGGTGTGAGACGAACAGCGTTGAGACCTGAAGTAGCTGTTTCCGTAGAGTCACGGGTCGGTTCTTGACTTGCAATTTGCGTCATGATGGGTTGCTCTCCGTAGCTGGCACATTGCTACTTTTTTAGACTAAGTCTGTTCGTTGATCGTCGCTTCATGGCAGTTCTTCAATGGTAACTGCCAGCAGAAGTCTTATCTTTCAATTAATTTTCAAAACAGCTACCGGGAATTGACACGCTCTCTCATCAATGTCCAAAAGCAATCCTGGACTGTTCCGATTGATTCGAGCAGAATCTTCACCCCGTCATTGCACATCACTAGCATCATAACTTTTCACCATCACTCTGAAATTCGTCAACCTCTCTGCCGAGCTACGGCTCATCATCTGGGACTTGGCAGTACGACAGGAGATAGGCATCATGTTCACTTGCACCAAAGGCGAGCCAAGAATTACACCAACCAAGTACATGGCATCTCCCTTGCTCCGCATCAGCCACGAAAGTCGTAATTGCACACTTCAATATTACAACACAGAATCGTTCACAAAGCTAGTAATTTTTGATACCTGGAAAACCAAACGGGTCGACGAGAAGGTGATGACAGAGACTGCCGGAATTATCTACGTCAACTTTCGTCAAGACTTGATGGTCATCGCAGACGGTCCATTTGGAAAGACCACCTGGCTCGCGAAAAGTATGCGCGATGATAAGTTCGGGGGCTCATACTATCGCTACTACGCAGAGCTCTACCAAAATTTGCGCGAGCAAGTACGCCGCGTAGCTATTTACTTGCCCCAAGTCGATACCAGTCGTCAAGTAGGGGTTTTATTACCCCTGATCCAACAATCACGGAATAATCCCCAAGAAGAGTTGCGACGCCCACAAGGACTCTTCCCAAATGTGACAGAAACTTTGCGTTTCATACCCCCAAAGATCAGGAAGCAAAAACATGGACCAACTCAGTTCAACAATGGCGAGGCTACACATGGGCAACATGGCTATCGCTCGTACTGCTAGCTCTATAAACGCTAACACAAGACGACATGAGGATTGCAGTCAGGTCATATCAAGTTACTAGATATGCAGCGTGCTGATTTGCATATTCGTGTCATAAACAGGACTTTTCATTACTTGCTAGCGACATATGTGAAGTAATGTTCCGCAGCTATTACTCTCTCCCGTTCTGTGTCTGTGAATATGATAGTGTCTGCCATAATTTGCTATATGAATGAAGAAAGAGCTCTATTATACTGATTTGCTCGTATATCTTACCTAGTTAAAATATGGATTGACCTGAACTACTATTGTAAGTATTCGCTGTACTAAGCATGCTCTTAATTTGGGAGATATGCTTCCTTGGCGAAAATATTCATCGTAAATGGTCTACCGGAACCGATCAATCCCTGCCACTAATTACTGTATTCCTCACAGCCCTGAATGTTGTGATCACCCGCCATCAACAGCATGGGAAAACCCATAAGAAGCAGCTGGATTTTGCTGACATCCCCGCCTGAGCTTCGTCTCATGGCAGGGGAGAAAATGACGTAGCACAGGCTGTAGAACTAATTCCTTCGTTCACGCCAAGAAGCCAGAGTTCGCAATCATCACCATGGTGGCCGCCGATATTTCCCTCCCGGTCTCCGAGATGTCAGTCGATGATTCCAACAAGATTCTTCACCTCCCTTCTACCTTGAACTAGCGACGAGAACCATAAATGTACTTACAAAGCATTGTAGCACCAAGCTGACCATCCACGACGACCACATACCACCCGGAAGCACCGCGGGTATCGTTTTCATCAACTCAAAGACCGGCATATTCGTAATCACTGAAGGACCCAAGCAAACCTCAAGCTACCAGACACGCAGTTTTTAAACAGAACGGGGGGATTTCTTTTTCTTTTTCTTTTGCCGTTGCCAACCCGATGTGCGCCTCGCTTGCCCGGCTCTATACGCAGGCACATGCACGCAGTGCGACATCCCGATGTGGGTGCGTGCACATCTAGTTTACGTTGACTGACTGATACGCAATTCCTAGTTGCGCGGGAAAATGTGGTCTACGGCATCACTACAGGCGCATAACTGGACGCAGTCAGCGAGCAGGGAAACCGAAAAGCACTCTCAATACTATTGATACGCACTGACAGCCCCTGATTTATGTGATGGTAAAAAGTATAATTGTACAGCAATATACTGGTTGTTTCTTGCGACCTTTTGACTTTGTGATTCCACTCTTCAGCCGCCCTCATGGCGTACCATGCTTTGGTGCAACATTGCTGGCATAGTACTAACAAGATAGCGATATCAAAGACGACCTGCTGTTTTCTAGATGTGTCATAAGCTATTGCAGCATCTGCGTCTGGCCACACAATGAATGCGCATCACGGCAACAAGTCACCTAAGGTTAGGGTATCTGGGGGTTGAGAAAAATATACTAAATTGATATCTCTGACTTGTGATTCTGAAAGCTCACTCTCCAAGCAACTGGCTGTTTCTTTCTAGGCGATAATGGCCAGAAAGTCCCAACAAGATTCCTGGTGGAGGTGATAGAGTCACATAACTTCCTCTTTTTTATTTTGGGGGGGTTTTTTTAATCATTTTGGCATTCTGCCAGTCAACTGGCAGCAGAACCAGAACATTATCCCTCAACCCCGGCCATAGTCCCGTGGGCGTTACCACACCCCCACCACAACATGTGTGCGACACTCCGGTTCCATCTCTGCCGTGAGCGAGCTTTCGTTCCAAATCTTCATGGACCTGCCCGTCGAACCCCGCCACCTCATCTAGGAGCAGGCACTCGCAAACGAGACAGGATAACGCATCGCATTCTAAGGTGCAGAAGCACATAATTCCATCATTTTTCTACGATGCGGGAGCACATTATACTTTCATTCTAGCCCAGGCTCTAATATCTCCTTTGCTCTGGTCGTATCTAGAAAAAGGGGAGAATGGATGGCCAAGCCTTGCTTGCCCGAACCCGCATATGGATGATGAAAGACCGCGTCGTGTATGTCGTGAACTAATACCTCTCAACGACATCGACAGCGACACGGGAGGCGAATAATGAGAGGTGTGCATGCCAGCCAGCAACATTTTGTCGGCGAGCTGCATACACGCAATGAAACATCTACCGGTATAAATGCGACCAGTCATGTTGTCTCATGACATACCGCCTGAACAAATCAAGTTGCATCACAAGGGTATTCAGTACCTTCCAATGCGACATGCTGAGGAAGCCTTTCCTCCCCACGTGTCATGTTTTGACTTTTTCGGATTATAGTTGACAGTTTTGAACCGCTTCAACACTGAAACAATGGGGCGCAACGCACATTAGGCTGTCACATGTCGAAATAGTATGCGACTGCTGCCGTGTAGCTGGCAGTTGCCGCGGTAGTACTCTCAGGCTCCCATCCGTATTGCTCGCCGTGCCTTTTGCGTGTTGGTAGCTCAACATCTTCGTTGCTCGCATCGTTTTAGAAGGCGCTGCAGACATAGCAGGGTCGTGTCGGGGTGGAAATATCGATTGATCGGCTCGAAGATGATAGGAGGAACTGCCAATACCGCTTCGGGCAGTATGGTTCTGAGGATTCGGAGGGCGAGGGCTTTACTTCACAAAACCTTTGGGAGTACTCGGGACTGCGAGCAATTTGGCGAAAGCACAGTGGGTGTGATGCGAAAGCACTACTCGATAGAAGTTTGTCGCATGCTGATCGCGTCTGCGGCGAGTCAATATGCACGATGAGCCCGAGTATTCTTACCGGCTAGGGCGCTCAGCTCCTCGCGAAGACTGAACCGTCCCAAATTTCGAGAACCGCAAAGTCTCACAGTGGTGCCCAAGTCTATAACTCAGTGATCCGCTCGGGTAAGCCACGATGTTACCGGGCACCTGGGGCGCCATGTGTAATGTCGAGTGGCTGCCAGAAACCGAAAGGCGAAAGGGAAACCAATGGTGGGCAGCGCGCCATGTGCGGTGCTCAGACCAAGAAGGAGAACTTTGCAGGGTTTCATGGCTTTCCTGGCTGATGAATTGGGGATTTGGGGAAGGTTACGAAGGTTCCAGCCGAGAACACATCCAGACGGCTCTGCGCTGCGCGGTGACAGCTCAAATGCTTGGGATCCTTTGCTGTTGTGTAACGTCAGGGCCATGAGGCTCCGAGATGCCGGCACTGGGCGGACCGATTCTCACCCCATTGGCCGAAAAGTTTTCTAGATCCGATCCACTTCTCATTTCCTCACGGCTGGCAAGATCGTTCTTTCGTTCGTCTGGGAATTGATCCCTTTTTGTAGGACGTGCAAAAACACGCTTCCCTTCACAGTGTTGATTCTCTCCATGTCCTATTGCCATAGTTCCACGTTTTATACTTTCTTATCTGCCGCTTTGCAGGTTGCGCCGACACGCCTATTCATGTCCTGCTGGAGAGGAGGGCCCAACTTTGGGTTGAAACTACGGGAGTCCTCGGACCACTATGCTTGATGGCCCAGAGGCTCGGGTCAGCAACATAAGCTCACTCACTTCTCACCCTGATTTGCATCCATGCACCCAGAGGCTTTACTGTGAATCTCGCGGTCTCTTTACCATATGTCTTGACCTCTCTTGAAGCCTACATATTCCTTCCGTTTTCTTAATCATCCCCGTCAAAAACAAACGGGACAGCCGCCAAGTGGGGGCCACCAGTGGGGGCAACACTATGCTGTTTCTGTCTATTCTTGATTCTTTTCCTGATTCATGCCCGTTCAGAGCCATGCAAACTCAATTCTGGTGTTCCAACAGCTTGACCCAAGCACCAAGTAAGACAACTTGAGTTCGACGTTGCAGGCACAGAAGGTTTTCCAGTTACGTAGTGACGATTACGGCAACCAACGTGAAGTGCCATGATTCAAGAAGTGTGCCACACCTCGAATTCACCTAGAAAGACAAGCCAAAAAAAAAAAAGTGCCTCAGGTTCTGCAAGTTGAAACTGGTCAGCAACAGTGAAAGGGATCCACCCGACATCCCCCGAAGCACCCTGTCGCCTTGCGCATCCATCAAAATTTCCGGTAGCCTTGTCTCATTCGGGTAGCTTTGTCAAATTTTCTCGAGAGCTTTGGCCGTTTCGTGACCCACACAGTTGTGGATGTCATCACTCTCTCTGTGCTTTTTGGCCGATCGACCTGCGAAGTTCCGTTTTCCCAGCTGATATCGGTTGCTTTGGGTATCTAACCGGCTGTCCTGTTCCATCTGGCCCCTTCGTTTTTCCGAGCTCTCCCTTCCTTACTTCCCAAAGCTCTTTTCCCCAGATCACACACAGCTTCCTGTCTCTTCCCATCCATCAACCTCAATTCTATTGCATCAAACCATCCACACCTCTCCTCTCAAACCATCCACAACCATCACAATGGCCGCTCTCCGTGTCTCTTCTCAGCGCCTGGCTTCCGCCATGGCCCGCCCTGCCATGCGCTCCGTTGCCGCCAAGCGCGTTGCCAGTACGTGATTGAAAAATAGAAAACTTTTTCTTGAAGCTTAATGAGCTCAATGAACTCCATCAAGAGCTCAATTGACCTCAACGGCCTCCGACAATGGCTAATCGAATACATCACAGGCCCCATCTCCCGCCAGGTTATGCAGAAGCGTGCCTACTCCTCCGAGATGGCCAACGCCCTTGTTGAGGTCTCCAAGAACTTGGGTATGGGTTCCGCCGCCATTGGTTTGACTGGTGCTGGTATCGGTATCGGTCTCGTCTTCTCTGCCCTCTTGACCTCGGTCGCCCGCAACCCTGCCCTCCGTGGACAGCTTTTCTCTTACGCCATTCTGGGTTTCGCTTTCGTCGAGGCCATCGGTCTCTTCGATCTCATGGTTGCCCTCATGGCCAAGTTCGTACGTCTTACCGAGAAAATCCCGCACCCCGACCGCACATGGCCTTCTAACATGATGTCTAGACTTAAATGCTCTGCTCCACACTTGCGGAGGCTGGGCTCACACAACGATCTGGACTGTGTGAAAAGCGATCGAGTTGCGATGCCTCGTGGCGCGCTGTTGTCACGATACATCCTGTGTTCATCTGGAATCCAGCATAGAATAATAGAGGCATAGATCGGGGACGCCGGAGGCATAGATGGAAGGCTTGCATAGCAATGGATCTTTGTAAACAAGAACCGGAGGAGGAGGACCGTCAAAAGTCTTTCGGGACCTGTAAAATATAACCACCATCACCCAGAATCATCTCTCTGGTCTTGTTATACTAAAGAAAGGAGTTTCTTTTGTCGCATGAAAATGAAATTCCTGTGATTCCCAACTCCAATTGAGCTTTTTTGATGGCAATCAAACCCATGCCCTGGCATTGGCCTCGATATGCCTGCCGTTGATGTGATCAGGGATTACTTATCCGGGCCCAGGACTTTCAATCAACTCAAGTCTTGATGACGGCTTTGTTGACTACTCAACCGCTCAATTGAACTGGCCGATAAGCATGCATGCTCGGTTCGTCCACACCGTGACTTCACGACGCGATACGGTATCTGGGTTCAGATGGCTGGATGAGGGCTTTTTCGTCAGACCCACTTCTGTCTGAATCCCTCGGCCACGCTCAGTGTTGTCCGCTTCCCGTTCAGTGTCACAGTGCCCACCACGTTGACACCCCACTTGTCGATTGGGCGTCCCCATCGTCGTTTCTAATGTCCCAATCAGAACGCTCAATTGTGTCCTCGTGGGGTATTGAATGATGATGAGATAATAATGATTCTAGGCCTGAAAAGGAAGACGGCCGGCGAAAAGATAAAAAGGCCCCAGGTACTTAACTGTTTCTGGTAATGGTCTGCCTGAGAAAGAAGAGTGAGACCCACGGGAACGGCAGTATTTGATCCATAAGTTCCCCAGATCTGCTCAGGCTTGGTTGCACTCTTATCTCAACCTTCCGTGAGGAAGCCATCGACACAGGCACAACTCTGCGACAGGCCTGTCCCGTGGACTGCGAAAAACAGTCTGGATCCATGATCAGAAAGTGAACCATTGCAATACGACAGCGGCCTTTCGAACTATCATAAGTGCCAAGCAACAACGAGCTGGCACCAACCATGGGGAAAATCATGTTGCCATTGATCAACAGCAAAAGGTTGATTCCGATCTGGTAGACCAAGCAGCCGGCTCGGGAAGCCTTAACGACGCTATCGTGCTCTGCATGCAAAGGGTCTCGATCTGGCAGGCAGACAGACTGCTTGCAGCTGGTGACGGTCTATAGGGATATTTCGACAGTCTAGTTCGCCATGCTCACAAGTTCAGCATGTCAGCATTCTAGGTCTGCGGGGCGAGGTGCCTTGAATGCTCCGACGAGTCGCATTAGCCAGACTCTACCTGGGAATGCGTGTCAGAACCTGGGAAGTTCCCTGTCAACGGGTTGCTAAACTCTAGGGGCTCGAACTCAGCAGCAGTCGGTGTTGGCATCCACGACCGTCCAACCATGTAAACCAGGCAAGATACATGGTATCCACCTTCGTCGGCAGTACGATTGCGTCAAACTCGACAGCCTCTACCTCAGAACTTCGAACGACTGGGCGTCGTCATGAAGGTAAGTTTTCAGAGAATTGCCGGCGTCAATTGTCGAACGAGTCATGGCGGGGTAAGTCGCTCTACGAGGGATCCAATGGATCAGTGCTGTGTGGTTTGTATCGTTCGCCGGCCAAAAGCTTGCTCATCTCTCGTGGCTTGATGGTGGCACATTTGGCCTGCAATGATGGTAAGAATTAGATGGAGTGACGTTGGGGAAATAAGGTGAAGTTGGATTAGAGTCGGGCATGGGGCTCTTTTGTGTGATGCAAGTCACTGGAACGTGAATGTTTTGGGGAGAGGGAGGGGGGCAGGGACGAGGGAACTCGTGTGCCGATTCCTCCTTGCCTCCTCCTCGCCAACCGCCTTTTCAAATTGGAATGGTGCATTTCCCCTCACGAAGACGAATCAGAATCAGCTGATTCGCATGCGACCTGGACAATTGCAACCTGCAGTGAAACCTCGACCTTACCCCAAACCTTCCCCAGACCCCGGATTTGTACCAAGTAGGGGCGCAAGCATAGCCCAGAGCATAGCCCAGAGCGAGGGCATTCCTCCCCACAATTCTACTGGTTAGGCTCTGCAACTCTGCTAGGGCTCCCGTGCTTCCCGCCTTCCCCGCCTCTCCGAGCCCACTCTTCCTTTCTTTTCCGTCTTGTTGCATTCTATGAGATTGGCCACACGACGCTTGCACAAACATGCCGGATAAGGTTGTGGTCGGTCAATATTAACGCCGGCCCAGTATATTTTGAATTACCACTTGAACTCAATTCGTCTTATTTCGTACGGCATGAGCCAAAACAACCGTCGTTCCTTTGTGCTCTGCTGACGTGGCATCGAGACTCACCATCCTCAGAAGTACTACATCCACGCAGATGCGTTCCGTTACCAGAGCCGCCCGTTTCTGCACCTGTACGCCATCTGTTGTCCGACTTCCCCCAACACTTTTTAAAAGACTGCGTGCCACTGCTGTCAGAACTCTCAAGCTAACGCTGTTAGTCATCATTTCTGGACCAATCTCATATTCTTAGCAACGCTCCCCACATGTCCCGCGGAATTCGTGAACCCACCTAACTGCAGCCTTCATGGCCGTCGAACGCTGACATTGATTTGATGGAAATCGATTACCGGTAGAGAACACCTGTTGAAATAGCCTACAGCCGATTCAACCTTTGTTAGACTTACATAACGACGCGGAGGCAGTCAGGCCGTACTCGCTTGCGCACATTGGATTGTCAGTCTACAACAGGGTCATCGATCGACACGCACGACAAACGCCCGCATTGGCTCCCAAGTGCATATGGTTGGGGTTGGCTTTCGTTTGAAATCAATGATAAAACCAATCGTGTAGAGAACCGTGTTAGCTGGCGGGTTTGTGTGGGATTCTGCTCACGACTCTTACTGACCACTGATCTCTGTGCGAACCACATAGTTGAACATAGACATAATAAATTAGGCCATGCATATAGAACGAATTGTGGTATTTTTGAAATGATAAACACCAAACAAGTAGTTGCCAGCTCTGCTCAACCCTCGTGCCATGTTTTGGATATAATGGCCATCATCACAACAAAAAGGATGTGGAGTAGTGTGTTCATTTGTTTGAGCCTTACTGTGAGCAACTCCTCCATATACCAATACAAAAAAAAAAATGCATGTCATGGTACTGTACACATATAAAAGCTGCCATAGTTGACAGAGCAGGTAAAGTGGAAGGGTGTTTGCGTCTGGCGGCCATGCTCGACTATATCTTGTCCCCATAATAGGACAGTCAGTTACATTCAGCAGGGCAATTGCGGCATCCTGAGTGCCACAATACCGTCGTGTTTCATCATTTCACCACGCATCAAGGACACAGTCTGCCAAGGTTTATATAATCTGGGCCAATTGTGATATCATTTACTAGCACAAACCTTCAAGTAGCTTCTTGAGAGGGACCTTCCACGACGTGCACCAGTATGGCACAGCTCTTCGCTTACGCTATGGTGATGACTGGTGTTCGATTGAATGTGCCTCTAGTGTCTACTGTCGCAGGATATAATGCGTCCAATCTCAATCTGTTGTCGGTCCAGATAAGTCATTGCTTTTCTATGAGCAGCCACGGGATGCTTGGTCTGTGCGACGGCTCATACAGCCACTATAGCGGCTCCAAAGGCAGATTGGAGTACCTCATTTCCCCCTGGAAGCTTAAGACCGCTCAGCTTGGCATATATTAAGAGCGATGATGGACTGATTCTATGCTCGAGATAGGCCATAACTTGAGGCTCTTTCACACCACGTTCATTACCTGTTTGTTTCATAATCACACTCTTTACCTGGAATCTATCATGGCGCAAAGTAATCTCGGAGCCATCAGGCTCATCCTAACCATGCTATTGCCTCTATTCCTTCTCCCGTCGATTTTTCTTGTCCAAGGTGCTGTTATCAACGTGCCCGATGATGTCAAGCGCGATGTCCACGAGCTCGATGCTCGCACCTGGCTGACATATGATCAGTGGAATGCCATGAACATCCAGAACAACTACCGAAGAGGCAGAAACCTGCGGCCGCTTGTCTGGGACACTGTTCTGCAGCGAGATGCCCAGAACTGGGCATATCACCTCGCCTTTATCGACCAGATGGTACATTCCCAAAACAGAGGTAGCGAAGGAGAAAACTTGGCCTGGATCAGGTACGCTTGTCCACTTTCCATGCTCTTGAAAGATAATCGTTGTCTAATTGTTGTTATTCGTGTTGTCTTGTAGCGGCGGTAGCAATCCTTTGAGTATATCTGCCCAGATGTGGATGGATGAAGATAAGGACTACTGGGGACAGATCATTCCCAACGGCAATTTCGAGGCGTATGGCCACTACAGTAAGACTTCAGTTCCTATAACGATTCGGTGGCTTTCCTGTTGACACTGTTCTTCAGCGCAAGCAATGTGGAAGAGTACCACTAGGATAGGTATGGCAAGCGCTAGAGCTCGTAGTGGCCGTATCTATACTGTCGCCAGGTATTGGCAGGCAGGAAATATCTATGGTCAAAGACCGTACTAGATGATTCGGAGGCTGCCAGATGGATATTAAACTGTACCAGAGGTCTTTATCTCATCCTTATAAGTCTCTCTTGTCGCTCCTCGCCGAAAGCCTAGAATTGCCAGCGGTCTATGAGATATGGTTCAACAACATACGAGATAACAGTCGACACAAAGCTACAGCGCAATAACCTGGCAGATCAATACACCCTTAGACGGTTGAGCTGTCATTTATCTAGAACTCTATGTCATACTACAGTCATTCTGCCCTGAACAAGCCCATTGCCTTTCTATCAGATATCACAGATGCATGTCGCCTAAGTGGTGATAAGGTAGCAAGTATAACGACCATGTATCTTCTAAAGACTCGAACCAAACGCCCGGCGTATTGCTGCCATGACGGCCGGACGCGAGATGACCGCGTCATGGCTGCCCTCATTGGGCAACGTCAATGTAATACGTCCCTTATCTGTGTTCGCAACCTTAGTTGAACCTGGTTCGACACAAACGTCCGCTTCGTGGTAAGCCGCCATGTTGCTTGCCATCTGAGCGTGCCGGAACAAATCGACCCCATTCTGACTAATTGATATTGCGTCGTCTCGAGCATGCACAATCTCAATATGGTACTTTTCACTCTTTCTGACGATATCCACCAGCCTATCGCCATTCTTCCACGTGCTCTCGAGCTTGCGTGTCAAAAATTCTACCAGCCCAGGAACAATTTGGAGTGGTTTGAAGACAGGCACACCTCCGACCGTGTAGGTTTTTGCTACCGTGGCGATATCCACAAACCCAGACACCGCGACGAGCCCCGCTACCTGTATCTTCCTTTCCAGCAAGAGCCTCTGGTAGAGACCGATAGCCACCCCTGAGCCCATGGAATGGCCAAAGATCACGATGCGCTCCGGCGATACACCTGCGACATCGATCGCCCAGTCAAAGACCGCTTCGGCATCCATCAGCAGGCCCTGCTCGCTTGGGACGCCCTCCGAAAGCCCGAAACCGCGATAGTCGAACGCCAGCACATGAATCTTTGGGGTGCTCATCGAGGACAGAGCCTTGTAGCTGTCCGCTCGCCAACTCGATGCCAGCGTCCCGGAAGATCCATGAGCATGAATGATGAGTCTTGCTCCTGGGTCGTCGCGGAGTAGGCAGAGAAGTTCTTCGCTGGCATCTCGTCGAGGTTCTGCGTTGTTGCCCAGGGTATCCTTGTGGTCCTCATAGACACTGAGAGGTAGAATGTGCCAGGCATGTAGAACGACGCCATCGCGAGTGCTTATGTGAAACGACGTGACTTGGTTTCTAGCGAAGCCAAATTTCTCCGGATGGTTCAAGTCGCCTCTTGGTGTGGTCTTAAAATCATGCATATAGATGGCCCGTCGTTCTACAGCTGGTATTAACAGTAGGCAGCCTATCGCCACATAAGGCAGGACTAGGCCGCCGAGGGCCCATAGAATAGTGGTCGGTAGCGACGATTTACCGAGTACTGAAAAGAGGAACGCCATGATGCGCGACCTTCAATGACTCCCAAATTTCTACACAGCATAAAAATATCTTTATTGTCTTGATCTTTTCCCGGAGTTGGTCGCACGAAAAGTCATCAAATGTTCGACGAAGGATCGTACGACCCGCTACTAAATGAGGCGCAGCGAGACAAGAACATGTGTTCGGTCGCACAATCAACCAGTCTAGAATTTGGCATATCTAGACACGCCCTCGGGCTCTTTTTGGCCATCTAAATCATCCAGCGACGACATATCTTCAGCCGATATCTTGAAATCAAAGACATCTGCATTCTCCTTAATGCGCTCTTCCTTTTCGCTTTTCGGCAGAGGCACCCACGACTTCTGTAAGCAGTATCGAATCAGGATCTGCGCTGGCGATTTCCCGTGCTTTGCTGCTATTTCAGAAAGGACGGGGTCGTCCATGCGCACACCTCGCGCAAGCGGACTGAAGGCCTGCAGCACGATTCCGTGTTCCTGGCAGTACTCCACTGTTTCCCGCTGCTGGTTCCACGGGTGAAGCTATGTAAATCGGGGGCCGTTTAGTCAAAGGAACAGCGGTATGTATGCATATGACTAGTTTCAAGCATGCACCTACCAAGATTTGGTTCACTGCTGGCGGCCATACCGTCGCGTAAGTCTTCATTTCTTCCAAGTGTTCTGGCTGGTAGTTGCTGACCCCGATTGCCCTCGCCTTGCCCTCTTCATGCAGCTTCTCGAGCGCCAACCACATCTCCCTGCGATCCTTCGCGCTGACGCCGTGCGGTGTGTGGACGAGGAACAGATCCACATAGCCACCGTCGCGCGCGTCGATCTTCTGCACACTCTGCAGCGCGCGCAGGTACGTCTTGCCCTTGCCCAGCCGCGGGTACCGAATCTTCGTCGTCACGAAGATCTCGTCCCGCGGCACTCCGCAATCTGTGAGGGCTGAGCCGACTTCTGCTTCATTGTTGTAGAGTTGCGCCGTGTCGATGTGCCGGTAGCCGGATGAGAGGGCGCGCTGACAGGCGGCCGCTGTGTCCTGGCGGTCGATTTGGTACACGCCAAAACCGAGGACGGGCATTCTGCCCTCGGAGCCCTGCAGTGCGATGGCGGAGGCGAGACTCAATTTCTCGTCGTTCATTTTGAGTTGCGATTTATTTTCATTGAGAATTTTTTCATAATACATTCATAAATGATGGTCTTTTGCAGACCAGTTATGCGGAGGAGATTGAGGTTTGGAGAGACTACAATTTGCACTTTGCCTAACAAGGCAGGTTCTCTCAACCAAAGCCAATCAGATGTCAAGATAAGCGATAAATCAATGTGCTAGACAAAAGTTGCTGTCGCAATAGTCGATGAAAGCACCATGTCGACATGGAGAAGTTCTTGCGACTAGACAGATAGAAGAGACGTATATTTCTATGGCACTCATCAACATAGACACCTGAGGAAGCATCAATCCAATACGGTTACCTCATATCTTAATCTACATTATATTGGCCCCATAGCGCCATTAGTGATCCTCTTTATTGATTTAGACCTGCCACGTTACATCCATATCATTGTTTATTCGTTGTAGAATTACTAGCTATATGGGTCTCTTCCTTCAGGCAGTACTGACAGTCTTCTCGAGCTGGGTCTCATTAAGTTTTTGGTTGCTCTTATCAGCGGGAATGATTTCGAAAACTAAATGAGGTTGAGTATTAGTTATGGTTGTTCACTCAGTATCAGTTACAAGGACTTAGCAGCTGGAAACAACTTACCGTCAATGGGAGTGGTGGTAAATTTGCGCGACGAAGTCTTCTTCTGGAAGAGATAATCCAGATCAGCGAAACTACGGTTCTTCGTCTCGGGCAGACAGAAGAAGATCCAAACGGCCCAGATACAGCACAATCCGAAGTAAAACAAACCCGCCTTGGGACCCCAATTCCAGGCGTCGCTGCTCGAGTTCAACATACGGGGGTTGAGCTGCCCTACAATTATCTGGCCTACGACATAAACGGCGCGACCAAGAACAATAGTCTGGGCTCGAACTCGAGTAGAGGAGGCCTCAGCCACGATTACATAGGTCGTGGGACCTAGCGATGTCTTGAAGATGATTTGAACAATGATCATGACGGCGGCCACAGCTATAGCGACGTTGGCGGTCCCTGGGAGGAAGCCCAGGATGCCGATGATTAGCATGGCAAGACCGATCATTGTGGACCCCCAGAAGAAGAAGATGCGACGTCCAACGTTGCCCATCAGCATGATGGCGATAGCAGTGCATACAATATTAACCGACTGAATACCCATGCTGAAGTTGAATGACTGGACTGTAGGCATGCCGGCCGATCGCAGAAAAATGGCAGCATAAGATGTGACAGACTGGCCATTGAGGATCTGGATAAGCCACACCATACAGACGATACCGGTACGGCGCAAGTTGGTACCGCGGAAACAGTCGCGAAAGCTGGCATGTGCTGCTTCTACCTTTTCCATTTCGTTGGTGTGCTTCATGAGAGCCAGCGTCTGCGTCATGCTTTGCTCGGTATAGAAGTCCTTGCGGGCGAGACGACGTAAAGACTTCTCGGCATCGGCAATGCGACCACGGCGGACCAGGTACCATGGACTCTCCGGTGAGAAATATGCGACTGTAAAGAGGGGGACAATCCACGCCCATTGCAGAGCGTACGGGACTCTCCATGACATGTCTCCCGGAATGTCCAAAGATGCACGCAGGATGCCGGCAGCCAAGAACGAACCAGCACCCCAACACATAGACACCCAAGCCGTGAGGTATCCTCGCATAGCTGCGGGGCATATCTCGGCGGCGTAGGCGGTGGTAAGCGTTTGGAAAATACCCCACGGGATGCCACAGAGGATATTGCCGGCAAACAGCATCTGGACATTGACAGCGAAGAATAAGGTGAAGATCGTGGCACCCATCAACGCCATAGCGCCCATGTATACTCTGCGAGAACCGAATCGGGACTGCAAGTAACCGTTGCACAACAGACCGATGATACTGCCGAGATTATTGCCGTTGCTGATGGCCGACTGCCATGAGGTGGGAACATGCTGCTTGCCGTTGGCGTCAGGCCAGCCAAATTTCTTCAAGTAGGCGTCTTGTGCAAAGAAGTTATTAATCAAGCCGACATCCATGCCTTCCATGATCAAAGCCATGCTGAGGAGCGTGCTGAAAGTCACAGCTGGCCAGTATCGTGAGAAGAGTTCCTTCCGCGAAATCTTGGTTTCTTCGTCGCTGGCGGCTAATGCGGCCTCGACGACCGCTTGAGAGTTTTGAATCTCATATTCATCGTGGTCAACGGAGGCGGCTTTGGCCTCACCCTCGTTGAAGGCCATATTTTCGGTGGATCAATTAATCTTCGGACAGTTGTGACAGGAATTAAGCTGGTGCGAAAAGAAGCAACAGGAGTGGAAGTGAAGTAAAGCGGGTGACACAACACAGCAGATAAATACGTTACATTATGGCGTTCTGCCAAGATGCCTCGGTCGACTCAAACACCGAGTGCTCGCAAGAGCGTGTAAGACTTGTATTCGCGGTCTAGAGCGTTTTGGTAGAGCCAAGGCGCTTCCCCGCATGGTCCCCCATGGGGTTGATGAATCAAATCCCCAACTTCTAGCCACATTCCTTGGCGCAGCTCGCTTACCGTGTACGGATCCGTATTGAAGCAGGATCCAAGGCAATACCAAGTAAATCTAACTTTCGGTCGTCGTGACAGACGGTCCCGTGCCATGGTCACGGTAGCCAATTACAGGTAGAAGATGATCTCTAATCCATATGGCCGGGAATCAGCTCGGGGTATCATCGCGACAATATGAAGAGGCCCGTTCCTGAACTTCAATTATGACCTCTTTACTATTTCCCTCTTGCAACAAGCATCGTAATCCTCATTGTTTGTTCAGTTGTTCGTGTTCAGCCGGATAAATTACAGACAGCATTCTTTCTCCGAACCCAGTTCCATCACCGACTGACTTTGAAGATTGACTGAATGGGTAGCTAGCTGGCGTTCTCTCTAAGAAATAATTTTCGAATCCGTTGAAGCGTCGTCTGTTGTTTCCGTCGAACCACCCTATTCAAGCTGTGCCTCGCTTTTCCCAGGGATGTCAAGAGCCAGGGGTCGCAAGCGGTGGAGCTAGACCGTTCGGCTATTAGCTGAAATTGATGTGGTATTAAGCGATGATGGGCAAACACAACAAAGGAATCGAATCTTGGGAGCACCATAACATAGACCGCAGAGCCTTCTTTCCTGTATCTAGTCTTTTACTTCTATTTCTTCATATTAAACTCATACGTAGTTCTTGTAACCCTTCTTTTTCAGGCTTAAGGACAAGCCGTGCATGACTTCTGCTCAATCCACGAAAGCGAAAGTCTTGGCATCATTTGACAGGGAGAGGCATTGGCTTTACTGAATCCTACCAATCGATTGCCACCTTCGTCGAGGCAGCCCCCAATCTACTGTTCGAACAAACAATCATGTCACTTTTCTGAACGAGCCGATCGTTCGTATTTGGGGTCACGACTGTATTTTGGGTGAGAACAATGCGTCATTCACAACACGTTCAGCAGCTGCACATCTGGCCTTGGATAGCGAGAGCGAAAACGATACGATGTCTTGTACATACGGAATACCTCTGTCTACTGTCTATGCTCTCAAGAACATCGAGTAACGTCATGGTGTCTAAAAACATTTATGTCCGAAAAGTGGGAGCCATAACCATAATTGACTACTTCCGAAGGAGTGTTAAGAGTCCAATCATCCATACATTAGTCATAGCGATTCTTTACAAGGAACTTGCGTGCTCCACGTTCATTAGCCTGAAAAAAGGCGTAAATCTCGTTATCCATGGTAACTTTAACTTCGGTAGTATGGAATTAGGGCACCGTGGCTATTTCTCAAGCTACCTTGAGGGATATAGTAATGCTAAGTATTACACGGATTTTCGAACTTCATGGTCTTTATGTATTGAAAACCTTATTAAAAAGATCTCCCCGGCTCTTCTGGACTCTGTTTATAACCGATCTGCATAGTTTCATGTAAGCACCTTGTTGGCAGTTGATTGCGTACGACTGAAATAATAATAATTTCGAACATCAGGATCATCGCCGATAGAGGGAAACAATCTTGTTTATGGTACCTTATATGCCATCTGTGGTGCTGGTGTTTGCGGCAAAAAGAGAATGTGCTCCGGGGTCTGCCGCAGCATCATGGTTGACTGCATTACTGGATACAACTCCAACGGCTACAATTGCCATGGTCCCGGAGCCTGCAAAGGAAGAAATTGCCCCTGCTAATCCATAACTCTCATAGCTGCGCGTATCAACGTGCCGAATAGCGCAACAGTAGCCCCAGCAGATTATATACCGGCTGCCATAAGCAAACCGCTAATTAGTTACAGCATGCCACTTGATCAATTTATAAGGTTATAAGGCTGAGGGTGCATATCCTGCGTGTAACATAATTGTGATTATGGCCGGGAAACTCCAAAATAGTCTAGCTATGGCATTGTAAGCCTTTAGTACCTCAGCTATTTTACTTTAACTCGACCTCATTAAATTCTTCATCATTAATATAGGTAACAGATAAGCCTTATTTTAATTCTTATTTATAGGACTCGTAGAACTTCCCTTTGGCAAATTTTTGCCCCATCGTAAAATATAGCTTATATATACTTACCAGTGCCATAAGTCCATAACTAGAATCGGAATCCCTAGAGACGAACGAAACGTTAGGTGCATGAGGTTATGCAAAATTATCTTGCGTGGCCAATGCGACAGGGCTAATTAGCACAATCCCAACAGATACCGACAGTCACAGCCCAATACATGCAGGATTGACATCAGATACGGGGGCCCAATAATATAAATGGAGGCAAAAGGCACTGTCCTTGGAGAAAAACGAAGTCTTCGTTAATTTGCTCTGTTCTTGAATCATAATATTCTAGTATCTGGCTAATCTTAGCATCCCTGATACACCGATCCCAAGGGTCGAGACAGGTTCAGGCTTGATCAGAGACTGACGGCTTTCAAGCCACAATACAAGCCGTAGCACCAGCCATCACAACAAGATCATTTATCTCGAAAATCCTGACTTAGAGCATCATTACCACTTCAATACATTCTAAATAGAAACTAGCTAGCTAAGTATTAATGGCATTAATATCTCCCTTACACCCACTCTTTCCTCTGTCTTACTATTTATCTTTGGGTTTATATCACACCTTTTACGCCTGATATCTACAATATTATAGCAAAACTGGTAAGCCCTCTCTATAGTCCAGCTTTAGCTTATATACTCCACTTGTTTTGACCTCAGTACTACAAGTTCTCAGAGAAGCTGGTCCTCAGATACTTTGAAACGAATGACGTGACGTACGCATTCACCGCTAACACCTTTACCAAAGCCTTGCGACTTCTCTTCAAAGATAAACGACTAAACAGGACTAAATTTGATTGGTTTAGATATTGTAAGAAGTAACATGGTTTTCTTCAGCGCATTGTTGAAACAAACGACAAGGCTCTTTCACTAGTCGATCATGCAACATTGACCACTAATAAATTATAAAAAGCAACTATGAGCGTATTACTAATGAGGTCAGAGCCTTAGAGTTAGCCGCTAAGAAATCGACGATTCCTGTGCCACGATTACTTGGTCACGGAATTCATGCGGACAGCCGTCGATATTTGGTTACAGGGCTCATCGAAGGCCTCGTTCTGGACCAGTTTCGTGGCTGAGACTGCTCGCGCCCAGGTGGACAGAAGTATACAAATGGTACACTGTGCAAGATATGTTCAGACCAGGCTTACTTGAATGCTCTCCAGTTTATCCAAGGCACTGTTTTGCCCCAGCTGGAGAAGTTAACATCTCGAAACCGCGGTATTCACGGATTTGTTATGCCCCCCTCTTGGCTAAGCCCAGACATTCAGCCTCCGTGGATAGGCAAAAAGCGTTGGGAGACTCTCCCTTTGGAGTCACTCGAATACGTCTTCCAACATGGCGATCTCGCTGCTCACAACCTCATAATTAATCCACAGACTCTCCAAGTTATGACAGTTATCGATTGGGAGTATGCTGGTTGTTTCCCACCAGGTATGGAGAAGTGGCTCGGAACACTGGACTTAGATATCTACATCAAGCGTGGTAATCAGCTAGCCCGTCCGATAGCAGAGTTCCTTGCTGTAGAATATTTGGAATGCTACAACAAATGGGGCGACAAGCCAGAGTTGGACAAGTTGATCGAACGTGGGGAACTTCCATATCCTGATCAACTACGAAGGTCGGCCGGCAGAGATGAGTAGTGGAAAGATTCGTGACTCGAGAAATATCTAAACATCATGCAAGGAAATTCTACCAGAATCGTTAGCTCTGTGACTCTGCCAGTTTTGGTGAGCAATGACGTAAGTCCCCTCTTCTGATCTGCTGCTCCGGGCATAAACGCGCATGCAACGGCCGAGCGATGGTCAAAGTCTTCGTTGACATGTTTACGACCGTGTTAAGTCGCGCATATGGTGTAAGATCTGTTCTTTTCTTGTGACGATGAAACTATCGGGTTATATAACTATAAATAATATAATAGGCTAAGTTTATGCTAATAATGTATACTAGCCGTAATAAGAAGACTAAAGAGATAGACCTTTAGAAAGATATTAAGTAAATATATTATAGCGATCCGATGTAACGATCGCCCAGTCGTTAGGGCTGCCAGCCAGCCACTATATATCAGTCCCGTCCGTCCCGTCGTTAGTCCGTCAGTTTACAGTCTTGTTCCAACCCGAGTCTTTGGTTTCCGTCGTCGCACCTCACCTACGTCGCCTACTTATCGTAACTGTTCCGTAATCATTACATCCGACTAAGGCGCTAACACAGCGCCCGAGTAACGCACGAGTAACGCGCGTATTGAACCAGGACTACTGTCTTGTCCCTTAGTTATGAGCCTTACGATAAGCTTGCAGGCTCATTCACGGACTAATTTATAGATCAAGAGTGAAAAGGATGAGTCCGACAACCAAAATATTATCAATTAGCGACGACGAGTCGTTCTCGTTGTCATTGGAATACATCGCTGCTAAACCAACGACCAACCGTACTAAAAGTGTAAAGGTATGAGAAAGAAAACTTTCTGAAAGGCTTATCTCTTAGGCCTATATTGATTAGGCCGAGAACAACTCCGACAAATGCCGACATGATCCACTTAGCCTTTCCGCTGTGATAATACACCCAACACTCACTACTTCAATATAATACCTCTTTTTTAAAATCTGAAGTTACCTTATAAATAGTAATATTGAAGTATATAAATTAGCATTTAAACCGCTATTGTTCCTATTAGTCGCTTCGTCCATCCTAATTTGCTGACTCATCTTTCGCCTGCCGTACCCCTACCGCTTTTCACCTGAGCAAGCTCAGCTTTTCCGCAACTCCAACAACCGTTTCGATACTCTTCTCATTGCCTCTCCATCACGGCTTTTTATAGTGATGTATTGCGGGCGCTTGCGATCTGCACGCCAGCAGCGGCGCAGCTACCTTGGCCATGGCCTTACCTCTTTTCTGTTGGAACATAATTTTGCGAAGAACACTTTGTTCTCTCCCGCTTCCCCTCTATCCCTCCATCTTACCCCTGTGCGAGGTTTGATGACATCCCCACTTGTTCTTTAAACTGGCAGTTATCATCCACGAGCTTGGCCTTTTCCACACTGACGACGTTGAATCGGCTAGGCAGTTTCGGCAATTGATAGGAATCTGCAATCCGTACCTCCGTTTCTTCTCGAGTGCAACGCGGACATTCCTTGGTCGGAACAGTCTTGGTCGGCGCACGGCCCAATGAGTGCATAACTTGCAGGTTCTACGTGAAAGGGTGTGTAATCTTACTTGTAGATGCGCGTCTAACCATCTACCAATGCGCACTTGACCCGTGCGTAGCAGCGGCTGGTGACAGCCGTGACACTATGTTACAGGAACTTGCCAAGGCTTGCTGCGTGTGTTTTGGGCGTACCACATCCCGTGCTTGGTGGAGCAAGACAAACAGCGAAAAGGGGTCGCGCTTCTTCCATGGGTATGCTCGCCTTTCATCATCAAGTTCACCGTCAGCCATTGCATTCCATTGCCTGACTGCATCACACTCGTTAGTGAGTGAGTCGCCGCCGGACGCGCGAATACCACTCGGGTTGAGACGGACGCTGGCCTTCAGCCCCTGCCAGAGAAGCAAGGCGCATGTCCCTGTTCTTCTGGATCAGCTAGTATTTGACTTAGCTCCCGCAACTCGCCTCGACGGGTCGATCCGTCCCACCCTTAGGCTCAACGGCCGTGGCGGTCAAGTGCTCCCACCCTCCGGCTACCACGAGAATGGGTCTCAAGTGGTGGGACGAGTTTCGTGACCAGCACCTGGAGCTGTGCGAAACGTGGGCGATGCGATGGGCACTCGTGCGGCCATATCTACCACCCGTCAACTTCATCACAGTGCACTATGCCTACTTCATCGTCACAGCTATCATCGGGGCCCTCATCTTTTGGGGCTCCTCGTCTCCTCAATATCCCGTCGGCTGGTGGGATAGCCTATTCATGGTCATGTCCGCGTTGACGGCCTCGGGCCTCAACACGGTCAACGTCAGCCAGCTCACAACTTTCCAGCAGGTCCAGCTGTGCGTCTTCATGATCATGGGTAGCCAGGTCATCATTTCATATTTTACCATTACATTTCGAAAACGCATTTTTGAGAAGCGATTTAAGGATCTTGTGGAGATGGAGCGTGCAAAGAGGAAAGCTACCACCTCAAAGACGGGTGCTGTTGTTGGCATGACGGGCGCCATGATCGGGCTGCAGGTCATGTCGTCGTTTGGCAAAACCCACGGCGCAAAGCAAGAGCCGAGCAGTAGATCGTGGTCTTCCAAGCACAATAATGAACCCAATGTCCAAGTTGCAAGAACCGGACTTCCCCCCGAGGAACAGGCAACTTTATATTCCCAGGCACAGGCCAATTCTGCAACGGGGGTTCTGGGAGGAGTCGAGCGAGATCCGCCGCAACATCAACACGTCGGATTTCTTGAACCGATTCGCGAGAACAGGCCCCAGTCCGCGACGACTGGACATTCCATCTACCAGACACACTCTCATCAGAGCGAAAAAACTGCACGACGAAGGCCACATACAGTCGAATCACGAACATCTGACACTGGCTTCAATGTCCAGACATTCGTTAAGGAGCAAAAGGGCAACATTGGACGCAACGGGCAATTCTTCAACTTGTCCGAGGACCAGCGGGAGTACCTCGGTGGTGTGGAGTACCGGTCTCTGAAATTCCTCTCGGCATTTGTCATTGTTTATTTCGTTCTGTGGCAGCTCTTCGGCGCCATTGCCCTCGGCGCCTGGATGTCCGTTCACGCCGTCGACGAGTCAGCCGTCAATGCCCAGAATCCTTGGTGGGCGGGCATCTTCCTCGCTATCTCGGCCTACAACAATGCTGGCTTCACTCTGCTCGATGCAGGTTTTATACCCTTCCAGAGTTCCTACTTTCTACTCACCATCGTCACGATCCTCTCGCTCGCCGGCCCTGCCGCGTTTCCCGTTTTCATGCGCCTGTTGATCTGGACTATGTCGAAGGTGTTTCATCTCTTTTCGCGGAACAAGGAGGACTACACAGTCTGGAAAGAGGGCTTTGACTTCATCCTCAGATTCCCGCGTCGCGTCTATACAAGCTTGTTCCCCTCGCGGGACACGTGGATGTTCGTTGCTACGTTTGGGGGCTTTGTGCTGGCCGATTGGATCCTGATCCTCGTTCTCACCACTGGCAATCCAACCATGGATGCCATCCCGGTGGGACAGCGTATCTTCGACGCTCTGTTCGAAGGATTCTGTAGGTTGTACCCCTGTCTGACCATCTCAGAAACTCGGCGATCTTTTCCTGACTTTTCAATCCCCTCGCAGCAATTCCATCTGGAGGCTACGCCATCGTCGCCCCCTCAGCCATGTACTTTGACGTACACGTGCTCTGGCTGATCATCTTCTACACGGCGGCATACCCGCACATCATAACCATGCGCAAGACAAACGTCTACGAAGAGCGTTCCCTGGGCATCTACGAAGGAGATCAGACCGAGATTGAGCAGCTCCACTCGGAGACAAGCAGCCTCTTTGACGTCGATGCTGATGCCGGACACAACGACCCTCTCGCGGCGGGCCTTCCGTCCGCTTTCGAAGCCAACGGCAACGTCAATCGGAGAAGAAACTGGGACGCAGCCTCACAGAGGCCATCCGCGAGATCCGTCAAGCGTCTCTATACCGTCGGCCGTCAAGGCACGGCATTCGTGGGCCGACAGCTGCAGCGCCGCATGACCGCCTTTCAAGGCGTCGGCGTCGCCCACGCAGCGGTATCTAACGTGCCTGGTGTCTCCGGCGCTGGTTTCCAAAAGCCCCTCCGTCGCGCCGCCACCATGGACTTTGCACGATCTCCGTCAGTGCACTCCCTGCACAATCACACACCAACCGGGCCACCGAGCCTGGTATCTCAGCAAATGCGTGGACAGCTCAGCCACGATGTGTGGTGGGTTGCCCTAGCTCTGTTCCTTGTCACGCTCATCGAAACGCGACACTCCCTCGAGGATCCCGTAACATTTAGCGTGTTCGGTATCCTCTTCGAGATTGTCTCGGGTTACACGAATATCGGCATCAGCATTGGTCTGCCGGACCAAAGTTACAGTCTTACTGGGGGTATGTATACAGGCAGTAAAATCATCATGACCCTCGTCATGTTGAGAGGAAGGCATAGGGGGTTGCCAGTTGCTCTCGATCGCGCTGTCAAATTGCCCGGAAAGCGATTAGCAGAGCTCGAAGATGAGGATGCTGAAATTAGGAGCATATCAGCTTCATCCCGATAGAATTTCATCATTACAGTTTTGAACTATATGTAGCGATAAGAATACGATTGCATACTTAAGTAGGTAGACTTCGCTAGCGCTTAAATTTAAGTCTTATATTATTAAACCGCTAGTCTTAGAATTAACGCTAGGGTGGGCCAGTGTGGGCCACTTAGAAGTGGCATACGAATATGCGTGGCATAGGCTTTTCCGCGACGAAGAAGCGTTGCATCAGGTGGCCAAGAACCAGGACGATGTTGTTCATGGCAGGCTTGGTATCTGTTATAATCTTCCTGATGTCCCCATCCTGTACGATTTACTTAACGCAGAGGGAAAATACAGGTAGGATCTAATCCTTGCAGAGGAACACGATCGAGACGTGCAGGACGGCCCACCGAGTATCTACGGCATGACGAATACTTCTCAGATGCGAAACATCGCAAGAGAATACCCTTGGATTGCATATACCATATCAAACGATGTTCAGGTGTTCAACCATTCGTACATAAACAGTCGAATTCTTTCCATCATTTGACATGCTATCTTATGGGTGGTTGTAATAAAGTCATCTCTTGGCAGTTGTTTTGCCCGGTCCAAGCCGTAAAACACTAGTCGCCAGCATGCGCCGTACAATATCAGCCTAGAACAATGCAGGGTTCCTTTATACAATGTAAGCATGAGCCGGGGGGTGTGGCTGGGATCAGGCTGTGCCCAAAATGACAGCTTTGAAGTCTGACCCATCCGATGATGCGATCTTGGCCCGGGCCGAGAGATTTCTAACCTGCACTCAGCTAGGCATTCGACCTTTGTACTCGATTCGACATATTATTGGAGATCCAGGTTTGGCCAAGATGCGTTTGCCTCCATATTGGGACATGGCAACTAAAGGAATTCTTTGGCGACCCCCCACCTTATGCGATATTATCTCACACCTGGGATCAGGACAAGCTGACCTTTGACGATATGAAATCAGATCATGGGAACGAACAAGCACATGTATCAACCAAATCTGGATTGTGGAAGCCCAGGGATGTTGCCGATTGGCTGTTCAACGTGATTTAGAGTATATTTGGGTCGATACCTGTTGCATTGACAAATCGAGCAGCGCAGAGCTCTCCGAAGTAACCAATTCAATGTTCCTTTGGTATCAACAATCCAGAGTCTGCTATGCGTGCCTTTTGGATGTGGCTCTGGTCAATCCTACTGGCTTTACCCAGAGTCGATGGTTCAAAAAGGGGATGGACTCTACAAGAGCTTCTAGCACCAAAGAAAGCGGTATTCTACGACAAGGATTGGGCTTTGCTTGGATCGAAGATCAACTTATGCCCCTCGATCACGGCTGCCACCAAAATTGCTGCCGACTTTCTGAATGGGAGGCCATTATGTGTCGAGGGTCCTTACCATAGTGGTGCACCACAGGCAATGATCTTGCACCGGCGATTGTCAAGTAGTATGCCGGCTGAGTACCCTCAAGTCTCCGTACTAATGTCCTGCTAGTCATTGTAACTTGTGCTAATTTCTGGAAGATAAGAAATCCACTATGGGTGTCTCTTGTTATAAGTGGAAAGGTGCAATGCAACGGGATTTGGTATTGGCCGCAATTATCACGAACAGGGGCTACTCGTCCTCGCCGGGCAAACCCTGTGCCATCCCAAAAGCCTTTGTGCTTTTCTTTGCTAACATAAATCCCAGAGCATAGAGCTATGATTGGTCCCGAGGGATCGGTACGCTAGGCTTTACGGTGACGCTGTTGGTCTCCATTCTCACTAGAGTTAGATGTGCGGCTGCGAGGTTTCAAGCAGTGAGTGGGTGGGTACCTTTACATGCCCTAGAGCCGCTCGAATCATGGCGATGCGTTATCCGCGCTCATGAAGAGCCAACGACCCTCACTCCGATCTCCTGTGCGGCTGATATATGAGTCATGTTGAGGCATTAATCGTTCGACACTTGGACAGAAAATTCTGCTGCGTCTCCCATCAACGCGCTAAGCATGGCTCAAGAACTTCAAAGTGACCTTACCAAGTCCAATTTACCTTTCACAAGATTAATGCCTTCGTGTGAGACCACATGAACCGATCTGCACGAGCATGGGTCATGATCACACGCTGTTGGTTGGGATGTCGCAATTGCACCAATGGTGTACCAGGCCGTGACGAGGTTGCATGCCGTCGGGACCGACTTATGAGGGCAAGAAGATGCATATTCACATCTCAGGCAGAAGCTTTACTCTCAAAGCTGGAACCGTTCTCTATAAGCCAATCGGCGGATGGTGGAAAATGGTGCAGACAAAGACGCACAGACACCAGGAGCCTCCTAGAATAGGTCAACCCCTAAAACATTGACACAAAGTTTCCCTCTCTTCTTGTGTGCTCTTTTCTTGGAGAATTGCACGACCTGTAGCAAATTGTTTCAGCGGCAATGTCACCCTTGGTCCAATCACTATTCAAGATGATTTCCAAGATGCTGTTCCGCAGCTACATGAGTACTGAGACAAGCTACGGTCTAAACTAGAGGGGATCTGGGGTAACTGAAGGACTAACCGTGTCAATCAAGGGAAACGGCAATAGACATTGGCAAATACACTTGACCCATAGAACAAAACATTTGCACTTTCAACATTTGCTGGTATAACAATTTAATTTAATTATTCTTTCGAACGCGAAATAGCCCAACGTATATGCCCAATGACGCTGGAGCTACCATGTTACGGCAAGATCAGAATGAGGATGACTGATTTGATAATTATAAGTGGTTGATTGAACTGAGAGGAGTAATACCAGACCCTGTCAAAAGATTCTCCTCCTTGTTTCTCCGTAGTTCTCTATTTACATCTGAGTCTTAGTCAGAAGTCGGCTCTCCGAAGACATCTCCTTCACTCATTTGCTGTTTCATTAGTTTACGCAAGGCACTCTCTTTATCAGCTGAGAGTTGCAAGTAGCTGCCGATTTCAGCCACTTTGCCCTGATTGTTGAGAACGATGATCTGATCCGATCTTTTGATGGTAGAGAGGCGATGCGCGATGGAGATGGTGGTGTTGTGTCCACGTAAGACTCCGGCTATGGCCTCGTTCACCAGAGTCTCCGACTCAGCATCGAGAGCCGATGTTGCCTCATCTAGGATCAAAATATCCGGATCTTTTAGTAGTGCCCGCGCAATCGCGACCCGTTGTTTTTGCCCTCCAGACAACTGAGAGCCTCTGGCACCAACTTGTGTCTCTAGTCCCCCAGGGAGATCACTTATGAAGTTGCAATTGGCCCTCCGGGCAGCTGCAATGATCTCCGTACGTGTTGCCAAGGGCTTTCCATACGCAATATTATCTGCAAGCGTTCCAGAATATAGAACCGGCTCTTGGGAAACCATTCCGATTCTTCTCCTCAAAGATTTCGCGTTCATCTCCGCGATGTCTACGCCATCAATAGTTATTGATCCTGAGGTGGGGTGGTAAAATCGAAGCAAAAGAGATGCAACAGTCGATTTTCCACCTCCGGACGAACCGACAATGCACACATTGCTTCCAGGTGAGATCTCGAAATTGAGACGATCGAAGATCTTGACTGATGGTCGAGTCGGATAAGCGAAGCTAACGTTGTTAAACTTGATCAGACCTTGGGCAGACTTGACGGGCTTCCCAACTGTCTGATAGATGCTAGGCCGTTTGTCCTGTAACTCGAACAGCCGACCAGCGGCACCCATGCCCTTCATGAGCTCCGAGTAGAAGCTGGAGAGTCCGAATGCACCAGAGCCAGTAAAGAGAGTGTACAGCATGAATGATGTAAGGTCCCCAATAGATAATGCTCCGGATTTTACCAAGTTACCGCCTATCACCAATATTGCCACAGTGACCATATCACCAACCCACCCAGTAGAAGCAAAAAATGCCGCATTGGTGACCGACTCTTTGCGTCCAAGAGTAAAAATATTGCGAATCTGCTTGTTGTATCGTCTGACTTCTTGGACCTCTCCGACAAAAGCATGGCTGGTCTTTATATTTCCCAAACGCTCTTCAGAAATCTTTGTCAACATTCCGAGGCTCGTCTGTATTGACTTACTAACATTCCTTATGGCGAGCCCGTACGCAACCGTACCGATGGCGACTGGAGGAAACATCAGCAGTAAAAGACAGGTCAGCTTTGGGCTAATCCAGATCATTATAGAGAGACCAGCACCACAAACGACCAAAGAATTGAGACCTTGACTCAGATTTTGCGTAATAGATTTGCCAACAATGGCAGTATCAGAACTTAGCCGTGAGATGAGGTCGCCCACTCTGTTGGCATCAAAGAATTCTGCATCCTGCACGTAGGTTCGCCTGTATAGCTGCGAACGTAGCCTAGCGACCACCCTCTCCCCAACGATGCGTAGCAAAATCATTCCTCCATAATTCGCCATTGCTCCGAAGGAGATAATGCTGACTAATCCAAGGATGAATTGGTTCAATGTCAAACCAAGTAGGCCAATATCTTCCGCGCCACCTTTTGTCGCGATATCCAAGATCTTCCCGATAGAGTATGGGATTGACATACTCACGCCTGAGTAGATGACTAGAAAGACAAATGCAAGCACAAGCTGTCGGTATTCCGGTCTAGCGATTTTGATCAGCCTCCATATTTCTCCAACGCTAGCTCGCTCCTGTCCTTCACCTCCTTTGGAGAGTTCGGCCGATAGGTCTATGTGCACTGCTCGAGCTGCTCGATCCGATTTCTTAAATCCTTCTCCAACCTTATTTTCCTTGTATTGCTGAGATAAATTGCGCTCATCGGGGTTTGCATTCTCATTGTTGCTGCTTGACTCAATTTTGTGTCGAAGATAAGGAAATGAAGAAAATTGGAGCTTGGACTGAAGGGTAGAGATACCATGCAGATTTTTATTACGAAGCTTGGACATGTGAGAAATGCACGCTTTGTTGACGTGGTGTTCGAACAAGGAACTTGATACGGCGGGTCGGCCCGTAGAGTGCACCCAAGATGGGTACGGATCTGGCAGACTGTATTTCACGTTCGAAAAACATCTTGCCTTAAATCCATGAGCAGCAAAAGAAGAGAGGCAGGTCGTTGTTGCGAGACTCACAGCAAGTCGAACCGTGCATGTTTGTTGGAGGAACGACGTTACCATCATAATCAATCGACTAATGCAGCCTCCAGGCGAAGGTGCAATGTGCCGTAAACGAGCGGATGGGAAGAAGAGGAAATATGGTGCCGTTTCAGCGAGACCAAGCCTCGACGTTCAGTTGTAGGTCGCTTGTTAATAATTATATTGCGTGATATTTGAACTCTAACAAAGTTGGGGCATGTCGTAGCTGGTCTAGAGTTGACTCATAGGACAAGTCCCTATTAAAAGAAGATACGAGGACTTTATCGGTTAAGTTTACATTGAACAAACAGTATACATATATATGCTGTTAGTTATTTAACGGGGGCTTATGCACGACCTGCTTGTTAAAAATTACTGTACCTAGTACAGAACTGTATGCAACCACGATTATGTGCGGTGTCAAGCGCATAAAGTCACCCCGCACCTACAAGTAATAGATACCCAGAATCTGACGTAAGATAATGTATAACGTTATGTTCGAGGCGTGCCATTCTCTGCTGTTGTGCTTATAATCTTGCTTCTTGGTAATCAAACCTAACTTTCTGCTCCATTATGTTTGTAGGACCTGATGTGGCACAGCGCAATACAACGTGTCCGGCTAGGGCCTACAACTCATTTTGGTCTAGGGCAGCGTTGACAGAGAAGGGCCGTGCTCTGTGCGAACAACATACTGCATGTCATCGGCCTCCTCGGGCGTAGTGAGACGATGATCCACCATACCTTACAAGAATATTTTCACCGAGAGGAAGACGAGCATGGGAGCTGGTTGGTAGTCGAGAAGGGGGAAGCGATCTTTCACACCAGACCGGCGCCTTCGACTTCGGGAGAGCTATCTGTCAGAACTCACGGTGAGATGCTGGTTGATTGGAGTCCGCTGCTGCTGTACGGCTCCAAGGCGTCCACCAAGGCATGTGTTGCGGGGGAAATTGTTGCAATAGAAAACGAAGGCCTCGACCGCGACACACAGCACATAGGAGTGTCCGCAGATACGATTGTCATTGAGGGACATCAGGAAAGGACTTCGCTGGAGTGCGATTCAGCCAACAAACGTGAGCCGAGTCAAAGAGAGGAATCCGACATGTTAATTTCAACTCGCTCGAGTCTTTCAAGGCTTGTACTGGTTACACATAAATTAATCATGGGACGGTGTCCTGAATATTTCAAAGATCGCATCTCAATTCTCCTCTGCGACTATCGATCCTACGATGTAAGGGGACTGTTGAAGTGTACATCAATGTGCGACAACGTGGAATCGTTAATGGTCTTTGCTATCCGTTTAAAATGTGGTCACTACTTGTGCCAAACGGGAATTGGCTTATGTCAGATGTCAGATGCGATGCCTCTTTTCTGGAAGCAAAGTTGCCCACAATCAGCAGCACCAAAGCACATAGACTAGCCCTTGAACTGCTAATATTCCTGTCAGCCGCCCGGTGCAGTGGCTTTTGCTAACTCACCCACCCAGTGGTCCGCGGGGTCTTAAAGGGGTTTCGCTCGTATGCAATGGAAAGATCGGTTCCCTCCGCTAGTTCATTTCTACAACTACTCTGCACTTGAGAGGGATGTAACGCCAAGTTGAAGCTCAGCAGTACAACGTATCTGCTTGAAAGCTGTGGAGAATTTGCACCTAAGATACAGCATGACATACAGACGGATCTTGACGGTAATTGTTATGGCCAACTAGACGGCCGATTCATTCTGGGCTGTTTTTACCACTTGGATGAAGACTTTGTTGCATATGTACGGTCTAAAAAGCCAATAGACCTCCTGGTGGTCGTGTACTTCTCGCTACTTTTGTACACGTTGGCTAAATGCTGGTTCTTGTGTGGGTGGCCAGAACATCTGTCGCCAAGATCTGGCGGATGTTGCGGAAAGTTATAACGTCTCAGATAAGCCTGATATTGCGGCTTAGATATCGTGGCTTATGGATTGACTAAGAATCGTATTTGAGGGCTTCTGAGAATATCGCATAACGTAGGTTGGGCATCATTGGCTAATCTCACCCTCATGATCCCTGAGGACAAGAGATTACCACGGCCGGCACTCCTTCATTAGGTATTTGGTACATGCTCTACTACTTTTGAACACTCTTATTGTGCCCTAATGATGTCCTCTAAAATGAAAAAGGCTAATTATGGCGAGTTCCTCATCTACCGGGCCTTCAATTCGTGACCATCGTCGGAGTATCTGCCCGCGGTTACTATATTCTGCCGACGGCAAATGGAGTGAAAATATGGAGAGTACGTAAAAACAACATCAGAAAAGACTGGGAATCCTTAGGGTTCGGCAACTGTAAGCGATGCCTACACGGTAGCCATAGTAGAGAAAGGCTAGGAGACAACAGCAGCCTCCGATCCTTGCTAAGAGCTCCTAAACCAGAAAGTGGGTATAGTGAAATGAAGTTTGACGAGAACCATAAGCGATCTTACAGCGCGTTAGTTGCCAAAGGAGCCTTGCTCAGACTAATGAAACTGCCAGGGAGCTCTAGATATGCATGTCGAAATCCCCAAATGGATTAAATATAGACGCATCGTAGCAGGTCGGATCGATGAATTCCTGTGCGAAATCTGCCAGCAGCTGTGGTTGGTTATCGGGTGCGAGACGGAATGTACCCGAGTTATGATTCACGTCATCGGGATTGTCTGGCGGCTGCAATGGACCAGCACGCTTTTCTGATGGTTTTGCAGTCCACTTTGTGCTGGACTTGGTGAGCATGTTAGCTGCACATGTTCGTACGCGATTGTACGCCATGTCTGCCGAGACCCACGTCCGTCTCATGACCCGCAGACAGCCCAGGACCAGTGTCACGCGGTTGTAGTGGTGATCAAGACAGTCCTCGTTATGACTGGCTGATGTAGCAAGTTGGATCATGCCACAAAGCCCCAGCGCTGGTATAATAAGCGGGGAGTGCTTCTGAATGTTTGGGCAGATCGAGATGAAGTCCGACACTCGCCTGGACGCTTCAGTTGACTTGATGCTATGTATAACACGAGAAAATGTCGGGGGCAGCGTCTCGAGCGTGCAAGGCCAGCAACCGACGTCTTGTGGCACGAGCAGACGTCGCAGATCGCTTCGGGGGAGATGAATCAGCATAGCGGCATATGCGATGATGACGTGTGCTTGGAACATCATCTCGTCAACGTTGCCGTACGAATCAATGATGTCTAACTTCTTGGTAGGTAAGAGATTCACCCAACTCACCAAAGCATTTTCTACAGCTTGAAGGTGATCTCGGTGAGGGTCTCGAATCTGATTCAGAAGGAGTGCTCGGCAGAGAATCATTATAGCTTCGACACGATAGCTGAACGACGAAAATATTGTTTCCTCGTCGGCAAATATCCTGCCCTTGAACGTTAGGAATCGTGCCGGTTCAGGAATTTCTAAGCTCTTGGCATAGACGGATTCTTCGCACGGTAGAGCCACCTCGGGTGCGGAAACGTTGTAGCGAAACGATACTGGTACTGCTGAGATATTCATGAATATATCGACGAGGTAGAGCTCCCACCAGGTTCTACGCAGGCTCTCGGCCTCGATAGGCTGCTCCAGATTGAGCGACGATGCAAAGTCGCCCTTGTGCATACCTATCTCAGTCGCGATGTCGACTGATTTCGAGTAGGTTTCTAGAGCTTTGGGCCGGTCTTCGTTCGCATACAGAGAGATCGCATACAATAGCCGAGCCTGAACCATGGACGGCGTGCGATCTCCACTGACGGTCAAGGCCGAGTCGACGCTCTCTTTCAAGATCCGACTGGGCCCTGATGGCGAGTAGTGAGAGCCGATAAGTTTGACCACGGTCTGAAGGAAATGAGGATAGTTCCGGGCTTGATACATGGCAGCCGGGACCAAGATAGGATGCGCCACGTGGAAATTTTCGTAGAAGAGACGAACAAGGCGATCATCCTGATGACCTCTTCCAGGGTCTCCGTCATGATATGGGCTCAAGACGCTACTATCCAACAACGGCGCTGAGGCCAGAATCTCCATCGTGGACGCGCGTGGTACGTCGGACAGGACCCCGGATTCATGGTTGTCCTGAGAATGTGCGCTGGATGCGGTTGAGTCTTGTTGGGTGGAGCATTGCGATTCTCGATCCCTTTTCCGCCTCCCCCCACGACGAGATGGCAGGAATTGGCAAGTCAGTGCGTTTTGAGAGCAGCGGAGACAACTTGGCAGGCCTCCGTCGCACTTCACGTGCTGTCTTCGGCATTCCGTGCAGGCAAGCGAAGCCGGGGCTCTGGTCCGGGCTGCTCTGGTGGCGTGCATAATCGATTCATGCCGGGTCATGCAAAGTGTACTATATGTTCCGAGATGAGATGTCATGAACCAATGTAATTCAATCGCCGTTGGTAGCCCTGGGTCGGTCCTTGGCTAATAGGTGATTTGACAGGCTAACCTAACCTAGTGTCCTCAAGGAAGGATACTTCGCTGCGGGGCACTGTGACGCTATTGTTGATGTCCATTCGCCAGACTATGTCGCATTCTAGTACTACTTCCGATAGCAGTCAGGACAAAAAGACCGACTTCTGTGATTGAAGCTTTAACGCTGACAACCGTGACACATTATAGTAGAGATGACCTCAAGTTTCTATTGGAATTAAATGTTATCACAACGAACTTTAGAGCCAGTGCATTCTATTGCGGTCGTTTCGTCTTCAACAGGGTTTTAATTCATGGCCGAGCAACACACCAATAGAGGGAGAGTACCGCATAAGAATATATATACATAATTAAAAGTGCATCAGGGTATCTTCATTGCAGCGTCTAAATCGTAATCCAACCCCGGGTTTCCATGGCCCAGACGACCATCCGTCCTAGTTCTAATTCTTAGTTTGTCGCAGCATGCGCCCTGGCTTGATGGACGAAACTAGCCTTGCCTGTCTCAGCATTGAATATGTGGTATCCATACTCAGCAGCATTCGGAGGCGTATATACTACATGAAAGTCAGTGATTATCCTCGAATAAGCTAATGCGCGGCAACGCACAATGCAGAGACACAGCGACCTCGTCGGAGCTCGGATTAGAAACACGGTGAAGCCCGATCTGGTCGCTAATGTATGTGACCTCGTTCGGGCCATAAGTTGACACTGATTTCGCTCGAAGGGGCGCCGTCTCGGAGCTCTGGTTTCCCTGGGGATAGTAGACCGTCTCAGTCAACCTTCCGGCCAGAACCTTCATTATGCAATGTGCGTTTGCGTGATCGTGTATCGGCGAACCCTTGCCAGGGTTCCACACTAGCAACAACTTCCACGACATGTCAGAAAGTGCATCCAAAGACCAGATACGACACCAACTCACAATATTGGCTTTTCTGTTCACATTCTCCACCGCGTTGCGCGTGTACGCTTTGGACTTATCGTTGTAGAAGTACGTCGACCAGTCGCTTCGACTCGAGTGGTATCTTTGGAGAAGTGCTTTCAGATACTCCTCGTCGACATCATTCGAGTCGATGCCGGAGGAACTGCCCAGGTGCTTCTTGATATCGCGTATGACATCTGCCAGGCTGTATCTCTCAGCGTGGGCCCAGTCTGTGCTTGGAAAGTTTGCGGACAGTGGTGACTGCGTAAGAGCCAGGACTGAAGACATCTTAGACGCTTGTTGAAACTCTGATTGAAACAATGGCCCGATATGAAGAAGAAGATGCGAAAATGTTGGTCTGCGATTTGAAGCTTGCATTCATCACGAGCTGGCGCTATATAATCCGTGAATCCAAGGCCCTTCGCACGATTGGTAGTAAGTGGATCTCTTCTCAATCGGCGATTGAAATTGCTTGAACGCCGGGGCCTGTTTCTGACCGTGCATTCATGAACCGTTCGCCGATTGAGATCCGCTATTGGTCCTTCCATCTGTGCCCAGGTGATCGCCGTGTAGGCGCTTCCTAATTGACGCATCAAGACCACGTATTTGTAGGCTGAAAGGACATGACACTGCCTGGATCTAGGACATGACTTACTCATACAATGCAATTAGGAATAATGGTACCGCAATCACCAATATATTCTCGCATAGATTATCATTGTGCTGAAACGCAAGACCAAGCGACCCGACTCCCCAATTACCGACGTATATAGGTGAGGGTATGTTGAGATATATGTATCGAATCTGGCAGATTGAAAGAGATAAGGGAACAAACAATTACCTCAATTGATTTCAATCCTGGTCACTCAAATGTGACCGTTACACATCACGTCCCCTTTCTTATTGGAAGTTGAGTCTTATCAAACATCCTTCACGGCCTCCGACTATCTCCAGTAGTCCTACAGTTCAACCTGGAAGTTCACTTAGCTTTGAGTACTCTCTCACTTCAATTTGTACCTAATGGGATATATGTTGAACTTAGCCGGGAATAGCATCTGGAAGTCATCAACTTCTCAGCCAGCAGTGGTATATCTGGCATGTGTGGACATTGAGGAATCAGTAACGACCTTTCAGTATAGTTGGTCAGGGAAGGGGAAATGGGAATATCAAATAGGGCCACTAGAGTAGAACTACACTCCCGATACGTGTTTTAAAGTACAAAAATCGATGTTTTGTGTGTTTTACTGACGAAACCAACCCATTTCTGCAACAAGACAAACAAGTTAGCACTGAATGCTTTCTCGAAGACTTTGTCCCTCAGAGACGTTGCCATGGTCACAACTGAAGATGAAATGTGAGATATCTTTGCTGATCACTCGGGGTCTGCTAGCCCCATCCTGGAGCACTGTTGCACTGTGGGACCAACAGGCGTGTCCCCCTTCAGCTGTGCGTACATTGCGTCACAGACTGCCTCGATAGCTTCCTTTAACCTCCAGACAATCCAAGTTTCATATCGCAAGTAAGATATTTGCCTGCAGGTATTTCGACCCATCTGGGGACTTTCTTAAATAACGATGTCGGGAATGGAGGAGGCGATGCTTTCTAGACTGAGGATGCCAGCAACTTCATAAGGCATGCTTTCAGCGGTCGTATTGCAGGTGTTATCTGTTAGTCCTGTTTATATGACGGGGATGCAGCTGTAATCGATGCGAGCAGGAGAACCGAGACCGCCCCAAAGTTGTGGATGAGGATGTTGAAAGGCGATCTTCTTTTGGGTTGTGGAATGCTGAATTTCCGTTGATACGATCTGCTCGATTGGCTTGCTGGAAGAAAAGAAATGGTTTTTGACACTCGAGATACGACAACTTTTTATTACAAGCAGAATGCCAATTCCAGGGGCGGGGTCTTGGCTTTTCCACCGGTTAAGGAAACTCATGCACGCCAAGACATATAACGTACCTCGACTGGGTGTACTGGGTCAAGCTTGTACTCAATCCCTGTGTTCGAAGAACATGGAAAGGCTAATGTAGTCTCCTTATCTCGATGTGTCTATCGCCAGCGCTCATATCGTGGATGAACGGTCTTGCCGCCAACACTTTCTCGCGTCCAGGTCTCCTCCATAGGAGGCAGCCCAGATGAACTGCCCCCCCGGATACCCAGGTTCGACCTTGCGATAAGTTGAGACTGGTTGCGGTGACTGACAAGTCAATTTGTGTTGTAATGTATCTGAACCGTCTCGCTTGCATCAGCTATATTGGAAGTTGTTCTTAGAAGGACCGAGATTAAAGATCTATGCTGTTGCGGGCCACAGGCCATACATAATTTTCGAGTTCATCTCCACCATAGGACGAAATACTTGGACTCAGCGAGACGCTTACATGGTCTGCAACCTGCTCACAAACTGGGAAATGAATGAGGCTTCTACGACACGACAAGAAGGGACCAGAATATATGAAGGCAGGCGTTACTCTGGGTAGAATCTCAACGGAGATCTTCTGCGTCACGAATAATTCTGCGGACAGGGACATCTCCTACTCGAACAAGACAACATTAAGGTTTGCAAGCAATGGCAAAGGCTAATATAGGAATCTATGCAAATTTCGTCCCTGAACACAAGAGAATGCATATTGTCCGTCCTAAAGCATGTGCTATAGCGTCGATCCCAAAGCATACACGCTAGTTTTGATAGGCCCTTGTGTGTTATTCCTCCTACAATAGAGGTGCTCCGCCAACAACAGCTTAAGGAAATCCAGCAGAAGAGATCTCTCAAGGCATACAAACACACGCGGGCCTCATGATAGAAATGTGGCTGCATTTCAAGCAGCTAGAACAGCGACCTCTGGCATGAATTGAGTTCAAGGACAATGGTTAGTGACTTCGATTTAAAGTTGCAGGCGTTTTGGTGATTGGGCCAATGGGGGACGCGCCAAATAAAGAAAAAGCCCACCCGCAGACTGTCGGGTCGATCATTGCCAATCATGAGGATCCGACTGTTAAAGCAAGCACTACCTTGCATTACACAGTTCGTGATTGTCCCAAAACTATAGGTTATGGACTGTAGTGTACTACCTTGACCGCTTTTACGACAGAGCCAGGTTTTGAGAAGCCAATGGCGAGTTGTTTGATAGGTAGCCAGTCAATGTTTCGACGCTCATGCCTTGATAGTGCCTTTATTAGGGGCGTAAATGGACAGGCTGGGCAGTCATTTTGTTCCCTGGTATCCTGTAATTAGGTATTCTGTATTCCCCAGACATTACTTGTGTCCATTCATTTCGGACACTGCGACGACTGTGGCAAGCTGCAAACGTTTACCTGGCAACGTGTTTATCCGTACTTTAGTCTAGGTTAGCTGGCATTAGACTTACCATAGTCTAGCAGGATAACGGTAGGCTCGATAACTTAGCGCACTGTCCGAATTGACGGGGATTGTAGGCTGCATCTGCTGGCTGGCAGCCCCTTCTTCGCCGTCTGTATCTGCACTTATCTGCCCCATTCGGGTTCTCTGCTATCTTGTACCATTCTTTAGGCTTCCATCATACTGTGAGATCTTTGAATTTCTTATTTATTTTTCTAGAGATTCCGTGGCATACGTTCAGTGAGTAGTCCTGTATTTTATTGGAGGGGTGCATACCAATTGGAATACCGTACCGGTAGTTCGGGACACCACAATCCCACCAAGCATCTAAACGCAAATGCGCTAACTCGTGCGTCTAGCGCGTGGCAGAGCGTGGCAGAACATGTACAGTTGTAAACCCCCCTGGAGACCCCCCCCTGGAGATCCTCCACCCCTGGACCCTTGCTGGGATCTATCGACTTTTCCCGAACTTGACGCGCCATATTCCGATAAACAGTCGAGAGCTTCCATCCAGATTCAGATAACAACATCACATGGTTCTTTTTCATCGCCCAGTAATATCGACCGACACACAATCCTCTCGGTCTGTTTTACGGTCGGCTGGTAACCTATCGCCACTTTTTTCCTCTTCCCCTTGCTTTCTTTGCTCAGCTGCTATAGCATAGCATAGTGACCAGAAATCGGATTGTATTCTCCAGGTCCTGCATAGAACCCCTAAACAACCCCGAAATCATCCTCATCGCTGCCCCCATCCGCCATCCGCCCAACTTTATGCAAATATGTCGGGAACAATGAGAGGAACGCCCAGTCGCGGGCAGGCACGCGGAGCCATCCCTTTCGCAAACGCTCCCAGTCCAGCCGCAGCGTCGAATATCCCCAGACCCGTCCTCGAAACGCATCCCAGCCACGCCGGCGGCCACCACGGCCCTGCCCCTAGCGAGGTTGCCTCCGGAGTCAGCGCCAGCAGGAACAAGCAGAGCAAGAAGGATGAGGTATGAAACGTTGTTTTTCTTTTCTTTTCCTGTTTGTTTGTACTCTGCACCAGCCGTACAAGATACCATGCCCCAGAACCGTGGTCAGCAAGAAAACCATAAAACGAGGTGGAAGCTCACTAGTACCGCCAGGCCATCCGTCGCAAACTCGAAAATGACCTCAACAAGAAGAAGAACCTCACCAGCCGAGCTCGCCATTCGCGAAAGGCACCGCCCGGCACCGTCCTGGCCCTGAAGCCCAGCCCCGCCCTCCAGATCAAGCCCGGCACCACCGTCGCCGAAGCCGCGCAGCTGATGGCTGCCAAGAGGGAGGACTGTGTCCTGGTCACAGACGACGACGACCGTATCGCCGGTATCTTCACCGCCAAGGACCTGGCTTTCCGCGTCGTCGGTGATGGCCTGAAGCCCAACCACGTCACCATCGCCGAGATCATGACCAAGAACCCCCTTTGCGCTCGTACCGACACCAGCGCTACCGATGCTCTGGAGCTCATGGTCAGGAAGGGCTTCCGACACCTGCCCGTCATGGACGAGAACCAGGACATCTCGGGTATCCTCGATATCACAAAGTGTTTCTACGACGCCATGGAGAAGCTCGAGCGAGCATATGCCTCCTCCACCAAGCTGTACGCTGCCCTCGAGGGTGTGCAATCCGAGCTCGGTTCGAGCCAGCCCCAACAAATCATCCAGTATGTCGAGGCTCTGCGATCCAAGATGTCTGGCCCGACACTCGAGTCCGTCCTGAACGGCCTGCCTCCCACCACCGTTAGCGTCCGGACGTCTGTCAAGGAAGCTGCCCAGCTCATGAAGGAGAATCACACCACGGCCGTTCTGGTCCAGGACCAGGGTGCCATTACCGGCATCTTCACGAGCAAGGACGTCGTCCTGCGTGTCATCGCCCCCGGCTTGGACCCTGCCAACTGCAGCGTCGTCCGTGTCATGACCCCCCACCCCGACTTTGCTCCCATGGACATGACCATCCAGGCTGCTCTTCGCAAGATGCACGGTACGTCAGAACCGGCCCGGCCCGACGATGATCTTGCTAACTTCTAATAGATGGCCACTACCTTAACCTGCCTGTCATGAACGACCAGGGCGAGATTGTCGGCATGGTTGACGTGCTGAAGTTGACCTATGCAACCCTCGAGCAGATCAACACCATATCCACTGGCGATAACGAAGGACCTGCTTGGAACAAGTTTTGGCTCTCCTTCGACAACGAGACCGAGTCCATGGTCTCTGGCGAAGGCTCTCACCACCACACGGCCCTCTCTCGTTCAGTCATGTCCCCCGACCACACCCGCGACCGCCTTAACGACTCGGTCGCCCCAGGTGACTCGGCTTCCCACATTGGCATGGATTCTCCCGACTCTGTCACCGGCCCCCCTGAACAGTCCCCGTCCGACACCCCCTTCGCATTCAAGTTCAAGGCCCCTAGTGGGCGTGTCCACCGTCTCCAGGTCGTTGCAGCTCAGGGCATCGCTGCATTGGTCGAGAGTGTCCTTGCGAAACTCGGCTCCGAGGTCGACGCAATTGGCGGTGCGCCCGTCGTCCAAGATGGCAAAATTGGTGCCAGCGGTTTCGCGCTCTCCTACATGGACGATGAAGGCGATACGGTCTCTATCACCACAGATCAGGATCTCCTAGAGGCTATTCTCCTCGCTCGTTCGAGTCATCACGACAAGGTTGACCTGTTCGTCCATGATCCTTCGCAACCCCCCATTACAGTCACCGCACCCCAACCTGTGCCAGAGCTTCCAACGCCTCCTGCTAGCTCTGCGGTGGCCAGTGACGTTCGCCGTCGTCGGGCTCCCGTCATCGACGAGGAGGAAGACGAGAGCGAGGAAGAGGACTATGCTCCCACCGTCCGCAGGCGCAAGACCGCGAGGAGTGGCGGCAACTCCCCTGCAGAGAAAGAGCTTATTGCCGGCCTGCCAAATGAGCTTATCTTACCGGGTGCTATCGTCACACTGGCTGTGGTCATTATTGGTGTGTTCACCATTTCCAAAATCACCAGCAGGTAGAGAGGAAACCAGAGGAGAGAATTGCATCGAATTTTGGAGTCAGGCATGAAAGGTATTGTTTTACTTTCAGTGTGGAAAATAATACAGTTCTATAGAGCTGTGCATACAGTTATTGATATCCTTGGGGAACTTCGACGGTGGATTGTAGATATACGTGCAAGAGCAGCATGACATAGAACTAATAATTCCCACCATATTTTCAGCGCGTACATGCCAGCCAAGTAGGCATTAAAGTCTTCACCTCATCCTTGTTTCTACACACTACCGACGTGCACTAGAACCAGTGCGGATAGTCAAGCACACGAAGAGAATAGCGGGTCTGAGTCCAACCAGCAGTTTGGACCGCAGTGTCGGACCAGAATAAATTTTATGAAGATATTTAATAAAGCGTTAAATAGTTAAAAATCCACGACGATTTTCTCTTATAATTAGACTTAATTCTATGAAATAGAGAAAGAAACCTTCATTGCTATATGTATAAAAGACATTGATATTATTAATAATTAAACTCTAACATGAAACACTCTTTCCGAAGGCTGGTTGTAACTAGTCTAGTGCCTCAATGTTTACCCTCTCATCGTCAATGCTAGGTGTACCGAACGCTTCGCTAATCGCTTTATAAGTGTCTTCGAATATCACCATAGTAATAGCCGGGACTTAGAACACAAAGCAACTCGGGTCCTGCTCATAAACGAGGTATACAGCTTCGAGGGCGATCTACGTCTTGTCGACGCCTCCAAGGACTTTGAGGACTGTTCTTTGGCAGTCATTCAACTTTGTGTTGGGCAGGATACTAGCAATCAACTCTACAGGCATGGTCTTCCCGCCGGTAAAGTCCTCATTCTGCCCAAGAGATTTTTTAAAGTGACCTTGAGTTAAATATGATGTCGCGAGTAAAGGTTTCGACATTAAACTCATCGACCAGTTTCGAGGTGGAGCGTGTAAGTTGCCTGTGTGCTCTTCGATCGGTTCGGATAGTCGATTCATCGCATTTATCTTTCACTCTCCACAAACAAGTGGAATATCTACGTCAAATATATGCCAAGCAGAAATTAAGCAGCGTTTTGCTCTTGCTTGGCAAGCACAAGAAATTGATCAAGCGAAACGCTTGTAACATGGCTATAGCGTGGATCACGCTCTCCAAAGGTCGTCATGTCACCCAAAAACATGCTCCTTCCGTACATAGAGAAAGAACTTGGCCCATGTGGGTGGGTTTACGTTCTGGCACTAATCGATGCTAATCTTGAGACGAAGCTTTTTACACACCTTAGGGACGGAGGAATTAATAAGCATCCAAAGCGGGGTCATCCGAATCCTCGATAATCGACACATTCCCCATCCTTCAATTAACAACAGCGAGATACTAATTTGACTGTTAGACCTAGAAATCAACTTGAGATTCCACTATAATGAAACCACGGATGAACATCAACGTTCCCTTTAGTCTAAACCTTGTGTCTGCTTAATAATTGAAGAGATTCAGTTTGCGTTTTCTTGTTTTAGTTGGCTTTCATCGCTCAAATAGTTTCGTAATAGTGGAATATAACAACATCTTCATGGACCGTATAAAACATGGCAAATACACACTCTCATCACATTAATGCCAACTTGATCATCTGCATCACATTGGCTCGATTGTTGCCGTCTTCAACTCCATTGCCGGACCAGTAATCTTAAATTATTCTTTTGTCAGCGCATCAAGGAAAGTCCGCCATGGCTCCTACAATTCTTGTCGTCGGTGCTACGGGGAACACTGGCAAGAGTGTTGTCCGTAATCTTCCCAAGCTGCTCGATTCAAGCAAGCTGAACTACCGGATCCTTGGTCTCACCCGTTCTCTTGATAACCCAGCGTCTCAAAAACTCGCCAAGCTGCCCCGTGTCGAGATGCAGGAGAAGGACTGGACCACCATCGACGCTGCATGGCTTCGAAGTCAGGAAGTCACACGTGTCTACATTGCACCACACAACTTGCCGCATCAGTTCGTGGAAGAATCGGCTTTTCATGTTGCTCTGCTGCAGGCAGGCGTTGAGTATGTGGTCAAGGTATCTACCAACGTGGAATATGTTGGCCCGACCAATCCCGTGTTCTATGGCCGCGCGCACTGGGCGATTGAAAACCTGCTGAGCCAGCCGGAGTTCGCAGGTCTGAAATGGACGTCACTGCAGCCCAACTTCTTTACCGCTAGCTATTTAGCTTCGGCCGCGGACTGGATCAAAGCTTATCAAAGCACTGGCACCCAGAAGCCATTGGCCATGGTTCCTGCTGCAGATGTGGCCGTGGCGATGATCGATCCCGAGGATGTCGGCAACGTTGGAGCACATCTCTTGGCTCTTGTGGACCCTACCCCTCATAACCACGCCAAGTATGTCCTCAGTGGCCCTGAAGACGTTACTGGAAACCAAATTATCGAGCTCGTTGAGCGGTACGCTGGTGTGAAAGTCCACACGGCAGAATTCAAGGTGACGAGCTGGCTGGATGACTTGGTCAAGGCAGGGGTGTATCCCGCAAAGGTCCTGCCGTCGATACTCGCTGGGTGCGAACCACTGTGGCAGGGCAAATGCACACTTGCAGGGACACCCACTAGCAAGGAAGTTTTGGAATTGGCACCCCCAAAGCGCACTATCGAGGACGCTTTGAAATCCATGTTAGCAGAGTAGCTACCATTTATGGGCAGGACGTAGTTAGAACATAATCATGCAGCTGGCCGTGATGAGTTCACGCCACGGTGATCGAAAGATAGAAGATGGAAGCTTTTGCCAACTATGGCCTTGAGTTTTCTTCCCTGTCAGAACCTAGATAGCTGCTCGTCCCCGCTACGAGGCAATTACGGGGCAGCTTTTAGCTGATCATCAAGATAACCACCATATTGCTACAATCATTCTGATTATATCATAATCCTCACCATTCCCGACCTGGTACTGAAATGAGATGCCATTGTTGTCCCGGCCCCAGGATTAAGAACTAGGTTTTTGATTGCGTTGTGGCCTCGCATGCGGATAAGTGGAATGCTGGATATTTTTTATATCGCGTCGCAAGGCTGGGATCCCCTCCTGCAAGCCTCACATGTGTTTCGGTTTGCTTACCAATGTCTTTTCTCGCCCACTTTTAGAACGTAGTGTATATAAAAAATGGTGGGCACGTTACAATATCGTAGCCACCGGCTCAGCGTAAAGGTAAGTCTTCTGGTGAGGTATTCTGCGATGTAGGTTATGCCTATTGCTTTCGATTTTCCCCCTCTCTAAGATGACGGCTGAGTGTCTTAGATTCGTGATGTTTGAGGCTGACTAGAAGCTGCCTTTCTGTTTTATTCAATGTTCTAACCATTACTGGGACCACATGATAACTTCGTGAAATACATCACCATGGAGATATCGTGGTCATCGTAAGAGTCTGTCCCCATCCATTAAGAAAGCCCTTTCGTTTGGGATTGATCCCGCACCTGGACATGAAAACTAATTGGAGATAGTCATAAGGCCATTGACGTGTACATATTTCGAGGGACCGAATACGATTTAAACCATTTCATCCGCTTTGCTGAATACAATCTAATATTGCTACAGGCTAGAATGGATCTCGCGACGCAGGCTGCGATAAAATCCCGCGTTCGAGAAGCGTGATTGTTAGTATGATACGGAAGGAATTGATACATAAATCCACACTACCTACTATAACATCCATTATAACTACATCGGTCACTCGCATTGTCTTCCCATCAAGGCCTTTTATGCCTTCGAATGAACCGGACTTGTCGCTTCGTATTGCTCTTAAAAGAAGCCAGTTCACATTCGCTCGAATCTTGATGGATAATGTATTAGAGGAGTACGAGGAGATGTTCTCCATCTACTTCTTCTTTTTTGACTAATAGATGTGCTTTCCCGCTGCTACTTTCGATCTTCACGCTTTGGATTTATGACGTTTCCCGCACGGGTTTTCATCATTGATTTTCTGCCAAAATCGTCTTGCTCGGATATTAATTTAGTGAGACCTCTGTTGTTGTTCGGAACTAGACTCCGGCCAACCATCTTCAATTCCCTTGATTCCATAATTAGGTATCTTGCTTACCCAGTTCTACAACTGGACTCCTTCCGTGGGGTCTAGTTGGCAGTCTTGGCAGCTTGGAGTCTACGTCTGTGCCACCTTAATCTGATGCCCGAATTTCAAGTTATTAATTATCGGAAGTGTCGCGTAAATGAACCATTTTGCGTTGGAGTATAGTCATTGGATTTTGAAAAGACCGATGGATCCTTATGAGTGTACTTTAATGCTGCTATTATTTTTGGTCATATAAGATTTCATTTGGCAAAGGATAGCGGAAGCAGTTGCTTATATTTACAGGTTGAAATCGATCACTGCGCGAACTCTTGTGTCTACCACTTGCCTGTGACATACGAACCCACTGATCGGCGCTGGTCGGCATTAATCAGCAATTATGCACAAGGCTTAGTCGAGAAGTGGCTGCAATCATAGTAGTCATGCTAGCGGTCATCGCCAAAGGTACAGCTTATTCTCTACTTTCAGGTTATAATCCTGGATCTGTCAGCTTGTAATCTTAGATCTGCCAGCCTGTGCTGGGTGACGAGTCAACTTTGAACCAACTGAATCTCAAACTCTGATCGAGACAGATGAGCCTACTAGGGTATTATACAAGGGTCCTTACGTTAGCCAAGCCGAGAAGTACTAGTCGCTAGAGTCCCTGGAAAGAATGTTCGAACGCTACACCAGGCTACAGCCCGGATGTTGGTGTGCCATTGATTGATCGATTGTATTTAACTTGGGGACCGTCCCTTATTAGGGCAAACCACGTCTCCCAGAGCCATACAACTGTAGTGCAATAGCCTAATTGATGATAATGCCGTCATTTGCATCACTCCTCAAACTTATAGGTACAAGCTAGGGATAGCTATTAGAGAGAAATGTAGAGCTTTTATCACAATTCGGGACAATTTGTTGTTCTCTAGGGGAGCGAGGAAGGTTGAGAGACTTACGGTGCCAATGGCTTTTAGCTAGTCCAAGGAGTTCGACATACTAAGCACGATTCTATTTGTTATATGCAAATAGAAAGGATATTAGAGTTCGCAATTGTTTGTTTGTTAACGGTAAAGTTCAAGAAGTAGTCTTAAGTTGTGAGGGTTTAGATTCAGATAAATTGAATTGGAGGGCGGGACGCAAGGGTGGAAAATAGACGTGACAATAATTTCATATAACATCGGTTTATATAGAGATAATAATAAATAGGAATAGATAACCTTGGCAATTATAGCAGGTAACGGTGATAAACTAAGTGTTTTCAACCATGTCAATAGATCAGAGCTACCATTTACGTTGTTGTTAAAGAATGACGAGTGGTTATTAACGTCGTATAAATTAGGATAGTACGACGAAAGCTAGTTCGCCGCGTAGTCAAACCCCGCCGTAGGGCGGAATATTAAGTTCATTTATGAAGAACGCCTCCAGAACAGTCGATTTAAGACTGAAGTTTGATGGTGACGTTCTATTAACGATATAGCCCACCTTTCGGCTTGTTTTCGAGTTGTTTGGTTTTGATACGTCCATTAATTAATACTAGCCTAACACTATAACGTCACCTACCATATGTGCATACGACTGACAGGAGAATGAGTAAGTGCCTTTCACAGTAAAATTAAGAACTTATGAACAGATTTCGAGGGAGGAACGCGGGTGTGATACCCGCCAAACAGCAACTAAAGCTTTGAAAGTTAATAAGTCGTAGCCGTGTAGGTATCTCCCTCCAACGCAATGGCAAATTCCTGATGCGAATAAATCGCAAGATTAATGGGACAAAACCACAATACGCTAAATACGAGCAAACATCAGAATTATGTAAACGCTGAACGACTTAGAACTAAGTGATACGCGACCAAGACGCCAAGTGGATTGTGGATTTTAGAAGAAATTGTCGATAGATATATTTCTTATAAAGCGTTTCGCGTCCACTATACATGTAGTGTAAACCTCTAGCAAGATGGACAGCATTAGACACAACTATGCTTAAACGCAGCTTGTGCATCGGTGCATTCCTATAGCCCCTATTTGTTATTTTTCCTTCCAAGTTCCAAACTACGAAGTCTATTATCATCCGAAATCTCTTAGAGCCGGGCCCAGCGTGGGTAAGGCACGGAGTACTATGTAGCGTCGAGACAACATTCCAGATTGGCCCTGGCTGTGCATAGTCAGTTAAGGTCCAGAGCAAGATAGCACGCCGAATCCAAATATCAGTGTCCGCATGAGAACTATGACAAGACCAGACTTTTTGGTACATGGCGATATTCTTCAGTAATTCACCTGACCGTCCGGCAACCGAAATGTACTGGTCTAGGACTACTTGCTATATCTGCGTTGGGAAGCATATGATCAGATAGCATCTGCCATTGTGGTTGTACACTCCGTAGGATTCGCCGGCGATTGCTTCACATTGTTGTCCTAGCTCTCGGGGTTTGACCATTTTGCTATGACATATCCAGTGCTCTGAAGCCAAATCTGGCTGACAAATCTCCATCGTGCAACAGGCTGCTAGGTATGAGTGACCTGAAAAAGCAACTCATGGGCACTGGAGTGAGTGCGATATGTATTCTGATTATGTCGCATGCACCAGCGATTCCTCTGAATGCTCCTGGGGCAGGACCACCAGTGGAGTCAAGCACAGTTTGGAGGCGTTTTAAAAGTGGTCGGAGACAAGGAAGTTCTTCCCTCCAAACACTCGCCAGTGATTGAGAAGTTGCCTGGGCGGTTGTGCCGGCATAGTCGTGTATGATGGAATCATCCGCCGATACATTCAACGCCAACTTTCGTGTTATAGAACATGTCGAAAGTTTGACGAATGTCTCATAGCCTCCATTTATCAGGCTATTGAAATATCGATATGCCGGTCTCTCACTTGGCAATCGATTATCTGCCAGTGCTGAAGCCATCCCTCCCACAACTTGGGCAAGCTTGGGCATTAGCTTCTGCGTTGGGCTCTCCGTAGTCGGCGCGGCATGGTATGTTACCCGTTCTCTGCTGTCGCACGTTTACACCAACGATTTGGCTGGCGTGCACTAAAGCTTATAAGCTCAAAAACGACGCTTTTCAGGGGTATTTTCACCAGAGACTCCTTAATCCTCAGCGGTGGCATCAAGGCACCCCGGGTCAAGACCAAGAACCTGATGTCCATCATCTTTTCCGAAGTCGTGGCCTTCTACGGCTTGATTATGTCCATCATCTTGTTGGGCAAGATGAACGCTCTTCGCGGAGAGGCACTCTACTCTGCAGAATCATACTCCATGGGCTTCGACATTTTCTGGGCTGTTATCATTGTGGGCACCTGCAGTCTCATCTGTGGCGTGTCAGTCGGCATCATTGGCACGGAGTTTTGAAAATTCTAAACGCTAGGAAACTCGCATATGAATTCAAGAGCGGGCTACCAGGGTTCATTCAAAACACGCCCTCTTTCAAATCATTATACCGTTAGATTACATTAATTCGATAACTAGCTACCATTCTCGCATGTACGTCAATTTTAGACACGGGTGAAAACATGTCACTAAAGTCGCCGGTAGTTAGCAGAACGACTATTTCCCCCATTTAGCTAATCAGCTTGTACTCAGGTCCCGATCTAGAAATGGAACCCTAACATTTCAAAATTGTGAGGGTGTGATTAGTGTTATGATGATCATGTGGACCAATTTAAGATCTCGCATCTCGACTGTGCCGTGTAGGAAAGCAATTGCGACTTACGTGGTTCGCAATCTTGAAACGAGGACATGCATGTTCGTATCGCCTACGGGCATGACCTTGAAAACTGCGAACGCCACTCAAGGCATCTCCAACGTACGGCAACAGAATGATGTCTGTAGTCGCTCCATTTTACCGATGCTGTCTGTGTGGCAAGATTGGACTTTGATCCCGCTACTTAATGATAAAGTTTGAAAGTTTTTCTGCGGCATGATCAATAGCGTCCAGTAAGATGAGAATTGTGAAATGGGTGAGGTAATGAAAGGATCGAGAAATTTCTTGTAACTAGAATAATAGCATGCGTCCTCGAACTAGATCGAAAGAATGTTATAATAAAGGTCGCCACTGTGTCCACCACCCTGATGAAAGACCCAAAGTTTGTTCTTGTATACCACGGCGCTTGGCCCTTCTGACATACCAGTGTAGGGAACTTTGGAAGCGCAACTCCAGGTGGAACCGGAGAGCCAGTCATACCAAAGCTCGCCACTATCCCCATAACCTTGATGCAACACGATAAGCTTGTAGTAGAAGAATGCAACACAAGGCGTTGCTGACATGCCTTCAGACGGGACTTTTTGGTCTCCTTGCCAGCTGGAGCCGTCAAACACATTGTACCAAAGCTCACCACTATTCCCCCAACCTTGATGAAAGCAATAGATCATGTCATTGGCTCCTACCGTTATGGCCGGTGGGCCACCTGACATGCCGGTATTAGGAACCTGTTTGTCGCCCTTCCAGTTTGAACCATCAAACACATTGTACCAAAGCTCACCACTGTTCCCCCAACCCTGGTGAAAGCAATATAATTGATCATCGTGAACGACGGCGGATGGTGACGCCGACATGCCGGTATTGGGAACCTGCTTGTCTCCCGCCCAGTTGAAGCCGTCAAACACATTGTACCAAAGCTGGCCACTCTTATTATTGCCCTGATGGAAGCAATATATATTGTTCCTGTAGACAACGGCCACGGGACCTACCGTCAAGGTTGTATAGGGGACTTTTTGGTCACCCTGCCAGCTATTCCCGTCAAAGACGTCGTACCAAAGGTCGGAGCTGTCTCCCGAACCCTGGTGAAAGCAGTATATTTTCGAGTTGAAGACGACTGCAGATGGGCTACTCGACATGCCGACGTTAGGGACTTTTGTGTCGCCTACCCAAGACACCGTGAAATCTTTCTGCAAAGGTGCAGGTATATCCTGCGTAGTCTCATTTGCCGTCGCCCCTTTCTCTCCCAGGCCCGGAGTGTGGTCGGTCTCGGACAGTTCGGCCCTTCGTTGAAGTAAAGTCTCGTCCATGGTAAATAGCGGACAGGTTCAGGCAATTTGAGTTGTAAGTAATCAATTTTCGACTTTTTGGAAGAAGCAGATGTGAGATTTAGGGAAGAGCCTAGTAGAATGTGTGTGCTGTGGAAACTGCCCTCCCAAAGATAGCTCGCAGTCGAGCCCGTATATTATAGCCAACTAGTCGCCCGTGCTGGGATGAGGATGCGTACTGGACAAGCCATTGCCACCATTCAGAATATCCAGTCGGTGGCGAAGACGAGGTCGCTTCAAAATTATTATGACACCCACCAAACTGGAGGGTAGAATCCGAAGCCGGAAAAGACGGTTCAGTATACGTTCCAGCTGCCTCATTGGTCGTTTGGATTGATACTATTAGCTGAACGTCGGTGTTCGATATCGATAGTCCATCCGGACGATGCAAATGGCCGTTCAGGTATCCAGCAGGACTCCAACGACGCAAGCCACTGATCTCAATACCGATGCAACTACTCAAACCTGGTTACACGGGGGTTGGAAAGATTTCAATATATTGAGTATCTAGGCCGATACTGAGTTCGACTCGTCAGAATACAGAAGCGATCTACATACAAGTGCTTCAGCTTCCATTTGTTAGGCCAAACAAGTTTCCGATTGGTAGACAAACGAACCATCTGGGCGATACTACGCTGCCAACTCTTCTCCCCCGGTTTCCTCCTGCAAACGAAGCCAGCTAATTGGCTCGCTTGCATTAAATCCTGCGGCCACATAGCCAACCACGCACTAGAGATATTGGTCGGGAGAGAGTGCCATTTGGGGACCCCGTGAATCAATCTCAGATAGATTAATCCGAATTCATCGCAGCTGAACTGCAGCCACAGCGAGTTGAGGTTATAGCTCGAACATCCAGTCAAACTTTGTGGTTCACTTTGTTCTACTCCAAAGGAGAAGGAAAGAGCGCATTATAGTGTAAACAGCGCTCTCTATTGGCTGATACAATTTCTTTATCACCATCATTCCAGCTGTCGAGGGGTTTGAAGGGAGCTCAGCTTGGTATCCGAATGCCAAGATGCCAATCAAAAGCTCTCATGCGAGTCTACTTCGTCTTCGTGGCTCTACAACGTTCTCTGTTGGTGTCGACTGGTGTCTGCTATTTGCCCAACAAGATTCGGGTTGGGTTGGATGGTGCTTGGAGTATATATAACTCTGCCATCTTCTGATCAATTTTTGCTGGACGCACAGTCCTAACAGTCAAGTTGCTAGTAGCACCACCTATGGGATTCACAAAGTCATCATCCGTTCAAGTCTACGTTGATTTGACGATCTCATTGTTTCGGCACAAGTCAGACGGCACCACCCAGACCCTGATCCGCCCTTCATACTTGTACGTACCCTATGTTTACTGCATTCTTCTCCTAAACAGATTGCTAATCATAGCAGAAAAACCAGGGCCCGCTGTGTTCCATCCATCTACCGCACTTTCAGCTTACACGTCTCGGCAAGCTCTCCTTGACGACTTTGGGATCATAGCTCCTTCATCATCATGGGGGCTCCTACAATTGTCCGCGTATTGAACAATACCAACTATGAATTGACTTACCACAACACCCAAAGTGGCAAGAAGGAAAAGGTCCCTGTAAAATCGGACCGATACGAAAACGAGGACTGGGTGCCAGGTTCAGACTATGCCTCTGATCCACTCCCTGATTACACCACTAATAAGGCTGTCGAGGTCAGCCTCGGATCAATGTCACCAATGAAATTTTCGAATGAAGATGGCAATTTCAGCATCGTGTACCCAAATGAGTACGGGGAAGCAGTTCAGGTGCGGCCAAAGAATGCCAAGGCCGTGAACGGAAAGGAATACGTGATACGAATCAACGCGGTCAGAGAAACAGAGACTGTAAGCAAGGCGGAGGCGTACATTTATGAATACAACTCGGATCTGGGCAAGACTGGTTACATTGTAGCCTCGGTTCTTCAATCCGCAGCTGTTGTTGTCGCACTTGTTTTGATGGCTATCTTCCTCTGATGATAATCGATACACGGATTATTGGCTGCCGGATAGTGAACTTTTCTTTGGTGATGACATCAAATGTACTTTTGGTGAATCTGCGGAAGAGTTGTTTTATAGTGTTATTAAGGAGTGCTGAAGGCTTTCATGAAATCGCATCTATTGTCGTCTCGGAACTCTCTGATACGTTCTGTTCTACCACGTCTCAAATGTTATCTCTCCCCTCGTAAATATCCTAGGGAAACCCTCGAATAAGCGTTGTCAGCTCCGATGCTGATAGGTTCTATTGTATTAATGACGCCCATTTTGCGCTTCGATACCTCTACCTATTTGGCCCGCCCCGTCCGTATGGGTGATTGATACTCCTATTATGAACCGCGAATGTAGGGCATCTCAGAATAGCTTTTCTTAGTAAAACTTCGGTTGTCTGAAAAGGGACTCTTGAAAGAGTCTTCCTGACATTAGATCGGCTTGATGCATTGGAGGTAAAGTTTTCGCATACGGGTATGCAATGCACATTAGAGCCGTATACTACAGTCACTCGAGATTGAACCGAACGATGTTCTGTTGACTCTCAAAGCAGAACCAAGATCAGAGTCATGTCCACTTATGCCTCCCACGGCAGACTCCTTTAGGGTATAGTGTCTGGAACTTCGGGGATTGACTGCTGGTTTGGGGACTGGTGTCCAATCTTCCTTTTCTTCATGCTCTTGCAATTGGAGCATGTGTGACGCCGACTGATCCTGTGCTCTCCAACGTCATTGTAAAGGGAAAGTTCGCGGATCACAACGAGCCAAAAGGAGCTTCAGAAGATTATAATCGCCGAGTCTGGTGCGAATGACGGTCTTGGTCACCCATTAATTTTCATTGCATTATACCTTATCAAGTATATTGGTGATGGTTGTCATCAACAATCTGGAGGGGCATGCCTGGCTATCGGCCTCTGGCTTGGTGAGACCTGGGGTTCTATCATCATCCTGAGCGTGATATATGGTGCCGCCGTCGGCTGGCTTGCCAAGGAACTGCTACATTTCGCTGAAGAGCGGAAATGGGTTGATCTTGAGAGCTTTCTCGTGTTTGCGCTGTCACTTGCGCTGTTCATCGTGGGAACATGTGGGATGATCGCTAGTGATGATATTCTTGTCTGCTTCATTGCTGGAAATACCTTTACTTGGGATGACTAGTTTCGACTTGAGATACTTGATGAGGTAAGGCTCATCCCAGTGCAGGCGCCAATGATACGCTCTACAGCCCCCTTAGTAAAGACCCACTTTTGCCCGGTGCTGTTCTGCTGCATGATATCACTCATACGCTTCACTTCTCTATCAAAAGGCAGCTCGGCCAATTCCTTCCATTCAGCTGTCTGGCCGACCATGGTGCGTCGACTCCATGTAAATCGATGGGCAAAGACCTGAATAGCAATCTCCGTCGGATCACCATGAGCATGCCACGTGCCGTCGTTCCCATGAACTATGGCAAGGTTGGCTAGTGAATCCACAGACAGAAATTCTTGTAGGCGGATGGTACTCTCTTCCAGGAGTTGGGAGGCTGCAACAATCGTTCCACCACTTGAGCCCTCCTTCACTTTCCGGAAGTCTATATCCTTGGGGCTGCGGGAATCAAACCGAATGGCACCAACCTTAGGGTTGAACGGTTCGTTAGAACTCTCGACCATGTAGGAACCAATGGCGGGAATCCAGGCAGCCCATACTACCATTTTCCCTTGAGTCAGAGTTCCGGTCTTGTCGCTACAGATGTCGGTAACTACCCCAAGTGCCTCTAAGGACTTGAGATTCCGGACGACAACGTTGCGCTATACCATACGCTTAGTGCCCGCGGTCATAGTGATGGTGAGAACCACTACCAAACTTGCCGGAATCATTGACAGTCCAGTGGCAACAGCGTAAATGACGACTTCTTGCCGAGAAGCGAACCGGTTCGCTCCTAGAACAAGATCGCACAGACTACGGCAACGCCGAAAAGGAGCATAGCGAGTTTACTGAGTTTGCATTTGTGCATATGTATATAGGCTTATAACGGATCAGTACAGATAGTCGTCATCATCGTTAACCCTCCACTGCTCGGGTTCGCGCCGCTGGCTAGGAATTGGCGGTGCCTGCTGTTCCTGGTCATCCCCAATAACCAATAATCTATCCTCACAGGCCTCAACCCACGTTTCTTGACCGTTTTCGGACCGTTTAAAGTGAATGAAAGCTACGGCCTCATACTCCAAGCACAAACTCTCACTCTCCTTGTCCCACGCCGAACCAGTGAACCAGTCCGTCCGGTGATGGTCGAAGTCCATCTCGTGCCGATCCATCTCGTCCTGCCAGGTGAATGGCATCCGGTCTTCTGCGGTCTCACCACCTTCATCAGTTTGGGACTGGATTGATCCCATCGCCCCAGGTCCTGCCTCGTCTTCAGTCGTCAGGTTATCCGCATCTTCGATGCGTCGCAGTTTGCATCGCCGTGCCGGCGCCTGAAATGCCTCCCATATAGCCCTATTCGACGAAGGGAACACCACCGATACTTTCTGGAGGTTCGGACTTCCCCTAAAGATCAGCTCGGGCAGCCAATAGGCCGACCACCTCCAAATGGGCCATTCCACGGCCAGGTGGCGCACCTTGGCGAGAGTGGACAGCTTAACTCGTGGGTCCCAGTCAATGCCCAGGCATTGGACAGCCTTTTCGAAGTTATCCCTGCCGGTGTAGAGAATGTCGATGTCGCCGCGGAATGGGCGATAAGGAACGTTACAACCTGCTTGGCTCGAAGCGCGGAACTTGACCCCCGACAATGAGGGGCAAAAGATAAAATCTCGCCACTCCTGACAGACGTGCATCAGCTTCGGAAAAGCCGTATCGACCAGCAGCGGCTCGACTACTTGGTCGAAGTCATCTTGGTTCAGAGGCCAGATGATGCATACTTCAGGCTCGTCGTAGGGCAGCGCGAGTTTCCAGATGACCTGTTTCAATTCCAACGGGATGCTCGCGAACCGCATTTTACCTTGGGGAGGGAACCAACCAGTCCCGTCCGCTTATCACCTAGACTAGGGGTTTGCTGTGCCACTCGTAACCTGTGGTTGCTTGGCAATTTGAGCCTGTGATTGAAAGAATGTGGGGATCGCTCCTAATTATACTGAGACGCTCGTTACATTACGCTTTTGGCGGGTTTGATCCTGGTTTTTGCATATCCTTTTAAGAGCACACTATGACTGCGCTGAATTGCAATACCTATGTATGCTCTTACTGCGGGGGTCATCAGTTGTTAAGACACAGTTTATCCAATTAGACATAATTATTCGACAGCACTATATCACCGATTAAAAGTCGTCAAGCACTCTGGGTCTCTTTTGAAGAGGAAACTGGTCCTCCGACGCCACTTCGGCACGTTGGATTTGTTGAAAACATGGTAAATATAGAACATCGATTCGGATGTCTAAGTCTTAGTAAAGTTTATAATCAAGCGACTACTGCCGCCGAACACGCCGCATTCCGACATCTGCGAGGTTCTGCTGGTTGTCGTGAGATTCATGTGACGAGGTGCCCGGGTGCGGCGGCCAGTCTCTATTTCCACACCCACTTACTTGAACATCCCATTTGATTTGAATGATTTCAGCCTCGATACATTCAAATTTTCAAAAGATTGTGAAGTATAGTTACTTCAGCGCCAGAGGCTGTTTGGCGAATAAGATCCACTGAACACAAATGAGAAGCCCATCTTGGTGGTTATTGTCACGAGTGAGAATGTCGTGGAACAGGTCCTGAAGGCCGCCAGGAAGTTTGTTGATGGTCATTACTTGATTAATGTGTTACAACGTGGGGAGAAATGAGCCTATGAGTAGATGAATCTCGAAACGAAGATCATCTATTCTCCTGCCGATCGTTCAAATTTCATGCTAACCATTACAAGCAGGACAGCAATCGTCCAGCCCGAGCGACACGATTAAAGTACACCTCATCGACGACATTAATGAAGAGAGATACCAGTTAAACCAAACTAATCAGTGGTCTAGGTTAGGTGATGGCGATCTCCACCACAAGATCGTTGAAGAGCAAGCTACGCAATAAGAGGCTATGGTGGCCCCTGCTGTCCAGTTGTTGGATAATGAACCCTCTAGTGAAGGTCCCACTATTCGTTTATTGCGACCTCTATTTTCGATCACAGAGTCGTCGCTCAGCAGGGTCGAAGATCCTCAAGGAAAGCTTGACGATACTGCTGTTTATGCTAGCTTGCAGGCTTTACAACAAGTCGTGAGACATGAACAAGTTAGATTCGTGGATTCCCTGTCTGTCGATGCAACAGACCATACCGTTACACACTTCGGAACTGCGCAGATCTTCATTCCAATCCATCTTCCGAACCATTGGGCATTGGCACATGTCGCGGAGTCTCGCGAAGAGATCGCCGTATATGATTCATACCCAGTGCCGGGGGTTCAACAGAACGCTGAGGGAAAGATTCAAAAGTGGTATAAGGATTGTTAGCAAATTACGAACCCCCCCCCCCCCCCCCCCGATATCACGGTCATCACACCATGGTGTCAGACAAACAATGTCAACTGTGGTCTAAACATATTGATTTTTCCCTTTTATTTGGCGGTCGGCCTATCTCCGCCTAGCAGAGCAGATAGTATCCACTTACGCCGTTTGTTGTTTCAGGTTCTCCAGCCTTTATCAGTGCAAGAGATCGAGATCGTTCACGGTAAAGACCCCAGCATCCAATCTATTTTTGTGGAGACCTTGCCTTCTCACCGGCAAGCCGAATTACCTGTAGTTGTTCTTCTGTATGCTTGCATACAACCCCGTTTATGACCTTCGGTCGTGATGGGTACTTTTCAACAGTCAGCTGCATGCGTGTCAGACAGGAACTGCAACAACAGTGCATATCGCAGACAAGAACTGTAACAGCAGCGTGTACACTGCGTCTCAAAGGCTCCCACCTCTGAGACGCATGCTAAACCAAGCCCTAGAACCTGCAATAACCCTCCTTTTGCACAGCGCTGACGCTGCGCTGGAGGAATATGGATAAAGGGGGCGGGCTAGCTAGCAGTTAGGGGGCAGAGTTCAGTCTGTATTCCATCTATCTATACCTATTGCCTATCTTGCGACCCTTCACTCTGCTGCCAACCCCGATCTGACAATGCGGACCCTTTCGGTGCGCACATTTGGGATACGCTTCTTACAAACCCCTTCATGTATAGGTCAGGTGCAATTCCTGTAGGTCCGCTTCTCATTGCGAATATGTTTGCTGTGAAATTCGAAATAGCCCCCGCCCTGGAATATTTTGGGCTTGCGGCGGACGCGAGAAGGGGTCACGGACTGACCAAACAGTTTGAATGATCTCTTGAGCTCCTGGGCGAAAGAGACAAGCCAGGTTGCTTCTACGTCGTGCTCGCCAATATGCTTCGAGAAGAAGCACTTGACCAGTTTGACAGCGTTTACGCCTCCTTAGTTACGACGGCATGGGTGATATTAATACTGAGTCCTTCGGCGCTCATAAAATTTCTCGGGCAATTTTGTACCAAAAAATATGTGGTTCGACCTTCTGTGCTTTGAGTATATCCGTGATCTTCTTCAGTGAGGCCAGGAGCTTTGTCTGTTTTGGCATGTCTCGGGGATGTAAGGTGAAACCGGAGACGCATCGGGTCACGTCCCAGAGCTCTTAGTAAAGAAGCCCAATTCTTCAATCAGCGTAGATGTAAGCCCATACGGTTCGAGCCTAGTATTGTCCATACGAACAAAAATCCGATGATCCTCACGTGCTTTTCCCGGCAGTTGTCCAGTCAGACCAGGGGTGGTGTGTTGGGTGCTCCCAGTTGCTCCTCTTGATTGAGCTGCCCAGTTGTCTCCTCAGTAGTGGCAGCCTGTGCATACATCCTTCTGTCGTCGCCCTTCGGCAGTCTAGAATTTACTGCCTCTTCGATCTGCCTTGTCCGAGCCACTTCTGCATGCAGTCGGCAAAGAAGGTACTGAATTCTTCCGCATGGGCAAACAGGTTTGAGCCTGCTCTTTGGAGGATAGTATCTACGGCTTCTGTGAATTCTTGGAACATCTTTATTTTGGCCTCGTCGAATCTTTTGTCCTTCTGCACGGGAACGACGCGGTCACAGCAGTCGTTGGGCGAGCCTTGCCCACTTCTTCCTGGGCTGCGTCCGCCCCACCGGGTCCTTCATCGACACCGGTGCGATTGATGCCGTGAACTTGGCGAAAAATTCCATGTCCTTCTCCATCGTGTAGAGGGGATGAGGGTCGCAAATCAGCTTTGGTGACTAGTGAGGGGCTGCCGGCAATGTCTTCTAGCAGGACTCGGTGGACTCTTCTCGTGGCTCCGCCGGCCTCCCTCGGGACGCGACCGACAGGATGTTCATTGCGTATAGCCGCCGGGGGCGGATGTGAAGGTGTCGGGCTGCTTACTAGTAAACGTCGTCATTCGGGTCAATAGAGATTTCAATGACAAGAAAATCTAATGAAGTACTTAATTTAGCTGTGGTTGAGGCAAACTATGGTTTATGTAGCTTCTATAAGTCCTCACACAGTATTGTCAATTTACCGCCACTCGCTCTTTAATTTCTTTATTTAACTTAGTATGTGCCCCGTGAGTATAGTATCAATTTGCTGCGAATCGATAGCCGCCCTGTCCAAACCGAAAAGCCTAGCTGGCATACTTGAAATCCGTCGCATTTACATTTTACCACGATTGCATTGTCGCGAAACCGTCACTCCTTTCTAGTATCATCCATGCTGGCTCCTTTCGTAGCCTTTTTGAGATGGCCAGTCATGAATGCGAAGTATGATACCGCTGCCAGTCCCATTCCTCCAATTGTTAGGTAGGTAGAACTTGTGCAAACCGTCAGTACATAGCCGATGTCTCGAGGATATTCGGGTCATGGCTGCCTTAAAAAATTCTGGGTAGTTCCCAGTTTCCCGGAGTTCTCTTCCATTGCGCCTCTCAAGTCACCGCCTTCGTAAATCGGTTGCTTTGATTGGCCCCGTGCGTTATTTGCACGACTTGCAACAGTAGTGAATAAAGGTCTCCTGGCCTGGTACGGCCGCAAAACTCGGCATGTTTGCAACTTGTATGATCGAATCGAGGGCATGGTGAAATCAGTTTCATGGAGTTGTGCATGCCCTCTACGTTATGGCTACAGCCCTTGGATTATATCACAACAGTTTCTTGGGTAGCTCTGAGGCATGATGCCATAGGTATGTTGGGCGACTGTATAGATGACATCGGAATGACGATAGTGCTACGGCACAGCTTTTGGCAACTTAACTTTGCCCGGCCCATACTCAAAATTATTCTCTCCAACCGCTAGCTAATAGGTATGGTGAAAATGATTGACCCTACAAAACTCTACTCGTGGCTAAATGCTTATCTAGAACCGCTCTGAGGCGCACGGAGTTCACAAAAAGATCGTAGTTGAGGCTCGAACTATTTCAGACTGACAAACATGGGTAATGACTAGGTACTATTCGGAGGAAAGACTGGCACTGCTGCACAGCAAAGCTGAAGGAACTCAGTTCCATCGTAGCCAGTGATGACGAGTTATCGCTAAACAGGTAGTAAGATGGGTCTTGGCGCAGAATGCTATACTATGCCCTAATCACAAGTACATGCTTGGTTGTCTGCCCGCAAGACGCAGCATGTGAAGCAAACGACCTGCGATTCATAGACCATCCAGCTCGTGTAACGTGCCGTTCTCTTTAATACTCTTGCTTCAAATGAATGCTCTCGTGATGATTCTGAGAAACTGTCACTTTTTCAAAACAAAATGGGACATATGCCAGATATTCGCGTGCATGTAGCCAATTGAGGGTAGGGTGTCTCTGCTCAGATAGCAGTGAATGTTGTTCGATGTAGAGCCTGCATTTTCTGGGGGACCCAAGAATAATTGCAGTGAGCTGGATAAAGTTCTGCTCAACAATGAGGGTCGCAAATCTTCGCTTGAAGTAGTGATGGACATTGTGAGCGGTCATGATATAGCTTGGCACTATTCAGACTGTCTTACACAGGGTTTTAATTCCGCTTCTTGCGTTATAACGGCAGTGTTTGATGCTGTGGTAGTGATAAGCTTTTTTGTATGCCGATATGAAATCCCAATCGCTAGGAAGAGTTTCATTTTGGGGGTTGTTTTGTGACACATCTGACGTTGCTATGCACTCGAACATTTATCTTACCCTTGAGACAAGGTTTATGCGGGGAGTTGGGTTGCGTCGGGAGCCAATTAGTCTCTAGTGAAACTCTAGATTTCAGGTTTCCCAAGCCCTAGAGCAATATTAGAGATGCGGGCTTCATATAACGCTATCAACTGATCCACCCGTGTCAGACAATAATGAACTGTTGTGGGTCTACGATGATGGTGCAACCTTGTCTATATGGTAGGAAAACCCGGCAGCGCATCCCAGTGCTGCTGGAGAGAGTATCAACCATGAAATTGAAGACATAATCGCCCATTATGAGCTTAAGAATGGCGCTTATTTTATGCGACAACGTGGGTTGGGCGCGGTTGTTCCACTTGACAGCCTGAAGATGGCTTAGTGGCCTATAATGCGTTACTACAGTACGTCGTTCCCCTTCGTAGCGCTCGAGTGGACTATGGGGTAAAATAAAATTGCAAAGCTTTATTGGCTGCAGCGTATAAACAAAGGGTTATTCCGAACTCATGTACAGTGTTGAGACTACTGCGAGCCCCGTCCAAAAAAGGCATCACGCTATGACGCGGGCTAGGAAGTTGAGGTTCTGCCCAATTCTTCACGCTATTGGCTGCAGCGTATCGAGCTTCGTAGGGGGGTTCCACTCCCCCAACGAAGCACCCTACTGTGTACTAAGACTGGATCGTTTAACGGCCGATTTTTTGCCAGAGAGATCCGGTCAAATAGATTCACTAATCATCATGCCAAGAAAAGTATGGGGCATGCATCTCGGCATGTGACATTCACCCTGGGGTGATTACCTCCCCATTACGGCATGAGGTCAGGTACTCTAAACCGGCCGAGTCCCAAAGGTCGAGGGGTGGAGAAATGCATAGAAGCTTATTTGATAGCTCTACTAAGTACTGAGCCTGAATGCTTAGCTCTTTATCTTACACTTCGGGTACCTCATTAAGTCATGTACCCTGCCGTCTCCACTGTCTGTTTATGACCTCGTTCCACATTTAAGGTAAACCGGAAGTGAAGCAGACACATCTACTGCAGTTTCAGCATTCCGACATGAGGTGGAAGCTCTTGAAAGTTTTTGAACGTAGCACGGCTATTCACGAAATCAACAACTCCGCCAAATTATGGTCCCTGACCCTGCCAGGTGGCATGCCTCCTTGCCGCAAAAGCATTTTTCTTGCTAACATTTTTATTTCATGATCCTCTTCAAAGGAAAATCACGAAGAGACAGCCCGAAACTAGAGACGAGAGTATCATGCAAATGCAGGGTCACCAGAAGTCAAGTTGGTGAGTCTGTGGGGGCTTCTGAGGCGAAGCTGGTTCAATTGCTAGATCTTTGCCATCCAGTGGTCGATAGTCTCATTCTCTATCACCGTTCTAGCCCAGAGAGCTGTTACGTGTCAAGTTTAATCAGCGAAAAAACGTCTCTTGCATGATTCAATTATGACAAAGGCAGCAATATAACCTGTGTCATCTTATGCCGGAGATAATACTTGCCAATCGCTAGCTATATTCTGCAGGATCCACTTCTAATATTACTGTGCTCCTTCCCTGGACCCTCACTTCGCAAACATTATCACTGAAGCCGAGATTGCGGGCATACCCTTCCACCCTAGTCGGCAAGGGTGATCGACTTCGTGGGTATATAAAAGGGTGCCCTCAGAATCACAATGCCGCGATTGGGTGAGATTCTAACAGCTTCATTCTTTACCACTACGCATTCAGGATTCGCTTCTTAGACACGAACTTAGAGCAATGCCTTTCACCGCAAGGTTAGTCAGGCTTATAGCCAAAGAGAGAGTGTCAAGCTTTTTGATACAGTATCTAACAAGTGTAGCTAGTGACCCTTGCAAGATTATTCTTGCCATAATCATGCCTCCTCTCGGCGTTTTCGCAGAAAGCGGATGTGGAACAGACCTTTGTTTCAATATATTACTTACATGCTTGGGTACGTCGGTTGTTTAAAATTTAATAAGATAAGTTGCTAATAATAGACAGGATTTTTACCTGGCATCGTCCATGCCTTGTACATTATTAAGAAATACTGAGGTCGAAACCGCAACAGGGCTATGACTGAGCTTTTGATACCAGGCCCATCATTCAAGAAACGCCTAAATCAGGTTGAGATGATGGAATCTCGTTTGATACACTAGATACAATTTACTCATGTACCTTTTAAACACCCTTATTGATACACAAAACAGGTGTTGAACTAGTCGGGAATATCTTGCAAATTCGATTTCTTCATTAAGCTAACCCAGTCAAGCTTGAACGTAAATGTTCGAAACCTTGAGTGCGTTCAACTAGTCAGTCTCACACATACTAACTATATGTTGCTCTAAGCTAGTTCCTGTATTGCAATACGACTATGAAGTATCGTCTTCGTGTACCCTTCATGTGAGCCGTCCGTTCTCACTAAGGGACTAAAGGCGCAAGCGACATGGAATCATACAAGCAGGCGGCCGCCTTCATCCGTGATATCAATACGCTGAAAAAGATGCAAATATTAGACATACTGAGTGTGGTACCACTAGCCCATTTCCATATCGACGCTCCATGAGCTATTGGGACGAGGTAAACAGGCGGCGAGTCATCAGAATCAAAGAGGTAGACTACGGGCTTATCAAAGTGCTCTACTTTGACGAGGAAGTTATGGCAGTATCTGAAGAGACAGCAATGAAGGAGATTATCTATTTACTATCTCCTATTAACAAGTAATGAGTCAAGGGCGGATCTGTAGGAGGCTCATGGCGAGGTTTCGCCAATGTCTGTGGCTTTAGTTCTGACCAGTCATTACATCTCCGTAGATTCTATCGATCTGGTAAATGTGTTAAAATTGTGAGCTGTAAATCGAAGCCTCCATATAAATATTTGATCTGTTATAGAATCTGCAGCACACCTGTGTTGTTGATCACAGTATCCTGGGAAACTAGGGACAGTCTATGCCAGGCATCGCAAAATGGGCCACCGAGGTCATGCCTACCGTTCGTAACCTTATATAAAAGAGATGGTTGTGTCGTTCTTTAGAGTTCGAAAATGGTTTCATGGTATGAGCTCCTATGAATCGTCGTTGGACCTGATGTCATTAACTATTGGAACAAAGCTAAGTCTGTTGAGAGTGCAATTATGAGATGATGGTATCTGGCTTTGCCACCATTCCCATCTTTCACAATCTGCAAAGCGTCCGGCTCAAATTCCTCGTTGTCTACCACTGCGATTCCAAGACTAAATTTCTTGAGCCTTGTTCTTTGGAGCACGCATTCCTTCGCGGACTTGAGGCCCAATTTAGCGATCTTTGTAATTCAGGATTCTGTACTGATCGTGTAGTAGCGTTACGTAGAGATTTAGTAAGAACGCTTTGATCACTAATGAAGAGTGAAGTAGTTTGCACAGGTAGATGACTTCGGCAGGAGTGCGAAAAACAGATGGGTTAAGCCAAAATTGAAACATCTTGTATGCCTGTTATCGATGAGCTATGGGTGTGGACTTTCTAATAGCAAAACTTTAATTGGATCAACATCATGAGTAGACAACACATTAAAACACGGGGGATGAGGTACGACGCCTGAATATGTTCACTATCGAGCCATTCTCTTAGCTTTATCTTAGGAAGCTTAAATAATTAGGTAAGAAATTCGTATTCAGCCACGCCAAATTCCTTACCAACTAAGGTCTAACCTACACAACAACAGGAAGCTAGTTCACCTATTTTTCATCAGCCGCGAGCGCTCATCCTTGCGTTGCACCCATATATAGCGGTCATGCATTAATTAAGGCTAGTTGATGAACATGGTAGATTATCAATTGAGGCCTTTAGTTGAAATAATACATATGGTAAGAGTTTGCGGTGGGAATTAGAAATTTGTGACATCTACTAGAAGTCGCTACAAATTTGCCACCGTCGATTCACGTTTCGCAGGCCAACTTGGCTCTCCATCTCACGGAATGCCCCACAATATACTTGCACCAAGCCTGGTGCATTATCTTAGAAAGTTCTATGATTTAGCCCTCACAATACACAGACAGTTACTCGTTGAACCACGATCCCTGAAAAGGCAACTAAATGGCGAGGGAGACCAGCAGCTGATATTAGAAATGGTAGCAGTTCGAGAATTGATAGAGATCATGCCATAGCGCGCAAAAATATGCCTCGCAGCATAGGTCATGGCCCTTTTTCGATGCTCTGACAGTGCCCGATACGCTGGAGGCGTTGTAATTCGCTGTTGAACATATTAGCTTTGGATGGCTTACCCACCAGGTTCCATACTATAGGGACGATATAGATTCTGATGTTTCCGCTTTGCCCCCTTCGGTCAATAATTTTGAAAGAAAATTCCGGCGGCGTGACATGATTGAATATACATTTATATAGGGTTCACGTCTCTGATACAAACTTCAATCGTCGTTCTTCATTCTTTCTACAATATCATCATCTACAACATCGACAATTACAAACTCAGCGTACTCCATCAATTTCCTCTTCCGCATTTCAGTTATGAGTCTCTACCCTCCTTCTTGCCACAAGCCTTTCCGCGGCAACAGCCATAACAACAGCCACGTCGGTCGCCGCTTCGACTCTGCCCTCGCTTGTCGCTCAACTACCTGCTTGTGCCGCCGGCTGCGTCTCGAGAGTAGGCACCGAGATCGAATGCGCCACTGCGGACTTAAACTGCATGTGTTCACAGGCCTCAGTCATTCAAGCCCACATGGTCACGTGTATACAAAAACATAAATGCTCTAACCAAGATACTTCAAGTGCGAAAACTAAACATTCAATGAATGTATCAAAGTAAATGTATGCCAACGTCTGTTAAAAGCGAGCTCGGTCCTCAGCTCAGATATCTGCATGGCCATGATAGAGAATCCAGACGATGCTGTAATTGCATCCGCTTCCAGCATCATCACAATGAAGGCGCCAGAGTCGACCGCGAACGCCGCTCTGAGGATGGTACATGGCATAGGAATGCTCGGCGTTGCTGCTCTGGGCGCACTGGCTTTTAAGGGATAACGTTTTCTTTCTCCAATCCCGTAAAGGATTCGTGCAATACATACCGTGTACATTTAAATTCAATGGGCAATTGTGGTTTTCTCAATAACACGAATACACGAGTTTCCAAAAGCTTGTACTAACGACTGAATATTACAACTACTTGTAGAAATGTCTGCTTCACTTCCCATCTTATCTTGAGCGTAGAATGAGGTAATGCAATAACAGTGGAGATGATAAGGTACATGACTTAAGATACCCAAAGGAAGGATAAAGGCTAAGCATTTCTACTTTGTACGTGTGATATGTCATGAGAGCACCCAAGTGGCTAACTTGAGCCTATAAGTATAGATCACAAATCTGAAGGTGTGAAGCTTTGACGTGATATATTTGTCTGAAGAACAAAAGAGAGATCTACGAAATGTTGGAGCAATGAAAATCCCATGTGTAGATTGTTAAACTCTACCACTTGTGGCTCGATAATGTGGCTGGTAAGATCTTGCCTACTCAACCACGGTGATCAGACTGCATTATCACAGTAAGTCTATCAAAACAAGCTTCTATGTATATATTTCTCGGTTTCTCCACTCCTGCAACTCGGAGAATTGGCCGGTTCAACGACCGGCACTACCCTTACTTTATGAAAGGCTCATGCCGAGGTGAGTGCCCCGCTTTTTACACTTGCATGATGTTCAGCTCGTCCAGTTGCCAAGTTCGAATAGTTGGTGCTTGGCAGGGGAGTGGATCCGCTCTAGTCCGCTTAGCATCGCAGGACTGTGTTTTTCGTGAAACGAACTGCTGGCATTCTATACGCTGCAGCCAATAGCATCGACGATCGAGCAGAATCCACTGCGTCTCATCTCTATGACCTTTTTGGACGCGGCCCGCAGTAGTTTCATACACTAACATGAGTTGGCATGACCCTTGTTTATACGCTGCAGCTAATGAGAGGTCTTGAAATTTCTGCTGTACCCACACAATTGTCAGGACAAGGGGATGCGTGACAATAGGCTCTGAAAACGGAACAACCAACAAGACCTCAACAATTACGGGGCCTGCATCACCAACCTCTACACAAGAGCGAATTTGCACTGAGTGAAGGTTCAAACTCATCAAAAGCTCACCAACCTGTTGCCTCGTCCCTCTCAGAATAGCTTTGCCGTCCGCGCCAAGGACCACCTTACCACCTGGCGTTTGTTGCCGCGATGAGTGACCCTACGACCTTCCAAAGGAAGCCTAAGCATACAAGGGCTTCTGCTCCCAAGGTCAGGACAGGTTGCCTGACGTGGTAAGTGTGACCGGCATATTTTGCGAAAACCCTGCCGCATGACAATAATATGGAGGATCTTGGCTGACCGCGCCTACATAGCAAGTGAGTGATTACATTATATTCAGCCATTCGTAACCTTAACCACGTGGCTTTACCCCAGGATACGTCATGTGAAATGCGATGAAGAAAAGCCTACATGCAAAAGATGTAAGTTACGTGAAGCCAGATACCTCGGTGTATGCCAAAACCGACAATAGAACAGGTCGAGACAGCAAAATAAAATGTGACGGCTACCTTCCCCTGAACAAAAGTCGAATCTTACGGAAGGGATTGCCAGTAGCATATGCGAACGCAAAATATAACGCCAAGTCTATGGCTCCTCTGGCCCTAGCATGCCTTGACCCTGATTCTTTCGGCGACGGTTTAACGACAGCCTTATTTCACCACTTTCGTACCTTCACTATCACGGATTTTGCCCTAATCCCTGACTCGACTGTTTTTTGGGATCGCCACGTGTTGCCTTTGAGCAATGCGATACCTGCTGTGAGATATGCTACCACAGCTCTTGGGGTTGCTCATCAAGCCTTCTTGCTAAGAAGTTTGAACCCCTCAAACTTGCAGGAAAGTCAACGCCTGGACTTTTTCACAGTTCAGCGGTACAACCAGGCGATTCATCAATTACTTCCACACATCTCATCTGGTAAACCCATCGATATTCGGATCATCATCACCTGCTGCCTGTTGTTCTATTGCCTTGAGAATATCAGGGGTTGCTCGGCTGAGTCTATACAACACTTGAAGGCCGGCTCACGGTTGTTGGTTTCTCTTCCACCCCATTACGCAACGGAGACTACTCGATACCGCACGAATAACGACGACGCTATAAGTGAAATTGCTACTCTATTCTCACGCCTAGGTATTGAGGCATCACTGTACAGCGAAGACGAAGTCGTGCCCGACCTGGGTTCCCACAGGATACCGGTTCCGAGTTTTCCAGAGGATAAATTACAACCGTTTCAGGACCTCCATATTGCTCGAGACTTTCTTTGGGATATCGATGTCGACCTTAGCACCTATAACAACAAGGCTTTTGCGTTGGCTAAGGAGGGTGGGAGTCGCTTACCTGAGGACGGAATCTCTCACCTGCTAGACATTGCCGGTGGATATGGGCGAGTTGCTACCGTGTCAAGGGCTCCCCCAACCTATGGCCCCTCCTATGAGTCCGAACTACGACCTATTATAAACAGGTTCAGGTGTTGGAGGAAACGATTTGACAGGACAGTCGAGGAGGCGGAGAAGAGAGTTATGACAAAGCAGGAGCGCCAAGAGATCATGATGCTTACCCTGCGACAACGCGTATGGGAAACTATGCTTGAAGAAGTCCCGGACGGCGACCCGATGCTCGCAGATAGCATTCTGGACCAAGCCGAGCTGTTGATCCAGACTTTCTCCTCCAATCATCCCATTTTCACCCTCGAGAGCAATATCATGTCGTCGACTTCATTTGTCTGTTGCTACAGCGATGAGGTAAGACACCGCAGGCGAGCTCTGAAAATTCTCCGCTCTGCACGCATACGCGAAGGGGTTTGGGATAGCATGGAGCTGGCCAACCTGATTGAGGCTGGGTTTCCGGAGCTAAAGCTTGGTGATACAGTTTCAATTGTGAAAGGCGCAGTCAATGTAAGTTTCAATTGACTATCTTATTGAAAAGCATCAAAGCTTGAAATTCCTTCTTAGAAGTACAGTCTTCCATCCATATGATTGCACAATTTGTGATTGCATATTCGCCACCGTACCAGTCCGTCGAAACCTTATTGCGTGGAAGTGCACGCCGATGGCGTGCCAGTAGAACTAGTCGCGGTGATCTTGATGGCCGTCTCATTTTTGATGGCTTTTGGCTGACAACTAGATACACGGCCTATAGTCCGTATTAATTGGGGATAAAATCGGTATCAACATGAGGTTGTCTAGAGGATTTGTATACGAGGCTTCTTATCCTCGCATTAATATGAGTGGCTTAGCTGATGTTGACGAGATTGTGATTCGTTGCCTCGTAATTCGGCTAAAGAATGTCCCAACTTAGCTAAGGCTAGGGCAATGAAACCAACAGTCACCCGTTTCTGGAAGAATGTGAAAAACTGGAAACGGTGACCAAATCCAAATAATGTTAAGAACGGAAATAGAAGTACCGAGCGACGGAGTTCTTTGTACGCCTCATGAAGATCCCAGCTCCCCTCAGTGTACAAGGATCTACTTCGGTGAATGAATGCCTAGACTACATCAATGTTACACAGACTAAGTCAATGACAAGGCCCACTTCAGCACTAAGAAGGCGTTAGAGGGCAAGAGTTCGGATGACCATGGTCCGCTTGTTGACCAATCCAGGAGCTGTGCCAAACTGGCCAAACAAGCATATCATCAGAACTTTAATCCTACCAACCCCTGGTTTCAGCCATCACCAAGTCTCGTGCTGCTAGGACATCATTCCATATACAGATCATGGAACCCGTCTCTTGAAGCAAGCCTGTGCATATGGATCCAGTCGCAATTGAGAATATATTTCAGGGGAGGGGTCGCAACTTATTCCTCTAGTCACCGTCTCTGATAATAAGCTTATAATAAGTCATCTGTCATGCTAAGCTTATCCCTATTAACCGCCTGACCGATCCGGTAAGTTTATTCCGTATGACAAAACAACTGAGATCAACTTAATGTTGACTTTACTCAATTTTGGTAATCTCCCCCTGAACGAGTTTGCCCTGCGAGATGCCTTGGGGGAAGTGTAAAACATATCAGGAGTGGGGACAAGTATTGGTCTGGGACTATCTACCATACTTTTTCTGCATCCCTGTATCTCGAGCAGTGGGCCGGTGAGTGTGCAGAGTTGATGTTGGGGTGACCTTGTACGGAGAACAAGTTGAGATCTAGTCTGAATTCTGAAGTGATGATTCTGGCGTATAAATAATAAACATTCTGCTTCTGTCTCTGCTCTCATTTGAACCACTTTTCTGTATGATTCTTATCATCTACGTACTATCTAACCAGCAATATGATCCTTCCTTCCATCGTCTTCCTGTCTCTCGTTTCCTACGCTTTTGTTCTGGCATTCCCCTCTTTCCCCCCAATCGTTCAACTTCGCGCACTTCCAGATTCTCCTTCAGGGAACTACTCCCCTAGCATTGTGACATGTCCTCAAGATCGCCCCATACTGCGCACTGCGGCTTCACTGTCACGAGAGGAGTTGTCTTGGCTTCATCTGCGCCGAAATGCCACCACCAACCCGATCATCCAGTTTCTAGACAAGTCTTCAATTACCGACTTTGACATTCAAAAGTTCCGTTCTCAAATCCTCAGCGACCATTTGGATCTCCCACGGGTCGGAATCGCATTCTCTGGGGGTGGCTACCGTGCCCTCATGAACGGAGCAGGATTCCTCTCCGCAGCTGACGACCGAACTGTGAAAACAACATCCAAAGACGGTATTCACGGCCTTCTTCAGGCCGCTACATACGTCTCCGGACTGTCTGGAGGGAGTTGGCTAGTGGGCTCCATATACAGCAATAACTTCTCTACTGTGCAGGATATTCAGGCAAAAGCTTGGGCTTTCGATCACGATATCTTCCATGGACCGGCGAAACGTGGTCTCTCTGCCGTAAACACCGCCGAGTACTGGTCTGAATTAGCTACTGAGGTCTCGTTTAAGGCCGAGGGCTGGGATACGTCGCTTACGGACTACTGGGGCCGTGCTCTCAGCTACCAGCTGATTAACGACAACGAGGGCGGGCCCTCCTATACTTTCTCTTCCATCGCTCGCTCAGAGAACTTCCTGTCAGGTTCTATCCCTTTCCCTATCCTCGTAGCCGACAGTCGTGCACCAGGCCAGACCATCGTCAGTACCAATTCCACCATCTACGAGTTCAACCCTTTTGAGATGGGCTCCTGGGATCCAACAACCTACGGATTTGCGCCTCTTCGCTATATCGGGTCGAACTTCTCTGCGGGTGTCGTGCCTAAGGACGGCGTATGTGTGGAGGGTTTCGATCAGGCTGGCTTCGTCATGGGTACATCCTCTACCCTGTTCAACCAGTTCCTTCTCCAGAACCTGTCCAGCTACACGGAGAACCTCCCTCTTTTCTTGAACGAAACTCTCTTCAACGTGCTGGATGCCCTCAGCGAAGGCAGCAACGACGTTGCGCAGTACTCGCCTAACCCCTTTCGGGACTGGCAGCCTGCCGCAAACCCGAACGCCAACTCCCCTCAGTTGACATTGGTCGACGGCGGTGAGGACCTCCAGAACCTACCTCTATCCCCGCTTCTGCAACCCGATCGTGCTGTAGACGTTATCTTTGCCATCGACTCTTCTGCGGATACCGCGACCAACTGGCCCAACGGCACTGCGCTTCGCGCCACATACGAGCGATCTCTATCCCCCATTGCAAACAGCACCCTATTTCCTGCGATCCCCGACGCCGAGACATTTATAAATATGGGACTGAACAAGCGTCCTACGTTCTTCGGCTGCGACACGACAAATTTTACCCTATCCAAGGACCAGTCTCCGCCGCCCCTGATAGTTTACATTCCCAACGCACCGTATGTGGCTGCTTCCAATGTGTCGACTTTCGACCCAAGCTATAAGACAGGGCAGCGTGATGCAATCATATTGAACGGATACAACGCGGCTACTCAGGGCAATGGTACGCTGGACTCGGAGTGGCGCGTATGTGTCGGCTGTGCTATGGTGTTGCGCAGCATGGATCGAGCTCAGGAGCAGCTGCCAGGTGCTTGCGCAAATTGCTTCCGGCGATACTGCTGGAATGGAACGTTGGATCATCGACCTGTGACGGCGTATGAGCCTGGTTATATCATCGGTAATATGATGACAGCTGAGAGTACTGCAGCTGTGGCCCCGTTCGGGGCCAGGGCCGTTACTTGGGCCGCTGCTATACTTGTGTTGATGACGACACTAGTTTAATTGAGAAGATTACAACTGTAGCATGTTCAGGTCATGCCGGGAGGAAATTCCTCGATGTAGAAGGAAGTGTACTTAAAGGTGTAAGAACTCAACTCCTGGGATCTTCGCTTAAACTCTTATGAGGGTCAGCAACACCTTCGCATTTCCAGGCGAGCATATACGAACATAGTGCATTTAATAGACAAAGTTGACAATGGTCCACTAGAATTGCTAGGTCAGAATCAATTAAGATGGCCGTAAACATGCGGCTCTCCGCGCCCTCTGTGCCCGAACTAGAGTCGCTGAACGCTAGAGCGTACCATATGGAAGAGCGTCAACGGTGAGTAATTGAAAGCATATGCTCTGCCAGGTTTGTAAATCGACTAGTCTAGTCGTTGGTACGCGTATGGTTGATCAAAATGTTCGAGCCGTGTTGCAGTCAGTCAACCACTATGAAAGACACCAACAGACTGCCGTCTAGAAGTAGAGCGATGTACGCCTCGGTCGCCAGACATGCTTCGCAGATCGTCTGCAGCGTAGAAGGCATTTCCAATGTTCAATATTGATACGCGCAGTGACCTCGATGAATCTGAGCTCTAGCGCTATAGAAATGGGCCAGAGTTGCTATTAGAGATAAATCCAATCTTCAGAAATGAGTGACTGAGTTATATGATAGATAATAGCTCATGAAATACGCAATAAAACGAACGACTGATTTCCTGTTGTGAACCCGTGCAACACCCATTATATACCGCATTTAGTTCTCATGATTGGAACTCTGTATTCATGAAAAGGGTTTTCTTTTTTTTTTCTCCTTTTTTTCCATCACCTCCGGATGCTTCAGTATCTCTTTCATACTATAGAAATGGCGTGATGGTCGCCAGGCATCTCATATAACCACCATGTTTCCAAGGAGGTTATTTGGCAATCGAGGGCTCTTAGCAATATTACTAATAGTACATTTTTCTTAATATATGAGAGCTCCAGCTAAATAGATTTGTCCGTCTCAAGAGATGTTTCATACGGAGTGCTGCACTAATAATTTACGTCATAGAATCAGTATTTCCCTTTGAGGTTTTTATGTAAAGGGTCACGTCGTGGTGGACAAAAAACGCTAATGTACATTTCGATATATCATCCCGCACATGCTCCCCTCACTGCAGCACAGAACACAAAGATTCATCCCATCAAGACTCACCGTCGATTTAGGGATGCAGTATCGCCTCCTGGGTAGCGCTGTAGGTATCGCCATCGTGAAACGATTTTCAATACGTAGATCCGCAAGCATCTAGCTATGATTCTACCCGTAACACAACTGGCAGATGTACATCATAACAGCCAGCCATATCGATTCGTACCCTTTAGAAATGCAAAGGAAAATCAGTGCAGTCTATGGCGAGGCACTCAATTGAAAATGCGAGTTGCACTCGCCATCTGTGCTGCGCAGTTCCTCATCCTCTCATGAGTCTGAAAAAGCAGCGATTGCGTTCAAGTAAAGATTAAACAATTAAATAGTAAAGCTAATCGGAGCTTATAGAAAGTGGGCTAGAGAGTTGCGAATGAACGAGTGGTCAGAAATGTAGTTAACATCATATAGCATCCATTCCTCCGCCAATGGCGATCATAGACTAACTTGGGCCACAAGCGTGTGACATATTTATGGAGCATGTAAAGAAGTATTTTCCTATAGCTGCCTGGGTACAAATAATGAGTTTGCGCGTGTGGGATGTGAATTTTAGCAGGCGAACGAGTGCTCCACGTGTGAGTGGCTCCAAATATATCTTCACGCCTCCTTCTAGAAGCTTGGAAGGAAATGAATTCGCGAAAAGATATAGGGAAGATGTAGGCTAATCACGTTATTGAGATAGGCCCCCAGTTACCTATATTTCGGACTTTCCAGCCACCTGTTTACCATGCATATAACGGTTACCGGACACATAGTTACCCACTGATACTGAGCAAGTGAGCAATCAATATACTCCTCGTAATCTTGTCCTGTTTCGAAAACTCGCCATATGCAGCCCGTATATCACACACCTATGGCATAGACCTTCTACCGCCAGTCTCACATGTCAGTTTCAAGACCTACATTTAGGTCCCATCAGATGCAACTCAGTGATATAGATAAGCTGATATCATCCTTCTGTGTGCGCTATATGCGCGGGTGCCTAACTGATAGCGAGAGGCGAGTAGGTCGAATGCTTGAGAAGGTTATTTATAAATTGAGCTTCTCCTGATTGTCGTGGTTTGAAATAGGGCGGCCCAACAGTTAGCAAGGATATGACATGCTACCTACCGTTCGTTATCTCTCAGCTACTAAGGTTAGTTAACTTAGGATCTAGACTAGACTAGCTGTGACAGAAATATCCTCCGCTTGAGCGCAGAAGATCTGGTGGTAATAGTTGCGGTGATTTTGAGGAGAACGCTAAACGCTTGGATGAATTCGGAAACTAATTTAGTTTCGGAGAAGATCTCTCCCTTAGGTAATTTAGATTGTTCCTAAGCCTTCTAGATTGGTGTCTATGGAGCCACAAGTTGATATTCAACCCACAAGCTGAAGACAGGGTTGCACATGTCCTTGAAAACCCCACATCCTCAAGCCTGACTAGCTTGAATCATGACCTACGGTTAGTACCAACGCTGGTGGTCAAAAGCGACATGTGCTCTTTGTATTGCTTCTGCGTTTTATCAGGCTTTGCCGAACCCATGCAATTTCAACATAGGGATGAATGTGAAAACAAGAAAGTCAAATGCTAGACATTGGATTCTCTAAGCCATCAAAAAGCGGCACCGAATATAGCGTAGCGGGCTAAGCATAAGTGCCGAGCTGGTTCTGGGCCGTAGCTGATGCCAGCTGAGCACCTAATGCAAGCCCCGGACTATTTTCTCCCGATGCTTGATCCGCCCAGAAATTCAATAGCGTGTCCGACCCGCCCAGGGGTGCACGAACGCACTTACACCGTCTAGATTTACGAAAGTCTCTGCTGAATTCGGGCCCCGCCACGGACCCTGCGGGCGATCAGCGAGCCAAGATCTACTTCGAGGGCTAAATCTTGACCTATAGCCTAGATAAGCATGGCTTCGTTGAAAAGCGCCCATACTATCCGACGACAGACAAGCTGAAGGTAGTAAGCAGCTGAGCTTTAGTCAAATCTGGTAAAAACTGTTTCAATAGCTCTCAAGGACAATGAATGCATTGCGCGGCCTTCGAAAATCTGGACTCGGATGACTGAATTCGCGAAAAAGTCATGACCATAAGGATATATAACGTCGATCTGCTTCGGCACTCTGGTATGATCAACACAGCTCAGCACCGACAACATCAACCAATCACACAAAGTTGAGTAGTGTGAACTCCACAGCCTAGGAAAGATGCGATCTTCAAGTTCTCTAGCGCTTCTTCTGCCATTGGCAGTGTCTGCTGCTCCGACCAGCAGCAACTCGGCAAATGTATTGCTGAACGAGCTGTTCTGCAAGGTCAACGTCATTGTTGTCTCAGCCTTGAAGAAGGACTCTGCGGCAACATCTTATTGCTCACGTTTCTTGTCAATTCCTACTCTCACCTAGTATGTCACAATCACGAGCTCTGAAATGGTGCTAGAGTCTAATTAGTTAATAGTACCGCCACTGCAACTCAAACACCAGCTAGCGTCTATACCACGGTGCCTGCAACTGTCACTGGCGACGCTGTCACTAACACTGTCACATCTACGTCGACTACCACTACGGATATCACCATCACGGAGACGGCGACAGAGGTACGTGATGTGGTGTCTGGAAATCAGGATCGTTTCTAAAGCTACATAACAGATTTCGACGGAGACTACTACTGTCACTACGTCTACGTCCACTTTGACTTGCTTGGATAGTGCTTACACCGCATCTGTCCCCGTTGGTACTATCTTGAAGCGTGGCGAACAAGTGTCAAAGCCGACCTGCATTCCTACAATCTGGGCTTCTCCTGTAATCTCGACTGCCTGCTCGTGCTTGTCGATCCCCACGCCATCTACCACTACGACTGTCACCACGACTCTTGTACCCGGCACTATCACAGCCACTACAACCAATACCATTACGCCGACTGCAACTGCGTAAGTGAAAGATGGAAGGGAGACATACTTGTGCAACAATTGACACTTTTCTTCAGTTACGAGACTACCACCGAAGTTGCGACAAACACGCACACGGAGACCACCACCACAACCATAACCACGACACTGACTGCTTATGCCGAGGCGACAACCATCGCATCCAACGGCATCGCCTATCGCAAGTACACCCACTCGTATAACGCCGATTCTAGCTCTAGTGGCTTTACCTCCACTGCGTTCAAGTCCCTGACGCCTGACTGGAGCGGTGTCTTGCAGTCGCTCACGTTCAGCACGCCCAACTGGTCTGGCGGTTCTCAGTACTTGACACTCTCTGACCACTCTGCTTTCCTCGCTACGCAGGCTGCACTCGTGCTCCAGGGGTTCTTCATCGCCAAAGAGACTGGCACATACACATTTTCTAGCTCGAAGGACTACATTGACAACTGGGGCTACCTCTGGACCGGCGACGCTGCATATAGTAGCTGGAGCGACTCGAACACGGCGTACAAGGCCAGCCGTACTGGTGCCGGATACGTTACTGGAACAGCTACCGTCGCACTCAACGCTGGGGATGCCATTCCGCTTGCGTTCCTCTGGGCTAATGGTGGCGGTGTCGCGCAGAGCTACTTCACCGTCACTACTCCGAGCGGAGTGAGAACGACTGACAGCACGGGATACTTTGTTCAGGCTTGCAGCTCAACTGTCTTCTCTTGAGAGGCAGTCACGATAGTAGTGTCAAAAAATCCACTTAGATCGTAACATTTCTCTCATAGAGGTGTTTAGCGTAATGCTTAGCGGTGGCATTCTCAGCCAATCAGGAACCAGAGTTTCACTATTACCCTCTGCTCTTAACCACTCTTAATAATATCATCATTGTTGATGAAAAGTACATTTAAAGAAATATAATATCCGTTAAAACACTTTACCTTTGATCCGTGAACATATTTTATTTCCCAAACTATTAATCGCCAGTCGGGCAATAGAAAAAGATCGAGAAAAGCGTACATATAATAGATATGTCTATCAGTTTGTTTTGACTTTTGATATTTCTGAATCGCACTGAGAAATAGCCGCGGAATGTCAATTGAATAGGGGTATAACTCGTAATAATCCGTACATTCAAATAATGATAGTCAGTGCGGCCGATAGTGACGTGCGATTTATAATAGTTCAATAAACCTATATAATGATCTGAATACCCCACACGTTTGTAATATTCAAGCCTAACATGTCTCTAGTTGTAAGCAGTACTTGGCACACCGGTGAGTGAGTTGTAGCGACGGGATAAAGACATGAAGATTTTATAATGGTGGGTGATTATAGCCCTGCCTGACTACCGAGTAGGATTCATAGGTACTCTAACGTGGGCTGCTTTAAGCCTTCCGGGAGTGCAGGGAGTTTGGTGGTCTTCTAGAGTGAAGTGCTTCTTCACTGCTTAGTGTTCATCGTGCCATACGATGCCTTGATTATGACCTTGAGTACAAGGACGGTTCAGACTTCCATGATAAATGACATATTCGGTCAAGAGTGTGTTTAGCTTACCATTTGGAGACATTTCCCCTTTCCCAGCAGTTATGATCGGCGGGTAAAGCTGCGTTAATCACTAGTTTTACTAAGAGAAAGTATAGAGCGCGACATGTAAGACGAGCTCCGAGGGTAGCTGAGAGCCTCGATTCACTTAGAAACTCGTTGATTTCTCTAGAGGCGGCCAGCGCGACGCGGCTAGATAGCACATCCAAGTCTTTGTGTACGAACGCCTTTCATAAATGCTGGTGTGAGATTGCCAACTTGCCCCAAAGATAACGATCTTAGAAGATCTTGCACGTGTTTTTTTTTCTGGTATCTAAATTGATCCGCATCATCACAAGTCGAATGCTGCGGGACACTTGACCGTAGGCCAGGCTTTTTTGAGCACTCCTCAACTCATAAGTCTCACGGCGATCTTAAAGGACTAATGACTGAGCGAGGTTTATAGATTCGAGCTATGCAGGAAGCGAACAATAGTATGCCATAAGAGAGATGTGTCACCTCAGAAGTTGATCTCTCTCCTTGATCTACAACATTCGAATGGAGTCGTGCAAACCATTTATTAACGCCAACAAGAGAAAAGCTCATGTTTCTGGGACCAGATAAGCAACAATCAGTCGGAGAGTCTGGTGGTCGTGACCCTATCCCATCGAAATACAAGAACAAGCCGCGTCTCACTAACTCCGATACCAGTCACGATGTTTTGTAATAACAAGTCCCGTGACTAAGCTAACGTGGGCGAGCGTCTAGTTGATTTAAGCCTCAAATCCACAGGTCTCTTCTCTTCCATCTGTCTTGGCACTTCGAAGTGCACGAATATCCCTATGTATCCACCAGACACACAACCAGAAACCATCTTTATCGATTGCAGTCAACGGCGTATAAGTCACATTCCAAATTTTCGGCCATGGATATTGAATGCCTGCTTGCGTGACCTGATCGACGACCGAGAAGCCAATCACCCAGATCCGACCAGGAAGGTTCTGGGTTTTCAAGCCATTATTAGCGATCTTCCACATGTCACCTTCAAGTGCACCCCAGAACCTAGAGATTCCATAACCATCTTGCCACAGCGACTCACACTTTAATTCGATCACTTGGGATATCTCTCCGCTGAGCGTCAACGTTATGTCCGCTATCAGTGCGTCGTCCATGTATGGGCGCTGCTCTCGTTGAACAGTCGGATGCGGGAATGCTTTCTGAAAAGCATTAGCAAGCTCAACCTGCGACCAGCGTTCCCATCCGCCCTTCTGTATGTAAGACTCCTTGATCTTGGGCTAAATTGATTTGGCCCACTGTTCCACAACGTATGCTACGGCCGTCTCGTCGGGCATGGCCGCCTCGAGTGATGCTTTGGATGGGCGCTCAGTCTTAGGAATAAGCTTCGTACGCTCAACAAGTCTAAAGAGTCCCTTCTATTCACAAGGCTGGAACTGGACGTAGACGGGTGCTACGTAATCGAGAAATCTGCCGCTTCGTCCAGCCCAGCCGATAAAGCAGCTGTTCTGAGGGGTATTGAAGGTTTGGTTGCTGCTGCCCCAGTAGGCGTTAGGGGGATAGATCACTTTTGGGTTGAAGTTCGTCGTGATAGCCAGCCGATTCACCTAATCACCCCAGTACACGGTGATGCTTGTGATAAACTCCCCAGGGCCGAGATCAATCTCGGGAGAGTTCACGCCTCCATTTCCGCCGTGACTGGTTGTGAATGACAAGTTCGGACCCTCCTGGAGCTCGTATGTCGTTATTAAGGCGTCAACATCATCCCAGCCGCGGATGATTATTTTACTTGGCAGCAAACGCAGCGCAATCTGTTTGATGTCGATATCGGTAAAAGCACCGCCGCCGTAGGTCCCGGCGGCAGGTTCTACCAGTAGCCCGTAACGTGGGTGTGGCACGACCAGAACAGTCTTGTCGATTGATGGAGTAGTAATGCCCGGCTTCGTCGGGTCCTCATCTACAGCTTCGCGCCAACCCGTGATATCGGCTACCATGGAATTGAGGTGAGGGGGGCGTTCTGCAGCAGGGAATCAGTTGAGATGCAGCCGTAATGATCGTAAAGATTGGAGACTGTTTGGATGATACTGAGGTTTGTCTTTGCGAGTAGTTCGTAGTCGGATAGTCGCGGGGTGTTGTGAGTAGGATCCACGTATGTGCGACGATAAGCATCGATATGGGAGAAATCAGGGCATCCGGACACGGAGCTATAAGAATTGGTAGAGTACTTGAAGACGGCCGGGTTGTCCAATGGCAGTGTGCCAAAATCACTAACAAAATTGACGATTTCAGCCGCACACTTTGGCAATTTTGCCTTTGAAAAGCCGATACCCGTTTGATTGAAGTTGCACGCAACGCTCGTCGCCGTTGAAATGTTCTGGATTCGAGTCTCGAAGTCGCCTCCAAAATTCACACCCCACCCGGGGAATGTTGCACTCGCGACATTCACGACGCTCTCGAAACTGGTCTCATCGGATGTTACGAAAGTGTACGCTGCCAGGTACTGGCCTCCCTTAGAAATAGAAGAGATGAAACAATCTCCACCCTGTTTGTAGACTTCAAACGCGGTATCAGGGGGCTGAATCCACGATTGACCTTTGATAGTCTCGGTGCTGCTCACGACAGTGGCAACCACAAGAACGATGACAGAGGTGGTTGTCGTTCCTATAGATTGGATGAAGTCTATTCTGTCTCGGAAGGAACCCCAGCCGCCATCAATCTCCATGGCAGCTTCGATGTTCATCGCCTTGAATACCTGCTCAGCGGAAGAACAGACATAGACTTGGGAGGTGATTGAGCCTGCGCCCGATTGAGTGTCGACTTGGAGAAGAGTGGGCATGGCGAACTCAAAGAACGTATTATAGCCATTGCCGACGTTAGTGACCGGTGTTGGGTCTGACCCTTTTGGAGAGCGTAGCCTCGAATTCCCGGGAAGGCCTGCGCTGGAGTTTGTGGTGGATTGGTTTATGCTTTCCCATAGTTGAAGCGTGTCAATTTGTGCTTTTAGAAAAATTGAACCTCGATGATTGAACGAGGAACACTGGGATATTTACATTTATCCAAGCAGATGGCCAAGTATCCTGCTCTGGGACAGACACAGTATTACCATTGGGCGTCCGACGGAATATTGAAACCCGGGAAGATCCCTGGGTCCACTTATTTTGCACAGGGCTGACTGATCTATGTCTTTCGTCGGCTTGCTTGGTATGAGGATGGGGTAGTCCGGCACCCAAATGTTGCCCACCTTATTGCCAAATAACGCCCCCCTCCCCCACCAAAAAACACTACTACTAGGCACTCAACCGGAAAGGAATCCGTCTAATTCAACATTCCATAACAGACGCAGTTCGGTCCGTACAGCTTAATAAAGTGCTCATCTGGTAAAAATGCTTATACAATTACCGTGACAGTGGTCTCATGTTCATCATTTTACGAGATGGCATCTTTACTGCTAGCAAACATTAAGTTAGGGTCCAGGCCATCTACCCTCTAAAAACGTCGAGGAATTGATAAAGGGCACCTGTATTCCATATCTCCGTCGTAAGCTGTATCAGAATGTCTCAGATTTACCTATGCTTATGCTGCTTATTATTTAGGGCGTCTGATGCAGGCAGTCTTTCAACTTATTGGAACGAACAATTGCTCTAGGAAATGGGAAAAGCGTATGCTCGTCTTTTTCTAAGAACTACAAATTTGACATCCTCCAAATAACATGTAGGGGCGATGTGGTATTTAGCACCGGGAACTTAGGTAGGCTTAGGAAGATCAATTTCATCAAATATCCAGTTTAAGCGAGAGTACGGGATGGAATTAGCAATACAACATGATAGCAACGTTAGTAGACAATAAATGAAGTGCTTGAAGTCTATTTTAAAGCGGATAACTGTTCGTTTTCTGCTATGACTAGCATGCTTAATCAAATTTCCATCCATTTAAGTAACTGAAACTGCGTAATGGAGAAGATGGTACAATCCATTTGACTACAATGTAGAGGTTGCCGTTATAGCTGTGCTGAATTATGTGAGAACTTGCGACGGATCACCCATCCTGTGGAGTAGGTAGATCATACATACCAAGTCGGTAACATCATAAATCAGACAACCTACCATGTCCCATTTATTTGATTTTTGGAAACGTGGAAGGTTGAAGCCGACCAATGAGCGTTACAACAATTCTAGATCAGTCGCAACCAGAGGAACCGTTAGCCGTCAGGACGCCCGCATGGAAAATTGCAAACATCCTCACGAAGTTCGCATACCTATTTACTACAGAACTTCGATAACTAAGAAAGAAAAAAAGTTTGGAAAGTTAATTTATAAATAGACTAGATACTTTTCAAATAGTGCTACATTTTTGGGTTGGTATTTTAGAATAGTTTGGGCGGCTTATAAGCTGCGTAAGATGCCGAATTCTGGTGGGATGTGTGCAATTTCCATACGATCGTCCTGCCGTCTGGTTCAACATGGCAAAAGCCTCAACTCATGCTTCAGACTAAAGTATCAACTATCTAGACACCCTCTGATTGGCCCCCTTCATCACTAGTTCTCCATATAAGGTTACCGATGTCAAACCACTAAGGAAACGCTCTAAACTGTTTTGTAAACAATTTGCGGAAAGTTGTGCAAGTTATGGACAACGAACCTGACAATGATGTTTGCCTCAAGCAGTGACGGGACACAACGCTAGTGCTGAATTGTGGAAGGTCGTTCATATGCTGCTGCTCAAGGGGTTTCTTGCATGCGTTGGCGTCGGACCGAGCCATATTACATGCTTTGCGAATCCAATACTTGTCTTGTCAACGCAGACCCAACCTAAATGTGTTTGTTGAAGGCACCGCAAAATAACTCGTCGATATAAAACGCGCCGTTTAGGAACGCCCTCAATGCCGCAGGTGCTCAGATACAAGGCATATGGACTTTCTATGAGTTACTTAGAAGGAGCACAGATGGTGAGTAATTGCTCGTCGTAAAACATATTTAAGCTGGCGAAGACAAACGTCACAACATGAGATCCTTCTGTATCGATGGAAATCGATTATCAGGGGACCCTTTTCCTCCGAAACCATCGTCTACTTTTCTCTTCTGACGCTGGCATGCTCGGCACGTCTAATGTTTTGAGTGACTCCTTTCGTTGGCGCAGTCGCTGTTCCACATCCGTCATTAAATGTGTCCATCTAACGTCCATCTGTTCCTGGCTAAGGATCCCTCGGCCGCCATCTGGAAGAGTGTCACTGTCTTCCTTGGCGTCGTAGTCGCCACTTGTGATACCTAGAACCTGACACAAGGCCTCGGCCTTGGAGATGAGCCAGTCTCCATGGCGCAGATGGTTCCACCAATGTTGCGGAAGCGCTTTGAATCCCAGGTAGCCACCGACCAAAGCTCCAGCGAAGCATGCATTAGTGTCCGCATCTCCGCCATGCATCACAAGATCAGTGATCAGGTTCTCGAATAGGCTGAGCCGCGCCCGGAAGCTAGGGTTACCACCCCGAATCACCTTTATGGCGCTCCGCAAAAGAAATACCCCGGCTCCCAAGGTCTTATACACATATCCCATACCCTGCGAATCATCCAATTTTAAAGAATCGAGGCCCTCAACCTCTGTGTGCTTTTTTAGTTCGGCCACGTCCAATTTGTAACCGGGCGAAGGCTGTTCCTGGGTAGCGAACCATACTAAAGCCCGTGTTATTACAGAATCCAGATCAGAATTATTATCAATGTCTCCTCGGACAACGCCGCGGATGAGTGCCGAACCAATGGCACAGGCAATAACACAGCGAGGGTCTGCGTGGGTAGTCTTGGAGACAGCCGCACCTAAAGCAAAGGCCACTTCTTCATCACGGGCCAAAGCCAGCAACCCTAGTGGGTGCGTGCGCATTAGGCTACCGTTTGATGCGCTGCGCTTGCCTGATGACTCCCAGCACTTTCGTGCGGTACCTTCGGGGTCCGTCACGAAAGTATGCGATCGTACCACGCTAGCCACTACTTTTCCCAAACCCAGGGGCATCTTGTCAAGAGCGCGCAAACCACAGTCAACCCATATCTTCAGACGCGGGGGAAAGTCTGCTGTTGTTGCGGCAACGAGGTCAGCATCAGAGATGCTAGCGTCGACGTTGCGGAGAGCGGCGAGGAGGAGCAGTAGCGCATGGTCGGTGTCGTCAGTCCAATCGCCGGGGAGATGTTTCATCCGATGCGTGTCAACGCGAAAGCGTGTCGGTCCCTTACCATCATATCCATCCGGGGCGAGGATAAACTGGCGAGCAGGGTAGAAGAAAGCAGAGTGTTCCGCTGAGAGAAACTCGGTGTACAAGCCAATGGCATCGCCAAGGGCCGCTCCGACCAGCACACCGGTAACACGGTCGTGAAGCGAATCTAGGAGGAGGCTCTTAGATACAGCAATGGCCGAAATAATGGGAGGCGTGGTGTCTTTCATGATTTGATGTGGGCAGCGGCGATCCTACACCATAAAGTAAGAAGCTGAGCTATGAACTGCCTGGAAATACCAAGCATGAGCGAACGAGGTTGCCTACGTGGAACATGTTGGTAATTGTCGCCAACTCAGTCCAACGCCCCACCGGGCGAAGCAGAGACGCACGGTCCACGCATCCATCATGTTGTTTAGTTTTTCCTTTCTAGAATATCACGGCCGCATAGGATGTCGCATGTAGTGAATAAGACATACCGGGCATTGCAAGACCTCGGATATAAATGAGCTGCTCGGGCGGAAGATCAATGAAGAATTATAATGGCATCTCCGGTTTTGGGGTGTTAGGATTAGAAAGCGGCAATGGCGGAACCAATACTCTAAGGGTATCAGCACACCATGAACTAGTCTAGGAGAAAACTATTCCGGTAACAAAATCATTGGCAAACCCCAAAAGAGCTAATCACTACTCAAGAGCAGCTTGGGCGCCAAATAGTGCGCAATAATCTATAAAATACTCTGAGAGTTTTTCGGCGTTGACTTTATCGGTTTTCGGCTACCTCTTGCAGAAGGATCATGACTCCTCAATCGCACTACCTTATGACGCGCCTATAACACGAACCCTTCCGCCTGAAATCCTTTCAACTATTGTCCTTGTGCAGAGTTTTCGTCTATACGTCTCTGCTATTCATCTGTCTCCAGACCTGCTCGTCACTAACAAGTGCTGCTTCCTCGTCAGATGGTGATCCCGAAAGTAACTCCTCAGCGGTTATAAGGACATCGTTCTGTCCAGAGACTGTCCAGGCCTTATCTTTGAGGTCGTGCAAGAACTCAAACCAGATGGCCATTTCAGTTCCCAGCTTGCCCCAAAGATTCTCGAACTGGCGGAAAGAAATGGTTAGAAACTCAAGGGGATGAGAGGAAAACGATTTGCCGGAAACCCGACCGCACGCCAGGAACATTTCATTCCAGTCTTTGTACTTGTTGTGGCTCCCCAGGACGTAGAGACCCCCGGTCGCCGGACGTGGTGGTAGGGTACCGTTTGTAATAATTGCGTACACCCAAATCCCAACATTGACACGCGTGTCGCCAGTGCTATACACTGGAGTTGATTCTGGCCCAACAGGGAGTATCTGTATGTGCCGTTGTGCCGATTTCTCCCAACCTTGTTAGCGAGTCGAGTAGGGACATCTAAGTCACGCCAGGGACAATAGAGACTCACCATGAAGACTGGAGACATGAAAGGAAATGCAAAATTGGAAGGGTAATATGTGCATAAGAGAAATGTCGTTTTGGCCAAAAGCTCCTTGTCAGCCTTGATGAAATTGTCGACGCGGGCCTTGCCGTCGTAATGTGGTACCAACCACCTCCCTTGCGACAATTCCGCGCTGTAAGGTAGAGTGCTCCAGATGTAGTGCTCCAGAGTGGGCGTATTTGCAGCAGCCTTGGCTAGTTTGACTCCTTGTGTGTATTCGACCTCCATGGCTGCGACGGCAGAGAGAGTTTCAAAGTCCTTGAAGAAGTTTGTGACTGCATAGACCACATGAGCGCCGGTAAACACCTCCGCAATGCTGGCTTCGTCGTTCGGGTCCATGTAGACCATCTCCACCCCCTGAGAAGCAAGAGCATTTGAAGCATCACTGGCTGTGTTTGACGTGGTGCCTCGAATCTTGAAGGAGGGATCTTTGAGGAAGCGGGCGACAACGGATCCGCCTTGGACCCCAGTCGCGCCGACAATAACTGCGAGCTTGAACATTACTACGACGAAAGGTTTCAGTGAGCGTATATGATCGGTCTTGCCATAAATCAGGCTACCATGGAATCCTATTATATAGACAGAATACATGCCATTAATTCCGCCTGTGTCGCAGATTTGACAAATCCACCTCAAAGCATTGAATAAGCGCCGCAATGTGATGCCTGATCTGGCCAGCCATGGAACAGGAGCGCCGTTATTCCCGCGGCTCCCGATGTAGTTCTTACCAGAATAACCTCCAGCCAATTCCGGTAGAGCACATTGCGGGCTATCCAACAAGCCATAAAAGCGACCATACATGGGACGGCTTATGTTGAGAAGCGTGCGGGCGTCAAGTGGGGCCGCCATGAAAAAATCCCCGCCAACGCCTGAGGACCGCAACGAGGACCGCAACGAGGACCGCCAGATGACAAACAATGCGCCGGGACTGCTTGGCGCCATACGGTCTTGCGAAATCCTACAAATTAATCATCCATGTGAATCCTATATAAAGGCCTTCTCCAAGACACCACTCAAAAATAAGAAGATATAGTTCATCCACACATTATTAGTTCAATCTCAACCCTGTTCTATATCTTTTCAATTTCATATAGCAAGCATCTCGACTCTGTAAAGCCATTTGCAGTTGTATTGAGAATACTTAGAGTTGAACCAACGGCGATAAATAGTAACCCCTCGAGCCACACAGCCAGAATGCCTATCACCGAGGTCATTTTTCACGCCTACAAGACTGACCCCCAAACCCTTGCTGGGTTGGGAAACAGTCATGGTCACCTGGTTACAGCTTTCAGCGGGGTTGACGGCCTCAAGACACTATTCAGAGGGCCACTACTGGAGCAAGACGGCGAGGCGATAGGTCCTCAAAGCGGGAGAGATGTACTCGCTATCGGTATGTTTGCCGCTAGCAACAGATCCAGAAGAAAACGGTAGTTACTAATATAGTGACCAACAGAGTGGGAAAAAGAGGAGTTCTTCCATCAATTCTTCCCAGGGTCCGAGAAGTTCAAAGCCTTGTATACCAAAATGAAGGACTTTGCTGCCGCCCCAGCTCGTCCGGAGCTCTACGAAGCTACCAACAGATCCACACTGTGTTTTTCTTCGGAGGTAACACAGATTATTAAAGTCAGATCTGGCACAGGAACAGAGGCAGCATGGAAGCGGCTAGAAGAAGTACTTTCAGCATCTCCTGCTGGCAAACCAGCTCTCTACCACGCGAACGGTATAGGAAAAGAAGAAGGTGGATTTATTGGTCTGATCGGGTGGCAGAACTTGGAGGTGAGTTTTGCGAATGGCAGCACATAAGCCCAGGCTAACTATGGAAAGCATTACCAAACAGTTGGGAAACAAAACAGCATCCTCGAGCTGATTGAACACCTGAACAAGAATGAAAAGGTCCAAAGTTCAATTGCTAAGCTACAGCAAGTCGATCTGGCTTGATGAAGGCAAGGAGACCCCAGAGTTTTAGCTTAGTCCAACGGCGCAGTCCTTGGCAGAAATACTGGCCCAGCACCGCTATCAAAGCATTCCCGCTTAACTTTTATGGGATCCGAGGCTCAGTGTATCGCATATTCGAGTCATATCTGTCACATGTAACAACCTCTCTCCTCCACGAAATAGTTTTGTATCTCCCAATACGGACGTTTTTCAGGTTCCAAGAACTATATACACAATGTGTTATTGCTCTCATAGAGTGTGAAATTCAGACCGGAATCTACTTAGATTGTACTCCTTTGTAAACTCTGCGCTCCAGTGAAGTGCGCTTCAGTAGACCCCAGACTAATGCTGTAGCTCAAAGTTGAAATTCTCGACATGGTCAGGCAAGCTCAGAGCCTCGACTGATTCCAATCCTTTACAAGCCACAAGAATAAATCTCTCATATGGATCAAGCTTTCTCGGAGGGGAAACTATCCAAACATCGGTAAAATCGGCATACCTTACCGTCGCATCTTCGTGAGAATGCTGAAGATACGCGTCCCGTGAGCCCCAAAAGGCTTGTTTCGTTGACATAGGTAGCATAGACATTGTTGGTAATTCTGGGCAGATTCCATGCCTGAATATTGAGTACAATGCATAGCTACCAAATGTCATCATAACCGTCCGACGTATGGACTCGGTGACGATCCAGTTTTCCCACATCGGCGTGGCGTTCTGGAGCTCGTGTTCTCCTCGTCGCAAGAGCCGTAAGGCTTGCGCGGAAAGGACGTAGTGTTGCTGCTCGGCTAGCGCGCAATGCTCGACGTCACCATCAAAGAGCCTAATAATCTGATATAGGACTATTGCCTGCATCCTTGCTAGGTCTTCCAGGAGTGTCGAAGCCGTGGGTGGCTTGATCAACTCGGACATCTCGGCATCTAGGACCTGAAACAACGTGTGTTTGTTTCTTTCGTTCATGCAACTGAAGGCACCACAGAGGCCAAAGGCTGTTCGGAGCGGCTGGAGAAGTGTGTTTTGGGTCATGCATATGAAGACCGTCTCTGCGCTCACGGAGAAAGCCTTTGGGTAGCTTCTGAGTTGCTCAATTGCCCACTCCCAGCTTTCTGTGCTCCCAGACACTGGTTGCAAATCACCTAGAGGACCTGCCATATTTGGCACGGTAGAGTTCATCAACTCTACCATGGGGAGGTCGTAGGGTATATCTTGCGCCTCGAAATCCAACCCAACGCGCTCCGCCCGGGTCGAAACCCCACCAACAGTAATGCTGACAGAGTCGAGTGCATTATCCTGTGGCGTTTGCGGTGTTCGGGCAGGTGGCACGTAACGACAAGATCTCTTGTTCTTCTCACATCGTATGCAGACTGGATAGGTAAGATCACATCTCCGCCGGGCCCTGAAACAACTATCACAGGACTTTCGCGGAATGGGCATGCTGTAGCGACACCGGGTATTTTCGAAATAAGAGGACCACTGGGGTGGGACCGGACACCGGATGAGATGGATTACAGAGTAATTGACGGGCAGTGGGGTGTGCGTACTTATTTTCATTGATCTGCTAATGAAAAAACTAAACTCGTTTCGTCTAGCTTAGGCTAGTACTTACGTCACGTGGCGCTTTATAGAGCGGGCTACTCGGATTTGCTTACATGCTTATGGCATTTATGACAGCACCGCTCGATATGTACGTACATCACAACAAATGATAGAGCACATTATAATAGATAACGTGCGTGATGCATGAAAGAATACTGATAATTGTGTCTAACAAATAGGAGGGGAAAGATGAAACCGAGCGCAAGGCTCGTTATATGCTGCTCGTGCAACGACTATAAGTCTGTGTGGAGCTTCTCGATCGGTGTTCCACTAAGTTTAGGATATTGCCACTGTACTGTAATAGTCAGGCCTCTGGGAGCTCCTGGCCGCTCTTTACATTGCCCGTGACCCGTACTGGGTATCACCCCACTCGCGCTGGGACTTAGAAGATTGTAAGTTCGATGATCACCGGTTACGAATATAAAGAGCATGCGGCGCAAAGAAGTACCACCAGAAATACGTCATAAATTTCTTTAACTCGGCAGCATAGTCTATGCTACTGGGGGCATGTGTTGCATATTGCACACATGGCCAAACGTATTCCTAATTGATGTTCTGCAGGTACAAGTGAACAGCGCTAAGACGCACCGCGTAGTACGGTTTCGCATGGCGGTAAGTTCCTCGAAACCCGCTAAGTAACTACACTTTCTGCAGCGCGATGCACAATACGGCATAGACTAGGTGCCCCAAAGATGCCTATGGTTCGTTAGAAAAAGCTTAATTATACAAAGATTGCATATGAAGCCCAACCTCGTCTAATGGGACTGGTGTACATGTCGGGTCACCAAACATAGCGAGTTGAGGCTGAAGCAGCCTAAAGCAATATACTATTGTAGGACAGTAGCCAGTGCAATATGCGGAGCAGTCACGGACCCGCAATCACCGATGCCGAGTTCATACTTGTTCTGCGGAGAAGTTGGGAGGTAAGTCACGAGCTTGCGCAACAAACCCCTCTGAAATAAAACCCATGTGAAATCACGATTTGCATATTAGCTAATTTCGGAAAACACCGATCAAGCTTTTTCTTCTTTCTGTGATGGCACAAATATAATCGTCTATGTCAATGCGGGGCCTTGGATTAGATCACTAAAGTTTAGAATGCTTAGACCTTTGTGTGTGAAGAAGAAATGAAGCCATTTGTGGAAATCTGCCGATGAATCTTTACTACACTATAATACAATATTGGTTTCTGTATTAATATAAGGTTTAAATGCCCTGACTCAAGTGGTAATTCAGATGCCACGTTTTGAACGAGAGAATCATCGTTCCACAACGGCACACTTACTGGGTGTTGTTCCGTCTTCGTTACCTGAATTGCATCCCGACTACTCGTTCACATGCCTGAAAATTTGCCACAACTCTCGACTTGTTTTCGTGCGATGCTTACGGTTATTGGCGTTGTCATGAACCAACGCCCAGCCTAATGTCAACTCGTTGGCCGCACTTTGATGCGAATGCCAGGGTGCTTTTGCCCCATCTCCAGTCGTATTCAATAGACCTCCTTTGGAATACGTCTTGTCGTTGTAGAGACGTGAGGGTCTATAAGATTGTTCCAATCCACGCTGGCAACCTTTCAAAGCGTCCTGTAAGCGTCGTTTATTGCCGTCAGATGCGTTGAGCGCGGTGTGAAACGAAAGAGGAAGAAAGTCATATCAACAGCCTACGGCTAACCAGATAAAGCCAGCAATGACCAAAAGCCATGTTGGCGCTCGAAGACTGACACTTGAACTTGGTTTGTCGTCGGTGGCAGTTGCATTGGAGGAGATCGCGTTAAGGCCTGACCCATCGCATTGCCCATTGACTCCACTTATCGAAATCTCCTCAGCTGTGATTCCCTTGATATCACTACCGCAATCGTTTCGATTGGCTAACCACACAGCTCGGTTATCTTGATCATATACAGCATATACAGCTCTCAAAAATGAGTGACCCAAATAGTAGAAATCGATCTTATCGAGGTAGTAATCATCCCACGGGAAAATAGATAGGTAGCAAAGCTCAGGCGCCGTTTCGTATTCAATCTCTTCGAGTTGTGTGCTCGAAACAATGAATTTGGAGTAAGGAATACTGACGTTCAAGGAACCGAACTGGAAGTCGAGTGATCCTTTTACAGTATCCCTGTATTGGCAAGGGATTATGTACCATTTGTCCGTCCAAGCGCTAGTGTTGCGGATACCATATGCTGCGGCGACTTGATTGACGATGTCAAGAGGGAGATAACTGACTTCGTCCATGGAATGCGTCATCGCCTTGAATCCAGGGTAGGAAGTCATGTTGCCATCATCGCCTCGCAAGGTGAGCTTATCGACGTTCATCCAATACCTATATTCTGAATAGTCGATCGGGTATGTCGGGGGTTCAATGACAGGTACTTTCTGGAGGGCGCCCGAGAACTTTTTACTGTCGATGCCACCAAGAACTAACGATCCATCATTGGGACTATCGTTTGTGCCGAGGGCCAGACTAAACGCCCTGGTCTGTGTCACACCCTGGAGCACGAGCTCATCGACCACATTGGAGTAATTGCTGTTTACTCCTTGGCCAAAGCCAAGACCGAGAGAACCATAGTTCCTTGTGCTTGCATCATCGTAGACGCCAAAGGTGATATTTTTAAGAGTGTCTAGGTCGCATGTTAGCTTGTCGGGAAACCCTGAGCCCAAATTGGCGCTTACTTTCTCCCGCAATGGTGAAATCATCCGAGGCGTAGTTCAACGAATAGGAACTTCCGTCATCGTTGTTTAACCAAGATTCTTCGTACGAAACAGGAACATAGTCACTAGTACTGGAAGTTGACCTGTTATATGTCCCAAGGGCCTTGCATTCTTCCTTGTAGAAGTAGTTAGGTTCGCAATCACTAATCGCCCAAGTAACGTAGGAGCCAACATCGACGGCAAGTTGGACTCGCTGCTTTGGTGTGCCGATGTCGACTAAATATGATTAGCTCGGCACATCTAAGTTTGGGGCAATGAGAATGAGCGAACCATTCACCACGTAAGTTTCATTGTCAAAGGTCCTAGTGAGCGAAAGATTGGCAGCTCTCTTCTTTAAGGTTGACACCGTTGGAGCTGTACTGCGCGAAACAGGCAATTGAACGAAGCCGGCTGTCTCTGCCGCTACTAACCCAGCCGTGCTAATGATTCCGAGTAGCTCTGTGAAAGCGAGAAGTTCCTTTGACTTCATTCTTCTCATAGCGATGCCGATATGGCTGATTCAATTGCTCCAGTTAGTAACAATTGATATCTGGATACTTTGAGAAAAGGAATTCGGCGGATTGGAGGTTACGATGAAGAGCTAATTATTACAACAAAATACAGTCAACAATGGGAGAGAGGATGGAGCCACATAACAAGGGATTTTCCGTCTCATCTTAAATCAATCGCTCTGCAAGAATCCATCACGAGCCCGTGACTCAAACAGCTATATTAGAACCCTGTGTCCGAGGCTTGGCTCCAGTGCCTCAAGGAATGTCGGATTGCGCTAATGCAATCAGGCGGCGCAGCTTATAATTAAGCATGATTTCTCAGCAAGGGGTGATCTGAATGGGGTTTGACGCTGTTCCAACCGAGCTCATAGTGCGGATAAGATATGTTGGGTTCGTTTGTACGTTGCCACAAGTCGCTAACTAGACCTTTCTAGGGCGTGCTGACCGCGACGGGGCCACTTTGCCAAGAGACAGAAAACGCTCCCTCAAGCATGCTACCGCGTGACCACCCCCATACCGCTGCATTGTTTACGGGACCTGTGATGAAATGAGCTATAGTTTTGGTTCAGGTCACCCTGGTGGACACCTTACACATACAGGGTCAATAATCAGTCTATTAATGGTGTTCATGGAACGGACGATGAATAAAGCTGCACTCAATTTCTGGTGAAGGCTACCTAAATAGATATCCGAGGGGGTCGTCAGGTGGACTTCTGAGGCATCCATTATGCTTCGTACTTTGAGTCTCTCTATTGAATTACCTTTACGATAACAAGGCTTCTTCCAGTTTGATGCTATTCCTATGTGTTCTAGCACCATACTATGCGCCACGCCAGCAGCTTTTGTTGGGGGAAACATGACATGTCGGCGATGATGATACCCTTGGTTATTTCTTCTAACAATCATACTTTCAATGGATTCTCGTGCGCACACCGACTACTTCGTTGTGATGAGAGTCAAGTCGCTAATGAAATCTATCGTTTTCTACATTATCGCGATATATACTCCGTACCGACCTTCTCACCACTTTCTCCAATGCCAGCCGAAAGCTACAGTAGTTTCTTACCCGCGCCTCACGGTGGGGTCCCCACAACTAATTCCGAACAGACCAGTGAGAATCACTTGCTGACTGAAACTGGCCAACTTCTCAAAAAACTTGATCGGGAATTTGCCTCATCGTGATCAACGCTGCCGATTTGATTATTTTGATTGCACCGCATTGCCACATAACCGAAAACATGACTGCGTTGAGTAATGCAGAATACACGCTCTATTCGTCTCCATTCTCCCTTTACTCCATGATGGCCCGTCACACTGTCCAACTCGGCCCCGCAACACACAACGCAAAGCCGCCCCAGAAGATCACTCTGAGCTTCATTAACCACCGCAAGAACCAGAACCTGAACGAGGAATACCTCGTCTTGGTAAACCCCAAGGGTCAGGTACCGGCCATGACCGGTAACGTCCTTGAGCAGCCTCTTACTGATAGTCGCTCCATCTCACTGCACCTGGCCGAGAAGCATTACCCAGCCATGCTACCTGCGGAACACGCTGTCGTTATCCAGGACCTTCTCAAGAGAATCCATGCCATCTATGGTCTTTCATTCAGCAACAAGAACCCGACAGCAGAAATGACGCAGTATAACCCTTCACCAGTGGAAGATATCCTCAAAAAAACTGATCTCAGCCCGAAGTACCGCGCGGCTCTCGAGGCAAAGCTCAGTTTGTACGTCACCCCTTTTGTTTTTCTCAGACTTACCATTAGTTCTAGAGCCCTTTTTGCTTGTTCTTGCTGTCTGTTTTTTGATACTACCACTGAATTTCCCAATCAATTAGCCACAACAAAAATAATGCCGTAGCTTTTCAGCCAGCTATTGTAGCGAAAGCTCGGGCAGATCTGCAGATCATTTTTGCAGAAATCATAGAGCACCGCGGACAAAGCGGCGCCTCCGATACGGATGCAACATGGACATTTGGAAACCAGGTGGGCCCGACCGTGCTGGATAGCCATCTCCTTCCGCTCGTGCTGCGCTGCATTGATGCTGGTAACGCCGAGCTTGTTCCTCAGGAGCTGCAGCGCTGGGCAGGGGCTATGGCAAAGAGCCCAGCGTGGCAAAAGGTTATGCACGGTAGGTCGACAAGGTGGGATTCTTCGATGGGCCCTGTCGAGGATATGCAGGATATGATGTCCCTGTGAGGCCCATTTCAAGGAGACTGACCCGGCCATCATACCAAAAGCAAAATTGAGTAGACATCGGATGTCAATCAGGCTTTTCCTAAAGATTAAATTCAAGTTTTCAAAATCTATTCTGGACAATTCTCCGGTCTCCTTGCCTTACTTGGCAAAGAGGACAGGTGATCCTCTTAACAAACAATGTTTTACAATGGTTAGCTTATAGTCCAGTTTAAATCTATTCACCTGCTCCTACAACCCTTTATGTTTGATTATGAGCCAAGTATTTTACCAGGGGGTTGAATCTGGGCTACACTAAGTCGGTAGCAACCTGAAGTGCAGTTGGAAAGGACGCCGTCGCGGACTGCACTAATTTTAATCCATTGCCACCATAAGCTCGTATAATTCTTATGATATATCGAGCTCTCTGGTTACTACATACATCTTCTCTTCAGGCGCCCCGATCTGAAATGACTACTTGGTTTGTTCTCCAACATCATCATTTTATTAAGTTCTCACACCGTTCCTAAACTAATCCATGTTTATCGTTTTGATCGAGCATTGCGATTAAGGTCAGTCGGAATAGAAGAAAGGCGATGCAGCCCCTTCCAGTCCTTCTGGTTTTTCGGGACCGATCATTCTCCCGCTGGGGTCTCCGGCTTGCCTCCACCCATCTTTCTAAACGGAACTAGAAAGGCGCTCAGGAATGACACGCCAGCTAGACCAATCGCTACGGCGAATGTGGCCCTCACGCCTTCCATATATCCGCGTACGATTTCAAGGACTTGATCAGGTGGAAAGGCTGTTCGAAAACCTGTCGCTCCCGTTGTGATGACCTCGGCCGTACTAATATGTGGAGCATTTGCAGACAAGTAGTTGATGAGCACGTTCACAAAGGCGGATTGCGCCGCCGAAAGAGCAAAAGCTTGGCCAATAATCTGGGCAACTAAAGATGCTGTCAGCAATACAACATAATAATCAGAAGCAAACGAGCTCTTACAGAAAATGATAGCTGTTGCAGAAGAGATATCCTGTGGTTCGACATTGGCTTGGGCAATGTTCAAGCTGTACTGGAATGGAATTGACCAAGCCACACCGGCGAGGATTTGGTATCCAATCCATTTCCCGTCGGAAGTACCAATGTCCAGAGTGTAGAACAAGCCACTGGATACTGTTGCAATGGCTGCTCCAGCGATCATCGGCGGAACAGGATAGCCTGTCTTTGACATCAGGAAGCCTCCAGCGACGTTGCCTAAACTCACTGCAATAACCATCGGGAGGTTCCGTACACCAGACTCGATCGGCGACACATTGTCGACACTCTGGAAGTAGATAGGGAGATAATATAGGAGGACGTTGTAAGAGGCACCGTAGCAGAATTGGTAAATTGAACTGCTCCAGAGGAAGCGTTGCTTGATCAAGCGAGGCACGACCATGGCTCGTTCTTTTTGAAATATCTCCCAGGGAACTAGCAGTATCATAAGAATGATAGAGGCCACAAGGAGCCCAATGACATAGCCACTGTTCCAGGGATGGCTTTGGCCGCCAGCCTGCATTGCGAGAATGAAGCAAATTATGGCGGCCATTGTCAATGCAACACCGACAGGGTCTGTTTGCAGAAGTTTTTCCCGCCAGGTCGCAGGTACAGTGATGCGTGCATTTCCGGGAACCTTGAAAAGAAGCAGAATGACCGCCGTAGCAGCGATTCCAATAGGCAGGTTGATGTAGAAGCACCAGCGCCAGGTGACTCGATCAGAGAAGACACCGCCCAAGACGGGACCAAGAACGGCGGCAACACCATATGTGGTGCCAATCGCACCTACGTATACCGGTCTCCTCTCAGGTCTCGAGGACAGGGCGATGACTGTATATCCTCCCGCTGCAATACCAGCGCCACCAAGACCTGCAATAGCTCTTCCCACGATGAAAGCGGTAGCATTCGGTGCCGTGGCGCACACGAGACTTCCAATCTCGAAGAGGGCCATGGTCAGAAGGTACGTGATCTTCAAAGGGACATATCGATAGACCTTGCCCCAGGAAGATTGGAAGCCACCGAATGTCATGAAGTAAGCCGAACCATACCAGGGAACTTGTTCAAGGCCGTCAAAGTCGTCGGTGATCTTGGGAATGGCCGTACCAACAATTGTCTGCCTTATGGTTAGCCAGATAATACTTTTGACACGTAGAGAATAGCTTGCCCTACCATATCCAATGACATGACAAAGATACAGAAAATGACAGCGCTTAGAAGGAGGGTCATGCGCAGACCACCAGGATAGTCATCGGGAGCTGGCTGCTCTGCTTCCTTCCCTGGCTCAGAGCCATTGGTGTGTCCGTTTTCCCCCTCTACAGGGGATGATGTGGACTCAGGGACATGATTGAGACGCTTCTCCGACGATTTGACGTTTGTCGCACCAGGGTGACCAGAATCTGCCGCCTCTGTCGCAGCTATAGCCATTTTGTAAGTGTGCTGTTCCCAAGGTTGTGATGGCCGTTCCAGCAAAGGATGGGTTTTATGAGGGCCACGAGGGTATTGATGGAGAAAGTGAAGCTACAGACTTGTTACAGCAGCATTGAGAAGAAGTCAAGGAACGAATGAACAAGTCAAATAGAACAAGAATCAAAATTAAAATTAAATCAAACTTAAAATCAAAACAACAGTTTCACGAATGACGGCGCTCAATTCTTTGGGCATGTTGCACGGAATGTCTAAGAGCCCGTTTTCTTCCAGCCGTAAATTTTCGGCCGAAACCCATATCATTCTACCCCAAAGCAGCAAACGCCCTTATAGTCAGGGTGAAGGAAGTAGACACCCCTGGCCGCAGAGCCCCATCGTGTATCCGTTGCCTCGTACAAATTCAACCCGTTTGCATACGCGATTAACAAGGTAGTAATTTGAACACGCATCCTAGAGTTTGGATTTCAAAGCTTTTCACAGATGATTAAAATTCGGCAAGTATTTCCTCCGATTCTGTGAGGCCCCGAAAAAAATGACTGAATGAATCATTTGGCCCATCACAAGTTAAATCACCCAAACCGTTACGGGCACTGTTTGCTTAAGGTCACAAGTTATCTGCCCACCTACAGGCCCACTAAGGTACCATTACAATTACCCACTCCATGACCCGCCGTGCCGTGCCCCGGGAGTCTCTCCATACGTCGATCATGGATGGGAATTACAATTGTTTACGCCTACGGCGGCCATTGGTGTCCTTGATTCGGTTCAGGTTCGATCTATCTGCAGCGCCAAGAAGATTCATCTGTCGCCCGAGCATTTCTGATGCACCCCTACCAGGCCAGCCATTTAATGCATCAAGAAAGTTAATTGCATCGAGACCTTACGCATCGAGCACCAACGCGGCCGTCGCTAAGGCTTCTCAGACTTTCATGGAAAATCTGCAGCGCGGAACTCATCAATTGACTGCTGATGAAAAGATTGTTCGCAAACTCGGTTTATTGTTAGTCTCCGAGTGAGCAGAAATGACCCCGTATTAATCAAGCGTTATGTAGCGAGTCGCATCATATAGCATTGCATACTCTCGGTCAAACACGGGCCTGTATTCTCGCCTATCGTTATGCAATGCCACCACGATTGGCCGTGCCTAGTGCACGACCAGAGCTCATGCAATCCGTCGAGACTACGATTGCTCGCATCGTTCTCAAACATCCAGTCCTGCAAGTTGGCATTATCGGCGAGGAATCGGCGGAGCCCTCTTGGATCTTTCTTCGAAGTATTAATCTTCACAATCATATCAAGTGGAAAGTATTGGGCAAGAACGAAAACTTTCGGCATATACACACCCACATATTTCGGTCAGAACTTGATACCACATTTACGAACTTCCGCGATGCGCCGGCGTGGAAGGTGGTAGTGTTACATCAAGACGAATCTGATTTCATTGAGGTTTTCCTCGTTATCAATCATACGCTTATGGATGGATCCGGGGCTAATACTTTCCATATGGACTTGCTGAGAGGCCTCAATGACACAGCTACATCGCACATGCCCATCCTGCCACCGGCAGCTTTGGAGGATCATGTTCTCACACTTCCTGATACTTGTTCCAATCTTCCTCCCCCGGCAGAAGACCTTGTCGTGTTTCCAGTGGACAGTAGTCTTCGCCAAAAGTTTATAATGGAGGAAGTGGACCGGCCCGGGTGCGGCGTAGATAGTCCAACATTCGCAAATTGGGCCCCGATCCGGACATTTCCTGTCAAAACACAAGTTCGCGACTTTTCTATTGATTACGACACTTTCGCCAATATCCTTAAAGCATGCCGCATGCATAACACAACATTCACTGGCCTTCTCCATGCCCTTACTCTTGTATCTCTTGCACCACTGCTAAATGAGTCCGCGGCGCCTGGTTTCGAGAGCCTCACGGCCATGGATTTGCGCCGATTCTTGCCTTCACATCCTCCGTCTCACCCATGGCTTGAACCGGCACACGCAATGGTCAATTATCCAAGTTTGATGATCCATGCCTTTGATGCTCGCGCTGTCGCCAAAGTCCGCTCCATGATTTCTCTTCAAAGACCTGATCCTTACAGATCAGCTGAACTTATGGAGGGTATGTGGTCTATTGCAGAGAAGGTCCGAAAAGATATAGACAGAAGACTGGATATGGGACTTCAAAATGACATAACCGGCCTTTGGCAGTATATCAAAGACTGGCGATGGCATCTTAGCGAACAGGTAAAGAGGCCTCGACGATTTTCATGGACTATCACCAACATGGGGGCAGTGAACGGGACATCTTACGCATCAGATCCCAGAACTCTAGGAGGTGTTCAAGACTTGAGCGAGCGTGACCATTGGGCTATTAGTCGCACACAGGTTGCCATGGGTGCAAGCGTTCCCTTCGCGGCCTTGTGTATATCCCCTGTAGCCGTGAAGGGAGGGGAACTTATTGTCACATGTACGTGGCAGGATTCCATTTTCGATACAAGACTTGGCGATCGTTTCGCTGCCGAGTTGGAAAGGTGGCTTAAGTTCACAGCACGGTTTCACAAGGGATGGCCGGCTCAAGAATAGGTAGACACCTGGAAATCGGCGATACTAGAGCTTTTTATATGGAAGTCTTTTCTCATCGGTCTAAGTATTAGCAGTACTGAAATTTGTCGCAGATAAACCAATTTAGAGTTGCTACCAGACAGATGCTACTCAGTGGATTCCAGTAAGAATATGGCACAGAATTCCTTCCAAGCCGTCAGTCGCATGTACACTACCCGGCAACACTTATCACAATATGGCACTGAAAATTCATGACCGCGAAATCGGCCAGGGTCATAAATATGCACACCAATCTTCAACATCAGTAACACCAAGATAGTGTATTTGTGCTGAGGCGTTCTTAGCCCTGACAAGGTGCAGCATCCACTTCATCAATGATGGTTCCCCATTGCTCTCCAAAGCACATAAAGTTTACGCCTCCCTTCCATCAGGGACAGGAAAGATGTGTCATATTCACTTTATACAGCAGTTGATCTAGTGAAGTGGATTGGTAGTCTATTCCAGTGGAATTAAAGCCACCTCTACAAAAAGGATTTTCAAATTTCGGAATTATGAACTGATCAATAGTATCGCGCACATCTTCATCCCTATAAAATCTCTTGGGAATTACTCAAAGCTGAAGCCCAGGCGTAGAGCTAATTGATACACTTAACATCGCTTGAGATAAACCTCGAGCAGACCCAGCGGACCATTATCAAGGACGTTGTGGATTTCGAATCGGGGGTCCGCTTCTTTCAATAGAGTCTCAAACTCTGCCCTGGTACGTTGTTTAGCTCCACAGTTGACCAGCATGATCATGTCGACTTGTCTAGCCAATCTCTCACGATGCCGCGGCCACTTGCCTAACTCTGGCAAAACAATGTCATTGATGAGTAGCGGCGTATCGGGACCAGAATTCTCAAGACCGGGTACTAAACTTTTCAAGATCTTAACAACGTCGCGATCTGCCCAGTTGTGGGTGCATTGGCGGATGAGGAAGACTGCAGCATTCTTTTCCGGCTGAGGGTCGAAAAAGCTGTGCTGTACAAATGAGACACGATCACGAATCTCATCCGTAAGTCTCTGTTTCCCTTGATTGAGCATATCGATGTTTGAGTCTTGCACGATGAACTTCAGATGTGGCAATTGCTTTGATTCAAATTTCGTCAGTAGCCGACTTCAGTTGAACGAGGTAAAAGACTCACGCTTGCGAAACTCCTGGAGACATGGCCATTGCCGCCCCCAACATCGACCACTGTGCCATGAAGGCGTGCCCAGTCGAACCCGTCCCTCAGCAGGTTATCAAGATGTGCATCCACTGCCAGTTTGTTGATCAGCAGTGTCCCATTCGAACAGCGATGCTTTTGTTCCATCATTTGTAATCAGTTGGTTACTCACTTTTACGCCAGCCAGCCATTGCCTTTGCAAACCTTTCGGCTTTGTCGGGATACTTGGCATAGTAGCCAAAAATCCCCACGCCATGGTGCGTGACAAATGGATTGTGTTCACTGTCAGCTTTCGACGGGTTTGCCCTGAAGCAATCACCGCAGTCGGCAGCTGCCTTGAACATTTCATCCGCGCTGGCAGCAACCGCCAGAATGTCAGAACAGCGGTCTCTGAGTGGATTGGGATAGCACATGGAAGCATTATATGTAACTTACGAGTAATGAACCATGGATCGAAAATCCTCATCCTGACTCATGATGAGGGAGTTAGGGCTGTGGGAGACGAGACCAGCTTCTGGTTCCTGGAAGATCCGGTATGTTATTAACTGGCGCACGACGCGGCTCACGCGATCCTCGTCGAGACCGACATTTTCTGCAAGTGTCTTCAGAGGAATGGGTTTGTTGCTCGGCACTGAGTTGAAGAACCCAAAATCAAGCGCAGTTTGAAGACCTCCCAGGTCGTACGGAAGACAGCAAAATTGTCGCCAGAACTTCTTGGGACCATCAATCAGTTGCTCAAGGTCCTCCAAGGATGTTTTCAGGCCTTCATAGAGTTCCTGGTACTCAACTGTCTCAGGTGTCGCGCTCGATTGAAGCTGGAACGTAGGGGTTTGAATGTTGTTGGCCTGCAGATACGAAGTAACTTCTTGAGTTTTTTTCAGGATGTCCTGAGCGAGGGCTAAGATGAGAGGAGCTTTCGCGGTGCCGTTGGTTTGACCAGCCATGATGAATTGTAGCGTCACAAAGATGTCAGCCTAGAGTTTCGTGGTATCAGTTAACAAGTTCGCCCACATCTACCATATTTTGAAAAGAGTTGGCAGAACTTGTATCAATAACTCAGCCTATTGCTTTCGCCGTACTGTGGATTCTCACTGCTTCATGCAGGAATTTCGAGCCGACCCGAAAAGCCTCGGCCGATGCGTCAACGGCCATAATGATCGCCATTCGGCAGCTGCAGTATCATTGTCGTCGGCCGCAAGCTTGCATACATTACAATTGCGACTGAGAGGTTGCATTATTTCTGCGACGGCAATTCGACGGGTTTCTCTTTTGGTAGCGGGTATTCATCCTTGGGGGGAAAAAAGAGCGTGGGGACCCGGCTCATCGTACAACGCAGGACCAGACTTGTGCTTATAGATAATTTATAGTAACGCAAAGAGTAAAATCATTCTTGTAATCAATTTAGAACAGACTTCTGTTCATTGGCCTCAATTGTCGTGATTATCAATAAATAATAAGAAAAATGGCCGCTGCAAACCAACACGAGCCCGTCGCCATTGTCGGAATGGGTAAGTTCTCCATTTCTGCAAATAGGCATGTGAATGATATTGAAGCGTAACATTAGGCTGTCGTTGGCCAGGCGGTGTTTCCAACTCGCCAGAACTATGGGATTTTCTGATGGAACGGTATGACGGCTTGCAGGAGTTCGATAAACCTCGTTACTCTGCCGAAGGATTTTACCATCCTAACACAGATCGTCCGGGAACAATGGCCATGCGGAGTGCATTTCTGACAGAAGGTGATGCACGGCTCTTTGATTATACCTTCTTTGGAATGACAGCTCTCGAGGTAGAGACGCTCGATCCCGGGCAGCGAAAGCTGCTTGAGGTGGCATATGAGGCCATCGAGAATGCTGGAGAGTCCTGGGAAAGCATCTCAGGAACGCGTACTGGAGTCTTTGTTGGCAATTTTTCTGTGGATCACTGGATGATACAGCAACGGGATTGGGATAATCCCAGGCCGTATGCATTCTCAGGGGCAGGCACAAGTATTTTGGCCAACCGAATAAGCTACGTTTTTAACCTCAAAGGACCAAGGTAACATTATTTTCTCAGTTTTTAGTGTTCAGTGATACGATTTGTATGCTAATAACTGGTTCGGAGATTAGTCTTACAGTTGATACCGCTTGTTCATCGTCTATGTATGCCCTCCACCTTGCAGTCAACGCTATACGTGCGGGTGACTGCGACTCGGCCATTGTGGCTTCGTCAAATTGGATCGGTGATCCAGGCGTACAAATGGCACTAGACAAAATGGGTGCGCTCTCGGCCACATCGAGATGCCATACCTTCGATTCTCGTGCTGATGGATATGCTCGAGGAGAAGGCTTTTGTGCTTTATATTTGAAGAGGATATCTTCAGCTGTTGCTGATGAATCGCCAATCCGTGCGGTTATCAGGGGCACTGCTATCAATGCCAACGGCCGAACCGGAGGCATATCGAGACCTAGCGTCGCCGGCCAGGAAGCCGTCATCCGCGAGGCGTATCGGAATGCAGGGGGTCTGCCTTATTCTGATACGAGTTACTTCGAGTGCCATGGTACTGGCACTTCCGTGGGGGATCCACTCGAGGTTGCAGCTGTTGGACGCGTCTTTGCGTCTGAGAAGCCCCATGGAGAGCCTATGCTGGTGGGATCTGTCAAAACCAACGTCGGCCACAGCGAGGGTGCGAGTGCCCTTGCGTCAATTATGAAGGTAGTTCTCTCTCTCGAAAACGGCATCATTCCCCCAATATTCGATATTGAAACGCCAAATCCAGCGATCGATTTTGAAGGAGCCAATGTCAAAATTGTGACAGATGCGACAAGTTGGCCAAATGGCAAGTTACGAAGGGCAAGCATCAACTCGTTTGGTTATGGCGGCTCGAACGGACACTGCATCTTGGACCATGTCCACAGTGTGATTCCCGACTACGTGAAGCCTGGGGTACGGCCAGGCCAAGCTAATGGCAATTCAAGCAACGGTATCACTTCAGAAGAAAGTAGGAGCACAAACGCGAATGCTGCTAATCACACTATCACCATAAAAGTGACGGGTGCAGCCACTGCAGCTACTCGTCAACTTGTACTTTTGCCCTTCTCCGCACACAACGAAGCATCGCTGCAGATGAATATTGAAGCCCTGTCTAAGACCATAGACAGGTTTTCTTTGGCAGATGTCGCGTACACGTTGGGAGATAAACGCTCCAAGCTCTCTCATCGGTCATTTCGTATCGTGGACAAAAGCAGCGCTGCACAAGGCTTGCTTCATGATGGCAAGGTCTGGAGAAGCCCTGCTCAATCCTCCAAACTCGCTTTCATATTCACAGGCCAAGGAGCTCAGTGGCATGCGATGGGTGCTAGTCTATTCGAATACCGAGTATTTCGCACTACTATAAAGCGCTTAGATCATGTCCTCGAAGCACTGCAAACACCACCATCCTGGACACTGGCCGACGTTCTCTCCGGAAAATGTGACTCAGGATTAATATAGACCGCAGAGGTTTCGCAAACCGTATGTACTGCGGCGCAAATTGGTCTCGTAGATCTTTTGGCTTCGTGGTCAGTCCGGCCGTCAAGTGTGGCGGGGCACTCGTCTGGCGAGATGGCAGCTGCTTATGCCTCTGGCTACATAACCGCTGCAGAGGCCATCGTAGCAGCCTACTTTCGCGGCCAAGCAGTATCCAGAAATAAGGAGAACGGTGCCATGCTGGCTGTTGGCCTAGGCCCAGACGAGGTTTCCTTCAAGTACCTTGGTGACTGGGGACGGCAGGTTAATGTGGCTGCAATAAACTCTCAAGATAGTGTCACAATATCTGGAGACGCGGAAGCCATCAAGAAGATCTCCGAAGCCCCAACGGCAGATGGAGTGTTCAACCGGGTTCTCAAGACAGGGGGTAATGCGTACCACTCACATCACATGAACATAATTGGTTGCGACTATGATCAGGTACTCTCCAATGGGCTCAAACATATCGAAAATAGAGGTTTGGTCAATAGACAACAGTGTTATGACCGCGTCCCATGGATTTCGTCAGTTGCCCCAGGCAAAATTCCCCCCTACCTCACAGCCGTGGAATGGAGTTCCTACTGGAGAACGAATCTCGAGTCCCCTGTACGTTTCTATGAAGCGGTCTCAATCCTATTATCATTAGAAGGGTCTAAACAAGTCCATGCTTTCCTTGAAGTTGGACCTCATCCTGCTTTGAAGAGCCCACTGGCTCAAATAGCCCAAGGCCACGGGAAGTCGATAAGCTACGTCTCGACATTGAAGCGACAAGAAGATGGTCGAGTTTCCATGCTCCAACTCGCCGGGCAATTGTTCTGTCTCAATTATCCAGAAATAAACTTAGCGGCCGTCAACTCCGTCGATGACTTACATTCAAAGGGTATGCAGCGCGGTTGCACTGCCATCGACCTTCCCCAGTACCAGTATGCATATGGTCCAGTCATCTACCATGAGAGTAGGCAGAGTAAGGAGTACCGGTTTCGAACCGTTCCAAGACATGACCTACTAGGCTCCAAAGTCGTGGGTAACGCAAAGCTGAGACCTCAATGGCGTAACATATTGCGTCTCAAGGATTTGGCATGGCTAAGTGATTACAGCTTGTTATCAGGTGAGAGCTTATTTCCCATTCTTTTATTTTTGAGGTCTCTATTACTCCCGACTACAGGGTTGCCCCTGGTTTACAGTTGGAAATTGGGGAATGACACTGACTCCAAACGCTAATAGATACCGTCTTGCCCTCTGCTGGATACATTACCATGGCTGTAGAAGCCGTATCCCAGGTCTACAGTAGCTTTCCGGGGCCAGTGAAGATCACAGGTTATACCCTTTCGAATGTTCGTATAAAGGCGAGCATGAAAATCCCGCAAGATGACTACGGTCTCGAGGTCTTGACAAGCATGGAGACAGCCGGAGCAACGGACGCAACATCACCGGAATGGGCTACTTTTTCCATCAGCTCAGTAAACCGAGACACAGAGGAATGGACGGAACATTGCACTGGGCTAATAAAAGTTGAAGTATCGGAGGCCACGGTCTACACAGATAAAATAGACATGGCCGATGCTGTCTTACAAGCCGCCAATACCTCCGCCTGGTACAGAAAGCTCTCAGCTCTTGGGCTCAATTATGGCAAAAGTTTTCAATCTGTTTCCAAAGTCATGGTGGATCAAGATCTGAATTTGGCTGTCGGTCAGCTGGATCTGATTGCAGCAGCTGACAATGCTAAAGGGTACGAATCTAGCTATCCGCTACATCCGACAGCCTTCGAAGGTGCTTTCCAACTCGGTTTCCTTACCTGTCGCGGAGGTCAGATTGAGCAAACCGGTAGCGCGTTTGCTGCTGTCCAAATTCCACAGATTTACCTCAAGAACGGTATTTGTGAGGAAAGTAATACTGTCGTTGGTTACGCAAAGCGTCATGGGCTACGAGGTTCAGACTGCGTTGATTTACAATTACTAAGTCAGAGTGGTAAGATCGTTATGAGTGTAGAGAACCTCCGTTTCGCGAGTTTCATCAGCGCTCAGCCAAGCTCAACAGATGGCGTTGTCGGTGGCTCATTGGCACGACTCGTCTGGAAGCCCTCCTTTCGTTATATGAACAATCGACAAAGCCGTAATATGTTCCCGCCCCCACAAGAGAACGTCGAGATAGCACCACTTTGGGGCACCACAAACAGGTTGGCGCACATGGTCGTCTACGACATCTATAGAAAGTATGCCCAAGGTAGAGATGGGCCGAAGCCTTCAGGTGAAGTGGGTCACTTTCTCGCATGGATCAAGCGCATGGGAGAGAAAGATCAATCTGAGCCGATTCGAGAGGCAAGGGGCCTTTCGAATGACGAACTCCTCCAAAGAATCAATCAACTCATTCACCAAGCCCCGAATGTCACAGAGGTCAAGATCATCAAACTTCTGCATGAGGAAATGGCGGATATCCTATACGAGCGAAAAACTGGAATCGATATTCTTATTCAAAACGACCTGCTGACACCGTTATATCAGACTGGACTTTTAATGACAAGCGTATACCCACAACTTTCTAGAGTCTTGGAAGGATTGGGCCATTCCAACCCGAACCTTCGCATTTTGGAGATTGGCGGTGGAACAGGTGGCGCAACGCGGATAGCCGTGAAGGCCCTCAGTGGACCGAATGGCACCAAGAACTATCATGACTACACTTTCACCGACGTGTCTCCAGGCTTCTTGTCGTCTGCACGGGATTCAATGACTGACTTTCAAGATTTTAACTACGCCGTATTGGATGTTGAAGTTGATCCAGTAAAGCAAGGTTTTGAACCTGTTTACGACCTTATCATCGCATCTCAAGTTCTGCACGCCACTATCAGCATGGCCAATACGTTAGCAAATGTACGAAAGATGCTAAAGCCAGGTGGCCAGTTGCTTCTAGTCGAATCCAACCGCAATTTTACAGTGCATGGTATAGTGGTGGGTACGTTCACAGGATACTGGTTTGGAATTCCCGATGGACGAGTAGATGCCCCTTTCATGGGCCTGGAAAGGTGGGACTCAGAATTGCGAAAAGCAGGCTTTTCGGGTCTCGATATAGTGTTGGATGATTTTCCTAGCCCGCACAATACTACGTCTGCGATGCTTTCGACGCTGCTTAGACCATCCGAGTCGACCCACCAGGGGAAGCCCGCTCTTCATATCCAGATACTCAACTGTCCGGGTGCCTCCACGGCTTTAGTGGGACGAATTTCTGAAGAGATCGACAAACGCGGATATTCCTTCCACACGGCATCATTCGACGATGCATCGACTCTCATCCCGCCAAAGTCACATGTGATAGTCCTCCTGGACGAGAAGCGACTTTCTTACAGTACTGGCGAGAGATATTTCCAAACTCTCCAATATTTAGCACAAAATACCGTAAGTCTAGTCGTCCTTACGAGTTGTGGTATGGTGAGCGGTCACAATCCACACGCTGCAATGATTCCCGGATTGTTGCAAGCTCTTAGGGCTGAAGGCTCTTCGGGCAAGTTCGCATCAATTGACATAGATGCTGATGGATTTGCTGTCGACACGGATGAATTAGAAGACCTTGCTCGCTCTATCGTTGATCAGCAGCTCTCGTTGAGCAAAATAAATGAAGGTGGCCCTGGACCTGAGGATCGCGAGTTTGTTTGGCAAGATGGTTGCCTGTGGGTGAGTCGATATGTGACCGACATGAGCTTGCGCCCAGAGAACAGCCCCAGACATACGGTGGTCGCGTCAGGTGATTTTCGCTGCAGCAGTGAAGATGCTGTACGAGCAGTGTTTCAAGCTCCAGGCTATCTTCCCTTGACGCTAGAGACTGACAAGGAAATGTGGCAAGTCATACCAGAGAATGACATCGAGGTCAAAATTGCGGCCTCCGGCCTTAGCTGGACACAATCAGACTCCTTGACAGGCCGGTCTGATGCATTCCATCCCTCTTCTGAGTACAGTGGAGTTGTAACAGCGGTAGGTGCGAGCGTGATTGGTTTTGAGGCTGGTGATCGTGTCTATGGACTTGGGATAGGTTACATTGGGAATTACTCGCGAGTTCCCGCCTCCCTGGCGCGCAAAATGAGCGCGTGTGATGATCTTGTGCAAATGGCTAGCATCCTTGTACCCTAAACGGCAGCTGTTTACATATTTGACCACATCGCACGACTGAGGAGGGGACAGACTGTGTTATTTCTGTCGCCCACTAACGAGGTTGGACTGGCAGGAATCCGGATCGCTAAAGCTAAGGGAGCCGATGTTTGGGTTGTTTTTGATACACCTGAGCAGGCAGATTCACATGTGGAGATGCTAGGCTTACCACCGTCACAAGTCCTTTCATCTCTCGATCTCCAACAAGCGGGAGGAAAAGTCTTACAGCGTGGTTTTGACGTGGTTCTCACCACGGCAACGCAAGACAAAGATCTCTGTGCGGCGCTCAAGGTACTAGCCCCATTGGGATATCTCATCAAGGTTGGTCCGGCGAACCCGGGAGAATCCCGAGGAGCTTTCACATCGGAGCTGTTCCAGAAGAATGTCAACTTCTCTTTGGTAGATCCATTGGTTCTTCTCGGTAGTAACCCGCAGCTCTGCAATGAAATCATGGATACAGTCGATGGTTACTACCGTGATGGATTCATTGAACCCATTCATGCGGTTACAAGTATAGACATAACTGATCTGGCGTCTTGCCAGATAATAGGAGATGTCATCAAGGATATGCAACCGGGGAAGTTGCTTGTAACCTTCAATGATGCCAACGCTTTTTCAAAAGCAGCTTCAGCTACGCCGACAATTCGATTCAATTCTGAGGCTTCCTACTTGATAGCAGGTAATTTCGATGGCCCAGTACGGGCACTGGTCCGCTGGATGGGAGAGCATGGGGCGAGGCACATAGTTCTCTTATCCACTCGTGATATTTCGAGCAATACTGAGGACGATAAACTCCTCGCAAGACTAGCAACTCGTGGTATTTCACTGCAGGTCGTCCAGTGCGACATAAGCGACAGAGATGAGATCCTGCACAAGATTCCCCAAGCTTCCCAAGAGCGTCCAGTCAAGGGTGTTGTGCATTTGGCTGGGCCAAATCTTCAAATCCCAACAATCGACAATGTTTCGCTCTCGGCTTGGCGCCAAAGTCTAGCCACCAAGGTGGCAGGAACGAAGAACTTGCATGAAGCAACACTTGACTCGAACCTAGATTTCTTCGTACTGGCTACGACTTCTCCGACACCGCATGGAGCGAATGCAGCCGGTGACCACTTCTTAGAAGCGTTCGCACGCCATCGCTGGCATCTTGGTTTGCCTGCGTCGACATTCTCGTCTGTCCTGGTCGCTGACGTGGAAAATGAGACTTCAAAACTAGGCTCGAATCTGCATGTGGCGGGTACAATCGTATTGAGCGAGAAGCAGTTCCTCGGGTTAATTGAGCCAGCATTCTTGAAACAGAACGTTTCCCCGCCCTCATATAAGCAGCGGGAACGACTGGGCCGAGGACAAGATCCCTTCTCTACAATCAATATCGTTACAGGCGTGGAACCTTCCACTATATCACCTGCACCGAGCGACCATGTGGTGTCCGGAGTAGAGGCAGCCATACTGGCGAGTCCGTATTGGGCTGAGGACGGAAGATTGTCTCACATCGTGCGCGCTGTTTCGGATGCCAAGCGACAGTCGTTGTCCAACACGACGCGCGATTCGGAGGAGGAAAGCCCTCGGGCGGCCATGGAACGTCTGCATCGCGAGTTCGATGCAGCCATCGCACAAGGTGGATTAGGAGAGCGCACCCAAACCGTGTCATTCATAGAGGGGGCCGTTATGCAGGCCGTGGCCAACGTGTTGTTCATCGACGTCGAAAGCTTAAATCCGGCTAAGTCGGTGGCTAATCACGGTGTTGACAGTCTAGTTGCAGCCGAGCTGCGAAGATGGTTCAATCAGGCTCTCGGCGTAGAACTCAATATGGTCGCCCTACTAGATCCGGATACGACTATTCACGCCTTGGCCGAAAGCATTGTCGATATGGCGCTGGCCCATAAGCAAACATGAATGGGAATCAACGAACAAGCCAGGGTCTTGTGGAGCAGGCGTGAGAACACAAGAGATCACATGTAACTTAGTCTGCCATAGTGAACAAAATAGCCAATGCGAGAAAGCTGGGATATATGAATTTGTACTTGGCTTACTTATTAAAAATTGACACTTGACCACATATCCTATATGTAACAGGCTTACACTCACCCCGTGACTACGTGCTTTCTAACGTTGACTTGACGCATTCCGAGTTTATCATGGATCAAAGTCGAAATAACAGAAGTAGCAGCAGAATATCCGGAAATAGAATCGTATTCTTCGTTATCCTCACCTCCGTGGCATGAGAGTCATTATAGATATCAACGCTTTCTAAAGGCTTATGGGTTCCGGGCAAGAATGGAACTTGGCCTGTACAGGAGCTGAAAGTGACAAGAGCAGGGGTAAGACCGCGCTACGAATACTGCCATCGCCTACACAAGGCAATGAGCAACGGGTACCTTTAACAAGCCATAGCTTTTGGGCGCATGAAGCCTATTAACTTCACCGGAAAGTAGTATTTACACTATTATTGTAGTATAGGTAGAGATTCTATCTATTATTTTGGCAAGTCTAGTGGACTGAAAAACGTAGAGTCGAAACAACATCCCGCACAAATCCCACCTAAAGTTCCAGTGCAATGATGCACCTACTTATCACCAGACTGAGTCTCGACAAAACCGTCCACAAGGGCTTCCCAATCCTGGTTCTGGGATTGCTGGGACATGATAGCTGATAAAAGTTCGTCCAATTGGCCTGGGCCCACCCATCCTGGTTCCGTCAGCTCTAGAGACGACCATTCATTCATTTGTTGATTGCTCAGTGTGGAAGTCTGAAGTAAGCTGGAGGTTACGTCTGGTTGTCGATCGATCACGCCTGTTGATGCGAGTTTGCCAAGCAGCTGAACTAACGTATGGGCACCAACTTCAGCCATACTACTAATCTCTGCGAGCATGTTCAATCTATCGAGGGCATCATTTATTGCCCGCAGGCACCCTTCCCGAGTCACGGCAGCCATACTGGCCCGAAGAGGATCCGTCTTGGGGTCGACGCCTTTCAGAGCAGGTAGGGGACGGCCGTCAGGATCGTTTGGAAAGTGCGGATCTACGCACAGGCACACCAGAAGCACGGCCGCTTCGAATGAGGGGTAGATGAGGCCAATGAAGCGCGTGTGGCTTCCTCCAAGCATGACGTGCAGGGAGGCGACCGCGTCCAAAACATGAAGTGCCGCCGCAGCCAGGACTTTTCGCTGTGTACATAGCAGCACTCGTTTATAAGTCGGTAGAGACTCCATAGCACCAGGCTCACTCAGGACTACCGGTCGGAAATTCCAGCAAAGAGACTCGAAAATGGAGATTCGTAGAAGCTGCCTCTGCAGAGGGAGTTTAGCGGCGCACTTATCCCACGTTTTATTGGGGTATAGAGCGAATGATGGCGGCAGGGTGGGCAGAAATTCTTTGCAAAACTGATCATATCGTTCTTCAGCCATCATCATGTCGTACTCCGGGATCTGCAGGCCGAATTGATCCCAGAAGGCCGCAAGACGCGCTTGGAAAAGACGCTCGGCGAAACTCTCGAGCGCATCGGCATCGAGTTCCACGGTGCCATCCCCGATGTGGGACATGAGTCGCATTTTTGGCCAGGTTCCCTCACTTAATCCATCGGGAAGGAAAGGCACGCGGTCAAGTTGCCTCGACAAGAGGCTATCCCACACATATAGATTACAGAATGTCCTGCGTCGCATCTCTTTCTCCAGCTCATCCATACGGTGAGTCTTCACGGGGGACTCTTTGTGCATGCCAGCACTCTGCGCTATTCGGATAGCGCAGCTCAACGCCTGCCAGAAGCTCTTGGTCTTCCCCTCGCTTTGAAACCCGAGTCCAAGGAAGGCATAATACTGCACGCGAAGCAAGGAGCCTGAGCCATCAAGCAGGTTGCTAATAGCAACAAGCTCGTACGCGATACCGTCACAGGTGCTGCGTATATCGGACAATGGTATACCACGAATTCTGTCTGCAGTATAATTCGGCGAGGGGAGAAATTGGGACGCGTAAGAGCAAATCCTCAGCACAAGAATCACAAAGTCAATGTCAACCACGTATTCCAGTTGTTCCTTGGTCCACCATTGCTTGTACTGCGCTAAAAGCCACGGTGGGTATATCAAACGATCGATCCTATCAGAAAAACTTCATGCTCAGCACCCATCAATACGGGCTTGTGCGACGTTGTCGAGAGCTGCGAGGGAGTAGAGGACTGCACTTACCAATCGACCTCGGCCAAGAAGTGCTGGATCAAGAAATCCAGAATCGAGCGGTCAGGCAATCTCTTCATTAGCCTCTTCACCCGCTCGACGGCCTCACCCGTTATGGGTACGGCATCATGGTCTATCTCTTCATCTAGCCCTAACTGTGGACGGTTAATAAAGCGCTCGAGGAGAAAGAAGCAAGCTTATGCTAGTCTAGTAACGATTATTGTTACCGTCCGACGCGGACAGGACTAATGAAGAGAACAATCAAAAAACAAAAATAAAAAGAGGCAATGGGGAAACTGGCCGCTAGACTACCGGTATGCAGTGTGTTTCGCCGGCGCTCGGCTCTAGCTTTGCAGCTTCATCGCTACGTATGCTCCCCTCAATCCTCGCTTGACATAAAGATGTTGTCGGACCTACCTTTCGAATCAGTGCCAACGTGTTCGAGTTGCTATCCTCGCAGTAGCCAAAGCGTTCGGCCAGCGACGAAGCCCCTTGAGCGGGCGGGGTCGCGGTTTTGCCGTCCGAGCCGGCGGACGAGCTGGACGGGCCGCTAACGACGATCTCGTCCCGGGTCTTCTCGTCGTGAGTATCTGCAGTATCAACTAGTCGCGTTTCGGGCTCGGCGGCGCTCTGGTAGGCTGGTGAAGGGTAAAAGGTGCATTCATCGGGCCGGCGGCGTTTGGTGCAGTGATTGCAAGGGTATTCGCGATTGCACTAGATAGCGATTGCCCCGGACAGCGGGGCTTGAATCAGCAGTCGTCGCAATATCACGATGGCAAAGAGAGGGACTGGGGGACAAGGTGGAGGAGACCCTCAGGCTAAGGGTGCACTAACCTTTTGCTTGCGCGTGTAGCAGGGAATACAAGATGAAATGAGGCGTTTTCTGCGCATGCTCTGCATTGTCTCTCAGTGGGTGGTACAAATTTAAGCGGTGGTGCCAGTAATGAGGTTGTTTGTGCGACTCAATGGAGGAAGGCGCCTTGCCGTCACTATATGTTGAAATATAAAACATAAAACAGAAAATATAAAACATAAGACGCAGCGGGATCTGCCGTTTAACGGCTAACTAGACTAGACTAAGGCCAAGGCCAACGCGAGTCCTACACCATCGAACGGCATTGCCCCGGGAATGAGCCCATTGGCAGCCTGCTATGTGGGCTTCGACGTACTACTGGGCAACAACATGATGCTCCGGGCAGGGGCTCGATGTTTATCCAGCATATTCATATGTAGATTCTTCGTGATAGTTGGGAAATAACATGATAGTTTGAATGCATGTCAGCATGCGGTCTACACGAGCGCAACCTCAGGTGACTGGTATCAATTAGACACTCCCTCTTGATACAAGTCGGTGATAAGGGTGCTTTGGGCACCGTCTTACTTGTCGAATCAATTCGGTGTACCTGGCCCATGTAATGACCGTGAGCTGCAGGTGTGGGGGGTTTATGGTGGGGAGGGGGTCTGGATCGGTGGTACCATCACCAAGCGGATCTAGAAAATATAAGCGTCAATGAAACACTTTCGGTGGGAGCTAGAAACTTTTGCCCGGTTTTGCAAGCTTTCCGTGGAAAGAATCTGGCGCAGAGCAAATCATATTATATAAGAAAAACCGAAGAATGTTTCACCCCCTTTTGTTCCACCCTATTATAATTCGTGATCGCCACGTTTTTTCCGTAAGGGAGAGCTCCTCGTCAGCATATTACGTTACCCCACGCCGCTTATATCACTACACTTTCCAATCCCTTCGACCCGAAGCCCGCAATATCAGTATGACCAATCGGATGACCTAAATATCACCTTTTTGATAGCAGTAGTATTAAAATACATAGTCGCTTGCTAAACATTATTATTAGAGCAATTATATCTTCAAACGCTTTGATTTCAACTTGTTTATAAAGAAATGTATTCTAGTATTATAACTACTAAAAAGTGCAGTTAAATTCATTTGTATACAAGGGATATTTATTGGAAATATTACAGTACAACGTGATCCGGTCCGACGGGGATGCATAAGGCCATACGAGAAGGAAGCAGCTGCCTTAAGGCTTACTTGCCAAAATTCTAACAAGAGGTGGCAATCGAATGTTCGGTCCCGGTAAAAGAATGCCTGCTTTCCTGAATGAGATTAAATGCATCGACCCGGATCGAAAGGTAGTGTCAAACGAATCGAGAGGCTTTATCAGACTGCATCTCCTTCAATTGCATTAAAGCCACACTTGTTTGTCGTCGTTATTTCCAAACTCGAATTACAGCCTCGCCAAAATATGTTACAAATGTGTAGTTTGTGCTCGATGGTCCCTGTCGACATATCCCAGTCTTGTTAACAAGAGCGGTAGCACCCAATCTTATCTTTTAATCACAAAATATGAATTGATATTGTACTTGTTCCTTCTGAGGCTACCTTGTCTGGATTGAGACTCGGAGGTTCTTGTCATTATGTGATTGCCAAGCCTCAGCCACATAGGCGCTTCGTAGTGCAAGTGCACCTCGTTCCAGGAATGTAAATCTCGGAAGCTCTCGCAGCCAGAACTAAATTCGCCCATAGCCTCAGGACACCGTATATACACTACTTTGGCAGAATAAGACTTAAATTCTGAAGCCTCGAACGGTCCCAAACCGCGTATTTTAGTTGCACGACCCTATCAAGACAAACATCGGACATCATGCCGAATTGGCTCCCTGTGTCATGTGAATATGCTTGGTGGAACGTCATAAAATATCGTACCGGACTTGAGGTCTCAGAATGCTTCTATGTCGCTGATAGATGGGGTCAAATTGGCCCGTGGAAACATGTTTAGAAATTGTGCGATGATAAGTTCTCCTCCGCCCGGAGTGTGGTAGCAGTGTAGAGCAAACTACTACTTGGGAACTTGGACTTTGGATCTATCGGGTATTATAAAATTCTGAACCGAACTGAAGTGAGGTCATGAAGGAGTGGTCTCAGCGAATGGAGTCAAAGTTTCGGGGCCTTCTCGTTGGTTCGGACGCGCAACCTTCATCCTCGGTTAATCAGCTGAAGGATTTTGCAAGGCCCGTAACCTAGCCTTGGTGGATTCTGTTCGACGCCACGTCTGACTGTGAATACAACATGTGCTGATTCGATTCCTCTGACTCGGTTCCGCCGATGCGGTTCTGTTATGATTGGTGAAGTGTGATTTGGCACTTAGCACTCTCATAGACCATGATCCTGTCTTGTGTCGTAACGAGCAACTACGGGCGAATTGACGCCTCTTGCGCTGTGGCCGATGCTAACACCCATGACTCTCTTCGGCCGGAGGGCTCTAAGCTGTTTAAGCCCGATATAGTCTGTGCATGCTTTGTTTTGATATTTGATAGCCTGGGTATAAATTCGTGGATCATTACCGACGGCTATGGTGATGTTTCAAGCCATAGCCACTCGCATATCGTAGCTGACTCACCACATCGTGACCATGATCTTTTTCTTCCCCATTGTGGCGCTCTGCCTTGAGCTATTTCCTCTTGCTACTGGAGCATCTGTGCCTTACTACTTCCATCATACTCCAGTTACTCGGCGCGATCTTTCAGTTGAACAAGTCCAGAAAGAACTTGGAAGCGTCTTGTCCAACAGTACTCTCATCTTTGGTCCCTCAAGCTCCCAGTATCCAAATGCTACCGATAGGTATAGTACCTATGCGGTGCCGGACATTCAGATTATTGTGAGGCCAGGAAAGGAGTCCGACGTCTCTTCTATTGTACGTTCTCTATCTGTTTGTCACTTAGCGAACGACCTTACAGATCTGTGACTTAGGTTCAGTATGCCAACCAGAACAGTATCGACTTCTTGGCAGTCAACAGAGGACATGATCTTAACGCTTGGGCTGGAACCCTTTCGGGCATGCAGATAGATATGACGGCACTCACAAACGTAACGATTCAACCTGATGGACAGACTGCTTTGCTCCAAGGTGGAACATACGACGGAGAAGTGACAAAATACCTTTATGACAACGGCTACGTTGCAAGTAAGTGCCTGACTGCCTTTTTTTCTTCGCTTCAATTTCGCCAGAAGTGATAAATGTTGGATGATGGTTGATGAGTTTGTTCAGCGACTGGCGCTTGCGACTGTGTAGGTTTGTTGGGCGCTGGTCTAGGTGGAGGCCATGGGCGTTGGGAAGGCTTCTACGGTCTGGTCTCCGACAACTTTGTGTCGTTCAACCTTGTCCTAGCCAACGGCACAGAAATCAAGGTCAACAACGAGAGCCACAACGACTTGTTCTGGGCCATGAAAGGCGCAGGCCACAACTTGGGTATTGTCACCAGTTTCGAACTCAAAATTCACCCGAATCCAGTGGAATCATGGTATTATAAGTTTTACCGCTTTTCAGGAGATAAGCTTGAGATTGTATTTAAGGAGCTAAACAAACTACACAATAACGGCACTATCCCCGTAGAGATGGCCAGTAATTACGGCGGCTTCTGGTGGGACACGACTGTCAGTGACACAGAGGTAAGCGAGAGTCCTGCACGCGCGTGACATCGTCTGACTTGGCACAGGCCAGCATTTATTGGGTATTCGCCTATGCCGGGCCTGCCGCAGATGCGGAGGAGCTCCTGCAGCCGTTCAATGATATTGGTTTCGCATCGGCAGAGAACGGTACTCTTCCGTATCCCAACATCTCCGATGTGAGCGGGACGGGCTTGGATGGTCCGCTATGCGCGCACAATCAATCCCACATAGTGGCTACTGCAGGACTGCAGGTATATAATATCACAGCAGAGCGTCAGATCCTCGACCTGTTCAACGCGAAGGTGGCACAATATCCAGGCCTCAAAGGAGGTCATGTTGTTCACGAAGGTTATTCAATCAAGGCTGTCCGAGACGTTGACCCAGCCTCGACTGCTTTCCCGCTCCGTGATGACTACCTACTGATGTACATACACCCTCACTCTGACTTGTTCAAGCATACTCTGTATGTTTTCTCACGTGTGGGTTGCTAACGTGAGATCTCTTATTAGGTTTTTTGACACGACGATCGCAGAGGGATCGAATTTGACAGAACCAACAAAGAAATGGGCTGCAGAAGTTCGCGACCTCTGGAATGCCGGTCAGCCGGGCCGAAAACCTTCAACATACGTCAATTATGGCCTCGGCGACGAGTCGCTCGAGTCCACATACGGTTACGAGGCTTGGCGACTGGAGAAACTCCGATCGCTTAAATCACAGTATGACCCTGACAACCGTTTCCGATTCTACATGCCTATAGTCCCCAATGGCATGTCTCCAAGGGTTTGAGAGCAATGCCTATTTTGATGAGCCTCTAAGCTGGTAATTGGTGGCCCAGTTCTGTTTATGTAGGAACGGCGCCATTTTTCACTCATTAAAATCATACTTATAGCATAATTGTGTTTATCAATAGTCTTCACCTGTATTTATTCATCACTCTTCTTGCTTCCTAGATATTCTTACCAATCCTTGTAGACCGACCGTTTTTAGTTGTTAACCAGTCATATCACTTATGCCCCTACAGTATCTGTAAGATCTAACATGAGAAAGAAATCCTGGGTGTGCATGCATATAAGCATGTAGGGGGAATAATTGCATCCCCGCCAAGTATCATTAAATTAACTAACCTAATAGAGATTAAAATGCCTATAACCATATAATATTAACATTAATAGCGCTATTCATTTTAATACCGTGTTACAGAGCAAATAATGTCTGAATAAATAGAGCGTAACCGAGCCTTTTAGAGGTTAGAAAAGGGCGAGTTTGTCAAGTTCGATACCTCAGCTGGTCGTGGATGGATAATGATGAAACAGCGTTCTATCTACCATAACAGGTCTAGCTGGCTTGGCGATACTTGACAGGGATGCAAATTCGTTGCCACCTATTCTGCTAATATGCATGAAGGGCGGATCTGACCGAGGGGCTGGGATGACGAGCAGGAGAAGGGGTCGAGGGTGGGGTTGGGCAATGATCCGGCTTGGGATTTTAGGGAATACCGAAAGCGGTGTCCCCACACACCAGCTCTGCCTGGCCGCCCGGCCGTGATGGTAAGGCCAGGGTATGTGTGAGATGATCTCACAAAGTATTGATTTGGTGGATAGAAAATCCGATGGCGGAACCAGCACTCTGCACGTCCCTGGTCAGGTGACCACTCAAAAAACCCTGACGGCAGTCAGAATATCTCGACCGATAGAATCGTGGGGTCTCAGGTTGGGCCGAAGCTTCAAGGACCTAGAAAACTCGGCCGATGAAACATCGGACGAAAGCTCATGCAGAGACCGATTGAGCCGTTCACTGACGGTGGCACTATGTAGCCATCTGTCTCACTGGGCAGCTTGATTTCATATCTCGATGTCGATTATGGAAAACAACTACGGCAGCGGTACCCTGGTTTAAAGCCGATCATTTGGCCTCGGCACCGAGCTCGCGAGATGCTCCATTAAGTTCGACGTGAAGTGCAAGGTAATAGAAACCATCGTAGCTGGGAACGTTTTACTACTGGAATTTGCTTGTACATTTGGCCAGCTTCTATCTAACGTCAGACAACAACAAGAACCATGTCAGTTTACTACACTCAATGGTCTCTGGTTTTAAATCTTGCCATTAGCTTATCAGCCATTGCTCTCTATGCGTTATATCGATGTCTCCTTCCAACGCCCATCCGTGGAATACCCTACAACCCGGATGCTGCCAAGAGATTGCTAGGCGATGCGCCGGACATGCTCCGTGAAGTTAGTGCTACGGGCGAGTTTGGCGTTTGGTGCGCCAAACAAGTAGAGAAAATGAACTCGCCAGTGTGTCAAGTGTTCATTCGCCCATTTGCAAAGCCGTGGATTCTCGTTGCGGACTTTCGCGAATCACGGGATATCTTAATGCGGCGCAGGGAGTTCGACAAGTCAAAGTTCATATCGGATGGAATGGCCTGTCTGGGAGACTTCCATGGCCTATTCCAAACAGGCGATGCTTTCAAATCAAACAGGCAACTTGTGCAAGATCTCATGACGTCCAGCTTCCTGAACAACTTCGCGGGTCCAGCCATCCATGACATGGGTCTGGAGCTTGTAGAGCTCCTTGGGATGAAAATGAAATTGGCCAATGGAAGGCCATTCAGTGTCAGTGCCGACATCGAATATACCGCGGTTGATTCTATGCTAAGGTTTGCCTTTGGAGAAAATTGGACAGAAACGACCCTTGGCCCGCAAATCGATCTTTTAAGACATATTGAGCCTTCCGACATAGGAGATGGTGACCTTGACAAGGCTGTAGATTTTCCCAAGTTTGAGCTGGACGGATTTCTCTGGTCAATATACGAAACGCCTAAGATCATGGAAAGAGCAACTGTATCATGGTTTCCAAAGTTGAGCTTTTGGTGGTGGAGCAAGCAGTCCTGGTACAAGAAGGTTTTTGCCCAGAAAAATCAAGTACTCAAGGAACAGGTACGGAAAGCTATCGACAACTACCGCAGTGGCCGCGTGAAGTCAGCTGTCGAGCACATGTTAATGAGAGAAGCGGCAAGAGCAGAAAAACATGGCCAAGAGCCAGACTTCCATAGTCACATTATAGCCGACGAGGTAGGATCATACTGCCAACTCCGAAGTGAGAATGAACGCTAACATACATGATAATGAGATATTTGGAGACATTGTTGCGGGTCACCACACTACAAGTGGTGCAATGTTGTGGCTGATAAAATACCTTGTTGACTATCCCGACGTTCAAATAAAGCTTAGGACTATCCTGCGCGGTAAATTTCCTAGCGCTGTCGAGGAAACTCGGTCTCCAAGCTTCCAGGAACTTCGAAGTGCCAAGATTCCTTATCTTGAGGCTTGTATTGAGGAGATGAACCGCCTGAACGCCTTCACTGTTACCCGACACGCACTACGAGATACACAGATCCTCGGGTACCCAATTCCTCGCGGCACTGAGGTCTTTATGGTTTCTAACGGACCAGGATACTTGGCGCCATCTCTGCCTGTCGATAGTTCTAAGCGAACTGAAACTTCACGCACAGCTAAATTGAGGGACAAGTGGGACGATACTCAAGACTTGACAATTTTCCAACCTGATCGCTGGCTCGTCGATTCAGGGGATGGAAATGTCGACTTCGATGGAGCGGCTGGGCCGCAGCTTGTCTTTGGCCTGGGACCGCGTGCATGTTGGGGCCGGAGGTTGGCCCACCTAGAGCTCAGGACTGTGATAGCTCTGTTGATTTGGAATTATGAGCTACTAAAGGTGCCTCAAGCTCTGAACAGCTACGGTGCTCATGAAGGTATCGCACGCGTACCGCACGTTTGTTATATCAGGTTGAAAGAAGCTCAGATAGAGAAAAATGATTGATGGGTTGAGTTAGGCATTGACTCGAATTGACAACTTCGTTCTGAATGACACACATTTTGAGTTGCGATTCACATTTTTACTATCACATTGGGCTGCTGAGCATTTTCTTATTACGTGCTAGATATTAAAAATGTGAAGCAGGATTAATTTTGAAAATGGAAGAGGTTTTAAATCTGGACTCTCACCTAAGAAAAATGGTCTCTCTTGCTCAGTGTGCGACACCTTGTCCAATGGATATCATGCAATACAATATGTTGCCACCGATACCTAAGCGGGCAGGGTAATAGTGAACTGCGAGACGGCCGTAGATTCTCGGTTGAGAGGCGGTCTAACTTAGTGAATGCCTAGGCCTTACTGCAGCGGCCGACTACATTCCAGATAAAAGAGACTAGATTTACACTTCCTAGCCAAACAGCCAGCTTATTTAGTGATGTGGAAATATTGAGCTGACAACGCCTAAGTCAGACTACGATCAACGCTTTATATCATCAACCATAGTGATTATTAGCGATTCATGTAACACCATGTCAACGGCCGCAACGGACACATCCAACATGACGCTTCACCAAGCGGCCGTCGGTTGGATGCCTTCACCTAACGTTCTAATTAACATATTCGACTTCTGGCATATTTATACCATTCCCATAGCATGGCTGGTCTACGAGATCATAAAGACTGCTTGGAATATTTCTCCGTTTCATCCACTGAGCAAGATACCAGGTCCCAGACTGGCAGCAGCTACCTACCTTCCTGAGTTCTATTATGATGCCATAAAATTCGGCAAGTATACCACCAAGATCAAGCAGTGGCATGGCATTTATGGTACGCTTCACCTCTGATAATCATTTCGTACGGATAAGGTGATTCATGACAGTAAACTCACTACTTTCTCATACGCTTTATAGGTCCCATCATTCGCATCAGTCCAAACGAAGTGCACTGCAACGATATACTATTCGCCAATGAGATATACTCTCCAGCGAATAGAAGGCGCGATAAGCCTATCCACCAGGTTAGGGGTACTGCAACGTAGGAAACCCTAATGCCTCGGCGACCTATCGGCGCTTGCTTAGCAAGTGCGAATGGCTGACTGTGTTTTAGTATAGCTCATGCAGTATTTTCCACTGCAGATTATGAGAAGCACCGAATCCGACGGAATGCACTGGCAAAGTTGTTCGCACGAGAGAAAGTGACAAAACTGGAGCCAAAGGTTCATACGAATGTTCAGCTTCTATGCAACAAGATCTTAGCAGTTGGAAAGACGCCTTTTGATATCACGACTGCATATGGTTGTTACAGTGCCGATATGATTACCGACTACGCCTTCGGCGAAAGTTTTGGCTTCCTACACCAAGATTCGTGGGAGCCAAACATTCGAGGTCCTGCGAAGTCGATATTGAAACCCATGTACATGTTTCGTTTCTTTCCCATCCTGACAGACTTATACATCAGGGCTTCAGCGTAGGTCTTTCATCCCAACCACGATCCCCGGAGGACGACAGTACTGAAAAGCGGTAGGATCACTAAGCGCTTATCTGAGGAAATGGCATTGATGATTCGATATACCACGGTGAGTTTGACTACCACAGTACTTAACCGAAAAAGATTACTAAGTTTATTGTGCTTGACAAGGTTGACGTGCCTAATATAATAAAGAAAACTAAGGCCGAAACGGAGGCAGGGGTTCAAGATGACGTGACAATATTTGGATCCTTGCTCCAATCCAGTCTGCCGGAAGATGAAAAAACGGTTGCCCGCTTGTCGAGCGAAGCTACAGCGCTGATAGGAGCAGCGACAGACACTGTCAGTTGGGCTTTGACCGTTATAACGTTCCATCTCCTCACACAGCCTAATCTTCTGGAGCGATTACACAATGAGCTTAGTGAGGTCTATGATGGTGGGGACCACCTGCCGCAATGGTCAACACTTGAGAAGCTTCCCTATTTGAGTGCTATCATATGGGAGGGGCTGCGATTATCATACGGCGTTTCGGCTCGCACAGCAAGAATTGCCCCCAATGAGGACTTGGTATACAACGGCGAATGGCAACCACAAGATAACCGGAAACCAATCACAGTTACCTACGTGATACCCAAAGGCTTTGCTATCGGCATGTCCACTTTGATTTCTCACCACGACGAAAACTATTTCCCGGACTCGGAGAAGTTCGACCCTCAGAGATGGTTGGACGAGAAGCAGCAGCGAAATAGAAAGCTGGAGCAAAACCTCATTATTTTCTCAAAGGGCAGCAGGGTTTGTCTCGGACAGAAGTAAGCACTACCTCAAACGGCCCGATACAACCTTCCACTATGAATACGCCGCTCATTTTGAACCTCTAGCTTGGCATTTTGTGAAATATATCTTGCACTCACAGCTTTGGTGATTCGTGTTTTTCCTAGGTTAAAGCTGTACGAAACCACACAAGAAGATATAAGCTATGACCATGATATGTTCAACCCAATTCCAAAAGCAGAAACTAAAGGCATCAGAGCCGTTATTGTGTGAGGCTGGAAGAAAAATATCTATCCAGTATGAATTGCCTAGTGGTTGGGGCAATGAGTCGATCACGAACGGAAGGATGCTCATGACCCTGGTTAATGTGTGTATCACTCAGATACTAAGTTAGTAGGATATTGATTACATCAAATGACATAAAAATAGAGTCAAGTACGCACGTTGCGTCATCTAAAATTGATTGGCACTGACTAATGGATATCTACTTTATGTATGACTGTACCTATAACCGCTCTTGCCAAACAGGTGTACCGGTGTTGCAACGGCGGCCTCATAATCCTAATGAGTCCAGTTGTGCTGTATCGCTAAAATGAACCGGCCTTAGGACCACAGCAATACAAATCGCCGCTGAATCTCGGCCGATTAAGCGCAGTCTGAACACCATTCCCCTAATACATATTTGAACCCCGCTATTGAGTTTTAATCTAGTCGATGACATTAACGCAGGAGTCAGGGAAAAAGAGACATATCTATCTACTTCGACTGCAGAGAGCCTGGCACGCATAATTGGAATAGATGTATGCTTGCCATTGTCTCACTACAAATCCAACCTGACATCATATTTAACCTCGAACGATATCAAAACCGCACGAACTAAAGACCCACTTAGTTTTGAGCCCTACCATGGATCGATCCATGTCAGACTTCAACTACACCCTCATCTCAGGTGCTAACCAAGGCCTCGGGCTCGCAATAGCCACCCGACTTGCCAAAGAGCATGGGCACCATGTGATCATTGGCTCGCGCAATGCAGAGGCTGGTGCCAAGATTGCAGCCACTTTCCAGGCAGACGGCCTTTCTGCGTCAAGCGTGCAGCTTGACCTTAGTTCTGACGATTCCATTGCGGAGGCTGCTGCAATCATTCAGAAACAATTCGGTCGCTTGGACGTTCTGGTCAATAACGCTGGCATCCTCTTAGATAGGTCTGAACCTAAACCGGAGACTCGCGACTTGTACGCCAAAACGTTTAACACAAATGTTTTTGGCACGGCATGTCTGACCGAGGCCATCTTGCCGTTGCTTCGCAAATCAATACTGCCGCGCGTGGTTTTTGTATCTTCGATCATGGGTTCGCTTGCACAGGCCAAAGTCCGAGATACACCATTTTACGATATTGACTATAGGGCGTACGACGCCAGTAAGGCTGCTCTAAATATGATGGCGTTAAACTATGCCCGTATCCTGGATGGTTTCGGTGGTCGCGTCAATATCGTCTGTCCGGGCCTAGTTGCCACTAACCTTGGCCCAGGAGTCGAGTACGGCCAGCCACCCTATATTGGTGCACAGCGTATTGTGGAACTGGCTGCCTTAGACAAGGGCGGTCCGACCGCGACTTTCTCAAATAGAGATGGTGATTTGGCTTGGTAAGGGAGTTATGAGATTGGTGTTGGGGGTGAGAGAGATCGCGGTGCATTGCAAGTATTGCTCAACTAGTACCTAGATATTCTCGTGGGAGCTGCTAGCATGATTCGTCGTAACAAATTACAAAGTTCACATCCAAATTCAAAAGCAGATCATTCTATCTTATCTTTGATGAGAGCTGAACATCAGATTCCGTGGTTTATGGAATATTTTCTCTCAGGCTATAACATGGCACGCATGTAAGCGCATTACATAAGAGATATACTCAACCATGCACTTACTGATAAGTACGTTCCAGTATACTCTTCAGGATTGCTCGCTTCTGTGGATTACACCTTCGCACTAACTTTTAGCACAAAAGGTGGGGTCCGGCCCCTGACAGACTGGCCGGACTCAAACTGATAAATTGGTCATAGTCTCTACAATAACAAAGTCGTGCACATGTTCGCGAGTTTGTCATCACTTTTAATGAACGTTGCCTTGGCTTTGAAAACCTTGTTCTGTTTGGTCTGATGCCGTTGCGGAAACTGTGATTGGTCCGTCTTCCACTAACGGCCGAAAAATGACGGCCGATAGATAATGTACTAACTTTGCCCCGTTCTTATGAATTGATAAGCAAGTTGGTCGGAGACTTCGAAGCAGTCACCGGGCTGGCACGATCTCTAGCTTTGCAGATCCGTACCCGGCTTTGAAATTAAGAAGAAGAAAAAAAAGCTGAGTCCAGACTGAGTCTGACCCAGACTGCAGCGCCTTGAGCTATTTTTCCTCTCTTGGGGAGGAGCCCGGCGGAAGTACGAGGCTGCTTCGAAACCAAGTCTAGAATATCACATCATATAATCGGTCCCGCTTTTCAATCTGCCAGGAAATATTGACAACTTTCAACTCGATACGGAGTACATGAACGTTAGCATGTCTCGTAGGATTTCAAGTCATTCCTTGTGGTACCATCCTAAGGTAATATCAAGGAATCAAGACAATGTCAACTCAACAACCCAAATCAGACTCAGAGAAAGAGCCCAGAACGGCTGGAGAAGATGAAATATTGGAGCCACACGTGCATCTAAAGACTTACATTGCGGTCTTTGCCGTCTGCGTTGGCTTCGTTGCTCAGAATTTTGCAATCACCGGGGCTGGAGCTGTGAGTTCCGCCAAATCAACCTTACCAATTCACTAATAAGGCTTCTAATTTTTTCAGCAAGCTCAAGCTATTGGGGAACAATTCCACAGCACTGACACCGCATGGACCACCGGAACTCTGGTGATCTTTTGCGTTGTTCTTGGCCCCATCATCTCGCAATGTGCTGACTACTGGGGCCGTAAGCCATTCTTGATTACTCTCAACCTAGTAGGCATAGCCGGAAGCCTCATTGTGGCTCGCGCGAAAGATATGACCATGATAATTGCGGGGTTTTGCATCATCGGTCTCCCCTTTGGTGCGCAAGGCTTGATACATGCTGTTGCCAGTGAAGTCATTCCTCGGCGATGGCGTTCATGGGGTCAAGCTGCCGCGCTCGTTTCGACCGAAGTAGGCCTTGTCTTGGGACTAATACTCTCTGGAGCTTTGGGTCGGAATGGAAAGGCCGATGGGTTCAGGAACTTTTATTACATTACAGCTGGTTTGTTCCTGTTGTGCACAATCCTCTGTGTGGTTGCATATCACCCGCCCCCAACGAAACAGCAGTTCGAAGTTACTGGGTTTCGAGCGAAGTTAGCACGGCTTGACTGGGTTGGATTTTTTCTACTCGCTGGAAGCCTAGTGCTTTTTTGCGTTGCCCTCAACTGGTCCCAGAATCCTTATCCATGGAGTGACCCGCACGTGTCGGCTCTTTTTGCTCTAAGCATAGTTCTTGCTGCAGTCATGGGTTTGTACGAATGGAGGAAGCCGGATGGCCTCTTCCACCATGGTCTTTTCCAGAACCGAATGTATCCCATCTGCCTTATTTGTGTTTTCGGCGAAGGAACGGCCTTCTTTGCTGCAAATGCCTATCTTCCCTATCAAATCAGTACATTGTACGAAGAAGATTTGCTCTTCGTTACACTGAGGCTTGCGATCGGGTTTATGGCAGGTATGTTGGCATCACTGGGTACGGCACTGTATTGTACGCTCACCAAAAAGGTGCGATGGGCGACAGCTGCTGCTCTGTTTATATTCGTTGCATTCTTCGCGGGGATGGCGGGGGCCACAAAAAACGATGAGTCGGGAGGGACAACATGGGGTCTCCCCGTACTTCTTGGCTGGGCCTTCGGCATGGTTATGGTTACCCTCGTGACTGCTGCTCAGCTTTGTGTTCCACCGAGCTTGATCACGATCGCCAGCTGTCTCATGCTTTCCGTTCGGGCTCTTGGGGGGACGATGGGATTCGCTATTTACCAAGCTGTCTTCCAATCTGCACTGAGCCAATTGCATACAAACATTGGCGAAGCACTTGTTAGTGCAGGCCTGCCACGAGCAGCTATCCCGGATGTTCTACCTGCTATCACCGCACAAAATACCACTGGACTTTTGACGCTCCAGGGGGTGACTCCTGAAATTGTTGAAGCAGGTACCAGTGCCCTTCGGGCTACTTATAGATCAGGCTTCCATAACGTCTGGGCTACCGCAGCTGGGTTCGTCTCATTTGCAGCCGTGGGTAAGTTTGTCTATTCACTTATCTACAAGTTTCTCCTGGTCAAATTGCTGATGATTGATGCTAGTGTCCATGTTCATGTTCGATCCATCTTCGGAGTTCAATTACCACATCGACGCACCAGTTGAGGCAGAAGAAGCATTGTACTCTAAAGAGCCGTAGTAGGACAGGACCCTGATTGCATGTGCGTTAGTAATTACGATCAGGTTAGAAAAACTATATCAGTAAGCGCATGTAAATCAGCAATATCGCTATCGGAAAGATATCCCTCAGCAGATACTTTGACACTCCAGTCGTTTGGAATGCCACTAATCAGCTGTTCGCCATTTACCTCAAAAATGCATAAGCATTAATCCTGAGTTTGCCATCAATGTATCCACAAATATCTCACGTTATACAGCTGGCTCTCCATCCTATAAAAATGTTCAAAGTTCCACAAACTCCGAGGTTGTTTCTGGCTTACACCAATATAGCTTAATGTTAGCCAGTCGTAGCCCATCGTCGATTGAGCGCCTACATATACCTTTGGAGGCAATTTCAACCAATGAGGTGGAGTCCAGCGACGACGCCTCACCGTCGAGGCGATTGGCAGCCCCGCAAGGCCTTGCGACGAGCATATCCCATGTTTGTCAGGTTGTAACAAAATGTAGAGAGTACTCATCAATCTTCGAAGGTTAATAAAATGTGACGACGAACTCAGTCTTTAGCAACACCGAGAGGGTGTTAGCTATCCCTTAAAGGAAGTCCTATCCTTAGGTCCGACGACAGTGTGAGGTGTCAATACTTTTCTTCACACTGTGAAGCCACGCTGCCGTTCTTCACGCTCACGTTGACCCCTTACTTCCCCCGCAGAACAACAAACTGTGAATGTCGCAAGGCGTTCAATATGGGTGCTATACGTGATTCTACTCTTCCTCGCGTGCTCATCGTTTGTCACGCACTTTCGGGGCATCTGGTCCCACTCTGTGGCATCGCTAATGGTCTTGTCAAGAGGGGTTGGGAGGTGTCTTTTCTAGGGCCCACCGCACACCGTCAGCGTATTGAAGGCGCGGGTGCTGATTTCATCCCACTCACAGGCAATGCGAATCTGAACGACAGGCTCTATTATGAAAATCCCAGCATACCAGAATACAACTCATTACACTGGGTTGAGCGGGCGCTAATTGACGTCAGGCTACAGTGCTTGGAGCCGCTTACGACACAATGGGACAATGTCAAAGCCGCACTCGTCAAGCTCAATCAGCGGGTTCCGCAAAGGCGAACCGTCGTGATTGCCGAGGCTTTCTTCTACGGTATCATGCCCCTGAAGTATGGAGCTCCGTTGCCATCAGGCGTAAAGCTTCCTCGGACGATCTGTGTATCGGTCACCGTTCCAGCGATACGAAGTATTGATCTGCCTCCATTCGCTCATACGTTGCCGTTCGATCAATCAGCCGAAAGCCGCGAGCTGAATGCACAACTATGGGAGAAGCGTACCCATAAGATGAAGCTGTTAACGGACCTGCTTGATAACAAACTATTCCAGGCTGGCGCGACAAGGAAGGTCAACGAGCCATTCTTAGCTGGCGCCAACTATACGTGCCACGAGTCCATCATGCAACTTGGTGTTCCTGGACTGGAATATCCGCGGTGTGACTGGCCGTCTGGCTTCAAATTCGTAGGGCTTGTGCAAGGCGCGTCAACAGGAACATTGCCACTGGATCCAGCATTCTCGTGGTGGAGTGAGCTGAAGCAGAATTCTTCGCTAAGTCGTGCAGATCCAGCCCGAAAGAAGGTCGTTCTCGTGGCACAGGGTACGGTGGAGATCAATCCCAACGATCTGATTATCCCCACGATCCAAGCCTTTGCTGGTAGAGACGACGTGCTGGTAGTAGCAGTGTTGGGTTGGAAAGACGCAAAATTGTCGGATTTCATAAAACTACCGGATAATGTAAGGGTTGCAGACTATCTTTTGTACGACGCGGCACTGGAGCATAGTGACGTCTGGGTCCATAATGCTGGCTTCGGTGCCGTCAATCACGGTGTTGCTCATGGGGTTCCTATGGTAGCTGCTGGTGAAGGAATGGACAAAGGAGAGAATTCGGCCCGGGTGGCTTGGTCAGGTATTGGTGTCAATCTGGGCACGGCCAAGCCATCTGTTGAACAAGTCAGAGGCGGCATTGAAGCTCTGTTTAACGACAGCAACTTCAAGGCGCGTAGCAAGTCTCTTCAGAAACAAAGTCGAGAGCTTGATTGCATTACTTTGATCCATGATGAGCTTTCCAGACTTTCCGATTAGCACATTGATCAGATGGACCAGCCCGTTTACGACCTGTGCCATTTTTGAGAACAATTGGCTGTGTATCTACGGCGATCGTGCGCAGTGCAAGCAGTAGGTGCCAAGGACATACTTGCATCGGAGCAATTGGATTGGTGCAGCGATAGACTAGTTAACTCAGCCGCTGTTCTATAGCTGAAAGCTTAGCCCTCAGACCTGTCGAATCAACTATTTCAAGTGATTATTTCAGGTTGTCCCAAATATTCAGTCCTTGCCCCAAATGAAGTTTGAGAATTGTAGCCCGTCCTTGAGAAAGCCTAGCGACCTGCTGAGTGTGATTTGTGAGACTAACAACTGCACTCAATTTCAGCTCTTGGTCGCTATGTTGGCTTGCTATCGTGTTACTCATACAGTAGATGAGTATTCGAGTCGGAACCTCAAACGGATATCTCATCAATAAATGCGGGTATAACTTCGTGGGGTGAGTGTTTCTCGAAACACTTCTCAACACAGGTAAATAGTTATCTTGTAATAACTTCAAGTTCAAGTTTTTAGCCAAGTACAGAACATTCGTTTTTAATTCTTGAGATAAATGACCCTCCCATTCTGTAGTGGTTAAAAGGAGGCAAACATAATTTTTCACATGTCAGCTGTCGAGAAAGGCACCTAACGTGTCACAATCAAGATGCCAGGTTTCGAGGAACAGAATAAAGTGATCAAGCCTGGGAACGCAAAGGAGGAACCATTCGCAGTGCTGACAGTCTATTCGCTATCCTAATAGCAACCAGCTCTCTAAGACATATCTGCTCTCTACGGGAGCCACGTATTCATACGAGAGTAAAGTAAAGTGCAGGGTCAAATGGGCTCCGTCAACCTTGCTAATGCTATTTCTTCCGTATTCAAAGACCAACAGGAATAAGAAGTTACCAAGTATGAACTGCATGCTCACTCCCCAAATAGACCAAACTCAAAAGCGTTCACACCGACATAGCCGTTTGTTGGCGGATGGACCATTAAATGCGCTGCAAATGAATGGGTTAATTAAAGTTCCAGGTTGAATAAAGCTGGTTATCTTACTGAGTAGGGGACCTTAAAATACGTCATCTGCAGACGCTAGAGAATCTGGAGGGGAAAACCCCTAGTTTCGACCAGAAATGCGAGCATTGGATATGATATCCGGCCCAGGCCACTTCCTATAATATGACATACTTTTGCGGAATCAGCTGTATTGGTAGAATTCGTTTAGATTCTTCAACACCGTTTTTTTCACGGCAATAATAACGTGGAAATACCCTTTTCAGGTTAATCAATATCTTAATGATTCTGACTCAATCTAGATCATGCTATAATTGATCTGCGTTGTCTCACACGAGGTCAACGTGTGTATATTCTCCAAGCTGGTCTCCAGCCCAAGAATATCGTCCTCTCGCTGTCCTATACCACACACCTATGTTACAACTAAACATATACAAAGGCAACGTGACTAGGTACCTGAAAACAAAGTTCACCTTAATCATGGCCATTAGATGACCCCATTATGTGAATCATTCTCATCCATCAATGTGTGAATAAGCTAATAATTACCTTGTTGATCAGGAAGTAGACCGCTTAAACCGCTATCAACTCATATCAGTGCTTGAGCATGCAGGTGAGAGTCGTCCCATGGTAGCGGAATAGCGGGTCGATTTGCCTCTGCTGTTGCGCTGAATTTAGACCTGGATAGCTACTGTAAGCGGAATCCGGGTTCTGACAGACCATTCAAACCGAACGCAGCACCAGGCAAGGCATATCGACCTACTCGGGAATGGTACTCTAAATCTGCGATCCCAACACCGTCTGGTAGGACCAATTGCACCACAGTATTTTGATTGTAATCTTCGGACCGGAATTTCAAACAATCCTCTTCACTGCCCACCGCATTTCTAGCCCCATGTATGAGCGTCAATAGCCTCTGGTACATGCTTTTGTGGTTTTTTATATAATGAAGGCGATACGGCAGAGGTGCTGTGGGCCCTCCAGTAGCAATGTTGAACGCTTTGGATTCCCCAATACGGATAGTCATGAAGCCCTCGGTGAAGGGCGCGTCTACACCGTGGAGCTCGTAGAACAAGGGCAGCCCTCCAGTCCCGAAGAACTGTGCGTAGCATCGCCAGCGAACGCTCATGGCACCCGTTCGCCACAGCGCGTAGTAGGCCAAGTCGTACACGGCGCCCATGCGCACCGGGGCGTCGCGTGACACCACGACCGCGTGCCCCCTCTTGCTACGCCACCCCTTCCGGGCCCACGTCAGGTACTCTAGTCGCGTCGGTGGCGGCTGCGACAGCAGCATGGACCGCCAGCTGGCGCCGCGGCGATTTAAGGCCGCCTCCCTCCTGGTCGGGTGCAGATCCAGCAACGGGGCTGATCTCCGCAGAGACTTGTGCTGGGGTGCTTCGCCATCGTTGGGGGCACGGCCCCAGGACGTTGTGGCCGGCAGGTCTTGGAAGAACTGGTAGAAATGGTCTGCTAGCAGCGGGTTGGCGACGACGTCGCCGCTCGACGAGACGTTACATCGCATCTCTTCCGCCACCGGTTGGAAAAACAGCCGCTGCTGCAGGAGCGCGCTCTTCTGCACAACGGTGTGGCAGAAGACGTTGATTCTTTGGCCGGTGACCAACAGCTCTCGCATTTCCAGGTGAAGCATTATGATCTCGACCAGTTCCCAGGTCGTGAAGACCATCGAGGCTGCGCCAGCCGGTTGCGCATTGTGTTTTCCCCTAGGGCTCATCATGTTCTTGGCAAAAAGCCGAGCTTGACTCAGCTTACCCCGGTACATAATCTTTCGCAAATTCATAAATCTCGCTATATTTAGATAAATCACGCAGAGGCTGGCTAGTTTTGTACATATATGATGAATAGTTGGCAGAGGTGTTTAGAAATAGACGTGTTGGGAGTTGGGGAAGTGAAAGATATTCATGTCAAACGCAATGTTGTCACGTGCAGATCGCCAGGGGCCCAGGTGCCTTTGATACTTGCTGTGCCATTGAGTCCAGTATTTGCGAGGGTCGAAAGTTCCAGCTGTCAAATTCAAAGTCGCCCGAACCCTTCACCCATTATAACCTACAAACAACGTTTTCAAATACTCAGAGGAAAGAAAAGCTGCCGCACTAGATCGACCACCTCTTTCAAATGCTCACAGAACCTTGTTGTGCGATCGCTCTCCTTCCACATGACTGAGAAATAACACTGTTTATATAAGTCAACAATGAAATATCAGATCATCAAGGGGAAAAGGTTATTCTTACGTACCTTTCATCATATATTTTGTAATCTGACCACATAATCTTGGGGTCTTTGGACATGCACCTTTTCTCCAGCATTCTCGTCTCGAAGAAATGGTCGATCGATAACCTCGGCCTCACCCTTTTATACCAGTACTCGTTCCACCAGGCCGTGTTCACTGTAGAAGACTCCTCCAAATCTTTGACACTGTTTTCGTGTCCTTCACTTAAAGGGGGTTACGTCTGGCTCAAGTACCCAAGGGCTCTGATAAGCGTGACCTTCTTTCTTTTGTGAACGTTTAGTGCATTCTCCTCTTTTCGGCAGTCATGATAGCTGACGAGAATAGGGTGCAAAAACTTCCATGGGCGAGATAATGTGTTGTTTGACCCCCGGAGATCTTGTCGAAATGGGACAAGGATGAGAGGAGTGAAGGTTACCCTAGGGGTCCCTGGACAGATTTTGAATGACCAACGTGAAGAGCGAAGCACAGCATGTTGAGGCTTGTGTAGTATTATGGCGCAAGAGAACATTGGGGCTACACATAGGCGTTGAAATACATAGAGACTAGAGTACGAGACTCAACAAACCGTTTGTATTCTAGACTTTATGTGACCACGGTGAAAAATGTTATCCGGACCAAGACCGTGGAATTTGTTCGCTCGCCATTGCGAAAAGTTGAGCTCGGTCATTGTGACAATTTCGTGACAAGTGTGATTTCAAGATACCAATGAATGAATGATTGGGTCTTTCGTAACCATGAATTTTCGCCATATACTTGTTGCTCTTATTACTGAATCCGATCCGCCAGCATGTTACAAGTAAGGGCGTTTTATGATATATGCATTGCCGGTTCTTGCAAAGCTCACAGATGGCGGGGCGTGTGGCGAGAGAGGTGGGAGAGGCAGACGGCATGAGCATCAACTATATGACATGTTTACTGTAAGCCATGGTGGGCCGAGTTTGGTGGGCGAGCTGGTGGAATTCTGTGATGGATTGAAGGCTTCATGCTGTTGGGGAAATGTATATGTATATAGTAGAATTAGTTCAACCGATCGTGTTGAGCCTGTCTCGGATAAAAGTTCACCACTGTGTTGGAGTGAACCCGGCGCCATCTGTTCATATCGATGTTTGAAGCAGATGAGAATTGTTGATAGATCCCGTCGTGATCGAATGAAAACTCATCGTCACGACTGTCGTTGAGTCTATTGAATGTGCACTAGTTACACTGAGAATTTGTTGAACCCATCGTCAATCCCAAGGCGTCGCACACCCATCTGGCGATCTAAAAAGCCCTTGTCTTCAAGCCATGAATTTTCCGTCATAAATCATCCAAACGCCACGCTATGCAAAGTTGACCTGTGCAGACAACACATAAGCTGAACCAAAACTAGCCGTGTGGCAAACCCGAGTTGCCTTTAAGCACGGCCACCGCTGCCGACCTTGAATGCCTCCATGACGACCCCCCAGGTGCCCTTTTCACCAGCAATTGACACGGGCTCTCCAAGGGCAATGCGGCGCATCAAGAGGGTATCCTTGGAGACCCTGAGTCTCTTGCCCTCGCTGCTGCTTAAGCAATCTCTGAACCATTCTTCTTCCTGCTCTTGGAAGGGCAGGCTAGCTAATTCGCCAGCTCGCTCAGCACTGTCCTCGTCGCGGCTGCCATCAAGCACGCCGACAATGAGTCTTCGAAACAGACCCTCCCGATGTGCGTCTGGTTTGGTTCGCGAGAAGCGCAAGGCCTCTCCGACGTCGCTCCGGACGAGTGCCTCGAACAGTAGCTCTACAGCCTTCTCGGTCTTGAGGACGGGCTGGACTGTGTGCCAGTATGACAAGGGCAGAGTGTAGTCGCCATCCTTGGTCGCCTGTTGGGCGAGAATAGTGATGATGTCGTCGGCAAACTCGGGGGTCAGGCTCGGGTGGGTCAAGTATTCCAGGCCCATGGGGAAGGACTGGCGGTCAAAGTACCACAGTCCCTGGATGAGGAGCTGGTATTTGGAGGGCAGTCCGGAGCGATTGGCGAACTGGTCGGCCTTGGGGACGGTGGTGCGGCTGGTCCTCGAGGGTGCTAGATCATCGACGTCCAGCAGGAGATAGTACAGAATGGACAACTTGTGATGTGTTGCGATGTTGGTGGAGGCTGCGATCTGTTGGTGGAGCTGTTGGAGGGCGGACTCGGACTTGGGTGGGTAGAGTGAACGAGCTGTGAAGAAATTTAGTGAGTCAAGCTGTGAGGTTGATTGGGTTGTGGATGTGAGGACAAGCTTGCTTGCGCGTTACCTTTGGAAAGGCCCAGGGCTGCGAGGATATTATCGATGAACAATGCCCCTTCAAAGCTTCGGCGATAACTCTCTGCCTCTTGGATGAAGGTACGGTTATATGGGTACGGGCTCAAGAGGCCAAAGACCCGCTCGAAGTTTGTGTAGTCGAGCATGATGGGTGTGTGGGCGGAGTTGTGGTCGTGGTAAGAGGTAAGATGAAGCAAGCAGGTTTGAAGCTATCACCAGAATGCGCACTCACGCAATGGCTTTCTTGTCCAGCTTTCTGTCTAGGTTAGTTAGTCTAGCACCAGGTTCTCTCCATACAGCGCATGCATGCTAACGTGGTCCAACTACTCCGTACAGTGGGCTTATCACCGTAGGCCACATGTAGTGCAGCACAGTACAGTGCAGTGCTCCGGGCGTAGCTCTCCAAAATGCTCAGGGGGGGCGCCCGGGAATTCTTCGGCTCGGTTGGTTTCAATACCGAGTCTGTACTGTAGCTGACCTTTGTAGCGTGTTTGGAGGGGGGGGGACTGAAGGCGTGTCGACGCGCTAGACAAAGAAGCTATCCCTTTTCAGGTCAAGGGTGGAGGGGGCATGTTTATTACTTTGGCAACATCCAAGAGCGCTCGAACATGGCAACCGCAACGCAAATCCAAAATCCGATGTGAGGTCGGCGCCCGGGATATTGAACAACAACGTCGTCACTTAATCTCAGATCAAGTCAACGTAATTCGCCCCGTTGAGTACTAACCCCACAGCCTACGTCGACAGTCCTTGGGCGGCTTTCTCTTCATTTCATTGCTTCCCACGCACACTTTCGTTCTTAGAGTTCCAACATGTCAGGAAGACCGTCTCGTCGTGCCGCTGCTGCACGACGCGCAATCGTCGACTCGGATGACGACGACGACGATGAAATCGCCAACTCCACAATAAAGCGAGAAGAGAGCGAAGACGAGTTTACTCTGGAAGTTCCCGAAACCTCCCGCCGACGCACCACCACCGCCAGAAGGAAGGCACCCTCCTCTGTCGCATCATCCACACCCCGCACTAGAGTGCGAAAGAGCGTGGCCCCCAGCGAACCAAGCACCATCATCGACCCGGACGAGTCCACGTCCACCGTCGTGAAGGAGTCAGACTCCCCGGTCAAGAGGCCCGCACCCCGCAGGGTCAGAAAGAGCGTGGCCCCCAGCGAACCAAGCACCATCATCGACCCGGACGAGTCCACATCCACCGTCGTGAAAGAGTCAGACTCCCCAATCAAGAAACCACCAGTCCGCAGGGTCAGGAAGAGCGCCGCCCCGGCCCCGCGAAACTCAGTCCCCAGAGAGCCCACGCCCGAGACTCGGCCATCGTCCAAGGACTCGCTACCTACACCGAAGCCCTCCGCTTCCCCCGAGCCTGCGTCGCAAGGCAGGGCGACTCCTCTGGCAGACATCACCAACCAAAACGTGGGTGACCCAGCAGAGACGCGGAACGGAGATGACACCATCACCCCGATCAAGCCTATCAAGGCCATGGACACGGTCCTCGAAAAGCCAATGGACATTGTCTTGAAGTCCCGGGCACAGATGACCATGCCCCTTGTTCAGGAAGACACGGGCCCCAAGCCCCGTATCGTCATCACATATCTCATCCTCAACAACTTCAAGAGTTATGCCGGACGACAGGAGGTTGGCCCCTTCCATGCCTCCTTCTCCTCCGTCGTCGGCCCCAACGGTTCCGGCAAGTCCAACGTCATCGACTCGCTCCTCTTCGTCTTTGGTTTCCGTGCCAGCAAGATGCGCCAAGGCAAGATTTCCGCCCTTATTCACAACTCCGCCGCCTACCCAGACTTGGATCACTGCGAGGTCGCCGTTCACTTTCAGGAAGTCATGGATCTCGTAAGTCGAAGCTGCACCCTCTCTCAACTTTTGAAAAGAACCACGACGGAAAAACTGACAAGATACAGCCCGGCGGTGGATCCGAAGTCATCCCCAACTCTCAACTCATCATCTCCCGCCGCGCCTTCAAGAACAACTCCAGCAAGTACTATATCAACGGCAAGGAATCAAATTTCACAGTCGTCACCACTCTTCTCAAGGACCGCGGTGTCGATTTGGACCACAAGCGTTTCCTCATTCTCCAGGGTGAGGTTGAGTCCATCGCCCAGATGAAGGCGAAAGCCGCCAATGAACACGAAGACGGCCTTCTCGAATATCTCGAAGATATCATTGGCACATCCAAGTACAAGGCTCCTATCGAGGAGTCGGCTCAGGAGGTCGAAACTCTCAATGAGATCTGCATGGAGAAGAGTGGCAGAGTACAGCACGTCGAAAAGGAGAAGAACGGCCTCGAGGACAAAAAGAACAAGGCGCTCGCCTTCATTCGCGACGAGAACGAGCTTACGCTCAAGCAATCCGCCTTGTACCAGCTCTATCTTAGCGAGTGCACCGACAACCTGGAAGTCACCCAAGAAGCTATCAGTCAGATGCAGGCACAGCTTGACCTCGAACTCGAGAAGCACTCGGGCAATGAGCAAATCATCAAGCAGCTCCAAAAGAGCTACAACAAGGGAAGCAAGGAGTACGAGGCGCAAGAGAAGGAGCATCAAGCCCTCGCCAAACAGCTGGCCAAGTTTGAACAGGAGAGGGTCAAGTTTGACGAGAAGCGCAAGTTCTTGGCTGACAAGCGGAAAAAGCTCGAAAAGACCATCAACAACGCCGAGAAGTCCTCCACGGAGGCCGACGAGACTATTGAACAGTGCGGCGAAGAAATCAAGACCTCCACAGAGGAGATTGCTGCTTTGGAGCAAAGCATCCAGGAGGAGGAAGCAGAGCTCGCTTCCATTCGTGAAAGCTTGAAGGGCAAGACCCAAGTCTTCTCCGATAAGATTGCCGCCAAGCAGAAATCTCTCGAGCCGTGGAAAGAGAAGATCAACCAGAAGCAATCTGCAATCGCCGTCGCCGAGTCTGAGCTGGCCATCCTCGAGGAGAAGGCCAACGCTGGTGCCGTTGCTCTTGAAGAGATGAACAGCAAGATCGCAAGCATCAAAGGAAACAGAAAGGCTAAGCTTGCTCAGCTAGAAGAGTGCCAGGCTGAGAAGGCCCAGCTTGAGGAAGAGGCCCAGGGTGTTGAAGCTGGATTGGCTCAATTCGCTTCCAAAGAGCACATCATCCGAAGCAAGGTGTCAAATGCCAGACAGAAAGCCGACGAGGCACGATCCAGTCTTTCACAGACACAAAATCGGGGCAACGTCCTGACAGCCTTGATGCGGATGAAGGAGACAGGTCGTATCGATGGTTTTCACGGACGCCTTGGTAACCTGGGCAGCATTGACAAGGTTTACGATGTCGCAATCTCGACCGCCTGTGGTGCTCTTGACAATTTCGTCACGGACACGGTGGAGGCTGGTCAGCAATGCATTGAATATCTACGTAAGACCAACCTGGGACGTGGAAACTTCATGTGTTTGGACAAACTGCGCACTCGCGGCATGGACCCGATACAAACTCCAGAGAATGCACCGAGACTCTTCGACCTGGTCCAGTTCAAGGACGACAAGTTCCGACCTGCCTTCTACCACGCCTTGCAAGATACCCTGGTAGCACAAGATCTCGCTCAGGCCAACAGGATTGCTTATGGTGCCAAGAGATGGCGCGTCGTCACCCTGGCAGGTGAACTCATTGATAAGAGCGGTACCATGTCTGGTGGTGGAACTACTGTCAAGAAGGGCGCCATGTCTAGCAAGCTGGTTGCTGACATTTCTAAGGAGCATGTCACCGAGCTTGAGGAGAGCCGAGATGTTCTTGAGCAGAAGTTTCAAAAGTTCCAAGATCAACAACGCGAACTCGAGAACCGTCTCCGCCAGCTCAAGGACCAGATTCCCCAACTGGAGACCAAAATGCAAAAGATCAATCTCGAGATTGCCAGTGCCGAGAGGAACCTCGTTGACGCACAGAGGCGCATCAAGGAGCTGGGCAAGGAACACCAACCTTCGCAGACGGACGATAACCGGGCGGCTGCCCTCCAGAAAGAAACCGCCAAGCTCAACAAGGAGGTTCAAAAGCTTCACGCCGAGACCGAAGGTGTTGAGGCAGAAATCAAGGAGCTTCAAGACAAGATTATGGAGGTTGGCGGTGAGAAACTTCGCGCTCAGCGTGCCAAAGTTGACTCCATCAAGGAGGACATTTCCTCGCACAACGAGGCCGTGTCGGCCGCGGAAGTCAAGCGCGTCAAGGCTGAGAAGTCCAAGACCAAGTTGGAGAGAGATTATGCCAAAGCGACGAAAGAGCTAGAAGCAGCCGTTCGCGATCTCGAAAAGCTGGAGGAGGAAGTCGAGAACCAGGGCGAGAGGTCTGCAACCCTTCAGGCTAGTGTTGACGAGGCCGCGGAAGCATTAGCCGCGAAGAAGGTAGAACTTGCCACTGTGAAAGCAGAGCTTGACGAAAAGACTTCAGAGCTCAACGAGACACGGGCCATTGAGATTGAGATGAAGAATAAGCTCGAAGAAAACCACAAAGCACTTGCTGAGAACCAGAAGAGGCTTCGTTACTGGGGTGAAAAGCTTAACAAGCTTGTCCTGCAGAACGTGAGCGACCTCGAGGGTGCTCCTGCCCCTAAGCAGCCCGCGTCTCCTAAGAAGGATGAAGGCGCCAGCAACGCGGACTCGCCCACAGGACAGCTCATCGCTGAGGCTGAGGAGGCTAGTAAGCTTGAGGCGGAGGAGGAAGAGGAAGAGGAAGAAGCCACAGTCATCCAAAATGCAACAGCAATCCATGATCCCAACGAGCTCCCACGGTTTAGCCCCGACGAACTCAAGGACATGTCCAAGGAAACTTTGAAGGCTGAGATTGCGGCCCTGGAGGAGAAGACGCAGAACGTCAACGTTGACCTGGGCGTCCTTTCTGAGTATCGTCGCCGTGTTGAGGAGCATGCCGCGCGATCATCAGATCTTAGCACAGCAGTGACAGCACGTGACGCTGCCAAGAAGCGATGTGACGATCTCCGCCGCCTGCGTCTTGAAGGTTTCATGGAGGGCTTCAGTACCATCTCCCTTCGCCTCAAGGAAATGTATCAGATGATCACCATGGGTGGTAATGCCGAGCTGGAATTGGTGGATAGCTTGGATCCTTTCAGTGAAGGTATCCTTTTCAGCGTCATGCCACCGAAGAAGAGCTGGAAGAACATTTCCAATTTGTCTGGTGGTGAGAAGACGTTGTCCAGTTTGGCATTGGTGTTTGCCCTGCACCACTACAAGCCCACGCCGCTCTATGTAATGGACGAGATTGACGCTGCGTTGGATTTCAGAAATGTGAGTATCCTTTTACACCTTACGACGCATACGAAGAGCTTACTAACACATGGCAGGTTTCGATTGTGGCAAACTATATCAAGGAGCGAACCAAGAACGCCCAGTTCATTGTCATTTCGCTCCGAAACAACATGTTCGAGCTTGCTGCTCGTCTTGTTGGTGTATACAAGGTCAGTCACATGACGAAAAGTGTTACGATTGAGAACAGGGACTTCATCGAAAGAGGGGCCGTGGCAAGGACTGGCAGTGGTGGTGCCACGGCGACTGTCGGAGCAGGCGCATGAGGGGGTGTTGCTTGATGCGATAAAGGAGTAATGAGCATATGATTGTTTTTGTGGGCGAGCTTTGTGGCTTGACTTTATGTTTGTGATACCACGGTGGCTCACTGAGAGGTTTGGGTCTATAATGTGATGGGTCCGCGACGTTATGACACACAGTCGAATCTACTGTTTCCTCTTCCCCGCCTTCACTGTTTATTAGCCACGATGAATGCGGCAAATGATGCAAACTTGCAATATACGCAACTTAAAGTCTTCTTGATAGCATGTCACTGTATGAGTCAGTCATTGCCTACACATAATCAAGCATTCTTTAGTTTGGATAGTGCCACCAGGTTTTTGGTTCCATCCCACCCTCAAGAATCACCCTCTGTCCTCTTCGAGACACGACCTGCTCAAGTCAGTCACTATACACTGGACTGGAGAAGAGCCCTCGAGATTTATGGTACCTCTCACGCTTCTACATCCTGACACGATTTTTACCACACTTTTTTTTTTTTTTCTAATATTTCTGTGTCTCATTTGTCCGGTCGTGCTGCTTCCTCGTGTGGTAGGAAAGCGACGGTAATGATACATTATGTACCTGTACGACCTGTACGCCGTCATCACGCGCGGAGACGCCTCGTCCGACGAAGACCACCAGCTTTCTCCTTCAACCTGAGGGTCTGCGTAGAACGCCCTGAACCCAGCAACCAATCAGAGACAAATTGCGGCTGTCCATTTACAAGCACTTGCCCGGCACTTTCTGCCGTGGATCTGTTGAATGTGGATGGTTTGTGACTCCATGACAAGCAAAATGCGCGATGCTGCTATGTGATAAAGCGTTGCTCATATTTTCTATCGAATAACAAGTATGTAGTCTGACAATATGAAACAGCATTGAGCTATCAAACCAAACCAAACCGATTTACCAGAGTCGTGGCAAGCCGCTTACAGGATGATTTACAGGACATATCCCGTCGGTAATAGACTTAACGCATACGTCCTATAGCCATGCTGGTTATTTGATATGTTTCTTATTCGCAATAGGGCGGTCATCTTTGGGTACCTCGCACCGTGTCCATTTCTCTTTATCCAGGTTTGTACTTTAGCAGCAAGCAATCGGGTTTAAGTGGATTGACTTCATAGCTGTTGGTGAGTGAATGGTCGTATCACCACGTACTATATTATTGTTAACGACAACAATACTAGCTCCCGTAGCAATCCTTTTATATCCCTTTTATTTTCTGGGCGAGCGTAAACTCTCGCAACCAGCTTATTTTCTAATCTCTTCAACGCGTAGATTAAGCTCGGACAAGGCTTGGACACGGCGTGCCCAAACCTGTCTGCGTATTACGTCTTTGTGATCTGTTGTGGTGTCCCGTTAACTTGTTTTGAAGCTACTGATTTCCGCGAGCTATGATGAAGCATACCAAGCAGCTCATTGCCGCCTCTTCGCCTGCAACTTCTATCACGCAAAAGGATTTTATTGTGCGTCCTGATTGACAATAAGTATTGCGCAAACTAGGCTTTCTTATAGCGCTATAAAGTGCTGCAATCTGCCCAATGATGTAGTATATATACGATCAAGTGCCTAGATTGATCTTATATTCCTTGAAGAATGCAAAATGGCTCTCAGGAGAATGATTTTCTCCCACTTAAGCAAAAGCCAGCCCTTTTTACCATCACTGTATCAGTAAAGAACGACTCTTCTTTTTACCATCACTGTATCAGTAAAGAACGACTCTTTAGCATCTAAAATTTCCAATAAATATAGATAATTTATCTCACAAGCTATACGTATACTCTACCTGAGATGAAAAACGTGGTCAAACCTTTCTGTTTCCCCCACAATCAGCTCAAAGTCATTAATCCAACACTCGCCAATAAGCTAACATACAAGATAGCGTTCATTTCCCGTAAGATACGGTAGCCTTGGAAAACTCTTCTCCCTGGGTCCACGTAAAATTGGTTTGTCTACAATGTTGGAGGGATCATCTTCCAATCGTACCACAAAGGGAGTTTAGCGCCTGGGAAGTAAACAATCATATCCTTGAAATCAGTCTCTGGTGGCAGAAGGGCAAGCCGTGGCACGAATGCTGCTGCATCGTTGACTCCTCGCCTGGACGTCCCGAATTTGTGAGATATCGTGTCTTGAAATGTTCGTCGCTTGACGCCACTCGCATAGTTGAACACAGAAGAGACTTTGCTCTGCGCAAGATCCACCACACTGCTTTCAGAAATTTGATCGTTATTGCGGCTAAAAGACATATTGAACGATTCGAGACCCTGACACAGACCGACCCACCTCCGGTCGATGATTGAGATGTGGTCTCTTACCACCTCCTCAGCTGGATTTCTCTTATCCGACCATTTGAGAACGCTTTTTGCACGTTGCACCGAATGCGCCTCAGTCGAGCCGTCTTTCGGAGGCGAGGTTGTTACATCAATATGGTTCATGAACGTGGAAGGGATCCGCTGGCCAGGTAACGGAGATCCTGGGGATTCGAGAGCACGATCTCCACGTCAGGTATGTTACGCTTTCTCAGCAACACCTCAAGACCCAGACTTGCGTTCAATAGAGTTGTATGAGTTTTGCTTTGCTTTTTGTTCATCCTTTATACTTCAGCTGGAACTGCACCGTTGAGTAATTCGTGAAATGCGCCGGCGTCAAGAATATGAGCCCATAAAGTGAGAATTTGTGCGTCTAACTGACACCTTTCAACAGTGCCTGAGAAATTTCAAGCTTCTTGTAGCTCTTTGAAGAGCTTCTCGTCTTTACCTAGGAGGGAGTTTGGGGACAGCATCATGTGAACTACCCCTATCACCCGGCCATGTATTGCGAGAGTAGGGGTTTCATAGAGATGGACGAAGGTCCGGAAGTCCTCGGGGTCGGAACGACCATAAGAGATTGGCGTGCACGTTTTGTGTCGGACCGTTTCGATGATGGGGGAGGGTTCAAAAACGTTCGAGAGGATACACTGCCAGTTCGGAACCCAAGATGGTATATGGAATAACTCGAACTCGGGAAATCATTGTCGGTGCAGGGTTAAGTACTCCAAATAACGTTCGTATGATCCTACGATTTCACTTGCAACTACTGCCTTCGCCTGTATTTCGGAGAACTGAGTACCATCGATGAATGCTTCTTGTTCGGCAGTGAGCAATTTCCCCGAATCTTTCCAGAACTTATAGTCCATGGCTCTCTGGAGATCTGATATGTGCGTATGGCGTTGAGCACACTCACGGCGCCAAAACTTATTCCCCTATCAAGCTGCTCAATTGTCGATTTCACGATTGATATAACTTAGCAGTGTATAGTCGCCCATTGCTTTCATGTGGTCAAGTGCAAATTTCTCGTACGTCCAATTGATTGTACTGCAATAGTCAATGGTACTGTTAGATCTCCAATCAAAATCTGTGCTGGTACCCAACAATGCGAATATTTGTCATGGGCGTTGGTTGCAATTAGATCGCGAGCGCGAACCAACAAGTCAAGAATAGTCAATCCGGCATGGTGTACATGCAGGGTACGTTTGTACCAACTTGGAAGATATTTCTCTTGATTTCTGGCAAGGTGAAAAGCAACACGAAGTGACCAGATTTGTCGCACAGCTCCGAAACAAGCGTCCTGACGCGAGCTTTTGCCGTAGTGGTCGTGTGTCCGCTGCTGTAGTATAATGGTGTTGAAGATGGCATCCCACGAGACACGACGAAACCCACATTGTATGGATATCATCTTTGAAATGACGATCTCTTGCAACACCCAAACTCTAGTAAACCACTCACGACTCAAAACATCCTGGCGTAAATCATGTAGGTCACCACGAAAAGTCCAAGCCATCCGTCTTTCTGCATGGGACTTGGTAATCCTGGTCCCCATCACTATTGATCACCCATGGACTGTGCCGTTCGAGATAGTTCCAGGCCGACCGGCTCACGTTGCTTTCCGTCGATTCGCCAAGATAAACGATTGTTTCCTGGGATCTTTCGTATATCATGCACATTTGATGTACTTGGTGATTGCGCTCTTCTGCATCAGAGTGGTTAATACATAACACATCAACCGAAAGCATCAACGCCTGATCTCGTCGTCGAAGGTGGCGTAGTGCAGAGTCTAAATTCGCGCCAACCCAAGTATATTTGTTCCCAATGTATACAAGATGTGTATCTCTCTGAGTACCCCAAGTGTATGAAAGTGCCAAGTAAGGCGCAACAAGGCTTTGATTAGGGGCGAATGACAATTGCCACAGGGTGCATTTCAGATCATCCTCGAACTTGGACGCTTCAAAAAGAAGTAGTGTACGAATAGACCCGCTTTGTAGCTTTTCCGTACTGGTAAAGGTCCCTATCATGCTTCAGCGGTGGCAAGGGTGCGGATGCGCCCATGAGCGCCGCCGATTTCGGAACTTTGCGATCCATCACCCGGCCCAGGCTCAAATATACACGGCGTGCTGGGTTCGAGGTGGTTTCGAACCGGACTATCGAAAATATCTGTCATACGTTGACACTATAGGATCCATATGCTTTGGCTGATATTACTTTGCCCTTCTTTACCCTGCATTACACGGATGCGTAAAGGGCTTCGCGTTCACGCGTGTGATAAGACATTTTTGTTTCTCGGCTATAGACCCACTTAAAAGTGAAGGTCCCGGGCGCGGTCTGATTGGCTACATGATCACTTGAAGGGTATTTGATCGGGGTTTCAAAGGTAAAGACCTTTAGATTTCGAAGGAGCCCCTACTGTAGGTATGTCATGACCATGAATCCAGTGTTGTATGGGCCCTTCTGTATGGCCCGTACTCAGGGATACATTGGTAGCTCGTATTGTACATAGTTCGCTGGAGAGAGATCTTCCCTCTCCAGCGCAATAACAGTAATACTGTAGTAATGGTCTATACACCCGATGTCTCATAACAGCACCTGCATGTCTTTCACAGTAGAGCAGAAAGCATATGATTTTTAGAAGCAAATCCGGCGATGATCCTGCCTTGGTCTCATTGTAGTTGTGGCGGGCGAGGGTACCATTCTTTTTAGCCCGGTACGCCTTCTCAGCCCGCTGGGCTTCAATGTGTTGCTCTGAGGCCGGCGCCTGTTCGTGATTAGCAAGTTATCCTTGCCAGAAGTGCCAGGACGAGGCAAGGGCAGCGGCTTCTCGGATTCGGAGACCTCAGCGGTCTTTTATTATTTTTATAGAAACTTCCTTGGCCTTATGGGGACAAAGGGCACAAAAAAGGTTCGAAGCGTTCACGGCTACCCTACGACCTTACCACATCCAAAAAGGTGTAAAAAACAATTAACAGACATTTACAGCATATTTCGTTTCATGGTTCCTGTCATGAACGAGCGCGTCCACAGAGTCTCGGGACGCCTATTCATCGCACTGGTATTGACACAGCATAATTATGCATCGCCGGAGGCAGGATTATGCTCGTCGGCTCGACTTCCAGCTGGAAATTACGCCTGTTGGTCTCGAGTAGCGGCTCTGGTTAAGACACAACCCCCATTGCACAAATACGAAGCGATATGATGGAGGAAGAACCACAATATTTGAAGACACAATGTAACTAGGTCCAAAAGACAACCATAGACAAATTGGCTTCTTGGCATCCGGGTAACCATTAATTCGCCGAGCCGTAGGACTCGCACTCTTGTGTGCGTGTTGCTGTTGTTGTCGTTGCCTTGCCAATGGTTTCGGCGCCGGCGAGTTTCGTGTGCAAGGACCCAGATTATGATGGTGGAGAGGGATCATACTGGAGACACTTCATGCTCCACTTTCCCGTTCCGGGTTCCTAGTGGATCCTATTTACTGCTGTACGGGGTCTTTCAGCAGTCCACACCTCCGGCCTTTTGAGCAAAACATTGTGGGGAATGTCGTGATGGTGCTGTGGAGAGAGTACGACGTCTCGGCGTGGGATGCTTTTGGTTTAACTTAACCATGCTGGATATTTATGATTTTCGCAACCGTGTACATAGTTGTTCTGCAACGCGACTTTCAGCCCATGCTTGTGAAAACTACTTTCTATGCGGCGATTTTTGGGAATGGGGAATCAGCCGGGCATCAATCGCGCTGTTTTGTGATAGTCTAAGTGTATGTCACGAAAGCGTGTTTTAGGATTTCAAAGAACTCGGCAGGGGCTCACCAAGCATAAAACAGACGGAATATCCTGGAGATAGCAGACTGGAGAAAGGATGGAGCAGCACACGCAAGTGAGAAAAGGAGGAGGGTGCGGAGCTCGAGGCTGACTAGCCGGCCCGCTATTTCCTGAAGATCGTCATGCTTGGGGGGAGGGGGAATGGGGGTGAGAAGGTGAAAAGTGAACTGTGCTTTTGTGGTACTGGTAACTTACCTGCACGGTTACGTGTAATTGCGCAAGCGCCAGGCCGCCCTGGCGGCACGGGGTGAGGATGACGGATCTTCATGCACGTGCAAGTTCAGATCGAGATGTTGCGGTCTTTGGCCATGGCTGCTTTTTGAGGGCATTTACGTGTCTAAGGCTTGTGGGTGGCTACATAACCACGTTTAGAAAGTGACGAATTCTGGATGCATGTTGGGAAACTGAGTGTGGATCAAGCAAAAAATGTAGCAATGAGACACTGTCGCTAGCAATATTGATATGCCCATGTTCGCCATAACTTCTTGTTAACGGTATCGCACACTACATCGCGGAGTTTAGGTGAAAGAAAATTTCAATCAAACTTTAATGACTATCGGTAAATGATGTTTTGATTATTAAAGGGTGATTCACTGTCAGGCAAGCTCGCAAGGGTATTTAACATCAAGTTCATAAAGCAAAATAATAGTAAGTTTGCGTGGGTATATATGAAAGCATCAAGTCCGAATGCTGTCTAGAATCTATGCCATCTATCCAGTCTATCCGTCTAATTGTTTAGTTTCTTTTCTCGTGTCGTGGATGTCTCATCGCGATGTACATCTATCCAAATTGAGAGGCATAACTCCAAGTGAAGGAAAAGCCTCTTAAAGTACTCATGGGTATCATAGCGCATGTTCCAAATTTAAAACGATGAGCATTTCGAATGCTCTAATTGAACATGCTCCGGCATGTAGTAAATTGAGTTCCGTCTTTGGATCCTTTATGCCATCAAGGCATTACCGTTGTCAACGTTGTCGAGCTCGGACTTCTCGTTAGAAGGTCTGTTGATCCGACCTCCATCGTCAGACTCAATATCGGAGCCAACACCATACTTCTGGGCATATTCTCTGATCTCTTGCTCATCAAGCATAGGCAGATCCTTGGCAGCCTTGACATAGCTGATATTCTCCTCATGACCCTTGGCGAAGATGATGTCAATCTCCTCCAAAGTGCGACCAGCAGTCTCGGGGTAGTAGAAGTAGAGAATGGGAAAGAATATGGCGTTCAACACAGCGAAGAACAAATATGTACCCCATCCAATACCATCGATGAGCACCGGAGTGATCATAACGATGAAGAAATTCCAAAGCCAATTGGAAACGGTGGAGGTGGCGTTCGCCTTTGCGCGAGTCTTGAGGGGATTGATCTCAGCTGGGTACAACCAAGGGAGGGGCAACCAAGTGGCACCAAAGAATGCAATGTATGTGAAGAGACCGACACCTGCACCCTTTCCAGCTGAAGCAGTGCCCGGGATCAGAGCGCCGAAGACGAGCACCATGGACAGGCATTGGCCGATGGTACCGATGAAAAACAGCTTTCGGCGACCAATGCGCTCGACGAACCAGAACGAGGTCATGGCGAAAATTGCGTAGACAACCATGTTGACACCTCCGAGCAGCAATGCCAGGTCCTCAGTAACTCCAATAGAGCTCTGGAATAGGATAGGGAAGTAGTAGATAACAGCGTTACAACCAGACAACTGTTGCATCATTTGAGAACCGGCACCCAGCAAGAGACGACGGAAGTGCTGAGTCTTGCCGTTGGTAAAGAGCTCTCTGAATGAAGTGTTTCCACTGGCCATGCCAGCAGCGCGAATAGCATCGTTGATGACAGTGATCTGGTTCTCCACCACCTCGTGATCACGGCGTTTGTTCTCAAGCGCCGCGATCACTGTAGCAGCCTCTGCCTCTCGACCGTGTGATAACAACCATCGAGGGGATTCTGGTAGGCGGAGCATAAGAACGAGGATGACGATAGCGAAGGCAATTTGGAAAGCAATCGGGAATCGCCATACGAATGGGTGAGGTCCATAAGTGCATCCATAGTCAATCCAGTAAGCAATCAAAGTACCAACGGCGACGTTGCCACCCTCAATGCAAATGAGTTTGCCTCGATTCTTCGCGTGTGAGCACTCAGCCTGATAGGTTGGCACAGTCGACGTGTTGATTCCATTGCCAATCTGATATCGTGTTAGCATCTAGTTTTACGTGAAACTGGCAGGATTTAACTTACGCCTGTGATACATCGACCTATAATAAATTGTGCAGTTGCGCCGCCACTAGGGGGCACAGAAGCGATCTGGATGATGACACCGATAATCATGATAATCGCGCCTAGGAAGATGGAGTATCGTCGTCCGAGTCGGTCACCAAAACTCAAAATAAATAGGGCACCTAAGAAGCAACCAACAGCGTAGATGGACGTGACGAAACCTTGCCATGTGCTGTCGCCATCAACCTCAGGGAAATCAGAAACGAAAGCAGGCGATGAGATGATGCCTGCCATGACACCCTGATCATAACCGAATAGCAGGAAATCAGTCGTCGCCACAGTTGTGATGAGTTTTTGGAGCGTTGGGCCACTCTTTGACCAGTACGTGGGAACGCCGTGCTCATTGTCCTTGGGACCGGTGTGCACCGGCACCAACTTCTGCACCTTTTCCTTCATATTGTTTGTGTGAGGATGACCAAGATAAGATTCAAAGGCCCGTGTCGAGTTTGCGGAGAGTGATGGAGACCAGATAACCTTCCCCCAGAACACGGGGAGCATCACATATATATGTCCATGGTAAGGCCGAGGGGAGAGGATAGGCATAGGCCAAGTTTAGGATTTAATCATACCTTGTTCTCAGGCTAGAGGTGGAGCTGATGATGCAGGAGCATTCAAACACAGAAATTTCATACAACGTCATACCGATCCACCGGCGTGGAGACCGGCGTGGAGGTGATTTCGCGGAGTAAGCGCATGATTTACCTGGAAAGCCCGACGTGGCGCCGGACTCGCGTCCCCCAGAACCCTTTGAAGTGGTCGCTTGCCCCGGGCGGAACCCTTGCGGAGAGGTTGAGTGGTGAGCATGGAGGAGAGTCGTCTCCAGTTATAGTGGGTGCTGCACGATAACTTCAATCCAACTTCATTCTTATCTCGACGTGCCCAATTTTATGTGGGTCGTAACACACAGCAGCTCGGTGCTCCTGCCTTACATCGAGAGCAAATGCGACAGGAATCGAGGATTGCGGTGCCATCGAATCCACAGCTGATGCGCGTGGCGGACATACAGGTAAGAAGGAATTGCGATTGCCGTAGAGCCATGAGTAACAAGCCTTTGGGACGGTAACATATTGTTAGACCCAAGAGCCCTTTGGCGCACAATGACATATATTATGACTCGCATTGAAACTCGCCTCAAGTGGAAAAAGCTTGCGGTTACCTAGAGCGGAAACAAGATACGAACTTTTGAGCCAAGATGGGGAAACGGAATGCTTGTCGCAATGCGGCTACGAAAAGTCTGATCGAGGTTCATGACTACCGCCCGTGAATACCAGGTGCTTGGCTCCTTGGCATACCGGGAACGAATCAGTACCAACATATTGAGTGAGCCGCAGTGACGTCACCCTCGTCGGTCCGTTGGTAGTCATTTCGACCTTGCATTAGCCCAAGGCTAAAGAAGTACGCTAGACTTTTCAACGGAGCCAAAGGAGCCTTGAAGACTTCACCGCAGCTACATGTTGGGAATTTATCGCATGTTTTTGGGTAATTCTTTTTGCATGTGCTAGGATTTTTGAGGGCACAAGCTGTGGCATTGGATTGACGTGTGTACGACTTGTATTTACAAATTATGTAACTGGCTCGACGTTTTTCCCTCGGTTACACTCGGTTATTGCAAGTCTTGTCTCTACCCGCTCAGTCGTTGTGCAGCGGATGCAGATCCGCCAGTTTGTCTGAAAATCAGTTTGAAAATCAGTTTGAACTAATCCCATATACAGTAAAGAGCAGCGCGTTGTGAAGAAGAAGAAGAGAGAAAAAAAAGGGAAAAAAAACCTTGTTACACACTGACGCTTCGGTATCTATCTGTTATATCCTTGTTCTTTTCTTTCTTCCTATTTTGGTCAGGTTGCTTTGAAAGGCCTTGTTAGATCCGAGTTTGCGATCTCCCATTTTATTTCAATTTTGGTCATGACCGTATTTGATATTCTTGAACCATAATTACCATGCGCCCAACCGCCTTAACATGGTTTCCAGGGTCCATCTTGCAGCACCAAACCCCCACCGTCCTGGTGGGGAGGGAAAACTGGCGCTGACGGGGTGCTTGTGCTGAATCATGGTAAGATGCGACTACACTAGACGTCCGGATATTGCATGATCTCAATAGTGTGGGCCGACTCAACTAACCTAGCAGCTCGGGAAGAGAACGCTACCATACAGTAGGCGCTCTATCACCTTCACCGCATAAGTTGATAGGGCTGGTCAACATAATCATCAGTCACGACCAGTTCAGCGATCATTGTTTACTTGCACCCTGAGATACTCTATTGTAGCAGCATGCGACCATGATCAATTGATCCAGTCGGCTGCATAGTGGTTTGCATGCCCATCGCGGTTTGGCATCACAAACGACATGGTCAGAGTGACTAATTAGGCACGCTTTGACACATTTATCTCCACGTAGGGAACTCACGATATCAGTCTTTTCGGGCCTATCCCCGCGTCACCACAATTAATCTCATGATGTTGCAGCCCAACACCTAGTTGTTTTGAACAACGAGTTCAACCCAGGCAGCCAGGTAACCAGGGTGGAAGCACCTGCTCAACACACTGGTGGTTCGAACAAAGCCGCATACTATTTTACTCAGTCTATCGATATCGTGCATTGTCATCGTTATCTATGTGGGAAGTCGATAAGTTTAGCCCTTTATTGACGTTTAGTGCAACTGGCTCAATAGGTCTTTTGTCAGTTTCGGTGAGGAAATGATTCATCTATTGCGGGCTCTTGGCTGAAGCTGCTCGAGGTCTGCCACCTGTTCCGTCTTAAGCGATACTGTCTGCTGCCATACTTGCATCTTGGCCATGTTGGCGTCTGGCATGAAGCGCCGGTGCAACAGGATTTACGTACCTCATTCGGTCCTGCTTTTATTGGGCGCAGAAGCAAGTCCGTAGATTGGCGTAACGCCGGGAGTTTCTTATCGATATACATGCTGGGGTTCACCAGACTTGGTATGCTGCTGCCAGTCTATGGCAGGCTGCATTCGGCCAGATTAAGGCCTAGTCCTTCCATAACAGCCTTCAAACTGACCTCAAATATTTTTGAAGATGTGGCACATTTAAAAAAGTCCGATTAAAGTTCGTACGTACGACAGTGACTATGTAAAGTCGGTCGTGGTCCGCTTGGCGGAAACAATTTGCGGCCTTTCATGCGTCTTTGACTTGTTGTGGTGTCATTGCCTGAGAGCTATCTAAAAAGCATTCAGGTCACGCCAACGGATGCAAGGTGATAGTGTAACTAAGCATGGCTCCATGCTTGACCGTGACGCGCAATTATACGCTTGACTAGATATTGGTCCGTACCCCAAACTCTCGTAAGGAAGCATTCGATCTGCAATGCTAGCTGGATGCAAATCCGAAACATGATATACACTTACACGTGTTCGGAGGTACTAGTCTCCATGGTCGCGATATATGAAGCTGACTCGGCGGATGAAAAGCGGCAACGCTGAAGTCTACAGCCTAAGAGCTGAAGTAGGCGTTCACGTAGCGGCCATGTAAGTGACCCCTGATCTGAACTGCACACGGCATTTGTTACAAATAGTAGTTGAAGTTTTTCTGTTGAGGAAGGCACGAGCAACGACTCCTCTGAGAGTGTTCAGGTTGTTATTACCCCAACCAGGCTGGTAGCTGAATCATACATTAGAGGTATGGGTCGCAGCAAGAATGGAGGCTATGGAAACACCTTCAAGGACAATATATGTTTGTTTGTAAGGATCTCTGCATGCCTTTGGTACGCAACTTTGGCTTCACATAATGCCGTGGAACTCTGCTTAATTGTCGGCAGTAAACGACAGGATAACTTCTTGTGATTGTTCGCGTATGTGCTAGCTCTTCTAGGGGCCTCTTGGGGGCCAAGGGGGCCTCGCCTTATCTCTCGATCGTAGTCCTATCGCGCTTCGTAGCCTTGCCGCTGTCTGCAGGTGATAGTAGTCTGCTAGAACCCTACGTTTGCTGCAGCTATAGTAACTATCCCCTTGATGTTGCCACTACCGGTTAAACGAATACGCTAGTATCCCATTGGTTACGGAATGGTTACCACTTGGTAGCCCGGAGAATCGGCAATTATCTCCGAATGTGGAGTTTTTTATGGCGAATGACCAGCTGAAGATTGGATAGTACATATTTTCGTGTTCAAGATTCGGCGGTGCGTTTGGTCATCGCACAGGTTCCTCTATAAGATTAGTAATACTTCCTCAAGGCTGTAATTGCGCTACGCTTTGGCTGTTGAAATTCTCCATTTTCTAATGAAACGGCCAATAGGGTGGTGTGGCAATGGTCATTCTTAATAGTCTATAGTTAAATTGAAATTGGTGTTCTCGATACTATGTGATACAGGAAGTAGAGATAATGAATACCACTAAGCCTGATCAAGGTATGGCCGTGGTGGCTTGTGTGTGGCTGATACTACAGTACGCAGATTTTTGTTGAGTGGTAACCATCCTGTAATCAATGGAATAGTTGGGCGTCGGCCCAGAATGTGGTTCTCACAAACTTCTATAGGGCTGTTTGGATGATGCATGCTCGGCAGCCATGGAAAATGTGCATAGGCAGGGCCTCTTCTCAAAAGACTTCACCAAAGACTGGTCTATTGTAAACAGAATCGTCCAAAAACTCAAAAACATGCAGCACGTGGGATTCACCGGTGGTCACCCACCTGAGTACTAATACAGAGCTTATAAGACCAATCACTAGGGTAAGCGGACCCGATATTGAAAAATTAGGACTCCAAAAGCGGAGTCCTTGTATCTACCCCAGCCTGGAGGATCGCTTGGCAAAAACCAAACGGTTTCAAAACGTTAGATCTGAAGCCATCTTAACTTGCGCTTTTATCTTTCCACATTTTTCTCTGGCATACGGTTTCCATTTGTAACTCGACTACGCTGGCCCTCAAGCGCTTAGAATAGCAGAATCCTATCTACTTGCGGCCAATCGCATCAAACTTCGCAAAAGAACCTCGCAAATCTCAGCTGTAGCAAGGGTCGCTCAGAATGTCACTTCGCATTCAGCACAAAGATTAACATTAGAGATATAGTAATAGGGACAGGAATGGGAAGATAGTTGTAATATCTTATTTATCACTCGATTGTTAATCTGGAATGAGGAACTACTGTCCCAAATAAAAAATCGCAACACTCGTTCTTCTCTCCGTTGTTCCCTTTTCCATGGTTGATGTTGACGTGGAGCGCGACCTTCCAGCTTCCACGATTGTCGACTGGGACACACTGAAATCTGTTCTGTTCTGTGGCTCGGTTGATATGCCACTTGATCACACTGCTGACACAGGATTGAGGTGCGACAGTGCTTGCCGAAGAAAGTGCAGTGGCCTGGATGACAATGCTGTAATCATGCGTTTGACGCTTGGACGAGGGGCCTCTACGACTGGACGCCGTCTCGCTCACATCCAAGGACGCTTCGGTGCCCTGGTAGTGGAGGATCCCAGTGGATTCTTCAAAACGTAGTTGTTGAGAATTGACATGCCGGCATCGGCATTTGTAGAAGATCGAGTATTTACACTGCTTGCTCCCAGATATATACTGACAGGAACCGAGAATTTGAACTGCTTGCCGTTAGTTGCAACAAAGATTGTTTCCATCTTTCATCTGTCGAAGACTGCGAGCTGTGATGATGACATGGGCAGTGGCATCGGTCCATTTGATAAGCACGTCAGGAGCGTACCAGATGGCAAGTGCTCCACCAGTGGCCCACCATGCTTCTCTGCTTGGCATATTGGCGCAAAGAATCGATGCATAGCCAGTCAAAGCTGCACATGTATCGTCTTGTTTACTGAGTCCGATGTTGACCGGTGTATTCGCACTCACTGTTGTGGCTTCCATCTCCGCATCCTCCTTGGCAATGGCCTCCTAGTCGTGTGTCTCTAACTCCACAATATCTTCCCAGGTGCTGTTGACATCTAGCCCAAGCTCTTGGTAGAAACTGTTGAGATCTGGTAAGATTCCCAGGTCAAGCGCCGTCTCCGAGCGCTTATGTACTGGAAGCCAGGCCGAAGCTGGCAGTACCGCCGAAGCAGCGAGTACAAAGGCCGCGAAGCTGGGCTTATACATTGTGGAATTATATTGGTATGCAATGGCTTTTGTAATGAAGAAAGGAGCACTCGGAGATGGAATGCTGACGATGAAAAAATAGCAAATCTCGTCCTGGCATCCTTTGCCTTATATATACGAGCACCTCGAGATCATTACCTGGTCTCAATCGCCGTTCTCCTGATAACCATAACTAAATATGGCGATATTGCAGTGACCCGCAAATATTGAGCGTGTATGAAGCCATACCATATGATCTTCCCATGTTGGTGTGCTAAAGGCATTACATCCTTCTGGAGACATGTATTCATATCATCTAAAAAAAATTAACTGATATTCGATCGGACCGATTGAGCATCATATCTCATTAGTGCTTCTCCATTATCTGCTCGTATTGACAGTATTACATTTATGAAAATGGGAGAGTTATGCACTTTTGACCAATTACTCAAGGCGCATCAACAAACTTCATTAGACTAGATTTGCAATAGTTTCTTTAGGTGACCTATTTTCCCCACATCACGCAGTCGGCAGCCCATGCCGAATTTTTCAGCAAAGGTACAACATGGCTAATAATCGTATTTATCGGGTGTGGTCCTGTCGATAAAAGTGGCGAGCATAGAAGCGTGCATAAGCGTTACATGCCCATATCAGGAAATCCGGCCCATACCATAAGAATAGACCTGCAGCTATGGCCCAATAGAACTCACAAGCAAAACCATGTAATACATCGCAACGCTAAATTGAAGTTGTATTAGCTCACATCTAGTGTTGATGCTAAATAAGCATTACGGTTAAGAACTCGCGTAGGAGAGAAAAGTTAAAAGTACTGAAAGGGCTGTGCCGTTAGTTATTCTGTAGTGCTCACATTTTGTTCTCTGTTGCATCTTAGGAATTTCATATACCGTTACAACACATATTTGCAGTTGTTGAATAAATGGTACGCCTAATTCCTAGCACGCAAGTGTACCGTGTATTGTCATCTATAGACGCTCTTGCATGTATCCATGCAGCAGGCCGATGGCTCACTGAACCAGCCAAACATCTTGAAGATTCAATCACATATTGCTTTACCAAATGAGATTTCATGACAACAACTTATAGGTGACCATGATTGGCTTGAGTCTGTGCCTGAGAGAAATCTCGTATAAATAGTTTGACTTCCGGGGTTGAACGCTCTTTGAATGCAGAGACGACGAGGAACCTTGCAAAGACGATCGGGACTTTCTCTAAAGCCATTATCTAGATATATAGATGCATATAAGATATGGTGTAGACCAAGGCTTTGCAGGTGACATTGAAGTAGCGTGGCCTGTGGAGTACACTACCAAGCTGAGGCTTGATATTGAGATCCTAGGTTTGGGGAAAATACAGAGAAACTGATGCATGACTACCAAGGAGCAAGACATTGACCACATAGCTAAGGCGCGAAAATGGATTTATGCGCTGGTTTTGGGTTTCAATCCAATGCATTGAATAGCGTGTTGACAAGGCAGTTGGAGCTTTTGTTGATTTCAAAATGACTGATTCCCGAGAGTAGAACAGCTAATCGGTTAAAGTAATCGAATGTCAGACCAAACACACGGGCTGGTGCGATAGCAAACTCATACTTGTAAGACAGCAAGCAACCTGTGGTGATACATACAGGCTGATAATTTGGCGAAAATTGATGTAATAAAAATTCATTACTGCCTTGCGTCAAAATGAGCTAGAGATAGTCACCGTTAAGAACGCCCAGGGTCACGACGCTACGGGGCCCATGAGCGCTTGCACTTACATCAAGTAGGTAACAAGGTAGAATTTAGCCGAGACCAGCGTTGCACAGGTGCTCGCGGCTGGTAAGTATAAATCTGGCGCCTCCGTTCGTCGGTTACAAATATGCTTAATGATAACCTTTTTTTCTTAAATCGAATCAAGCCGTAACCCGGCCGATCATCCGTGATCCTTGTTACCGCAGGACGCTTTGTATACCCAATCGGTAAGAGAACCAAAGCACATCATTAATACATACGAACCCAAGTGGTTCGGAATTATTGTAAGAGTCAATGGCTAACGCCCGATCAGGCAATTGATAGCAATTCATTTCTTTTTATTGTATGGTTCTCACAGTCATGAATGCGGTGTTTAGCGGTAGATGTTGTGATAGCCCAACTGGCTATTGGGCTATCGTTTGCTTTAACGTGCCGACTCACGAGTTGTTCGCTTATTCGCTTGTTCGTATTAGCACCTCAACTAATAATATGGGGTTCAATCCAATAATGGAGGCCTATATGGATGTCATGGCCCGAGATAGATGACCTTCCGTTCGGCAATTGTCTTACCTGCATTTAACTAGATTTTGGCGAAGGCACTTGATCCTGGTACAACTAGCTGACTTTTAACAGCTGTTGGATGTCACATATTGACTATCTGAAGTTGATAATGCAATATGGTCTTAACGCAAGTTTGTGAAATATGGTGACAGAAAGTTTCATACTTGTGATAACTAAAAACTGCTTACAAGTTACCAGGATTTCATACAATAGAACGGCGTCCTTCATCTCGGGTATGGATAATCTGGATACAGCTAATCTCTCAGTAAGTGCTCCGAGTCAATATATTGATTGAGGCACATCAAAGGACTTCCAAGGCATGAGTAAATATGCTGTTCGACCAATAATCGAATTGGGCGACTAGAGAGACCACAAGTATCATTGCAACAGCCTCTTAGATACTCGCCAAATATAGTGGAATTGGACACCATCCCCCAATTCAGGCATTGTACTACACATGGAGTTTTTCAATAACGAACTTACCTTGGAATGGATGAAGAACATTCGCTACTCAAGGGAATCCTGGACGAGTGTTTAAAAACTTTTCTCAACGGCGGGACGAGCCACGGGTCTGTCACGGCGCTACCTGTATCAGCCAGAAGTTTATTTGGATCGCAGATTGTCAAATGCAGAACATTCCATACATTTACAAAAAAAGTTGCCCAGCAATCCCTTCAATGGCTTGGGTCTGGATCTATCGGCAAACTCTACAAAACCGTCGACTCTGCTTGACTCCAATTTCATTATAGAAATCCGGCGGTACAGCAATATTATACTAACAGATCTAAGGTTCATCACCGGCGCCGTATATATAGTTTCCGCCTCCAAACTTTGACGCCAGACCTTGATTACCATGATATGGACTGTGTGAATGTATTGCAGTATTAACATCTGGCCGCAATTCTTTGAGGTCTAAAGTCACACGCTGCCAGCCGCCTCTTTCGTTGATTTGTGGTTGTAGAAAGGTTTCGCGCCCGAGCACTCCTCCAATGACAAAGGCAGGCTTATGGAGGTCTAAGTGCTATGGTGAGTTTGTGTAACGCGATCCACCTGTTTCTCGGTGCATACTCGACATTGTGTAAATCTCGAGCCATCAATCTTCGTGCTTCCAATTCCTTTCAGTTCAATGCATTGAGAAGCATAGACCGGCCAGGGATACCAGTTGACGAGACTTGAGGCGATACTTGGCGGCATTGCATGGATGATTAATCACCGCCGCTGGAATTCTCAAGGTAGCAGCGCTGTAATCCGCAATGTTACCTACGCCCATTTCCAATGTTTTGGCAGCTGAGCATATTGTTCAGGTTCCAAGCCTTATCAGACGATGCGAAGCAACGCAACCACGTTCGGTGGCAGAGACAGACCAATTAAATTCGATTTTGCAAGACGTCGCCGGGTCCGACAAGCTTTCTGCCCTCTTCTCCGGGCATGCATCTTCGTGCTCAAAAGGAATGCCTCGGTGACACTTTTAGCGGGTCCACCACCAATTTGTATAGGCTGAAACCAGGACAAGCCATTCATGAGCCCATTTTGCCCTGTCCGAAACTAGCGACTTGAAACTCACGCCCCTCGACATCAGCCCATCATGAGCTGAGATAAGCCAAAATTAGGTATGAGGCAGCGACTATTGAGGAATACACGAAACGTCATGACGCGCCTTGGTCTCTGGGACAGTTGATGGACTTAAAGCTCCCAGCGCCAAAGACTTTGCAGTCAGACCATCATGCCTCGACATTACTTAACCGTGTGCAGATCCCACCACTTTTCCCAGAGACTCGGGTAAACCTGTTCGTCAATGCCTTTCGACTATAATCCGGTTAATATCTACACACAATACTGCCACAATGCCTGCCATAGATCCGCAGCTCATCGGTCGAGGCCTAAATGAGATCACCCACCAACTAGCGAGAAGGGGTGTAGATCACAGTGTACTGGAGGTCTTGGCTGTCGGTATGTAATTCTATGGCACATCTCATGTGTGTGTGAACTGACATCGGTGGATAGCGGCGACATGCATTTTCGGCGTCGGGGGTTATATATTCTGGGCCATGCGCCAGAAGTGAACTGTCAACACTACATATATCACGCTGTCCAAAGAGATACGACGCACCGGCGCCCGGTCCGAACACGACAAGTTTATCTGTCAGTGTTCGAAAGACACATGTCCCTGATTACTAGACCTTGATAAGGCTATGCAATTGCGATAGACACGATTGAGCCGTGTCTTCTGTGGAACTACAGCGAATCTCGTTTTTTTGATTGGGATTAAATCTCGCAGGGCGAGTTTCATTATGCCCACAATCAGTCCATATACACTCCCGAAGTTCGCACGTGTGCATGGCACAGCTACATGTGTTCGAGTAGTTTCACCAGCGCACTGATGGTTGTATAACAGAGTGGTTGTAGGAAATCTGTATTATCGGGCTGCAGGGGTCCGTGGAGCCGGAGGTATAGGGTCTCGAAGCGATGCTCCGCTTTTTTCAGGCAAGCCGGAAATGTATCATAAGGTGGCAGTCGAGAAGGAAGTGCTTCGGTAACGCCCAAGTCAGATGCGTGCAGATTAGCTCAGATGCACTCGACAACTGGGGTCTTGCATAGAAGATTTGACATAATAATTGAAACCTATAACCTCATTTTCCGTTGTTTGTTAGCAATGCTCGGCAGCTATAATCCGTTGCCGTCAAACTCCCAAAATGGTCCTGGATTGAGTAAACGGTCGAGGTCAGATTGCTGGACGGTCGATAGATCCCCCAAAAGGTCATCAAGCCAGGTCGTATCGTCCACTATCTGAGACGGGTTGGTTTGGCTCTCCATGCCTGATGTGACCGGATATTCGCGAAGAACATCACCCAGATTTGAAGCACACTTTTCATTCCACTTCTGGTGTATCGAAAGTAACAAGGAAGCGGTCCTCAAAGCTTCCTGGGTTGCATCGGTATTATATGTTTCAGCCACACTTCTGAGGCATCTCAATGCTCCCTTGAGCTGCGATGTGGAAGCCAGTGTGTCTATGGCAAGCAATACGCATATCACTTGGAAGGGGACATTGATCATATGGTGCCATGGTGACCGGGCGTCTACTATAGCCTGGGCAGCTTGGGTGCCTTTGGAGCTCAGTGAAAGTATCTGATCAAGAATTGGACCCGTGAAAGCCATGTTCAGTGACTGAAGGCGACGACAAAGGCAGAGCATCAGATTGCACTGAGCCAGAATCGATGGGTACAGCGTGTGAGTTCGCTGAAGAACCGCGGTCAAGGCTGCCTCTAGTTCGGACACATCCGATGCTCTCTCGGGGTCCAAAATCGAGGAATATGGCAAAAGCTCCAGTATTTCCACAGTATTGTCCCCGGGGGGTGCGGGCACGAATGTGTACGGCGTGTTGCCAAGAGTGATCCTCGAGCGCCCCATGTCAAAAGAAGCCCACGTGTTCAGATGTTGCGCAACTGCGACAAGCCTTTTGCGAATTTCCGGGTTGAGTTCATCCCTTGATGGGTGAAGGATAGATTCTTGGGCACGCTCATAGTGCAACCCGGCAGCCTCGACCATGTGCATCAAGATACAGCTTGCAAGCCAAGTCTTGTGAGGAGTATCAGTAAGCCTCAGATATGTCACTCGTAGGAGCCATGCTGTGATACTCATGGCAGATGGAAGATCGAAGGTCCTTGGCTCGAGGAGAGATCTCGCCGACTCCGCCAAATCTAGCTCTAATGGCTCTGGATGGACGTGTGTAAATAAGTACCCAAGAGCTGCTATGCCACACAAAACAGCGTCTTCCAAGTGCACAGAAGCCCGATTTGCCCACCTCATACGGATCTGTCTGTTGAGGTCTTGGCGATTGGTGAAACCGTAGATAGGATCAACCCTTTCGAAGTAGACATTGGCCAGATCTTGCATTTGGCCCTCGGAGATCATGTCGAAGATGGGACGCGACATTGGAGCATGCACGATAGAACGGGTACCAAGAAATGCGTTCCAGGCAAAGGCGTGCATGCGCGGGGCATTATTCGCGTCTATCCTCAGAGCAAGTCTTCTGAGAAACGCGGCACCGGAGTTTGCCTCTAGAGAGCGCAGGCGACTGGATAGAGTCTGCATCGAATGCGAGCTGTCGACCACGGGACTGATGGGACTCGGTTCAATGGGCGCCGACGGCAAGCCCACAGGCAGCTCGGTGGTCCTTCGGCTCCGGCGGCCGGGAGTCCTGGAAAAGATGCAGTCATACTCGAACCGTACGCATGTCCCACAGGGCTGTGCGCCATCGCACTTGCGTTTGAGTTCCCGGCATGTCTCGCATGCCCGTCTGGAACGCTTGCGGCCTTGAAACTCAGGCATCATTCAATATGGTGCCCGCCGCGCTGGTGGTGCTGAGTGACGACAAGTTGCGAATGAGAGCCTGCTGATTCGGAGAGGAGCGGTTAAAGCGGGAATCGCGGAAACAGCGCTAAGGGCGGCTCAAAAGGGAGAAGCGGCAGCGACCAAGAGGCAACTTAGCTTTTCCGGGAGGCGGGATTAGTGCACAAAGTCATTTGTATATAGTATGCCGTATCTACAATTGATTGCGTTTGATCTTAATGAAAATACGGACGATGCCGATTGCAACACTTGATGTGTTCGTCATCCGCTCGACGACAAGGTCCCCGGCAATTATTGGCAGACTCCAGAACTTATCTCGAGATGCAGCAGACACAGCCAAGGAGAGCCGACCTGGAGTCTAACACTAGCCTCCAATACGACTCGTTCCAGTCGATAGACAGAAAACCGGAGAGCAATGCCGGTCACGGCGACGAACCACCCGATGGAGGACGGGTTGCGTGGACGCAGGTCCTACTTTTGCACATTGTATTCTTCAATACTTGGGGTGTCGCGAACGGTTATGGCGTTTTCCAGAGCTATTATACTAGTGTTCTTGGTCAATCGGGATCCTCAGTCTCATGGATTGGAAGCATTCAGGTGTTTTTCTTGTTCTCCGTGGGCGTTATTGCAGGTCGCCTCACTGACGCCGGGCACTTCAGACTCACATTCACCGCTGGCGTCCTCCTCCAGCTAGTAGGGATCTTCATGACGTCCCTTGGTACTGAATATTGGCAGATATTCCTCTCGCAGGCTGTATGTTTGGGCATCGGAAACGGGTTGACTTTCGTTCCCGCGCTTTCTGTTGTCTCGCAATACTTCAAGCGGAACAGGGCGCTCGCCGTAGGTCTGGCCGCTGCTGGTGCTGCAGTTGGTGGGCTTGTGTACCCAGTTATGATCAACCAGCTGATCTTCCACGACAAATTTGGATTTCCTTGGACGATAAGAGTAATGGGCTTCATTATGCTTGCCACGTATATGCCCTGCATCATATTGTTCAAACCGCGACATCCTCCCCGCAAAACTGGCCCCTGGATCGACACGTCCGCTTTTAAAGAACTCCCCTTTATCTTTTTTACAATCAGCATGTTCCTGAATTTTTGGGGACTGTACTTTGCTTTCTTTTATTTGGGAACATACGCGCGGGACCAGATTGGGCTTGCTGAGCCGATCAACCTACTGCTGGTTCTGAACGGCATTGGTGTTGTTGGCCGAATTCTTCCCAACTTTATAGCTGACAGGTGGACTGGCTTACTCAATCTACTGATCCCACTGAGTTTCGCCGCAGGAGTGTTAGTTTTTGGATGGATCGCGGTTGAGTCCGAAGCCGGACTCTACATCTTTGCTGCCATCTACGGGCTCATCGCAGCGGCCCTACAAGCTTTGTTTCCCACCGTCGCGACCACCATGACACCGGAACCCAACAGGACCGGAACTCGGGTTGGCATGATTCTTAGTTTTGTTAGTTTGGCAAACTTGAGTGGTCCAGCTATCTGCGGAGCATTGATCCAGGCCAATGGGGGCAGCTACATCGGCGCCCAAATCTTTGCGGGTTCTTCCATCATGCTGGGAGCATTGATGGCCGTTGCAGCAAGAGTTGCGAAGGGTGGCCGATCAATATTGACGAAAATGTAGCCAGATATATCCATCATGATCATCTGTCTGCGAATACTTCGTAGTCAATCACTTGCAGAATCACACCCGTCCTTGTGGCGCTGGCCCTCGCTGCCAGCCTAAACGCAATGGTCGAAGATGAAAGCCAGTCATCTGGCAGCTGCATTGCATGTATAATGGTACTTCAAGTATCAATAGAGCCTTGGTCCAATCACGTCCATGGTATTTTGATTATATAGATAAGATATATACAGTAGAAGTCCACAATTTCTTTCATTCGCTACAATGCTCAAACACAAGGGAATTAAGCACGAGCCTTGATGATATCACTAGCCTTCTCAGCCACTGCGTACATGGTTGCCTGGATGTGCGATCCGGGGACCATGGGCAAGATACTGGCATCGATGATGCTCAGCTTCTGAATGCCATAGAACAGCAGGTCCGAGCTCACACAGCCGCCAAGCTCCTTGGGCAACATGGGGCAGCTGGAGCTGGGATGACTGAAGCTAGGTCGCAGCCAGCCAACCTTGGTCAAGGCCGCCAAGGCAGCCTCTTCGGTGGTGGCAGCGACACCTGGCCACAGCTCCACAGGCTCGAGGTCGGCAACAGCAGAAGTGGCCTGTAGCTTACGGGTGTACTCGAGGGAGCGGAAGAGGATGGCCCGGTCGAAGGGGTTGGAGAGGGCGTTGTAGAATACTACTGGCTCGCCGTACACATCACTGGCGTTCAGGTGGATGGTACCACGGCTGAGAGGCTTCTCGACCGCATTGGGCATACCGCCGGCGCCAGAAATGGGGATCTCAACTGCGGCAACTGAACCATTTCCGTGTTGTGCGGCTAGGAGCTTCTTCTGGGCTTCGTAGCCAGCGAGGAGCTCAGGAGATGATGCATAGATATCGGGGAGGTAGGCTCCCTCGGTCTGGGCAAGAAGATCGGCGACCAAGGCATCACTATCATCGGCGATGACTGGAAGTGCCGGGAAAGCAATGTAGTTGGCTTGGGCTTTAGTAAGGGGGCCAGTGAGGTTGTTGTGGTACAGATCAACGGCTTCGTTCCAGAAGGTGGCATTGGAAGTTAGATCAGAGGCTGCGGGGAAAGTGGGATTGCCAACTATTATCACAGTATTAGTTTCCATACAACACAGCGTGTCAGTCGTCAAATGTTAGAGCACTCACGAGTCCATGTCCAGTAGGCAACAGCATGATCTTGGAAGTTGCTGCCAACGGCTGGGAAATCCAGCTTGGCCTCAATCCCGCTTGCCTCAAGAACCGACTTGGGTCCGATGCCACTCCACTGTAGTAGCTGCGGCGTGTAAATTGCTCCAGCAGCGAGGATAATCTCTTTCTTAGCCGTGAAAGTCACCGTATTATTGGTGGAGCGGTTGAGGGCCTTGACTCCAGATGCAACGAGGTCACCCTCGGGGCTATCCGAGAACACAATCTCCCGAACTTGATGTTTCTGGAGGAGTTTCAGGTTGGTGCGGTTCGAGACCTTGTCGTAGTATGCATAGAAAGCAGACGCACGAGTCATGGTTGTTGGGTCCAAAGCGGTTGGCACAAAGTATCGGCCACCGCCACTATGTCCTTCCGCGTGCTCCTCAACGAAAGGAATTGTGCCAAGCTCATCGAGGCCGTCAATGTACTTGTCTAAAGAGGGTCAGGTCAGTAGAAAGTTTGAAATAACCTTCCATATCCACTTACACAAATCGGGGTACTGGAACTCAGGATACGAGCTTTGAGCGTAAGCCTCGGTCGCATACGCCGAAGTGTTGTACGAGTACTCGTACAAAGCCTCGATCTCCGGCTTAGGCACCGTGAATTGGACGTCCTGGGATAGTATAAGCTTCGTCCACGCTTTTCGCAATCGCGAGACGTACCTTTCTGATGTAAGACGAGATGCTGTCCCATCCCCAGCCAGGGTTGCCAAGGGCCTCCCAGCCATCATAGTCTCCTGATGAGCCGTAGTTCCAAGCCATACCATTGACCTGGGAACCACCGCCAGGGACCTGGGAGACGCGGACGGCGAATGTTTGGTTGCCGGCTTGGGGCTCAGGGGCAGATATCAAAGAGCGCAAGGATGCCGTATTAAGTGTGGTACCGTAGTATGGGATCTTGGTGAGGTTACTACGATCCTCGGCACCATACTCCAAAACTAAGACGGAAACTAAATGTCCGGTACGTTAGTTACACGTGATTAAGAATAATGAATATCATCTTACCATCAGGATCTTCAGTCAGTCTGGTGGCAACGACAAGACCTGTGAGTCCACCGCCGACGATCACATAGTCGTACTGGCTCACTGTGCCGTTTGTGCTGGATTTCGTGCTGTATGAGCAACTTCCGTAACAAGATGAAACGAGGGTTGCCGATGCGAGGATCGCATCAAGTAGATGGGAGCGAACCATGACGGAGGGTGAGTATAACGAAGGACTTCGGTGGGGTAACTAATGACGAAATTTCTGCCAGAAAGCCTTCGCTTCAGAATATACCTCCACTACTAACGCTGGATTTGCCAAATGAATGATAGGACGGCTGAGATAGAACAACCTGATGTTGGATGCAAACTGCGCGACTCCTACAGCAGCAGATGCAAGTTTGCTCTGCAAGGTATCATCATTATGTATGCTGCAGGCGTCGACGTTTACCACGTGGGGATGGAGCATGGTTGATTTCTAATTGGTCGTTCCCTCAGTATCCTCACCGGCAGGCCGGGTACATGTCGCATAGTACGATAGCAGCGAGACCTCGCCTGGCAGACCCCCCCGCGCCGTCCATAAGTCGTTGCTACTAATCTCGCTTAATCCTTGTCAAGCGCGCCAAGAAGACGAAGTGGGTTGGGAGACTGTCGGTAGAGGCGCTATATTCTCCGACGCCTAGAGGGCGACGCAGGTGACTACCGACGTTTCTAAGCATTAGCATGAGTATCTCCTTCTCTGTGTTACGTAATAGTTCACTGTGCTGCTTCAGGGAATCACCAAACCCATCTGATTTTCAAAATTACTAAGAGTGCGGGAGCGCCCGACAAATTTTGATCGTGTCGTGGAGCTGGGCTTCCAAAACAAGCGCTGAGGGGGGACTCTACACAGGTTGCTAAGCCGGATCCATTCAATTTTTATCCTACAGCCAAGTATTGACGACTTCCTTCAACGCAATAGTTACAGTCAAACTGGGTCATAACAATGTCGTAGTCACGCACGGTCACTTCTGGCGGGCTTCTAGACAACATCCCAAGCACTTGTTCATTTGAAAAGGACCGCCTTCGAGTTTTAGTAAGAACATCCCACCCAGTCCTTCATACCCAGGCTTGACTGTAACTGATAACGGCCCGGTGCAACTACTTCGTGTAGTGGATCTTTTCGTAACGGCCCGGGGTACGATAAGCTGACTACCAGGTATGCAGTCCATCGTCGCTGGACTACCACTAGTTGACCCGTATTGTCATTTCGAGCGCAATATCCGTGGCAATCTACACCCAACTGTCAGGAGAACAGATGGGCTGATAAATATTAAAGAATAAAAAGGAAAACGCGAAAATACCCCACATCAATCGCTGGAATGGTGTCTCTAAACATGCATATGTTGTGGACCGCTACTGCGAGTGGCCAATATGTGCACTAATAAAAGCTTCAAGTATAACACCAATCGATTTCAAACCACCTTACGGCCAACAGTTCCCTCAATTAATCCGAAACTATTCAGCGAACTACTTCACAGGTCTTTAACGCGAGGCTCGACTAGCACGTTCTGCATAGAAAAACTTTTCCATCGAATCTGAATGGCAGCACTGACGAGGCCTTCCAGCTCTGACAATTGCCAAGTCTTCAGCGGAGGTCTCCGAATCTGCAGCGGACTAGGTATAGAGTGCTTAGACCGGGCTATCCCTGTTACTTTTCGACAGTCGGTAATGAAAAGAACACACGAAACCGGCCAATTGGTGCAGAAAAGCGGGTTTGTGGAGTGGTAACTGAATAGTGGTCACTAGTCAAACGGCTTTTTATATTTCCCTGTACGCCCACGCCTGTCATTAAGGTCATTAAAATATGATGCCTGCGTCTTCTTCAGCCTGCGGCTGGCCCTCGTGGCTTCTTTCCCCACCAGGCTGTCCTACCAAGCCTCTAGAAAAGAGTGATTTGATTGAACCCTGACTCAAACGGACCTTCTCCTGCATCGATGTTCTTTGCTGCTGCAGGCATCCCGATGAGATGCTCTCCACCACGCGATACAATAGCGTCTGGCTTAAAATTTTTGTCGCCTGATATCTCTGGAGAATCATCCAGACGTGCTCTAGTCCATGTCGATGATACGATGCATACCAGTGGGAAACGGGGCATTTCCCGGATATCGCTGTAAGAGCCTGTTGCCTCGGTCTGGCAACCCGGCGTGATCACCTTTCCAGGGGCTTGGGTGTTACAGAAAGAAATCAAACAACCTTGAACATGTGTGCGGTGCATCGTGGCCCGAAACTCTGGACAGGATTGGGAGGTATTCTCTTGGCTAGATCTATATCGTCGCGATCATCCCGTCACTTGACGGAATCCTAGAAATGATCGAGTTTTGCTTTCTGATGCCCACTATATTCCGTGGGTCACTCCACGTCTCTTTCGCTTTGGCAGCCGGATCTGCGTGATATTCCAAGCCAAGGCCATCCATCGACTGGCGCTCAAAATTGAGTAAGCTTATTCAGAACCAGCCGATCTGTCTCACTTCGATCTCTCTGTTTGAATCCATCATGGCAACAGTCGACACTGCCGCGTTAGTGGCCAGCCACCCCGATCATCAGGGAATGCTTCGTGGATGTGTTATCTTTCTCACATTGCTTGGCTTGTTTTTTGTTGGTTTGCGACTATGGGTACGATTCTTCAAGAAACGATCTCATGGGTGGGATGATTATTGGATCATTGCGGCAGCTGTACGTGGAATCTTTTCTAGAAGGGAATATCTATTTTACACAAAATTGGGCTAACACTTCTTTTTCAACATGCAGGCATCAAGCATCGTGTCGCTCTCGCTGAGTATGGCCATGACGTCGCATGGTTATGGAAATTCCAGTAAGAATTCTCAGAACCCATCTGCTACACTTCTAAAGAATGTATTTGGAACGTGTATCGCCTGTTATGGACGATCGTACCCTATCAATGGTGGTGGAATGCTAGTGGAAAATCACGAACCAGACCTTTGAAAACGTTTGCTGACACTGAATTCTGCAGTGTACACACTGTCAGCTTCTGACAGGATCAATGCTCTAAAATTCTCAAATTTCTCCATATTTGTGAACGGTTTCAACATGGCTTTCCTCAAGATCAGTATTGGGGCAGCCTTACTCCGTATAGGTCTCGGCAAAACCATGTATGTGATGATCTGGGTTGCCATCGTCCTGTCCATTTTATGCAACGCAATGGTCATCCCGGGGACTTTCTTCCAGTGCCGGCCGATGGAAGCGATCTGGAACAAAGGGCTACCAGTAGGATCATACACATGCTGGTCAAAATCATTCAGCGTTGTGGCTTCGTATATACAGACAGGTACGTTACAGTTACGGGGCTTCACCAGTTATTGTGCCTACAGGCAACACGGCTAACACGAAGTTTCCCCTATTGTTTAGCCGGCAACATTGTGACAGATTTGTTCTTCACCATTGGACCTCTCATCTACCTATCAAAAATCAAAGTATCGGTATACAACAAATGGGCTCTTCGCGGCGTCTTCGTGCTCGGCCTGTCTGCCTCGGCATGTGCGATCGCCAAGTGCTGGGAGTTGCCCAAGCTGGCAACGACTCAAGACCCAACATGTAAGCCTACTCTCGTTTTGTGAGATCCTTCGTTTTTACTATGAAAGCCCCCGGCTGACCAAAGATTTCGCCAAATTACAGGGGACGGAGTGAACCTGACCATCTGGGCGCGCGCCGAGTTCAACTCGGGCCTGATCGGCGCCTGCGCACCGTCGCTAAAGTCCATCTTCGAGCAATTCCTCCACGACGTCGTCGGCATCCGATCGCTCAAGAGCTCGACGCCGTCCGGGACGCCCGGATACGGCGGCTACGGGCCCGGCTCGTACAAATTGTCGCGGATGAGCCGGCACAACGGGCGCGCCCACGCCCAAAAGCTGCCTGGCGAGGAGGAAGAGGCCATGCCCAGCCACCACCGGGGCCACTTCGTCTCCGCCACTGGGGGCAAGACGGCCACGGATTCTGACAGCATCGAAGAAGAGGATCAGAAACACATACTGAAGAACTCACACGCACGGAGCGTGGATATAGAGTCGAATGGCAGCGATGGCGGGTATAGGAGCCCGAGTGGCGTTAGTGGCAATAACTGGATCACCAAAACGGTCGAGTACGGGGTTAAACCAGATTCCAGTTCTATCAACCATGCTTCTTGAGCGATTCAAAGCACTATAAGATAATGTAATTTTTCTCTCAAGCCGGTATCAATTTGGGGAAGCGATATATGGATATTTTCGGCGACGGGTTACGCCAGGTAATTTTCAATTGATCATTTCTTAATGACTAGCAATCCCTTGCACACTGGTAGCAATCCATGAGGTGTCATTCAGTTTTCGCGAACACTGAGGAGTTGCCGACTGTGTGACCATGCCATCGACCAATATGTTTCCGGACTGGTACTATTCAACCAATGGCCAAATTCTACGCCTCTCCTCTTGCTTAACTTTCCCATGGGAACACAATTCATTCTTGAATTGCCACCAATAACTAGGGAAGTTATAAACCGCCATATAGATGATATAGATCATGTAGTATTGTCTTCAATCATCTGCTCGCGCTTAGCCTCCAGCTTGCCGAAAACAGTTGGCGGTGTATGCCACAATCCCGACTGAAAACACTCTCGTGGGAGGAAACAGGGAAAGCCACACCAACGGTGTTCCATCATAGGGAGTCCCCGTTGTTAAGATCCTCACTGGGGATGCGTGCAAGCGCGTGTGCATTTCAGTCGCTCGTACACTTGGCTCCACGTCACGGGAACACTAGTGGCCTCCTTTGTGCTGCCGCAACGTGCGCCTCTCCTTTGTCGCAACTCGTGCAGTCCATAAACCCCGTGCAATGGGTCCCAGAAGTGCTCATCCCTCTGAACTGTGACAAGCATCAATGGATTTGCATCAGACAGGACCGGATAAGACTGGCGTCCTCGTAGCCATGGCCGGAGCTAAGCATCACATCATGACGCGAAGCCGGCACCACAGAGAAGTCATCAGCTGGGTTGAGTCGCGTCCACTTGCACGCGTTTTCCCACGCTGTGTTTCACACATGCATTGGCTTACGTAGAGTACATCCTATACTCGAACAAACCACACAACACCAGGGAGTCCACTTAATGGTCACCTACCCAACTACTGATCCGACACTTCTAGGATATAATTAATTCCCAGGAGCTCAAAGTGGAAAGTGCGACGCGCCGAAGACTTTTAGCCCGCCAAAACCAAGCAGTGCCGCCGTGCGACTACTCTAGCGCAAGCCTTTTTCAAAGGTCATAGGGTTATGCTTGCAAGGCAATATGTAAGCCGGCCCCACCGACCCATGCCGCTTCTCACTTCAAAGCCATCCCGATTTCCTCCGGGCGCAGACTCGCTTCAAGGCGCTATGAAAACAAACACATTGTTGAGATGGGATTCTGGCATTAGAACCGACGGGAAAGAAGATATCGAGGAGAGACAAACCCCGCTTTGAACATGAAGGTCACCTGCTAAGCATCACTTGATCGGTTTCAATTGAGTGTTCGATATATTATCAGTAGTTTGGTGCATTATGAACACATACGACCATGGCTCTTAGCAAACTCGGCATCACGGACTCTTGTCTATAGGGCAGCGGACGACCCGCCCTTTCGTGGGTGTAGTGCGCGCGGGCCTCCGTCTGTAATACGGTGTGCCGACCGTAGCGGAGCTTCAGTACAAAATAGGTGAGTAGGGTAGCAGATATCGGCCACCTCGGAAGATCGCCCCACCTTAAGCATCCATCGCTACCTCATACTCGACGGCGATAAATTGTGCTCATGGGGCTGGCCAAATTGGGTGACAGTGATGATAACCGCAGCGGCGGCGAAACTATTCATGGGGAGGACTTCACCCCGAGGCTTACACCGCTAGAACCGGAGTCCTTGGAAAGTTTACGTCTGTACCGCCGATAAGACAAGAAGACTGTATGGATAGGTGTGTTAGGAGGTTTTATCAATTCTGATGCTACCGAGCCCCAGGCTTGTTCAGCCAGATGACGCTGCGCTCCTGAGTCTGCACTTTGACGAGACTGGCTGGGAAAGTGAAATAATTGGGACAACCTAGGTTTTCAGATAACGGGATATTTCCTGTGAACTCGGATTGGTACAGTTGCAAGGTGTCCTTTCGAAGATCTTTTTGTTAAGCATGAAATTTTTTTTAAAAAAGAAAAGGTAAATCTATGGGAAAGATAATGAGAGAAAAGGGGAAAGGAGACAACTACCAAATGAAGCCAAGCCGGCCACCAATCAATCACACACCACTCTTCACTCCAGTACAACTAGCTTACACTGCATCTACCACTGTCACCCACTCAATCAGTCGCCGATTTGTTCTCGTTCCTTTTGGCTAAGAAGCGCGGCACAGCCTCATGGAGCCATCTTCCTGCCACTTCTCGCTGCCGACAGCCGTGTGGGCGTACAAGAGGGCCTCAGGGTCATACTTGTTCTTGACGGACAGGAGCTTCTGGTAGTTGGTGCCGTAGAACTCCTTCTGCCAGTTCTGCTGCTTCCAATTTGCCTCGTTGAGGTAGACGCCGCCACCGGGCGTGGCTGCGTCGATCATGGGCTGCAGCACGTTGGCTGCGTAGTCCTGACGGGCAGCCATCTGAGCGGGTGTGGCCTGTGGGTCCCAATTACCGGGAAACAAGCAGATGGCCAGGGCGTCACGCCACGCGGGCAGCACGGCGTTGCTTTGGTGCTGTTGCTTAGACACGTTGAGGGCCTGGCACGCCAGCGGCGAGTATCCCTGGGCCAGTGTCGTGTTGCGGATCGCCTGCATGACGCCGCCGATCTTGTTGGGGTCGACGAATAAGGCGCGCGGCAGGATGCGGCTGCCCGTGAACGGCGCGTAGTCAGCGAAACCCTCGGGCAGGGGGCCTAGGTAGTAACTGAAGTGCTCGTAGTAGCTGTTTGAGACGTGCGCGCTATATTGATACTCGATGCCGCGGCTCGTCAGGTCGTCGAGGAAGGGCTTCAACAGCTGTTCGATCTGGGCCTGGTCGGTGACGCCCGGCATGGTGATGCCCCACGACAGGAACACGTTATTAGTCAGCGTGTAAGTGTACGAGTTACCGGCGTCAACGAAGTTGGGGAGCAGGGCGTGGAAAGCAGTGACGGCCTCCCAGAATTTATCGTTGCCGACCTTGGAGTCGTCGAAGATGACCGAGGCGCCACCGAAGGACTGGTCAGGATGCAGTCGCGAGGTCATGGATAGCGCAACAGCGTAGGTACCCCCGCCGCCACCGCTCATAGCCCAGTAGAGATCAGAATTCTTCTCAGGGGTGGCCACCAAGTGCTTCCCGTCCATGGTCACCACCTCCCACTCCAATACATTGTCCGCCGCGAGACCATACAAGCTGGAAAGCATCGAGTGTCCACCGCCCTGACTGTAGCCTCCGGAGATACCGACCGTTGGGCAGGAGCCACCCACAATGCTGTGCCCTGCGGCATTGGCAGCAGCGTAAGCTTCGAACCCTTCAACGCCGGCTCCGAGCTTGATGGCCGGTCCGTTGTAGTAAGACTTATTGTAATTTGGAATGTACTCAGTCGACTTCAAATTGTGTGTCCAGAGCGAAAGTCCACCCTTGCCCGTAGACTTGCCGAGATAGCTGCAAATTTCGGGGTTAGCCCTTCATCTGCTGGTTTATCTCGATCTGATATTCAGGTCAACGGAGTGAAGATCTAAACTCACTCATGCCCAGTATTCTTGATCACAAGTCGAACATTTTTCTTCTTGGCAAAGGAAATGGCCTTCTGAACATCCGCAGCCTCGGTAACATTGACCACGTAGCTCACGAAGTTGCCAAGTTCGCAAGGCTGCGATTTTAGGGTAAAGGGGTCACATGTGTAATTGTTAAAGTACATGCTCAAGAACTCGGACGGCTGATTGATGCTATTATGATACGACATTAGTTCTAGACGACAAAATTCACTCGCGCTGAGTATCTGTATGAGACACATACTGGGATAATTTGGTCTCGTTCCACGTCGCCTGGACCGCGGCGCACGCTTCGGCATTGTATTTGTTGAAAGGCGCATCGTGGCAGACGCTGGCGAGTGGCACGGAAGCGATTAAACGCCCGTTGATGGTCTTGTTAAGGGTGTCCCATTCTTGCACCTTGGGCCATTGCGCATCGCCAGGAAGTACCCTGCAAGAGCTGGATGACGTGCTTGATATCAACTCTCGGGCATTTTGAGGAGCAACGACCATGGAAGCAGCCGTGGCCGCCAAGCCGAGGATGACAACTCCCCGGATAGACATTGTTGTGCTGTTGAGCGTTCTGAAACGACAAGGTTGGAATGGCTTGGTCGAGACGAGATGATGACTGTGAGGTGAGAGGAAGAGGAGGCTGCCTGATGTGCAGTCTGTGAGCAAAGAAAAGTTGTACAAGATGGTAAGATTCATCTGCATCTTTATATTTCTCGATTCTCATATGTCCATCTACTTTTCGAATTACCACGAACCACTTTCCGGCGTCGACATGGCATGATAGAGTGCATTGTGGCGGCGATAACAAAAGACTCGGTCTTTTCAAACCATCATGAAAGGTCGAACTGCGAGCTCATTCTTCTGCGTTTGCCTTGTTGGGAGTGTGTCAAGACATCTGATTGGCCCACCAGCGCTGAAGGATCAGCTCCGTTAACTACGCCTCACACTAGGAGCTGAACCCGGGATGTCGGAGCAGACTGAAAATTAATGACGGCCGACAATGTGCGCCCGCAGTCCAGCCCTCGAGAATGGCAATATCATAGACAGGCCGTGGTTGTCGTTGTCGTTCCAAGGCATCAATTGAATTGACAACATGGTGAGTATCTCGTAGGTGAGAACCGGACTGTATAGACCGCCTTGCTTACATATGCAAGGTAAAGAAGCTGAGTATATGAACTGCATTGAGTGTTACATAGTGCAATGCTAAGAAGTAGGTACTTTGCATGAAACATCTTGGCCTCCGACAAAATAGATGCCAATAGTGACTGCAGGACAGCGTTACAATCGTGGCCCCTGCCAGAGGCTTCAGATGCAACGCATGCAGGACAAGACGAAGAACCATGAAACCACGTGGAAAGTCCAAAATAGGTTGCCATGGCTCCAATCTGTCAATCGTCCGTCGGCTGGGTCGGTCGGTGGGTCGTTAGTACTGTGCATTGCGGCTTACCCCTCAACCCCTGTCGTAAACGCGGACATCTCGGTAAACTTTGACCGAGAAGGATTCCGGGGCCCTCGGGGACCAGCCCTCAGCCCTGGGGCCGCTCACAATTAGATAAACACCCGACGTGACGCCAATTGAAGATATGGCGTACTGAAAGCATGATGTTTCTTCTTACTAGAACTCGCAAATCTATGGGTTTCTGCGAGAGCACACCCCACAGATTATCGGTGGCATTACCTGGACATCACAACTGTCTCCCTCTAGTCATTGCGTAACATGTTCTCCGGCCATAACTGTTTTTGAAATCTCGCCCCTCGTGTCGAACCGCTAACATCTGGGTATTTCTACACCAGATTGAAGCTTTAGACTCGACACAATCCATTTGACAGAATCAGAACCACTAGATATCTGAACTTCAGTAAATATTGACTCGAATCTGGCATGAACCTCTTCTTGCTTCTTGGATCTATAGACCTTGTGTACATATCCCGTATAATCCCCCAAAACCTCTATTTTATCATAGTCCAACTACCTTATCTCCTATCAGAGCCGGCGCCGAGTACTTGCCTCCTCCTTACCCCTTCTCTACATGAGAAAATACAACCCGTTCTACGTATTCCGGATTTCGTTATCTCACTACTATGACACTGGGCGTCGTCGTCGCCTACCTGGCGAGTTATTTTGAATAAAGTTTCTTGTGCTAAAAAATCGGTCAGGGATCGCGTCATGAAATTACAAAACGGCAGTGAGAGTGAGTACGCACTGTCAAGAAAAGCGAAGTAGCTAGTCCGATGCCCGAGGCCGCCGCAGTGAGCGCAAAGACATTCGTGATAGCGATCCTGACTTGCTCTACCAGCGTGATCTGCACCTTCTCGCTCAGGCTGAGGAAGTAGACATTGCTAGTACCCGTGAGTATCTGTAGAGTTTCGCCCTGTCCAGCGTCAGGGAGGATTGCGGCGAGCCTCTGAAAGCCGATGTTCTGAAACAGGGTGCCCCCGATGGCGAGGATCGAGATCTGGCCCATGGATTGCCCTGTTATACATTACAGTCGAGCATCAGTTTCTTGTGCAACATAGCGACAGAATTGTGGTTATACAAAAACACAAAAGTTTAGATACATAGCTTACCAATGCTCATGAAGCCCACAGCGTTGTTGACCTCATTGGGCAGAACCATTGCCTGCACCACAGCAAAGCCAGCAGTGATGGAGGAGCCTACGCCCATACCAATCAAAGCGGTGTATCCATAAAGGGAAGACGTGGGAGTGCTTGCTTTTGATGTATCTGGCAGAAAATAATAGGTTAGGTGATGCACTTCGGTGTTATTGCCATGATTACTCACACATCAAGACTGAACCGGTCAGGGCCATGGCATTGCCAAATATGTACCAGGGCTTGTGGTAACCAAAGTATGGCATAGCGACCCCGTTGGCGATGGAGAAGAAGACGACCATTCCAATCAACGGGAGAAGGCGTACCCCAGCCTGCAACGCACCATCACCACGCGTGAACTGGAACAAGAGTGGGATATAATATATAGTCGTCATCATGATGCCGCCTGCCAGGAATATCTGGAGCTGCAAGATGTTGAGCTCGACCGAGCGCATAAAGTGCGACGGGTACAGCCTGTTCTCGGCTGAGATGAGCGGGTGCAGGATAGTGACGGCGACGAAGGCGATGAAGAGAACGCCCGTTACGGTCCAGAGGGCAATCATGCTGCCACTATCGAAGGCGTAGACGGAGCCGCCGAACGTAAGCGCCATAGTGTAGGCGACGGAACCGCCGCAAAAGACGATGATGGCGGCCCAGTCGGTGTTGCGCAGCTTCAGTGAGATGGGCATGTCGCCCACGAGCACGAGGCTCCGCATGCACAGTAGGAAGATGGGTGCGAGCGCCGCGGCGATAACGGGGTTAATGTAAAAGGCCCATCGCCAGGTCAGGTGGCTTTGGGCCAGGGCACCGCCGATAAGGGGGCCCAGCACAGAGCCTATGCCCCAAACGACGGCGACGCCTGACATGTAGAGGGGCCGCTCCCGCTCGCCCGTTATGAGCGAGATGTAGATCAAGCCGCCGCAGTAGATTCCCGCGCCGCCGACGCCGCTGATGGCGCGACCGACGATCATGGCCGTCATGTCGGGGGCGGCACCGCATAGAATACTGCCGATCTCGAAGATGGCGACCGAGGCGATGAAGAGCCATTTGACGTCGAACAGTCCGTTGGCTTTTCCCAGAGGTAGAATGGCGATGGTTCCGAGGGAGAAGGCCACGCCTATCCATGGCAGTTTGTCGATCTCATTATCGAAGGCGGCGAGCACCTGAGGTTGTACAACTGCAACCTAAAGCGAGTAAATACTAGTTCAAAGCCAGTAACAAGAGCTCAAATAGGACAAAGGTATTTTACTCACGATGGTGGCGTCAAGTGCAAACAGTAGTACCGATATGATGACGGCGAAGTAGGCGAGGAACCACTACACAGACCAGGCCAAAACAAATAAGTCCTGACTTTCTGCGTTTCTTTCAACCCTTTCCGGCCAAGAACTGATTACTTACATTGATGCCCTTTTTGGATGTCTTTTGCTCCAAAATACTTGATGGCAGGTCTGGGTTGGAAGAAGCTGCCGAAGATGCCAAGCTGTCGGGGTCTGATAGCTGCTTGGCCTTCTCTGCAGAAAAGGAAGATTTGAAATCAGAAGTCATCTTGGCGACCGGTGACTAAGTAAATTTCTACCAAGCGAAATATAATCGGGGGAATACATGGCAGAAAGTTTTAAAGCACATGCAGAAGAATAAAATAGGAAACTATAAAGAAAGCGCCTGATGTATGTATCGCTGGCTTTTGAAATCAAGCATTTTCACTCGGTGATGCGGAGAGCGAGCCACCGCGATTTTCTTCTCCGTCTCGTTCGCGGCCTTCTGCGGGGCCGCACCCCTGGTTCCGTTAATTGTGGGGTTAGCTGTATGATGGAATTACATTTTCTAATACACATTTTTCATTGATATAAATGACTATAAAAGTGCATCAGAGAGATCCAAAGGTTTCTTCATATCTGCATCAACAATAAACACCACTTCACATTATCATTGTCATCATCCGCCTAAATCTCTGTTCCCCAGTCACCTCTACAACTCAAAACTTCAATCTCTCAATTGGACTCTTCATCTGCCAGAACCTATCCTCCTTTACTGGATAATCTTTTGATCACTTCTTAGCCTCATCGTTACAATGGGCTCCATCTCCGCCGAGGAACCCGTAAATGGGCAGGTAAACGGAAAGACAACGGCAGTGGCTGGCCTCAAGAGTTTCCCTACCACCAGACCGGCCATTAGAATCAAGGTATTGAAAAAAGCCAAACCTACCCAGAGACTTTGTCTAACCAGCTCCATACTTGCAGTGCGGTCTCAGCGGCCAATTTCCGTGTGGATCCATCTACACCGGATCGACCTTGGTCGGCGTGGTACGTCGTCTCATCCCCCTCCGCCCCTGAACATTTGTCCTCCGTCCCTCAACACCCCCATACACTTCATTTCCTTCCTTTCCTCCATCCCTGTCATGAAGCATGGGTTTACCAAACAAAACAAAACACAGCCCCTCAGCTGGGGAACCCTCGAGTCGGTGGGCGACTTCGAGCCCAAGCTCAACCTCAAACTAACCAACGGCCACGATTGGTTCCGCATCGATGCCGACAAGCAGCACGGCCGCCTGAGCGTCTCGGCCATCGCTACGGACGAAGAGGGACGATCTATCCGCCTCATCGCCGACGGCGTCACAGAGCTCAACGAGTACACCATGCCACTGATTCTGGGCGACCCCAACGCCAAGACAAACCCTTTCGGCTACGGAGGTAAGTTTTGTCTATTTTTCTCCTCGACCAAAGATTTGACAAGAAATAGTCGAGCAGATGAGATTCGAGGCCGGTCACGACGTCTACAAGCCCCTTGAGAACATGATGTTCGCCTGCAGCCAGCGCTTCGCCAAGGACGACGAGACCGGTGCCCCCATGGCCGAGATCCGCGTCTCGCAAATAGTTCCGGGCTCCGGTTTTGAGTGAGGGGAAATTGAAGAGAAGAAGAAGATGAGCAAACGCTTTTCTCCTGCTTTCGAGAAGGGAGAGAGAGTGATGGATAGGCAGTACCAGATTATTGTTTTCTGTTTCTCTTCATTACTCGGTCAATCGGGTGGTAGGCTTTACAGGGCAATAGATGGACTTTGGTAGCTCAAAGAGTAATATATGATTGGAGTATATTAATAGGAGCTACTCGTTCAATGTGACATCAAGATGTGTCTTAGGTGCGCAGTGCAATAATCTCGCTCTCGCTGGTGAATACACCGGCTTTCCGTTTAATGCCTTAAAAGCTCGTGCAAGCCAGAATTTCTTAAGGTTTGCTCATTTATAAGGATTACTGGCTCCTTGACTTGTACTGTGCTGATTATCACTTAATCCTTATTTAAAATATTCCAAGACACAAGGGAACTTAGATTTAGGCTTCATCCTGTTCATGTAGGAGCGAAGAAATGGATAAGATAAGAGGCTTACAGAGTCAAGTCACACAAATTCATCTTAACTCCCTTGCATAAAAAAATGTACACAATTATACTCTTTAGTATAAACAAATTATTTGTATATATGTCTCTCTCCCTTGCTCTATATAACATATGGGCTTATTTGTTGGTAACATGGTGGGAAGCAGAAGAAAGAGGGGAAACAAATAGAAGAAGGGAGGAGAAGGAGGCCATTGTCTGCACTGACTATCCTAATTATATCTCCCACCTGCTAGCACTCGATTGCCAGATTGCCAGGACTTTGAACCTGACAATGGCAGCTTTACGGTGTCAGAACGATAAGGAGGAAAATGAACAGTCTAACCCTCAGTCTGATGCCGCCAGCCGTTCATCTGCTCCGCCTCAGCCACCTTCTCATCGGCTCTTTCCAGGAAGCCCGGGGCGATGTGTTCTGGGTCGATGAGGTCGCGCATGGAGCTAGAGAGGACGCGGATGGCGTTGACGTAAAGCGCGGCATCCCTGGGCCGCCCGCCGGCACCGCTGTGGTCGTTGTAGAGCAAGCGGAAGCACGTCTGTATGGTCGTGGTGATGGGCCAGATTAGGAACTGGTCAAGTTGGCGGAACATTTCTAGCTTGTTTCCCTTTAGCCGCAGGCCCATCTGTAAGGCCTCAACCGTGTCAGCCGCACAGGCCGCACATTTGGCCGTGGCCGCGGCCGTCAGCTCAGTTGGTAGCTGGTTCTGGCGGATCCTGGCCAGGGCGGCCTCCTGCAGGTTGATCTCAACCGTGTTTAGGTTGATGCGCAGCGTGAGGGACAGCGGGTCCTCGACTGCGTGCTTGGCGAGGTGTTGCACCATGATGCTGGTCCGGCACTTATGGATGGCCTTCTCGATGTCGTAGTGCGTCTCCCAGAATGCGTGCGTTAGCCCTTGCTGTGCCGACGACTGCACGTGTCCGAAGCAGCGCTGGTACAGGTAGATCATGACGTTTGTCGCCGCAAATGACGACAGCGGCGTCGTGGTCGCTGAAGTGAAGAGCTGCTCCAGCGGTGGCATCGTGTCGCTGGGGGTGCTGAAGTCCGGATACTCTCGGCAGCTGGGCAAGGGAACGGATATCTAGAGTCAGATTTGAATCAGCCCCGAACTCTTGATCCAGTCAAGTATATGCCTTACCTGTGTGTCAAAGGCAGAACTCGAGTTCGTCCTGACGCTGGCGAAAGAGTCGAATATGTACAGAACCCAAAATGTACGGCGCTTTTCCTCCGAGGACGGGGGTGTCTCGGGACCTGGCATCCTGCCTCGGAAACCCCACTGATCTGCCACCGGGGTGATGCCGGCTTTATCGATGCCCATAATCTTTGCCAGCCGGATTGCCCTGCCGAGTGTCATCCAGGCCCTAGCAAAGTTAGGCCTTTTAAATTCGTACAGAGTTAGCAGGACGCAAGCCTGAAGAGTGTTAATATTGGTCAGAGAACCGCCGCCCTCCTGCCTCTCGCACAATTCCAGGAGACTGCGCGCGTGCTCGTAGTAATAGTCAGCGTAGGGACGCAGTTCAGGCACCGAGAGCGTGCCCAGCACAGCGATGGCGTGGGACAAAACCTGCACTTCGATTGAGGGCGATGGCTCCGACATCTCGGCCTGAAACCGGGTCCGATTAATTATGGGCATGATGGGGTGGAAAACGTCAAAGAACCGATCATAACTTCACAGCTGTCTGTCAGTAAGACGGCCCCAATCAAACCATATATACGCATTCAGAGACGAGAGAGAACATACAAGCCTTGTACTAGACTAGGCGACAGGTTCAGCCCACCGCTACTGCTGGCGGACGACGGTGTCGTGTCAAATACCATAGGGTCGAAATCGAACCCCTGATTTGCGTCCGGGACAGACTGCGCCAGTACGAGGTCGTTTCCCATGGTGGGCGCAAATGTCTCGAAGTGGAAATCAGCACCACCGTCTTCCATGTTATTGAACCTTGTGTCATGAAAAACCATGTTAGCTACGCGGAGACGAATGATTACCAGGCATGGGAGTTTGGCCCTACCATTCTTCAGCTGACTCTGTGACCATGATTGTTTCAGAAAAAGGGTCATTGTTTTCAACTGGTTTTGGCGTCATTGACACGTTACTTGACACCTTTTCTGATAATGACGATGACCCCAGTGATGCTGCCGTCGCCATATCCTCATCTTTACCGAGGCTGGGTAAAAGAGAGCCGCCTGGCTGCCCCCCATCCTGCTTCGACGGGGGACTGAAGGCCAGCTGAGCCTCTGCTTGTTCTAGGATGGCACCATAGCATGTCAGCGAGAAATGGGGAAAGAGAAAGAGAAAGAGCACCGGTGATATAGTGTCATTATTCAAAGCCTTACGAAGGTCAGGAAGTACCCACCAAGTCGGCTATTCAACGTCAGGAGAAAATAAGACAGGTCCATCTTCTCAGGCGACGTCTTTTTGCGTGTAGAATAGGCGCACGCGATGTCCACCTTGGCGCATCTGCTACATGTTGGATACTCCTTGTTGCATTTTACTTTGCGGTGACGGCATTGGTCACAGGCAAGGCGTTTTGAGGCCGAATTCTTCGGCTCCGGGGCGGGAGGAGACCGAGTGTGGGTGGTAATAGGGGCGGTGGTGTTGTTTGGGTCCTCGTCTTGGTCCTCATAACTCTGAGTTGAGTCGGACGGCGGAGACCTCTGAAGCAGCCTGTAACTTTCCATTTGCGGTCGATTACAAATAGCAATATCGAGAAAGATCAGCAGACCGAAGATCGCGATCGACCGGTGGCAAACTAGCGGGGCGGCCCGGGGTATAGGTGTATGGAAGAATAGCTGACTTCTCTAGACAGTGGCTCACACGGCTAACGTGAGTCTGCTGGTCATGCGGCCCAAATTCATACGGTCAGCAACGATTATGAAATAGTGCCATGCAGCTGACATGCTGGTATGAGGCGTGGAAAATCACAGTGGGGTAAGCACCACGCTAATACAAATAAAATAATCGCAACGCAACCGAATGCATGGCAACTGAACTGATCGCGACGCCATTCAAAGCAGTCAAGACAGTACAAGACACCCAAAGCCCTGGCAGCGACTCGTGGGACAAGCTTTACACACGATTCAGAATGCAACCTACTTAGATATATTGTAAGCGAATGCATGCTTCAATCTTAGGTAGTGGGCGGCTGTTTGGATGCTGACGCTGAATAAGGTAGTACTGTCTGTTGGACATTGGTAACCAATCGCGTTGTACAACTACACAGGCGCAGGAATCAATCCATGCGCGCGCAAAGAGCACGGATACGTATCCGAGCCAATACCATCCAGGTTTTTGTGCTGCAGGTCCCATGTCATCATCAAAGGTCCTTGCTATATTGGAGCTGTCAGCAGCCTAGACCGCACAAATCTAGCAGTCCCCGCATATCCTTAGCCTAGGTGTGTGTGGATATGGAACTTTAATTAAATCTATACGCTTGGTCGCCCTCATGATTAATCCTTCTCTCTTCTAAGCACACTCAAGCGTTTCCCGTGGTGGCAAACCCAAGCGACTTAATAGACCACAGATGGCCCTTTTCTAAAGAAATACCGGTTGTGATGCTGTTCCCAGCAACGGCTGCCTTGGCATGTTCGTCAACAACTTCGTCTGAAGCCTGGACTGCCTTTGTACGCGAATCTGGCGTCCCCACCGGGATAGCTCCAGGCGACGGGCCGTCAGCTGCAGGCATCGTGAGCCTGTGCTTTTTCGCCATGGCCCTGCGAAACTCATTGGCTATTCCCCTGTACTCGCTTGGATACGCTGGCGTGAACAGACTGGTCAAGGAGAACTTTTTGCGGTCAGGGTTCACTCCAAGATCCCTGAGCAACGTGTCGATGTACTGCAGGAATGTCGTTAGTGCTTGTTCTAAGACCAAAATCATCCTTGCGGACCACCCCAGTCATCACTTACAGGAAGGAAGTCGTAAATAGCATATGCATGTTTCTTACCCTGTGCCACGTAACGTTTACGAGACCAGGCATTCCATTCCGCCACTTCCTGTTCCATCTTCTGCTGTGAGGGCAGGTCATGCAAGCCCATCAAGAACGCAACGCCCCATAAGGCCTGGACCTCGGATACCATGGGCGTATAGATTGTGTGGATGAATCCTGGGAAGAACACAGACCTGTCGCCCTTCGCAGCTAACGAGGGGACGATCAGCCTCCGATAATGACGACTGGGCCCATGCAGTAGCTTGCGGCCTCCAGCCGTCTCTTCTCTCTCGAATCTTTTGGATCGACCGAACGGAGAAACTCTGAGGGCTGGCAATAATTCATCCACCGTCTCCTCGGCCCTGGCATCGAGTTCTGCCCATTTGCCCTGCTCCGCTGGGTTGGGTAGAAATCCACATTCTTGCTGCAGCTGCTCGCTGAAGACCTGGAATGACTTGTCGAATCCTGTACAGAGAATCATGAAATCAGTCTGGTACCGTGTCTTGTCCTTGAGAGTAACAGTGTTGTTATCGCCAAGCGAGTCGATATCCGTTCTATGAACTGTGCAATTGCCAGCGTGGAAAGTCTTCCAGAAGAGGGGAACACTAGCAGCGCCTAGCCCAGCATTGGCCCAGTAGATCCTGATGATGAACCATTAGCCAAGAAGGCTTAACTTTGGAGCTTCAGGGTTTAAGATGAACGTACCCATTGCCTTCCGGCCCTGGTCTTAGCTTCTTGGCATTTTCCGACTTGGAGTATCCGGCATGCCTGTCAGCGATCCAGTTCACGATAATCCAGAACAGCCAAGCAATGAACTGTCCTAGGTATGTTCTCTGTATGAATTGGTGGCCGGCACCATCGGTGCTCATAATGCTAGATCCCATTAGGGCGACAAATCGGGTCGTCACAACATCCATCGTGTTAGCTATCCCGAGCAGCGTGGGTGGCATTATAGCCAGCGGACCAGACCCATCTTCCCGGATGATCCAGTCGACTTTCTTGCCTGCTTTTAACAGGAGAAATACTGTGTCGTAGGAAGATTTTGCTCCTCCCACGACAGTAGCCGACTTGATATTTTCAAGCGCCTTGAGATGTTTTCCTGTCTCTGCGGAGTGGATAATAGGCGAGTTGAAATTCACCTTTGGCCAAGTGGGAACGACAGGGTGCGACGTGGCTCCCGAAGCGTAAATGAGCTTGGTACATTCGACCGGGGCCTTTCCTGCAAGTTCAAGGCGCCATCCACCCCATGTGGTTCGAGAGACGTTGGTGACGGTAGTCTTCAGACGGATTCTTCGCATGAGATCAAAGTCCAAAGCAAAGTCGTTTAGGTATCGATGGATGGTGTCTCCCGAGATGTAGCCATCCTCGGTGATACCCTCATTCCGCATGGGATAGAAAGAGTATTCGAATAGGCCGTATTTAATCTGCGCATATAGTGATGGGTATATCTTCTCGGCGCTCCAGACTCCCCCGACGGTGACGTTCTCATCGATGATGACCAGGCTGGCAGACGGCCTGAAGTCTAGATATGTCTTGGCAGATATTAATCCATTCCAACCTATTTTGTCTGGTTTAGCATGTGCCGTCATAGGGCAGGACGGGTTGACAGATGTAAGAAAGATGCCCTCTTACCGGCGCCCACGACAACGACATCTACTCGTTCCATATGAGTCTCTAATGTTGATCCCATCGTGTTTGGTCGTGTTGTTTTGGCTTTGGAAAACGAACGTAGATGTTGCAGAATTCAAGTCGTAAGTTCAAAGCATATTGTTGAGATATTGTGTGCTCCTTTTGAGAACACAACCAAGACACTACTGAAACCACGAGCTGATCTCTGATCTACCATATGCGCGCGATGCATGACGGCGTGCGGCGCCGAAGAGTACCGGCGAAGGGCTTATCACGTCGGCCACGCTTTGTGCGACGTTAATAGTGCAGTGGTGTATGTACATGATAGTAGAGTTGGAACACATTTCGGCGACTCCACGGAGTATGGAATTGCATAATCCGTCTGACTGAAATATACAGGATTGTTTGCATTTCGCACATATGCTGAGGTAAGTGGTGAGATCTGCGTGGTGGCCGGGAGCCCAAATAAGGAATTCGCCGAGTGGTTGCGTCCCTCTGGCTCGGCAAAGGCGGTCCCGCATCGCCCGTATGGTAGCAGCACAATATGCTGACAGCTTTATATATGCGACGTTATTTTGAACCGCGGTTTTGATAAAAGTAACCTTTTCGAAACATCCGTCCGCAAAAATGGTCCTTTGTCGATTCTCGTGATTTTCGATTTCAGAACTTCTGTCTGCAACACCAGAAATGACTGTCACAAACCAAAACACAGCGGCTTTGGCGCTGCCTGATCCTTATTACATCTTCCGTGCCTTGACCGCTTTCGGCTTCTATACACAATGGATTGTTATGATCATGAATGGCTCCTTCGTCGCCATGGTTGTGACAAATTGGCATGGCGTCTTTCCAACTGGCACGCCGGTCAAAACGGCATGGACCGGCATTTGGCCTATTGACTTCGTCCTTGGCCTTCTGGTTGTTTTCTTTGGTGCCGTCAATAATGTGGCTGATTTGACCGATCTGGGCCCCTTTCTTATGCTGGTCGATCTCGTATTCACGCTCGTTGTCTTCAATATCATGACACTCGTGGAAGACCGTCGAAATAGAAAAACAGGACCCCTCCGCTTGTAAGTGACGGCTCCATCCATCAGGGAACCTTTAAAATTTTGGTTTGACTAACATTTTCCCCCAAAAAGCCCTGCAGGCTGGCAATTCCTTTGGAATTGGTGTGGTGCAGCTTCGGTTCTGCCTATCTACTCGCACTTGTATCTCAGCAAGCGGTCCGCCGAGACCCCGAGTATACCAGCACACCAGAGACAAGCGTTAGTTTTTACTGCTATTTGGAGTATAATCATATCTTTCCCTGTGCTTGTGCCATCCGTTCTCGGCGCCACTCCTTTTCAAGTTCAAGACGGGGTAGTCATGTGGTTTTTTGCGCCTCTCACACTGGGCATCTTTCAGGATCTGTTCGGTCTCCTCGTCTCTAAGACGTCGTATGGCGGGCTCAAGGACCCCATTAGCGTCGCATATAGCATCGTCGGTGCGTTCAGCGCCGTGGTGCACATCGGTGTAGCCGTGTCGCCTTATTTCTGCGGTCCAGAAGTGACATGGAGCAGGATTTACTGGCCCAACCACAGCGCACCTCAGCCCGGTAGTCCGTCATTCATGACAGAGGGCGCCATGCTTTTTATGCAATATGACCATGTCGTCATTTACCTCTGCGTTTTTGCCTTGGGAGCTTACATGCTCGGTTTCGACAAGATCACATCTGCAAGCTCGCTGTCCGGGAAAATGCAGGCCGGATATCCCATTCTTGTCCTTACAGCGATGACTGTCATTACTGGTCCAGGCGCTGGACTTGCTTGGCTACTTTGTCAGAAGGAGAAAGAGTTAAGGGCTTGTGAGGAGGTGGGAGATATGGTGGAGAAAGCATAGTGTGCACGTGAGCTGATTCATGCCAATCTGGAGTTTTGGATGAGTTCCTGAAGTTGTGAAGTGAAGCAAGGAATGCTCTATTTGTCAATGGGGAAGCCATTAGCACGGTACCAAGTGTTGAAGTATCGGGAAGTTGGTGGTTATCGAGGAAAGGGAGCCAGTCTTAATTCGTGTAGCAAAACCGACATGAAATGAAAGAAGCGCCACCAGGACCTTTCCCCCCTCCGTTCTTCTCGTGTCCACTCTCATGTCTCCAGGTTCCCATCGTCATCAAGGCTGGCGCCGGGTCAATGGGATTTGTTCCGACACTCTCACTGCCCGTGCTGTGAAAGGGGTTGCAATGGAATCTAGATTGACATGGTGTTGGTGTGCCTATGCGGGATTGCTTGGCATCGAACATGGCGAGTACGTAGCAGGTGGTTTGTGCCCCGGTGGTTATTTTCTTCTTCTTTTTCAAAGGTTTACGCAGTACTAAAGCGCTCTCTCAATTGGGTAATACACATATACAGTCGCTTGTCCTTAAAAAGTGGGCGAGACCCTGCAGATCACAAGCCCAACCTTGATTGAACCCTGCGTCTAATGATAGACGCTAGCCAAAGAATCTTCATTAGAGTAAAGCATCGACTGAAACCGCCTTGGAATCGTCAATGTAGCACGCCTTGAAGATAGAGTGTCTTGTGGCGTTGGGATAAGCAAACCTGAATTCGACTGAATCGGCTTTGTTGTATTCAGTTGGCGCAATTCGCCATTTCGCTCTTGCGAGAAGGATTGCAGAATGAATCTTCACCTCCGAGGGCGCCAGCACTAAGCTGCCTCTTCGTCTTTTAGCCCTCGTTTCGGGTAAGCTTCGCGGGCGGCTTCGACGAGTCCCATGGGTCGAGTTTTTGCCCGCCCATCCATTGCAGAAAGAGAACGCTCTGCAGCCTCTGCAAGCACGATGTACACGCCCTGCACTGTCTTCTGCGTACCACGGTACTGGTCGCACTGCCAGGTGGTCGCTCGGTGTCCGTCAGCCCCGCAGCGGACGCACACCTTCAACCCTAGGCCAGATGGGGTAAGTAAGACAAGACCCTGAAATGCTCTCCTTGTGTTGTTTTGCGTCTTCAACAAACCGATTCGATACCAACCCGTCCCATCGTCTCGGCGTCGTCCTCGTCTATGTATGCACGGAGATTTTGGTCATGGTTGGGTCTGTACCTCGGGGTTCTGTCGACGAGGTCTTCGCACCCTCGTATCCATCATGGCGGCATCGGGCTCAGCGGAAGGCACAGCAGTTCTCTATAAGGACAGTCGGCTCGCGTCTCTGTTGATGCTTTTCTCTCTTCGATACCACCATCACAACCACCAGTCAGCGACTCCATTCAATCAAGATTTATTCTTCACCATCCATCATGCCTGCCAACGTCAGAAGCTCTAGTTCCTCTTCGCAGTCCTCCTACGAAGAGATCTCAACCCCTGACACTGTCACATCTGGCCCTGCCTCTTCGGCCGGATCCGAAGACCATGAGTATCCTGCCATATCTTTCCCGGGGTATGCAGAGAAGCCCCTGGATGAACAACTGGAGCCTATCGCTGTGGTTGGAATGGGTGAGCCGCCGTTAAATTTCCGAGAGGAGAACATGAAAATAGATGCTAACAATGACAATGCAGGTTGTCGGCTACCTGGCGATGTCAAGTCGGCCTCTGAATTCTGGGATCTCATGATGAGTAAGGGCACTGGCAATACACCAAAGGTCCCTGCGTCCCGCTTCAATATTGACGCGCACATCCACAAGAACAACGATCGTCCTGGCAGCTTCGGCGTCTTGGGCGGGTACTTCTTACACGATGATCTTGCCGACTTTGACCCTGGTCTCTTTGGGATAACACCTGTTGAAGCCATGTGGATGGATCCTCAACAGCGGAAATTACTCGAGGTTGTTTACGAAGCACTCGAATCAGGTGGCATCCCCCTGGAAAAGATTGCCGGTACTCGTACTGCAGTCTTTGCTGCAAGCTTTACGGCAGACTGGCAACAGATGGCCTTCAAAGAGCACTCCTTTCGACATAGTTTGGCCGCTACGGGCGTTGATCCGGGTATTATCAGCAACCGTATCAGCCATGTCTTCAACCTCAACGGGCCCAGTATCATGTGCAATACGGCATGTTCCTCCTCTGTCTACGCGTTGCATAACGCTTGCAATGCCTTGCGGAATGGCGAGGCCGAAGGCGCTATCGTTGGTGGTGTCAATCTCATCATCACTGTTGATCAGCATATGAACACTGCCAAGCTTGGTGTCTTGTCGCCGACATCAACTTGCCATACTTTCGACGCCAGTGCTGACGGGTACGGTCGTGCTGACGCTGTCGGCGCTGTTTATTTGAAGCGTCTTTCAGATGCTGTACGCGATGGTGACCCGATTCGGGGTGTGATCCGTACCAGTGCGACGAACTCGAACGGCAAAGTACCCGCCGCCGGAATCACTCATCCTAATCGCGACGGTCAAGCCAATGTCATTGCTGCCGCTTATAAGCGCGGTGGTGATCTCGACCCTCGCCTGACAGGCTATTTTGAGTGCCACGGGACTGGTACCCCTGTCGGTGACCCATTGGAAGTGAATGCTGTGTCGATGGCTATGAATCCGAACCGCCAGACAGAAGATGACCCATTATGGATAGGTGCAGTCAAGACGAACATCGGGCACTCCGAGGCTGCGAGTGGCCTATCCGCACTGATCAAGGCGATAATGATCGTCGAACGCGGCATAATTCCAGCGACACGTGGTGTCGTGAATCCCAGCCCCGCGATCAAGTGGGAAGAATGGAAGGTCAAGGTACCTACCGAGGCAGTGCCCTTCCCCCGACTCCCAGTTCGTCGAGTCTCCATCAACAGTTTTGGCTACGGTGGAACAAATGCCCATATTGTTGTTGAAGGAACGGAGTCCATGACTAGGTATGCACCAGCATATGCATTTTTTGACAAATGGTTTTCGCAGCGCAGGTTCACCGGTCGTCGAAGAGCATTGGAACGCAAACGCCCCTTCCTGTTGCCATTCTCAGCCCATGACAAGGCGACTCTCCGCCGTAACATTGAAGCACATGGAAAGATTGCTCCCAAATACAATCTGCTTGACCTCTCCTACACTCTTGGGACCCGCCGCAGTAATCTGCAGAGCAAGGGATTCGCTGTTGCAAGCTACAGCAATCTCAGTAGCACCTTCGACAACGTCAGCGAAACCTTCAGGTTCGCTGACAAGAAGAAGACTCACTCTATCGGCTTTGTCTTCACTGGTCAAGGAGCTCAATGGGCTCGCATGGGTGCGGATTTGATGGCGTTCTCTCCTGAGTTCCTTCGCTCTATTCGGGCCCTCGATCTTGTTCTTGAAGAGCTTCACGATGGCCCGGAGTGGTCCATCGAGGATGTGCTTTTTGAGCATGCTGACACATCACCCATCAATGAAGCCGAGTTTTCACAACCCCTCTGCACTGCCGTCCAGATCGCCACGGTTCAGCTGTTGAACTCCTGGGGGGTTCGCCCTACTGTCACGGTCGGCCATTCTTCGGGCGAAATGGCAGCGGCGTACGCTGCTGGGTTGCTGTCTGCTGAAGATGCTATTGTTGCTGCCTATTACCGAGGCATTGTCGCCAAGGATGTGAATACTGATGGCGCCATGATGGCGGTCGGCCTTGGTGGTGCGGCGGTCGAGCCTTACCTTGCAGAAGTCCAGGGTAGGGTAGTTATTGCATGTTATAACTCTCCCGCGCTCGTCACTCTTTCTGGAGACTCTGATGCTCTCGATGAGGTCAAGATGAAACTCATTGCCGACGGAGTGTTTGCGCGTTCAGTCAAGACAAACGGGAAGGCCTACCACTCGCACCACATGGCTCCTGTATCGGTCAAGTACGAGGAGCTCGTTCGTGCTGCAAAGTCCCAACGCCAGGCCACTATACCACTAGCTACTTCGGCCAGAATGGTGTCTTCCGTCACTAACACCATTTTGCCCACGGGTATCACCCTTGACGAAACTTACTGGAGTGCCAATCTCCGCAGTCCGGTACTGTTCGACCAGGCCGTCCAACAAATTCTAAAGGCTGAAGAATTTGCGGATGTCGATCTCTTGATCGAAGTTGGTCCACACTCTGCAATGGCAGGACCGATCAAGCAGATTAAAGCCGAGCTAAAGGCCGAGAAAATCGAGTACCTGCCAACGCTACTCAGGGGCAACGATTGCGCGACACGACTGCTTGAAGTTGCTGGTGAGCTTTTTCTACGCAACTACCCACTTTACATGGAGAGGGTTGCGAGTTCCTATGCCAGTGAAATTAATGGCGCCGGAAAGATTGTCAAGGGGTCCACTATCGTCGATCTGCCCCCCTACCAGTGGAACTATACGCGACCATTCTGGGCTGAAACCCGCAGTAGTCAAGAACAGCGTCAACCTAAATTCCCTCGACATGATCTGCTCGGTCAGCGTGTTATTGGAGGCTCATTGGCAGAGCCAACCTGGCGCAACATCCTCCGCATACGCGACCTCCCTTGGCTCAAGCACCACCACCTCGGCGGCGAGTCAGTCTTTCCTGCTGCTGGCTATTTTGCCATGGCTATAGAGGCGATCCGACAGATTAACGAGCTCAGCGACTCACCTACTCTCATTCAGAGCTATGTGCTACGTGACGTATCCATCAAAACGGCGTTGGTAACACCAGATGATGATGATGGGATCGAGGTCTTGTTCAACTTGCGACCTTCGGTTCATGGAAGAGGCTGGTGGGATTGGAGTGTTTCGTCAATCGATGGTGAATGCGTCAAAAAAGACCATATGTCGGGCAGCATCAGCCTCAACGCAAGGCCCCGAGGCAAAGCTCCTCTTGAGATCCCGCAATTTCCGCAGAGAGCTTCTGGTAAAGCATGGAACCAGGCCTTGCGCGAAGTTGGATTCGATTACGGTACCACTTTCCAAGACATGGATGATATCCGGTTTGATGGAAAGCGCTACCAGGCCGCCTCCTTAACCAACATCAAGCAGGTAGTGGACGAGAACCTCGGCGAGTCCCGTTATGTTCTTCACCCAGCATCCATCGATTCAACTCTTCAGCTCTGTATTGCCGCTATCTATGCGGGTCGTACTAATGCCATGGAATGTGGTGTAGTGCCTGTGCAGGTTGATGAGGTCGCTATCTGGCCGCCTACAGAGCAGCAGCTACAGACCCGCAAGGCCAGCGCCTATGCTGTTGTGCACCGCCGCGGTCTGCGCACATCGCAAAGTAACGTGCAGATGGTAGCTGATGATGGCGAAATGATCATGGAGATTTCGAACATGCGCGCCACGGCCTACGAGGCAGCTGTTCCGCAAAAGGCCGAAAGCGCTCTTGAGGATGGGCCTTACGGCGAAATGAGCTGGGAGTTGGATGTGGATATACCAGAGAATAGAGATGGTCTCAGCGCTTCCGAACTGGTGAACCTGGCCTTGTTCAAGAATGCCGGCTCCAAGGTTGTGGAGCTGGGCATCGTAAATGCTGCAGCTGTTCTCAGCAAGAATCCCCGCGCATCATACACGATGGTGATTACCTCCGATGCCGACGAAGAAAAAGCTAAAGCGATTGGTGCCACCTTCCACAATGCGAAAGTTGTCAAACTCGATGCCGTTTCTGAGACTTTGAAGAAAGACTCGTATGACGTTCTCGTGGCTACTGGCGACGACCAAGCTCCGTCAGTGATCCTAGACCTGCTGAAATCCAACGCTTTCTCTGTCGGCGCCGGGGTTGTTATTGCCAAAGAGTCTGGACCGGTACCATCATCCGAGGCAAACTCGGTTCAACTGATCTACCGTAATAGCCAGACTAAAATTCTATCCAACGTCAGGACTGCGCTGGAGGCTTTGGCTTGGAAGGTCACCATTTCGAGCCTGACCGCTTCAGTCCACACTGAAATTGCGAAGCATGTAATCGTGCTAGCCGATTTTGAAGGCCCTCTGCTATTCTCCCTTCAAGAGGAAGAGTTCTCCGCAATTCAGAACATCATCGCCAAGACCTCGTCCCTCCTCTGGGTCAGCACTGGCGCTGTACTGGATGGAAAGAAGCCAGAGTACGCCATGGTTTCTGGCGTCGCCCGAGCCATCACATCCGAGCAAGCCTCAATAGATTTCCGCACCCTCGACGTCGACACTGAGAATGTCAATACTGCCCTCATTGTCAAGTCCATTGCTAGGGTCGCCACTCTACAGATACATAAGGCCGAGAAGCTTCCCGAGCGCGAATTCTGTGTTTCCAACAGCAAAACTTATATCAGCCGACTCACGCGCAACGATGGCCTCAATAAAATCTACACATCTGCAGACAAACCAGAATCCCACATTTTCATGCCCAGCGATCGGCTCGCCGGAAAAGTAGTGAAGGGGCACGTCATTTTCCAGCAGGCGCAAGCTTCTGACGCCAGTATCCTTCCAGGATACGTTGAGGTGCAGGTACAAAGCTCTGGTTTGACAAAGGAAGGCGTGCTTGCAATTACTGGTTCTGATTATGCGACCACCTTTAGCCATGAGATTGGTGGTGTCGTGAAGGCTGTCGGAGCTGGGGTTTCTGGCTTCAAGGTCGGCGATCGTGTTGTTGGATTTAGCGTTAGCCGATTCGACAGCTATCAGCATGTCCCAGCCACTCTGTTGCAAAAACTCGAGTATTCAGATGACATGAACAAGGCTATCAGTACCTTGATGGCTTATGCTGCGGCCCTGCACGGTCTCGAAACACTCGCATCGGTCAAAGAAGGAGACAACGTCCTTGTCCTGAACAAGACGGGCTCTTCTGGTACAGCAGCCATCAAGGTTGCGCAGCTTAAGGGTGCAGTGCCCTTTGTGGTCGTCCAGACTGAGGACGAAGCTCGCTTCCTCCAAAGCCAGTTTGAACTCGAAGCCAGACAAATCATCAAGCCGTCTGATGGAGTGGTCTCGGAGCATCTCGAGAAGCTTACCGACGGCCACGGTGCCGACGTTGTCTTCAGTGCCAGCAGTGTAGATGCTGAAGCTGCCCATGAAGCCTGGCGTTGCATTGCCCGGTTCGGGCGTTTCCTCGACGGCGGCCGCAAGGACAATCTCACTCGCAGCGTGCTGGACGGCATTCCAGTGCAGCGGGGTGCTAGCTATCTTCCCTTTGACATTCTCGACCTCTATGAGGCTCGGCCAGAGATACTGTCCAGAATGCTTCCCACCATTGTTGACTATGCTAGGCAGGGATCTAGCTTCTGCCCCGGCGAGATGCATCTGGCCCAGCTTGGAAGCATTGACAGAGCCGTGTCGGCCTTCTCAGATGCCTTTGGCGCACCCAAGTATGTATTCCAATATCGTACATCGGATATTCCACTCCAAGTGCTACCTGCGCGAAAGCAGCTCCGGTTCGACGTCGATGCTACCTACCTACTCGTCGGATGTCTTGGTGGCCTCGGTCGCAGTCTGGCAGGGTGGATGATGAAATTGGGTGCTCGCCGTTTCACTTTCCTGTCTCGTTCGGGGGCCGATTCCAAGTCTGCTGCCAAACTTGTCGAGGATCTCCAGGCTGCCGGTGCTGAGATTCAGATCGTGAGAGGCGATGCCACTTCTCGAAGCGATGTTGAGCGCGCTGTTGCCGGTGTTCCTTCGCAATACCCAATCAAGGGTGTGATTCATGCCGCCATGGTGCTCAGGGTAAGTTTTTTTTTTACTTCGCCGCTCCTTATTCCTTCGAGATTGCAATATAGCCCCCGATGTTTGTTATAAGAACTTGCCCGACTGATTCTAACGATAAAATCTCTTCAGGACGGCCTCTTCCACTCAATGACCTTTGAGAGCTGGAAGCAATCGACCCATCCCAAAGTCGTCGGTGCACAAAATCTCCACTCCGTGTTGGCGAATGCGCCCCTCGACTTCTTCCTCATGACAAGTTCTGTTTCGGGAATTCTGGGTACCCCAGGCCAGAGCAATTACGCAGCTGCCAATTCCTACCTTGATTCCTTGGCCAAGCACCGTCTCTCTCGTTCCAGCGTTGCTACCTCTCTTGTACTGCCCATGGTTCTTGGCGTCGGTGTTGTCGCCGAGAATGCTGAACTCGAAGATGCCTTGAAGCGCAAAGGAAGTAAGTAATGATCATGAATTCGCTCTCCTCTCATTTGCATTGATCACTGACATGGGATAACTCTAGTGTACGGAGTGGACGAGGAGCACCTGCTTCAGTCCTTTGAGGCTGGTATCCTTGGCAGCACCCTCGCCTCGGTCCCTGATCATATCGTTGTAGGCTTAGACCCTGCCCAGCTGCAAAAGGCTGTGAATGATGCGGCTGCAACCGACAGCTTCTGGATCGAAGATGCCCGTTTCGGTCACGTCGTCAACGACATTAACTCGTCTGCAGATGAGTCGAGCGCAGGCGGGGCGGGTGGCCAATGCATCTTAGACGCCATCAAGAAAGCGGCTTCCCCAGCAGAAGCCATCTCAGCGGTCAATGAACACTTTATCGAGAAGCTGGCTCGCATGCTGATGCTCAGCGTCGAAGATGTCGATCCCGAGTCTGGTTCCATCGCATCGTATGGCATCGACTCGATGATTGGTGCCGAGCTTCGAAATTGGATCTTCAAGGAGTACCGCATGGACGTACCCTTCCAGCAGCTATTGGGCCCGACTCTGACGATATCCAAGTTTGCAGCCCAGGTGTGTGCCGTTCATGCGCCCACGGAGTGAGTGTAATCAATGTGAGACGGCGTTTTATCGTAGAGAATCTTGGTTGGACATTTTGAGGTGTAATGTTGTTTACTTTTTTCTCCCCTTGTCCTTTCAATCAAATTGTTTTCTTTTGGTAGTTGGAGTTTTCGTGTCTTTTGAAATCTTTTTCGTCTTTCCTCCCCATTTCTCTCCTCAAGGTCCAGAGCTGGCGACTTGGTGATTTCAACATCTAGATAGATCATCTCTTTGTACCTTATAAGGCACTGTTTTTTTTCGGTTGGCTACTTGTTTCGCAATTCGATAGAAAGATGGATAAATGAATGGCGTAACCATAAATCATGCTCCATCATATTGACCTGTGTGATTCACCTAGAGCGAAACGTATTATCATTTCTCTTGTTGACTGTGGTTTTGTGATCATGTTACCACTTGAACAGAAGGCGGCTGCGCAAAATTGCAATCGGCCGTGTGACCTCTGTTACCGTGGTGCACAATTGTAGGATATTTACGCTGGGTATAGCGTCAAAACTGTGGAGAGACTGGTCGCCATCAAGGGCTGTCTGAAAGGACCATAGCAAAGAGCGAACGATCGTATTATCGGTCTCTGAATATGGCCATCGCAGAATTGTGAAGCTTGAGATGGGAAAATGGACGGATGTATGTATGATTGCAGTTTTATAGGATGTGGCTCACCCTCCATGAATCTGGTGACAGAGATACTATTGATTGATATGAAGCCATAGAGACACGAGCTTGATGTTTTTTAAGCCTGTGTAGACTAACTCCCGGGATGCTGTGATGGGGTTGAGAATGGCAGGTCGATGGGAAATGAGTGAAGGGGGGTATAGAGAAGATTGTGATGGATTGAGTGGTATGATTTTCCCAATTTGGACAATACAATAAGCGGGGCTCGGAGCTGGGACAACTTTTATTTTATCCGGATATTATCGACGGATCGATTTCAAAAGTTGTTACCGTACGAGCTCGTCTGCATCTTGCCTCCGCATAAAAGGGGGCATTTAGCTATTAGTACGTCCTTTGGACGGAAGGTTAATATGGGCGGAGAACCCTTCCAGTTCATCAGACGGGAGTGGGATGGATTTACCGGACTTAGCAATCCTTTCTACCAAACACCGCGGAATTGTGAGGCATGGGATGGTGTAGATTGAATCCACAACGACTTTTGGCGGGTTTGAAGTTGTCAGTCAGGGATATTTGTTTAGTACAAGATTCCGCAATCCCGCGGGTTCCTCGGGTGTTACTGTAGTGTTTCTCCACACCTCGTAGGGCTTGATTTCTACTAATACATTCCGCGGGATTGGGGTTCTCGCCTTAATCAGGTATGGAGGAGGGAGGGGGGGGGTTGCATGGCAATTCACTAGGCTTTCCGTCCCAAGCAGATGCACCCATGCCATGCACACAGCAACCCGCGGCTCTATCGTCATAGTCCATGGGGCCGGGTTTTACTCACTTCAACGTCTACCACATCGCACCCCTGTCCGGGCCAATTCTAGATCGTAAAGGTCGATCGATCACTATTACCCCAGATTATGTGTAAACCCGCGGCAGCCATGACGATATCGTGCATCGTGGCAAGCAGTCCATCTAGTCCACATAATGCCTCCTCCACACAAAGCCGTTGGCATTTGGTCTACATTTCAGACCATGGTGCCTATGAGGGCACCACATCTCCACGATGACTTGTTTTGACTATAAGGCATCGTGAACTTGACCGTCAATTCATCAACTCATCAACTCATCAACTCATCAACTCATCAACTCATCAACTCATCAACTCATCAACTCATCAACTCATCAACTCATCAACTCATCAACTCATCAACTCATCAACTCATCGACTCATCGACTCATCGACTCACCAACTCATCAACTTACGAACTCATCAACTTACGAACTCACCAACTCATCAATCTCGCTGTTCATCTCCAATCGCAACAATGACTCAAATCACCCAAGCCGAGCGCCCTTTCCGCGTTATCATCGTCGGTTCCGGCGTCGCTGGCATGGTGGCCTCCAGCTGTCTTCAGAAGCTCGGCATTGACCACGTGGTTCTTGAGAGACAGGCGGATGTGGCGCCTCCTCTTGGTGCTGGCATCTCTATGTGGCCGCATGGTCTTCGCATCCTAAACCAGCTCGGGTGCTTGGATGCCGTCAAGGAGGCGGCCGTTCCCGTGAGCCGCTTTATGTCACGCGCTCCCAATGGACGCCTGATCCATGACAATTTGCTCTACACCCATGTTGAGCAGAAGTACGTTTTCCTTGCTTTGAAATTCTTCATCATCCCAGTCCGGTCTTTCCGAAAGACATGCTAACAAAATTTTCCAGCCACGGGATTGGCTTCTACCCACTCGAGAGGCAGCGATTTCTCCAGATCCTGTACGACGGTCTGCCAGACAAGTCCTTCGTCAAGACTGAATGTACCGTCGAAGACGTGGCCCAGTTTCCCGACCGGGTCGAAGTGAAGCTCTCCACAGGGGAGGTCGAGACGGGTGACATGGTCCTCGGCTGCGATGGTGTCCACAGCCTGGTGCGAAACATTATGTGGGACCATGCGACCAAGACGTCGCCGGGTCTCATCCAGACCAAGGAGAAGACCTCTCTCAAGACATCGTGGAAGACGCTCGTCTTCATCACGCCTGGCATCCCCGAGCTGGGGGAGCGCGACCTCACCGTGACCTACAACGACGGCTTCACCTTCCTCGTCACCTCGCAGCCCAACGCCGTCTACTTCTTCGTCATCTTCCGGCACGACAAGCCCTTCACCTGGCCGCGCCGGGAGCGCCACACGGACGCCGAGGCCGACGAGCTTGCGGCCCGCGTCGCCGACAAGCCTGTGACGGACCAGCTCGTCTTTCAGGAGATCTGGAAGCGGCGCACACGGGCCTCGGTCATCTCGCTCGAGGAGTGCGTCATGGAGCACTGGCACCACGGCCGCATCGTGCTGGCCGGCGACGCCGTGCACAAGGTGCACCCCAACATGGGGCTGGGGGGCAACTCGGCCATCGAGGGCATCGCGTCGCTCATGAACCACCTCGAGCGAGTGGTCCTGCCCAGCAGGGAGAAGCACGGCAGCAAGCCGAGCGCCACGGCCCTCAGCATGGCCTTTGCCGCGTACCAGGACGAGCGCAAGCAGCGCATGCGCGAGCTCATGGACCTCAGCAACATGGTGGCCAAGATGCACACGTACGCCACGCCGCTCCACAAGTTCATGGCCAACTGGATGCTGCCGCTGTCCGACGACCGCAACTTCGCCGACCGCGTGGGCGCCTACATCGCCACGGCGCCCCGGCTCAACTTCGTGCCCGAGACCGAGTTCACGACGGGCCGGCTACCCTGGCAGCTCAACAAGGCGCTGGCGCTCCCCCTCGAGGAGGACGAAGGAAAGCTCGACGATGAGGAGCGACATTTCTTCGAGAGTGTGCTAGACAGTCGGCTAGCTAAGGTTGCGGTGGCTGTCTGATGAGAGAGATATAAGAACCTGTTTTCGGAGTAGTAGGGGGCGTTTGTTTTCTCCATGTCATCATATTGTTCGCATTTCCAGCGGGGGGATTTCCAGATGTGAGGCTAGATTCGGTTTTTTTTCTTTTCGATGTCTACGGCGTTTTAGGTGGTTCAAACAAATTATCTCTGTATCTAATCAAGCGTTCCTATATTCGTATTGCCTTCCATGTTAAAAACAACATTGAGATCTCTTATTTATGTCGTGACAGCTGGTTGATATCTACATACTGGGTATTTGCCTAAATACCAATCATATTTGAAATACCTAACCTCAATAAATATATTTAAATATCTTCATGCGCGCCTCGGTTGAGTCGAATAAGAGATTGTGAAATGACTGAGTCTGGGCTATGTACATATGTACTCATGTATATGTACTGACATATTAGAACAGAAAGTGGTGCTGGTGAGAACACCGCAAGACCAAAAGGAGGAAAGCTCCAAGATTATGCGCCGATGCCCCTGGCGCCTCGTGGATTCCGACGCCCTCCTACCCGCCCGAAGCACGTCAGACTCGCAGAGTGAGCGATCCTACATAAGCACACTGGCTTTATAGAATTCAGTGCATCGATATATACTCCCGGAATGAATGTGACGTGGGTATTATTCATGGCTGCTTTATGTAGCTTTTGAGTCTAGAAGTAAACTATCAATTGCTCATGTGAACAAGGGAAGATCAAATGCGCCGTCAGGTAAGAGATCCCACGGAGAGCTCCATATATCCGACAACCAAGGCTCGTCGGACAAGCTCAGCACGAGCTCATCCGGGATAGGCACTTCTTCTGCGCCATAGTGTACCGCACTACTTCCTTTGGCGCTGTACTCGTCTATGACGACGCCGACGCCGGGCGATTGCAGCGCCGCTCCAGACAACACATCCGGCGTCATCTCGGCCAAGATCAAGGCCTTGATGCTTCGCAGAAGATACGTCGTTTTGAAGAAGAGACCCCTCCGCGGTGACCCTTGGTCCGCATCCACCATGCCCACAGCCGCGGGCACAAGCTCAACCGTCTCGCAGGAGCGATCGAGCGCTGCAAGGACGTCGGCGCGCCGCCGCACCTCGTCCGTGTCCCAGCCGGGCTCACTGAGTGTCGTGAGTTTGAACAGCACGATGAGGCAGTGCGTAGACTGCGCAAATGTGTCGACCGTGATGCCGAGCCAGTCCACGAGCGGCATCTCAAACCAGACTGCCAGCCAACGCTCAACACAGGTGAGGAGCGAGTCGAGGTCCTGCAGTCTGTGGAATCCCGAAAGACTAGTGTCTTGGTGGCTCGCCAGCCGTGTGAGGATGGACTCGCGGATCTTCAGCTCAGCGCTGTAGAGGTAATATTGTGCAGAGCCTACGTAGGTATTTTAAGCCTCGGAACGTTCCGCACAGATGGGTGTAAAGTTAGAGTCTTACTGTACAAGCAGATTTGAGATGGGAGGCTTTGTCGTATCTCATCGAGCTGCCCCAGCAAATACGTTACGAACATGGCTGAGGAAGATTTTGGGTCTCCGCCATTCGCAGCAGGCTGGTCCCCAGCGGCGCACATTAGCTGGTTTGTAATGGCCTGGCATTTTACCTGGGTAGCTAGTACCAAGTCCCAGTCGGTTTCTGCCGCTTCGCAAAGGATTCGCAGGCAGCTGGCCATATATGGGGTCCAGCGGAGGGCTTCAACTTTCCTGTATGTCGACCACGCCCTGTATGCGTGTTAGCCTAAAATGTGTCTCGGCAAGATGTAGGCAGAGCTTTCTGACGCTGATGTAAGGTGAAAGACAGATAGCATGGTGCGACGCTCTTCCAACGTCCTTGGCTCCCGCCCTATCGCGTCTCTGATGAGAATCTTGGCTGATCTGGTTTGCCGCAGATGGGAGAAGGAATCTTGATGGATACCCAGATCGGTGGCGAGAGAGACGGCCAACTGTGCAAGCATAGTCATGAACGGCTTGTCTTTTTTGAAGTAGTGCGCCCTAAAAGAGATGTCAGCGTGGGCAACGGGCTGGATAGACTCGGGACAAAGAAGGGGTCGGGATGAGAGACTCACCAAGCGCCGAAACATATGACGCCAAGGAGCAGGTCCAAATTAGCGAGATGCTGCGCAACGATTCTCTGAGAAATAATATACCATACCGTGTCCTCCATAGCGAATTGCTCCGACACGTCAGGATTGGTGAGGCACATGATGACGAACCAGAGGAAGGGCTTTTCCTGGCGAAGTTGGCGCGCGCTCTTGTGGGTAGGGACATGGACGAAAGGGAACATTGGGACAAACGAACGTCGAAACACGTTCAAGTGCTCCTCTGCCCTCTGATCCGAGAAGTTGTGCATCGACACATCGTGGTGAATGGGCGACGATATTGAGGCATCGCACTCAGGCGGGCGGACCGGACGTATGACGGAGTTTCCTGCGTCGAACACCAGGTGGGGGTCGGCTCCAGATTCGAAGCTGCCTGCTAATTCGCTGTATGTGGTAGCCGTGCCTGTGTGAGTTGAGTTGGGCGGCGTAGGGTGCACATGAAAGTGGGCAGCGCTGTCGGCATGCGACTTGGGGGTGTCATGAGATTGTTGGGATTGTGGTGTATGTAGTTGTTGCAGCTGGACATCCTGACCTTGGGCCTGACCATGTTTCTCGGTGGCCTGAGAGCGCAGTAGAGACACGAGGCTGTCCAGCTTCTCCTCGAGTCGGGTCGATAGCACTGGCGATGACTGTTCTTGTATTGACAGTCGCTGTTTTTGTTGTGGCTGCTGATGATGCGGAGGCGTCGCGGCCTTTCGTTTGCGTGCGGGTTCACATTCCTTCCCGAGGCGATGACACCTTTGGCAATGCTGGTAAGCACTCCTCTGGGGGACCAAGATGAGATGAAGATGTGCAGGCACTTACCGTTGACACTCAGATCCGCCGACCCTCAAGAAGCACTTGGATTTAGCTCGCGCGCAGCCTCCACACGCCTGTCCATAAGGCGCGGCGCTAAGGAAATCGTCCATTCCGCCAGAGCCAGATGAACAGGAAGAAGTTGCGACTCGCGACTCGCAAATTGCAGGTCAGTCAGTGAATCGGACTGCACAATACAAATGAAAAGGGATGTGGGTGTGATCTGCACTTCCTTACATACCGGAAATCGCTAGGTTTAGGGAGTCATTGCAGCTGAGCAATCCGCGCAACCTGGACCTGCTCGGAGAGCGCGCACCGAACATGCCGCCCCCCTGCCAGCCTGCCCTGTGCCCTGCTGCCCTGCCCCGCCAGAGTCATTGCGGATCTAAGTATTTCAGTAGGGAAATGCTCCAAGCATTACATGCACATAGAGCGCATGTCTCGTTCAACGTGATCGCGATAGATCTCAACCTGGTGTTTAACTACATGGAGGTACGACTCTGTCGACACTGTATTGCTTCTCTCCGCGACACCCGCCTCGAATGGTACGTCCATACTAGACTCGTCTAGTCTAACCTTGGTCTGGTGTACCTGTAAGTTCTACATCATACGCCAGCTGTCGATTCGGGGTTCCCCTGCCCCATGCACACAAGCTTATCACAGGTGGGGTTCATGACCGCCATAGGGCTGAGCAGCACAGTGTAGATCCTTGCAGGCTGTAGAAAGAGTACCTGTTTGTTTCTCCATTCCCTATGCATGCTACCAATCAACAAGTTGCTAAAACCATGCACCTGAAGATATAACCCTGAAAGAAACATCCTCAACGCAACGTGTCTACACACAAAACTATATCAAGTAGAGCGGAAAATAAAGTAGAGAAGCCCGAGCACATGTCTATCCGAAGTCCAGAAAGAGGAGAGAGAGGCGGCCCCCCCAACGCGCCCCGAAGATACCGACGATCCATCCTGTTCCTATTCTTCAGACATACGGCTTGACCTGTGCCTCGGTCCAATTCCAAAAGTCACGCCCAATGTTGGTACCGCCCTCGGACTTGGATTTTGCGCCTGCGAGCATCTCGGGCGAAACTTTCCAGAACTGGCCCCACGGAGCGACTGTTTCAATCCCAATTAGTCATTTTGCTCTATCTCACATTCGGAATAACACGTCGCCCTTGTACTTACTGAAGGTTCCTGATTTTTTAAGAGTGACGTCGGGAGAAAAGGCGGCAAAGAGGTTGGTGTAGGCGCCGAAGACGGGGGGGTAGAGCAGTGTCTTCCGGAGGATGCACGTCATCATGGACCCCTGGGTGCGCCAGAATTCCGAGTCGAGGTTGCCCGGGTTCAGCGGGAGCGAGAGGACGCCGTCGGCGCGGTGGCGGGCGGCGAACTCGGTGGCGTGGAAGTAGTTGCCGAGCTTGCTGATGCTGTACTGCTCGAAGCCGCCCATGCCGTCCACCTTGGCCAGTTTCTCGACGAAGCCCTTGGGGCTGATGGCCTCGGCGGCCGACGATGCCACCCAGACAACGCGCACCGAGTTGGGCGCCGACTTCTTGGCCGTCGCAACGAGCGCGGGCGTGAGCAGCTTGGTCAGCGCAAAGGTGCCGATGCAGTTGACCCCCAACTGCAGCTCGTAGCCCTGCTTGGACTTGGAGCCCTTCTCGGGATAGCCCACGCCGGCGTTGTTGAAGAGAATGTGCAGCTGCTGCTCCCTGCGGAGGAATTCCTTGGCTGACTCGTTGACCTTGGTCAGATCCGACAGATCCAGCGGGAGGTAGATGAGCTCTCCGGCAGATTTGGGGACGGCAATCTTGATGTCTGCTATCGCGTCGAGCGTCTTCTTCTCGGAGCGCGCCATCATGTAGACCGTTGCATTCTTGGAATAGACGATCTTGGCGATTTCCTTGCCAAGACCGGTATTGGAGCCCGTGACGATGATGACTTTGTCAGTCAGATCTTGCACATCCTTGTCGGTATACGTTGCCTTTCCTGGGAAGGACTGTTTCATGAAACTGACGGTGCCAGGCATGATGTCAAGAGCCTCGCGATATAGCGATGCTTGGTATGGTATAGGTTCAGGTACAGGTACAGGTACAGGTGCAAATGTGATTGTTGGGTTGGGTGAGAGTATAGAGGGATAGGATGCTTGAGTTGACCAAGAAGTATTTACTATCTGTGAAGATGTTTAGAGCCTCAAGAATCTTCTCGGAGGCTATTTGGACGAGGCTTATTATATAAGTCCATTCCTCAGTTTTGCAGTTGAAGCATGTGCTGCATACATTGACTAGACCCTTAAACTGGATTACAGGGATAATGCATCTCGCACAAAGCGGGTCCGATGTGGCCGAGCAATGGGAGAAACCCATCGGGAAACTGGGGTAGCTAAGACATCCCTGCACTCCCTCGGGAATTCCGCGGAATCCAACTCCGACGGATTCGTATTACCTATGCCTTTTTATCTCCTCCAGGGCTGACTTAAGTCCGCACTTATATCCGCTACTTTCACACCTCACGCATTAAAATAGTTCTCCTCTTAACACGGACCATTTCAACCGTCTCGAGGATCTCTTGGGTGTTCGTAAGTCAGTCATGTTTATGGGGTGTGGTGTGACATGCAATGATGTACGTCAAGCAACGCTTAAACCTATACAAAACTCTAGGACTTGTACGCCTCGGTGAGGCAATCGATACAGCCGTCCAGGCTGCGTCACGTCAGGGGTTCCGCGCCGTAGGTGCTCTTCTCGCTCGGGTCGTAGTCGTAGAGCGAGATCTCGGTGGTCCTGCGGGCGGCGTAGTCGTTGTTGATCGTGTTAGTGTCAGCCATCCACTTGAGGACAAGGTGCATGTCGCTGCGTGCCCCAATGTACGATGGCAGCGACGAGGACAACGCGTCCATGGTGTATACCTGGTTATGGCCGCAGGAGTCGTCGATATAAAAGTTCCGGGGCGAGGGCCAGAATCGGCACACTTTTAACCCTGCACGCTACTCGAGAAGCAGCTTGACCGCTTCGACATGTCCATTCATTGAAACACTGTTCAGCGGTGTCCATCTGTCATTACTCGTGATTGCACACTCCAGTACCTTTGTCGAGAAGTAACCTGACTGCTTTGATGTATCCGCGGCTCGAAGCAGAGTTCAGTGCCGTAATCGCGACATAATCTCCAGTGCTTCCGATGAGAAGCATCCTTACCTCCCCCCCATTCCAATTCCCCGCTCTGCCTTAACCACCTCTTCTGTGATTACGACGTCGTTAGGCCTCTTTTCTAAAAGGAGAGCCATCACCTCTTTTCTATTCCGCTCAATCCCCGCTGCTGCCTTAACCACCTCTTCTGTAATCACGACGTCATCGGGCCTCTTTTCTAAAAGGAGAGCCATCACCTCTTTTCCATTCCACTCATTCCCCGCTGCTGCCTTAACCACCTCTTCTGTAATCACGACGTCGTCGGGCCTCTTTCCCAAAAGGAGAGCCATTGCCTCTTTTCCATTCCGCTCATTCCCCGCTGCTGCCCTAACCACCTCTTCTGTAATCACGACGTCGTCAGGCCTCTTTTCCAAAAGGAGAGCCATCACCTCTTTTCCATTCCACTCATTCCCCGCTGCTGCCCTAACCACCTCTTCTGTAATCACGACGTCGTCAGGCCTCTCTTCCAAAAGGAGAGCCATCACCTTCTTTCCATTCCACACATTCCCCGCTGCCGCCTTGACTATGTCTTTCGTGACCACGACGTCGTTAGACCTCTTTTCTAAAAGGAGAGCCATCACCTTGTCTCCATTATAACTCCCCGCTGCCGCTTTGACCACCTTTTCCGTGATTATGACGTCTGGCCTCTTTTCTAAAAGGAGAGCCATAATTAAAATGTCAAACCTTTGAGCGATTATAGAAACCACCTCTTCCGTAATTACGACGTTATCAGGCCTTTTTTCCAAAAAGAGAGCCATTACCTTGTCTCCAATATAACTTCCCGCTGCCGCTTTGACTACCTCTTCGGTGATCATGACGTCTGGCCTCTTTTCTAAAAGGAGAGCCATAATTAAAATGTCAAACCTTTGAGCGATTATAAAAACCACCTCTTCCGTAATTACAACGTTATCAGGCTTTTTTTCCAAAAGGAGAGCCATCACCTTCTTTCCATTCCACACATTCCCCGCTGCCGCCTTGACTATGTCTTTCGTGACTACCACGACGTCGTTAGACCTCTTTTCTAAAAGGAGAGCCATCACTCCAATACAATTCCCCACTGCCGCTTTGACCACCTTTTCCGTGATCACGACGTCGTTAGGCCTCCTTTCCAAAAGAAGAGCCATCACCTCTTTTCCATTCCACTCATTCCCCGCTGCTGCCCTAACCACCTCTTCTGTAATCACGACGTCGTCAGGCCTCTTTTCCAAAAGGAGAGCCATCACCTTTTTTCCATTCAGCCCATTCCCCACTGCTGCCTTAACCACCCCTTCTGTAATCACGACGTCGTCAGGCCTCTTTTCCAAAAGGAGAGCCATTACCTCTTTTCCATTCCACACATTCCCCGCTGCTGCCTTAACCACCTTTTCCGTGATCACGACGTCGTCAGGCCTCTTTTCTAAAAGGAGAGCCATCACCTTTTTTCCATTCAGCCCATTCCCCACTGCTGCCTTAACCACCCCTTCTGTAATCACGACGTCGTCAGGCCTCTTTGCCAAAAGGAGAGCCATCACCTCTTTTCCATTCCACTCATTCCCCGCTGCTGCCTTAACCACCTCTTCCGTGATTGTTGTCTCGTTTCCCCTATGCTCCAGCAGAAGATGGACAACATTTCTCCCAAACTTCCCAAATATAATAGGAACTAATTGTTCTGGCAGCATAATATGCCTCGCCTGATTATGCCCCAGCAGTACTCTCAACACCGCACCGTTCCGCCCTGCACTGCTTATGAAGCTGTCTTTGCTGAAGTTGCCTACTAAGAGATCGATCTTTCTGTCTAGAAGCACTTCAGCCAGCCAGCCGATATCAAGATCGACAGCGATTTGACTTATCGATTCTGGTACTACCTGGCCTCGTTCTGACCAGAGATAGTTCATCCATGCCTGCGCTTTCCAGCAAGTTATATCAAGAACCTGTGATAATTGACATTTAATATCTGGATTATCATAAATATCATTCGCGGAGGCGATATGGGAAAACCAGAACACAGACCCGTATTGGAAGAAGGAATGTGAATCTGCCGATCTAGTCCGAGGACCCACGCAACGCAAGTATGTCATCGAGACATATGCTGGCCAAAGACGAGCTTCGATGCTCCCAAAATAACCACCTAAGGGCTTTTTCGTCTCAAAGAAATCTTTAATTGACTGGTGTATTGGATATACCTTATCGTCGAGGACATCTAGTAAGGTGCCCAAAGTCCGATAAATCAGATTGGGCGTAAGGTTTGGACGATGTTCTAGGTATTGTGCATAGCTCGTATATCCAACGTTGGGTTCAATAGCTGCGGCGTCAGCAAGTTCAGTATAATAGAGGGGACGTCTCGCGTATATCGCCCAAACCAGAATCCGGGCATATAGCTGATCAAGCTGTATTATATCATGAACTAACTGAGCATATAGCGCTTCGAGGTCGGCAGAGCTCTTGGCAATGGTCTCCTTTATACGTGCTAGCGATGGAATGCGGATCGCGCGGGTTCTCCTAACTACCACGTCGATCCATAGAAAGGTCTGCTTAGCATGTTCGAAGAGTTGAACTTTGAGGCTCGCTTTCATATCATCAGTAAATTGCGGACCTAATGATGTAACTCGTGATTCGATGAATAGTTTCAGATCTTTTGCGTTGCACCGAAGGATTCTGCATTGTGACTGCCCCCATGCGTCATGCACCAAGCCCCCAGGCCGACTTGTACATATCAGCTTCGTGAGAGGTGCTTTAGCACCTGGAGAAATGAAAATCCTTGACAGCGCTACTATAAGTTCGTCCATTCCGTCGTCGTAGACATCGAGGCCGTCTATGACGCAGTATACTTGATCGTAACTATTAATCTCAAGCATCTGCTCGAAGATGTGAAGCAGTCTATCGATTGATGCTGTGAAAAAGCGGTCACTATTATCTGCAAGATCAGAAGGCAAAATTTGAAATAATTCTTGCCGTGTCTCGCAAAGCTGCACAATTAGAGATCTGAGCACAGCGCGGGCGTTGCGCTGTGCTTCATCAATCTTGATATTGCAGAAATAGTATATCACCTTGGAGTTGGTAAAATTATTTCGCTCGAGGTTTGTTACGATGAAGTTTGAGAGCACCGATTTGCCTTGCCCAGGATTTCCCGTGATCAAAAGACGCTGAGTCTCGTCCGAGTCCCGCCACGAGATAAAATCACTTGACCGAAGAGTCATGACATTGGCGTCAGTATCAGCCAGATTCACGTCGTCCTCATCAATGAGCCATTCAAGGGTGCCTGGCTCGGGCTTGGCCAGCTTTGAGGAATTCCTGAAGGAGTCATAAGGCGGATTATTGAGGTTTCTCCATCTTTGTTTTGACTTATCAGACAAGTCTAGGGGTGCTCAATCAGCTTTACTCTCATAACTAACTATCAGAACGACATACTGTCTGCAGATCTTTGAGAGACATACGCGACTCCTTCCGTGGCGAGGTTCTTGATTTTGTCCTTGACAATCTGATATGACTCCTGGCTTCTGGCGCTGAATTTTACCAAGCCGGAATGATCTGTATCGAAAGGGATGTTGTCTTCGTCGGCCACCGCTGTGATGCCAGTGCTGGTGGCCGACTTCTCCGTGACCATCAGAACTTTGTCACCAGACTTGGTCAAACTGCCGTCAGGGTGTTTCTAGCGACAGGATCAGTGGCCATTTGTTGATGTGTACTGATGTGACTTACCTCCACAACCGGACTATGCTGTAGTTCGTAGAATGATATGACAGGATATTGACCCTTGCAGCATTCTGCGAATTGACTGGAAACTCTCTTCAAAAAAGTGGATGGCTCTGTATCGCGATCGACCAAGAGATCTCTTATTAATGCTTCGTTGGGTTGACCTTGGACAAGGCTGTGCAGCTGTTCATTCCTCAGTCCGTGGTTTGGAACACCAAAAAAGAGCAGACCACAACATGTTGTAGACAAATCATAACGGGTACGCTTGCTTGCATGAATGAGAGCCTGAGAGATTGTCAATAACGGGCTATTTCCATAATGTTTGAATTATGCATACCTCTTTAATAAGAAGACCCCCTAAGCTGTGCCCAATAAGGATGATGGGCCGTTTGGTCTGGCTTGATATTAGCCTCGACATCCATGCTCTTGTTCTCTACATACCTGAAGCTCTGCCCGAAAAGCAGTGACCGACTCGAGAAGCATCTTCCCCATATCTTCGATTGATTTCCTGGAATTGGTTTTGCGAAGATCTGTATCGTAGCCATATAAGAGAACACGAATGCCACCAACGTCGTCGGGAAGAAAGTCTCGGAGCCACACATCGTTCCCGCCCGGCGCCTTCCACGAGCCGACCGCGTGGCTAGCGAGACCTGGGACGGCGAGTATGCTGCCACGAAATCAGTATGTACCCCTGGCAACTGATGTCCCGTGCTCTTACTCTATCTTGGCGCCAGCCTCGTCGTCGTAGAGAGGTGTTATGCCATAGAAAGTGCAGTCGTATTTATACTCGATGGGTCTTCCTTTAGTAGCTCGAGAGAAGCGTTCGACTAGCTCAGTATCCGAAAGAGAAGTGCAGAAGGACGCTGTGGCGCAAGCCCATTGCTTGCTCACTGGTACTAGTGAGATGCGGTTGATAGTCTTAACAGCTTCATCCAGGATTGAGTCTGTCGCAGCGATCTCGGCAAGGTCGTTTCGCAAAACCTCACGGCTTTTCGCTGTCGGTATGTCTTGAACGCGGAGGGCCACATGTCGTTTGGGTCGAATGTGGACGGGTTTCGCGAGCCTTGCTGAAGCTCGTTCATGTTGTCTGCGTGGGAAGAACCTACCTTTGAAAAGAATGAGCACCGTAGTGATGAGCGCCATAAATACGATCAATAATAGTCCTTGAAATGACTCCATATTAATTATGTGCTTCATGACTTATTGATGATAATGTAGTTGTGCTTTGGGGGACATTGTGACAATTGGAAAACTCAAGTTGTCCCGCGTGTCTCTGTGCGGCTGAAATTGAGTGTTGCTCTGCGAGGGGGAAATCCCACGTGATTTTTTGCGTTTCTCTTCATGATGCTCGAATAGCATCAGTTGGGCGTAGATTGTACCATATAGAGCAGAAGTATTGCTTTTGGAAGCATACAAAGCTTTAAAATCGTAGGATTGATCCTCTGCTAGTTAGGTGGATGGCTGCGGACTTGCTGTTGCTCTTCGCCCTCTATCACAAAGGAGATGGAGTTCAATCGGAGAGTTTTTGCCTTTGGATGTAAGAGTCGACGACGTTTATTTATGCAAGTTATATGATGTGCATACAGCGAGTTAGTATCGAACATGTTCCTCCCGATTTTCAAGCGTACTTTGGCCGGCTGGAATGATTACTGTCGTTGACTGTAAAGTATTCCCTCACAACGGAAGAGAACTATACTATACAAATTAGCCCCTGGTCAGGCTGATATCAAGCTGGGTCCGATTCTACGTAGGTCTGGCAGTGATGCGTTCCAACACCAAGTTCCACAGGACCTGGAAATTCAGCTGCTTTGCAGTCATCGGTGATGAGCATGGTCACAGCACCATTGAGCAGAGCAGACAATAACGTTGACATAACTACTTCAACTACTCCCAGTACGCCGTCAGGAAAACAAGAAAAGGGGGTATGAGCCCACGGGAATGTACACGTCAAACAGAAGTATTTTCCGGAACGCCGAACCATGCGTGATCGTAACCGCCGAGTCGACCAACCATTGAGAACCCGATCAGAATCAGACCAAAGATAGAAGAACAGTAAGGCTAGCTTAAGCTTCGGACTTCCTCTTCTTCTTCTTCTTCTTCTCGCTTTCTGCCGGTACTGGCTCCTCCTCGGCAGCATCGTCGGCCTTGCGCTTCTTGTCCTTCTTCTCTTTCTTTTCTTTCTTCTCCTTCTTCTCTTTCTTCTCCTTCTTCTCTCTCGCCTCACCCTCGTTGGCATCTCCGACGACTTCGGCGCTCTTGGGAAGAGGCGCGTCAATCATGTCGGCATCGATGGCCAATGACTGACCACCGGCCAGGATGTCCGCCATAGCCTTGTCCTATTGCAAATGTTAGCAAATCAGGCATACCAAAAAGTGTCTAGCTTGCAACTTACCATAGCATCAACGTTCTTTGTGGGCTTCTTTCCAGTGGCGTAGAACTCCAAGCGGTCCTCGACCTGTTGCTTCAGGACCTCACCAAACTTCTTGGAGGGCTCTTCAGCAAAGTTGTCGATTCTGCTAGCAATGGAGCACTTGTTGGCCAAGTATCTCGAAATGCGACCCTTGTCCTTGGTGTTGGCCTTGCCAATGAAAGAACTGTGGTAAATGAGACCGAATTTGGGGGTGTTGCCCTTGGTCTTCAGGGCTCTGAACAGAGCCTTCTCGGCACCGAGAATCTGTAGGGTCGAGGCAGGGTACTTGGCCAAGTTGGTCAAGCTACCAGCCTTCTGGATGAGACGTGCAGCGACAACCTCACCAATGAGGGTAGCCAAGTTGGGGGCGACAGTGCTCATCTTCTCGGTGAGGTAGTTGTACAGCGACCGTCTGTACTCGGCAAGCTTGACGACACGGCCGGCGAAAGAGGTGATGTTCTCCAAATCGGCCTCGGAAATCTCACGACCCATGGAGATCTTGGCCTTGTTGATGATCTCGGTGGCCTTCTCCTCATCCTCGTCGACGAGAGCGGCGAGCTCGTGCAGCTTGTCCTCTGAAAGGGTCGACTTGTCTCCAATGAAAAGAGCCATACGGGCAAAGCCAAGGTTGTCAGACACAATGGCGTACAGCTCGGGGAAGTGCCATGAGTAGGATTCCCTGAGCTTCTGGGAGAAGAGGTTGATACCCTTGTCGAGGTTGTCAAGAGTGGCAATAGCACGAATGACTATTGTGGGTTAGTATGTTGGAAAGGAGAGACGATTGGGGAGGGAAGACTGCGACGCGCGCAGAAGAGACGTACTGTGGTTGTCGTTCTTGTGGACGTTGAACTTGACCTTGCCACGGGAGTAAGCGTGACCAAGACCCAACTGAGCACGAGAGACATCACCCAGCTCCAGGCCCTTCAACAGCTTCTCGGCATGGGTTCGGACACCGCGAAGGAGGTCAGCAGCAACGTCGCTCGTGTCGGCAGTCTCGGCAGAAACTCCGGGGAAGGCCTCCTTGATAGCACCACCGAGGTTCTTGTCTTGGACGGCGAGGGTGACGGGGGACTTGCTGCTGGCCTTGGGCAAGTTCAGCTCGAGGTTCGACCGCAGGTACTCGTTCAGGATGCCCTCCGAGATATCGTTGATGTTCTCAAGAGCATCGGCAGCATTTCTATTTTGGGGGAGGGTGTGGGTCAGCGGCCATGTTCCCAGGGGGAGGCACACGAGTTATCTATCCCGTGTGCAGAGAGTCGACTCACCTCCAGGGAGCAAAGTTGACGAGCTGGACCATCTTGCCAAACTTGGCCAGGTCCTGGGAGTCGGTACCGCTGATGCGGTCCGGCTGGTGTACAACCTTGAACAAGGCGTAGCCAGTAGCATTTTCATGCAGGAGGAAGTCGATCTTGGCCATTGTGCCGGTTGCGCGCTGGCAATTGCTGGATTATTGGCTGCGATTCGGCTGTTTTTGGCAATGGGTTGAAGCTTTCCAAATGGCTGCTATCTCCAAAATTTTTATTGAAAGCTCCCCACCAAAAAGTGTCCGCTGGCTGCGCACAATTGCGAAGGCTTCGGCGAATATTACTTCCGTTCCGGTCATTGGCCAAAACTCAAAAAGTGCGACCTGGAAAAGGCCCCACCCTTGGATAAGTTAACTTGACGCTTTGAATGCTAAGTTAATGCTCATGCGGAATAACTACCAAATTAAGGATTACTCGCAGTAAGCCTGCTCATATGCATGCGGCACCTAACTAATCCGAGGCCGCTCTCCAAGCAGGTCACATCCAAACTCCATGCAATCATCCATCTGCTTGCCATTCCATCACAACTCCACTAATTTAGACCAATCTCAAACTTGTTTCGACCTATCCCTCAGGCACGCAACACTCCGTTCGGCGCCGAAACCCGTGCCTTCTGAGTGTCCCGGGGCTTTCGAATCTCATGCCAGTCATCTTCCATTTCTGGAATAGGCTTTGGTCTTGTTACGCGAACCCAGTCGTTGCCGCCCAGCTTGGTCCGCACCTTGACCTGCTCAGCAGCCTGCAGAGGCTTCTCCTTGGACTCGTATCCGAGCCTCTCAAAAACCCAGTTCCGTAGTGTCATGTTTGCGTACTTTTCCGGCTCAAATTTTTTTTTCACGTATATCGTGGTGTGTCCGCCTTATGTGAAGATGGAGTGATATTCAGTGCGAAGAGCGTCAAGATTTGGAAATGTTGAACCAAGAACTTATACGTCTGTCGCTTGACTGCGTCAGTGTCAGGAGTCGTCTCCAGAAGCTCGTCACTAGCAGTCACAGAGAATTGAGGCTACATCACGTTTTCCCGCGTGATCAGGTATTCTCGAGCTGCTGAGTCACTACATCATTTCTCTCCGTAACACTGTGTTCAACGCGAGATTATCTAAACAAGCTGGAACATGATTGAGACCTAACGGTCTAATACTGCACAAGTGTCAATGACTAGAACCACAACTTCCCATTTAGGCAACGTCGAATGGATGAGTCGGCCAGCGTCGTGGGTGCCGCCACGTCTAGCGGGTGGTTATGTTGAAGGGCATGACAATTGCGCCAGGGACAAAGTCCATGCATTGCATTACTGTATAATACCGGCACCGAGCTGTCCAAGCACCGACCCATGGTATTCGTTGGTACACACCCGCATCGTCAGTCGGGGCTTGCCAGCGGTGATCTGACTGGGTGGTCATACCGGAGTATGACCATGACGCGCCCTGAGGAAGCGGCGGAGGCGGCGATGCGCAGACCACCGATCTGTACCTCGAAACAAGTTGTACAACGATCACCGAGGGGGTATTTATGACTATGCTACTGATTTTCTTTTTCCGCGCAGGCGCAATGATTGGTTGCGGCGAATAAGATAACGGAAAGACCTGCACATCAATGAAGCGGGCGTTGGCGGAAAATGTGTATGCGGTGATGGTACCGAGATGTACTGATATCGCATATGTCGAAGGTAGACGGGGTTAACCGAGGACAATTATCGGGAATGGTACGGATAACAATGATGGCAGAGTTGGCACACGAAAAAGCTCAAGTGGCGAGCTTGTGAAATACATATAAAAAACAATGACTGTACTATGCGGTGCGTCCGGTTTCCTGTGCAAGTTCTTCTCGCTCAGATTGCACCGTACTTCATGGGCGTTTAACACCACTTCAGAATCGCTGCTGAAACGCCGTCGATTCCCGTGACAGTTGAACAGCGTGAAGGAAGGCATCGTGAATGCACTGCTCGATATATGCCCAGGCCATCGATGTAGAGACTCGACAAAGTCGCATAAACTATGAGGCGCACGCAATTGGCAGACGCCGTCCGCAGATGAAGACTGCGCCTGTCAGCGGTTTGCGACGGAGGCGCGCTATAAACCTCTTGGCCTGGAGCTTGCCTGCCCGATTGGGGTCGAGGGCACCATATCTCACCCTTCTTATTGGTCTCATGACCCGACGGCCCACAGGTCCAAACGCTGACGGGGAGTCGTGCAATCGCCAGACAAGGCGTATGATCCACCAATAGACTTCAACCCCCGTGAATTAATAAGCAATCAACACTTGTGATGCAATATTGCTCGGACGGAAAAGACTATTTCCTAAAGAAGACTGTGTAATCCGCTTAAGGAAGAGCCGCACCTATGAATGAACAACTATGTTTAGTTGGATATTGCGTCCGTCATGATAGCCGGGCGCGAATTGACCTATCGTCCACGAATGCTGCGAGATTCGGGATACACCTGCGTTTTATCGTGTCGGACTCCAAACTCAACAAGACAGCCATGGCATCCTGCCCAGGGCTGTCGATAATGCACTTTGGCGTTGGAAGAATAAATGAGAGTTTAAAAAGTCATGTGATTGATCGATTTCAAACGCCTAAGACTATGAAAGCTGCTGGAAAGATAATATGTACTACTGAAAACAATATATGCGATGTAGTACTATATCTGCAACATAAATCGGACCAAAAACTCCCTTTCGAGCACTGGACTTCGATAATCAATACAATAAAGGAAAACACACAAGTCCTGCCACAACTGGGCAAATGGCGTGCTATACCTCGTAGCCTTCCAATAACAATCAAAATAAAATCATCAGCAAGCTGAGGGAAAAGAATACACCCCACGACTAGACAGGAACGATTTTAGACCATGCCGGCCCGAATATTGTCATAGACGCTGTCCGGATAACTGAGCAGATTTTGTGTGTTCTTCAGTCCTCCCAGGCTCGAATAACTCGTGCCAATCAGGCTGCTAGCGTCCGTCTTATCGGCGCTTGCCTCCCAGAACATGCTGCCACCAAGACCCTTACTCTGCAGGTACGTGACCTTGCGCTGTACCATGGCCGGGTTGTCGTAGCTGATGAGCTCCTTGGTGGCGCTGTCGTATGAGTAGGTCGCGCCTGAGGCGGAGTCGTAGATCTCGGTAGCGCCGGCCTTTGGCAAGACCTTGTAGTCCCAGATGCCGTTCTCCCACGAACCACTGCCAACGCCTGAGTACGATTGACCGACGCCGGCCGTGCTCTCGAACGCGCGCCCGTAGATGGGCATGCCGAGGATGATCTTGGATGCGGGTACTCCGGCGTTGACATAAGCGGCAATAGCAGCGTCGGTAGAGAATTTGGTCGCGGTTGGGTTGCTGGGATTCGCGTACAGGTTAGCTTGGTGGCCGGAGGTGGAATCCCAAGATCCAGCGTAGTCGTAAGCCATGAGATTAAAGTAGTCAAGTACGGCGGCCATGTTAGCCAGTTGCAGCTTGTTGTAGTTATCGGGACCTGCCGGTGACGCCACTGTCAAGAGGAAATGGTAGCCAGGGGCGTGTGCGGCGGCATATGCGTCCAAGGCAGATCGTACTGTTTGCAACAGCGCAACAAAGTTGGCGGCTTGTGTTGCGTCCGCTGGGTACTCCCAATCAATGTCGATGCCATCGAATCCCCAGTCCTTCATCAACGTCACTGCCGTCGAGGCGAAAGTGGCACGTGTGGCAGCAGTGCTAGCCGCGGCTGGAAAGTTGGTGCTGTAGGTCCAGCCACCGATACTGAGAAGCGTCTTCAAGTTGCGGTTGGCTTTTTTCAGGAGATATAACTGCTTGACACAGCCGTAGGCGTTGTTGCCAACGTCATTCCACGCTGAGAAGTTCATCAGTTATGCTCTGGCTTGGTAGTATGAATTTGTGAATGTGAGCAACTGGAGGTGCTAGACTACAGCGAATAGCTTCTACAGATGAGATATCTTCAAGGATATGAGATGGTGGTTTGAAAGGGGTAAAACAGGGTGAGGGTGATATGACCTACAATCTCCTGTCCAGTGGATCTGATAATCCGCCCAAACATCTGAAGCGTAGCTGTTAATATGTTAGTCTTAACCACATAATCTTCTTTGCATGAATTTTTAATTTTTAATTTTTTTACTTACACAGTTCCGTCCTGTTGAATGTTAGCAAATGCGTATAGCACATGTGACAGCTTGTTGGCCGGTAGTTGTTGCGGTAGATAGTTACGACCGTATATACCCCTTATATATTGGTCAGTTCAGAGGTTCAACTAGTGTGAACGGTTTATTTTGCTTACCAGTTGACGAAGTAGGCAGAGTTTTCGTATCCAGATGCGCGTTCCTCAACTGCGCTAATGGGGCTCGACGTACCTAATGGAGATTGGAGAAGCAGTGCAACTGCAAGGGATTTCAAAGCGTTGAACAACATGGCTGATAACAGATCAAAGAACGATGTAATGAGAGTATAATGGTTAGGATGGGGTACCAGGCTTACCCTTGAGAAGTCAATGCAGCAGGAAAGGGACTCGAGTCAGGTTCAAGACCAGGACGGAAAATACTTATACTTGTAGAACAACCTTCAAGACATCTTGAACCTTGCCACTCGCCAACAGCATTCAAATGACAATCTGGTCACCTGCACGAGCCCCTTAGATGGACACAATTCTTGTCGAATCATTGAGCAGGGCAACGTTGCCACCGCAAGATATACCATGGTGCTTCTTGGGAGATATACTCCGCTGTCCAGGGACAAGCATATTGGTCAGTCATGTGGTGTAGTCGTTGTGACACATCGGTCTTAACAGGCACACAAAGAAGCTAGGGAGACAATACTTCGTCTTCCGCGGCCCTGACCAATGGTTGTATCCCGGAGAACAAAGGATAGCCGCGAGCCTCAAGATCGGATGCCTTGTTACATTTCGAGGTCGCCGAGGTTCATCCAAGGTCATTTGATAGCACCAACTGTATCTTGTTACTTACAGGAACATGGATCTGTGCAAGCGGAAGGTAAGCTACAATCCTGCTGTAGCCGTACAGCACCCTTAATACGTTCCCGGACAAACCTATCAACCTACTCCATGATACTGAGAAGGAAGGTAGCTCGGAGCTCTTAGGCTATGTCTCGCGGATCATCAGGGGAATCGCAAAGCGCCGAAATGAGCTTCATGGATAGAAGCGCCGATGTATCTTTGAGGTGGTGTGCATCAGGGTCCTAGTTCCTTGCGAAAGAACTTCGATAGGCACGCGGCCTTGGAGCTCTTATCGCATGGTTGCATCAACCCCAAATACCCACTGCATTCTCCATCACGCTGTCAATTTGAATGACGACCACAAGACGTCAACATACAACACTCGACTCCCTTCATATGGTCTTATCTCCAGAGGGAAAAAAGGGAGAAGAAAAAAAAAAGGTGGTGGACCGCAGCTGCGAATCATTGATGTTGCGTTTCCAGGAGATGCGATCCATAACGTTAGATCCTGATCGCGGCTGCTCCCAAATAAGCCATTGACGATCAATCAGCCTGGTAGCGCCCCTTGCAGGTTGAGGATCGCTGCAGGGCAGTATACAGGGAGCTCCCGGCACTAGGCGAAGGCGTCGAATATCGGTAATCTCGTAGGGAACCAACAGGAACCCTTCTGACAGGCAAGGGAGACGTGACAAAGGAACCAGGCAAGCCAGGCTGCCAGGAGGTCTGGATGGTCGAGGGTTGTGTGGGGGAGGAACTCCTTTGATGCGATAAGATACTGGGGTGACTTAGGAGGCGGTCGTTCCTGGAAAAAGCATGTGTCACAAGCTCAAAGTCCATTTTAGGAAATCTCCAATCCCCATAAATGGTATGGATTTGGAGCCACCCCAGCTATGTCACACCCTGCTGTCATTGAGTGCTGGGTTGCATTCAAGGATCCAGCAAGGTTTGCAACGTTACCATTTCGATGTCGAGTTCGAGAATCGCGGCTCCTATGCAGAAGGAAGCCGGAGCGTTTCTAAAAGCCAGCATTACCTTAGTCTGGCGCCAGGGAAATGGTGGGGCAGAATACAGGGGCTGGAGAGACAGTGAGGCCCGCAGGCAGCTGGTGCTTGAAGATGCAGACCCAGACAAGACAGCACCAAATATGCGAGCCATAGACAAAAGCCCCATATAGGTAGTCAGTCTGGATAACTCGCTCGAATTGTGCACGTTCCTGTCTGTAGACAAGAGTGCCCGGTAATGGATTCCTGAGAGTTGCGTTCAAGACGGTTCTTCCACTGCAATTAACAGCCGCATTTCAGGCTTTTAGTCCTGGGCCCACTAACGACATGCTCCTACATGCTCTGCAGATTGAGGCGAGCAATTTAACTTTATTTTCAACATTGTAGACGATCTGCAAGCCGCCAGAGACTTTTAGTTCATGATAGTTCGATTTAGAACTCTTATTTACCTCTTATGACCGTCTGCGTCTTAGCGTTGAGCGTTGCGTATAGAGTGATCAGCCTAAGTGGCAGAACACCCTAGACTGCGAGTTGTACGGTTTCGCAAGGCTCTTTGCTCCTTACACTTGAGCCATGAGCTGCTGCGTTGTTGGTATTCATATATTTGAAATTGTTACATTCTGGTGTAATGTAGTGGAGATGGGTTATGAGTGTCCGGTGAAGTTAGCTGGCATGTAGTGATACTGCAAAATCATTTATGCTACCAGTATCATAACAGTGTAAAGACACCTCATAATACTTTAGAACTTGAAATCCCATCTTACACAGTGTTCAACTGGAGTACCGTCGCCTTACAGGCACTAGCTGTACAAAAGAGCTTATGTGTTGAGCTGGGCTGGAGGTTCCATTATGCTGGATTTGAGAATAGAAAGACGGCCTGAGTCCTTACCATTCATGGCACTGGGAGGGGAGGGTAGGAGTCAAACGAAATCAGGCAGCAGGAGGTGCCCCATACCGTAAGGGAGGGGTAGAAAGGCCGTTTGGAGTCCTACTAAATCTGGCAATAGTCATCCTTCAATGGATGGTATCCAGAATAGGTTTGAGTGGTGTTTGTAGTGGTCACATACAGTGGCCAGTTGTAGTTTTGATATGACTATTCTTGGCATGCGGTAGTGAACAATATATTCATTCACATGACACGGATGGAACTCGCTTCAGCGTCCAAAGCTCGACGGGCAAAATACCACCTATGCCAGTCCTTGTGGAATGTGTCTCTGCCTTCGCCAAGCGGTATGATACTTGAAGGAAAGGGGGTCACCATGGGTGCCTGGAAAGCATTCATAGCCACGGATCCGCGGATCCATGGATCGCCTTCTCTTCTTCAGGTCCTTTTTAATATGTCATACTACCGTTCCACTTCTCAGCGCCACGGTGTTTGATTAGGTACCTTTCAAGCAATATCATACAAACGTCTTGGCCGAATTATTACACTTTATTGAGATTAACCAGAACACGGTCGAATGAAAGGGCCAATATCTTGTAGACTCGCGGCCGACTAACGCTTCTAGATTTTGCAAAGGCAGACACATTTGCTGTGACAGACTCGGCCACACCAGTTGAAATATTGCCGACCAGGTTCGGGTTCTTGCACGAACTAAAATTGATCGTAGCAAAAGAGGCAGAATTCATCAAACAGCAAGACCAGTAGATAGAAAATAGGAGAGTCATTAAATACGAACTAGAACTAAACTGTAGTGGGTATCGATGTCATCAGAGACGAGCACGCCTACTCCCTCGTAGCCCCAATGCTTCATGTACAATTCATTCATTACAAATGCAAGGCGAAATTCCTCCAGGATATGCAGATTATTCAGTCAGATGCGACATTATGCCTCAGCCTCCTTCGGTGCCTCTGTGGCCGTCTCAGCGGCAGCAGCGGTCTTCTCCTTCACCTCCTCTAACTCAGCCTCGAGTTTCTTGAGCTTCTCCTCCAAACTGCTGGCCTTTTCGGCAGCAGCCTTCTTGTCCTCCTCAGCGGCGGCGAGGCTCTTCTCAACCTTCTCAAAATTGGCGCTGATATCAGACTTCTCCTTCTCGGCCTTCTCGACACCCGACTCGAGCGCAGCCAGCTTCTTCTCGAGTTCAATAGTCTTCTCAGCGGCGGCGTTCTTCTCGCTTTCGGCAGAGGCAACACTCTTCTCTGCCTCGGCAAGCTTGCTGGAAATCTCAGATTGCTCATCCTTAGCCTTCTTGGCTTCCGACTCAGAAGCAGCCAGCTTCTGTTCAAGCTCACTGGCCTTCTCGACGGCGACCTTCTTGTCACTCTCAGCAGAGGCAATGCTCTTCTCTGCCTCGGCAAGCTTGCTAGAAATCTCAGATTGCTCATCCTTGGCCTTCTTGGCTTCCGACTCAGAAGCAGCCAGCTTCTGTTCAAGCTCGCTGGCTTTCTCGGCGGCGGCGTTCTTCTCGCTCTCAGCAGAGGCAATGCTCTTCTCTGCCTCGGCAAGCTTGCTGGAAATCTCAGATTGCTCATCCTTGGCCTTCTTGGCTTCTGACTCGGAAGCAGCTAGTTTTTGTTCAAGCTCGCTGGCCTTCTCGGCGGCGACCTTCTTGTCACTCTCAGCAGAGGCAATGCTCTTCTCTGCCTCGGCAAGCTTGCTAGAAATCTCGGATTGCTCATCCTTGACTTTCTTGGCTTCCGACTCAGAAGCAGCCAGCTTCTCCTCGAGAGACTTAACTTGGCTCTCCAAAGCATTGCTCTTGTCGGCGACTTCCTTCTTGCTGCTCTCGGCGGTGGCAGCGTCGGCCTCGGCCTTCTCGAGCTTTGCGCTTAGGTCAGACTGCTCCTTCTTGGTCTTGACAGCGTCGGCGACAGTGTTGGTGAACTTCTCCTCCAGAGATTTGACCTTGCTTTCCAGCTCGCTGCTCGTCTCGGTAGCCACCTTCTTTTCATTCTCTGCTGTAGCGAGACTGCTCTGGAGCTCATCGAACTTAGTCTTGAGTTCAGAGTGCTCCTGGGTGGCCTTGTCAGCAGCGGACTGTGACTCGGCGATCTTGCTTTGGAGTACATCCTTATCCTACGACGTGGTTAGTTCGAGTACGGGCTATTTTAAAAGTAGAAGATAGACTTACAGATTGAGCATCCTTCAGGTCTGCGTCAGCCTTGGATGCCTTTGCCTGGGCCTCGTCGATCTGCTTCTGGAGGTCCGACAACTGGGCGGACTGTTCCTCGTGTGACTTCTTCAAGGCATCGCGTTCGTCAGCAGCTGCCTTGAGCTTGGACTCGAGATCGGATGAGCCTGAGCTGGCCTTCTCCAAGTCTGCGGCGTGGTTGTCCTTCAACTTCTTCTGAGACTCCTCGGATGCAGCCAAGTCCTGCTTGACAGCCTCAACTTCTTTGGCAAGGCTGTCATGGGTTGACTGCAGGGTGCTGTGCTTTTCTTGCCACTCCGCGGCCTCCTTCTTGGCGGCCTCGACTTGGGCCGACGAGTCACCAGTGACCTTTTCGTGCTCCTTCTGGAGATCGGCGAGTTTCTGTTGTGCATCGGCCAACTCCTTCTTTGCAGAAGTGAGCTCAGCACCGGAGTCGCTCTTGGTAGACTCGTTGTCCTTCTCGAGAGCAGCGTACTTCTCCTTCAGGTCCGACAACTCCTTCTTCAACGACTCCAACTCCGAGGCAGAGGAGGACTCCAGTGTGCTGTACTTCTCCGTGGACTCTGCAAGTTCCTTCTTGGCAGCCTCGACCTCCTTTGACAGGCTGGCATGTGTCGTTTCCAGAGCGCTGTGCTTCTCCTTCCACTCGGAGTCCACCTTGCCGCTGGACTCCTTGAGCTCATTGATGGAGCTCTCTAGCGATGCATTCGAGGACTTGAGTTCACCGTTCGAGGTCTCGAGTTTGCTGATGGTCTCTTGGAGCTTGTTGATGGTGCTTTCGAGTTCGCTCTTGGACTGTGTCAGCTCGGCGTGCTTGCTATCGGCATCAGAAAACTTGGTCTTCAAAGCAGATAGCTCCTCCTTGAGAGATGCCTCAGAGGACGACTGCTGCTCCTGGGCTTCGGCCAATTGCTTCTTGGTAGACTCGAGCTCCTCCTTGAGGGCGGCCTCGGCAGCAGCGTGCTGCTCCTTGATCTCGGAAAGCTCCTTCTTGGCCGCTGCAAGTTCGTCTTGGAGAGTCTGCTTCTCCTGGTCGACGGTCTTGAGCTTCTCTTCCAGGATGGTGAGCCCCGTCTTGGCAGCGTCCAACTCCTGTGCACGAGCAGTAGAGACCTCCTCAACAGCGCTCACTTGTTGTGCAGCCTTGTCACTGCTCTGCTTGAGCTCAGACTGGAGCTTTGTGATATGTGCCTCGTTTTCGGTCTTGGACGAGAGCAATTGGGCATCTAGCTCGGCGACCTTTTGGCGCAGAGTTTCGACATCTTTGGAAACGGTGGTGACCTCCTTCTCCTTCTTAGTGAGATCTTCCTCGAGGACAGCGATGGTCTCTTCGCGGTCGGCGAGCTTCTTCTCGAACTGGGCCTTCTCCACCTTGGTGAACCCGCTGTCGCTGTCTTGCGGAGAGAAGACGGAGAGGACGTTACCCATTTCGACGATTGCTTCTGAGGGGTTAAAAAAAGGGAGAATCGGCGATATTGGAGGGTATGGCTGCTCTCCTAGGAGATATTAAGCTGGAGTGATGGGCTTGGAGGGGAATATGGGCGGAAAGCACAGGAGGAGGCGCCGATGTTATGGTGCAAGATGCGCGGGTTTTCTACAGTAGCCTGCCGCTTTGAATAAAAACATTTTCGGGCTCCATCCGTTTGGTCACCTCGGTGATTCGATTCGATCCGTGATGAAATAAACTGGGCCGTGCAGGCCCCGTACCATGCCAAAGTACACTGCCCAAGTTCCAATATTTCCAATATTTCCAATCTTCTTACATATTTGCCCCCCCATCGTCACCGCAAATCGCGTTACTCAAAATTACCATTCAATCTCGTGGGCCAGCGGTCATCACCGAGCATGTGATTGCGTCAATGCACGTGGCACCGGTTTGTATATCTTTCTCGTCCACGGCACCCATTCCAGTCACAAACTTGGGATGCTGCTTGTTGTGAAAGGCACCGGCCCATCCCAGCCCGACATAAACAAAGCGGTGACCAGAGACCGCCCAAAGATGGCGGGGCCAGTACGAATCCGTCCGTAGCGTTGATCAGGGTCCATCCGAGGGGTCCATTCGAGGGTCCGTAGTGAATGCATTAGCGACTGCATAAGCTGACAAAAACCCTGTTCCCTGCCATTAGTGCACTCTCTGGCTCTGTCCTGCAGTACTGGTACGGGCTCGACGGGATCCGTAAGCGCGGTGTTGACGCTTGCATATCCCGTCTGCCTCAACTTGGAACAACTTTCGGACCAGCTCAGTCCCTCGAAGAAACACAGGTATTATTAATAACTTCTTTATAAAAACGTTGGCGGTGTGACGATCAATCAACAGCTCCAGCACAACACCCAATGCATCAACCGCTGAAAGTTGGATGGACATTTGCAGCTCCCCAAAGCTATGCCCGTACATACTGATAAAAGCTCAGGTGGGACAGATGCCCAACAGCAAAGGGCCCCCTGATGCAGCCTGGCAGTCTGGCAACTTTGGAGGCGAGTAAGTAGCAATATTTTATCAAGCGACTCAAGTATCCTGTGAATCGCTTTCCCTTCGACAAATCTACTATTTTCACACCTGATTATACCATCTCGTGCTGCTGGGTTCAGCATCGTGGTCGTAGCAACAGCTATTGCCGCAGTTGTGCCCATAGCTTCAATAGCCTCTTTTGGGTACTTACAGTAGTCGTATCTTTGGGGGGCCAACAATAGACACTACTAAATGGACAGCTCGATTCTCCATTCAAGCCGCCACAGCCGAATGTCAAAGTCAGCCACTCAACGAGTATGATAGTAAGATCAATGCCCGGTTGTGCCGATTGTCAGGATCCATCCTTCACAAGCCCATGACAGTTGAAGAGCGTAGCTATTTATTTCTAGATGGCGACTACGTAGTATCTTGTGCTGTTGGCAGCAGTACCAACAAACAGTCAAAATAAGTTGATTGTGCAGTTGATGGCCCCATGACCTTTGTATGGCATCCAGAAGTTTATTTCCAAAAAAATACTCTCCAGATCAATACCATATCACAGAAACTTTAATATCAAAGGTTCAAAAACGTAAAGCGGCTTGTCTTTGCGGCTTTACAGTTTGGTAAGGTAGCAAAAGATCGCGTGAGACTTTTCAAGGTGAGCAGCTAACCGGATTCTTACACCGCCTCTGCAACGCTGCAAAAGCTTATTTTCCTGATCCGTGCCCGGAAATCCTGTCTTTCACCCCAGGCTCGGACTGGAAACTTCGCAGAGCACTTCTCCTCACAAAGCACAAATTATCACCAAGAACATTTCAGCACAGCTACACGCCCGAGCGCGAGCCACACAGGGTACCTGCATTGGCATAGTGCCCCAAGTTCAACTGGATTGGTCAATTCAATTCTGCTGGTTCCTATTTCATAGGGTAAGCCAGTTCTATGATTCCGTCTTCGGCCTTGACCAACCGCGCTTGGCGGACAAGTTCACGCCCTGCGTGTCATTGGCCGGCTTCGATTGCTGTGTCCTTGATAGATTTGTATGCTGATATAGCCCGTACTTAGTTGTCATTTTGGTGTTCATATCTGGTCAATACAGCCCTTTTTTGCACTCAAAATGCCAGCCATTATGGATGATCCCGCCAGCCCGACCATATATCGTAGGTCGGGGCCTGTGCCATATCCAGAGCCTGGAAAACCAGGCTTTCCCGCAAGCATTAAACCGCGACAAGTGACGCTTCGTGACCGCCAAACCATCGCCACTGTGATACCCTTCGCATCACATTCTCAAGTGCCTCCTTTGTTACTGAAGTACTTGTGGGACCAGTTTGCCAAAGAGATCCAAGGTGGCGACACATATCCTATGATTGAGCCAATGCCGCTAGAGCAGTATTCCAAATACTGGTTCCAGAACTTCGCAGCTATCATGCTGCTTGGCACCATCGACGGCCCTGAGCAAGTCGTCGAAGGCAAGGACTGGTCCAAGGAGTGTCTCGGTACTTTTTATATCAAGCCCAATTACCCTGGTCGCAGCAGCCACGTCTGCAACGCCGGATTCATCGTCACCGAAGCCGCACGAAACCGTGGTATAGGTAGGCTCTTGGGCGAGACGTACCTGGACTGGGCCCCAAAGCTTGGGTACTCTTATTCCGTATTCAACCTGGTCTACGAGACAAACGTTGCATCGTGCAAGATCTGGGACGCACTTGGCTTCAAGCGCATCGGGCGTGTCAAGGGCTGTGGCAACCTCAAATCTTATCCCGACCGTCTCGTCGATGCCATCATCTACGGACGGGACCTCGGAGAAGCCGCCGGAGACGGCGCTGATGGGCCGGTGAGTGAAGAAAGATTCGACAAGATCAAATTTTACCTCAAGTACGGAAAGTACCCGAACGGATCTGACCGAGCCGAGAAAAGCAGACTCCGCAGCGCAGCGACGCATTACAAGCTGCTTGAAAACGACGTCCTTATGCTGAAAGACAAAGAGGTGATTAGCGATCCGGTACGGCAGATGGACATTGCCAAGAAGACACATGAGGCAGGAAGCCACGCTGGCATCAACAAGACCACGGCAACCATTGCAGAGCGATATCACTGGAGCCGCATAAAAGAAACGGTCTCAGATGTAATTAGGCTATGCTCTGAATGCAAGGAATTGGGCAAGCTCCCTTTGCCGAGTGCTGCGGCCCGGAAAACCACAGTGAACAACGCTGTGTCAAATGTGGGCGCGGAAAGCAACGCCGAGATGGTAGAGACCGGGGTCATGCCTGGGCCAGTTACTGGCGTGGAACGGGTTCTGGGCTTCAGAGCGCCTTCATCACTCACACCCCCACATGTCGTTGCATCACCGCCAGTCGATGCGCACCCCAGACACTACGACCACCAAAGTGACCTTGCGTCTCTGCTAAATCCAGAGCCTCTACCGGATCATTTATTGTTGCATGAACCCAATCAAATGACGCACGACCACCGCCAGCTCCTCGAAGCAACATCGAGTCTATCAGTCATACCGTACGATCCAAGCCTCTTTGCTCAGATTGACCCGCAAATCATGGCTCAGCCGGAACACCAAGACGTGCATGACCAGTTCGATGCTTTTCGTGAGTTGACGCACCATCACAGTCCCGAGCCAACACATGAATCGTATGAAGTGCATATGGCGACGCATCACCCACCATCAGATGACCACGAAACATATCTCAAATTGCAGGCATTGCTAAATGATGAGCCCGATAACATGCCGCACAGTATAGACCCAATATGCACGTCGCGTCACCACGACCCTAGTCTACCCTTGCACATTCCCCGGCACGAGCAGGATGAAGACACTGTTGTTAGAGATATTGACATGCTACTTGAGCATCATGATGGCTCTGACCTAGTAAATCTTGACGCACTTGACACAGATATCGACCATGACGACCAAGCTCAGCAGGTGAATGCGGATCCTACGTCCGAGAAGAGAGACAGGCGGAATACAATGCCAGAAGATGACCGATCTCCGAAGCGGCGGAACTGGGATCAGATTGTGTTTGATGTTTCTTGATGGGTCTTGTCTAGCTCGTCCCATCTGTGCCGAGTGTTGCGCAGGTCGCCGCCACCACACTGTTGCCGCAGTAAGGAGTCTGTGAGGCCCACCATGAGCATTCAGATGGTTCTTTAACAAGAGCTTCCAAGTCAACGCCACTGGGAGTGATGAACCGGAACGGATTGGGCAAGCTGCTTGCTTCGCCTTTACCATGTCTTGACAACCTGCTCCTAAGGAGACCACGTCGAAGCAGTTCCCGTCGGACATCTCGTCATTGTCTCTGAGCAAACTGAATGAAACTCAGCCACCATTCTTTGGTAGGTAGATTAACAAGATGGCCAAAACGTCCGTGCGTTATACGGTTATTCTCCCCCTTGCGAAGACCTTTTATTTGTACTCAGCAGGCAACAGCCATTCCAGATGAAGTGGATCGAAGCAGCATCGTAATGTCGCAACCGACGAAAAGCAGCAAGACTTGTCTGCCAATCAAGTCCCGTACCGCAAAGCTTAAACAAGCTTAACGGCGATTGACCAATGGGCGGCAGGCGGCTGTCTATCCACTGCCCCTGAGTTCCACCCAATGGCGTCCGTTGCTCCCTATCACAACAGGTGTTGCCCCTTCTTATACGAAAGTTGCAGCAAAACACTACCTCGCTTGGTAGCAGCCATTGCTAGAAGCGACAGTTGGGTGCTTCAAAACCAAGGGCAGTTGTTCTCTATTTAATCGTACGAAAAATGCCCCGAGTTTTCATTGATCTGTGTTCTCATCGGATATTATATAAATAGAGACGAGAACTCAATACCCGCAGAAGCTAATACTCGAAATATCGCGACAAGCTTGCTTCGAATTCCTGGGTCTAATAATTGTCTCAATATGGCTTTCCAGGACGGCGTCAACAGCGGTGCTGGGCTGGCTATTCGTGCCAATGCTGCGTCCTACCTCAACCCGCGAGCTGGACAACCGCAGTACTCCATTGCCCAACAGCAGAACGGAACAAACGCCACAATTCCCACGGCTACTGCGAATCTTTTCCTTGACAGTTTTCCTTCGGATGATTTCGAGTTTGTCGCATCTGTCGTGACTGCTTGTCCTGACCAAACCGTTTACGCCGTGCGATGTACCAAAGGGCCAGATATCGCGACCTTGCCTGGATTTGGAGGAGAAATAGACTCGGGCTGTAAGGATCATCGAGTAAGTCAGCACCCTAGGGGGACAATCTGCGCGTTAACCATTGACCATGCGCGTTTGTAGGAGTTCACCATCACCCAGAATCCATCCCTATACATCCACTCCACTGTCGCGCCGTACAGTTACATGCCGAGCGCAGCCCCCTCCGCCTCCAATCCCGTCAGCGAGGGACCCTGGACGACGCAGACCAAGTCTTTCTGGGAGACTTGTGAGCTGCACGGCACCACGTCGGCTCTCTGCGACGTGTCGGTGAGGCTTATGGATGACTTTGGCACGACGACCATGCCGGATACGGGCAGTGCTCTGTACCAGGCAGCGGGCACGATGTATCACCGCTACGACGTTGCCATCACGGCCGGAGCCGAGAAGACTGCGAACCCCACCGGTACTTGTGCGCCTGTGCCCACGGCCGCGGCAGCCGGCCTCAGCGCAAAGGCTGCCGCTCTTTGGGCTTTGACTGGCGTTATTGGTCTTGCCGGAATTCTGGCGGCCTGAGAGCTGAGTTGGTTTCATTCGGGAGCTAACCAGGCCGGTCATGATTTTTGGATCCGAGACACTGAGACGAGAAGCTGGATGGGGCGACAGGCTGTCGCATAAGTGCATAGCCCGACTTGTATTTCTTGCGGCCACCGCATCATGAGATTATTCGAGTGAGAATATTTCTTTCTGTTAAGCTGTATTTTGAAAGCCTAATTCTATCACGAACATACATTTCCGCGACCTAGGTATTCGCTACTTCTTAGTTGCATTAGGCATCTTCATACCCGCGTGCAGCGTAACGCAGCAGTCTAGGATGGACTCGTTCGCTCTGAGCCCTTATTGTATAATTATTATAGCTCTTACACCGTGATATTGCTGTATTAGAATACACCGCTGATGGTTCAAGTGAGTCAATATTGTCCCAGTCTCGAAAGCAGAGGGAGCTGTCCGACAGTGCATGCAGGCGACAGCCAGACACGCGCAAGGTCGTGCCCCATATGAACATAGCCCAGTATGCAATGCGACTCACCGACATTATCTCATGGCGTAGGCGGTGGTGAAGCGGCGGTAGCAAAGCGCCGATCTCAGTCGTGCTTACAGGATTTTGGAGAAGAGTCCCGCGTCAGGTCTCTCATGTCACAGTGGCCGTTCAGCAGTTTTCAGTCTCGTCTTTTTGCCCTCTACCGCAATCATTATTGCATCGATTTGAGTTGTTCAGAACGTGTTCGGGTGTAGCCCACATAACACTTCATGGGCCTTGATAACCATACCCTGACGAATGAAAGCGCGGTCGTCTGAATTCCGCTATATGGAGAAGCCCTGAGGTATACTGTCTTCACGACGCCCGACCCTTCTGTTCATGGCCTGCCACGAACAGTAGCTTCCCCTTGCCTGTCGCTATTGCTTACTTGCTTGCTTGCTCACTTACCACTTCGGGATTTCTCCTGTCTTTGTTCATGTAGAGCTGCAAGAAGGTCTGTGAGGCTGGCACCTGCGAGTTGTCTGCTTGAGGGAAATGGGGGCCGGCGTGACGGAACAAGAGAAGCTTCCGAAGCGGCCTCCCCGAGTCGATGCATTCTCATTTTTGGCACCCATCACTCTCGCGGTTTCTGTTGAAGTAATATAGGCGAAAACCTCGAGCTTGCTGCCTAGTACTGCACTCCTGGTATTGGCTACTCCTATATCTCGCATGACGATAAGGCATTTACCTGGCGTGTGATGTTGTCGTCGGAAGCACCACTAGCTGCTAGACGCCAAAAACTTGGCCGAAAAAAAGGCTGTTCAGCGTTTATCGGTTGTTCAAATGTGGCGATTTCAACTCGGTGGCGGTGTTTGTTGCGTATGCGACATCTCGTAAGCCTGAATGCTGAGGGACACACTTCGACTGCTGCACGGTGTTTCCATCCGGTCTTCTTGGTGATTTGTACTTAGTGATCTGGCACTCGTGGGCGCGCAGAACATCTAATGCGAGGGGGATAGAGGCACACTGGAATTTCGCCTAGACTAATCTAGTACTCACACCTTCCCTTCCACTCTCCCGGTGGTGAGCAACACATTTATTCCAAGTCTTTAGACAGTTTGGAGTGCCCAGACTTGGCGAGATGTTTCGTGACGTCATTGCGGCAGCAGAAAGTATCGCGTTACGGCATCACGACTGCGCCAGGAAAGATGTCGTGAGTTGGTGGCTGGTGAGGTTGCGTTAGTGTGGTTTGCGTAGTGTGTCATGCGAAAATAGATAGTGGTCACAGAGGCGGACATCAGTCCTCGTGGTCGCTATATATTGCAGGCGGCAGAGTTTCACAAGGCACGAGAGCAAGTTGTTGGAGGCACGTTGCGCACTGATTGGTGGCTGAGGTAGGTGGAGGGCCGAACTGGAGGGGATCGGCAGAGGTCTCGCCTCGTCTCGTCTTGCCATGACAAGGAGTGATAGGGAATCGCTGTGTCCAGGTTACAACATAACTAACTTTGGGTTAATACAGAGATCAAAGGGACTGGCTTGAGTGTTTTGTTGGGTTGATATTGTTGCTCAACGAAGGCTCTAAATGACGATGAAACTCCGATCCTAAAGATAACTGCGAGTATACAATAGTTGTTAGTATCCAAACCAGGGGGATCCCGTACGGGGGTCTCGAGTACCAGCAGAAGGCGTCAGTTTGTGTCACGACGTCGCCGACGTCTTATCGGGGGGGCGTTGGACGCACGGCTACGAATTGTCAGGGGACCTGCCCCCCAGAAAATGGGACCCCAAGAAAGATTAGGACGCAGATGGGCGGCTTATCGGCAAGATCCTCATCCTCATACTGGCGCTAAAACGTCACAGATCCCAGAGGCTCGAATCGAGACTCTTGCTCCCTCGCATCTGAGAAGGCTCCCTCCAGCCAGAACAGTTTCTCTACCGCCCACCAGGTCTCTTTTTGCTTGGGCTTGGAAGCCATCGTCAAGTCCCTTGCGACATCGCCATCCTCACCCTCACATTGCCCCTAACTTACACATCTAGCAAAGCGGTTGAGACACAAGGGTCGCCCAACCGAAAGGGGAAAGGAAAAAAAAGGAGAAAGAACAAAAAGTAGTCGCCGAATTACCTCCCATACCTACCAACCTAAAGACTGGGCAATCCAATACCGTACCGCACATATCGGTGGAACGATAAGCGGCGCCCCAGCAGCATCATGGCGTCCTCTGCCGCCCCCGAAACTCTCAACGAGGACATCCCCCAGAACGACAGCGGGAAGCTCAGGACTTTTATTTCCATTTTGCGAAAGTAAGAACTCTCTCCTTTGCAATCTCTTTCTTCGCTGCGCCCCTATCTCCACTGCAAATATGCATCTGTGAATGGCTTCACCGCCGCCCAGGGTTCAGGTGGGGTGACGATCCGATGACGGAGAAGGCCGACACGTCGAACCTTACTACATATCTGCGTTTTTGCTGACATGGCTGTTTGCCCTCGCCCAGGTTCATCGGCGTCCCTGATCTCGCCGCTGTCCGCTTCTCTCTGCCTTCGCAGCTCCTCGAGCCCAGACCCAACCTCGAGTACTGGACCTACCTCGACGTCCCCAGCGCATTCGCTGCTATTGGCACCGCAGACGAGCCCGTGGATCGCATGCTCGAGGTCCTCCGGTTCTGGTTCACCAAGGATCTGAAATACGTCAAGGGCAAGCCCTGCAAGCCCTACAACTCGTGTCTCGGAGAGTTCTTCCGCTGCAACTGGGAGGCGGAAAAGAACGTCCCCGCCATCGATACCAAGAGCACCAGCGGCACCGCCAGCAGTGCGTCCTCCATCAAGTCCTCCAAGGGCGACCCGCGATCTTCCTCCTCCGTCTCGGTACCTCAGACTGCCGAGAACCCCGCCGGCCCTACGTGGCGCATTTCGTATCTTACAGAACAGACGTCGCATCACCCCCCCGTGAGCGCCTTCTACATCGGCTGCCCTGAGCAGGGCCTGCATGCGAGGGGCTTTGATCAGATCTCCGCCAAGTTCACCGGCACCACCATCAAGGTGTCGCCTGGTGAACACAACCTGGGTATTTTCATCACCTTGGAGAAGCGAGAAAATGAGACCTACCAGCTCCAGCATCCCGCTGCCCACTTGGGCGGTCTTTTGCGTGGTGCTTTGAGTGTCAGTGTCGGCGAGTCTGCCTATGTCACTTGTCCCAAGACCAAGCTGAAGTGCATCCTCGAGTATATCGAAGATGGCTGGCTCGGCCGCGCTCAAAACAGGATGGAGGGTGTCATCTTCCGCTATGACCCCGACAACGACACCAAGACACGCATCAAGGATGTCGCCGACAAGGATGTCCTGATCAGACTTGGTGGCTCTTGGAAGGACAAGATCGTTTACACCGTCGGTCCAAAGCCAGTCGTGAGTTTTACAAGACCGATTTCACTGCACATTTGCTGACCAACCCTTCAGAGCTCTCATCCCGCTGATAAGCAGATTGTCATTATCGATCTGAATCCTTTGCATGTTGCCTCCAAGGTGTTACCCCCCAAGGACAAACAAGCAGAGAACGAATCGCTGGAAATGTGGGACGGTGTAACACAGGCTATTCACTCGAAGCAATTCTCAAAAGCGACGCAGGTCAAGCAGGAACTCGAGGAGAAGCAGAGAGAAAAGGCCAGGGCCCGCGAGAAAGACAATGTTGAGTGGAAACCCGTCTTTTTCTCTCAGGTCACAGACAAGGGCGGCAAGCCTGACCTCAGTGACAAGGGCAAACAGGTCCTCGAGAGGATACAGAAGAACGACTGGAGCCTCGAGGGCATTGTATAGTTTGTCGACTCTAGACCATCTGGTATTATGTACAGACAGCGCAGAGAAGGTGCAACTGATTCGGTATAGGCATAGATTTGCTTCAAAGCCGTCATTCTCTTGGTAAAGGACCGGATCAATGATCAGTCGTCGCTACAATATTACAACCACAACACATTGGCTAGACAGCCATTTTAACCCGCATACAGGCATACATACGCACATGAATCGTTTTAGGCATAGCAATTGGTCAGGACAGACGAATGGTTCAGCAGTGCATTCATTATCGAAGACGACAACACCTAGAGTCGCTCACATTTCTCCAGGCGTTTCTTCACATGGCATCTAGACTTCATAGGACAATTACTGTTTTCTCAAATCACATTTCTTCCATGTCAGATCTGTTCTCTGGCTATCATCTATCACGTATGCTTCGAGAAGACGGCCTGTTTTGCCATTGCCTTTTCATGATCTGCCGTGTAGTTGACGCCCCAACACGTGGTACATTATTGAACGTCCGGCGAAAGCAGAAACAACGTCGTTCCGGTCATTATCAGGCAACCAGGGCGGTCCAGGAAAGGTGGTAGCCGTTTCCCAGCAGCGTCCTCCTCGGCGCGCAGGTTTGCTACCAGTTACATCTTCCCGCCCATGATTGGGACTTAACTTTGTATCGACCATGGTTCTAACACAAAAGGTTTCCACACATTTTTATGCGAGCTACCGAACGGTGAATGGTATTGTTCAGAGGACTCTTGCCGCATAACCATCACGAAGCAGATTGGACTCCGCCGTGCTCAAACGTTCATAGGCAAAGCGACCCAAGTAAGATGATGCGCACACAAGCCTCAACCACATCGGGCTCAGAAGATCCCCGGAGATACTTCGACAGATCTAAGCTCAAGCCTCGCACCTACCACGATCTCCCGGACGGGCTGAAGCTCAACATCTGGGAGGAGTCGATGCAGACCAGGAGGGACACCTCGAACAAGTTCATCTGGGACGTCAACTTCACAGACGGCGACGCCGTCATCGTCGGCACGGCCCCCCTGAGCAGGCTAGACCTCTACAACGCTGGCCGCGGCCAGATCGCCGATCTGTTCTGCCAGTTCGACGCCAGCTCGCGCCGCGTCCTGCTGCGCCACTTCCAGCCCATGGCCACGAACGTCCAGACCAGCAGCACCACCAACACCCGCGTGTGCGTCTTCGTCGACCCCGACCGCGACGCCTTCTACCTGCACGGCCATCCACCGCGGATCCGGAGGGCCCCGCCCGCGCGGCTCACAACGCACGGCGGCGCCGGCGCCTCTACCGCTGCCTACCTCACCCTGGGCGGGGTCTGGCTGCCCGGCGGCACGAGCATGGCGGGCGCTCACGCTATATACCATGTCCATGTGCCCTGGTTCTGGCTGCGGGACGAGCGGTGGCACCGGTGGCTGGAGGAGATCCTGCGCGACGGGGGGCGCTCGGTTCACGAGGCCCTCCATCACATCTACGGGGACGGGCCGTGGCTGCCGGATGATCGCGCGCATGGCTATGCGATACCCATTCGTTCGCGGCTGCTGCCCCGGCTGAAGACCATCGTCTATGGCGGCTCCTACAAGGCCTCGGTAAGGCTGTCACCTGTCGCTCACCATCGTGACGTTAGCTGATTGTTTTGCTCGTCTAGGTCCAACTGTTCTTCGGGGAGCGTTAGGTCATATGGCCACCGACGGGAGTCTTCACAGAGGTCTCAGCCATTTCCTTGACTGGAGCATTTGGGTTGGGGGGCGTTGCTGGGTTTGGTAATTCGCATCTTGGGTGTGAAATGGCAGGTGTTGAGTGAGTGGGGATATACGAGGATGTGACATTCTCGGCAAAGTCTATCAGGGGTGGACCTTGTTTCTTGTCATAAATAGAGCACAGTATACCTGCCTCAACTGCTTTCGCCAATCCAGAGAATATGAAAGAGAATAAATGAGAAAGGGCGACAATACCATATACCAAAGTCGCGCTGGTCACATTCATTCGACGGGCGCGTGGCAAAATGCATGTGACTAGCGTGGGTTCTCGGTGCAGTACTCCCCAGTGCCGTTGCAGATTTGCAAGTACATATTCTTCCATATCTGCCTGTAGTTGTATGCACGTCTAGCACTTCTTGCTTGCGAGGGCTGATGCAGGTTCGGACTTGGTGACAGGCTCACGGGGTCCATCGAGCGAAACATGCTGATTATCATTGGTGTTAGTAGTGCTCAAGACTCGTTCATCCCTCTTGTGGTAAAGGGCCCAGCTGTACCAGTGAGCAAGGTGACGCATTTTAAGAGGGCATGAGAAGGTCCGGCGAGCAGGTTCAGCGGGGGCCAGAGCCATATGAAACACCATTCGATTCAACTATGTTTGCTAATTTGCACGAATATTGTTTTGTTGAATCAGCATCATGATTGCGATCATGAATAAACAATCCCACACCCGCTTTCAGACCAACGGCGAAGGGTCGCTACATTTGGCCGTACTGCTGCCAGTGCTACTCTGATGGTTTGTTGGAAATAAGGGTCAACACAAACTTGCTCGGCCCCGTTCGTTCCTCCTTGAGCTGCTTAGGGAAATTTTCGTTGGAGACGATGTCCACCTGCTTGGTCTTCGCATTCCACTGGAAGAAGACGGAGCCCACGGACAAGTACTGTCCCGTGTGCTCGTTTCTCAAGTAGATGGCTGTGGTGACGGGCGGACCCGTCTCGCCAATGGTGCCGACGAGCTTGAATTCGTCATCCTCGTTCGAATACAGGATCTTCTCTCCGACGTCGGCGGCGTTCAGCTTGAGGCTGTACTGCCTCGCGGACCCGCCAGTCTCATCGGTGAATTTGAAGGCGATGACGCGGACGTCGTTCCCGATGACCTTGAAGCGTGACAGGCCACCGAGGGCCGAGAGGGAGGGGTTCTCCCCTTCGAGCTCCTTGTACACGCCGGATGAGTTGGCGTGCTGCCAGGCTAGGACTTTCGTGTCGTAGGCGACCACCGCAGAGTTGAAACTGTCGTTCAGGCTACCAGGATAGAGATTCTTGTCGTCGCCGATGTTGTAGGAGTGCTTGTCACCTGAGTAGTCGGCCTTGGTGAAGAAGGCGACTTGGCCAGTGGGAACCGATGGTGCAGCCATTTTGACGTTGCAGTATCAATGTAGGGGAATAGCAAGGCAAGTATTTCTGTTTCTGGATTCGATTGATGAGCATGAACCTTCAAATGATACCGTCCCCGGGTCTATTTAAATATTTTTTCGGGCCTCGCTCAGATTGAAGGGGCACCTAATCAAGTAATACATGGTGGGTGGTAGTCCTACACTTCTTACGCAAGTTGTTGGAAATGACTTCACAGCAGTCACGTCAGGAGTGTTGTTGTCACGATATTAAGGTTCACATATCCACTAATACGGGACATGCCGTAGCGCGGGCTACCATGTTTGCATATAGTCGGCTTATGAGAACCCACGGATGACATCCCCCAGCATACTCCTAGTCGGTACCTGAACCTCAAAACTGCAACCAAAACCGTTTTCGTCAATTTGCTACATTCAATGACATCTCTGGCTTATGAGGTTCTCGAGGTGACATCTCATAGCATGCGTTGGTCGATAAGTGTAGCAAACTCAAAACCCAAGGTTTGCCAGTAGCGGTACCAGCTTCCGAAACCCCAACGTAACATCAATATGTTTGTTTATTGCCAACCCGGGATTGGGACCAAACTCGGCTTATGATATTTTGTGAATGACATCCCTTGAAATTCAGGCACGTCAGGAACACAGGGACATTGCCACGCCACGATGAGAAAAGAGGGCGGGTGTGACTTACGCGTCGAGGTCACACCGGTCACCCGACGACCACATAATCTCGCCGCATGCTTGATCTGGTTGCTACACGGTACGCCATATAAGAGCATCGGCGCCCGTACCTCTGGCAATTGACGGCGCCGTGTTCCACAACGACAGCATTCCCACGAATTGGATAGTCGATCACCCTCTGTGCTGTTGTGCCGACTTGTCAGCCCTGTGCCGTTGGTATGGCAGCGGTTTAACAGGGTGATGTGGATCGTACCTACAATCAAGTGTCCAAGAAAGATATTGCGTGTGCAGTGCAGTTCTGAACGACGCACATCACATGATTTATTAAACGAAAGCTGGTCATGAACGCAGCAGTAGCATCCGCCTCTGTCTTCTTTTCGACCATATCGTCGCACTAAATCTTGTCAGAGCGTCTCAGTGTGCCTTGCGTTGAGCTTCACCATGACTTCATCCATCGCGCATGCTCATTCGAAACGAAAAACACCCATGCTAGACACCATTTTGATCAGAGTGAGCATTCTCGAACTAAACGTAAGATATGAAAGCTCAGGTCGTGATGAGCTAAGAGCGGAGATAGGATGCAGGACTTATTGTGGCCTGCTACCCTTTCACTGTGCAAGCCTTCTCGGACATAATTGCCTACACGCTATCGTAGCCTCACATGTTTCCAAGCATTCCGACTTTACGATTATCAGAAGGTAATGTTGTACGTCATCTATATATGTTGTGGACGGTTTGATGCACTCAAAGAAACCAAGATCTAACGATGACTGTACAAATTAATTCATCTGTATGCTCCTCGACCGCACCTATAGCAGATCTGAGACGCAACATCCGACTGCCGTCTTAACATCTAGGTTTAGGATCAAAACGCTTTTCTCTCGGACTCAGGGGCGGAGGCAGAGGAGCATTAAGGGATAATTGACCGGTACGCTCGGCATCCCATGTGTTCAAGATCAAACTGAGTTAATCTCTATCATGCATCGCGACAGGCTCAAGAATCAGTCTCCATCCACAATCGAGTCCCCAATCAAGCGCCCAAAATTAGGGAATAGTGAGATGACTTCTGAGAACCTACGCCCATCCAAGAAATTTGAATGAAAGCCATCGCGCCGCGGGTGGTTTTATCGCTTCCACCAGAAATCTTGATTATCCTGGTCCAGTTCGACGGCTTCCCAAATTATCCATATAGCCCGTGTTCAATCCAAGACATCTACGAAGCCGCCGTTATAGAAACCCATCATCAATATATTGGGTCAGTCAACCATTTCTTCGTCGTGTTCCGGGAATGATTGGTCTCCCATATGTCCGGATCGGGCCATGTCTAGTCGAGCCTTGGGATTGTCTCGAAGATACTCACGGAATGTGATATCGTGATTTGAAGGTACCGGTGCACCCGGCTGGAACAAATCTGGCTGCTTGACGAGGAGCTGTTGGAGTGTTTGGTCCAATAGGTTCTGGGGGATATAGTAGTTTGTGGGTGTGACATGCGTTGTATCGACATTTTTGTCACCTGCGCCGCCACGCAGATCCACGTTTGCATGTTTGGCGCGCTTGCTTCCTCGAGAAGAGTTCGAATCCCGCCTACGTTTGGCAGGACCTTCGGTGACAAAAGCATTCTGGAGCGGAAGTTTGGCAACTTGATCTCCATTATTTCCGTCTTCACTTTGGTCTTCGTTTCCATCTTCATGCCTTTCTGCTTCCCTCATCTTGACATCTGGGGCACAACCAACTGGCTCAGCTCCATTTGATATTAAATGGTCACCTCTTCTTTTGTAAGCCTCAATATCAGTCTCAATCTCACCCTTAGTGTCGTTGATAATCCCAAAATCTTTGCGATCACTCTTTTCGACATCACGTTCTTCGTTGTCTACCTCGTCGTCCTTCGCTTCGTCCTCGCCACTGTCGCCGTCTTCACTACCACTCTCTGTACCCTTTTCGCCACCACTCTTTTGATCCTCGCCATTCCTATCGTCCTCCTCGCCGTCCTCGTTGTCAGGTCCCTTGGGTAACATTTTGAACTCTTCAACGCTTGCCTGTTCTTTATATCTCAGAAAAAGTTCGACTTTAATGCCCCCCACCCTTTGACCCAAGTCTTTCAGCCGCTGCTTCAGTTCATTGACAGTAGTGGCATGGAATCTTCCGCGATCCCCATTAGCAATCTTTTCGTATCCTATCACACGCCGTTGGGATGCCTTGGCGAAGTTGTTGTTGCCAGGCACAGTCTCCCTCCCCTCCCTCTTCTCTTTGGCAGGCCTCTTAGCCCTTAGAGTCTTCCCCTTAACCCCGACGAGCTCATCTTCATCCTCGGCCCCAGTCTCATCTTGACCATCTGATTCAACACCAGGCCGCTTGCCCTTAGCCCTTGCGGGTAAGTGCTGGGATACCTCCTTCTCGTCCGAGTCGCTGTCGGTTCTCGTTTCGGGCTCTTTGCTGATATCACCCCATGATTCGTCGTCGTTGGGTTGGGCCATCTTCGCGAATGGGTCGCGATAAATGGCAGACACAAGTTAGGATGTTGGGAAATAGTGATACTTGATTGTTGTGTTCCCAATACCTACACGCTCGATCTACACACTCTCTGATGCTCTAGAAATAGGACGAAGCTGTGTGCAAGTCGTAGTGTTAATAGCAGGACACGGATCTTGCGATCTATACTTGTGTCGCTTCCCTCATATGGCAACATTTCTCTTTTGTGGCCATCTTGATGTGCTTTCAGTGACAAAGGTTCACTTGCGAATTGTTCCGTGAGCGTCTACATGGTTGGCCGTTTCCGGTCGCTGCGATCATGCAAGCACTTCTTTCCTTTGTCACGCAACTATGGATGGTAATGGGGCACAAACAACAGCTTGCTGTGATGATCTCTTAGATAAGGCAAAAGGTTTAGTGGATGATGAGTCCCTGTACTATTACTTGTATGCTATCATGGTGCCTCAAGCAGCACGCAGTCACCACACTACGCACACATGCGACATGGTGGTTACAGCTTAGTTTGTGGAGTGGTTATCACAAACTGTATTTACATTGGTCATTTACTTTCATTGAACCATACTGAAAATCATCGGCCTGTATGCGCCAGAAGTGATGACATGTGTAACTCGGTTCGGGGTGGATGCTTACAGTGACTGAATAGCATGAACAGCCCAATTTCAGGTATTGCATGCCCGAAGACAAGACATTTCCTACATGATCAAGGTACACATAAGTAATGAGCGGTGGATTCGTGTTTTAGTCTCTGAAGTCAGGCTCGTTCATAGCCGACCTACCAATGGCAGTTGTTCCCTATGGTCTCAGTATACTATGTAGTGGACGCACCTTACATTCGACAATCCTTCATCACCCTCACATATAGCGCTCCCTTGCGGGAGAGCATATGTAAACTTGACGGCACTCTTCACAGTCGCTTCAAATGACGAACTTCTGATCTTTTGCGACGTATGCTAGCCCGCCTCCAAGTCACGCCTATTATGCAAGCTGGATAACCCATCTCTACCATAGAAAGCTGACGGCAATGATGAACATAGCCAACCAATGACGGGTCAGCAGCGACAACTTATCACAGTTCATATGGTGCGCTACCATCTTGATAGTTCGCATCGTCACCACAACTCTGCTTCGGTCCAACGCAAACTCCCACGCCAAGCACTTCACCGGATGAGGCAGAGATCAGCAACCACATCCCACACCTTGCAAAGAAATGCCGATTTGCCGACTTTCTAGGTGAGACACTGATTGGAGTTCTTTCTTATCACCCCTCCCTCGCACTTGTGCTTTCAAAAACCTTCTCTTGCGCGTTTCGTTCCAAACGAAAACAACATCTCGGCCGAACTTTCATATTGCTATCGAATTATGACGTCATACATAACGGACATCTCGCAACCAGCTTCAACTCATTTTTCCGGTGCGCTGTCAAGACAGAGTCGTATCACTAATCCTGCGGACGACTCACAATGAGTGAGGTGTATTGATAGCTGCCGCCTGGCACTGTTACCCTTGACTTGTTGTCTCGAACAGGCGTGCTTGCCCCGTAAGGATGGAGGAATCACGGTATCGCGCCCCGTCAGCCCGCTGGTCCCAAAAGTGATGCCACAATCCGCTGCATCACTCTCGGTTCATTGTTCCAGAATAATCACATCTTCACAGGGGGCCAGTATCGTATCATTTTTGCTCCTGTCTCCTGTATGGCCCGCACCAAGGTCCGAACAATTTTTGTGCTTGCACCAACCAAAATTTCGGGACAAAGCAAGCTACCGACCCGAAAACAGCAAATCGGCATGCCGATCATCGCTATCTAGCGCAGTCTCCCCTGCCGCTCTTTCGTCACAGATGTGAAGATCTCTAGACGTGGCTTTCCCCAATGAAGGCTTGATTTGCTGGGCTTTATGTGGCTTGTAACTCGTCTGTCCAATAGGGTAGCACAGAACAGGAAGGGCGGCCTCTCACCTAGGTAATGCTCTTCGCTTGATTTGTGGCACCAAAGATTCCAGGTAATAAAGTGAAGGAAATAGACAATAGAGAAATGTGTACAACTAGAGACTGTGGCGTCAAGGTCCAACTACCGCATACGGCAACTGTATTCCTTGGTTCGCTCATGTCATTGGCTCTGAGCTGAGGCTTCACCGTTTTGCTAAGTCACCTAGATTTGTGGCTCTTCCCACAACGTAAGCGAGTGGCGATTTCTTTCTGTTTCCGATGCTCAAGCCTCTCTCTCTTTCATCGCACTTTACTTTTATCGGCCAACAGCAAAGCACATTGTGACAAGGTACTGCCGCAAACCCTAGCCCGCCCGCCTTGCCTTTCCCCTAAATGAGTATGCACCTCATGGGGTGCTGGTAATACGTGGCTTCCGAAAGTGTGTTCAAGCTTCATGATAGCGGAACACGCGGCCACTTGTGGCGAGAGTATACCCAAACAAACTTTCCACTCCCAAGTATAACCCCCCACGCCCGGTATAATACCGAGGTCAGTGATTGGCTCTCGTTTGTCGTTGAGCGATCAAGCCCAGAACATAATCCAAAACTGTGGCTCTCCCACTGTGTCTCTGTGAGCCACTGTGGCGATTGTGTCCGACCGTGGAGCCCAACTATGATCGCGTTTTTTCGACCCCTACCGAGCTGAGTTTAGTTTGTCCACCAAACCATCATTGGCCTGAACCCCTGACCTAGGGAACGCTGATATTTCGTAGATGCGTTCCACGTGGTTCACGGAGGCCTCAGAAATGCATTCTAGATCCGGCGATTATGATGTTGTACGCAGAGTGCTTCGCTCAACCCGCCGGCCTGCCTCCTCGGAGGGCTGCATGCTTAGTAAAGTTCTGCCCGAGAAGGGAACACCTGGTCAGTTTGATATAGATTCGTGTCTAGATTCATCATTTCTACCAAATTGGCGGCCTCCCTATTCTGTTTGCAAAGCTTGCAGCGAGCAAATGCCCAACTTCAATAGGTTCCCACCCGGTGATCGGCATCCGATTCCCCTTTTCGGGCCAGCCAGCGGGGGAAGACACCGTCATCGCCGGCCGAAGCTACGGCAGTCAAGCCTCCCGCGAAAAGAAAAGAGTCTGGTCAGATTGTGGCGAGTGCTCTCCGCTTCAACGCGTAGAGGAGCTCATGTACAGGTACTTGACCCCTTGCACTAGCCACAAGAGCTTTCGATGCACCAAGCGTCACTCTGCATATGCAGGCATAGAATACTACTGAACGACACGCTGGAAATGAGCAATACCCATGCACTGTTGTGCTATTAGTCGCAGCGCCTAGGGATGTTTTGCAGCGTCCAGCAGTGCATTTGGGCCTACCGTTGGGGTCCGCTGCAATGCCATGCGATGCAATGGGGATCCGGTAATCTGCCCCTATTCCCTTCAACTCACATAGTGTAGCAGTAACACATGCGCCGCGGATGGTTCGAGAAAATTGCAGATGGCGCTCGTCAACCTCTAGAGTTAGCATTGACAGGGACGGATTCATGTGCGAGATCACTATGACATCGGAGTGACTGTTGTCTAGAGGCTACCCAGGATCCAGCGGGTGGTCGCAGGAGCTGTGAACGATGTTGAGACTCGTGATATATTGTCGGACGCAGACTTGAGCATATAAACTCTGTCGGATGTCTTCGATAAATTGGAGATAGCGCGGGGACCGTTGCACATAGAGCACCGCACCCGAAAACGCACTTTAAGGGGTGTCGGCTCTAATTGCCCATCGATGGCTGTACTGATATTGTAGAGCAAAAGAACCAGCTTGACGGAGTCCAACGAAATGGCGTTGGACTTTCCGCGACTGTTTACTGCTAGTATACGCCGTTGCCAATGATAGCCGCTAACTACGGAAGGAGAACACTCCGTTGAAAAGGCGTTACGCTAATCATTATTGTCGTATGATGACAATACACAGAGACAATTGCGGACACAAATTGCTCACTGGACTCTCTCAAAGTATACCGGCGTTTCAATAGAGACCGGTGGTCATAGGCTATGGGATTAATTAGGTCTTTCGGTGGAGACAGCGTCCATGTTGAGATGAGCAGTTCCTGCATTGACCTTCTGCTAGACTGCATCCAGGTAGTCGACTCTTCCTTGCAACGGCACAACTTCCTCTGCTAGGCGAGATAGAAAGTGTTAACTTTGGAGTGAAGTACTCCGGACTTTGAGGTCAAAGTATCCTCGACTCCATGCCAACAATAACATCTCGACCAATCTGTGGACCTATTGCATTTGTGTCTAATGTCAGTGTAGCGGATACTCTGGCGCCAAATCCAAATCGTCCCTAGGCCGCGCAATACTCGCCACACATTGGGGCTGTGCAATGCGCTTGTAAGTGTCGATTCTTGTGGCTTGACGCAGCCCGTCATAAATTTAGCTGTTCACGAGCGATAGTGCAGTCGTCGTGCGCCTGTGACACCATCGGTGAGAACCCAATGGCTGGGATCTGTTACTGACACTAGAAACATCATCATTGCAGATACTGTCACATTTCTCATCTCATCGATGTTTGAGGTGGACACAGGTACTCGGCTGGATAAAGCGGCAATTTTGCGGTCCTTGATGAGGTGAGAAGCTTGGAGCTTGTCCTTGGCCGGCAGTTGGGACATATTTGTATCAGATAATGACGATAGCTCGCCCATCTTGGACGAGGATGCCGCGTTGACGGACTGGGAGCTTTCTCAAGAACCACAGAAGCTTGCCATCGTCCAATCAATATCGGATGTAATGTCTTGTGAAACGCCTGTCATGGTACGAATGTATGTAAAATGACAGCCCTATTTGCTTGCGGGTTCTGGTTAGGATTACTACCACGCGTAAGAACAACGCTTATTACCCCAGACTTTGAATTGCCTCCTTACGTGGACCTTGGCTGCGTTTCTGCATCGGGCCATTGATGGGAGTTTAGAGTTTATGTCAAACATGTGACAAGGCCGTATTTGATGAGAGAGGATGGTGATGGTGTGGTTTATTTGGAGTTTCAATGCGCTTACTTAGGCGAAAGGCATTGTGGGGGGGCCACAGGAAAAGCGATGCTCCGTTTCTGGAAAGGCCCGCCGAAGAAACAATCCTATGTACGGATAAGCACAAATGAGATTGCGACAAGGGCCGCAACGAAAGAAGTAACGGTGCAGAACAAGCCACCGCGGCTAGGGGGTTTCAGCGCTATAATCCGTAGAGCCGCAATTGTTTAACTTACATGTTTAGGGACTGCACATTGTCAGCGGGCAGGAATACAGACCCTGTAGCCGGTGAATAAGAGCACGAAAAGATCCCATGAACTTATGGCCATGGTGACTAAAGTAGACTAAGGAAAGTTTTTATGAGATCCGTTTGAAGGGGGTTAATGGAGGCTCCGTACCGTCGTCACACTTGCTCAACCAGATTTCGATTGATAAAAATCCATATTGCGATTCACATCATATCCAAACTATTACCGTGCTTGGTAAGGACTATGGCACTTGACACAGGCTCATTTCATTGAGCCGGCCATGCGAATGTGATGAGGAGATTATCGTGGCACATTGAAAGGACTGCTTGTAATTGAGGGGCCTGTCGTCATGCCATGCATACGTACTCGCTTCCATATCTCGAATTTCGTTGAGAATTCTTCTTGTGAAGATTTTGAGCTTCGTGAAATGAGGATGGTGGAGGCGAGATTACCTTACAAACCGCTTCCGTCCATTTTCATCCAATCAGCGTGAGAATGCTTGACTTTGCAGATATTGTCGCAATCTCGGCCCTGCAGGGCTCATCCGCCGGTTGTGCTAGTCTAGGGCGGCCTTGCTCTAAATTGGTATGTGTAATGTTTCAGACTCCCGAATTTGTCTACAATTCACGACGCAATGGTAGAAACAAACCAGACATCAATAAAGATAAAAGGACTTCCGAGATTTGAGGGTTTGATCAGTACATTAAAATGTTATCTATCGTATGCTGCTAGGAGCAGGTCAGCACAGCCGCCTGCTTCGTGTTTCGTGGACGTAGTGAAGGGGTCATGGACTAAGCCCAAGCCGTCCCGCTTCCATAACAAGAGGTATAGCGCGTAAAATAATATGGAGAAATGTCCGAATAAATATGAATGATCTTCATATAGACCAGAGTGTACGTGTAGCAGAGCGCGCCCCGGTGCCTGATTTGTGTGTTGTAGCTCTTCCACCCTTTTGTTGCCGACCCTCCCTTCTGGAATCCGCAAAGAAGTCAATCAATACATGTACAGCCGACGCAAGATGTAATGATGTCCCAGCAGCCAAATGGTTCCTCCGATGGTCCCTCATCATTACGAGAGTTCGTGAGTCTATAGTAAGCCAGGCCTCAAACTACCGCTGTAGTGAGCCGAATTGTGAAGAAGTTCGAAATTGCCAAAAAGGCAGTGGTATCTTTGAAGGAGTCCCGCAACGCCGAGTGTAAAATCAAAATCCATCCAATGATCGTGTATATCGGGTATCCGCTTGCGTATATGCGCTCCAAATGGTTGCCAGTCGTAAATGAAATAAATAGAAGTTGCTCTATAATATGCTGAAAAAAAGTCGTGTTGACAATGTTAAAAAGTCAGTCGTAGTTCGTATCCGGTTGCCGCACGCAGAGCACCATGTGACGATGCCGTGTCCTCTTCACCATCAACCGCCATCTCCCACTCTCGTTTTGGCTGAGGCACTTGGTGTTCGACTTCAACGATGTCGAGAAGCATATCCTGACCTTCTGATAATGCCTCAATCACATCATCGTCCATCTCAACTTGGAGGCCACTCTCTAAAGCATGCACAGTGCGTACGATGTTGGTCGAGTCGAGTCCCCACTTCGTTGCGATACGCATGGTAAATTCGGGTAGAGTTCTTTTAGTCAGGTATATAGCTCGGTGCAGCTCCTTATTGTCAGTAGGTGACTGTTGACGTCGCGCAATATAGAAACAGGCAACGGGCTTGGCTGGCCGGTTTGTAGGTGGCTGATAAGACGGGTCGACCCCCAAAGCCTCGATCCAGCCACTGAGGCTACCAGACTCGTCGATCTTATTCACCTTCGTGAGCTGTTCGGACGGCGCCGAAGACTCTCCAGAGGGTTGAAAATCGTTCATTGGTGGCTTGATTCCGGCGACAGATGCTTGCGACTGTAATGACATGAAGCTCGGTGACGGTGATACCAGGGACGAATCGGCCACAGAGCTTCGCCCGCTCCTCCACACTGCGCTATCCTTGGACTCCACCTTGGTGAGGTCAGTCGGCTCGCCTGCAAGTGTAACAGGGTGCAAATCTGGATCGTCGGTCTCTTCACCTCGGAGGTATAGTATGCTCACAGGTCGTGTACTGGTGAACATGTCCTGTAAAGTCTGGAGTTTGAAATGTAAGTCATCTTCGAGCGAAGGGCGTCCACCTCCACCACCTCCAGCGGAACTGGCCGAAGACATGGACCAAGTCCTCTTGTGTTTCTGAACCTTGCCTGGTCTTTGGGATTCCTGGCCCTTTGCTTGCGACGTAGATCCGCGTTTCCTCTTCCCAAAGTCCTTCATGCCACTTTCAGCTTGCGCAATTTGTTGCTTCAGCTTGTCTATTGTCTTTTTCACGTGCGCCACGTCGTTCGAGAGCTTCCGTTCCGCACCGTGATCTCGGAAAAGCTTGACCTTGCAGTAGCAAATCTCAGCGCCAGTGTCTGGCGGCGGCGAAGTGCCGTCCATGGGAAGTGCCACAGTTTTGGCGCAAAGTCGGACGGGAATACCCTTGACACCTTTCGAATGGCTGAAGTCCGTCGAGAGGAAGTTGAAACGCACGGCAACATTGCATTCGGCTCCGCCGTTGAGACCAGGAGTCCAGATGACGGAGAAACCGTCAAAGGATGCCGTGTCGAGTTCGACTCGAGTTCTCTTGTCGTCTCCTTCTGCAGGTTGTCCAGCCTCGACATATTCCACAGCCTGCAACTTGCCACCTCGTTGATGGGCCTCGTTGGTGCCGCGACCTTCCTTCCACAAGCTCCAGCACACACCAGGCTTCTGGCGCTGTTGGTCATCTTCAAACGAGACACGCACAAAAGTCCTGTAACGCGTACCAGGAGCAATTGGCAGGATGGCTCCCGTATCAACCACAGATAGCGAGTAGGCCTGCCCTTTGTTCAGATACGTCACTGGTATCTCATCTGCTTGCTTGATCATGGCAGTTGGCGCGTTGAGGGTGGCATGGAACCGGAACTTCTCCGCAGAAGGCGGCATGCCATGGTTCAAGGACATGCCGAAGTGCGTGGGCTGGAATCCCATCATAGGTGGGGATTGCGAGTGAAAGGCGGCGTCAAGAGAACCCATCCTCTTATGACCCTCGGAGTCGAGCGGAGAGCCGTCTTGATCCATGGTCTCGTAGCCAGTATCCTGGTGCACAAATGATGAGGGCGCAAACGAGGCCTGTGCTGGTGCCGGCTGGATGAAAGGATTGAACTGGTGCTGGAAGTGGTGAGGCGGCATTCCGTGTTGGAAGTGACCGAGATCCATCATAGGTGCCCCGGAATGCATTGCGCCTTCACTGGTCGGCATTGACAGAGGAGTCCCCAGGCCCATGCCCAGGCCTAAGGTGGGCGTGTGCAAGTCGCCAGCTTGCGGATGGTAGAGCGTATTCGTGCCGCCGGGGGTAGGCGTGTAGTAGCCCGGCGGCTGGTTGGCGAAGGCAGAGAAGGAGAATGAGCCCGGATCGAGCAAGGACGGTGTGAACCTCCATGGCTCGTTGGATGCACGGGGGGTTGGATCTTGGTCTCTAAAGGCATCTTGACCCAAACTTTGACGTCTGCAGAGGTAACATTGTCAGCGGGTTCGATCAATGGAGAGTTGCAACCCTAATGGAGATTAGGTCGAATCGCGACCAAAGCGGACCAGACCCAAACCGTTGTGTCGACGATCTCGCCTAGTGAAGTCGGCCGAAATAGCACGACCCTGACCCTGACCCCGACCCCGCGTTGGTGCTGGTGTCTGGCGCTCTGGCGCTTTGCACCGCCTCACTTGAGGGATCAAGACCAGGAAATATCGTGACAGCGAAGTCGCCGTGGAACCCCTACTCTGCACATACCTTTCTTGCGGTGGCCCGCCGGCGGTAAGTATTGGGTTCTCGCCCGCTGCGGTGATTGGCGCTTGAGCTGTCGCCGTCGTCGTCGTCGAGCCCGCAGTCGACACCTGTGGAAACTGCTGCCGGAAGTTGGCGAGCAGGTCTTCACCGGGCTTTTGCGTGCTTGTCCTAAAAGCGCGCATTCAAGTCAGTATATAGAGTTGGGCTGGATTACATGCAGTGCAATAACAGTTGTCGCATGCGCGAAGGAAACTCGCGACCACGTTTGTTTACTCGCTTGGTGAAAGCCGCCGATCATCTGCTCAAAATGCCACGTATAGAAAAATCGGGAAGAAAGTGCTCACCTCTGTCGAAACATGTGGAATGATGTGCTCAGGACGCTGTCACAAGACAGCGAGACCAGAAGATGCTCAGCACAGTTTGTCGGGTCGGGGAGGTCGCCGTTGGGAGAGGTGAAACGATGAGATCAGATCAGATCAGGCCAGGCTTGAACAGTCCCGCCAAAGGTAGCTGTAGCTAGAAGAGGGTCGGCGGAAAGTCGCGGTGGAGATTGAGAGAGTTAGGCGGAGTTGGGGCTGGAGCAGTATCGTTGAAGAACGACAGTCGCAGACGGTGTTGTCCTGTCTTAAGGAGTTGTGCAATAATCAACAGTGGCAGGCAGCCCGGAGTGTGGAATTTGTCAAAGGTTTCGAGATTAGTAGAATGGCGGTAAATCGCAAGAAGGCCAAAAGATTATATGAAAAGAGGCTGATTTGATGAAGGGTGACAGTATTATAGTACACTTCACTAAGGATTGGGTAGTGGGTACTTCCATATGATATGGTGGAGTTGGGAACGCACACTACGAAGCAGCGACAGGCCCGGGGAGGGGGTGTAAGTCTGATATTTGGGAGGGGCGTGGGAACTGCTGAGGGCACCCATGAGATGACCAGCTACGCGTCAATCGGCAAGGTGACTGAGTGACCCGTACTATGTATGCTCTGGGTCTAGGATCATGGGGGGAATGTCGTTAGACTAGACGGAAGATTCGATTCAATCTATGAGACGAGACGAGCGCAGATTGGAGTGCCCTAATAAGTACTGCGCTGGTGCTGGGCTGGAACTGGAACTGGACCGCGACTAGACCAGTCCGGGGCAGAGGTAAGAAGTAACCGGTACAATCACGGACGGCATGTTCTAGGTACTTTGCACCATGTTCACATTCTGAACTTTGAACACGGCCTCCCCCCCCTGGCGATGCTGTGCCATAGGTGGTACGTAGGTACTTGTACTCATCCGCCCCAAATCCTTGCCGCTGGAGCTCGACTTCGAGCTTGAAGCGTCTGTGCCGAGACCCAGACAGCGACGCGATTGGAGATGCAGGGGTTCAACAAGCCACTGCACTCTCCCTGTAAGCGTCCTTGAAAGCCACGAATTTCTGGTTCATTTCTTTCCTCATCCTCAATCATACCAGCACCCATTTATTATCTGTCTTCCCTTGAGGATCTGAATGTCATCATTCTTGTTAGCAGGCGAAGTAGTTGTAAACCCGTCAATATTTATCCCCAACGTGTGTACTGGCAATACCGACTCCCCCAAATTGTGTAGGTAGCCGAGTAAAGGCCGATGAACCCATGGCACAAGCTTGCGCCGCGCGGTTGGGCTAGAGAATCGCCAGCGCAGATAATAATGAGCATGACACAGAACTCCATCGCATAATTATCGTAATTATGTCATGTCTGCTCACACGATAGTCACTTCAAATCTCCGTTCGGTGTGCCTACGAGAAGACTTTTTGACCCTTGTGATGATCGGGAAGGACGGCCGCCGCCGGTGCACGAAGCGAAGACCCGCATCAATGACCTGACAGACGATGAATATCCACATACTATTCCGCACAAATCCTCTATGGCTTCCAGAGCCTCATCATAGACCCCATCACCGGAGATCGAGGTAAGGCAAAAGCCGAGCAGTGACCACTGATTTCTCATTCAGAGGTTTGTCGTTGTAGCTGTTAACGCTGCTGCGTGTTCTGATCGCAACGGCGGGCCCCACGTAACGATACAGGTAATGTGTTTTTCCATGATCAACTGTTTTGGTCATCACGTTACCTGTCGGTCTAGCCATGGCTCCCTCCTCCTGACGGAGCTCTTGACCTTGCTCGGCTGCACCTGCTGCTATGTATGTGCAGGCGGGCGGGTTTCTGTTGTCGCTGATGCCCTACTCTGCAGTGTACTCAGGTAAAGGCATCAAACCGTTGATTCTCAGGCAATCGGAATGGCTTGAAAGTCATATTTAGGTAATTCGTAGCCCAAGCCAAAATTACGCGTGTCTGCTGGAAGTTTTATGCGACACGTTCCTGGGTGAGTCTTGCACTTGGACCAGGTTTCTGTTTAAAGTTAAAACAATTTGACTGCATGTGGCCTTCAGTGACAAGGCAATGCTATCTACAATGCTGATGACAGCACACCAAAACGGATAACAAGCTTGTCATGCCTGCCTAGTTTGTCAATGTTTGACAACTCTAAAGCTTCTTCTATTTCCCAAAACAATCTTCTGCCGGCACTTCTCCTGTCAGGCCTTCCGCATATTTCAGGCGCTCGTACTCGGTGATTGCGCAACAACCCAAGCGCAGACCTTTTTAAATCGATGATTTGAAATTCGCCTATCAAGTCGCTCTTACTTCTACTTGAGCCTACTCTGTGACGGCAGGATACTACCCAACGCGCGGCGGAGAAAGGGCCAATACTGTTTTGTAGGGCATTGATGTTGTCAGCAGTCTCTACCATTAGATCGTGAATTTTCTCTGGAGCCTGTGCATGTTTCAATATTGATCTATCAGACTTGTCGAGCCGAAATTCCTGTACAAACCGTCGGTACAGATTCGGTAGGGTAACGCTTTCGTCCAAACCCGCCTTCTTGGCCTATCACAATTCGCATTTCAATTAAGCCGACTTTCTGTCGAGTGGCTGGACTAGTTTCTCACAGAGCCACATAGCATCGTGACAAGCGCAAACATTCAATGGTGTCATATGGAGACCCGAATGGTAGCGGATAACTCCAGTGGGGCAAACGTAGCCCCAAGTTCTGAAACACACCCTCGTCCATGGTAGTGCTCAATATCCTTCCGTCATGGCAGATTCTAGCTGTTCAATGTAGGGTCGCTGAGCGCCATGAAGCCCCAGTTGCCCCAGAGTATGGCTATCGTAATTCGAAACATGAATTTTGGCATGAGATGGGCTATTGGTGAGTGCAAGACAATCAAAACTTTCACCGTCCTTGTCTTTGCGAGAGTGGACATGAAAGAGGCCAAGCCGGCGGCAAACCGGCAGCCTTTTCAGACGCCACACCAGTACAACGGCTTTCTCGCAATAGCGTGATAGCGCAACTGTCTGGCGCCGTCGAAATAGACCATCATTTTAGCTCCATCAAAATTGAAGGCTTATGGCGAGCACACCGACCCCTCTAGTCAGTCACCAGTCGTGCTCGGCCGTCCAGATCTCGTTGATCAAAATTAACACGTGGACTGGTGTAGCATACACCGCCAAGCGAAAATGCATGGTGCCAGACGGCCCCGAAGCCAGTGCTACGCCAACAGCCGTTGCTTTTAGAGAAGAGGCACCTCCAGACGAAGATGGCGGGCGCGTTTAACGGTGGTAACTATAGGCCCGCTCCTAGCTAAACGTTGAGACGGCACGGCTCAATTGAAAGCATGAAATCCAACCAGCCACGCAAAACATATTATGTCGGTCCAAGACGCGATCGGTCACAACTTGTGATTAATGCTGCCAGAGGGATGAGTATTTTGCGGCGTAAGATGGTGGTTATGTTGTTTGCCAAGCATCGTCGTTGGAAAAAGCGATCGACGCAACTCCTGCCGCCGAAGGTTAGACTATCCCAAGGATTGACGACTGGGTTTTGCATACCGGAGATCGACCATCTTACTGCAGCAGCTCTCGCTATTTTTACTTGAACCACGTCGCTCATCAATCGAGATTAGCGATATGGCTGCTGTGGCAGAGTATGGTGGCTATGTAGGGCTCCAGCGCCCATTCATAGTCTCAAATGGCGCCACAGCCCTCTCGCACGCTTGAAATCTCTGTGGCATCTCTAGTATCTTGTGCATTGCACATAACTTGATCGTTTATACTCGCATATAAACAAAGCCTTGACCCACTTCGGTGTCGCAATTTCAACCGAAAAATATGCATGCCAAATTCCGGGGAGAAGTCGCCGGAAACCTGAAATGCCTGGACATGTGCTGGTCTTACATAGTACATCAACTTTGGAGTCATCACTTGTACACTACTCACATACACATCCTGACCGGACCCCCACTTGACGCAACCCCAGCACAATCACCATGTACAATAAGCTTTATAAAAAATATATAAAAATAATAATAAAAACTCCTCAACATGCGAGCCCTTTGAGTGAACAAAACAGCTCTCCTGCTTCGCTCCCATTACTCCGATGCCCCACACTCTGGACCCTCAGCTTCGACTTCTGGCAATTTGACAGCGGCATATAGTAATGCGTTATTAAGCACGTTTTTCCTCGTGGCTGAAATTGATGTTGATGGGCCTCCCTGCATGAAACGCAGGCTAGCTCCATCCCGCAATATACGTGGTCTGTTGGCGGCCATGGTCTCCCTAGTCTTTCGGACGGAAGTTCTATCCACTTGCGTAAGAGCACTCCTAAACTGGAAAGTAGACAGCTGCATTACCGAATACGTTATTAATTGACCCAGGATGTTTGGAATGAGCGGGAGGACTACGTGCTGAGCTCAGCTTGACCTCACAAAAATGTAAGCATGGGGTAAAGCAGCTCTCTGCAGACAGCACAGTCTGGAGCTCTGGAGCCTGAAGACCTACGGCAGATGCACCGGAAAAGAAAAGAAAAGGCACATACTCGAAACAATATAATACCCCAAGTTATTGGGACAACATGCATTGCTAGAGACTGTAATTGGATGGATCAGCATTATTGTCTGTAACTGGCGGTCTCATGGCGCAACATGGTGGGTTTCTGAATGGGGCTTACTGACGTCACAGCAGTCAAAGCCCAATACTGTGCTCCGTAAACCATTCAATAGACGTGTCCCGGCGGCTGAGCAGCTGGCTTAGCAGTGTGTAATAGCCTATGATTGTTGTAGCGACTTAAGCACGGAGAAACACATGTGCTCTCTTCATGTAAACATACGAGGGTGTTGGCGGCGAGACAGACATTAACACCCCTCCGTGTGCTATGCAGTCAACTGCACATACCGTTTCCAGCAAATCTATCTAGCTAGGCTCATGGAGGGTAAAACAATGCCCTTACAGAAATGTCAATCACTAGAGATGTTCTTTTGTTACGATTCACACCAGTGATGACAGCTACTCTAGGCGCATGCCATCTCAAGGAGAAATCTCGTGGAAAAGCCAGCTCCCCGTCGTGCATTTAGTAAGGTAACATCCGAGGCGAGAGTATTTCTCGGCCACATTACAATCCCATGTGTCGTGCTACACAATTTACTTAGACCCGAGCGTCTTCCACAGGAATCATTTCTGACATTCACATGTCACTATTGCTTTAGCTTGACAACGTATTCAGGTCTGCATGCACTCGAGCCTCAAAATATGTCTAATGCAACCGTTATGCAGCCTAAGGTTTCGTGCCTTGAGCTCAGCATACTTTCACCTATTGAGTTTGTTTCGATAGACACTCTTAGCCAGTCTTGTGTCCTTTGCAATTCCTCAAATTGTGATCAATGTTTTGGTAGATGGCGCGGCCACATGTTGTACCAAGATCCGACTTGGCTGACCTGCTGGGAGCTACTATTATCGTCACTTGCTATCAGAGTCCGACCATTACGCGACAGAAAAGCCATTGGAACCCACCAGGATGTTAACGTCTTCGTAGTAGGGTGGTTGAGATCCATCACCGTTGTATCTCATCTAACAGACGTTCTGCCTCTTTTAAGTGCAAGGAATTGATTGTATCGCCATGCATTCATGCCAATGCCCATTACTACTAGGCTGCTAGGGTGCCATCTAGGGCAGTTAGTGGACCAGGGTCTGGCCAGTCGCCAAGGTGCGTTCGGCACAACAAGGGAGCTCAAACCCTTGATCTAAAATCTCGGGAACATCTGAGCATCTGTACGACGAAGCGAGGTTCAATAGTGTATATCGCTTCGTCAGCCTTTTTGAGCAACGCTACATAGTACAGGCTCTCCGATACGCCATGGCTATCCACACTCTCCACGAGTTAGCTTCCGGTCAAAATCCTTACTCTTTCAAAGTCAATTAGGTTAGTAGTAGCCTACCAGGCGCCGCGAAACAGTGCGTATGGTACTTCTGCCTTAAGGATGCCCTGCGCTCGGGGTCAGATCAAACGAAGCTTCTGGGTTCTCCTCTCCGCTCCTCCCCGCTCGTGGACGCTACGGCAGATGAACAATCGCATGTTAGCTACTAAAAACGAAAGACCTTCAACGCACAATCATTTGACGGTACTGTCGAGTCTGTGTTGCACGTTTGATGTGCAGCTTGAGCTGGCACAGTAACACCAAACTCTAGCCAGCAATGTTCGACTTTGTGTATAATACGGCAAAATGCTCAACTTGAAAGCTTTAGGTCCATTCTCTTGGCCGTCTGACGTTTCAACGTAACTCTGTTCCTGAATCACCATTACCACTCGTCCTACCAGGGAATAAATCACCCCCTGTATGGATCCCGACTGCTATGTAGCATGCGTTACATTGCACATGACCCAGCAACTTGGCTTTGTTCCTATAGTAGCAGTGATGGCGGATGGATGAGTAGCTTTCGAACCCTTACACCTCCAGACACTTAACACTTTCAACAGGGTAGTTATCCCTATCTGGGTAGCTTGTCCGAGAATTTCGAGGTTGCACTCGCCCACCGGATATGAGAATGCTCCCACCGACAAATGCCGTGTGCCGCTGACTCGTGGGACTTTTAAGCTTAGCTCTACTCTTGTTCAATGTTCCTATCTATGCGCTCAAGCGAGATGTAATCCTCCGTCATTCAATTCATTTTCAATTTCACAGTCCATCTTGGATGTCACCCAACAGTGTAATGTCGAAAGTTGGCCAGCTGCCACCCCTGACCATCATAACAAGACGAGACTCTTTGCTTGGTTGACCTGCTGCAACGGCTAAGACTTACACGCTTGAAAATGCTGCAAGGATGGCACTGGCCCTTGAAGTTACGCGATACCCGCCCGGCTGGCCGTTTGTTGTGGGGGATTCTCAGTCCCTCGGGCAATGCATCCCAAACTATTGACGGGAACTTTTCCACATCGGTGCTTCCAAGAGAAACATCCTGAACAATACGTCTGGTTAATGCTCGATTCCTCACTGTCCTCAATGGCCGGCCCTCGTGTCCATATGGATTCTATCATCTGTCGCATGAACCATAACATCGAAAGTCAGGAACGAGGTTGATCTGCTCCACACGGGATGCTCTCGTAGATCGAGCTGAGCCTAAGCGATACAAACTACAAAATTGAGACACGTTGACACTCTAACGCGAGTTGCTTAGCTGCACAGCAGTGCAGTCATGCAGTGGTATCTGATCCAACATCACGTGCTTCGTTTCTTGAGGGGCAAGCGGTCCTCTCGATTCAGCTAAAGTGAAGCTCTGCTGACAGGGTGTTTGCACGATACATAGCCTCATAAGCTGCGTCATCCGGCCCGTCGCCCGCCCAGAAACCATGAACCAGGTCATCCGCCGAATATTACGGGCAGCATGCCGGTTTCTTTCGATGCCGGAGGAGCAAGACTAGTTCCGAATGCCGGTGTACTATACTGCACATTCGCCACAGATGCACACGAAACCTTGTCAATTGCAAAAGAGATACCCGCTCTACGCTTCGCTTACAAGCAAGGTGGTTCGTGTTCAAGTGCTATTGACTGCCGTCGCCGCGCAGTTCCTTGCACATTGCATCACGCCTTCTCAGTTCGACGGGCACAGCCACGCCGAGATGGAGTCACCCGGCGCCGATCGTTACCGCTTCAGCGGAGCGCCGTTCAGGCACAATCAAAAATTTCCGGACAATGAAGTCACATCTTCAAGGGTCCTGCCAATGATCTCCGCTTGATGCAACCGTAATCATGGACTTTTCTGGAATGACTGATTTCTTCCCGCTCTCCACCGGAATCCCAAGAGCGATGTTGCGTTTCCCCTTTCCATTCCAGGCTTGGCGACCCGACAACCCGACTGCCGGAAAACTACGCGCAGATTCGAATTCCTTGACGTAGTATGATCGGCACTCTTGTGCTATTTCGAGAAACCGTTACGGTCATATTTTGGCGTTCTGGCTAAAATGCAACGATACCATAGTTGAGATGTTATCGTGCCTGCATGTACACCCTCTATAACCGGCATCTTCCATAACTAAACGGTAGTTGTTCTGTCTACTTGTCTGAATTGTATAGCATTCCTCGACTCATGATCCCAGGCAAAGAGGCAGTGCTGTGGGTTGGACCCTTAACGACCCTTGAAACCCCTTCATCGGCAGTAAAGCGCAGACCTCCAAGACTGCCTGTTCGCTCGTGTTCGATATTGAGGTGGCATGATTATACGGAAGTGTCCTGTAGATCGTGAGCAAGCAAAATTAGGGTGTAGCGGTGAAGAAGTGCCAGCTACTTCAGAGGCTTTGATCGATTCTCAATGACGTCGATGCCAGCAGCTTTGTTTGGTGGATGGCATAAGGGCAATCACGAAGATATTGATCGTGGTGGTTAAGACAGTCATGGGACTGAACTACCCGTGATATCTAGTACGTATTGTTAGCTGTAGTATACGCATGCCCGGTAACATCGGCCCAGCTTCGTTGAAGTGATTTACGAGGCAAAACGCCGACAGCTCCTACTGTCGGTCTCGTTGCAAGACTGTAGATGCCTGATATTATTTTCATATTTCGTGTTCAGTGATCTTAGGTTGACCGGTAGCCTATTTGCAGTTCAATATCAACACCACAAACTATATGGGAATAGCTTAAGACGCATCTCAATTGGCAAGATGTTGAGTTGGTAGGTTGCCAAGCCAGCCACAAATCATGCCTAGCCCTTTCTTGGACATCGCAAAGGCTAAACTCCAGTGACTATGAAACTTCGCAATTTCGACATTTTGAACCCCGAATAACACGAGTAGGGTCGCCATGTCATAGGATTGGGTGTGGAGGGCTGAAATCGTTTTTAGGCAGCAGAAGGCGCAAATGGGAGGCGCTGCAAGGCTGCATTTGATATCCAAATGCAATTCAGAGAACCATTAAAAGATGCGTCAACGCTGGTTCTTCCTGCAAAATTTGGAACACCAATGGACGTACACAATTGATGGCAATTCATATGTCCCAGATTTGACGAACATGGCACCAGTGTTTGATGTCAGGTTTTTCGCCGCCGGCATCAAACCCATAGACGAGGCCATTGACCCTACTATTTGTGACACCTGTAGATCCATCGGCTGGCCGCGAGCGACGTAATCAGTAATCCGGCTTGTAAGCTTTACCGGCTCCTCGCCAAGCCTTACCACGGAGACCCGGCTATTACTTCATAGCAGCTGCGCAGATTGGGAGGCAGAATGGCTGCTGTGAGGGTGGTCGACTGGGACTCTGAGTACTCCAATTGGATGTGCTTACTCCTCTGTAAGAAAGAAGACCCTAGCTGTCTCAAGTAGGACGTGAGAGACTTGTGGAACTTGCTTTTCTGCTCTTACGCTCCAAGGGCTATGCGTGATGAGAGCTGCGACAGGATTGTAGGCAACAGGGAGATGGTGGCGAAATAGGTTAGTACGGGCAACAGGATCAAGATTAAGAGATGGCAAAGTTGGGAGAGAACTGCAGGTATTGAGAGACACGCAACCGAAGGTATGAAACTGATCGATCGCGAAGGCTTGTAAGTCGTCGCAGCAGATGTAACCATGTCATATACTGCTCTAAGCTAGGACCGGAGACTGGGGGAAGCGCTCTAGTCAACGTAGACGGGGGAGTTACTGGCCGTAAAAAGATTCTTACCTCAATTAGACACCAAGTAGATGGCAATGAGCAGAGCGAATGCATCCCGTTCAGCAGATTTGATGCTTGTCGCATCCTGTGATTGGAATGGATTGTCAGGCGTGAGCTATTCTCGGCAAACGACAGAGACTATATTCGAAATTACGAACTGTGGTGTACTTCTGCCAATCACAGGTACTTCCGACAATGCTACTTGAACATGAAATACAGCAGAGTTCGTGGGCGTGTCAGCGCTCAACCACAATTGAGCTACGTCTTCGCGGACGGCGACTATGGTTTCTCTAAATTTTAAACAGTTTTGATTTGGGAGATTAAGGCAGGCGCCAGCTTGTGTCAAATTAGCACAGCGTCATGAAATTAAGCTTCTGGGATGACACAACCACTGGATCATCATGGGCAAACGGGCGACGAGAGATCTTATTAGGCCTCCAATGCCAAACGCCCAAAGCAATATGGAGAGAACACTAAACCACCGTCACATATTGGCCTTCTCGCAGCACTGCATTCAGTGGTGGAAGAGTTCACGACTAAGCAAATCGAAGAAGATGCAGACTTTCTGGAAGTCCTACGAAGCGCAACAGACATTTTAACTGCAAATGGCTCTATCTCTAACATTCTGGGGATTTCACACATCAGTCATGACATTGGCATGGGATCAGTCGAGAGCAACGAGGCGTTTGAGCTCGCGAAGAAAATATTTTTCTTCGGTTGACTATGACATAGACCAAAAACTCGCGTGGAAACCTGGGAGAAGCAGTACTCGACTTGGACTTGGGCCGCTTGGAACACGTTGCCTTCCGGTCATGGGATGCCAACTTGACACCAGAAGCGGACTTTAAACGAACAACTCCTCCTCCAATTGGATGTGCTTCATTTCCATACTTGCGACAGTGGACGGTTTAGTACACTTCATGCTCTACAGGATCTGGCTGCTCACTTTGTTGCTGGCTTACACGTTCATGGATCTAGTGTTGGATCTTATATGATCACTTATTTAAAGCAGGGACTTGATTCGGCTATCTCCAAGCGGAACTGGAATGTCAGCATTGTACTTACAGAAGTAGACGCTTCCATCGAGAAACTGCTAGCAGGTATTTATGCAAATTGATTGAAGCTATCCTCGGTGTCGAAAAGCGACATTATGGCCATGTGGAGGTTTCATGAAGATATTCGCTGGAAACAATCTGAAACTTCGCAAGATTCATGACGAGAAATAGAGTGAATCGAAACGGCTGTGATCGATTGATACTGGAGCAGTGATACTGAGGATCAATGTTCTCACGTACAGCTGGGGCTGAAGTTGTTGAAAATCTGCTTATCTGAACCAATTCAGACCAATTATTTTCGCGTAAGGTAATCATTGAATTGGAACTGTCTAGGTGCATATATGCAATACACTCAACGAAAAGTGCATGATGGTTTTCAGTGGGAGTCATCTTGCTACAAAAAAGTATAGATGGTTGGGAAATGAAGTGATTTTGTATATTGCGTAGACAGCATAGGGTGATAGTTAGCAATTTATATCGTCCGAAACTAAACCGGATCGCACAAGAGACTGCGCTGTCCCTCCGTGTGTGGATCTCTCGTATAAGTTGTGACGATGGGCAACAAAAGTATGATAGTGGAATCCTAGGTTTTGCGGTGAGGAGCCGAAGGTTAAATCCGGTCAGCGGCATGCAGGTCGACCTGTGCCTTGTACGTAAAACTTGCAAAAAACCAATCTGCGACCGGCACACGACCTGCTGACCAATCCCTTGAAGGCTTCACATCAGTCGTGACGATCACTACCCCAGATTTTGCTGAGCTTCTGACCAACCCCCACGCCCCACAAACGCGTTGCAGTCATCCTGTCCTAGCGCTTCAACGATGTTTTGTTCCTCAAGCACCCGTGCTCGCGCTTTACCCGTCTGCCCGTCATATGGGACAAGTTATATTCTCGTATGATCTGCATTGATGGGACTGTGTGTTGAGGCCTCAGAGCGCGTCCGCCGCAGTTTAGAATACCGACGCCGACATGACTCTGGGTCAGCCGCTGCCGTGGCCGCGAATTTCGGCGGTAGACAATGTGATTAGGCTAAAATGGGTAACTCGGGTGAGCGCCTTCACCGCTTACGGAGCCACTGCCCACGCCGTGTCACCAAGACATCTATATAGAGCGTGGCATGCTCACTGGATCAAGCCGACCCATCCAGTCACTTGTCACGTTCGCTCTGTCATTCGTTTCAGCAGACATAATGCTCGGGCCAACACAAAATGGAGAGCGGTATGAGCTCACGAGTCCAACGGCTATGCCGAAAGCTGGAGGCTTCCTCTGGAACCAGAAGATGATGGTACAGGTCACCTGCCGAGGATACTCAGTCGCCCAATTCATGCAGCCGGAACCCGCCAAATATTCTCATGCGCCAAACCTTGAAGCAAGGACTTTCATGCAACCTGAACAGAACTACTACGCTCACCATCCTGGAAGATTTGTCTACATCAAAGATGAAGAGACTGGTGAAGTCTTTTCGGCACCGTATGAGCCTGTACGGACCCCACTGGACCGTTTTGTCTTCTCCGTTGGTAAAAGCAACATCTCTTGGACGGCAGAGCATCTCGGCATTTGCGTGGAGATGACGTTTGGCATTCCAACACATGATGTTGCGGAGCTATGGACTATTAATGTCCATAACATTTCTGATCGTCCACGTAAGATTAGTGTTTATCCTTACTTTACGATAGGATACATGTCTTGGATGAATCAGGAGGGCGAATATCGGGACGACCTTGGTGGAGTGGTTGCTAACAGCATAACGCCATATCAGAAACCTGAGGACTACGCCCAAATTAAGTTGCTCAAAGACAAAACCTACTTCCTCTGTGATAAGAAACCAGATTCCTGGGAAGTTAACCAGCAGTCCTTCGAAGGAGAGGGTGGATTACATAGACCCGCCGGCCTGGACCTACCACTACTTCAGAAAGGAGATGCTCGCTACGAAACCCCTGTCGCTGTTGTGCAGTACAGACTAACGCTGAAGCCAAAGGAGGATCGCAGCTTCCGGTTCTTGTTTGGTCCCGCTTTGGACGAAACTGAGATAGTGTCTATGCAAAAGAAGTACCTCAGTAAAGAAGGATTCTCTCAGGCTTCAAAGGATTATGCAGACTACATTGATTCAGGACATGGCTGCTTGAAGATAGAGACTCCAGACAAGGACTTGGACAACTTTGTCAACAACTGGATGGCTCGTCAAGTCTTTTACCACGGCGACGTAAACAGACTCACTACTGACCCACAAACCCGAAATTACATGCAGGACAATATGGGGATGACTTACATCAAGCCAGAAGTCACTAAGAACGCCATTATTACCGCACTTTCTCAGCAAGAGCCTACAGGTTCCATGCCCGACGGTATCATCCTAGTTGAAGGTGCTGAGCTGAAGTATATCAACAAAATTCCACATACTGATCACTGTGTTTGGTTACCTATAGCTCTTGAGGCTTACCTTGCTGAGACGGCTGACTATGAGCTCCTGAGAAGGCCTGTAGAGACACAAAACGGTGACAGATATACCGTTTCGGAGCGACTTGCTCGCGCCATGGACTGGCTGCTGTCAGACCACGCTAGAGACAAGCGCGGCCTCAGCTATATCGCTCAAGGAGATTGGTGTGATCCTATGAACATGGCAGGTTGGAAAGGGAAGGGGGTATCAGGGTGGTTGACAGTTGCTACAGCATACGCTTTGAATTTGTGGGCAGGCATATGTGAGCAACAAGGAGACAAGAAGCTGGCCGCCCAGTACAGAAAGGGAGCTCAGGACGTCAACGATGTTGCAAACGAGCACCTCTGGGATGGCGAATGGTTTTCCCGCGGCATCACTGACGACGACATCACCTTCGGTACACACAAGGACTTCGAAGGGCGGATATGGCTTAATCCCCAAGCATGGTCAATCCTTAGTGGGGCGGCCGGACCCGCGAAGATCCCTACAATTCTTCAGCAAGTCGACAAGCAATTGAGCACGCCTTACGGGACGTTGATGTTCCACCCTGCATTCACGAAGATGCGTGAAGACATTGGCCGCGTCACTCAGAAATATCTGGGACAAGGCGAGAATGGCTCCGTATACAACCATGCAGGTGCATTCTACGTACACAGTCTCTACTCTATCGGCGAAAGTGACCGTGCGTACAAGGTCTTACGACAGATGATTCCTGGACCGAGCGCAGAAGATTACGTGCAGCGTGGGCAGCTTCCGATTTTCATTCCGAACTACTATCGAGGTGGCTATGACAAATATCCTCGCACGGCGGGTCGGTCAAGCCAGCTCTTCAACACGGGAACCGTGTCATGGGTATACCGCTGCTTCGTGGAAGGACTCTGCGGACTGCGCGGCGATGCCGAGGGTTTGCGGATCAACCCACAGCTACCGTCAGCTTGGAACAAAATCAAGGTTACGCGACTTTTTCGTGGAGCAACTTTCGTGGTGGACATCCGTCGTAGTGAGAAGGCAAAGACTATCACTGCGGAGCAGAACGGAAAATTGCTCCCTGATGCTCGTTTTACTGGAGTTGAGGCCGGTAAAACCTATTATGTAAATGTCACTGTGCCGCCGGTGAAGGACAACTAACACATATCCTAGGTAGCGCAGTGGCAAATTGTATGTAATAGATAGGGTTGAGCTTGATATTTCAGAGCGACCAAGTCTCCACTCTCTTCATTCAAACTGACCCATTTGTATTGAACCGAGTTCGTACATGTATGAAGCATATGTGCTCATAGATACTTCTCAAAAGCTTTCGCGGCATCCAAAACCATAGTCTCTAAATCGATCCACCCCTGGCCGGTAGCCCGAATGGCCTTGCTTGTATCAACCTGGGGAGCCTGAGGAGGAGTCTTGAAATCAGCAAGGTAGTCGCTTTCCGGTGTTCCTTGACAGATGATAGTCTTTCGGTCAGGATACTGCCGGCAGAGAACATCTGCCACAGCTTGCGGCGAGCCCCAACCACTCTGTGCTAAGTAGCGTTGGGCATCCGTGTCCTGACCATGTTCGACTCCAAAGACAGTAAGGCGTGCTACATCACGAACGTCGACAAAGGGCCCACTTGAAATTGTTTTCTCTGAAATACCCTGGCCAGAGAACACCTTCCAAATGAACTCCGTAGTCTCGTTGATATTGTCCGGCGATGATGGAAGTACAAGTGGTGGACCAGCCACGAACCTGAGGCGATGCTCTATCAGCTTATTTGTTCAGTTGTATACAAAGGCTTGTATGCTTACACAGGATTGATCGCAGTCATGGTAAAATTCGGCTTCCTTTCCTCCCTGAACTTCCAGAAATCGCGCTCCGCCAGCGTCTTGCTGGCAGAATATATCACAGGGCCGGGAGTCTCATTACCCAGTTTCGCGACGAGATCTGGTGCCTGCTCGTTCCAGTCCGCCTCGGTGAACACATAGCCCTGAGGCTTCTCACCGAGGATCGCAACAACGGAGGACATCAGCACGAAGTGCTTTACGCCGGGTTCCTTGAAGGCCGATTCGAGGATGGACTTGGAACCCTTCACCGCCGTCCCGACGACATAGTTTGCATCGGTGAACGAGAACGACACCGGGGTCGCCAGATGGGCGACGGCCGTGACGCCTCTCAACGCTTCGTCGAAGGCCCCTGGAAGCGTGATGTCGGGCACCTCGGCAATCTCGAGTCGTCCCTGGGCCGCCGCATCGGGTAGAGCAGTCAAGAGGCCTTGGGCAGACGTGGACGAGCGGACGGTGCCTCGGACAGAGTATCCGGCGTTGAGAAATGCTTCTACGGTGCGTGCGCCAATGAAGCCATTGGCACCTGTGACAAGGACGAGACCTTTGCTAGACATGATCTTACGAGTGTAGTTCGAGGCAATTCAGTGACGAAGTACGGAGTGTTGTGATGAGTTAGTGGGATATCTTCGACTGCCAAATCTCGAGTTCATTGCTATATTTATATCACTTCATACATTTTACAGCCTTCCAAATGAGCAGCCCATGCTCGGCATTGGCAACGTCGTCGTGTCTGTCTAGATTGAGGTTGTACTGGATAAAGTCATAAGTGCTTTCAAATCAGGAAGCTTAAGTCAGCCAACATTACAATTTAAGGAGAAAGTTTAAGAACGTCGGACAAAGTTCTGACCTGTCGAGGATAAGTTGTTAAGGAATTGTGATCGATTGTATCGCGTATCGACATGATGACCAGGGGTGATCGGTTATCGGTTGAGCTATCAGTAATCATGATAACTTAATCTGTTGGTACCAAGCCGAGGCCTTTTTCGGATTACTCACGCCTCCGCCAGCTAAAATCTTGAGCAGCTTTCGCACCAGAGAACGGCGTATCCCAAAATAGAACGTTAGACAATTCATTGACGCCAAATTCTTGATTGGATGCTCGGCCAGCTGGATCAAGGCTTGGCAAGCTTCATAAGCTCTCCGTCGCTTTGCCCAACAGATTGCGGGGCATGAGTGGAAAGCACAATGGAACTCACGTGGCTTGGCGTCGCGTCTTCCACCATTCAACCAAGACTAACCGTTGAAAGCGTACCTACGTATTTGTACACAGCATAGCTACACCAATTCAATAGCATTTGCATGGCGACTCCAGCTGCAAACTTACACCAAGATTAAGTCCAGGTCTTGGAGGATCGGTCGCTTACTGACGACTGATCTTGCCACTCGTTTACATTTGTTGGATAGCCATTGAGAATGTCCCTACACGGGCGACTTGCACACGTTTCTTATTTACAACCCAGCCATCCTGCAATGACCTGCCGAAAAGAGTTGCCACGTAGGTTAAAATGAAAATGCTATAGTACAATCGATAACAATTATCCTGGTTGTGGTTTCAAGCTCGATTCATGTTTTACGCAAGCCCCAAGTCGTTTTCAATTCCGCCACAACCCTCCATGTCCGACCGAGGCTAATATCCTATAATCATGCGACACGATAAGGAAATCTGAAAGCTTTTTTGCGTCCCTTGATCAGACATCCCATATTTATTCTTTTTTACGGAGACATGCTTATAGAGTAGTAGTAGTGAAAGTACCGGCGGTAGTTATAGCGCATAACGTTACGCCGGTTTGCTGCTGAGCAGCGAGCTTGACTGTACGTTTGCCGTGGTTGTCGCCGTGCTAGAGGTGATAAACGTCGTGGGAGCAGTATTACCAGCAGCAACACCACCAGTAGTACCGGTGCCGGCAGTGGATGTGACCTCGACGGAGGCTGTGTTAGCGGTGTTTTCTACACGACGATGTTGTGCGGGTAGGGCTTTGAACAATAACAGTGGCAATGCTTTCTGTAGAGATAAGAGCGGTGTTCGTGTCGGTTGGTTGACAACGGCCGTATCTGTCACGGATGGAGCGACACCAATGGAATTGTCGAAAGTGATGGTATCCTGGCGGGCTATCACCTCAAATTGACTAGCCAAGGCGACAGATACCATACTAAGGAGTGAGACGACATGTAATTGGGTGAATACGATGGGTATTTGGATGGAATTTAAAACTGTGAGAGCTTGGTGTAGTGATGTTTGCTGTAAAGATTGGCACCCAGTCTACTAAAAAAGAAAAAAAGCAGTTCTACGTGGATATATATGACTGCGCAAAATATCGATCATTCTACCAAGCTATCTCGACATCATGATAAGCGTGGTCACTGCTAAGCAGTTCCATATGCATAACTCTAAATTATCTCGGTGTGCCCCGTCGTCTTCGACACCTCGATGTCAAGGATGACATAGCCAACTCCCACCTCGAAATTTGTGTTTGAGTGACCGTGCTTAATAAGCGCAGGATTATTTTATCACATCAGCTGTAGCGTGATTGGTAGTCTTTTGGTCAATTTAGGGTCGATCATTTTGCCACAGTTTTGGTGCCCGTTAGAACCAAGTCTGTTCTTCACGTCGGGAGACCACCTAGACAGTCGGCTCAGGTAGCGGCAGTCTTGGGGATTTCAATAGATCCGAAACTCTTTTCCCATGACTCCGTTTGGTCCGATTCCCGATGCGCTCCAAGTCAGAAAACTAGCTCAGTCTGCTACTTGACCATCAATGGAAATCGACGATTTTCCCCAAGCACCACACACAATGGAGTTATTAGATAGCTTTCTTTGGCTTCTCCTATATGTGATAATGCAAGGTTGTGATTGCTTCTCTGATCAAAATGTAAATGCTAGTTGTGAGGCGGTCTCTTTATGTACGGGAAACAACGCCAGGTGTAAGGGAACGTCGAGGACTGCTTATCGAGATATGTAATACAGAGGTGAAACGGGAATCTGCACCTAGTTGATTTTGGAACGTCATCCGATGGGAGGCTTAAATGGCACAGAACTCGGCGTTCCTCACTCTCCCCTTACGCCTGCGAAGCTTTCGCAACGGCATAAGGCTGAAGACGACCGCTTTCATAAAGACCAAAGATATGTACTATGTACAAGGTTACTTGTCATAGTACATTAGCATAGAAGTCTAAATGAATAAAGTCATCAACTAATCGTGGCACTCACACAAGCTAGTCTAATATTGCGAATCTCAGTGTCCACGGTGCTGCAAGTCACCACTGGTAGGATAAAAACTAAATAACCATGATAAGTCAATTATATCAGTACCTGCAGTCACAGTGCTTGCATTGACTTAGCGACCCAGGATAGTTCCTCCAAGGTGCTAGCATGAGGTTTACCAGCTTCGTACCCTTCAGAGAGTCCTAGAAACTAGAAGCACGATCAGTTCTGCCTAATTATAACTTAAATTGAGTACCGAGCTTTAAATTTTTGATTGAAGGAGCATATCGCTGTTAAGTTATGTCCCCGTCGAATAGCCAGTAACCGAAGCTCTGGATGGTGCTCGCAAAACACTGGAAGGACGGCAAGAAGAAGTGATGGCAGCTTACGACCTCGGAACCTCCGTTGCCACATCCCCCGAGTCTCCATATTAGTAACAGAACTCCCCGTGATGACTTCAGAGATATCCCTATCACCTTGCACACTCCGCATAGTCTCAGTCAGGCTAGACTATGGGGAGGCGAACGTCCAAAATAACCACAACGGTCATGCCGACCACGTATAATTGATAGCGCCCTTAACACCGACGAGATTCCCGCTGACCTCTAGCAAAGACGAACCGTCCGATCCGAATAGTCGGGCATGGTCACGTAGGTATGAATAGTTGAGAGCAGCCATTCTCGCCGAAAGTCCTCCAACGCGAAGCCACGATTGAAACCACATTACATAGATTAGTAAGACCACGGTTGCTGTCGCGGTCCAGATATGTAGTATCAATGATAATGCTACCTTATATCCATTGAGACATATGCACAACGGCACTGAAATAGCGAAACACTCAAACTACAATCACGCCTGTCCCTACCCCTGGTGTGGGAAGCCCATTGAAGCTCCCATTGAACGAAAGTCCATACGCAAAGATGTTCAAACACTGGCTGACAAAATTTGGGACCCGCTGTACACAAGAGGGAGTGTAGTCAAGCGAGAGGTTAACCGTGTACGGGCGTAGCTTAGAAAGAAGGGCCATGCAACTATCGGGCTGCTTGCAAGGGCAATATGCCTCTAAGCAACATAGAAATGACCGCTATCATAATTCCATGAACATTCAAAGACTTGTCACACGTACGAGATCATCACTTATAAGTAGTTCCTAAAGTTATGACTTATCATATGGCGAAGCAAAAGAAAAAAGAAAAAATAGAGAGAAGGGGGGAGGTCAAAGGAGTCCACAAATCGGTAGATCGGCTTCTTCTCCACGAGCTTAACGCTCCCTTATAAAACAGGGTTCTAGGACCGTCGGCGACCGGAAGGCTCATACCTTACTGAGGTATAAGTAGCTCGATTTGTTGTTTGAAAGATCGAAAATAACGGGCATTAATGAGATTCGAATCACAAAATTTTAGAATTTCGAATGAAATAATAGCTTCGATTTAAGTGTATAAGGGTTAGAGATATTCGTGGCTGAAAGATATTTGTGGCTGCGAATAATAGGATTGGAGGGAGTCTGTGGAATGAAGCGAGCATGTTATTGATAGGGCTAATGGATTATGATATGCCCAGGAGTCTTATTTCCATGTGTAGTAGGGTGCATCAGTGAAATTTAAAAAAAAAAAAAAAACCTCTCACAGAGAAGAATATTAGACCAAGGTACGAGGGTCTCGGTACAATAGCGAAGCTGCATGGAGCGAAGAACCATTCGAATTCTGGGTAGACTTGGAGTGCTCAGACGCTGGTGATGTCTCGACAACGACACAATTCGGTTGGACAATTAATACTATGCAAAACTAATCATGTGATTTGTGCTATAGGGAGATTTTACAAGTCAAAACTCAAATTAGGGTAGTATGTTTGCGAAATTCACTTTCCGTTGTGGGCTTCGGCCAATTGCTAATTAGTTTAATTAGCCTAGACTAATAACAACCCTTCCCTGCTTGTGCTTTGCCCTTTTCAGTATAGGATCTTGAAGAGCCCGTCTCAGGGGACGTCTTCCAGCCGAACCACACAACACTTAGGCTCTACGCACTCAAATGATAACTGGTACATGAGACATTACCAAGAAGGACTTATAAGAAGAGCTGGGTCCAGAGAGGAATCTCCTCGCTTTCGGCAAGATATCAGTCTTAAGCAATCGATCATTTGGAATGTCACAGCTTAGATACTACTATGACAAAAGACCAGAAACCCGCAATCTATAAACTCTTAGTTAAATCCTTGCAACTTGTGTTGACACTAGAAATGATTGCTTTGGCTAATGGAAGACTTGACTAACCTAGCTGGAAGTTGACCGCCAGCCATAATCCTGCAAACTTGTCTGCCAGCTGCCACCTTCTCAATACCCACAAGTTCAGTCAAGGTGGATGGGATCTACCACTAATCCCATCCGCAGTGGAGAAGCAGATTCATCAGGTGTCTGCGAATGTTGGGCACAACGTCAAAACGCTGGGAAACGATTATAACCCGAAAAGCGCGGCAGCGTTGGCTGTTGAAAGCGCAGGTACGATCGAGAATGAGGCCACGACCAAGTTATCACGAGAAGACAGAAGCACATTTTCAAAGAGACGAAATATCTTGTGCTATGTGACAAATTTGAATTGCAATCAGAGTATGTCTAACTCATAAGGATCGAGCGTAATAAGAGTTGGCTTGAAGTAATATATCGTTCTGTGGAATCTCCAAAAGTCAACGTCGTGGGACGTTCATGGCGCGCACAGCACAAACCTGGGACTTGAGCTAACGAAGATATCATATCGTATTTTTACAAATGGCCAGTCGAAAAAGAAATAAATATTTGTTGAAGTATCTCCTCGTGTCTACTTCAATGCTCATAATACATGATAAGTGTCGAAACCATGTTGACATGACTCTCTTTTCACAGATTCGTCTACTACCTAGTGCACACCCCATATTGGGTAGGCGAAAACTGTTACTGTTCGCATTCCACCACATCCGCTACTCTGTTTGTGTATTCGCGCGATCCACAAGTCTCCAGATATGATAATTAGTACTTCAAGAACGGAATAAGGGTCTGGACCTTCGTGCCGAGTTCACAGGTCGCATGCATTGGAGGGGGCACTGAGGTGTGGAGAATAAAGCAAACCTAAGCGGTAGGAATTCATATTCCGTATTTTTGCTTACAGATCACGCTTTTACTTACCTCAAATATCTCCATTTCGCGCCTGTAGGGATACAATTTCCACAATATGTGATAAAAGGTCTGCAGTACTATTGGCTACTGGACTTTACCTGCTTTGATGTCGACATTGGAGCCAAGTATTAGTAAATTAGCAACAACGGAGACGCGCAGGTCTCAGGGAATGTAGCGTAGATAATATCTGCCCTGAATTATTAGGCGTCATTTATATATCTTTTTATGGCACTTCCGTAATTTTCAGTCTCCAGCGCAGGTTTTCGTCGGCTTGATTAGCATTTCTGATATCTTCACAATATAGTCTATCCGCGACACACGGTTTTACAGTCTCCACAGGGATGACTGTGATTCTTCCTGATGCACCAATCGGCTGGCTCATCCGGCAAGTATCGAGCAGTGCACATTATCAATGGACGCAGAAGGAAAAAGATGCATTCTCCGATTGGACTGCAACCTCTTGGAATAGCCTCATGACAGATACTGGCGCCAAGACGGCTACACCTTGCACATTAGGCAATATAATGTTTGGTAGTGCAGCTGCAGCTGCTGGGGACCAACGAACAAGTGAGACAGGAGTAGGCTTATCCAGTGAGCTTGAAGCTCACTCCGAAAGAGCACGGGCTGTCGATAATGATCAGTCAATATATCGCGACAGGAACCTGAGCGGCTCAGGGTCGGAGACCGTGATTGTGGACTGGTATGGACCCACGGATCCCGATGACCCCAAAAATTGGCCAGGTTGGAAGAAGAGTATTGTGTACTTTGTCATCAACTATACTTCGCTTGTGGTCTACATGGCTACCTCACTGTACGCACCCGCTCAGACAGAGGTGCAACGAGTTTTTCAAACGTCAACATTCGTTTCAAGTCTCGGATTTGCCATTTATATTCTTGGGTATGGAATTGGGCCCATGGTCTGGTCTCCGCTGTCCGAGATGCCCGCTGTTGGAAGAAACATCCCATATGTCGGCAGTCTGCTGGTTTTTGTCATAATTTCTGTTCCGGCAGCCCTCGCAGACAGCGTGGCTGCTCTGATAGTTCTCCGGTTTCTTCAAGGCTTTTTTGGATCGCCCGTTCTGTCCACCGGAGCAGCCTCCCTTAGCGATATATCGCGAGAGCATCAAAGACCTTACGCTTTGTATTCTTGGGCTATATTTTCTCTGGCAGGCCCATCTGTAGCAATGGTTCTGGCAGGTTATACTGTGCCGCTGCTAGGTTGGAGATGGAGTTTATGGGAAATCGTTTTAACGACAAGCCCAGCCTTGGTGTTACTGGTGGGTTTTATCAGGATCTATCGGAACTCCCACTATCATACTAAACATTAACAGCTTTTCCTTCCTGAAACGTCCGAGACTAAAATTCTCTATCACAGAGCATCGAAAATTCGTGCTCTGACCGGCAAGAGTCATTACCAATCGGCGGCTGAAATAAAAGCTCAACACTCGTCAACGACACAGCGCTTTTATCAGTCCCTCGTTATTCCCTGGAAGATCAACGTTCTTGACCCGTCTATCATGTTTACCAGTGTCTACAGTGGATTGATATATGCCATCTTCTACTCGTTCTTTGAGTTCTTCCCCTTAGTATATGGCGATATATATGGCATGGACCAAGGTCAAATTGGCTTGGTTTTTTGTGCAAACGCGATTGCTGTCATACTAGTCGGGTTTCCCTATTTTGCCTACGTTCACTTTGTGGTCAATGCGTGCCACAGAAAGGGAATCAGGATGAGTCCAGAACGTCGTCTATTGCCCGCCGTATTTGCATCTGCCTTCCTTCCAGCAGGTATCTTTCTCTTTGCTTGGACATCTCGTTCAACAATCCACTGGATCGTTCCAACGATTGGTGCGGCCATGACAACAGGTGGTTTTGCAATCCTGCTGCAGAGCATCTTTGTCTATATCGCACTTGCATATCCGCAGTATGCGGCCTCGCTCTTCGGAGGAAATAGCTTTGTGAAAGCGGTTGTTGCATTTGCTGGAGTTCTTTGGTCCCATCCGCTTTATGAGAAGTTGGGGTTGGCAGAAGGGATTTCTCTGCTTGGTGCCCTCTGCGTCGTCTGTACTAGCGGAATATTTATCCTGTATTGGCGTGGCGAGAAGTTGAGGAGTCGAAGTAAATTTGCTACTTGAAGCGCATTTCTATCGCGTGCTATATTGGTTAGAGAGTAGAGAAAAGGGGTCTGAATTATAGAATATTTCGACAGTGACTGATGAATTTATAGGGATGTTTATGACGAGGCCAAGGACGTGCGAGTCAGATCTTATAATTTAATTGCGGAGTAGACTCGAATCGGGCACCGTTACTAGATTGGTGGAAAAAGAGATAAGAGGACGAATATAATTCGGAGCAAATATAAGAGGGGAGGTAGAAAAAGAAAAATTGGCCCTGCTGGAGTCTTTTTGGTCTCTAATTTTAGAAATGTAATAGGAAGCCTTGAAGTAATGTAGATCAGGCGAATGACTCACATTTGTATTGGACGTCCACTCGCCACTATTAGACCTATATAACCTTGAAGAGATTTTCATTGAGATTATAATTATAAGTCTCTAAATTGCTTGTACCGAGTGCTGGTTCTGGAGCGTGGCTAATTAGCACGTAGAGAGGTAATGATGTAAGTTGTACTTTGGCTCTCTTAATTCTAGCAGGACATCGTTGTTAGCTCTAGCTAAGGCTATGATCTTCATGTCCTTGTATGCACTAACAAAACCGACGGTACAGAGGTCACAAGAGTTTGTAATGATACGTACCCTCTCGTGAACCAAACCACTGTCGTTAGCGCGCTCTGGGGAAACGGGCCCCAACAACATATGCGACTACCACGTTCCTGCATTACTGGTAGTGAAATGGCTCGAAGGTGCTTCTCATAAATTCGGCGAGCTCGCTTAGAGGCTCTTGTGATTGCACGTCTATGCATGCCACCTTAATTCTTCGGTCATGTTATTTCCGTTACATATTATAACTGTAGCAAGGCAGCGAGGCAGCCAAAGTCGCAAAAGAGTGGCCCATGCGTAAATGGGGAGGAATGAGCGGTCATTGCGTGCTATTAGAAATAGTTAGGTCCACAGATAGTATATACACAGAACCAGGACAACGCTGGAAACTAATCCAAATCTCACGGCTACATTGATCTACAAGTAGATGTAGCAGAACGGATCATCGCCAAGCGTGTTCAGCAGCTCGCCAATAGGCCTAGCGGGTGCATTAGATTGACCCATGAAGATGACGTCCTCGAGTGTTGTGTTCCGACTGGGTGGGTTGTTGAACAAGGTAATAGTACCAGCAATGCTTAGAGCCTGGTCCAGGTGCAGCGCCTGCCACAGCCAGTAGATGCGGTCAAGCATGCCGTGATGTAGCCAGAAAGCAGGGTCCACGGGAGATGAGAACAAGTCGCCGGCGTCGCCGCCGATGCTAAAATGGCCGGCGGCGTGCAGACCTAGGAAACCTTGGCTAAAGCGGCCCTGGAGCTCGTTCTGGAAGCTACCAATACTGTGGGAAGCAGATCCGAGGGTGAGGTTCACGAGGTTGTTCACGGTGAGCCAGTTCGAGGACGCGTAGTTGGTAAGGTCGCGCTTCAGGCAACGTGGGTTATAGGCGAAAGTTGAGTTGACCTTCGCTTGTCCGGCCATCGTTGGAGAGATAGGGCCGAGGTTGGCGGTCATACTGGGTTCAATATTAGTCAAATGTCGACGCTGAGCAACTGTGATAGACCTACTTCTTGAAAGGACCGGTGGTGATGCAGCCACCACCGTTGCCGGAGGGCAAGAAAATAGTACCAGCGCCTCCGACGCTACCATTGTGGGATACGAAAGAGCCGTCACCGCTGATGCTGGTATCGCTACCATCAAAGACCGGCGATTTGGTCAGGTCATTCTGGTACGAAAACCAGTTCCAGTACTAGCCCAATGTTAGTCATCGCGAGGATGGTCATATTACTATCCAACTTACTGGTTGATAGCCTGCGTAACCACATTCTTCCCTCAAAGCGGTCTCATATGACCAAACGAAGTACCTATGCCAACTCAAAAAAGAACCCGTGCCATGAATAGTCAGAGTCTGGTTGATGTGCTGTGCGACGAAGTCGTCGTATCGGCTTTTAGCACCAGGCACTACAGCGGGGTCATATTTTGACGGCAGAGTCATCAAGCAGTTGACCGCAGATGTGTACGATTTCCTTTCCTTTGCCGACAAGGTTGACCTATGCTCATGGTCAGTCAGCTTGTATCGGCTCAACGAATAAGAATATGCCGAGTGCCGAATTACCACTCCCTTCGGACCTTAGCGTTGAAGATCGAGCACGACCTCTTGGCCAACCCCTCATCAGTGACATTTTGCAGATTAGCAATGGCCTGGTTCTGCATATCTTGCAGAACATCTCGCTTCTGTACAGGATTGGCGGAAACGACTGTCGATGCGGCACATAGGACAAACGCTAGCAAGCCGTTGAAATGCATTGTTAAGACTTTGACTTGGGTGGAAATGCAGCTAATCAGAGTGACGGCCGCAAAACAAGAGCAGCGTAAGGAGGAGGACTGGCAGGTATGCAGGAACCGGCGGGGATGCCACGAGGTCAACAAGCGAGCATACACAGACTTCAATGCATTCGCAGAAGGATTCTATATAATTCAAAGGGACTCGAGCAGAACTCCATTTGAATATTCAGGGTCCTGGCTCATTACATAGTATGGATCCATACTTTCGCGGCCAAGGGTTCTGGATGGCGGTGCAGCGGACCAGCTGGACCTACAGGCGCCCTTGTAACAGGCATGATATAGTGGGGCCTTGAGCTACAGATTGCTGAGCCATACACACAACACCATTGAAGACTCGCACCGGGGGAAATCTACAGCTATGGACCAGCGCAAAAGGCAGGGTGGCAGGCGGATGTATTTTGACCGGGAGGATGAAGGGGCTGCTTTGCATCTTGTCGCGCGTAGTTGCTGGAAAAGAAACGGCGATAAGTTCCGGCCGGAGACCTTCTGAAGTTGGATTAGACGCTGCAGCTAGAGAGGGAAATGGGACGACCCGCGGGATGTGGCGGCTTCACGGGCTGCTCTAAATTCCGCCAGTGGCTGCTTTTGCGCTATACACAAGCTTAAACAACTTCTGCTGCATACATTTTCCCCCTGACGGTCGAATACTAGAACACATACTTTGCCGTCACCAGGCGTTGCCAGCCAGACGTCAAAATGACCAATCAAGATCCGATCGCGATTTGGTTCTACTGGCCGGAGCACGACGACTGCATAGGGAGACAGGCTCATCGACGCCTTATCTAGCTTTGGTGAGAATATCGTTGATCGCGCTGATCCGGAGCAGGTTTCGTGGAGACCTCGGGTGATCTAAAGGCGTGGAGTCAAGAAGACAAGGTTATTCTACAAGGTTATGTCGGAAGCACTGATTGGAACTCCACTGTGCACACATGTCAAAATGAACGACTTCACTCAAAGGGGCCATAAAGACTGTTGCGCAGCCCCAAATCTTTAGGGAAACCATCGAAAGAAAAATTCAGAATGATTTGAGGTCTTCTGCAAGCTGACTCCGTCTGATCATAATTGCAAATGAATTGGGCAAAGTTTGCTCCACGGCACTAGGAACCTGATCCTTGAAATCACTTAAAAGAGCTATGCACCGCTGTTGACTGGTCCAACAGGGAATACTCGGTGGGACACCCTATGTGCCAAGAGCTGCGGTTGATTAGAGATGGTATGCAGGACCACGGCCGGAAGAACAGGATCGGACATGCGTTCTCGATATTTATCTTCGGGGGGCTCGATGTCCTCGGTGGGCCATCGACGATTCTCAGCGCAGAGCAAAGAGAGGTCTTCACTTGTCGATAGTCTAGATGTAACGGCATGCCTAGGATCCGGTTTGACTTGTATCATCTCGTCAAGAAGTGATCCCGGCAAACTTGGCACATTCGCGTGGGATAGTGCTTCCAAAACCTTAGAATGCTATAAAGGATACCAAAACAAGACCAAGATGGGTATGACACATGTACCGTCAAGTATCGTAGAAGAAGAGGGCCTTGACTCATGGCTGTGCCCTAAACATGCTATATCTGATTATCGACGAACCCACCACCTCCCTTTCCCTTGGGCTCTGCCAAGAAAATCACCAAAATCGAAAAGTCCACCTCAACAACTGTCGATCCTTCTCGGGTGGCAGAGAGTAACCTGCCGTACATTTTGGGAATTACTGGAGCCGTTCATGTAGTTGCACTCGATATCGCATTCTTACGAGCCTATGCCAGAGTTGGCATTCTCAAGGCAGCTGGCAGGGATGATATTGCCATGGTGGTGTGCATTGTAAGCACCGGTATGCTCGTGTACAGTGATCGTCCTAACCTACATAGCCTTGCACTTTCGGCGGAACGCTGTGTTTCATACTCCAAGGATACGTTGGACTTGGAAAACATCAGGATACGATCTCGACGGCCGATAGTGTGAAATTTAATCACATTGCATCCTTCCAGTCTATTATCTCGGCTAGGGGAGCATGAGGCCTTCTCAAAATTTCGATAGCTTTCTCCTTGCTGCGACTCAGTACGAATAAGTGGTATTCAAGATCGTGATGGATTCTGATCGGCAAGTCAACATTTGTCGCTATTCAACATCGGCAAGCGAAACTGTATCTAACAACCTTGAAGGTTTTGTGTGCTGCTACACACTGCTAGCATGGTTAATCATACTCTGCATGTGCCAACCGATGGAAGAATTTTGGAACAAGGCAATCAAGCCAAAATGTTACGACATCTCGCTTTCATCAAGTTCGCTCTCGCTAATACTGGTACGTCACATACGTGGATTTGGCTGAGCACATTACTGAGTTGAACAGCATTCAACTTATTTACTGATGTCTGTTTCGCGACTTTACCGATACCGATTATCATCAATCTTTAACTCAAACTCCAAGTCCGTATCTATTTGATTGCCATCCTTAGTCTAGGCCACTAGTGAGTAGAGAGTCTCAAACTTTTTAATTAGTATTTGTCCCGGCGCATATACTGACCTCCTTCAAAGTGCGGTCGCTCTGGGCACCGTCAAAGAATACTACCAGATTGCCTACGGTACAGATACAGACAAGAGCTTTAAACAGAGCGTCCAGTTCTGGGGTTTGTAAGTAACGTGACGCATAGCTTTGGGTATGTCAACTGCCAGATCCTCTCTCTCCAGCCTGCAACTCAACGTGGGCGTCATTGCAGAGTGTGCACCCACCCTCAAACCGATCGTCGGCAAGACCTTGGGGCTATCCTCCTATGGCAAATACGGAAATTACAACGGCATCTCCCGCACGGGCGGCATAGCACGAGCGACCGGTCGAAGCGGTGGCACCAGTCGTAGCCGAGCCGAAATGGACGCAGACTCGAGATGCAGTGTCGACCTTTTGCGAGCACCAACGAGGCATACCATACGAGTATAAGAGGTGGCAAAGATATGTTAGTGGTTGGATCTGTCTATCCCGCTGCGCTCGGCGATGGCGAAAGATCGAGTAGCGAAGAGTTCATTCTTCAAAGCACTGGCAAGCAGCCGAAGAGTGGTATCGTCATGACGACAGAGATTACGGTGCAAAAGTAAAGTTAGCGGCGGGTGCGTCATTCTTCGGACAGGAGACCTTTTTGAGATTCAAGACTATGTTTCCATCTTAGCGAATTGCAAATTGTGAGGTTCCGAAAAGCAATCAGATTCCCATTATTCGTTCGAGATACCTGTTCTGCTAGTACAATACACTTGCATGATCTGCGATAGCACCTAGAATTGACAGCCATTAGTCAAGCATATACAGCCTTGATTCAGCATATAGTAGGTGTTTATTTAAACTCTGCACGTGGGGGCAAAAGTGGCCAATCAATATTTGCTGTGCATTGATCAGCTTGTTTGCCTCGAGATCGTTCGTTTGTATAAGTGATGTCTGTTTAGAGCCCTTGTCAATCTGTTCAGGGTCCCATTGCCGGTGATGCATTGCATGCGCGTCTCGTATATTTACGCGAGCGCCACCACTGGAACAGTGTTCCAACGTTCCGCTGCTATGCAGCATGCATCCAAGCGAACCATCCCACTGGAAACCGCTACATTCACAATCAATGTGTAATTGCTAGTACTTTGCATTGGGTAGATGATTAGTGTTTCGCATTTCAATCTTCGACCTTTTCAACTAACATACAGCATCATACAATTGTCAGCCTTCGGACCCCACAAACACTTTCAACGAGACGTCACCAGTACCACGGTGAAACGACTTGCGAATACATGTTTCTTCACAAGCATAACTTAACCAATCATGAGCTTGCCAGATCGCAAGTCCTCCTGGGAAAACTCTGCCAGTGGGTCCTTGCCGTCGAAGTTGTACTCCTTGCGTTCCTTCTTCGACATTCTCATGATATTGAAGTTCTCACCCCCAAGCTTACCACCTTTTCCATAGTCCTTGGCGTGGGCACTGAACTGCGATCTGGTTAGCCCAGCTTTTGCAAAGAACATAGACATAACTTACAGCCTGCTTCCAACCCCACCGGTCGGCCTTTGCAGCGCCGGCCAATGGTGCAATCTCATCATACTCCTCCTCCAGAGACTCAATTTTCTCACCGATACCATATACACCTGCCGCCTCGAGGTCAAGTTTGGCCTTCTTAGCATATGCGAGGAGCTCGACGCGCCATTTCAGGTCTTCAGACTCTTCGATACCCATGTCCCCAAGATCATCCGACCAGTAAATGTATAGCGAAATAATAAGGCTGAGGTCCTTGATGGATGAATCTGCCTTCAGAAGCCCGGCCAAGTCAAGTTCGTTGAGGGTCGCCAAAATGGAACGCCCAATGAGATTACACGTGGCTTGGACACGCTCACCATCTTCTGCGCCTGCAATGTGTCAGCTCACGGTCGGATCTAGTGGCAACTCTGTCTTACCAAGCCATGGGCCGAGCTGCTCGGCTACGATCCAGTGAATCAGCGCAGCGGAAAGCGCCCATGTCTTCTTAAGAGACTCCTCGTCCTGTTTCTTCTTGAGAAGTTCATGAAGCGACATGATCTGCGGACCGTCAATCATTTGTCGCAAACTCGAGCTTGTAGTCGGCGAAACTCACAAGATTTTCGATGCATTCAATCACACCATAGCTGCAAAAGTCATTGTAGATATACATATCGAAGAAGTCGGGGCAAGTGTAAGTTGCGCGACGATGGTAGTCGATGCTGAGCTTCCACGCTTCCGCCATGGCAATCCACTTGTGGCCCGGAAACTCAGACGCAGGCTTCATGACGTTCTCGGCATTGGTCAGTTCCGCATATTTCTCATCTAGACTATCTTCGTCGAGCTGGTCTTCCTCATCTTTGTCGTTGTTCTCATTCTCAACGTCGAACATTGGTCGCTGAACCACAACGTATTCGTAGGGCTGCGGAGTGTACTTCTGCTTTTTATGCTTCAAATCAGCATGAGGTGTACAAGCGTTGACTTCGACGCATCTATTTACCGGGCTTTCACTCGTGCGTGCATCGTCAGAGCTTTCATTGTCGCTTGACTTGCGCCTCTTCTCCTGGGCGTTAGCGCTCTTTTGCGCTGCAGGCTTTCGCTTAGGCGGCATGGCTCTATTAATCTGTCCGGCTGGGTGACAAGCGCGTTGAGTTGTGGCAATCGTATACTCAACTTCAATCGAATTACTACGTGGGACAACAAGCGGCTTTGCGACAGGCGCTCAGGGTGAAAAAGCCCCTGACGCGACTCTCTGTTTACTGGGTACGTCACTTGAACTCAATTTACTGGAGCCGAACGCGACTCTTATCCATGGTCTTACAGAAGGAAAGGCGGTGACAACTATTGGTGCAATTATCCCGACCAAGCATCCATTAATGTGTAGGTACGCATTTAATGGCCCGTGCCCTGGGATACGTTTGCGCTGGGCAGAGGTCTTCCCTCTCCAATGCAACAACAACATAAGTAGTGACCCTTACAGTATTACCACAGCACGCTAGATCCAAGTCGCTAACAAGTATCGAAGGATGTCTCATGATAGAATGAGAATCCGAACAATTGTGCAATGATTAGTGAAAGTATGATCCTAGATTGGCGACCTGGGCCCCCCCTCCCCCCAAAAAAGGGTGCTCTCGATAGAACCTCTATGCTCGGTTGATATCTGGATTCATGGGACGACTCACTGAAAGCAGTCTCATTGCTCCGGAATTGAAGATGCGTCGGCATTGAGAATCCCAACTCCGGTACCTCTGATTTTCTAACACTATAATAAGAACTATACGAATGACTAGGGTAAATTGATGTGGGCGAAACAATCATTGTGCATTCTACATCTTCGTCGCAGAGCTAGGGACGCTCCACTATCTCGAATGTATCCTTGGCACAAAGGCGAATATCCCTTCCTACCTAGATTGAGCTTTATATCATTCAACCCTTTTTACTGATTCGAACCCACTACCTAAGCTGGACCCAGCTGAATATTGTCTTTTAGGGTTTCTGATAAGTATATTACCATGTGGAGGCCCTATAATCTAAGGTCCAACTAACCTTAGTCTAGTTCAATCCATGAAATATTAGGGCGCATCACACATCTAACCCAGCATTGAATGGTTTAACGACACCCTATATAGTTACTTGCATAAGTGGAACCAAATTAGTGGAGATCTGCTCCCCAATTCGGCGCCGAGACGCCGAGAGCAACTTATAGGCTCGGCGACACAACGCCGGATTCAATACATAAGTAGTAGAGGTTTGGATCAGTATCGAGCTGCGTAAGTTGCTTAACATATCCTTCAATTGTCTATGAATCTGAACAAGATGGGTTTAGAGGGAGCTGATCGGTCTCTTTTGACTGCCACCGCAGGGCAGCTTCGGATCTCTGCTACCCTCGAGATAAATGAGCTTGTTCGCAAAGAGCTCGCAAATGGACACAAGGTTGTGCATTTAGGTTTTGGAGAAGCTACATTTCCACTACCAGAGGAGGTGGTCGACGCTCATCGGACAGCAAGCCACATGACAAGCTACCTGCCAGTGGCTGGTCTAATGCGGTTGAGAGAGGTTTGTGCTTGCCTGGACTCGAAGTACGAAAGTTTTTAATTTTCTTAGGACTGACCGAATCGCTACTTAGTCTATTGCTCGATTTCAGTCACGTCGTCTGAATTGTCTCATAAACCCAGAACAGGTTGTGGTTGCGCCCGGTTCGAAGCCGCTCCTCTTCGCACTATTCGATATCCTTGATGGCGACGTGCTGCTCCCACGGCCATCATGGGTCAGCTACGAGCCGCAGGTTACGCATGCTCGAAAACGCCTGTTCTGGATAGAGACTGACGAGCACGATCGCCACACTATTTCAAGTACGTCTCCAAGGTGGCAATTTTATTTTTACTTTTTAACAGCTTGAACAGATTCAGCTCTTTCCTCTGCATTCGACCAGGCCACCTCAGAAGGAGCTAATTCGCGAATAATGCTCATTAATAGTCCATCGAACCCAACTGGACAGGCTTACTCGGATGCGGACCTGGAGAGGATCAGCCGCTTTTGCCGGAATCACGACATTACCCTGATCAGTGATGAGATATACTCTGACATTTGTTTCTCCGAAGAAAAAGGGATTAGCGCAGGTTATGGCTCCCGTTTCAAGCTTGGGAAAATGATTCTGACAGGCGGTCTTTCCAAGGTAGCAAAAAGCTATTCTCTCATCGAACAAGAGTGACTAACAAACTGCCAGACCTACTCTGCTGGTGGATGGCGTGTTGGCTTTGCCATCTTTCCAGCCACTAAATTTGGTGAAACCGTTCAGCAAGCAGTTTTAGCATACGCGTCAGAATGTTGGTCTGCTGCTTCTGCCCCAGCTCAAGTAGCAGCTGCAATAGCATTCGAGCCGAGTGTGACCCAAGACCGGTATCGCGAGAACGTAGCATCGCTGCATGAAGTTTGTACCATGAGACTATTCCACGCTTTACGAGACTGTGGCCTTGCCGTTGCAGAGCCAAAAGGCGCTTTCTATCTTTATCCTTCCTTTCATCCATATGAGAAGCAATTAATTGGTCTCGGCATTCACGACAGCCTCAACCTTTCCCGCTGGCTACTTCAAGAGTGTGGCATTGCCGCTCTCCCTGGCTCGGCTTTTGGGGAAAATGACACTGGCTCAGTTGGTGGTCGTTACCGTTTGAGAATGGCAACTAGCGGCTTATACTTCAAAGAAGAGTTAGACCGTTATGAGGGGGGTTATGATCTGCTTGCGTCAACCCGGGAAATCAACACTCGAATCTCGCTTCCGCTACTTGATGAAGCTATAGTAGCGCTGATGGATGCTGTGGCGAAGCTCAAATCGTCTGCCCAACAGTAACAAAGCAGTTGCCTCCATTATGGTATATATATAAGCCTCCTACATAGGTCTGGATTATATGTTACGAGATATAGTAGTATGTATCTGGATCTAGGTAGCACTTGCAACGCAAAACTTTTCTCAGAGAAGTATCAAGTCTGGATGCCTCAGGACACACGCACTCTGCTGAACAGAACATGATATCCGCTTGTGCTGAAGACTACTGAATAGGATCTAGTGGGCTGAAGTCCCAAAACGTCTCGGCCTGGTCAATGCCAAGGAACTCCTCGAACAGACCAGACCAATCCTCAGCGCTGGGTGCAGCCGCATCAGGCTGCACAGAAATTCTGCCATCTTGGCCGTTGGCGAAAACTTCAGCACAACCTCTTTGATGCTGCGTTACATGTGCAGCGTTTGCGGAGGAATTCCCTTGTTGAGGAGGTGAGCCCGTGGCTTGAGATATAAGCCCAGAGAATATGGTTTTAAAACAGTCATCTGCTAGAAGCTCAAATTTAGCCTCCAACCCGGCCGGCAAGTCTTTCCCCCAGCGCTCGCACATGATCGCGAGACACACAGAGCACTTTCGAGTCCAGGCTGGTAAGGCATCACTCAGGAGTGACGTCCCCGCATGCTCAACGAGCCTGGGGAAATCTGTCTTCGCGGTAATCAACATTGTCAGGCCGGCGAATATTACACCCTGAGCAAGCATCAGTGACAAGGGCACATTACTGTTCCGCAACAGCTGGGCTGAGTCTTCTAGATAAGCGCCAGCCGACCTCAAGCATTTCTCAATTGAGCGTGGAGAAGGTTGAAGACAGAGAGGACTCGCTCGGTGCAGCACGAATGTTGTCCCTTGATACAGTCGATCCCAATAGCTTTGCATGTTAGTGCTGGTCTATATAACAGAACCTTCTACTTACTTGTAAGGGTACGACAGAGACGCGGATGATGGGTGGAGAGTTTGGACCAGAGACCTCCATTCGTCAAGTTCGTCTTGCAAGGTCCAAAGCACATCTTCTCTTTGGCCTAATTGGGTATCTCGCATTTTCTTGTGACTACAATACACTTGTGATATGACGCGGCCCTGAATGATTCGATGTCTGATATGGAGGAGACCCTGCACTGTCTCAGGGTTGTGTCTAGGTAGTTCTGCAGTAATATGCTCTTCACCAATGGATGGGGGACGTCCTAGATTATATGCCAGACCAATTTCGATCGCATATACAGACCAAAAGAGACGATTTCTTTCGTCTAGATCTTGTTGCGATGCATGCCACCTTCGGGGGAATGATGCAAACCAAGGTCAACCGCCATCTGCAAAATAATCAGCAGATTCTTGAATCGAACAATATATATCTTCTTACCCGCATCGCCAAGCCGGCTAGCTGCCATTGACTTGATTCCACGGACTCGTAGGAACCGTAAATGGATATTAAAAGGATGATTTGTATTAACATAATGCTGGGCGTGTATGCACTGCTGTGACTGAGGCATTTTATCGCTCGAGAATAAAGGCGAGAAGAAAGTGGCATCAAAGTAGATGGCTCCTGTGTGTTACTGCTGGACCATGGCTTGCCTGGCTTCGGAGGTTGCTGCTTGACTCCTAGTGCTAGAACAAGATAGACTATTGCTAATTCCATGTCTTGTGCTGAAGTTTGACTATCTTTGCATTTTCGCACAAGATTCCGTAAATACTCAAGGTCCATCAATGGATAAAGTGTGTGAATCCACATTTCATATGAATGCAAGAGATCTTGTACAATCTCACTTGACAGGATCTCCTGATCGTCATCATCTGAGCTAATCGTGCGCGTGGTATGAAGCGGTATTCCATCATTGTCCGGGCATCTGTCTATGGTTTGGGCAAGCTTTGAGATGTACGCTGTGAAGAAGGATCCACTTGACGGTCCGAGATATCTCACTTCGCCTGCTGCATTAAGAGCCAGCAGGCTGATTTCTGAAGTATCTATTACCGTGGCTGGGCTCACAGGCGCTGTCTGCTCTTCTGTACTGGCAGTCCGACAACCTGGAGGTGCGGCTGAGGGTGGGTTCTCTTGCCTCTGTTCCTGCGGAATGGATATCGTGGCTTGAGAGGGATTCAAGGATGTTCCGACAGGTAGCCTACTGCATTCAATACCAAACTTTTGTGACAGCTGATCTTCAAGCCATTGGACCCTCGATTGGGCCATTCGAAGTGCCCTGATAGCTGTTAACGGTTGGCCGATGTATGTGTCGACGGACTTACACTGAGTTGTCGCGCCTCCCGGGACGTATATACGGCTCGCATTGAGTGCCCGTGTTTCTGCAGTTACGGCAGTTGGAGCCAGTGCACTGTTACGAGGTTATCTTGTTGGCCAAAAAGTTTGTGGGCATATATCCTACTCTAATCTTTTTGGAATGGCACCGAACGCAAGCTCGAACGGCCGTATTTGTCATGGCTAAATATATTCATATATTCTGCGTGGTATAAGGATAGGCAGCATTTACCAGAGGAGATCAACCATTGACGTCGGGCTTATTCGTACCTATGCAAGGTACCTGGGATGTATCTTAAGTGCGTCGTCCGAGTGGCCCCGCAATCGTTGATATCAAAGCCCGATATCGGACTTGCTTTCCCATCTCACGAAGAGCTAGAATCAATAGAGTTGTTCGACTCCATGAGGATACTTGGTAATTTGTTTAATGGCGAAAAACTTTATGATCTTGGTCAACGACGTACAGGGCGCCACAACTTGAATTAAATTCGCAATACGTCAGGTCGAGACTCTTTGCTGCGACATAGACGAATTTGGATAAATGCATGGTCGTTTCACCATCAAACCGCTTGCAACTTTGATGACAGTTTATACAAGATGCATCTCGCGGGCGCTGGTTGGTGTGATAGGTGATAATTACCATGTAGGTATGCGTCCTACAGGACGCATACCGCAATCAAATTGCCGCCCATATTTTTGGATTGGGCACTTAATTGAACTTTGTCGAGATCTAGGACAGACTCTGGGAGCAGGTCGATAAGCGTCTCTTCCACGCTGGTTCTATGGGTATCGTTACTGGAATCAAGAGTACTCGTCAGGATCTATTTCTGACAACTGTCGCAAATTGTTTTGGATGAGCCAGACAGGCCGGCTTTTGAATCGACGATGTAGAGCAATATCACGCGCAGTTGAGGACGCAGCGTCGATATAGTTTATCTCGAATCGTACCTTCGCCGACGACAACTTTAGACAGTAAGTACAGAAGAGGAGCGCATCGTTTGCCTTTGTTGGTATTGGCACCGTGGAAAGTGATTACGCGACCGACAGTGATAAACACTATACCTGATTGGGTAGAGGCAAAATAGCGACAATCCAACGCGGTTGAAATTGGCATACACAATCTGTTTGACACCCGCAATCTATTACTTTTTAGTCGCATCAGACGGTCGGGATCGGGCTCAGTCAGGTTTAGCCATAGGCTATACATGGTTGATCGTCATTCAAATCATCTTGCCAGGAGCTCAGCTTCGAAATCGAAATGAAATCAAAATTGGTGAGGTGACTTTTCGGGCAGATTATATCGCTAGAACCACTTGCATGGACCCTTAGGACCTACCGCATGCAGCAGACCGTGTGAGTCAGACCGTGCAATGCATGTTCAACACCAACTTTCTTCTTGAGGACGTGGTAGAGAGCTCAATTAAATTACCATAAAGCATCATTTCAAAATAGAGCTGCACCTTTAGTTCTGCGTCTTTATTCTTCTTTTTCGTCACTGACCAGATTGGCCACCAATACTCAGATAGATCCTAATCTCGACTACATTCATCCACTCGGTATATTTGATCGATATGGCCGCAACTATTGAGGAGCCTCTCTTCAGGTTATCTGAGGATATCACCGAAGAGGATGTCCCAATCCTGGCAACCATTGGCCATGAAGCATTCCTGGAGGACACGCACACGAACCTAAAGAAATATCTCCTCCCGGAACAGACTGGAGTCGACGACTCTGGCGTCCGCCGATCGCTTGAAGCTCCCAAAACCTGCCATTTAATCAAGGCCGTTTCTAACACTACCAACGAGATCATGGGCTTCATCTGCTGGGTGCATCGCGGTTACGTACCGCGGCCGCCAAGACCAGAGGCTACTGCAGGTCGCTTCAGCGAGGCAACGGTCGACGATAAGCATAAGACCAAAGTACAGATCATGGAGGACATGGAGGACCAGCACTTTGTGGACTTCATGACGGAGATTATGCCAGAGGGGACCAAATGCTGGTACGTCGGGGGCCTCAACGTTGCACCCAAGTTCCACCGCATGGGCGTCGCCAGAGCGCTGCTGCGTTGGGGGACGTCGCGGGCGGAGAGAGACGGCGTGTTTGCCTGGGTGCACTCTTCCGACTCGGCCTGGCAGGCTTACGCTGCGTGTGGCTTTCAGATTGTGAGGGTGCTGAGGACAGACTTGGATGCCTATGCAGAAGGAGATGCCGTTGATAAGGGTCCCGGCGAGGGTGGCAAGTGGGGAATTTATACTGTGCGCTATATGGTCTATAACCTGGATAAGATCGGGACGGCTGGTTGGAAGGTGATCACAGACGTGGATTCAACGCCTCTATCTTAGCTGGCGGTATAATTCTTGCTGATACCTCATTCATCTGGCTGGAGTTCGCAGCGTTATGGTTTTGATTTAACCCGTCCCAGATTACGTCCAACTTGAAACCAGAACAAAGTCGCTCCCGATCTTGCCGAATTGAAAGGCGGCGTCAGACACATGGGAAACCATGTGTTTGACCCCGCAGCCTGTGGGAGGTCTCTCCCAGCCTTTTTTAGACTGAAGGATACGGCGAACCAAAATTACAGGACGGCTTTGTTCAGTATAAGTGCCGTGTTGACCATATCTCCGTGTCGCCTCCACCGCATTTTGGAAACCCCCGAATCGAAGGGTTGTGGGTATCACATTAACTTCATTAAGGCTCTTTTGATCAGCTCTCAGGTTCAACTGCGTGTCAATGTTAGGAGCCCTCAAGCTACGGCCAGCCAGTGATGCATAATTGAGCTAGCATTCACATCGAGTCCCTCGAACCCGATTTGAAGAGAATAATATCCCGTATCCTATATCCAACATGAACTCGCAGGTCTGCATCTCCATTTGCGGGACCCGTTAATCAAAGTTTATCATAACAAGTGTTAACTTGGTTCTCCTTGCACATCCAGATATAATCACAGGGAATCCGAACGCATGTCGTCAATCCAAATCGTCGTTAAGATAAGCTAAATATGGAGGTTGTATTCAAATGGATTGTTTCCTCTAACCTCTTTGATAGTGGCGTACCAGCGTAGAACGCACGGAACGGATCACACTTTAGAATGATATCGCAATATATGACACAAGATTGAAATATTAAAAAAGTGAATTAATACGTATATCAGATATATATCATTATACTTATTAATCGTTATCATTGCAAAATATGAAGTAGTTAAAATAAATAAATGTCGTTTAAAAAGAAGAAGAATTTTAAATTATAAACTAAAATCGTAGGTTATTGTATCTTTAAGTCCTTGCTCCGTTTCAACTGGTTTCAAAGCTCCCACTTCCGGCCATTACACATCCATATTCAGGCTCTTGGGAACCAACGCTCCGATACTTAGGCAAGAGCTTTTCGCACCCAAGTGGTGGAACTCTACTCGAAAACGTGTTGGTTTCTTTGCGACACGAGATCACTGGGATCAGAATTCGAGATGTAATCACTGTCGATATTCTGGCTCCGAGAGGTGCATCTATGGATGACTTCAAAGTCAGTGCTACAATGTCGTGGGCCCAAGAGCGCCTGACTATACGCGAAGAGGACTCCGCCTATTGCCCGCAGGGCATATCTGGGGTTAGTGTGTTGGTAATCTATGCAAAAGACGAGCGAATGCCATCGATTGACCACATTGGAAAATATCTCGAAATAAACCGTGCAACACGCAGTGGTGTGTTGACTTCCTCGTTTGGTGTAGCAAAGTCAACGAAAACGTGGCGCTGAAAATAGGTGTCGATCCAGTCAAGACGAGCTTGATGAAGAGCGTCAAGCAGGTTAATCTCGCTGTCCATCTTAGGCATGGTATCATTCTCAAGAAGCTGCTGGATCAACGACCTTGCATGGATTGGTACTATGGCCAAGGTGCTACAACTCAGATGCTCGCAGCCAGTGTCGGCAATACGCGACCACTTGAAAGATTCCTTGGCGCTTACTGCAAACTGGAGCTTCCCCTGAAAGGCACGCGGAAAGTGCCTGTTCAGGGAACTGATATAAGTGACCGCATGATGTCGGGTAGCACCGCTCTGCTTCTTGCTGCCCAGAATGAATACCTTGGATCTCTTGAACATCTTCTCTCACGAAGCGCTAGGATCAATACTGCGACATGACACGGGTCCACGGCATTGATGGTAGAGACCAAGTGCCATCACACCCTCCTGCCTCCAAGCATTGCTTGATCACGGCGTAGACTGGGATTCAAAAACTACCAAGGGTGTATAGCGCTCCAAATCTGCGTAATCAAACGTTGAATGGATGTCGCCGCATTGCTTCTCATTGTAGACGTAGATATCGAGGCGGAGAAAGACCATGGGCTAAGGCCCGTTCTCGAAGTAATTTATCATAAAAGAATAGCTTTTATTGCTAGAGGTGACAATAATTCAACGCGTTGTACCATTCGGCTCGAGTTTTCTGAAGCGAACGCACTCTGCATGGCTGTCTATAGAGGTGACAGAAACATGGTACAGACGCTGTTCTCTTGTGGTGCTGATCCACAGGAACGGCATGGCGGCGCCAGGACTAGCTGGTGAACGGGGTCAATGCTTGACCTCGGAGCTGCTGAGAAAACAAATTGAGGCTATGGGGAGTGATAAAGCTCACGACTTCAATTCCATCCTCATTCAGTGATCACTGATATGACGCAAAAACTAACCAACGAACAAGGGGCAAACTGAACTGAACGAAACGGCCGAGTGGACTCGACTGAGGTCAGCAGTCCGACGAGAAACCGGACGAGGGCAACGAGAGCTTACATACACTGAAGAAGCAAAGGCACTTCCGGTTACAACTCTGCCCCAGAAGGACGGGTGTTATGATTAGTGGCCACGTGAAGAGATGTAAATGACATAGAATGTGGCATTCGCAGTGCTGATTGTAAAGCTCGCTTGCACTTCATGTCTTGGCAGTCGGCGCTGAGCCACACTGGCACAGACGATCAATCAAATTGTTCGCGGTCATTATGTGCTGTGCGTTTTTCGCGCGAAGGAATCGCAAGGCGCAGTTGCTCTCTCCACATCTCAGCCGCAACGATTGAACACGAGCAGTTCCTCTTCCAAGCTGGGCCGAAAACAAACCACTCTATAAGTTCCAAACGCGAGGCCTAAATACCACCCAGTCCAATCGCCGAGGCACCAACATCGCAAGCCCAGATTACACCTCGAGTCCGCGTCCCTCCCCAAATCAATCAACATGGCGGTGAGCACGACTCCCAGCTCACGTAAACAATCTTCTGACACACTGCGCAGGCCCAATATACATCAATGGAGTCAATGACCGGCGACGGCGGCGGTGGCGGTGGCGGCGACTACAGCGGCGGCACGGCCGACGAGCAACCGTGGTGGCAGCGCGGCGCGTGGGGCGATTGTTGCTCGTGGTGCTTCATATTCACGGACTGGGACCAGCTCTGCGGGGCGTGCGGCGATTGCTGCAGCTGCGATTGCTGCAGCTGCGACTGCTGTGGCGACTGCTGCTCGAACTGTGATTTGAGCGGCTGCGCTAATTGCTGTTGAGGTTTTGACATTTGGGGGTGGGCGTCATCTAGTGAAGGCCGAGATATGTCTACCCCGGCGTTCACGGCACTGAGCTTGCCTTGCGCCCTCGTGTGGCAGCGGCCTGGGAACCACGGGGTCTTGTCCTTCGGTGTTCATGGCGTATTTGGCCATAGTGGTCACGTATGGGCTGCTTCCACCATCGAAGTTGCTTGCAACGTGGGCTTTCGGCCCTGTAGGCCGTGGGCATGTGTGTCGTTGCTAGGTTTCAGCAATGGACAAAATACTCCTAGCGCGGATGATGGGAGGAAGCCACTCAACCGACAGCGTATCTTCAGCACAGAAAAGCTCCTGCACTGCTGGGTTCCGAGGAGAATCGTCGTGCGATGCTTGGGGGGAGGGGGGATAGATTTTACGTTGTCCTGGTAAAGCGGCCACGCGACTATCCCGCAAGATATTATATGTCCTACGCGAAAATTCCCACAGTAAGAATGGGTGGCAGAAACAGGAGATACGAATAGTGAATTCTGCTAGTATTGGGCAGAAGAGTTTGCAGACTGGGTGCACCATGGGAAATTCAGCGGCCGACACGGGGAGAACTGGTTACACTGCTCTGTTCTTGCTGCGGTGTCTAGGAGTCATTGGCGAAACAGAGCTTCAATCAGAGGCTCAGATCTTCAGCCCAGCCTAGACTAGAGGACATGTGAGGATATACATTTTCAGAACACCTGGACCAGCTTGACCTCCCTAGGTTAGTTGAAACGAGCCATAGATGTGACAAAGTCGCAGTTGCAGTTGGTCAGTGTAGCTCTTGTGTCTTGTGCTCATCAAGCTTTTAGGTGTGGATCACCCCTATGGGCAATCTAGACGTGTCATAGAATCATTGTACCTAGTGCCGATGTTGCAAATGAAAAGAGGTATACAGATCATAACCTGCATATTAGTCACGTCAGAAATCCATTCCTTCATCTTCCCTTTCCCTTTTGACCCTCGGATCCCGCTCGTCCTTCATCAGTCCAGACACAAAGACCCTGAAATAATCAACATAAGGCTTCAGGCTCGTCTTCTCCCAATCTTGTAGGCCCTTTCCGTCCTCCTGTTTGACCTCGACGTCCCCACTGCTCCAGCTGTCGATTTCGGACAGGAGGCCTTGTATCGTAGGGACCTCGAGGGGGTTGAAGTCATCCAGATGTTTGGTGTCGATCGGCACACACACCCTCCCCGTCCCGGGATGTACCACAAATGGTGACTTCAGCAAATGGTTGAGCTTCTTTGAAACCTCGATATCCAATCTTGGGTATGTGTACTCCAAAACCACATCTTGCTTTGCATCGCGCAGTTTCTTGCTGTCTTTGTCGTTGTTCAGCACATTCTTGGCCAGTGTGTCGATATCGGCCCATTTGGAGGAGCTGGGCCGGTTGGGTGATGAGTCCCATTTCTTTCGTAGCGCGTCGGCGAGTGTTTTGTTTTCGAGTAGCGTGAGAAGATGCTGCGACCTCGAGTCCTCGGCCCAGGGATCTTGTGTCTCGAGAATGTCTTCTAGGAAGTGAGGAGCTAGGATATCGATGGAGCGACTGGTCACCTCTTTGTTAGTGATGGAAATTCCAGGCAGTCTACAGAGGATTGGAGTAGACGACGGGAAGACATGACTACTCACCTCAGATGCGGATGCAAGGGCCTCCAGAGGTTGACCTTCTTACCGCCCTGACTTCCGCCCTTGATGACCTCGAGATAACCGGCTATGGCTCTGCGCTTCTGGTCATCCATGGTGCGCGCCTTCTTGTCGCACACCCAGGCGTGGGCACCTCTTCGTCCAGAATACACCCACATGATGTGCTTGAAGCCGAAGTCGTCGCGCAATGCGACGTCTATCACCTTGATGGCCATGACCATGAACCGCCAGCACTTTGTGCAGATATTTGCCTTGTCGCAACATGTTCTGATCTCGTCGTAGTCCGTCAAGTCGATATCGAAGCACAACTCCTTTGACAAGGGCTTGAAGGCGCTGCTGTTCCTCAGCGTCTTGCGGTCGCGAGGGTTCGTAGTGTAGACAGGTCCGATTTCGAAGCGCGAAGGCAACAGGCGGAGGACGTCCTTCCGGAGCAGGTCGGCAGAGGGGAATGACTGGTACCGCAGGTAGGCGTCGTTCTGTAGTGTAAAGGCGAATTCACGGTGACCAAAGTCGTTACTGGCCACGGGAGAGTGGTTGAGCCACTGGAAGAGCTGCCGCCATGGGAAGAGGCGCTGGTAGAAAGTGCGCATGAGTTCTGGATCGGAATTGGAGGTCGAAGGGCCATTGTTTCTGGGCGATGAAGGGAACTCTGGAGAGCTGGAGAACTCCTTCTGAGGTTTTGAGCTCGGGAACTCGTCGTCGGATTCTACATCTGCAAAGAGATCTTCGAGCTTGACTTCTTTCTTTTCCTCGTCGCCGGTACCAGCAGACGCACTGGGGACTGCGTTGGGCTCAGCCATTGTCATGTCCTCATCGAGGCTCGCCTGGCTATCGCCGCCTGGCATTGCTGCGTCGGTCATGGCTGCGGCAGATCCAGGGGGCGGGGCTTGGGACTCGGGCGAAACGGAGTGAGGCATTACAGTCGAACGGGGAGAAAGCAGAAGATTTAGACGATCCTCAAGCTGTCGTGTAGTGAATCAAACAGGCATTTGGGTGCGATATGGAATCCTCTGAGCAAGAGCGTTCTCACCTTTAGAGAATTAGTGGGCATGTTTAATTGAAAGCTAGCGGGGGACGCGCTGGGAGACGCGTTCTGTTCTGGCGTCTCTGGCGCGTTTGATTGATTCCCGCCCGGGTTTAAGTTGATTAACTAACCTAACCAACCTAACCTGAACCTGGACCTGCTGCCCTGCAACCTTGTGCACTACGTATGCACTCCGTGTTGACGTCTCACTTACACGCCGAGGTCACCATCAAGATAACGATACATGAAAAGGCCGAACTGGTCTAGCTGCTGTCTGGCACCTTTAAGGTATTCCAACATCCATCATTGACCTGGCATTCTAAGTTAATGACTGCTTTGTGCCTGCGCCCATTTTGCTCGTGAGAAATGCAGCACCACACCACCATGGCGCCAATCAACGCGTGCCCAAATATGCCAACCAAAGCTCTCAAACCAGGCTCTCGATCTCGAGTGAAGTCCACGTGGGTAGCTTGCTCGCCTCTGTCCCAGCTAGAAATGCCAGCCGCACCAGAGAGCTCGGCAGCACTGCTGCCGTTCGCATAATTCTCTCTTTTGCATTTGTCACAGTGTGCCGGTGTCTGATGCGCCCAACGTCCAGCGATTTTCAGTATCAAATCATTTCTCCTCGTTCCTTGCGAGCTGCCATGACATCTAGGATACCAGCTTCTGCGGAGCGCCCCGGTCTCCTGCTTTCTCTTGGTATGGAAAATGCGTCTCTCCATCTATGACAGTGTCGGGGATTCCTCAATAACAATCAAAGACGGAGGCGGGGTGCGCGGGCTGTCATCCATCATTATGCTCAAGCACATCATGCACGCGATCAATGAGGGTCGGGGCAGCACCCGTCTTGAGCCGTGGCAGGTCTTCGACTTAATAGGCGGGACTAGCACGGGAGGGCAAGCATCTGCGTAACTGGGTCAATGTAATTAATGACTTGCCACTGACACCACGGTATAGCATCATCGCGATTATGCTTGGCCGCCTCCGCATGAGTCTCGAGGACTGCGAGAATGCCTACCTTCAATTGTCTGAGAGGATTTTCGCACCTCGACGACAAAGATTTAATATCTTTGGTCAGACCAAGGATTTCTTACAAGCCGACGGTAGATTTGACGCCGTCATCCTCGAAGAGGCTATCAAGGACGTTCTGCGGGCCTATAAGACTGAAGACGCCCTATTGAAGGATGAAGGAGGGCCTTGTAAAGTGTTAGTGCCCGGGACGGTGTCGCATCACACGAGAAATAGCTCACATCGTTAGGTTTGTTGTTGCCGTACGTGAGAACAATTCTGAAGCGGCTGTTCTGAGGTCGTACAAATCGTCAAGCATGAGTAATGTCCTATACAACGAGTGCAAGATCTGGGAGGCATGCCGTGCCACTTCAGCCGCAACCACCTTCTTCGCCCCGGTAAGGATAGGCAAATACGGGCAGAGATTTGTTGATGGTGCCATGCGCTACAACAATCCTGTCCAATTGGTACATCGAGAGGCCGAGTCCCTCTGGCCCAGCAGAGATTTGTTTATTCTCAGCATTGGCACTGGAAGTGCCCCAGGCAAATCTTTCAGAGGCAATCTGAAAAGCGTTGTAGATGGCCTCAAGAATATCGTCACAGAAACCGAGAAAACTGCCAACGATTTCTACCATGGCCATCGTTATATGGTACAAGAGGACCTGCTATTTCGGTTTAACGTATTTCACGGCCTCGGTCACATCGGTCTTGAGGAAAACAAAGAAATCTCCGCAATCGCCGATGCTACCGAAGCGTATCTTGACCAAGGCGAAACTGGAAAAAAGCTAGAAGCATGTATCGGGCGACTGCGGGCTACCATAACCGACGGTACGATCTTTTAGATGGGTTCGGATTCAATTCAGCGCTGATCGTGCCAGAAATACCATATACTGAATTTGAAGTCATGCAAAGTGAATCGCGAGGTCGGATGTCTGAAAGCTTCGATGGCCAATACAACGGCACACCCAAATTTACGAAGACGGGGCGATTGCAACAGCTCGAAACCGGAAAAGCCCATACGCTCTGCATATTGCGGCATCGGAACAGTTCCGAGCTACACGGCCTAGATGTCATGAGAGTAGATGATGCAAGGCAACTACTGGGTGTGATCGGACAAATTCCGTATGCCTACATAGGCTACACGTCACTGGATTTTGACCAGGGCAACGAAGAGGATTTAAGAATACTACATCAATTTGCTGAGGCGGCAACCAGAAAGTTGCGTCTTCCCGCGTACTGGTTGCCGTGTAGCTGTATGGGCGATGTTGAGAACATGGAGCGAGCAGTCTGGACACTATGCGATGTCACCAATGCTGCAGAAAGCCTTGCGGTCATAGTGAAATCTGACAGGGGCAACAGCACTTCGGTCAACTTGGAACGTAAGCTGGTACAGTGGTGTAGTAGATTGTGGAGCTCACAAGAGCTTCTTCTTTGTCCTCGTGGCCGTCCCATCGATATTTACGATGTGTCAAGTGCGCCACTGACCACCGTGGCTCTGGAGCTATCACGGAGGAGCCTGGTGGATGCCGCATATCCGACAGCGAATGAGCCCCTGCAGCGGCTTGTTGACCACTATGAGGGCATCTACACTCTTGGTCGACTGGATTTCTTGTGTCTGCTTCTAGCTTATTTGACCGGCGGCAAGACGGCCGCGTTTCTTCGTGGAGACATATCTTACGTTTTAATGGGGTTCCTGCCGTTTCGTCCCGTCCCAGACAAAACTGATTCTGGGTTCCAAGCTCTTGCACGAGTTCTTCTAGCAAACGATGTCGACAATTTCTTGGAACGTTACATCTCTATTTGCCCAAAATCACGACGGCAATATTACACGATAACAGATGACTTCTGGGGGATCAACCTCAGAGATATACGACCCACTTGTCAAGTCTCCGGTGTTACGTCGGACTTCGATGCGCTGATCGTCGATGGTGCCCTCGGAGCCAAGGCCATTCCTGCCGATGCTCGAGGGAGTACTCCTTCGTCCTATACTTCAGATGAAAGACCACGTTTTATTTGTTTTCATGGCGATATTAGTGCTACGGATTCTTCCTCCTATTACCTGCCTGGGCCGTTGAGAATCCTCAACAATGGCAACACCACTACGCTGCCGCGGCCCTTTTCTCCTGACAATTTTACTCTAGTCGATACTCTAACCATGACAGCGATCCCTTTTCAGGCAAGCGCACAGCCGAGTATGGTTTTGCTCACTGGAATGGAAGGCAATATGTATCGTGGTCTCCTTTGCTCCTACTATCAAGATAAACGGACCCTGTTCCGAGAATCGGTCGTCAAGCTGAATTCGCGTGTAGCTGAAAAGATGACTCGATTGGAACGGGTACAACTATCACTATTTCGTCCAGGTCGGCTTGAGAGTTCTTGAGGGTGGATGCCTAGTGTACAAGAGCCTGCAAAGCAGACCCAAATCGACGACCTCTTCGCCATGCTTCGCTTAATGATGGCAGGTGGACTTCACCGACATAATGGGTCATGAAGAGTTAAGAACGACTAAAAATATCTCACTACTATGAAGCTTGTCGAAAATAAAATCATGATGAATGTGATTTCACTACCACGATTCACGGCAAGCCAGCGAAAGATTGGGCTCCCAAAACCAAGTCGCGGTCGCTGTTTCACGGCGCTTAACCGTTTATGGCATAAGATAACTATCCGCCACAGAAAGTGTGCTCATCACGTCCGACCCGGCGCGTGCTTGCAAAGGTTCTCCTTGTTCCTACCGCAAGCCGTGGATATGCCCATCGTCTTTTGCAAGAATAGCCATGAAATTTTGACCATCGTAGTCAGAGATATCTCCATATGATCAACCATGCACGGAGAGATGTTCTGGCTTACAGAAGAAAATGACAAGCTATAGACATTTGGGGTGGCCTGAAGGTGAAAGTATCGTAATCCTCTTACGACATAAATTATCAGTGGAATTTTCCAGGAGCACCTGCGGTGAGCATCTGAACAGCATTTGCAATGGTTTCCTCACAAATGGAATAATAAATCATTTGATCATCATAACGATGGTTGCTCCGGTGTACGTTTCAAACGCGAATCGAACACGCCGACCAGTTTCGTGCCATTGCGATCCTGGTTGCCTGACCAATCTTTTGTTTAGCAATCTCCAAGGTCAACCACAACCATCACTCTTTCATTAGCCAGTAAAGATATGCGCATCTCACCCGCCATATTACGATACGCATCCCAGGAATGCTGGAAGCCTGCCAAAGATGTCACACACGCCTGAGATCGCAGAGTATGGCCAGTCTAAGCCTGACCGCCCGGACAACTCTTTCACCTCGGCAGACCTGAGCATTCAAGCTCTCGGCAGTCTTGATAGACCGCCCATCAGCTCCATTGACCGATTCCCAACCGGCTTCGCCCGATCACATCACCAGTCTCCACCTACCATGGCACAAGGACCTGGTGGTACCACACACAGATCGGATCAGTCTGCAGCAGCCACTGAAGTTCCGAAGTACCAGGGTCTCAACACGCTTGAGGGCATTCACGATATGTCTATCCCTGAGTGAGCCTCTCCTACAAGCGCGCGCAAAAGATTATCGCTAATTAAACTAGATGCTCCCAGCTCACTGTCACCATTAACAATGGGCAAGGTTCATGTCAGTTCTCCATTCCCAGGCAGCTTCTGCTGGCGAAGAACGTCTCATTCGGCCTTGACGGTGACGTGAATGATCCTGAAACTACTGCGATCACAGTTTACAACACGGATATTGGTGCTTTCAACTTGTTCTCAATGTGGCTGCATGGGCTCCGCTTGCCTAAAGTTGCCAGATCCCCTATCGTCATGCCTTTGCAGTTACAAACCGCTGGAGTCGTCAAGGTTCCTGGTAACGGCCCTGACTTTGAAGCCACTGTCGAGATCGATCCCACCAGCAGTCTCAACAAAAATTGTTTCCAGCACATTTGCTGCGTGGAATTCTACAAAGATTTATCTGTCGAAGAAGTACGCTTGGCAAAATTGATAGCCTGTTCTACCAGTCCCCCCGCAGTTCCCCAGAATGGCCTGCAAGCTGCATCTCCTAGTCAATCTTTGCTACTGGGTCCCGGTTCGTCCGGATACAGGAAACGACAGAGCGCACAAACCCAATTTCCAGTGGCACATAATAAAATAAAGAAGCAGGCAGGTGTTTCACGTGACAACGAGAGAGTTCAGACGCTCCTGCTGCAGTTGGCTCTTTTGGCACAGAAGTACAATTGGGCCGGGTGTTTCAACAGAGCAATCGCCACCTATCGGTACGGGGAGAGACAGTTGCGCAGAACTCTTCCTCAGATTCATCATATCCAGCTCATTTACAGAGACAACTCAGCAGACACCAGCCAGATTGCACGGCTCATGGTAGATTACGCGTTTTGTTGTGGAACACAATCAGCTATGCAGGACTTGGTTGTCGCGGTCTCTGCCACCACTCCCGGCTTTCTTGTCGACTACATGAAGAGATTAGACGGCACGGTAGCTGTCCCCGGATGCATAGTCACTCGATGCAACGGAAGCATCAACATATGCGCAAATTCCACAGGCTCTATCATCCAAACCCATTATGCCGCACCCTTGAATGAGAACAACGCACATCATTATTGTATGCAAGTTTGATTGCTTTCTTGGTCTGTATCGCGGCGAAATTTTCTCTAAGCTGATGGTCAGGGAAATAAGGCAGCGTTAGATTTTGTAGGATCAGAGGTCGCATGATTTCGCAAGGACACTGGGCATGGATACATTATGTTTGCAGCAGATGCACTAGGTAGCACAGTAGGAATTGACTCGTGTTGACTGATCGGCAGAGTATGATATTTGATTACATATATGGTCACGATGACCACTACACATTGTTCCGACGATCCGATTTGAGGTCATGATAAAACATGACTAGCTTGATTTTCTCCTCTTTTAAAAAAAGAAAAAAAGACAGAAAAAGAAAATCACAACCCCAATTCTCCACAGACAATTCCACTAATGTTGTTATATTGCTATTGTTCACAGCATCCGAAGATTGATCTTCTATGTATTAGTGGTGGAAATGATTTTGGTGTCTTCTCCGGTTCGCGCAATATCCAGCGTAACCAAGGTTTAGACATAGGGGCAATACTCAAGGACATCCTGACATTGCATTTCAGAGTAGCATTGACTTGCCGGTTACAGGCGTGCGTCGTGGTCTTCTGCATGACATCATTTTACTTTTTCCACATGGTTTATATGATATTCTCTAGACTAAGCGAAACCGAGATATACCGACACGAGGCAGACGTTCCTTTGCCGGAGTTATACGTTGGCAACTTAATCGCGTCTTGCAGTGATAGTGCACGATCTTAATCCACTCGAAACAAATTGGCGGGGTGGCGGCATCTTCGGGCATTTTACTCACGCCTCATTGTTCCTAAAACGAGTAATTAGATTGGGCGGGGATGACGGCTATGCAGATCGTCAGCCAAGAGTATAAAGCTGCACCGTCTGAGCGAGTGAAGTCGGTCGCACAGTGTAGTCGCCCCTTGGCGTCAGTCTCTGATTCGCTGGTCAGACACTAAGGCGAAGTATCTCGCGTTCAACGCGAAGATCCCGAGCTCGGATTGTTCGCACTGCGCTTCCGAAGTATACTGCTCCCCTGCATAGCTCCCGGCACTTTGCATTTAGTGCTACCTAGGCTCTGGGCGCAGCCCCGGCTGTCCGTAATCACAATGCCTGCCATTGGCTTCTCCGAGTCTCCAAGACCTTGCCAAGTGCACAGTGGACCAAGGGACCTGCCAGATCGACGTCGTTTATTGCCGAGATGACCTAGCCGTTGTGGAGTAGACCGTCCTTCCATCTGCATCATGCCGATTAGGTTGAACGCAATTGGTTGAAGCCCCAAAGAGTTGCCTATATGCCCTGGCATCACCCCAGAGACTAATCTGTCTTGTGGAAGCCAAGCACTCACGGGTGGAAACCCCGGCTCTCGTCAGTGTCGTGTCGTTGAACATATATATGTGATCGCATGTCCCTCTTTCCGGAAGTGATACTTGGTCCCATCAACGCGCTGAACTGATCATATAAGCCCGCCAGTCTTTACAATTGAATAAACTTCAACATGCAGCTTCCACTCGTGCTCGCAACCGTCCCTCTGGTGCTGGCCAGTATCCCGGATACAGTCAACGACTGGCACCCACCAGTCTATGGCGACTGTAAGCCTACCCCTTTTCCCAGAGCGCTCTTGTAATGCCATCGAACCGACTGACACTCCCCCTATCAGTCCGCGGGCCCTGCCCCATGATGAACACGCTGGCCAACCACGGCTTCCTGCCCCGCGACGGCCGCAACATCACCAAAGCCAACGCTATCTCGGCGCTGGGCAACGGGCTGAACTTCGACGCGACGCTCGCGGGGATAATGTGGGAGCAGGCAATCATCGCCAACCCCTCGGCGAACGCGAGCTTCTTCACGCTGGACCACCTGAACCGACACAACGTGCTGGAGCACGACGCGTCGCTGAGCCGCACCGACGCCTACCTGGGCAACAACCACGCCTTCAACCAGAGCGTCTTCGACAGCTCCCGGAGGTACTGGACGGGCGAGACGGTCGACGCGCTCCAGCTCGCGAACAGCAAGATCTTCCGCCAGGTCGAGAGCCGCGCCACCAACCCCAATTACACCTTCTCGGCGACCACGGAGCAGTTCAGCCTCGGCGAGGTCGCCGCGCCCATCGTCGCCTTCGGGGACCTGGATCAGGCCGCCGTGAACAGGACCCTGGTCGTGTATTTCTTTGGTGAGTCTCATGAAAATAACAAAGCCCTCTTCTCCTGGATCCTACACATGGTGGCTTCAAGTGCCTGGATCATCACGAACACGTTTCCTTCGGTTGACTGACATGGTGGTGGTGTGCAGAGAACGAACGACTTCCTACCGAGCTTGGGTGGACCAAAAAGGTTGATCCAATCACATTGGAAAAGATCACCAGCATCACTGGAATTATTGGTAGTGCGACAAGTCTCCTCACCGGGTCCGCAGCGTCTCCTGCTGAGAGACGGTCGGACTTACACGGCGGATTCTAGGTTGACATCTGCCGGACTGGGTTTTAGTAACGACAGTATGCAAAGAGTTCAGCAAAAAACGAGTCGCAGACTGTAACAATAATGGCGAATACAACACTTTCTCTTATTAGCCTGCGTGGTTTTGTGGACCTGTTCTCAAAGTCCATTAGTGAGCTAACTTACTTGGTTTGAAGGCATGAATTAAGAGACGTCCAGGACAAATCCCTTCGGACTGAGCACTCAGTCAAAAGCATATGTTGAGCTGCGCAAGTTAGATGAAAAAGAATCTTGTGAATGAATGTACATTAATTTATTGTATATACCACGACCGTTCGTACGCGTACGCAGACCTCATTGAACCATTTCGTTCCTCTTTTTATCCTCATGACTCATGAATATAGTTACGCATGATTAAGCTTCGTAGGGTATTATTCGAAGCCAAACATGTAACGCGTCTAAGTGGTTTAACGCCAAGTCGTAGGGCCGAAAAATGAACCATCGTCGGGCAGCGTCTTGGACATGGTTAAACCATTCTGATCCAAATTATCAGCCCATCCCGTGTTACCCCACCATGAAGGGAAGGAGGCTTCCGAAATGCCAATGCTAACAGCGTACAGAACCAAGCAGCACGCAGCACCGATGTCCATGGCTCCAGAAAAGACGTAGGTGTAACGTTTCCACCAGCCAAAATACTTTCGCTTCACGACGACATTGAAGGTCAAACCAACGGTCAACCAGCACAGAAGTGCAAAGAGAGTAGCCGGGGGAATCATGCCGGAGATACCGAACAAAGCTGGGAAGAAGATGTACTTGGCAGGGCTCTTGGGATACTTGCGAGCGATAACGTACTGGATGGCTGGGAGAGCTGCGCCAACGAGCCAGAACCAGTTACACCAGGAGTAGAGTGCACCAGCACCAAACATGCGCTTGGGACCAATTAGACCCCAGATGACTGAAGCGTTGAAGAAAGTGCGTGCACCGGCACACGTGAAACCTTGGGGCTGGTCCTCAGTGCACACAGCGGGAAGGGCACCCAACATCCAATTGAATGTGGCAACCTATAAGTTGAGTTAGTAAAGAAAAGAAAATCCTAAGTACGATGCATGATTTGCAAGCTTACCTGAACAAGAGATAGCCAGATGACGGCAAAAAGCTGGGCACGGAACATGGACCGAGGAGGCACCTTCATATAATGTCCGACCTTCAAGTCGGAAACATACTGAAGACAGTTGTAGGCAAACATGTATCCAAAACTCTTGAACAGCATCATTGCGACGGGTCTCCCAGGAAGCATGTAACCGACGATCATTTCAGTGATAACGTTCAAACCTGTCTGGGAATTGGTGACAGCTTGTATAATGCCGACAGGTAAAACAAAGAATGCTCCAATAATAATAGTGACGATGTAAGCCCACCATGGCAAGTGAGTGTCCCAGCACACGGCAGCGACAAGACCGAACACGAAACTAATGACAAAGACAGTGAGGAACCACCATTCAGGGGCCTCACGATAGTTGCGGATCAGCTTCAAATGAACATCAGGCTCCTCGTACCTCGCATTCTTGGTGCGGTGCCAAATATCTTTGCCGTAAAATAGACCGACATGGACCAAAGTCGAAATCAAAGTAGCAAAACCGAGACCATAGGCGAGAGCGAAAGCTGGACCGACGAATAAAGGCGAGTAAGCCTCATATGCGGCGACATCAAGCGTCAGATCAGCTGTGAGGATACGCGTAGTGTTGTACTTTTCGCCGAAATGGTCAAAATTGGTGTTCGCAAGCAAAGGCAAATACTTCATGTAGTCTTGGGCAGCAAACCCCAGACCTACGATGCCAAGCAGGAACAACAGACCACCTACACCCATGTTGATCAAGGCGAATGAGGGATACATGAGGGGGCTGAGGAAAAAGCCGGTGACAACGGTCCAGTCGAGAGTTATTGGCATGATTCCAAGACCGTGGAGACCTCCGAACACCTGATTTACGGCAAGGTTGTTTGGGGCGGCCCATGTCGGGAAGTTGCCCAGGTAGGACAAGAAGGGAGCAATGACGAAAGGAACCCAGTGCCAACCGAAACAAGCAGCAGCGACGATGATGAAAAACCTATACCGACCGATTGACCAGCCATTGGCTTGGCTCGGATCGGTCGGACGGTGGTCGTGCAAACTGTCCATAACAGTGGTAGTAATGAGTGTGCTGGGCCAAATCATAGCAGCCGGCCAGACCAAGAAGCGACGAAGCATACCAGCCATACCAAAGCCTAATGCCTGGGTAGAGATGGTTAGCAGGATCTGAAAACCCCAGCCCCACTTCTGTCCATAAAACTGTTGTTGTGCAAGCAGGATATCGAAAGCGTAACTCGTTGAAGCACCAGCTGCAGTCATCATAGTGATGATGGTGTGCTCCTTCTTGTTGAAAGGCCCAGGGTTCAGAGGAATGCCGAAGATGTGAATATGGGGCATAGCGGCAGCCCATCCCTTTCCCATGGGGTAAGCGATCAATTGGACGACTGCGCTCGGAATGATCAGACCGGTGATGTGTTGACCCATAAGAAGGTTCATGGCAGCAACGATTGTACAAGTGATGAAACCGATGGTCCAAGCTCGGAGAGTATCCACAGGAAGATCAGGATCATCAGTGTTTGGTACCTGAGCCACGGTCAGCGAAACATTCAATCCGACACCACCGCCACCGTTATATTGTCAACAAGTGAAATGAATGATAAGTTGTGGCACTTACAGCAGCACGGACCTCGGCATAGGGTGAATTTTCGCCTAGTACCGATGTTTCGATTATCATCTCCTTCTCAGGGTTGCCACTCTCAATAGCAGTATCGATAGCCTCCACGTTGTCGTCGTCCATGAAAGGATCGAACCTATGCTGGTCCTTCAGCCGCCTAATGTGTAGGTCGGCAGCCTCGGCGACAGCGTGAGACTCGTGGCCGGATGACACGGCTTCAACCACCTCGCTCGTCTCCATGGGGCGGTCGTCGCCCTTGCGACGGAAAGAGAAACCCATCTTGATGATATCTCAGTTGAGAAGACAATGGGCGATAGGTGCACTTTGGTTGGGAGCACGAGACAACGAAGCCAAAGAAGAGACGACGACGAGAGGAATGGAGATATTAATTATACCCCAAGGACCCCGACCCCTAGCACACTCCACTTGACTCGAACGTGCGGTGCGAAGCGAACGTATTGCGCCCATCTTGGCCCGTGTTGACCACAGTTATTCATGAGCGGACCCATTCCAGCGATCTGGGATGATAGAATCAACTAAGTGGAGAGGCTCAGGCGACACTATACCAGACGGGAAGGTCATGAAAGTAAAGTTATCGCATCCAGACCACTAAAGGTGAGAAGAAACATGGTTGCAGACAAGTGTCGAGGCGGGCTGGATTCTGTGGGCGGACGTATGGGGAAAAACTCAGCTCAAAGCTGCTGTGAGCTGTGTGTTTTGGATCGAATCCGCACTTACTCCAGGACACTACTAATCTAGACACTAGCCAAGGTAGTAGGTTCTTGGATTCCGACGCACTAAAAAGTAGATGCGTAATGTATGGGTCACACCTCAACGGGGGTGGACTCTTGGATTCTTTTGCTCTTTTCTGCGATAACTCATGGCAGGATGAGCCATGACGAATAAAATGCGCCTATTCACGACAGTGAGAGCACTAGATCCTGCACAGGCAGAACACTATAAATTCGAATCGTCGAGAGAGGAAGCTTCTTCCATGAACGGGTGGTGTTCTAGACGAATTCTAGACCGAGAGAAACACACCTGTCGTCAGCCCCAGAGCCTCGGTTGTCATGTTGGACTTCTGATTCGTGAGAGCTGCGGAGCAAGCACTTGCTGGAGATTCGTGCTAGACTAGTATTGCAAGTGGAAGGGCGTAATAGGCTCTGTTCCTGTTACTGTCCTAATTACGTACGGTATTAACCCAATTATATCAATGAGTTTTAGTATTGGGCCCTGTCAGACCCTTAATCCATCGACCGTTGAGTGCTTGGTACGAGGGACCATGTGACATGTTTTCCAATTCTAGCAGGAGCTCAGAGTGTGTCCACAATAACCCAGCCGGTTCGGAGCAATAAGTATCGTAAGGTATGAGGTATAGCAGACCGATAGGGCCGACGCCGTGCAATCCTTCATCTGCAGAATCCCTCGGCTTGAGATGGAGGTACCCATCGTTGAGTCTGTTGAATTGATACCTGCTCGTTCGGCGGGAGACGTAGCCCATGGAGAAGGCTTGGGGATATATGTCGGCGTTGCAGTAAGCGAGTATGCTGTAGCGGAGGCAATACTCAAATCTGCAGAATCGCGGATATTCTGGACTACTTTGGCAGCCGCTGAAATGCTGTACCTCGATTAGACATAGGAGGTTTTCGTCTTTTTTTTTCCTTTCTGGCACGATTTTAACTTTGTGAAATGCGGAGATTTGCCACTAAGAGCCACCGCGTCGCCCTTTGTCAAACTTGACTCAAAGTCCGTTGTTATTTCGCGAACTGCATCACTTGGAGCACTTGACCCAAAATCATGACATGGCTGATTCCAATTGTATCATAGCATGAACACGCAGGCTGTTTGGTCAAGCTTTGCCAAGTTTTGAGGCAGCTTCGCCTTATGCACTTTGCCGCAACGCCCAGCTGCTTGGCTCTGGGGTAATGCGCCCTGTCCTGTCCTGGCGTGGGCAGGGCATCGGCTCTAGTTTTGCCGTCCTACCACACTCTTGAGTCTTTCCGCATGCGACTACTCTGTAGAAGTGCCGCTATGTGCATACCAACTTAATTGGTCGGGAATTTGATGACCGCTGCAAATTACCTACGCTGCCAATCTATTCCCAGCCGGTTTTCGCAGGGTTTCGTTCGACACCAACCCATTTGAGACCGTCATCCGACATTGACAAATGCGCTGCAGGCTGTCGCAAGTCTTGGTTTCTTTGGGTTTAGACTAGCCAACATCATTTCACTTTCAGGTTACGGATCCGTAGGCCTGTAATCGCGGATTGCTTTGAACGAATAGCCAACTAGTTTCACTAACTATCACACATCATCATTCTATCACGCGTTCGGAAGCTCCCCCTTCGTCACCCTGCAAATGGCGCTTTCCGCACAAGCTTTTTCTCGTGTCCTACAGTCGTGCTAATTCGGTTATAATTGGAAGAACTACGGAGAACTGGACCCATAACGCACTTCTAGTCGAAGTGTCGAGCCGTTGACTACACAATCGCACCGCTCCTGGTGATCAGGTCCGATTGCGATATCCCCGCTACAGTAACCTTGTTATTGGCCTTCCAATATAGTGTTAGGTCAGTCGATCACGACACAAACATGTCGTAAAGCTACAATTGTTCATGGATCACGGTATCGTCCCGGCCAACGGACAGCCCGCAGATCGATCAGGAGAGTATGCACATGCAGTGGGCGGATGAGCCGGCATCCGGTGCAACTACCCTGTAGTACATTCAAGAGTTTCAATTTTGCCTCAATATGCACGCTAACGGAACCAGCGCCATAGCACAATGCGATCTTCTTTTCAGACAAGCTTTGTGTCAACATGAGTGCTGATACCATTTGCTAAATTGGCCCTTCGACTGCCTGGGAGCGATCGCGAATAATATCATGGCCACTTGTTATCTCGGGCTGAGATACATTTCAGTCTTCACCGCAGCCGATTACATCATCATACTATTCGAACTGAACCGCTAGTCGTGGGCGATCATATGCAGGAGGAGGTCCATGCTTGCATGCAAGGCAACATCGTGTAGGATATCTAAATGCACCTCGGAATGTTACCAAATGATCATGTATCTGTCCAATCGGATGCTGGAATCTAGGGCCCTCTCAAAACTCTATCTTCCCCCAATGACGGAAGAGGTCTTACAACAGCTGAGCTGTCAATTATGATATTAAGCGTCACAACACTTTATTCAGTCATTTACGTCACGTCGGTCTTCACAAGTTTTGCATGTTGTAATATATCAAAAGGCGAAGTTCAGGCGACTCATCCGCCTGCCCGAAATCAGGAGAGAGAGGCAGAGAGAGAGAGAGATTTTGCCAGCTTCTTAGCCACAGGGTCATCTTAATTTGTACTAGGACCTTTCGAGGAATTCAGACGGACTGTCATTGCCGATGGTGCAAACAGAGTTTTGCTGTTCATTCAGAGGATACTCTGTCTCGAACAATGCCACAATTAGTGAATGAACGCGAGGCCAAAAGCCACGATGAAACAATGTATGTATGGTGATACTCAAGGTGGTGCCTCGACGCTTCAAGTCACCCAACTTGTAAGTATGCACGTAGCGAAAGGCCGACCCGACAGTGCCTTAATGTGTGCCGCTGGGACTGTTGGTGGGAGATGTTGTCATGGCATCAACCTATGACCTTGCTTAACTAGATGACAGCGATATCGCACAATCAACAACATTGCCTTTCTTCGACCGAAAAGACAAAAGTAACATGGGAAGTGCAACATCTCGATTTGCCACCGATGCTTGGGAGGTACCATGAGATCCAAGCACAGACATGGAGCCAACGAAATCAACGAAAATCATGCCCATAAGTAAGGCAGCAACATTTATCATTGCCGATGACCTTGATGCAAAAACTCGCCAATATCGTCGGCGATCTTGCTGGCGTATCAAGTATTGAAATAAAAAGAGTCGAGAGCATAGAATTTGTGAACTACCGCAACTCAAGGGCTGGCAAATCGACCAAGATAGTATCGTCACATGGATCCAACCCCGAACTATCAAGAGTAAGATATCACTGGCAATGCAAGCAGAGGTTGTCTGATAGGTCACCGCAATGATCTAGCCGCGATATAGAGGCAGGGAGATCTAATTATCTCGCCCAGCAGGCAATAAGGTCAGAGGCAAAGTTTAACATGACAGTTTAGATATACAATATTTCATGCCACGCTTGACTACTTCTTGCATCATGTGAGGTACAGAAACATCTATCATGTACACGACTTTACAGTCCCTCGGGCTAAATGAGAACGAGCCACTTGAACCACCCATCAATTAAATACCGCTGACAGCGAACAAATCGAGGCTTCGCAGATGGATGAAAGACATGTGGATTAGAAAGCGCGACTTTTCCAGTGGGTAAATGGGGATCTAATATTATTGCAGGCAACCATCGTCGGTTCACACTGTGGCCTATTGCTGGCAAGCCGGGGTAGACATATACGAGAACACAGCATCTCTTGCCGCTGCAAAAATCGTCATGAGCGCTTCACAGTCGTCGACCAGGTGGCCAACCACCACCTCGACAGACTCTATCCGTAAAATATGGTTCTAGGTGATATCGAACGTGTTTTTCGCTGTTAGGGGCTGGCTTCCAGCCTCACCACCACGAATAACCTGGGACCACCAAATCATCATGGCAATTCGACCATCCTTTCCACAGCATCAAGGAATATCGCATGTCCTTGACCAGCCTGACCGTCTTCTCCACACAATTAGTGAATATACATGTCCATGGCCATTCCACGACTCGTTCAAAAACCCCTCTCATTCTTTCCGATCCCGGCTTTTGTCGCCCATCCGCCGTATCTCATGAATAGGCACACGAGGAAGAGAAATGCTTGAGTGACACAAACGCCACAGATTAAGGCTTCGCCGTAAATATTGCAATCGTCCCAACCACCGAGCGGCATCGAAAAAAACAACTGGTGTTCGTCTGCATCCGGCTGTTGTTCTTGATCGTAAGGAGAGCCAGCGTAGTTGGGGTCTCCACCGAGTAACCCCGGTGAGGGCTGTATCGGGACAGGGGCACAGGGAGCATAAGGGGCATATGCTGCTCTCTTCAGAAGGGATCGCCATATGACAGGCGAAGGTTATGGCTGCGTCTCGACAGAAGTATGAATATGACCAGAGCTAAGAGAAACGTGCTCGAGGAGAAGAGGAAGGCGATCAGAATCGAAGGCCGCATACGCATGATGCGGTAGGGGGCCGGGCGGGGGCCGGCCTGCGACTCGGCAGGCATTGTTCCTGATGAAGACGATTTTGGTGTCTTTGACGCTGTGGTGTTTTGAAGTGTTGGGAAAAGCAATGAGGATAGTTGGAAAGGGCCACGACCCCGACGTACTTAAAATGTTTGCACGACTGTTGCTTGACTCATCGGCGTATCACAACAGCACGCGTGAAAAGCCGCACAGTTTATGCGTGCAATATGCAGATAGAGATGACTCACAATGTGTGATTATTTATGATCAACGGAGCGGTGAGTAAAGAGGTGATCAATATATTTTACATCGTGATTAACTTTTAAGGGAATTTCCACAGACTCATTTTTCCAACAAAGCTTGAGAATGATTTCTGCACCTTCTATATGCAATACTGTATGATAACCCGTGAAATGTTCAACTGGACTCTACACCTTGACCAGCTTGAATCCATGCTGCACGTATCTTGCGGCTATGAAGACGAAAACACTGGCAGTCATAACACAACCACAGAAGAGTTGAAGCCCTAGATATTTGCCTCCCATAGATTTGACTATGGCACCTCCAATTGGGGAGCCCGTGAGTGCACCCAGTGACTGCACAGCAAAAGCTGTGCCAGTGCGAATACCAATCTCACGAATATCAGAGATCTGGGCGACACAGGCGGGTGCCAAGGAGATGAAACCGCCTGATGAGAATCCAAAGATAATGCCATATGCAATTAAAGCCCCAGTGCTTGTACCCGGAATCCAAAGTGCCAGGGTGATGACGCCAGAGAGAGCAGTGATGAAAATCATGGAATTGAAGCGCCCAACTTTATCAGCCACGATACCGGGCCCAATACGTCCGAAAATGCTGACAGCATTGAGAATGGGCAAAAGGTATTGCGCAAGCGAGGGGTCCATGCCAGCAGACTCGGCTTGTAGCGTGATGTAACTAAAAGGCAGAAACATGCCCCAGAAGAAAAGGAAACAAGCAGCCATGGTGAGCGCCATTGATGGCTGCTTGAAAGGCGCGAGATAAGCGCTGAATACGAAAGGCCTGGGCCTAGGTGGCAGGCGAGATTTGATAGTGGCCGACGCGATGCCACACATACCGAGGAACATGAACGCAATGATACGCATAGTCCAAGGGAAGCCAAGCTTGGGGATAAGGTGATTCATCATGATAGGGAGACAAACGCCGCCAAGAGAGGAGCCAGAAGCGACTACACCCAGCGCCATACCGCGCTTCTTGAAAAACCAGGTGGTAACCGAGGACAGTGCTGCGTTGAAAATAGCTCCAGAGCCAGCAGCAGCAACGATACCCTGGGACAGGAAAAACTGATAATACTCGGACGAAAGTGAAGTCATCATCAAACCGAAAACATAGACAATTGTTCCGCCAAGCAGCAGGTATCGTGGGCCGTAGTTGTCGAATACGCGCCCCCAAATTGCTGTCGTGCCAGTTTGAATAAAGATTTGCATACTGGTAATCCAACTGACTGAACTTTCTCCGTAGTGGCTCAAAGGACCCTGGACATAGTAGCTCAGAAAGACTCCGACACAATTAACCAGGCCAAATGTGCAGAATAGGGCGCAAAAGCCGCCAAGAACCGTTAGCCAAGCATCTAATCCTCCATCCGGGAAATCAGCGGGCGCAAATCCCGGGGGCATTCCGGCCGGTGGTGCGCCGGCAGGCTTTCCAACTGCTGCTGCCATGTCGCTCTTCTCGAGATCTGCCTCGACGGTGTTGGCAGGTTCCGGCCAAATGTTGGCCTCTGTTTCCTGCTGTGGCGATGGAATGCGACGCATCGACTCGCTGCAAACCGAGTCAGTGGCCGAGATGCCACCGACTTTCTTTTCGTTCACCGATCGATCATCGCCGTTCATGGTTGTGGTGGTTGATGAGTCGGCCATGACTGACGGTGCACTTGACAAAAAAAATAGCGATCCTCGATGTTGAGAAGTGTTGCGTGGATCCTGGCGAACAAACAATGTGTAATTAGTGAGATAGCGAAAAGTGGGCTGTCGATCCTCTAGTACTGCAACCCCTGATGCCAGGTCAGAACAGAAAAAAAAAAAAAAAAAAGGTGCTCCGCTTAAGTAATATACTGCTTTGGTAGCGTAAGAACTTGGAAATCGTTGGGCAAGCGTGTTTGAGTGCGAGCTTATGAAGAGGCACCGGTTACTGCCCGCCTTTTTTCTATCCTTGGCTACCAAGAAGTTTGTTTGACTAGTGCTTTGGGAGATGCTGCTTTGCAGGAACTTGGTTGTGCTAAAGTGTCCTACAATGGTGGTAGAAAGGGCGCTTCCGTTTCCATGTGACCTTGAGCCGCTATTATAGGCGTATCTTTCTCTGTCGTCTTGGAGTCGTCGGTGATTGTCGATTTCATCTGGAACTAAGGGGCTCGGCTTTAAGAAGAAAGCGGGACTGGCATCGCGGAGAAAGAATAGAGGAGCAAACCCCATACTCTCACCTCAGCCCTGCAGCCTTTACATACTGTAGCACAGTATTATTAATGGAGCGAATGGATACCTACAGCCTAGTCAGTACGGACGCTTACATATCTGCCTACACATCGGAGCAAGTCCCGTTGACCATGTTTGGAGTTGAGTTACATAGCACTCCGTCATCGGTGATGGTAGCCGTTATGCCAGCCTAGTCTTTATTGCAAGTCTATTGATCGTCACTGCCCAAAGGCTTGTGTATCATTTCAGTTGGACGACGCAGTCGCACATCAGAAGCCACACACAAGTGTAGTTTGTTGCTCGTGCGAACATGTTTCACTTGACCTTAATTACCATTCACACGAAGCTGGCTGGCAGGTTTCGCTTTTAAGAGCTTGCTGAAGTCGCGAAAGGCCGAAAATGCTTGCATGCTTGCTTGTTTTCAGTCTAGTATTAGATTAGCGTTGCCACGAGGAAGTCAGCGCTAAACCCCTGCTTATTTAGCGCGTGGAGTTAAGCTTATCTTATCACATCAATCCTTTGTAGCATCTCGGGCCTTGTACTCGCAGCTCCGCCACGCCCGAACTCATGGCTCGGACCAAAGCTCCGACATAATCGTGCTCCTCGGAACGGGTTTCGATGACGTCGGATCACTCGTTCTCGGAATTTAAAAGGTTAATCAACCCTAAGCGTAACTCCAAGATGAACTCTTCGGCATATTTCCAACAACGGAGATATCGCTGAACTTCCCACTTTGGCACGAGGACATTTGTGTAACTGGGAATATGGACTTCATCCATTTGCATGCTTTCTTCGGGCGTCCCCTCGGGGTCGAGTAAACAGTAGAGCAGACTTGAGGCTCAATGTCTCCCATATTACATCGTCATGTAATGCCTCAACTGACGGCGGGGCTCACGGATAATTCTCCTCAACGGATTTGATCAACCAAGATGCAATGGCGCTGGGGTATTTTCCACCATCCCAGATATTTCGCTTGGATCTGATCTCATTTATCAGGCCAGTTCCCTCCTTTGCACTTGAATCGTCTACAGACATGAACGAGAGCTGGTCATCTTAAACTAGCCGAGAAAGCCATCATATCACGGTTCCTCTAGGTGTAGGATAAACCAGAGATCTCCAGCCTGGGTTGTTGATTTTAATAGTGCTTCTTATAACCCTGGACCACACAATTTTGAAGGGGTTCAAACATCGTCTTGCGTCGTACAAGTATACTGCGAGTCGGAAAGAAAAACATAGAGTTGGTGAGCTCAACCTGACAGCTTAAGGCGCGAGCTTCGTACTTGCTCTGCTCGATATCCACTATGATAGATTCCGTTGTTGCAGCTTTTGATGGCGAACGTACTCAAAATAAATGCCCAACAAAAGTCGCGATCATCATGAACTAGGCTATAGAGGATACCTCGTTGATTTCAAGCCACAGTAAATCAATTCTGAGTGTGTATCCTTGCCTACCACAACTCAACATACCAATATTCTCAGGCGGCTACCAGTCACCGCTGCTGTTCCCACGACTTATGTTCTTTCAAGCTAAGCATCAGAAAGAGCACTGCATTCTGTGGCCTTGAGAGACGGCTCGAATTTGAGCATCCGTGCGATCAATCTGCTCGTCTTCGCAATATCATCCTTCGTGAAATCAATATACTTTATCATTGTCCAAGTATAGTTCTTCAACCACCCCTGAAGCGTAGAGCTATGCTCTTCCTGAGGTAATTTTTCTTATGTTCCTTTCCGTTTCATCTCCCTTCGTGATGGTAGCTTGTCAGTGGTGAATTCCGTCATCTGTTGAACAAGGAGGGGGATTAGCATCCTGTTATCGACAGGGGGTTGGTCATTAACAAGTTCAAAAAGCTATATCAATTAGTAAGGTCTATCATTGTAGATTTGTGAACAGGTACTATAGCAGGCAGCCAGCGCTCCACAAATCCACTTGATGATCCAAGAGATCTCCTAAGACTTCTGGAGCGCGTATCGGTAACGGAGTGTGGAGCATGTTCGGAGCGTCGCCGTCGAGGAACGCTTCACCAAACTCAATGATTTTGACCAATGGAGACGACAGTAGGAGAATTTCTTTTCCGGAATGAGTGGGCCGAATAATCTGGGACGGAACGTGGCTCGTTGAAGGCTCACCATCCCGTCTCGTACGGGACCAGTATCAGGCTTCCCAAGTTTGTCGAAAAAGCTCCTTTGGTCCAAGAATTTCACGTCGGGTATGACAATGGCCAAGGTTCTGGTGTGAAGATCTAGGGACAGAATTTGCATGATGCAGTGGAGGTGCCTATAGCGAATGGCTTTGGCCCCATGGCCAGCACCATAGCGAGCGAGGAAATCAAGCCTTTATTAAGACTGCTTTGCGAAAGACTTTGCAAGCCCAGCCGGAAGTCTGTCATCCTTGTAGTATGATTCAACGACATCTGCCACGCTAGGAACCAAAAGTTCCAGCACAAGACAGTCGTGGGTTCCATTGGGACCAACCAAAGTAAAACGGTTTAACATCTGGTCCAAATGGGACTTCTCGGAATTGTATTTCGAATCAGCGGATATCATTTATAAAATAATTAGCTCCCGTTTAGTCTAGGTTTTATATCCGAAGTACAAATATTGACAGCAACATATTTATCTTCCCTACACGAGAGTTAGAAAGGGATCTTTGGTTTTTGTATGCATGGAAAGAGATACTATTGGCCTTTTGCGGGCCATGTGGTGGAATAGCCACCCCAACCTAGCTTGCGAAGGATTCTGTAGCGACCATCTTTAAGAATATCACCTAGTTCAAGAGGTTTGTAACCTCCTGTTTAGTATCTGTGCAGCGGCTCAGCATCAATACTACAATAGTATGTTTGTTCTGGTGTTTGAGAACTACGATGACGGTTTACAATGGATTTAGAGAACCGAGGTATAAAGTATGGCTTGGCTCTGCCCAAAAGCAAAAGCTGTACTTGGAAACCATCCCGATCGCAAGCTGTGAAGCTTTTTGGACAAATATCCACCCTGGAACATTGAGTATTTATATCAAGCAGCCCTGGAGGTGCTCCTCCTAAATTCTCAGCACGTGCACGCTCTCTAGAACATCGAGTACACCAAATTGTCAGCAATCCCATCAATTCCACGCCCCACTTTCGATGTCGGGGACCGCAAAGGGCTTATATCGACTTGGTGCATAAGTCTTCTTTGTTTCTTTCTGTATAAAATGAAACTTCTCTGGAAGATTCACGGTACCACTCGTCAGCGATATGCTTTGTGTCACCCTGGTAGCCTAAACGGCTGCTGCAAAGTATCCGGCATTGCGATACCCTAGGTTTTATTTATGACTTTTGGAGCTGTTGAACCAACCGACGACTCATCAGGCTCAAGTCGCAGGAGTTGGCAACGTTAATCACGTATGTACCTTATCTCTGGCATACCTTCCCAACGGCTTTTATGGTAGGCGCCAATATAGCGAGCTTCGACATTGAGGTCCTCCATCAATCATAGAATACATACGCTTGAGACACCTGCGAGTTTTTTGCTAGCTATCGAGAGGCTTTGTACCATTATAGCAGCCAGCCAGTGGTGAGAGCCAACATGAATACGGAAATGAAAATGCGAGTGATGATTCTAGATCAGTAATTCCTACTAGTTCAGTGAGACACCGGAAGGGTTGGTTGTGTGATATACTCGCTACTAATCTAGTCTAGGCATATCAGAAGGAAGCTGATGTTTCATTATTTGACTACAAAGTTAGGTTGAACTGGTCCCAGATGCTAACTTCTCTGACGAAGCTCGAAAGTTGTTTTGGAAAGCTTTATTAATCACAGACAACATAATTGCAAGCTGAGCAGCTACAACTCAGCAATGATTCACTTTTTACACGACGATATAAATATTCTACTAAAATTGCCCGTACAACCAACCATATCTATCCTTCCTCTCAGAAGCCTCGCGACAACGACATCAAGAGGAGAATATCGCACGGTATTAACACGATTCTACCAACCAAAATGTTCCTATTCGCATTTATAATCCCTTTTGCAGCCATAGTCACGGCTATGTCGATGATCTCGGACGGCGGCAACCACCACACTATACGTTGTGACAACGACTGGGACTGGACATTTGTTTTATGGAACAACGTCTGCAACGTGAGCAACGTGATCCACTCTATCAAAGGTTCTGGTTCCTATGACTGCGCTGTTGCTGATGAAGAGAACTACTTTGCCTGGGGAGTCGATCATAATTCCCGAATTAAACCTGGGTACAGTGTCACGTTCTTCTCCGACAACAACTGTAGTGAATCTGGAATAGGCGTTCTCAATAGCACAACGATGGAAACCTGCCACAGCGTAGGGCAAAAGATTCAATCCTATCGTGTCACGCAAGATCTGCGAGTAGACCTTCCCAATGTCAGTTCTTACTCCTTACCCGTCGCAAGCTTATCCGCTACTGCAAGCTCAAACACTTACACGAAAACATCCACTCTTATCATCGACGTTACTTCAAGCTCAACCTCTACTTCAAGGTCAACCGCCACCACGAGTTCAGTTGCTTCCACGAGCTCAACAATCAATTGGTCATTACTCCTCTATAATGACAGCTGCTCTAGTCCACCCATACGTCTTTACGATAATGGCGCTTACGGCCAATGCGAGGGTTTGGACGGCGACCACTATAAATATTGGGGAGTTAATAAGGAACACCCAATCAGCCCTGGATACATGATCGAGCTTTTCGGCGACAGAGATTGCATGGAAGTTGGAACGTCCATCATTAACAACAAAACGGAGGGCTCATGCATAAATTCGTCAGACGGGCATGTCATCAAGGGGTATCTTGTTTATAAAAAGCCGTTCCCAGAAACTACAAGCGCTAAATTCCCATCTCTATCAATTGAAAGCACAGCCTCTGCTTGGAAGACGCCTTCTGTGAAAAGCACGGCTACCACTTCTAGTACAATCACTGCTTCCAGCACAACTACTGTGGCGACCTCGAAGACCCCTGCAAACTCAAATGCTAGCACGAGGATTGTAACTCCAAGTCTTCTAGAACCAGCCGGTTCTACAAGTATAACCGCTGCTGCAAGCACATCCGCTCACACGGTAACCTTTTTCTCAACCAAAGCCATTAATGATATTGGCATTATTGGTCCAGATACCACCATGACCAGAACGAAAACCGGGACAACGACAACACGCACAGTGGCCGTCAGCCTTGGTGCAACTGGTCCATCTGTTGTTGGTCGAGACTCTCCCAATTGGGAATGGAGATTCGGAATTTTCCAGGATTACAAATGCACCCAGGGAGGCCTTCTGATTTCAGGCACAGGCTTTGGTTCCTGCCAGAATATTGGACACTATCCCGAAGTTCGGCAAAATTGGGCAATCGATCCTTCTTCCCCCGTTAGGTCGGGTTATACAATCGATCTCTTCCGCAACGCAGACTGCACTGGTTATCACGTTGATGTCATCAACAGTACCTCGGAGAATGGCTGTCATAGCACTCGGCGACTGATCGGGTCTTACAGAGTCAGCAAAAACCATTCCGTGGCTCCTACTGCAGTTTCGGAGTCACTAGTGGCGACGACACAGGCTGTTACCACTGTTCGCGGCGCTTCCCATAACGATTAGAGTTTAATCCTTTAGCGCGACAGCTATTACGGCTTAGGCAGTGGTATGGTTGTTGGTGTTATTGGGGGGGGGGGGGGGGGGGTTGCGTCTCTCTGGCTAGTCAAGTCAGCTCAACCTGGAAACTATAGGAGCATTGACTAATTTATCAGCGCCGGGGGCAAAGCCAATTCTTGAGGTAGCAATGTTCCGTTTGAATAGCTGTCTCTACCCTGCGGTCTATATCTATAACAAATCAACATATGACTGAAATCATGGCCACAATATCATTCCATCATACCCAATCTACCATTGGAGCTGGGCTCGAAGAGCCCTGAACGCTTAGTGATGGGGCGCCGCCTCGAAATTCACGCGGAATGAGCAGGGGTTTTGAATATGATGGCACTGTACAACACAGAAGTGCGACGACGTTGTTTAGTAATCTGAGGCAATGAATTTTGCCAGTTATTCAGACACTATACCAGTGAATGAAAGGAGATTTCACAACTAATAGTGGCTTGACGTGTAGTTGTAGACACAGACATAAGAGGCTATTCGCACGCGGTTGTACAATAAGTAGAGATTTTCTAAAATGCTCAAACACTAATTGGTAATGGTTAAGAATTATAATATGCTTAGGAAGCCCAATGTATCGGGCATGAGATGTAAACTGATCCTATAATGATTATCATGAATAGTGTATCGTAGCTGGTTAAGCAATAAGACTTTTTTTCTAGCGCAAATGCGCGTTATCTGGCCCTCACGTAGTAAAGTCAATGGGTACTGCACAGTCAAAGAAAGTCTTAGGTGCTGGTGCCCATTTGTCGTTTCTGCTCATAGCTGCTGGAATTGGGATGTACATTTTAGGACCTGGGAGGTGTCAGCAGTCAGCCTATAGTGCGACTGTGCAACAAGAGTCTAGCGAGTTGACCACTCTCAGATTCTTAATCGGACAATTAGATGTCTACTAATTGTAGAAGCATCGGTGGATTAATAAGGTCAAGTCTCATATAGACTGGAAACATCTATTTGCCTATTGACCTAGGTGCCAATCGAGAAGGAGTCTATTTGGTCGTATCAGGTTATAGATCTTACAGAAATCTCACCTCAAGGTAGTAGTGTAGAGTAATAAGTGCATTGCCGGATGGGTCTGGTCGTCTCGGGTCGAGGTGTAGGGAAATCTCGGCGTTGGTGGTGTTCATGGCCTCAATGGTAACGGAATCTATGGCGATTTCTTGGCTGTGCATCGCTTGTGATATGTTGCTGGGAAGGTGGTTATTGTTACATAGTAGTCTTGCATTGGGAATACTGGCAAACGAACAGGGGACCTTATGCTATGACGTGGACTTGTCTAGATATGCACGATGGTTAGAGAAAGTGATAGTAAATAGTTTCATTTATCCAAGTCGTGAAGAATATGGACACCACACAACTATTGGTTCATTCCGGCGACGTAGGATAGGCAGAGCTATAGTCACCCATCAGCATACGTAGTTCAATGCTTTCGCGCAGGACATTGTACTGTTGTAAGACCACTGCCTGCATGTCATAAGCACTCGATGCAAACGTGGAGCTTAATGTTCCTTGTCAGCTTCGTATCTGCACCAGATCTCCCACTACTGGCACAAGGCTCAACATGATGAAATGTGTAGAGTAGAACCGCCCTAATCATCCGATAGAGTACTTCTGCCGCCTCATGGCTCTCGTCTAAGTGGCATAAACGAAGCGGCAGACCCGGCCAGACCGGCAGTCGTAGATCCAGTTTCCATTTTTAGCGGAGACTAGCTCCGCTTAGTCCCGGCAAGTGTGGGATGATCATGTTCGTATTCATGGCCCAACCATCGGGTGCCCGCATTACTGGTGGCGGTGTCAACTAAGCTTGCACGGTAGGAGATTTAATGCTTCCGCTAGGAGATCCCTTTGAGCCACTAGGTGAGCCCTTTGATTTCCGATTGGGGGAGGAGCGCCTAAATCTGTTTGTCTTGGGAGCCCGTTGCATGAAGCAAACGGCGGCATGGCCATCTCGTCCCGAGGAAGAAGTGCATGTCATCGCACAACGATCTTGCGGTCTAAGAGGTTGGGAATGCACGAGTTACGTTGTATTTTGTGTCTTGTGAACAAAAAGACGTAAGAATTGTGGTACCGATGTGAGGATCGAAGCAAAACAGGTCTCTAAAGTGGAAAGTGCTGACGTCGTGAAGAAGGTTTAGGCCGGATATATAGGGTCATGGGGCTGGACGTTTGTTGACTTCATATCGAGCTCTCAGCAAAGCATATTCTCCAACACCGCAAGCCACAAGAAACGTTAAGAATTTTTTCCCTCGTTCATTTGAAAGTAGATCAAGAACATCTTTTTACGCATTTTACCATTCTACCTATTCACAATGCAGCTCACTTTGCTCACCACATTGGCATCGCTGGCCACAAGCACGCTCGCAGCACCTGCTGCCCTCATCTCACGGCAAGGAATCACGAACCCTCGCCTTGCACAGTTCAGAGTGTTTTCAGCGACAGGTTGCTTCGATTTGAACCAGGGCTTCTACACCATCGATACAGACCAGTCAAACGTATGCTACAACCTACAGCAGGACGCCGCCAACGTGTCACCACTCGGATATGTTTCCATTCAGCTACAAGCTATTACGGCGAACTCGACAGCTTCCAACTGCAAACGTAGGTTATCAGAAACAGATATACTAGTCAAAGAGTTATTCTGACCCTCTTATTAGTGTTGCTATACTCGGATGATGCATGCGAGAAAGACCGGACAGAAGCTCCTTTGAACGTCTGCGAAGATGCGCCAGTGACCCAAGATGGTGACAGCAACCCGAACTGGAACTCGTACTACTACCAGTGCAATACGTCCCAAACGACAAGGACCACATACCCAATTGCTTAGGAGGCAGAGGACGGTTCAGAAGAGCTGTTCATGTGCTTGTACGCGCAGGCGCAGCAGTGTGATGTTTCAAATCAGTGCCAGTCATTGAGCGCACGGTTAATGCACGATGATCAAAGCATGGTACTGGTGTTTGTGTGGACTTCATTACTTATAGCGTAGAGCTTGGGACTTGCATAGGCATCGGCATAGGCGCAGGCGTAGGCATAGGCATACGCTCCTTTCACGACTTGGATGAGACAAAAGATCTGAGGAACATTCCTTACACGCTTGGGAAAAATAGTTCTTCAAGTAGATTATAATGTTAATGAACACAATATCAAGAACACAACGTCGGGTCCAGATTGTAGAAAGCGAGACAGCAAGGTAGGTTAGGTGATTTGCCAAGTGAGTGTGAAGAAAACCGAGGTAAGACGCTGAGGGCGGGCAGCTTCTTCTCAGCACCTTTTTGCGGATCTGCACCTTGGTGGGGCACTGAAATTTGTCCGTACTGTAGTCGCTAACTCCGGGCTCTTCAGTGCTACTGTAAGCTTCTGCAGCCGGGATTCTCCAAGCTTCAGTTTTGCTACGAAATTCCGTCATTTGAAATTGAAGCATCACATAAGACGAAAACTCAAGCTACCACTTCTTGTACCTGCAGCCTAAACTGTTTTCACACTCACCACCCAAGCTTCCTGCAGTTATATCAACCGCTTTATTCAGCCTCAGAAGAAGCTGCCCACCGAAGATGGGCTCTGCCAGCGCGTCGCCGCCACCTCGTCGGTCGCGATACGACGACGGACACGAGCGTGACTCTAGAACAAGATCACAAGGCGGTGGCTCTGGTCGTGAGAAAAGAAGAGATAGAAGAGATAGAAGCAGATCAGGAGACAGAGCAAGAAGAGACAACAGACGATCAAAATCACCACCACCTCCGGATCCGCGCCAACGCGCCTCGCCGCCACGCAACAGAGAACGACACCGAGATAGCAATAGGCGGACAGATCGAGACACGGAAGACGCATACCGAAGTCGCAGATCTCCAAATAGCCACCAAGAGCCTGGAAGAAGAAGAAGGGATGGAGATGGGCCGCGCAGAAAGCGTCGCGACGAGGAAGACAACGACGGGGGGCGAGGCAAAGAAATGGTGAAGCGCAGCGGCCCTCTACCTTCACAAGATGCCTCATTCGCCATCGAAAAAGGAGAGGAACCGCCAAAGGAGATAGAAAAGCCCAACTACAGCAACTCGGGCGCACTAGCGGCTGCCTCAAACTCGATTGCCCAGGCAGACGGATCAACCATTGTGCTCAAATACCATGAGCCTCCGGAGGCGCGAAAGCCTTCACCGAAAGACCAATGGAAACTATTTGTGTTCAAAGGCCAAGACATCATCGACACTATCGAGTTGAACGCGCGTACCTGCTGGCTCATGGGCAGAGAAATGGCTGTCATCGATATCGCTGCGGAGCACCCTAGTATCAGCAAACAACATGCTGTCATCCAGTTCCGGTATCTTGAGAAGCGAAATGAGTATGGCGACAGGATAGGCAAAGTCAAGCCCTATCTAATCGACCTTGAAAGCGCAAATGGGACTAAGCTCAACTCCAAGAGAATTCCGGACAGCAGATACCTGGAACTGCAGGACAGGGATCTCATTGAACTCGGTCAAAGTACCAGAGAATATGTTCTTATGCTTGCACCAAAGGACAGATGATGCGTCATCGACGTCATTGTATGTACCCTTGAGACCTGCCTGGGAATGCTAGCCGCGGAGCATTTCCCGTCGAAACACCTTGATGAGGCTCCGCATTCAGCTCCTCCACTACTATGCCGCACACATTCCCGAATTCGATACCGAGCTTGAACTTGCAGCTCTTGTTTTGCCCCATAGATTTCACTGGACCTGTTGAATCTACAAAAAGGCTGTATAATCCAAGTGGCAACGATTGTTATTGTGACTCAACCGCAGATGAGACCACTGGGCAAAGCGTGAGTCAGAGCTTTCCCAAGGGCCACCTTACGGCCTCAGTTGCGACACATGCAACGTTGACTTGACACTTCCGGTTTACTGGTAGCAAAACTATGAGCACGCAGAATACGAGATCTTGCAAGTAACCGTTGAGCACAACAGTCCACGGTTCTGTACGGGAAAGCATTCGCAACCATATTTTAGAGGACTTCCATAGTAGCATAGTAAGTACCCGGTTGCGGTTGTGCATTTCGAAGCTTTAACGCGCTTGCTGCCATGTGCCGAAGCCATCTCAGTTTCCCGAGATCTCAATCTTGTGGCTCCTGTCAGCTTGGACAATTGATTGGGTGACCCTGAATTAAGAACCGACAGTTGTACCATCAACCAAGTCATTCTCTCATGCATACTGTTGTTTAGTTCCTAGGATACTTGGTACTCCTAAAAGACTATTGGCAGATCCATGATCAACTGCCCCTGGTGGCTGAACTTGGATTGTAGGGTGTGCCAACTGCCGAAAGACGGAACCAATCCATTTGTAGAAATGTCTGCAGGCCGACTATAATGTGTCGACTACGACACTCCTGACCGAACAAAGATACCGATGCAAGCAACAGTCTGACCAGATACCGTTGAACCGAGTCTTGATCCTCAGGTGCAAACTGCTCGGCACTAACATGACCCCACACCACCACGAGAAAGTGGTCATCCAAAGCACTCACACTGTCGAGACGACTTGGACTGTGCTATCTAGCGACGCTATCGACAGATCCGTACCTCAGTCAGGTCCATCTCCATACATACATGGGCTCTGTGCCAGTGCGCCGGCCATAATTCAGCGCCATTCCCGTTGTCCCATTCCGGCTATAAGGTTAAGCTTTTCTGCTAGGTCTGCTGTGGAACTGGGGGGTTGAAACGTTTGTGTCCTTATCAAGAGTATGACCACTGCACTGTTTAAACTCGCGTTGAACCTCGGTGAACACGAAAGTGGAAATTGGGCTGCCTCGAGGCTATGTGGTGACAATTCCACAGACTGCGGCAGCCCGCACTCGTGCGAAATGGCAAACAATGTAGTACGTGAGTCTATTTTGAGAAATCCGTTTCGACTCGCGTGCATCATCTCGCTCTGTCAGAACAGGAACCATTCCTCCATTGCGGATTACCTTCGCATCGCAAAACAACACCGCCCGCAGAACAGTGCTCGCTTCTTGTGACAAAATTAAAGTGCCTCCCCCAGGATCCACACAACCCTTGCTTCCCGCCCCGAGATGGTGTGCCGCGATGCCGCTTGGCTTGACTATGCCCGTTAACGGCTAGCTCTTCTGCCTTGAGGGGGCTCAGCTGCCACCTCGACGGGCATGACTTCACATCCTGGATTGCTTCTGCCAAAAACACAGGTGCCTCACAATCAGGTGTGTCACTGAAGTGCCTCGTGACATCGCCCACGTAATGCCCCAATATCTCCCTATTCCTCCCTGTCGCACGAAGTAACTGGTTACACTGCTCCTCCCTCAAAACCACAATCCCTAGCCCAGTCCGGTGTACCTCGCGAATCAGCGGATCTATACACAGGCCTTTTGACTGCTCTGCCTGGGGAAACAGCCCGGCGATCCTACGAAGGCACTGTCTCAAAGCTCTCGTTTGGCTGACCTCTACTTCCTCGACGACTGATTCGTGTTCCTAGAGGCGCAAGTACATGTGGATTTTGGTGCCTGCGTCTGTCAATGCATCGTACTACATAAGATTGAGGCGTGCTGGACACCCTGTTACTTTATAAGCCATGTCCGCACATGTACTTCCTATTCTTTCGTGAATCTGTCTTCATGCTCATACAACAAGCATATAACTGAGAAGGGAAACACGCAAAATCACTGGGCCGTGCCCATTCGCAAGCATGGTAAGTAGTTTTCCAAACGCCTTTGCATATCTTGTATATTTCCTGGAGTCCAGCCGTGGAGCACGCAGAAACTGCATTTCGTCGGGAGCTGTGGCTTCGCACCAACAGTTTGTCAGGCAGTCTTGCTCGGCCTTGAACTCGATCTGGAGTTATGTTGCGATGTTTAGACTTACCTGCAAGTGCTGAGTCAGAGTCATGCATCGGCGGACCGAACCGTCCCAGGGCCTCGCCAATCACGCCATGAACCCTTTACTGACTCCATGTATTGTACAGGGCTCGATCAACAAACAAATCTCGCGCTTCGAGACGACGGCTGTATACACACATCCCGATGCCAAGGTCGACGTGGTCCTGATCCACGGTCTAAACGGCGAGCCGCAGAAGACATGGACTGCTAAAAATGGGACATTTTGGCCTAGCGACCTCCTACCGAGTTCTTTGAGGGATGCCAAGGCCAATGTTTTGGTGTACGGGTACAATGCGGACGTCTACTCGAAGAAGCATGGCGGCAGCCCGAGCGACAACTTCATATATATGCATGCGCAAACGTTGGTTACCAGCTTGACGCACTATCGCAAAGATGAAATGTCCTCGAAGAACCCTATAATCTGGGTCTGCCATAGTCTCGGCGGTATATTGCTCAAGCGGGCCCTCTTATACTCGAACGATCTCAAGTCATCACAACATGAGGACTACCGTGGGATATATGTCTCAACCTACGGCATAATCTTCCTCGGTACGCCGCATTCGGGCTCAGACATGGGGGCATGGGCCGTGATGCTGCAAGCCATGTCTGATGCCGTGGTGCCCCGGGCATTCTGGCATTCGGAGCCTGTGCTGCTTAGAACACTGAAGAAAGACAACGAGACGCTGCAGAACATCAACAACCACTTTCTTGACATTTACCAACGGTTCAAGATTATGTTTGCTCATGAGAACCATGCAACTGACTTGAAGGGTACCAAGATGCTTGTTGTCGATTCGCAATCTGCAAGTCCGCAGCTACCAGGCGTAGGTTATTTCGCGATTGAGGCAACCCACTCAGGCATGTGCAAGTTCGACAGCAAGAATGCACCTGGTTATAGAACAGTAGCCACCTCGATCAGAGACTGGGTTATTGAGGCTCCTGATGTCATCTCGACGAGGTGGCGCGTGGAGGAGGATGAGAAATTAGCAAGAGCGCAGCATGAGATCGCGGAGCGGATGAAGCCTTGGGTTAGTTTTGTCCTACCTAGCATGTCTGAATCATCCTTTGAGAAGCACGCACTAATCTTCACAGCTCAAACAAACTCAACTCGAAGCAGGACCAGGACCAAGTACGTCACCCAGTTCGTCCCTTATTCCCATGTTGGGCACATCGCAACCTCTATTGCCACAGCGTAGCTCTGGTAGCTCTCATTTGCCCTACGAAATTGAGGAGGCTATGGAGAGGAGCGCAAGCACGATCGGGCGTTCATGATCGTGTTGGACTCGGACTGATTTGTGTTGCATTTATAGATCAAGACCCTAATAATCAGATTAATTCCCCTACCGACCCCAAGTCCCCTGCCAAGATTGCTGGTGCAGATAAGAAATTGTTAACGGAGTCGGATCCGAACGACACCGATCTGGAACCACCCTCGCAAGACTCGACGGACCAAGACCTATCAAGAGAACCGATATTTGTCAAGCCCTTAGTTTTCAAACCGAACACCTTCTTCAAAGGCCGAGACCAAGAATTGAAAGAACTACACAGGAGGCTGATGGATCGTGGCCGGAGATCTCGAGGCACTTCGTCTGTACTTATTCAAAGTATGCCAGGTGGTGGCAAAACGCACCTTGCACGGCAGTATGTGTTCGAGCACAAGTACCAATACCCAGGTGGCATCTTCTGGATAAGATCGAAATCGTTGCAGGAGCTTGAATACGGCTATTGGGACATAGCCAAGACCGTACAGCTCAAGGAAGTCCAGGGCCTCGATCTTGATGAGTTTAACGACATCCAGAAAATGGTCAAGGCAGTGCAGGGGTGGCTTAGTAGGAACGAGGGCTGGCTTCTGGTTCTAGATGGCATTCACTTTGACCTGCCTGGTCTCGAGGATTTCATTCCTTTTGCAAAGAACACCAGCATCATCTTCACTTCTACCGAAAGGACAGCTGGCGAAGACTACCAGTTCGATAACCCGCAGATCATCGCTCTTGATTCCTTAACACCCCGAGAAGCCCAGGAGTTACTGCTAGAAGAGATGGGAAAGAAGCAGCCATGGAATCAGGACGATCTGAGTCGTGCTATGGAGTTGGTGCAGCTCATGGACCGCCTGCCACTTATGATACATGTGGCCGCTCTGCAGCTGAAAGCCACGAGAGAGCCGCTCTCAAAATATCTTCGTTCTTACAAGAGTCGGCCGAAGGTTGGGAAATTGCCAGCATACAGAGCGGTTCGCGAGCAGCTTCAACATAGAGGTAACGTGGCAGCTCTCAACTTGATGTCCATACTCGCGTTCTATAGTCAGCACGTTCCAGTGGAGATGCTGGGTCTAGGTATTTGACTTCCTCAGAAACAGACTCCGAGAATCGCAAATTAATCTTATCACAGGATTGAAGGCACTGACTAGGGAAACACCTGTCAAGACCTGGGACCCGGAGACGAGGAAAGGATCACTGAATGGAACATTCAAAGTCTTGATCGCGTTTGCGCTACTAGAACGCAACGAGAACGACGAAGCATCGTCATCCAGTGGTCGAAGCTCTCGAAGTGTCGACATGGCACAAGATACTCTGGATATCCTTAGAATTCATGGTATCGTCCAAGCATTTTTTGTTGATGTGCTGGCCGAAGAAAAGCTTGCGCACTTTTGGCTTGAACGGGCAATTCGTGTTTTCTGTCATGCTTTCGACGAAAGTCACCGCAGGATTCAGGAAGACTCAGCGACTGGAATGCCAGAAGATTACCTAAGATTCTCAATTCATGGCAAAAAGCTGGGCACGTACCTGGACCGGTTCGAACGGAAGTACCCTGAGCTCTACGACAGTCGAGAACTACTTGAGGCCCGTTTGGACGGCATTCAGTTTCGGATCGAGCAACTCACCAAACGACAACGCACACTGGATTCGGCCTCTGGAGAGGTACTAACTGTGTCAGTGTTCGAGCGTACCAGTAGCCTGTCAGAACTAGACTCGTCAACTCCACCGAGCAACGGTAGCTTGGTGGAGATGCCTATGTACGATGAGAGCAATGCTCCTCTGGAGTCGCCTACCCCATATTCTCCAACTGACTACAATCCCTACCATTGGCACGTCGCCTTCCCATACGGTATTCTTCCACCAGATGACGGTGAGATATCAAGGACTGTTACACCGCAGCCAGCACCGACAGAGATCTTTGAGTCCATATCAGTTCCAGAGGATGACGAATCGCACATTTCTCATACGAGTCACAGGACCGTTAAGCGACACTCTGAGCGCCGTTATCATGATACTGCTGGTGCCTGGCGAGCATCACCGCAGATACTGAGCGATCCCCGAGTCAGTCTTAGCAGAGAAACAGTGCGGGGGGTTATTGGCCTTCCCGCGGCAACACCTCAGCAAGGTGGAAGATCAAATTCATCCGGCAGCAACTATATTACGGCCAGTAGTGACGCTGAAATGACTCTTAATAAAATTTCCTCGGCTTCTCCAACACCAAGGAGAGGCGGAACAATGGCGAGAGACCAAAGCCGCTCATCGTTGAGTGGTAACACAACCCTGGCACGACCCAAGATTGTTCCTGGCAGACCTTCATACAGCGACGCGCAGGCCAATACAGCGTTTGACGAAAATCATCCGACACCAACCTTTTCGAGCGTCATGGGCACATCACCTCCACCCTCCTCGAGTTATACCGCGGCGACGCTTCTGCGTCTCAAAGAGCAGACTGACAAACCCATATCAACGGAAGGACTCGCTCCTATCAAGGTATCAAGCCCGCTTACGGCGGATCCGCTTACGAGTGCCGCATTACCACCGGTCTTGAATTCGCCGCCATCGATAGGAATTTCAGATGAGCTCTCTACTGTGGGCCAACCTTCTCTGCCAGGATCAAGACGTTCGTCTGGTCAGCCAACACGCTCGGCAAGGTCAAGTCCTACGCAGCACATTAGTCCATTCCCGCCTCCTCCACCGATACCAATCGAGGTCAATACAACGAGCAGCCTACACTCTGGTCCAAATAGCAGGAATGTACAGCACAATTCTTTCTATGGACGACTCGATCAATCCGCCATCTACGAGGATGAATACGAGCACTTGACGCACTCATTACCCTCCGTTCGGCCTTACCCTCTAAGCCGGCCACCAAGTCCACCTTATCCACACGCGACTACATCTGGGCAACCAGAGCGACCCTCCGTATCTATCCATCCACCGCCTCGGGCCACATCAGACGCGCGAGCGGAACACTATCCTCAGGGCTACTGGAGCCAGCCGATGAGCCGCAATGCATCCCATCAATCATCAAATAGCCACGGCTCAGCGCACTCCCAACCACTCCGCAACAGGAGCCCCCTAGTCGGCACCAGCCCAATGATGCTACAAGCCAGCGGCTCAGCACCCAGCTCGCCTGGTGTGCAGAACATGCAGCGCCCCCGGAGCAGACGCCCAAGCATCGTGGAGACGGAACCAAGCCCCCGTCTGGGACCGGCCGGCTTCGACGTCGAGCCCACGAGCTACCAAATCTACCACGACACCCACCGCGGCCGCCGTAGGGCAGGCAGCGGCGGCGGCGTCTATCCCGGTCAGGTCGTTCAGCAGGTGGTGCACGAGGACCCCTCGCGGCCCAACTTCTTCCGGCGTTTCGGTCGGCGCCGCCGCAGCGGTGACACATCGACGCTTCACCGTAGGGCGGAGAGCGCCGGTGGGAGGTTGGTGACAGGTGGTGGGCTGGAGAGCAGGTCGAGCCCTCGAGGAAGCCCGGACCTGAGGGGTGCTGGGGGTGCTTTCACTGGGATTCCTGGCCCCGGATCGGCGACCGAGGCTGGGAAGGGAGGAGATGTTGGTGGAGAGAACATGGCCAGGTCAACGTCCGGAAGTGGTGGGCTCAAGCTTGCGAATGGCAAGATGGTGGAGTTTGGGTCTAGTGATGTTGGGCTGGGCATCTTGTGAGGAATGGACGGGCCAAAGGGGGGTTGGCGCATGGCTATTTGCTAGTTTGGCTGTCTTTCAACATGGTGGATATACTCCCTTGCTGTAATTGCCGGAAGATGGCTGCATGGCTGGTTTCTTGGAAAAGTTCAGATACTGGCTAATATATCATCGTAGCTTTCTACATTTGCATCATAATTGAAATCATATCACATCAATGGAACATGAAAAGCATATGAACCATATTTTAAGGGTTTTGAGGTTCTTTCTTTCCTTTGTTCAAATTTGTTTTCAAATACCCCCTTTTTTTCATTTCTTCCTTTCTTTCTCCTTCTTTGTAAGGCTTTTCTCTTCTCTTCTCCACGACATTCGGCTTACGAATCAACATTTTGGGCAGTAAATTTCCAAGGATTAGCATTCTGGTAGTTGTACCTATAGCTAGTTGTATCCCTTCCTACTTCAAGAGGTGTATACCTAAATCATCTCCACTTAGCAGCTCTTGCGGCACAGTCAACGGACCGAGAACAGGATTGAGGCCCGACGACAGCTTCCTTGACGATGATACTGAATAGCTGAGCCAGCAGCAGAAGCAGCTCACGCTCACTGGGCTCATTACTTTAAATTGCTCCTATCATGGGTGTAGTTGCAATTAATCTGCCCGAGGAGCGATGAGTTTATATCTCCCCAAAATACCAGCATCAGGACGAATTTCAGCGGACATTGATCTAGGTCGTCGGGCGTTGCTACGAACTAGCCAAGAACATGTGCCCATCAGGAGTGCAGGCTCGCTGAATTGCGATGTCGAAGGTTCAATGTCTTCGATGGGAAACATTCTACCTCTCGTGACTTGCAGAAGAAGCAAGTAGTCGCGCGGTGTGTGGTGCTGCGGGATAAGACATGCCGCGGAAGAGCGGTTACCCCATAGACGATCTGGCGGGGGTCGAGTTATGGCGTGGTGTCACCGCTCGCTCCTTGTACATGGTGACAGGGCGTATTATGAAGCTGACCTCGGTGGGCTACGACTTGGGATTTGACGGCAATGGTGGTGTAAGAAAGTCCTTAGAGACTAACGCCTTCGTAGAAGTGATTGCTTTTGCACCTATACAATCCGGGTGACCATGAACTTTGATCGGGCATGACTCTCCCGCTCCATTTTCCCCATACACACGTCAGTACATCCACTCACGCATCTCTTCTCTCGTCTCCGTCGATCTCTGCCTTCTCCGTCTTGCCGTGTTTTTTCGCCTCGGCTGGTCTGTCAAGGCCTGATCTGACGACCATCTTGTCTGCCCACTTGATGCCCGACCTCAAGCAAACAAGCGCGGTAGGCCAGAAGATGGCCCAGACGACAAGTTGCGGGGCGACTACATTCATCGGGCCCTTCAATCTACGCCGTTGCACCTGGGTGATATAGAGCAGACGTCCCGTTGCGAGAGTCAGCAGGGAATAAGTCAATACGTCCTGCTTGCGTGAGAGCTTCTCCGCAAACCAGAGCTGGGAGAGGCGTGGAGGAAGTTGCGCAGCTTGTGGACTCGGCTGTGAAGTGGAAGACATTGTGATGAAATGAAAGCTAGGTCGAAAACCATAAGCACAGTGGACCGAGCTCACGAGTTACTGTCAGATGGCAGAAGTAAGGAGACTTGTGGTGCCAATCGCGTTGCGTCGTTAAGGTTTGGTATCTGCAGCGCTGCGCGGGGTTGAGGTGGCTGGCACCTTGAGGCTTGCAGTTATGTGGTTGAGCAACGAGGCGGAGGGATATCTCCGCTATCTCCCGGCTATTGCTCTATCGCTTCCTCGATGGTCATTGCCAAAGAGCATTATTCGCGGCCTGTACTATACAACACCGAACGTTCGTTGATTGACTCGTTGGTTGACTCATTTTTTTTGGTTTATCTTTTTGCAATAGATCACCATCTGCATCGTCACACTGGTCTATATCACTAACGTGGTGCTGAACTGCAGCGCATATGTTACTTCTCGATACGGCGCAGCGGTGTGCCAATTTCCAGTCAGATCGTATACTAGATATTTAAAAGTACTTCCAGACCGAAAAGAAAGGAAGAGAAAAACACCGATAGAACTACTGGTGAGACCGCTGATTTGCATGACTGATTATTAGCGATTTTGGGATCGGCATCATCGGTCGGCCATTCGGATCTCGGTCAAGCGCTGGAGCTCGGGCGGCCCACTGCGCACCACAATTGCCCATGGTTTTGGCGGCACAACACCAAGAAGAGTAATCTGCCATATGGATTCAGGAGAGTCCCGTTGTGGGGATAGCCATTTTTTAATTCCCGGAAATAATCTAGAACATTTTCAAGCATCTCTAGCGCCAGATCGTGATGCTTGACGTGCATGTCGCGTGTGTAATCCGTAGGTCTCATCGGCACCCCTTCTACGGCTCCATGATCTGGAGAAGAGACTGCTTTCACAAGAACTCGGTTGCTCGACTCCGCGCACAACTTAAGCTGACGCTTTCAATCATCAAATCGATGGATCGTCTTGTTGATGGTACCATGACGAAATCTCACCAGAATGGTTCCATTCCGATCTCGAGTTTCTTGCCGAGAACCCACAAGCAGCATCCACATCGCGCCTACAAGTCTGCCAGAGTTCCGGGTGCGTACGTGGACAACCCGCCTAACAAGATTAGTCTTAGTAAATATGAAATGCATGATGAAGGGCCTTACAATAGGCTCCAGGACCCATTATGAAGATGACTCGCGACGATTTGCCCACTTGACATTATTCTCAATAGGTACGTTCCATTGTGAACCTGACACTCGCTATCGTCTTCTCGCCCCAACATCATGGTCGGCTTCACTATGGGCCACACTGCACTTGCAGCCACGAGTATCCTATCTCTCTTGAATGCAGTAAACGCTATAGACTCGGTCAGCTTCGATTCTGGCACATATGGCAGCGAAGAAACCCCTTACCAAACCTTCAACTCAAGTCCTGCTTTGACGCCCCCAGAGCTGCTGATCTACGCCAACACATCGTCCGCTATCACAGATGGATACGTGTTCTTTGGTGTAGATGGCCAGTCCGACTCTGGACAGATGGCTCCGTGCATTTATGACATGAGTCCCGGAGACAAGTTGGGGACGCTGGTTTGGACCGGCGTTGGTTATACCAGGGCATTTGATGTCAGTCTGCAGACATACAAGGGCGAGCCGGTCATTACCTTCTACAACGGCACGCTCTTAGATGGGTTCGGCCATGGTTCCTACTACATCCTCGACCAAACCTACACCGAGATCAAGCACTTCTCGCCCGTCGGCTATGAGGACTTTGGCGACCTCCACGAGTTTCGCATTACCGACGATGACACCGCTCTGGTTACACTGTACATCGTCAAGCAAGCCGACCTGACTTCTGTTAACGGAACCAGCGACGGCTATTTCTATGAGGGCTCCTTCCAGGAGATCAATCTCGAAACCGGCGAGCTGATATTCATGTGGAACGCCACCGACCATGTGGCCCTGAACGAGACGTACAACACTCTCGGGGACGCCGGCGACGAAACGACGCCGTTTGATTTCTTTCACATCAACTCGGTGACCAAGGACAGCGACGGCAACTACCTGATCTCGTCGCGGACCATGTGGACGGTGTACAAGATCAACGGCACGACGGGCGACATCATCTGGCGCCTGCACGGGCGGCAGTCGGACTTTGACGTCGACGATGACGCCGACTTCCACTGGCAGCACAACGCGCGCTGGGTCGACAGCACGCACATCAGCATCTTCGACAACCAGGGGGACGACGACGACACGTACTCGCGGGGCATGCTGCTCGCCGTGGACGAGGACGCCATGACGGTGACGCTGGAGCAGGAGTTCCACAACGGCGACTCGACCTACTCCCGGTACGAGGGCAACCTGCAGTGCCTCGACTGCGGCGACCTGTCCTCGACCAACTGGTTCCTGGGCTACGGCAATCAGCCCTACTTCGCCGAGTTCGCCGCCGACGGCACCGTGGTCATGGACGTCCAGTTCGCCGTGGACAACGCCGTCAACTCGTACCGCGCCTACAAGTACCCCCTGACCAGCTGGGTTGGCAGGCCTGCCACCAACCCCAACGTCTCCTGGGACGCCAGCGGCGAGGGCGTCTACCTCTCCTGGAACGGCGCCACAGAGGTTGACACCTGGGAGGTGTACACGGCCGACGGCACGAACAGCTCAGCCGACTGGACCAAGGTCGCGTCGGCGACCAGGACCGGCTTCGAGACCCTCGTGGACGTCTCCGGATCTGATATGTCGACCTACGTGCGCGGCAAGGCGCTAAACTCGACCGGAGGAGTGCTGGGCCTGACCGATGCTACGGACGGTGCGTCGTTCTACCAGCTCGACGACGAGTCCAACACGACTAGCACGGCCACGACTACTGCCGGCTCTGCAATGGCCACAGCTACTGGTGGCACGCAAGATGATAGTTCGGGCGCTGCTCTGCTGCTGCCGGGCTTGAAGGTGACCTCGGCGGTTGTGGCTATGATCGCTGTCTTCCTTTCTGCATAATCATGATGGCATGCTCGGAATCTTTTTGGCCGTTTAGACGTAAATAATTAAATGATAATGTATTAATGCCCATGTGCTAGGTTCTGAGCCAGTTTATAACGGGCATCAAGTGCCTGGTCCACTAATGTTCGTAATGCTTGTAGAAACGCTAAAAGCTGGAAATATGCAACGGGTCCCCGCGTATTCAGAATTGCAATGAGACCCCACAGACAGGCCATGCTCATACATCAGTCTCGTCCTTGGTTCTCGTCGGCGCCGCATGCGCTTGCGCGCCGGCTTCTTTCTCGACATCGTGGACCAGGGGGTCACCAATTGGACCTGAACCCTCCGCGTATTTCTCTTTTCTCCTTTGCGCCTTCTCAAGTCGACGCTCGTTCTTCTCTGCATCTTCCCTTAGTTGTTTGATTGCCGGACTCTTGGCCCGAATTTTTGCCCCATACTTGTAGAAAATGATGGGGATCGGGATCATGGCCACCTCCAGCAGCCCTAGAAGCGTGCCCGCCCACTGAGGCGAGAGTGTGGCATACATGCTGGGTCCAGCGAGCGGTAGCGTACCGCCAAAAATGCTTCGCGTCACGGCGTTGCCTGCCAGGGCCGACGCAGCATAGATGCCATATGAGCCAGCCAGGTAGTTGCTACCGTAAATAAAGCTGATGGTGTTACCAGCGCCAAAGGGGATGCCAAATGCAATCGGAATCGCCCAATGTATCGTGACTGGAAGGCAAGTCCAACTAAACACCAATTGCCCTATGGGTGTCAGGATGGCCCCGATGATCATAACTCTTGCTGTCGCCTCAGGGGGGACCCTGCCCGTCTTGGGGTCTTTGGGGTGCGCATTGATGATCTTGCGAAATAAGGGCTCGCTTAGGATGGCTACCATAGTTCCAATGCCGATTCCAACAAATGCCAGACCTGAAATGCCTGGACCCCAACCACGGTACTGCTGAAACACGATGGGGTAGGCGACGAAACACAGGTACAAGATGCCGTAGATAAGTGAGATCCAGAGGTTGAAGAACCACAGGATAGGCTCAGTGAAGAAGAGGACGAATGGTCGCATGAGGTTAACTTTTACAAGTTCGGGCAGCGAAACTTTGTTGTCGTATCGGGACCACCACCTCTCGTCTTCCATTTCCTTTCGTACGCGAGCAGCCTTTTTCTGCAAGATGATTGGCGAGTATGTTTCCTTTGCCGTGAACATTGTCATGGTCCCGACACCAGCAAGGATGAGTACAAGCCAGTTATCCCATCTCCAACCGAGGTACTGGAAGACAAATCCGCCGATGACCGGTCCCGTCACTGGGCCATTAAGCGGCGCGATCGACCATATCGACATGACCAAAGCACGAGTTTCCTCAGTTGAGATATCGACTACGGTCCCTGCGCTGTTAGAAATCATAGCCGCGCCGAACACAGCGCTGTTTGGTTGTTAGCGTCAAACCCCCGACATTTGATTAAGGGGAGTGGTGCTTGGTGAGCTGGTTCTTACCCAAAGAATCTTACTACGATGATCTCAGCCAGCGATGTCGCTACGCAACTTGGTATCACAAGCACAGTGAAAATTATCATGCAGACAATGTAGACTGGCCGGCGTCCCCACAACTCACTGGCCGGGGCCACAAGCAAGCTTCCAACAGCAAGGCCGAGCAAATACGTAGTCACTCCTAGAGTCACGATAGTCGAACTTTGAACATTGTACTCCAACTTCAAGCCGGAAATAGTGGCTGTGTAGCTTGTGCTGTAGAGAACTACAACCCAGGTGGTAAACGAGATGCAGAATGTCACCCATGCGCGATAGCCGAAAGACCAGTTGCGAGGGTTTTCTGGGTCATCATCGTCAAAAGATACTTCGAAATCAGGCGGACGTGAGGCCGAGCTCCCAACACTTGTGGCTGTCCGGATGCGGTTAATGTGGTCGTCGTATCCCTGCGAGATCGCCAGTTCCAGTGGTTCGAGCGGGTCACTATCGTCAGAGGCATGAGATGCGCGGCTTGCACGCGATGCGCGACTTGCATGACTGTGTTGGCTGTGCTGGCTATCCCGTCTTGCTGGCTCGTTTGGCGTTCGTGAAGGGGACGAATTGTTAGACTGGCTGGAGGCTGATTCGCGGGCCGTTGATTCGGTGTCAAATTCCCTCGGCTTAGCTGACGTGCTTAGCTTGTTAGTTTCTCCCATTTTATTAGAGCGCGCCACTCCGGCGTGCGACGCGGGTGTATCCTTTCAACCGTCGTTAAATGGTCGGTCGGTTATTCTTGGAGTAATTATGTAAGGACTGGATATATCCACGATCGTTCAACTGAAGGGAGGAGTGGACACCTTGGGGCATGGGGTTCTGGGGAAACAAAGTGTAGGATAAGTGCAAACAAGCTGCATGATCTAAGGAAAAGGGCATCGGTTGAAAGAAAGGACAGCCAAGAAACCTTTAACAAGTCTGGCGAAGAAGCGAAGACGCGAAGCTCCATTTGTATGCACCCATCTTGTTGCTCATCTTGGGCCGCTACCGCACAGGCTACCTCTTGCGACAGAACCAAGCCTTTTGCAGATGCGGTATGCATTTTGGGGTGCTTGGCTGAGAAATCAAAGACTTTGCCATTTTGAACCCTTGTCTGATCGCCGGATGAGGTGCTTTTTAGTTGGCGGGGACCAGCATAACGGATTATGTTTGCTGATCACCTCGCCCTTGTGTCCAGCGCCTAAGCCCCAGCCCGCCGGCTATAACGTCCACGAATTGGCTCGATTGGGTACTTCAGGAACTTCTCAACAGAAAAGGCGGAACAAGAATGAATTTGCACAAGTGGTGCATAGCAAAAACTCACAGAACCGTCGAGTAGCTCCCATGGACTCCATCATTATAACGCAAAACAGCCTCAAGGATACTACAACCTACTGTAAAAGTGCTTTAGAGAGAGCCAGTTGGCATCCAACAATGTGCGGCTTTCGTGATTATCTGTATCGGAAGCTTGGGGTATGCGATTAACCTTGGTATCTTATCATGCAGTGGAACAGCATAGGTTGTGTATTGCTCCGAGTTGAGTTGTGTTCTATCACTCTGATGCGGGGCAGCCCTATGACTCGCCGGTATGCTTGTGAGAACATAATGACACACACAGCTACAAGCTCGTTCCGAAGTTCCGACCGCAGTACTACATATGACATGTCAATGGATGCTGTAATGACGGCCGTTATGCCGGAGATAACTATCCAACACAAACTCCTTACCGCCCGCCTGGGATCTTCTTGGATAAGATCGGCTAGAGCTGGAATAGGCAGTCAACCTTGCGCTCCCTGTTGACAAGCCGAGGCTGGTGGAGCAAAGTTCACGAAACCATGCACGCGTACGCGCAATACCTACAGTGGGAGATAAAGCGCGAGCTGATTACTCTCACCACCTCCCTTTGTCCCGATGTGACACTAACATTCCGACTAGCTCTAGACAAAATCCTATCAAGTGCAGGCTCCGACAGATTGACACACGAGAGAAGTGCACTTCGTCATAGAAAGTCGGTCTCTAGGTATAAGAGCCGTCTCGATTATAGATAGGGTTCCCAACATGCGCAATATAGGTGAATTGATAGTGATATGTGGTTGGTGTAACCCAGAAGCAGTTGTTGGCGCGAGGAACATTAGTGACTCAATCGGCAAGAAGCAATGTCTCATACGCTCCGTAGCCAATATAGCATCGAGCCTTTGCTCCGTACAACCTTGAGAAATTAGTAGTGGGAATCTCTAACAAATCTCCCAGCTTTCCGAATTCCACGAGACGACCCGTATTCGACACCGCAACATGATCAAAGTTCCGAAAACTGGATAGTCTATGGGCAACCGTGATGATGGCGGCGGTACTTGAATTCGGAGCGGATAATCTCCTGCATCTCGGGGTTGTATGCTGAATACTTTTTCGTTAGTCGTTTATTTTGTAATTTTCTTGCACGGTATTGAGGTACGATCCAGCAAACCTCAAAGATGCATCCAAATCTAGTGCCGACTATCATCTTTTCTCAATCAGAGAAGGCTCGAAGAAACCTTCGCAGTTTGTGTGGAACGTACTCAATACCTCGTGCGTACAACACGTTTGTCAACAAAGGAAGATCGTAACAACCTCCATTGTGGCCAGATATCCACAAAGGTAATGTGTTGTGCAAAAGACATACGTGCCAAATATCCCGGTATGAAAATACCTTATAGCTCGCCCCGGACCTGAAAGTTAGATTTGTAGTTAACATTCCCGGATTGGAACCGCGGTGCACCCATCAGCATCCAAGGGTTTAAAAATCACGGTGTACCTGAATTACACACCGCATATATGTTAATAACAATACAAAAGTTGTATGATTAACAATTCATTATTAATCGAGAAGGCCACATCTGAGACAAATCCTGTGAAATAACAACACCGTTGTCAGGGCAGGGGTGACTGCCTATATATAGTATCCCATAACGCCCGACTTTGTCGCTCTTCTTTCTTCCCGCGATAAGGGTTGACAAAGCTAACTTTGTTCATACGACAATCATCCCTACACATCTCGACGCCCCCTCGAGCGCCAAACCCCCCCAAGCTGAACTCCACCACTTTCTACACCCAACAAGCCACGACACCAAAGATGTGTTTCGGACTATCACAACTTTTCCGCGGCGCCAGCAGCCGCCGCAAGCCCGTCCCATGGGAGCACCCGTACGCGGCAGCCGGGCAGCTGCCGTCGCCGTCCTCGGGCGTGTCTGGGACGCGGCACGCCGGGCGGGTCAACTCGGGCTCCCGCGAGAACCTGAAGTGCGTCGACCGCGACCACACGGACGCCAGCAAGAATCTGTGGTGGGACAGGATTACCGGCGAGGTGTTCCAGGGAAGCCACGCCAATGGCAACCTGGTCCCCCGACCTGACCTTGGTGTTCGTTTCTCGTAGAGGCCTAGGGGTTTTCTTCTTTCTCTTTCCTTTTCTTTCTTTTTCCTTTTCTTTTTCATTCTCTCCCTCCACTCCCTATGATCAAGACCCATCACTGATCACAAATCCCCGGTGACTGGGGGCCTCGGTTATTTGTAGGTTCTGGTAAGGATTCGTGATCTTCGAGGACCGTGTTTTTCGAATCTCTGAGCATAGAGGCTTGTAAGTGTTGTTGAACTATTGTAGGTCTTTGAGTTCCGTCCATGATTGGGTCTCGGACTTTTGATGCCAGAGTAAGGTAAGATACTCATCTGCGTTGTTTTGGAATTGTTTGCAGAAGCAATAACTAAACTAAGGTTTGCTACCTCTATCTGCCATTGGCGGGTGTGTCTGGATACTGCCCCCAGGAACACAACAGGCATGATTGTTTAGAGAGAGAGAGAGAGAGAAAAAGGACCGTAATGATGTGGAGAAATAGAGAAACACGTTTCCTGATACTCTTTTTATCCTTACAATCTGGCCTAGCATATGAATTGATTGATCGTGACGAAAGACTATATTTAGAGTTGCCCTTCACTTATGCTCACCTCCCTCATGGGTGAGCTTGATCTTGTTCAATTGTCGTGAAATCAGCAACCCTGAAGACAAAAAAACGTGCGCAGCAGGAGAATTCACAGCTGCGATGATGGAGTAGTTTTAATTGTGGTATGTGCTGGACTAGTGTTCCTGCTCGTATCGCAAACCATGGTCTCCTAAAAAGTGCCCTCACGATGAGCATTACCTCGAAGAATATAAAACCAGTGATTTCCCCTTCCAACGCCTTGCAAGTTTTAATGCTAAAAGCAAACAGGGTATGAAGTCATATATATCGTACACCAGGGCAATGTTGAAAATCGTTGGAACGTACAAGTTCCGTTGAAAACGACCAAAATCAAGTCCAACGAGTCGGCATAAGCTGCCGCGTAACGTATGGAGAAAGATCGCTGAATCACTTCTTCTAGTAGAGATTCTGCAAATCTACTGGTCCATTACCGAAGCCACCATTTCCACCAGTGGGTCGACCTGCGTTGCCTTGCTGTTGATTCGACTGGTATGAATTGAACGAAGATGACGGGGGCTGTGACGGATTGGCATTGAAGCTTGAGCCGCCACCTAGCGACGGAAAGCTGTCGTCGTACGAAACACCAGAGTTGGGCCCACCGTAGGCTTGGTTCTCTCGGTTGCCAACGTCATCCAGCGAGCGATAATTGTGTCCGCCACCTTTGCCGCCGCGACCAGCATTCTTATGATGGCCGCCGCCACGAGGGCCGGTACGATATCCACGACTGGGTGTATGGTTGCCACCTCGGTTTGAGCCACCGCGGCCACCACGGCCTCCCCTGAAGCCGCCACGATCTCCGGCAGAGTTAGCAAAATTGCCACTGCTGTCACGAGGGCGAGGGGCATGGTTGTCGTCGCCGGTGTGCTTGCGCTTAGATGCCTTATTGGCGAACAAACTCTCGTAAGCGTTCTCGTTAGGGTCTTCGGGCTCGATACGTAGCAAGACCTTCTCGCTGACTGTGGTGTCAAGAATGTAGGCCTTCTCGGGTGGAACGGGGTGCCAGTTCTGGATTTTGCCCGCATCCATAGGTCGTGCACCCTTCCGGATGGCGAGAACGACGAGCGGACTTGGATTGTCGGTGTGGTATTTGGCATTCGGCGGAACTGGCTCAACGGAGGCGGCCCAGATATTATTCTCGAAGCAACCAGTGCCAGTTACCTTCCACTTCATCTTGGCGCCCATGCCGCCCACCTTTTCGAGGATGCTCTGGGGGCAGGGTCTTGGGCAGATCATGATATTGTTGCCATGGACCTTCAAATCATTGCTGTTCGGGAAATTGGACAGCTTGAGTAGCTTCTGGGTGTCCTCCTTGCCGACCATGTAGCTGGTAAAGAAGACGGTCTTCTTGATGATCAGAGGCTGTTGATTGCGACCGCGCTGGGAGGGCTTCTGCCTGAGCAGAGCGTTGTGGCTGTTAATGAGATGCTGGATCTCTGCGACCTCGACCACAGGATCCAGGAAAGTAGAGATCTCGGCAACCTGTACGACCTCGGCGTTGATGGGCCCGCGGGTCTTCTTTCCCCCGTAGCCTTCCTGGCGCCTGTTGTAGTCGGTGAAGAAGCTGCGAAAGCCTTGGGTGTGCTTGACCCGGTCTTCGTAAACGCGGATCTCTTCAGCTTGTTTGTAGGTTTCCATGAGCGACTCGAGAAAGATCTGCTTGAAGTTCATGGTGCTGGTGAAACGCTCGTTCTGAGGTCCCACGGCGGGCTTCAACCCGACCAGGTCGAAATCAAGACCCTTGGCCGCCACTACGCGCTTCAATAGGTCGGAGAAGCCACGCTCAGACCTCCCAGTCAACATGACGGTCAGGGCCTCCTTCTCTTGCATGCTGAGCCTGACAAGCTCGACGATCTTCTCGTTCCACCAGCCTTCCCAAGCTCGGGGCTCCTCGCGTTCAACGCCGTCGCCTGTGGCCGCGAGAATTCGCGAGTCGTGCCACCAACCACCATTGATGAAGATGTCGGGTGATGCCAGGTTGCCGAGGGTCTGGCCGTTCCACAGCTTCGGGTTCGGCAGGGGCGTCTTGAACAGAGTGTTGTCGAAGTCGTAAACGTGGATCGTCTTGATTGTTTCCACGGCTGGGAGCTGTTTGTTCAGGATGGACCATCTTCCCAATGCCGTGACGGTGTGAGTATTGGTGGCAGGTCCGTTCGCATTCTGGGCGGAGGCACCTGGGCCGCCGGAGAAGCTTGTTGCCATGATTCGGGGTGCAAGAAAGCGGAAGGGAATGTGAAACCGTGGTTTGATCAGAGGCATTCGATCTCTAGATCTAGAGACTCATGGCGTGGGCGGGTCCCGAGATTGCGACAATGGATTGGATGGCGATAGGTAATGAGATTTTATCTTGGTCTGGTCTAGTCTGAGTCAACGGCGTGGGCGTTTTTGACGGGGGGGTGCTTCAGTGAGTCGTTGTTGGACAATCTCTAGTGGGCCAGCGCTACAAGCTATAAAAATACTCGATGGTCCAAGCTTATCAGTCCTTAGGATGTTCCCAGCGCCAACCAACCTGGCAGACCTGGAGCTCAGTTGCCATTTAGTTGACCGTCAGTTGAATGACAGCGCTATAATCCGTAATCCTACTAACGAGCAGGGATGGCAACGTTGTGAGATGGGATATGGGACTACAAGGTATTTCCCCGTTTACGAGTAAATTACATGCTTATTTCTACAATTTTTGCATCTTATCATCTTGATCCTTTGATCTCCCTGAACAGATGACTCTGAGTTAGGGAAGGGTCCCTGTCTGTAGTAGCTATTTACAGTAAGGTCAGAGCCTCAGCCCTAAACCAAGAACACTGCACTATGCGCTGCAGGGGCTAACCCCGCCCGTCTAAACCTTAGAAAGTAGGATGTTGTTGATGTGCATATTGCTTGAAATGACGTCGCACAAAGCCAAACCTTTCAGGAACAGTTCGCGTTCCGTAGCTTAATTGCTTTGATCAATACCCCTTGAACAGCGCGACCAAGGCCGTGGCAACCCATGAAAACATTAAATAGTCCAACACCTGCAGCAACTCCTCCGTGCGTCTCTGTGCCTCGTTGTAGTCTCCCATCTTGGGCAGTGGCACTCTCGCGCCCGCCGTCTTCCCACCCTTGCTTCCGCTCCAGTACTGTGCAATGTGTGTCCTGGCAAAGTACACGGCCGCCGCCATGACCGGCGAAGCGATGAATCGGTAGAGTATCCCTCCTTGTCCTCCCCTCCAGAATAGGTAGAGCGACGTCAGCAGGGAGGCTGTGATGGCTAGGGCGCCCGATGTCTGCGTGGTCCGTGTCTTGTGCAGCTGGCGTTGGGCCTCGTTCGAGTACTTTGCCGCCTTCTTGGCTGCATCCTCGTACTTCTGCAGGTTCGTGACTGCCGTGTACGATTGTTGGCCGCCGTATGCCGCGAGGCCCGCCTGGGCGATGTGTAGGAGCTGAAGGAACATAGTGTAAGGAGACGCACACAGCTTGCCCGCTTGAGGTATGATTGATGGATCAGTGCAGACAGGAGGGTTCAAAAGGAAAATGCGTGGCATGTGGCGATCTTATATATGTTGCTCTGTGACTAAAGTCGCATGTCTCGGAGTGTGTCTGAAGTATCAAGGCTCTTAGTCGACTTACACATCGCCCGTGACGTCATCAAGAGTAGTCCAATTACGCTTGCCTCAATTGTGCTCGACAGCTTTCGGCCTATGCGCTCACACGCAACTGGACGAAGTCGCCAGTGAAATGAGCAAATGCCCCAACGGTCAATCACGAGGAGACTAACACATTCAAGGTGGTATATAAACTAACTGCAAAATACTCGAATACTCGATTCTCAAGCTTTCTTGGCGAAGATACCCTTCAGTGCAGAAATAGACGGAGAGAAGAAGTATTCTCCTCCACGAGAGACGACCCAATCCGCTTCCAGCTTGAGCGGGAGCGTCAGATCCTTGGGATCAGAACCAAGGATATCACGTTGAGAGTTATCTAGAGGCACCCCGATCAGCGGGTCGAAACCAGGGACGACGTTCGCCCCAGGTGGAAAGTTCTTCTGGTTTGCCCAGCCTGAGAAACGTTGTGAGCCAAATGATTGTTGCTGAGATGCCGGAGCTTATGAATAACTTACGGTTTTGAATGAATTCGAAGCCGTTGGCAATGTTGCTCTGATAACAAGCAAAGAGCAGACCTCTCTCGAGCTTCTCGTCGTCCGAGCTCTTCTTGTCGGTCTTCTCCTTAGGGGTTACTTCGGGCCCAAAGGTGATACCACGGCGAAGGATGCGTCGGATCTCTACAGTTGGCAAATCACCGCGAGGATTGGTCTTGCGGATGTGCGCCGCGAAGGGGCATCTCTCCTGGTCGTCGATCGAGAATCGGAAGTCCTGGTTCTTCCCAGGTACAGCGAGAGATGGATCATCCTGGATAGGGGCAAGCTGAACCGGCGCGCCACTCTTCCAGCGACCAACCAGACGTGCACCAAGTAGGTCTTTCCCGGCATTCGGAGGAGCACCGATGCCCACGTCGAGCGCGTTCCGCTCTAGGAAGTCGTCGAATTCGGGCACAAGCTGCTTCAGGTAGCGGAAGGCCAAGAAGCTGCCATCGATGGCCCAGGATGGACGAGGCACGGGCCCAGCGCTCGTCTGCCCTGGTTCAACAAAACCGTCGTCACCTTCACGGCCGAGCAGGATAATTCCTTGACGGACTGGAGGATCTATGCCGTCCATGTCGTCAGAGTTTACGCCCTGTATGGAGGGCTGGCTGAGACCATCGTTGAACCCGAAACTATCGTCCACCATGTCAATCGCATCCACCCAGTTGATAAAACTGGGGCAACTTACTGTTCGTGGCCGTCTTCGCTGCCAGGTCGGGTTTGTCCGGCAAGCTCCTTCACCACTATAATGCCGGCGTGCTCCTTGCCGACTTGGAAGATGTTCTTCACGCGGCCCCAAGCCTTGTCAAGAATGTGCTTATGGCTAGCAGCCACGAGTATGACACCGTGTATTTCTTCCTTGAACTTCTCGTCCCATTTGTCCAGATTGTCGCCAAGCGTGTCGGCAGCGTGCGCACGTTGTCCTACTGTGAAGGGCGTATCATTGATTTCATCGTTGATTCCGAGCTGTGCGAAGACAGGGCGGTTAGTACGTATTCCTTGAGTGTACCCTGGTGGATAGGACGCGGTCACTTACGGTGGTCAATCCGGTTTTTGAGAATGCGATGTTGACTGCGCTGTTCTCCAGAAGACCAGTCTGTCGACCAATCTGGGCTGCCTTCCGCTTGGCATCTTTGACCTCATTGCGGAAGCTCCTGGCGTCGCCCGCAGAAGTGATCAGAGGGAGAAGATGTGCCAGCTGGTCCCGGAAACAGGCAACTTCGTCCTTGTTGATACGAAAGAAAAAGAACGTTTGCCGCTTTTTGGCAAGTCCCTCACTTTTCCACCATTAATATGGCATCCCGCCATGTCAAACCTTTGAGGGGGTCTTACATAATGTCTCCCTGAACGTTATTAAGGTCCAGCGGAGGGAGTGTCCCAGTTTGCGGCAATGGAAATTGAGCGTCACCCATGATTGTAAGTTTTCTCTTTATCTTTATAGCACAGAAGAAAAGGAAGATTCAATAAAGTCCTACTAATTGCTCTCGTAGGAGATTCTCACCACCCGTTACGAATTCCTCTGCCCCATATTTATACCTATTCGCCTTCTGAAGTCCTACACACGGGACAGGCAACGGTCAACTCAGCACATCATGACTTCGGAAAAAGCAACCAGGCAATGCCTCGCATCTCAGCCCTAGATGTGGACATAACTATCAGCCAGTCAGCCACCGGGGACATTAGCCTCAAAGCTGGCATTGTATGTAAGCTTAGATAAGAATCTCGCCAAGCAAAGTTAAAGTCAGCCGGTCCAATGTGAAACGTCCAACCACGGGAAACGCGTCGCAAGCCACTCGGTCTTTATTGCAAATTGTCTTGACTGCATTGGTTAATTGGCGCCAACGTCCTAGATGCCTATGTCTTGGGTCGTACATGTATTTCCCGATTGGCCGTTGGGTTATACCTAAGATTATCTAGGCGTCTCGTATTCGACCCTATCTGTTGGGATGAGTCAAATCATAATCAGATGCCTTGACCGCAAGTATGGCATGACTGCAGGTCCTGGAGGGCAGATTGCTTGTGTATGACCACAAAGTATATGCCAAGTACGGCGGTGTATTGAGGCCCTGTCTTGGATAGGTGAGACTTGACACCTCGATATCGATCCATTTCAAATGAGGAATTAACAAGTTTGGTTATTATTTAGACTAATGGGATAAGGGGTAATGGGTATTGCACGCCGTCGGTGAGACAACAGTGTAAGGCTGAAAATATGATATGTCGTACAACGAACTAATAATAGGCCAAGCATACAAGCAATTTGCCATGGTACAGCCGGTTGGTTTCTATCAATTCGACCCATCCGAGTACTGATCCCTGACTATCATAGTGTTCGAAGAAGAGAGCCACAACAGCTGAGGCCTGGGGTGCCACCATCATGAGACCTTTGCAATGGCTATTCATGATTAAGGGCCAAGAATATGGAAGCTTCAAAGCCATCGATGGCGCCCGGATTGCTTACGCCCAACATGCAGGGATTGCCAGACTACCGTGTCCCGGGGTAGTGTACCCGGTATAGGCTGGCATCCCAGGTGGTCACATTGCACGAAAGCACTCGAACGGATTGTCAGATTTGATGCTCACCGCCCAGCTGCACAAGAGACGGCTCAGTCATGTAGCTTGGTTGTTGACACTTCTTCAAGAAGTGTTGGTTATGGCGCGCCGGGAAGTTCTGAGATGGGATTAGCATGTCCTGCCTGTTTCTACATTATGGAGACACTTCAATTAAATATGCCTACTTTCACCTTCCAGAACATTTATACCCACTCGCCATTAGAGTCCTAGGAGTGTGTTGGTGCGCTGTCGTTTGTAGCATATCTGAGGCGCCAATGTCTCTTCTTGGCAAAATTTGGCTCGATCAGGAGTGGCGCAATACAGCCTTTGGTAGAGCAGTGGCAGCGATAGTCGTCGTAGATCGATGGCCCTTTACAAGCTTCGTTGAGTTTTTTGTCAAGCCTTATGCAAATGCCAAACACCCGGGCTACATAATACTGAAGATGCGGCCAGATACATGGCGCTTGCTTGGGTATAAAGCTGGATTCTGCGCCCTTTTCCAGGGGCCACACAACAGTATCAAGCCAGTAGAGCAGCTCAATGGAAGAATCACCAATGAAAAAGAATCCCATTGAGACGTCACACAATTCAGCCAGTGGCGTTAGACCATGTCCGCAGAGTGCGTCTAGTTCTGTCCACCCAACTTCGTAGAGGGTTTTGTAAGAAAAGATGTGCTGGACGATGCCCCCGGTTCTGGGAAGTTGACAATACAGAGATCTCAAACCGCAAATGTCGAGTGTCTCGGCAACTGTGGTCTTCTGACTGAGAATTTTGTAGACATTTGACCCAATACATGTTAGTGTCCATGACTCCGACAACCCAGCTTGGTATTGTTCCTGGAGGTCAAGATGCATTGAAGTTAGCGCTTTCAGCTCAGCTTGCCTCCGCCATAATTATTCCAGAGTGAGTCGAAAAATGACGGTGTGATTTCTCACGCAATCCAGCGAGCTTTGATTTGTGGCGTGGCATATGGCCAAGTGTTATGCAGAACGTTTTGTTTGATTGCCATCATACCATAGCCTTTGGCTAAGAATGGCTCATCCGCAGAGATGATAATTGAGGCAGACTCAACGTCCCCGAGCGCACATGCTCAGTTGAATGCAGCGTAAATATTGCAGCCTTGCTTAACAAAGAAACTCAACCCTTCTGGCCACCCAATAGCAAGCTGAATAGGAGAATATTGCTGCTTTTTGACGTTATTACTCCTGTTTCCCTCAAATAGTTTTCGTACACTTGAAATTGACCGGTGAATAACAGCCATACACAAGTTCAAGTATCCCAAAGGCTTGAAAGATTAGCAAAGCTTCACAATGGTTGGCCGGGGAGCGTTGGAGCACCTTAGCTACGTCTGGATCTGTGATCAGTAGATTGAACACACTTACGGTGCCTGTGAACCACCATGTTTCAAGAAAGTTTCAATCAATCCATCATATCCCTTGAGTCCGGTATAAAGGTTATGGCCAATCCCATACGATTTGTGAGTTGACGGTCCAATCAAATGCAAGGCGAGCAAACCTGACGCTGACCAGTCTCCTGTTGTTTTCCCTAATTTACGAGTGTTGTACCAGCCACAAAATGCGGTTCGAGCATTTAGATCGACTTGTGCTGAACTAGCTAAGCCCAGGAGAAACCTCAAACTGTCCTCGACGTAGACCACGTCTTTGCATAACAAGGAAATCAAGCCGACAATTTCCTTTACAAGTATCAATACAGGCTCAATAACGCTGAATTTTGGGCGTGATACTCAAAAAGAGCAGAGTGATACCGTTCTCATCAGTGTCACTCCCGGATGCCAGTCCCTAGAAATCACCTTCTCAATGTCATAAACGAGATTTGTTACAGCCGGCTTAGTTTCACGCCTTCTGCAGTATAAGGTCTGTGACCTGACACCGTCAATTTTATCAATAAATTCATCAAAAAGGCAAAATAAAGGGCTTTCTGATCGCTTAACTGTGGCGTGAAAAAGCGAAAAGGGAAAATTTGACCATCCACGTCCGTTATTCCAGGCCCCGAGAGTGAACTGTAGAACTCTATTAAGCCACATATAGCACAGTATATTTATTGCACCTCAACGTAGGAAATAAAAAATTGCGGAATTGCAATACTATACGAGATCTTCCTCCTTATATGATCTTGCAGAAGCCATATACGCTTTTCACCAAGTCTCAATTGGTGATGAGATTGCATAGAGACCCTGTCGTAGATTTGAAGGTTTCAGTGTATCAACAAGTCAGATTCACTTGTACCATTAAAAAGCGAATGGAATCAACAGCTGTGCCCATGCCACAGGACAATGACGTGGGTGTTGTTGGAACATGCGGTGTTATGTTCTACTTGTAATCTTAATGTTAGATTCTGCTTAGATACCACTGCACCCCTCAATCATTCCAAACACATACATCTACTCCCAATCATCATCTGAGTCGAATGAGTAGGCGGATGTGCAGCTGCCACAGTCCTTTCCGAATCGGGATCGTCTTCTCAAGATAAATCTCGGTCTCGTCATCAAACGGTGACGCCGCCAGAGAATTTTTCTTTGGTAATGTGCCATGGCACGCTGCCTGAAACTGACAAAGTGGTGCCGAAGTACGTTTTCGAATCCCCATCCCTCATAGCCAGCATGTTTCAACACCGCGGCCCATCTATCTTCTCTAGTTTGTGCTATCCGGATTCCATCTTCAAATAGGACTGGGTCGTAGTTGTTATCATCATTCATCCAATACGGCTCACGGCAAGCTTCTACAGGCAGTAGCGGTAAAACGACTCTGTCGACGATAGCCCACCAATAGGCCCAGAAGTTTTGCAGTGGTATATCGTAGAGTGATCTCCTTAGACTATGATATTGGATCATCAAAAACTCAAGCTGGCCGATTGAGTCTTCATCGTCGACTCGGACTTCTTCCAGCTCCTCGTCCGAAAGCCGAGTCGCGCAGCAAGTGTGTGCAAGACCCAAGCGTTCGAAAAGCTCTAGCCGACAGATTTCACGGTAACAACGCTCTTTTTCAACTGTGGTCAGACTCGAACAACGGACCCAGTATCGTAGATGTTTTCTCCGCAAATCGCTGCGTTGATAGCAACGCCTATGTATGGTATCAGGATACCGTCTACTTTGTCTCAAATTAGCTTCCCGGCCTGGACAGCGCCAGAAGATATAAGGGGCGATGCAGCCTTTTGAAGAGCAGTGACACACACAAGAATCATAGACTAGCTGGTCGTTACAGTAACTGGTGACTCGGGAGTTGATTGTGCCGAGGTCGAATAGAGCTACAGCCAAATAAAATTGCAAGTGTGGCCAGCGTGTACGAACGCCATCTTTCGGTTCAAAGCACGGTCGTGCGCCTCTCCGCAAAAACCATAGGGTCCCGTCAAACCATGAATTATCTATACGGGCAAGACCTCTATAATGCAGCTCCATATCACAGAAGTGAGCAAATGGTGTCAAGCCGTGGCTGCAAACCGCATCTACGTCTATCCAACCGATGCGGTAAAGAGCCTTGTGGTACGATATAGGGTGTCCAGGAAAGCACAAAGAATAGTAAAGCTGACAATGCGGTGAGTTAATCTCGCAAATCTTGAGTCTCTCCGGTATCTGAACTCTCTTGGATAGCAACTCAAAGATAAGCTTGCCTCGAAGTATTGGGGTGCTTGTGACAGACAAGCCAATCGACTTCTGCTCTCGGGCACTCAAGTGATGCGTAACAAGGGCGTGGAGTTCCATTTGCCGGCTCCACAGCTCTTCTGCAACTAGCAAAAACAAACCGGGAAACGAAATAGCTGAAGTGAAGATAGTATGACGGTCAGTGTCAAAACCCAGGTAGTCTTTAGAGAAGATGGCGTCTTCACTTGAGAGAAGGATTTTGACCGACTCCTCATCTCCTAATTTGCATGCAATTTGCAAAGCACCTGGGATGTTACACCTTTTGTCAACGAGATACTGCAAACCCGGAGGCCATCCAATAGCAAGTTCTAGGGGTTCAAACACAAGACATTGATCACACGGTACCTTGTCATCAGTAAAATCCCGCTTCAATCCCGACATCGATCGACGAATAATGGCTAAACATAGACCAGAATAACCCCAATCTGCGAGTGGTCAGTATTGAAAAAGCAGAAGTTGCCAAAATAGAATTGACAAACCTTCAGCTATATTTGGGTAGGCCAGGAAGAACTTCAACTGCCTGTGTTTGGAAAACAAGTAGCCGTTTTCGCTGAGACCGTCGACGACGCCATCATATTGCTCCATGAATGATTGAATACACGAATTGGACATCTCGTAGTATAAGAGCGTATGGTAAAGATTGAGTATTAGTGGTCTTTGGACATGATGTGTTAAAAAGGGAAGTGGGAAGTATCTATAGCCAGCCACTGTACCGGCCATTGGATTAACTTTCGAGATATGCGCCAGGTGAATGATTGTGTTTAGATAAGGACTAAGGTAGATGGCTTTACGACGTAGCAAAGTAATTAGGTAACAAACCTCCTAGAACCAGTAAGTGAACTACACTGGAATCAAGACCGTGATGGGATACAAACCGTGAGGAGAGTGTTACCATGCTCATCGATATCGCAGCCTGATGCTTTGCCGGATACGATTGCTTCCTGAATACCACGAACGAGGCGTCTCGTGTGTTTTTCCAGGGTGTCACTGTCCGATACAAGCATGAGTATTTGGTTTCCTGAGTCATCAAATACGATATTGCTTGAGTCCATACGAGTTGTTCTACTTTCTTCAAGTGTAACTTCCGAACACGTGGCAACAAAATCATCAAACAGGGAGAATATAGGGCTTTCTGAGCGCTCGACAGTGCCATGAAACGTTAGAGGTCGCAGTATCGACCAGTTTCTTCCTTGTTTAGCACACCAAGCGTAAACGCCAGGGCACCATTGAGCCAAGGACTCAGTCGAGCCTCAATCGAGCAGGCCAAGGAGCGGGGTTTTCCGTGAACGGGACACATCCGTAGACCCTGTCTTTCTACTCTGAACCCGAAAGGACCGTAATTGCAGATTTGCGTGGACTTGCCTTGCCGGCATCTGCACCTCCAAATCCTCAAAGGCATGTGTGACATACTGGCATCTTCCGGCGGAGGGATTGGATGTGCTGGAGGAATGTTCATGCTCAAGGTTGCAGTTCCTTCTGGCACGTTGATCTCGAATGTTGAGTCGCCAGCAGTAATGTTGTCGCAAGCGGTTCCGGTAGATCCAAGTCTTGCAGACATCAACTCCTCATGAAGTATTTCGCGTACGTTGACCAAGAAGGCGTTGCACGCCGCCCCACTTTGTTCACGCATAAATTCCTTCATATTTTCGTCTCTAGCATGCAATTACGATGATAGTACCAAATTTTGGGTTGAAAAATTGGATTCAATGCGACTCAAAACCAAACCGGAGGCTGCACCTTGTCTTGTTAACCCGCCCAGACTTTCTCGTATTCTAGCTATTTCGCCGTTCGTAGTTACGGAGCCCTGGTCTAGAATTTGCCGATGTCTCAGCCCGTCTTGCCGTACAGCATCTAAGTTCTGGGAGGCATCTACCATAAAAGCGTCGATTGAGCTGGAATTTTGAGCTTGTCGGGCATGGGTCTGTTTGACGATTCGAAAAGTGTCACCGATGCGCGTTGAAGAGGAAGTGACCAATCCAGAGATTTGAGCGCTCTGCTCACTGTTGCACAGAAACAGGGTTGAATTTTACGTCGCTCACCATTTTACAGGGTCAGCTTACTGCAGCAAAGACTGTGCAGCAAAAACTGTGTCGCAAAGCCGGAAATGTTCAGCTCAAGGATGAGGCTAGTCTTCAGCCTTTCAATGACTTTCAGATCTATCTCAACCTCTTTCATGACTTTTACGGTTATAGTAGACTTCCACAATCGAGCGATACGATTCAGACTGCCACTCTTTCCCTCGAGCTCTTTCAGATCAGTTCCCAGGGGCAGAAGAATCTTCCGGAGATCTTCTAAAGCTCTTTGTGCTTCAAGGACGAATGGAGAGAGCTGTGTACATTGGTCGATCGGTAGGTGTGAGTATACGGGCGAATCTGGTTGCAGCAGCCGATTGACTGACGATACTTCTCTTTCAACATGGCCGAAAAGCTGAAGTACTTGCGACGGTGCATCCTTGACATCTTGTAGCAACTTGGCAGCACCTAGCAAGCCTTTCACGGCGTATCCCACAAATTGAGCGCTCGCAGCTGCTGCTCCCAAGACGGTGACAGGATCCATGATGTAATATGTGATAAAGTTGTTGAGATATCTGCCAGATGCAGCTCACGCAATCAACGCCATAAATAATGTATGTTGGCCTCAACAAAGTATCGTTCGTTTTCTTAGCTCGACTGGAAACAATTAGGGAGAAGTTAGGAAAAGCTTGGTTCAATGGTGCGACTGGCCGGTAGCTTGAGATGGTATGGCAGATGTGTGATGGGATCCGGCAATGACAGCCCGCGCGAAGCTGAGCCAATCTTGATTGCAGAAGCGAGGCAATCTGCATACACCGCCCCGACGCAGCGCAGCCACACGCGAAGCTGCGCTGTGCAGCCTCTGGACGTGATTTATTGTTCAAAGGATAAAAACTAGACACACCTGAACCGGGCAAAAGGGGTGACACGTGATAATAGAAGCAGGGGTATCTAAGATTAAAGCTTTGGGTTATTCTCTTGAGGTTGAGAATATTAACAATTAGCATCGTCGTCGATACATCATGGCTCTACTGACTCTTTCGCAGTGTCCTCGAATGGGCTCGCTGCTTCCTCCATTTGTTGTTCTTCGTCTTCATGCGCTACTTCTGAACCGTCAGCGTCGTCCTTCAGCTTGCCGCCTTTTCGTTGAGGGATGACTTTCATGAATGCTTCACCCCAGTCGCCAAGTTCCAGCCAGCGCAGCATGATTTCCACAACATGGTTTGTGGCAAGGACGTGTCGGTCTTGGAGCACCATGTACTCGCCGATAGGCAATTTGGCCGTCCGAACGTTTCTTTCCCTAGCAACCTTGTAACATAAGCCTTTATGTCGGTTGCGATCTATAATGCCGCCTATCACGTAGTTCGTGTTGGGTTCTAGGCGATCCAAGACGTAGGGGGAATCCGCCGTCAAGTAGACGATTGACTTGTCCACATCGTCTGCTTCCAGTTCAGGCTCTGGCGCGGGATCGTTTCTCTTGGCCTTTCCAGTCGGCGCAGGCTCACCGAGAGAGACAGAATCATCTGTCCCAGTAGGCTTCAGTAGGTCAATGACAACGCCGCCATCAGCGCCGGCCATGAGCTCTTTCGCCGCCTTTCCAGCACCAACGAAGTCATCTTCAGCGAAGGTGATACCCTTCCATTTTTGGTATTGACCGACTAGAGTAGTGTCGAACCGTTGCTTCAGTTTCCCACCGAATGAGCTGACACAGAGGTGGACGGGATGCTGTGCAGTTCGATTGTCAGAGTATGAGCGCGTGACTTGGCTGGACAGCGATATCTGCTCCTTCTCGAACATGTAGTCCTCGTATTGGCAGTCAATGATGATGGACACTGGAACCTGGGTCTTGTTCTTGGGATCCCGACTTCGCTCTTTCTTGTGGAACACGGGTTCGCGACCTTCTGCAGCAGCCTGGGCAATCTCGGCCTCCTTTTCCTGCCGCCTGCGGTCTTGCTGGTTGTGTCGCTTCTCCTTGCGCTTGTCTTTGCGATCGGCCTTCTTTTCTTCCCACAGCTTCTGACGTTTCAACTTGCGTAACTGATTTTTCGACATTGGCTTGTCTGCCGAGTCACCTTTGGTGGTTATCTGTGCATGGTGTGGCTCGTCGTGTTCTTCGTCGTTCTCAGGCTCGTCCTCGGCCGCACGTTTCACGCCGGGGTTGAGCTCAGAAGCGGCATTGCCTGCCAAAGACTGGATTGCAGGAACGTGGTCTGGGGCATCTTGAGCCTGGGTTTCCAACGTGTCTGCAGCGACGGTCTCGAGATCCGCGGGTGTTGTTTGCGCCATTGTGAAAGCGGCAGCAATGTTGGTGACGATTGAGGAGCTTTGCCGACCCGGGGAAAGACAAAAAAAAAAAAGATTATGGCAGTGACGATTGGCGGTGGTGGGGGTATCGCTGGCAAGCGCAACCTGGACCGGGCAAACTGAGGTTAGACTGCGTTAGGTTAGAAGGGGCCCATTAGGTGCAGGTACTTGCACAGGTACTCAGCTCGCTCCCCCCCCCCCTTCCCCCACTGAGCGGCAGAAATTCAGGCGGTCAGACGCGGTAAGTTTTAGGGGGACTCTCAAAGAATTTAGCGGTAACAGGGGTTCGCGTTCGGCGCGTCTCAACTTTCAATTCAGTTTAATTGATTTTAGTATGACGCGACTGCGTCTCCAACTTCAACCTTGACATTGATATTCTCACAGTCAGATCCCTCTACTCGTCCGCAAAACGAAACGAAACAAAACAAAAGGACTCTTGTGCCAGCAATCGAAATTTATGAGCCTTCAGCCAAAACTTCCAAGATCTGTATTTGAACAACGAATTGTGTGACGCCATGTCGTCTCGTCCCGAGCTCAAGGTCGAAGATGAGACTGGCTTCATCCGTTACTTCAAGTCACTGCCCACAGTCACGAGCGAAACAGTCAGAATATTCGACAGGGGCGATTGGTACACAGCACACGGCGAAGATGCTAATTTCATCGCTAGAACGGTAAGTCTTCATCACAGTTGTGCATGCAATTGGCAACAAGGAGATATCCGCTTAACCCAATTCTTCCACAGGTATATAAGACCACATCCGTCGTCAGACAACTCGGCCGAAACGATGCTAGCGGCCTACCCTCAGTCACCATGACCATCACAGTCTTTCGACAGTTCCTCAGAGAGGCTCTGTTCAAGCTCGGTAAGAGAGTGCAGATATATGCAACCACCGGCAGCCGAATGAACTGGAACATCGTCAAACAAGCCTCGCCAGGCAACCTACAGGACGTCGAGGATGAGTTAGGCCAGCACTTCGAGGCAGCCCCCATGATGCTCGCCGTCAAGATATCAGCAAAAGCATCCGAGGCCAGGAGTGTTGGTGTGTGCTTTGCCGATGCCAGTGTCAGAGAGCTGGGTGTCAGTGAATTCCTGGACAATGATCTCTACTCCAACTTCGAGGCCCTTCTGATCCAGCTGGGCGTCAAGGAGTGCCTGATACAGTTCGACAAGGCCGAGAAGGACAAAGATCCCGAGCTTGCAAAGCTTAGGCAGATCATTGACAACTGCGGTATTGCCATGTCTGAGAGGCCTGCTGCCGATTTCGGTATCAAGGACATTGAGCAAGACCTGGCCAGGTTACTCAAAGACGAGCGGTCGGCCAGTCTGTTGCCACAAACCGACTTGAAACTTGCTATGGGCTCGGCAGCAGCATTGATCAAGTACCTCAGTGCCATGCAGGACTCGTCCAACTTCGGCCAGTACCAGCTTTACCAGCACGATCTGACACAGTTCATGAAGTTGGACGCTGCAGCACTGAAGGCCTTGAACCTGATGCCTGGCGCACGAGATGGCGTTAAGAGCATGAGCTTGTTTGGTTTACTCAACCACTGCAGAACCCCTGTAGGAAGTCGCTTGCTGTCGCAGTGGCTCAAGCAACCACTAATGAACAGAGATGAGATCGAGAAGCGTCTCCAATTGGTTGAAGCTTTTGCCAATGATACGGAACTGCGGCAGACTATGCAGGAGGAGCACTTGAAGTCCGTACCTGATCTATATCGATTGGCCAACCGCTTCCAACGGAATAAAGCAAATCTGGAGGACGTCGTAAGAGCATACCAGGTGGTCATCCGCCTCCCTGGCTTCCTCGGCACACTTGAGGCAGTAATGGACGAGCAGTACAAGGATCCTCTCGATGAGGCCTATACCAACAAGCTTCGCGAGCTCTCTGATAGTCTTGGAAAGCTTGCCGAGATGGTGGAGACGACGGTGGACCTGGATGCTCTCGATAACCACGAATTCATCATAAAGCCAGAGTTCGACGACAATCTTCGCGTCATCCGTAAGCGACTGGATAAGTTGAGGTCTGACATGGACCGTGAATTTAGGGATGCGTCTGATGATCTGAATCAGGAGGAGAACAAGAAGATCTTCCTGGAAAACCACAAAGTCCACGGGTGGTGCATGCGCCTGACGCGAACAGAAGCTGGCTGCATACGCAACAAGTCGAAATACCAAGAATGCTCAACCCAGAAGAATGGTGTCTATTTTACCACAAAGACATTGCAGGCTCTGCGACGCGAATTCGATCAGCTGTCTCAGAACTATAACAGGACTCAGAGCAGCTTGGTCAATGAAGTTGTGGCAGTCGCAGCATCGTACTGTCCTGTCATTGAACGTTTGGCTGGAGTCCTTGCTCATCTCGATGTTATTGTTTCGTTTGCACACTGCTCCGTTCATGCCCCTACATCCTATGTTCGACCGAAGATTCATGCTCGTGGCGAAGGCCAGACAGTGCTCAAAGAAGCGCGCCATCCCTGCTTGGAGATGCAGGACGATATCCAATTCATAACTAATGATGTGGACCTCGTCCGGGACACGTCGTCCTTTCTAATCATTACTGGCCCCAATATGGGTGGTAAATCAACATACATTCGCCAGATTGGCGTCATTGCCTTGATGGCCCAGGTCGGCTGTTTCGTGCCTTGTAGCGAAGCGGAGCTCACAATCTTTGACTCAATCCTCGCACGTGTTGGTGCAAGCGACTCGCAACTCAAGGGTGTCTCTACATTCATGGCTGAAATGCTTGAGACTGCCAACATCCTTAAATCGGCCACCTCCGAATCCCTGATTATCATTGATGAATTAGGTCGTGGTACGTCGACGTATGATGGGTTTGGTCTCGCATGGGCCATTTCAGAGCACATTGTGAAGGAGATTGGTTGTTCCGCTATGTTCGCAACACATTTCCATGAGCTGACTGCTCTCGCGGATACGTATCCTCAAGTTCAAAACCTGCATGTTGCGGCACATATCTCTGGCAGTGACTCAAGTGCCGATAAGCGAGAGGTCACGTTGCTGTACAAGGTCGAGCCGGGTATCTGCGATCAGAGCTTCGGTATTCACGTGGCAGAGCTAGTCCGCTTCCCTGACAAAGTCATTCGGATGGCAAAACGCAAGGCTGATGAGCTCGAGGACTTCACGGGGAAGCATGAGCAGAATGGCCTCGGTGTAGGTTACAACAAGGAAGATGTCGAGGAAGGAAGTGCCAGACTAAAGGAAGTCCTGGTCAAGTGGAAGGACGAGGTGAGAGGAGGCAACATGAGTAAAGAGGAGATGGTTCAAAAAATGAGGGAACTCGTGAAGAGCGACGAGCGCTTAATCGCTAACCCGTTCTTCAAAGCGGTCAAAGCATTGTAGATCAGCTAGTTGCGACTAGTAGAGATTTTGCGTTTGGCCATGTGTTGACACATGCTGGAGTTTGCTGGTGAGCACGGCGTTTGGTGAGCATTTTTGAGAAGATGGTCTGGTTTGCACTTTGATGTACTATAACGAACACAACGGCGACCTCACTATGCCAACACAAAGAATATTACAACCGTATATGTTCATCACCCATGACTCGATTAGCTGCCTACAATTGCAATAACGGCCATCGGTGGTACAGAGTCTTCGACTACTGCAGCAGCGGTCGAGCCGTACACTGCTACTGGTGCGTACGCTGTACAAATTAAGTTTGAAGAGACATCACTCAAGAGCACAAACACGGCAGGTTGGAACAAATAAGGAAACTACTGAGTATTCGTTAATGAGTACTGTTTGTGAAGGTCGTCGACAGATAGCGGCACGACCGCAATACCCAGACCTGCGGGATCAGCAGCAATGTTGGCGCCGGCTACTACAATGTCTACCACTTCAGAAGAGGACGGCTGAGGATTAACCGCGCGAGCCGTAGCATTCATTGCAGTCGGGTCTAGACTTATATCCATCCTGGTTGTCGCGTTTCTCGGGAGGAGAAAGGAGAAAGGAGAAAGGAGGCGTGGAAGATAACATGACAGGAAAGCCGCGACGTCTCCAAGATGGGCATCTGCGGATTACTAGCTGGCGCCGCGTATGCCATGACCTAGTCAAGGTACGGCATTTAGGCCCAGCAGAGCTTAGAGGCTCTCCACAGCTATGTTGAGGTATCGTGATGATCCTACAAAGATGCAGGAAATGGACATTACAAGAGGCTGCTCAGTGCAGTCAGAGAGACTGGCCAATGTCTGACATACACATTTCAGCTAGTTATTATTATACGCAAGGACTAATATCAATCAGGTCTGACCTTCCTACCAAATGCCCTCTCCATGCTTGTACGTCTTCGATCTGAATTGTAGACTCAAGGAGGGTGTTGCCACGACTGCTTTGATTTTTCAATCTCATTTAAAAGAAATTATTGACTATCATATAGTCACACATGCTTCATGACATGAGATTCACCAAAAACTATTTTACCAACAAAGTTGTTGAACATGAAATAGACGTTTGATCTGGTCGAAATCTGATTAAGTAGACGCCTAGTTGGTAGTCCCCGAAGCTCGCAGTCTCACTACTATATACTTAGTCTGGAGTAACAGAACGGCTACTCGAAACTCTTTCCACCTGATGTTTCTATGGCAGCTATACCTGGAGGCATGACTTCCAGGATGTCGAGATTTTCTGTTTACCATATATCCATGCGTATATACTCGATCCTTCAATATCAAATTGGAACGGAACCCAACATGTCGCACACTGTGATCATAATTGCGATATCTTCGATTGGCCTCACATATCCCCATCAGATCTATGTCAGGCTCATCACTGAACTTCGGCTGCTTCTTCCGGGTCACTGATATCATACGCCGATGTCTTTGGAGCAAAAGCTGGTGCCTTGGTCAGCAGGTGCCGCAAGAGCAGGTTTAGGTTCTCGAAACGGGATCCGAAGTGGCCCTTACAGATCTTGAACACAAAATCATCTCCGTCTGACTTGTCTGCACTCGCATCCATTCCACCCGTGGCCGAGAAGGTCTGGAATTCGGACCAGAGCCAGGCAGTGCCGACTTCACGCCCGAGCGTGTCGACCTCATGCGCAATAGCGGCGTGTTGCGTCGGATCTTCCGGGTAGCGGGGATTGGCAAACTAAGCTTCCCTTGCCGCTAGCACTCGGAAGAAAAGATCGATGAACACAGCGATGGTGATGGAATCTGCCCAGGTAGTGGCAATCTTGATGGGCTCGAAGATGTCGTAGATGGACAGCATCGAAGTGTCCCAGTTGGCCAAGAAGGCCCTGGCGTTGCGGAACATGGTCACCAACGCGCAGTGCACTCCCTGGCTTGTTATTGGAACGTTCGCGCGGTAGAGAGCAGCAACCACGAGGCGATCCCTCTCGTTACGTCCGAAGACGGCGTGCTGGCTCTCGAAGATTAGGCCGGATCGTGGCATGCGCTGTGCAAGGCTGGTGTAGTGCTTCACTTGTTGCCCCATCCTGAATGAACAAGTGTCAGATGCCAAATTTCAGTACGATCGTTCGGGTCTGAGCAAGATCGACTACGAGATTCCTCGGGTTCTGAGCTTCGTGTTAGCAAAAACTCGCGTCAGATCTATCGAGCGTCTCGTCGAAAGCCTGCTTCCAACAGCTTACAACGAGATGAGAGAGGTTCAAAGCTCTACGCTTCTTGATCGGGGTCTTGAATATGGCTGCAGTGTCACTTTTGTCGCTATCGTCGCGCTTCGTCAGTACGAAGTGACCTCAAACGCAAAGGTGTGACCATTCGTTTAGGGTGTCATACCTTGAAACGGCTGCCCTTGCCTTTCCAAAGGAAAACTCGTGAGACGTCAGGACTTGTCAACTCGTCGTAATAGGTGCAATTGCTGTGGTACAGGTCACAGATAAGTGTCGACACAAGTTTCGCATATGGGAATTGCAGGAAGTGCAATGGGATGAAAGTGGAGGAAGACTGACTCTTGGAAGTGAACACGCTGAGTGTCTGTTTTGAACAGAACTGAACTGCCCACGCGGTCGACGACCATAGCCTTTGTTCTTGTTTCACGGTCGGGTGTGCTGTCTACTTGGGCTTGACACCAACGTGCTACATCGATGATAGTTTGGCGATTTTCCAAACTCATTCCAGCTGCTGACATCTTACCTCACCCACCACGTTTGCGGTTGCATTCTTTTAATCCGTGTATAAGCCATTGGTTATGTCATTTTAGTCTCGTTGGTGCAAATTGGTGATTTATTATACAAGGACAAATTCACCATTGAGTTCAGACAACACATTCAAACTCTGAAGCCAAGAAATCTTGAAACTTGTAGAGTGCAAATAAGAAAACATTTTTTATAATTCAGGGAGCTCATAGATTAGTCGTTGTATCTGTATGAGAAATAAAATATATTGCCATAAAACGTACGATTATTTCAGATCTTGGGTGAGCTGATGTAAACGCTATAAGAATTTTGCCAGCCGGGCACAAAGTTGCTATTACTTGTGTGACTCTCGATCGTTCATGCTAACCCGGCGATAGATATATCAGGGATTCCTCTCCTGCTGTCAAATTTTCCAGAATGATCTGGGCCAGTATCAAATCCTCTACGAATCAACCAGTTTATGAACGACCCATCTTTGTGCTTGTTCTGGCTGATAGTGAGACTCCAACCATCGAGTTCGCCCAGATTATGCGTACAACTATAGCTACATTGTAATTTAGTATAAAAGTTCTACAAAGTCTTATTACCATTACATACATTCTTTGAATCAATCCAGCGTATTGCGAGAAGCATGCCAAGAAAGTGAACCATAACCATAAATTGTTTACTCCCTCAAGAGAATTTACCATTGAAGACTTCACAAACGTCTTGCTAAGTGACAATAAATCCACTTGCACTGCTACTTGTTTGTCTCAGTGACTCATTTCGGGGCCAAACATTTGATTCGATCAAGATTCATTATCTCCATCCCGATGCGGTCGATAGCCTCTTGCAGTTTGGACACGTCAACATCTGACTCATCGTTGAAGACTAGCTGACCCATGAAGTCCTCAAACTGCTCGATACTGTAAGTAGGTATCAGAAGCAGAGCCTGTTATAGCTACGGCACCGGCCAGCACCTGAGTTACAATCAGGTAACAGCCAGTCACGTAAGGACCCATGAAAATTCAAGTCGAAATCGTAGCATCAGGTTTGTTGGAAACCACGTAAGAATTACCTGAAGTTCATGAACATCCGAAACTTGACTCAAGCTAAAGCAGTGTTCTAATGGGCGGCTCAAAATTGCTAATCTCGTGAGCAAGCCATGCATGCTGCGAATAGTCTCTGTGGTGATGGAGGTTAGGCTTCCAGACCTCTTTGGCTACAAACGATTGGAAAAAGAGCTCAATTAACACCGCGGTTGTCAGACCTCTGGCTCAAGATGTCGTTTCATGCGCTACTGATCGCTTAGCAAGAGCCGTCCATCATACCGAATGAGAACAGGTCCCGGTCTGCTGCCCCATTCTTCGTCTTGAACAATTACTCCAGCCCAGTAACCTTCTGATCAACAGATTCCTGTCAGCCGCCCCAATACTCTTTAGATCATGCGAAGTAACACATCCGATGACGGCAAGAGAATGCCATAACATTTTTGTCACGGATTCAGTCAAGGATCTACTCAGGCATCACTTGATCATGTTCTCTTGGCTAGAGTTCATCATTCGTTACTATAGACTTGTACAACAGGAAGTATTTTCATCCTAAAAACCTCGGTATCCAAAAATTGATGACAACAAGTCATGTTTTCTCACATCCCCCTACATCGAGCATCATGTGTGTAGCGGCAGGGCTCGTACCAAGTGTGCGTTATCTCGAACCATTATCCATGCGCCCACCGAGCACCGTAGTTAGTGCCCATGCTAAATAATACCTAGACTAGTATACAAATATATGAAGGAGCCCCGAGCCACTGCCCTCACTATTAATGAAGATGTTCTCAGTGAGGACTTGTGAAGATTTTATACGCGCAACACCTCTCGACTCAAAAAGACACTGTGAAGATGTGTGCAATACAATGTGTGTCGAATTGGAACCTTTACACGCTAGTTGATTGATGGTATATCTGCAGAAGAACCTATAGTGAACCAGGAATGGAGTGACCGCTCAAAGAACCATTGATTTCCAAGGAAACAAGAAAAAAAAAAACGTTAATTAGAGGGCGCTGCTGGGAGTGACTGATAGAAAACAGGACATGCCAACCCCGTTGCGACAGAACCCCGTTGTTGAAGGTTGCACAGCATGATGGTGTCTGGGCGGTGGGCCTCCTGCGTTGGTTGCTTCCAAGCCAAGGCTACCTTGAACCACTGATTTGCTACGGCTTTCTTTTGCTAAGCGAAATGTTATCTTGTCATTCGACCACGTTATTCTGCAGATTCCATTCGTATGGTAGGGTGCAGTGCTGTGGAATGCCTGAGAAGGAAGACAAAGTCGCCAGCCTTGGGTTTAAGAAGCGATCTGCGGCGTATGCGCGAGGCAGTCACAACTCAACTTCTTTTACAACACCACGCTTAAGTTTGTTTTCATTCTGACTGTCAGTCTCTGTGACCTGACGGAGTTTTCGACATAATTAGTTTTCAGCAGGCCCAACAAATCTTCGTTGCAATCACATCCGGCGACAAACCTGCGATGGCTGTGAATTATGACTGCCCTCTCACTACACAACGCCGCTCTGATATTGGTGGCGCAAAAACCACTTCAGAGACCAGAGATGCAACTCTTGCACCTATTGCACAAAACAAAAGACCAAAAATATGTTCTGGATGCCACCAGCCAGGACAGCGCCGCATCACCAGCTGGGAGAACACAAATGGCAACGCGGGCCGACCGTACTATTATTGCACGCCATGCGCTAAATTTATCACCTTCGATGACAAGCGAGGTCTTTGTGATAGTAATCCTCGATGCGATTGTGGTCAGCCTAGTCGGGCTCAGGTCAATGGCAGAAATAGGCGTCCTCCGAGAGGTGTACACTATGTGTGCAAGAACGGCTGCTGCGACTTTTTTGCACGCGCAGAAAAGAATGGACAGCAGGTAGCTGTCGCAGAGGATTTCATAGATAGGCTGGCGAACTTATCTATCATCTAAAACGAAGGTTGTTGGAAAGGGGAAAGGGGAAAGGAATTGGATGTAATGAGGCTAGGAATCCAAGGGTCACACCATCAGGTCATATGGGCCATGATCGATGTCTTGAAAATAAAGCCTGAACATACTAGGAATTTTATTTTGGGTTCAACTCGTCTGTATTTCACAAAATGTTTACCTGTGAAGACGTAACCTTGAAGTCGAAGCGATGTCTTGGCATCGCCTTTCTGACAAGCACTAGTCTAAGTGACGGGATGACATCATGAACTTTGCTTTGTCTTGCATGCCATAACCCGTCTCGCGAACACAAACTCCAAGTATAGGGCGCATTTGTGATGCATCGAATGCAAGTATGGCTCCGCTTATCGAGACAACACCACGTGCAATACGCATGAGCTATCGCATTGGCCGCGGCGAGCAGGGTGTGCTGACTTTCGAGCCGTACAAATCTGCGCTGCTGCCACTCTGGCGCTTTCGCACAGTGCCCATCGCCCGCAAGAGCGCAGCAGATCTTTGGCAGCGCTTTGAAGAGTTCGACGCACAGGAAGACTTTGTGGGGATGGACATGTCAAGGAAGTTCATACAGATGGGCATGACCCGGGCCAAGCGGTATGCTAACCATGCCGGGGGGCGCAAATACAAGAAGGGAACGAAGGAGGAGCTCCCGAAGAGCGAGACCCACGAGGGGAAAGGCGAGAAAGAGGCTGCCAGTATGGTGTTTCGAGAGGTCTGGGAAAGATGTAAAGCTCATGAGAGGTACCAGAGGCGGAAAGAAGACTTCTTAGCTGAGCAGCGCTCGTGGGAGAAAAGCCATGTCAAACAAACGGGTGGGGGCGACGTCAACGAAGAGATGCGATCTTGCTCGTAGCTTTGCGCACCATGAACGGAGCAGTATGGGAAGTTTAAGGTGCACTCGTGTTGCTGCCTTAACAGCGCAGAGAAGCCATCACTTGAGGCCGCTTGGACGCGACTGACCTCGAAGGCCTAGAGAGATCTTGAAGCGCCCGTTGCGTAGCCGCCTCAAAACGCTGGGATTGGTTACCACTGGGCTTCTACTGTTGTCGTATAGGACAACCTCTGAAACTCCTGCATTGTGGGAAGATCACAATCACCGGTTAGAGAATCAGTAGTACAATTCGGGATAGAGTCAGTGGTTACAGTCACTCACTGGGTGCAGTAAGCTGTAACGCGACCGAAAACTTCCGCGTACATGGTGTGCCGCGTCTTGTGGCATGAAGCCATCTTGTCTATACTCTCCACAAGCCCAACCAGTCGAAATCGCGTTCGAATGTGCCATTGCAAAGGGATGATGGACTCGGCGAATCTTACCAATCAATTCTTCCCCACGTCGATTTTAGGTCATATCTGGAATCCGCCTAACTCTGTGAAGGCTGTGCTGTGATATTCATGATTTGGGGTTTAAATGAAGCTGATCCAACACAGTTGCATCGTAGTCGATCGTCGATAGACAATTGGCGAAGCTTAATTGAGACCCATATCGCACATAACATCAAGCTTAAAAGGTTGAATTTTGATGTCAACCAGTTTCCCCCATGGGGATTGTGGCTTGGCGGATTCGTCAGTAGTCAATCGTGAGTGAAATTTGCCTGGCAGGGGCTGATTTCTCGGACAAGGCGAGCTTTGAGCAAACAACAGCTAGCCGGATCTATCATAGCTTTCGGCCAATTTGGCATTACGAATCTCTCCTGGATCTGCGACAACAACCATCAACGGGCCGAAGGCGAGAGCGAATGAAATTGGGTCCACCTTGAATCCTTCACACTTGGCGCCCCTGGCGCCGTTCTGCCGTTCTACTGCGGTACACGTACAGTACGATAGCGGACCACGCGTCGCCAAGCTGGTCCAACAACCCTGCAAAAGCTTGTCTCGATCTTCTTCACTTCTCCAATCGCCGGTACAAAAGACGCGGCATCTCTTGTCAAAGCTTCGCGCAACGACATGCCAAGCCATCGTCGGATTCTACACGGTTTGTCGGTCAACTTTTTGCAACAGCTGGCGATGGCAAGATGACTCTACAACAAAATGTTGTGGGTTGGCACCAGGAACATGCCGAAAGCAGTTAGGGGTTGCGGTTTGATTGGCTGCATAACTTGTGCATGTGGCAGATCCGAACGTCCCGCAACTTTATTTGCATGCATGGAGGCGTTGACCGGGAATGTCAAGACGGGGAGGGGGTGCATATCCCTATCCTAATTGATCTGGCCACCAACAATTTCCGATTCATCGTTGGAAATGGAAATATCGTTGGCGGTTTCATGGAACCTGGGAACATGCCCTCCATCTACATACACAACTTCGTGTTGAGGGCGCTCAGCCACCATGTGGACCCTCATAACCATTACGAATCCCCTGCTCCGCTAGGCCCACTACATCGTGGGTATCAAAATCGGGGCGCTATGTCATGCACCCTTTCCGCCGTCAGAATGTAGGGGGAGACATTCTTCAATTCTTCACCTTCTCTCCAGTCTTGCACTCCGTGATCCAGCGATCCAGTGAAGATCCAGTAAACAACTGGCTACACCCCAACCAAAGTCGCTCATTCCTTGCTATCCTTTGTAATCATGCTGAAAGCCCTACAATCCGCAGGGCTGATCAGCCTGCTGCTCAGTCGGGCCGGCGCGTTGACCATGGATTCTTCCAGTGACGGTGAGTTTTCGCCATGTCGTGAGATAAGATAACGATGACTGATCATGTGAAGCCTCCATCATTGCCGGCGCTGGAGAGTGTGCGTACAACATGGTCAAGTACTATACCGGTAAGTCGCGCCCTGTAGTCGCAATTGTGGCCATCAGTCAAAGCTTGCTTGCTGACGTGAACAAGGTAACAATACTGGTGACACGCCCGGCAACTTGCCAGACCCGTACTACTGTTGGTAACACCTCAATAAATCGAGTGTTCTTGGCTTGCTGACTCATGCCAGGGTGGGAGGCTGGTGCCATGTTTGGTGCTTTGATCGATTATTGGGCTTTTACTGGGGACGAAACATACAACGCTATCACGCTCCAGGCTATGCGACATCAGGTTGGAGACGACGCCGATTATATGCCAGCAAATCAAACGAAGAGTTTGGGAAACGATGACCAGGGTTTCTGGCTCATGGCATCCATGACTGCTGCCGAGATGAACTTCACCAATCCCGACTCAGATGAACCACAATGGCTGGCGCTCGCCCAGGCTGGCTTTAACGAATACGTAGACAGATGGAACGATGCCACCGCCACATGCGGAGGAGGCCTGAGATGGCAGATTTACACTTTCAACAACGGTTACAACTACAAGAACTCTATCTCGAATGGATGCTTCTTCAACATTGCTTCGCGCTTAGCTCGGTACACGGGTAACACAACCTACGGCGATTGGGCGGAGAAGATTTTCGCATGGGAGGAGAACGTCAACTTTATCAGTGACGACTGGCAAGTTCTCGATGGTGCAGGTAACGCGGACAACGCCAACTGTACCGAGATCAACGGTGCTTTGTTCACCTACAATGCTGGAATTTTCGTACACGGTGCCGCCTTTATGTACAACATGACCGAGTCTGACACCTGGAAGGAGCGTGTCACGGGCTTGGTTACCAGTATTTCGACAACCTTCTTCCAGAACGGTATCATGTGGGAGCCGCCCTGCGAGAGCACCTCGGCCGGATGTAACACCGATCAGCAAGCATTCAAGGGGCATTTGGCGCGTTGGTTGGCATACACAGCCAAGCTAGCTCCGTTCACGTACGACACCATCAAACCCCTTCTTGAATCTTCTGCAACGGCTGCCGCCGAGCAATGCAGCGGATCCCCCGCTTCTAGCTGGAAGGGTCATTCTGGCACGGCCTGTGGTTTCAGTTGGCTGGCCAACTCCACTTGGGACGGACACTACGGTGTGGGTGAGCAGATGAATGCCATGTCCGTCATCATGTCGAATCTGTTTGCCACTTCCCCGTCGCCATACACTTCCTCGACCGGTGGTAGTTCGACAGGTAACGCCGATGCCGGTGCAAGCGATAGTAGCAAGATCGCGACCGCTGCCGTCATCACTACTGGCGACAAGGCAGGTGCCGGAATCTTGACAGCGTTGGTCCTGGCATCATTGCTGAGCTCTGTCGTTCTCATGATCAAAGAGTAATCTTTAGCTTAGGTGATACCCAATGATTCTCTTCTTTGTTTATATTTGAAATTGGACTGCATGACAGGATATCAGCAGCATTGGTGACATAGAATCGCGCTCGGAGTTTGGGAGTCCCGGCATTTATAACCACGCGGGTCTTGTATAGATCCAATGTATCATCAGACTTAGCCAGGCAAAAATTAAAGCAGCTATAAAATTATAACTCAATTTGCTTTTACATGCTAATATGGATGAGGCCACTTGGCCTGCACGGCCCAAGATGAGGGGGATCGTAAAGCGCTATTCTTTGCATTGGAGTGGAGGTAGTGGAGAGACTTACGAGTGGTGATCGGTATATTCAGTTTGTGGAGTAAAAGCTAACAGCAACCGAAAATAGAGCCGGCTCCAGCAACTTGTGGTCCCGCCACGACGTTGTTTCCCCAGATCTCAGTATTGAAATGGTAGGCGAGGGGGAAAAAGGCGATCTTTACACTAGCTGGTTATTCTTCAAACGGACTCCATATCTGATCCTCCGTGAGAAGCTTAACTAGTGCCAGCGTCCTTGGCGAATGACCATGTATACGACTAGTCAGTAATTTGATGAGTGACTATATGGTAAAACTAAGCTTGTGGGGGTTTCTTCGTGGCCTGGCTTGTACAGGGTCAACTGTCCCCATCTTTCCATTGACAAGAAATAATACTGAAACTCCAATGGCCTCATTTCAATCCCTCCCATTCCATGATGCGCTGAATTTAACTCGTGACCAGGTTCTCAGTATTTACTAATAGTACATTGAATTCCATATAAGCTAACAAACACAGAGCCATCCTAAATTATGGATGATCATAAGAACCTTAACCCGTATCATTGTTGACTTGACGGATGGCAAAGTATAAAGTGCGTTCCGATTGGTTTCAATATAACTCATAGGCCAGACTGAATTTCACACATGAAACAAGAAGAAGAAGAAGGCGAAGAAGAAAAACAGCGTATACAATCTCGTGTTTGGACGGTCTTTCTTTGCGCTTGCCTGATTCCACTTGCTCTACGCCAGACGTCGGTCGCAATCCGATCAAAACCAGATACAGCGCAGCTCAAGATGGCTTCGGTGTTATCGTGACTAACAATGTGCGTAATCCCAGGTAGCAGAAGGCAGCCACGCGTAAAAAGCACCACCGTGCACTCACATTTCCATTGTTGTTGCCCAATGGGAGAAGAATAGTCTTCACCTGATGGGGAGCGGGCCCTCCACAAACAATGCTCAGCAACACTCTGAGCAATCCGGTCGTCGGTTTCTGTCACTTGTTTCTCCAGATATTAGATCGATAGTCTATTGTCATGCCTGGACGGAAACAAATCTCACCTAGCGTCTGTATCCCGCAAAGGCTCTTCGAATTCTTTATGACCTTCAGATAATGATTCGGCGCCGCATTACTGGCTGAGTCAGCCCCCTCATATACAGCGGGAACTCCTACATAACCAAACGCCTGCGTTTTTTTTTTTGAGTGGTCTGTGAATTGCGATCTTTTGGTTTCGAATTTTCTCTCCATCTCGACTTGTGGCTTTTCGCGACTTTTCTTTGAAGAATCAAGGGAACTTGTTTTGCAACATTACTGACACAGCCTGTGCGAAATTAAGATTCCTCCGTTGTGCGTTCTGACGAAGGAGGCATTCCTGAAATTGTTATTGAACTATCATTCGCCCCTTAAGCAATTCTTAGCTGGGCAGATTAAATTCCACCAATTAAAGCAGTTTGTTGAAATTATAAACAACCTTCGAAGTGAATACAACATAAAGCTGCTGATTAAAATAAGTCAAAACCTTATAAACTTATCATAAGTTCTTGGAGATACTATACTATATTTAAGTGGATGACAATATACATAACAGCTTAGGCGATGGCTAATGGGAGCCAACCTAGCTGGACAGGCAGTTCTACCAGGTAATCGTGCTCGTTGTAAATCCTCCGTGGTATATATGGATCAAGGTGCAGTAGGGCTCACTAAAGGATATAGTCTTTGCTCATTTTATTTAGGTATCTGGCGGACAGAGTACCATAGCACCGCATCCATAGTCCCAATTTTTACTCGGATTGACCAGGTTGATCGGAACGTGCGAAACGCGCAATACCTCAATGGAGGCATTTTATAGACTAGTCTAGCCAATGATTGACAACAGTCACAATGGAACATTTTCGGACCAACCCACTCTACTCGCGGCAATATAGCGAAACTGGCAATACGCAAAATGCATGTTACTGAGGATGCAAAGAACGGTGTTCCTCGCACTTCCGCCAGTGCTCATGTATAATTACAAATGGTGGATTGCTACCGGCGTGATGGTGGTATTGTCATCGCCAAATACGACGTGGTGCGGGGCGTGTCGACCACCCGGGCGTAGGGTCTAATAGACGCAGGACATCAAAATCTTTCCTGTGACCTGTCCCACATTAAATCCTAGAATTAGGGGGAACATTTATGTATAAGCGCTGGAGTATCAAGGGTATGCTTCAAAGCTTATGCCAGAACTCTAATTTAACGACAACTGTTGCTTGACAACAGATAATGAATCCACTTTATAGTCTTCAGCATAGAGCTATCTGTGTGATCGCAACATCCCGGCAGCCAAGTATGATGAATCAGGCTCGTGCGGTGTTATGTTTGCAGCCTGGCATGCGTGAAGCTGTGCCAGCATCTACTCTTTGACATTCATCTGATCGTGAACAATATAGTTTGGTTTAAAATGTGATAGGAAAAGAAACCGAAACCAGGAGTTTTCCACAGCCAAAGGCTGGCGAAGAGATGCGAACATGTCAGAAGGGAAGAGGCAAATAACGAGAAATCGGCAGTGAAACGGAGTGGAAACCATGCCATCCTTGACAGCCGCGGAATTTAAGCATTCAGAAGGTGAGCAGGCATCATCGTGTTGGTGTGTAAGCAGATCTCAGATCCCTTGCGTCTCCCGTCGGCATGGCATGGCCAGGTCAGAACAGACAACCGATACTTCATAAGATGCCATTCCAATAGCTTCCATTAGCTCCTCTACGCCCTTTTCGCTGTATTTCTTTTCTTCCTTAGGCTGTAAGGTCGCCGCTGCCGATCGTGCCGTCCATAACTTACCGATGGCGCAACTTTGGGCTTAGTCTACACAAAAACCTCTATTGGAAACTGGATCTATTGGCTATCAACAGCGACCACCTCGAAGATTTAGCGGGGAATGTGTTGACCCAGCCAATGTATACTGCCTCTAGTAATACAGATATGACCTGTTCAGCGCCTCTAAAATTCCAGTCTTATCATATTTCAGACCGCACATTATTGTAACACTCAGTCCTTGTAACGTCTCTTTTCGTTCAAAGGCACCAATTTACGGCCACTGTACATCTCTATATCAGGCTCTGTTAAAGTTTTGCTATGATGATAGATCTTACATCAACATCATCCAGAAACAGAAACCATGATTCCTAAAAGGTTGGACATAAACGTGGCCCGATGGCACGCAGATTAGTCAAGGCGTAGATTGTATTGAATATCTAAAGAGACACAGCGCAAGTCTGCGTACACTATTGGCAGATCTCAATAGAGAGTAGGTTCACAGTAGCGCGGACCTCTTTATGTACAAAGGTAAGCCTACTCCTCCCCTTTCTCGTAGTCCTGATCTCTCGTGGCTCCTGCTGATAGGATTATGGCCCAGGTTCGGGAACTTGCAATAAGGCCCAGGGCTCAGGTGAAGTTTGCACCCCTTATAACGACCCGAACAGTGGAAGACTTGCAGGCGAGTGCTCCCTCGTTACGTCTGGCTAAGAAACTCGACTGTCCCATGAATACGTAGTATCCACACGCCGGTACAGACCGTAAAGATATTTCGGCAGAATGCAAACCGTGCGGAAAGATAATTCGGCAGAATGTAAACCGTGCGAAATGAAAATCTCAAGGAAGCGTAGTTAGTTCAAGCACTTGAAAAACGTCCCCATAGCTTATATGAATAATGATTCAAGGATTCGATGGTTATTTTGAACGCCAAACGGCTGATTCGTTCTGCTCATGCTAGAGACAATCTCTACGAATATCAGTGTCATTAGTTTCTGCTTAAACTTAATTGGCTTCGAGCATTTAACTTATGGTTTAATGATTATAATGTGTTTCAGTACCCACTACCTTTGTTGGCTATGAAACGTATATAGGGAGATCTGACCATCTCCATTTAGAATGGGGTTCTTCAACAAGACATTACTAAGCCATGTCAACTTAACAGTTGGTAACGTTGTAAGCTCTTTGTCTCACACTATTCGTGGCCATTATAACGGCATTAATTACTCGCACTTATATGCTCATAATAAATAATACAAAAATTGTGGAATAAAAAGCTGACAACATTATAAATTATAAAGTTAATATAGTTTCATATTAGATTTAAATTAAGAATTTATTTTAATTTAAACTGTTAAATCTCTTAATATATAAGTTTAAGTTTTTGAAAGCTATGAGTACTATAACAAGTAGCTTAGTAGATTGAACATTATAATAAGTAAGAATGTGTTAATAGAGTAACTGAAGATCAAGTACAAGTACATTAAGCGATGATTAGGAAGGCGATGCCTGGGTTTCTTTGGTTGTTTTATCAGCGTATTGAATGCCGCTGCTTGCGCAGCCGGCGCGTGCTCCCAGCTATTCTTATCGTACATGTGAAGGAGAGGCGAAGGTGGGCTGTTGCCCTATGTAAAGAAAAGAAGCCAAATGATGCTTCTTTGTACAGAAAAACTAGGAGAACAGCACGATGGCCTCCGGTTACGTATTTTGCCAGTGGGAATGGAGTAACTCAGTACTAGCTAACAAAGCTGGACCTCGGAGAGAACAAGCCTAACAATTCACTGCCATCTAGGTTCGGACGCAGGGTTTGGCTGTCGTAGTTTGTCTGGAAACTCGCCACAAATTCCTGGTGGCCGCGGGGAATCAATGTAGCATCATCTTGGCGGTTGATTAGAGAACTTTATGCGATGAGCGCAATGCGTTACAACAATGTTTTAGGCTATGGATAGGGGAGGTACGAAGTATATATCAAGCGACCATGACCCCGTGGTATCCTCAGCGAAGAAAAGAATGATATCGGAGCCCGCATACCAAGCTACGCCGAAGTGGCATGGGAATTTGTTCCTTCATTCTGCCTCTCTGTTGACTGGTGACTGGTGATGTCATTATTTAGGTTCCATATGCGCCAAATTCGAGGGAGAGCATTAGTGCACTGCGAATGTGGTTCAAGTTCGGAGCCGAGGCACGAAAGGGTCTTCCGGGGCAGCTCTCGATGGTCTGTAATTATCCAGCCAAGCTGAGTGTAATTCTAGACCGCGTTCCGCTGCACAGCCGCTCGTCCAAGCTGGGTAGATCAACATGTGTAGCCCCATACAACATTGTTTTGAAACGCAAGAAAAGTCCCATTGGTTTGGTTTATGTACACATCTATCGTCTTCAGAGCCATGCAAGTCACTTATTCGACTGTGGCAGAAACGGGGTTGATCTCGACGCCGTACTTCTCCTTGAGTCTCTCTGCTCTTCGTTCCTTGTAGCCTGGGGGCTCAATACCTGTGGCAGGACAAGTTAGTAGACGTCTAATAGAAGAGTGCTGGATGAGTGGCGTACCTCTACCCTCCCCGATATCCGCAATTGTCTCTGTTAATGGCCGCCTGCGGTTTAGTCTCAGATGTTGCCTGCGCTCGAACTCGTCTGCAAACTCGTGCTCTGGTCGCTTGCCCTTCAAATGGCCTCCGGTGTAATCGAAAGCTGTGAGAACCACGGAGATAAGTGCTCCCTGGCCAAGAATCTGGGGGATACGGAGTGCTGTCGAACGTGTGGTTAGCTTCGCATCTGCCGGCTGCCACCATTCGTCCTTTCCTTACATCGTAGACCTAGCGTAGCTCCACCGAAGAAAGCCGCGATGGTGGTGTTGAGGGTATCGTCCTTTTCCCTGAGGTTGGCCGAGGCGTCCTTGACGAAGCAGTAGACGGCAGGTACGGCAGCTGTGGGATTCAGTCAGTGAATGCTCGTCGTGCCACATCCATAGCCTTCCCCGGGGGTCTATGTTGTAGGCGTGTCTGACGTACTCAAGGTAGCGACGGTGGCGCCGGATCGCGTGAAGATGCCGAAAGCTCCAACGTTGGTCTTGGCCAGGGAGTTCTGGACGGCGGATGCGATCAGACCGGCGGCACCTCCAATCATGGCACCGTTGACGCCGGACTTGATGGCATTCTTGGCGTGAAAGGGATGCTCTGGGTAGACCTTGGGGATGGGATGCGGGTTCGCCATCTTCGGAGTGGGACGTCGGTCGCAATGGCGAGAGCTTTCGTGGTGGTGGTTTCGTCAATTCCTCGAATGGAGTCCAGATGCACTCCGGTAGTAGAGCTTTGGAGGCTCGTAGCAAGCTTGAATTGGCCCGCGCTGATTGGGCTGGATTGAGGCCGAGGATTATCCGGGTGGTCAAGATGCTTTGCAGTAGAGCTTCTGTGATGTCTGCGAGTAACTTACTGGATCCGTTCCGTGCGTATGTCCGCAGTGCCGTAACTTCCTCAGCTGCTGCTCCGCCACAGGCACATCAGAGGTCAAGCCAATCCAGGAGACAGCCACACCGACAGCCACGGTCTCGGTCCCCGGCTATCGGAATATCTGTAAATCCATACCCCAGAGGTGCCCTGGCCACGCTAAGAGGCGTTAGCGCTGTCTAGCGCCGGAGGCTGTTGATGCACGGTGCACTATATGGCAGTGCATGAGGCATCTGTCATCCCTACCCCCTACAGTAGCTGCCTCATTACGTATGTAGACCTACCACAAATGCAGAGCAAAGCAAAGCAAGCCGCCGCCGACAGCTCTCCAAGCTGATGGTGATCATCAGCCTTGCTCATCATATCAAGACAATACGAGCCAGCCTTGTTCATGATACATCGCATTTTCGGAGTCCAGCATTATTAGGAGCATTGTCTCGGGTTACGTCAAGTTCCGTTACGGGTTTTGTTATCGCTTCTTGGGTCTTTATTCACGTTTTACCGCACCGTCCTTATCCGCATTAGTTAGCATCTGTCTGTCTGGGCATGGTCTTTCTCATCGCCCCTTCGGATTCTGGCCCTTTATGATACCCCTGATACCCCAGTCCCTCACTCCACTGCCCATCCCTTCTGCTGGTTGCTCATCGCACTAGACTACTGCTATCACCTGTCTCTGTCTCTACGACAGTCTCGGCAGTTTTGAGACCGAGCCGGTTATCCCTGTGTAGAACTCTATTTGTTTGGCCTCCAATTCCAAGTGGCCGCACAACAACAACTGTGAAGGCGACTGGCAACGAATCTCATTCGCTTGCATACAGCACCTCTGTCTTGTCCTTCTCATTCTTGAGACCGTGGCTTGGCGTCGGCGTCCTGGGGTTTCAGCACTACTGTGGCTCGAACGACTCCAAAAATCATCGTGTGTGGCTCGACTTGCGCATCATTGGCTGTCACCTAGCAAGCTTCGTGGAGCCTCAAAACCTTAGGCTGCCCACCCCACACCTTTCAGTCCAAATTAGCCAGCGAACACTGAAAATTCTCCCACACAAGCTTCCACACGAGGTCAGCTTGGACGTTGCAAATCAAGTCTAGGACCTCTACCTTGTTCTGTATACATCCGGACATTGATCTGGCGTGTAGAGTGTAGAGCTACCCTATGCTCTGTAGCTAGTTTCTAGCCTTGGATCTCTTTGCCCCAGCACGGCATCGCTTAGAGCTACTCAATCCTGTCACAGCCAACACACACTCAGCATCGCTACTTCAGATCATGATTTCCTCATCGTGGTCGCTCCCTCGGAGCGAGACCGCTGAGACCGCTGCAAGACTGTTGGAAAACTCTGACAGTAATTCAGAAGATGCCGGAAAAGGTTGGTCAGGATCATCACTTCCCGCTGGGCGACATCCATTAACCCAAATCGCCTAGTCTTCACATCAGCCCGTCTCATCAACCGCCTTCTGAGCGGTGACATTTTGCGTCCAGGTCAGGAAGCATGTCGTCCAGAGGGACATCAACTCCAACTCCTCCCCAGTCAAACAGGCAAAACGGGATGGGGTTCGACCGAGGAGTTTCTTTCCTGTGTTTGTGATCAATGCTTGCACCATTTTCGCTTCAAAGTCACTAATGGTCCCAACCCATCACCACTTGAGAACTACCACAAGATGAAGATGCACATGTTCCTGCTCACCGGCCGCGATAGCGACACGATGCTAAAGGCGACCCGAACCAAACAGGACCACGTCACTGACAGAGTTCACTTTATGTGCATCATTGATGGGTGTGATTGCAAGCTACAGATCGAGCGACTTCCCCCTCGCATCAGCGCAAAAGAGTTCAACACTCTCATGGACGAGTCCCGACTTGTTGAGAACATTAGAGAGGCACGGCTTCAAGATGCCGATAGAATCGACAGCTTACTGACGAAATGGAATCCGAATGCAGAAGGCGTGGTTGGCATGCTGTGTCAATATTTGGTCGACGGAATCCAAGAACCTCGACTTATTAAGACTCATAACAAAAAGTTCATGATCGCTTTCAAGGACGACTTCGACGACCTATGGCGCACTCTTGGCTGCACCAAGAAAACGCTCAAGACGGAAGGCGAACCTGATGAGGAGGCTTGGCAATTTCCTAGCCTCGGGGTTCCTGTCTCTCCGACAGCCTTTGGAACGCTTAGAGCCAAGTGGGAAGATTTCGAAGCTGAATGCATGATCTACTACAAACAAGCACAGACCCTGAAAGATGGCCAACGTACTTACAAAGAGATAGCAACTCCGCGAAGGACCAGGCCGGCCTTTGAGTTACTGAAGCGTCTTCTCGGATGCCAATACGAACCACTCGACAACAATCCATCCCTCAACGAGGAGGACTTGGTCTTGTTAGGTTGTTTGGCCAATTTCAAGCCTAGTCTTTATGCCGACGCCGCCAAGATTCTTGTACAGAAATGCCCAATGCGATGGCAGGAGTTTCTCGATGCTGGTGGTCGACTCATTGGTGAACAGAATTCCGACGTGGCTTTCGATCTTATGGTGTTCAGGTCAGAAGTAGAATCTAAACCAAAGCCTCTAGATGCGCAGACCATGGTAGAAGTAGTGGAAGCATACAAATACCTCGGCGCGGATCTGGATCAAAAGTCTGCCGACTACTTCATCGAGAAGTATCTGAATCAAACATCAGAAGCGGGCAAGGATGTTGCTATCCATCACCTTGCCAAGATTGGCAAGTATCTCGACAAAGATCTCCTGACTCCAGTGGGGGCTGGAGGGGGCGTGACCTCGAAGATGACACGGGTCCAAGCGGCCGATATCTTAGGCGCTGATATCGAGTATCCTCATGATCTCTTGCAGCAATTGGTGAACAACAAAGTATGTCACAGTTAAAATGTTTGTGGATATAGCAATCTGACTTTCTGTGCTAGGCACAAGACCCGACGGTAGACCGGGCAAAAGTTGCAGAGGCTCTTGAGGTCCTCGCCGACCATGCCCGAACTTTGAACGTGGATCTTGCCGACAAGCTGAACAACTGGGCAGGGCTTTTCAAGGCAAGCGATGAACCAGGCCATAGGGGCGCGTCTCATCAGCCGGCCCAGGAACAACCTTCTGACACCAGCACTCCACCCGGTCTTGGTAACATCGGGAACACATGTTACTTGAACAGCTTGCTGCAGTATATCTACACTATAACTCCTTTGCGAGATCTTGTTCTGCGATACCCACAGGATAGTCTCAACCTCAGCGTGGAGAGTGTCGCGCAGCGAAAACTGGGCTATGGCAACGGTATTGAGGTTAGTCTTGACGAGGCCATTGTTGGAAAGATATGTAAGCATTGTGAAACCCCAGCAACGGCACCCTCACTAATGGTAACAGTTGTTGAGCTGCTGCAGTCGCTTTTCCGGGATCTCCTCACAACTACGGCAGTGGAAGTACGACCACCCCAAAAACTAGCAAACACGGCGCTACGCTCAGCTTCGGAGCTTCTGAAGATGCCGCTCCAACAGCCCGACACCAAGCCACCACCCCTGCCGGCACGTCCGTCGCCGGCCCCTCCCCAAGCCACTTCTGCAGATACCAACAACGTGAATGTCACTGTGGAGCCCGTCAATGAATCCTTGGAGACTGCGAGTATTGTGAGCTCCCAGACACTAGTTGACGATGAAGGTCCAGCCATACCCGAGATACAAAACGAGGATCACCAGCTCGATGATATGTCCCAAGACGCCAAACCTGCGCTCTTGGACGGCGACACTCCAATGGTAGATGTCAATTCCTCGGCCGACACACCTCCCAAGGAGCTCTCGCTGGAACAAAAGATTGAGGTCATTAGTCACCGACTGGAACAATCCGAGAGACAAGGGACTGAACAACAAGATGTTGAGGAAATTATCGGTTTTATCTTGGAACACCTGATGCGCGCGATATCTTCTAGTGGCCCAATGCCAGGCAAGGAAGATTTGCAGTCAGACACCATTACGAAAACCTTTTTCCCTCTGATAGTCAACTACACTGTGAACAAGATGGCGGAGTCTAATGAGGAGGCTTACAAAAGCGCTAGACAGGAGCTCATCCCCGATAGATGGATCAACGCCTTCCCGGCTGAGAAGCCAGGTGTTTCGTCGACGATACACGATGCACTCAGTCGCTCTTTCGGCATACAGTTTGTCGCTGATAGCGACCTCGGAAGATTTTCGACTATTCGTCAACTCTCGCCGATTGTGCATATCCGGATTCAGCGCGCAAATGCTACAAGTAGTGGTGCAACGAAGAACAGTAACCCTGTGCGCTTGACGGACGAGCTGTTCTTCGATCGCTACATGGATGCGCAACATGATTCTGAGCTGGCACAGCAGCGACAAAAGCTCTGGTGTCTTCAAGGTCATGACAAGGGCCTTGAGGAAAGCAACCGTGACACTGGTACTTTTCCAGTCCAAACTCAACCGACTATTGTTAACGATGACGGCGAGGATCTCTCAACTGGTCAATACCTTGATTCGGATGACGAAATGGTTGAGGCTATACTGCAAGAATTGCCCCTTCGTTCCTCTGCTTCTATTCTTTCTGAAAAGAGGAAGTCTGACAGTCAGCCGACGAATGAGACTGATTTTCATGCGACGAAAAAGAGAAGTCTGACACCGTCTACAACAGCTTCTCTCATGCAGGCTGCGACCTTGCTTCTAAATGGAGCCAGCATCAATGGCGTGCAAGACACTAAATCTCTCGGAGATTCCAAAGAGAGTTACGAAAAGTATTTCGATGGACTGACTGAGCACAAATATCGACTCCATGCGGTTATTTGTCACTCTGGTGGCGCTAGAGCCGGCCACTATTGGGTTTGGATACGCGACTTCCGTCGAAACAGGTGGATCAAATTCAACGATGGCCGTGTGACTATTGATCCTCGCAGGCCGGAAGAAGTGATCGACCAGCTCAATGAGAGTGGCGACCCTTGCTATGTGGCATACGTGCGAGATAACGACAAGGACAACCTCGTGGGAATTCCTGAACGTACTCCAATGGTGGCACAATCAAATGGACGCGAGGCAACCATGGAAGTTATTGAAGGTGTCGCACCTCAAGACACTGATATGCCAGACCTCTTTCCTGTTGGTAAACATATCGCAACGGAGAATGGCATAGTTGAAACACAGGAATCCCGGCCCTACGAGCTCTTCTAGGAGAATAGTGACAAGCATGAAATGCCAACTGACTACATGTCAGAGCATGAACGGAACTTTTTTCAACTACCCGACATCCAAAGCAAGCTCAACAGAATGATGAGTTCTTCTCGTCGGCTCACTACTCCTGAAACTGGGAGCGAAGAGAATGGCCCTCGACCCGCCATTCAAAAGCAACCCAACATCAACATTGTTTTCAGGTCAAAACTTCACTCTTTTCACGAGGATAATACTGTTGCAGATAAACCTGATCAAGACAGTGCAGAAGACAACTTATCGTCTGACGAGGACTGGTGTTTTGGCGCTTACGGAATAATGACTTCGGAGGAGTATGCTGCATATTGCCGGAGCCCCAAATAAAGCCCATTGGAATGATTTGATGACTCATGTTCATTGAGTTGGAACGAAGAGTCGGCGAGAGTTCATTGGGGTTGGTTGCGCTTAGGATTCGCAAAGCTACGCGTCTAACATATTGATGTTGAGACTGAATGTACTTGTAGGATTATTCCGTCATGGGCGTAAGACGAAATGCCTAACATAATAGACTCGTATGAATGAAATCTCGATTCTTTGTAGTCGCTCGTTCTCTTGAGATCTTTGATTTGGAGCCACATTTCACGTGCATGCTTGCTTCGGATCGCTGCTAAGAATGGGACGTTATACACTACGTTATCTGATTTGAGTGGCATGCTTGAACCTTGGCCATTCTCATATTGTACATAAACAGTGACTTTCGGTGCTCTCAATGTTTCCGTCTTGTCTGTTTCCACTTTGCATTCTATATCGCCTTACAAGCCACCCGGTGGGAGCAGACAGGCAGCCCAGGATTGACCAAATTTTGGTTCTGCAAGATACGTAAGCGGTAAGGCAACCTGGTATAAAGTTGATTTGTCCCATGACGCTGAGAAATCCCTAGGCGAGCCCATATATTTCCAGGGTATGGGGGTCCAAGACGTGCTTTTCTAGTGGAGGAGTTGGGTATGTGGGAGGGTTGATGGGCCTCGACTGCAGACTGGACAATTTTAACGACATCGATGGCAGCCCGTCATGACGGCGAATAGACCGCGGTTGATTCAGCGTATTAATAAAAACCACTCGTGGTCGTTTTAGTTCTCGCATCAGCCTCAGTGTCGAATATACACGACAGTGCCGCTAGAGTGATAAATACTCACGAGGCCACAACCCTGCGCACCCACCCCCCCAACCTTGAGTGGTGTCTATCTGTTACACCTGCCACTTTGTTCACTAAAAGTAGTGATGATGTATATTGCGTAGTGTGAGGAATATTGGACGGTCGTTATTCAGATAGTCACTACCCTGTCAGATTTGATGGGTTGTAACATCGGTCCATTGAAGTACAACATGATTCGAACATTATCACAGATTTCATGCCGTTATACCGCTTATGAGTCAGGTCAAGCATAAAGAAACAGCTACAGGTTGTATGACGATATGAAGAACGATCACAACCCATCCTAGGGCCTGTATACTTCCATTCAGCGCTGCAGTGAAAGTGACCTCAGTTAAGGAGAACCCCATAAATCGGCCCTCGTCGACTGGACATAGCATATCATAGGAAGACGTCGACCAAGAGAAAGGCCTGACTCATGCCAACCCCGTCTTACTTGTGCCTAAGCTCCCTCCCTTGGCGTTGTCCCCTATCGTCAAGAAATTGGGGTGCGAGATCATTCTTGGAAAGTCTATTTATTTATTCATAATTCATGTTATTTTCCCCTCCCTTCTGACGCACTCACTGGTGGTGCCTTGTGGATCGGAAGTATTGAGAATATAGTGCGAATAGTGCAACACTTCGTGCCATCCCTTACCCGCGCGGCAACAAGTGATGACCACATTGCATCAACGTACGCAAAAGCTGTTGCAAAAGCTCTGGTTTGATGGGTCAGTGATGGCGCCAAACCGACAAGCATTCAGTCGAGATTTGTCACAATGTGCCGCTGTGCCGGAGACTTGGATTACCGCACCAGCCGGCTTCGGTGCTGGTCCACATGCATGATCCGACAACCTTGTTGACTGAACCGATGAATTATAGCCCAAGACTGTTGTTGGTCTTTCTCAGTGACACCTATACCTCTATCAAATCAGGTCAACTTTCCTGATGTTTAGATCATGTGTAGACTGGTCAGAGTGTCTTGGCGATGTTACTGTCCCGAGACCTCGAACGACTCTAGGGTTTTGGCATTCCCAATGAACAGTACAAAGCCACAAAGCTAGGGCACTGCTTACGGGTGTTGCGATAACAAATGCCACAGCTCACTTACAGGCGAGTTGCAGAGGGCAATGCGAATCCCAAAAATATGTAATTTCGCACCAGCCAGGTTTTGCACGTGGCATCAAGACGTCTCTGGTTTCCGGCAATTTCTGATCTCGACGATTTGTAGCGGCATGGCTGTGGAGTAAAACAAAGCTTTCTGTTTTGGTGGCGGCGTCATCTGGTATTTGACGACATGTATGGACAAGTTGTTGTATTCTGTGCGTTGTATTAGCTCTCGCATCGAAGCTTCATATCACCCCGGTTGAAATGCCTACCACACTCATGCCTGAAGATTTCGAATATATTCGGGAATCGGAGTGCGTTTGCCATGAGGATTTTGACTCCAGGTTGCCTATCACTGATGGCGCGTAGTGCTTGTACCAGTGATCTTGTCGCTTCTTCTTGATAGATCTGCCATGGCTATCAGTGCAAGGTTCAATGCTACCAACGAGCTGCCAATAGACTCACAACATCTGCAGCAATCACAACATCGAACTCTGTTTCACCAACACGTTCCCTCCAGTTGCCTGATAGATCACTTCCCCACCAAAGCTTTCGCGCAACGATATTATCGCTTTCGCGTCGGCCATTCAGAAGCAGGTTTTCTTGCATCTCTGCAACAACCATATCGTCACCATCTGTAGCGGTTACGTACTGAGCATTGAGGTATTTCCGACACAGGATACTCAAGAAGCCTGTACCAGCTCCGAGTTCTAGCACGCGAAGTCCATCGATAATTGATGGACTAGACAATAGGTAAGAGGCGAGATGCAAAGCACCCTCCCAGGTGCGATGCCCGGTTCGCGACGACCCTGAGATTCTGGAGCGCGATTCGTGGAGGATAACAGGCCGCCACGAGCTAAGCGAACTGGTGCAATTATATGTGAGATACGCGTCCTGCGTGGCTAAAGGACCTTGAGATGTTTCTTGATTCTCTAGATCTGTAAGTCGTCTCCTGAGGTTTTGAAATGGCTACAGCAAGCATTAGTTTCTCATACGCACGATCGGTTCAAATGCAGCCTTACACTACCTGAAACACCTTGGCCAGTGACCCTTTCGATTTTGGTGACCAACGTCTTCAGTATCCTGAGCTCGTACTGAACTGGTGGCCTATGCAGCAGTTTCTCCGTATCAAACATCCGCCTGAAAAGGAATTGCAGGGCATCAGGTTGCCTTAGTAGTGTGGATGGCGGCCACGCAAGAAAATCGTGATCCACGCACTGCAAATACTGGGAGCGAAACAGTAGCAAAGGTTCGTCAACGTCCATAGTTGAAAGAGAAAGGAATTACTCAAACAATGAGTGAAGCTTATGCGAGAGACTTGATCGTATATGGTGCACTGTATGACTGAAGACTTGCGCATACACATTAACCCTTTTTTCCGGTTACGTCGCTGCGAATGGGTCGACTGGTCGGGGTTGCGATCTCATGCTTTAAGGTTAGTCTAAGTTAGCACAGCTCTTGAAATACCGTGCAATTCCACGCACAAGTTAAGATTTAGTGGCCAAACTTTAGCTGGCTTTCAATAAACTCCACTACAACGGCCATTGTTGCACCAGTCCATACCCTCGCTGCCCTGTATCCGCGCTAGCTGCGGTCGACAGCTTAGCAGCATGCCCAAATATCCTAACCTAGTCTAATACACTTATAGAAGCTTGGCTTCATCGCATAATTATACACTCCGGATGCTCAGACGCGAGGACAAACTCTTCTGGAAGTTGAATGAAAATGTCGCCAGAGATACTCATTATTGAAGATCGGTACCTCTTGCGATAAGGCAACCTGCATTTCCGGTGATGCTGATCATGTAGGGCCCCATTGACAAGGATGACAAAAAGCCGAAGACGATGAATTATTTCCTTGGTGGCCTGAGTTCACATTTTTCTGTTGCTGCAAAACCATATGTTCAGTAGGAGGCATAGTTACCAAGATTATGCCATCTACCAAACGTTCCCTCCAGAACGAGAGAGCAATTTCCTCAAAAGCTGCTCGCGAGGCACTTTTCTTTTGCTACAAACTATGTCAGATTTTGGTTGGTGTCAATCTCATCGATACCCCGAGCAGACGAATGGATTAGTCGCATTAGAGCGTGGCGTACCGATTGTATGGCATAGATATCTTCATCTGATCCGCAGTCGTTTCTCAGAGTGCGGGCTTTTGATCAGGTCTGCTGTCTACAAGACACGGATGGTAATAAATTATCATGGAATATATAATCAGCCGATTTCCTCATATAGACTATTAATCTTGTCTCCTGGATGTCTGATCATTATGCAAGCAATCTGACTTGAACCTCTCAACGATTACCCAAAGATATCCACCTTCACGGTCGGACTGGAAAGATCGCCCATAACAACCTTGACGATGGTCCCAGAACCAGATCCAATATTGCCACTGACACTCGCCTGATATAGAGTGTATTCGCCAGCGGTGGAGTACTGCGTCATGGCAACGGTCTGAGTGGTTATTCTTCTGGCACGTGTGCCTGAGACTGAGCCGGGCACGTACAACACCACTTTCAATCCGTCGGATGAAATGAGAGAGGTGAGAACTGCGGCCTTAATACTGCCACTGTTTCGGCCGCTCGTGGTACTTTTGACAGGGAGCACGAAGATGTTATCGTTGATTGGGTACGTCACGTCGCCAAAGGCCAAAGAAGTTGTTCCTGGGCTTTCGATAGAAGTGTTGAAGTTGTAGTAGGTAGTTTTACCAAACAGTGACGTCCCTGTCCCTGACGAAGTTGCGCTTGTTGCAGTAAGATCCCCAGCGTCAGACGAGACGGTATAAGATACAGTGCTGGGTGAAGAACCAGTATTATATAGGTTCCTAATACGGCCGCCGATTGACACAACACCTTGAGAGTTGATGTCAGTAGCAAGTTCGATTGCTTTCCAAGCCATAGGAGTGATGGGCTCAGTCAAGCTTGAACCGGCTGGCACGGTATTGATCATGCGCTCAAATACGTCGAAGCAGCTAGAGCGGAAAGTAGCTTCTTCTGAGATACTTTCCATGGTGGCGTTACTGTCGGAGTTGTACAATCGTAGGTCGGATCGATCATCAACATTAGGGGCTGTAATGAGAGGGCCTCCCAAAGTTCCGGTACCATCGAGACTAACACAAGTTAGCATACGTAGCGACAACAGACGAAATTGGACGCGGGATTCCTCTGCATATGATGATTGGAACATCCATGGCACAATAACTTACTATTCATTAACAACACTTGAGTCAAAATCGGCCGGAGTTCCGTCAAAGCCCACGCCACCATGAGTACTTGAAACAATTAGCGAACTGGGAACGGATGTTTCCATTGAATTGATCATACTTAGATCCCGTTACGGCACTCTTGTCAACGATATCTGGAAAGTTGGTGTAATGAATACGACCTAGAGAATGACCACAAGCTCTGGCGAGATCATCAGTTCTTTTAGCTTCAATGACAATGACAGAACATTTCACTCACGTCGACACGATAGCGTCTTCTTGTGTAAACCCAGCGGCGGCGAATTGAGCAAGGGTCTCTTCCAGTCCCGTGGTTGGCTCTGGAACACCGGAAGGACCGGCTGCGATCGCGTCCGTTCTGCCAGCTCTGATCTGAATACCTGTGGAATCACCACTACATGTGGAAAGTGCAGCAACTAGACCCTATTGGATATCAGCGGCGCTGTTGCGAGTCTGAGAAGTGAAGCAACCAACCAGAGCTATGTTATCTGCCATGCTCAGATAAGCATTAATTGTCTGGGACATTTGTCAGAACTAATATCAGTAGGTCGTTCATTCAATCTTACTGGCAGCATCTAGTAAGTGTTAGCTTGTGCATTTGGGCGAAAAGATATTGAGCGACTTACAAATCCCAGAGTATCATTGATGAACAACCCGACATTCTCAGCTCGATTACCCTCATAGGCAATGGATCCATCCAATCCACTGTGTACCGCAAGTAAGCATGTGCAAGATTGCCCGAAAACTTTTGGATATATCATACCCGGTGCCTGCGGCTATATCCGCGGTGATGAAATCATGGAAGGCGAGGCGAACCCATTGGGCAGAGGATTGCTCTCCTTCAATGCCAGATCTGTCCTGGAAATAGTTGCTGCAAGGAGTGACTGCATTGATGAAGCCATCAGAGTTGGTTCCGCTATTGTCAACAAAGATGTGTTCCATCTCCTCATAGACATCGCGAGCATCAATGCCGTCCAAAATAGCATTGGTTACGCCGGCAAAGAGCGGCACCGAAGCGAGTGTGAAAACGAGCGAATACATGTTGCTAAGCCACACGAAACTGCAATACTATTAAGATGCAGCTATTCATTATTAGGCTATCTTATCCAACAAGGTAAAGGGCTTATATAGTATATCCATGATATACCTATACTGGCTCGCGCGGCTATTCAGAAACAGTATTACCCCGGTTTTTCCTTTACGCCCTCGCGCTTGCCTGCCAATTGCTCTGTGGTAAGTTTCCGGCCAGAACGTGCAGGAACGCGTGGCTTGAGGCTATTTTAGATAACCAAAATCCGCTAGCATTGGACAAACAGGTCAATAATGTCACCGTTGCACCGCGTCAATAGTATAATGCGGGCGACGCTTGACCGAAATGAACCTAGTATTGGGTATAGCTAGCGCTGGGTGTTGTCACTTGGGACTGATGGATTTCTAGGATTTTCACCTTAAACTGATGTTTACACCTTCATCGTGTTGAATTTCAATAGATGCAGGGACCCTGTGAGCTTTGATATGCTGCATCGTAGCTAATCTCGCCTAGGGACGCACACTCGGGGCGCCTGCCCGCAAGCCGCACTTGGCGATGGACAAGTCCACCAATTGCAGCCGGGAGATTGCAAACCCTTCATAACATAGCTTACGACGACTAATCAGCAAGAACCCTCGGTATAGGTAAACACTGCCGCTTGCTGTTACAGTGCATAATGCCCTGAGAGTTACAATCATAGTCTGCTAAGTGCTAGCGCTGCATTTTGGTACCTGACACGGGCGGTGGAAAAGTCTCGAAGCGCGATCGCCCTTCGTATTTTAAGCTTATTTCTGAGAGCCCTTGCGCCCTACAAAAATCGCCCATTGGTTGGACGCGTCTAGTCCTATTGTTGCCGGATTAGGGAAGAGCGAGGGTAATTCTACGAAGGGAATTAGAATGCGGAACTAAACATGTCATAGCTGACCGCGATAACCTGCCACGAGACAAAGAAGGTGCGACATGACAAGATAGGGAGCCTCTGGCCCTTTGGAAAACATTTATGAGAGGTCTAGCCAACGTTTGCATGTATAATAAACAAGGATACAGTCATTCAACAACCAACCTTGCATGAATGTTACGTATATACTTCGCGAACTCAATGCCATCTAGAAAATAGTTTAGAACTTTATCAGTACAATAAAACGAAATTTAAGATCACTAGAACTCTAGTCATTCGAACCGTAGCTTTTGATCATGTGATGCATGCAAGTGCTTCACGATTTGCTGCGTTGCTTAGTAACTCAGACGCTCTAATGGGTGCCCGAATGGTTGACTGGCGAAGTCTCGACCCGGCTCCGCGGCTCCGAAGATTGTGGCGCACTTGCCAATCCGGGCGAACGTATTAATATCAACGGAAGTCGTCGATAAGCGTTCACGAGTCAAATCCGTTTGCTCGGCACAAGGTCAAGTGTGGTGGTATTATTCTCAACATGTCTCACCAAGATCGAGCGCGGTACGACGGTGAGATAACACCTGCCGGGTTGACTATTATCGCTTACTTACGGGTATTGATTGTTGGCGCGCTGAATCCGTCTCAATTTGATATCCCATAGAGCATATCTTGAAAGCAGAAGCACGGCCGAAACCAGTGCTTACGTCCGTACTCAAACGCGACTTCATCTCGTGTTGGAACAAGGTCGATCGGGCTAAGCTTCACGTTGTACCATGACGCTGCTGACTTTACCCTTTACCCTATCGTGGGATTACCGGCAGAGCATGCCGTGAGAATGTTACAGTCAAGCCTTTGTCGAGCCCAGGAAAACGACCTTCGTCATATCGAAGTAGTTCTTATCGACCGACTTTCGGGAACCGCCATTCTCTGCACCCTTTTGCTTGTAAACATTGTCATCTAAACGCTGTGTCTCCGATCTTCATAATGGGATCTCTCAAGCTGGTTCATTTTGTCTCGGAACCTTTCGGAGCGATTGATCATTCTCCTATCATCAAAGCCCCTATGACCACTGACACCCAACATTTCAATTCCAAATTGCGCAGGTTTCCACCGTTGTTCAGAGTCACTTCAGTATTTTCTTTTATCAGACGCGGGGTGACTGTAATGTTCGCTATCGTCCACTGGGTTGACAGGAACAATGTGAGAGAGAAAGAGATACTGTCAAATCTGTCACTAGCACAGCACATAGTCAACATTGCTGATTTGAAAGACCAGGAAGACCCTACGGTAGATCAAAAGCCACTCGAACGAGAAGCGATGGTGATGGAATACCTCGAAAATGGCAGCTTTGAGATGGCATTGCTGAAGTTGAAGAACAGGGGGGAAAACAAAACTCCCGCAACGTCTTCTGTGGAGTATATTTCTATGCCGGCAGTCATAAACTGAAGCGGCAGACTTGTGTCCTTTTGCGGACGGCTCTGTGAGTTACGCGTGCTTGCATTGGCATTGCCTATCCGCCTAGCGGACCTGACAATCTCCCTGTCCAGGAGACCATTCCCCCTAACACAAGCCTAAGTAATGTCATTCACGCCTATACCAAAGACGCCAACATCTGTATCGGCATCATTGACGCATCTGATCAGGACCATGCATTTGCACCCATAATCAAGGTATGCTACTAGGTAGCTCAGGGTGAGCCTGAGATATTGCTAACTGCGATAGCTTATTGACTTCGGACAAGCGAGACTTACAACTGAGCAAGGGCGATGTTATACATCTCAAAGAGGCTTCATGTTGGAAAATAACTAATAATCGCAAGCCTGCCTGAACCCTACGACGAATATTTTGGTGTCATGGCAAACGTATTTGATACTGGCAAGATATCTATCTGCGATTCGCTGTATCGGTCTACCACCACTAACTAATAACTCTAAAGATAACGTTTACTTTGATTACCGCATGGTAAGTATATGCGGACGGTAGCGACGAATCCGTGGAAATAAAGTACAGAGACCGGCCAAAATCTACGCACATCCTGAGGACGGTTAGTTACCAGTACGCTCGCAGCAACGGGTATGATCTGGCAATGAGAGCTTTCGTCGCAAAATGCTTTGCCGAGGACCCGATGGGTCGTTCTACACTCGAGGAGCTTCTGCGACAAAACGAGAGCGCAGCAAGAACTGACAGGACGGGTGGGCCGTTTATTATATCTGCAACGGCATTTGCAGAGACTGACGAGTTAACCGCAACCACTGTTCGCGATTGACAGTTCAACGGCAAGGTCCAGGACTCTGACATGGTTGCTGTCTAATAGAACGTCGTTGGCTGATATCCAAGGCCAACTCTGGCCGATTCAAGATCGAAGATATATAATGATAATAACATGATGAGAATAATAGAGGTCGAACGGGCTACAGGCCCAAGAATGGGCAACTCTTACGTTTTTTACTCGCTTATGGTACCAGATTCCTTCCGTATCTACGTTAGATAAACTGAACAAGGTTGGCAATACGTAATATTGTCTCCTGCAGGGCTGTGTTTACAACACCACGACGCAATCGGACAGGACTTCAAGCGGGTAATTATAATTATAAATAGACGGGTATAAAAGCCACGTATAACAATTTGTTACAGTCTCCAGACCGTGGCCTAAATCTTATCTTTACCGCGCTTGTTCATAGCATTAGAGCAGACCATTACACTTAAGCGGGACCATCAGCGGGCAACTCATCCTTATCCAATAAGCCCAGCGCCTGGCGCCTCGTCGGCGCTCCCGGCTCGAAGTAAGGCTTTTCGCCTAGAGTTGTGACTCTAGTGCCATGTCTAGGATAGTGGCCACCATAATCCCAGCTGGCGTTGTGGATGGTGATACGGTTATCCCACAGCGCTGACGTGCCCTGCGTCCACTTGAACCTGACCTGGATATCGATGTTCTTCTCGTAGACGTCGTATAGATAGTTCAGAATGAGGTCGCTCTCGGCCTTATCGAGCCCGACAATGCGGTCCGTCATGGAGCGGTTGACCCAGAGGGCCTTCCAGCCGGTAGCCGGGTGGACACGGACAAGCGGGTGGATGCGCTCGACGAACTTGGGCCCGGCCTCCGGGTGCTCGCGGTCAAGGTATGGGTGAGCGGACCGGTACACGGCGTGCTTGCCGTCGATGATCTTGCGGAAGTCGGGGCTCAGCTTCTCGTACGCACTGTAACCCGAAGCCCACAGGGTGTCGCCGCCGATCGGCGGCACTGTGTCGTTGTGCAGATGTGTGATGCCCGCCGGCTGCAGCTCGTGCACCAAGTCCGTGTGCCAGCGCGAGGCGCCGCCTGGGTTGCGGAAGTTTGCCTGCCGTTCAGTTGCCTGCAGGGCGGGCCAGATGACTGTCACGCCCAGGTTGCCAGGGACTTGGGGAACTTGTGGCTTCAGAGTATGTCAGTCCTCATGGCTTTCTCTTGCCCAAACTGGCACAACACGCGAGATCAGAGGTGGGAACGTACGTGTACTTCAACCTCACCATAGTACTTGCCCAACGCCAATTGCTGTTGTGGGCTAAGATCCTGATTACGAAAGAAGACAACACTCCTCTCAGCAATGAGCAGTGCCAGCTCATCCTTCTGCTGGTCTGTCAAGTCCTTGAGCTGGAGACCCTCAATCTCTGTGCCAATGTGAGCTGTCAAGTCCGTGACCTTGGTCGCGGCCGAGAACAGAGCGCTCTTGGACTTGTCGGCGCGGGCGCCGGCTTCATCGTGCTTCCACGGCTCGCCACGAATTTTGTAAACATCGTCGAGGTATAAGGGGGCCGCTGGCCTGTAAGGGTAGCCATTCGACAAGTCGACGCCGGCTTTCTGAAGACGCGCCAACGTCGGTTCTGGCAGGCCAAGAGTATCCTTACGGGGCGCAGCGACATCGGTGATGCGCTCGTCAATTGCTGAAGGGGCCATGTTCAATGAGATTGCTTATCTGACTATACTAATACGAAGCTTTGACTCAAGATTATCAGTACCATCAATGTGAGCTACAACTAATCTCGATAGCTCCCAAGAGCTCCCTTTATCAACCAATATCATGACGTCGCGTCATCTGATGCATTGCTCCTACGCGGGGGAACGTTAAAGTCCATTTGTAATGCTCGATATCTCGATAATGCAGCATAACCGCCTAAGCTCTTTGTCTGAGGTGATCCCCAGACCGTTGAAGCCGGCGCAGTATAAACGTACGATGAGTCTCAGCCAACCGGAATGGTCAGATTTGATCCCAAGCTGTCGCATACGCGACCGTGCAGGACGATGAGTTGCCGGCTTTCGAGGATGTATAATCGGAGCTCTGGATTGGCTATTAATGTGGATTCGCAATCTAGCATAGCGATGGTGCAAGAGAATAGTCGCCGAGATGGGTGGGTGCGACTATACTAGTGGTTCCAACGGGGAGGGGCGGATGACGCGATATAGCTCCCGGCTGAGGTGATCCACCAAAGTTTGGGACGCTTCATGCGAGCGGCGACGACCCCGACCCGACCCCCGCGTTCAGCTCTGCAGCACGACATATCGACCTCACGGTTCGAATACAGCAACCTAGCCTGGCCATCGCGTGATGTGTTGCTGCATCACGACCGCATGCGAACAGGATGGGGTCGCCCGCCAGTTTGGCTTAGCGGCGTGGGAGTATCCTGGCAATATTCAAGATCTGATACTGATTACAGACCTTCAAGCTAGCTATCTCCCAGGCTTGGTGAACATCTCGTAGATCGCGTCATGACCGCAGGCGATACCCAGTCAGTACAGTTGCCGGATGCGTGTTACTGAGGGGTTAAAGACCCCCATAAGATGACAACTCCCCACTTGGCTGTCATGACGCGAGTTTAGGGGATTCATACGAGATCACTCAAACATAGGCCTGGAACTCGGAATTGAGTTGTAACCCGCAGAACAATGGTACCGCAGCCCGACTCCGGCGTTGTTGTCACGGACGAAAAGCCGACTACCGAGCCAGTCGCAACGAGCGACAGTGGTAGTGAAACTGATGTAAGGAATACTGCAATCGTGTTTCAAGAACCAAAGAAGACATGGCGGTCATATGTCTGGGACACATTTGACAAGTCGCCAGAGGAGCGACGGTTTCTATTCAAGCTAGATGCCGTGATTCTTACCTTTGCCTCGTTGGGCTACTTCATCAAGTATTTGGATCAGGTCAACGTAAACTCAGCATTTGTTTCTGGTATGAAAGAGGACCTAGGTCTTTATGGAAACCAGCTCAATTACATGATTACCTGCTGGACCGTAGGATATGTTGTTGGAGAAATTCCTAGGTGATCTATTCTTCAACAGTATAGGATCCCTAAGCAAGGCTGACTCTCGCAGTAACATGCTCCTAACCCGAGTCCGGCCTTCAATTTGGATACCTGCCTGCGAGGTAACTTGGGCGGTATTGACGATTCTCCTGGCCAAATGTACGAACGCAACACAGATATATGTGCTGCGCTTCTTCATCGGGCTCGCGGAGTCTGCCTTTTATCCTGGCATGCAGTATATCATTGGCTCTTGGTATCGCAAGGATGAACTGGCGAAGCGATCTTGCATCTTCCATATGTCCAGCGCTATCGGGACCATGTTCTCGGGGTACCTGATGACCGCCACGTACAGATTGAATGATGTAAATGGATTCAGGGGCTGGCAGTGGCTGTTTATCGTGAACACCATAATCAGCCTGCCGATTGCGATTGCTGGATTCTTCTTCTTTCCCGACGTGCCCGAGATAACTCGTGCGTGGTGGCTCAAGCCGTCGGAGATCGAACTGGCAAAGAAACGCATGCAACTCGAAGGGAGAGCGAACCGGGGCAAGTACAGCAAGGCCAAGTTCAAGAAGATATTCAGCAGCTGGCACATCTACTGCCTTACCCTTCTGTACATCTTCTTCAACAACGGCGGCAACTATGGCGGCCAGCCGGCTTTCGCGCTCTGGCTGAAAAGTGAGGGGTACTCTGTGGCTGCGGTCAACTCCTACCCGACACTGACGCCAGCGATCCAGATCATCTTCACGCTGATCTATGCCTGGACGTCTGACACGATCTTTCGCGGAGAGAGATGGCCCCCAATCCTTTTCTCCGGTATAATAAACATAATTACCAATTCCAGCATGGCGGCATGGAATATACCGGACGGATGGAAGTGGGCATGTTTCATCCTGGGAAACATCGGCGGCGGTATCTCCGGCATCACCATGGCGTGGGCGCACGAGATCTGTAGCGATGACAACGAAGAGAGAGCTTTTGTAGTTGCGAGCATGAACGAGATGGCATATGTCATCCAGGCCTGGCTGCCGTTGCTAGTGTGGCAGCAGGTCGAAGCACCTCAGTACCGCAAGGGCTTCATCACCATGATCTTCATTGCCGTCGGTCTTATCGCAACTTCTCTCACCATCAAGTTCTTGTATGCCAAAGAGAAAGCTACGAAGCGCAAAGCACAGGAAGTTGAGGGATAGAGTCTCGCATAAACGTATCAACTGGTAATCACGAGGACGCTGGACGATGTCTTCATCGTGCAACGGTGAAGACTTGAAGTGTCGTTCAACAACATGATGACAGTCTGACCTTAACCATGTACCCAGAAAGGTTTCCAGTTGGTTTATAGATCATGTTTTACTCCAACATTCACTGGCGTGATTGTGATGATCAATATTATCATTACTTTATACCGCTTGCTATCCACTCTGATAAAGACTTAAAGCTGCTAGATACCAACAACTTTCGAGGTTAGTCGATATTACATCGCTTGAATCCTTCTATTAGCAGACACTTAGGTTCAATAAATCCCGGGTCCACCATTCGGTAATTTTAGTAATTTTTAAACGCAATAGGGCACAAACTGATTGCTGGAGATGTCAGTCACGGCTTTATTGCTTAGCAATCGGCTGCGTACTCGGGCCTCAAATCATGCGATCAGAATTCGCACGGGGACGGCCGCTCTCAAAAGAGTGGCCGGCGATTGCGGTCGCTTCAATTGATCAATATTGCCTGCAGCACGTAATTATAGTGCAAGATGGCACCATCCTAGAGCTTGCACCTGCATTATACACGGCCCCGAGCCTCCCGACTGAGTGGACGAGCCGTCCAGTGCTACCGAAACCCTGATTCAGAAATAATATATGCTTCCCTACCGCTTCCGAACAATTACATGACTCGCCAACTTGTCAAGTAAAGCCGGCCATCAACACAAATCAGCACAGGAAAACTCGTAGATTTTGGGCTATCATGGGCTCAATTAATCAAGCAAACCAGCCACTGGAGGGAATCGAAGAAGTTGCTGTAATCGGCGCTGGTATTAGCGGCGTTACGTCGGCTGCTCATCTGCTTCGTCAAGGGTTGAAGGTCACGGTTTTTGAACGTTCTAGCCAAGTCGGTGGTGTTTGGCACTATGATGACAGAGTCGCCAATGAGCCTACTTATCCGAATATCCAGCCGCCGGCACCAAACCGGCCGGAGTCAGATAGCAAGCCGCATCGCAATGGCTCGCTAGGGTCTCGGAGCTATGAAGATGCAGCAGTGGACCACGCACCTCCTGGACCGTGTTACAAGGGACTTCGAAACAACGTGCCAACAACGCTGATGAGAAGCACGTTGATGAAATGGCCAGAGGATACACCAGAAATTGTCAGCCAAGACTTGATTGACCAGTATGTCAGAGATCTGGCGTTTTTTACGGGCGCCCATAATCACATCCAATTCGATACGACTGTTAACACAATATCAAAGAACCCCGAAGGAAAGAAATGGGTTGTCAGAACTAGAACGCTCCGGAAAACTGGAGCTGATTATGAGTTCCTTGGCAGAACATGGGAGTTCGACGCTGTCATTGTAGCCAGTGGCCATTATCATGAGCCGAAGATCCCCGATGCCCCCGGCCTCAAGGAGTGGAAAGAGCGTTACCCTGACAGCATCTCGCATTCTAAGCGGTATAGAACGCCGGAGATCTACAGAGACAAGACAGTCTTGGTCATTGGAGCAGGTGTTTCTTCTCTGGACGTGGCGAGGGAGAGCCACGCCGTAGCCAAGAAAGTGTACCAAAGTGCAAGAGATGGACAATTCGATCTTCCGGCGAGTCTTTTGCCACCGGGGGCCGAGAGGGTAGGAGGCATCGAGAAGTTTGTACCACCTCAGGATTCTACTTCCGGCGAGGTGGTGTTGACAGATGGGCGTACTCTGACGGGCATCGACGCTATCGTGCTTGGGACAGGTTACCTTACATCGTATCCATTCCTGGGCTCGCTGCAAGACCCGACTGTCCCAACAGAGCAAGCTGATGATAGACTTATTGTCAGCAGGGATGGCCTGACAACCCACAACCTTCACAAGGACATATTTTACATCCCAGATCCCACGCTCATTTTCGTTGGCGTGCCTTACTATACGTCGACGTTCTCACTCTTCGACTTCCAAGCAGAGGTGGTGGCTCGATTCCTTGCGGGGAAAGCAGCGCTACCCAGCCAGGAAACGCTGCGGCAGGAATACAATGTACGCAAAGCAAGCTTAGTGGAAGGCAGCAAGACATTCCATAGTTTGATGAGGAAGGAGGTGCCGTACATGGATGGCATACTTGAATGGGTGAATAACGAGGCACATAGATTGGGGTACGAGCCGATGCGGGGTGTTGATGAGAGGTGGCTGGCACGATATGAGGTGCTAATGGACGAGATGAAGAGCAGGGCGGGCGACTCTGCGGAAGACCAAGGGAAGATAGTGATACCAGATGCGCTGAGACTGGCAGTTGCACCAGCCAGTGCCTGATCGGCGCCTATTCAGCTGAGCACATAGCTATGGATAAAAGAGAAAACTTGCTCACTTCTTGTCTCCTTGCTGACCCTTGAGAAGTTATGCTGCATGAAGAGACGAGCAGTCGACTGAATGCCCTCGGTTACTCCAGACCCATGCCTTCCTCTGCTACTGTGTTGTATGGTACGGGTCGAAAAGCGGCCAAGGTTCTTACGTGAGAGGAAAGGATGGATGCTGATCTGCCTATAGAGTGAGCAGTGGATGTCTTGTTCGGGGCCTCAAAGTTCTCCACTGGATAAACAGTGACCAAAAATAAAGTTTCAGTCCATGATCTCTACATGGAACCTTAGGTGAGTGTTCATTTGAGTGGCAGATCGTAGTGATTGTTGTCCCATTTTGATGTGCACGCAATCACGCCTGTGCAACAAGCCCTGCTTGATTGTTGTTTTGATAGTACAGTAGGATTTCCAGACGGCAGCTAAGCCTTGTGCTTGCTTTTTATTTGGCCTTACTAACCTTAGGTTAGGTTAGACTATTTCGAGTTCACGCCCCTCAACAGGTGCATCAACCTCAAGCACATCTGGCAGTTGCATTCCCGTGCAGACGGGTTTTGGTCACAAGGTTGGGCTGAGTGTGTCTTCTGTATGAAGAGCATCATCACATCGCATCGCATCATATCATATCGACAGATAGAAACTTACCGTAAGTAGCGTGTGAATGGACTTGGAGTGGGCTACCTACACAAGGTGATACGCATGTTGCAGTGGAACAGCACCCTAAACATCACCTGCATAAGCTGCACTTTTGCCCTCTTCCAGGCTGGTAGTCACTGAGGCGCAGGCCCCCGTTGGCACAGGTCCACCCTCCATCAAACCTTGTTTACTGCACGATTCCAGTTCTCCAATTTTTCCAATCCTCTGCGGCATCATCACCTCAATCGCGTCAATTTTTCCTTTTTTTTTTTTCCTTCTCTCTTTTTCGTGTCAAGCTACCCGGAAGCGGGTCTTCAACTCGACCCCATATCGAAAAGCTCTAGGAAAGCACCACGGCCTTAGAAACCAAGATCCAAATCAAAGTCTTGGTCCCGACCTTCAACTGAGTCCTGACTCTGATCCGATTTCACCGTCGCAAGTCAAAGCCAAAGTCCCAGTCACATTCACAGCTACAAACTCGGTCCATTGTTGACGCGAGCCAGTCCCGTCACCTCCGTCTCGTCTCGTCGCATTTCCTGCCATTCACAACATTCGCCCACCGAACAGTTCATCGCGACAGCCTAGCCCAATCATGCGCCATCATGGGCCAAAACACTAGCCAACTCGATCCCGGTGACTACGAGGCTTTCGAGAGCCAGCATTTCAGATCCCAATCGCCAACTGAACAATCGCCCGGCGGCACCGAGAACCCTGACACTTCCGACAGAGGGAGCCCTCAGCCCTTTGCCCACAATATCCCTTCGTCGCAAGACTTCGCCTTCTCCAGCCAAGTCCCCCATTCCGCTACCCGTAGTCAGCCCATCTCCAAGGCCAATCGCAGGCGGCCCAACACCAAGTCCACCTTTGAGACCATGAGCGCATCACCTGAACCTACGATGGAGCCAGAACATGACATGCATGACACCGAGCAGGACCAGCAAGTCCCAGCGCCCCAGCCAGCCAAGAAAAAGAGAGATCGAAAGAAGAAGCAGTCTCTGACCATGGCTAGCCACGAGCTAGGCGTCATGCCAGCAGCCTCAGAATCAGCACCAGAAGTTCGCGCATTTGAGCCCAGGTCCTCCATCGACTTTGATGCTGCATCCAGTCCGCTCGTCGGCGAGGCCATGCCCACAATTGGCCAAGGACACGAGGACGGCGACACGGTTGATGCTACGTTGACTCAACTGGATCCCGACCAACTCCAAAGGCAGGAAAAGAAAGATCGCAAGGAACGCAAAAGGGCAAAGAAAGCTGCCAAGCACGCCGAGCAGTTGCGCTCCTCGCTTCTTGCTACCAGCCCTGGCTTTGACAATCACGATGTCTCCAATCATCTGGAGCAGCCTCGTGAGGTCTACTTGCAGAGCGAGGATATCGAAGATGAGCGTGTCCCCGCAGGTGACCAAGAAGATGGCAACAGCCTCATGGACGACCCCAATCAACTTCCGACTCCAGACGACGAAGTCCACCACGACGCTCACCCGCTCAATCCGACTTTCTCACACGATAGCACGACCGATCCCGCTTTGGCAGAGGAATCTGCTGCACAGCCATCACAACGCAAGCGGAAGGCACGGGATTCCGATAAGAAATCAAGAAAGAGACGCAGGGAACAGTCGCACCTCTCGCATGAGACCAGTGCCGGAAATGATGCAATCAACAGCAACAGTGTAGTTGGAACGGCAGGCGATGGCACTGACGACTGGCCTCTGCCAACGAAGCAGTCATCCCCAGCTTCAGCCACCGGCGATTCCCGAATCGGCGAAATCGCCAGAGAATACTACTCACAGAGATACGCCAGCAAAGACTACACACCTTCCGAATCTAACACAGCCGCTGCAAGCAACAAGCGGCTGAATGTGTCAGGCGTTTCTCCGGGCTATGCTGATGACTCACCCAGCCTCGCACGTCTTCAACGTCAAAGACCATCCAGATCGTCTAGTCCGCGCCATCTGGTCAAGCATGAGAGACCAGAGGAGGAAGAGGAGGAGGAGGGGCCTGCTGAGAGCATGGACATAGATGCGAACGAGGAGCAGCCCAGTACCGAGCCCCACGCCACCATTGTCAGTGGTGCTGATGAAGAGCCCGACAGCGTTGTCGACGAATCAATGGCTGACGATGATGACAACGACGGCGATGCACCAAGTACGGCCAGCGGCCTCGAAAAGCAGGCACATTTTACTTCCGATGATCTTGGTGTAGACGGAACGGTTGAAGATGATGGGGGCCAGGGGATCTCCGAGATTGGAGAATCACCCGGCCCTGATCAGCAGCAAGCATTTGACAGCCCTGTACAGCCCGGTACAACTATCAAGCCGTCTAAGTCCCTGCGACAGTATGGCTCAAAGGCGAGCACTAGCAAGAAACGCAAGGCCAAATCTTCGTATCTCGAACGAGCGGAGCAGGATAATGTCCAAGCATTTGCTGAATTGCCCTCCCCTGCCGTTGCCGCTGCCTCAAGAAAAGGAAAAGCTCATGCCAAGCGTACCACAGTTCCTACAGTGGCAGGCCCTTCTAGTGCATCTCAAAGATCCGAGAAGCAGCCCAAACTTGTTTCCATGATGGGAGACGGCTCGGCTAAGAAGTCTACCGCAACCCATCATCCTTCCAATGCGCCCACACCTACACCGACGTTCACACACACTCTACCAAAGGCGGCCACGAGGATTAAGAACCCAAGCCCAGAAGATGAGGTCACGGGTCGTTTCTCACGCGACGAGATGCGCGACCTGAATGCAGCTATCGAGCAATGGCGTAAAAATCATGGCCTCACTGATCAAGAAGTGATTGATATGGTGCAGAAGAATCCCCAACGGGCCAAGAGTTCCGATTTCTGGGACTATGTTCATTACGCCTGTCCCAAGCGTAAGAGACAGAAGATCATCAACCAAGTACGCAAAACTCATCACAACTTCGTTGCACGGGCAGCCTGGACGGTGGAACAGCACCAAGAGCTTGCCGCATACTATGAACAACACGGCAAAAAATACAAGCTGCTTGGTGAGCTGATCAACCGTCACCCCGACGACGTTCGTGATCGTATCCGCAATTATATTGTATGCGGCGACGCCCGCAAGAAAGCCGCCTGGACCGAAGATGAGGTGGCAGAATTCGTCGCTATCGTCGACAATGCACTTGACAAAATTCGCGAGCTGAGAAAAGATGACCCTCCCAATCTCGACCGGCCCGATGATGAAGAACTTGTGGATTGGTCTTTGGTTAGTGAAAACATGGGCTTTACTCGCAGCCGCCTTCAATGCCGAGCAAAATGGAAGCAAATTCGATTCAAATTAGAAGGTGGCAACATCGACGGCAAGGCTGGTCACTCGATGGAAGAAATCATCCAAGAAGCTCGAAATGACTTTACCAAGATGGAGTCTTACGACCTTTACCTCATTGCCAAAGCGATCAAGAGGTCCGGCACCATGGCTGACTCCCGAATCGGCTGGCACAAGCTCCGGGAAAGTTGGTACGCCATGGAGAAATGGAATCGTCCTGCGTTGATGCTTGCCTGGTACCGACTCCGGCATTCTATTCCCGATTGGAAGATAATGTCTGTGCCGGAGGTCGCCAAATACTGGATGGACATTTACGCCGAGACCAAAGAGATCAACGTCCTCCCAGAGGATCAGTTGGACTTGGACGCGGAATATCGCGAAATCAAGCACAAGGTCGCCAAAATCATTGGGGATGACGATGCCCGGAAGGCACGCCATCTCTCTATTGAAATTGACGAAGATGAGAGCGATCACGAAGCGAGCGTGGACCTGGGAGAAGCTATGGAGCAGGACGAATTGGAGGCTGTGCAATCTGAGCCTGAGGGTGGTCTCGAGGCAGAAGACGAAGTTCCAAAGCCCCAATCGCAGAGCCGGTCGAAAGCCAAAGCTGCTCGTTCGAGCCGAAAAGCCCAACCAACAATTGAGCAGTCTCCGGTAGTACAACCTGAAGACTTTACGCATGACGCCTCAGACTCATCTTTTATTTCTAAGAAACGCAAGAAGGCTAAACGAGCTGTTGCTCAGCCACGCTCTCAATCTGCCAAGTCAACCAAGAGCAAGTTTGCGAAACGATCTCTATCGGCCGGGAAAGTTGTTGAAGATGTGTCCAGTGACACTGATGCCGATGATGTGGAAGATATCCCTGCTGTTCTTCCCGAATAGGAGTCCGAGAAGAAGCCGAGGAGATCTTTCAGAAACCGGCATCGAGTTTTGAGATCTTATCCATCCGTTTGAGGATCGACAGGAGGCTAAATAGTTGTGTGGAACTGTTCACCGCCACCATTGTCACGACTAAACTTTCCAGGGTCGTGGGCGGTGCTTTTTACAAGCGGCATTTCCTCTTTTCGTCCATGCATTTCAGGAGTCTTTACGCAACCTCGTAGTCAACCCAATTTGGTCATGAATGGACAAATTTTGCATGTTGCACTTGAGGCTTCGGCTTCTATATCCCACAAGCTCAACAAATGATTCATGGTTTGATGCGTTACGATATACCGATAGGGACAATGGCGTTATGTCTCTCAAAAAGGTTGGCGGCAGAACCAGTTCCAGTGGGTGTTTATGATGATACCCAGACATGCTTGCTCTAAAGAATTGCTCCTCTCACATATCACTGCACGGTAGTACTCCATGGCATTGGTTTGTCTCATACGTTGGCTGCCGCATGGTTCGAGAGTTTGTTAGTCGAATTAGCAAATACCTGATACTTCTGATTTAACTACATGACTATGTATTTATTTCTACTCGACATGTGGATTGTAAAAATCCTAGTTCCAACCCTGCTCAAGTGTTTGTCGCGTAAGGCACCTCCTAAGATTGAATGCCATAGATACTAGCGCATGTCATTCAAGTGCTTCATACTATTCCAAATAGTTGCGTCTGGACTAGCAATGTTGTCTTTCTCACCGATTGAATCTCGAGCGCCGGGTTGAGCCAGACCAATGCTAGCAAGAGTTTGACCATCTGCAGAGTCGCGCAGCTAGCATGCTCGTTGGGGGCGGAAATCTGTGTAGAGCAACTTCTGCATTTGAGAAAAGTATGCGGGATTGAGTTCGAGGTAACGTAGCTCAGGAATACTATCCCATTAGATACCGTAATTAGAATGGAGTGAAACAAGTGCCATCAAAATGTATAATGCATGATAGGAGCCTTGGCTGTTGGAGCCCGCTACTTAGCTCCCCGGCAGCACTAATTTTCACTCCCGTACCTTCTCCGCTAGACTAACTTATCAGAGCCAGCTTTCTCGCAGAGAGAATACTGGAATTACGAGCGTTCTCCGATGCAAATTTATACGATGTCCGAGCAGGTACTCGTGGTCAAAGCTTGGTACAAGTCGACAAAATCGAACCATGTTCTCAGATAGCGCAGAGAAGTGCAGCAGAGAGATTGCGTCGGACCATATCTGTGAGTGATGACATTGCTGACAGATGTTAAACGTCAAGATCCTGTCAGCATTTGTACCTGGCCCGTCTCCACCTTTTGACGGTTATCTTTTCAAGCTATACAGCAACCCAACCATCAAATGGCATGTAGGCCAGGTAGTGCGATAGACTCGATGTCTGCGGCAGTCACTCACGCTTTCACATCATGCGTCACCCATATACTCCCATCAGGCGTGGTGCCGATGACGAAGATTCCAGCGAAAAGTCCAGCTGGCCCATGACGAGGAGATTTCATTACGACTTCCATTCCATGTTGAGATTGCTGGGCATTGGCTTCTTAATTGCCGTCGTTGCAACAGTTGGCATTTCGCTTCTCTCCTGGCACCCCTGGCATTCATCCGACCCAGCGCCATCGAGCGCCCATTGCGGCAACTCGTCGGCCGAGGCCGCAGCAATGGGGTGTTCTTTCGATATCATGTCGTTCACCTGGTCCCGCAAAGCTTGCTTCGACGAGGAGCTGATGCACGAGTTTCTCGCCGCACGGAATTGGACCTGGTGGCTCGCTTCTGACGGGAACCAAGAAGTCGCCATGGAGACGGTCGCGCTCGGGATACACCCACGCCTGTTCGTGTCGTGGGAGTACCATCTGTTCCACTGTACGTACATGTGGAAGAAGATGCACAGGGCCCTGTTGAGGGGGACTCCCCTGGATTCCTACCTCCTGGATCAAAACCACACGGCGCATTGCAGTCATATGCTGCTTGACCGCAACCCGCTGCTAGAACAACGGAATACGATAATAGTGACGAAATATCCAAGTTGCAGTGAAGGTTGAATTGCGGCTTTTGTATCTGCGCAGTCCGAACCATGAAAACAAAGTCAACGCTTCTATCACTTATTCGACCCCTTTCAAGACACGACGAAGGAAACCACGAGGCGTTGTTCAAAGCAGCTAGCAGAATACACATCATACTTACGCGTCTTGTATTTCAATCGATGCCATCTAGAGGATTACATAAATCATGTTTTCGTACCAGTGGCCAGCTTTCGTTGCCAGCCGCGCCCGCCCTACACCGGCAAAAGCTTGTGTGTATCGAAAGCAAAAAAAGAATTACATATTGTAATCAATAGATTCAAACCGTAATCTGATCACTGGGTTTGAATCCTGTGCTTTCTACCAAGATACTTCAGGTGTGGGCCTGGATTTGGTGACACCGTCTTACGTTGCTCAAGTACTTGTACGTAGGTCAGAATTGCCCCAATTGCTGCCAAGCCTGAGGAACAAAGCTGGTCTTTAAACCGTCGAGATGATCATAAATTAGAGAAAGTACGCGAGATATTCAAATCACTGGTTCTCAAAAGACGATGCACTTTGTTGCATTTAAATTGCTGGAAAGCAGTTATGGCTAGATTGAGGAAATATTTAAACGAGTGTCCAGGTTACACCTAAGTCACGAATCCGCGACTTCCAAGAACCTTGTGTGCTTGCACTCGGATGATCTCGACCTTCCTCTTGTCTAGATAATGCCCCACGAGCCGTACAAAGCCTCGGAGATGGCATCGACGGTGGATGTTTGCTCCTTCGTAAGCTCAGCACGCTTGATGATACCCCACGATCCGTAAAGCGCCTCTGAGATGGCATCAACGGTGGCAGTCTGATCTTTTGTGAGCTCAGCATCTCGCTTGATGATGCCCCACGATCCATACAGAGCCTCAGAGATGGCATCAACGGTAGCAGCTTGCTCCTTCGTCAGCTCGGCACGCTTGATGATGCCCCACGACCCATAAAGTGCCTCAGAGATAGCATCGACGGTGGATGTTTGCTCCTTCGTAAGCTCGGCACGCTTGATAATGCCCCACGATCCGTACAGCGCCTCAGAGATAGCATCAACGGAAGCACCTTGGCCCTCAGCACTTCCATGAGCTAGGGGTATCTCCGCGTCAGTCAAAAAGCCAGATCAGTATTTCGAGCTCGAAGGCTAACTTACGGGTTGGGGCAGCAACCGCCGCGGCGCCAAGCGAAAGCAACGTGACAATTGAGAATCTCATTGTCACTGTGTGTTACGTGAAAGTGGGCTTATTATCAATAGCCGAGTTGGATTTTGTTGGGGATAAGGAGGTTCGAAAAGGAAACTAATCGCAACACAAGAAGATATTCTTTCTTAAGAAGTCGGGAGACATCGCACCGTCACATGACGACTTACATACTGGGGATGATGAAACAGTATGTTCGGGATATCGTGCTGTATCTGCGAAGCGTCAGCAAGTTGGTCAGGGGGTGTTTTTCGGCTCGAGGGACAAATCCGAATAGCTGACTGGAATCTCCAGTATCCAGAATTCTGTCAGTATTCGCCATATTGATGATTTCTGTGACATGAATTAGATTTCAAGTATGCTGACAGATATGCGGTCAGCAAAAACAGAGGTGTTCCCTGCAAGAGCTCGATGCAAAATTGGGTTGGAGCAGGTGGCGGGAGTTGTGGGCCGTTGGATCTTAGGTTGTTCGTCAAAACTCGAGTAACTACGACAAGCCAGCAGCAATCAGACCTAACTTGATGTTTAACACCTCTGAAACCATTTCCCCTCGTGTTCAACCAATATGGATATTACTGAAAAAGACTCGGATTGCAGCACACTCCTCTCAGGTGAAGACGAACACGACATTGGTGAAAATGACGGATTACTGAAATCCCATTCATACAAGGCTCTCGCAAGGCCCCACAGACTATGTCTTATTCATATTGTAGTTCTTTACGTCTGTAATGTTATCTCTCTGGTGGTGATAGCTGTGCTGTGGAGTTCACCATCAGGTAGAGGCCACGACCCTACGCTTGGAGTATATTGTAAGACGACAAGCCCTTGTGTAGTGACAGACCAACGCTAAATCTTGAATACCAACAGCTCCGGCAAACGAGGCGGTCGAATACGTTGAAGCGAAACACTTCCGGGCCGCATTGTTCAATCTCACCGAATATATGGGTTATCCGACAGCAGATGGGAGGACGGATCAGCTGTGGAGTGATTTGTACAACTGTGAGTACTCCCACTGTAGAATTATGTTTTCGGTCTTGTGTCTATATTTATGTGGCTGATATTGCTTCACTAGTTGGCATTTCCAAAATAACAAAGGAGCAAGCCACCAAATTGCACTCGCCGACCCTTGCCATTCCAGGGACTGAAGATTACCTTGTTGAGCTTGACGTCTGGCACGAGCTACACTGTTTGAACGACCTTCGCAAAATACTTTATCCCGAAGTCTACGGTGGTTTATCGGAGGTGACCTGGCCAAACGGGACAATCAACCGTGACACTGACGCCTTCCGACACTGGGACCACTGCATCGACTCTTTGAGACAGACGCTCATGTGCCATGCTGATGTAGCGCCAATCCCGTTCCACGTAAATATCCCGGCGAAGAAGGGAATATTCCCCAGATTGGCTACGACACATACATGTCGCAACTTCGAGCGGATTCAACAGTGGTCCCGAGATAACTGGGCTGGAGACTGGGACTTCAATTTGAATCCAGAAAAGGCCGACGAAATCATCGCGGCGAGTGGATTCGATAACGATCCAGAAGAAGATATCGAATTCCTATGGAGACTATTTCCCGGGGATCCTTTCTTCAAACACTGGCGTGAACACCAATCAGAGTAGCATACCCAGATCCGTTGTCAGGGTGTAGTCGAAATAGTCTGAATCACCTGGGAAGTTCAGAGAGTGTTAGTTACCCTACACAGTCAATCAACTATTGGCGCTACTATTGTGGTTGTCGTGTAGATTGATGGAGATTGGTTTATAACACACCCATATCTATGCAATATCCAAGTATTTGCCGATGTAAGATAATGGGCAAAGAAATGGTTTGCCAAGTCACTTATCGTACTGCATTCCATGAAATAAACATACATTTTTCTCGAGTCTTCCTCCTCTACGTATAGGTTGTTCCTGTTGCGGTTATGAATGCGACTTGACATTTGAATAGTTACTACAAAAAGGTTATTTCATAGTCGCATTTCAGTCGTTTAAGGCAATAAGTACAGCGAGGTATAGGATGCCGAACCTAAATCAGGCCTCATTTTCTCTACGACCTCACAAGTCTGCTCGAAGCTTAGTGCATGAGCTTCTCCGTCCATACTTTAGAGACCGTGATACCAGGTTTGAGTATTGCTGGCAATAGTGGTTCGTGCATTGACCCTTCAACTATGTCTCTCACTTTGCCAAGATCTTTTGGCGGAGCATTGAGTGACCCAGACCTGCATCGTTGCAGGCCCCCAAAGCTGAATAGTAGTGGCTAATCTTTTGCTGACAGTCATCAACGTCAGTCAATGCTGCTGACATGTTGTCAACCAGACTCTTGCTTCTTGAGCCATGGACTTCGGATCGGCAATCTGCTTTGCGCACAATATGATCACATGCTGACATGTGCACATGCATCCTCGCTAGGATTGTGGTACCCAGCTTGATATGCGGGCGGCCTTGCGTACTGGCTTACCGCTTCTGCCACTGCAGCGGTGTTTGCTCATCTTGAGCTTGGTCAACAAAAGAAAATGAGTTTTGTCGCAGATTTCGCGACAATCATCCATGGAGTCCAGCAAATACAGTCCGCTGAGTGATGGTTCACAAGACCGGAATATTGATGATATTGACTTCCGATCGGCAAAAGCTTCGTGTTTGCGGCAGCGGGCTATCATTGCCATACTTGGAGTTATATGCTTCATTCAAGGACTGGCTCTTTTATGGCTTATATCCGGCTTAACGCATGCGTCCACCCAGACCTTCGTTTTTGAAGATGAGCGACCATTCAGCACAGCGGTCACGCAAGGAGAGGTTGAGAAAGCATGGAGTATTTACGGCCTACGTGTGTATTTCGTACATCCCTCTCACTACAGCATGTATTTGTACTCACCAAGATATAGCGCAATCCGGGTTTGTTCATATACAAGATCCTACGAGTCAAGGTCTGAGGCCAAATCATGGTGTCATAGATGGAACGGAAAACGTCTACATGATCTCCGCAATGCACCAGCTGCACTGTTTGCAGGAGTTGCACATATCGCTGTCGCACAAAACAGCAGCTAGTTTTGAAAGCAGCAGAAGCTCAAGGGCTGATGCAGAAGTCAATCATACACTGCATTGCATCAATTACTTGAGGCAGGCGGTTTTGTGTTCAGCCGATGATACCTTGGAAGGGCCAGATATGCATCCTGAAGCTGGGCAAAGCCGACTCAGAGGTTGGGGCGTATCCCATCAATGTCGTTCTTGGGACAAATTAACCGAATTTAGAGACCAACATCGGGTCACGGTCGAAACACATAGATGAATTGACAAAGGGTCGGCCAAGGTTTGAGAAACAAATAGAAGAAATAAGTTATATATATTATGTGGCCACGTTTGCCATTTAGTGCGAATACAAATCTTCACTGCTAGACTGAATCACATCGCAGTCATCTATACATACTTGTCAGAAGAGTTCTCGAATTCCCCTATTTGTTCTACCGGCAGAGAGCACCAGCTGATCACTGTCTTTCAATTGCAAACCAACTATTTTCAAGACTATTTGCCAGCTTCCAGCTTGGCCTTGAGTTCTTGCAGTAATTGCCGCTCTTCCTTTTGATATTTAGCAAACCTGCTGTCTCCCATGCCGTCGATCAGCGCGAAGGTTTCTTGTATCAGCTGACGTGCCTCGTCCTGTTTGCTTCCACCTTGTTTCCATGCGGCCGCGATAATTATCCTAGTAGTTCCAAAAGCCTGTGGCGAGTCTACTCCCAGCTTTTCGTGGGTTTGCATCCATGGCAGTACTTCTCGGGACACGGTTTCGGCTTCCACGAAGTCTCCTCTGCGTAAATCCAGATCGGCCAACATGTTTAACCATGGAACCCGAGCATTGCCTTCAGCGGTAGAGAGCATCTTGTGAATCGTCTGAGCCTCCTCAACCAGCAAGCCGAGAGATTTCTGCAATGTCTCTATGCCAAGCATGAAGCGTCGCCAGACATCTGGATCCGCGACGTGCAATTGCTGCGGCGCAGCTGCAGCTTCGCGCGCAGAGAGATCAGAGGATAGCTGCGACAGCAGATACTGCAGTCGATCCGGTACGGCCAGTGCTGCGTCGAGATGCAGGTTCTCGACCTCCTCAGGGCCGTAGCAGGTCAGGAAGTTACGGACAACAGTAAATTCCAACTGCTGCCAGAATGGGGTGTCTGGCACATCGAAATCCCACTCGAACTTGGGTGCCACTGGCTTGTTGTTCGCCTCAGTAGTCATGGTTGAATTATTGATCTTCAGTTGACGTCTATTTATTGGGTCTCTGGGAAAGTCTGTGTAGTAATAAAGATATTCATGTAATGAAGGAGGAGTATCTACAAGGATATAGGTTCGATTTTAAAGATGGGAGGCCGAGGTACTGACTGATGAACAGTATTGATGTATCTTCATACCTCCCCATGCTAGGATTTAGTGCAGCTTACCGTTGCGTTAGTGATCAAGCGCTGATCATCAACATTATAGCACTGTTCCTAGCGTACCGGACTTCTGTCACACAGCACTGTACCAACATTGAGCACCTAGCAGAGCCTAAGGTTCGAGGACTCACAACACTTAGGCGAACTTCCAAGTTACAAAGTTCATACACCATGAACCACAGCCGGCCTGCCACAATATCTCATTGGTTGCCAAGGTGTCTTTAAAACAAACAATCACGATTATATGGAAATCGGTTTATTGGATCATGACTGAACACACATGTTACAGCCTCGCGGGAGGGCCATGCTCGCTCAGAGCGACGACCTATTCCAGTCAAATCGCCATATGTGACGATGAAGTGCAGTTCGAATCCTTCCCTCGAATCCCTCCCGTTGTCGAAATTCCTACAAAGAAACCGTGCATAACAAAACTTTCAATGTTCCCTCAGCGGCCAGAATATTTGCTCCAAATTGTCGCCCAGTGAAATCATCAAAAGGTCGGTATCGAGTATTCAACATGAGAACCACATAGAACTCAATAAGTGGGGGGTGTCAGCCCAGCTCTATTCAGATTTTTAGTTACCACAAGAGCTGACAGAACGCTGACAGGACGCTGACAAGACGCTGACAGGATGCATAATTCACAGCGAAATTGCACGGTGCATTCGCCTGACCTGATCACTTTTTGATTGCTAACCAGTGAAATCTTCATGGTTAGTAGAGTTGTACAGCAAATGTGAGAAATTGAGTGGCTGAAATAACTCCTTGTCTCGAACCCTATCGCACATCATCTTGTAGTCAACTTGATCTAGCGGCCATTCCAGCTACATCTGGTGCACTAACTCGCTATGCCTTCTCGGTCAGAGAAGACGGATATGCTTGCTTCGCGGTCGTTCTTTGCGGTGCTAAATGCAACGTTTTTGGCATTTTCAATCATATGCCTTCTGCTATCTATCCACTTGAATCAAGACAGGTTCTGGGCAACGAATTGGGCCCTTAGGCGTGTTTCCACGGCGTGTAACTCTTCTCCAACTATTGATCTGCTCTTTCAAGCCAAATACTAAAGTCGTAGCAGCACCCGTATTGAGCTCCGTACAAGTGCACCTCACAACAAAGTCGGGTAAGACGACTTTACTTCGCGGCCCCTCTCCGAGCATATATCGACAGGAGCCTAGCCATGAAGTTGACCTGGCATGGGATAGGATAGGGGATACCCGTCTTATACCACTGACCCGTGCCGAAGTGGAGGCCATTGGGAAAGATCCACGGGATGCCGTGAAATTTCCGGAGAGCTTTGGACTTGGCCCCGATGCGTACGCTGGACGGCTTGAGGTGTTCCACCAGGTCCATTGCCTTGACGCGCTGCGTCGCGAGGCCTATTTTGAGCATTACTACGGCTCGGTTTATGGCGGCTACAACGAGACCAGCGAAATGCACCGACTTCATCTGAGCCATTGCATTGAGTACCTTCTGCAAGGCATTCTTTGCCAGGCTAATACCGATGTTTACACTCATATATGGACCGATGGGGTTGATCGTCCGTTCCCTGACTTTAGTGTGAACCACCAATGTCGGGACTACGACGCCATCAAATCGTGGCATGATCAGAACGCAGTTGACGTCGACAACTTTGTAGAACTGAGAGCACCACCTGACGCCAAAGTCCATCGGATGTCAAGGGAATTCAAAGACTTGCATGGCTGGTTCGAGACACATGAAGATACTGGTTCATATGGCGACGAAATTGCATAAATAATTTCGCAAATCAATTTATCACATTGGCTACATCTCTCATAATATATTGAAAGGATTTAGTAATCTTAGAAGTTGTATGATATAAGCACGTCCAATCGCTGTGGTTCAGTGTCTCTTCTATTGCGAGATTCATAGACATCTGGAGTATTGTCATCGCATGCGCAATTACTATGCTTGATCATAGAATATCTTGTTGCACTACACGAAAGTAATGCCCCTGGCCTGGAATCATCAGGTGGAAATATCAATAAAATATGCGACCGCCCCACCACATGTCTCTCATCCTGACTGCCTTGACCGCATGCTCTGTTGTCCACGCTGCAATTGCATCAAAGTCGCGACACTTGTGGTTTGTGCCGAAGTCAATCTCGCTTCTTGACGTCTCGTTCGCAGTTTCTACCGTCAAAGTCTGTAGTACTGAACTGACATCACCCCAGCACATGAAGGCGTCTCGCAGGCGCTCTATACATAAATCCGCTCGATGCAAGATGTCCTCTTCCGAACCTTGAAACGCTGGATTCTTGGTATATGTCGAGTTGTCTTTTAGGCGGCGGTTGAGGTTTTGCCTCAACAAATTGATGCATCCAAGCTGAACGAAGACCTCGGGCAGTGCGAGGACACTCTTTTTGTCCCGAGGCAGATGCACAAAATCCCTGTTCGTTTCAATATCGAGATCATGCAGGCGGGTCTTTGGTATGGCAATGGGACTTTCTGTGAAAGTTTCAGTCACGTAGCTCTTATCTTAAACTATGCAGTGCCAAATGTTTGGCATCCAACAACTAATATCAACTTACCTGGTAGGAACTCATGCCAGCTCGCATCGGCTTCCTCGATCGGCTCGCCAAAGAATTCTGATGGCGTTGTAAATCTCAGGGCAGGAAACATTTGCCACGTAAATTCGAGCCCTTTGGTCACTGGAGTCCATGGTTTTCCATGAGAGGCGCACAGATTCTCACTGGGTATTAAACGCAAACAATAGTAGATGTTAAACGATGTAAGAAACAGGAGTGCGTAAATAGCAGCCCATACAACGAGAGAAGCCCATCTTGACTCCATTGTAGGATGTTCTGGTTAACTGGCGCGTTGGACCATGTCGCGCATTAGAAGATAGTGTACAGGGGCAACATGTTCTTTGCTATGCAAACCGTCCGTATCTATGAGTAAACACTAATGTGGGGAATGCATACTACTATCAACTGACTCAATGTGTGGAGCTGCGCGCTACTTCGATGGCACTCATGTCAGCAGATGTCAGCCAATGTCAGCGGTCTATGCAATGTACCGATCGAGGGGATGCCACGAGTCAACGATCGGTCGCCTCACAAATTGGCAGAGCAGGTGCACTCACCCGAGAAGCACTTCCTTAAGATACAATCTTCTTAAGTCGCAAGTCTTTGGTGCATAGACGAACACTGTACTTTGGCTAATACCACGTAACTATAGTAATTCACAAGTATGGTTCCATTTATCGATAATCGTCGGAAGTACATGCCACTCGTAGGAGTACAAGATGTTGAAGGAGCGCAAGGTATTGTTAAAGAGTCTCGCGCCGCCTCGGATGCAGGCTCCAGCGGTTCACTACTTGCACGGAACACTTCGTTCGATAGCACATCAGAACTGGAAAAGGCACCACAAGAATCGTTAACGGCAACAAAGAAGACACGACTTCTAATATTCTCTCTGGCCATATTTTTCCTCTCGTTGTTTGCTGTTTACATTCTGCGTGGAAGACTTGAATCCTCTTGTCTCGAACTGATGGAGCCTTGGAGTGCGTTCACTTATCTCAATGTATCCTTGATGCAAAGCTCACAAGACTATGTTCAGGCCCTCTTGCTCCATTTGTGAGCTACGAGTCAAAGCAATTCGAATGGGGTTCCTGCCCAGAAGACTACTGCGGAGCCATCCAGGACCAAAGAGAAACGTTTTGGAAGGAACTATGGGATTGTGAGTATATCTCCAGCAAGAGAGATGACAGACTCCAAGTCTATATGCTAATGATGTTGACCAGATGGCTGGATCGGATTTCCAAGAGAAAGGATCACACAGCTTGGCAAGTCTCCCGATGTAAATTGGTTACATTTATTACAATCCGAGATGAATGATACGTTGATATCATTACCAGAATGTACGCACAGCAAGAAACTTTCAAAGATATCATACCCATAAATATGTATCAGCTAACGAAGTCTCCGAAGTTTCCCACCAGATCCATTGCATTGGTATGCTTAGAAAAGCCATACATGGAGAGAAAGAACATCACGCAGGTCTGAGCGATCAGCTCGAAAGAGGAAGGTATTGGTTGCACACTAACCATTGCCTTTTGTCGCTCAAGATTATGATCGAATGTAAGGCCGATGCTACGCCTGTGATATTTGAGGAAGCGGACGACGGTCGCTCTCGAATTGGAGCGTGGACGATGAGAGATGCACCAAGGAGATGTAAAAACTACGACGCCTTGCGAAACGGCCTGAAACAGAAACCATTATGTTCATCAGGTTGTAATTCTGACGAGATTTATGGAAATGTCATAATGGAGTCGTCAAATTAGTACAGAGTAACTGAAATGGAAGCATTGCTTGCTTTGAAGTCCGTGCCAAATGAAATATATTAATGCGTTGCCTCCGATCCTGGTTGTGTACAAGTATATTGTGAATGAAAAGCGCCGCCACTGACAATGCAAAGCAGTGACTGTGTAAACTTCACAAGTACATTACCAGAAAGCGCAAACCATGGAAAGCCTTCATCCGAGTCTGAACTTTTGGAGGACTAGTCGCTGAGTCAGATTATATAAATCGAGTTTCAGCTAGTGCTTACACGCGACTCTGAGAGGGTATATGCAGGTAGTTGAAGGAAGCTCTCTAATACAGTAGGTGGCGATAGTTTTGATACTTTGTCAAGTACGCCAAGCCATATAAAAATAATAGGTTAAACTGCCACAACCATATAGCAATAGCAATATCAACGAAGACAGCCATTGCAATGACGCCTGGTAAAACCATCTACAGTCAAAGAACTGGCGTGTGAGCTAGGGCGTTTGGAGGTTATGAGAGGGCGAATTCAAAAAATTCGATGTTCTGAAACATTGAAGATATTTAAATGCAGAAGGCTAGTGTATAGAGAAAGAGTAGTTAAGACACCAACATATCCACCATTGTCAGGTCCAGATGGCTTGGCGACGCCTGACAGGGTAACAGATCTATTGCCGCCCAGTGTTTCAAATTAATGCTTAATTCATGATTCGTCCCTCAAATTGCTGTGCTGCCTCGGTACTACCGTATCTGAGATACTCACGCGAAGGTTGTTGATATGCAAGAACAAGAGACGCACTGCCGGAAAATAAATCTCCGCCCATATTTTCCTACTTCGTGGTGTATCACATCGAAAGAACGGTTGCAATAGGAAAAAAAAATTAACTTTTCAAGTAAGAGAAGAAGCCTCAAGATTTGAAAAATTGCTAACCCCCTTTTTTCTTTCTTCCACATCTATACAATCTGTGATGATTTTATTAACTTGGTGAGCATCAGCGGGAAACCTATAAGTGGGCGGAGACTTGTGCTTAGCCATTGTACTCACTTGTACTATTGGAGCACTCAAGACTTCTAAGCGAGACCCTACAGGCTTAGTGACATGGGAGAACCCGGCGATTAACTCTATTTAAAAAGTTATCTACAACGCGATCCATGGCCCGAACATCAAAACGCTAAACTAGACTGGACTAACCTCAGGATATTGCCAAGATATCCCAACTTTTTACCGCTTGAAGATCTCGCTGCCACGATAGTCTGCGAAGACTGCAATGTAGGGCAGCTCCATCCAACAATTCAGTTTGACTCGTACTTCAAGATGTTGGAACCTTCTTGTAGGTCTTGCAATTCACTCATGATTAGGTGAAAATGGCGAAAACGGCAGCGTATGATCGTTCCACACTGGAGACAACTATGGTTCACTCAACATACTATGGTATGAGGCCTAAAAAAAAAAGCAGTGGGGCGTGTTCTTTCAGAAAGGAGATATAACTGGCTTGGAGCTCAATATCGCGGAAAACCACCCATGCAATCGACCCGGTACCTGCCCCGTCGCCCTCTCGGATTCTCCATACCATAGTATGACCTGCATCACACGTAAGCAGTTCCACAGGGAAAGTCCTATCCGTTGCAGATAGGAGAGGTTTAGATGCATATGCCGATGTCACCCATCATGACGAGCCACACTAATAGATGGTTGTAGTGCCAGCTCTTTTAAGGTTATTTGGCCGTCAAATTTGATCAGATCATCAGTCAGCACAGTCAGATCATCAAGAGTTCAGCAGTCATGATAGGCTGATAATGTGCATTGCTGCAGAATAGGTACTTCTACTCCACTTTCAAAGCACCTGCAATCCACCCAGGCACAACTGGTGGAAGACAAAGGAGGGGCATCCTGGCAACATCGCGAATATTCATAGGTCTTGAATCATACCAGATCATTGGTTACCGACTGCTTGATTGAATCTGGGACCGCGGGGAATTTCTATATGTAGAGCGATGAATCCTTCGAATAACTTAACTTATAAAGCCATAGCCCTCTGGTGCGAGGACTCATCCTTTGGCTTCCGGTCGCTTATAGCGCGGTGACATGATACTATAACAACAGACCCCAATCGAAGTTACCTAACATTCTGCAAACCTAAGGCATGGCAACATCAGCCAAAGCTTCACAGGATCCAGATACAAATCAAGTGCAGGATGATCCTAAACTAAAACGTCGCATTCAAAACAGAAATGCCCAAAGAAATTCCCGTGAGGCCATCTAAGTACCAAGTCTGGGTGGTTCGGATTTGAGCCCCGTATAGACTTAATAACCAATCTAACATATATAAGCAGGTCAGCGGAGGGCTGCGCAAAGTTTCCGTGCTACGGAACAGGACACTCAACACATGCACTGTCGCCATTGTTGCCAACACCAGGAGTTCCAAGAAGATCCCCAGCAGTCAGTGCTGACAATCTCGCAAAGACTATGCTCTCCCCTCCCATTATATTCGCAGACACCCCCGATCGCCTCCCCAACCAACACTGCAATGCCAGTGGGGGAGAATTGTCTATCGGGTGGCTCGCATCAAGGATCTTATCCCGCAATAGACTTCTTCAACACGGCCATGGCCCAACAGCATCATAGCAATAGCCTGGACATAGCTGAACTTGACCCTCCACAGACTAGTATCGGTAGCGAACAGCTTGATAGGGAAAGCATACATTTGCAGCTAGACCTGGACCCACAGCTGCTAACATGCGAGCCAACCCCGCCAACGGGCAACAAGTCCTTGTATGGGTCTCCCTCGGCCCAACATACGCTTCGAGTGGTACATGACCCTGATAGGAGAAATGACATGACCAGAAGCCCTTTCATCGTCCATGCAGGCAGCGACGCGGGCTTGTCCAAACGGAAACGGGGGAGGGGGTCGGTTAGCGCGACGACGCCGCTACACATCTGCTCGGCCATGGGGAACCACAAGATACTCGAGATCCTGCTCCATGGCGGGGCCAATATTAATGCCGTAGACGGGGAGGGGCGGACTGCGTTGCACTATGGTGCCGAAAACGGGCACATTGACGTGGTCAGGGTCCTCCTGGAGAAAAACGCAGACTCCAGTGTCGTTGACAACCACGGGAGCGGCGTGATGCATGTCGCGGTAGCTAACAACGCTGAAGCTATCGTCCTTCTGTTGTTGGAGCATGGCGTCGATCCGAATGTTTGAGGACAGGGTACATACCCGGCCAGCATATACAGGTCCATCTAGACTAGGAGATCTTGCAATTAGCAGCCTGAATCACTATACTTCACACGCAGTCTTCTGTTCTGGCTATTCAAAATATAAGTCCATGCCATGAAATAGTAGAAATATTATTGACGATCGACCGCGAAGCTTCTTGCGAGGGCATATGGGTGCATTTTTGGGCAACGATAGATCTGAGAGGTCTTCTAGATACACAAATCGCTTCCACTCAATTGCGTCAAGAAATTCTCGCCCTTGGGAAAAGTCAAGAATGATGAGGCTTATCGGATATAGTGGATTGAACAAAAATAAAAGCTTAATATGGTTATTCCAACAAACAGGCTCGCCCAAGTCCAAGTTAGGAAGTTACGCTGATGCTTTGCGGTGTCACCTGAGACTTGGACCAATCACGTGGCCATCACTTCTCATTACGTATCGATGATCTGATGAATCATGCATGCATGAACATTAACGACTCCCATGTTACATTTCGCCAAGATACTCAGTGCTACTCCGTATATGTAATGGGAAACCCGACGACACTGGTTTCGAGGAACCAAACGTGGTAGCCAGCTGCCTCACAATAGCCCTGCAGGAGATGGACGCAGATCTCAGGAACTCGTTACGACAGAGCTCGAACGGCGGCTCATAGTGAAGCTATCCATTTCTCATTTTTGAGGTTTAGTCACACCCTACCTCCATAAATGACGGGCTCATTACGAAGCTACGCAGCCGCCAACAGCTTGTATTATAATTTTTCTAACATGTATATACATATAGCGTTTGTATTTATAATGCACGTAACGCTATATTTGAAGCATACATAGCGCTATGGTTATTTCTAGCGTACGCAATGCTTTATTTCTAATGCACGCAGTGCTATATTTTCAGCATGTCTAAAAGCCACGGATGCACCAGTTGCAAGCAGCTATTCACAGCTGGCGCCACTATACCCTGTACTGTACGGATCCGTAGACATAGAAAACAAACCCCAACCCCCACTCTACAAAAGTGAGAGACGGACAATCTTTGCTGAGCCGTCGTATATGGGGGCATTTGGAGACCTTCCATAGCCACAGCCGACAAATTGGCCCTGTCGGCCACTAAGCCCGGGGCGGTTGCTGGGTCAAAGGACCGACTTGTGGGTGATGGGTTGCGGTAAGAATCTACAACTAGCTTTCGCCCAGGCCGACTATACTAGGCGGCGCTGGGTTATGAAGGTCGGCATGTCTATCCCCTCAGAAATGTATTCCGAACTCACATTATCTCACCTAGTCAAGACACAGGCTGTTCGGCGGTGTTCTTAGTACACTTTAACTCAACATGGTGGTCTGTGATGGGCCGACCACCTCGGCTCAGGTCATTGAGGCCTTCGCGTCGCATTTTCAAGGTCGGACCTTCCTTATCACGGGCGCTGGCAAGCCGAGAATCGGCAGCCAGATGGCGATTGCGCTGGCGAGAGGTGCGCGCCTGCGCAAATCATCATAACATCACGCTCCTTCCACAAGGTCAAGCCCGAAAAGTTGATATCAAGACCATAAACAAAGCCATCAAGACGTCATTTGTGCAGGTCGATTTGTCCGACCACGCTTCAGTGCGACAGGCTGGCAGCGAGATCCTTGCGGAAGCGCCTAAAGTTGATGTTCTCATTGACAGCATGGGCAACATGGCCATCTATGATTATACTGTGGATAAACAGGGTATCGAGATACAACTATCTGTGGACCACCTCGGACAATTTCTCTTGACGAATCTTCTGGGGCCGGCGCTGCTGCAGATGCCAGAATTGGGGCACACGCTGTCAACTTGACCAGCGGCGTTGATTTCATCAGCCCCGTGCGGTTCAACGACTACAGCTTCTCCAATAGTAAAGCTTATGACAGGTAGTCGGGCTATGCCAGGCACAGACGGTCAACATCCTGTTCTCCTTTGCGCTCAGCGTAAGACCCAAGCACGTGGCATCACGTCTAAGCCGCGCACCAGGGATACAACGGAGATACGGAGCTCGGCGTGCACTTGAACTGGGGTGATTACGGCGAGACTGAGCCGATTGCTAAGCGTAACACGGGGAAGGACTTTGTCTGGGAGCATCCCCGCTTCAAGACGTTTGAGCAGATCGCCGCCACGTCCCTGGTTGCTGCTTTGATTCTGATCTCTCAGCTAAGTCACCAACCTACCTAGCGAACCGTCAGATCGCGTGGACCGACGAGACAGCCCGGAGGCCTGCGTTTGTTGACGATCTGTGGGGCCTGAGTGAGCGGCTCATTGGGCAGGAGTTTAGGTATCAAGTCAGATCCTGCAGGGTCGTGTTTGCTTTCGCAGCTAGAGTTTGGTAACAGGCAAAATATCGAGATTGTGTTTCGTCACATTTCTTCAATATAATCCCAACTAGTGACAAAGCTGATCACCTTGCGATCACACCCTAAAGAGACTTGACGTTTCCCTGTGGCGGTTGTGCAAATGACCTGTCGAATTGAATACGACCGGCGATTACCATACTGTCAGCATGTTGGACCAACACCTGGAAACGATGCTTTCGTTAGTATATATTGGTAAGCAAGACATAGGGAGACGCGTGTTTGCGGAGCTACTTCCGCACCCAGCATGAGGGCGGTATTCGGGTCGTTGAGTTTGTCCACAACCGGGGAAGGAACAAAACATTTTGTAGATGACAAGATCAATAACTGATGTGGTTGTGTTGGACCGTGGCTCTCATGTTCAGATAATCAACAACAGGGCCTCCCGTATCGGTTGATGATTAATCTGAAATGCCCACCTTGGCCTACCTACATAAGCCAGAGTTGTGCGTGGTAGTGAAGCACTCGGGATGGATTCCTGATGATGTGAACGCCCCAACAATTGAAGCTGAAATTGAAATAGAAGTTTGACCTCGGCACCCACGGACCCTGTTTTGGGAAGGGCCACTAAAGACCGCTAGCATCGGGAGTCTGCAACGAACAGCGGAATGTGGCCCCCTGGCGGTGCCCACTAAGTTGCTCCACTAGCGGGCTTCGATTGCCTTATTCTGTGTGCTGCCGGCTCAATTGGCCAGTCAACGCGCTTCATGGCTTCTGGAATGGTTCTCCGTCAGAGTTCCGCATGAGGGGCATCCATGACGGTCCATATGTCGCTGCCAGATCGAACCGAACGAAGGTGAGCAAAGTTTCGGGCCAGACGAATTGATGGGGTAGCAGTTTTCTATTATTAATACATAAACAAGAAGTACACGGAGTGGGAAGAGACCAGCTGCTATAAGTCTGGCCATGGTCCCTTGAACCTTCGGGCATCCCTCGACCTTTATTCCCACTATACCTCACAATACCGACTACGAACCCCGCGACTTGAACCCCCGGAATACTTGACATACCTTATACCACAACATAATCATACACACGCACACAATATGAGTCGCGAGATCACCACTTGGTACCTTAACGAGAGGCCCAAGGCCGACATCGTCAAGGGCCAAACCTTCAAGGCCAAGAAGGAGCAAGCCCCCACGGCTGAGCAGTTGAAGGATGGAGAGATCTTGGTTGAGGCTCTTTACCTGTCCCTAGACCCTGCCATGAGAGGATGGCTGAACGGTGAGCACACATCCTTGCCTTGGTGTGCAACCTATCGTGACATAGGCGCGCTCAATAGAGCTCGCCATTACCAACCTACATTGCCCCTCTGGTGCATCATGGCTAATGGACAAATCTTGCAACAGACATCCGCTCCTATGTTCCCCCGGTCGCTATCGGTGAAAAGATGCGCGGCGCCGCCATCAGCCGCGTTCTTGCCTCCAAGAGCTCCAAGGCTAAGGAGGGCGATTTGGTGAACGCCATGCTCGGTTGGACCGAGGTCGGTATCGTGGACGAGAAGGCATTTGAGGTCGTCGAGGTGCCCCAGAATGGCAAGGTCACCGACGCTCTCGGTGTGCTAGGTTTGACTGGTCTCACGGCTTACTTTGGCCTTGACAAGATCGGCAACGTACAGAAGGGCGACACCGTCGTTGTGTCTGGTGCTGCCGGTGCCACTGGTTCCGTGGTTGGGCAAATCGCCAAGCTCAAGGGTGCCCGTGTTGTCGGTATCGCTGGTTCCGACGAGAAGTGCGAATGGCTGAAGAGGGAGCTCGGTTTCGACGCTGCGATTAACTACAAGGCTGCTTCCTTCAAGAAGGACTTCGAGGCCGCCACGCCTGACTTCATCAATGTGTACTGGGACAATGTTGGCGGTGAGATTCTGGAGCTCGCCCTTAACCGTGCCGCTTTCCGATCGAGGTTCATCATGTGCGGTAGCATTTCTGGCTACAACTCGCCCGGCAAGGAGGGCAAGGGTATTCGTAATTTCTTCCATATTACTGCCCAGAGAATCCGTATGGAGGGTTTCATTGTCTTTGACTATGTGTCCGAGTACGCTCGGGCTCGCAAGGAGATCAGCGGGTGGTTGAACGACGGCAAGCTCAAGCGCGAGGAGACGATCGTTAAGGGCGGACTTGAGAATGTCGAGACAGCGTGGGAGACATTGTTCAGTGGAAAGAACACAGGCAAGCTCCTGCTGGAAGTTAAGCCATATGAGCAAAAGGTTGGTTCTAGGCTTTGATTTCGGAGCGCGGTGCTGTCCCCTTACTAAGATGATGCTGACGTCGTGTCCAGTAAGGAAGGGAGAAATATTGGTCGGGTAAATAAAAGCCGATTGGTTGACAGCAATGCACTCTGATTCCGAACATCTATGAGATATGAATTGCATAAGGACTTAAAATAAAGATGAAAATTGACTAATTGACCAATTATTTTATTCTCACCAAGCGTGACTCGCAAGTTTCTATTGCGATCATATTGACTTGTGCAGTTTCATTTATTGTCATACCTCACGTCACGTCGCAATCCCATTCATCTAACAAAGCCTTGACCAAAATACACTCCTGCAGCGCCCATGGCAAAATAGTCGACAATGTTCTCAGGGAATCTACATTTCAAAAGATGCGTATGACTCTAACTTATCCACAATAACTTCCCTAAGTATATATGACAGCAACGACGTATCGCAGATACGAGCGAGACAAAAGAAAGCTCGATCTTACACAGAGGCAAAGACCTGAAACCGACTGGTTTATTTCCCAAAACGTTCAACCTCGTCCTCAACATTCCCGTCTTATTGTTTCTAGTCAAGTGGCGGATGGGGATGCATATCCTTCATTTGACTGACCAAAGGTAGACTGGCGGCTTCGGATCGTGCTTGCGTTGTAGGCAGTCCTCGATAGCAATGATGCAGATTCATTATCGCGACGCCTTCCGTAGTTTCACACAACCCTTACCGCTCGGCATGGGCGTACTGGTACTGCATAGAAGTCTCCCTTGCCCATTTAAGACGCCTTCGGCAGCAGATATAGTAGTCCGAGAAAGGGTATAATACGGCTAGCTTATTACTGCAAACTATGCGGTGGATATTACCTTAGGTAGCCAGCATCGAGATCCTGTGATTACTCTACTTTCTTTATTTTTACATCTCGGACTTGTCGCATTGATTCGCAAACCTTGAAGCACTATTCAAGACGAGGTTTATCTACCAGATCTGTAACAGCCCTGGGACGAGTTCTAATAATAACGAACATGTATAAATCGATCAGTTCTATCGAGCGCAGACTGAATACTATGAAAGAGTATGTGCGATACACCACTATGGCAATGCACTCGGAGAATGAAAGCGATAGGACAGCGCATTCAAAGCAAAATGAACGGAAGACAAACGATGCAATCAAAATAAAAGGAAATTATTGATTAGGCAATCCATTTCAGCTAGACTAGTACACTCTAGATTATGACCAGCATTGTCTGGCAAAAGCATCATAACGATTGTGATTGTAGGTGTGTTATTCCTGGCTTTAGAGTTAGTCTGAACATACCCCCCGCCGTTCTTTGATCTACAGAAACCGCTCATGTTTAGTTTCAGCCCTAGTTGTGAGTTGATAAGAAATATCAGTAGTGACATAGATGAAATTATAACAGATCTGCGACCTTGACCTCCAATTTGACCTACCTTAGATAACACGGCGCCTCTAATTATCATGCGGCACGTCAAGCACGCTGTTGAAGAAGCCTATCTCAATCTTACACTCTGGTCTTTGACTTGATAACAGTGCCCAAATATCGGAGAAAGCTAATAAACCTTGGAAGTTCTCGAAATGAAACCTCCATCGTGGTCGACTCAGCATTATAGTGAGTCTTTTTCGCCGGCATTGTGGCTGCCGAGCAAGTTCTGAAAGAAAACAAACCCATCCTCTTATATCACTTATTTCCATGAACAGTATTAAATGCGGTACTTGTACGAGGAGCCTAGCCCTTTCACTCTGCAACATAAGGGCCGTGTACGCGTCTTGGATAACAATTCTGTTCATCCTGAGCAGAACATCTTCTGCTTCGGCATGGATGAGCTTGTTCGTGCACAGAATAGCAGTGCAGCTAATATGTTTGTCCAGCGACCTACGGCCCCAATAAACTTTTCGAAGTTCTGCAGTTGGATGATGAAAGTCGCCTTGGCCATAATTTGGTACGTAATGTGGTACCGTACACGGGAGCCCGTCTCCAGGCTGCAGCTCTATAAGTCGACCATCCAAGGAGCTCGGTATGGCGCAACGCCCCGCCGAGGATTGAACAACGATGGGTTTCGATTTAACAAGTAGATTTTCATACACCATTCGTCGCAACTCCAGGGGTAATATGTCTAAAAACTCTCTTTGAGACATGGCGAAGCGCACGATCGCGGATGTTAGGACTTGTTGGTTGAGGAATGAAAATTCAAGCCGTAACACAAGTGTTTACCGTGGCGAGATAAGGCGACACGCTACGCAACATCTCTATTACTAGCAATGATATAATGCATTATATATATTTGAACGCTGCTTTATCTAATTATCCATTGTTGATTCAAGCTTTATCGTAACGCCCAATGGCATTGAGCGATGGCTCAACTTTGTCTTAAGCTCTTAGTTCTTTGTAACTATACTTTGTCCCAATATGCAAAACTAGTTCTCCACCGAGTGTATCCGTTTCAAATATACTCGCGCAAATAATTCGCGAGCTCAACTTCAGCAGATACCTGCATTCTCTTGTGTGGACTTTGACCGGAAAACTACGGCTTATGACTTGCTCCACTTGGCCCACCTTTGGGATGTACAAATGTCTTGATGCTCACAGGTATTTGACGAGATGCTTCTCTGCGATTAAGCGTATTCATAAATAAATTGGTGCCGCGACGTCCGATTCAATCTTCGTCTAGAAGACTAGACTAAACTGACAACACCCTCGTCTCACTTTCGGAGTTTTTAGTGCATCTTAGGCGTGCGGAGACGCGGGGGATTCAAGCACCTCATGGCTTGATCTGACTAACCATAAAAAGTGATTAAATGGTATGTGTCTCAGCCAAGCTGCCCAAACAATCCCGAACGGAAACTCTTAACTGTTACTGGGTGTTCGAAACTTCATCTCCAACTTACATAATCCATCTCCATTCTATACTTGAATCTGGCTGAGCACTTCTTCTCCATGCACTCGTTGGCTGTTGCCTCCATGTTAGCACCCCACTGAATGTAACCAATCCGAAATGCAAGGAGCCTATACACTAAGGCTGAGACTATACTTGGCCAACCTGCAATAGCTGACCAGCTGCAAAGAATACACACTTATTATTCCCCACTAGTACTGCATGAGAGCGACCAGTTCTTTGATCAGCACCTCTAGACATTTTTTACTCGAGTTAGGCAGTGCGGAATTTCTAAGTGGCGAGATCAGGGAAAGTGATCACCCCCGATAAATTGTCCTTTGTCTGTGATGGCGGTGTAGCGCCTGCAGGAGCTGCAGGACAGGCAAGCGATGTCAACAACGCAACGACACAAAGGACTCCCGGATGTGAACACGAGGTATCCGTCCGCAGCAAGCTGGTAGTACCAGTTTTGATCAAGTGCCGGTTCCCATGTTCAAAATTGAAGCGGGTGACACCCCGCAGTTACCCCAAGGCCAGGATACTTTCGTCATGCGGCTCGACAGGCAAGAGCGCACAGTTGTGGTGCCCACGATGCAACGCTGTTATCCATATCGAGGGTAGAAAGCAATGGCCCGAATTGAGCGCACCTTCTGCGATATGACGCTTCAATGCATCGAGACTGCCGGAACGACCAGGAAACTATTGATCATCCTCATTCACGACGCCATAATGTCTCACTCGTCTCCATTTTCTTATTACCATCAGTTCTTATCACCACTTTCATGTGTTGCAGGTGTATTACCATGATCCTATCCGTCATCTCACATTATTAAGACGGTCACCTCAGCCAACTTTCGTACTGGAACATTCTTCTTGGGTTCCATTGCCATACTTATTCAAGTTTTCTGTCGGGACGTCTTTCACAATGCGGTCTCTTCCTCTTCACGTAGCAATGGCACAGTTTGCCTATGCTATACCAGATGCGTTCAACCCACTTACCTACGTTGACAGTCTGATTGGAACCGCTAACGAGGGCAATGGTATGTTTCATCGGCCACCTGTCGAAGAGGCTTGCTAACTGCTCGCGTTTATAGTATTCGCTGGTGCGACACTGCCGTATGGCATTGCCAAAGCTGTCGCTGATACGAACAGTACTTCTCGTCAAGGAGGCTTTACGTTAGATGGCAGCCCTGTGACCGGGTTTTCTGCCTTCCATGACTCTGGCACAGGAGGCAGCCCCAGCTTAGGCAATTTCCCACTTTTCGCATATGCCCAATGTCCGCAAGACGATATCAATCAGTGCAGTTTTCCAAAAAAGGACCGAGCGGCAAAGGGATTCTTCAGTAACTCAAGCGTGATCTCTCGGCCTGGATATTTTGCTATCACATTGGCGAGCAATATCATGGCAGAAATGACCACCACCCATAGTGCCGCTTTGTTTCGCTTCACTTTCCCAGGGTCCGGTAATGGCAACGGATCTTATCCATTGATCCTTCAGGATCTCACGGATCTATCTGACTCACGCCAGGATAATGGAACAGTATCTATTGACGCACAGACTGGAAGAATTATAGGAGGTGCGGTGTTCAAACCAAGCTTTGGTAAAGGAACTTACGAAGCTTTTTTCTGCACGGATTTTCAAGGCCCTGCCATCCAAGACACTGGAGTTTTTGTCAATAGTCGTGCAACTACTAGCGTCAAGGATCTCACGATAAGCACTGGTATAAACGGTTACCCTCTACCTGGAGGCGCCTTCGTAAGGTTTGAGACAGTTAATACGCCTATATTAGCGCGAGTAGGAGTGAGCTTCATCAGCTCAGCCAAGGCTTGTGCGAATGCAGAGGCAGAGATACCAGAATTCAACTTCGACAATGTTGCAGAAGCCGCTTCAGATGCTTGGCGCGACAAACTAAGCCCCATCACTGTGACTCCCGGACCTGGAGTCGATGAGGCGCTAATCACCAGTTTCTATAGTGGCATCTACAGAACCATGGTAGGCCACTCATACACTTCCTCGCCACTCTTCTTATTCCATGTTCACCTCCCTAGTTCACTATCTTATCTCTTATTATTACATTCTACTATAGTATTTGTTCTTCCGTTTGATTACTAAGAACCCCTTCTTATCCGTACTTATTCCGTTCTCGCGTTGCATGCAACACTGATTATTGCACAGGTCAACCCACAAAACTATACAGGAGAGAACCCCTTCTGGGACAGCGGTGAACCATACTTTGATTCTTTTTACTGCCTTTGGGACAGTTTCAGATCTCAACTTCCATTTCTGACAGTTCTCGACCCAGCAGCGGTCTCCCAAATGATACGCTCATTGATCGACACGTACCGTGTCGAAGGCTGGCTCCCCGATTGTCATATGACATTCTGTAAAGGCTACACTCAAGGTGGTTCTAACGCCGATGTGGTCCTTGCTGATGCCTTCATCAAAGGTCTTACAGACAACATCGACTGGGCGGTAGGTTACGAAGCAGTAATTAAAGACGCTGAAATTGAGCCATTTGATTGGTCAGTTCACGGACGTGGAGGTCTGGATAGTTGGAAAGATCTGGGATATATTCCAGCACAGGATCTTGACTATAAGGGTTTTGGTACTATGACGAGAAGCATTTCCAGGACTCTGGAATACAGCTACAACGACTACTGTATCTCGCAGATGGCAAACGGTTTGAACAAGAGCACAGATGCTGAAAAATACGTGAGCTCGAGCGAGAACTGGAAGAATCTCTTTAATCCAATCCAGCAGTCTGTTCTCTACACGGGATCGGATACTGGATTTGTCGGATTTTTCCAGCCAAAGTATCTTAACCAGACATGGGCTGTGCAAAACCCACTATCATGTAGTAACATCGACAATGGCCCACAGACATATGGCTGCAGTCTCCAAAACACAGCCCTCGAAACATATGAAAGCAGCATTTGGGAGTATGGCTTTTTCGTGCCTCACAATCAGGCTGGTCTGATAACTCTCTATGGTGGTTCTGATGCTTTCGTGCGTCGGCTGGAATATCTACATGATACCAATATCACTGCGATCTGGAATGAGCCCTCGTTCCTTACCGTGTTCCAATACCACTATGCCGGTCGTCCTGCACTGTCCGCGCAGAGATCTCACTTTTATATCCCTCGTTATTTCAATACTGCTCCTGGCGGACTTCCAGGTAACGACGACAGTGGTGCCATGGGCTCTTTTCTCGCTTTCTCCATGATGGGTCTGTTTCCAAATCCGGGACAGGACGTGTACCTTATCACCCCACCGTACTTCGAGTCCATCAGTTTCAGGCATCCCGTCACGAACAAGACAGCCATTATCAGGAATGTCAATTTTGACCCTACCTACCGATCCATATACATCCAGTCTGCCACGCTGAATGGCGAGCCGCACACGAATAACTGGATTGATCACAGCTTCTTCACCGAAGGTAAAGAGCTTGTCCTTACACTTGGCTCGAACGAGAGCGCTTGGGGCACACATGAGTTCGATATACCACCGAGCTTGGCTTAGCACCCTTACTAAGAGCGGGAAGTAGCGGTGCATGCTGGGTTAATGTGTGACTGGCTCTCAGGCTTGAGTATCACTATGGCTAGAACTTATCAGATAATATTTTTCAGACAGAAAGAGTTTTTAGTTAAACTCAGGCTTGTGAGTCTAAGATTTTCCATGCACTGAACTACGAGATGTATGAAACTGATTGAGCGAAAGTTTTCGCACGTCAAGTTAATGCCCATACACGTGGAACATAGAAAGCCTTACTTTTTAAACTAACTATAGAGCTTTTATCAGATGATATAAAACTAAATCAGATTGGAAATAAAACATTAAAACACTATATGAAGATGAAAACCAAATCACTTTACCATTTTTTCTGTTCATTGTATAATTATAAAGTTAGCTCTTGGGGGGAATGCATATGTGTACGTAGATTAATGCTCACCCATTGCGTGTATACGATCAATCAGCAGGATTGTAGAAATAGGATGAGCTTCTCAAAGTGAACCCGGAAATCATCTGTTAAGCTTGGGAATAAATTTCAGATGCGTCAAAAACAAGTTATGTAGAAGAATAGAATGAACATCCAGACATGTATGAGTTCCTTTCGCTCTTCGCAATTATCGAGGGAAGAGACTTTGTGTTGAAACTAGAATAAATCCTACGTAGGTCCTGTCGCACCACAATAATACTATGAAATGCCTATCAGGGATTTTGCAAAAGAATACCTTTGCTTGGCACTGAGAAGCATAGCTAACTATACTTGTGGCAATTTCTGCGTGGACCAATATTTATCATTACAGATATTGCGCACACGATGCGCTCTATCAACGAGCATCTACCCTGCGATTAAATAAGTACCAACGGCTAGCTCTCACAGAAATAGTACAGTATCCACGGAACATACCAACAGACGTAAATACAACAACTTCTCGCTTAACGCTAAACAGCCTCGAAACAAAGACGCTATGTAGATCTGTCTTGAGAATTTCTTCAAAGCGATGGGTCCCGGTTGTCGCCAACGAGTCGCCTCAGTTCTTATATCTGATCCTCATGGACCATTAGTCCAGTGTTACGAGTCGGGTATCGTCAGCGTGCAACGTAGGCTGAAGGTGGCGGCGACCCCTGGACTGTTCCATAAGTGACGTATCATCAACTTCAAAGCATATGTAGCAAGGGTTCGAAAAAATACTTCACAGGATCCGACATAACTGTCAATGCTTTTGCTGGGTAACCTTGGCATTTGGCTCGCAACTGCCGACCCCTTTTTCTTTCCAGAAGCACTCACCGCAAAAATAGGACCCCTGCCAAGGAGAAGGAGAAAGAGAGAGTGGTTTCACAAGACCCGCTTGACCTCTTGGAAATGAAGCCTTCTGGGACTGCCGGGTGGAGTCCCCATGCCAGGGACACGACTGCGACATCATCGCAATGTCCATTTCAGTAGCCCAGACCCATAGGAATGCTAATTCATGAGCCTTGAGCATATTGGCATGTTGGTGGTATGAAGGAGGCAGCCAAGGGATAGAATGCATGGTTTATCTTCTCCAAATGAGCACGGGAAGCCGAATGCCGATACCCAGGTCCTCTCATGCGGCGACGTTTTGTTACAGCACAACAGCGCAGCCGGGGCGGGCATCGAGTACGGAGAGGTCTCTCAACGCCCGATAACTCTACCATATATGATCATCGCCCGATGTACATCGAAATATATACACAAAACTCTCGAACTATGCCTTCTCTCTCCCTCACTTTCTTGCTCGCTAGGGAGAACCTGAGAGGCGATCCTTCTCCCGGGACTGCATCGTATGATGAACACGGACGGCGATCGCGATGCAATAAGTTTTATGGGATGCTGGCCGGCAGTCGGAATGGTGGGAATAGAGTAAAGCGGAGCTGCACTGTGTCAATTGCGATTCTTGGTCAGGAAATATGATCGAGCCCCAGACCTTGACTCTGTCTGGGGCACATCCAGGGACCTTTAGCGCATGCATGGTGCCCCTGTTAAACTCACAGGGTACCTGAGGAGAGTTTGGTTAAACTAATGACGACCTTAGTAGCGATAGACAATCTCAGGAAGTAGTGAGGACAGTAAAGTTGGGCCCGCGACGGGACCGATGTATGTAAACCGGTACAGCCTGAGTTTGGTCCAGAGCATATAAGGGCAATGCGAGACGGAACAACAGCCGGACGAAGTTCGCGGCTGTCGGGACCACATGATTGTGGTAGAATGAGATCCTAACTGATGTATTGTATTTATTGTATAGCCAGAAGCTCAATTCAGAGCTGCGATATCCGTGGTTGCATTTCCATTGCATGACTCGCATTCCATCCTGCCATGGTGATACAGTATATACATACCTAGCGAACGAAACACGGCCCCCAACATCTCAGGCTGATCTTTTGACCTTTTCGTTCGACAATGCGACCCCAACGCTACATTCAGTGCACGGCCCAAAGTTAAGATCAGCCCAGAATCGGAACAGTGTGCTGCCTTGGCAAAAGCAGCCCTCTGCGTGCAGAAGTCCATAACTGTATCAAGAGATCACCATATCCCACATGTACGATCTCGTATGTTTTACAGGGGAGTCATGAGATTGAACAAGTGGTCTGGCAAATGACGTCGTCGTAACGCTGTCAATGGCACAATCTAACTTTCTGCGTCTCTTTTTCGGGGGCTGTTGCAGAGCTCCAGTATAGAAAGTTCACTCCACCACATGCCCAACAGCGTGTCGATGAGCTTCAAAGCGAGGCAGATCAGTTTTACCTACAGAACCTCGTTCATCTCTTTGATTCGCGTCATGCCATCGCAGACACAGCTGCCGTGGGCCTCTAAGGCGAAGAGATTTGAACTACTCAGAGTCAGCACGTATGCGGTCAAAACTGCATGTCCATTCTGGCGAAGTGGTAAACATGATCACAAATTTGTCGAGCCGTGAGTCGCGGCACGCGACAAACTTGAGCAACGGCATTCTTTTTATGGAAGTAGTTCCGCGCCCATCCACAAGATTAGTGGGCAAAGCTCGGAGCTTGATAGCTCAGAAAGACGAAACTGATTGATAGGCCACGACTGCAGCGTTCGAAACTACATTTGCACACCTAGTTGATATTGCCTTAATACGAATTCTGGAAAATTCTTCATTTTGGCGGGCTGCAAGATAATCGACGAAATTAGTCTGTGTAATCCCAGCGATCCAAAACCATGGATAGACGCTGTCGGAGAAGAGGAGAACAGAGTGGTAGCGGTTGTGGTTAATCCACAAATGCGTTCTCCATACATAGTACGCTTCAAAGTTATAAGATCGGCATTTGTTGATATGAGAACGGAACCGAGCCGTTGGGTCTGAGTGGACCTCATTGGGCAGTGGATCCTCAATCGACTCGACTTGTTATAATTCTGTATTTGTCATTTGAGTGGGTGCAGCTACAGGATGGGTCTGCTCTAATATAGTAGGAGAAATACACGAAATGAGCAGGACTTACAATACGTGAGACGGCCGGCAGCAGATTTGCAAAACAACATCGATTTCAGTCTTTGTTGAACATTGAATAAGGGGTTTTTGGCCTGCGGCCCAGAGAGCAGCATGTCTTAAATTACAACAAAATCATCCAATCTTCTGCAAAATCAGACTCATAGGTAGACGACATGAGAGGGCATAAATTCCATTCAATTATTGAAAGTCAAGTATTGAAAAGAATGAGCATATCAGGTTTAATACCACTTGTGTATATACACTAGAAAATGTAAACTACCCACTAGTACAAGTCACTGGAAGTTGAGATCTTGTTTGTTCCGACGACATTTGCTTACGAAGACTCCGCAGCGGCAATAATGACATCCGCAGCCTTCTCACTGGCCATGTAAATGGCAGTAACAATGTACATACCAGGAATCTTAGGGAAAATAGAGGCATCAACAACACGCAGACCTTCGACGCCACGAACCTTGAAGTCACTGTCAAGCACAGCCAACGGATCGTCGTCTGTACCGATGGGACAAGTGCAAGAAGCGTGGTGACCCCAAACCTCATCCCGGGCGAACTGCGCCAACTCCTCATCGGTAGACACATTGGTAGGAGGCCAGACACGCTCGAAGCTACCGTCGAGAGGAATCAAGCTATCAAAAGCCTTAATTCCGTATTTCATGCCCTCGACAATAGCCTGCAGGTCCTTGTCGCCCCCAACACCTTCGCCGAGAGAGCGGAAGACGATCTTTGGAGTGTCACGGGGGTTTGTGGAAGTGATGTTGACGGTTCCGGCGTTGTTTCGGGAATGAGCCTTCAGAGTCAACCATGTCCAAGTGTTGAGACCCTCAGTAGAAGTTATGGAGTAGCCAGGCTTGTAGCCGTTGAGGTAAGCAGGGACACCGCCCAAGAACAGATCGGGATCGTCGCCCTTCTCTGCCACCGAGGAGTGGTGCAACCAGCCAAAAGCAATGCCGTTGGTGGTGTACCCTCCCTTGAGATCACCAATGTTGTTAATCCAGTTGTCGTAGCATGGGTCATCGCCCTCGAGGAAAGTACACTCCTTCAAAAGGGAGAACTGGGTGCTAGACTCTCCGACGACACCGAACTCATATCTGTCCTGCATGTTGCCACCAACGCCAGGAAGGTCCTTGACGACAGGAATATCGAAGGACTCGAGCTCGGCAGTCGGACCGACACCGGAGAGCTTCAGAAGCTGAGGAGTGTTAAAGGACCCAGCAGCAAGGATGACCTCGCGGCTAGCGTAGACTTGACCAGAAACACCACCGTCGGACTTGCTAGCCCGGGGGTCGGCGCGGTAGAGTGATTGTCCAAAAAGATAGCTCACACCAGTTGCCTGAGGCGTTGCTGCAGAGGTGTCGAAGTTGACCTTGGTAACGAGGGTGTTGAGTGCGATGTCAAGCTTGTACTTCTTGGAACCGTCGCTGTTGGTGGCGTTGGCGACTGAAACGACGAAATCACGGGGACCTGAACGCGCATAATCCTCGTTGGCGGACATGGGAATCTGGTATATTAGCTCACCATCGTCGCGAGAGCTAGACGGAGTGTTGACATCGAGGGTAAGGATGTTTGTGAGACCAGTCACTGTAGCAACGATAGCGCCCAAAAGACCCTTTCCCATAGCAGTGGCGGCGGCAATGACTAGAGAAGCGACTTTGAGATCCTCCGCAATCAGAATAACGGGAGTCAACCGTGTTTGCAGCCAGCCCGTATAGCCGTGGCCGACAACGCTGTTAGGCAGGTATCGGCAAGCCTCCAGTCTCTCGAAGTATTGCAACATGTTGGATGAGCTCCATGAGTCGTCGCCAGTAAGAGTAGCAATATCATCCCAATCTTTGTCCGTCGGCTTGATAGTGACCAGAGCGTTGTGCTCGGTACATCCACCAAGGGCACCAGTACCTGCACCATGTCAGTTGAAATTCTGCAAGAGTTGATTCGTGAAATATTTACGAGGATAGTAAATTCCAAGAGGTGTTGCGCCTTCGGGAGGGTCGAGTCCAACATAATACTGGCCGTCCGCAGTCAAGTAAGTATACTTGCTATCTCGCTTCGCCTGTGTCTCGTTCGTGTAGTGGTCAACGAAGTATTCCCATCTGATTGGGTTATACTCTGAGGCGTATCCATTCAAAGCTGGAATCTGTACTTGTTTTTCCATATGATGATCCTCTCCGGCATCTATAAGCAACACACTGTATCCAGCAAGAGCTAGACGTGCAGCCAGAGGACCGCCTCCAGCTCCAGAGCCCACAATCACGTACTCATAGGTCGAGTTGACTTGAGGAGCAGCGGTGTCCCACTGGGGACCAAGAGGGTCGGAAATAGGCTCATCCCAGATGATAGGCGTTGTGAACCTGTTAACTGTGAGCTATCGTATATTGCCCGATTCCCTACGAGGGGGTCCTTACGCTGCGGCTGTTACCGCAAAAGCGGCTACAGAACCAATGGCCCTCATTACGATTAAATATAATAGTGTATAAGCTCAAAGATCAAGCAAGAAAATGAACGATAGGCCGTGCAAATTGAAGAGTATTTCAGTAAAGAGGGACAGAACAACACCACGGCAGCTGAATGACTGAATTAGGAAAAGAGTGACGAGTCAACAGACTTGATGGTGTGAAGGTGGCAAAGACTGCGAGTCTACAGTCGCATGTGCGAACGAAGCTGTTAAAAACGTGTCTTTGATGGTGAAGATGACCACGGAGCACGGCCAAGCCGAGGATACTGACCAACAACCGGCGAAGTATAGCGGGCCGTCGTGGATTCGTTGGCCAGCGCTCACGAGGTACTAGCTGCATTGAACAGTTGATTTACATGAGTATTGCCGAAAAGGCCCTCAAGGGACAGGACCATCATGTCCGTATGCGGTCTCCAACCATAAATCTCATTGATTCAATGACATATGCATTGCCCCTGACTTCTCAACGAATCAGCTGGCGTTTGTCAGGACGATACACCCGCGTGAGGTGGGGTTGCAGTTCTAGTGTTGGGATAAACATCTGACAACAGTAGGATACCCTTGTACTAGTCACCCTTCATTAGACACCCTAGCTGACAGGACGCACCGGACCAGAATCATATTGGAGCGGGAGCGATATGCCTGCATCTCCGACAAGGATCATATAATTGCCTGCAAAGGATGATTGGAACGAAGAACACGAGCGACCTGCTGAGAGTGTTTGCGCATGATCAACACCCCCAAGTGCGAGCAATGGAAAACATAGAAAGCAAAGAAATGGAATCATTCGCCATGTGCTGAGTCGATATTTTCGACACAATCCAAAAGATAAATGTGTTGATGCAAAACCGTTACCTCGCTAGTGAAATGAGAGCCTTGAAAATGTGGAACTACCCGCGGCTGCCAGTAGCCGCAGAAGTAAAAAACGGCGGAATCTTACTGTGTCCTGGTCCGAGTCATCCTTGGCTTATAACAACATCTTATAAGGTCTTTGAGGGTACTTTGGTACCCTGCGGCCATTGCATCAAAATCAGCAGTAGTCGCTAGTCGTCATGTTTATTTGCGTGTCGGTGTTCTAACACCCACTCTAATTTTTGTACATTTTGTTTCTCGTCTTGACCAGTCTTCAGAGAAAATCTGTAGTAAATTCTCCAGTATTATAATCATGCGTATTATTCATACATACATAGTGTAGGGCTACAGCTAAGGTCACGGATTACTTAATGATTCTGCTAGGAAAATAGTGCGTCGAGCGGTCAGCGGCAGATCGTCCGTCTTCCACAAGTCCTTTCTGAGGATTGTCTCAATCTTGGTACGCCATCCTACAACCGCACTAGGCGCGATGTTTTCTCGAGGCAAGATTGTCATGACACGGCACATTCACTCAGGATCCCGGTTGGCAACGTTCTGAGTTGTGACGCTATTCCACAAACAGCCAGTCCCTGTCCATAGTCTGACCAAGAACGGTTACGCGATGCGACTCCATGAAGGCTGTCAGGGGTACGCCAGTTGAATTCTTGGCTCCGCATCATGGCTCAATACGACCTAACTCAATCTCTACCAAACTTTCGTCGATCTCAATTCATGACCAGCCAAACCTCGCTCGTGCAAATCGACTAGGTTGGCACTGATTTCGTCCGGGTCTGAGACCGCAAGCGCCTTTCCCCGCAGTAGTGCAGGAGTAGCATGGATGTGCGAAAGAGCACGGTGCCCCAAGACAACGACAAAAGTGTGCATGCAGTATCTGACTTGACATGGATGATTGCCTGGTACGATGAAGTCTTTACACATCTGCCTTCACGGAACCATAAGCAACTTTCCTCGGCCACTCGAGTCTTGAGGCAGGAATTTAGTAATAGACTGGATTTCCAACTATATTATCAGGTATAAAGAGAAAGCGTATGGACTCATCTAAAGCGAACACGGATACTCCCCATGTCCCCGCACCAAGTATATGGTTCCCCAAGTACAACGATACATGGGCAAGTGGCTTGATTTTGAAAATCGAACGAGGTTGAATGAAGATGCTAAAGTGAATGGTGTGCCCCCCTTAGGTATACAGAAATTTGCAGAAACGACAGACTCAAGGTCGACCAGTCTTGTGATAATTCCAAAACTTCCATATCCCACCTCACCGATATGCTGTAGCATGGTAGCCGGTGTTCTTCCCATCAGATTCGTAGCTATCGGTTTCTTCGACTGCCACACCAAAGTCGAACTGTTTACTGGCCTTTTTACTATCGTTGACATCGACCAGTGGTATGAAGTCGCCCTCGTCGCCCCGCTTAGGGTTGCTTTGTGCTGCTTGCTTCTCGGCTCCCAGTCCGGACCGGCTCGCTCCCATGTGTGAACCGTTGGTTCCGTAGCCAGTTCCACGAGACTTGTCGTTGCTAGAGCCGAGGATCTTGACGCCAAGACTGACGAAAAGAGATCGTAGGCTAGGTAGGCAAGCGCAGATAATGCCAACGTGCAGCTCTATGGTGGACCACCAGGCGGCTTCGTTATAGTCCCATGTAGGATTTTCGGTGCTTGCAAATAAGATCAAGGAACGAAGTCGGATGACGCTAACAATAGTGACGCTGCGTAAAATTAGATTATGGTTATGCGATATGCCGAATCAAGACTTACAAGATGCCCAAGGAAAACATGAACATGATCATGATTTTCTTCTTGAGTTTGATCTGCAACCCTAGCAGATTTTTCAACGGCAGCACTATGATGATTAGGTCGATAACAATGTTACAAATAGCGCTCATCCATCCTTGAAGGTTAATGTTGTTGCATGTTCCCAGATGCGCACTGTCGACTTGAAGCCAGGAGTGGTTGACAGGGCTGCATTGGAATGCAGTTGCCAGGACAAACCCAAAACCATAGCCTACGCACAAACCGATAACGACAAAGACCATCTTGCGAAAAGCCTTGTCGGGGAACACTCTTAGGATGAAAAGTAGCAGTGAGATTTTGTTGAACGATAGCGAAGCGAAGTAAAATATCTCTCCTAGGTAGTAATACTAGCTGATGTCAGTGGTCCGAGTGTAAATATATGCACGACATACTCACAAATAGAACATTCTCAATATTCTTTAGAGGTAATGTCCACATGTCTTTGCCTAGGCCGTTCTTGGATAAGAGAACTGAAAAGACGGTCGGCGGCACGGCGAGAGCTACGGTTACAGCCATAGTCCAATCGTCCCATCCAAGGACTCGTCCGCTGGCGGGTAATCCAGAGCACATTCGCATGATAAAGGCCAGGAGGGCAACAGCTCCTCCAATAACACCAACCAGGAGTGGGGTTGCACTGTCATTCCGAACTTCGACACCGCACAAGTTATAAGTGACGTTCTTGGTCTCTGTTGGCCGTATAGTCAGTATGCAATTTCATAATGTCATAGTCGCAAAGCTGTCTGGCTTACGTAGGCCTTCGTAAGTCGTACATCCGGCACGGACGCAAGTTGTGATATTGGCTTGAAGCGCAGTGTTAGTGCATAGGCAAGCTAGTTGCTCCTGCTCTGTGCCAGTCATGCAACTCGATGCCGGTACCAACTCTATGAGACACGCTTCCTGGTGGTAACGAAGAATCAGTAACTAGATCTGTAAGAGCTGCGCCCGTGTACATCTACTTACAGCGCATGGAGGGTACTCTGCTAATACAGCCGTGAAACTTGACGATGCGGCGGCCGCATGTCCCGCCAGGACGGCTAAAACCGTCAATGTGCTTGGGAGAAATTTCATGTCGCCGTCTTCACTCTGGTGTGATCATACGGAGAGAGATTCGTATTCGGACGCGAAGAGTGTGAAGTCGGGAAGAGGGATCTTAAAGAAACAGAAAATGTTTAGTGTTCAGGGATTCTGCTTGGAATATCCCTTTATGGCAGAATCCACATCGAAAATCAATGTAGATATGCTCCGAAAAGTCACACTCGGCCGATACAACGAGGGGTCAAGGGTGAACGAATATGTTGGTCATATGAGAAAAGGATTGATCTTGGCCAAAGTATTCCACTCTTTGGATGCTGAATGGACAGTTGATTCCTCCTGGTTGAAAGCTCTGCCCTACCCTTGAATATCTAGGCCTGTTATCTAATGACAAGGGTACAAAGTATGTATTAAAACGTTCATTATCGGATCCATAGTTTAGACTGTGTCATAGGTATGGTTCTTGGTCCAGGTGTCCAGCAATGGAGATTGGTGCCTGTTACCATAACACGGCATCTTCCAGGTCCCACGGTGTAAGATGCAATGCGATGCAATGCAATGCAGTTCTCTCGTATCCTAGTTACTCCCAAAAGGTGACTTGATCCGCTGATGGGCCCCAACGGTCCGCGTCCGCAGTTCCCGCGGTGATTGTCGTTGGGCGCGATATCCAGCCACGGCCCGCATGATGGAACGACGTTGGACGATCGCATTTTACTTCATTCTGTGCATCGTGGAGGTGCGAAAGCCTCTTCCAACGAGTTCCGATGTGCTCACAATCTACCAGGTTTCAAGGCAGCATCCCTGCCCTGGTCCTTTCTCGAGCGGTGGAGTCTCGCAAGTCGATGTAATCAAGGAATACATGTAGTTATGTGGAACAGAGCCTGGAGCCACCCCAAGAGCCGTTGCACCGTGCATCCAATGGCTTGCGTTTTGTCGTGTCTTGGGGCTGCATCGAGAGGAATTTGTCATTGGGTGGGTTAACCATAGCTCTGGGATTCACTAACAGCGGAGCTGACCCTGGCAAGCCCTGGCTTCTGCCATTTATCTGTCCCCACCCCATGCAATCACCCTTGATGCCGGTCAAGCACCAAACCTACGGGTAATAAACCCCACGAGCTAAAGGCGCCAAAGAGAGGCACTGACCAGGTTCAGATGGCATTTCCCATCCGTCATGTAAGGAACCTTGGCTATACAGGGTGCCTTGTATTATATCCATGTCAGAATCCCGAGGCCAACAAACAATTGGTGAACAAACAATGATGAGAGGGGCCGCACCGGTGATCTTGGCCAGTTTGATCGTAGACGCTGTCGTCGGTCTCAATCTCAATGTAAGTTTGCTTATGGGACTTTTGCTGTGGTGTACGTTTCAAGACCTAACCAACCGATGACATTATACGGTTGAGCCTACAGTACCCACAAGCAGCGGGTTTCTGACTCTCTCGATACAATCTGCTTCGGCCTCTCCCAGGAGACTGATTTCGAATGACTTCGGTATATGTCGAATTCCAACTCTCCCTAGTGGTTTTCGCTTCAGTCGCTCATTACTTCGTTTTTCCCCTGTTACTTGCGTGTGACAATTCCGCTCATTATGAAGTCCTTCGGCTTCTGTGCCGCCCTTTTGGCGCAGCTTTCCGTCATCATCCACTCGTTCCCAACGGCGGAGAACTTCGCCAAGCTTGCATCTCGCGGGTTATTGGATACGTCTGATATCACACCTCAGGACTTGTATGCAACTTTATCCAAAATAAAGAACAAAAGATTGTTGTTTGACCCTCTCAAAACGCCAATTGACGGTTCGTCTGCGAAGTAATCTCGTAATGGGTGAAAGGAATTAACAGCAACTAGTTAGCGGCGACCATACCTTCCAAGCTCCAGATCTTGATGGTGGTGACCAGCGTGGGCCGTGTCCAGGTTTGAATGCCCTGGCTAACCATGGATACCTTCCACACGATGGTGTAGTCGGGTTTTTGGATCTCATCGAGGTTGTAAATACTGTCTATGGCATGGGTGTTGACCTGATCACCGTCCTCTCTGTTATGGGTACCGCCGGTGTTGGCAACCCTCTCTCCTTGACTCCCGGGTTCTCTATTGGCGGCGAAACGCCAAAGTCTTCTAACATCCTCGGAAACCTACTCGGCTTACTTGGCACTCCTAGGGGTCTTTATGGCAGCCATAACTGGATCGAGGGAGACTCCTCCGGCACCCGTGATGACCTCTATGTCACCGGCAATGCTTGGACTATGAACATGACCCTGTTCTTCGACATCTACAACTCGATCGAAGATGTCCTGACCATGGAGATGATTGGTTCTCGGGCAGCTGCACGATTTAACGAGAGCATTGGCATAAACCCCTACTTCTACTACGGTCCATATACCGGTATGGTTGCACGCAATGCAGGTTACGCGTTTGTTGGACGTATTCTCAGCAATCACTCAACCGATTATCCACAAGGCAGCCACATGAGTATGTCAATATTGCTCCCAATCTCTTCGATATTTCACTAATGTTTTTGAAGCGAAGGAGGTATTCGCCAGCTTCTTTGGCGTGTATGAGGAGGATGGTCAGCTTGTCTACAAAGAGGGTTGGGAACAGATCCCTGAAAATTGGTACCGCATCTCGGTCGACTATGACTTGGCCAGCCTCAATCTGGACTTGGTCGCCTGGCTGTCTGAACATCCGGTATTGGCAAGCATTGGTGGTAATCTTGGCAAGACAAACAGCTTCGCTGGTCTCAACCTCGAGGATGTCACCGGTGGTCTCCTGAATGCGGTATCATTACTTGAGGGTAATAACCTCATGTGCTTTTCCTTGGAAATCGTCAAGACGTTCGCCCCGAACTCGTTGTCGACAATCTTCAGTACTCTCTCCACGCCTCTGCAACTGATCAACGATGCAATCCTGGACCCAATTCTGGATCTCTCTTGCCCAACTTTCACTGATCTCTCGGTTAATGGTACCGATCTACTAGATGTTCTTGTTGACACCTATCCGGGTGCTAGAAAGGGTAACTTCGCCCTGTAAAGGCCCAAGAGTTAGCGCTCTATGCGACTTCATGTATTTTAATACTCAACTTATCAGCTTATATAGACGACTAATTTTAATCTTGAACGACCTGTAGGCGTTTTACTTATATCGATAGCTTCTCGTTTTTACCAACATTACCCGCTCTGCATGTAACTCCCGCCCCTCAACTGTCCCGTCACTCATCCAGGTTGTAATCATTGACGCAAATTTCAATCATCTTCCTATCAAGTAAGAGACAACAAATCGTGAATGTCACGACTAGTTGTAGTGGATCGTCATTGGCCAATATGGAATAATTCTAGAAGTTACTTCTTGCTGATAAATGTCTCAAATAGAAACCTAACTCCACAAAGCGAAACATAATAGCAGGGGTCTCACTGTTACGCTAGGAGATGCCAGTGTCCATGCAGCTTCTATCTCTAGAGTTTGTCTAAATTATCATGGTTATGTAGGGGCTAGCGACTCTATTGCACCATTTGTCCTGCTTTGTAACCCCCGGCCAGAAGACAAAGATGATACCTGTGAGTGTTTTCTTACACTTTTTGAAGATTGGTTGGGAAATCTTTGACGAACTCTCATTAGCCGCTTGTGTTTGCGTTGTTTAACTCCCTCCTGTACCGCATATGGTATTGCGACATAGGGATGGAGAGTAGCATTGGTGACTTTGACAGTGGCATGATATTGGTGCGCAGGGACACGAATTTGAGATATTATATGTGCGAAACCCCATCGTTATGCATTCCCGTAAGAGACGGACGGATTCTCAGGTTTTCATTGGTTCGCTGTTTTCGTTTTGTTGTTTCCAGTTACTTGTTATCTGCATGTCGTGTTAGGCAACCATTAAACACTAGGCTGCAACATTTCACTCAATGAAGTGGATATCTATAAGAAATATTAAATAGGAACTATTTTATTTGCAATTGAGGTATCAAGGAATCATATTCTCTCTCCTCAAGCAACATAACATAAGCTTCTCCCTCCCTTAAAAAAACAATCGGTACTCTATTTTAATCCCTCCAAGATGGTCAAAGTCTTCGTCGCTGGTGCTACGGGTAAACAAGGTGGTGCAGCCACTCGCTCCCTTCTTGCTCAGGGTCATGAGGTTCATGCTTATGTTCGTGACATTACTTCATCCAATGCGCGGACATTGGAACAGGCCGGGGCCAAGCTTTTCGCAGGTGACTGGGACACTCTTCCATCGCTGAAGACCGCTATGAAAGGATGTGACGCCGTCTTCTTTCCCCCTGTGATATCCTGGACCGATCTCAAAGCCGAGGAACGATGGAACGCCAACATTCTGGGAGCTGCGGAGGACAGTGGCACGGTTAAGCACGTGGTTTACAGCACAGTCAGTATTCTCGCCGTCTTCGATCAAATCCAAAAGATTGAGGGCTGGGACGAAATCCCTAGTAAGTAATTCTCCAGTTAATTCTTCGAATTTTATACCATATCTACAGAGCATATATTACTTAACCAAGACGATTGAGGTCTTGATGATTGGTTCTCGATACCCCTTGTAGACTCTCACCCGGCACAAGAAACCAATCACTGACGCTGGTTGCTCTAGTGACCGCACATTTTTTCAACTCTAAAGTTGCCGGAGAATCAGCTGTCAGGAAGTGGGCGCAGGCGGATGAATCTCTGGTATATTCGATCCTGCGCCCCAGCGGTTTCATGACCAATTATGTCACACCGTGGGCATCGCTCCTGGTTCCTGACCTGATCAAACAGGGAGTCTGGCACACATCACTCCCGACAGAATTCCCTTTGGGACTAATCGATCCTGAGGACATTGGGCGTGTCGTCGCTCAGGTAATTGAGAACCCTAGTTCATGGAAAGGGAGCGAGGTTGAAGTCAATGCCGAAAACCTCTCCGTGGGGACATTGGTCGAATACCTGAGTGAGGCGAGTGGAAGGTCGCTGAAGGCCCAAAACTATACCAAAGAAGAAGTAGAGAAGCTTGCAAAAGTGCATCCAGTCGTCAACTTTGAACAATTGAGGCTCAAGGTGACGCCAAAGGAAGGGTTCAACGTAACCGACTGGAAAGTTGCTTTTCGCTTCAATACGTTTAAGCAATTCTTGGAAGACAACCGAGACTTGGTCGCCGAGACCTATAAGAACGTGCATGAGCAAGCTTAAGAGTCCGTCTCTGGATACAGCTTATCACCCAAATAAAAGTACGGGATTGGTCCATATATTTTCGGCACAAATTGGTAAATGACAAAAAACTGGACATTGAGAAGCCTCATACAAATTGGCACATAGCTTCAAGTTAAGAAATGATGTAACACGTTAAATATTAGAACTACTACAGCAGTGAGGGTTCAAAGGAGTGGCAAAACTGTAATGACGACGACCATCTTGGACGAGACTGGGGGTCTTTTGCATGCCGCTATCTAGTCCGCAACTAAACTTTTCTAAAACCTTGCACCTCTGCATCTGCTTGTCGGCTTTTCCTGGTACATAAACCTATAGCTAGACCAGGATTGAGTAAAAAGGTTCTAACTTGAAAGTAATAATTACTAATTACGTCGACCACATGTTCTTTTTTTGAAATCCTCATTCTCTCTTGCCACGGGTTATTGACATGGATTTTATCGAGCAACTACATGCATTATTGAAGGTTCACGACTCGCTTATACATACAACGAATGACTGACTGCAGGTGGCTGAACGGTCAAAGTGGACTGTGAGTTTTACTAGGTTTTCATACTAGCAGAACTTCGTCTCATGATTCTGAGCACATTGTCACATGTCTAAGACAGTACTACTTCGTTTGTAAGCTGTCTGATGGAATACTCGGCCTTGTCTCTGTATGGCCAAGAGAGAGAAGGGGAAAATGAAAAAGAAGGACTCCGTGGTTAAAATCTGAAATCAGGAGATGCATTGGAAATTGGTTATGTCTGTCCAGAAAGACAGCCATGGGACTGGCTGAGCTTTGCTCGAGTTGATATCTGCAACACATCATGCTCGCAGACTTATAAAGCAGACTGTTGGTAGTCACCATCGGGTTAATCTAATTACTGACGAAGGCAGTCGACTCAGCATCAAAAATCATGTAATTCGTGTGTGACAATGAACCTAGCCAAGTTTTGGTAATCATCCGCCTGTGACGTGGTCGCGCAAAAATAAATATTATTATCTTGCATCCAGACTGACGTTTTCTTTCCATAAGAGTATCTTCAATACAGCTGATGAACCACGAAATAAGAAATTACAAAATTGTTTTACCGAAACAACTTACATTACAGTCCTAGTCATGGTAGCTATTCTACCGGAAGGTCTAGCCAGATTGGCTATCCTGGTCGAACTCCGTACTTCCCAGGCAGTAGCAGTACCACAACAGGGAGTAGTACTAGCAGAACCCGTTCGAACGGTTCAAGCGCGGGCAACACGCTTTATTATCAGAACAGCAGTAGCAGTAATTCCCGTTATAGTAGTTCGAGGATCTAGAGCACACAGCACCACCTAGTCAATAGTTTCGGCAATCTGCGCCCCTCCGACCCCAGCAGCTAAAGTACACATGATCATAATGTCAATAGTAGAAATTATGGCAGTGGGAATTCAAGAAGCAACCGCTACAGCGTCTCAAGTTCATACTCTACCTCGTATGGCTCAGACAGCACTAGGGCGACTGCACTAGCACCTGTGCCGCGGACCACTTTGATTGTGGACCGAAAGCTAAGGCCGGACGGGTCCGTGAAACCATCGGTCCAGATATTTACTGACTGGGTAAGGAATGAACGCGATGATGGCGAGAATTCTCTTGTTATGTGCTAAAGCACTCACTCAACTCCGTTGGCTTCTGGTCATAAGTGCGTAATCGCTGCAGTACTATCTGCTCTCTTGTGAAAGGAATAGATGCGGCTGACGCCCTTTGAACTACCTAGTGTTCATCCGACCATCTCGGTGTATCTAAAACTCAGAGGAATAACAAACTTAGCCTTTGAAATAGTTAGATTTTATCAACTTGGCTGATATACCCCGAAAAGAAACGGGAATATGGGTGAGACCAATCATATGATGATTGTAGGCTTTCAAGAGTCTTGAACGTTACAGTATCCTTGGATAATCCAAATACAATAAAAGCGAGTTACCATTGTCATATGGCTACTGCCTGGAGAATAATATTTTTAAACTTAACATGACTTGGAAGTTTGACGGCTTTGGGGCAGCATGATGTTGATGGCTAGTGTTGATTAGTCGTTGAGAAGATAGATTTGATAGCCGAGTACTACTGAGGTTGGATCGCGCTGGTGCAATGCCGCCCGGTGTGTCGGTTGCTCGACGGAGAAATTCTCACAGGGTCCCTTTAGGAAATTCCGTTCAATGTCTGCGTGTCAGTCCGTTGGCTGATTGCGTGCTGCAGACAGTCCCATGAGTCCCAGATAACACTCGTTCGCCAATGCCAAGAAAGGCAGTTCACCCGTCCTGACTAACATTTGAAGGAAGGAGGGACGTCCCATTGAACCCTGAGAAGCGTCGTTCATTACCTAAATCTTGTCGCTGGTCAGTCCAGTTCTCAAGGTCTGGGCTCTGGGGACGAAATGTTGACAAATCGCGCGCCAGATGCGCTACGAATTTGCAACTGACCGCTGCACTTTGTAAAGTCGGCAATTCGTGGCCGGATGCATCGGAGAAGGATAATTGTGGTGGGTATGGAAAAAGTTGGAAAGAAGGAGTTACCCAATGGGTTCACAAAGTGAAGTTATTCTTACTCGATTTTTACTCGATGCTTACACGACGGCGCATTTGTTACAGGAATCTATCGAGAAATAATATGTCGACATTAATCTAAGACTTGCACTGGTGGCTGTTACAAGGCTCTTGGTTGGACAGCTAAACAACTAGGTTAGCCTAATGTGATCAGGGATGGTTCTATGAGCGACACCATGGGGAAAGTCGGGTCAACGCTGTAATTGGGTTCGGTCTTGTTCGGTCTGGCACAAAAATCATTGTCATCAGTGGAACTATGGGAAATATGACGCGGTGACCAGCACTAAAGAGCAGGATTGTTTTTATTTATTTATTTCGTATATTTTTTAGACCCGACCCGCAAGAATTCTCGACTCCTTTCGGCGACCTCCGACGACCTAGAGTGCGAGACCGTTTGCGCTCCTGATAGGCCGCTTGCAGCATTTCACATGTATGAACGGATCCAGTAAAAAGTCTATCAGCCCCAAGCTAGACCTGTTCCAGAAATCTTCCATGCGACAGTGCGCTAGCGAATCAAAATCTTCTGATAACAAGTGAAGATGGAATTCCAGGGTCCTGCCCGTGGGTTTGCTATCAACTATGACAATGCAGCCAAGCAGCTGCTTATCTGGACCCAGATCGCTTGCCTGCTTCGTCCTACCTCGACTTGCCTATGAGCGATTCCTGTTGGATGGAATGTCGGCATTCGTCCCCATAAACAGATAACCTTGATAACCTCCCTCCAGCATGCCACTTGACGCACCCCACAGAATGGGACTTGCGTCGGAATACGTAGGTGGATATCGGGTTGTCTCGTCTGAGGCAACAAGCCAGAATGAGTCGTTGTCCTCGTCCACCCCGAACGGCGCCGTCTCGGAAGCTATCTCCTTCTCTTTACCGCCAGACACTGCCCACTTATCCACATCCCTCCTTTGATCTCGTGTCTTCCGTACCATCCTGCTGGGAAGCTATTGTGTCTTTTCCTTCCTCCTTCATCTTCGCCTTCAACCCTCCCACATTCACTGACCTCTCATAATCCACCCGAGCTGTGCCTCCCGTTGTCCACTGCAAACAGCAAGGCGCTATTGTGGTTATTTGTCCTCGGCACTCCGCCATACTATAGTCGACCTGATACGCTAGAGCACTCAAGCCCGTTATCGTCGACGACCCTTGCTGTTATCAAAGCCGTTGCCGTCTCAGCCCCTGCTTCCCCGGATTTCACTGCACCTTATCAGGGCTAATACGTCAACATGGTTGCAGACGCTGCTCCTGGACCACTCACAGTCCTGGTTTCGACGAGGGCCGTACTGACCCTGCCTGACGACAGTCTTATCTTGACACCAGCCACTATATCTGTCTCTGCTGAGTCAGGCAAGATTGTGGCTATAGTGCCAGCAGTCCTTCCTCAAAGCTCCTTTCCACCTTCAGCCACATACGTCAACCATGGATCAAAACTACTGATGCCGGGATTGGTCGATGCCCATGTGCATCTCAACGAGCCGGGCCGAACAGAATGGGAAGGTTTCAACACTGGTACGCGTGCTGCCGCCTCTGGTGGCGTGACTACGGTCATTGACATGCCGTTGAATGCTATTCCGCCCACAACTACTGTTGCGGGCTTCAAGGAAAAGTTGGCAGCAAGTCAGGGACAATGCTGGGTCGACGTCGGCTTCTATGGTGGCGTGATTCCAGGAAACGCCGAAGAACTATTACCACTTGTCGAGGCTGGTGTTCGTGGTTTCAAGGGGTTTTTGATCGAGTCTGGCGTCGATGAATTTCCGGCAATTTCATCAAATGACATCGCACTAGCAATGAAGACTCTTAATGGCACACCAACAACACTTATGTTCCACGCTGAGATGATTCCACCCATCGCAGACTCTGTGGGCGACAAAGTACAAGCCTCCGAGCCTCCCTTGGCGCCCCATGGCGACCTAAAGGCCTATCAGACTTTCCTAGAATCGCGCCCACCCGTCTTTGAGACTTGCGCCATCGACGAGATCATTTCGCTCTCCCATCTTGCCACCAACCTGCATCTCCATATCGTCCATCTCTCAGCCATCCAAGCAATTCCGATCTTGAAGAATGCTAGGAGGAATGGCGTTAACATTACTGCAGAGACATGCTTCCATTATTTGGGCCTTGCAGCTGAGTCTGTTGAGGATGGAGACTGCCGGTACAAGTGTTGCCCACCCATCCGTGAACAGAACAACCAAGACGGGCTATGGGAGGAGCTCGTTGCCGAAGACTCGTGCATCAAGACCATTGTATCTGATCACTCACCTTGCACGCCCGAACTCAAATTGTTGCCGGCGCATCTGCAAACCATTGAATCATCACATATGCACCACTCTGACTCCGGTGTTGACATGACTTACGACACCGAGCATAAAGAACTTGAGAGGAAAATGACGCAGCCATCTGGACAAGGCGACTTTTTTGCAGCATGGGGCGGTATCTCCTCCGTTGGGCTTGGTCTGCCCATTCTATATACGGCCTCCAAACTTCGTGCACAGCAGTCCGGTAGTGTGCCAAGTCTGGTCGACGTCGTCAGATTATGCTGCCAATCGACCGCAAAGCAGGTCGGTCTATACCATCGTAAGGGTGCTCTCAAGGTCGGCATGGATGCCGACGTCTGCGTCTTTGACGACGCAGAGGAGTGGGTGCTACAGAGCAATGGTATGCACTGGAAGAACCGATGCTCACCATGGGAGGGCCATCAGTTCCAGGGCCGTGTCAAGGAGACATGGCTTCGGGGCAAGAAGATCTATGAGCATGGAGGCTCGAACCTCGGTTTTGTGACCGGCACGCCGGTTGGCGAGGCTATTGTTGAAAAGAGAACCGCGTAATATGATCGTGGTGTGATGTGATGGCGGGGTTGTGCCAATTGGAGACGTGAGCATGGATGGGTTGGGGCAAGTGCATATGGCTCCACTGGTTGATTGCGTGGCGTGCGATGGAGCAAACGAATTACGATTAACTAGATGCACTTCCATAAGGGTTGTGCAATAATGAACATGCATAGTACCAGGTTAGATATCTGCCACTACAAGACAAAGAAAACAACAAAGCAGTTATGCGGTAGTATCATGTAAACGGTCAAAATTCCTGAGCCTTAAACATGTCACGATCTTGAGCACTGTGAAATAATCATTATTCATCTCAACTCTAATCCCGGATTGCTTGGCCCCATCAATGATTGGATCACAGAAATATTGGTATGTGGTCAATCAGTGAAATGCGACCGAGCAGCTTGTGATTTCAATTCTCAAAGCTCAATGACAAGCCTTTCCTCACCTCTTGCTTCCCTATATCTCTGTGTAGCCTCGATCAATTCATCGCACCCTTTGAGTAAGAACCAATATTTCCTCGCAAACCCCTCGCTGACCTCCCAGCCGCTCGGCGCCCACGGTTCACCCCATACGATAATTCCTCTGGCTTCAATATCATCGTATCCTTCATACAGACCACCAAGAGCATCTTCACAGATGTCATCTAAAACAGTATTGTCTCCGTTTAGCATCATGTTGTCCCGCATGGTGGGGAAAGGGATCATGTCGATCCAAGGGTCGTGCGGGATCGATGCCTGCAGCGGCGTGGGCCGGAGCGCCGGTGGGATGGTGCTAGGTGCTTCGGGGAGGCAGGCGATATTGAATGCGGCACGGCATTCCAGCGGCATCCGATGCTGCAGCGACAGGATCGAGAGGTTGGTGAGTATGGCGCGGAGCGCGTTGAATTGGATCAGCACGATGAGTTGGTGGTCAGGCGACAGCGGGAAATGGAACCTCGGTGCCTGTTCGTCGACTCCGTCCGGAAGATATGGGATCATGGGTGGGATGAGACGGCTGGAGACGGTCCAGACGTCGGGGACGAATGGCTCTGCCTTGCCTGTTGACTCCACCGGTTCCGACCTTTGGCGCTCCCAGTATGCGTATGGCCGCAACTGCAGGTTGAAACATCTATTTGAGCGTGGTTGTAGGTATTTGTCGATCTCACTGTTCGGCCGCAGCAGACTTGCACTGACCAGCGCGCCAGGCAATGAGGGCTTATCTTCATGAGCGGCGTGGGCAACCTTCATGTCTCCGTCAGCGGGCTGTTGCCGGCCCTTTCGACGTCCTGTGAATCAGGCTCAGCGATCAACCGCCTGTGGAAATTGTCCGACATCAAAGACTTACGCCAAGCCCGTTGATGCAGACGGTTCTGCCGCCTTCGCCGTTCGGCAGGGTCGGCCAGACCAGACCAGTCGTCATCCCATGTACGCGCCTGTGTTGAAATTAAACTTGTGGGCCCAATGATTGGTATTCTTACAATATGTTACCTCTTCAATATCTGTTCTCGGGAAACGATGCTCGATCGCTATCGACGGCATGATGGGAGGTGGATCGCTGATGGCGAAGAGTGCGGATGCAGACAGCTTATCCTGCATGAACTGTGTATTAATTATAGCTTAAACGGGGGCCTCGGAAACAATCAGGGAGGCAGCGGAGAGATTCTTGGCTCCATGGTGATAGATCCCTAGACACTAAGATGAGACCACAGTTAGGTGCGACTTCAATCAATCATCTTGGCTCTCCCAATATGCAATGGTTCTGTTTGTAGCATTCCAGAGAATCTAAGGTTAGTCAATGGTCCAGCTTGTTAAGTTTGGGCCCATTTAAACCCTTGCTGCCATCCTAGCGAGCTGTAGACTGCTTATCCTGCATATCCGCTAAACCTGTTCCGGCCGTGTCATGTCTTCGTTGATTCTCTTGTGAACCATTACGGCCAAGGTTGGACCAGTGATCGCACTGAGCTATTCGTCTCCTGGCGTTGTGGTTTCGCATTGAAAGTGGTTGCGGAGGAACTTGTGATCTGAATTGTGCCGAGAGAGTCAATCTGCTAGGAAGCGCTAGCAGAGCTCGGATGATGGCAACTATCCGGGGGTCCAGGATCATACAAGGCATGGCCTTCAAATATTATGATGTATCCCCAGGAAAACTATCGCTTCCTTTCCCTCCAGATAACATTGAAGTCACGCAATAAGCACCCTCTGCGTGCAAATCTCCCTAATTCGAAACTCACAAGATTACCCAGCTTCGACTTATACTTGCAAACATGCCGGCCGCTATGTCTGGTTACACCGACTTCAACCCCGAGAAGGACATCCCGTCTTTGACCGGCAAGGTTGTCGTCGTGACAGGAGGTAAAATTTACTCAATAGAATGTAGCTTAGTATCAATGCTAATGACATGAAGGTACTGCTGGAATCGGAAGGGCAACAGTTCTGGCATTAGCCAAGCGTCAACCAGCCCACCTCTACTTCACCGGACGCAACACTAGATCTGCACAATCGGTTATTGATGGTGCCAAAGGGTCTAGTCCTGGGGTTGAGATCACATTTGTGAAGTTGGACATGAATTCCTTGGCGGCAGTCAAGGAGGCTTGTACCCAGTTCACCCACGATCGTCTTGATATACTCATGTCAGTGGTTAGCCTGATCCAGCCCTGCTATTTAATCATAGAGATCTTGCTTGTATCGACTGACCCTTGAGCTCGTCAGGTGTAACGCTGGCATCATGCAACAGCCTCCAGGGGTCAGTGTCAACGGGTACGAGAGACACTTCGCAACCAACCACCTCGCCCACGCGATGTTAATTCAACAACTGTTGCCGACAATGCTGAAGACAGCAAAGCTTCCAGGCTCCGATGTTCGCCTCATTATGACTACATCGCTGGGCTGGGTAATTCATCCAAAAGGCGGCATTCTCTTTGAAGCTCTTAAGACCTCCCAAGAGGGGCTCTTAGGGTCGTACTATACATATGGGTGAGTTCCGTGACCTTGAGATAAATACCACGCCAGTGTTTGGAGAAAATCATCAATAAAAGTTCTCATGTCAGGTGTGATAGACGTGCCAATGGCTAATATGGTATTGGTGGCAGACAGAGTAAGTTAGCGAATATCATCTACGCGCGCGAAATCGCACGCCGCTTTCCACAAATCATCTCTGTGTCAGTACACCCTGGAGTTGTCCAGACGGACTTAGTCAATGATCTCTCTTGGGCTCGCAGATATTTCGTTTACTTTAGTCAGTACGTCCAGGGTATTGGTACACTCACCGAGGCACAAGGATGTCTGAGCCAGTTATGGGCTGCTGCGGGTGCCAGAAAGGAGCAGATAGTAAACGGTGCCTACTACAGACCTGTGGGAGTGATGAGCAACGGCGATCTGAATAAGACGGCAACGGATCTGAAACTGGCTGAGAAGTTATGGATATGGACTGCAGATGTGTTGTCTAAATATTAGAAATCGCCTTAGAAGAAAGTCTCTTGGGTAGTTGACCTTTTGTAACTCTATAGTTTGTATATTGCATCTCCAATCAAGGCGTGATAGTCGCAATGAGTAGTTCCAGCAAAGAAGGTCTGAAGCTTGTGTTGAGATATAGCACTTCCAACCCTGATGACACACTCCGTTGGTGTTCCTCCGCGCTCCGCCCCCTCAGCAAATACTGGTCAAAGCCTGAATCGCTATCAGGAGTCGGCGATGATCGGAGAGCCCAACCCAGGATGTCGGTGGCTAGTCACGTTGCTTCGGTAACAGCTTTTGTTCTTTAGCGAAATTTATGTATCGATCTACAGTAATAGATAAGATCTCCAGGTAGACTGGAGTATAAGTAGGTCTGTTGAAAATACTAAATCCAGCCACTGAGTGGGTTCATGGCTCTCAAAGTAGTGGAAGCCTGGTCGAGGCCAGCTGATCACCGTCTCCATGGAAGTTGGGCGCCGGCTCTAATATCACACATTGTAGTGGTTCAAGGTTCATCCTTGGTTTCGCTTTTGATGTCGATACATAGTAAGTGTGGGTTTCGGGACCTTTGGCACGGTCATAAAATTGTTGTGGAAATATACTCCTTTTGACTAAACCCGGCCACGCTGACGCTTCCAAAGCAGCGATGCTTAGCAGCAAACTCGACCCTGAACAATGGGCCTTTCTGATCTTCGATCGTCGTTGCGGTGTTGCGAAAGTGGCCCGTCTGGGCCACTGATAATGCCACTGTTTTGTTGGGGCAATTAATGGCAGTCAATCTCAGTGTTTATGCGAGTTTGGTAGTTGCATCAAGTGATACATAATGTTTTGCGCCACTATTCGGCTCAGCGGAAGGCGGGAGACTCCCGACAAAGTCGATCCGTCGTCTCATGGGAAAATGTTGCAGTGCACTAAAACTCGGCGGCTACGAGCGCCTCACTTTTGCTGAAGCAGGTGCCCGCCCACGCGATGATGCTTGAGAACATCGGCGAAAACTTTCTCCCCCTCAAGTAATTGACCAGCCCTTCTGCTTATATGATCTGTACTAAGACCCGGTATTCTCAGAGTGCCACGTGAACCACCCGACGATCTTTTTTTAAAGATGAAGCTGATCATTTAGATTGCGGGCTCGTGCCGTTTGACGTCGGCGGTTTCGCATCTGCCGAGCCAGGGCCACAGAGTGGTGTTTTAGTGGCAGAGAGATCGGCCACGCCGCCAGGGTGAAAACATCAACTACACACGGACTGAAGACGCAACGCTGCCATCTCGTGAGCTCGGATGTCTTTGGGAGAGTAGATCCATACTTCACTATTGTGAGGCTGATAGCGCAATCTTTAGTGATAGAAGCTCATTGAGTCAAGCGCTGAGGCTGCGGGAAGGTAAAGCTTCTGACCTTAGTGCGATGTGATGGAACGGTTGTCGCTAGCATGAGTCGAACTCGTACTAAGCCTTGTAAGCTCATAAAGCTTTTCTCGATGCGAACTTCTAACACTTTCCTGGCCAAGCCAACTATTGGTCTACTGTAATATTGGATGAGAGTTGGCATGATTTTGTCTTCGTGGGTTTGCCTTTGTGCTCATTTCATCTGGTGTTATGGCTAGTCTCATCTGTATGAGCCGTTTCAAATAGTGACAGCTCCGTAGTAGACCTTACGTACACTGGTTCCCAAATTAGTTGCACTGGCTGAGCCTCAATCTGTTCCTGGAATTACCGGGGATCCCCATGTTTCAGTATAGCTGCTTGCTATAAGCTTGCCTTGGGAAAGCAGCGACCCCCATGGCAGCTCGACATTGCAGACTCAACTACTCCTCTTCGATATCGTCATTCTCAATTGATGGTTTTCCCCCTGCTTCCCCTCACGATGCTGTGGCAACACAAAATAACGGATTGTACTTAGGTTTTGTTGACAATGATCGTCGTCGTAGTATCTTGGTTCAAGGCGACATAGCAATGATGCATAGGTAACGATGGTCATAGCTTTCATGTATATAAACTCGTCACAAGGCACTTTACCAGATCAATTAGACTAATGCTCCAAACTAAAACGGCCGTCGATATTGATAGACTCGTTTCAGCTTTCTACGCCACACCTGAGCCAATCAACCGGACCATATTATCCTAATTCTGACGTGTGAGTGATTGCTGCTAAGGGGTAGTAAAACTGACAATATATAGATAACCCGCTTGCACTAAGGTGGCCTACCTTTCCATGATGGGCGGAAGCAACCGAGACAACATTAGTTACGAGCAGCTGCGACTGAGTGACGTCCCTTTGATCAAACCAACACCTATCAAGAAAGTAAAAAGTCGCCCATCAATACAGGACGCCATGCAACCGCCCATGGACCGCGCCGCCCTTGGAACGCCATCAACAATCAAGGCCATAGGCACACCATCGTCATCGACTAACAAGACGACGCTCTACACATCTTCGCTGGAAGACAGAGAAACAATCAATAGGGGACCGTCATTTGATGCTAAGACACCAATGGGGAAGAAGTCGTTAAACGCAAAACGGACTAACAGTATGAACACAACGTACACGCAACAAACACAACAAGCACACACACCGCAACTAGCGGCAGACGACTCAGACGGGGACAGGGAACAGCTAGGATCTTATTTTGACCAAGGACCAGCACCATCACAATTCCTTAGCGTGCGTGGAAGACCAATGTCCTTTTACGACATGAAAGAACAGACCAGACAAGCAAAGCAGGCCTCCATGGCCGCCAACAGGGACCAAAGGCAATCATGGCGCAGTGGAGAGATGCCGTACAACTATGCTGATATCATCGGCGATAATCGTTTCAGCTATGCGCCTCCAGCGATGGGTCGTCAGCAAGAGAAAAAGGGAAAAGCCCCGGAGGATATCTCGCCTATGCGTTTACCCTGGACGATGTGGATGCACAGCGAGGCGAAGAACATGTTCGTGGCAGCCTTGGGAGAATGGGTAGGGACAACAATGTTTTTGTTCTTCGCCTTTGCTGGAACGCAGGTCGCGAATGCTCAGAGTAAAACGCCCTCGGAGGCGACAACAACGAACGCAACGACGGGATTTAACCCAGTCGTCATGTTGTACATTTCTATCTCTTTCGGCTTCAGTCTCATGGTCAACGTTTGGGTCTTCTTCCGTATATCAGGTGGTCTCTTCAATCCTGCGGTAAGTGACTTGCCTCTTCAACTGCAACAATTGCTGATAAATCAACCTCTAGGTTACCTTGGCTTTGTGGGCTACTAGGGCCATCACTGCGCATAGAGCACTCGTCCTTTTTCTATCCCAGATTGTTGGCAGTATTACTGCATCAGCGCTGGTGTTAGCCATCTTCCCAACGCCTCTCAATGTCCGCACTACCCTCAGCGACGGTACATCATTGGCCCAAGGTGTTTTCATCGAGGCACTCATGACGGCAGAATTGGTCTTCACCATTCTGATGTTGGCCAAGGAAAAGCACCGGTCAACCTTCATCGCTCCCGTGGGAATTGGCCTCGCGCTTTTCATCGCTGAGCTCGTGGGCGTCTATTACACAGGTGGCTCTCTGAACCCAGCGCGTAGTTTCGGACCTTGCGTTATAACGGGCTCGTTCGACACCGAACACTGGATTTACTGGGTCGGCCCTTTTGTAGGATGCGTGATCGCGGTGGCATTCTACAAGTTCATCAAGACTCTCGAGTATGAAATGGCAAATCCCGGCCAGGACGGTGATGACGCCAATGATCCCACCAAGAATCCCAATCACGAGGTACGCGAAAAGCAGCGGGAGATGACAGCGAAAATTCTTTCGTCCTTAGGTTTTGAGCATCCGGCCTTGAACAATCAACATCCCGAGCGTGCAGCAGAGGAGGGCGCGTACCTCTCGGGTTCTTCGGTGCTGGATGACAGTGATCACGAAAGACGCGTGTATGGGATTACCAGCAATCCGGCCTTGGCACTTTCCACTGTCGCGTCAATGAGCGAGCATCCTGGCAGTCCGGTCAGGATTAGCAACGGCAACTCTGGAAGAACGTCAACGCAGGGAGAACGATAGTTCAAGACTTGTTGCATGGGTTTGGAGGATAGAAGAGCTATGAAAGCATGTGCTGGCGTTACAATGGTGTTCGGGTTTGGTTTTGTTTTACTTAACACTGTCGTTCGCCTTTAGCGTGATACAGCAAGCGTCATGGAAGGGGTCTTGCAAAACAGCATTTTGAATTGAATTGAATCCAGACATTTGATCCTCAACGTCTGTCAAAATCGAAGAGTTACAGTGGTCGACGGGATCGTGAATCTATGTCTCCCTTGAAGCATTATTCTCGCCATTGCGAAGACTGGATAATCGCAGCACTTCAGCCATACATAATATGCGCACTACTGTACGGAGTAGGTAAGGGATAGCAGCGGCGCGTGGAGTTTGTCTTCGAAGTCCAGTAACCTTAGATATGGCAGCCTCCCATCACATACCTGTGGAGGCTAATTGTAGGGGGGGTATCATGTTGCGAAAGAGCTGCAATGGTGCACAACCGAGTTGGGCAGCCAACCAACGGATTCTCAATCCTTCACATGATCGCTTATTTGCCGATGCTGCATCACGAAGAATGCAGAGATTAGCTAACCGACTTTTGTCAAAAAGTGGTTGAGCCAGAACGCTGGAACCCGCAGGGCACTTGTGCAAGCGATTCTCTCAGATATCATAACCACCCCGCCCCGACTAACCATGTTAGTGTCGCTTCCACTTTCCCCGACAGCTTACAAGCGAACCTTTAACCGACATTGAACAAGGTATTTTACACACGCCGCATTCCAACGCGATCATAGAAGACTTCGATAGTGGGACGCAACCCTTAAATTCATTTGTCTGATCTTACCCGGCATTCAGCTGTGGCCAGTAGAAGACGCCGAATAAGTTTGTTCTCGGAAGATGGCACCATGCCAGCAGGTTGAATCTCACCAATGCCGAAAGTTGTTGGGAGAGGATGAGGGTCTCGGGAGTTTGGTTTCCGAGAACCACTGCACTGGCTGGCAACTAACTTCACGGTCCTGCAGTTGCTATTGGGGGTTCCAACGTCCACGTTCTACAAACTCGATGACAACCCCCAACCTATCTATGACCAGAACCAAACATTTCGCAAATCATGAGACTTTCACAAAAGAGGAGTCGCAGTATTTTGTATACGTATCCCACAGTGCAGCCAATAGACCCTGTCATTGTACCTGAAAGCGGCGCAACCTGCTTTTTCGTCTCTCTCGAAATAGCGACCGAAGCACTGTGACAAAGCAGTTCCTCGCTTGCAGGCAACAAACCTTTCGCGTAGTTATGTCACGATGCCCAGCTAGGCGGTAAGCTGTTACGCTTTAATGCAGATCTAAGGTTGCATCCCTCACGAAGACTGTGCGATATTCCTCCCATCAAGTGTCGCTTATTCGGTCAATGGTCCCCTTCTAAAAGTTTGTAGCGGATTTTCTGATCAAAGTGATGCGCCATGGGCCGGTGCGCCTCAACAAACCAAGCCAGTTCGCAAGAGAAGTATGGATGTATCCATCTCGCTTCTCCACTATTCAAGGTCGCTTTGGTTATCCGAGTCCTGCAAGAGCCATACGTTAGGGAATTCCAGTTGTGGCGTTACATTGCCAATGTCGCTACCTTCCATGAAAATGCTGGTAACCGATCCTTAACCTATCATCCGGGTCATTTTCTGGGAGTCCAGAACATAACTCGGTGTCTATCACGCTTTTGTACCATTTCAATTTCTCAAATTTCTTTTTTCTCTCCATCTGAAACTGCAATCCTGCTGCCATTCGAGCATTTTTATATCGCAGGACATGTTTTAACACTATTGGCCTGCATCAGGCCGACTCAGAGCTTACAACCCTAGAACTTCTGATCACTGACCATCGGTGCGCGCCAATCGCATTGCTCAGATTGAGCATATCAAAGGCTCGAGGCGGTGCCCAGAGATTGGCGTCTTGTTTCGCAATGACAACAAAAGAATACCTAGTCCATGCTGGAGACCAGAGCCAGATAAACACTCAGGCGCATAGCCCGACTGACAAGGAGAAACTCGCATCGATTAGTTTAATGTCCACAGCCATGGCTGCCGGACGATCAGAGCCAAGACGGCAATCTTCGCAAGCTGCCATTGGTCAAATTTCTTTGGACGACGTGGAGCCTGTCGATATAGAGCTGCGAAACCTTATCGTAAAGGTCAACACAGCACCTTCTGTCTTCGAGCCAGCTACATATCCGGAACTGTTTAAAAGATTGGCGAGGAAGAACGGTACTGATACAGAAAGCAAGACACTACTCAGCTCTATCAATGCGTCTTTTCAACCTGGCTCATTGACTGCGATTCTAGGTGGGAGTGGATCGGGAAAGACAACGTTATTAAACACGATAGCTGAACGCATGTTCTCTAGTAGGCTATCTCAAAGTGGATCTGCTACTTTCAATGGATGTGAGGGAGTGCAATCTGTGAGGCATGCTTATGTTATGCAGCAGGACATATTATTACCAACATTAACGGTTCGGGAAACTCTGAGATATTCAGCAGAGTTGCGCTTGCCTTCGTCTATATCAAGAAGTGACCGGATGCGTGTGGTTGAGGAAGTCATTCTTGAACTTGGCCTTAAGGAATGTGCAGACACGAGAATTGGTGATAATCAACATAAAGGGTGTTCTGGCGGAGAGAAGAGACGAACGAGCATAGGGGTTCAACTACTTGCAAATCCATCGGTTCTCTTCCTCGACGAGCCTACCACTGGCCTAGATGCTACAAGCGCGCATCAGCTTGTGAAGACATTAAAGGACCTTGTTAGCAAAGGTCGAACCATCATAACCACTATTCATCAACCGCGCTCGGAAATATGGAATCTCTTCGACAATTTGGTCATCTTATCCCGTGGGGGTCCCGTATACTCCGGTCCTAGGGATGAATGCGCACCGTGGTTCTTGAGTCTCGGCTTCGAACCACCACCTTTTGTCAACCCAGCTGAATTCTACATAGACCATGCCGCTGTCGACAACCGAACGCCGGAGCTTGAGGAGGAGACTATGGCTCGTGTAGAAGGACTCAAGACAGCATGGAATGAACAGGCGATGGTAAAGTTCCGGTCAGCTATGAGCGTAGACCCCGCAACTCCGACGAAATCAACAAAACGTGCACAAGAACAGCATGCTGGGTTGTCTCGTCAGATCAGGGTTTTGACCGACAGAACACTCAAAGTAACAGTGCGGGATCCCATGGGAATGGCGGGTGCTTTGGGTGAAGCTATCTCCATGGCTATCATCTCAGGCTACATTTTCTATGCTCTTCCCCGAGACCAGTCAGGCATCCGATCCCGGCAAGGCGCACTTTACACTTCTGTCGGTCTGCAAGGGTATCTGTATCTCATGTTTGAAACGTATCGACTCACTGTTGACATACATACGTTTGATCGTGAACATAGCGAAGGCTATGTCACGGCACTCCCCTTCATCTTGTCGCGACGGATAGCTCGTTTCTTTACGGAGGACATTCCTGTGCCGTTCTTTTACAGCATTATCTACTACTTCATGGCTGGATTCGATCGTGAAGTGGGGAAGTTCTTCACATTCTTTTCTATCATCCTCTTGAACCACTACATTGCCATTATGTTGGCATTGACCTGCGTGGCGGCTGTTCGACACTTTCCTGGCGCGAGTCTAATTGGAAATTTAGCATACACACTGCAGAGTATGGCATGTGGCTACTTTATACAAAGCAACACAATTCCGGTTTATGTTCGCTGGCTCAAGTATGCCACTTACACAGTAAGACCCTCATTTTATCCCCTTGCAAACGACAGTCTCAATTCCGAGATATCCATGAAATGTAATCCTTCGAGATGGCGACGGTGCTGCATGCTGACTTACACAGTACTATGCTTTTGGGGCTTTATGCGGGAATGAGTTCGAAGGTAGCTTCTACGACTGCCCTCTTGAGGGGGGTGCTACGAGTTCAGGCTGTGTCTCATACACAGGCACCTATATTATGGACAATCTCGGGTTCCCTCGAGATTGGATCAGACGACCAATTCTAGCCATGGCCGGGTTCTTGGGGCTGTTCTGCCTTACATCATGGTTCGGACTTGCCTTCCTGAAAGTTGAAATGACTATTGCACGTGCAAGAACTACCAACAAGGATTTATCAGTCGGCAAGGAAAAGATGAATGAAAGATCCGTACAGGAAGTGCGGGCTATTGATGTTGGGCTGGAAAATTTTGGGCTGGCGCTGGATAAGCGATCATCAACAGCAAAAAAGCTGCCAACGAAAACGATCCTGAACCATGTGAACGCGAATTTCCAAGCCGGCCAGCTCAACATGTAAGTACAGACAAGAACACCGAACTCTGATTTTAACGCGTCACAAGCTAGCAGTCCAAATGTCGTAGTAGGCACCTAGCAAGGACTCCTACTTTACTGCGCTCTGTCAAATCGGAGAATGCGAAGCTGATGATCTGTAGTATCATGGGCCCATCAGGCAGTGGGAAGACTAGTATGCTCAATGCGATGGCGCTGCGACTCAAAAACTCCTTCAGTACAAAGTACCGGCTATCCGGGAAACTCACCTTCAATGGAGCGGTTCCTTCCGACTCAGTCATCCGGTCTGTTGTCTCTTACGTGTGTCAGGACGACGACGCATTGCTACCTTCACTCACCGTCCGCGAAACACTGTGCTTTGCGGCAGGGCTACGTTTGCCATCATGGATGGGCAAGCAACAAAAGGTCGATAAGGCTGAAGAAATCCTACTAAAGATGGGCCTGAAGGATTGTGCGGACAACCTTGTGGGCAACGATCTGGTCAAGGGCATCTCGGGCGGCGAGAAACGGCGTGTCAGCATTGCTGTACAGATTTTGACAGATCCTCGGGTACTCCTTCTGGATGAGCCTACTTCTGGACTCGATGCTTTCACTGCCAATAGCATCATGGAAGTCCTCGATGGTCTAGCCAACGAAGGCCGAACGCTAATTTTAACTATACACCAAGCGAGGTCGGATCTCTTTGAGCACTTCGGCAATGTGCTTTTACTCGCCCGTGGGGGGTCACCAGCATACGCGGGGTCTGCAAGGGACATGCTCGAATATTTCGGCAAGCTTGGCTATCAGTGCCCGCAACACACCAATCCCGCAGACTATGCATTGGATCTCATTACCATTGACTTGCAAGAGGAAAAACGAGAGGCCGACAGTCGAGAGAAGGTCAAAAGGCTGATTCAGGCTTGGCAAGAGCACGCTGAGGGGCGGCTCGAGAAAGAGGGCACCACTGTCAGCCTCGCTGCTACTGGTGATGCACATGATGCTTCCAGAGAACACACGTCCGGCCAGAATGGTCGAGCAAGTGATGAGATCCAGCTTGAGCGAAAAGATCCGACTGTGCCTGGCCGTAAGTCATTGAGTAAAGCTACACTTGCAACTCCTGCGGAGCTTGGCGCTATGGTGCAGAAGCGCGCATCGTTTGCAACAGCGCTGCCTTTGCTAATGCGCAGGGCCATTATCAATATTCGGCGACAGCCTCCATTGATACTGGCAAGAATCATGCAGGTCCTGGGCCTTGCGCTGGTGCTCTCGCTCTTCTTTGCGCCTCTACATAACGACTATCCGAGTATTCAGAACCGTGTGGGTTTCGTCCAAGAGGTGGGCGCGTTCTACTTTGTTGGCATGCTCCAGAATGTTGCGGTTTACCCAGCAGAACGCGAAGTCTTCTATCGCGAGGATGACGACGCCGTCTACAGCATCGAGGCGTTCCTGGCTACTTACACGATCCTCGAGGTTCCCTTCGAGATCATTTCGTGCTTCGTCTTCGGCGTACTTGCGGATCTGGCTGTCGGGTTCCCCCGCACGGTCGAGATGTACTTTGTTTGCGTCTTCTGCTGTTTCGCGATCGTAAATTGTGGTGAGAGTCTTGGCATCATGTTCAACACATTGTTCAACCACACCGGCTTCGCTGTCAACGTCATTTCGGTATTGCTGAGTGTGGCACAGACGATATCAGGTATCATGTCGATCGATATGCCCGAGCTGTTCAAGGCATTCAATTACATCAGCCCCATCAAATATGCGGTCGCAGCACTATCGCATTATAGTCTGAAAGGCGTGCAGTTCACTTGCAATGATACGCAGAAGTTGCCGAATGGTGAGTGTATCATTGCGACGGGTGAGCAGGTTTTGGATTTGTACAAGTTGAACGTCAATGGGCCAGTAAATCTTGGGGCACTGGCGGCTGTTGTTGTGATTTACAGGCTGGTCGCTTGGGCATTATTGCGAATAGTGAGGACGAGATGGAAGAGTGTTGTTGAGAAGACCAGGACGGCATAGAAGATTACAAAGAGGTTGCAGACCATTTCCTTGGTAGCACCTGCATAAAAAAATGCAGCACATCACATTCTTGCTCATCACTTACCGGCGGTGTACTGGAATTTGTTTGCTATTACATGATACTGGACCCACATTCATCGGCGTTTGTCTACCAATGCGCTTGTCGCCGATGATCCATGACTCGGTCATCGACAGAACTATTGGATGATTATCAGTCCAAGTAGCCAGCTCATAGAGCACGGAAATAGTGAAGGGAAATCCCGGCACATCTGCTAGGAGTTTTTCATGGCGCACCAAGGTGTCCGACGACAAGCAAAGACTGTTCGAGTATTGAGGCTGTAAGGCTCCTTGTTCCGGTTCTGTTGTCGAAAAATTGGCACTTCACAATCCAGTTTAAATTAACGCCGGCGGCCGCTACAGCCCTGATGCATGGCTTCAGCGGGGTACGGCTCCAAGCAACTTACTCCTCAAAGTTATGCCACGCGAAACCCTTGTTTGTTTGGAGGGGTAGCTTAAAGCCAGAAATGGCACCCAAAACCTTGTCAATAGCCAGAAAGAGTTAGTTGTGCCGGAAGATCACTTCGATAAGCCTCGGAGCTCTACATACAACGTCATGAACTATGATGCACAAGAGAAGCTCTTCGTTCATCCGGAAAGCTTCTTCCCTCGTTTCCCGTCAATACGACGTGTGTGCTGCACGATTTGTAAGCTAAGTCTTTTCAATGGATCGGGAATTGAGCTGTGGAAGTTTCAAGATACCTTAGCGCAGCAATCGAAGTCAGTTGGTAAAGTGTACGTATATAAGCGGTCGCTTGTTACCCGAGTTCTCCTCGTACAAGCTGTAGATATCCTGCCACCTGATCATACAACTCCCCGCCACATCTGAATATATCCTGCAATATACCAACCTACCGCCAAAACCAGATCAAAAGACTTCACAATGGCACCCAAAGTTCTCGTCGTCCTCACCTCTTACGGTACAATTGAAGGCACCGACCACAAGACTGGCTGGTATCTGGTGAGTCCGCTCCACTGCACATTCCCGCAACCCCCGCAAACTAACACAACTCCCTTCCCAGCCCGAGCTTGCCCACCCCTACGATGTCCTCGAACCCAAGACCGAGCTCGTTATCGTCTCGCCTAAGGGTGGCGAGGCACCACTAGACCAGAGCTCCGTCGAGGCTTTCAAAAGCGATCCCTCCTCGCAAAACTTTTTGAAGAAGGACTCGCTCTGGAAGAACACTGCCAAGCTCTCCGACTACCTCGGCCGCTCCTCTGAATTTGCCGCCCTCTTCTACCCAGGCGGCCATGGTCCCATGTTCGATCTTGCTACTGATAAGGAGAGCATCCAATTGATCAATGAGTTCGTCGCTGCCGGCAAGCCCGTTGCCGCTGTCTGCCACGGTCCCATCGTATTCACAAACGTTACGTTGCCCAACGGCAAGCACCTCCTCGCTGGCAAGGAGGTCACCGGTTTCTCCAACGTCGAGGAGGACCAGGCCCAGATGACGAAGCTGATGCCGGTCCTGCTCGAGGACAAGATCAAGGAGGCTGGTGGCATATACACCAAGGCTGCTGAGCCTTGGGGTGAAAAGGTCGTCGTCCAGGACGGCGGCAAGTTCATCACCGGACAGAACCCCGCCAGCGCGAAGGGCGTTGGTGAGGCCATCGCCAAGGCAATTGGCGTCTAAGCATCAAGATACCCAACAAGCGGGAATACAGCCCTAATCTTGATTATGTAGCTCGTTAGTGCGCTGAAATAAATGAAGTAAAATCTTGCAACCGCCTCTCTCATAACACGTGATGCAGTCATTTATGAAGTTGGTATCCTCAAAATCTAGGGCAACTGGGCGACAGTAGCATTTCGGCCCGTTACCCGATGATGAACGTCTGTCCGGGAACCCTTCAATCCGATGTTAGCACCTCTACTACTCGAGAACAATTTCCATTTGATCGGAATAAGATTTGAACGATACTTGGCGACATGCATTACACAATCTGCGATGAATACACATGGTCTTGCGCGGGCGGGTCCACTTGGACAGTTTACATTTGACGTGCGGCTGTAAGTTCAAGCGCACCAAGCTTGGCATTTCTAGCCTTTGTATACGCTGGGGCGCTCCGGAAGCGGTTAAACGGCGATGTCCCCAGAGTCTAGATTCATCTGAAATATAAAGATTCGCACGCAAACGAGTGGACCAATCCTTGGTTCAGCCATGAGCTTACGGTCTAAGAACGTGCACCTGCTGCAAAATAGCATTGTGAAATACTCTACTCGACAGATGACTACCATGACATCCTCTTTACCCTTCATACTCCTCTTTAACCCCATCAAACACGCCAAGCCTTTCTACAATGGTCTGCAAGAGGTTGCGCGTACAGAGGTGGTCACGAGCAGATCAAGACATGAATTTTTTAATGACGTCAAAGATAAATATCGGGATGTGTCCGTTATTTACAGAACATCAGCCAGTGGTGCCGTGAGTGAACAAATGCCTTACCATCAATAACGTGGTCTATATACTCACCATTTCGGTGCATATAGGTCGCCGGCAACTTTGACCAAGAATTCATCAACAATCTGCCGGAGAGCTGCAAATATATCTGTCATAACGGGGCGGGCTACGACCAGATCGACCACCGAGCATGTGCGCAGAGGGGAATTATTCTCACCTACGCCCCTGACCCAGTGACGGAGGCCACAGCGGATCTGGCCATCTGGCTACTCTTGGGTGCGCTCCGGCAACTCAACCCGTCCCTGAGATCTTTGAGAGCTGGCAACTTTAAGAAAGGTGTGGACTTCGGTCACGATCCGCAGGGCAAGGTGCTGGGGATCATCGGTATGGGGCGCATTGGACGAGCCATCAAGAAGCGGAGCGACCCGTTTGGGCTGATCACCTGCTATCACAACCGACGGCCTTTGTCGGGAGATGAGTCCGCCGGCGCGGAGTATGTGTCCTTCGAGAAGCTGCTGGCAGAGAGCGATATTATCAGCGTCAATGTACCGCTAAATGCCACTACCAAGCGCTTAATCGGAGCCGATGAGATAGCTAAGATGAAGGACGGCGTCGTTATTGTCAACACGGCTAGGGGCGCCATCATCGACGAGGCGGCCCTGGCCGATGCTCTCGAGAGTGGTAAAGTCGCCGCCGCTGGACTTGATGTTTATGAGCGCGAGCCTGCCATTAACGAGAAGCTCTTGAGACAGGAAAAGGCACTTATGGTCCCACACCTGGGGACACATACGACTGAGACATTGGCCAAGATGGAAACATGGGCAATGGAAAACGCCAAGAGAGCTGTTCTTGGTATGCCGTTACTGTCCCCTGTGCCTGAACATCTTGATCTAGAAGCACGGCGGATCCAAAGCATGTTTTAACATATACAAAGGCTGTCGGCCTTAAGATCATTTTCGTTGTAAATTCAACTCAGATCACATATTACAAATTTCGTATTGGTGCCTAAGCTGTTATGTGTGAGATATGTAGACATCTCGAGCGCAAACTCCGCATTTTTGATCGCTTAATCGAGATGACAGCTTGTTAAACAGGGGCATAGCACAACAATATACAGCACATTGTACTTGCGATCATGGATTCCACTTTCAAGGTCTCAACAGGTTCTGAAGGCCTATTATTGGATCAACTTGTTCACGAAGAAAGCTTTCTGACAGGTGCTTGGTGCACTGTTGGTTTTCATTTTCGCAGATATCGTGAACTAGGAGTGCGAAGTTATGGTGATTGGTGCGTGTTCAGTCTTGAGTATTGTCGACCCTCACAGAACTATCACAATTGAGGCTGCCCAGAGGACCGCGCATATATGCTGCTGCACAAAACGAGCCACTATTTTCGGTGCAGGTCTTTCCGATCCAGCTCAAGTGACTCGTTCACGTGCGCCTTTCCAGCGATAGGGCATAGTGATATATAGCTTAGATCGTGGCGTTACTCCGACCGCTGTGAACCGAGCGGCTATACAATGAACCGCTCTCCCTTGTTGCGTGACTAACATGAAGCGCGTAAGTTTAGCCGATCGAGGCACACCACATAACCATTGATGCGTTGCATCCCAGTTGCGAGTTAATGTTTAAATGTATAAGATTAGCGATATAAGAGCAATCATTGGGCCTGCACTGTGTTCAACTTTTTAACCTCTGGACTGAATTCACCAAGCACTATTGTTACTAGGCCAGCTAAAGCTGCTAGCAAAATGGTCAAGATCGCCCTCATCGGTGCTGCAGGCCAGATCGGTACTCCGCTGAGCCTGCTGTGCAAAGCTGTAGGTCCCTTTTCTCAAGGGCGACGACCGTTGTCAGACTAAGAAATTCATGAACTAACGCCGCTTTTGTAGAGCGACCTATTCGATGAGATTTCACTCTACGATCTAGTCCATGTTCCAGGCATTGCGACGGATTTGAACCACATTGACACAAAGGCTAAGGTGTGTGGATATCTGCCTGACAATGATGGGTTAAGGAAGGCGCTCCTTCGGGCCGATATCATCGTCGTCACAGCCGGTATCGCACGTAAGCCTGGAATGACTAGAGACGGTAAGTCACTGTCTATTCATCGAACATGTCACCAAAAGATCGGTATGATCGACTGACCAGAAGGGCTCATGCCTCAAAAGACCTCTTCAAGGTGAGATCTACGACCCTTGCACTAGGGTGTCAAGTCATTGCGCTGATCAAGTCGCTTACAGACGAATGCGAGCATCATCCGGGACATTTTTACCGAAGTGGCCAGAACGAGCCCTGAAGCCATCAGCTGTGTTGTCACGAACCCTGTCAATTCGACCGTTCCCGTGGCATCGGAAGCTCTGCGCCTTGGCGGTGCTTTCAATGCTACTCGTTTGTTCGGCGTGACAACTCTCGATCTCGTGCGGGCTTCGACTTTCATCGCACATGCTTTGGGAGGGGTTCATGATCCCAAACAGTTCAAGGTGCCGGTCATCGGAGGTCACAGCGGCGGTACCATTATCCCCCTCTATAGCCAGTCAGAGCCCAAGGTTGATCTCGGCGCCGAGGAACTGTCAAAAGTCATTCATAGTGAGTCTGGATCTGTGGTAAGCGACAGGCGTGTGTCAAAAATATGCTAAACAAAGTGAAAAACACTCTAGGAGTTCAATTTGGTGGGGATGAAATCGTTCAAAGCAAGCAAGGTGCTGGAAGTGCGACGACATGTATGGCTTATGCTGGATTCAGATTTATAAAAGCTCTTTTGACTGCCAGATCAGGCACTCCCGTGGTAGAGGAAGCCTACATCTACCTTCCAGGCGTCCCTGGTGGTGAACAAATTGCGGCAAAGCTGGGCGTCGACTATTTCGCAGTCAAGGTTGTTCTGGGTGCCACTGGTGCTGCGAAGGCTCTGGATTTTGGTACTTTATCAGGGAATGAACAGAGATTATTGGATATCGGGCTGAAGGATGTCAAAATTAACATTCAAGCTGGACAAGCGTTCATGGCAGCGTAGATCAGTAATTTTGGTTTCGGCCTGGTTGTGTAACGGCGGCACTGCGTTCGCTCTTACACACTGTCCTTTTAGTAATATTAGGCTTCTGCACTTCAGCAGTCATTAATCCAATCCATTGAGCAGTACACTTTCTCAATCCCCAACCCAATCAAACACGTAAGATTACAAAAGACCGACATCCAGAACGTTTTCAGTTTACATGTATTTTCCTAGTCGTATCCATATAATGAGTATGGTATGCTAAAGATTAATCGTTACCGTTTGAGTAGAATTCTTAGAACTATGAAGACTAAAGGTATACATAGGGTCAGACCCACATTTGCTTATAGGCTGTCATAACCAAGCGAGCACTTGCGGTGTCCAGAGACCATCTGGGTACTAGAGCCAGGCACATAGATAATTTTCGTGAAAATCACATACGCGAATAAGTATACAACCTCACCTACATGGTTATTTTTGTTGTTGATTGCCCTTGATATCGAGCCGCAAAACACGTCACGTGATGGCCCAGTATTGATGAGTCATTTAGGCCAAGACTATACTTGTTCGTAACATTCAATTAGCCAGTCCAACCCCATGGTTTAGGCAGCAATTGATCGAAGTCCTCCAGTATCCTCATTCGCAATACTGCATAGAAAGCTTACCGTTGCATTGATGTCAAACTTGCATCATGGCAGTGACAGCTCCCGATACTGCGCACACAGCACCTGTGATACCATTATCGGAAGGATCACACAGATCTCTGGCTTCTATGGTTGTACTAATACCATGGGATCCAGATTCTCAGCAGCATATAGAGCGCTTGAAGCAACAGAGAATCGCCTGTGGATGGAAGGAGGAAGCCGTCGAAGGTTGGAGAGAACCTCAGCGGGGAGGGAAGATTGGGCTACATTGGATCGTAAGTGATATCTACCTCGTGCCCGAATTGAGCATGATATGCTGTAGGATGTTGCTTCTCAAGGATCAAGACGTCGCCAATTGAGGCCATAAAGGAGGCCAGATCCTAATTGTACCCCAGAAGCGGTAGCAACATCCGGAAAAGTCAGATACTTCCTGTGTCCGAGTGTCCTCTGTGGCATCTCTTTCAGATATATAGCACACTTCGGTGCCAATATCACAGATGTTGACTTAAATATAGGCGCTTACACCCACTCATTCCGATGCGTCGTCTCGTCTAGAGCAACACGTGACAGCCTACCCGAACGAGTCGATACCCTTGAGAGATACTTGTAAACAAGTATTCTCTCGTCCGCATGCTCCTGATCCACAAGCCAGCTCATTCTTACCAATCGGACATATCTCACTTGACGTATCGGTTCCCCACCCAGAATTGCAGACATCCGCGTCAGATGGCGTATACGCAATTATGAACTTCTATGTTTCCCGAGCGCTTCATAGCGGTGGTATAGGGGCGGCCGCTCTCGGCGCCTGTGAAAGGTATGTCTTTCTAGTTCGCAACGGCCTTGTCTTCAATGCGCTCTGACAAGGAGAGCGCAGGATGGCAGCCGCCGATTTCGGTGCCAAGGCAATGACTCTCAACACCGTCAGCAACAAGGAGTGCACTCCGGACAATCCCAGGAGGATAGCCATGGGGAAGACGGATATTCCCAACGTGAGTCCTTTCGTTCCCGTGACATTTCGTGCTCAACAACTAATGCCATATCAGCCCACGGTCCAGGATTGGTACGCGCGGCGAGGTTACAAGGTCTACCAAAGCAAGGCAGACGCATGGTTCGAAACAGACCCTACAGGAAAGCGTTGGGGAGTCACATGTGTTTTCATGAGGAAAGAATTAGTATCGGTATCGTGAGCTTGGACACTGTAGGGGGGTGTGGCACAATCCCCACACACAACGTGGTGATCTGCGAGGTAGTGGTTCCAAGCGGCGATGCAGGAGGGTTTTGGAAGAAAACTGTCTCTGGCGCCGTGGGAAAGACAACTTGGCTTGCATACCGCTGCAGGAACTACTTGTTAACCAGCCCGACTGATAGAAGAGGCCGCGTGTATAATGGTCATAGCAGCCGCGGTGCCGTGGGGTCTAATTATGGTTATCGTGTTAGCCTCTGGCCTTATTGGCCGACTATTACTCCTAGAACACGAACTACATACTGGGCAAATTTATTTGACGCAATTATGCTCTACTGTGTCGATTGTTAAGGTTTACCTCATTATGTTGACCTGGAGGTGAGCACAAGTGAATTGTGGATGTATATACATGGTTGTCATGTCATTCCACCCTCCAAATGCCATGTCGCCATAGGGCAATTTTTTGTGTCTTGGATGGCTGTTTCCAAAAAATTTTTTACCAGTTTTTTATTTCTTTCTTATTTTCTTTATTCTCGCGTTTCTAATCCATAGACCATGTGTCAAGCTTATCGTCAAAGATTCTTAACATGCAGCAGCACAGAGCATTATGCCAAACGCTCCTGCCAAATCCGGACTGCAGCCATCCCTTGTATGCATGCATACCATATGCAGATAGGACGAAGCTGCAACATCTTGACCACGTTGTGAGTCTGATTGCCTGGGGTCACCATCCCTGTTCAGATCGCAATGTCTTCACAAGGATTTCCGCACCCGCATGGTATGACTGGATACACCTTGAGACGAAGACAGCGTTGACATATTAAACAACCACGCTCGGTAGCTTCCGCAGATGGACAGGGGCTTGCGAGATTATATACGAAGCCGCTGTATTGATTGCGGATATGTCGTGGAGAACGCTCGGCGGGAACCGAGGTGACTATCAAAAAGCAATTAAGAACACCCTGGACGATGACGAAGCTCTGCGCTTTCACATGCGGAGTTAAGTTTTATTTGCGACTCATAACCTAAGTCCCACAGTCGTTTGGGGGGAGACAAGGCTCTACCCCCAGCATACTCCATACTGAAAGTGCAAAAATGACCGCCCCACGACGACGTCCGTACCTGTAAACCTCGCCTGGTAATCAAGTAACCTATATATTCCCTTTTAATTGGTCATCTGCCATGCTGGAAAATATTTCGGAGACTCCACCACGGGTTCCAGCTTGCAAGGTTGAATATGCATGCAGCCAGATTCGAATATTGATTCCGACCCCGCATATGACCAGGGTCACCTACATACGTAGTACAGATTATGGCGAAATGTCCAATAATTGATGACATCTGACATGGGCTGTAGAAGCCAGCCGCCGGCCGAAGCTCGTCGCATCTTTCGTGCCGATCCGGAGGTCACGTCGATTTCAACGTCGGTCGCGGTTGAGTGCAAGTGTCCAAGCGTCGGCTCATAGGGGGTCGACGATTCCAGAATCCGAGGGAGGTCTACAGTCCACGAATATTGAAAATGCCTAAATCTGAAGCACTTATAGCCGGGAAGCAGGAATCAGGAAGGATGAAATTAACCCAGAGGTCTTCGAGCGGATTTGGATGTGATTTACTGGCCGAATTACCAGTGTCGGCGAACGTGACTTGAGCCAGTAACGCTGTCAGACGATGTTCCCATGACATGCTATAATTATACACTTAATCTAATGACAGTCTCGAAGCCCAGCCGACTTGTTTCTTGTTGATACTCCACGAAGAAGGATGCGCTCGTGTCCATCCTGAGCCTCTTGTGCATAAAACTTTCACAGGCTTACATGCAATAATTAAAACCCGTGTCGCGTCTGAGATGTCTCATAATGCGTGGGGTTTTCCAAGTGAGCCGTTATAGGCCGCAAATCAAGTCATAGAACATGATAAAGGATGACCTTGCCACATGAATGTTGAGTTGCGTGTAGTATAATGTCATAGCTCTAGTCACTCATGAGCACATAAGTTTGACAGGCTGTGGGCTTTGCTCATGAGAATCGAGCTTGATGTGAATGCCTATTGTGTTAGGCAATCGTATCTAGCTTCTCCCTTGGTTGTTGGCATTATCAAAGATGGGTGTTAATAGACATTGAGACGGGGAAATCTTGAATCGCACCAACTGCACGGTAATTGGTAATGTCTAGTTGGCAACGTATCAGGGCTGAGGATGAGTAAAGTACTGTATCCGAACCCAATTCATGAGTATCCCCAAAATAGAGGCGAGTTAGTTTTCATCAATGTTTGCTGCCCAATTCTGAGCCATATGATATGGACACCTCGGACAGCGTTTGGCTTTAGAACTTCGCATCAAAAGCTGATCAGCTCACCAAGAAATCGGTAAAAGCGTCAGTCCAGCAACTACTGAATCGTCACCGAAGACTTGACAGGCAACCCGAAGCGGTGAGATGGCGTGAAGGACAAACCCTGCACCTGAGACCCTAGAGCCTGAACTCATCTACCCTTCGGTCCGCCGCGCCATCATGGGAACAACAAAAGATGTGCGAAACGTTCGAAGTCTCCACTGGCAAATAGCCTTGAAGAATACGGGGTCTAACCTAGCAGCTCATGCCCTGGCGATGTCGACATTGACGGGAGATCTGCACTGCGAGCGCGAGTCATTGTGGTTGACGTTGGACCTTGGTGGTACAAGCCTCCACCGTTGGTTCCCGACTTCTCCACAGATTCATTGGCCTAGTTTGCAATACGATCTGATTACGATGGTTGCCGTTGTCTCCAACTGACCAGCTTTACGCTATTAAGTGTTAGCCTGACCGGTTTGATAATATGGGAGTGCGCCACGACTCGAATTGGTCGTAGAACGGTACAGGTTCGTATTATGAGGGTCGCGCTGAAGGTTCGCGTTCCTTCTTGTAGCGATCGTTACTACGCCGCGTTGGCTGGATCTTGCTCAGAATGCCTCTTTAGGAAGCAACAAGCGTGTCGCCACGAGCCATGCTGAGCCTGTGACTACTGTGGTAGAAGATGCATATTGAAAACAAACAATGCCAAGGACTATGGAGTAGGTTTCAAGGTCGATGAGCCCTTGCGATATAGTTGCGGTCTTGCAAATGCTATGACGGGGAGCTTTAAGGCTTCAGTGAAACGCACAGACAACACGGCCGCCTTCTGATGATTTTCAGTCTTGGCAGCCCTAGGAATGAACGACTCTTCATTAAGACTTGGTAACATCAACCAAGACACTAGGTGAGGCCCGTGATATTTCGGCGCCAAAGATTCATCGCCTTACGTGGTTTCGACTTGTCTATCATGCCTTTTCAGGTCTTCAGATGCGAGCCTCGGTGGACACCCATCCAGTCGAGCCAGTCTCATTACTCGGCTGGAGGACATTCCTGCATTGTGCAGGAATTAGTGGTGGACAAAAGCCTGGGACCTTGGAAGTTAGAGCATTATTTGTTGTTAGTGGGCGCGCTAGGTCCCTTGCTACGGCTAAATCGACGAGAACTCCACTGAATGGAAGGGAACCTTAACTGCAATTGATACCAGCGGTGAGGTTTGGGTTTGAGTTTTTGAGTTTTTGATATACCACAGTAGTTGCCATATAGAAGAGTTTCGACAATTTGTAGCATCAATACAACCAATTGCCAATCTCGAAGCACATCAGGGCTTGTAATGAAGGTCGACCTTGGAAAGCGGGAATATGGACTTCGGCATTCATTCAGACAGACTTTTATGAAGCACAGAGGAGCAACAGCATATGCCATTGGCGATGGACCAGACTAGGTACAATTCATATTCGCGCTGCTGTTAGATAGTAGCTTCACTTGTGGACCAATCTTTTGATTACTAGCCGCTGCTCTGTTCCAACTTATGACCCCTTCCAAATCAAGTTCGATACTTGTAAGTACCTCTGGAGCCTACGCCGAAGATACATACAATCTTCAAAATCATTCTAGGTGCTCTGGAAGTTCATCTTGACGATCATGCTGTGATGCTCCTGCATGGGCACAGATTCTAGGCCAAGCGGCGCACGAATCAACGTCACCAAATCTGACAGTTAGCGAATTGAGCTGAAAATGCTGCAGAGGATTAGCAAATAACTCTCCATACAGACCACAGTATTGTCCTAAGGTGAGCACTATCCCACGCCTCCTCACCTGATTACTTCAGGCGTGTTGAAATGTAATTTCTCTCTACAAGGGTTCAATGACTGGGGCCTTTAAACGTCGTTATTTTTGGCAGGGTTCTGGCCAACGATGCGGGAGCCGTCTTTAACCACATGGACATCTGGCTAACCTAGAAGCTCACATATACTATGGTACGGAGGTCGCTACCAAAAGTCTTCGGCCTCTCCATTTTGTATGAGGCACCTGTTAGCCTCTGACACCACCTGTGATGTAGCGATCTCACAGGGAGCCTGAGCGCTAAACGCCTGAGTCTTAGGCTATTTCAAAGGGTCTAATTTAGAAGGTGAGGAGTGACGGCAGCTGCGCATCATCTGTCCTGTCTCTTTCGGCAGCTGAAACTGTAAATCAATTTTGCCAAGAGTATGTAAGGCGGCCGAAGACTTCTGGTAGCGACCTCCGTACATAGTAAGTGGTAACGATCTGGGAGGACGAATGAAGAAATGACAACGAAGATCCCGGTATATGCAGTTGTTGATCCTTGCCCAGCTCAAGAGAAGCATCATGTCAAGCTTAATTCTTCATTCTTAAATTTAAGCCGCAGAAAACACAACATAAAAAGCGAAAGTGAAGATACTTCAAGCTGAATTTGCATATTAAACACTTGTGAGTGCGTTTGTATAGAAGTCCCAATAGGCCCCACAACATGCGACTATGAACTTCACAATGTGCAATTGTATGCGCCATCAATTGCCTTCGGGACCCAGTGGCACCTTCTAAAGAAATGAGAAAAAAAAAATTTTTGTACAAGCTCAAAGCGTTTTTTTTCCTTTTTGCGGTGGCGTTCGCCATCTGCCGGTGTGCTGAAAGACCCGGAGTGAATACTAGGGTAAGGTATTTCCTTGCCGAGTCAGCCACTTTTTTCTCCCCAAGATGCGTCTCTCCAGATATATCCAGTCCATTTCCACTCCAGAACACCGATATGATTACCTTCTTGGAAAATACGGCATCAATGTTACCCACCCAAGCCAGGGGTCCGGGATGATGGCATACGCACGCATGTCACTGAAGAAGTGCCACGAGGCGCGGTCAGACCTCGAAGTTTTGACAAGCTTGATGTTGATTGGTCTGATGATGACCCATTGAAACTATGTATTCAAGGAGAACATGGCAGGCAAGCATCTGCGCTTGTGCACAATTCCGGCAACTTGTGGGCACACGGCGGTAACATAGGGTGTGCAATGTGCATGATTGATGCATTTTGTGAAGCACTGACGGGCATTGCAACAACTTTTTGTAGTGCACATATTCTGAAACTTCAGGGATTGAAAAGAGTGAACGCCTAAGAGTTCTCATCAAGCAGCATGTTACTTTGAAAAATTAGTCAAAAGGTATGAAACGGACATTTCAGGAAACGGCCCTGTGAATCGCACCAGTCGTAGAATTCATCGTAGATGTGTTGCGGGCCATATTTGTCCGACTAGCGTAAATGGGACGCATTTTGGTACTCACGGACGAATGAAAGCTAAGCCCTAGATTTGTTGCAAGTCACTATATATCGGGTTATTTGTGTCTTGTCAAAGTTAGTAAAGCTGAATACAAGACGTATATTCCTTACTCGTATAATATCACGAGACTGTCGTGTAGTCTTATGAGTGGTTCTTTGCTTTGACGTTCCGGCAAAGCCAATTCCAGAAACAGAAACAGAAACAGATTCAGCGACGAACAAATGCCATGAAGCTCTCCAAACGTGGGGGTTACATTAAAGTCCCTGCAAGCTTGCGACTGTCCGACTGACTTACAGCTCCATGTTGTAGTCCTTGCCGGTTTTTGATGCCTATCCGACATGCATACTCCACAAGTTGCTGGAACCCTGCCGCACTTTTGTGGGCACAACGCTTGGGCAAGAAAGTACACGGGAGTAGCCGGTAGACTGAGGAAACAGCAAGGGAAAGATTGATCCACGGACCAGGTCTTATCAATGAAGTCTTCGGAAAGGGAAAGCTGATCATGGTCTTGCATGATCTAGGGACTCGATTCTGGAGCCTCGATCTTGAAGATCGAGTGATCAGAGCCCCTGGAAAGTGCGAGGGCGTATCTTGGCAGACATCAGCTTGCTCGAAATAGGAATGGGCTTCAAACAACGGAGACGGTCAACGACCGACGGTGTAATGATCGGTCCGCTGTAGAGATGTTCAGAGCAGTGGCCTGAGCAGGGCCCTGCAGTAAAGAGAATTCACAAATCAATGGCGATCTCATGTTAGAACAAGGCATCGAAGAGGGTGCAAACCGCGTCACAAAAAAGATCCGTCTGAATTTGCACGGACATCAATGTTTCACTTTGAATATTGAGTTGACGACTGCCGTCTTGTAAAGTAACGTTCAAATTTCAGATAGGCTAAATTCATCGTTCCAAGATCTACAAGTACCGAAGCACTGGCCAAATGCTGTCGCCAGCAACCTCATCCGTTGCTTCGGTGCAAGCGGGGACGGGACGGTTGGTAATTGTTCGGCTGTCACCCGTTAAGGTGTGCCGCTGTGCTGTGCCGTTCCCCGCCTGTTCGTGGGTCGTGAGCCGATTAGCTATGATCTGTGCTTGCTGCGTGTCTATATTGCGTGCCCAATTCTTTTTCACCCGGCTCGCGTTACGACAGCAGCAAAAACTATCAGAATAGCTCATATGACTACCTAGGAGCGAATGCGCAACAAGCATCTGCCGGGCGGCTCACTTGCGTATCATAGGGCCTAGATTCGGGACTAGACTAGGTTAATTAGCATTAGTAGTCACAACGGATTGCGGCGATATACAAGTTGATGGCTCTTTCATAGACCAACTCATTTGTATACTTGTAAACCTTTCAAACTTTGACTATCTAGTATTAGGGAAACAAAATGGCATAGTTCTCGCGGTACCTTTCGAAGACAATTCCACTGATCAATGCGTGATTGTTAGGCTCTATGCAGTTGGTTTCATTGTTATCTGATCTAGTCTAACATCATCTGGTCGTAATTAAGCAAAGCATGCTACTTTAGCAAATAAGCAGATTGGTAGTTCAGTAATTGAACGATGCAGTAATTGGCATTGTTATATTCCATGAAAAGCTAATATGTCAACATGAAGGACCATACGGTCGCACAGTACAAGGTTTTGAAATGGATTTCTTCCGTTATGTTGCGCCAGGATAGATGTGGTTGCACAACAGCTAGCGGTGCTCCCCACTAGGTCGGGCTAGTAGAATGGAGGGTAAGTAAATGCCCAAAACGGTAATGCGCATCATCACCTCTCGAAGCGCCTTCAACCATCCAACCATTCGGAGAGCAGCCAAGCCAGAGATGTGCATTCACCTGCAGATTTACCATGTTGAAGCTGTGAAGTCACAAACATAGTGTGTGTCGAGATCCGACGAAATCCGAACAAAACACTAACGTGAGCGTTCTCCGTAGAAGGGTCACAAAGTTGAGCCGTGAAGCACCCTACCACGCTCCTGCATCAGAGATTGATCGGCCCAAGCATTTCATAATCATGACAGTGTGTAGGACATGGCTCAACCCCGGAGCATCAACTCTATTCCGAACATTGTACATCAATAGCCATGATAGTGAACAATCTGAGCAGGATATCTACCTTTCTTGACATAATGCTAATGTAACATACCGCAACTTGCCAATCCTTGCAGACATAGAATCGATGGTTCTTCTCATGTTCCCTAAAGGCCTGCCAAAGCCCTATCCGTGGCTCTGGGGTGCGGCTTACGTCTCGTCATTTCGCAGAAAAATGAAAATACCACGTTAACCATGAGGGCACAAGCTTCATCAGCTCCGTATTGGAGGAAAAGCCAAAACCCTCAACACGTTACACATTGCGTCGACTCTACGTGTTTCTACCTGCCTTTTCTAGAGCGTCGCGAAGTTATTCCTCGTCCAAGGTTAAAAATGTTCGTGCTCTAGGCTCTTCTTATCTTATCAGAGACTCTAGGCTGCTTTGCTGCAGCGTTCGCTGTAGCAGGTGTCCAGATTTGGTCCCCCTCCGTACCCGGTCGGCATACAATCTGCTCCTGTCCGTTCTTTTTCCAAACCTTTCGTGCAGTGATTATCTTCCATCGAAATGACGGGGTTCCCAGATATGATGATTGCCAACTTACCAGGGCACACTGAGATTCGTCATGGGAACAGTTCCAGTGGACATGCTGAGCGCCGTAGCTGCATACCAAAGACCGACACCCCGGCATTGGCGTTGCCCACACCAAGGAAGTATTTCGAAGTACACCCTCGTTTCTGGCATAGTCCGCTCAGTGGGCGCGCTACAGCCAGACGGTGGTGGAGGCGCCGTCGAGGGAAGACATGGGTTTGAGAGGTGCCAAGACCCAAGGCCCAAAATTCACGCCTGTCCATCATTGTCACCATTGACCCTACCAACAAATGTCCGCTAACCAGCCTCTCGACGATGTATCCCATTCTGCCAATTCCTCCCAGAGTTGGTGTCCATTCTACCTGGAACCAGACATACATACACAGAATTTCTGCAACTGGTGGAGCCGCTCAGTCGGCCACTACCGACCTCTGAGATTAGGCATGAATCTATCTGTTTGGGACACGGCATGTCGTAGTGCGATCAAGGTCGATCGTAGTCTCTCAGAGCCCAAGCTGCAGGAGCTGCTGGCATGGGGCCATGAGGCCAGCTCAGGAGGAGACAGGGTCCGCACAAATGAGTGGAGTGTCTTTTCATGATCTTACGCCGCCGTTCTTGCTTGGAGCCCTGTCCTTACAGACCCCTACTAGACAAGGAGGTGATGTGCATCTCCCGTCCGTATCTTCGTCTCCGCTACCTAATAGCCCCGCGGTATTGTTTCTATCCGGACGGTCTAGATAATAAGCCCTCCTTGACACCGCTGCTACCCTGAAGATCTTGCAGTTTCGTCTTGGTTGTTTGTTAGGACCGCGCAACCTATCCATCTGTTGTTCCTAAGAACCCTTCGCCGACTATTATCCTTTGCTGTCAATATAGGCTGGGCAGCTCACATTTTTCGCAAGCCGATCCAACAACAGCTCAGCTCCAACATCCCTGCATGACCTGCGTGCGGTTGGGCGCATGACCTTTGGCGGGGATATAGGACCTTTGAAACCTTGAGAATCACACTACCGTGTGCCGCTTCGCAATCAGCGTAGCTGGCTGTCGCAATCCGAACGTGCTCCGTCCTCACTGACGAGCTTCTATCCGAGAAACATAAGATATGGACGTCAGCATAATGCCTATAATATCTGAACACGGAGAGCTATCTTGGTCAGATGGTCACAGCTCATCCTCCGACGATACCACGGCCTTCCTTCCACACTCGCGTATGTGGACGAATCCGACAAACATGATGACAATGACGCGCCCAGGGGAGAATGGTCAGTTGTCGCCTATCAGTACCGAAATGGAGATCCCTGCAGCTAGTGCAGCGGTGCCGCAGATGTTGCACTCAGCAACTTCCTCAAGTCATGAGTCGTGGACCAGTTACAGTGAGGATGACGACCTGGAATATGACCATGATCACGACCATGATCACGACCATGATCATGACCATAGCATGCACTGGGACCGCTGTGCTGACGATGTTGTCGTTCCTAAGTTGGAGCCCTTGGAAGAAGATGATTTTCATATGGATGATGTGAGGGAGGCGCCGAGGACCACACCAAAACCAACATCTGGAAACGCTGGTCAAGGCATCAAGACAAAACGACCGAGAGGCCGACCCAGGAAACACCCACTGACACCTCAAGTAGCAACAAATAAAGTAGCAAAGGGCAGATCAAAAACAGGCTGTATCACCTGCCGCAAAAGAAAGAAGAAGTGCGACGAAGCAAAGCCGAGATGTAAGTTATGACGAACTCCATGATCCAGCTCCATCACTAAATCTCCATGTCAGGCATGAATTGCGAAAAGAATGCTGTGGTGTGCGAAGGTTACAACGAGAAAACCATCTGGAAAAGCGGCAAAGAGAGAGCCAGTGAAGGTAAGCAAATATAATAAATGGTTTGATATGTTACTGACACCTGTTCCAGCCCGCCGCTCGAGCGAGGCCAGCCTCCCAGTAATAACGATGCAGCCCATCTTTCAGGGAGTAGAATGTCCTGAAGATATGGTATTTCTTAACCACTATATCAACCACTTGAGTGGCGTTCTCACTGTTGAAGGCCAATACAAAAATGCCTTCAAGGACATGCTTCTCCAGATGGCTGTTGAACACCGAGGTTTGATGCACTCTATATTGTGTCTGGCAAGCAAACACATCGACTATGATACACCATATGGCGCCAAGATTCTGGAGTCCGACCCCAAAATTACGGCCGAGTCACTTTCGGCGCGGTCCGATTTCCACCACCAATCCGCCATGGCAAAGTTCCATGAGGACATCAACCAGGAAAAGAACACGGATCTTACCAAGCAAACAGTAAACCTCTCTGTGCGCTACGGCCAAATGCTATGCATGCTCATGAATTCAATGGTTGAAGGGAAGGGCAATGGCGAGCATCGTCTGCACCTTCAAGCATACAAAGGGCTCATTCAGGCGTCACCACCGAATGATTCTGCATTCCTAGTCTTCATCACTGAGTTCTTCCAGTTCCATGTGTACGCAGATGAGCTCATGCGCTACCCAGATGGGCGTGCACCCAGGCTGGCTTCTGAAGACTGGGTGCCTTGGCTACCGATTCAGCCTGTACGGCTTATCGGTGTCGCGGATGGTCTATTCAAATACCTCAGCCAAATCACAACCATCCGCAACACACTCAGGACTAATATGCAGAACGGAGTTGATCCTGTTCTAGACTATGCGTCACTCTTCCGCGCCGCCGAGATTGATGCAGCCATTCGTGAGTGGACACCTCACTGGCCGCCGGGCGACAGTCGCGAGCGTGTCGGCCTGCTCTACAAGCAAATGATGTGGGTATACCTGTTCAGGACAATCTACCCGCCATCAACCTCCACGCCGCCGGCCATGCCGACAGACCAGTATAATCGCCCTACCTCACCGCCTCTTTCGCCGACATCGCCCGTTCGTTCTGTGCATGACCCACTCTCGACCGACCGGCTAAGAGCGAGTCATGCGTCCAAATCTCGTGCCGAGTCGCCCGCTCCTATACGCTACCCCCCTCACCACGACGCTCGCATCACCGTCGCCGTGGACGAGTCCTTGGCGATCCTCGACTCGATCAAACCTAGTGATCCTTGTCAGACCTTGTTGCTCATCCCATGCCTTATCATTGGCTGTGCCAGTTTTGCACCATCTCAGCAGAGCCGGATTCGCAACACCCTCAAAGGCGTCCGCGGGTACACGGGACTGCGCAACTGCGACCGCCTCAGCGAGCTGCTTGAGGAGATGTGGAAGCTGATGGAGCGAGGCGACTGGGCTCTCGTCTGGGACTGGCAAGCCGTCGCTCAGCGTATGGGTCTCGACTTCCCAGTCGCTTGAAGACTCGGGGCCAACAAACAGATTCGTTCTCGCTTTATCCATTCACACGATTTCGGTCGTTTTCGCACTCTGCGAAGCCCCTATAAAATTTCTTCTTTATATACCCAGATTTTGTGTATTTCTTGTTTTTACATAGCATTGCATCATAGCGGCATTGGCATGGACGTGTGGGGCAGTCCAGAGGCAGGTGCATATTAGGATGAATTTCGTCCAGGTGGTATATATTTGGATGCGCAATGAATACATGGAGGGGCTCTTATCCATTAGACCCAATGCTGTTTGAAGAACATATAATGGGGCGCCGGGGCCTGCGGTTGAGGTAACATATATCGGTTGGGGAAGTGCACCATAGCTTGGCATGTCACTGCATTTAGGATTTAATGAAACTGAGCATACTATTGCTTTGATCAAACTCGACGAGGACTTTTTGGTTGGCCGATACGATGCTATGAGAGATGGTGACCTTCCTGGCCTAAACTGACAGTACCGATCTTCATCACAGCTTCTGACGATTCCCATTTCCCAAACTTGGTCTCACTAGAAAGTTCATCCCCCTGAGAACGCCCTGCTGGGGTAGCGCCAAGCGAGCTCACTACACTTTGTCGTAGACTCGCCACCCTCCTGCTTCCCGGAGCGTCCATCCGAGGTGTCGAGGGTAGATAAAAGCTCTACAACCCGCCCGCCTCGGCAGTGATACGTACGAAGAAGCCCGTCCCACTCTTGCTCAGAGAGTGTTTGCGAGGAAGACGCTCAAACCTCCAGTCGACCGCGACTTTATCCACCCCCTCGACTGGTCTTCCCTCCCGCGGGCCCTCCCCTCACGTCCCCGTCTTCCCGCCGGTATCTGTCGGCGGCCGCCCGATACAGCGGCGTGAAGTGGCCCCGGCTGCTCAATACCTGGGCCTCGCGGTACCGCGGAAAGGGGTTTGTTCCTCCTCCCGATGTCCCCGGGGGCAAAATCGTCGTCGTTGTTGGTCTACCCCAGTCGTTTGATCCACGGTCTAAGCGGCGTGGTGGCGCTCGTGGGCTTAGGAACAACGGCGACCGCCGGGGCTGCCGTTTTCGAACCCTGAGATTTCTCCTCTCCGGGTTGCTTGTCCGGGCTGGTGTTGCTGTTTTTGTTGTTGGATAGGGGAGATGGCGTATGTGTCCGCCAGTGGTACGGGTTCCTGCGCAGGTACGAAGGCGGTGGGCCTAGCGGGGTCGTGGAGGCTTCCTGCTTTGTTGTTGTTGTCGTCGTCGCCGTCCCCGCCGCACTCGTTGTTCTCTCCTGGGGGGAGGGAGTGAGGAGTGGGGGGTCTTCATGCTGGTGGAGATCTTCTTTTTCTTCTTCTCCTCCATGACCAACCTGGGAACGACCTATCACGCCGTGACTCGTTTGTGGCGGTGACGATAGACGGTGGTTGGGATGCACGGCCATGTGTGCATAGGCGAGAACGAGGAGCACGGCGAAGATGATGCTATCGGGCGTGAGGCGCTGATCCGGGCCGCCTTCGCAGAATCGGAGAATGTCGGCGATGGGACCCATGGTGAATGAGTACTTGTGACCGGATGGGGCTTTCGGAGTTTGATGAAAGTTGTAGAATGACCGAGATGGGGAGGGGGAAGAGGGCTCGAGATCAACGACTTGCTGCTTTGCCGGATGTAAATGTTGGCCTGGATTGTTTGTTTCGCTTCAGAGGCATTGGGCGGACGTCCTGAGATGAGCGCCGGGATTAGCAATCATGTTTCTTAGTCTTGACACCCAAGCAACTGATAGCCCTGGTCAAGGACAAGACAAGGAAATAACAAGTAGAAAGTACTGGACAGATGTTCATACGACAAGTGCGAGAACAAAACGCGAAACGGGACTGCGAGTAACCATAGTCTATTTGGGGGTATCATAATGTTCGCAATCGTAGAAAAGCTAGCCAACGTGCCAACAATGCAGAAATACAACTCTCCGTCTCGGTAGTAAAAACGGCAACCTCGTAAACCTCCCACGCGCCGTAGGGTCGTTATGAAGGCACAACTGTCTACTTCGACTTTAGTAAGGCAGCATGCCGCTTCTTGTGCATCTTTACATCTTTCTCGTGGTATGGATTGTACAGCATATTACATTCCGTACATTCAACAAATTGCTTCTCCGTCAGAGACAAACTCAGGGTGGTCTGCACACTGGCTCGTTGCGGCTTTTGCTTCTTGCTGGCACCTCTTTTGCCGGCATCTGATCTATCTGGCTCCCTGCTTGGCTTCCGATTGAGCGAACTCGTAGTGGTGTCCGTCAAGACAGTGTGATTTTGTGCCTCGTCCTCGTCCTCGTCCTCGTCCTCTTTCGGCGTGTGGCCCGCATCATTGTGATCCGATTCGTCCTCGCCTCTGCCGTCTTTTGTGCTCTGGTCTGTGCAAAGCGCAGGCTTCGTAGTGAGCCTTCGACGTTGCTTCCGAGCACGTTCGAGTGCTGGCGGTGAAGAGGGAGGTGTCGGCGAAGGCAATACTGGCTCCGAGGACTGGGCGCATGGCGAAAGGGTTTCGGATGATGGCGACCGGACCTTGAAGTAGCCGAGAATGGTGCCCTTCTTGGGTTGCTGTGGAGGAAGCGCGGAGGGGAGTTGACTGTCTAGGCTGTCGGCCGTTTGAGCAGCAGTGCCGGTCTTTGGCGCAAAGCGTCCAGCAATGCTGTGGATGTTCACATGACTCGATTCCGCACGTCGTCTTTTTGTTGGTGGCTCAACACTGCCCGCTGGTGTGGCACGTTTGCCGTACGTTCGAATAGAAGGCCTGGGATATGTTAACAAGGTGCCTGGATGCGCAATCATGACTTGGCTTACTTATTGACGCCACGAAGACCCAACGATACGCGCTCCATGACGCAGTCGACGCGATACCACGATTATGATTCCATGTGCAGTCGACGCGAGCGTGGTGGTGGGCACAGGGCTTTTTTGCGCGGGGGCGTTGACGTTTTAATTCGATGGTTTTCGTAACTGTAATTCGTACGATAGGGCCAAGACTATTTGTTGCTCTTTTGCTGACGTCGTGGATCGTCTATATAAATACATGTATTGTATTCATAACACTCCTCGGCACTGGGGGGGGGAGGGGCGTCTGACGCGCTTTCTTGGATGCGAACAGACGCGTCAAGCTTTCAAGTTAACTCTACCTTCTTAGCTTAATTAGCCGCTTGTGAGATGGTGGGGCTGCCACATGAAAAGCCCGATGCGGTAAGTGGGCTGGTCCAGGGACTGCCTATCAACCAAAAACCAACCGTCCAAGCTTGGCGACGCATCAAGCATCCATGTAGTCAGTGACGAAGCAATGTAACGAGTAGGAAAAATACGAGTACAACAATTCAATTGATATTCGATATCGCTCGGGTGCGGGGATGCGATTTAGGTTTGCACAGGCACACGCTTGCGCAAGCCGGTATCCGTACCCGTGTCGTCGTCCTTTGGCTGTATGAGCACAGGCTCATAACCCTCCTTGGTGTTCTCATCCTGGCCGACGACCCAAGTCTTCACGACCTCCTTGACTTCTTTCATGTTTCGTTGTTTCCTGTCGCCTTCTTCCATGCGCCAGCTGTATGCTTGATAGACGGCGACCTCGCATACTGCGACGACGATGGTACCGAATAACGTGAGAAACAACCTTGCCGTCGTGCTCCACCACTGAGCCACGATCCAGAAGGCAGCGGCGCACCCTGCGATGCTGACCAGGAAGTTGATGATCAGTGTGACCTGCTTTTGTACCTCTCCGTGCGATATTTGTTCTTCGCCCATGTCCGATTTCTGGAATGGCTTGTTGGCTTCGGCAAATGAGTCCGCCATGCTCATGGACGCCTGCGGGAATCGTTGAGCAAAAGTCTCGCGGGTCGGGGGAGCTTTTAGCATGCGCTCGTATGATCGCTCTTCTTCATCTCTCCGCAATCGTGCCATAAGCGCTTTGTATTCGTCCGACTGCAAAGTGACTCCCGCTTAGTATAATCATGGATCTCGACAACTAATGGCTATAGCTTGCTTGTGCTGTACGTACCGGTTCTGCCCTGGGTGGTGGAGGCGGAACGTAGATTGCCGCCCCCTTTAGCAGCTCTTCCAAAGACCATTTCGGGTTCTCTCTGGCTTTGAGCTGTTTCCAGATGTCGATAATCTGCCCGTGAGTGATCGGGTTTCCAACGGTCGGTTCCGTCAGCCTGGGCGCGTCGGCAGCTATGTTCTCATCACCAGATCCGGGAAAGTCAATGCGCAGCGGTTCCAATTCCGCCAGAGCCTTCACGATGGAAGTCGTCACTGTGAGAAGCACCATGATTTCAGGAGAGCCCGTCTGTTTCTGCCGGGGGGTAGTGTTGTGGGAAGTGGTGGCACAGAGCCCGTGAAGATACCGGGTCAACCGCAACCATCTGACCAGGACTAGGTAATACGGCACAATACGACTCGATACGCCCTGCAGAGTGCTGGAGTGTTCAGCCACAGTGACGATAGCAGAGCTATCCCCCGTGAATGAGCTCCCTGGTTCTTGGGGCGAGACTAGCCTAAAACAACCCGTGGGACGCGCCCGCAGGCTGTCAAGGCTGTATGCTGGGCTGGCTGGCTTGGCTGGCAAGTGCTGGTAAGGTAAGCTTTGCATATGCTGCGCCACAGATCGGCGTGTCTTGGGTCCGCTACCGAGGTTGCGCCACAAATAGCAGGGGTCTTTCGCCGGACTCATGAACGAATCATCAGTTCGGTCCTGATTTTTTTCGACACATTCAGTCAGCGCCATTAATTGCGACGCGACCCAGGACTTCGCGGATATCGGACTGGAATTCATGGTTTTGGTATTGATCAACTCCTCGTTCTCATTAGGACCTTCCCCCGCTTAATTGGGCCGTAATACACCTTGTCTCTGCCACGATGCAGCTACGACCGGGAGCTTCACTGCTCCTCAAGACCCGGGCTGCCGCCGTGAGGCCCTCACCTTTCTCGCCATATTCAGATTGCCTCAGGGCCACCGCGCTAGATGTCAGGATACGGAATCAAAGCGCCGCCTATCACAACAGCCCGAGACGTTCTTCCGCGTGGGGAGCTGCCGTCCAGGTAGCCGGAAACATCGTCCAGAATGCCGTCTCCCGGGTGGCATCCAAGAGCGATTTGCATGTCGATCCCCTGCGCACGGTAGCCAAGGAGATGAAATTCCTCACGGGAAACATAAGACAGCTCCTCGGGTCAGGACACCCGTCTCTCGACCGCGCGGCAAAATATTATACCCAGGCAGAGGGCAAGCATGTCCGGCCCATGATTGTGCTTCTCATGTCTAGGGCATCCGCGTTGTGCCCGAAGGCGCCACAGCACCCCCCGAGCGAAACGACCGAGAGGATAAATGCCGCCATATCTCCCGCCGACATCCTGCGCGATGCCAACCCCTCTTCTCCCCTGGCGAGCTATTCCTCTGAGCCTCAGTCCACCGAAAGCGATATCCTCCCTTCGCAAAGGCGTCTCGCAGAAATCACCGAGCTCATCCACACGGCATCTTTACTACACGACGATGTCATTGACCACTCGGTGTCAAGGCGTGGCTCCCCTTCTGCCAACCTTGAGTTCGGAAACAAGATGGCCGTTCTGGCTGGCGACTTCCTCCTCGGCAGGGCTTCTGTCGCTCTGGCGCGCTTGCGGAATGCTGAGGTTGTCGAGCTGCTCGCTACCGTCATTGCCAACTTGGTCGAGGGCGAGTTCATGCAGCTGAAGAACACTGCTCGCGACGAGCGCAACCCCAAGTGGTCCGAGGAGACTATGACGTATTACCTACAAAAGACCTATCTCAAGACGGCGAGTCTGATCTCCAAATCGTGCCGAGCTGCGGCACTTTTGGGCCGCGCGGATGCGGTTACAGTAGAAGCAGCTTATGCGTACGGAAAGAATCTGGGACTGGCTTTCCAGCTGGTAGACGACATGTTGGATTACACGAGGAGCGAAAAGGAATTGGGCAAACCGGCTGGCGCCGACTTGGAATTGGGTCTCGCGACCGCACCTCTGCTATTCGCCTGGAAGACACATCCCGAGCTTGGCGCTTTGGTGGGTAGAAAGTTCGAGCAGGAGGGAGATGCTGCCAGGGTAAGATCCCTGAATCCTCTTTAGTTCCTTCCGTTGACATGACTATGACTAGGCACGAGATATTGTCTTGGGCAGTAACGGAGTCGAGCAGACCCGCGCCCTAGCTGAGGAGTACGCCAACAATGCCATTGCCGCTTTGGACACATTCCCGGACAGCGAGGCTAAGGACGGCCTCATCGAAATGGCTGTCAAGACCTTGAAGAGAAACAAATAGACGACTGGACAACCACTCATGGCAAGAATCTGGCTATGGCTCCCTGGAGGTGAGCCGTGTATAAAGTCGCATCGCCTGTACGTTGTATCACCACGACACGCGAGAGCAATAGAGCGAGGAGGCAATTGTGCATTACGGAGTTCTTTGTGTAGATTCGTAGCCGAGCAGAGGCGACTGCCACGGCATATGGGGGTGGCTCATCGACAAGACAACACGCTGCCGTTGTTGCTGTTGTTGACACTAGACGAGCCAGCAGATGGTTTCGGCGCCACTGTATCACTATGTACAAATGTAATGTACCACACACACTTGGGCAAGCATATAGATAGACGGAAGGGCTACACAGAAGGCCGTGTCCACACTCAATTTATGATTGAAATACGTTGATCGAACATCCCACTGGCAAGCCTACTGAATTACAAGGCGGCCGGCCTGCATACGGCGTGAATCACGAGCGACAGAAACATGCCTGTGCTATCACGATCTCGCTGCTGTTGGAATACCACCAAGATTGTCTATCTGTCTGGGTCAACCTCATTCTTGTACCATTATTATAATTATTATAATTATCAAATACGATAGTACCACAACTCTCTACTGGCAATATAGAGTTTGTCGATATTAGTGAGCTCACCCCGTCGCCCACGCCTTGTCCCCATGAGTAAGACCAAAACTGCAGTGAAGAACTATTTTTACTTCTCTCAAATTGCAGTGAAATTGATGACTAATCTCGCAAGACAATTCAAGAGTCTGAGAAAACTTCCTTGGGCCATAGATAAATTTGGAACATAGGGTAGGTCCGACTGGTCTTCAGACAAACTCTGCAAAAGGTCGCATCATATAGTCTAAGGACCATGGGTCTTATTTTCACGAGCCCGACCTCAACGGCAATGCCTAGTCACCCGTCACTCGCCACACGAGCGCATGTGTCGAGGGACGAGGCCTCGCCTGGGATTGGCCGGGGATAGCTTGTAACGAGACCTTTAAGCCTGGGGTTATTATTCTACTCATCGCCAAACCGTGGCGGGTGGGGAACCTCCGTGACCGAGAGTGGTCGGCATACTCGATCACCTTGTTCGTAGATAGGCTATGAAATCCTACCCAGGGGCCTATACTAAGAACCCATGACCAAAATGAATTACCCATTGGTACCCATAGGCTACCCATTGATTCTTTGGATCCATATCATCAACATGTAACTGTCGGAACAGTTACAAATGTAAGAGTCGTGTTACCGTGCACGTATCAGTTTACAATCCCGTATGTTATCCTTTTCTACCCGCTAAGTAGGCATGGGTAATATGGGTAACGATGGCTAATTTGCCGTGGGGGGGGGGGGGGGAGTTCCCAACTTCAATTCGTAGAGTGGAGTCAAACGACATCTCGAGTCTGGGGTAGGTACCGTAACCTGTGAGCCGGTGCTCTGCGTGAGATCGTACGTATCGTGGTTTCGGGTAACTCGGCCGCAAAGATCTCGCGGCGCCTGGAGTTGTGACAGTCGTGTGCGTGCCAATATCATAGGCACTCCCGGAGTCGGACAAAGGCGTCCTCCATCGACTCGGTGGACATGGTGTGTCAACCGGGACAACCAATCACAAAGAAGATATCTCCCCCCAGGGCTCACATAATCTCTTGGCCGAACAATGGTTTGGATGACGAACCCCGGCGGGAGAGAGATTTGGAAATGTACATGCTCTCCTTCTGGAGGGCAAGCCGGGTTGGTGTTGGCATACATTAAGCCCCTATCGCACGTCCGCTGTGGCTCACTAGGGTTGATTATTAGTATTGAATCTAGTGATTAGGTTCCAGGCTCGTGTCATGCGTTCTCTACCTTGCCACGGCAGCCTTGGTATTACATGTCTTCCCACAGATGAAGCTGTTTGAGACGACGTTGGCTGATGTGGACGACCATGAAGCCTGTGTCAGAGCCTAAAATGGGCACGAAGGAGGGCGAGGGTCTTGATGTTAGGGTTATAAGGAATGATATAAGAATAAATATTTAATCGACTCCCGAGCCATGTACGAGCTGAATCGTTTCGGTTCGTCGTCAATATAATCCGCATTGACGTTTCGCGGCCATCCTCACTAGCCAATCATACTTTCAAACCGCCGGCCTTGTGTTCGTCATAAAGAAAAAATTGAGAAGCCACCGGTGACTTCTATTAAATTATCATTAACGTATTTCCGATGATCAGTAGTCCTGACAGTACAGCGATAACAACGGATTCTGAACAACGCTGGTTAGTCAAGCCGATTTCAAGCCATGGGCCAAGATTATGGTAACGTACCAAGGCTGTAATTTGACAGCAAAGCTTGACGCCGGGACATTGAGCTAATTGATCATCGCCTATAACACACGAAAGTTTGTCAGCAATGTGATTTACATAAAATAACCCTCATGCGCCCGTAAGCCAAGGGAGTAGGGGCCATATAATCCCCCGCCTCCGGCTGCCATAAGATCATACTCACAGATTATGCCATTGACATCGTTCGGGTTCAGCTTATAACCATAGATTCCGGCAAGGAACACGACCAGGGGCTGATCTCCCGCAAGCGCGCCGCGGCAGCATTGCAGCTGTCCCTGGTTGATAGCGGCACACTGCGGAGACGGAGTTGGCGTCCAGAAGAGCTTCGGGGGCGGCGCATTCCCGATGTTCCCCACCAGCGTTTGGACGCCCGCGACAAGGTCTGATATAAGTGCCGGCTCGGGTGCTGGTGCTGGTTTTGCGCCGACCAAAGCAGCCGCGAGGGAGAGGGCGAGTAAGTATGTAAGGTGGGAGAAGAGCGCCATGCTTGCTAGTTGAAGAATCTTGTCGAATATCAGGCTCTCAGGGAACTAGGGATTCTAAGCGACGCACAAGTGCAATATTGTAACTGGCGATGAGGAGGGCCTTAAATCCTGAGGTCGTTGATGACAAGCTGAGCCAGGAAGTTTATACCGGCCGTTATATTAGCGGTTCTAGCGAATTGCCGAGTTACTAGGTTAGTCTCGAGCCAGCTGAGCGCTAGAGACAGCCAAACTCTTCGGCGATGATCGTGATCTCGGTTGTTCATCAGTAGCGCCAAAACAAGTGACCAACGGAAGGATGCCCCGAAGAATGTCATGTTTGATGGATTTCACATGATTGGAGTCTCTGCCAGGGGTGTTGTAACTTTCCTCATAGTCCTATGAGAGTCCTGCTTACTTTGACTATACGAAGCAAACTCCCTTCCTGAGACCGGTAAGCATGTTTGTGAAGCGAGGTCGCCGAACAGTTGTATTGATTCTCATTAATTAACCCATGGTGGTCACCAGGGGTGAAGCTGTGCCTTTGCCACGCATAAGCGATCGCGCTGGCTGCACATGAGCGAGACAATTTACCTTTTCAATAACATCGAGATAGCCGGAGGCAACCAGGCGAAGCTGACAACTCAAGAAGAACGACGTCTTACCAATACGCGTGAACCCCCAAGCCGTGCATGCTTTTTGGGTACCACAATAGTTCAAAAAGTCGCAGCAGCCCAAGGCGAGATCGATTCGTGCAGAGTAAATGGTCTATTCTCCGCCTGCATGGAAATCTATGTCTCAGATCTGGCAAAACCCGCCGGGAAAGCCACAGGGCGGCTGAGCAGTTCGTGAAGATGGCCCGTCAATAATCCAGTGGGTATATACCCAGGACCCCACCAATAGTTCAGTGACGTCTCCCCTACATATGCAGCCATCTCTATTATTAGTATGTTGTTCAGCATCTTTGGAAGTCGTCATTGTTCAAAGCAGAACCTGCATGCGCAGGCGTAATCATTTCACGATATTCCAGATTGAGATCTTGATCTTTGGGACCCAGCCACCAGGCGTCTGGTTTTGTGGCTCCAGCGAACAAAAGGCCATGTCCCGAGACAATGGCTCAATGGGTGCATGCGTTACTGACATGCAGGGATCTGCAACACCTGGTCGGCGATCTCCCATTGGATTTCGCAAGGCCTGAAGCCGATTGGTTAGTGAGTGACGATTCCAATTACCAATACCTGGCAGAGGAAAGGACGATGTAACTTTCAAGATTTTGGGAGTGTTGGAATATACTATTCGCGGTCTCGTACGACGGTTGACTACGTAGTATAGGTAGTCACCGGCGTGCTGGCAGTAAGCCACCACAGCCACGATGTGGCTGTCGGCAGCCAGCAGCCGTGCGGGTGAACCCCAAACCCCTATCTATAGACCACGTACGAGGGGAAGAATCCCTTCTTCTCCTTCGTACGATAGCGCTGAATAGATCTATTTGTCGCCCAAACTGTACGGAAAGAAATGAATGGAGAAGCCATTCCACACTGATCAGTGTTCACTTGGCTGTGAACGCAGATTGGCAAGAATGAAGAGACGGCGTTATCTGAGTACGTACGGTAGTACGTAGCGAAACGTCGTGCTTAATCCTACCCCCGACTTCTTCGTGCTGAAGGTGTTAATGTCTGGAAGATGTCCTCTCCCTTCCGCACGAATAACGAACGAGTAGAAGACGTGTAGAGATTCTTCGTAGTGCGAAGGTGTTAATGTCTGCAAGAAGTCCTCTCCCTTCCGCACGAACAAAGAGCTACACGTGCGTGCCATTACGCATCGACAATAGGTTCATTATCTCCCGCAGAACGCGTAGCTACCGGTGCGCGCGACACGGGCGATAACCTTGGACTACGACAAGAGTAGAAGACGTATACAGATTCTTCTTCGTACGGAGGTGCTTATGTCTGCAAGATGTCCTCTCCCGTCCGTACGAACAAAGAGTTATGCATGCGTACCATTACTCACGACAACTCTGGTACCGTACCACGACAACAAAATATCCTCTCGCACGAGGAGATGGCGGAGGGGAGCGATATCTCCGTCCACGCTTGGCGAGCCGGCACAGCATTCGAATTCTGGGATCGTACGGTCGATATCGAACAACCCCTCGACCGAGTACATATGAATACGTATGTCGGTCAGCTCGTTACCGAATATCAAGGCATCTTAACGCTCCGAGCACTCGTACGAGCATACCAGGAAGACTTCGAGGGATGGACTACGTACCAGTTCGAGTATACATCACGACCATTCAAACGTGCGATGCTTAAGACACTCGAACGAAAAGGGTATCACTTCCCGAGCGGTCTCACCCAAAACGAAAAGCTCGTCTACCCATTAGACAACAAGGAGGCTGTCAGAGCACCTTAACCATCACCCCGTACGAGTACTACAACTCTCGGTCCCTATACGAGTACTACAACTCTCGGTCCCTGTACGAGTACTACAACTCCCGGTCCCCGTACGAATGCCGCAACTCCGGCACCGACTCGTACACCATTACCCGGCTAGGAAGATAGACAAGAGGACGGCCCAGAGGACAGATAAGGACAGCCCGGAGGACAGATAAGAAGACGACCCCACGGGAAACACACTACCGAAGGAATTGTTTTTCAGTTGTTTACGAACGTACGAACCGCGAAAGAAAAGATAGCTAGTGTTGGAATATACTATTCGCGGTCTCGTACGACGGTTGACTACGTAGTATAGGTAGTCACCGGCGTGCTGGCAGTAAGCCACCACAGCCACGATGTGGCTGTCGGCAGCCAGCAGCCGTGCGGGTGAACCCCAAACCCCTATCTATAGACCACGTACGAGGGGAAGAATCCCTTCTTCTCCTTCGTACGATAGCGCTGAATAGATCTATTTGTCGCCCAAACTGTACGGAAAGAAATGAATGGAGAAGCCATTCCACACTGATCAGTGTTCACTTGGCTGTGAACGCAGATTGGCAAGAATGAAGAGACGGCGTTATCTGAGTACGTACGGTAGTACGTAGCGAAACGTCGTGCTTAATCCTACCCCCGACTTCTTCGTGCTGAAGGTGTTAATGTCTGGAAGATGTCCTCTCCCTTCCGCACGAATAACGAACGAGTAGAAGACGTGTAGAGATTCTTCGTAGTGCGAAGGTGTTAATGTCTGCAAGAAGTCCTCTCCCTTCCGCACGAACAAAGAGCTACACGTGCGTGCCATTACGCATCGACAATAGGTTCATTATCTCCCGCAGAACGCGTAGCTACCGGTGCGCGCGACACGGGCGATAACCTTGGACTACGACAAGAGTAGAAGACGTATACAGATTCTTCTTCGTACGGAGGTGCTTATGTCTGCAAGATGTCCTCTCCCGTCCGTACGAACAAAGAGTTATGCATGCGTACCATTACTCACGACAACTCTGGTACCGTACCACGACAACAAAATATCCTCTCGCACGAGGAGATGGCGGAGGGGAGCGATATCTCCGTCCACGCTTGGCGAGCCGGCACAGCATTCGAATTCTGGGATCGTACGGTCGATATCGAACAACCCCTCGACCGAGTACATATGAATACGTATGTCGGTCAGCTCGTTACCGAATATCAAGGCATCTCAACGCTCCGATCACTCGTACGAGCATACCAGGAAGACTTCGAGGGATGGACTACGTACCAGTTCGAGTATACATCACGACCATTCAAACGTGCGATGCTTAAGACACTCGAACGAAAAGGGTATCACTTCCCGAGCGGTCTCACCCAAAACGAAAAGCTCGTCTACCCATTAGACAACAAGGAGGCTGTCAGAACACCTTAACCATCACCCCGTACGAGTACTACAACTCTCGGTCCCTGTGCGAGTACTATAACTCCCGGTCCCCGTACGAATGCCGCAACTCCGGCACCGACTCGTACACCATTACCCGGCTAGGAAGATAGACAAGAGGACGGCCCAGAGGATAGATAAGGACAGCCCGGAGGACAGATAAGAGGACGACCCTACGGGAAACACACTACCGAAGGAATTATTGTCAGTTGTTTACGAACGTACGAACCGCGAAAGAAAAGATAGCTAGTGTTGGAATATACTATTCGCGGTCTCGTACGACGGTTGACTACGTAGTATAGGTAGTCACCGGCGTGCTGGCAGTAAGCCACCACAGCCACGACGTGGCTGTCGGCAGCCAGCAGCCGTGCGGGTGAACCCCAAAACCCTATCTATAGACCACGTACGAGGGGAAGAATCCCTTCTTCTCCTTCGTACGATAGCGCTGAATAGATCTATTTGTCGCCCAAACTGTACGGAAAGAAATGAATGGAGAAGCCATTCCACAGGGAGAGTACTTTTTGGCGCATGGTCCGAGGCAATTGGAGCATTCTTCTTCTTACTACAGGAAGACTGGAGGGCGTGATGCGTTATGCAATTGCCGGCAGCATTCCTCCCACAGAACCTGACCTAGTCTAATTGCAAACGTTTACTTTAGAGCCGGGAATAGGTTATACTGTGTCAACGGCTCTGTACTAAAGATTTGGTTCCCGCTACGGCTTTGTCTCACTAGCCAAACGACATGAAAAAAGCATAATTTCGAAGTCCTCCCGGCTTCAAGTCCTTCGTCATCACGAATGTCTTTCTGAATCAACAAACAGTCGTTCTCGTGATGAAGAGTTCATGTGATCTCTTATCTCCGCGTAGCACGGCTGAAATCCTGTGGAGTCAATAGACATGCTGCAAGGGTACGGCTCTTCCCACACATGTGCGTTTTGGCTTGGTCAAAGTACGCTATGGGTAGACGAACTGTGGGGCCCCTTTGAGTCTGCTCTTGTGGCGTCTGGGCTATCAGGTAATCACCATGATCCGTTCCTTGTCATCTTTTTACCAGTCATATTCTCCATATGCTATATTTCAGTTGATGGAGGGAGGCGTTCTGTGCGCGTTTTCTTTTTCACACAATGCGAACGTAGACTCACCGTTCTCTAGTAACTACTGGAGTCGCTTGTGTTGCTGTATTAGACTAAATCGAATCATACTTGCTGAACAGAGCAGAATCTCTAGTCTCGTGTCCGGGCCTATCTCCTCAATACTTCAGCCTCAACTGCTGTCTCACTTCGCTTGCCTGAGGTAGGGGACTTTGGCCGGATCCGGTGAACATCCGTTCTGATGTGTATATCCACTGTCGCTCATGAAGTTCTCACAATAAGTTTGTAAGACCGACTATCGCACACACACCTATATATACTGAGTGCCCAGGGAACGAGGTTGCACGATATATCACCAAACTACTACAGTGTAGACTCGACTCAGTACGATCATGGGCTTCCTCAATGTTCTCACGCCAGCGGCTTTGATTACTTCTGTGTTAGTCCTGCTAGCACTTTTGCAGATCATTGTCCTAGTCAACTTAGTCCGTCGTCTGTTTTCGAGCTATAGGCTTCCCCAAAGCCTGCCATGGGTAGGCGTTGGATCACACAACGGAGCAATAGCACGTGCCCAGGCACACCTCACCAGCTTCTTCAAACTGCAAGATCTGCTCGACGAGGGATATGAGAAGGTAGGTGCATGATCCACTTTGAGGGGCCATTTCCTAATATTCGGTATCAGTACTCGAAGATTGATAAACCATACGTACTGCCCTACTTTATCAATGGGCCACAGGTCATATTACCACGTTCTCAAATCCGGTGGTTGATTGAGCAGTCTGATTCGGTCTTGAGTCAGGAACATGTCAACCGGCAGTTCCTGGAAGCAGATCACACCTTCCTGCACGCCAACCTCGTCAAAGATCCCGTGCATCCTGAGATCATCAAGCATGAGCTCACGAAACAGATTGGCTCATTTACAGACGATATAGTCGACGAGGTCAACTCCTGTTTAGAAGACTACTGGGGAGCAGAAAGTGGGAACTGGCAGGAGGTCAAAGTATATGACACCATGCTGGATTTGATTGCCCGCCTATCTACTCGTGTCTTCATAGGCCAGCCACTATGCAACGATCCAGACTTCTTGAAGACTTGCCGGATATTCAACAGAAACGTTGCTTTATCCGCAGCGGCACTGAGCACCCTACCAAAATTCATGAAGCCGTAAGTGTAGATGATTGCCAAGCGCCCTCTGCGACCAAACAACATGACTGACTCTATGCGCAGTGTCTTTGCCCCTCTCGTTACTTGCTACGACTACTTCCAGTACCAGAAGTGTTCACGCTACATCATGCCCACCATCAAAGAGCGGCTCGCACGAGCACAAGCCTCGGCGGAAAAGCTACCGCTCTTCGACGACAAACCCGCCCCGAACGACTACATCCAGTGGGCCATCTCGCACGCGCTCTCCAAGCCCGTGCCCAACCCGGCCGAGCTGGACCCCCGCGTCATCGCCTGCCGCTTCTCTGTCCTCTGCTTCGCGGCCATCCAGTCCTCGGTCATCACGCTGACCAACTGCCTCTTCGACATCGCCGCCTCCCCGCATTGCTCCTCCGTCCTCGCCGCGCTGCGCGACGAGGTCCTCCGCGAGACTGAGGGCGGCGCGAGCTGGTCCAAGTCCGCCCTCGCGCGCATGACGCACGTCGACTCGTGCCTGCGCGAGAGCCTGCGTCTGAACGGCTTCATCGAGCGCGGCGTCATGAAGATGGTCATCGCGCCCGAGGGGGTCGTCCTGCCCGACGGGTCGCACGTCCCGGCCGGCACCAAGGTCGGCGTCTCGGGCTACAGCGTGCACCATGACTCGGAGATCTACGGGGACGCGATGAGTTTCGACGCCTTCCGGTTCGTAGGAGCCGGCAAGGGCGGGAAGCCGCTGGCGTTTGTCACGACGAGCGAAAGCTTCATGGGCTTTAGTTATGGGAGTCATGCTTGGTGAGTTTTCTTCTTCTTCTTCTTCTTGGCAATTCTCTTTTAAGGAGGACCCCTTTTGCCGACGGGAGGGACGTCACTGACTAGGCCATAATTAGTCCTGGGAGGTTCTTCGCCGCGAACCAACTCAAGATCGCGCTGGCGCATATCGCACTAAACTATGAGATCGAGCCTGTAGTCAAACGGCCGATCAACAGATGGTTCTTCGGACACATAGCGCCGCCGCTGCACGAAATGCTCCGGGTCAAGCGGAGGAAGAGCTAGGGTGGGTTGAATCATCCTGTGACGCGTTACCAAAGGCTTTTGATTTGTGTTTATTTGATTTTATATATCGACTGCAGCTCTCCATCAATCGTAATATAATGACTCGTCCTTTTCCGAGAAGCGCATGCCTGTGAGAGCGAGCGTTGCTTTTCAAGAAATAATTAAGACTGTTCTACGTTGAGATTCAATGCCTTCAATGCCCGACAATAATTGTTTCAACCGTGTCAGTGTGTTTAGGGCCCTAGGCTTTGTGAAAGTTTGCATGCCTCCATGCCCATCTTCCCAGGCGTACAATAATGTTCCGATTTCAGGGATGTCGCATAGTCTTCTGGGTGCATGGTTGTTTTGTTACGAAATCCCATCTTATGCACAAAGCAACGCATGGCAAGAATTGGAACGTTGCCACACGATAGCATTATTCACCTAGAGGCATTGATTCCTCATCCAATAGTGTCGCATCCTCATCGTCCCCACCCCGGGGTACCACTTCCACAACGACTTCGCTTCTTAACCGCCACACAGCAATAACCAACACGACTCCCAAAACAGATAGAATCAGGAAGGGTAACCCAGCCCAAAATCCATGTGGCGCCTTGGTTGAAATCCAACCAAACAAGGGATCTGTCGCAAACTTCTGAACTGTCATCAGAGCACCAATCAGCGCGAATAGCCGCGCTGTTTTTGCTGACTCCACATAATGTGTGACCAGAGAATGCAATAGAGGTGATATGCCAACGCCGAGGGTAATTATTGTGAGTCCTGTAATGACCACTGCCAGGTTTGGCATACCGAGGAGTAAGGAGCCGACTGGGATGAAAACTGCCGAAATCCGGGCGAGCAGGAGGTCGCGGCGGAAGAACGAAATGCCGAAACGTGAAGGCGTCAGGAAGTATGTCAGGAGGGGAAGGATGACTGCCAGGATAGGGAGATTGGCAAAGCTCTGGATTGGGAGAGCAGCATCAACCCAATTGTGATGGTCGTAAAAACGTTGACGCACGTTGGAGAAGTATAGAGCTGTGATCTGGCTGTACGTTGCCGCAAGCATGATAAATGCCAACAGAGCCAGCGAGATAGATTGGTTGTCAACAAGCGTGCTGAGCGAGCTCCAGGCTTCGGAGACATGCTCTCGGAATGCTGTACGGTGCACGAACGCCTCTCGTGCCTCAGGTATTGTGATACGCTCTGCGAGAGTCTCCTCTTCCGTGGGATCCACCTTCAAGGTCTCGGGAATAAGGAGCATTAGTGAGGCATTCAGTAGCCCTAGAACCAGTGAAATTATCAATGGTCCCCAGGGCGTCCAGCTACTTGTCAATATAATCAATAGGGCGGATCCAACATGAGTGCCAGCTGCTCCAGCGAATGTGAGAAAGAAGAACCACAAAGTCCTACGAGGCTTGGTCAGCTGCATGCAGCCATAGTATATATATATATACAGAACTCACCTTGACCGAATCGGCATAACGTCCGACAGTATCGCATACAAGACTGCTGTGCCGACCAACGTCCCACCGCCGAACAACTGGAAGACCGGCCCGATCAGGACAAGTTCAACTGGCAGTGCTCTCCAGCCGGCAAACACTATCAGCGACCACAAAATACTCGATGACTGTCCGGCAGCAGCGAGGGCATACACCGGCCGCCGTCCAATCTTGTCAGCCAGAACACCGAAAGGGTATGCGACTAGCACCCCCACGACAGCCATAAGCGTATACTGCAGCGAGAGTAAGCGAAAGACGCGCTGCTGTGTACCGGGCAAGTCGCATCCATCCAAGAAAGAATCCTGATACCAGCCATCTGGCTGGGTGACGTTCGGATGGCGTAGATAGTGTCGCTTGCAGATGGCATCCTCCGCTAGCTGTATCGCAGGATATATGGAGTATACATTGGTTAGCGTCCAAAGAAAGATACCGAGACAAAGCACGAGGCCGATGAGAAAAGGCCTTTTGAGCTGGTACTGTGCTGTGGGAGAGCTGCGAGTTGACGGTTGCCATTCTTCGCGACCTAGGAGGGGCGATGTCTCATCGGCCTCATTGCCGATTACATCGTTCTGGGATGCCATTTTGTCGCTTGTGCCAGTGGACAACAAGGTGGTCCAAGATTAAATGTCTGCTAATTGAGATAGCTCGCGTCACTTAACTTGTATGGTTTAGTGGGAAAGTTGCTGAAGACATGAGGAGTTGCAAAGGCCTATGTCTCGTGACATGGGCTTGTTACAGTGCGGAGAAGTTGCACAGCTTGGCAAGCTCCCAGGCAACCGTTTGGATTTACTTGAAAGAAGCTGAAGGATGACGATGCAGTGAGCCAAACAGTGTGAACAGAATATACTGTGTACTTTACACTGTACGTACTGTCCACTATGCATGCGATGCTATCGCAAGATCTTCAAAGCACTTGTACTCTCACTACCATAGTGTTCAAATTTTCTGACATAGCAAAAGATATCACCGTGAGAGCAGAACCAGAGTATTGTGGTTGTGACGGGCTTCGAGAGCTCTCCGTCGATTATTATTAGTCTAGTCTATATCAGATGTATGTCTGGTCTTTCTCGTCCGAGGGCTTTCTGCCCTTCCGCGTATTCCTTGCGGGGGTATCATCTCTATGTGTATGTCCGTAACCAAGTGCAATCCATTCCGTTCCGTTCCGTGCAGTTCTTTTCCCTTCCATTCAGGCCCTGCCTGCCGTTTTTGTTTGTCGTGTATCTATCCGTTTATGAGAATTCAGGCACGTCCTTGAACCAAGGGTGCTCTAGAGCTTGCTGCGCAGTGATGCGCTTTCTAGGGTCGAAGTTTGTCATTTGGCGAATGAGATCCTTGAAATCTGCGTCCAACATGTCGCTCTTCCACATAGTAAATGGTCGGCGCGGGTTGGACTCGCCAAAAGAGCCAGCCATCTTTGTGAACTTCTGGTGCCAAGGATGTCCACGACCCAAGTAGTTGAGGAAATCGTCGAAGTCTTCCCACTCAGCAAAGTGAGAAATCTGCTTCTCCAGAATGGCGAAGCTGAGATCGGTGGATTGAGGGAGATCCATCCAGAAAATAACACGTCTCAACAAAAGAAAGATTGACTAGAATGATGGTTAGTTATTGAACTATACATACACATTACTCGAGAGGAGGATACGTACCACAATGGCGAATGAGAAGATGTCGGTGGGCTTGTTGATGGCCCCCTTGACGTGAGCCTCGGGTGATCGCCACCAGTGGTTGCCCACCTGGAGACCGCGCAGCGCCTGTGCAGGTGGTATGTGTGTAGCATCCTCCAAATCAGACAGCTGGACTCTGTCGACAACAACGCCCTTGTCGGTCTCATGATAGTCGACCATAATGTTGTTTGCCTTGATGTCCAAGTGTGCAATGTTGTTGGCGTGCATGGTGGCCAGTCCCCGAAGCGCATCCCTGAGAATGCGCTTCTGAGTGAGCAACGGCATAGGCTTCCAGGCAAAGTTCATCAAGTGATCGGTGAGATACTCGTTGACGAACATCTTCTGGCCGGGGATGGTGTCGGTAACAGCCCTCAGGTATGGGCTGTCAGCAAGCTTCGGCTGAAGGGACAGAGCATAGTTGTACTCGGGTGCGTCGAGGTTCTTGAGCACATATCTCTTGTTCTCGGATTCGGCCAAGTAGACCATTCGGTTCTGTCGGTCTTGCAGGACCTGCTGGATTACATAGTCTCGACCCGATCGGCCTTGCAAGCTGTTTCCTACGAAGCTGGTGTTGGCGGTCGTCTGGCCGTAGTGAGTTGGCATCGAGACTGCTGTGGCGAAGCCCTGAGACTGGCCGGCAGCAGCCTTCTTCAAGGCGCCATCAAGGCGAGGAAGGCATGGCCGCTGTGCGATGTTCTTCGTTGCCGAAATTGATGATAGTGAGCGCCCAATAGTCGAAGAGGCAATTCGTAGTTGCATATTATGAGCCGAAGTCGTCTACGTTTCGTTGTCTAGGTGTGGTAAAAATACACAAGCAACGGAAGAAGTGTCTATAAGAAAAAAAGATTGATGTCAACCTGAAAGAATGATGGACCTCGAGATCTGAGCTTATGTTGCTTGGGGTAGGGGACCTTTTTTTTTTTTTTAGATGGCCGCTGCCGGCGCTGGGAACGTCTAGAAGCGCACTGATAGATTAGCGTGGGGGATGCGGCAGGTGGGTTTCAGAGTTTTACGCCAAATAGACCCACTGTGGACGCTAGATCGACACCTACAAATGGGGCTCTGGTCTTCGGCTCGCCCAATGGGAAGCCCTTCCAGCACCATGCCCGGACATGCCAGTCGTTTTCCAGGCAAAACACCAGCAAACACAAAATGAGGATTCTGGTATCAATTTCCCACTTGCCAGTAATGGAATCAGCTGTGGGCCCAGACCGTGGTGGCCAAAGTACATATGTACATAGCCGCAGAACTCCGGAGATCCCACACCTGTCCACTGGTTGACTGATCGACAAAGGCCAAAGAGAAAGGTCCAGACAATGGTGACCATGCAGCATTCACTCCTTCGCTTTCTTTGCGTTGCGTCCGAAGATTGATTACGGATTAACTCCGAACATTTCTGATGCCGAAGCTCCCCAAGTTTGTGATACATTGTTGCTTTGATAATGCATGACACAAACACGAGTTTTCCTACTGTATGGAACCATATCTAGATCTCCATTGTTATCATTTCACACTTTCGTGTACTCCGTACGTCAGATCTTACAGGTGGCTGATATTGCTAAGAAGACACGAAAATGGCAACTTTGGCGCGACACGAGATTTGAGAGTCAAGGAATGTGGAGTGTCGCCTCGCTGCTTGACCGCTCTTCACCTTGACCTCAGACCTTCACCTTTCGGCGTCCGAAGCCTTGGCAGCAAGTCCCCCCAGTGCCCCCATGGCGATTCACCTTGTTCCCCCCAAGCTCACCCTGGACACCGGTCTGTGCCTTTTCAATAGAATCAAGTAAAATAAAATGAAGTCTGTGGTCATGTGGCCTTAATTCGTACTTCTATGCAAGCCACCATGCAGACCTACTTGCCTTTCCACGTTTCCTTTTGACCTCTCCCACGCACGCCATCTTGCTCCGATGCGGTGAAAGGAAGTGTCCTGCATATTACGACTCCTCTTAGCTGCCCGGACATGCCTCTTTGAACTGCATGAAAAAGCCCGACCGAAATCCGACGTTTCCAGTCGCTTCGTGGGCCTTGGGTGCAAGTGTGGTGGGCCTTGCATTGCTGCCAAGTGGAACGTACAGTTTTGCCTCCGCCAACAGACCCGTCGATCCTCCCATCTTTGCTTATCGCAGCCCACCAAGATCTCAACGTGCAGCCCTACGAGTCGCTAATACTGAGCAATGCTCCGAAACGCCCACTTCCTGAAATCTCTTTGAAGATCTGAGTCCACTTGTGGATATAAGCGGATATCTGGACCCTGAAACCTGAATTCATTGTGTTGATCTTTGAAGAGCTTCGGGAGTGAGGAGGACCCTCTCTGCCTCTGACTCTTGTCACTGCTCGGTCCAAGGAACCTTTTGTGCATACATGTAGTCATCTAACAGCTACCCATGGACCGTCTATTTGATAGGCGCCGAGGGCGCTGAATAGCACAAATGCCTGTTCGAGGTCAAGCTTCTCCTCTGGGCCATTGCATCCGGTTCACCATTGACGGTCGCAATCTGCCCGCTAGCTTTGCTGTGCGGGTGGGTACTTGATAGAGCACCTCCGTCGCAATAGCACAGTTGTGCCAGTGCTCAGCCAAGTATGCAAATGCTATGGTGAGCGTCAAATATATTCTTTCCCCAATTGCCAGGCGATGGATGTTTGACCAATTTTGTTTCTACGGTGTTCATTCTTTGCGAATTTTTATTACTTAATTCTTCTGCCGACATTAATCTACGTCGAGACTGGATGCCCACCGTCATTGGAGCATGAGAGAATCAATACTTCGATAACAGCACAGTTGTGCCAAAGATCAAATGCCAGGAACGACGTGAAAATGACGTGAACAGACATTAAAGTTAATGTTATCTACTGGAAAATGATTATGGGAATAGTATTAATATTCGGGTAACTGTAACGTATGTCTCGATAGCAAGAATGGAGATTCGCTGTTGATCATCCTCATAATGACGTTTATCTTATCTTGTAATATCAGCCTCACGACTCGCACGCCACTACGGTGTGCACTTGTGCGTGGGATGAGTGGATTCAATGTATAGGATCAATGGAATTAGTATACATTTCTGTTGGCAGTAGGTATATTCATATAATGCACTCCCGGGGACACCCTCCGTCAGTTGACGCGAATTAGATCCTTGCGGTCACCCTGCAGAGCGGTCCATTCTGTGTCGGCAATCCAGTAGAAGTAATGACCTCCCACTTCTCACTACCTACAGTACTGGGAGCCCAGAACAGACCCCAAGGATCACGGTTTTCTTTGATCTCCAACAAACGTGCATAGTTTGTTCCGAAGAACGCCTGCTGCCAGTTGGGCTCCTGCACATCAGCTTCGTTGATATATGCACCGGCGCCCGGCGTGACAGCACGGAGCTTTGCCATGGATGTATTGAAGCGCTGATAAGACGCCATCCACTCCTCTGACGATACGCCGCTAGTCTGGGCATTATCGAAGAGATCGGCATGCATGATCGCTTTGCGGAACGCCGGGTTCACCGCGTTATGTCCCGGCGGGCCGGCGATGGCCTCTGTAGGTTGAATATGAATGCCGTGAAACCTGTAGCCTGCCTCGACAGTCTCCCGCATGGCCGCCGTGGTTATTTTAAGCAGCTCCGGGTCTTCAAAATTGCTCCTGGGGAACAGGCGGCTGCCAAATCGTGAATTCCCAGGTGCGTCCCCCAGGCCGTTGTTGCCTGAGGTCCATCGAGTAGACGGGACTGGCTGCGCGTTGGTAACAGCAATGCCGATTGCGTTGAGATCGTCGAACAACGGCTGCACGAATTCGAAGACCTGTTCTGTTGACTTGGCCGGCATCTCAAACTGGGTGCTGAAGGCGAAGCTTTTATTGTTAGAAGAATTGGACAGAGTGATATCACCGTACGCGGTGCCTCCGGCATCTACAACGGCGATTCCAAACCTGTAGTACAGATCGATGCCGCGCCAGAAAGTCACAACTTCGGTAGCATTGGACGGGTTGTTGACCGAGAAGCTCAGCGAAGTTCGCAGGACGCCCACGTATGGATGAGCTTTCACGACGGCAGACGTTACAACACCCCATGTACCTTGTAATCCGGGGTCAGCAAGACAACACGACACCTCATATATGGACAAGAAACAGCTTACTAGGACCTCCTCCACACAGCGCGTAAAATAGGTCTGTGTTCTCCTCCGGGCTAGCAGTCACGAATCGCCCGTCTGCAGTGACAACCTGCAACAACAGAGGCTGATCGGCGCCCAGGCCATAGAGCGACGCGAGTGGATTGTGGCCGCCGCCGGCTACCCAACCGCCGTATGGAGCTATAGTGTAGCTACCGGGAACCACCAGAGTCACATTGTACCGGTTCATGTACTGGTGCATCTGCCATGCCTCGAGACCGGTAGCCACGCGTGCCGCCGCGCCGTTATATTCACCGATCTCATAGTGAGGCAAGAACTCAAAATCCTTCAGCCAGTGAGTCCAGATGCTCAACGACCCAAAGCCTGTCGAGCGGCCAAGGAAGTCGTGGCCGGAATTTCTGCGCGGTATGTTAGCAGAGCCTGGCTGTGCCAACCCCAACATGAGTTCTCAAAGAGATACCGACTTGATCACCAAGCGGAGGTTTTTGTTTCGAGCAAAGTTGACCGCAGCCTGTATCTGTTTAACAGTAGTGGCGTTGACCACGTAGGCAGGGTAGCCTCCTTGAGTGCAACTTAAGCTCCCAGCTGTGGCAGTCACAGGGCAAGTGTCGCCTTCCGGCCAGGTGGTCAAGACCGTAAGCGGGTCATCGATATACACGCGAGATGTGGCGGTATTGCGCAGGAGTGAGTTGCACTGTGTTGCGTTTTGGTACGGACCCTGGTAGCAGGCAGCTGCCAAAGGGACTGGCTGCAAGAGGCTGCCTCCCAGGCTACTGTTAAGCTGTACCAATTCGGCTCCCGAAGGCCAATCCGTGCTACCTGGATGGGAGCGGCATGGTGTATCAGGGACAGGCTGTGATGGATCCCCAAAGGAGATGGTGTTGAAATTTTTGACGTCGTCCTCTGCAAGCTGGATGGACTCAAAAGGAAAGTTTAGACAGGTGACGGGAACCAGAAGAGCTACCAGCTCAGCAAGTGACAACCACCGCATGATGAGATATATTGATAGTGTTCGATGAATCTATACAATACCAGCCACGTCAAGAATCTGGAATGTAACAGTCTAATATATATGCGCAACTGATCGACCGGCAAAATCTGTTTCATATGTAAAAGGGCGGCTCTCAGAGTATCTTGGGCTATGGACTTTCTTATCTAGGTTACATGATGGGAGCGTATATTATGACAATGCGACGATACCCTGCGTACAATTTAGTAATCCATCACAAATCACGCTCAAGGGTGTAGGGCTGGGGTCGATGGATAATACTAACTGAACTCTTCGCACCCACTCGTTTTATGTGAGTACCCCGCAACGGCTGAAGTCGCACAACGTCCCAATAATATGCAATACATCGAGAAGGAATACAGGCTATATTCAATGCAGGCGCCGTATATATGCCCAGATGCTGCGCTATGAGAGCAAATGCACCTATGGGAAGTGGAGGGTCGCAAACTGTTGCGCAGGGGAGCAACACGTCGTGGCGTTAGTAGTGGACACGAGATATTCGCGGACATGGGAACCCGGCGTTGGATGTTATACTCCCACTATAGGATGGACCTCTCATGGTTTTAACTCACATTCACAGACTGCTGTCTGTGCCGAAGCCAGACATGTCTGGAGCTGAAATATCTTGATGTTCAGCTATTGTATAACAAATTTATGGATCATATTAGCATTATATATGCTGTAGACTCAACCATGTACACCTGGCGAGTGGCAGGACCACTGCCTTGAAATTAGCAATATATTTACCGTATCGAGAAAAAGCACACTATTTATTGCCATGAAGTTCATGGCTTCTGTGAAGCCCAAATACGGCCCCATAACCATGAAACTCTTCGACCCTATGGTATTTTCTGAGAGGATAGATGGAGGAGCTCCATATGTTCCAATCTTCTTGCCACGATACTGCAGCGCAAAATAGGTAGTGTTGTCTTGAAGTGATGACCGTATGGACTTAGATTACATCGCAAATAGGGACTTTTGACAGCTATCTGCTAACTCATACATTCAAATACTCTGGTTGAAGACAGAGATGGCCCACTGAATTTGTTGAATCTATAATGTAATTGGTAGACGAGACCAACAGGAGACTCAATCTTGGGAACTTGTAAGGGAGAATTTCGCAAAGTTTGGACCATTATCTTCAACAATACCTCAAGAATTGCACCACGAAGGAATGTGTTAAGACTTGCAGCCAGGCAGTCTACGGATTCCGTAATGCAGCGCGTCATTTGGCTCGACTATACAAGAAGGCTTAAATATATATTCTGAAGCCACTGGACGTTAAAGGTGTTTTCAGGAATTTCATCACATGGATCGTACCCTGCTAGCAGCGGGCTGAGTGTAGCGATACACAGGCAATACCGTATAACTCTTCTATGTAAGACATTGAGAAAGGACCAGCCGAGAAAGCTTCGTGACGACAATTGGTAGGCGAGTTCCAAAAACGCCTGGGCAATGTGGATTTCGATGATAACGATTGGCATTTTAGAACTTGCACCTTCAACAAGGGCGTCGGGCTGGCTTCTGTTTAGGGTCCCTTTGTGGGTATTACTGATTTGGCTCTGTTCATCTTGCTGTATGAGATCGGAACGGACACTAGGGTCAAGAGTCGTATCTTCAACCATACGACAGATCGTATAGAGGTAATCTTTGGGGTCGGAGCGTCGCAGATGATGAGACTGACTGGAATAAATTCACCATGTCACAGTGATCTTGTGCTAGACCACCATGAACAAGATGTTCCCAAAGCGCAAACATTATGAACACGGAATTCACCCGGTCACGAAATGCGGAAGACACAATGTCATGACCCTGATAGGAGGACAATGCTTGTACCACTAGCCTCCCGAATGTAGGTCAGCTGATCTCAGCATCGGCGCAAACAAATTTTACATTGATTTTAGAACAATTTCTTGCACAACCCATTTGTGCTTCAGCCAAGGCAGTGATCGAATGGTTTGAAGTACAAATTCCAACGTATCACGGCCACCCACATTACCTTTCGGTTCTGACTGTGGTGATGGACGCCTCGTGTGATTACGTAACAGTCTCGTAGAGTCTTCACAGGCATCTCCAAGCCAATGCTTGAGATGCCCATTGAAATATCTTGTCCATAAATCCTACCTTTTTCAGTTTTTTTTTTCTTTCCCTGTGTCATCCCACTGGTCAATACGAACAGCATCAACCCAAAGTTGTGTATACTCTTGACAATCCCGGAATCTTTGCAGTGCTGTAGCGAGGTTTGCCATAATCCTCAGAACGGTTTCACCGCGGAGATGCAGGACTCGTGGGAATATCGGAGCACGCCACGTATGAGGGAATGCTTTATAGATGTGACCCGTGAAAATGCGTCTTGGTTAGTCGACACCGGAAGGGAGCCGTGTCGTCTCTTGTCGAATAGAGTTCCAGAATGCGGAGGTGTCCATCAGAAGACAAACGTTTATGAGTATGGCCGTTCATGTAGCCTCACATGGTAGATCTTGGCAGAGCCAGGTAACTGCCTATGCACCGAGGAAGTTTGTATCATGATGGGCCATACTTGTCGCACGAGTAGACCTACCACTTGGTTGCCTCTGACTTCACTCATCTTGAAGACTATGTTGTTGAAGGACCAAACTTGCAGAGATTTCTGCACGAATGTCTTGGCCAAGGCCAGAGCCGTGGAGGCGAATGGCTGTAGCGGGAGGTTGCATCGAGGAGCGTAAACAGCTGCCTCAACTTGGTGTACTCGGTCTAACAACCACATCGTACATGGGCCGTTGTCGTGTTGACTTTGACGGAAAACATGGTGATATGACGTGGAGGCTTAAGATGTCTATTATAGTATTTTCGCCTTGGATCTGGGCAACAAATAGGATCTAGAACATGGGAATTTTGGCAAGGTGAATCGGTTGCTATGGTAAAGTTGCGGCCAAGACATGACAAACAAGCGCGACGTCATTTGGTTCATTCCATGCGCGCAAGCCAGCGCGACGTGCTAGAAAGCAGCTGGTCGGGGGTTTCATCAGCGGGGCTCGGAGCCCAATCGAGCCCAGCTTCAGCCAGCTTCAGCGCAGCTCGGGGCGCTAGCGCAGGGACCAGCGACCGGCTTCCAGGGATCTAACTTAGGGACTCAGCTCAAGCGCCTGCGATGGAGGGCCCCACAGGGGGTGGATAGGCGGGCTGCATGTTCTGCTGCCCAGCTTCGCCCAGCTTTACCCCAGCTCCGCCAATAACCTGGCACGATCGCCCGGACAACCAGGCCCAAGTCAACAAAAAGTCGATGGCTGGGAGACGGATCATCGTCACGAGCAGAAAAGAAGAGGCTAGGCCAATGATACATGCACAATCTCTAGCATTCATCGCTTCCGATCCATTGTTTCTGCACGCCAACTCCCATAGCGAAACTAAACTGCACGACCAGCCACCGATTCTCAATCAAGCCGTACCTGCGGCTTCCCGCTTACTCCATCGTCCGACTCGACTGCGAGGAAAGAAAGTCTGTTCTACTCTGAATCTTCTCGTCCACTCTCTCTACACCTGCGCATTCTCTGCGCATCTAGTACTCTCCTAGGAGGAGACTCGCATCTATCAATTGTCTAAGTGTTCATACCTCGAGTAGCCATATCTCACACACACACACACACACACACGCGCACACATACCATCCACCCTCCTTCTCCACCTACCTACCTCCCAACCACAAGACACACACATCTCTGTTGGGAACATCTAACAAACAGGAACAACGACCCGATTCTTCAAAATCGACCGTCGCCTCCTCTGACCTATATACCTCATAGGCGAGACAGCGCATTCCAATCAGCGACCGCGACGCTTAATTTTGAGCGTATCGTCGCCGTCCCTCGACTCATTCCAGAAGTCAAGCCGCATCTCATTCCAGCTGCTGCTACAGTCTACACTCACTAAACCCGACCGTCACTCCGATACTACGGAGGACGGGAGAGGGGTTCAGCCGTCAACTCGGACGCTCAGGACAACTGGGCCGTGGTGGACAGAAGGACGCATAGAAACCTGTCGCAATGGCAGAAAGGTTTCAAGTAGGCTGGTACCGTAAGTGCTTTTTCCATCTGCCGGCTCCCACATGGGATACGACGAGTAACGCTTGAGTGAAACATGTGCTAACAACCATTCTCGCAGGATGGGTGCCATTCCTAGGATATCATCATGTGTTGATGATTCTGATAGCAGTCTCTATCATCTTACTATGTACGTCACATCCACACTGACACGAGACACATCCACCAACTAACATGTCGCGCAGCACTTCTACTTGCAGGATGCTCGTCTTCCTCACCGCTGATGCCTGATATCTTTTTGCTGTCACTCTACTACTCGCATTACACACCAGCTCCCGACACAGCCCAGGTTGACTACAACGGCTACCAAGCAATCAGCAATATTGTCGGATCAGCACACTTGCAAGCACGAGTCGGTTACTTTGGCATCTGCGTCAACCCCGACGGTGGATCATGGCTTTGCTCCAACAACGCGACTGCCCTCGCCAATGAAGTCTCAGTAGACCAAGATCCCCTGAACCTTATTTGGTTGGCCTCGCAGTTCAAGGACATGATTGTCTTCCCGTATCTGATCATCATTGCCATCATTTTCGCCTTCATCTGTTTCCTACTGCTTGCCACATTCCCTGGATGGCATGAGGAGGAGGACTCCGAAGGTAGCGAGCGTGAGATCAAGCCCTTCCCCAGCAGACCCGTTTCCCAGATTGCGCTTGCCATCATTTTCATCGCCAGTATTTTCGTCTTGGTATCGGTGCTGTGGCAACATACAGCCTCTGTCGCCGCGAGCATCATAGCGCAAGACTTTGGAAACGGCAGTGTTCTGGCGGGGGTGGGAACAAGTGCCATGGTGATGGGTTGGTTCAGTTTCACATTGCTCATCATCGTAACGATTGGTCTATTGGTCATGATATTGAGTATAAGAGTCCTATCGCAGCTGGCTGATTAATGAGCCATCGCATTTTACGACAAGTGGAGTTTGGATTCCCACGAGATTGAACGACACGACATAGAGATGAACAGCTACAGTGTATATGAGGAGGAGTACGGTATTGCGGAGGCGGGAAGGGCCATCATCGGATCACCATATCGATGCACCTTCGGAAAACACGAACAACAGCATCTGGGAACGGAGTTAGCGAGACGGTATTTTGATCATTTGCAGTGTCAATATCCATTGCCCACCGCGCGTTGTCGTCCGAACCCATCATGAACGTCCCCGCGCATACAGTCATCGCGCTGAGCGCAATATACCGATACGATCATGGGATAATTACGAGACGATGACGAACTAGGGGCTGTTAGAAGACAGACAGGAAATGCAATGCGAATTTGGAAGCAACATTGGACATGAATTGCGACGCAACCAACCTTTTTCTGGTTGCTTGTGTATAGAAATCATCATGTAATTGCTTTTGCACCCGCGAAAAGACTGGGTATTAATTGATTTTTATTTTTGACATATGCATATGATTGGCTTCCCTTGTAATATGTGAGATTAATGACTTTACACCATCGGGTGTAACCTTCAAATAATCTGATGGTTAAAACTTGAGACCTCCCGAAAACTCTATCCTCAGACTAGTAACACATTGACACTACTCCGTATAAGCTATAGCTAAATTCCAAGGAAGCAACCAGTTCTTCAAGAGTTCACCTCGCTCCCAAAGAGAAGTGATTATTTTCTCTAACCTCAGGGGGAAGGGGGTTCAACAGCCCACGGCTGGGCCCGCGATCGATCGATTCCTTTGACTTTATCCATACTTTTCCGTGAACAAATAGCGATGCCACGTTGGGCAATTACATCTCGCAGCCGAAATCAGATGCAGCTTCCTCATGCAATATCAGCGACCTTCTCTTCCACGACTCATCATGACTGCACTGATAGTGACTACTGCTCAGTGACAGTCCTTGGGTGTGCCTTGAAAGCAACATTTGATAGTATTTGTACAGGTAACGGGACAAGCAGTTGCATCTGATGTTCGCGACCAATATAGCAAGAAGCAGCATATGTCATTCGATGTTTGTTTCTTTCCTTATTTCTACTTCTTCTCAGATGTCCCAATTGGCTTTATTTATCATCCATGTTATTCCGTGTTTTGACAACATAAAGTCTGGTGGTGAGCAGGTAGGTGACAAGATCATGCCCGTTCATTTGGCGGGGGTTTTCTGCTTGATGATCATGTCGCGAATGTTGCACATGATTCGCTATCCAAACAAGGAAAATGCAGGGCTCCAAAATATCACCATGGTCGTTTGGCTGCAAGTGATGCAGACAAGAACCATATTTGTTTATTTCAGGTATCCTATGCTTTGACCTAGACTAGTATGTGGTCTTTTGGCGTAAGAAAAAGAAGCCTGTCAATTCTGTAGTTCCAAAATGCCTGGCTTGCTGCCTGCATCAGGAAGCAGTTGATATGAGATATACTGAGTTTCTTCAGGAAAAACTCAGTAGGCAGGTCCCGCTTCTGTTATCCCAGACAGACTTGAGCGTGAAGTATACAGTATGCGAGATATGGATAAGCTTGCATTTCCTGTTCGTCGAAGCTCGTGAACGCGCGTCCGCGGTTAATGGTGGGACACGGAGTTGGCGCGGTGCTGACGACGCCTGGACCCTTGCCTGCATACAAGTGCATCTAGCTCCACCTTCCTCGGTTCCAGCCGAATTATTATATATTTACAGCTCAGGCCCAGATTGACACTTGCTAGACCTCAACCTTTTTCGTCCGTGACGATTTTCGCGACTGTTTTCAAACAGGCAATGGTCTCTTGAAAGGATGTGCCTCCGTGTTCAGCACCCAATCATCGAGACTTATTACATCGGGCGTTGTATACAATAAGTAAAAGTACTTCAGTGTCTCAGCGAGCCAAAAACTTTCCATCGAGTCGTTCTTATCCGGTTCGTCCGACATGACGTTGCTAATCGCGCTATGCCCGGCTTCTGTCTGAGTTGCCGCGATGATGGACTCGAACATCTTCCAGCCCTTTTCTTGCCATGTCGTATCGCCCGTGATGCGGTACATGTACCAAACGGATTCGATAGCTTCAGGGCTATGCAGAACGGTCAGATAAGATAATGGTGGAAAGGGGTGGAACAAAAACTTCAACTTACCGAAGAATGTAATTTCTGGCTTGAGTCGATACGAAACCAGGCGGCGTCTTCTCAGTTGTGAGGCGCTGTTTGATGTACTCTTCGTGCGTAAGGGGTCTACTGGGATCAGGCTTAGTCCTGTCCTCCTTCTCATCGGTGTCCAGTGGGATCTGTGCAATATCGGCTTTTCGTGCAGGCCTGTTAACTGTACCAGTACCGCCTGCAGCTAGAAGGATGTCATTATTACCGACGGAATCTTCAAGTGTTATCTTTTTGGTCGTCTTTTTCGGCGGCCGGTTATCATTGGAGCTGGTTTCAAGGTCCTCTGAATCTACATCCAAATCTCGCTTCCTCATAGAGCCCACGTTGTTCGGTGCCGCGGCCAGAATTTCATCTTCGAGCTCAGATAGATCGGCAGGGTCAGCAAGATGAGATTGTTTCTCGGCTTTAACGCTCACTTCCGCGGTATCGTCCAGCTCGGCCTCAGCTTCTAGCTCTAGGGCCTTTTGCTTTTCCTTTTCGGCTTTCGCCTTCCTTTCGGCTTTGCGCTTGTAATAGTCGTCGATTTGTCTCTCTCGCGTGCCCCAGAGCGGATCCAGATACTGGTGCCAGAGCGTCTCGTTCCACTTGCAATTGCTTGCCTCCGCACACGGCACGACAGTGGCGGCCTCGGGCATGATACCCGTGGGCATCGATTCATAGGCCCAAACACAACCATCCGTAAGTTTCTTACCAATTTCAACATCCACAGGCTCATCGAAAATTTTGCCACCGAGCGCGAACATACCACCAAGAAAGCAGGTCAAGTGCGTGACCTCATATTCAGTCCGGAGGTCTGTTTCAGGCTTGCCACTTGTAGTGACCTTGGCGCTAAAGAGAAGGTCGCGATTATCCGGGACCATGGGTCGGTAGAGAAGCCATTTCTTGACCGCGTCCGCGACTTTGAGGTGCATCGTCTCGTATTTATGTTCCAAACCACCGAGAAGCAGGTACTGCTTCGGAAAGTACTCATATGTGGAGTCTTGGCTACCGCCCATGCTGAACGATTCTCTTCCCCAGTAAGCGCCAGTCAGGCCTTGTGGATAACAGACTTCCGCGAATTCGGTCAACGTATAGGGCTCACCGGTCACCTTGTCGGTCATCATATGCTGGTACAGATCCGGAGCTGATGGAATAACAGGAGCAGTCAATACCTTTTTGGTCTTGGCAGCTGATCCTGTTTCGAGCGTTGACGGGTGGTCATATAGGTCTTCATCGGCGTCAACCTCCACTGCTACCCTGGCCTTGGATCTCTTGGACTTCTTGCTCCCGGCTAGTCGTTGGGCTTTATCACGTAATGCAAGCTCGGGAACCGTGTTCGTATCTGTGGCAGACTCCGATTCGGGGAAAATCTCCCCACCAACATAGCCAGCTGGTGGGTCGAGCACACTCTTCACTGTCGCGGTCTGCTCTGCAGAGAGCTTGATCTCGGCGTTTGTACGAGCTGTTGAATTACAACCTGATGCATCCACATGCTCAGGGAAGATGCCAGGAATGGAAGTACCATGTGGCCTGTTCTGCCACTCCTCCAATGCATCCGTAATACGCGCCACGGCATCGTAGTACTTGTTGTTATTTGTCACTTGCGCCAAACGGGTGAACTCCATCAACAGCGAGCCCAACTCAGCCACACCGGCGCTGGTTGATGCTCGTTTGGGTTTGCCGGTAAAGGCTGGCTGCCAGTGGTAGTACAGAATAGGCATGCGGTTTGGCGTATCAAACACGCCCATGAGAATTTCGGCAAGTTCTTCGGCCTTTTGCAACAAGATGCCGTGTCCGCCTTCTTTGCCTCCACTGACGTCGTAGGCACCGAGGAATCCTCCTAGGTATCTGATCGTGGTCTCAAAAACGGGGATTTCCGACCGGGTCGTTGTGGTAAAATCAATGGTGGCTACTGCTTCGACAGCCTCCTCGAATTCCTCTTTCATGCCCATGATCCATAGCGTATCGAGTGCATCGACGAGGGTGGCAGCCCAGCCACAGAAAGGGTCTTTGAACTCCTGTGTGACGGGCATCAATTCATCGCGCAGCCATGCATGTTTCTTGTAGCCTGCCCAAGCACGTTTCGCCTCGCCCTTCACGATAGCAAGGCGTTTCTCACGAAGCTCTTGGGCCTCTGGCGACTCTTTCTTGAAGACATGCTGCACTGTTGGTATCGTCTTGGGCGTTCCAGTTGGAAGAGTGATCAGGGACGCGGATTTGATCGGGAAGACTTCCACCGGCCTGGTCCAGTGAATTTCTGACGGCGCAGTGATTTTTGTGCTGGCGACGACCTTTTTCATCCCCTGTTCGCCAGTCTGATGTTTCTTCAGAGCGTCTTCCTTCTCCTTGGCGAGCCTTTCAGCCTCTGCCTGCTCTTCCCATATCTGGTGCGGCGTCTTTCGGTTTGGCAAGACCACTGCTGGTGTATCTGCGGTCTTTGCTGTTGTGCTGTCGACAGCCGTCTCGTCGTCGTCTTCCGCCGTGGTAGGCTCAGCCTTCGCTAAGCTGGTGGCTACTGTGGGAAGCGTGTAGTCGACCTCGGTGCCATCATCCTCGGAGTCCTTCAAGTCTGGAAGCTTGACAGTTGCTTTCTCGTTCTCCTTCTCCAAGCTGTCAAGAGGCTTCTGCTGAGGCCGCTTGCGCTGGATATTCAAATCCTCGAGGGTGCTTGTCGTCTTTTCCTTGGGGTTTTCAGAGGTGTAATCGATGGGTTTGGCCAATGATTCCCAATCAGTGTCCTGGGACATGCGGTAGAGAAGGAAGAGAGCTACGGCGGCGAGTGCGAGATACACCCGGTACCTGCGTAGGCGAAGCATGTTGGCGGGAGCTCGAGCTTGTTCCAGATGAAATGGCGAGGGCGAAGCAAGGACGGGGCGACAACTTAGAAAAGAGTGAGATTTTCAGCCTCCAATCAGGGTAGAAGCAGCGTGGTTGTCTAGCAAATGGTCGATTGGCTCATCTTCGGGCAGTATTGTCGAGGGAGGCTTCAAGTTGTTTCCCAAGCGGCTATTGCTTTATGTGTTCTTTGGGCGGATGACCGGCAAGCGCGTGAAGGTATAGGTATACTCTGTAATAAATGTGGTATAATATGTAGCTATAGTAGGGAACAAGGTGGAATTACGTGTGATAACAAGTAACTGTACTCGCGAATAAGGCGGAACAGTGTGTGATAACATGTAGCTTATACTGTCTAGCAGGCGGAATAGAGCGGTATAACACGTAGTAGGTATGCTCCCGCCCAATTGTGGCCAGTGTAGTAGGACAGCACGACCAGGAGGCGGCAAATGGGAAAGTAGCAGAAGACAGAGGGCTCATGAAAGTCGTGCAATGAAATGTTAATACCAAAGCCAGCGATCGAGCCGGATACGACAGTGAACAGATAGATCACGAGGTGGTCGTCGAAACACGGTAGCAGTCTTGAAGGGACAGCTGGACTAAGGTTTACGGCTGCGACTCTTGAAAGGAAACCACAAACCTAATACGGGGTTGTTGGTTGCGCATCTGAAAAAGGAAGCAGCCATTGCTAAAGATAGCGTCTTGGCAACAAGCATCGCCAATTTGCTTGGGGTCCAGCCATCGTCACTCTCGGTTTGGAAAAGGAAAGGAAGTGAGAAGTGGCAAGTGGAGGGCTGAAAGTTCGGGCGTACGAGGTCTTGGCATATTATCCTGCGGAGCTCTGTGGGCCAAGGTAACTCTGCTCTCATGGCATTCGCTGGGTTCATGGAGAGAACAAGTGCAAAGAAGAGAAAGAGCAGAGGGAAGAAATTTGGTTAGCAAGTCATGATGCTCATGTGAATTTGACGGAGAAAATGATGTTTTCTAGTGAACTCTTAAGCATTCCTTGACAGATGGTCCCCAGAATTACTCTTTTGCTGCTAATCGCTGAGAGAACCATGCATGCGCTGGAGGTGCACTATGTAGCCTCAATAATGGATCACAACCCCTCTGCCTCGGCTCAAAGTGTGCTGACTCGGATACGCTTGCGAGCACTGCAGAGAAGATGGCTCTGATAGCCAGAGCATATCTCGCGCTTAAGGAAAGTGCGTGCCTAGTTTCTTCTTTCGTACAGTATAGGGATAAGAGAAAGACTGATCAGCATCCTGGAAATCCGGCTGGAACCGAGTTCAGTGACAGCAGTCCGGGGAAGCTTCTGCTTTCAGGGGTCGCGCAGATGCCCCCTCCTAAACTGGTAAGCATTCCGTTGGCTGACGGTTACGCTTAACCAAGTGGCCGGTGCTCTAATATATATATATTGCAGCCTCTAATTGAGCGGGCTGTTCGAACGGGGTGAGCTTAAATTTAATCTTAAAATGCTCCGAATCCATAACCGTCCAACACAAACTGCCGCCGACTTGCAACTCGCGACTCACAAAGTCCCAAGTCCGGCACTTGTACCACGGTCGCACAAATAATCGTGGCATGCTTGAATACCTTCTGTTGCCACATCATGACCAACAGAGTTTTATTTTTCTCTCTTTCCTTTTTCTCTAGCACGTGACCAGCTCTAAATGTTGGTCGTTGCAACTCATTGAACGTGCTCTCTGACCGATGTCCTGGTTTCGGAAGGTCCTGGCCTGAGTCCCACCGAAAGGACACCTGGAATCATGAAGTAGTGTTCAATGCGACTTCAGCCTGCAAGATCCTGATGGATCGGATATTCTCTTTTTCGACTATCAGGGTCCTGACTTCCGAGTTTGGACACATCAGTGGCCCAATCCCTACCTCAAAGTCAATGAACGGTTCCTCGCACGCTTTTTGTTGGTTACGATTGCGGACCGAACTATCAACTTGAGCCTTGTGCACCGTGGCAGTTAAAGTACTCAACATCAATAACGGTCGGTCTAGATTCACAGGATGTCTGCAATGGCGATGAAACGACCTGAATGTGCTGCAGGTAAATCAATTGCCCCGCAATGCCCTGACATGACTTTGGTGGGATTGGTGCCGACTTGCCGATAACTATCCATGTCTCATGAAGACCACAATGCCGTTCCTGCCATCTTGCTTAAACGTTCAGCTATGAAGCTTACCAGACTCCTGGTTCAAGTGTAACTTAACATGCCTGCCTTGGTGTTGGTGCGCGCCGAGTCGTGCTTGGGAGCGGGCGCCTTTGGATAATTGGGCAACGCTGAAGCGTCGACAACTCCCAACCAGTCTTGTTCCAAGCCAACTGAACTCGAATTTTCAGAAGCACGGGCACAATTTCAGGTTCCTTGGCTTGAGAGTTGCTCCATAAAAAGATCTATTATGACGAGTTTAATGCCCCGGTTTATACTAGCTCCGAGCTCAAGCTATGCAATTGGTTGCGGATCCACTTGCATGGAACTTTCAGGTCTTCATCGGTTCCCGCCAATCTAAGCACATGGCAAACGGCGTAATTTGGTGTGACTGGTAACCCAGGCGCTTACGTTGATATTGCTTGCAGATCACACTCCTATAAGATATCTACAGATCCTCGCCAGATCCTAAAATGTCACCGCTCGATCCTGGAACCAAAAGCCGCATTCTTGTCACCGGGGCAAATGGCTTCGTGGGACATCATGTCATCAAGCAGCTTCTCGACAATACGCCACACCAGGTAGAAGCGACGGTCAGGAGCTCTCAACAAGCCACGCAGCTCCAGGCTGTACATATGCAGCATCCACGACTTACTATGCATGTGGTTGCAGACATCACAAAGTCAGAAGCATTTGTACTGGCGTCTCGATACTGCCATGCAATCATTCACCTTGACGCGCCTGGCTTTTCTGGCCATGATGACTACGAAAAGAACCTACTGTTACCGGCTATCCAGAGTGTTCAGGCTATTTGCCACGCTGCCAATGTTAATGAGAGCGTGAAAAGATTGGTCTACTGCAGCAGTTTTGCTGCTGTTTTTGACCCTGCTCCGGAAGGCTCTGCACCAGACAAGGTATACACAGAGGATGATTGGAACCCAGCAACATACGATCAGGTAAAAAATGCTTCTGATAAGATGCAAGCGTATCAGGGCAGCAAGGCCATAGCTGAGAGGGAAATAACGAAACTATGCTCTGAACAGAATAGATGGGACTTGGTTTCTCTGTGTCCTGGTATCGTGTTTGGTGCACCGGTCGAAGGCTCAGTTAGCGGGTCGCAAGAGCTCGCGCAGACCAATCCAGCGCTGATGAGTCTTTTTGACGAGGAGGAAGTTCCATCAACTGCAATTCCCGGTAAGTCTTCCTTATGTGCATGTTTTCTATCATGAGTCTCGTTGACACCCATAATAGTATGGACTTCTGTTACATCTCTCGCCCAAGCTCATGTTTCAGCTCTCTCCGCCCCGAAAGTAGGCAATGAACGATTCCTCCTTATCAACGGTACTTTTGACAACCAGGAGCTTTGTGACCTGATCAGGTCATCGGATCTTGATGAAAGTAGCAGAGAGCGTGTTCCCAAAGGTCATCCTGGTCGCCACCAGAAAACCTGGAAAGCTGATGATAGCAAGGCAGCTAATTATCTGAAGTACTCAAAGCCGGAAACCCTGCGAAGTATTGTAATCGAGGTCAGAGATCATCTGTTGATGCTAAATGCAAAAAGCAGTGAATAGTACAACTTAATCGAGTTTTCGGCATCTATCACTATGGACCATTATTATTACTCATCACCTGCCCCTGATGAGGACAAGTATGTAAGCACGCACATTAGTATTAGACATGATTGTTGCCGGTTGCCTAGCAAAAAGTGCTCTACTGAAGCGTGAGTAACGTGCGGTGGGATGCGCAAGCATTGCGGGACGAGCTGTTATTAGTGGCTACGGGTGATGGCAGTCCAAATGTTTTCGCCAGAGATGATCATGTAGTGCCACATGATTGCAAACAAACATCGCGGAATCACATGTGAGAAGTCCATGATTCGATCCGCCCCATGCTTATTTGACCGGTAGTGTGTCAACCCTGTAGCAGGTTGGCTTTTGCGGTAATTGACGTGCTTGTGATGTCCTTGAAGTGGATAGTAATGTTCTTGTAGATCTTCCGATCAATCCCCGAGCATAGCTTTTGAGCTACAGTAACATTGAGACCAAGATCAGAGTGGTAGAATCCTATCACAAAGCAAGGAGATAGCATTGAGTCTTGCCTGCAAATTCCAGGGCATTAATATGGGCTGTCTTGGTCGCAATGTGTGCACGCTCAAAAGTACATGTATTATCTCCCCCGCATCGCACGCCATACCTCCATTGGTGGGGGAAAAGACCGGGTATTCTTGGCATACGTTCACGATCTCTAAATTACAGATATACCAGATAAACCTTGCACCCACGATACCTTGCAAGTAAAACTATCTGTTATTGCTCGGCTCCAAGGGCTCGGACATAAGATACTGCTCTGGGATGGGTAGCATGGCGCAAAATGCGCGGAATACTTATACCTCGAGGGCCCATCTCACACGTATTGGCATTCTAACCTAGCCGCATACAATACCACAAGGAGATTGTGAAGGTATAAAGATGCGCCTGCTACCATCATCAGTTGCTCTCTTGGGCCTAAACACTTTCATCGCAGCCAGCAAGAGCTACGGTACACTGGGAGAAAAGTGCCCCGTGGACGATGTCTCGGTCATTGCACATAACGGTACATCTGTGGGTCGCGAGGAGGTACACGATGGAGGTAAATTGAAAATCCACACTTGTTCCATTCCCTAGCAACGACCGAAAAGCTAAGATGTGAAGTGAACCTCTACATCACCGGCGATGGTTCCGATACTGCAGTCCTATACTTGACTGATATATTCGGCATTAATTTGACTGAGAACCGATTGTAGGTCAATCTTTGAGCAGGCGCAAATCCATTGACTGAACGTGGTGTTTACGTAGGCTTGCGGACTCCTTTGGCCGCGCTGGCTTTCTCACCGTTGCACCCGATTTGTTCAACGGTACACCGTCCCCCATAGACGTGAATGAGCCCGGCTTCAACGTCACACAGTTCTTAGAGAAGCATGGTCCCGCTCAAATTGATCCTCTGATCGACGTCGCAGTCAGGTATCTCAAGGGGACCGTTGGCGTTTCCAAGATTGTGGTAGGTTATCTATACGTACAGTGATGTGAGTGACGACCCATAGACTCTGACCACTTTCCCAGGCTGCCGGTTATTGTTTCGGCGGTCGCTACGCCTTCCGGTATGTGGCCTCGGGCAAGGGTGCCGATGCCGCGTTCGCGGCTCACCCGTCTCTGCTGGAGGATGTAGAGATTGAAGCTATCGAGGGACCTACCGCGGTCGCCGCTGCCGAGAACGACAGCGCGATGCCACCGGACCGTCGGCACCAGATCACTGCGCTTCTCGGCAACACGACTCAGCCGTACAACGTTGCGCTTTACAGCGGCACGAGCCATGGCTTTGGCGTTAGGGCAAATGTGAGCGACCCACAGCAGAAGTTTGGCAAGGAGAGCGCCTTCTTCCAGGCTGTGAGGTGGTTTGAAAATTGGGCTTAGGAGGGATTCGACCATGCTCCAGATCCGGCTTATTTTATTTTATTCGTCTATAGCATTAACTGAGCTCACGGTCTTGAATTAAATACTTTCTCGGATTGGGGTGGACCAAGTATCGTATATAATTGGAATTCTGCTGTACTTCTGTGTCAGCTGCCACTTCAAGAGCCCGTACAAAATATCTGCAACGAATATAAAGATGAATTTCGGATTTCATCTTATCATCCCCTTCCTCCTCATTCAAGAGAGGCTTATAGCAATTACGATATGATGCTGAGGGGCAACTGCTTTTCAAATGAGGAGTGCGGACCTCAAAGTGGACTAACCTCAGGTTCGTCCTTCACTTCCAAATTGGTTGCACAAAAGCTTATGAGGCAATCAAGTGACTGGAGCGGAAGGTATGTTTAGGCGTACGACACTTGTCAGAATACCAGATATATCTATCGGTTGCCTAATCTGTCATTATCATCGCTTTTTCTTTCTTTGAGATCAAAGCTTATTGGGTATCGTCTGGGTTGGACAATTTGTGTCCTGGGTTATGATCGTGCCGTTTTAAAGTCCAATACGCATGCGGAGCTATTACTCGTCGCAAGTGCAGATAGACGAAATACGATGTAGCTTGAAGGATGCGACTAAACACCAACACCGATGTTATCTGTACACAATGGGAGCTTAGCGCTTAAGTAATGTTGAATTCAAGCCAACAACCTTCTGGCGCAGAGGTTGGCGAACCTGGCAGACAGGCTTGACAGCGGGTTGGGGAGCTTGTACTTATGCACATTTGCTGAAGATCCTTGAACAGTGACGCTACGAAACCTATAATCTCCCACATCATGATATTGACCCTTTTCTCGAAGTTTTCTAAGCAATTGCTGGAGTTACGTACATAGAAACTTTTACATTCATAAAACGTGTACAATGTGTAGATGTCGTATTCACTCGCAGCCAGCGACTCTAGTTTGGGGCGGACTTTACACCCACTGTTTAGCGGGTTGATGTTGTAATTCGGCTCAAATGACGCAAAAGGATCGTGTCAGTCTGAACTTTCACAATTCTCACGCAGAACTGCGCATCCCAGACCCAATTGCCCGTGGTTGGTAGCTGACTGCTTTACCTCAATCGATCGACTGATCGTCAGGAACCATATGATGGCAGTATGATTGCAACGCGGACACGATCCAGGCCCGAATGCAAGGAACCGCATTTCCCCAGATAACGAGGCGCACACTAGAGCGATCATGAATCATCGATCTATGATGTAATGTACGACGTTAGAGTGAAGCACTTGTGCGACAATGCGCGCGGCTACTGGTCGCACTCCTAGGGCAATAAAGTGTCGTCGCGGGTAGATTGTTGCAAGTCATTTGTAAATACGTAGTCTTCACGCTATTTCCTCACGAATTCCGCGTGTTTGTATAGCACTAGCTATCACGAGTATCATCATATTTCTCCCGAGTGCTCAATCGATTAGCGATTAGCGATTATGGCTGGTGACCAACCTGAGAAGGGCGATAAAGGTAAGCCCGTCATCAATCATCTTGCGGTGTGGCTGCTCGGTGTCGCGAACATGCCCGGCCTGGAAGCGAATTGGTCCATTGCGGCTTCATATCATGTATTGATTCCATTTTATGAACTTGAACTGACCTGTACTGACCTGTTTATGGTATAGTCAGCTGGAACTGGGGAGGTGGTGCGCCTGGCGGAACAGTTGCCGAAACAAAGCAGGAGGGTGAGATTGCGATCAAGTCCAAGAAGGGCAATACAATCAAGAAGAACGCGTCCCCAGATAATCCCGCCGTTCATGTCGAGCGATCCGGAAATGACGTTGTGAAGAGAGCTTCAGAACTTACTATTGAAGAGAAGGAGTCTGGCGGTGGGGGAAAGGAGCAGGGAGAGAAACGCAAGGCTGGCAACCAGACAACAGAAGAGGACGCACAGGAAGAGGAAGACGACGAAGATAATAAGGCAGAAAATGAAGAAGAAGAAGAAGATGATGGTCCGCACACGAAAAACAGGCAGGGCAAAGAAGTGGAGAAGGGAGGCAAGCCTGCCAATAAGAAGCAGAAGAAGAGTCAAGATGTTGAGAAGGGCAATGAAGAAGATGACGACGATGCTGAGGCGAACGACGAAGAGTCAGAAGACGAGCCCTCCAAAGATGATGAGGTAAACGAGGATGAGGATGAGGAAGAAAGTGCAATCGAAAATTCAGCAAAGAACGCCAAGAATACGAACGGCTCCAAAACCAACGATAGAAGCAAAGCTGGGGTCAAGAAGGATGAGAAGACGACCGAGCCAAAACCGGAGTCAAAAGCGAAGAATGTAAAGTCGGCGCCAAAGATCAAGGGGAAGACTAAGAAGGATCCAGCTCCTAGAGAGCAGGGTGACCTTGTCAGCACACGAACAAGAAGTCAAGCGAAGGCATAGGTCCTTGAAACTAACATTAACCTTGTCGAGAGACAGTACAGGGGAGGGTGGTCTGGCGATTATATGCATCTAGCCCGCTCTACGAAGCTGGATTCCAAAATCGTGCTTATCGTTGGCAGTGCCATTAATCCAAGACCACTTGTGTGTTCCAAAAAATTTGCATCAGACGATATTAGTGTGTACATAGTCAACTCCGTATGTAAGCACGGTGCGCTATGAGATGATATGACGCACCAATTATATACCCTGTGACAATAAGCCAGGCACTAAGAATATACTCTTCAGGGATTGATTGCGTGAGGCATGTTATCTCTGAGCTCTACACAATCTTTGCACATGAGAAGTAATAGCGTGATTAGTAAGAAGTCCACAGCCCATTCAACTTATGCGGTCTCAAGAAGTAATTGTCTGCTGATTAATTTCAATTTATCCTTGAGTAATGGCATCTAAGTACCGCCACAGTCGGCCGGATGATGAACGCTGGACTGTCTAGCATGTACAAACGTCGCTATTTACCTGCTATAAAGTATTGTCAAACTCTAATGCACTAGGCAAGCCAGGAACTATGAAATGCTTGTGACCAGTAATAGTCCTCTATAGTTTTAAGTGTGTTATATAATGGATAGGCTATATCAGATTACCATATCGGAGACAAATGTAATTGGCGGTGTCGTTCAAGAACTGCCGGTAGTCCATCCCAGGAATTTCTGATTCAAATGTACCACCTGTCAAATCGTATCTAAATCCGTGTTCCCCTAGACAGGTTTCTTGAAAGGAAAAAAAGGAAGGAAAGAAAACAGGAAGTTTCGGAAGTGTTAACTTGCTGAGGGTTAACAAAAGTTTCAAGGGTTTATATCGTCGAAAAATAAAAATAAAATAAAATAATTGCAAAAGACATGACAGAAAGGTAATAGATTTTTAACAATGAGAGATGACCCGACAATAAAGCGACTACTCCATAATATGCAGTCAAATTGTCTGATTGTTTCGAGTGCCGACTTTTCACTTGATATACGAAAATCAGCGTGGTGGATGTAATGTAACTAGTATTGGATTGAGCAGCAGACTGTTTTCGTTGCAAAGTGCAGCGTGGAATTGAGTATCTAATAACAGCACCGAAACCCCAAATTGATTACGTTTTCCTTCCTATACGAACCACTTTATCACCAACCGTCAGCAGAATATGGGCACCGACTGAACAAAAAACCTCATCCTCCGTGGAGAGTTCATAAGCACTGTAAATCACTTCGTCCTCAGCCCGTGTCCACTCACCGTCTGGTAGCCATTCCACTTCTGCAACCACGGCCGCTTTACTGGATTTTACGTTTGTATCGGCTTTGCCAGGATAGTCTAGGGATAGGGCAAGAGACTCGATCTGGACATGAGTTGGTCCCGCATCTGGGTACAGAGTAAAGCTACGTTTGCCCCCTTGTGTTAGGCTTGTAGTTCCAGAGACGTGTTGGCCGGAAAAAATACTTGGGGTGGTGGAGCCAGACTGCTGGGCGCCGGTTGCATCGCTTGGGTTCCTTACACAGGAAGGATCGTCATCTTGCTGATCGGCAGGGACTGAAAATCCGCCAGGCATTTTTTCACCCTTCCATGACTCTAATAATACGGGCCTCTCAGCGATTCCTTCTTCTCGAGCGAGGATCGATTCATCACAGCCAATTGGTGTACCACCTACGGTACTAGACTGTGAGATGATAGAGCTGGGATGATGTGCCGACAATATTACAATCTGCTGAGATTGTCGGGGCAGAGATTCCAAGCCTGATATGGGTTCCCGGCTGATCTCGGGCACCCGAGTGACATTTGACTCGTTCCTGTTCGCTCCGAAGGGACGAATGGTCTCGATAGACGTGCTCGACCTTGGATACGCAGACAGTCTACTTGCCTGTCTGATGGAGGAAGCTACTGTTGAGATAACAGAGCCGGCAAGTGCTGGGAGTCGCACAGCCAGTTCATAGACGATGCTTTCGTTCCCACTATAAAATCTGGCTCTTTGGGTATTAGATAAGAGCTTTTCTGCTATCCTCCTGTTGTACCCCTGAACCACTGTATTCAACTGTTCGGTGAGAGTAGTCGACAATTGACCCGCATTGCTGGGAAGAAGCCACCCCGGATATAGCTTTCCATGGGTACTAGGAATGTGATATTTTCCATGAAGTCGAAACAGCGTATTGCATAGGAAGCATGCGCTCTTGGTTGATACGATGGTGCGAGGGCGGAGACTTGGCTGAGTCATTTCGTAGTGGAACATAAGTTGGACTTCGGCATGTACTTTCCCTGAAGACAAAGTTCTCTTGACAGTCTCTGAGAATTTCTCGGTAGGATCATAGTTCCGGTATGCCTTCTTTTGGATCTTGATTTTTTGTACTAGAGTGTTTTGGGCATCGTAAGGTAACGAAATGGAATTGAGTGCATATGCCAGGTCGGTGGATACATGATTTGCAGGAATCAGCCCCGGAAGTTGAGAAATCGCCTCAACCTGGGAGCTTTTAAATACCTCCTTGATCTTCGCATACTCGAAAAGACAGATGGCGACTGAATGGTAGTGGGCGATCTTCTTAAGTCTGTCCAATATTGCATCTCCTGTGTTTGGGTCCAAGAGCTTTGTGTGCTGGTTCTTGAGCTGAAGCAGTACTTGTTTCATATCTATCAAGTCCAAAAAGCGTCCAACTGCGTCAATCAACCGTCGTAGGCATTTCTTTTCTTTGATTCCGGGTGCCGTTTCTTCGACAGCTTCCAGCTTGGCCACCAGCTGTTTTGCATGGTGGGAGCACTGCTGAAATAACGCGTTTTGTTTATCTGACTCGACCGCAACAATAAATGTTTTGAGCATTGCCAGCAGTGTCGGTTTTCCAGTTTGTCGTGAACTTGATTTGATTTTCGCTGAACGCAATCGCTTCAGGATCCTATCGCGAGAAACATCGATGATATCGCACAGAATTTGACTGGATTTGATGTTAGAGTCGTCTGCTAGTTGATTAGCGACCAGCTGAGACCATTTCAAACTGTCACTGACCGTTTGCAACTTTGGTTAGACTCCCAAAGATTCCTTTGAACCCCTCTATAACTTTCTGCAATATTTCCTCTCCGTCACTCGAGATTGACTTGTTGATCGCAACTTTGATGTGAATCCTTCGGGGATCTTGGCGCTCCTCGACCGCTACGGCCATGACATCACATGCTTCATCACTGATCCCAGCTATGAAACTCAAACTTGTGCAGATCTCAACTTCTTGCTCGATAGACAACGATCTGCCATCCGTATCATTAGGTCTCTTCGGGACGGCATGAAGCAGGGCGGCTCCGGGAACCTGGTCGAGGATGGATAGGAGAGCAACACTCTCCGCCAATCTGACTGATGAGCCTTTTTTCTTTTCCTTACCCATATCAGAAACTGCGTGCTTTCAGCGTTCTAATCTGAGGCTCGGGGACGTAGATATACAGGATGGCGACCTTGGGCGTCATTGTCTGTCTTGTGTAACCAGCACTTGGTGGGCCTCAAATAGGTCGTCCGCATATGCAACATGAGCCGGGCCAGTAAGAAAGCACGGGCACATTACAGGAGACCACATAACCGACCTGGTGAATGTTAGGTACAGGATCGTGTGCGGTCCACCAACATGGGGATCTTCAATGCCGAATTGAATGCAGGATGTCGAAGACGTCGCTTTAAATGCTCCTTGAGGTTGAGCCCTTTGATGACTCTGAAGCATTCAGACTTCAATATCACCGGCGGCCACTCCTCTTGAGGGTTTTGTATTCAATTGTAGTTAATTCATATTTGCACGAAAAGATGCTCCAATCTCGTGTATAGTAATAACGCTTACATGTTCGCTACTAGACTTGTAGAACAGCCTGTACGACAGCACGAACCCCTTCCTTTACAAGGAATTTGTGCTCTAATTTTTTGTTTCCCACATAAGAACATACTTGCATTGAGTGAATAACAGAAACCAGCCGTTCAACAGTGATAGCACCCGGTTCTAGGCTTTTGTAGTCCGGACACTCGAAATTGAGAGGCCACATAGAGAAAATTCCTGATTGCTAATCGAGCGTGCTGCCGCTCATCATTTCCATCAGACACAGACAAAAGGTTTCGCAGATGGCAGTGTATCATCCTCTTGATATTACTCCACGCGGGCTCTTCTAGCATGGCACACTTCTTATCATGCGCATCACACGTGTCCGCCGCAGATGTGCTCCTTCTTCCTTGCTGAAATACCGACCCCGTTCAAAACTGCGTTTAAGAGGCAAGGTCAGTGATTGTTGACTCATGAAATGATATAGGGAGACATCCTGCTTACCTCCAAATAAGACTACCCAAGGTGATGTCACGTAGACCATCTACATATAGCAATACATCTCTGTCAATGTCGGAACCCCATCTCGGCAAATCTGCTAATGCCCGGTACCAACGTGGATAGCAGTCGTTAATCATGTTGGTAACCTCATCAACTGCTTCTTGAAGAGATAAACCTTTGAACTCCAGGATCTTTAAAATATTCATCTCCTGACCATTTATCTGAGTAGTGAGGTTAGAGGTGCTTGCTTGACGTATATGGAAATGGTTACCATACGACATCTTTATTGTAAGATAATATATCATTCTCACTTCTGCCTATTAGATGAGTTTCATAATAATGCTTGGGACTTCACTTACAGTAGTGTCAAATCTGCAGATATTTGCTGACATGTGGCAATGGAAGGGTGTTCGAGGACTTCCTCGGGTAATTCAATCCCGAGAGCAGACCTGCTTTTCTTTTGAGCTTCCGCTCGAGGTATTGATTTTCTCAGAGAATAAATTCATACTCAACTAGACATGTACACGGCATAACACCGATTGTTCTTCTCCGAAAGCCAAGATACTCTTTGACAGCGACATTACGGGGATTAATACCTTGCGAGGCAACTTGGCCAAGAATCCCCAACATCCATTCCTTCATGTGCCTCTTGTATCGGAGTTGTAATGCTATCAAGATGTACGTAAGTAAAAGGACTATTTACCTCAGTTGGAAGAGGAGATTGCTAACCTGGAGATGCTTTCTTCTTGAAATTCTGCCAATTGACTTGAGCAGCGTAACGTAAGGGATACTTCTCGGGTGTGATGAGGGGGTGTGAGTCATCCAGTAGTGCAATTATTTGGACGATCTCCTCGGCGGCCGCGTGCAAATCTTTCTGTAGGTGACCGTCATCAAACTCTAGTCAGACAGAGTCAGCATCACATAGTATAAATATATCCAAGCAGAATACCAACGATCATCCCAAGGGAATGCCTAAGCACGTATCAGTCAGCCTATGGGATTCTCTGCCAATCAAAAGTGATACTAACCCAATGTTGCCAATCAACCATATTCCGTAGAGTTTCAGGCTCACAACGTGGCGCCCAGAAAGACACCAAATAAGTGAAATCTATGTTCGCGTTACGTTGAGCTTGACGCTCATCAAAGCGCAAAGTCCTGATGCGATTCTTAACTTAGACCAAACGAGATATAAAGTAGATGGAAGAAATTGGTCCCCGGTAAAAACAAAGTTGTACTAACCGTGCAATCCAGGCATCCGCTTCGGCCTTGACATTGAGGTAGTGGGAGCTTGTGTTTGGTTCAATGGACATGAAGGAAGCGAACATGTCGGGGATATGGATTTCGGCCATGTCCATTTCTTGCAGATCGGCAATAGTCCCGTTTGGGATCATATTTAGCCTATCATGATTCTTCGGGGAAACGCCTGCGATGGGGCCAGAGTCCGCAATCTCCCGTTGAATTTCATTCATAGGCTCGGTCAATGCCTTGAAAGGCAACATAGGCATTAGAAAATCTGAGGTGACAGCCATGAGCCAGAATATCGTCTAGATATAAGATCTCTAATGAAACGGTTTGCAGCTCTTCGCTTCGTCGGAATGGACCTGGTATTTAGCCCTTTGGAGGCGCCAACAGAACATGATAGCTATTCTGCACTAGCCCATATACAGAGAGTATTTGCGCGATCGCAGGAGACTATTGCCTGCACCCTGGAGTAGAAAAGCGGAGGCTGTTCAACATCGGTTCAAGGGGTCACCCGACTCCACCTCCGCCACCACAGTTTACATGGAATTCTATTAGTCACCATATCGGCTGGACTAGTCCGGGCCGGATCCGTTCACGTGCCGGCCGGCTCTGTTCACTTCTGGTTAAATCTTATGAAGGCTTTTTTCTAATGTTGCCCGTAATTGCACAGTCTACGAACAGCTCCTACGTAGGAATGTCACAGTGACAATAATTCCGCTTTACGAAGCGATGCAATGGTTAAGGATTTACGGGCCGTCCCGCTCGAATAAGGCAAGATTGGCAGTTTGCCTGTTTTCTCGTGAATGGCATATTAATTACAGTACGTTGGTGGTGGTAATTTGCTACCCTGTCAAGTATCGCCAAGCCAGCTAAACCTAATATTATTTTATCGCTATCTATCTTCATGCCAGTCATTTGTCTCTATGATATTTACAACGCGCCGAGTAATTGAATCCAACAGATTCGCCCATTGATGACCCCACAAGGCCCTGTTACACGCTTCATTTCCTCCGGCGTGAATAGCTTTGCTACGCATTGTAAGGGTTATTATTATTAATATTATTGACGTTATGTGGTTGTTAATATTCTTGTCCCTGTTAGGCTTACTTGGCTTGGCGGTACTTGACAGAGTCACAATTTATTACCGCCTCTTGTACCAGACATATGATTCTGTCGTAGCACATCTTGTAAGGGTATCAATTGTTAGCGTGCCATCAATGTTTGCACAAGGGTGCAATGCAAAGCTCTGTATACGCTATTGTGCTGCTCTTCCAAGGCCCGTAGGGATGGGTAAGGTCATAATCAAATACTTTGGGATACTGGACAAGAAATATTACGAATCATTTTTCTATATCAGTCATGACTTTATACTATTTTATCACAAAATTTAAAAATAAAACATTTTATCAAAGGAACTGACGTACCAGCGGGGTCATGAATGGTCACTTCTTCACGGAAACTCAAGAAAAAGTTTGCTCAAGTAGCCTATTAAGACCTGTGGTAAATTACAACCGGGCTTGCTGCATAAACCTCTCTAACAATCCATACCCCCATAATGTGTATTCATTGTGCCACGCAAGGGGGTCGCTCCTTCAAGGAAATCAGTCCATGTGGAAGACGCGTTATAGCAGGCCATGGATGCCCCCGGGAGACGGTGGTCGATCCGTTACATGGGTTCGATGGATTTTTTAGTATGTAATTGGTGAAATTGTAGTGACTTAGTGGGTCCGGCTCCGAACCCGTTGCAAGCGACATGTTGTCAACATGTAGCCAAGAAAAAGGTAGTACGATGATATTGCCTCCACTTAACGACGGCTAATGATAGGACATCACGAAGGGTCAAAAACATACAATACGATTAGAGAAATGCAGGATAGCAAACCACCCTTGAGGCATGGTGGATCCTCAGGTGATGAAAACGTTCCCTTCAGAATGTAAATTTTCAGTTCTTCAGATTTTGACTACATACAGTCATCGTTCACAATGAAGAGAATTAGAGAGTATATTGCGAGAATTTCTCGGATCCAAAATCTCAGCCCAGAGCCGACTGTGAAATCGAAAGAGTCCCTCAGCACGAGACATAGCTCGATTGACGAAGACAGCGATGGGATTCTTGTTTTCCAGAAAGGCAAGGAGTGCCCCAGTGAGAGTGGTATCGACATTGTCTTTGTCCACTGCCTTGGTGGCAGCCGTGTCCGGTCGTGGCAGAAAGACGGCGTCTGCTGGCCTCGCGATCTCCTTGGTCAAGAGTTTCCAAATGTAGGAATTTTTACTGTGAGCAAGCATTCGCGTCAAAGCTGTCATGAAGGAATACTTGACACTAATTTGACTAAAGTGGGGGTATACTTTGCCGACATTGAACAGCTCTAACATTGATGATTATCTCTCCAATCCAATGAGCGATCTTCTTGTGGCCGATTTGACCAGAGTCATGGGCAATTCTAATCGTCACATCATTTTCGTGGCCCACGGTCTTGGCGGTGGTAAGTTCTTTGTAACACTTCTGATAGAAGACCATCTTAGTGGGTCTGAAGAAGCACCAACATCACTTGTCAACCGTAACGATCGCTTTTTGCTAATGAAGATCTTTAAGCCATCGTTAAAGAGGCCCTATCCGCTGCTGCCGTGTCTCAAGTCTTTGGGAAATACTCAGATTCAGGGAATGTCTACGCCAGAACGGCCGGTATAGTATTTCTCGGCACGCCTCACAGAGGTAACCAAAGACAGACCATGGAAGATGTTATTGTCGGGACTACCGCTCTCGAATTGGGCCGACCTGATGAGACTGGTGCGAGACTAATCAAGAAGCACCTGGAAGTACTCACATCGCAGCGAGATGAGTTTCTTGCCATCTCTCGAGACTTGTTAGTTGTCTGCGTGAGGGAAACACTGCCAACTACCACATCGTTTGTAAGTGCTTTCATCAGGCTCACAATGAATCTTTCTGACGTGTTCCGTGGCAGATGGTCCCAAAAGCAAGTGCTACGTATGATGGTTTGAACGTCGTGTGTGACGATATCTTGGCAGACCACTTTGATATAGCTAGGTTTGCAAACCGGCAAGACCCAGGCTATTTCCAATTAGTGGGACACCTCAGTAAAATGTCGCAAAAATCCCAAATAGACGGTAGGTCTTCCCATGGATCGTTCAGCCGTAAGTCCTTGCTGAAAGAAGTCCAGATACTGAAGCAAAAATGATCCGCAACAGAGGTATGTCGAATATCCCGTCGTCTCGACTGTAGTCTGTACTCATTTAGCCAGAAATTCTTGATGCTTTGTATTTTGATATGCGTAATAAGCGAGAACCTGGTGATAATGCCGTCGATTCAACTTGCTCGTCTATCATTGGCGGCGGAGACGGCCAAATGCCGTCAGGGTTCCACAGATGGCTGCAATCTCCAGGACCCATCTTCTGGATAAGCGGAAACCCTGGGTCTGGAAAGACTACGCTGATGAAGCACATGCTTTACAGCTTGGAAACTCGGAGGTATCTTGAGCAATGGGCAGGTGATAATACGCTGATGGTAGCATCTGTCTTTCTCTTCGACAGTGGTGATCAAATTCAAAAGTCCCGGGAAGGTATGCTTCGAGCGTTTTTGTACCAGATCCTGAGTGCTAGGCCCGACTTCATTCCAATTTGCTTTCCCAGTTTTATGGAAGGGCCTTGGCCCCCGCCACTACCTTTCAACACAGTTGTGAATCTATCCCAAGGGTTCTACCAATTGTTCGCCAAATTGGCGAAGACCCTGAGACTGGTCCTTTTCGTCGATGCGCTTGACGAGTATCGCTCGACAGAGTCTGATGAGTATGCCGCCAGAGAGAGCATCTCAGGTGATTCATTGAGCTCTGATGGGGGCAATTCAGTTCTAGGCTCAAGGGGATGGATCGCAAATTCGCACGTGGAGATAGCTCGTCTGATCAGCGAATATGCCTGTGCGGATTTTATCAAACTCTGCATCTCGAGTAGAGAGCTCCCAATATTTGAGGAGTCTTTCGGACAATTTCCGCGCTTGCGAGTTCATTCAAGGACTATGAGACTGATTTCTCAATACTGTGCAGACCGCCTAGAAAACGTTTCCCCAGGCTTGTCTTCTGGACAACAACATCTTTGTAACGAGGTTGCTCAGCTATCCAACGGAGACTTCTTGTGGGCCCGACTAGCTATCAACATTTTGATGGAAGGATCATTGAAATCGCTGAAATCCACCCTCGATGCTCTTCCCGCTCAACTGGGAGGCTTTGATGGACTCTACATGCGCATCGTTCAAAGTCTTCCATCTACACAGCGGCGCGAAGCTTGTAGGATTTTTGAGATAACTCTGAGATCCCGTGACCCTCCAAATATAGTCACATTGACATTGGCCGAGGAAGGCTATTTAGCGAGGAAAGAGCTGCAGAAGCTTAATCCCGACCTGGGCGAATTGCTTGTCCGACACGAAAAAGCAAATCCTGTGTCCGCATATGACGTGGCCACAATAGTGGAAAACATGGAACAGCGTTTGTTGAGCTGCTGTGCAGGTCTGCTGGAGAAGACAGACAATGGTCAGCGCGTGGTGTTTATGCATCTGACTGCCAAGGAGTTTCTGGCCAAATCTGGCATCTGGGACAGACTCTCTGTGACAAAACCTAGTAGCATTGAGATCGACTACTCGCTGATCAGTGCAAATATTCGGTATCTTCGGTATGTTATCACGACACGTCTGTTCGCCTCAAGGTGGCCACGCTTTCGGGTCGAGCCAGAGGCGTGGCTTTTGATTGGGAGCATTTTGCAGTATGCCAGCCGTGTGGACGACAAACCTTTCGATTTTGACTCATACGTTGATATGTTGGATGTGCTGGATGACATGTGCAATGAGTGCTGGCAACAAGCAGTCCAGGGCTATATGCCCCCGTCCACCGATCGCGAATGGTCCAACGAACAACGTTCGAGGTTGTTAGCCACTAGCTGGGCAGCCTTTGAACCGATGGACTTTGGGCAATCTCCATGGCGCCATAATTTCCTTGCGTTGGGTATCCAAGCAAATCTATTCAACTATGTGTCTGCAAAGCTGATGGCCTTCAGCGATAATGATCGAGCAGCGGAGGCACAGAGCCTCCTGCAATATGCTGTCTACTCAGAAGGAGACAATCGGTCAACGAAGGGTTCCATGGTGTCGTCCTGCACTCCACTGACTGGCAGCTATAGAGATTTCCATCACGATTTGCCAGACGCGGAGTTTGTTCGCCTTCTTCTCCAGTGCGGAGCGAGTTCGCGGCATCAACAAGCTCAACATCTATGGGCACGAGTGTTGCTGGCTGGGAGAAGGTATTTCTCCAAGCAAGGGGTGTCCGCCTTGTCTATCAGGACATCTCCAGCGCAAGCAACTACACAGAATCGACAGCGGTGGGTTGCCATCGTGACGGCACTTTTAGAAGATGGTGCCAATCCCCACCTGCAGGTTGAAACAGGCGGGGAAACGGGTGGAGATGGTTCAACTGAAGTGAGGTCGGCAATAGAAATCATTAGATCTACATTGGCAGGCGAAGATGGGTTCGCAAGAGCCCTCATAGTCATAGAAGCTGCAGCCGTTGAAGCGGAACTGGCGAAAAAGGTTGGGTAGATTGGGTTTCTCAGCTTCGGACCGTGCAGTCGGACTTTGACCACACAACGCGGCCATTCAAATCTCAATTTCATTCCGTCAAGGACCCCCGTGCGACGCGCGATCTGCAAATAAGATGCGAATTCTTGGTGAGACGACCGCTGACATAGCCACTGTATAGTCTAAACAGCGATGTTCATTTGAAGGCCAGGAACAGTAGACGATCCCTTGCAATTCTGTAATTAGGTGGCGATATAATTCGCTACAGTTGACAGTAGACGGATCCGCAAGTGTTTAGGAACACCGAAGACCATGTGGCTTCGGCTTTGGATAAACAAGATCGTCTTGCTAGAGCAGGGAAGGTGGCCCACATTCCGCTCTTATTTAGTGGGGGGCAACTGCTGATAGGTTCAAAACTTGAGACGACCTAGACTTCCAAGGTTGCGACATGATACATACAAACCTTTATTTTCTTATTTTATTTTAAACCGAAACCTCCTCAGGCTTTCGTATTCCTCACCGAAGCAGCGTACTGTGGTAGTCAATCGTCTCTGCACGGCTTATACTATTGCACGTCACGCAAGCTATCTGACAGGAGTACATGATGAGTACGCCTGCCTTGTTGCTTCCCGAGCGTTCGCGGCACCTTAACGGGTGGACTGATAACCCCCCACGAAATGCCGGCGGTACCTAGTTCAGGGGTACCCAAGCTATCTCATGTGCGATCTTAATGAAGCGGACCACTAATTATTCGCCCACCATCACATAAGGTCCCCAGCATGACGAACTTATCGTCGTAAGCTCCTGCAGGGCTTGCGGCGCCTCCTCCAATAGGTAACTCCAAGCTTGCTGGGCTGGGAACTTGGTCCTCCTTTCGCTAGTTTCCGCGTCCTATCTTAAGGGCCGCATCCCTTGATGGAGTGTCAGACATTGAGATGCAGCCTTCTCGCTTCTCGCAAGACGATGATTAATCTCTCATCGTCTTTCTTTACGTTTCTTTTACGGTTCCAATGGGGCTGACCAGTCCGCTCAGTCGATACCGCCTGTACTGGCGGATGCTAGGCGCTATCTTAGCTCTTCTTCTTCTTCATCATGTGTTATGCCTTCAAAGCGCTTTTGTAGTCCAACAAACGGATGACTATCTCAACCCGATTAGAGACGTGTTTCGCCCCCGAGCCCGCAATTGCGAACAGCTGGACGGAATCGAAGATATTTTTGTCGTCCTCAAGACCGGCGCAAACGAAGCCCGCGAGAAGCTTCCCGTTCATTTTGCGACGACGCTACAATGCCTTCCGAACTATGCCATTTATTCCGATTTAGAGGAGACGGTGGCCGGCCACCACATTTACGATGCCCTTGACGAAGTAAACCCGGAGATCGTTGCCAACCACCCGGACTTTGTATATTACCAGAGCCTGAAGCAAAAGGGCAGAGATGGGTTCTCTGCAGAAGAGCGCGATCAGTGGAACCATGCCCAGAACACCATATTCGGCCGTGACAGCCCAGGCTGGCGATTGGACAAGTGGAAGTTCTTGCCACTGGTGGAAAAGGCATTGAAGCAGAAGCCGGATGCCAAATGGTACGTCTTCATGGAGACGGACACATACATACTGTGGTCGCAACTCATCTTTTGGCTGAACCACTTCTGGCCCGAATATCCATACTACATGGGAGTCCAGATGCAGATAGCCGATGATGTCTTTGCGTACGGCGGCGCAGGCTTCGTTCTTTCCAACAGAGCCTTAAAAATGCTTGCGAATCAGTACAAGCTGAAGAGGAGACACTACGACGAGCTCACTGGTGAACATTGGGCCGGCGATTGTGTGCTTGGAGTTGTCGCTGCGGATGCTGGTGTGCAGCTACAGTGGTCATGGCCTAATCTGTTCGGAGAGAAACCAAACAACATGAACTTCAACGACGATTTCGCTGGACCCGATGTGCACTTATGGTGCAACTATGTCTCGAGTTACCACCACATGCAGCCCCAGGATATGATCCAATTCAGTGATTTCGAGGGCACATGGAAAGCAATGGTAAGCAATATCTCCTTGAGGCGCTGAGATTGGTACTAATTTTGGTACAGAACGGTAGGACTCTACGACACAAAGATGTCTTCCGCCAATATATCTTCCCTCAACTCGCGCCCCTGAAGGCCGATTGGGATAACGTCTCAGATGAGGTGCGCAACGAAAAGAGCTCATTGGAGGAATGTCGCTCCATATGCGAAGCGGACGATGAATGTGTGCAGTTCTCAATTTCGGAAGAGATCTGTAGGACATCTAAGATTGTCAAGTTGGGCCAAAAGAGCAACACAGGTTCAATGCAGACCAATTCTGGTTGGATGATGGACCGTGTGAATCAGTTCATGGAGGACATGGACGCCTCGTGTTGGGACCAAACTTGGATACAGCCTTGAAAGCGCTCAGAATTACAAACTACAAATTACCATGTTCTAAATCACGCAAATTGCCCGTACTTCAGGTGCCGTGCCGAATTGGACCATACAAAGTTCAGAGACCATCGGTCCACATAATCATGGAGATTCATCACCCCGGGAGTTGTATGCTAAAGAGTTCAATATCATGCCACTTTCATGGAAAACGATGCGATCATTTGCGATATGCAAATACCCCCCACCTTTCCAATCTCACAGATGTCAGGGATTTGAAGTACCGGTAGCAGATTGCCAGAGCGCTTCACTGTCTTGGTGGACACTACGTTCAAGGGTATTGGTAAAGCGAGATAGGCAGGTATCATCACCCTGAGGTATGTTGGAACCAGTCATGCCAGGTAAGCGATTGGAAATACTCGACCCCTGCCAGTAATGTGCCAATGGCAATGCTGCATGCTATGTACCACGGACTTGCAGGTGTCCTAGCCCTCAATGCATGCTTACAACATTTGTCTCTCTTGCGATTGACAGCATTGATTGAAGGTTTACGGACACATGTTAAAAGTCCGTCAAGTCTAATTGCAGCATGGGTGGGTACCCCGCGGTTGTTGGCCGAAACGGCCACCCAAGATACCGAAATTGATGCAAAATATCCTCAGCATACCAGTGTTACAGTTGAGGCATGAGCTCGGTTCCGGCCCATAGTTACACAACTTTATCAGAATGGAGAGTGGAAGGTGGAGGAAATCGTGGGAATTATGTCCACAAAATATGGATTCAAACCAACGTATAAATGAATTTCCAACCAAGCTTGGTAAGCACTGACATTTGGCCCAGGAAGTGGATGTAAAAGAGAAAAATATCCGAATGGGGTCTCGACAATACGCTTAAAGAGTATGGTGTAATCCAGATCCTACACACCTGCGCCTGTAAGCCCTTTAAAAGCATACCTGTGTTTCCGTCCTTCGTGGTCAACGTATTGACAGCCTTCGACTTCGTCGGTATATAAAACGAAACCCATTAGTCATGCAGTGATTCCATGACGGAGTAATGCCCCCACCGGACTCAATCGGAGTTGTGACTTATGAGCCATGTAGACGTAATTGTCAGACATAGCACCAAGGCGAAGACTCTCGCGCTTACACTGTTGGGTTGTTGCTGTGTGGTATCTGTCAATATATCAGCAGTTGCTTTAATTCAACCGCTTGAGCATACGATACTTCAGGCTACTAGTCCACGCATTCAACTGCAAAGGTGGTCTTAAGTTGCACGATTCATGGAATAATCCGCTTATAAGCGTCATGGCTGCTCGATCCAGAAATGAGAAGATGACCATAGATCAAGTTCTCCGTTGGTGTTTTGACTGTTTGCCACCTGTAGTCAAGGCGTACCCACCATTCTTCTTATCTACCAAGGTTAGTATAATAATGGGTATGATGACCCACGATAAGCAAATTTTGAGATTATTCTAAGCCTTTCCGGCATGTCCTTGCAGCGAGTACCTCCCCTTATGGCAATCGCTTCTTTATGACTGTCCTCACAGCACTGCTGAAAACCCTCCTCCGATCCATCATGAAGAAGTAATCACTGACTTTTGAAGGCTGTAGTGCAAGAGGCTGGACAACATCAACTAACATACATTCTATTACAGCATGTTAGTGCACTTGTCTTTTACTACCACGGCGAGAATCACGGCCTTAAGACGCCGTACGGCATCTCAATGGTCTGTAGTCGTAGCTCGGGGACAATGGGTACTGGCACGAGCGACCCATCCAGTTGATTGTTATGTTGTTTGAAGGCAAGAAAGGAATGGAGAGTACCATTACGATCTTCTTGGCAATGATACTTTAAGAAGCTTTCGTCGGCAATGGCTGCTTAGTTGACAAGTGGCCGGGGAAATTACAGCAGCACGCCCAGCTTCCAACGTGCGGTTCACCCTTATCGGATCCCCATAGTTCCAGCCCAGATGGTAGCCTGCGGAATTTAGCTGGCATGAGCGAACAAGTTTTTCTTCCAACTGGACGAGGCTCCAATCCGAAATACAGCACGAGTCCATGCATTCATAAGACGAATCGGTGCTAGGCTCATCATCTCACATCAATGCTATAGCTCTTGTAAAACGGCAGTACCGACATCAATCTTCATACTCGTACATGGACTCAAAGCTCAGTCCGACGATGCTTGATTCCTTTGGGTATATCTGTTTGCAGGCCCAGTCTAAGTCGATGCCGACAAATAGTACCAGAATCTTGAGGCAACGGCGGGGTTAGCGCGGGACGCCAACTGTAAGGTGCTCCATACATTTGCCTAGGTGTCAACGACGTCATGGATACTGATTGGTCAACAACCAGTTAACGCAAAGTGAATACCGTTGCAATCAGCATTTGATTTGCGACGCGGTTTCTATACCGTCTTGTATTTCGTAAAAGAGAAATGTTAGTAATGCGTTCAACATTGCGCCCTATTCTTCGACCTGCTTCACTACTCACAGCGACTGCATGTGGTGTCGCAATCACATCTACCCTACTACCTATTCGAAAAGAACGGAGTATGTCTTGGTCACAACCCCTACAGCAACACAAGTCCTGGCCATCGACGGCTTATGAACCGCGTTATGCTTCATGGCCGTACCTAGAATCAGACTTCGCTCGCCAAGATCCTAGTTCCGATGCAGACTTCTACTCCTCGCCTCGCTTTGTAACACACATAGACGATGCCGCAATCTCTACACTACGCGAGTATTATGCCACTGCGTTGCCACGCAAAGGTACAATATTGGATATCTGTACTTCTTGGATAAGTCACTATCCCAAGGACGTAGAGGCAGCTGTCTCGAGGGGTGATATCAAAGTGATCGGGATGGGTATGAACCGCGCAGAGCTGGATGCAAACAAAGTTCTGAACCATGGACGAGTTCTGGCGGACCTGAATCAGAAGCCAGATTTGGTGTTAGCCCTCAAAGATGCTGGAGTCGAGACACCAACAGCAGAGAAGGAGCAGCTAGACGCGAGTACCATGGTTGTGTCGATCGATTACTTGACTAAACCTGTCGAAGTGCTCAAGAGCCTGAGGGAAGTGACTCGGGATGGAGGAAGAGTGCACTTGGTTGTGAGTAACAGATGTTTTCCTACGAAAGTCATTGCGAGGTGGTCAAAGGTTGATGAGGAGGAGAGACTGCTGATGGTTGGTGACTTCTTGCACTTTGCGGGCTGGAAGGGGATAGAGATTTTGGAATTGAGTAACGGAAAGGTTGATAATTCGCCTGAAGAAGGACAGGGAGGGGGGCTTCATGGGTTAATAAACTTCCTTGGATTAAATTCAAGGGATCCTTTGTGGGTTGTGAGAGGGGTAAAATAATGATCTAAATAAGCGATTTATTATTGCTATACCACTAATTCAGAAGGGAAAACATATACACCGCTCTATCACGCTCTTTTGCGACGCGTTGTACCCCAGAAGATTTTGATTACTGCAATTCTAGTTCATCCACTTCTTATCTGACTCGCTCAACTGTCGAGCTATACTCTTCTCAAACGATGGCACAAAATTTGCCAAAGCCAACACGGACCACTCCTTAACTGTGCAGACCCAAGTATTCTTTATGATAGTGAATACAATCATGCGGTGTGTCAGAGCGACGACTCTCTGCTTAGCCTTCTAGCTTTATATCTAGATTTTCATCCGTGTTTCTGCCCCCGAGCAATGCATGCAGAACCCCAAGTTCAGTTCTTAGCCGCTGGTGGATGTTGCGCATGAGCAGCATCTCCGATCATAACACACACACACACACACATACACGAGCGACTCGATATCTGATTCCCAAGCGATGATGAGTCCGGAAATGTCCTCCCGACCAAGCAACGTTGGCGACGACAGGCTTGCTTCTTGGGATAATCTTCGCACCACGATCGCGATGCAGGGTTTCCAGGTACTCTCTACTTGGTTTTTCGACGCAGACTCCATGGTCGCCATGACACGCCAGAGGTTGTTGTTTGTGCTGGGAAACGAGACCGTTGACTGCATCGCAACGGCTAAAGCTTATTCCATCGGGTGCGACCACACATCGCACCTTAATTTACCTCACTTCTTGACATGTGTTGTTCCTCCCTTACAGTTTTTCTCATGATCATACTACCTGAACCAATATACCTTCCCACGATAAGCCGCATTGATTATGCTTAAAGCAGAGTAACGCCGTGATCGTACATGGCTTACAAAAGCATAAATTCGAGAGACGCCAACAAGATCTCACGCTCTTATAACGTCTTGGAGTGAACCACGACACCGATTTCAAGCACTGTGTCGATCAGGTTAAGCTGTTCGAATATCTCGAGGGTACGCAGATAGCTCAGTATTTGCGCGGGATGATGTTGCTGAGGTTGGTGCCGCAGCAAATACGATAGTATCGATGCTTGACCTTCAAGGCAAACAGCCAGTGAGTAGTCCGGTTGGCCCAGCCCTAATAGCTACGACGTCTGCTGCTGTTGGAATACACATATCGCTATTTTTGGGAGAAAAGATGTGGTTATGATTGGACGTGAACTAGGTCCTTTGACAATCTTATAATGTATGTTTATTCAGAATCTGTGTTATCAGAAAATGGCTATTCGTTGAGCATTCTAGGCTCTATACCCCCAACTTCGTAGCATTAGAGACGTAGCTTGATTTACTTATCACTAATATCATTCAAATAACTACCATCAGTGGCGGTGTTACCGAGACCGACGACCAAGGCAACTAGACACTCAGACATCGGGCATGCAGTTTCGCTACGACGCGCATTACATAATGGAACCATGGACAAGAACTCAACCTGATTCTTCATGATCACTTGCATCTTCCTGCTTGGTAGTTGCCACCTTGGTCAGTCGATGACGCGCTGCTAGGGCCTTCTACTTTGACTTCGAGATTGGTCGTAGAAGCCAGTATTTGAGCGCAAGTGATGTTGCAAAACTTTTCCAAGCGGTTCTCGCTATGACATGTGACAGCCACGGTACATTTAAATGTGTATTAGTCTTGGCCCGCCAGATCCCCTCCCCCTCCCGTGGGAAAAGATGGACACATCCGACAAAGGACACTGAAATGTAAGTGACATCAGCACCGAATTGCCGAAGACTTATCAAAAAGAAATTTGTTGGTAGTTCTGATTGCTTGAAACTATGATACGAGTCTCTTATCGGCTAGCTGGCTAGACAGTCGAGTTTCTTTCAAGTTCTCTTTGGAATGGGGCGCTGTTCTGGGTAATGTTTTGACGTCCAGTGAGTTCCTTGCTTATTGGTAATGTAAATTCTTTTAACTTAGATAATTCCCAAATTCTTCAAATAGCTGATAGACAGAGGTGTTCAGAGGAGGCACAGGACATTGAATGGTTAATTGATAGCTGCGTTGAGCTGGCTAGGTTGAGAATGATTCGCAGTTTATTAGGTGATGTAGAATGTTTATAGCTTTTGCAATTGATACCATAATGCTCAAGTTCCGCTTGACTTAGCAGTACCTTTCTCAGTATCATTAACAGACGCTTCGGTGGGAACGTCTGAACGTTTAGGCGCCGCTGGCTTCGAGACGTCGATCGTCTTCCATTCAACGAACCAGCTCACGACAGCAGCAGCAGCCGTCGCCACAATCGGCACAATGAAAGCAGTGGTGACCGCATCGCTTAGTGCTAAGCGAAAGCTTTCCCTAGTCTTGACATCAAAGCCTTTCATGGAATTGATCATATCTGTAAGCCCGGCGCTCGCAAATGCTTCCGCCTCGTCCGAAGGCACAACCATTCGTAATCGGCGTTTGAGCTGGCCTACAAAAAGGTTTTGCCCAATACTAGCACCCACAGCACCTCCAAGTTGACCGCTAAAGACCTCCATCACCGCCGCTAGGGGCATGTCTTCCGGACTACTTACCACTTGCACGGCAATGATTGACATATGAATGGATACACCGAAGCCAAAACCAACGACAGTCTGATAGCCGAGATACTGAGCCATCGTGCTCTCAGCGCCTAGATGCTGGAGTAACACACTTCCAGCAAGAAAAAACAGAGGACCAGCCCATAAGAACGGTACGTAATATCCACAGGCTGTGACCGTGAAGCCGGTGATCACGCTGCCAATGAGACTAGATAAAGTCCGCGGCACATAGTAGACCCCAGACATGGTGATATTCACGTCCTGTACCGTCTGAAAGTAGGTAGAGAGTAATGATGAATGAATGATATTTGCTACACCATATAGTAGCGAATAGAGACAGCAGACAGCAACGGTTCGCTGCTTGAAAATACGGAGTGGAATGACTGCGCTAGAGACAAGGAAAACTTGGTCAATTTTACTAGAACAATCGAATAGAAGTCCAGAGGGTGAGCGATGTTGGGCAAATTTGACCGCTAGTTGACTTACTTGTCCTTCTTCAGCACTTGGGATACCGCAAATACGGCAGCCAGAAGACCACAGGAAAGGAAGCAACCCCAAACCTGTGGCGACGAGAATGGTAAAGTTGTTCCGCCCCATTCTAGAGCCAGAAAAAGGGATACTAAGCTGCCTGTAAGCAGTGCGGCGCCTGTAGGGTCAGCCTTACGAAACTTCTCACGCAGAGGAAGATGTTTGTGTGGACTTGGCCTTGGTTTTATGACGAAGAACACGGCGACAAGTGACACAAAACCAACAGCTAGAAACCTCGCGTGAATCAGACTCAAGAACTTGGCAAGACGGCGCAAGAGGATAGCCTCGTGTCGACAGATGCAGAACACTCACGTAGGTTAATCCAAAAGCAGAATCGCCATGTTAATGATGATTCGGTTATTGCTCCACTCAGAATTGGTCCTGAGAAATAGGAGATAGACTGCAGAACGGCAATAATAGCTATACCTCTCGGTCGCTCTCGCATCGGCGCGGAACTGCCATATATTCCAATGCTAGCCGTGACGATACCGCCAGCGCCACACCCTGCAAGAGCGCGGCCAAAGATGAAGACTACGGAGGTCGGAGAGGTGGCGCAGAGGATGGAGCCGACTTCGAAGAGGATTATAGACACCATGTAGCATCGTTTAGGATCATAGAATAAGAGCATGCGGCCAACCAGAGGCTGGCATGCCATTTGGGCCAAAAGATAAGCACTGAAGTACCAACCGGTATTATCGACAGTATGAAACTCCGAAGTCATTGTCGGTAAAACAGGCGCTTTTTTTCCAAAAAAAGAAAATTTGGTCAGTATGTACATCGATTGTAGATTTCCAGACAAGAAATTGTTGTCAAACCAGAATAGGAAGATTTATGAAAGAGAGCCAGGCAATGGGCATACCCAGGATAGTGGTGTCTAAAGCCATCATGACATTGGCGATAGTAAGTGCAAACAGCATAGTAAGAAGCCGCCATCGTGGAAGTTCTTCTGACGCTTTATCGCGATCTTGGGTTTCTGCGTTGGTGTTGGCGACGTCATTGAAATTGACTTGGGAAGATTCCAGCTGCCTTGCTCTGTCGGCAGACACTGCCTCGAATTGCTTCATTGTTTAGTTGGGTGTCACAATCAGATCGACTGATGACCGGGTCATGATGAGCGAAGACTTCGAGACTCCAAATAGCTCGATATTGTTGCCGCTTTTTCGGGCTGAACTACTGGCACAGTGCCAGCACACATGTTTTCTATAGACCAGAAGGATCATGCTGTCCGATGGAGATTGGGGTAATTGCGACCTCGAACCTTTGTATGCACGCCCCTGTGGGGAAAGCTGCGGGGCGTCAGAGTGCTAACGTTAAGCCTTGCCCCTGCTTGGCTGCCCGCGTCACTAATCTTGGAAAAGCGCGATCAAGCTTCTGCCTCTACCCAATCCAAATCAAATCCTCAAAGCTGGAGCTCTGCGCAGGATTCGAGCTAGATAAGCGACGTTCTGCAACGACCGGGGTTTTCTTCTTCTTCTTCCTTCTTTCTGCCCTGCAGGCCTTGCTAAAACATATGTTTGCAGTTGTTGCCTAGCGAATAATACTTCCATGGATCTGCTTCTATCCCAATGGTGGAATATTTTGGCGCCGTGTGCTGACCTTGACGCGCGTAGGCCACTAGTACCTGCTCTCGTGTAGAATTCGTATGAGATGCGGTTGTTTGCATCAACGACGCGCCCTTGTCCAGATACCGCATGGCAGCTGTTGAAAGGCATACTACCCTGCGGACCCAGGCTCGTGGATCTGGGACTCAATTTCCCGACACACTTGCAATCGACAGCATGTGCTATGGGGCGCCATGGGGATCGTTCAAACTGTTACTCTCCTCTCCTCCTCAGGTCTCGATAGATGGCAGGATGGCGAGGAAAGGGCACGGAAAATTTTAAAACACGAAACGATGGCACAGTTGCTAGAAGATCAAGTCCAGGTCCGGCGGGATGCTTTGTTCCAGCGAATATAGACTGCTCAATAAGGTCTTCCACGATATTGTCATTGTACAGACGGGTTTATCATTGGCTTACGGAATACCCTTGACTGATTACGGTGGAGATCCATGGGTGTTCATTCTCTCCTGAAGGATCCGAATCATGGGCAATCTACTAACCTACTGATATCTGGGGTTGTTGGAGGTACTTCCGCGTAGTCTCCACCGTTGATATAGACCCCGATGATTATGCATATTGCATATTCTTATAATGCTATTCTGCGAGCCGGCATCACTGACCAAGAACTAATTCCTAGTGTAAGATATCTACTTGCGTCTTCTTTAGCCAACGAAAGGCACGAGACAGAATCATGGCAAACTAGCTGCGATCAGGCACAGCAATTCTTTGGACTCTTGCCAGGCTTACCATTGGACATCTTATTTGGCAACTCTCTACAACAGCTGTGACTATGTCGGAAATTGTACCAATTGCCATTATTGGCCTCGGCTGTCGCCTGCCGGGCGGCGCAAACAGTCCTGAGCAGTTATGGGATATGTTGTACGAGGGCCGAAGCGGCCAAAGACCAGTTCCTTCAACTCGATGGAATGCCGAAGCGTTTTATCATCCCGACCAGAATGCCAAGGAGTCCCTGAACTTCCGGTCTGGATATTTCATTGACCAGGACATATCAGCATTTGATGCCCGATTTTTCGGTATCCCCCCGAGAGAGGCGAATGGAATGGATCCACAACAACGGCTTCTGCTTGAGACGACGTATGAAGCACTGGAGAATGCAGGTATATCGCTGAGCAGTTTGAAAGGCTCCGACACAGCTGTGTATGTGGCCGAATTCACACGTGACTACGATAGAATGGCGAATAAAGATATTCCTCAGCTTCACCTTCTGCATGTCACAGGAAAGGGCGACGCGATTCTGTCAAACAGAATATCATATCTCCTTGATCTGAAAGGGCCATCGCTTACAATTGATACCGGATGTGTGAGGTTTCCTTTTCTCAGATTCGTCATTTTCTGCGATCATGCTGACAGTTTGGTCCGTTACATAGTCAGGAAGTATGGTTGCTCTGCATCAAGCTTGCCAAAGCATTCGTTTGGGAGAGTCAAAGCTGGCGATTGTCGGTGGTGCACAGTTGTTATTGCACCCCGATCAATCCATGGCTATGAATCAAATTGGGTATGCAATCTTTATCACGATATGCCTTATAAATAGTGCAACTCTGACGTCTGACGTTTCCCGACAGTATGATGAATGCCGATGGCAAATGCTACGTATTCGATGATAGGGGTTCTGGTTATGCCAGAGGCGAAGGAGTTGGCGCTGTGATTCTGAAAAGATACGACGATGCAATCAATGACGGTGACGCAATTCATGCTGTTATTGCACACTCGGGAGTAAACCAAGATGGCAGAACTTTGGGTATACATTTACCCAACGCCGATGCTCAAGCTGCTCTTGCAGAGTCAGTCTATGCCGCCGCCGGCCTAGACCCGGCCGAGACATTATATGTGGAGGCACATGGAACGGTATGGCAATCCTCAGACGCCTTTTTCTCGACATCGCCATGACTAATTGTGTTTCACATAAGGGCACTCAAGCTGGTATGGCATCTCACTACCACACGTCAAAACATTGCGCTATTGCCGCGCTTTTAACGATCTGGCGATATTAACCGAACTCCATAGGTGATGCGGCAGAAATGTCGTCCATATATCGAGTCTTCTGCGAGAATGTAGAGAGAAGCACCAATCTTTTGGTCGGCTCAATCAAGTCGAATATTGGTCATCTTGAGTCAGTCAGTGGCATAGCAGCCTTGATTAAGTCAATCATGATTCTGAAAAGGGATACTATACCGGCAAATTTAAACTTTGTGACGCCGAAAGCTGCATTGCAGTTGGACAAAAGGCCCATTTCTGTAAGTCAGATCATGTCTACATTCAAGAAAAGAAGTTGCTCACAGTCACTTGGAATTAGATACCTACAAATGTTACACCGCTGGCAACTCCTGATTATTCAGGTCCCAGAAGAATCTCACTTAACGGCTTTGGCTATGGTGGTACCAATGCCCACATCATCTTGGAGCCGGCCACTAAAAACAAAGCAGTCACTAATAGTAACGTGGCTCATCACACACTGATGAACGACGCCAGAGATGGCCCTCTTACGGAAGATGGCTCCGTAAAAAACAGTACCATACAGGAAAATGTCGACATAGCTCGCCAAGTGACAAATGGTACTGGGGCGAATGGCGATCAAGCCGGTCATGCTATGATGAAAATCGATGACATAAATGGAATCTCTCATAAACATGCGGAGGCAGAGGCAGACCCGCAGATATTCGTCCTTTCTGCAGCATCGGAATCTTCTCTAAGGCATTGGGCAGCCAGGCTAAAGCAATGGCTCTCCACTGAAAAATGCGAAAATGCTCATCTTCAAGACCTTTCCCACACTCTGGCTCTCCGTCGCAGTCTGCATACTTGGCGCTCTGGTATAGTGGCAAGTAGTGCCACTGACCTCATAAACCAGTTGACTCATATCAAGCCAGTCAAAAGCAGCGATGCGTCATCGGTGCAGGTCGCATTTGTCTTTACGGGGCAGGGCGCACAGTGGCATGGAATGGGTCGAGAGCTGCTATTAATCCCTGGACCATTTCGGAACTCGATCGCACGGTCAGCTGGTCTTCTCCAAGAGTGGGGTGCTGGATGGGCGCTCGATGTTGAACTGGTCAGGGGTCCTGTCAACTCGAGGCTGGGCGAAAGTCAGCTCGCTCAGCCAGCAACGACCGCAATCCAGATAGCTATGGTAGATCTACTTGTGAGCTGTGGCGTTGTGCCGCAAAGAGTATGCGGACATAGCTCCGGCGAAATTGCCGCCGCGTATGCAGCTGGCGCGTTGAGTCACGAAGCGGCGCTCAAAATGTGAGTACCATATCTGCATTGCTTAAAATGAGTTCATAGCTAACGGCGCATCAAGATCATACATCCGAGGAGTCATTTCTGCCAAGGCCAAGAAGCTGAATCAATGTCGCGGATCAATGTTGGCTGCCGGATTAGGCGAAGATGAAATAGCGCCACATATCGCCAAGACAACACGAGGAAAGCTCGTTATCGCATGCATCAATAGTGCCGAGAGTACTACGATTTCTGGCGATGAGGAGGCCATAGACGAACTTGTTGAGATTCTCAATGACCTTGGAGTCTTCAATCGTAAGCTCAAGGTAGATACTGCATATCATTCACATCACATGATGGCAGTAGCGGATACCTACCTATCGTCGCTTGAAGGGGTCGAGTTTGGCACAGCTCGAACTGATACTGTCTTTTACTCGACAGTCGCAAATACTGCCACGATTGAAACGTACAGTCCGGCGTATTGGACACAAAATCTAGTGTCCCCTGTCCAATTTCAAAAGGGTCTAAATGATGCTGCAAAAGACATGGCTAGTTGTGGATCACAGGGTTCCACCGCCAGCGTTTTTATCGAAATAGGACCCCATTCCGCACTTCTGGGTCCTTCGAGACAAATTCTGTCTAAAGTATTGGATGGGACTTTCAAGTACTCCTATGTCGCCCCAATGATTAGAAACAAGAACGCTATACAGACCACTCTAGATTCCATACGACAGTTATTTGAGGTTGGCTGTCCACTCCGTTTAGAGGGCGTAATAAGTTTGACACACACAGCAACAACAGGGAATCGTGTGGTTCACGACCTGCCACCATATTCTTGGGACCACTCGACGACTTACTGGCACGAGTCAAGGCTGAGCCGGGAACATCGACTTCGTCATTTCCCCTACCATGATTTGCTTGGGTTGCTTGACGTTGTTGGTGGTGATTTAGCTCGACCGAAGTGGCGTTACCACATAGGTATTGGTTCGCTACCATGGCTCCGTGACCATGTTGTAGATGGTTTCATCATTTTTCCTGGTAGTGGTTACATATGCATGGCAATCGAGGCCATGAAGCAAATTGTGCAGGTAAGGAAAGTACCGGGCACGGTGAAACGATACAGCCTGCGCGATATTACCTTTTCCAAATCAATAATCGTACCAGAGCCTCGAGCAGACGGCGAAAAGCAGGAGATTGAGTTGCAGATTACATTCAATCCCACTAGTACGAGTGGTAACCAGGGTACGTGGGAAGTTTTCAGTGTCGTTTCATACAATGCTACCGAAGCCAGCTGGGCTCAACATTGTTGCGGGCTCATTAGTGCAGAGATGGAATTAGACGCACAACAGCTAGAGGTGGATAACGAGCAGTTGGCCGCTGATGGAGTTCTCATTCGCAAGCTGGAAGAGGCTCAAACCTTTACGACACATCTCAGTGTAGATGAGGTTTACGACGACCTGACATCCACTGGTAACGTTTACGGCCCAACTTTCCGAGGCTTGGAAGAGGTGAAAATCCAAGATTGTCAAGCATTCGCTAAATCGCGTATCCAAGATGTTTCCAAGTCAATGCCCAGCTCATACATGCAGCCACACTTGATACATCCAACTACATTGGACTTCCTGGAGCATGTTACGGTCATTCTCTTCAAGCGACAATGTGCGAATTCTCCAGTAATGCCAGTATTTATTGGCGAGCTGTCTATTTCTGTAGATCTCACCAACGAGCCCGGCGCCGAATTGTTTTCAACGTCTCGCATCGACCCAGAGGGCCCAGGTTCTGCCACACTCGATACTTGGGTTTTTCAAGAGACGAAAGAGGGTCCTCAGCTAGTATTAAGCATGTGCAACTGGCAACTCCTTGCAGTTGGTGAGGCACAAAAGCCAGACGTGGAGATTCCTTTTCAGCGTAACATGGCTTTCAAGATGGATTGGCAAGTTGATGTTGACCAGATGATACAGCAGGACTTCCACAACAGGGTTGCCGATGCTCAATTGTTTGGCGTCGGATTCTGTGAGGGGATGAGTGCATCTCAGACCGTGGTAGCCAACGAGAAAGCAGCTATGATATATATACGCGATGCGCTGTACGAGATACAGAAAGGCGACGTAGAAGTCACTATCCCTCACCTCCGTCACCTATACGCATGGATGCAACGTCATTGCACAAAAGAAAACCAAGACCATGTGCTTGGTCAAGTAAGCCCCAGTGAAGAAACTGCTGCACTAAAGCGGTCGAAGGATTCCGGCGCACAAGGAGAGATGCTTGCAAGGATAGGTCTGCTGTTGCCGGAAATATTAGCGGGCACAACCGACGCGCTACCCGTAATGCTTCAAGATGACCTACTTAGCAAGTTCTATAGCGAGGGCCTCATCACATCCAGCTATTTACAAATGACAGAATTTGCCAAGCTTTTGGCGTTCAAACAACCACAAATGTCTGTCCTGGAGATTGGTGCAGGAACCGGTGGTGCAACGATGCCATTACTGCAAGCGCTCGAAGATCCCGTGGCTGGTCTTCTTTTCAAGGAATATTGCTATACGGACATTTCTGCAGGTTTCTTTGAGCAAGCCCGGTCTAAATTCAAACATTGGGAACATCGAATGAGTTTCCAGACCCTAGACATCTCGCAGGACCCTCTCCACCAGCAGGGATTTGCGGATGCCAAATTTGACTTGATTTTGGCATCTAATGTTCTACACGCTACGCCTTCACTAGATGATACGACGACGAATGTTCGGAAGCTACTGAAACCTGGGGGTCGCTTGATTTTGATCGAGCTCACCAATGTACACGCTTTTGTGAACATGATCTTTGGCACGTTGCCTGGGTGGTGGCTGTCAGGGAACGGACTCAAAGACTCGCCATTACTCACAGCCCCGGAGTGGGACACGATGTTGCGGCGTCATAGCTTCAATGGCCTAGATATTGCGACTCCGGACCACGAGGAAGAAACTTCAGTGGCGACCATGATGGTTTCTAAGGCCGTCGAAACAACACACAGAAATGATATCACGATCCATCCAGTCACGGTCACTGTACTTGTTACCCGCCCGACTGCCATCTCAGCATCCTTGTCTATTTCTGTGGTTCAAATGCTCAAGCGGCAAGGACTGAGGTGCAATATCGAGACTATTACCGCAACCAAGGTCAAATATGGCGGTAGCTATATTGTCCTCGACAGCGCAGATCAAGCCTTCTTGAAAGATCCGTCGCGAGAGGAATTTGAGGCATTCAAGTCGCTTTTGGCCCAAAGCAAAACTGTTCTTTGGGCCAGCTTTCAGGAATCAGACTCATTTGAGACTTGCTCGATCAAAGGCATGATCACGGGCATTGCAAGAGTAGTACGGAGTGAAAATGATGGCATCAATCTCGTAACGGTTGACATTCGCGATCGAGTTTCAAGTGATTCTCTAGACCGTCTGTCTTTGGCTTTGTCCAATCTCGTCACAGCTACCTTCTGGCAACAAGAAAACGCAAATTCACTATGCGAACGAGAATACGCTATAGCCAACAGAGATGTAATAATTCCCCGCTTGAGTGTTGATTCAATGTTCAATAACTGGGCATCAAGCACCACTGCCAACACCTCTCTCACAGATATGTACCCTTACAAAGATATGACGCGCCCTTTAAAGCTTGAAGCTGAAACACCCGGTTTGCTTAATAGCATACGGTTCGTGGACGACTTTCGACTATCAACGCCTCTGCCACCGGATGAGATCCAATTAGAGGCGTATGCGCATGGTATCAACTTCAAGGACGTGTTCGTAGCCCTAGGACAGATGCCGCCGAGAGTACATATGGTGGGTGAGGTGGCCGGTGTCGTGACAGCGGTCGGTTCCGAGATGCGACATCTGTACAAGGTCGGAGATCGAGTCAGTGGCATGCATTCAGAACCTTTTGCCAATTGTGCGAGGCTCAAAGGGCTCCATGCATGCATAATACCTTCCAATCTGGACTTCGTCCAGGCAGCCTCAGTCGCTGCAGTATATTTGACCGCCTGGCACTGTCTAAACAGGGCAGCGCACCTACAGGAAGGCCAGAGCATCTTAATCCATGCTGCATCGGGCGGTGTAGGACAAGCTGCTATTCAGCTTGCTCAACTCGTGGGCGCAGAGATCTTTGCCACTGTAGGCAGTGCTGCTAAAAGAGATTTGATTGTGGAGAGATATAGCATTCCAGAAACGCATATCTTCTCCACACGTTCGACAACCTTTAAAAGTGGTATCATGCGCCTGACAGGAGGTAGAGGCGTCGATGTTGTCTTGAACTCTCTGTCGGGCGAACAACTCGCTGCGAGTTGGGAGGCAGTCGCCGACTTCGGCACTTTCGTTGAGATCGGAAAATCAGACATCTACAGACGAAACCAGATAAGTATGACCCAATTCGACAAGTGTGCATCCTTCATCCCCGTGGACTTATCCCTTCTCGCCAACAAGAGGCCGAACGTTGTCCACAGCGGACTAAAGGCCATGTTTAGCCTGTTCGAGAAAGGCCTCGTGTCGCCGGTGACGCCAGTAACCAAGATCCCGATGGGTCAGATCGAGGGTGCTTTCCGTTTGATAGCATCGCGGAAGCACACAGGTAAGTTAGTCGCTTTTGCCGATGACAATACCCTGGTGAAGGCAGTGGTCTCACCCCCGAAACAACTCATTCTCGACCATAGAGGAACATATGTCGTCGTAGGCGGTCTAGGAGACCTAGGGCAGAGAATATGCCGCTTACTGGCTAGATGTGGAGCAGGGCATATTGTTACTCTCTCAAGAAGCATCTTGCCAGACGAAGCGCTGCAAGCTCTTCAGAATGAGCTTAGCGAGATTGGTGCTATATTGTACCCTGTTCAATGTGATATTTCCGACAGTACCAGCGTGGAGAAAGCCGCTGAGTTCTGCAAGTCAAAACTTCCACCCGTAAAGGGTGTTGTTCATGGTGGAATGGTCCTTGATGTAGGTCTGCCTGTCTAGATAGTCGTGATGACCAATCCCATGTTACAATGCGAATCCAGTCACTAACACTGAATGTAGGACCATCCTCTCGAGGTCATGAAATGGGAGGAGTACAATGGGCCTATAAGGCCGAAGGTGTACGGCACGTTGAATGTTCATAATGCATTCACCTCAGTCGCTCTTGAATTTTTCATCAGCTTGTCTTCCTCCGCAGGTGTCCTTGGCACAACGGGACAGGCAAACTACGCTGCCGGCAATACATTCCAAGATGCTTTTGCCCACGCTCAAAACTCGAAACCTGGTAATCGCACACGCTACGTTGCATTGGACCTTGGAGCTATTGGTGGCTCAAACGCGATCACCCGACTGGCTGCAAGAGGCGAAGAACTCAAGCGTCAAGGCTTGCTAATCATGACTTTTGAAGAGCTATACAAAGGCCTGGAATATGCCATGGGCCCTTGGGCAGTTAAAAACGACTGTGGGCAGATCATTCTTGGCTTTGACGGCAAATCACTCTCGCACATCGATGGTGGTGCCAATCTGCACAATCCATTATTTCAGCGGCTTCTCCTTCAGAACATGGGAGCGAATGATGCACGGAATGGAGTTGTGTCAGATAGCCTGGGCGCCGATCCTGCAAAACTGCTTGAGAATGTGAAAACACTCCAAGAAGGAGAGGACATAATACTCAAGGCTACTGCAGAGAAATTTTCTGTGTTTCTGGACAGCGATGTTCCCACAGACATACCAATTGCGAAACTTGCGCTTGATTCCTTGGTATCTATCGAATTGAAAAATTGGATGGTTCGGACGTTTCGAGCACCACTTCAAGCATCTGAACTCGCTGGTGCATTGAGTATCGCGGCGCTTTCCAAACTCCTTGCGTCGAGATCAGAATGCTTGAAGAGTGAAATCCGGAGTGGGTCAAACAAGGACACATCTATCTCAGAAGAAGCACAGCAAAAGGCGACCAATTCTTTACTGCAGACTGGTAAATATCAATCCGACTCCACGGAAAAATTGCCTTCGCATGGATGGGAGTGCTGCAGGCATACCGAAAAGCTGGCTAAATACCCCCTACTCGGTTTGGACGAAGCAGTGAACTTGCTTATTGACAACATGGGCCACATGCTAGGCCCCGAAGATTTCCAGATACTCAAGGATGCTGCTGAAGATCTCCGACGGCCCAAAGGACCTGCTAGGCAGGCATATGCTCAACTTGTTGACATGTACAATGATTCGAATCTGGACAATTGGATGTATGACCTCATAACTGATGCTGGTTACTTAAAGCAACGTAGTCCGGTGGCTCCCTACTCCAGCGTCGTAGGCACTCACCATGATAGTCCTTTCCCTCACACTCAGAGCGAGCGTGCGGCAGTGGTCACCTTGGCGGCCTTTAATTTCAGGAATGAGGTGGTGGAAGAGGAGGTCGAACCGTATTGGAACCATAGTATGCCATCTTGCACTTGGCAGTGGAAGTGGCTTTTTAATGCCTATCGTTTGCCAGGCGCAGAAAAAGACAGCATGATCCGACACGAGGGCATTGATTGCATTGCTGTTTTGAGAAGGGGTCACGTTTTCAAGGTGCCCCTTCGGGATGATGGAGTTGCCATCTCGTACGCCAAGCTTAAGGCTACGTTCGAAGCGATCATCGATCATAGTGAGGTTCAAGAGCTGTGGACGGGCATCCTCACCACCGACCTTCGAGGTTCGTGGGCAAAGGTAAGTGATTATCCTAAAGCAAACATCTATCGCTGTATTATTTGCCTGGACCTCCTTACTGACAATTCCTGCTTTTCCAGATCCGCGAGCAGGTATTGGACATCAGTGCCCACAACAAAGAATATCTCCAGGTCATAGAAGAAGCCATCTTTGTTGTTTGTCTTGACGACGCAAGCCCTGAGACGAACGAGCAGCACGTGCGACAGGCGTATTTGGGAACTGGATTCAACAGGTGGATGGATAAAAGCACGCAATTTATCGTCATGGCCAATGGCAAATCGAGCTTCATTCTGGAACATGGCGCTATTGACGGAATAACAGCAAATCGTCTAAGTGAGCGAGTTCACAAGCATATACAAGAACATTCGCCCGGTCTTCCCAATGGCCAGATATCCCATCCAGCACAAGACATCAAGCTACAAAAGCAGGAATTCCAGAGCACGTCGAAAATCGATGAGCATATCGAAAAACTGCGTGAGCGTTATACTTCTACTGCTCAGCGGATTGGATACAAGCGTCATACCTTGACGACTTTTGGTATCGACAAGCTGATGTCGAACGCCGTGCCAGTCAAGTCAGTCGTAGATGCAACCGTGCAACTTGCAATACGGCTGCACTATGGCCACAATACGCAGTGCTGGGAAAGCGTTTCCATGGCTCACTACCATAAGGGCCGAACCGACATGATGCAGATAGCCAATCGGGAAGTAAACGACTTTTGCGCCATGGCTCTAGATGAAACGGTGCCGCTGAGCGAACTTCGTGCGAAACTTTTAGAGCTTGGACACAGCATGAGCACCAACATGCAACGGTGTCAGAGTAATGGGACATATCTCCGCCTATTTGAGCTCTTGAAGGTGCTGTGGCCCAAGGATGCGCCAAAGGCTGAAATGTTCTCAAAGAATTTGTATTGGCGAAAACCATATGTCATCTCCAACCACGGGCCAGTGAACAGTCCAGTATGTGACTCTGTATGGGGTATACAAGAGCCACAGTCAGTCTGGATCATGACGACTTCAGGTAGTGAGAGGTATGTTAAAATTTTCTCCAATGTCCGCGTCGCGGATCCAAAGTAACACTACTAATGTTTGATTTAATAGCATTGAGTTCTCTATTGCAGGGGGTCCGATTGAGGCTTTCGCCAAAAGACTAGATGAGGCCTCCTTGATCATAAACAAGATTATCCAGGCAAGGTAAGCCAGCGAATACCCCAGTTTGAAACGCGGTATGGTCCAAATGCGCGGGGGACCCCGAGAGCAATTCATACGTATATCAAAAAGATCTCGAGGATGTTAGAATTAAGGAAGTCAGTATCAAATACTTAGAAATCCCGCCTCGAGTGCACGTGAATAATATAACTTCACTCCTCCGACGTTCATACCACTCATAGCTATGATTCTAGTATATCTACATGCTGTCACACCAAGAACCCGTTTTCATGCATACACCAGTATTGTTAAGTAGTCCCCAAAGAATGTGATCTACACAGTTTTAATTCAATGTAGCTCATATACCTACCTATTGCATGTGAGAGGCTAATTTCGGTGGTTTGCTTTGCAGATACTATAGAATAAAGATGAGTACTCCTGTCTTACAGGAATATGTTATGGTCTCAGCTGTCTCCACCAGCTTACGCGTTTCCGAGTTTCTGTCCAGATGTACCTACCGTATACAAGGGCGCCGACCTACCCACTTATGACCACTCAGAGCATCATGAAGGATTGGCATACTTGCTAGCCTGGACTACTGGCCTAGTGAATAGCTTATACACTATTCGTGGAAATTTGTGAGATTTGACACTAACCGAAGGGGGTGGAACCAATGCATATCCGCTGATTGGACCCCAAGATGAACTGTTGCAGGAGCTAGTGGTGGCCCATGGTCCTATGTACGACAGCCTATGGAAATATAATCAGTGGATTGTATCGGGGCTTATGTTGCCCTCTATCTGTTTGGCTCTCTCAGCGTCTTGCATCACCCTCCCCTATCAAGTCACTTAGGAGTAGCTAAGGTATTCGGCGGGAACGAAAGACACAGCCCTGTCAAACTCTCCTTGTCTTGATCTTTTCTCCAACTCCGGATAGAAGGACATTATACCTGGGTACCAACTCTGAAGATACGGACAAGCGGTACCCAGATCAAGTTTGAACGCAATCGAAATCCAACAACCAAGCATGGCTTTTATTGTTGGTCTCTTGGCCATCCTCTGGCAAGTCGACAATATATCAGTGGTCCTCGATTACCTGATAAGTGCTGACTAATGATCAACTAGGCTCTGGGATATCTACGAGAAAGCACTTCTTTTTCATCTAGGGAAAAAATCCAAACCCGTACCGGTACCAGAAAAGCCCACCTACAACTCCTCTGATGTGAGCATTCTGGTACCCACCATAAGCACGGCTGATTCCTTCCCTGATTGCCTACGCCTCTGGTTTGCAAGCAATCCGCGCGAGATAATCGTGGTCACTGTCGCTCGTAATCTTGCAGTCATTGAGAAGATGATTGCGCCGTTCCTAGAGACCAATAAGAACATTAAGATTTTGACTGTGACCGACCCCAGTAAGCGCCGCCAGATTAATCGCGGTATGGAGGAGGTCACTGGCGACATCGTGGCTCTCGTGGATGATGATGCTTATTGGGAAAAGAAAACCGTCCTCCCCTATCTTTTAGCTCCTTTCGAAAATCCCCAGATCGGTGCTGTCGGCGGCCCACAAAGGTGCGTCTTCGCAAGGCTTTTTTTCTTCTTTTTTTTCGCACGTTCAAATTTGACACTTTATATCAAATAGCGGCGAGATTCCTACTGCCTCTCAAACCACCGATAGTATCACCCTTTGGGAGGTGGCTTCCTTGCGTCAGATTTCTTCTCAGAATCCGGCACAAGCGGCGCGATATGCTGCCGACGGCGGGGTTTTTGTGCTCATCGGCAGGACATTACTTGCACGTTCATCGATTTTGAAAGACGCAGCATTTGCACATGCATTTGCCAACGAATATTGGGGCGGCAACTTGATGAATACAGGCGATGATAACTTCATCTGTGAGTGGATTCACTGGAAACGTGGCTTCGACCTGTGTATCCAGAATGCGCCGGAAGCAGAAATCACCACGCATGTATGGCCGAACTCCAATTTCTTCTGGCAGCTTGTTAGGTGGCAAAAAAGCTCAATACAGAGTTATCGGCGGAAACTTTTCCATAGTCCCGGAATTGAGACCATGTGGCCGTAAGTCATCCTGCTTCACCTCTGCAACGGGAGACGAACTCATACTTGGCTATAGAAAGCATCCCTACACCACACGCAAGATGTTTGAACGCCTCTTGCGACCTTTTTATATGTGGCTATACTTCCTGACCTGGGCGTACACGCTAGGCAACTACCCCATTCTAGGGTTTGTATCTCCTAACCCCTTCACGTTGGGTTTCCAAGAGGTACTGATCGGTTTTTAGACTTGCATTCTTGGCGTACTTTGCCTGCGGCTGGCATATATCGTACCGCGCTTTTGTTAAACAGTATCCATATTGCAGACGAAAAGTATGGGCCGCGTGGCTGATGGACTACTGTTATGCCATTGTAGACGTATACGCCTGGCTTACTTTGAACCAAGAAGGCTGGCTGACTAGGGACGACAAGCCTTCGGCTGATCTTAAGAAAAGTTAAGAATATCTACGCCGAGCGATGGCCTCGGCTGTAATCTGCCTATTATGCGCCAGGTTCAAGGCTCATTATTGAGTTAAAATGGTTTTACAAGGCAGCCAGCACTCTCCGAAAGCAACACAGAGTTGGAGTTTCGGTGTTTTTGCAAAAAGAAAGCAAAGGTCAAACTCGGTACTAATCCCAGGTAGGGCCAGCATTTGGGAAAGGGTATCAAATGCTAATTGTCCTCAGTTGTTAGTACCCATCACACTCAATTGCCAAGATTATGAATGAGTCCCAAATAGCAATGACCTTGGCGTTAATATACTTTTCAACCCGGAATAGAATGCGACTACTTATTTTAAAGTAACTCTTGCGCAGGAACAACCCCCTGATATACCCGTTCTTTGGCATATTTGCAAAGAGTGTATAAGTGCAGTCATCTTTTAATACTACCATGAAGGATAAGTAGTAACGATTGGACGTTATTCAAAGGCATCACATTATTATCGTAGGTCAACGATCGACTTGTAAGTATTTGACATCCTTAGATCGCCTACATAGTGGTGACTTATGCCATTGAAGAATATTCCGTTGGGTAACACCATGTCTCGAGAAAAATATAGCACGCGCTTTGGCCTGCATCACCCGTACGTAAAGCAAGGTCGATTCGCGTCTGAAAAATGAAAATGAACAAAAAGAAGGAAAAAAAGATGAATTGGCATAGTGGACCAGCGTCGTGCCGGATCCCATAGAATACGGTAACTTGATGGGCTGAGGATCAATTTAGCGATACTCAAAGAAAAGCTTTCTCATCTTCATCTTCGAAGACCGTTCGGCTTGACACGATCAACGATTGTGTGCCCGGTATAATGCTTTTGCGGAACGACTAGCTTGGTTTGTGAGCGTTAGAATATAATTGCCTTTACAATATTCTGAACCTCCAACAAGTGCATGGACGTCTATGGTAATATTAATACCTGTGTTAGAGGAATTGGTGACTAGGATTGGGTGGTATGCAAGCATACACAAGAGGATTCATCGATGAAGTTATATAAAGTATCGACTTTACCATAAGAAGCGATGCCGACAACATCAGCCAATAATCCATAAATGCTACAGGTGCGCCCGTAGCGTCCTGGTTTCGACATTAGACTCGCCATCTTCAGGTGGTTTCTGTGCCACGCTCTGTAACACACAGCTTCGCCTGATATGCCGTCGTCGCATATAAACCAAGTATAAATAGTCGATCGAAAGCGGAAGCTGGCCTACACCGGGCGATCATACAAGTTCCGGTAATTGGCTGACTATGTTGGGGCTAGACTGTCCACAGCAAACCAACCAACCCTGCAAAAAGTTTGAGGTCTGTTGCCGAATAAATGAATACATTAGGTGATGCCCTTTGAGCTCTCGACTGTTCGAACAAATGCCAAGCTATGCTGGGTGTTACAATGCATTACTCCAAAGTAACTCAGTTGTGGCCGACTTCCACCTGAGTATAACTAGTAACAACGGATTAGAGGCGCGCAGAAGAGAAGTCGAGCACTTCGGCTACTAAACTTTAGGCCAAACACTCTGAATTATTGTTTAGACTTCTCTAAATATACTCTCAATCGTCTCCTAACAGATATACTTTGTGGCAGTTATTTAGCAGTGCTCAACGGGATCAGTTATTGTCCTGAAGCATACGAGTACACGTCATATACGGTAATTGTTGAACTTGCACACAGACATTCATGCAGCTCTGTTGTTGGTTTTTGAACAGCTGGGCATGAGTATTGATAATCACTAATATATGATGCTCGGTACACCCAAAATTAAACTAAGCACGCTCAGTATTGGGGGTAATGCCAACGACGAGACTTCTTTGCTGTCTATTCAACCTTGCATATTTCTTTCCTCGCAATCACTTCATCCCAAAAGCAGCGATTATTACGACCAGGTTTTTTGTACGTCAATATAATGTACCGAGACGCCTCTCCTAGCTTGAACGCCATGGACAAATTCAACCTTCTTCGGCAATGAGACTCGGTGTGGGAGCAACTGTTCGCAAAGTTTTTGCTGTCAGTGGTCGACCCATGTATCAGTAAATGATGATTGGTGCACTCTTTGCAGCTCTTAGTGCGGTGAGTGAGAAATTAGGTTGTGAAGATGTTGTAAGAAGAGGATATGTACGCTTGTTTGATGTAACTGCTGAGTGATATTTGGACAATGCGTCTCTCGGCTCCGGCTATTGGAGACAATATCCCAATTTTTACAGACTAGATTACTTTCCACGCTGCACAATCCAATTCGACAAGGTGCTCGTACATGCTTGCCCCAATAATATTGACCAGTACGTGCGAGGCTCTATACGTTGAACTGAGCCGGAAATGATTGTCAGGCACGAACCGTTCTGGAGGTGATTGACCGCCCCATTTCCAAATCTGGTTGTTAGGGTGAATGTATAGTGAGCAGTAGCGACATCGCAGATGTTCCCAACAAGCATTAAGTGGCAGCTCACTATACAAAATCGTAACGTACGTATGAAATATGACAAGAGTATTTTGAACGAACTTATGGTGAGTGCTAACGCAAATAGTTTATACAAGAACTATAACGGAAAAGTTGCCAGAATATGCTTTGAATCTACCCAGCTATTGGAGATAGACGATCTGTTTTCACGATAATTCGAAAACGACCAAGGTTTTAGACTCAGTCGGCGAGGTGTCATAGTGTGATATCAGTGACCATCGAAACCATAAAGTCTTCATACTGTTGAAATAGTCCTCAGTCACCTATCATATATATAGCAGTGGCTATCGCATATATGGATGTTTACTGATACTCAACTAAATAATCAATCAATCTACTCCTCATGATCTCGTCCTATTTTGAAACCTGGGACCCCTAGGTGGCTAGCGTAAGTCGTGAGGCGTTGTTGATGCAGGACAATAACATCAGTACGTCATATTGTACATCATGCCGCGCCAGGTCTTTCTGGTTGAGTAAAAGTGACTAGATTGACCTAGGACGCCTTTTCCCTGAGAAATTACTCAAAGACAGAAGCCAAGAGCTGCAAATGTGTTGTAATGTTCCCAAATCACCAGTCCCACAGTGCCCCTCGACGCCATGTTGACAGGAACGGTCTGCTTTCAAGTTGGATGTCTGGCTGCAACAACACTGGTATGCAGAGACATCACAATACAATGCATACATTTCATGCCTCGACTTATCTATGAAACTCCATGATCAGTCAAGTCGGTAGGTGATTCCGATACTGGACAAGATAAATGCCTATGAAAGTCTGCTTGATAGTCATTATGAAATTTGACCAAGTGCACTCACCAGAGCTCCAAAGTTCCACTCACTTACCGTTCTCAATATTCAGAGCTACTTTACCACATTGTGTGGCAGAAGAATCTAGCTTGGCGATTGTGTATCTTACTTTTCTCGACAGCCGCCGTCAAGTTCCAAGCGTGGCTCAGACAAGATGGTTCAACGACCGCGTCGTAGTAACAAGTTATACTACGTCTAGACGCTTTGCAAAGATATCATCGTGTCGCTATCAGGCATAAGCATGCGAGCATCTCCCACATGGAAATCTGATAACCTAATCTTCCCATTAACACTCAAGTCCCTCGCCCACTTCCAGTCACTCGGGAACCCCGCACACCAGTCCAAGATCTGCTTTTCAACATACATACCAGTTCTCTCCTCCTCGTGCTTGGCACCACAGCCAGTATGGGCCAAACCGCTCGACGTCCGTGGATATGGTTCTACTCCATCCCCGACTTATACGTCCAGAGGAACCGGTGTTAGTCCTTACCCTACTAACTTTACTAGTGGTGGCCATGGTAGTGGAGACTCTATCCCTACTCCTACTCCGCCCCATATATGCATATCTTCTTTCTTTCCCACATACTATACTGGCTCTGCTGGTAGTGAAAGTGGTGGCGGAAGCTCTGCGCCTATGGCTACATCGACAGCAGTCCTACCCACCGTCAATGGAGGGGCTGCGGGCAATTACGTTGCCTGCACACTTGGTGCGCTCTATTGTGCCGTCGGTAAGACGGCCGCTTGCTGTGTCATCCCGGTCGTACTTTACTCGTTCTTTATCTCTGAGGAGAGGGCTTATATTGCTTCCTGGCGAGCAAAGATGTTCTCTGCATCGGCCTTCAAGGTCTTCAGATCAATGATTCCATCAGCGAGCAGGCGAGTTATATATTCAACAGCCTAGTCGAGAGCGCTCAATAACTCCAGTCGTCTCGATGACCTTTTGGTAGGAATTACATAGATAAATAACTGATTGGTAGTGGGGGATTGGTACTTGATATATTCCATTTAGGCCTAGCAACATTCTAAATGACGATGATTATTGTTTCAATTATGGGCTTCCCAGTTTGACTGACCTGGTACCATGACCACAAAAAGGCGTTTATTCTCAGACCTTAGACGAAAGCTTATCAGCCACATGTATTACGGATACCAGCACCTTGACGTTCACTTTATAACAACTCTATTCGTTCGGTGCCTGTCGTGTTCCTTCTTTTATCTTCCTCAACAAGCCCAATTTACTGTTTTCCTGGAATCCCAAATTCCTACGGCGGCGACCAATCTCTAGGCTTGATCCATTCCAAGGTACCAGTAGATCACAACTAAAACGCCGAGATTGAGACGTTCGAGGTCATGACCATGACTGAAAACATTGCGACCAGCTTGAACAAGACTCACCAACACCATGATCGCCAATATTAAGCCATTTCCGCTATCATCTTTAACAACAATGCGTACGCCGGCCTGATAGTGCTTTAGAACTCTCGCGGAGATCTTTTCAAAGTAAGCGGTTCCAGTATTGCCTTTCATTACTCAGAATGACATCCTACAGCGAGAAAAGCGAGACCAGATTGATCAGTGGTCTACTCACGGTTCTTAAGTGTCCCGTTTCATAGCCTTGACGCCTAGCAGATCAACTAGTGCGCGATTCTCGACATCCGAAGCAATCGTCACTAGTTCTTCCTTTACGTCGCCGTGCACTGAGGAGGAATCTATCTCCGCTGCCTGAGTCTCCCAGATCAGCGCGACCTGTTCAACTCCTCGTCTGGCTGCGTTGGACTCCACAGCAGGCACCGTCAGGTTCCCGCGGTGCTTCGCGTTGCCTACCAAGAGTTTTGATATTCGGACCGAAACCATGTTCAGCATATCTCAAAAGAGTCTCTTCGGTCGTGTCTTATCATGTTCAACGCCGACACGACCGAATTGAAGGAACAAGTAAGCAGGGTTGCCTACTGCTGACACCGTACACTAGTGTTCTCTGATCCTTGTCCAGACTTTTCTAGTTATCAACAGCATCGAACCAAAGTACTCTATCGCCGCATGCGCAGTGTACCCCCAACCAGATTTCAACCTGGTCGTTGACCGTGATTTTCATGCAAGCACTTCATCTGACCTCCAGCGTTCACTACCAATCGGACGACTCTGACTTTATGGATCTAGTTAAATCCCAGCATCGATTCGGTATCCCCTTGTAATGCTTACACTGATTAGCTCATTCTTACACCCCTACCTGCCGCGAAGGATCTGGGCCATTCGATATGCAGGGTTCATGGATGGGAATCCTTCCTAGTCGTCCGATTGTCCCAGCTCAACGGTCTATTGTAACATTTTAATTCAGCCAAACAATTGGTAAACCTTACATGGACTACAGAATGTTGCTGCTTCCCTAGACCACCGTTAGTGACATTCGGTCACGCAGCACAGGTTGTGAATGCGATTCATGATACACATAGCTTACATGCGGATATAATGGATCTTGGGATGAATCAGCTTGTAGCTCAACTTGATTATATGCTTTCCATGTTCATTCCCCTCTTTCGGGCCTTGCAGTTCGGCCCGTGTTGCTTGGCCCAGGCTGATATAAATATTACATAGTATTCTCTTTGGTGGCATGCCGTTTCGAGCTGGACTTCGGACAGGAAACTTGCTGTGCTGCTACTATTTCCCCGTCATATTCTAGAGTTATCGACTGCAACAATGGCGGAACCACAGGTTGAAAGTGACCAGTCAATTAAAGAACCTTCGTCACCAGTAATACAAGAGGCAAAGGAACACTCTTCTGCCACCAGCCATGAACTTGAAACAAACTCTCCAGTCCACGCAAAGACGTTTTTGGCAATTCTTGCTGTTTGTCTGATATATTTCGCGCAGTTGACCAGTGTGGTTGGAGCCGGTGCTGTAAGTTATTCCACGTCGTATCTGTCCCATTAATCGCCGGATGGTTCCAAACCACCAGATTTCAGTCACTATGCAGTGCTACTCACCACCGGCTGCTCTTCCTCCAACCACTCAAGCTCACAAGTCGATAAGTAGCTTTGATTGGGGTCAAGACTTCCACCCTCTGTATTGGCAGTATATATCTTCCAATACAGTTTTGGTTATCATCAGGCAATTGAGAGGACACGATGTATCGTTTACTGAACTCTCTCAAGCAAGGTCAAACAATTATCGCTCATTTTAACTCTACCGCTATAGTATGGTTAACTGCACCCATCGCCATCGTCACCGTCGTCCTCGGTCCCATCGTCGCCCAGGCAGCCGATTATTGGGGACGAAAATGGTTCTTAATAGTTTGTGCGATGTTTGGCGCTATCGGTTCCGTGGTGATCGCGCGTGCAACCTCAATGAATATGGTAATAGCTGGCTTTACGCTTACGGGTGTGGCTTTTGGTGCCCAACCGTTGCTACATACTGTCGTACGTATAGAAAGAAACCTGAAATCTCAAGTCTCTTCTGCCATTCGAGAAGATCCTAGTATGTGACTTTCTCGGCCTGCAGACCTTTCGAGAAGTCAGGCTGGTGATTGGATCAAGCCAGAATCTCGCCGAATATTCCCTATTGCCTAAGACATTGACTAATTGTGATATTTATAACACAGACATCTGAAGTTCTGCCACGAAGATGGCGAAGCTGGGGACAGGCCATTGACATGGTTGCAACCTGTCTGGGGACAATATTTGGACTTCTCGTTGGTGGTGCGCTGAACCGAAACAATGATCCAACATCGGATGGATTTCGAACCTACTTCCTTATATGTATGGCGTGGTATGCGACTCTTAAAGGCCCTTCTCCATCCTTTCCAGCTATAGTCATTTCTCTGTTGCAGGAGAGGACTAATAATCCCCATTTGTCTGTCCAAATAGACTGACTGTTGATTGTCGCATAGGTATTTGATCGCCGCAATTCTGTGTTTCGTGGTATACAATCCCCCGCCTTTCGAAAACCAGCAATTTACCACCACCGAGAAATTAGCCAAGCTAGATTGGATCGGTTATCTTCTACTTGCGGCTGGCCTTGTTTTATTTTCTGTCGGACTGTCTTATTCGCAGAATCCTTACCAGTGGAACGATCCGCATGTCTCTGCAACCTTCGCCGTGGGCCTCGTACTATTTTTGTGCTTAATCGGCTACGAAACTTACATCAAGAAGGATGGTATGTCTCACTAGCATGAAGTTTTTTTGCTGGCGTACTAATTATTGGTTACGAAGGCATGTTCCACCACGGCCTTTTTACTGGAAACAGAAACTTCGCTATCAGCGTATTGACTGTCAGTTGCGAAGGTATTGCCTACTTCGCCGCCAACAACTACCTCATTTTCCAAATCGGCACGCTCTACGAATCAGACGCACTTATCGTTGCCACGCGGTACTGTATCATGCTAATTTCTGCCTCTTTGGGCGCACTTGCTGCTGGCTGGTATTGGTGAGCAATTTTCGGAATTATGTTCTACCTTTTTAGACGGGATCGCCCACCACAGCAAGACAGCTCTTGATTTCGGTGCGGCTGGCCAATTTTATTGAATTGATGCGACATTGGATGCCAAGCTCACCAGTGGGAGCCGTGATGACAACTCGAGTGGTCACTTTCCTGGATGGACCCAACGAATGCAGCAAATGTATGGAGTATATGTTGTCTAGCAAAGGCAACTGGGCTCCTTCTGGCTGTCTCGAAAAATAGATCCCCACTCCCAAGGCCCCATCTGGAAGCGACAATTGCTGACTTTGAATGCTTTAGTGCTGCTTACAAGCGTGTCCGTTGGATTGCTGTTGCCGCCTTTGTTATTTTCTTGATCTTTTTCATCTGTATGGCGACTTCCAACACGGGGTCGAGTAATGCCGTTTGGTTCTATCCAGTTTTGCTTGGAGTTGGCCTCGGGATGACCTTGACGACCCTGGTCACCGCCGCGCAGCTATCTACTCCACCAGAACTTATCGCCGAGGCAAGTGGTCTCATGCTTAGCGCTCGATCGCTTGGTGGCACCATTGCCATAGCTATCTGTAAGTAGGATATCTTAAAAACGGCAGCGGAGGCCGATTCTTCTCAAGAAGAGAAGCACTTCGCGCTCCCACCCTATCGTAGTCGACTAATCCCTTTCTAGACAATGCATTATTCAACAATGAAATCGCACACATGGGAGAGAACATTGCTAGCGCCGCTATCAGCGATGGGCTCTCCTCGGAATACGTTGAAGATTTTGTTACGGTACTGAGCGCACAGAGTAAAAATCAGACAGCTCTGCTAGCCATCCCCGGTGTGACTCCTCAGATCGTTGAAGCTGGCACACAAGCGCTTCTAGACACATACGTCCAAGCTTTTAGACATGTGTATATAGCCGCTGCATGTTTCGTCGCTGTAGCTGCAATACGTATGGTTTTACCCCCTACACGTCTTGTCGTCTTGGATATTAACGGCTCTATTTAGTTGCTTCGTTCCTGTTCGACCCACAGCAGGAGTTCAACATGCACATTGATGCACCTATCGAAAAAGTAGCCGAACCCAGCCCAGACCATGAGGTCGCGTGAGGGATGTTAAGTTTATGGGGGTAGCTACTCGTCCACCAAGTGTACAACTGACTTCTCCGGGCTGTCGTAAAGGATCTATAGAGACGAGAGGCTTAGAGCCGAGGCAGTGATATTGTGGAAACCAATATGCCGAAGTAGACTCGATACTAGCCTCTTAGAATTCTTTCGCAAGAGTTTGTTCTATAGCAGTCAAAACAAGGATTATTTTATGATTCCCGCGGAGTTTTTACGATACAGAATGCTTAGCATTGGCCAAAATATGAATATCATGCTCTCTGCATAGAAATTAACTGATTCATTTGATTATCTGTTTGAATTGCTTAACGTCGAGACGAAGGCTTCAGAGCCACCGACGCAACCTCCTTAGGGGTACAGGGCGTGTTATTACATATTTTGAAGGTTAGCTGATTGATAGGCAACCACAGGCTGCTTACATCAAGCAATTCTATGGCCCTTGGACCTAGCCTACTGGCAACCGTACACAAATCTTGTTCATAACGCTACTAAATTTGACCAAGAACAGGGCTATACAATTTGCTGAGTAAGATGTGTACTGTATAATCATAGATAGGCTTCCCCCGGTTCGCCTGGTTAACCAGTCTATAAATGCCCTCGCCGGCAGAATCGTACTGATGATGGACGAGGTATTGGCCGAGCAGTAATATTTGTTAGCCTGTACTGATCAGTCCATATATCATGGCTGGTTTGTGAAGAATAACATGGAGGTAAATTAAGCACGTTTTCGAGACCGTGATGATAAGCCTCCAGGTCCAACACCGCAGCGTTCAACTAGGACTCCCTAGACTATATCTCCCGTGGTCTCATCCTTACCATCAGCCGGTCCTCTGACCATTCTCCTTAACCTACGATCTGGCCCTTGTTTGCGAGGTATCAATGATATTTCTTATTCGCCAGGCCGAAACTCTGTCGCCAAAAACTACAATACGATTTGAAAATCAAACACGGTCTGTCATTGATGGGAAAAGAAAATTTGACATCTAGCTAGAATTTTTCTGGTTACTTTTACACATTTCCACGTCATTAACGTATTCGCAGTTGAACTATTACATTAGTTTCTTTGTTCGCCTATTTTAAAATTTAGTCCGCACTCAAGCACGAGGTGGCCATCCATTTAGTCCCACAGTATACCACTGGCTTTCCACCCATGGTAAGTACTAAGATCGAATGACTCAAAATTATATCGTGTCTCACGAGTAGAGCTCACTTTTAAAAATTGCAGCCGTCGTGGATGTGCCCGCTCGCCACCCTGTGAGTATCTCCAATTGTTCACATGTAAGCGTCGCGGAAACATTCCGTCCTCCTGCAGAAAGAGCCGCGGTTCAAGTTACACTGCCAGATTTATGCCGAATATAGGCACTTCTCCGCGGTCAAATGCTATCCTATCCCGTATTCATCCCACACGTTTTTCTTACTATCATCGCTTGCTATGCATTGTTGAACATATGTTGCAAGGATCTTTCTCTACTAATTAGTGACAGTGCGCTTCTGTGAGCCCTGATCGACTAAACCGTCAAGTGTTTGAACTTTCAACGTCGTTCGATTGGTTGGAGAGATAGGAACGTTGAGCTCGTTGTAACGTCAGAGATTGCAAGCAAACCGGACTACTCAAATTATGGAAGCAGCCAGCGCAACCAGCGGTTTCTTCCAAGAAGTCCCCACGTTGGGCAACCAGTTTCAGGAAGATCCGAGCATACAACGAATTTTAAAATGTACGTGAGCTCATTACCGGGCACCTAGGAATAGGGTAAGATTTCTATGTGATCTTCCAATCTGACTAAGATGGGCAGTATTTGTGCCACAGCATATTCTTAACGAGGAGGGCCCAAAGATCGAGCGATTATGCGATGAAGCATTGTCGCCACAGGTTCTGGAATGGGTATCGGATGCCGAGAGAAACCAACCGTATGTTAGCGGCACCGGAAAAAATGCCTTCGGCGAGCCAGTAAGCTCGAAACTGGTCATCACGGAAGGGTGGAGGAAACTCCAAGAACTTGGATTTGTCAATGGGTAAGACCACCTGGATCCATTTGCGTAGAGATCAAGACAATCGTGCGAAAATATGGTTCATAAATAATCCTTCCTAGATGCTCCGCCAAAGGATACGAGCAAGGTCTTGCGCAATACACTCGTGTGATTCAGTACATGCGCTCTCTTCTATGGGAAGGTTCCAGCGCCAACACATCCTGCCCGCAAGCGATGCAGGACGGCGCAAGCCGACTTCTCCAACGGCAACTAACAATCCGAAACCACAAGCTCCAGCCCATAGAGCGCAAGGTGTTCCAGAATGCTTTCGGCCATCTCACTTCTCGTGACCCAGCAAAGGCCTGGACTAGCGGGCAATGGATGACCGAACGTCCGGGTGGTAGCGACGTCTCGCGAACCGAGACCGTGGCCACGTATGCCCCTCTCGCCTCTTCTGGCAGGACGCCGCTTGCGAGTCCCAGCGAGGATATCCCGTTAGGACCGTGGAGTATCTCTGGTTTCAAATGGTTCTCCAGCGCCACGGACAGTAATATGACGATCCTGCTAGCGCAAACAGCCCCGGATAAGGGGCTCAGCGCTTTCTACGCGCCGATGCGGCGTTGGAATCCGGATCTGGTAGTGTCTGCCTCAGGAGACAGAGGTGGTATGGAGCTGAACGGGGTACGGATATCGAGGCTCAAGAACAAAATGGGGACCAAGTCCCTTCCCACTGCCGAATTGGAGCTGAGCGGCATGCGCGGCTGGCTGATTGGGGAAGAAGGAAAGGGGATCAGGGAAATATCGACCATCCTGACGATCACACGGCTCCGATCCGCCATAGGAGGGCTGGGATACCTCAGCCGCAGCCTTGCCATCGCGCGGGCGTTCGCCAAGGTTCGAGAGGTGGGAGCCGGGAAAGGCATCAGGGTCAGCCTGCGTGACAGCCCGCTGCACATGCGCACACTGTCCGACATGACGGTAAGCTACCATGGTCTGATGCTGTTGACATTCTACGGCACTTTTGTCATGGGTCTCGAAGAGCATACTCCCTCTTCTTCTTCCCCTCAGGCGTCATTATCTGTCATCACACCACCCCAGAGCCATATAACGCCCCTACTCCGCGTCTTGACCCCAGTCGTAAAAGCGTATGTGTGCAAGAACAGCATCCATCTCATCTACTCCTGCATGGAATCCCTCGGCGGCGTCGGGTACCTCGAGAACTCGGAAACCGAACACTTGAACATCGCGAGGCTCTTCCGTGACGCATGTGTGCTGAGTATCTGGGAGGGCACGACGGATGTACTGAGTACGGATTTCGTGCGGGCTCTGAAACATCCACGAGAAGGAAAGGAGAGTCTGGAGGCTCTCGACTGGCTGGTCAGAAGCGCTACGAAAGACAAAAATGATAGTATACTGGCAAGTTGGAAGCAGACAAAGTGGCAGATCGAAGCGACGAAGCAGGAAGACTTGATGAGCTCAGCACGAGATATTCTATGGAAAGTTGCCGAGATCTTAATTGCAGTGCTATACCTTATGGACACAGCGGTGGATGGAGATGGTCGCATGCAGGAAATGTGCAGGCTATTCCTTGCCGGCAAGAGTTTCCTTGACACGCCTGCCTTGAAGGCCACCAAAGACGAGTTGGTGTCGAACCAATCCATTGTTTTTGGTCATGCGGGGAGGTCTTCCGGTCGTAATGCCAAGCTCTGATATCATTGTCAGTCTGTGGGAACAAAATTTTGGGTTCGATTGGTCTAGTCATGTGTATTACTAGGTCTCATTACATTACAGGGAATATGTGTGGCAACCACTCTCCAGAGCCTCTCCGAAAGGTAATTAGCTTTACAAACACTGAACAATAAAAGCGCCGACACCATCCTCGAACTTCGACGAAGCTACTCCTGCTTGTTCGTATTGCAGCCCGAAATTCCTCACACTGCTAGCTAACCAGGCCACATTTCGAGTGTCATTTCCATACGCTCGGTTCCCACACTCAAATGTACCCAGTGTCTTGTTGTCTCCTGGGTAGATCTGTTGTAGGGCAGTATTGTTCCAGGTAGGTAGCTGGGTGTCATTTCCAAACTGGGCGAAAACCATTCCTGAGTCACTCAGCATTTCTTGTTCGGATCCAGTGAACTTGAAGCAAGGATAATCCTGAGGTAGGTTACCACAAACTGGAAACCGGAATTGCAATGCACACAATTGGTAACCTGAAGTTGTATAACTCCTTGGAATAGAGAAGCGGAAAATCGTACTGTTCGTGGCAGTGATGGACGCGTTGACGCCAGTGTCCCGCATTCCATCAGGGCTTTCAGTATCCGGAGACCCGATTCTGGTAGGCGTAAGCGACGGAGCGGACGGTGACACAGAGCAGGTTGATGATGGCTCTGAGGGTTCAACGTCTACACTCACAGTTTGGGGGTTCCTTCTGACGGCACGCCTTGCACATGCGTTCTGCTGTGACGTCGAGTTTGGGCTGCTGACTGTCGAGTCACTGACGGTGCACTCTCCGTTGGTTTCGGACAGCACTAAAGATACCTCCAGACAACCTGTGGTGTCCGGTTTTGATGTAGAGTAGATTTCGTACGTGCTACCATCAGCGGAACAAGCAAGGTATGTACCGGGACCGTCATCATAGACCAGCTTCAATGTCCCGTTGTTCGTGGTGGCCTCAACAGTGAAAGTTGTGTTGCCAATGACACCGCTCTGGTAACATTGGAATTGATACTTCGGGCCTCTCATAAAGCATTGGTTACCCAGAGCATCGTGAACTTTACCACCATCTAGAGTAAACCCGCCTTGCTGAAAAGAGCCGGCAAGATGCAATTTGCCTGTGTGGTCTTCTTCAACATCTTCACTTACTGTGCCAGCCGAATCTAAATGAAACGAGCAACCTTGTGAGGACTGGCGAGTTGCGTGCCGTAAGCTGACAGCGGATGATACCGCCTGCCCAGATAGCAAAAGAGTTGCCAGTGCTGTCTTCATGGTTAAGCGAGAAGTTCCTGGTTACGGGTGTGTTGTTCCAGCAGGAGAGGTGGGGTTTCCAGCACTTATACAAAGCTTTGTGTTATTGAAAGATGAAAGAGGGTGCGTGAAGGCCGTCCGAGATTTTACCTATGCAGGAAAATGAATAAAGGTACAGGTGAAAGAAGAGTCTCTTCAGGGAGGATAACGAGGTGATCGATACACTTTGTCGGCAGGTTTTACGGGTCAGGCTCTTGGTGTCTGCAATCAGACCGATGTTATGACGGTACGGGCTGGCAAGAAATGTTTTTAGCGAGTTGTTGATTGTCTTAGATGCAGGTACCCGTTGACGATCGGTCAAACGCCAAGTCGACGGACCAGATAGCAAAGAAAAATAACCGATGTGTGACGAGGTGATGAGCAAACTTTGAGCTAGGAAGCAAGGCGACCAGTGCGAACACAAATAGTGGAATAGTGGGCTGTATACTGGAAAGAGCTGTCGGCTATCACGGATGATGTGTGGTTGATTTACGTCTTGCCTGTATTTGTACATGATAACGAATTTGCCCGTGTGCTATCGACAAACAATTCTAAAGTATTTTGAGAAGGCGCAGTATTCTTGTTGATGGTGCTAGTCATCACTCCGCAGGTCCGGCCAACCTCCTGTGAGGGTATTAAGCCAGCAATGATGCAAGACAGTACAGCACAACAGTAGGGATCAACACCTACACACTGACTCAGAAGCCTCTGAAACGTGGGTCTAGATCTGCATTCTCCCTGGAAATAGATCAACTTGAAACATACCTTATAAGAAACTATAAGCCGTGCCAATCTCAGTCGTTGCTGCTTTTTCATCAGCCGCAAATTGACTGATAACCGTGTGACATCAGGCTGGACTGATTTGCTGGCCTATCAGTCTGGTAGCCAATCCCGACGTTACAAGATTACGTCATATGGCGGGCGGATCGGAGGAAGGAAATACAGTAAACGGTTTGCTGTACTTTCTGTACGAGGATCATGTCAAACGCGACGACACGCGGTACCGCTACCACAACAGGAGTGTGAGTCCTTACGAAGCATGCGTTGGGAAACTGCATACAAAACTCATTAGCAATTTCTTGGCCAGAGCAGCCCTAGCCAGAATTTATGCGCTCAGTACTTGGCTTATGGAGCGCTTGGATGTTGTTCTGGGAAGAAGCACCTCAAGAAAGTCGTCAAGATGCTGGCATGCCCGACCAGGCCAGTGTTCGGAGCCTGGCAAAGAGAGTTATGGGGGCTCGGTTCTAATAGGATAACCTAACCTGCTAACCTAGAGCCTAGGTTAGTGCATCAGCGCTGGGAAGCTGTTTTCTATGGAAACGACCGGCGCTTTCAAACTTGCTAAGCTAGTCGATGATTGCCACTCTTGTCATCCGCAGTTTGGTGGTTTTGTCTGCGCCATAACCTTTGCAACAATGCACAGCGATCTAATGCACCTTGTTACGGCTCTGCGGTGCAGGTCCGCAAAGCACCAACCCAGCTTAGGGCCAAATGCAACGAGGCACCTTGTCCTGCTCTAGTCACTCCATGAATTGAGGTTACTGGCTTGACCACAGCCAAACGAGCACTGCAACCCCTTTAACGTCTTTATTTTCTGAAAAGCCCAGGTGAGTACAAATGAGGTATCGCAACATTTACCACCCTTTCCAAGGAATCCATGTATCTGTTACGATATCATTTTCGTCGACCACAAAATACACGAAGAACGCCGCAGCCGTGATACAGACATGGTTGCAATATAGATAGACCCTGTCCCCAACCTTGAACTCTTTCGAGACTTCTGCGTCTTTTCCCCGGGGTGCGAGAATGCCATGCTCTTGGGAAAGTCTGACGATGCCCCAGTGAGGCCTCTCTACTAGGTGACCGAATCCAGGATAAGCAGGGCTGGTTTCGCGTGACAGGGCAATGGCGCCTGCGTTGATGAGTGCTTCATTGCGCTCGGGATACACGCTGCAGACATCGGCCGCGACGCGGACTGCCTGGTCGGTTTCTGATACAAGAGATGTGGAAACTTGCTGGAGGTCGTTACAGGGGAAATTCCCTAAAATGCACAAGCACCCCAATTAGCACCGCTGCATCACCGGCATTGCAGATGACATGCATCTTCACTACTGCCCTTATGATTCAGGATACGAGATGTTCACTCACCTGCATGCAGCTCCAGTTTAAGGTTGGCTGGTACTCTAGCTCTGAAGCTACTGACAACGTGTGCAGTGGGCGTCGCACCGACCGAGACAACAAGCTCGCGATTCCCCGGCAACAGCGCTGCCGCGGCCACAACGCTCGAGATCTCTACACCCAGAGTAGCCTCGGCTTCCTCGCGCGTGCGACCGCCATAGGAGTGCCCGGCATGACAGTAGAAGCCGAAGATGTCCACGGCGGCCGACTCGTTCGCGCGCTCCACCACGCGGCGGAGCGCGGGGCTGTCGGTAGCCACCCCAGCTCTGTGGGAACCCACGTCGAGCTTGATGAAGACGTCCCAGGGCCTTTCTTGGTCTCCGTTGAACACCTCCTCCAGAGCATCGATTTGCTGTTCGTTGTCGATCATGAGAATGATCCTCATCGATGCTCTGAACTCTGACAATCGTGGGAGAAGGCCTGGTAAGACAGGGAGGCCGTACGTGCACTGCTCTTTGCATTAATTGTGGTGACCGGGAGACAGCGTAGAGAATCGGCTCGATACCTCATCTAGTAGTCCCTCTTTCGCCAGAGGTAAGAGCCCGCGGATCTCCGCCAGGGTTGACGCAATGACGGACCTGTACTTGCCTGCTGCAAGCATCAGTCTCGTGACTTCAATTGTCTGTGATTGATCATCGTCAGTATGATGCCACAATATCTTTTAGCCATTTTCAAGAGCCCAATGCACCAGAGAAGCCTGACCTTGAGTGTCTTGACGTGTGGACGGAAGCCAATGCCCAATTCTTCGACGTCCTTCTGCAAGGCGGCAATGTTCCTCTTCACCACCGGTAGAGATACCACGAGTGAAGGGGATGGCAGTGCCGAGGCCGGCTTGCCGATGTAGGACTTGTGGTGCTCGAGCGAATAATCCATTTTGTATACAGCTACGTCCCTAAACGTGAAGTCCCCGGTGAACGCAGACGTAGGTTTGTTCGTCTTGCAACTACCTGAGCTATTCATCAAGTGAGCGATTATCAGTGATGGGGCATGCCATTAGTGGAGCGCCGGCAATCGCTTAGATAGCGTAAAGGTGCTATAACGTTATAGTCATCGCATATCTATAGGTCTTTTCGAGTCAGAACAGCGAAATTGTACGAGATCACAAGACCGACAAAGCGGAGGTAGCACTATATCACAGGAGCAGGGAGCCATTCTCCCTTGGCGCTTTCGCGACTTTGACAATTCATATTCCTATCCGATGGAACGGTCTGCCACAGATCATCTTGCGATCGGATTGAAATCCGACATTAGTCGCAAGATGCATACTTCAAGGAATGGACTGGACAAGAATGGCACCTGTACTAAAGGGTGCAATGCATTTTCGACCGCAGGCCAGTCGAAAACTGGCAGACAAGAGCTCGATTGATGATGAATATGTGGTATCGATATCCTTGCATCAACGCGCCACTGTTTCTGATTGGCCCTCAGTCGCAGCTGGATCCAAAATCGGCAAGAGCCGTAACGGTGTTGGCGGCGGCGGGTTTGTCTGCAGTTTTCCTTGCAGAGTCAGCGCAAGCACGGCCAACCAGCAACTATAGCGAATATTAAAAATGGATGAAACGAATGTCTTCAGATCACCATTCATGGCCTATCAGCACTGACCTAGTTTAAGCCGATGAACTCGAAGTTCGTTTGTTTGTGTTAAGCTCCGAAGCTAATACATGTCAGTGTAGTATCATGTACCAAAATGCCAAGGAGGTTTGTAGAATTCACTAAGACAATGCCAGGCAGGTGATATCATTTATTGCTCAGCACATTCAAGATCTGCATAAGTTGACGGAGCTTAAAGAATTACGGGAATGAAAATGAATCGTCGATGTGAATCAAACTATGAACCTGTGACAAGAAAAGGTCACGACTACGACCACTTGAAAAACACCACGACTAGCGACCACAATATGAAAGAGATATAAACATTCAAAGCAGCATAAATCAGAGAGGAACAAAATGCAAAATGTTCAGAAGCCTCTATATAGGCCCGGTTGCAGTTGTTGGGGGAAAGGGAGAGAGGGGTCGATACTGAGACGGTAAGCACGTCTGGGCGGTCGCTGTGGTGGGTGCCTCAGGTACCGACCCCAAGGGGGCAATGCGATTACTTCAGGATGTGGCTTACTTGGTATAAACGCCAAGCATATGTGGCACCACTTGATACCAAGGCTCATCCACAGGTTGACCAACATCAATCTTAGCCCAAGGTCCGACCTCCCTGAGCCATTGCTCTGTCGGCCGGCAGAGCTGGCAGCCACCAAGAAAGTTCGGCCAGAACAGATTCACAAATGCTTGATCGCAAGTCAGTCGCTACCTGAAACTTATATTATTAGCCATATGAATGGGACTTACCTTGATAGATACGAATACCCCAGTTACGATCGGCGCGGACGTGCTCGTAGACGTACCACCTACCGCCCTTCTTGAGGTACCCATAAATTTCCTTCAGATTATCCTGTGGTTGAGGAATGCCGCACAAGCACAAGATGGAGACGATGCAGTCGACGCTTTCCTTTTCGACTTTGCTACCCCACTTTGAGGGATCATTGAGGTCTTCAATGCCAACAGGCACGATCTCGTAGACATCTTCCAAACCTGCTTGCGCAATATGCTGACGGACTGATACGGACAAGATTAGAATGTCAGACTCGACACAGGCTCGAGCGGAATGGCACGTACGTTTGACGTGTTGGTCCCTATTGGGCTCAACACCATATACCCGAGTGACCTTCTTGCGAGCACTCTCCTGACCAGTTGCAGTTTTGTCAAGATGCTTGTTTGAGAAGATATCGACCCAAAATCCACTGCCAGCGCCTATCTCGATACAGACGCCTTCAATCCCGGGGCCGGTACTGTCATGATCATGTGAGTATTACAAACGAAAAGATGTCTTGTCGCATGAACTTACGGATATTGGACGATCTGTCCTCCTTTTGTTCTACCTTCTAGCAAAGGAATGACTCTTTTCTCTGCGCCGAGCTTGACATTTGGACCGGCCCAACCCCAGAAGTTGCCGAACCATGCATCTTGGAATTTGGAAGGGGAGAGTAGGACGTCAATTTGCCGGGTTTTGATGAGCGTGGTCACAGTCTGGGGGATCCAAGATCCGGACAGGCCCATGAAGATCCAGGGGTCGAGTAGACCAGAAAGGACTTCGTAGAGATGTGTCAGAAAAGACATGGTGGAGAGTACGAGCTAGCTTCAAGGACGAACACCGCGCAACCTGGTATTCTGATCCAGAAGATGTCAGTAAATTGCGCATGGTCTTCAACCGTTGTGGTGCAAAAGAGCCCCCACAAACTTGTGCCACGGAAGCAAGCGTATATATTTGAGAACAAGCGGGCAATGCAAGGAAACAGGTCACTGAGATCCATTCAACCATCTTCCCCCCCCCCCCGTTCTGAGAAAATGGAGACAGGCAAATAAGGCTGGGCATTTGATGTTGTGTGATATTGAGCTTGAGAAAGGCAATTGCATTTTTGGGTAGACGGCTTAGGACCATGCTCAGATGACGGCATCGCGTGATGAGAATACGTAGCGGACATTGAGTCAAGAATGAAATAGTATATACCACGCCGAAAGGAAGGAAGAATGCATGAATTGAAGAAAAAGACGGGGAAACCTGCCAAACTTACAATTCGTATCAGTCTTGTGCGAAACCGACAGGAGGACTTTCACTGCCATGCACACTAGATATCGAGGAAGAGGGGAAGAACGAAATACTGCACGTCGAGTGTGGGAGACATCTGCGTTTTATATGAAGAGGCGCAGATATCAGCTTGCCCTAGTGCCCGGGGGAATAAGTTGCTTGCAAAGAGCGTATGAGTTGGACTGAGGCTCGATCTGATTGGAGCCGACCTCTATTGACGTCCATTGCGACTAAGCTTAGTGCATGGACCCACATTATTCAGCTTATCAACATGCCCCTTCCGAAGTTCCGCCTCTCAAAATACATGTAGGCCATCGAAAGCTAGGTTGGGAGCGTATGGTGGTGCCATTCCCATGCCCGGCTGGTACCAACACACGCCTCCGTCCGTGACATGCTTGTACACTGGTTGATCATTCATCTTCTCCTTGGTATTCGTCTATAAAGATCAAAAGTCTATAATTCATCCTTCCCTCGTGTCGACTCTGATAGAGGGGTGTCTGGTCTGCCACTGTCTTTGTGTAAATCGACCCCAATCTTGCCCCTCCACTTCTGCCACAATGCCCAAAAGTCTTTCTCCATCCCGCCCTCTATTTGGTCTGGCAGAACAACCGTGTACTCAATGTGAAGCTTGCCGAACTCAGTTTTGTGGTAGACGGAATCGCCGTCCTCATGCCAGATTGGCATTCCCTCGTTGGCGACGGACTCGACATGTCCAGGCTGCACAACTTCACCTCGCTTTCGCCCGAGATGAACGACATGCCCATCTAGATGTGTGAGATTACGGGTCCAGTCACCCATCCAGGCTTCCCGTAGCGAAAGTACTTCCCTCCAGAAAAGATCATTGCCTTTCCGGCGGAAGAATGTTCCGTCGAGGTGGTCTGGGTTATCCGTATCGAAATCGGGCTCCTTCTCGACTAGTGTGACAATCAGGTCGCCGGCAACATAGTCGGGGCTGGCATCGGCTTCGTTTTCATAGACAAGTCTTGAGTCTCGTGCAGCACCACGATCGACTGTCAGGGGAACAGTCGTTGCCTTGCGCACGACTCGAGCACCACCACAGGCAGGGCACTTGTGCTTTATGGTCTTTCCACGACCGCCACAAGCGTCGCATTGTGTTTGTACTTGCTGGAACATGCCCGGGGCGAGCTGGTGCTTGATGATTCGCACACCATGGCCACCACAGTGGCCACAGGTGTCGACCACGCCATCTTCCGAACCGCTGCCGCCACACTCTTCGCAAATGTGTTGCTTCTCCCACTGGAACTCGGTCTCGCGACCATTGTAGAAGTCGCGCAGAGAAATGCCAACCTTGATCTCGATGTTGTGGCCACGTGGCTGTCCTCGCTGGTAATGGCCACCCCCGCCGAAGAATCTGCTGAACAAATCGAAAGGATCGTGGTGGCCGCCACCTCCCTGTTGCCTTTGCTTCAAGCCGTCGTGGCCGTACTTATCGTAAATCTGGCGGGACTCGGGATCACTCAGAGCTTCGTAGGCCTCGGAGACTTCAACGAATTTGGACTGGGCAGTGTCGTCGCCCCTGGAAGATTATTAGAGGCCAGGGGGAGGGACAGGAGGGTCTGGAGGAATACACATACGGATTCTTGTCGGGGTGGAACTTCTTGCTCAGCTGGCGATAAGCCGACTTGATCTGCTTATCGTTCGCATCCCTTTGCAGACCGAGAACCTGGAAGAGTGATATTAGACCGAGATGTGCAAGAGACGAACAGGGAGCGGCGGAGCAGTGTTATACCTTGTAATAGTCCTCGGCGCAAAGGGCAAGCTGGAGTATAGAAAGCAGCAGCAGCAGGCAAGCTGCGCCGTGGTGTAGCATGTTGGGATGGGAGGACGTGGCCAAATGAGCAAATAGATGATGCAAGTGTACAACTATGTGAACTGGAGAAATGAGTGACTGGGAAAAAGAAGAAAGCCGCCCAGGTGAAGTCGGGAGCCGGTTTAAGCCAGCGTGTAATTATTTGAGCTCATTAACTAAAGATACTTTCGCTATCCCTCCTGGCGGGACCCTTGAAAGTTGACACGCTGGAACGTGTTCACTTACCTTAGCGGCTTAGCCTCTCTACTCTGGACTACTGTTTGTACTACAGTACATACATAGTATGCATACCAGACACTAAAAGTCAGCATTGCGACCACGCCTACAGGGGGCAACTTTGGCTGATAAGATAAGGGAGAAGAAGCTTCTATTCAGTGTGTGTACAAGAACAGTACATCCAGGTTACAGTACGGATCCGTACATGGTTCAGAGTTGATCCAGTGCACACAAAGCATCAAGTGATTGCACAGCTCTTCCATTGGTTGCCAAAGTGCGCGGTGGCGGCAAGGCTGTGGATGTCGGAATAGCGCTCGCCGACGGGACTCAGTAAGTTAAGTTACAATGTATGTATCTTCCTTCTTCTGCCTTTGTCTGTTGTCTGGACAGGCACGTCGGATTGCCAACCTGGTATCACAAATCAAATAGATTGCATGATATACCATGCACACACAAGCCGCTATTCTCGCCATTTCCATACATCCATCAGAGAAATACGCCGACATTTGTGTCCAAAGGTTGATTTGGTTTTAGTCTAGTCTAGATAACGTGCACTTTTCGGCCCCACTCTCGTTCAGGCCGTCCCGTCCCTGAGATACATACTGTACATATCCATGTCCTACAGCAACGTAAGGTTGGTGGAGTCGGGACATTGTACAAGCTTACAAGCCCAACTCTAGGTAGACAATTCCGAGAGCCTTGTTCTTAGGCAGTGCAAGCTCCGGTCTCAACTTGTCCTTGTTACAACATAAAGCAGCTGGCCTGACAAGATGAGTGGTAAGCGCTATGCACTTGTCCCTATGGACGATGACGTCGAGGTTGGTCCCCAGAAAGTCGAAAAGAAGAGCAAGCACCGCCACCGCGAGCGTCGAGACCGAGACAGAGACAGAGACCACGAAAGAGATCGCGAATCCTCGCGAAGATCCAAGCCTGAGCGCAGTCCCTCGCCAAGAGACTCACACAGCCACAAACCCTCATCCAAGTCGTACCGCCGGCGTGACAGGCGCAACGACGATCCTGATGACCGCTGGGGCGACCAGGAGCCCTCGTCCGATGAAGGTCCTGAAGGTCCTGCTGACGACGAACCGGACTTCCAGGAATCAGCGTCCAAACGAGTCAAGCTGAGCCATGACGACAAAGAGGACGACGATGCAGACTTGTCAGATTCCGCCCGCGACAGAAAGGAGGCCGAGGAATTTGCGAAACGTCTCAAGGCCCGCGACGATGGAAAAACCAAGAAGATCGTCGAGGATCGCTCCAAGGGCGGCAAGGCCCACGACGAACGACGAAGGCTGGCCGACGACGAAACTGCCAGACGCGCTGCCATGCCCGATTTGCGAGAGAGGTCGAGGCAGGATTATCTGAAGAAGCGAGAGGCTGAGCGACTGGCATTGCTGCGTAAACAGGTCGCCGAAGAGACCGCCGAGCTGCGCAATGGTGTCCGGCTGAGCGACAAGGAGAAAGCAGAGTTTGCCAAGAACAGGGAAATCCTTCGACTTGCTGAGGAGCGTCTGCGCATCGATGATCACCAGGATGGTTATTACATGCCAGAGGACTACATCACCGAGAAAGGAAAGATCGACAGGAAAAAGAAAGAAGAAGCTCTATACAAGCGCTATGTTGACAGGGACGAATATGGCCAGGAGAAGTTTGTCACCGAGCACGAAGAATGGGAAAGGGAACAGGCTCAAAAGGCAAAGGCGCAAATCAACAGGGCCGAACGTGAGTATGAAGGTGACTACGAACTCGTCCTCGACGAGGAGCAGTACATCAGCTGGAACCTCGATTCGACCATGGCTGGCGAAGGCAAACAGTTGACCAAGGAACAACAATTCCTGTCGGCACAAATTGATGCGGCTGAAAAGAGGGCATTGTCTATTCAAGAGACCAGGAAGAGCCTTCCCATTTACGCGTATCGGGACGAATTCATGGCAGCTATGGAAACTCATCAGATTCTAGTCATCGTCGGTGAGACAGGAAGTGGAAAGACAACACAGCTTCCACAATACCTGCACGAGGCTGGTTTTACCAAGAATGGACAGAAGGTCGGCTGCACACAACCCCGACGAGTGGCTGCCATGAGTGTCGCTGCTCGTGTCGCCGATGAGATGGGTGTAAAAGTCGGTAACGAGGTTGGATACTCGATTCGTTTCGAAAACAACACAAGCGACAAAACCATCCTCCAGTACATGACAGATGGTATGTTGCTGAGAGAAATCATGACAGAACCTGATCTATCAGGATATTCGGCCTTGATGATTGATGAAGCCCACGAACGTACTGTGCATACCGACATACTTTTGGCTATCTTGAAAGATCTGTCGCGTGAGCGACCAGATCTTAAACTTTTGATCTCTTCGGCAACCATGAACGCCGAGAAGTTTGCCAAGTACTTCGACGACGCGCCGATCTTCAACATTCCGGGTCGTAGATATCCCGTGGATATCTATTATACACCTGCGCCAGAAGCCAACTATTTGGCTGCTGCCATCACGACGATATTCCAGATTCACTCAACACAAGGCAAAGGAGACATTCTTGTCTTTTTAACTGGGCAGGATGAGATCGATGCGGCCGAACAAGAACTTACAGAGACTGCTCGAAAATTGGGCAATCGTGTCAAAGAATTGATTGTCTGTCCCATTTATGCGAACCTGCCGTCCGACATGCAGGCCAAGATTTTCGAGCCCACACCTGCAGGAGCTCGAAAAGTAGTCCTGGCAACCAATATCGCAGAGACAAGTTTGACCATTGATGGCATCGTCTACGTCATCGACCCGGGTTACGTCAAGGAGAATGTATACAATCCTGCTTCGGGCATGTCTAATCTGGTTGTGGTCCCGTGTTCCCGTGCATCTGCCAACCAAAGAAGTGGCCGAGCAGGGCGTGTCGGACCTGGAAAATGTTTCCGTCTCTATACCAAATATGCTTATATGAGCGAGATGGACGAGTCTACCACACCGGAGATCCAAAGAACCAACCTCAACAGTATCGTTCTATTGTTGAAGTCGCTCGGCATCAACAACCTACTAGAATTTGAGTTCATGGATCCGCCACCAACAGAATCTCTCATTGGTGCTTTGAATCAGCTATTTGCTCTGCAAGCTCTGAATCACAAGGGAGAAATGACCAAGGTGGGCAGGCAAATGGCTGAATTCCCCACCGAACCTATGCTGGCCAAAGCTGTGCTTGCTGCCGATAAGTTTGGATGCGTGGATGAAGTGCTCTCTGTGGTATCCATGTTGAGCGAGGCGTCTGCCCTATTTTTCAGACCGAAAGACAAGAAGATCCATGCAGACAGTGCCCGCGACAGATTTACGGTCAAGGAAGGTGGCGACCACCTCACATTGCTTAACATCTGGAATCAATGGGTCGACAGTGACTTCTCGCCTGTTTGGGCAAGGGAAAACTTTTTGCAGCAGAGGTCTCTTACACGGGCGCGTGATGTACGAGACCAGCTTGCCAAGCTTTGCGAGCGTGTTGAGGTCAACCCGTCGACATGTGGCTCCAGTAATGTTGACCCGATCAAGAAAGCACTGACTGCTGGTTTCTTCCCCAATGCCGCACGCTTACAGCGAAGCGGCGATGCCTATCGAACAGTCAAGAACAACGCCACTGTGTTTATTCATCCCAGCTCCGTGCTGACCAAATCAGATCCACCAGAGAGGATGGTCATTTACTTTGAGTTGGTGCAGACGACGAAGGAATACATGCGGTCTTGCCTACCTATCAAACCACAGTGGTTGACGGAAGTTGCACCACATTTCCATAAAAAGGCGGACGTCGAAGATGACGATAAGAAGATGCCTAAACATCGCAGATAGAGATTACATCCTTCAAGTTATCCTAACTATTATCACTAGAAACCTCTTGCATGCAGTGGTGATTCCCTGAAATACGTGGAAAGAAAATTGAACAAGGGAAAAGAAAAAGCTGGGCGCTAGTGTCCCGCATCTCGAACTCGAACCTACAAAATGTGCAAAAAGAAGAATGGCTGAGGGAGGACGGCTCAGCCAGAAGGTAAGGATAATTCCTAGGTAAGCGGATAACCACTACACCACTGTGACCTGTGGCTTCGTGGACTGTTAGTTGAGATCATTTTATTCGCTCTTATATAACCGTTGGTCAGGATGTTTTGCAAATGGTGAAGGTTTTCACTCCGGCCGGTACAAACCAAATCATATCTGCTCAAACGCGCGCGCCGGTGCCGCATGCGATGGGTGGTGAGGCCTACTTCGGAGCCTGCGCCAGGAAGAAGTTCATGACTGATGAACCCTCTGTTTTGACAGGCTTTTGGCGGTCGCGAAAAACATGTGCCTACCACATCTCAACGGATCGTGGAAGCCAATAGGGCTTGCTTAGTTACTGGTCAATAACCATCCCGTGGCCAAAGCTCTGCGGCATTCCTCACCACCGTGAGAAGCTCACAAAAGAGCTACTCGGCATGATCGTCGAAATTTCAGGCGTAGCCAATGGCGCAGCTCTCACACTGCAGCTATAAAGCATAGTTAGTCCTGGGGACGAGGGCTATTTCAAGATATGGTCAAATCATCAACGGAACGCTAGAGATGGCTGGGTCTTGTCACAAGAGATGTGCCAGGCCCACGGCTGGGGGGGAAGGTTGCCCCTGCGATCGTGCTCATCACTTCTCCCTGTCATATCCTCAATGGGTCGAACGGACATGCTCAAATCATCCAGACCGCACAGATCACTCTTGTATTATTGGATAACGATGCGGTAGTTTAGTCAGACCACTTGATTGATACCTAGCTTAACGCGATTTGCGTGCAAATTTATATCGATAGCTCGACCTAACATCATACATTTGTTCGTAAATAGATGAAACCCACAACCATGGCAAGATCTGCGATCAACACCGCGGTATTTATCCACTGCATGAGGAGTTAGGTATGAGATGACAAGAGCGAAGTCGAACGCCAAATGGGCTGTATCACCCATGATAAATCAAAACTCGATCAATATTGTACACAGCGCATCATCCCCAACGGTTTCATTTATACTCGTGAATATGTTTGTATGTTGTCCTATGCTTGCAGGCCTTATGATAAGAACCATCGCTGTATTAGTACTTGAATGGTCGTCTTTCTTTGTAGCAGAGCGGCACTCCTGTCCTTATTAAAATGGGAAAACAACAACATAGCTCTTCTCTCAACGAACATACCCAGTGCAAGTAAGTAAACATGTCATCCACTACATCCCAGTTTACTTGGACAGTCCAATCGTTATTAACTCCGGATTGTTGATCCAAGAAAAAGGTAGGTAAGAAAGGTAGGAAGAGGGTTCGACAAACACCAATACGGCATATGCGAAGCGGGCTCCACCGCCTCGGAGGCGAAAAGGGGTGAAACCCAACATAACCAAACCCATGATACTGGGAACAAGATGACAAAAAAATCAAAAGGAAATGTCCCTCGAGCCGGATTTGAACCGGCGACCTGTGGATAATCTGAAATGATTCAGGAGTAACAATTACAGTCCATCGCTCTGCCAACTGAGCTATCAAGGGTGGCTGTTGAAAATGTGTGCTATATTTAGTACTAATTTAGTACGCAAAATATCACCGAGCAGGGCACGTTCTACAAGGGCTGACTGACAGCATGCCGAGGTTCAAGATGAAACTAGGGGTCTGGCTCTTTGTGAGAGGACCTCAAACCACTTCTAAGGCAACTTGTTCAGAAGATTCGCATTTGACCATAAGTACTCATTACATAGTATTTCTGGAAGAAGATGTTGCATTGCAATAGAATGAAGCTGACAGGTGGTGTGGTCATCTTGCGAGTGGAACGCAGTCTTGTTGTGGCAATGTGGGTACGACTCGAGAAGTTAGTTGCGATGCTAGTTCTGCCACACGGGCCAGTAACTTTTCCTAGCAAACTGTAGCAAACTGAATGCACATGGTACTTCCCAATTGAGATTTTTTGTGATAGAGCATTCAAACCTGTGTACCGGGTTAAGAACAAGATGACATCTCGTAGAACCGAAATCCCTGTATTGTTCCAATGACCCAAAAACATCGTATGGAAGACAGTATTCCAAATTGACGCACTGTCCGGCTGGTACCACCAACGCGGTAGTATCTATTTTCAATGAGGGTGTATAAGTTTCATGGTTTCACAGGTATTGCCCGACTTTGACACGCCGTTAGCCTGTAGCGAAATATTTTGGCGAGTTCAGTTCGGAGAAGTGAAAGGTCCAGCGAAAACCCTTGTGACGATCTTGCCTTAGCATATCTTAAAGTTGGTCGCTTTGCAGAACACCCGATTCGCCCAAGGGAATTAGTTGGGTCGCACCTTATTCTACATATGTACTCCAGAAAAGTGAGGAGGGCTTGAGTCTCAATTGGTCAAAGATACGATACTAAGTGCGATTACCGTGCATTTCGAAATCCAGGAACTTGTTATCGTAAACGGGTCTGGAGCATGTGAAAGCTTTCAGATGGTCCGAGTAGGATGTAAAGGTGACGTAAGGATGTATAGCTACCGGCCACTCAGCCTATTAAAGTGCGAGAATTGCCAACCGTGAGAATGCTGAAAAACATTATTTAAAGAACTCATCCTAAAGTATACATTGTTTTTAAGTCTTTGTTTATCACAATTCGGTAAATCGGTCGTACCATTCCCTCTGCTATGCCTGGGAAAGACGAAAAAGTCATGACTAACGGAGTTGGTCCCATTGTCACCTCCATCGAGAAGGTCCCAGTCACTGAACTGCGAAAGCCTTTTCTTCAACCCGATGATGAAAGACTACCACAAATAGGTACAGATGCATTGATCCCTTTGGATCCCATCTACCTAGTTTCTGACATGACTCTAGGAACCGCGCGTGCAAACATTGCCGCGACTTACGAGAAGCCGCAAGGAACTACGGAAGATGGATGGGCATCGCGCCATAAGGACCAGACTGTACGCCATTCCGTTTCAAGCAGTCGAATCAAGCGCTGACAGTAAGACAGGTTCTCCAGCAACATTGCGAGTTCTTCGACTCTGTAAGTGCTTTTGCCTAAACGCCGAAATGCGATTTATGCATTCGACCATCATACATGGACGTAATTAATGCTTTGAAAACAGGATAAGGATGGCGTAATTTGGCCTCAAGACACATTAGTTGGATTTCACAAGATTGGCTTCGGTTATATCTTGTCTTTAGTTGCTGTCATTATCATCCACGCCAACTTCTCTTACCCTACGGTTTCTGGGTGGCTACCCGACCCATTCTTCCGGGTGTTCTTGAAGAACATCCACAAGGATAAACACGGTAGCGATACAGGCACTTACGACGCAGAAGGTCGATTCATCCCTCAGAAGTTTGAGGACATCTTCTCCAAGTACGGCGAGGGCCGTGACTACGTAACTGGCTGGGATCTGGTTAATCTCCATAAGGGACAGCGGTGTATCGCAGATCCCGTTGGTTGGGGTGGCAACGTCTTTGAGTGTAAGTGCAACCCAAAAAACCGTTATTTTAGACGAGACCTAACATTGAATCAGGGCTCGCGACGTATTTGATGCTGTGGCCGGAGGACGGGAAAATATATAAAGAAGATATCAGAGCTATTTACGACGGCAGCATCTTTTACAAGATGGCTGACCGACGCTCGGGAAAGGCATCAAAGAGCTAATAGAGGATGCAAGTTCCATAATTGGACTATATCACAGCTACTACAATAACAATACCTACATCTGAAATCGATAGCCTATGCATTCAACCTTGGCTCGGAACTGATGACCGCGAACTGGCTGCTGTATCCTTGTGGTCTCTGGCTATTATCATAAAATATCAATCCTCGCAGATTTACGTTTGTTTTTACGCGTTGTGCCATCATTTCCGATATTAGTCAATGATATGGCTGTGGGTCGAGTTCCGATATAGTTGTGATAGCCCTGACGTAGATGACACCAGAATTTGCGGATAAGCCGTTCACATTGTAGCTTGTTGTGATTATGGTGATAGTTGGCTACCTCATACCCGGGTTGGATACGTTTCTTTATGTCACTTTGAAGGGGCATGATAAATTATTTAAAATAGGGTCGCGGCATATTTCCAGTTAGAGTCGGCCACGATATTATGGGATCCGAACCTCAAGTCTTACTCTCGTCCCGCATGCCAACATTCCTAACATGATCAGGGTATGCGGGCTCCGGAAATTTGCGCCACCCACAGGGCGGATGTTCCGGATGTCTTCCTATGAACCCCGGGCCGGGGCCCTTGTTCCGGTGGGCAGATGTTTTTTCGGTATTGTGATAATGGCACTCCTAGACAGACAGACCAGCCTACTCAATCATTGGATAAAGAGATATGTCGCTGTCGACGCATAACTGCAATTGCGAAAGCGACGCCAATGGAGACCCAAAGCCCCTATCCTTCTTTAGGAGGTAACTTTAAAGTTCATTGTGCTCAACACATTCGCCATATAAAGCTTGGTCGCGAATGATTCTTGTGTCGCCCGGCTAGAATTTCTTGTAGTTTTATGGATGGTATTTTTCCTCGTGTCAATAGGCCATTCTCTCACCTGTTTGGTAAACTATTTTCGCTTGGTTATGATGCACGCGCTTTCGGTGCTATCCTGCCTCTTCTTCACAGCCGCTAATAGTCTACGGCAATACTACGCAGCCAGAGCTGTGCAGGTCACCTACTGTGAGGAAGAAATGGTATCCTCATGTTGAGCGGGTAATGACAGTGTTTTAACCCATGACCAATATATAATTCGTATAATTAGGGGATCAGTGACCACTCCGGAAAGTCGCAGCTTTATCGAAGCTGTTCAGTCCAAGTCAGCGAAGGCAGGAGATGTGTACGTGTCAAGTTACAATATGCTGACTTCCAAGCGCTTCATGTCATGTCAACGGCAAACGCTCACTTCTGCGGTCCTTTCTATGCTTGATACCGACAATTCATTGCCTTGTTTGAGAATGACCTCAAGACAAATTGTGGGTATGCCGGCGGGCTGCCGCGCTGGAGATCACACTCGCATACCCTGCAATGGCGAAAACCGTGACGATGAGCGAACTCATGACATCCAAGGAGGACACGTGTGATGAACGTACGAATAGATAAGCACCATGCAAGTCCCGTTTCCCTGGTATAATTCCTGCTTGATGCCCGTATTACATCTAGCGTTTGATTCTTCCAAATACAAAACCTCGTACACCAGTGCTCAACCAAACTTGTTCGTCGTTCTGAAGACTATCAGCATGAACAGTCTCCTCAACGGCTATACCCCTATTTTTCGTGAGTATTTCTTATAGTGTGACACATTGGGCTTGCTCTTATCATAAATGCGAGAAGCCAAACAGAATATGTACCTTTCAAGTGCCCACCTCCTCGAGGTCCCGTCGTTTCCACCGCTTCCTCGACCCTCCCGAAACTCCTTGGAGACCGGCGGCGTAACCCATCTGCCGTTGCGCCAGAAATACGGCGTCGTAAAACTGCCTTCCATAATCGAGCCGTCGTTCGAATTGACTAGTAAGACCTCCTTGAGATCCGTCAAGCTGAGCTGATGCCGTCTCCTTGCATCGTCGTACATTTCCCGGCTGGTCGTCTTGTAGTGAGTAAACTCACTGGGCGATGTAGCATCGCTGTCTATCAGAATATCATACGTAAGCTCTCTAGGCGGGGTCGACTCCTGGGAGTTTCCCGTGTCAACACTATCGTTCGTATCTGATCCTAGTGCCGGGAGATGACTTGGAAACAGAGCTCCTAGATTCTTCTGTGGAATGGGACTGTATTGGAGGTCCAATTTGCCATCCTCGTACAACAAGATCTTGACGCGATGGGGTCTCAGGCCGGCTTCTTGAGTGACGCGACTGAGGAAATGCTCAAGTGCGTTGAGACCTTCAGGGCCCTCGATCTTGGCAATCGCGCGCTCCCAGCCGAAGTGCGTGGCTGCCCTCAGCATGCGGTCGCGGTGGTAGTCCAGCATGTACCATGGGGAGGCTGTTCTCCTGTTCCAGTCATTTATACTTAGGCTTTTTAGGCTTTGCGCCTCGAGAAGAACAGGATCATAGCGGATTGAGGTGAATAGCTCGAAGTTGACCATTGCGCAGTCCCAGACTTTTGAAGCTTTTTGGGAAATCGGGCTGTACGAGTTTTCAGAATGAACTTTTGACAAGCCCTGGAAACTATAAGTGGCGTATTTACTTGAGTGTTGAGTTGTTGCTTCGTGTTAAGGGTGCTTTGAACACTCTTCCTGATAGGGAAAGAGGTTCCTCAAATTCCGCGAGGGATGTGCGTTACGGTCTTTAATTAACTGTTGGGGCCCATTCACCAACGTGGACATTCAAGACAAATTGTAGATGTAGATATAACTATGCCAGACCGTGCCACATACTATCAGAATACAACCGCATGCATTCTTGTCTGGCAAGGCTTACAACGTGGGAAGCTCCACTACCTGCCGGCCTAGCGATTCAGTATATTTCAGCACGCATTGTGTGGTCGTGCTCCGGTACATGATGCAGTGAGTGGCCCGGATAAACGTGTCGGATACAAGCGCTACGACAAGCAGACTTTTCGTTCACAGAAACCGAGTCGTCTTGAGTGGCGTGGTTTTAGATGTGAGAAACTTACAAAGGATGTCTGAGTTGGTTTCCAGAAGTTGGAGGAAAGAGAGATGCGTCGATCAACTCAACGTTGGACTAGTTCTGTATTGTTTCATTTGTTGATCAGCCCGCCCTATTTGTTTTTATTTATTTATGTTTTTATGAGTGACGTCGGGTTTTACAGGGACGGAGCTGTCTAGCGTTTCCACTGAACTGCAACAGACAACGTCAGACAAGTCCACTCAGGCAAAGTCGACTCACACTGTCGAGGTCTGTGCTCCTATCCCAAGGCTTGGAAAGAAAAAGAAAGAGGAAAAAGTTGGAGCCCAATCCAAAGCGACGAAATGATTGGAAGTCGCGCTCACTAAGAATTTGATTTCAGAAGTTTTCGCGTGCTGGACAGATCCGTAGTCGTACGCTGTAGTTACTCCGTACTGTAGCTCTGCATCATCGAGCCACTCCCTCCGATTCGATATCCATTTGCATTTTGCATCTGCATATCCCGTCTCCATCCCCAAGCAGCACCTGCCTGTATTTCCTTATCGCCCATTGTATTCTAGCCATTCCCACCCGTAACCTTCCCAGGAGCCCCCTCCCCAATCGTCATTCTAATATCTTCCTCTTCCTCACCACAAACGAATTGATCATGTCTGGTGCTTCCGCCGCTCCGGCACCCTTTCCTCCGGGGCCTCCCCGGGTCACAGTCCCCGTAGAGTCTTCCACATGGGATCGCATCACCAACTGGGCCACTGAGAACAAGGCCCTCGTCTATACCATCGCAGGTGTCACACTAGTAGCTACCGGCGCCGGTGTTGTGTACTACCTGAACAGCGACTCTGTGCGTCCCCATCTCACTCTCCTTGCAGCTCACATGGTCTGCTCTGCACTGGGCCGCCTCAACTATCCTCTCAGTCTTTCGGCTAAAACTAACGACTACAATCCATAGAACACTGCCAAGCCCACACAACCCAAGATCAGCAAGAAGGAGAAGAGAAAAAGGAAAGAAGCCGAGCGCCAAGCCGAGGCGGAAAAGGCTGCAGAGCCAAAGGAAGAGAAGCCCAAGGCCGCCACAGTAGAGACCGCAGATGAGGTCCCCGAGATCACCGAAGAGCTGGTTGCTACCTTGACCGACGAGCAGAAGAAGGACTATGCATTGCAGCTGAAGAACTCCGGCAACAAGGCCTATGGCGGCAAGGACTACAACAAAGCCATCACCCTATACTCACAAGCCATTCTCTGCAAGCCGGATCCCATCTTCTACTCGAACCGTGCTGCTTGCTACAACGCGCTCAGCGTCTGGGACAAGGTCGTCGAGGACACCACTGCCGCCATCAACCTCGACCCTACCTACGTCAAGGCCCTGAACCGACGTGCCAATGCCTACGAGCAGCTCGAGCAGTACAGTGAGGCCCTGCTGGACTTCACGGCCAGCTGCATCATCGACGAGTTCAAGAACGAGTCCAGTGCCAACGCCGTCGAGCGCTTGCTGAAGAAGGTCGCCGAGGTCAAGGCCGACGACATCATCAAGTCCAAGAACCCCAACAAGCTGCCCAGCCCTACCTTTGTCGCCAACTACATTCAAAGCTTCCGTGCCAAGGACAGGCCAGCTGGTCTGGCAGATGACGTTGAGCTCGACTCCAACACCGGAAAGGGGCAACTACAGGCTGGTCTCCGTGCCATGGAGCGCAAGACCCACGAGGGCTACGAGGAGGCTGCCACGTCGTTCGAGAAGGCCCTGGAGCTCGGCGATCTCGGTGCATACGAAGCTCTGGCTTACAACATGCGCGGTACTTTCAGATGCCTCAAGGGCAACCAGGAGCAGGCATTGGCAGATATGGACAAGAGCATCGAGTTGGAGCCCTCCTTGACCCAGAGCTACGTCAAGCGAGCGAGCATGCACCTGGAGAGAGGTATGTTTTACATGTCCCCAAGCTGAGATACATGGACAGTGCTAATGATATCTGTGACAGGCGAGAGATCAGAGGCTGCTGATGATCTGGAGAAGGCCGTCCAGCAAAATGACCAGGACCCCGATATCTACTACCACCGCGCCCAGTTGCACTTCATCCACGGCGAGTTCCAGGAGGCTGCCAAGGACTACCAAAAGTCCATTGACCTCGACACCAACTTCATCTTCTCTCACATCCAACTCGGTGTCACACAGTACAAGATGGGCTCGATAGCGTCCTCCATGGCCACATTCAGAAGATGTGTCAAGAACTTTGACAAGGTGCCCGACGTCTACAACTACTATGGTGAGCTGCTCCTCGACCAGGGCAAGTTCGATGAGGCCATCGCCAAATTCGACACAGCTATGGATATGGAGAAGCAGACCAAGCCCATGGCCATGAACGTTCTGCCCCTTATCAACAAGGCCCTTGCTCTCTTCCAGCAGAAGCAAGAGTTCACCGAGGCCGAGAAGCTCTGCGAGAAGGCATTGATCAGTAAGTCGCTCAATCCCAGGCTGGAAATGGTCTAGATAGATATGTGCATACTGACCGCCGTTGTAGTCGACCCCGAGTGTGACATTGCTGTTGCCACGATGGCTCAACTCCTCTTGCAGCAAGGCAAGGTCGTCGATGCCCTGAAGTACTTTGAGCGTGCCGCGGAATTGGCCAGGACGCCCGGCGAGATCGTGAACGCTCTGTCCTACGCGGAAGCCACACGTACTCAGCTCCAGGTCCAGGAGAAGTATCCCCAGCTCGCTGCTAAGCTCTCTGGTATGGGAGGTGGCGCCGGCTTCCCAGGAGCTCGCTAAGGGGTTAGTGAGGACTTCGGCGTGCGTTTCTACATGTACACTCACTCCCAGCTCCGTTTATAACGTGTTTCGATATGAGAAAGGGCCCGGCGAGGTGTGGCCCTTTAGTGTAGAATGTGAGGCAAAAGGAACATTGTCTGTCCAGTGAGCTACAAGAAGCTATGGACAGGCCTCATCTTGTGTATTTGGTCGCTGGGTTTGCAGGATGGCTGATTTGCTGCGCATTCAAGGGTGGGTTGCACCGGAGTTGGCCTGACTGACTGCATCGCGACTGGGTTTTGCACAAATCAGGATCCCCAGTTGTATTTGTACATACATACATAATTACTCTATCCCTCTTCTTGACAAAACCATTTGGTTGGGTGTGAAGACACACGCGTGCTGTGTTGCTGATTGCAATTATATCGCCAGCATGTCCTTCTGATTGGCGACTGCGAATGTCAACATATAGGGCAACCGGGATAATGCAAATACACAAGTGACCTCTTGGGTCCATTTATATATAAGTTTGTGAAGATAAAATCAAAGCTAGATTGGCCGCTATCGAAAGCATGAAGTCAATGCCGTAACACGTGTCTAGGTATCCAGGGGGGAACAAAATCAAACAACTCAAAAAGCACACACAGACACACACACACACACATCCTGGAAGTGATCCCCCATCATAAGTTCTCCTCTTGGGATAGCCGCAATGGCTTAACAGCCTCTGGCGGCGGCGGCGGCGCCTGCCCATACCCCTTGGCGTCCATGCTCATGCGGCTCATCTGGCTGGCCATGCTCAGACCGGTGCCCTTGCGCTCCCTCGTGGCCTTTGCCCACCTCTCCTCGTGGCGCCCGGCCTTGCCGCTCTTGGTCGAGCCGGCCCTCTGTGATGCCGCCGCTGGTGCGGACGACGACGACGCCCCGCCGGCCTGGTCTTCGGGACCCTCGAGGCCCAGCACGTCCACGAGCTCGGGGATCTCGACGTGGTCGCGCGTGTTGCGCATGCGGTGGCACCAGGTGACCTTCTTCTCCTCGCCCCTCTTGTCGGCGGCGCGGTCGTCGAGGTCGCCCAGCGGGTCGCGGTCGGCGGCGCCCGCGGACAGCTCGTGCGGCGTCGCGATGGGGCTCTCGACGCTCAGGCTCGCCGGCTCGAACAGGAACTCCCCGCCCACCTGCTTCTGGTCCCCCATCTGCAGCACCAGCCCGCTCTTGACCTGCTTCAGCGCCTGCGCGATCCCCGAGAAGACCGTCTGCGCCATGCTCTTGTGCTGCATATAGGCGGGCCGGTCCCCCGCCGCCAGGGTCCGGATCATGCCCAGCTCCTTGTACAGGTGCTGCGTGTTGTCGGCGTACACGGGGTACGGGCACCCCGTCTGTTGCAGGTAGGCCTGGATGAGCTTGTGCGAGCCGCAGCCGATGACGGCGATGGAGGTCGAGACGGGGAGCTGGAGGAGGGACTCGGGAGGGATCGCCGCGGAGAGGTGGCGGAGGTATTCTTGGCAGTTCTACGAAGGACAGGCGTCTGGCTTTAGCATATATCGCTCCTCCTTGCGCCGCGGGGAGGGACGGGGAGGGACGGGGAGGCAGAAGCACTTACACCGCAGAAGAAGTGGCGGATGAATATGATCAGCACACGCCGGGCCACGTTGGGCCCCGTGTACAGACTCTTGAAGGTATGCGACTTGCCGCTCTCGTCTAGAACCGTGTACTTTTCGAGCTTGCGCAGTGTCTCCTGTGAAGGCAGGTTGTTGTTGGTCTGCACATCTCCTTGGAAGTCCAAGGGGTTCGTGTCGTCCTGGTTGGGGATCGCATCAGCCGGCGGGCCAGTCAAGCCCAGGCTTGTGCCGCTGCCAATGGTAGTATCGACGGGCGAAGCTGATATGGCAGCAGTGTCGAATGGCTCGTTCCTTGTCGTGGCATCTAGTTTGGTAGTATCTGCGCCTTCGTGGGCCTGTGCAGTCTCCGTGTATGCCTTTGGGGCTTCAGTAGGAGCCGCTGTTGCGGCGGGAGCATCCGAGGAGGCCATTGTGTCGATTGTATATTGTTGAGGGTGCTGTTTGCTATTGCTGCATTTGAACTTGAAAGCACACAAAGACAACTGCCATGTATCGAGGCTTGGAGCAGCAGTTTCCGTATGTCTTACGGGATGGTCGGTTCACTGGCGCACTCGAAACACGGAGCTGAGTGGTGGACAGACAAGGATCGCGGGTTAGGTGATGGCTATGGTTATACTGCTGCGTTTGGCTGTGGCAAGGAGAGATGAGTCTTGGGTCAGATCGGCAGGACAAAGGTGGATCTTGGGATTTGTAAGGACGGGTTTTCACAGAGCAGGAATACGAAGTCGAACAAGTTAGATCACAGCTGATAGGTGGTTTGCGACAACTTTTGAACTGAGATGCCCTCATGCTGAAGCTGGTGTCAGGATCTTGATCTTGGCAGACGCAAGCCAGCGGGTGCTAAATGGTGCGCAAGCTAGGGGTCCAGCAGGCTTATTATTTAGTGATAACGCCCCTCCAAGGTTAGTCTAACTAGTGGTTAACAGGGGTCAGAGGAGGGGAGTCAAGGGAGTATCACCCGCACTGCGACGGGCGCCTCATCCTAATACCCACATCAGACCATCGAGGCCAATGAGACCATAATCTCGCCAGTCCAATGCCCAGGCTTAGCCTTTTCGCAACCAAAATGATTGGTTTCCGACAGGAGAGACGCCAGTAGTGGACCGCTGAGCTTTGATTCATGTTTCCAGGTTTTGGGCAAAGCTTGATCGGCTTGTTAGCTTCGCAGCTCTGCAGCTTTGTGACCGTTTCAAGTGTGTATGAGGTCATCCGAATCTGACGGAGTGATAGGTAATTAACATACTGCAGCACGGCTTCAGAGCCTCAAGACACACGGCTTTGTTATCATCAAAACTTCGAATTGTCTGCCCGCAGACAGCCCTCTCTCATGTACGTGGTCCTCCAAATCATAGCTACACCCTGCTGTCCTGGATTAGTGAGTAGTAAACAACCTACAAGCAATGTCGGCAGCGGTTGCATCCGTTCTTAGCTCTGCTCATCACAGGTGATGCTATTTTTCAGGAATGACAAGCAACACTCCGCAATTCATACATGTGTGTAGCTCAACAGTCTCCAGCCACCGAGCCGCCAGCTTCCATAAGTTTTCTTTTCTTGTCAAAGGTACTCTTCTTGTCTGGAACAGGGCGAAAGGCCAATCGGAACGTAGCTCTTTCCCGGTCGTTAAATCTAGCCATACGGATTGTTGTCGCCTTTGCGAATAAGATCACACAAACGGCACCACGATGCTGTCATAGCGTAGTTGAAATGGTTGTCTGCTCGCGGTTTTGAAAGTCGACATATCTTCTCGTACATTATTGTGGCCGAATATGACGTTCTTGCAAAGACGTGCAGCTTCCCTGCGCCTCGAGCAAGGGCTTCCCTTAAAGAATGTGCACCAGGCTCGTTTCGATACATACCATTGGAGGTGACATAGCCGAGGGGGGTACTGGGCGATATCATCGAAGACACCGATGAAGACTTTGACCCGGACCACACGCTCGCGTGTAGTAAATACGACAAGACCAGAACTACAAGTGGGCCGGACAAATTAGAGAACCCTGTCGCGCTCAACCTTGACGCTTTACGGCACTGAAGAGCCTCCGCCATCTCTGCATCGTATGCGAAGGCTCTCGGATTCAAAAGTGCCATCACAAGGACTTAATCCTCGCAGCAAGAAAGGAATAGCGAACCGTCCATGTCCAGTAACGTTCTGATGACCATCCTCAGCGTTCGCTCAACGCCCAACCGGCCGAAGACGGCGACGACTCCGTAAAAACAGGAAGGGGGCGGGGGATGGCATGCATGATGGGTTTGGCATTTTGGTTTTGAAAGTGGTTGACAATCACCTGTAAGCGCCATGTAAGTCTCAGTCCATAGTCCCCTGGAAGAGGGAAATAGGTGGACTTGGCTTTTCCATCGATGGGTATCGAATTATGGCTGCTTTCCTTCGTTACACAGAAGCCTCTCCTTGTGTAGCCTATGGATGTGGGCTTTGCGGATGAATAGGGGCCACGCATACGCTGCGCTTTTCTTTGCCATTTCCATCGTTCTTGGCTCTTTTCTAGTATGTTTCTTGGTTAAGTGCGTCTCCCGTGGTGCGTGCTTAAATTGAATATGGGCAGATTGGGTATAAACATGTCCATCTTCTTCACTTTAGCTTGGTCATCTCAACATCACGTTTCGAACAGTCCCGTTTTACATGATATAATATAGCTCGAGAGGCTGCGTTCTGTGTCCTGCCGCCTCTTCGGCTTCGAACGATTACCATGCCTGCTTTTCAAGGTCTCCAGGGGATATGGTCGGGATGGAATTTTTTAATGACCACTAAAATGCTCGACATATCCGCTGTTCTCTTGCGATTCTTTCATCTTTACTTTATTTTGTTTTTTCTTCTGCAATAGTCGAGGCTCTGGAGTTTTGGGGACTTTTGAGTCCACGCGAAAACTAGTTCAATGAACGAGGAATAGTGAGTAATATCCCATAAATCTTTTTACTTACAAAATCACAATGAATCTATAACCGTATCGTCCCTTCAATTACCACCCGCCTCCGCGGCAGCACCGCAGCACTTCTTGTACTTCCGGCTGCTTCCGCACGGACAAGTGGCGTTCTTGGCAATACCGGCGCTCGCCTTGGGGATACCCGTCGGGTTCTGATCGACCTGACTTGGAACCACTACGGAGAACGAAGTCAGTGATGTCTTTCTCCCGAAAACTTCAGCTCGGCGGATGATGTCTCCAAGAGCATCGCGGGAGCTCTCCCCAATATCTCACCGACCCTTGGAGCAATACGTGTTCCAAGGGACATGGAACTCAGCAATTAAACGGTAAAAGGAAGAAGAAGAAAAAAAAAGAGAGAAGAAGACAATAAGCAAGAAAACACTAACACCCTGTGATCTCAGTCAACATGTCATTAATCTGCCTCTGACCGTCGGTATTGCACTTTTCCTTCTCGCAGACGGGCGTGACCAGGACGGCGACAAAGGGGTCCTCGGCCAAGTGCAGGTACGACATGGGGGTGGTGAGGACCTGTCTGGTGGGCGCGCGCTCACAGACGCCGCACTTGGCCTGCGAGGCCGCGATGCACTCGTCCGCGTGCTGCTGCATGACTACACGGCATTTCGGGGTCAGCAATGGCCAGTTCGAGGGTATGTGGGTTTCTCTCCGTATGTGCATGTGTAGGTGTTGGGGGTGATGTTGTGAAAACTATCGTAAAGAGCCCAATTGTCTCTGATGGGCGATCCGCGCTCCGGAAGCAGGCCGGAATATGGTCTCGAAATTTGCTTACCGGGCGCCAGAGCGCTTATGTAGAGTTGGCGATAATCTGGATCCGCGCCGGATGACGCGCCTATGAGGCGCGCCGGCAGGTCGTGGTGGAAGGTCAGGGTGCGCTCGCAATTGAAATCGAAGCGGACCTTGCGGGTTGCCATTTTTGGTTTGTTTTGGTGTGGATGAATATCACAACGAGATAGGTTGCAAAATAGGTGGTTGTAAGAGTTTTGCGAGAGTATAATTACGAGGCAGAGAAGGGTAAGGGTTGTAGGAGAACTGTTGAAAATGATGAATAAGAAACTCTGCAACTGGTGTGATAGGTTCTGCCAATGTGCTGCCAATGTGGTAAAAATGGGGTTAAATCTCGAGTGAGGTCAAATAAGGTTGCACTAGAGGTCCCGAACAGTGGGCTTTGGCGGTTTCGGTCCCCTCCCTGTCAGCTCATTACGGACCCTCAACTCCTCTCAAAGCTCATCCATGTGACATGAATACATGGCCACACATGCCTATCAGATTCGTAGCGTACTTTGTTTACTTGAAGAAAGGACCATACCCGATGGCAGCGGTTTTGGGCTTAGTGGCTGAGGCTATTCATGTTATTACACATTGAATAAAGAAGGCATATAGTGGCAAACGAGTGTGTATTAACGAGTGTGGTCAAACTATTATAAACAATCTGTCGACGATTTTGTCGAGAATTATCGCAAGTGGCTGCATTGCCAACGAAGCAAGAGCAAACGATGGGCCGTTCGCTTCTTGGCGGCAGTTGGAGGGCTCAATACACAGTGCAACATGCAGACGCTTCTGTAACAGTATCCTTGCCAGTGGCTGTGGCAGTATCAACCTGACGCCCGTTGAAGACGTCGGTAGTACTTCGCCGATAAGGCAGTGCCCCGTGAGTCCCAACCGTGCGATGGAAAGATGACGGGGTGGTCGTGTCTTCCGTGCTAGGTGGCCAAGGGCTGTCCGTTGAAGCAGTCGGGTGAAACGGCTGGCACAGATCTCCGTCGGTTCGAGGTCGAGGACCGCGGGTATGGATACCTCCAAGCTCTGCAACATACACTGCAAGAAGCCTCCTGATTCCTGATGGATTCCTGGTGATTTCAAGTCTGAGATGGTATGGCTGAACCATAAGGACTTCATCTTGGTGCTGCTGATGATTCCATAGAACGGGATGACACAAGTGAATAAACTTATGCCGACGACATGTGCAATCAGTCGTATCCACCACCAATCTGACTAGCAAAGGCAGTGCTGATGCTCTTCTCGTCATCGTCATACCGACGACCGCCAAACCCATTTGGATAGCCTGGTCTTCCCGAACTTTCCACGTACTGCTTCAAGCGATCGGACTGTGTGTAGGAGGCAGGCCTTGCAGAACGAAGAGCATCCTGGAGACCAGCGCCAAGACTGGCACCGCCCTGTCCGACACCTCTGCCACCAATGACAGATGCGCTGGCATCGGTATACTCCGAAGTAGCGACGCTCTCGCCAGCAATGCTCTCGGCGCCACGGCCACCTCGCTTGCCGCTTATGCGACCACCAGGCGCGGTGAAGCCAGGCAAGCCAGGCCACTGTTCTGGGTTGAACGATGAGAACATCTGAGGAAAGGCGCTGTTGCCAAGACCGGCACCTCCGAGTGCGGAGCTGTGAATGCTAGAAACATCATCGGGAATGTAAGACATCATAGAACCCGCATCAAAGTCCTGAACAGACATGGAGGAGCCTTGGGGCTGCCCATTACGGCTGTTGGGATATCCAGGACCAGAAGCATAAGACATCTGGTTGGGGCGTTGACGGAAGGTGTTCTTAGGCTTGCTGAACTGCAAGAGAGAGGTTTGAAGGTTTGTGAGCGGACCTTCGACCAAGCACTTTTGCTCCTTGAAGTGGACAAGAAGGTGGTGCCACAGATCATGTTTAGAGAGAACCTTGGGGTTGCCAATGATGACAAGGCCGTATTTGGCACGAGTGAGGGCCACATTCAGACGTCGGGGGTCAGAAAGGAAACCAATGCCCTGATTGTCATTGGAACGCACGCAGGACAGAACGATAAAGTCCTTCTCACGACCTTGGAAAGCATCAACAGACGCGACTTCGACCTCTTTGTAAGCATCCTTCTTGAAAGTACCCGTATTCTGCATTGTGCTGACGATGTAACTTCTCTGACCTTCGTACGGGGTGATGACACCAATGTCTGATGGTCGCACACCGGCCTTGAAGAAGCGGGTGACAGTCTTCTCGACATTTGTGGCTTCTGCTCGGTTGAGATAGGATGTTCCAGATGCTGAAATTTCTTCGTTGCCCAGGTTGGACCAGAACATCATTGGCATCTCTGCAACAGGCCAGGGGAAATCGACGTCCTTTCGGATTCTGCTAGGAGCAGAAACACCATTCTGAAGAGAGCCGTCGTAGAACATGTTGGAGGGGAATTGAGACAGACAGGGGTGCATTCGGTACTGGATGTTGAGGCGGATTGGTGTGAATCCCAGACGAACAAGACGTTCGAAGAGAGACTGATTGAGGCCGGCCTTGGCGGCCTTCTTGTTCATGATGACAGGACCCAGCTGCTTATGGTCACCAACGAGGACTACCTGCTTGCAGCCCAACACGAGAGGGATCATGCATTCTGGTTCGGCAGACTGAGTCGACTCATCGATCAGGACGTTACGGAACTTCATCTTTGCTAAGCGTGGATCTCCTGCTCCCACACAAGTGCAGCAGACAACATCAGCATTGCTTAGGATCTCTCGTTCAGCAGCTCGAGTAAGCTGCTTGTATTTCTTCTCGTCGTTGCTTGCTAATTCACCGGCATCTGCCTTGAGTTGAGACAGCTTTACCAGTTCCGGATTGCTGTCAAGCATTCGGACCTGCTCATGAAGAGAAAGAAAGCTCACAGACGACTCAACATCCTCGCGAGACTTGGCGGTCAGCCGCACAACTTTGAGCCCGGTCAAGTTAATGCGCTCGCAAAGCTGGTCTACAGCAACGTTTGACGGTGCGCACACGAGGACCTGGCTGCTGTTCATCTTGGCCAGATGGTAAATAATGGTGGCTGAAGTCACAGTCTTGCCGGTTCCAGGAGGCCCCTGAATCAAGCTCAAGGGGTTAGACAAGACGCTTTTGATAGCGCTGATCTGACTGCCGTTTAGCTCTGGGAGACCGGGGACGCTGAACTTCTTAGGTAGCTGGGTTCTCGACGGAGCGACGGCGACTTCGTGTCCAAGTAGCTTGTGGAATATGTAACCCGAAACACTCAGTTCGTCAAGGGCGAACTGCTTCATGGCAGCCTGCATGCGGTCGTATGAGGTAGCTTTCCACACGTAATCTGCTGAGAAGTTGTGGGTGCACTCTGTGGGGACCCCTTTGTCGTTACCGGTCTTACGCAGCTCCAGAGTGACCTCGTCGGACTGGTTGTTAGGGATCTTGATGACGTATCCTACGCCCTCCCACGGTGCGCGAAGCTCGCCCTTGTACTTGAGGCGCATCTCGTCACCTACGGCCAGCTTCACATCACCAGATTCCAGCTTAGGGAAGGTGAAGCTTGCAAGATGCTTGTAATTCAGACCCATATCCCAGCGGACGACCAGGCCGTCCTCGGACTGGGCCTCCTTGAGCTTCTTGTCGTAGTCGGACTCCATCTTGACAAGGGGCCCGAAGATGTTCTGATATTGATAAGGGTCTTCGTACTTGAGCAGGACCGGGGCTGGATCATCGTCAATGCTGGCGGCCTTCTCCAAATCAGCAATGGTGGCCGAGGCGTTATCCTTCCACATTTCCTCCAACTTGGCGATCATGGGCGGGGTCAGGTGTCGAGCTCGAAGCTGCTCATTATCGGTCGGCGGTGTCACGAGCCAAGATAGAAAGGCGCGATCCTCGATCAATGGCTGCCATCGTGAAATGTCCCAGCTCATGTCCTTGGAGGAGGTGGAGGCGGCACATGGCTGTCGGCAGAGGAGCACGACAACGGTGTCGGACTTGGCGGGGATGAAGCCGAGAAGGAAAACATTCTTGGTACCACAGTTGTAGCACTCGAGGATGGTGTCGCCTAGAGCGGACTCGGGATGAAGCTGGACCTCCTTGTGTCGAGCGCGAACGAGGTGGTTGACGATATGGGAAGAGCTGGCATTGCCACGAGCGCTACAAAACCACTTGTTACAAGCGAGACACTTGACGACGGAAGCGGGTGAGTGGATGCCGCAATATCTACAATGAGTTTTGTTAGTGGCGAATCCCGGCAAGTTTTCAGAGGGGCGGAGAGGGGAGAGCCATACGCGCAAGCATGAGCAGGTAACTTCTTCTCTTCCTCGGGTGTCGCCCTGTTGATGTTGAGATCTTTCAAGGCACCAACTGGGACGCTCGCCAAGCTCATGTCGTCGTCGTCGAAGGCGGCCTCGGTACCGTTGTCATCGTCGTCGCGGCGTCTCGTATTGCCCGGGCCTTTGCGCCCGGCGAACTTGTTGCCATAGAGCAAGCTCTCATCGTGGTCGAGGGCAGACAAATCGTCGCCGCCAGCGTTGATGGCGGCAGCCGAATCGGAGATCAAGTGGTTGCCGACATGGGTAAATGCGCCCTCCATAGCGGTGCCGGAGAGGGTGGAGGGTGTTGGTCGAGGCTGGGGGATCTGCTATGCTTTTGTTCTATGGCGGGCGTTTGATTAGCTATCTATCGTGAGATGTGTCTCGACTCGTTTCGTTTCGTTTCGTTTCGCTTCGCCTCGGCTGACCTCGCATGTCACACAAGGACAAAGGAAAGCGAGCAACACATAAGCAAGAACTAAGCTGGCAGGGTATTGGAGGAAGTGAGGACGAAGAGAAAAGGAAGTGGACGCAATGGATGCATACCTAGCAGGATCGGCAAACACCAAGAAGAGCAAATCAATGGTATGAGGCTGGTTGCCTCTGTGCGGCCTACAGTGTACAGTACGTATGTATGAGTGGCTCAAGGGATGTTGGTTGATAATGGTGGGGAAGCAAAAGACAGGTTGGGTCACATCGCTGACTGATTCAGATTCTCGAGTGTAGACTAGAAATTTAATTTAGTCAAGACCTAAATCACTCGCATACGACCAAAGATCTGTTGGCAGTGGTTGTTCGCAAGTCCAGCCGCCAGGAAGGATTGTCGGAAAGGTTGAAGTGGGATATATATTTTTTGGGGGGGGGGTGGGTTTGGTCAGAATACTTACACTTAGGTAAGGTTAACAAATTCAATGCGCTTTCCTCGCAGAGGATTTCTGAACGGCGGTGCTGCGTGCTGCGTGTTTCGTGCATCCATAGGCCAGTCAGGCAAAGCGCATACTGCTAGGAGTGGGCCCCAAGAACAGCGACAACTGCATGTTATTAGCCCTTGGAATTGGAAAGCGAGGGAGAGCCGCCTTGATAAGGATAAGGTAGGCCAGCCTCCCCGGCGTTTCCCTTCTCATGCCCCGACACAGATCTGTCTAACCTTATTGGACTAGACCTATGGATAACGCAGTGCCTTTTCTAATCCCTGCAACTTTTTTGCGCGGCTCAGAATAATTTCTGGTGGGGTCTTCGCTCAGATGGTCATACAGCTTTTACTTCTTCCCATATCTGCTTGCAACGACGACATCCTCAACAACTGCAACCACTGCCAAGCTTGGCATCGTCTCCCTCTCGGACTACACTGCGCTGTACACCTGATTCCGCCCACAGAATGATTGTACGTCTCTTGTCACTGTCCACCCGTAGCCCCCATTCGCATGGACAAGAATACCACTCCGTTATTTATCACCTGTGCCATGTCAACCACGATTACTTGCTAACGTGCCGTTTACACAGCGCAAACAAGCAAGACAGAGGCGCGACTACCTCTATAGACGAGCCCTCACCCTACGAGACGCTGAGATCAGCGAGAAGAGGTCGAAGCTGCGAGCCTCGCTCGCCTCCGGAAAGCCATTGGACGCCAGCATTGCGAACGACAAGACCCTGCGGAAGGACTATGCCTACGACGAGTCGCGCGAGGATAGGACTGTCACAGAATCCCTGGACTTGGATGACGAGTACTCCAATCTCTCTGGAATCCAAGATCCCCGCATCCTCGTTACAACGAGTAGAGATCCATCAGCCAGGCTCGGTGCTTTCGCCAAGGTAATAAATGCCACTTTCAGACATCCAGCGCGTCTGTGTCCTCGCTCAAATAAGGTGATGCTGACACCTGACCCCAACAGGAGATCCGGCTCTTGCTTCCAACTGCGGTCCGCTTAAACCGAGTATGTAACTACCCGGTCCTTCTCTCTCCTTTCTCGGCTGACCTTGAACAAAGGGCAACCTGATCCTGCCCGATCTTGTGAGATCCGTTCAGGCTGCTGGACTGACAGATACGATTCTGCTTCACGAACACAGAGGTGTCCCTACCGCCCTTACCCTCAGTCACATGTATGCTTCGCCCAGCCCGCCTTCGAATAACAAACCACTAACTCTAGATGAGGCCTCATGGACCGACCATCAGTTTTTCTCTTCATAATGTAGTCTTGAGACATGATATTCCCAATTCAATCCGAGGCACCGTCTCTGAGGCATACCCGCACTTGATCTTTGAAGGGTTCAAGTCGAATCTTGGGCAGAGAGTTGTCAAGATTTGTAAGTACAAGTCCACAGAAGCATGCAGACTTCACACGCTGACATGCACTCCAGTGAAGCATGTGTTCCCCCCTCGGGATCCTCTCACAAGCAAGAACAAGATCGGCTCAAGAATTGTGACCTTCGTGTACGTGAACCCTACAACAAGATTTTCCCCGTCTTGGGGGAAATGAGCTAACCAGGATGCTTCCAGCAACAACGATGATACGATAGAGGTCCGGCACCACGTTTTTGTTCGGACAGGGCATGACAGCGTTGAGTTGTCTGAGGTCGGACCACGAATGTCAATGAGGGTATTCGAGATCAGAAGCGGAACTCTCGAAAACAAGGACGGCGACGTTGAATGGCACTTGACTCAGTACACCAGGACTGGCCGTAAGAAGGAGTATCTTTGATCAGGACGTATCAAGGATCTCTACGGATGCCGCCCCACGATTTGCAACCACTTCATTTCACAGGAAGACGTGGTTGATTGAAGAACGATGGACTTCGTTGCGGATCCAAGCATACCTCCAAATCAAGGTATAACACCCATGGACTGTGGGCTCTAGATACGAGCTCAGGGACCGACCACCGAGAGTCCGCAGAGCCTCAGCAAGGACAAGTTCTGAAGGATCGGCGTACATGTCAACGCAGTACCGTGCTGATTGGCGCGAGTCATATCCTGGAGACTGCCTTTCAGAAAAGTGTCATCTAAAGGGCAATGATGGGCTTATACATTCAGCATGCTCATGGCCAATGTTCGATACGGCGCGATCAGCTTCATCCCTCCATGCTACCACGACTGGTCTAGGCGATCGCTTAACAGAGCAGAGCTTAGTTGCGAAAAACGAAACGCTGTATCAGCTGATGGAAATATCTAGACACGAGGCACAGTCAAGCATAATAATAGGACCAGGAAAGTTAAGACAGTTTTGATGGGAGATGAGATATATGAATCTAGTCCAAGGAACCGTTGTGTGGAAACTTGTTTCGGATCTGAAAGACAAATGTGTCCCGGCTGCAGTAATCTGGAAGAGTTCAAGTATTATGTGCCTAGGCTTACGAGCATAAGTCGACAATGAAAATAGAATTGTGTCTGAACGGCACTGCTGTACATATGATTTCTGGAGTGGCACTTGCGCTCTTCTATAACGAAGCGCGTATCTTCGCTCTCTCGACACCGACCTGTATCATACAACGACCGCCTAGTCAAGGCAACGACTATACATATGGTTCGGTTAGTTGCACAAAGTGGTCAGTACTCTGAAGAATAATGGAGCCTGGGACTACCAAGTTGGCGCCTGCCAAGTGGGCACCTGAGACCACATCCTACCGGGCACTAGCATCAAGCAAGTTGCCCTGATCGAACAAGAACGACCTCAGAAGGGTGTAAGTGTGTTTTGGATGAAGTGTATCTAAGTAATAGTTGGGAGAATTTGTACAGTCTCTGGTTGACCCCGACTGGTCTGCAGCTTCAAGCAGCACGTGTTAGTATGCGCGCACGTGGTCGAATTCGAACAAAATAGGATGACTTGGAATCGTCTAACCTTAGAGAAGTTATCTCAAGTATACTTAGTGGGGGATAACACATGTTTAGATAAGTCAAGTTACGTTTCGCCTGGTGACGTGCATTGAGTATATGACCTGATGGCCACATTACACGGACTCTTGTGCTTACAGCCTTCATGGCCGGACTATTGGTTGATCAAAGAAAAGTCCCGCGGCGAGTATGGCGAGTAATGCGAGTCCGATCAGTACACAGCCACAAAAAAACTGGCAGCGATCAGAGGCAAAAGACACCTGATCCGAGATCCCAGGCGGGCGATGCTTATTTTTGGCTCACAATTGCCGCTTGAAGTTCGGTTAGAGGCCCTGATCGGCATAGCTTGCAGGCTCTTTTTTTCTCTCTCTCTCTCAACATTCCACACCCGCAGTCTGGTCTAGTGCGGCGCGGAGCTTCTTCAGCAGCTTATTGAACTTGAATGTGTTTGCCTGGATTCGCTCACTGCCCACGTGCAGGCATCGTGCAGTAGAACTGAACCCAGCCCATCCGAAAACTAAGTAACCTTAGACTTTCTCCATACGTGCCAAGCACTAAAAAAGGACAGTCGCGGCTAAGCCATCTGCTGTACGCGGACTCGGGGAGAAGCGTTGTGCAAATAAGTAAACGACATGGCCTCGTACTCGAATTGGCGTGCAAGCTTTCATTCATTCCAATTAAGCTTAAAAACAATTTCCCAACCCTCAACTGCTCGTTCTTGCGCAGTTCCCTCGATCCATTCGATTCAATCGTGAGAAAGTGCTCTTGTCGCCTGCGGGGGATAAACAAGTTTCACGTAAAGAAAGCCCGGGTGCAAGGCCGCATTGCATTGCATCCCATCTCTTTAATAACGAGACGAGACGAGACGTCATTTCCCATCTGGCCCAGAGAATACCCTGATACCCCTACCAGGAGCCAGCGCCAGCACCAGGATCATCAAGCGGGCGCTCAGGGCAATCGAGCAGTCCGCCAAGGCAAAAGTCAGCAAGCGACTTCCTTCATCAGAAATCAGCTGCTTTCTCAATTGTGATCACCACATCTCCATTCTTTTCCTTCCTTTTCTGTAGCACGGCAGCATCACAAACACATCAGGCATCACGTCGCATCACGTTTGCGCATCGCCGTCTATTTACTTCCAGCCAGTGCACAGCAAATTGACAGCGTCTCAATTCCAACACAAGCCCGACGGCAGTAGAGGCATCAGACCAGCATGTCTTACGGCAATAAGTATCAAAACAACCCCTATGGGGCCGAGCAGGGTAATCCATACGGCACCCCGTACGGAGGTCAGGTAAGCAACACCACATGAACGACGAAGGCAGCCGCCGCGCTGTCCGGCCGCTCAAAATCAATTGCACGCGACATGAATGAGCTAATTATTTATCCTGCGCTCTAGGATGAACACGAGATGCAATCGTACCCCCAGCAGCAGCAGCAACAACCATCAAGCTCTCTCACACTCTCGCAACAAGATTTCTTGCAGCGGATCAGTCACCTGCGCGAACAAGTCAGCACCTTGGCCACGAATGTCAATGCCATCGCATCACTACACCAGCGCGCCCTCGCCGAGTCCGACGGTGGCTTGTCGGCTCAACAGCTCGAGCGGCTCGTCGCCGAGACCAACGCATTAAACCAGGGTATCCGCGACCAATTGAAGTTCCTCGCCACGGATGCGAGCCGCACTACCGATGGCAGCAAGGGCCTCAAGGACCAGCAGGTCAACACCATCAAGAACAACTTTGAGCGCGAGCTTCGCAACTACCAGACCGAGGAGGGCCAGTACCGCCAGCGCTACCGCGACCAGATCGCCCGTCAGTATCGTATTGTGAACCCTGACGCGAGTGAGGACGAGGTCCGCCAGGCCACCGAGGCTGACTGGGGCAATGAGGGTGTCTTCCAGACTGCCGTGCGTGCTTCCCTCATCCTTTCCGCCAACTCCGTGCTGACCTTGTTGATAGTTGCGCACCAACCGTACTGGACAAGCCACATCTGTCCTGGGCAACGTTCGTGCTCGTCACAACGAGTTGCAGCGCATCGAGCAGACCCTGATCGAGCTTGCCTCCATGTTCCAGGATCTGGCTGTTCTGGTTGAGCAGCAAGAGGTAGCCGTTCAAGCTGCCGAGCAGAATGCCGAGAACACCACCAAGTGGACCGAAGAGGGCAACCAGCATGTTGGTAAAGGCATCAAGTCTGCCCGCAACCGAAGAAAGCTCAAGTGGTGGTGCCTCCTCGTCTCCATTCTCATCATCATTATCATTGCCGCTGTGGCCGCAGGTATGTGTTTTGTTCCCCGACCCAGATTTCCTCCAGGACTAGGGCTAATGCTCTCACTCAAGGTGTTATTTGTGGAACGCAAGGCAAATGCACCAGCGGCAACAAATAGAAGTTTTGACTGTTGGTCTGATCGGATATTACGAAACTCTTCCATTTCAGCTGCCTCCTTGGTTCATCTAATATACCCGAAATCACGATGGATGAACCGCTGGGGGCTGGCGAGAGCAGTATCACAAAAAAAAGGAGGCAGCTTACAGCGACGCTGATCTCACATTATCAAATACTAGACTTCCATTTAATCTTCGGCATTTTTGTCCCTTCGGAGCAGGGGTAGGAACAGCCTATAATGCATTGTTCTTTTGTACGTATTAGTACCCATTTTTCTCGAGGCCCCAAGGGACCACGCCAGGCATGAGAGTTAGGATTGCGTAGGGAGGGAGGATTGCCTTGGATTTGTCGGAGCTTTGCCCACAGAGCTGTAGATTAGTAAAAAATTCAGCATTGTACGTTTTCTATCGGATGACCTTTCACGATGTACATGTATACCCTAGTTAATTCATCAGGTTCTCCCTAAACTATCTTACTGCTCATCTTTCACCGCACAGGAGCCTGCAGAAAGATGCCTTGCTTAACAAGAATCATGAAGACTAAGCTCTCTTTGCACCGTGTAGTCCAAGATTAAGTGGTTCTCCTTATTAAAACTGCCGACAGCATAACCTTCAGACGCATGTGCGATGCTGACCCACGCCCCGCCTCTCGCAACATCTCCCTCCTCACGGTAGCCCTGTCATGATTACAGTCCCCCTACCCTAGGCAGCCGTCACGCCGTCTCGACCTGGAACCCCCGAAACCCGACCACGAGCCTCTCACCCCCAGCGCGGCCCTCCGGATCCGGCCGCGCCGCGAAGGCGCCGACCCAGGCGCTCGCCCCGCCCTCGTGGTCGTCCAGGAACACCCACGGGACCTTCCTCAGCATCGTCGTGGCCGCCGCGCCGCCGCCCGCCTGGACGTGGTTGACGAGCAGCGCGTGCCCGGCCCGCACGAGCTCGACGGCCGCCCCCATCCCGGCTCCCGCGGAGGGCGGCCCCGCCGCGTGCAGGCTCCAGTCGCACCACCCGCCCCGGGGCTTCGTCACCACGCTGAGGTAGACGCGCCCGTCCTTGGCCTCCAGCCCGGCCTTGACCCAGGCTGTCTGCCCGCTGGCGGTCTCTGCCGAGGGCGGCAGCGAGGGGTCCGAGGCGGGGTCCGGGAGGATCAGCACCAGGCCTGCGTGGTCGTATTGGAGCGTGGGGGTGTAGTGAAGCTCGAGGCGGGCGCGCCGGAAGGAGGAGAGCGGGGTGGAGGTGGGGTGGTAATAGGCTGTAGGCGCCGTCAGGATGTAGCTGGGGCTGCGTGAGGGGGAGGCGTGGATGTCTGACCCGGAAGGGGCGGAGAGGGTGAATGTTGTGTCTGGGGTGTTGTTGGGATGCGCTGGTGGCTGGTCTTCTTGTGTTTGGTGGCTGCTATTAGTGTGTTGTTGGGGTTGTGTCGCCATATTTTTTTTTTTTTAAATTCTCTTGTAACTTATGTAGTCCCGGTGCTTGAAGAAATGAAAATGTGTGTCTCTGTCTTGGAACAGGCGTCTCTTGTACGTGTTTGCGTTGAGTTCTTCTTCTAGCGGGAAGGCTCCTACGTTATATACATCACTGCAATCTGTGTATGTTGCGCTGTTCGGCCGGTATACGATATTGCTAGCGACGCAGAACCGAGAGAGTATGTATAGTCTCGACTTGCACTAATCCGCAAGAAGTTACTTTTCCGACCGCAATCCCAGAATGCAAGGCAAGAGGGAGGATTTGACCAATCGCTGTGGATCAGCAGGTCAGGATTTGAACTGGCCGTTTAAGGGCGCAAATATAATCCCACATACGACATGCATTCTGGACCGAATACTAGCCATTGCAGCCATAGAGGGATGCTGAGTAGTTCGCCGAATTTCAGTATTGAATAATACTATGTAACTTGCCATGGCACCATGGTTCGGAACGTCGAGTGCGGGTAATAACTAGCGAAGACACGGCGGATGAACGTTTGCTCATAAAGCGTGCGGTGATTACAAACTCGACTCCAGCCACCATTATAAGTTCCATAGTTTTAGCCAGAGTTAAGTCATAAGTGACACATGTGATAGTCCCGCCGGGAAATAGGAGAAGCCCCGGCGACCGTTACAAGCACATCAAGACCTTGTGAGTTGGTGGATATCAATACAATTGACTAAACATGTTCGCTTTCCTAGGTATCATAATAAGCGGAATGAACTCCAAAATGAATCCCCCCCCTCCAATAAAAAAGAAGAAAAAGGGAAGAAAAACAAAGCAGGGAAGCATTGAACCCTCCTTTCGAATAACACATGTCCCGTGATGTCTATCCTGTGTGCGCCTGATACGTGTGAAGACATCGTTCCGATCGTCGTCTCGTTTCCTGGACCAACGTGGGTCGTGCAACCTTACTGCAGCAACATTGCGTCTTCATCCAACCTTCCAAATAGTGCTTCTACCTCATTCTCGACAGTTTTGAGCTCCTTTGCAACCTGGCCGGTAACCAGTGCATACGCGTACAACAGTGCATAGTCATGTTCCTCGATAATGATGCTACCAAGTTTAGGCACTCTGCTCATAGCTCCAACCATGCCACTCGTGTTGTCATCGACAACGCCGTTGCTGTTGTTTTTGCCATTCCCGTTGGGAGTGCTTCGACCTGAATCCAACCCACCATTGTGCTCCTTTCTGAATCGAAAGATCTTGCCGAGAAGCCTATCTCGTGTACCCAACACACTAGGTATTGCATCCGTCAGGGGATACTCGAGCATGATACTGCTAGCTAAAACTTGGAAAACGTGGCAGATGCGAGCACAAAGCTCTGCTCGTTCGCGGGCTGTGTGGTTGAGAAGTGCCCTTTCGCCCTCGCTCAATCGGCCATGCTTTTGCGTGACTAAACTCATGGCATGGAAAGCATCCAGCAAGCGCTGTGTTGACACCATGATGCGACCGTATGCCTGCGCCGGAAATGGACCTCGAAGCTCGTATTCGTTGGCGGCTGCGCTGACAAGAGTCCGTAGCTGATTAGCATAGCGCTGTATCGCTGCCTGCTCACCCATCCTCATGTAGCTGTCAGTGGCATCGCTACGAAGCAGGATGGCCAGAGGACCTCGCTTCCAGATCAAGCCCATCTGGAGATACAAGACACAGATACCTTCCTTAAACTTCTGCCGAGCGGAGACCGGCCAAATGACGCGGCATACGATGAGACCCCAGAGGATACCAAGGGACACTGCGATGACTCTATGATACACAATGGTTTGGATGACAGGATGTAAACCACCTTCGTCATCGTCATCGTCGTCGACCTTTTGGGACAAAGAATATGCATACAACGAGGAAACGTTGTAGGTCAATAGAATGAAACGACCGAAAGGTGCATTACCTCGATCGATCGTTATGTAGAAAGCCAGGAAAGACACGGCCCAGCCAAAGATAGCAAGAAGGATTGCACCTCCGTCTGATATCCACCAGGCAATGATGACGAAGGCAGCACCCATAAGTGTGCCGACGAATCGTGCGAGGCCCGTCGTATTAGAGGCACCAACTGTCATACTACAAACGATCATAAAGGACAAGAGACCCCACTCGCCGCGCCAGTGTTGGTATATAGGCCTTGTCTCGGGAATGAAAGCAAACATGGCGTACAGAGTAGCCCCGATGCCAACCTTGAGACCAAAACGAACTGGCATTAAAGTTAGTTGTGGCACGGAAATCTGGGTCTAACAAACATACTATCTTCTCTGGACAGAAATCGGAAAAATCGCAGAAGCTGCTGGGACGCCCATTTTCGTAAAGCGCTAGTAGCTTGGGGTTCAGCGTTCCAAGCAAAAGTGTCTCGTGGTTTCGACATATTGTCCGGAATTCCTTTCGGCATCTTTGATCTTCGCAATGGTTTGATGAGGATAGCCTGCTCGGGGTCGGCAGTGCGGCTCTTGAAGCCGTTGAAAAAGTACCCCCAAAATTTCAAAAAGTTCCAACTCCTCTTCTTTTCTTCCGTGGCATATTTCAATTCATCAAGTGCGTCCAGATACTTCTGCATCTCATCGCCCAAGCTGAGGAGACTGAACGAGAAGTGTCCGCAAGCGGCTGCCACTTCCTCATAATCGGCTTGGACGTTTTCCGGTCGTGATTTCTCAAGCTCGATTGTCTTATATAACTCCTCCAGAGCCTTGGCTCTCTGCGAGTTGTAGAGGGATATAGCGTCGGAGACACTGTGTTTAAAATTATCGTTGACAGTGATTGGCAACCCGGGAGCGTCGAACGGAGGATCCCTTAAGATTTCCGAAAGTGTATGGACAAGGGACTTCATTGATGGCCCTAAACGATGGATGAATATCTCGAATATGTCGGATGGAGATCGACAATGGCTTGGAGACTTCAAACCAGGGTTTATAGAGAAATAGTTCTCACTTGACGGCGTTGGCGCTTCGTCTACGTCGCTGCGTTCGTCGGGACTTTCATCAATAGCTGACAGTACGGCAAACCTGCCGGCGCTTCTGAGTAGATGGGGTGTCGGTTGTCCAGCAGTGGGAGTAAGGACGTTTGCAACGTCAGTACCCGGAGATACGGCTTGGCTGGCAAGCGAAACGCCAGCCTTCTCCTTTAGGAGCTCGAATTGGGTATTGGCCGCACTTCTGAGTCCGCCCAGAGATTGTGACAAGGTCTCCATGCACCGTACTACAGCCTTGTCCTGCTTGTAGATCTCCTCGTGGCCGAGCATGTAATATTCGTACTTTGACTCTTTCAGATTCTTGTTCATCGCCGTCAAATTCGTCGTGAAAGTGGCGGTTGTTTTTGCGAAGCCCTTGGAACTCAACTCTTCTTCAGCGCCACTCAGGAAGCTTTTCGTCACCATAGACAGCATCTCACCAAGGGTTGTCGATGCTGTTCTCATGGTGCCACGCAGAGCGGTACGTGCAGATACTGGCCATAGCAGTAGATTGACCGCGGTTGTCGTCGTCGTGGCTATGAGCAAGATTTTCAGGGATTGTATGATCTTCTGATTCGTGAAGACGCCAGTATGGACGGAGTTCTCCTTGGTTATGATGGTGATGATACCAATCGACGCTATGCTGGCACCAACACTCACGAGTGGATGGTTGAGTTTCTGCTTCACCCAACCAATGAAACCAAGTCCACCACCAATAAAGAGGATGAGAATGAGGGCGTATGAAAGCCTGACCAGGTCCCAAACCGAGCCGACCAAAACCGACGTCGCCATGGACAGGGTACCAATAAACATGGCGTAGCAAACTGCTACGATGGCAATGGCAGCTGCCTCGACTTGGGATCCCGCACTTCTGGATGGATGAAAGTACACAGCAATGGTGGCGACGATATGTTTGCCATCCATGGGACCCAACGACGCGGCAAAGGGCGCATAGAATGTCCACAAGCTGGCCAGCAGGTATGCGACGGAGCATTTGAGTGTGCCTCGCCCCTTGGGAGACTTCAACCATGTCCAGACGTTATGCATGACAACTTGTCCGTTGTGTAGGGCGGCCTGTACCTTCTCCTTGACCGTTTCCTGTTCGACGAGTGGGCGCATGTCGAAGTCGGGTTCGCTGCTGAAACTGCTCTGTCGCAGGGTGAACTGGCGTCGCGAGCGCTCGCCGGTGCCGGGAATGACCCAGGTGCCATTTCGTAGTTTCTGTCGGGGCAGCATTCTTGTCAGCTTGGAAGGGGAAAGGTGAGGGCACACATGGGTGATGCCATGGGCAAGCGATCCTCAGGGTGAGGTTCAAGAAATAACATACACTCCGTGCAGGCGGACGTCCCGAGCGTGGAAACCATGCTGGCGGGCCAGGCGAGGAGCTTGAGGCTCCGCCGTTGTTAGCGTTGGTCATGGTTTGTCTTGGCCGTAGGGTGTTCCCAGTATTGCGATCCTCTTGGCTGCTGGCACCGCTTGCTGCTTGTGTGTACTATCTATCCACTTGATTTACGGGTACAAGCTGTGGGTTTCGACATAATGGGGCCCGGGAGCAGAAGCAGAAGCAGAGGCAGAGGCAGAGGCAGACTGTTGGGCCGCTCTCAGACGAGAGAGTGTGTTCTAGGATAGATACTGTATGATGATTCTCGTAGGGAGAAGACAGCCAAAGGAGCGAGCTGCATCCCAGGGTCAGGTGGGAATCGGATGGAGGTAAGATGAAGACGGTTTCCCAATGCTGTGCTACGCTTGGATGTGGTGGGTAACAACTCGATAGACTCACTAACCTAACTTACAGCACTCTACTCTATTCTACTCCCCTGTGCTGTACATAACCCAGGCCATGTCCGCCAAGTAAAAGCAAATCGTGTGGCTGTTGCTTTCACAGCGGGGGGGCGAAAGCGTTACCACTCGTCATCCCGCAGCAAAATCTCACAGGAATTGGTCAAGCGCGCGCTGTTAGCGCTAGCGGGGATCCGCCAAGACCATAGACGGACGGATTACGGGTTAGGATTATGTAGGGATGATTACAAGCCAGCCTGAGCCAGCCTCCCCCAGTATGCAACAATCTCGTGAGATTCAATCCGATTAAGCCACCCACCCCAAGCTACTAACCTAACCTAGTTGTTACACTCTTTGAAAGCTGTCACTTAGTCACATCGCACACAGCATCCAACCTCCGTATCATTCCGACCAGATTGGTCTCATGCTGTGTAGATATTATAAGATCGCCTAGGCGCACATCCCGTAACTGTGAAGCCTGGTCGCCACGAGACACATCCTTCCGTTGTCTGGACCGTCTGTCGCTCCTTACCTTGCGGAACAGTCATCATGGCCAACCTTCCCTCCAAGCACCCAAACCTGACCCTCCATCTGGTCGACCGCAGTCTCACACCACTCATCACATCCTCCAGGTCACAACCACAGGCGCAATCATTGGCATCCATATCACAAAACGCAATAGGGGTCTATGAGACAGCGCAACGCCTTGGCTTAGGAAACCCGCAAAGGGTCATGGTTGAACATACGTCAAACGGCCCAGTTTTGATGCACTCGTTTTTGAACCCTGCTGCTGAACATTCTGCACCAGGCCACCAGAACTCCCACGTTGCACAGAGAAAGCTAGCACCCATTGGAAACTACGGTATCCGTGACCCGCCCTACACCGGGGCCGGGTCTGGAGTCCAAGTTCCAGGAGAGCCGGATGGAATGGACGAGGACGCAGCCAATGCGCCTCCTCTCCTGCTAAGTACTGTCATTGCGCCTGGTTCAGAATCGGTTCTGGACGCCAGACGGGCGACATCACGACTGGAGAGAGTAGGAAAGGAAGTCCAAGCCAGGTGGGCTGAACTACAGCAGTGAAGAGAGGAAAGATTACAGATGCGTCGTTGGCTCGTCGTTGACTAAGTATCCTGGATTGAAGTGCACCAAATCATCCAAACGTCAACTTCATTACGGCACCTTCTTCCTCTTTGTTCCAGATGCGTGAGTTGGAGCAAATTACCTAGGCGGAGATACCAGCTTCAAAGCTGTCGAATTCACTCAGGCAGTCCCTCATTAACTCCAGATGTCTCGAGAAAAGGAGCAGTGACTCTTGACATCCCGACCAAACATTGGCAGCAGTAAACTCTATTTGTGGGTGTCGCACAAGGCACCTCTTTTGCGAAACGGCAGGCAGCTGTCCTTAAATCTGAAGCTGGTCCTTTCTGGAAATTGTTCTTGCTTCATAGACATCACTTCAAAAAGCCCTGCGGAGAACCCCGCCAAATTTCGAATCCAGATCAGCAACACGTCAGAGTTTCTGTTGACGTGCAATCTTGGATTTACTCCAAATGAGCAACTCTAATGAGACGGCTCAGAACAGTTTCACACCGCTCACCTTCCACAGTACATTGGCCCACGCCTTCGGCAATGGGCTGAATTGGAACAGAATGGAACCACATGAACATGTCATGCCCCTTTCCTCAACAGCGGAATTCTCTATCTTTGGCGATGGTCAACATCTGCCTCAAAAGAGTACCGAGATCAGTACCCAACAGCTTTCTCGAAAGCCAGCCAAGAACAACAAGGCCAAAGTTGTGTTTCACAAGTTCGGCCAACTCGTCGCTGAAATCCGCCTCATGATCTGGCACCAAGCTATCGTCGCCGAGACTCCAGAGCGCCTCATCCCCATATATATGCGAGGCCCCACGGCTACAATCGTCCCGCACAAACATTTGGCCTCGCGGTTTCTTGCCGTAAACTGGGAGTCCCGTCATGAAGCTCAGGTCTTCTACCCCATGAGGTTTCCGCTTGCGCTTGCCGCAAATTCTTCGGTTGCTGAAGGCTCTGTGTATGGATCATATTGTGGCACGCTGTATCTCGCCCCACAATACGACATGTTCGTTCGCGGGCTGCGAGACACGGCCTTCGGCCTAATACCTACCAGGGCACTCCTAGACACGGCGGCCGTGGCTAGAATACGAAACCTCGCCGTGGTCCAGCTCAACCAGGACAAGGCGGATACCGAATCGGTCACGCTAAGGGATCGCTACGACAACGCACCCTCGTTTCGGGGCATCGTCGACCACGACCGAGCCGTGGGCCCCAAGTTCTGGAACCTCAGATACTTCCCCAACGTCCGGGAACACTACACCATCCACACTCCCTCCCAGACTAAACTCACCACAGTGATCATGCAACGGCCCGAGAGCGTGATGCCGTTCTACGAAGTCCGCCGCTGGTCCAAAATCACGGATCACCCCGACGTTCCCGGCAAGACCCTGTGGTTCATGAGCAAGGAGCGAACGGATGGGTTCCCACAAGGTGTGGGCAGCGACGCGCCCGAGGACTTCGATCTGTGGGATATCCTCGACCAAAGGCGGTTGCGATGGGGGAAGGTGCCTGCCGATAATTACCTCAAGGACGGCGTACATCTGGAGGATATTTGGCAGCGCTAAATATGCTCACCCCCTTCGATGGGGTGATTTAAAAGCGTTAGCCAAATTACTACGCTTATCCCTTGGGAAAGAGAGAAAGAAAGAAAGAAAGAAAGAAAGAAAGAAAGAAAGAAAGAAAGAAAGAAAGAAAGAAAGAAAGAAAGAAAGAAAGAAAGAAAGAAAGAAAGAAAGAAAGAAAGAAAGAAAGAAAGAAAGAAAGAAAGAAAGAAAGAAAGAAAGAAAGAAAGAAAGAAAGAAAGAAAGAAAGAAAGAAAGAAAGAAAAAAGGTGATAGAAAAGAAAGAGCACAATAGAAAAGAGAACAGAAAAAAAGGGAAGCTTTGGTCTTTTTCAAGGTAACAGGGCGGTGTATTATTTTTAAGGTTAACTGGGTTCTCACACGACTGAGCATCTCGTATGCAAATCCACACGTACAATCCTATGTTCTTTTTTTCAGCGGAATATCCAGGGACCTGCGGTACTGGGTAGGCGGACATTTTAAGGTTTGCAGACACGATTTATGAGTAACGAAAGCGCATGCCGAATGCTTGGATGTGGCAGTAACGATTGAGAATGAGTACAATACAGCACTCAATTAATAACACCTTTTCATCTTTCAAATTCCTCATGTTGTTTGATCGAGCAGCTATCGACTTACTCTTGTTCAACACTGCACCCAGTAATCAGCATCTCCACCTGAAGGGTGGACTTGTCCAATAATACAGGTGACGAATTCTGGCCAAGTTGGCAACACGCATTTTACAGCAACACATGTTTAAAAAGAAAAGAAAAAAATTAAAAAGAATTTAGTTAATAGAGTAACTTCACAGATCTTACAGACGGGTCATAATGTAGTTCTCGATGCCTTTTCGATATGGCTTAATTCATATCATATTGGTCTCTATGTGGGTAATATCCTCGTGTCGTTCGTACAACATTTTCGTCCCTGTCATCTATATACCGACTCCAATATCGGCGAGTTCCCGAATCATGATCATTACTTTATCTACAACACATCGCTAAGTGTCTAGATGAGCTGCTGGAAAGCTCTGTTGATAGGAGAGCGGACATTGGGGACGTCCTTCCAGAAGTCGATAGTCTGGACGGCGCGCTTGGAGATACCCGCAGGGGTGAACTCGAACTTCTGCAATAGTTGTTAGTAGCTTGATCAGCATGCAAATTTTTGTAATGGAAACTTGCCTCGTAAACATCCTTGTAGGCGCCGGAAGCACCGAAGCGGTTGAGACCGAACTGCTCATGAGTGTAACGTTCCCAGCCCATGGTGCTCATGACCTCAATGGACAGAGAGGGGATACCGTCGGGCAGAACGCTGAGTCTGTAGTCCTTGCTCTGGGCATCGAAGACCTCGAAGCAAGGAATGGAGACAATACGGGCCTTGATGTTGTGCTTCTCCTTGAGCTCCTTGGCGGCATCGACAGCAATGCAGACCTCGGAACCGGTGGAGACAAGGGTGATCTGAGCACCCTCAACCTCGCTCAGGACGTAACCACCCTTGATGGCACGCTCAATGGTGGAGCCCTCAAGCTGGGGCAGGTTCTGTCGGGAAAGAGCCATGATGCTGGGTGTGTGCTTGGAGGTCAGTGCCACGTAGTATGCAGCGCTTGTCTCGTTACCGTCAGCAGGGCGCCAGACCATGCAGTTGGGCAGAGCACGGAAGTGTGCAAGGGTCTCGATAGGCTGATGGGTAGGGCCATCCTCACCAAGACCGATGGAGTCGTGAGTGGCGACCCAGATGTTGCGGATCTGGGACAGAGCAGAGAGGCGGATGGCACCGGCAGCGTATGACACGAAGTTCAAGAAAGTACCACCGTAAGGGATGATGGTACCGTAGGCGGCAAGACCGTTCATGATAGCACCCATACCGTGCTCACGGACACCGTATCGGATATATCGGCCAGAGTAGTCGCCAAGGCCGGTAGAAGGAGGCTGGAAGTCAACAGCGGTCTTCCATCGGGTCAAGTTGGAACCAGTCAAATCGGCGGAACCACCAACCAACTCGGGAATGACATCTGCGAGCTTGCTGAGCACTGTCTCGGACAGCTTGCGAGAAGCAACGGCAGAGTCGGCAGGAGTGTAAGTAGGCAGAGCCTTCTCCCAGCCCTGGGGCAGCTCTCCAGTCTGGCGGCGGACAAGGTCGTCATGCTCGGACTTGTACTTCTTGGCGTACTCGGCAAAGAGCTTGTTCCACTCCTCCTCAGCGGCGGCGCCCTCGGAGGCAACCTTGTGGTAGGCGTCATAGACATCCTGGGGAACGGCGAAGCTCTCCTCAGGGTTGAAGCCGAACTTCTGCTTGAGCTGCCTGATGTCATCGGCCTTGAGAGGCGAACCGTGGACACCGTGGGTACCCTGCTGGGTAGAACCGAAGCCAATGGTGGTCTTCAGCTTGATGATGGAGGGCTTGCTCGTCTCCTCCTTAGCCTTCCTGATGGCATCCTCAATAGCGTCGAGGTTGTTGTCACCGTCGCCAACAACCAGGACTTGCCAGCCGTAGGCCTCGTATCGCTTTTGCACATCCTCAGTGAAGGAGACGTTGGTGTCACCGTCAATGGAAATGTGGTTGTCGTCGTAGATGGCGATCAGGTTACCGAGCTGCAAGTGGCCGGCCAGAGAGGAAGCCTCGCTGGCGACACCCTCCTGCAAGCAACCATCACCGAGGAAGCAGAATGTGTAGTTGTCAACGAGGTTGAAGTTCTCCTTGTTGAAGGTGGCACTGGTGTGAGCCTGAGCCATGGCAAGACCGACGGCATTGGAGATACCCTGTCCAAGAGGACCGGTTGTGACCTCGATACCAGGTGTGTCGTGAGCCTCGGGGTGACCGGGGGTGATGCTGTCAATTGACTAGGAAGAGGTCAGAAATTTATTTCTTCTTTGGGGATTTCCGAGGCTTGGGGGTTTCTCTTACACGGAAGGCCTTGATGTCGTCCATAGACAGGGCGTAGCCGAACAGGTGGAGAAGAGCATACTGAAGCATGCAACCGTGTCCGTTGCTGGATGAAGCGACGAATTAGCAACCAACAACCACCATGTATGAGTTGTGTGGACGAGTATCCAACTTACGAGAGAACGAAGCGATCACGGTTCAACCACTTGGGGTTCTTGGGGTTGAACTTCATGAACTTGCTAAAGAGAACGTGGGCGACCGGCGCCATACCCCTTGTGATTGTTAGCAATTGAATTTCCCCTCTTACCGGTGTAGCCGGTATGTCTGGTTTTGGTGTATGGGAACTTACATGGGCGCACCAGGGTGGCCGGAGTTGGATTTAGCTGTGGCATCGGCCTACGGTCATAAAAACAATCAGCACGTTTGATTCCTCACTTTGCTTCTTCTGCGACTCCCTCGAGCGCAAAGCAATGGATGGCCGGCAAGATACGGAAAGAAAACATGTCGCGGGCTTTTGTTGACGATGGAGGGGCAAGGCGGGGGCGGGGTGTTGGGATTTCGTCAGAGGAATGGAATGTGCAGAGGTAGTGAAGGCGAGAGAGCGAGAAAGCTTACAGCAAGAACACGGATCGTGTTGATGGCCAGCCAGTCCTTTTCAGTGTAACCCATGATTGCGATGTGTCTTGTGGTTTCAATCTGGGAGCAGAATTGGTTTCTAAGGGATTATGAGGTAATGGAGGGGGAAGAATGAAAATGAGAAAACGTTGAAGGATGGGTAAACTGTAGTTTTCTATCTGCAGCTGCAGCACCACAGCGACCCCGTGGAACCTTGACACAATACGTGTGACAACTTGTGAAGCGGCGGCTTTTGGGTGGCAGCCAGCAAGCAGCTTGGGTACTCACTAATGACCCTTGAAGTGGGGTGACAATGGAGTCAGGACCTTTCAAAGCTCTTCACGTCGGTGAATATATGTCATTGCTGCAAAGCCTCCCAAGTTCCAACGCACATCGCTGGGCGGCATCATGGTTGCCATGTCATGTACAAGAGGGGCAGCCTGAACAGCCCGCCTCGAGATCCATATTTGATGTCGAGCGATGTGTAAGCATAAAGTACAGTAACCTCCCTCAGTATCTTCTGCAGCCTCGTTTTCTCTCAATTGTCTGCACATTGAGACGTGTGAGTTATGGCCTCTTGTTGTTTCTGGAATCGGCTATTGGAGAAGCCATACAAGTACTTCATCCGCGCATATAGGCGGGCGGAAGGTTTCCCTTGGCCCCCCTGCTCAACTTGTTCCGGATACAAAGGTAGCCAATCCCAGACCTCTTGGCCCGGATGGAGGAGAGCATGTCTATATTTCTCCGGTACTCATTCAAATTTTCACATCACTTACCACAAACTTGTAGCTGAGGAAGTTATCGCATTGTCACTGTACTGTGAGAGCTACGATTTCATTAAAAGTTATGGTGGCAACACCTGCCGGCATGAACGGTGACGGCAAGTGCGGCTTTTTTCGCCGAAAGATATCCCACTCTTTCAGCTGTGGGCCCAGACTTTCGCGGAATTTGTAAATGACGATGGAATCAATGGGGCTTCTCGTTTCGCCCAATTTGCGCATCGCCCAGCACGTTGACTCGAAACGCCCCCTCTCATTGGCGAGGATACAACACTGACCTCTGGCGGAGTACTGTAGTCCGGTAGGTCGCACTAGCATCACCCGATTCCCACCTCCGTATCGGACCTTATAATCGTTGCGGATATCCGCTTGATTGGCTAGCCCTATACGCTTCTTAGTAAGAGATGAGGAGGTCACGACAGCTTTTCTTCATCAGCTCTGGAATTTCTCAACGGATCAGATGATGCAAAATTTGGGGGTCCTTGAGGTCCTGTCTTTTCCTCAATAATTTTACCGTGTCTTACGCGATCATTTCACCATGGCAACCTCTGTCGGAGTACTACACCCATAACTGTATTTTCCACGGAGCTTTTGACGCACCCGGAGATACCGATATCACTTTCTGATAGCCCATTGCGCGTAGTGATGAGTAAACCGAAAAAATGAGGCAAATAATCACATTTGTTGAAATGTTCTTACTTTTCACTGTCCAAATTTCCTGCTTCCAAAACTATGGGGAATATACCATGTGCAGTTTTCTGCTATGATCATAGTAGAATCAAAATGTTGAGTTTCAATATTACCACTGCATTTTCACCATTAAGTTTCTGACAACCATGGTTCAGGTTTGGTCATTTCGTGGTTCCCTTTCGCCGTGGACATAGGAGGAGTCTTGAGCAAGAGTCAATTGCGCCCATTTAATTGGCGGAAATATGTCTGCCTTCCACAATCATCAACCTCACTTTCCTGATATCCATTCACAGTGGAAGTATTCGGCTGATTCCTCCAAAAGCGTTCTACGAAACTATTTCCTTTCTACAGTAAACACCAAAAGAAGGACGAGTACAATATCTCGATATGGGAGTGAAGCATGAAAATGTATTACCCAGAAGATATTTGGGTAATTGCACTTGGTAGACCCCATGGGCATCTTGCTCATCTTCTTGGCGTTTTAAGATACCAGTCGGAAAATCAATTCAAGCAAGATGGACTCGTTTTCAAACTTGATCCAGAACTACTCCTTCGTCGCAACACTCAACCTCGCACATCTCAACCACGGCACGGGGCATCCAAAAATAATGGAAAGTGTTCCAGACCTATTGGCCTATTCGCCGACGGAGCGCCAACTGAAGCTGACCACGTTGCTTTACGACGATGAATGCAATTATCTCCCGGCTCTTTTGGGCCAAGGGATGGACACTCATGATGAAGTCCTCCAGATCATTATGCCGCTTGATCGGCCACTGGATGCCTTGGTCATCACCATGACGCCGATCGAGGAGCAATTTCAACACCCTGTGACAAGCTGGCTCGGTGTCCAATGCGTGCATTCCGGAAGAGTTTGGCAGTGACACATTCGCGATATGGAGGACGAGATGATCCCACATCTGCTTTGATAATCGTCAATCAAGGAAGTCACAATCAGTATTCTACCACCCGACCCTTCTTTCCAGGATTACCAGGTCGTCAACCTGTGGAAGAAAACTCGTGACGTTTCCTAGATTCTTCGCAGCCTTCGTGAGGTCGCAAACTTATCAATTTAGCTGAATGAAACCTTTCTAGAATACACTACGGTGCGAGATAGATTGTGGTCCTTGCCTTTCGCGATCGAACTTGCAGGAGCCAGTCTACGGCCTGACTACAATTTCTGCTCACTTCTTACCTTGGTTCTGGTCCTGCCTCTGCTCGAAACTCGAAAATTTAGAGCTTTGCGGGCGGACATACCGTACCCGTAACTACTTGAAAAACATAAGTAATTCTCGGTGTAATTGTGTCAGTGCTCAAGCATAACAAGAACTGGGCCAACATGCCCGTGATTTTAGAAGCACAGAAATTTAAAGGGTCATGAACCCCGAGGCCGAGCGGACCATATCTTTTGATTACGCGAAGGAACATTTCCCCGAGACGCTTGCCATTAACCACAGGCTAATAAAACCGGATGAGCTGCTTCGCATGCAGTCAAGATACGCCAAAGACAAATAGACAGAACAATATCCGCGCGGTCTTCCACCGTTCGGTGAGCTTTCGAGAACGCTTGAAATTAAATTTCTTGATAACGTGGACAGTATGTTCGAAGATTTTCTACTGCAAAGTTCCACTACATAATATCTGGATACCTCAAAAGATCCCAAATTCCATAAAGCACATTCCAAAAAAACAACTTCAATGGCAAGCTTAGGGTACTTCGCATGAGTTCGGCTAGAATCGATGGCACTTAGTAGCAACACGGAAGGTGCTCTCTATCGGCGTCTTGAGTGGTAATCTGGAGGGTTCCGATGAAGGAGAGAAAGAATCAGTCGAAGGTTCGAAGCGGATTGATAAAGATACCTTGAACTGCATTGTTCGTTAACATATCTTCTTCTGCTCGACACAGGACCCGTTCTCCACAGACCCTAGTATACAGACGATTCATAAAACGTCCAATCTTGAACTCCGACCCGGGTTCATGCTTTTCAACCGATCTATCGATGAGACAAGAGCCTTAATAGCCGCGGCAACGCTAGATCATACTTGATAGATTCGGTGTATCATTTTGTCTTGGTTTAATCTTCACAGCTTAGCATGTATTCCATTGGCATGAATTCCGCTTTGGAATGCGTTTTGTTGATATCATTCTTAGTAACTGTAATTTTCTGCAAGGCGTTTAGAGGAACTTCATCACGGACATTTGATCAGTCTATGGGATATATTAAGTTGCGTGATGGAGAGACGCAATAGATTATTGCCCCAAAAATTCAAATGTCGGGGGGGACAGGAATAGTGACAGAGTTCTGCTACTCACTATTCGTACCTGTATGGTCAGCATGCAAAATTTGTTGTCGGTGGGATTATTCTTTCACTGAACAAACTCTACCGCCTGCCCCTGCCCAGGTTCTGGATACACCTCGTACTTCCATCTGCTTCCTGGGTGGTCATCTCGGAGCTTTGATTGCCTTTCGCCATATAGCCTTTCTCTGAGGGTGCCCGACTCCGGCTGCTCTGGGTACCGACCCCTGCGCCGAAGTTCCGGTACAAGGAGATCGACAAGATCCTCAAAGCTGCCTGGTGAAACCACATAGCCTATGTTGAAACCATCCAGGTCCGCGATTTCCATCCATTCCTCCAATATGTCCGCGACTTTCTGCGGCGACCCCACAGGAACCGGGCCATTGCCTCCGATCGAGACCATGCGACCAATATTGCGCGGTGTCCACTTCGGAATATCAGCGCCCTGATATTTCAAGCTGTTGACTAACGAGTGCACGCGCCCATCTACGGTTGCATCCTCAGCTTTGATCTCGACGTCCGGGTCGTATTTGGAAAGATCGATTCCGGCGTTGCTAGAGAAGAATGCAAGTCCAGCTTCGGGGCTTGCGAACTCTAAGGCTCTTTCGTACTTCTTCTGGGCCTCAAGGTCTGTGGTTCCTATGATCGGCGTCACGACCGCAAAGACCTTGACGCTGGAAGGGTCGCGGCCAAGCTTAGCTGCCTCGGCACGGATTGCCGCCACGCGCGGTGCCAGTATATGTGGTGATGCGGCCGCCACGAAGACCGCCTCGGCGTGCTTTGCCGCGAAGGCGATGCCGGCTGGTGAGGTCCCAGCCTGGAAAAGAAATGGAGTTCTCTGAGGCGAAGGGTCGAGAATGTGAGGAGCGTCAACCTTGAAATTCTCTCCGTGATGATGAATGTAGCGTATCCGGTTCCAGTCGGAGTAGACTTCGTTCTCCCTGTCCTCCCTAAGTGCGTCATCTGCCCACGAGCCTTCCCAGATCTTGTACAGGACCTCGAGATACTCGTCTGCAACCGCATATCTCCTGTCATGTTCGACGTACGGCAAACCGACCGCGTCCGCGGCAGATTGCTTGAAGGACGTCACGATGTTCCACCCGAAACGGCCCCTCGTCAAGTGATCTAGAGTGCTGAAGCGCTTCGCAACAACGAACGGTGCTTCATAGCTCGTGCTGGTGGTTATGGCGAAGCCGAGGTTTTTGGTCACCGCAGCCATGGCCGTCACAGGGACTACAGGATCTCCCATGGGGTATTGGCACGCCGTCCTGACCGTCGGCTCCGAACTTCCCTTGTAGGTATCATGCTGCCCGTAAGTGTCCGCGAGGAACAACGCGGTGATCCCGCCTCTCTCCAGAATCTGTGCCAGATCCGTCCAGTAGGACAGATCTCTTCTCTTGGTTGAGGATTTATCCTCCGGTCTCCGCCACTGTCCGAAGCTTAGGTGACTTGTTGTAAACATGTCAAACGCATTGATGAAAATGCGCTTTACGCGCTTTGGCGTATCGAAGGTAGTGGAGTCACTCATAGTTGCGTCTCATTACAGTGAGTTGTGGTATCGGTGCACACACGTGTATGATACCGCATAGCCAAACAGCATGAGCATAGTAAAGCAATAGGCTCTGGGTAATCTGACAATCGTGTAAATTCTTTAATCTTTTTGGTGAGTTCAGAAGCAAGAATGGTGGGTATAGCGCCGGTATTGGAGATGAGAAACATTATTCGTGATATGGGGAAGTTGTGGCGTGCTCTAGGTGTTGCCTCATTGGCGTAGGTCGGTTGCAAATCAAGGTTGTATTAATACAGTGTTAAGAGTAAGTCGATTCAAATAGAAATCATACGAGAAATTCAGGCATGTATCTACTGTTCATGGATGATAGAATTATTGTCTTTGCTTGTGGTTACATTAATGAAACCTAAACCAATGTCCTTCGTGACTACAACAACTGCGTCCTCTGTCGAGGAGATTTCGCGAAATGCATGTGATCCGTATTTAATTCCCAACATTCTTTTCGTCTTCGACTTGATCATTCTTTTATACCCTCTGGTGCTTGATATGTCGGATTTGGCGCGGCTTTACGCAAAGCCACCAAAGTTGGAACACTAGCTACGAAAGCTGAGATGAATCCCTCAAGTGATCCGAACGTGACACGATTTGCTCGAGCCATTCCACCGCAAATTGTTAATCTACAAACGGCTATAATAATCAAGCCAAGGTCAATAGAAAACAAACCAATAAGTAAAACTTTCTTTCCGTCATGTCAACTCATGCGGCTATCAACTTTGGTATGACTGCTACACAACGAACGAGCGCTTGATTGGAAAAAGAAAGGCATCGGCAGGCAAGATGGGCATGAGATTAGTAACAATATGACCAGTTGAACTGTAGCATTCCAACAAGTTCTTGTTACCAAGGTGTGGAATTCCATCACAAACGGCAGCTAAGTCCTACCAGGATCGGGAACAACCTACCAGTACAAGGTGACTGGCTCGCACTCAACAAACAAGATAGTTGAATTACAAGGATGGTAGCGAACATTATGGCCTAGTATCATCTCATGAAAAGCTCTGGCCGTTGAAGTCCCGTTAAGCATACGCTTATACAACAAAAATCACAACGGCTTTTTGTATCCCATTTACTAATTATGGGTCAGCCTCGGAAAGCTCAGTGTCAACTCTGTTCTTACTAAGTATTGTAGACGCATTGGTTGACGAGAGTCAGCGCACTGCCAACCTCCCTTCGGTATATCCCGTTATGTGTGAAGGTATGGCTCCCACGATACGCAGCCGAGATGTTGTTGTTCTCCCATACAAACTCAACTTGTTGTGAATGCACTTCGACCTAGCATACGGCATATTGCGACCATTTTGATATAACTAGATCGTTTGAATAGATACAATAATGTCAATGGACTTACGTTTGAGAAAATTGTTGTCTCGAGATATGCATCTTGGGAAGTACCGATGAGACTTACTCGCTCAAGTTGAATGCCTGACCGTGGCGCCTTCGCATGACAAACCTGGAACCCATGCGGGCAATGGCTGAGAATCACAGGAACCCAACAAGGATTTATGCCTCCTTCGAATCACTAGTCATTACCATCTTGGGCTTTGGAGAACCGAGATGAATGTTGAATGAGTGTATCATCACCAAAGTCGAACCCAGGACAGATCGCTGAACATGGTTCTAGGGCGAGCTGGAAGGTTTGTGTTCGGTGCTATAAGCTTGAGATTGTAATAGGTCAGAATGTTATCTCGTAGCAATATTTTTTACTGAGGCAGAGATTGAGTAGACATAACTCCCTAAACATTGGGCCGTTCCTCACCAGACATCTGGGGTTGACCACTATGATTTGAAGTGTTCACCGACGCACACGATTGGGGCCAATCGGTTGATTCAAGTGAGGTTGTAATTGTAAATGAATTTTCTTTCTATCTGCGAAAATAAGGAGGAATTGAATTATACGATGTAATTATCCCCTTGCACTAAAATATCTCACTTCTAAACCCAAAAGACCGAGACTGCAAGGGCAGCCAATAACAGTTGTGCCCGACACTAAATATGATGTGATATCTCAAAACCATATACGGTCACAGGCAATACATATCTCTTTTGAGCTTCTCTCAACTAGAGCTGACGATCGCGGTTGAATCCCCGCGGGCTTTGAAATGAGTTATGTCCTCCCATTAGTTACGGAAGTGACTTGTCGTGTACCAACATCGGTTTTTATGGCACCATTTTTGCTATTTCTTGATTTGATAGCCGGATCTCGCCACTCTTTGATCTTGATCGTATTTAGGCATTCCCACCGAGGCGATATCAAACTGATTGTCGCACGGTTGTGAGATTAGGTGCCAGGAGGAGTTCAGATCGAGAACGAATGAGGCCGCGGTGATCGGCTCAAGGGACTCGATGTAACCCCAACGAGTCCCAGCGGCCTGCATGTCCTGTACGCCCTTGAAATCGATGTTGCTCGCAAGCAAAATCATCCTTGCTTAACGGATGGTCACATTGACGGCTGCTTTTTCTTTCTTTTCTTTCTCGTTCCATATTTCTTGCCATCCTCCTGGATCTGATAACATAGTATTCCTGACACAGGTGTGATGAGAAAATTGCCAACTCGATCTTCCATTGTCGGCCCGCTTCTGATATCTCGAGCCACAATGAATCGCAATCGCAATCACAACCATTTTGCGCGGGCAAGTATGACCGCATGGTACCTTGTTCTGGCATTCGTTACACTCGCTTCGGCCCAAGAAGCCCTGCATGCGCGCGAGTACTTCTTTGTGGGCGGCCAATATGTCAACACGCCTTCTGGTATACTGTTTCAAAACCAGATGTACGTAGAGAAATTGAGCCCACCCAAGATCACCCAGCGCTATCCGATCATCTTCCTACACGGTGGTGGCCAGGACGGCTCGGTATGTGACAGGTGCATTTTCTTGTTGTTGTTCGTTATGGAGCAGGGCTCATTCCGACCGTAGAACTTTCTGAATAAACCCGATGGAGGCAAAGGATGGGCCTCTTGGTTTCTGGAGAAAGGATACCAGGTCTACATTGCGGATGAGACCGCTCGCGGACGGTCTCCATGGAACCCCACCGGCAATTCCCCGATAGCGGTTTTCACGACCGAAAAGATCACGTCACGCTTCACAGCCGTGCAGTCCTCGACCCTTTGGCCACAGGCCAAGCTCCATAACCAATGGCCGGGCGTAGGTATTGCCCTCCACAGAATGTGTCCGCCAGTTTACTAACGTTTCGGGCACAACTCAAAGACTGGACTACCAGGCGACGCGGTTTTCGATGCATACTATGCTTCCGTCATCCAAGGTATCGCCGACGGGACTGAACAGGAGCGGGCGATGAAGGAAGCCGGCGTTGCGCTTCTCGACAAGATCGGCCCTTCCATCTTGATCACCCACTCGCAGGGAGGCTTGTACGGCTGGGCTATAGCCGACGCGCGACCGACCAAGATCAAGGCGCTGATCCAGGTCGAACCCAAGGGCCCACCATTCCAGGAAGTCATATTTTCCACCGAATTCACCCGGCCATGGGGGCTCACATCCGTTCCACTGACGTACAGTCCCGCGCCGGCGAATTCATCAGCGCCGCTGGCCACACGAGTTGTCGCGGCCCCGACGAGCAACTTGACAGACTGCATACTCCAGGCCGAGCCGGCAAGGAAGCTACCCAATTTGGCCAAGGTGCCCATCCTCATAGATACCGGCGAGGCCTCGTATCACGCCATGTACGATTACTGCTCCTTCCTCTTCTTGAAGCAGGCAGGGGTCGAGGCCGAGTTTCTCGAGCTGGGCAAGGCGGGTATACACGGAAACGCACACTTACAGTTCATGGAGAAGAACAGCGATGTTATTGCCGCGAAGCTGCACGAATGGATCTTGAAAACAACTTGTGCTTAAGATCTTTCTCTGGCCAAGTGGATATGTACCATGAAAGATAACCGATCTCGTACATACTGTGTTGTAGTGTTTGGGAGGATATGCATATGAAGAATATGGGAGGACTGTCCGCGACGACAGGCATCGCATTTGTGCCCAAAGTAAGAAGTATCTTACAGGTGCTTTTCAACGGGCAGTGTAGGTTGGTCAAAAACCGTTCAAGAATGAGCTGATTGCCTGTTCCAGCTACGCCCTTCCTCATGCTGAACATTCATAACACCTCGAGGCAGGAAACAAAAACGTACACAACGTGCATAGATATAATTCATCGAGACATCTGTACACCTAAAGAAGTGTACAAGAAGCTTCAACAATAGTGCATCATGGAGTGGACATGTCCTTGTAACCCATCACAAAGTCAAAGAAGAGGTTTCGTTCCGAGTAAAGCATTGTTCTGATCACTCGAATCATTCCTAACCAACAGATCAACTTCCCTCGGGGTATACGTTGTAAACTCCTCCAAAATCATGGATGTTCCTGAACTCCGTCCGCAATAATTTCGCACCGCCGTACCATGAGATTCCTGAAGCCTTTACAGCGGCTTGTTCCCGAATTTTCGATTGTATATGCAATTTTGATGACTGTACCGTGTTCCCAGACCGGCGAATGACCGGCGCGATGCAAATATGATGATGCAGAATGTGATGTTAGGCTTTTTGAAAAAGCAAAACGAGGCCACGATCGAGTACTCCCGCGGACCACATGAGCGTACATGTGAGGTTTAGTTGGTAAGCGTCTGCTGCATCGCCTTGGACGTTTGCGCGGGAGGGCCATCATTGCGGCAATGGAGTAACTAGTCCGCTTCCGCAAGCTGAATAATGAGTTTAGCTGCCATGTCGAGGAATGGGAACGGGCTCATGACGTCTTTCTCTTCAAGCATAGAACCGTCCTCCCGTTCGTAGCCGGTGCACTTGAAGTCGACAAGATAAACGCCATATTCCATTTCGTAGATCTGGATTTCCATGCGCATATTGACGAAGTCCTGCTTGCGGTTATCGAGCACAGAGAATGCATGAGTGATATCCTCGCCGTCTCCAGCATGCTTGCAAATATCTAGTGCCTGTCAGCTGTCAAGAAAGTGCAAGCGGTAAATTGAGCGTCGTACCTTCTTTAGTCCAGCGGCAAATAATATGCCAAGGATCTGCCGGGAGCTTGTAGTACTTCAGCGGATCAAATGTCGCAAGATCAATGTCCTCGGGCCTAACCCCATCGTATGGATTGCTGCCAGTCGACTTCTTCTTGTAGCCGCTCCTAGTCTGGTCAGCGTTGCCATCATTGACACACATTTGGCTGTACTCACTGCTCGTTTTCGGGCCCATTAAGCTCGTCGTATTCTTCATCCACGACCCAGCTAGCATTGAGCTTATGCAGAGCCTTGTAAATGCACAGCAATGCCTCCCAAGGTGCATTCCTCGAACGGATACCGAATTGCCAACGGACGGGCTTGTTCTTTTTCGAGGCAACTGGAGTCATAGGCGCCGGGCGAGTCTGGCTATCTACAAGTGAGCCCTTCGTATGTGGCTTGAGACGGCGGACTGCCTCTTGTTGCTCCGCGGGAGTCCTTGGCTGTAGAGGCACGTCTGGAACAGGTTCGGTATCGAGGACTTCCTCACTTCCGGCCAAATGTCGTTCCAGGTGCTCTTTGTGGAAAGCAGGTAAGCTGGTTGGCAGAATCCCGATCTTGCTGACGTAGCCCCGTGGTGAAGCACTGGTAACGGTCGATGCGTTCGACCTCGTAGAGTCAGCCAGCGGACTGGCGGCAGACTCGGGGTCCCCATCCTTGCCTGAGGCATTGTGTAGGGTTGCACTGATACTGGCCATGTGTTCTTCATGGTTGGTGGTCGGTGGTGATGTAGCAAAGTATGGATTGTCATTGCCCGTTCCATAAGCAGCTAAAGAGGCAATGTTAGCCTTTTCCACCAGCTTCAAGTTGTGCTATGGCCTGAAAGGGTACAAGCTAAGAAGTTGTAGTGCACAGCACAGTCCTCGTCGAATGGTTTGACACGTGTCGAGCATGGCTATACGAGCAGTCTAAGTTGTGGCAGGATCCGTTCAAGGCAATGGCGTATGGAGATGGGCTGGTGGACTTACGGTTCACTTGCATAAGCTTATTCTCACGCACAATCATGTAAGCATCTTTAATGGCCGAAGGCTCATCAGCTCCCAGAGCCTCCTCAACATCTTGCTTGCCATAACCCATAGTCTTGCTGATCTTGTCAGTGACCTCGTTGTGCAGCTTTTCTTGGACTTTCTGCGTCGCATGCGGAGCAATGTCACTGGGCTTGATGGCCTTGTTAGGATCAACTCCGGTATTGAGGAATTCCTCGAGCGGGGGGGCCAGGTATGAGGGCAGATCGTGTGCGAACCAAGGATCTTGCCGGATCTCCTCGATCGTGACTCTCTGCACGGGATTAACAACCAGCATCTTCCGGATCATGTTGGCTGCGCCGGATGGGCACCAGGAGGGTATGGTAAAGACACCGCGCTGGATCTTGGCGAACAAGCTGGGGATATGGTCATCGTCAAAGGGCAGTCGTCCTATGAGTAGCACGTAAAGAATGACACCACAGCTCCAGACGTCGACTTCTGGTCCAGCATAAAGCTTTCCGCTAATAACCTCGGGGGCGGCGTAGTTGGGACTTCCGCAGCTCGTCTTGAGGAAATTACCGTCTGTCATGATATTGCTCAAGCCAAAATCGGCAATCTTGACGTTGAGGTTCTCGTCCAACAGGAGATTCTCGGGTTTGAGGTCACGATGGACGACCTTGTGCCTGTGGCAGTACTCGACGGCACAGATCATCTGCTGGAAGAAGCGTCGGGCCTTTTCCTCCTGCATTCTGCCATGGGAGACAATGTAATCAAACAGTTCCCCGCCGGCGTACTCCAGGACCATGATAATCTCGGCACTGGTCTTGATGACGGTGAAGAGCTTGATGATGTGAGGGTGTCTGAGAAGCTGTAGATACTCGATCTCTCGCTCGACGCGGCCGACCATGTCGCGGCTAATGAGCTTCTTGCGGGATATGATCTTCAGGGCGACCTGCTGGCCGGTGCTTCTATGCACGGCGAGCTTGACCTTTCCGAAGGATCCCTCGCCCAGCGTCCGGATGATGTTGTACTGGCCGACCCGCTGCTCGGTCCTGCCCTTGTCGCGAGGATGTTGGGCAGCCGCGGCGGGGTAATTGCTCGAGCTCTGATTGCCATTGCTGGGGTCGGTGGTCGTGGACGTGACATTGATCTCGGGCACTCGACGGCGAATTTGGGACGGCGACAAGGAGATGGAGAGCTCCTCCTCGTCGAATGGTCTGGGCGCCATGTTCGAGGAGGACGATGTGGCCTCGAGGTCAACGGCGAAGCAACTGATGGACGGTGGGGGTGGGCAGTGTCTGCAGGTATCGCTGGACACACAGAGGCCTGAAGTTATCGCAGGTCGGTCGTCATTCCAAAAGCTCTATGGTCCGGAGTACAGAGTGCGGAGCGTGAATACTTGCTCCAAATCCAGATGGGAACCAAACGAGGGGCCGGGCTCTGTCTCTCTTCTGGCGCTGGTTGTCTTTTGACAGTGGACGTGCGGGCAAGAGGCCAGCTGACCGATCGCATTATGGACAGGTAATAAAGATTGCATAGAGCCCCTCGATTGGCTGCTAGCGCCTCAGCAGTTGTGACACCCCCTAAACATTGGGCGCCAACATACTAAGGTTCAAAGATTAGATTGAGCTCCAGCGGTGCGGTGCGGGTCGCCACGGTGCCACCAAACCTAACGTTGCTGTGCGTGTACAGTAGTTTGGTGGGGAAGCGAGGGGAGGGGCGGCGAGCTTGGATAGACAAAGTAGGCTCGGTGCAGGCTTCCGGGAATGTCTCGCCTCGGGTGGGCGCTGCTGCGTCTCGAAAAGTTGACAAGTCACAATATTGGGAGCTTGACGACATGTGTTCCTCAGGTTGGAATCCCAGTCTAGCTGTGAATGCAAATACCGGCCTGCGGGCGGGAAATGGTGGCCAAGATGTGACTGGTCGTATAAGGGACTTGTTGTTATGTTGATCTGGACTTTGGGGCACTCCTTACAGGCGGGCTAGCAGTCTATAGTGGTGGGTGGGATCCAATGTTGGCTCTCGGGCTCCCTGTACCCAAGCATTACTAATAGTTACTATTGTTCTGGCTAATACTATTGTTTTTTTTTGCGTGTCAGAATATCGAGCTTCAGCCACCAATCACACAAAACTCATCAAACATGGAGACGTCGTCCAGGCGTGGGTAGGCCGACCCAGGTTGCCGTAATGTTCAGCATTCTTGTACACATATATACAGTTTCAGAGGATCCACGGCAGTGCAGTGCTCCCAACGCGGTTATGGCTGCTGGGGTTGAATCATTTCAACGGGCTTTTGTTTTTTCTTCCTCTTCCTTGAGCCTCTCCACGAGCTTGGCTCGCATGAAGTCGCTTAGACCGAGACTATGAGAAGATGGGATATTAGTCAGCTGCCTTTCAGTGCTAGGGCGAGTAGCTAGACCTCAGCAGCCGCGGGCGGAGGAGCAACCGGGGAATGGCAGCACTTACATGCCCTCATTCGTCAGAAGGCGATACGTTCCACTAGGCTGAAACTCGCCAACAATGACACCATGGCCGTCGACCTCGACGCTGCCGAGTATATCTTCTGGCCAAGCTATCCGACCATAGTCCGGTGGGTTTCGAAGATCCGACAGATGGACGTGACCTCCAACTCCGGCACCACCTGCGCCCCCCTGGGCACTGGCACCGCCGGCTCCCCCGCCGCTGGCCTGCCCTCTTCTCCTTTTGGATTGCTGTGGGGCGGCAAAGAGACCGCCAGAGCCTAGAGTTGCGCCGCCGGGACCTGCGAAAGCTTGGGCTTGGCTCTGGAGGAGGGGGTCTTGCGCTGCGTGCTTGGATAGGACATCGTATAGTATGGACAGGAAGTTCTTGTTTTCGGAGAAGGATCGCGTCGTGGGAGGGTCTTCGGTAGAGGTGCCAATCGCTAGCTCGGTGGAAGGTGGACTCGTATCCAGGTACGTGAGGACATGGTTGTTGTGCAGACCCGTGCTGGGAAAGACTTTCTATGGCACGCAGACGACGGTGAGCGGCCGAGGGTGAATTGCACTGGGAAATGTCGCATTACTCACGATGTGCGGGTTGGACGAAAGAGTAGATACCAGACGACGTGAGGAAATGCTCTGAAAGGCCGGCGCAGCTCGTCGCCTTAATGTTGTCAGCAGCATGATGTGATGGAAGGGTGTCAATGGCGGCATTGAGGTTGCTGAAGCTCCCAATTTCACGAAGCGATCACTGCTGGAGCTCTGGCTTATCGGCCAAAAACTTGCAAGCTTGTATGCAAGTTCACCTTGCCGCTAAGTCGAGTTGGCAGTACACTAACCTAACCTAGGTTACAGCAGGCTAACTGCCCAAGAGCTCAGCCGTGCTGACGTCGTCGGTGGTCTTTAACTCGAGTTGCTGGGCTGCCAGGGTCGCCTCGGAGCAGCAGGGTCCAGGTCCCAGGCAGGTCCAGGCGCTGCCAGCCTGTTGGTGGGGTCCCAGCAGCCAATTTACGCGGTGCCCCCCTTGCCCCCTCGACCACCGCGTCGCAGGACGCGTCGACTAGAGTGTTTGTCTTGGAAACAAAGTATCCGTACACTTTTCGAAGCATTTCGCGACGGTTGCACGTGCAAGTGTTTGCCTGGGATGCCAGAACTACACAGCACTTGCCATTGTGTTTAGCCGAGTCAAAAGATGCATTCGCGGAAGCCCCAGGCGCCCATGTTCGATGCCAGGACCCCCAATCCCAAGGCTTCGGCTTTGGCTTCGGCTTCGAACCCGATCCCCTCCTCGTCGCCAGCGTTTGCGACACCTGCTGCAACGCTGAAGCCTTTTTCGGTTGCGCCCACAAAGGCCACCATACTGCCCATATTACTTCCGCCGCCGACCCTGAGGCCCTTGGCCTTTCGCACTTTCACCAAAAAACACAGCCTGACCCTCACCTCCTCCGCCTTGCAAGAGCTGGCCACCTTCATTGGGAGGCATTGCGGTTCAGCATGGCGCGAGGAAGGTCTGGCCGAAAAGGTCTTGGAAGAGGTCGCCAAGGCGTGGAAGAACCGCAACGGGGGGGTCATCGTCGACGGCGCCAGCAGCGAGCTCAAAGATATCCTGAAAACCCTCGAGGGCAACATGACTGGCGGCAGGATAGCTACCGGCCGACAGCTGAGCAGGCAGAACAGTCTGGCCATCGATATCCTGGACGAAAGTGACCTCTCCAACACACGACTCGGAATACGCCCGGCGACGTTGGCCCGGGATGACAGCAACAGAAGTTTTGGCATGACCGGCCTGGATATGCAGGAGGACCATGCAGGTGACGAGGACGGACTCGACGACCCCAAGGAGTGGTCCAAAGTAGTCAATGCCTACGAACAACCCAGGATGGTCTACAATGTCTCCAAGAAACACTTCGAAAGAGATTCTTCAAAGCCATCATTAATGCCTTCGGCCGCCCACAAGACCGCTCTCTTCAGAAACAGGTACAATGTCATACACCAGCGACTGCTCAGGAACGAGTCGTTCCAGACTTCGTCCGTAGCCTCGGCGAAAGCAGCGCCGCCTTCGTTGAACCGATCAGACTCCTCTGCGACCACGGCCCAACAAACCTACAAGATCACCCCCATCGCGAACCTCTTGGGTCGCCATGGAAGTCACCATATGCTGTTGGGCCTTTTGTCCATATCTCCTACGGGTACATTGACCATAAGTGACTTGACAGGTACCATTTCACTCGACGTCACAAAAGCGAAATCAATACCTGAAGATTCGGCTTGGTTTGCGCCAGGCATGATCGTTCTCGTGGATGGTATATACGAGGAAGAGGAAGAGTCCGTGGGCAAAGGCCTGGGGGCAAGCAATGGCATAGGCGGCATAATAGGGGGTCAGTTCCAGGGCTTCTTCATTGGACAGCCACCGTGCGAGAAGCGGAAAGCAACACTCGGAGTCAGTGGCCCGGACGGTGGCCCGGACCACACCGTAGGGGGTGGCTTCGGCTGGATTGACTTCTTGGGTGTGGGCAGCGAACGAGCTGTAGGGTCAAAGATGCGGAAAGTGGAGCAGCGCATTCTGCGACGTGCGTCAGGTGGTGGCCATGAGCCAAGTCGTGATCGAGTTGTCATTCTTGGCGAGCTGAATCTGGATCAGCCGCGGGCACTACAAGCCCTGCACAAAATTTTGACGATTTACGCTTCAGAACCCGAGGGACATTCCCCCATGACATTTGTCCTTACGGGCAATTTTACACAACATGCTGTCATGGCAGGCGGAGGCGCGAGTGGCGGCAGCGTAGAATACAAGGAATACTTCGACTCACTGGCATCTGTGCTATCGGACTTCCCGACGCTCTTGCAGACAGCCAGCTTTGTTTTCGTACCAGGGGACAACGACGGATGGGCGTCTTCGTTTTCCGCTGGGGCGGCAGTTCCACTGCCCCGAAAAGCCGTCCCAGACATGTTCACGTCACGCATCAGGCGGGCCTTCGCCACCGCAAACGCGGAGCCTGGTGTCAAGAAAGGTGGCGAGGCAATCTGGGCGTCGAACCCGGCCCGCCTCTCGGTATTTGGGCCTACCCACGAGATGGTGCTGTTCCGGGACGACATGTCTGCGCGTCTACGGCGGACAGCTGTGCGCCTCAGATCATCAAAGCCCAGCAGTGAAGACCAGGAGAACCAAGCATCCCCTAACGAGTCGGTCGAAGACGTCGATATGACCGGAGCTTTGCATGATCAGCAACCTGTGGCGGAGGCTATGGACGTTGACGCGATTGCTGCTAAGCCTACGACGCCAGAGATAGCATATGACGTCCAGGCGGCACGTAAATTGGTCAAGACGGTCCTGGACCAGGGATACCTCGCGCCGTTCAGACAGCAGATACGGCCGGTTCATTGGGACTATGCGTCGGCTCTACACTTGTACCCGCTGCCTACGGCGATGGTTCTGGTAGATGCGACTGCGCCACCGTTCTGCATCACCTATGAAGGCTGCCACGTCATGAACCCTGGCACCATACTGGTAGCCGGCCGGAGAGGGGTGGGACGATGGGTCGAATATGAACTGGGAGGCAAGGGCAGAGTTAGGGAATGTATGTTTTGATGGTCGTACATTCGGTAGATCAGATGTGTTACAGACATGAGCAATAAAATATTCTCACATTCAAATCACCATGACCACAACATGATTTTGTCAAAAGTAACCAGGCATCACGCACTTTGGGTAGTTGGCCAGTCCAATGGTGGGTACAATCACGATGCCTAATTACTCTGTACGACTGCCTACCAGGTAAACTTCATTATCAAGTATAATTCGGGATAACTCAAAGAGTCTCATGGCTTTCGAGCCTATTACGAGAGAAAGCCAACCGCATAACATAGAATAAAATAGACGGCTGTATCACAAGTAGACGCTTGAATTACACGGTTAACTGCGCGAGCTTTTGCATGCACAGCTTAGTCAGTATTCGAGATAGGATCTACACTAGAATCCATTCTCAGCTTTGCCATATACTAGTATGCACAGATCAACGGCTGTAGAGGCCGACTGCCGCCGCTGCCGCTGCCGCTACTCCCGCTAATGCCTATGTAAGCCGCGATGCGCCTAAACTCGGAGTCAAAAGTCGTGGAAAATTCGCGATAAAATGCTGATGATGTAATCGTATTTCTAAGCATCACATTCTAGTCTCCGGGCACCTCCATCGTCGGCCCCACATAGAGGGGATCGTGCAAGGGAGAGAAAGAAAACGAAGAAAAAAAAAGTCGTCTATGGGACAAGCGGTTGTGGACTGATCAACAAGAGGGGTTCCCTTTATTTTTTGACCCCCCCAAAGGCAAAGAGGTATAACATCCATCCCACGGAGTCTCGCCAATAACAAGCCCTCGATTATACGTTGGGCGCGACTATTCGGACCATTCGCAGAGCAGAACCATTACGTGCTCTGGCGCGGGGCTGACATCGCCATTCTAGGTCCCTGCCTCAGCCTGGTTTCTATTACTTGATTCGTGAGCCTCTGGGCATGAACTTTTAACCATTAGAGTTTTAAACCAAGTTGCGCAACGTGGGGGGATACCTTCATCCTCTTCGCAGCTGTGTTGGGGTAGTCCTCTGAGAGTGTTTTAATAAGAAAGCGGCAATCTGCTTGAGAGCATAGCCAGACTGCAGTCGAATTGAGTTTTCCTAGTAGCGGCAGCCCCGGATTTTCACTAAGCGCAGACGAGTTCCATCAGCTAGCGAATCTACGTCAGTCGTTGTCGCGGTCTCTTCGGTCTTGTCATTGTGTCTACTGATGCACTATTGTTGTTGTTGTTGTTGCTTTGTGAGACCACTCGGAGTCTACGGTTCAGTTGCAGATTCGCCTTCGCATTTCGGCTAAGCAAGATAAGCCTCTGCCAAGCTTGACATTCTCGGAATCTGTGATCAACGGCCACGGATAAGTGCAAATATGGGTTTGCTGTATGCTGTATTCTGCGGGCGCCGTACCGAGCCCTCAACGACGCGATGCGATTTGCTAATCTTGGCGGTATAGTGCGCTCGGAACGGCTTTGGATTGGCCAGATGCCAAACAGCATGCGCACAAGGTCAGGGAATGGGGCATTCAGGTATGCGGCCCAGCTTGTTAAACACAAAACATGACCAAAGATTGACACATCGAAAGCAACTGCTCGAAATCTGGAACAAGGCCAAAGGCAAGGAACGGGATGCTTTGCTGTGGGGTGACGAGGTACTGTTCGCAAGGTCACTGTCGTTGCATACACCCACTCACAGACGTGCAGGTCGAGTACTTGGTCGTCACATACGCAAAGGACGAGCCCAAAGTCCTGCTGTCGCTTCGTCAAGCCGATATCTTGAAGGCCTTGGCTGCCGATGAGGAACTCGTTGCCAACGGAGGAGGTGTTCCCGAGATTCAGGATTGCCAGAAGCAGTAAGAAACTGGCTTGAGGCCTCGTGATATCTTGGTGCTAAATACAAAGCAGGTCCAATCCACTTCCAGTGTTTCATCCTGAGTTTGGTAGATTCATGCTCGAGGCTACTCCTGGAAAACCCTGGGGAATAGGATTCAAGGAGCTTCTCGGTGTTGAGCCGGATATGAAGCTCCGGAGGAAGATCGCCAAGGATCACATGAAGTCGAACGAGTACCCGATCACGCTCACGACGTTTCCCCGGCTTGGTGTTCCCGGTGTCTTTACAGAACCTTACTATCCACCATCAGGGTCAAAACTGCGCTCGCAGTTTGTCCCGGATGAGATCGCTAACCCTCACATCCGTTTCCCGACACTGGCTGCCAATATTCGATGGAGGCGAGGTAGAAAGGTGCAAGTGAACGTGCCTGTCTTCCACGATCAAAATACGCCAAACCCCTGGAAGGACCCAACGGTCAACTATGATTTGCACAACTGGCCCGAAGATGATGATGTGCGGAATGGCGCCAGCCCGGATAACTTCATTCACATGGATGCAATGGCATTTGGAATGGGCAGCTGCTGCTTGCAAATAACTTTCCAGGCGAAAAACATCACGGAAGGCAGGAAGATGTATGATCAGCTGAGTCCACTGGGCCCGATCATGTTGGCTCTCACGGCAGCAACACCGATATACAAGGGCTTTTTGGCAGATACGGATGTTCGATGGAACCAAATCAGCAGGGCCGTAGATGACCGCACAGCAGAAGAGCTGGGAGAAAAGGTGGGTAGCTCTCAGGCGTCCCATATCTGACATGACCATACTAACTCAAGTAGCCGCTGAAAGAAAGCCGCTGGAGAATACCCAAGTCGCGATATGCATCAAACTCGACATATATATCCACAGACAGCAGACTCAGGCCGGAGTACATGGACCCCAACCTCATCATAGACGACGAAATCAAACAACAATTGCTTGATGGCGGCATGGACGACCGTCTTGCAACACACTTTGCTCACCTCTTCATCCGAGATCCCATTGTTATTTTCTCTGAGGACCTAAAGGAGCTAGACTTGACGAAAGCGGATCACTTTGAGAACATTCAATCTACTAACTGGCAACACATGCGGTTCAAGCCTCCCCCTGCCGGAAGTGATATTGGCTGGCGCGTCGAGTTCAGACCGATGGAAATTCAAATCACCGATTTCGAAAACGCAGCGTTCTCTGTGTTTATGGTTCTCATCACACGGGCTATCCTATCGTTCGATCTGAACTTTTACATCCCCATAAGCAAGGTGGATGAGGGCATGGAGACGGCACATGCCAGAAATGCCGTCCTGGAAAAGAAGTTTTACTTCCGCAAGAACCCGTTCCCTACCCGTCCGCCGCGGAGTGCCATGGCATCTGGCACCACCACGCCTATGATCAGCAGACCGCCGACACCCAGCGGCCCAGTAGAGGACGAGTATGCTCTCATGACCGTCGACGAGGTGATCAACGGCTCCAACTCGGAAGAGCACGACTTTCCGGGTCTGATCCCTATCGTCGAGAGCTACCTCGACTCCGTGAACGTGGATGTACAGACGCGCTGCGAGCTAGACACATACTTGAAGCTCATCCGTCTTAGGGCCAGTGGGGAGCTGTGGACGGCGGCGAAATGGATCAGGGAGTTTGTGGACAGGCACCCGGCCTACAAACATGACAGCGTTGTTGATGATGAGCTCAACAAAAGCCTGATCGGTGCCGTGATTGACATCACGGATCGAGAACAGATCGGCAAGGGCTGGAAGGGCCTAGATGTTCCTCACTTGGACAACTTGCTGGGAAATTTCAGGGGCGGATGCGGCGGTTCGAGTAAGTAGAGAGCATTTCAGCCTCGTCCGCGAGAAGGCAACCTCGGGAGACGGGATCCATACATGGTTCGAGACTTCGTCGACGGAAGGCTTCAACGGATCAGCCCTTGCCGGGAATATAGAGAGATAGTTTATAACTAGTCGCGTTTTGATGTTACCAAAAACCGTTACTTCGGCACGGCAGATTCACTAGCCTCGTTTCTATGTCCTGACGACCCAGAGGTACTTACCAGGTACTCGACGGCGCTAACACATTTGCCATGCGATTTGATTTTGTTAGTGAGCAGACCATTTTAGTCCCGATGTACTATGTATGGTGGCTTCTTGCTAGGTCCGTATTGGGAAACGCAGCGAAGAGAGCTGTCGCTGTTCCCCGTTTCGGTAAGAGTACGCACAACTCGCCAGAAAAGAAAGACATTACAGTGTGATGCCCAGATAGATCTGACGGAGCCTCGATCTGGCCCGTTTGTCTCTCAGATCTCAAGGCCTAGCTTTTGCGTGCCGCAGATACCGCGTTCCCACGCAACTGCAGTACATCAAAGACAAAGTTCCGCGCATGGGGATTCTAGTCTGCGAAAGGCGTGTGTTCCTGTTGGCTAGCGGCTGCCGTTAGATTGACATTGGCATAGACTGAGATGGCAGATCGGATCTGCGTGGGCGGTTCTAGACCTTTATTCTTTTATTATTATTATTCTTTTAAGATTTACAGCCGCATGTCTCTTTTCCATGTAGGGTACAGCTCATGCCCGGTCCAAGTACTACGTACGGCCAAGAGAGCAATGCAGCAGAGGCACCATGGTGTTAAGCTATGCAAGGTTTTCTAAGCCCATCGCATCGTGCTCCCCTGATGGTTTAGTTTCTCGACTGCATCAGCGCCCCCCATTGATTTGCATTCCGATGAGCTGTTGTTGGAGAATCTGGGGGGTTTCCAGGGTGCTGTCATGTCGAGATTGATAACACGACCACCTAATCTATCTGCACTCCAGAAGGGAGGGCGGGCGATTAGCGATTCTACAAGTAGTATAATAGAGTTTCAGTCGGTTTGATGGGCCGATTCACAAAGACCCTGCTTGTCGCCACAGATCATGCGACTGCACTACTCCATGCAGCCCAAAAGATCGTTTTGGCGTTTTGGCGTTTTGGCGTCTTTGAAGGGACAGGCAGCCCATGCACGCAGTTGGAACGCCCTGTACACTGTAGACATGGTACAGGGTGCTCAGGTGGCTCTGACGCGACACCAAACAATACTATGTGCATAAAGTATGAAAAGTGACTCGGGTAGTCCCAGAGCCGTCCGCTTTTGCCCTCAGAGATTCAAGTCTACGACCCCATGGATCATGATCCCGGATCTTGTGCGCCCTGATCTCCCGGCCCACTCGGACTGCATCTCGAAAGACTCAGATCTGTGCTCGGGTGTTGACCTCAGGTCAATTAAGGAAAAACTGGGCACTCTTGGCTCAGGGAATCGGCTGCGGTAATACGGCGGGCTAGAGGGCGAGCGCTAGGCTCGTACTATGTATGTACGCAGAGGAGTGTAGTGTATGATACTAGTAAGCAAATACACACCGAATATTCTGCGGGAGACGTTCGTTGTTGCGCAACGCTGCATCAGCTGCTTCTCCATTTCATAGCCGTCTGTAATGCTGCAACTTGAACGGCTTGGGAATAGAGGCTACATGATGAAAGAGAAAACACCTGCATCTGAAAAAAGGGTCCATTGGCTTCGTTCGCAAGCAAGAACCTTAACAGGACTAAATTACTTTTTCTCCATGGGTATAAGGTGTCTCCCGAGCCCCAATCACCAAGCCAGACACGTGAAGTCAAATGCCGTGGCGGACTCTTAGTGAGCAAACGTCTGCCGATTCGATGCAGGCAGAGGGAAGCCGGCGAGGCGCACTAGAAGGTTGAGCAGCCCACCATGAGCCAAAAGACCAAAGCCCCACGCGCGTGAGCCTAACAGCTTCTCGATGCTGTTCCCCTCTGCACAAACATCACACGTTATTGCGCGCTGGAGTACTATCCGCGCACTGTGAGATCTTGGACTATTCCTTCCAGCCGCGGATCATTGACGGCACATCGCTTAGGCATGTCTTAACAACCTGCTGGCGGGTTGGACCGGTCAAGGACGCTACAGGAATGAGCTCAGATCTGGTGATCGTGATACTCTCTAGCGGGGTGATAGCGCGACGGAGGTACATAAGATTCCCTGGCCCCAGCAACCTAGCAGGGTGGAGTTGGAAATCCAGATCTCGAGGTGATGGATTCCTCATCGCGATGCTGGGCGCGCGTGGGTGTATCCATCCGGACAGCTGCTCATCTGCCCGACGCAAGGGCGCTTTGGCTCAAGCTGAGCTTATCTGCTCTGGTACCAGTAACATTGGAGCTCGTGGTTGCGACCATGCTGAATCAGCTCTTTTCGCGTGCCGGCCGCGTGGCATAAAGAAGTAGAGATCTGCAGCGTCCAGACCATTTCCACAGACCCGACGATGAGGGAAGGGCTTAGCTGAAAATGACGTTGACAGTGTCTTAGGAAGACACGGTCGGCAAATTAGGATCGGTTAGAGGTGGCATGGCCTCTGGTTCCATGGACGATCTACGTGGAAACACTAAATAAAACTTAATGAGGTGATGAGACTTCTCTATGGCCAACGACTCCGTCAGAAATAGTCTTGATAGCGCAGCTCAGGATTCAGGGGAAGACTAATCCCTCGCGCTAGAAGATTCAGCAGCAATTCGATGTACTGTGTACAAGAACCGTAGTAACGTGGTTGGGAAACAGCCCAGAGTGGAGCTCTATTGCTTTTGTGAATGCGCCCCATATCGCGCGGAGTTTCTGGTGGTATGAATAAACGTGGTTCTTGGGGTTCTTAGCAAAAAAAAGAAATTTAGACATGGAAAGCTTGAACCCGAATACGGAAGAAGTATACTCGAGTTTCTTACCGACTTGAGTAAGTGGAGTTCCGGCTGATTAAGTGAGTCGATCAGCTAACCTGAACGGCTTGAACCCTATTCTGAAGCTAGCGATAAGGCAGGGGCACCCTTGTTACGAGATTTTTCTCCCCGAGATGTAAATTCCTGGAGGGCAGATGTGATCTTGATAGGTACGCAACCTTTTATAGCCTCGCCGGCAACTGATCCGGATCCCTGGGTCGGAGCGAAAGCGAAGCAAGGGCAAGCGTTGCGTGGTTTTCACGAACGTATGACGGAATGCGACGGCGCAGCTCAATCACAATTACAGATCGAAGATCACCCCATGGGACGGCCATCAGCCGAAGCGGAAGCTGTACATTCCGCTGAAGGGCCCTGATGATCTGCTCTGATACTTACGTCAGTGCTGCTGGCCCTTTCAATGCCGTCAATTAATGAAGTTACTTCATAGGCCTCTGGCTGGGACTGTACTGCGTTGGTGGCTAATTCAATAAACGAATTTTGGGGCTTGTATGCCGAGAGCTTTGTCGCTACTTCCACGTGGCTGCAGCTGAACTACACCAAGGATGTTTGGCCCACGAGAAACATTCAGGACCCAAGTTGCTCAGACGGCGCGCTTTTGAATCCATACTAACCAACCGCCATACCAAGCTGCCAAGTCTCTTGAGACGAAACGTTTTACATAAGTATTTCTTACGATCTGTGTGGTAGGTGATCTCAGACAGAGACTGTCAAACTCGAGAGGGGAAAGGAGGGGCGGGCGATGGCATCGATCTATGTTTCCCGCTTTTTTTTTTTGTTTGTTTTCCTTCGTGTGCCTATCTTGCATGCTGGGCAGTTCGAGACGAGGGCGCCTAAGACATAGCGGCACTCTTAACACGCCAAGCTATCTGAAAGTATCGGCGTCATCGGAACATCACAAAGTCACAATGTGTCAGGATTAAAAACTAATAAGGCTGGCCCTCACCATCTATCATGAACTGATCGCCACATGGGTATCACCAGCTACCCGGTAAGCCTTTATTGTGACCGGCAACGATGCCAGTTGGGGACATCCTCTGGTTATGTGTTTCAGTGATATTTCCTGCAACAGTAGTTTGACGTCTGACCATCTACGTAAAGGTTGGTAGAGGGGATCGATCTCGTAATGTCTTAGATACGTGTACGGAGTAAGGGGTCGCACACTTCCTTTGTTCCATAATTCTCAACGAAAGGGAACTTTTGAGGCCGAGACAATCAGAAACTGTGCATCCCGAAGAAAAATAAGACGAAGAAGAAATACAAACCGTTGCTCCTAGCTGAAGACGGGCAAGATCTCGGCCAAAAGTCCCCCTTCATCTCGGCGATGGAATCATAATAAAGTCATGTGGCGTAACGTCTTGCCTCGGGTTGACTTCGATCTGGTGGAATGAACCTTGCTTGCTTTGAGAAGCACTCAAAAAAGGTTCACTTCCACATCTGACAGCCACATTTTCGAGGGCGGCATAGAGATGCCTAAAGCAACTTTAAGTCTCCAGGCACTCACGAGAAAACGTGTCAGATGCGTGCCGGTATCGGTTTTTTTTTTCTCAACGGCCGGGCTGTACTTAGGTTGCAGTCCGTGTAAACTTTAAAGGCTAATAGTTGTTTAATATACTACGTCAATGCAAGTAGAATAAAAAGAAACCAAGGCCGATTTGCACTATACAACCCGAGTTCCGCACCAAAATAGTACAACATATGCAGAGGCAGCTTTGGGGAGGAGTCGTAGGAGCGCATCCCACCCAGTGGGAAGCTGCAGTCGGTGATTAAGTCAAATTCAGAACGGCGCCTATGCACTCGGTAGGTGACCCCTTACAGTTATGTTAATCGTGCCGCGCACTGCATATCAGCCTCTACACGATGAACGACTAGCCTACCGACATGTGGACAGAGGCAGCAATCTGCGAATGGGCGGCTATGCTCCAACTCTCAACCTGTGCGTCCAGGCCTCAGTGGCTCGCCTTCGTCCTCCGAGTTCACAGTTCACCCTCATCTCGTTGGGTAGATCTGTGGTGACACCGCCCTAACAGAGGAAAACGGGAGATCTAGAGAATCCGAGCTTGTAGATCCGCTTACTTGCATCTCAGCACGATGTAAGCTCGCGTGTCCCTCATGACTGACTAGTGTGATGAATTGGTTTCACGAGGAGATAAGGTCGCCCAAAAACAGAAAGAACGAAAAAAGAGACACGCTCATGTCTGACGAATCTCCCCGAATTGTTTCACTCCCCCACATCCCTTCTGCCGCGTTATGGTGTATTATATGCTCGGTTCCTCGCATCGCAAATCGAATGTTCTTTTCCGCAGACCGCAATGCAATCATCCGGTCATACATGACGCGAGCTGCCTCGTTGGTGCGCGACAAGATCGAGAACCGAGACGAGCCTATTTTTGAACAACATACCGTACCGTGGATGCGAGAGAGGATGAGCACCCAAGCTTTCCATCCACATACAGCTCTGCGTACGCTGGATTATGTTTTTATGCCTCACCAACCACTATGCTATACGTAGAACTGCCAGTCGGAAAGCTTTGACTCCTACGCATGCACCCGTAGTCTCGTGACATGTAACTGGTCTGGTGTAAACAGAACGTCTTCCACTGTTCACGAGTTCACTTAATTCCAATGCGTCCGGCGTGACGCAGGCTCAGCCCTGGCCGTTCTCTAAGAGAGGTCGACGGGATTTCATATTGAACAGCATATGGGCAGGACGTAGGACGTAATATTGTATGCACCAAGCCCAAAAACCGGCCGAGCAATATCGTCACAAGAGAAACAATCCATGTTATGCCATGCCGTGCAAGATGAGCTGCCTTAAGACATGGGGCGGAGCCACTTCATGCCACCTCGGAAAAAGAAATATTGTGGTAGCAGCGACCGCTTAAACATGTCGTTAATTATTTGTTTGCAGAGAGCGGGGACTTTTAGCACCGTCCCCCATCGGGGCCACCCTTCTCCCCTTCTCGGCGCCAGACCGGTTTCTCTAGCCGAACGGCGCAAAAGCAAAGTTTCGTCTAGGATTGCTTCTCAAGTTGAACAACAGGCCATCTTCTGCACTGTCATCTTGAGAGTTGACAGCTCACGTTGCACGACGAGGGGTCGGTTGTTTGGGGTGGCCAAGCCGTCCCACTACCCGCGACTAAGGCAAGTACTTGGTAAGACATGCTCACGATCTTGCAGAAGACGGCTCCTCATGTTACGTCCTCTTGAGGAAACTGGTTTAATGAATTGTGGCTTACTAAACTTACGACTGTTTGTGCTTGGTAAAGTTCCGTTCATGTGCACTGCCAACCAAAAGGGATCGTCATCGAGATGTATGAGAGATGACGTCCGGAATGGCAGTTGCTTGGCCATAAACCTAAGCAGGAGGTAGCGTACTAACAAAGACCTCCACACAGTGCCAGTAATTTGTTTGGATATTTTCATTGTCGATTGAATATGGAGCGTACTGACTTTTTTATTTTATTTTATTTTATCCAGAATGAATGTATTAGGGATCAGAAGCCTAGAAGCTTCGCAGCTAAACATAAAAAAGTTTCCAACAAAGTTGAATTTGCCCGGGCATATTCGACGGTGCTGTCGATTACCACGGGGAGGTTTTTTTTTTCTTTTTTCTTTCCTTTTCTGGACACAATCTCTCCTGTGTTCTCCTTCACTCGTGCATGTGTCCATAATAGTGAAGCCGAGAGGCAGAACCTCACCTTCTCTCATACTTCTCTATTTCCTCCCGCTTTTGTAAAATCCTTCGTGTCATGAGGTTTAGTCATCCCCGGATATCTCGATGCAATGAGGCGCACATGAACCTGTAATAAGGTGCAAAACGCCAGATGATGCCCTAGTCCTTCATGCCATTGTCCCAATATTTTCCCTGTAAAGAGAATAAAAATAAAAATAAAAAGGGTATATACAATCAAACTGCTGATCCGATAATGCAGCCAATATGCGTGCCGAAAATGGTGTAATTGTTTTCCAGCCGGGTATAATAATAACACGCTTCAACAACCAAGCCAATGCCGAAGCCGAAATATATAAATGACAGATTGTAAACCGTCGATAGTGTTCGATGTGGTGGTGGGTATGTGGATGAATGTGACGTACTCATCCAAGGCAGCACTATTCGACAGCTTTAGAGCGCATGGATCGTTGTTCCATTTGTCGTTTCCTCTCCAGCTTAGCGTAATGCAGACCACAAGCATTGCAAAGTGTTCTTGCACCATCAGGGCCGCGGCGCCATTCGGGAGTATCGATTCTGTTGCAGCTATGGCAACGTCCTGGCGGGGCAGCTCGCTACGTGTTATTAGCGTAATGAATACACCCAGAACTCAAATATGAACTTACGCCACGTCGTTTTTTTACTTCGCCGAGACCGTAATGTTGCTTCATGCCATCCCCGTACATGGAAACATCATCGTCCTCGTATGGCGCTCTGGCTTTGCCACCTTCGCGGGCTTTCTCGTGGGCAATGCTGCTGTTCACGATTTCCCTAATGTTGTCAAGAGTCTTCTTCAGGTAATCCGTGTTGTTTAGCATCTCAGCCACTTCTTTGTCTTGCGGTAATCGCTGAGGGATAGGCTGTCCCCCGTGTTGCTCTGAAGCAATATTGGCATAAGCCTCTGCAAAGTTGAAGATAGTCCTCGACATTCCCATGATCTAGTAGATGTGAGTACGATTCTGGTGACCAATGTGGCAAGTCATCATGTACTTACCCGTTGGAGGCAATCAGTATAACCCCAGGCCTCGAAATGACGGTTCAGAGCATTTGGGTCATATCGTCGTTGCATATTGTATTCCTCTTCGGGATGAACTGTAGGCCGTTGAGGGTCAAAGGGTGGTGGTACGGGAGGTCCCATATACCGCGGGGAGATTGGTGGCGCCTGCGAGAGAGGCAATTGTCCTGGCGGGAGCTGTCCGTTTGCAGTGTACGGGACCGGTGGGACATGAGAGCTGGAGAAACTACCGTTTCTTTGAGGATGATGTTCCGTAGGCCTTGCAGGTTCACGTGGCTCATGATACTGATGGTATCCTGGGCCTGCGACTCCACTATCGGGACGCTGAGCGAAGTGCGGCGGCGCAGGCCGAGGATCCGAGGCTGGTTCTGGGCGTGCTGCAGCCCCATTACCATATGAGGGCGGCGGCGGGGGCGGCGGTGGCAAGCTTGATGAGCCAGCCATGCTTGTCGGTGTTGTCGGTGTGTAGGTACTGGGCTTGGCACTGAACATCTCTGATATCGAAGGAAGGCTTTGTCTTTGCGATGGTTCAGAATCTTTCGAAGCCCTCCTCAAAGCATCTCCCTGACCGAGGATCCCGGACATTGGAGCTGGAGACGGATGCGTGTATGATTGAGAGAATGCCGAGTTGTGTGGGTGATAGGCAGAAGCCGGACTCATGAGTGCTGCGGCGGCCATGTTGGATTGCCGTTCTCTTGGGTATTGATCGGCAGGGTGCCGTGGGTGTTGGTTGAAAAGATCAGGTCTGGCGGCGGAGGTGCTGGTGGGAGTAAAACCACTATAAGAGGGAGAGGCAATAGTCAGCTTGTGTCCGGCCTACAGTATACGTGCTAGCTGAAAGACCGACCTTTGCCTAGTGCCAGATTCACCCGCGTCCATAGCGGGATGGACTACTGCCAGATGACGGTGCCAAATTCCCCAGCAGGTCACCTACAGACGATTCATGCGTCTGGCACGATAAACACTAATGGGTAGGGCGGTCGATCGGCTCTGGCGGAGATGAGCCGGCGCAGAACTCTGTCGCCTTTGCTGGCTGCACTGTGGACAGGTTCAGACAATTTGGCACAGCGCCTAGATTCTATAGCGGGACGGTTGGACAGAGCTATATATTGGTGCGATTCTCCTAGCCGCAAAATACGCTCGATACAACGGCGCGTGGCTGCGTTACGACTGTCGATGGAAGCGGTGGCGCTGTGTCGTCCAAGGTATCTACACCCTTGAGACCGCAAATGATTAGAGCAAGAAAGACAAAAGCATGTGGCGGACGGGAAGAAAGGGAAGCCGCCGTGTGTAATGTGTGTAGTGTAGGTGTGTGTGTGTGTGTCTGCGCGCTTCGGATCGAAATTTCTTCTTTTTTTTCTTTTTCTTTCCTTCTTCTGGATCCGTGCCCAATCTCAACCTTGGCCCCTTCAGAACAACCACGAGGATTGGCGGTGCTTCTTTTTATTGAGACATAGAGATCTCACCTTTTTCTTCGGAAGGTTGCCACCAAGTGGGTCAGGAGTGAATCCGCGAGAACGGACGATGGGATCTTGCTTTTAGTTAGAGGGGTCTAGCGTACAGCCGGCAATAAAACTAGCCTCTGTAACGTACGAGTTCCCAGGTTGCGATGTTGTGCAAATGGCCTCCAGCTCGGTACAAATGACAAGTCTTCAGCCTTAGTCCGCTCACCTATCATGTGCAGCTCGGTTCTAAGGTAGTATTGTTGATTAAGCGACCGTCAGGATTAAATACTGTGGTAGATCGAGGTCCGTGGCCGTGTCTGGACTCAGTCCGCGAGATGGGAAGGAAATCTTATCATGGACAGGGTAGGAATGCGAAGGGAGAAAGAGGAGGCGGTTCCTGGATGGCAAGAAGCACGCACGTAGCGGTGTTGGGTTTGAAAAAAAAAAAAATTTTAAAGTCAAAAAGACGAAAGGTAAGAAATGATCCTATGGTGGGTGTATGCAACTGTATGTACGGAGTATTGAGTGCCACCACGAGAAAATGAGCGAAGGTGAGTGGGCATAACGAGATCTCAACTGCATTTGATCCCATGCGATGACTGTCCCTGTTCGACCCATTATTGAGTGGGGAGAGACGGGCCTGGTAGATGGCCGGGGAACAAGGGTAGCCGCTGGAACGAGGTGTGGAAGGGGTGGTCGGGATCTCTTGTGGTCATGCATTTTACTATGTATCTTGACAAGATACAGTACGTATGGTATCGGGCAGGGCTGCTTGCTGCTTGCTGCTTGACAGGCTCAGGGGTGTAGATCGGGATCTCAACACACAGCTAACCTAGGGCTCTCCTCTCGGAGGCTGCAGCTTTAACGGCTGCAATGAGCGCCTCCCCAGTCATGTCCTGCCCAGACCTGAAAGACCTGGTTGCCGAAAGCAGCGATGGACGATCATTGAAAGCCCCAAAATGGAGTTTGTCAGTAACGAATTAAGAAATACTAGGCTGTGTGCTAGCGGCAAGATGGATGCATAACAATGACTTGTATCAATGATGTGCAACCTTCAACTGCGTAGAATTGGGCAGTCAAGGTGGACGAGCAAAATGCTTGCCCATTGGCATGCCTCAACACAGCGAGTTCCGGGCCACGTCGAAACGCTTACTTTAACACAATTGAGGTCCACATGATGCCCATGTGTCAGCTAGGAATATCTGAACGTCGTATGCGTACAAAGAAACAATGACCACGAGAGAGTGCTCCTGCTGGCGAGTGTGAGGCCAATCAAGGCGCCGGCAAACCCCCTCTGCGTATCATGAATCGCCGTGCCATAATAAGAAAATGAATAGATGGGTTCCAATGGTGCACAGAGGCTGGCAGGCTGGCCTGTTGTGACTGCCGACAAGTCCTTTTGAAGATCAGACCTTCTACTAGTTCTGCTCACGATACGATACGATCGAGGATTTTAATGATGTGGACACCCTGGCAGGGGCATTCTGATGAGGTTCAGTGGGAGAGATGCTCGGAATAAAAGTCAGGGTAGTAGACGGTACAGACGAAATGTTCCTTGACAGGCCTGTCGACGGCTCATCTGCCGTGTCAATAGTCGGTGGCATGAGTATTCCTTAGCACCTCTAATGTAGTGACCAAGCTGCAGATGAACATCATTGCTTCTCTGAGCCTGCATACAAACAGAAGCTGCAGGGATAACGTATCGTGTACTGTGTATTCAAGATCCGGCATGGAGACTCTGCCGGGATCATGGTCCCATCTTCTACTGACCGAAGGTTCACTGGGCCTCATCAGCCCACACTATACGTCAGTCTGCAAGTTGGTGGGGCAATTGGCAGGGTATAAAGCGACCAAAAGAATTAAAGCGGAGGTTCTTGGTCGCTGCAAGTAGAGGAGAAGTACTCCGTACCCAAGCAGAATATCAAGATCCTCCACAAGGAGCACCCCTTGTCATCTATGGATACAACTTAATCTCACGTGCAAAATGCTCAGGCACTAGAGCTTTTTGAGTTATTGATGATCGAGCAAGGTGCCCCCCGTAGTCCACACTCAAAAGATATGGTCCGCCCTCCGGCTTGTCAACGGTTGTTACCCGTCATATCTTGACACAGCTATGAGCCTCTGTTTCTATCAAAATTAATGATACCCACATCTAGGTACTTGTGACAAACTGGATCCCGGAAATCCTTCCAGAAGCACGCAAACTACTCCTCAGAGATTCCGCAGCAGCGGAAGAGACGGTACTTTAAGGATTGCTAACTGGATCAATATAACAACCAACCATTTCACCGTTAATACCAATGAAATCCCACGCATCCAACAACTTTGGAATGGGCTGCGTTCAAGCGACACCGCCCACCGCTTCGTTGGACGACAAATTCGGGTAGGCAGGCTTTTAAATACGCACAATGCTCCCTGTAGCGTAGCAAAAAAAAAAAAAAAAAAAAAAAAAAAAAGGGGAGGGGGGGTTGTGTCAGGAAAAGAAAGGATGTTGGCGAAGGTTTGTTGAGAACACGGAGCTCTCAAAGTTACCCAGAATCTCGACACCGCGCACAGTAACGAAGTTCCAAGGCATATCACGATTTGGTGAATTTTAGTCTCGATTTGGTCAGATCTGGCGCAACCGTGCCATGCCAACCCAAGGTTCTGTACCTTGATGACACGAGGCACTCTATTTTAAATAAAACAAGTGACCCTGAAGGACATGATAAATACGCGAGGTCGGCCATTGACCTGCAGTATCGCGACAAATGTCCAACGCCCACATGTACTGCATCTGGCCTAAGTGGGAAAAACTGTGATAGATTACCTGCAGCCGAACGCCTCCGGAGGACATCCTCAGACCTGACGCACCATCGCTAATTCTTGCCCTTAGAGATCGTGACCCGTACCGTCCCACAGCATCCAGGTACGTACATGCGGCACACATGTTCTTTCGATAACATATATTCAATACAGTTCGTCAATTATCCAAGAAAATCAAGCTCCAGACAATCAAGATGTACATTCTAGTACAGTATCGTAAGAAGCTACTGGCCCCCAGAGTGTTGCAGAAGTATCGCTTCTGACTCTGGCCGCATGGTGCAGTGCAGTATGGCAAAGTACATAGGCGCCGTGCCGTTTAGAACCGTGCCGTAGGCGCATGGGCGCGCGGAAAGTCTGCTACATACGTCACGTATCTTACACTGTCAGATTCATCTGACATTCCCACGCCCGCCCGATTGGAAACGGCTCGGACAAACCCTTTCGATACGCGATTCTGTTAGATCTTCCTGCCAGATCCTTAGATCCTTTTTAAGCCAGAAGCCCAAAAGACCCGCCGCCCTTCGTACATCGTACTTCGCGCGATATAGTTTAACGACACCGTGACTTCGATGCAAACATATATTTCGACCTTTCAACTCGTGATGGCAACTCGCGCTACAACAACAGGGGGTTTCCCCAGGTTTACATCCATTTTTCCCTCTTTTCCCTTCTTTTTCTTTTTCTTTCCCCTCTAGCCTTCCCTGTCTGTTATGATTGACAGACGCAATGCAAGCCAATCGGAGCTACGATACGTAAGAGAAGGCTCAGTGACTTGACCATGCTCACGGAGTGTATCTGCTGCTGCACATGTCACTTATTAGTGCGATCTCTGACATGTCTGTTTGTGACAGGTCATGCGCTAGAGCTTTTCCTTGTAGTAAAACCCGATGTTTATATACACGCCTTACTTTCTATCGAGAATTTAGATCTCGGGCTGTTGTCCACTCCTCATGATCATAACTACACTCGTACATTTTACTTTCCTGGCTTTGAAATGCCCGGGGAATGACATTGTACAAGGCCCATGGAATAATTGCAGGATAAACATATTGCTCAGTATAATATAAGAACGCATTTAATCGCAATGGAGGGGTCTCATGACGTATATGTAGAGAATCGCTGTAGCACTCTTGGGGCCCATCTGAGATTTGGCAGACTGGTATCCAATTGCATGCAATGTCTAGGACCAAGACAAGATTGACCGACTTGAGTTTGCAAGTTTAGCATTGCCTCTCGCGGTGCACCAAAGTATCGGGTTGACCAACACAAACAAATCGCTGGTATTGACAATATCCACCAAATATGCAGTTACATGAACCTCTACGACGGCATGTTTCTTGACGAGCTCCTTACCGAATTGGTCAAAGATTTCGTGCAGATATCTGATTTAGTATTTGGTATTCCACCTTTGCCCAAAGGCCTGAACCCGGACTGCTGTGCAAGTACGGGATGGCTGCACCCTACGGGATTTGAATGATTCAAGGATTAGGTTCCTAGGCTCACGCACCAGCCGTCTCGGATCCAATGCTCTGTACCAAGTAATGCAGTACATTTACGCACTTGGACGCCGTACGATGTAAGGGTAAGCAACTTTGCAATCTGGCGCAGGGTGCAGACGGGCGCAGCGGCCTAGTTGGTTGTTTCAAGGTCCTTACAGAGTGACCGCAGTGCAGTTCGTGAAGGAAGCATCCCGACCTCTATCTAGCCTGGTGGCAAGGAGACTCGCCGGACAAAACCCTCACTAGCTCGTCGAGAGGTACCGCGGAGCTGAGGAGCTATTGGATCGCGTATCGAGGCCGTTACCTTAGGTAGGCGCCCACACGATCTAGACAGGCTCCACTCAGCACGTTGTCATCTAACGGTTATCGTAAAAACAAGATCTCTGATCGATTGAAGCATCGAGGGCCAGGGATGGGTTATGTGTGACATGCATCTTAGCAGATAATTGGCCGATTGCAACAACCATCAAGCTGCATTCAACCTCTTTTCCGACATCGCCCTCAACGAATTACAACGCTACTGATACGGTAGGTAGTAGGTACTCAATCATACCGCATTCGCGCCACTAGCTGATTTATTCTATCGGCAGTAGCCCAAGGCTGTGCCTGTAGTGTGATGTGCCAATAACTCACGCCAGGTGTGGCCTGGGTGTTGAAGGATTTCCTTTACTACCTGCAAACTTAGTGCGAGGGTGTTGCTTTCGGATCACTGTACTTTTTCAGATCATTGTACGGAAACTCGTCACACAGCGATGGTCGTGCAGTAACGTGCAAGTCTTTGGGAAACGGAAATAACTCTATTAGCCTTAGCTTGAAGCTATCTCCAGTGTGGGCTATGAGCGCCTCACTTTCTCCTAAACGCCAAGGGTCCAAAATGACCTTTAGATGAAGCTTGTCGCTTCTAGGAGTTCGCTTGTCTTTTGACAGCACCAAAAGATCCACTGAGCCTGGGTTGGTTTTAAACAGTCCCGTTATCACGTGTTAAACGGGCGTCCCACCATACATTTAACGACACCACCAATAATCATCGTTCGAATGACAGTGTTTCGCATGCGAGATCCGCCTTGATCATGTCACCTAGCGGATAACTCCTGCGCTATTAAGTACCAGGATATCAGCGTTTGCTCGGAACGATCGACGCGGTGTGGTACGATGAACAGCTTGGCGATGATCTTTCCAACCCAAATCAGGACTGGTATCTCCTGGTCTCAAAGTATGGAGAGTTCGCTGGATTGCTCGAATACCCGTGACCCATGGATGTTTGGTAAGGTGACATCGCTCCCGATTTTCTGAGGAATCATTGGCAACCCAACACCCTACATAAGTTAGTTCATCGCTAACCTTGATTGACGATTCCTCATGCCAGATCACCTATCCGCCGGGATCTCCCACCCCAGAGCACCGATATTATGGACACCGGGGTGAGCAGCGGTCAGCTTACGAGTACATTGCCGATGCTGTCGCTCAGCAGCTCTTGACGTTGCGGAGCAATTAAATAGACCAAAAAGCATCTATCACGTTTCTCTCCAAGGTAGTGGATTCTATCTGATCACAAACTCCACCTCTAGAAGTGACCAATCATGACAGCAACTTCTAGGGCGAATTGTACAGGGCGCCGAGCAGTCTTTTACGAAGGTTGCAAGGATATAAATCCAGAAATGTGGTCCCCACTCCTCAGAGACGTGGATCGGTGCGAGTGAAGGAGATGAGTAGCATTAAGATCGTTTCCAGAGACTGCATGCCCCAGATAGTCGGACATATGACCGATTCCGGAAATTACTCCTCAAACTTAGCTATAACCGTAGCGATCTTGGCCCGCTATCCCGATATAATTGGACCACGTCCGAACGGGGTTGGGGCCAACAGGCAATCAGTCACATCCTAACCCTTCCACTGGGACAGACCACAAGTGGAGATGCTTGACAAAGGATGTAGCGGAATGTATCTCAACCATACTCACACATGTTCTTCTGACCAATGCGAAGTAACGGTAGCAGAGTAGATGCATTTCGTGCCTACTCTAGATAAATACGTTTTCACCGGGTTGAAACAATTACGAAGGGCCAGGGCACAATGTCTGGCGCCGCAACGAGTGATGACAGTTCGCCGATCTTACCGATGATGGGCGGAGGGAAATTTGATATTACAGGCTCCAGATAAATCCACAAGGCTTGACGGTTCTTTTCTGACTGCTCTACAAATTAGCTCTGCACTACCGGTGGACTTGAGATCAATGCATCAAATGAAGCGTTACATGATTTACTATGAAGTCAGTTGTCAAACTTGTATCCAGGTAGCAACCCACACAGAGTAACGTTTAGAATGAGGGTTTCCCCCTTTTTCCCTTCTCCCTTTAAGGGTTTACTCGTCTAGTCATGCCCTGCATGTTGCTTTGCTGACGGCTCAATCTGACAGCTCCCACCCTATCGTGTCTACATAAATATTGTAGCGCTGCAGAATTTGAGTTGATGCCTGCTTCATCAAAACATGCAGCAATCGCGGGGCCAAAAGCTGCACGTAGTCGATGCATTTGTATCGGTAGGTTTTCAGCGGCTTCGGCTTGAGGATATGGTCGGACAATTGCTCATGGTCATCATTATGGCTGCTGTGACAAACACAATCAGGACATCATAACGAAGAACCGAGTAAAAATTTCCATGTTGTAACAAGATGTAAGCATAGCATCATACTGAACGGCAAGCTCATTCCAACATGTCGCCTGATTGGAACGGCGTCTGGCTCCTGGCTGATGCTTTGATTCGATAATGAGCACCAGGAGAACGAGTAGGAGGTATAAGGAAGTTCTTAGAACAGGAAGGAGAAAAAACCCCCACCACAGACGGGGACCTCAATGCTACACCAGATGTGTTCGCTGCAAGAATTACCGGTACAACCACACACTACATCTTAAAGGCTTGGCTATCTTCTTTGGCGAAACGTCTAGCTTGTGGAAATCTCTCAGTGCTGCTTGCATAAGCATATTGAGATCATTCTCCGGAGAGGATTGCTTTTGCACTGGCATGAGAGACCATCTAGGTTGGTGAGATCGGGGCATTGACCTTGTCATTCAATTGAACATGCCGCTTCTAGGAAAAGGGCCAACCTGCGAGCAACGTAAATCTTGAGGGTGGCTTCGCGAACAGTGCGATCTGAACTTATGCAAGATCCCACACTTGGGTTGTTCGTTTCGGCGTCATCCGGTCTGTCAACAGAAACATACAAGGAAGTCCAACCCATGCTTGCACACATAGTTTGACGGACAATATCCTGCTAACATCTCCGTATCCTCAGACCAAATCAAGATCCAAAGCTCATGAATAATTCAAGCCACTGTATGAACCCTAGCTGCCGGGATAATGATCATCTAACCCCACTTAAAGTGGCCTGATTTGGGAGCTTCAGATCCGGCATGGATTGCTCGCCAGGATCCTTCTAGCCATGTAACTATGTATGGTATGAGAGCACATGGTCATTGACCTCTTATCGGCGATGTCATACAGGAGAAAGGCCTAGCAATGCCTTATGTTTTATCACCTCCTTAAAGCACGGTGACCGGGTACACTCGATCAATAATTCATTGTGCGCGACAAAAGAAACCCCTCTAAAAGGAAACAAAAATTAAAAAAAAATTTAAAAAAAAAAAAAAAAAAACTTCATGACATAGCTGTACACAGTCGGAAATTTCTGCCCTTGTCGTGTAATTTTGCTGATGGAACACAATCTCGATGTACACCCGCCCGGCAGACGATCTCGCCCCACATATCCGGACGTCTTCCCTTCCCATCCCACACCGTGCTTCCTGCAGCCGAACCCTCCCCTACGGATTTCGTACGACCATGAACAAAGCCTACTCGCATTCACGAACACCTTGATTAATTCATGTGGTGCGAGGGCAAGCCATCTGCTCTTACTTTCATATATTGACGCTCCACTCATTCCTTTTATTCATGTTCCTCGCTCATGTCAGCGGCTGCACTGCAACTCCGGGGAAGCCAAGTTGACAGGTCGTTTTACAGGGGTCAGCAGCGGTTCAGTCAATCCCACCCAGTCAGAGATGCTGCTCTCACCAACGTTCGTGGCTCTGAATTATTGGACTTCGCTACCACGCGAATTTGGTTTCGGTAGGACCCATAGCCATCAGGCTGGCATCCTTACCGACCAGGTCTGTTACCGCACATCAGGACCAGGACCCGTTATTGTCACCGTCGTGACAAGACATTGTCAACTGAGGACCGATGCGACGATGTACGACATTAAAGTCCAGAAGTACGTACTGTACACACAACCAAGGCAACTTGGGGTGTCGTTTCGGGACGATCTCTTGATGTCTGCCCACCGGCTGGAATTGGAGTGGTGCTAAAAACGTTGAAAGGAAGTAGCCAAACAGTGGTTCGATACCGTATCTAGCGTCTCCAAGATCATTCCTTCTCCTCAAATCGGAGGTTTTTCCTTCCACACATTGCAGGATCTCGAATACGAAAAGTAGTGGCTCTCTTCACGTCGGACAGATTGGTTAGCGAGCAACATGGCACTGAGATTGAATGCCGCTGTTGTGGACCAGGAATGCTCCATCACGAGGCTGGCACATATAACAGGTGATGTTTCCTACGTGTCACGTCAACGAAAGGGGCCCAAGGGCCTGCTACGTTTGCATCTGAGATGCGGTATTACTCTGATTGTGGCCCTTCAGTCTCTCATCCTTAGAAGCATGCACAGTCCGCCGAGACACTGGATTCGCCGATTGGCACTTATCAGTGTGTCGACGACGTTGCATGGCTAAATTTCTACTTCAGAGCCGCACTGGGCTACCGTCTGGAATAACCACGCATGAAGTGCCGTGGTCGTGCATAAAGTTAGGTTTTTTTTTCACGTTTAATTTCTTATCCCCCATCCACGTTGCCGTGCAGATCGCATATCATTAGCAGATTTCGTTGCAGGCGTTGGGGTTATTGTTTGCTTGTTGCTTGTATCGCACCAACTTTACCTGCCACGCAGCTTGTCTGGAGCTCAGACATTTCTCAGCCATAGCTGGGACGATCTCGATCTGCTGCAGTCTTCGGTTGCCGGCTATTGTGAGTACCGGATCTCAGTAAGTTCTGACAAAGATGATAGACGGTTTTCCCTGATCCTAGAATATATTGCGCGTCCAACGTCGAGGCGTGTTGGCCCAACTGTCAGATTGCTTATCCTCCGACAGCCAAGCTTCGAAGCCGTTGTTTTTATACCCCCCCTCACACACATAGAGACACAGAAGACACGGTTTTGTATGCTCCCCGCTGTATACTCCCTGCATCATGCTCGAACGAATATATTAGAGTTCTCGTCATTAGCTGTCATCAATCAACGTATCACATGATTGACTCAAGGTCTTCCGATTTATGGCTTATCTCCATCAACCGGTATGCAAATTTCCCGGTGAGACCCCCTGTCGGGCTACTCGACGCTCAGGTTGCCGACGCAAGGGATGGGTGACGAGTTCGAAGCGCGCAGCCAGCCGGGACAAACACGAGTTTAAACCTCGCCGAGTACACATAAAGAAGTCCGCAAATAACACACGCGCGTACAAATGTTTCTAGAAAAGCAATACACGCTGAGGCTAACCCGCATTTGAGGCGTCATGGGATAAGCCGCACCCGGTTGAATCATCTGTAACTTCAAGTAATAACAACAGTTGTACTACTATATTGCCACGCTTTTAGATCGTCAAGACTCTGCAGAAAATCAAAAGTGGTCGCGGCTTTTGGCTAGGCGGCTCTTGATCTAGATAATTGCTTTTTAGGCATGCCCTGGCAGTAGCACGCTCACCTTCCCGCCCTCAAGAATAGCACAGATAAAGCAAAAGACCCCGGCTAACTCTCTCGCGGCGCGGAAGTATAGTATCTAGGGGTCGGGAACGGCCTTATTATTCTAAAGAGAACCGCTCTCTTCGGGGAGTGCCAAACTAAAACACATGATCTACAGCAATTTGCTTGCTTTTTGCATTTTTATTTTCTCCCCTTCGCTTGCCTGCCTGTCAACTATGTACAAACTCGGGGGGCGGAGTATGGACGATTTAAATCGCCGAATGGTCCATGCCCTTACATGACATGATAGGAAGACTCGGCAGCTCGCATCCCCGACAGCCACGAATCAGTTTTGGGCGCCTCTCTGGCTCTTGACAAACCACTCGGAGAAGATGGCAGAATTACGTCGGCGTCCCTTCGAATCGCCGGTAACGCTGATGCCCAGCATCCTTCCGAAGGATCAATACACTGCAGTCGGTATCAGTCCGCCCGTCGTTCCGCTTCTCGCCAGCTGCGCTGGGTATGAAACTCGTTCTTCTTCTTTGTTTCCTTCGGAAAGGAACTATGACATATGCAGGCCGGCGATAGGGGATCACTCAAGACTCCGTGCGCACAATGCAAGTACCCATCTGTTCGGTTCATCCTCCATCCCGACGTCGAATTAGAGGCGGAGTTTCCGCCACAACATGAGAGATTTACTTTCTCCTTTGCAGGCGGCCATAGTTTGGGGGTCGCATGAGGTGCTGCTGGATTTATGAAAATTGACATGTCATCTGTTTGTCGCTTGGTGATGACATACATACATACTTGCGCCAAAGGCCCTTCTTCCCGGCCGACGCCCACACCCTCCTGCTTCTCTGATGCCCCTTGCATTCACTTTTATTTCTTCTTTCTTTCTGACAGCGGTCTTGTTACTGGTTTTGGAGTTGACCGCAGTCTTGGGAAACCAAAAAGTCCAACCCAACCCAACTCAACTCTGATGCACCGATGTACTATATAACTTTAGAGACCCAGCAATGGGTCATCTTCGTACATATACAAGAGCCATATGTGCAAAAACCCCCCATGCAAACTGCACATCAGCACCATCTCTTGCTTGTCTTCATCACGGCGCATGGCTACCGCCAAAATATGGCTTACGTTTCCGAGTCAGCCAGAAAGAAGAGGCTCGGGCCGCTCCACGGGAGTTAAAAACACAACACGGGTAGATGCGCGGTGCTGATCTGCCCATGTTTCGGCAAGGCACTGAAGTCATCGGAGCTGCCCAGCGAGTCCAAAGCATGGCAAATATGTGCTGTGTGAATTCGTGTTTTATCTGACCGCGGCCCTGAATATGACGAAACTGGTGTGTTGATAGTCCATTATAGTACCTAGACTAGCTACAAACACCGAACTGGTCGTATGATGATCGTGGACTAAAATTGTCATAGGCTGACCCAAAGAGGATCGAGACAAACCCCGGAGGGGCGAGCAGAGAACTACTAGATACCCACAATATGTATGCGAGCATTCACATTGATCCATCTATCTAGCCATATTGTGCGGATGTGTTCAGTTGATATCAGCTAGTTCTGTAGACGTAGACATTTTGAAGCCACTGATATTTCTTTTAAGTCTATTTTTGTAGCTTAGTGCATAGAAGCCTCATTACATGTTCTGATGACAATCTTCTTCAACCTCTGAGTTTTGCGCTATTATACCAGTCTGCTCTGGTGCTGTAATTACAACGTGACTCTCGGAGCCCGGGTTTCCACCTGTAAGTTCTTGTTTCTCAAATCCGTTGTATGGTCGAACTTTAGACATACCATGCGAGGCGAGTCCTTGTGAGCGACGTCGTGCATACAAGTCAGCACCAGCATTTCCAATCTCATCAATAGAGGCGGCCTCGTCCTCTTCTGGAACCATTTGTCCCATGAAGCATTCTCGTTCCACGTATGGGGTACCCAGGCTGCTAGTATGAGGATTTATGCCTGTGGGTGTGCGTACTATCTCTCGCGGTGGAGCTCTTTTCATATCGTTGTCATCTGCTGATGATATTTCGCTCATTTCGCTCCTCTTGCTGCGAAGGCTTCTTTTGCTGACCTTATGGACAAGATCCGTCATGATGATGCCACCACGGTGAATATCATCTAGGACTTCTTGACTTTTGTGCCCGAGCTCAATTCGGGCTAAGCTAAGTGCTTGACGGTTAAGGTGTGCATGTGCACCTTGATCTACTAGACGATTCTTCTTGCGTATTTCCATCCATCGGGTCAGCGAACCAAGCTCCAGGATGTTGACACGCCGATGTTTTTCAAGTGGATTGCCAACAATCAGTGGTCTCCAGCCAACCTCTTCCACGGGGATGCTGCGCAGGTCTTTTCGGCCAGCAGCCTTTGCAGCAGCTACCTCAGTAGCCTGGCGACCCAAACTGTGTCTTCGGTCCTCTATCCACTTATTCATTTCCATCGTTCTCGATCTGGGAATGATCTCAACCTTCTTGAATCGCGTAAGGACGCCAAGCAGTAGCAACGTGAGAAAGAGCAGAATGCCAGCGACAACTGCGGCAGTGATTCTGTGGCCAAGATTTCGTTGTGCCATGCCTCCTATTCCAGTCGCTCCCGCGGCAAAGATGAAGGCTAGACTGTGTATCACAGCGGAACCTGCTTGCACTCGCGGGAATGAAGAATAATTCGTCTTCTTCTTAGCTTTCTTAGCGCTTCTCGACTGCCCTGTCATGCCAGTTTGAAGGTCTGAGCAATCCCAAACTTCCATCAAAATACCATTGCATTCTGAGATGGCAAGGCATGATAGAAAGCCGATCATTGCAGCGAATAGACATGGGAAAATGAGATGAATAGGGGGACCCCACGAAAGGCCGGCATACATGACACCTGTGGCAGGCAGAGTGATTGTGAAAACGGCACGGCGTACAAAATGTGAGGTCCATGTCAACTTCCGATCGATAGAATAAGCGTTCGATAGTGCTGGTCTGTGTCTTGCTCGAGAAAATAGATTGGCTTTCTGAAATGGAACAGCGACCAGAGCTCCGATGGCAACTGATGATACAGAAGCACCAACAAGTGCGGCCCTTAGTCGATAGTCTCTGGATGTCAGTGATCCGAGAAGCTTGTATTTTGTTAGCAGGTGGGGAATAGTCAAGCTAGGCTGAAACCTACCACAATGATCAATGTGACCTGGGCGTAGATCCAAGCTAAGTATACAGCCATGACCGTGAAGCCAGGCTGACGAAGCATCTGGAGAGAAAGTATAACACCATGCCATGCTTCTTGCCACCACCATTTGGGCCCGTCTTGAATCCGATGCATCATGACTTCTCCCCTGGCGACTCGTCGAGAAACATGATCACCAGTTTGGACTTCTGCCACAGACCTTCTCCACGTGGAATGGCGTACCTCTGGAGTGAAGACACTCAGTAACAGAGTAGTACCAACCAAGATAATGCTGATGTAGAAGCCCCAAGCAGGCGTGAACCGATCAATGACGACAGCACCAATTAAAAATCCGACGCTGAGGGATCCAGTAAAGCACCAAGTCCACAGTCCAAGCCAAACTCCGAGTCCTCCACCGTGCCTTCGGACATCGTCCTCATCCATCAATTCTTGATGTGGATTACTGCTCATCAATGAAGCACCATATAGATCCGTCAAAGTTGAGTGAAAGTTCATGTTTGCGAAACCAAGAGAGACACCCATGAGACCGCGAGGTAGAAGTAAAGCACATTTCCAGGCATTTGACTTTGATGGTCGATGTGTCATCACTGTTATAGCTTGTGGAAAGAGCAAGGGCAAAGTAAGAATGAGGCCGAGGAGTATGTATTGTCGTCGGCCATGAAGTAATGGAAGGGGCCAACAGAAAAATGTTGGCAATGCCATCCCCAAATACATAGCCACATTTCCGAGGATGGCGATATGGTTAGCATCGGCGATATAATACTGCACAGCAGGGACAATCCCGGCATATATGCCAATAAGTATGCCGATAGTTGCAGTTCCAAAGCAGGCAACTAGTGCAACAAATCTTTTTCTCGCGGGTGACCAGTCACGGGCAATAGGACGCTGGCGATAGGACTTCGTTAAGCTGAATTTGGCATCATTTATGCTGACATGGGATCTCCCTCTCAGGGTGATGTTACGCAAGTTGTGAGGACGTTTCGCCCGTGGAGGCTCATGAGCAATGCCAGTCGCGGCGGCAAGTCTATTTTGGTGGTGACGGCTATGTGAGTTGATATTCTCTTCAATTGCCTGTCTTTGGGTCCGCTGGACTGGCGTTGAGAAGTCTACAACATCATCAGAACCACCATCGAAGCTATATGCATCGAGTGATTGACGGCGAACGGTATGAAAGCTCCCTATATCATCATTTGAGATCGTACACTGTAGTTTGGCATATCCGCGCATGTTTTTAGAACTTCTTCGAGGTGAGATTGGCGGAGTGTGAAACACGCGGATATATTCTCGAACCTCACGACTGTTAGGAACTCCCCTAGAATGAGGTTGAGTGATCCTGCAGGCTTCGTCCTCTTCGTATGCATGGTGGATGGACTCAATACGATCTCTTCTCAACTCCCTGTCGGGAGGCGGCATAGGTAGATAATCGTCAGCATCCCTGGATTTTTGCCTGGCTCTTGATTTGCGCTGCTTTGGTCCTGATGCTTCAGCTACTGGCATGACGTTGCCGCTGTGGATATCTGGCACTGACGGATCATGCCACTGACGAGGCTCAAAGGATACGGCTTCGTAACCATGACCTGGTTTTCTCGCGGTTTCCACGATATGAACTGGAACCTCATATTGCATTGCTAATTCTTCAGGGATGCTTTCATGAATACTTGGCGGCTGAGAGCTGTCGGTATAGAAAAGCTCTACTGTATGAGGATGAAGCTCGCCATCATCAAGATATCCATGCCCATGCTCAGCAACCTCATTGGCGATATCTAGGGCCTCACTCAAAAGCTGTTCCAGGTTTATCATAGCCTTTTCCATAGAGTCTGCATTAGCTTCGTTTTCATCTGAAAAAGTTGTGACTCGACTGGCGGTAGGGTTACTGAGGTGCCCTGAGTAGTCTTGATGTGACCTGCGGCGTGGATGCTGCCTCTCGGGGAATTTGGTTAGTTTCGAGGAGTCGGATTGCTTTGAATTTAGAAGATCACGAAGCCACTGTGCAGTGCTTTTGGAATCCAACGATCCAGACCGGTATCGATTGTCAGACTCTTTCCGTATCTGCGTGATCAAGGATTGGGCTAAGCTGCCAGAACCATGACTCCCCTCTTTTTTTGGTGTTTTTCGTACCCACGGGACAGGGTCTTTCTCCATTTTATCTGCGTCGTCGTGAACAATTGGCTGCCAAGATTTCGTATCCGCTGGACTTTTGTTGGAACTACCAGGCATGTGTGTAGTAGTGCCAGTCCCCTCACTACGAGGAAAAGTATCACTCCGCTCTGCGGCATGATCGCACTCCTCGATAGCTGGTTCCTCTCGCTTCTTCCCTACCACACCAGGAAGGAACCCCTAATACGATGCGACTTTAGTGTCACCCGCTGTGTCTTGTGAGTCGGTAGGGGAAGGCCCATGAACCGTGAGATGGGGCGTGAGGTGTAAGTTGCCACTAGGTGTCGTTGGCTGTGACCGTGCGGCCTCAAATGGGTGGACTTTATGTATCCATATATGGCCTTCATGGGAATCATTTGGGGAATAGCCAGAAGGATCTAATGAAGGAGCCACCTCCTTGGGCATCACTCGCACTTTCGACTGATAGTGAGGACGTCCGCCGCAACCATTTTCAAGTATGTACAACTCTGAAAAATTTGATGTTGGTGACGATAATGCATGGATGCCATCAAACACCGTCTCCTTGCCGTCACCCAGATCTGCTGAGCGGATCTTCGAGATACCAAGGTAGCCACGGAATGCGGCCCGGATGTTTGATGTCTTACTTTGTGTTTCTTGAGGGCCCAGATCTACGAGACGGAATTTCGAGGTGCCACTATGTTCACCCTTGTTTCTAGTTGTTGTATTCCCGGCGGTGCCGTGTTGGTGCTTGTTACTTTCGAGATTTGCTGGGCGAACTTTCGAAACGCCGCGGTAGTTATGTGGAACAGTCCAGTCTGCAGAGCGAACTTTGACAGTACCAACATTACTATCGGCTGCAGGCTGAGTGTCTGCATCGTTATACTGTGCCTCATTTGAGCCCAAATCCGCTACACGGATTTTCGAAACACCACGATAACCACGAGAAGTGGACCATTCTGCAGCGCGGACCTTGGGCCCCCAATGATGTCCATGATGACCGTTGACGTTGTTTAAAACATTGGGCTCCATTTGACTTAAGACGGGAGACAGGTATATCTGAAGAGCCGTCACTGATCGCGCCACCTTTGAGAAGAGCGTGTCTTTTGGCACCTGTTCGAGATTCTGCAGAACGATGAGATGGAGGACGCTTGCTCACAACTCTGAGCGAATGGTTTGAGTCACTTGTTCGAAGGCTGAGCCGATGAGTTGAAAAAATTGATGTCTCTTGGCCGGATTGTTGCGTTGTATGTGGGTTATTATGGCCCAGTCTTAGGCCGAATGCACGTGCAGAGGTAAAGGATACACCATAACATATCAATGCTCGAAAAGGACGGGTTGTAGGGAGTGCGAGATGCAAGGTTATCAAAGGTGAATTTGTTGATAATATTTGAGAGTGGAAGGTTTCCAAAACTGCAATGCCGCGTAAATCATCTGACCTTTTTGGTATTGACATGTGGTTCCTGCCAGTTCATGGCCTGCATTGACATCTTACAGAATGCAGTCGCAATCCGTGGTTCTGCAAGAGCCAGGAGGATTCTTGTCGACTCTCATTCCTCACGCCAGACCCTTTCTCAATAGGCTGAACACTTGAGAAGGAGCCTTCAGAACAAGTCAAGGCGAGTATGGGTGGTCCTCAAGGGATGCCGTCGGTATAAAACATCACCGACTTACCTAAGCCCCACCTTACGGCAGTCGAGAAGACCCACTGATCCCCGGTGGGGTTCTACCCATCGCAAGGAGGACTATAGCGCCTGCTGCATTGCTCATCTTCCATGCAATGCAGACAGGACAACGGAAAGACTGCCCGTTCGGTTCCCGGCCTGAATCGACAGAGTCATGGTGGTAAAGTCCTGTTGGAAATGCCATGGAAAGAAAAGTTTTCACATATTAGATTAGAAATGGGGTTGTCAGAGTGCCATGCGGATTGTCTGGGCACTAGCCGACATTACTAGTACTTGGCGAGAACGCTTCCTGACCCTGGAGTGGTATGGCAAGCTATGACGACATTGATAGGCAGTTTCGCTGCCCGTTCAGCAGGGTTGAACGTGGTCAACAGGACCAAGCATAGAAGTAGCTTCTCATCAAGGCTGGTGAGACATAGTTATTTCTTGCAGAAGACCTTCAATGTAAGTTGGTGGTTAGTTCTGACTGCAATGCGGATTCTTCGTAAAAGGTAGCCAGTCGGTTGTCGAGGGAAGGTTAGTCAGGGTTAATGTACCGCCTGTCAGCGGCTCCTATCATGTACCATCTGACTGCCTCTTCTATGCAACCAATAGCGCAGATGATCACCAGCCTTGAGCCTTGTGGAGGCGCAATCGCGGTGCATGGTTTGATTGAGATGTGTCATTTCGCCGCATCCAAGGCTCCGACGCCCAGCGAAAGTATCTCGATGCTTCTTCACCACCGCGGTCTCCTCTCCTGTAATTTAGTTCTGACGCAGGCGGCGGCACAACGGGCATGTTCGGAATTACCAACCACGTGAAAGTGGGATGAGTGGTGGCGGTGATAGTAATGAGGGCGAGGGTGCGGGAGCGGCAGAGTCTGCTCTGTTGATGCAGCTGAACGACAGGCAGGACCAAAGAAGGCCGTCGAACCACACACCATGGCCAATACGCCTAACGTTACATGATACCAGTCGATTCTTGAATGTGCAAAAGGATTCTATGCATCCCATCTGGCATTAACCTGGTCTGACCACGCATCCGCACATAGCGTCCAGGCTCCGCGAGACAGACATGCAGCATGGCACATCCCCTCCCAGCCAGTCGCATGCCCAACAGCCATCCTGATTGAAGCAGCCCAGCCCCGCTGAGCATTACTTGGCCCAGCCCGTGGCATGGCACATGCATGCCATGCCTCACCACCTTTGTTACCCCCCCAAACCAAGCGCCCCGCCCGCTCACTGTCCCACGCCATCATTACTGCCAGCCTTTCCCCGATAATATAACCTGTTGTTCCGGCGCAACTCCTTGCAGCCTGGTTTCATTGCCTGTCCTTTTGCTTCCTGCTGTTTCGTCGTGACCGCTCTGCACAGTCCAAGTTTTCTCTTTCCCCGCCGGGCGATCTGCGTTGCGCAACATGTCATACCACGAAAGGGTGTACCGAGATACCCGGTACAGGGACGATGACGAGGATGACGAACGGTACAAGAGCACCACCGTGCGCCGGTACAAAGTGGGCGACGGCGGATCAACCACTCGCGTCGACCGCGTCAAGCGATATGAGGATGACTTCGACGACCGAAGATCCACAGCTTCCTACCGAGACGACGACTTTCGCGCTTCTCGTTCACACCTCGGCCGCGCGTCCGGCGAGCTGGTCGAGGTTGACAAGCGTGTGACAGAGAGAACATACACACCCGAGCGGCCTCGATCTGCCTTCGAGCCCCCCGTGCAGCGTACCGTCATAGAAAAGAGAATAGTCAAGGAGCGCGATGCCGGCTCCGAGTTTCGCCCACGCGACCGTGACCGTGACCGCGAAGATAGATACACCGTCGTGGAGAAGGAAATCGACTACTCACGCGGCGATACCGACCGGCGCGAACGCGATGTCTACATCGAGAGGGAGCGCGAGCCAGAGCGCCGCGACAGGGTCGTTCGTGAAACGCGCGAGACCGTCGAGCGAGAAAGAGACTCTCCGTTGTCGCCCAGAGATCGAGACCGCGACTGGGATCGTCGCTCGCGAGCACCTTGGGATGATCTCGACGATGTCCGCGTCGAGAAACGGGTCGAACGCCGGACTGAGGAGCACGGTGATCATGTTGATGATGTCCGTGTGGAGAAGCGTGTTGAGCGCAGGTCCGACGACCATGTGGATGATGTGAAGATCGAGAAGCGCATCGAGAGATTCCACGAGGATGATCACCACCACCACCATCACGAACCCGAGATCGAGCGCTACAGGAAGGAGACGGAGTACTACTCTCCTGCTGACCCCCCGCCTCAACCTATTGTCATCAGACAAAAAGCACCGGAACCACAACAGATCATCGTGCAAGAGGCGCCCGCGCCACCTCCCGTAATCATTGACAGGCAAGCCGACCCCGGCTACATCGTCCTTAGGGAGAATAATCAGCAAATGGCGCGCCGCGATCCTCGAGAGGATGAATATTACTACCGCAGGGAGGAGCGCCGTGACGACGGCTATGCCATGGAACGTTATGATGATCGCCGGCGGCGCGACTATGATGATGACCAAGAAGATGTCTACGTCAAGAGAACTATCATCCGCCGTGATCGTAGTTCCAGCTCTGACCACCACAAAAAGAGGCATCTTGCCGAAGGTGCTCTTGCAGGAGCCGGTATTGCCGCTCTTGCAGGCGGCCGCAGAGGTCGAGATGGAGAGGTGGAAGGTAATCGAGGCAAGAAGGTTCTTGCCGGTGCTGCACTTGGTGCCTTAGGTACCGAGGTTATCAGAAGAGCTCGCAGTGCGTACGAAGATCGGCACGACAATCGATACGACGATGACTACTATGATGATCGCAGGAGAAGTCGCTCCAAGTCACGTTCTAGATTGACTACCGGCCTTGCTATTGTATGTACTTGTCCGCGATTTGTTCCCGAAAATACCACTAACATATTGATTCAAGGGTGCTGCTGCCCTGGCTGTTGCTGGAGGCCTGAAGTACATGCAAAACAACAAAATCGAGAAAGAAGAAGCCGCAAGGGGCCGGAGCAGAGGCCGTAGGTACTCAGACGACTATTCGCGCTCCCGTAGCCGTTCTGGTCGATCACGGAATGCAAGCATGGCCAAGGCGGCTGCCGCTACTGGGTAGGTTCTACAACACACCATCCCCAACTGGCATACACATAACCCCCGAACGACAAGAAACGGGGTACTTTGAATATACTACTTGAGCGAACGTGCACAGTAGTAGACGGCCGGACTGAAGCTGACAGTATCGTCTTAGTGCCATTGCCGGGCTGGTGCAGCATTACCGCAGCAAATCCAGAGGCGGCTCCCGAAGCAAGTCCAGGATCAGGACCGGTAGGTGCAAGATCGCTTTTAGTCAACAGTGTGCTGACAGATTTAGGCGCTGAAATTGCAGCGGCCAGTCTAACAGGTGCTGCCGCGAGCAAGCTATGGCAGAGCCATAAAAAGAAGCAGGCACGCGAGCACGATAGGGACATTGACGATGAGTACTATTCCGATAGAGATCGTCGGCACAGTGTCTCCCGTAGCCGCAGCCGCAGCAGGTCGATGGCTCGCAGCCTCAGCACACGAGATGGTGCTAATCCAGAACTAGGCCTCGTTGAATACGGCGCCACTCCTCTTCCACCTACGGCACGTGAGGCGGCGAGGGAGGACCGGCGCCACCGCCACCGTCACCGGTCGCCATCAGTTGAGTCAAACAGGGAGCCAACACAGAAGAGGAGTAAGAGCCGTCTGCGTGAGGCAGCGGCCGGAGTGCTAGGTGCTGGCGCGGCGGCAATAGGGATCAAGAAGTATAATGATGCGAAAAAGGAGAAAGAGAAGGAGAGGTCTCGAGAGCGGTCTCGAGAAAGGAGCCGAGACCGATCGCGTGACAGATCTAGAGACACCAGGTCACATGAAAGAAGAGAATCGCAGGATGAAAGGGCCAAACACAGACGGGATAGGAAATCAAGGGAACGGGAACGAAGACGTGAGTCCCGTTTATCGCTCACATCTCATCAAGATCAATAAATGCTAACTCGAGAGAAGGCTACGACGAGGAGTCGGCAGCCGGCGGTTATTATTCTGATGGCTACGACCACGAAGCGCCTCCATCACCACCCATGGCTTCTGGAGGAGCGTTCTATCCTGGAAACTACCCACCAGCCACTGGTCCTCCTGGTCCTCCTGGTCCTCCTGGCTTTACTCATCACACCAATGAATCTACCATGAACGTCAACGCCTACCCGCCACCCCCTGGTAGTCACTACAACCCGCAAGAGTACACTAACCTGCCCCCTCCACCTCCTGGGCCGCCACCAGGAGCTTCGGGCCGTCCTCATAACCCCTATCCTCCTACCGGGCCAGAGAATGTGAGTCGTCAGCCAGATCCCGGCGACAATGCAGCTTCCATTTCTAGAAATGACCCGGATTCAAGGGGGGTTAGTGCACAAGGTGCGGTGTGACCCCTGAATCTGCGATGTATTTTCTTTTTTCCTGTAGTTGTTTCGTAGCTGGGGTGCAGATTACTGACCAACCTTTGCAGATGGTTTAACAGGATCCATGCGTCAGCGTCCTCACTCCCGTGGATCTCCAGCCTCATCACGATCGAGCTCTGTCAGTAGTGCTCCGGATACTCCTGCACCATCCGCTGCCAAATCCGTGGCTTTCATTCCGTTATCCCCACAGTCAAGCCGCACTTTGCGAAGTCTCCACGAATCACATGTAAAGGGACAGTCTGACGACAATGCCCGCGAACCATCTCCATCGGGCACAGATGGCCAGGCCGTCCGCCCAAGGCGGCCCAATTTCACTAGACGGCGGTCCGATTCTGATCCATCTTCGAATCGTCCGATGGTCCAGCGGCGCAAACACCGCGGTGATCTATCTCCTGTGTCCGATGAGGATGTCGAAGTCCTCCCAGACCGGTTTGATCCCGCCGGCCGTCCTATCGACCCCAACAGCCCGCAGCGCCTGCACAGCAGACGAGGCGATTTCGAATACCGTTCGCGCGACGGGAATGGAATGCAAGTCCAAGGAGCTTGGGGCGTCCACGGCACGGATCCCGAGATGGTGAACCGGATGGCGCAGGGTTTTGGCGACTTACTGCAAGGCAGACACGGCTGGATGGGTATTCTGGGCAATGTCCTGACGAGTCTCCCTGGACCAAGCGGGGCAGGGCATGAAGGACGGGCCGCCATTGAGGCCGAGAGAGGTTACGACAGCGACGATGAAGATAAGCGGCGCAGGAGGCGGCATCGGCATAGAAGGGATGATGACTACTAACTGTCGCATTTTTTCTTTCTTTCTTTTTAATGAGTTGCGCACTTGGTCCGGGATAGGAGGCATAATGCGATGTGGAATACATTATACGAAGAGTCCTTTCAAGCGCGTTCGATATATCTGGGATGGGTTTACGATAACGAATAATGAATCTCTTTGGCATGACCATGTACAAGGCTTTTATGACAACAGGCAATTTCATAATGGGCGGGTGTTTATTCCTAAATTTTTTACACCACAAAATCATAAACAATTAGACTACAACAAGGTGGTTGTTAGCTTCTCAAATCTGGAAAAAAATATTTGTGTTGTTTATATCGAAACTCGGCAAGTTCGCGGACGATGACCAGTTGCGCAAAACAATCCAATGCAACAGTTTTTATAAAAGTCTCAATTTTTCAAGCTTGTCAATTGTTGTTTTTTGTAGTAAAATATATCTCATATAGTAACAAAATAAGTACATCCTCGGTGCTCCTCATTATGTATGCCACCATACCATCTGTTGTACGGCTGTCTTGCCTCAGAATGGTATGTCTTTACACATGTCACTTATACACAGATTGGAAAGAAAATCTAGTTCCCAGTAGTTTCTGGGCCATATTGACCCGCAAATGAATCATGCCTAAACGCCGTCTTTCGTGATTATTTGTTTACAAAAGCAGAGTGCCGGCAAGGGTGAAAGCACCGACGACGGCAGTGACGGCGAAGAAGCTCATATCCATGGGAGGTGCCGGGCGTCCACCCTCACTCTTGCCGGATGAGGTGGCAGAGACGGAACCAGAACCGGCGGATGCGGTACCAGTGGAAGTCTCACCAGCGTTCTGCGAGCCATCACCCTTCCAGCCAGGACCGGCGCCAGCGCCGCTCGTCATGTACTAGAAGAAATAACGTCAGTTTTGAACAAATCATCATCAGATTCGGTAAGAGTACTTACGTCCTTGGCCTTCTCCGGGATGGCTGGGAGAGAGTCATCCTCGACCTGCCAATCAGCACCAGCAGTGGGGCAGGTGACCGAGTGGGTGGTTGATACAGCGCCGCCGCTGCCAGTGGGAGCCGGGTACTTGGAAAGAGCAGACTTGAGGTTACCAAAGTCATCCCCCTCGGTAACGGTTGCGTCGGAGCCACTAACTTTGACAACTCCATAACCGTTGCCCTCACTGCTGTACTCGTAGACGAGACCACCAGAGTAGACAGCACTCATGTCGTCGCTCATCAAGGAGCCCAGCTCTTCGAAGGTTCGGGGCGGGTTTGCAATACAACCCCACTCGGACAGGAAGATGGGCAGACCGTAATCAGTGAAGTTCTTGACCTTCTGGTCCCAGCCGGATGTTTGAAAGCTTGAAGGAGAGCACCATGAGTAGTCGTTGAAGGCGAAGAAGTCACTTCGAGCATCGTCGGATCCGCAGTTGAAGTAGTCAGCAGTCTCTTGACGGTTGCTGGCGACATCAGCTGCTGAATAACCGACAGGAACCGCACGAAGCTTGCGGCCGGACATGTACTGCTTGATGTCTCGGGTGACAGCCTTGACGTAAGGAGCGGCCAGGGTCGAGTTTGCTTGCTCGTTGATAACCTCGTTTCCAGAGAAGAAAGCCAGAGTGTTGGTGTATCCAGCGAATTCCTCGACAGTGGCGAAGACACTCTGTAGATAGACGTCGTTGTAAGACGGAGAGGGAGCGTAACGGTTGATAGAGTATTTGGGGTTGTTGACATCCAACACGAGGTAGATGCCAGCATTGGCAAGCTCCTTCATACAGTCATCGTGGGTCTTGGAGTTGTCCACCATGTACACTCGAATTGTGTTCACACCAAGCTCCTTGAACTTGGCGATATCACGCTTGCAGATTGTCGTGTCGGCAAGGGGGTCAGAATCACCAGACGAGCCACCGGGTTGGTAGTCAATTCCGCGGAGGTAGAAGCGGTCACTGCCGGTCCAGAAAGCTGGACAGAAATATCAGCTACCGAGTTTCGGCGAGGGTCACCCGTGATTTAAACAGGCCGCTGTTGGCTGATCGACTCGACTTACCATTTCCGGAGGCCGTGACTGTGGGTAGTGTATCAGCTCGCTTTGGGAGCTCGTTCTCAGTGGGAGTGGGGCCAGCATTGGCGATGGTGGCCACCGCCAAGGTGGAAATGAGGGCGAAGGACTTCATGATGAAATTGGAAGAGCCTCCAATGATACAGGTTAAAATGTACGAAATTGGTCGGCGCGAGTATGTGGTCGGTCTAGCAGTGACGGATGTGGCAGAAAAATATCAACAACGAAAGACGTGGTAACTAGTATTAAAATAACAAAAGGTTATAAAAGGGCAACAAAGCGAGAGAGTTACCCGGCGAGAATCTTCAAAGCGAAGAAACGATTGTTGGCAAAGTCAATGATCAATGAAAGAAGAAAGGGAGGTAAAGAAGGGTTTCCAAGTTTCCTAAGTAGAACCATAAGGTTTTCAAGAAAAGCCAAGCGGCGGGAGCTTGACTGGAAACCGGCGTCAGATCAGTCATGACAACCTTCCAAGACATCTCACTCCATACCTTTACTCCGGACACCAGACTAAGGTGGTGCTAGGAGTTCATAACTTGGAATGGAGGAGGGGGGTGTGCATCCACAAATCAACTTTACTGGTAAGGTTATGTTTGGCGTTCAGCTAAGGGAACACGAGCGCGTCCAGACCACGAGATACGGATCCGTAGACATAGAGCCACCCTCCCCCCCTTTCGCTTCGTGCCTTGCATTGACATTCTAGAAAAGGCACAATTGGCGTGTCAGGGGGTGAGTAGTCGTTACCCATTAGACAGTGTGAGACGGCTTCTCGAACAGTGAAGATGTATGCATACGACGCAGCTCAACACAGTTTTAACAATCCCAATAATCTCCTAGATTCAATGCATTTTGTCATTGTTTCCGCTCGGCGGGCCCCCAAATGCGCTGTAGGGTGGGATTAGTCCTCGAGTTGGCACCAATATTTTCAGGAACCATTTCCTATTGGCGTGCGTCAATCAAGCCACAGAAGTGATGCTGCATATCCGAGATGCGCCGTCCAGGCCGTTCAGGGATGGTGTCGACAAATTTCCGCTGTAATCTTGAAAGTCATCATTTCTTCTGATTGAATCAGCGCCAATTGGTTCCATAACTGAGGGCACTGCCCCAAACGACTTGTTTCAATCATCGATACTGCGCTCCACCATCATTTGAGGTCTCTACACGTACATGTGTGCGGTGTCGAACAGATCTTACTGTATACCCAAAATCTAATGTGCTGCTGCTGCGCTTCTCCTGCGTAGCTCGTGTATGCTCGTATCGGCGTTTTGCCTCTGGCGTCTCTGGCTACTGTATGCGGCGGCACGTGTGCTAGTCTGCATTGCACTGCCTCTGCTATTTACCTGCCTACACATGTAGAACTCATGTCGGTCAATGCAAATTCCTGTGCCGATCTTCCATTGATTCGTGCCGACTTCGTCTCACAACAAGCCCATGGAGCACCAATGGTCCTTCCGGATCAGCTGTCTGCTACCGCGATGCCGTCATACTGGGGTCGGGAAGCCCCTGGACTTCCCCATCGCCAAGCCAACTCCAGAGGCAGGGCTGCTTCTACAGCATGGGTCGTGTGCGACATACGCAGTCATAGAGGCGCTCGGCATGCTTCAAATACTTTGCAAATTAACGGCAACGAGGGGGTGCTCTAGATTGTTTTAGACTGCATCAACATTTTCAACATAGTACAGCCATTCTCTTCTAACCTTGGTCACGACCGTAATATTTGGGTTTCGTCGGAACCAAATGCGTTGGCATATGAAAATTCAATACTAATAAATAAATAAAACCGGCATTTACCCCTGAGCACTAAAATTGTCCGCATTCTCCACTAAAAAGGCAAGAGTGGGCTACTGTCCCATTTTGCCCAGCTGCCCAGGTGGCCATGGAATGCTCCCGTCAGCTAGATCAGTCAACTACAGTAGGTTAGAGTCGATAGTAGTGCTAGATTTAAGTTTGTGCCTTATTGCAGCATGAAACAATCACCATGAGTTTTGTCCCTTTGGGTTTTTGTGACAGAACGTGTTTCTCTTGGATCGGTTGGCGCTCGGATGACGTTTGCGAATACTGGGTTGATCAACTTCTATTTGTTGCCCACACCATGAATAGCATGAACCCGTAAAGCTGGGATGATCAAGGTCATCCTCATTTCAGTCAGTGTACTGCTTGTCCTATCTCATTCCTCATTATAGCGATCTGCGGCTGCTCTAGCCATTGTTGCTTGTTCTGCTATCTTAGAACTGATATAGACCAGATCGTATGCTGGTCGCACTCTTCAAACGTCAATCTATGATGAACTCCTACAAGGTACCCTCTATATAGTATATACGAGTTCTATTAGGCACTAATGTGCAGAACCCGTGCCTCGGATTTCAAATAACCAATAACAAACGCTAAATCTAGTAAGAAAAATAATAGAGAAAAGCTTTGGGGCAAACCTTCAATGTAACTTAGCACCTCATCCCATATGCGCACCTAATTGCTCCCCTCGAGTCCATAATTTCCATTGCCGTAGCAGCCTACTAGGCCTGACGGCTTTCTAGTCGAAATCCTTCTTCTGTCATGGACTCGAGAGATTTTCTGTCAGGAGCTGCCGAGATGATTCTGCTTGGGTGCCAGATATTCAAGAGGATCATGGCAGAAAGCATCAACAACCCGTCAAAGATATACAGCACGGCCTCAAAGGTCTGTAAAGAGCCATCCCACCCCTGCCCATATTCAATGATTCGGAAGATGGATCGGATAAGAATGAGAACCGACACAGCATAAAGCACGTACAAGAACCGCTGCCACGGAGCATTGCTGGTGGCCGACGTAGACGTGGGGTTTTGGAGTATACGCCAATGGAAGAGGATCGAGACGAGGATGAATACCGAAAAGCCGATAAGCTGAACGGCCAAGCCGCCCATGATAATGTTCTGGCCGCGTTGAAGGCCGTCGGCGTCATTGGCCGATGCGAGCAGTCCTCCACCACTAGCACACAACGTCAGCGTTCACGCAGAAGACATCGGGACAGGTGAGGCAACATACCCTCCTTGCATCAGGAAGGAGATGACATCCAATGTGACAAATATCTTGGTGAGCCATCTTGCCGGAATGACCGAATACTTTTCTCCGTCCACTAGTCGAATTATACGACCAAGTATCATATACACCGAAGCTGCAAACAATGCAGGAGCGATCAGAATGAGCAGAGTCTGTATAATGTATGGCGTCAAGGTCCAGTCGGGCGTCTCGAGTGCGGACCCAATGCGCCCGCCATATCCTATCGTTTCACACAAACCGCCGATCACGAAGGGTATGAAGTACCATGTCCGATGCCGAGTTAGTTGATAGATGTGCGTTAAGGTCGATATCGCGAACAGACTCAGAAACAGAGCTGCCGCTGCCATGGAGGGATCATAGTGATAGTACTTGAACACGGCCATTGTTATTTGTGGAAGATAATCGGGTATGTACCAATTGAGTCCTTCAGTCGATGTCGGTCGTCCTCGGTCGGGTCGTCTTCTTCCAGGTTGGGTGGCTGCTCACTGGTTTCACTATAGAAGTCATTTTGTGTGCAGCAGAATGCAGATATATACCACGCCAGCAACAAGCAGTAACGAAATTGTTTGTCTGCGGTTCAGACGCCAAAGGCTGCTTGTGCTATACTTCCATCTCCACTTTTACGAAATATACGACAGCCACCCGAACGGTTGCCGAATTCAAGGTGTATCCGAGGCCCATTTTTCGGCCATTCTTGGACTAGTGTACGATTCGTGCCGGTATGGCTTGAGGCTTGGGCTTATTCGCATCCACAGTCCTACGACAAACACGGGGCAATCAGATATTTCCATGTCCGAGAACAATAGCGAGGTTCGGCCAAATCTTGACAGCACTAGGCAGCAGTTTAACGGTCAATAATCTGTTTGCCAGTCAACGCAATCGCTGTTCACGTCGGCCTTAGTGTGTCGCTTGAAGATCTAAGCCACGCGGGCGACGCAAGCTTCCTTCTCTCTGAAGATGAACCCGAGAATATACGAATCGTCGTTTTCCATTGTGAAGGGTCTTCTGCACGTTGGCTCCCGCTTGTGGTTGACATTTGCCTGTGGCCGTAACGTCCCTTAGTGGACTACCAGACCTCCTGAGGCTCACAGCTGCCACTGTGCCTAGCTCCAAGGCTGAATCAAACTTTGGTGGGTTTTCTCCAGGCGTGTCATTACAACTATATACACTTTTATTCCGAATGACCCGAGTGTCCGGCTTTGCCTAATATGGCGACCAGGTGGCATAACAACAGTATATGATGGGCGAAATGTCCCTGTCGAGACGATCCCATCCAAAAAGCCGCCAGTAAGTAATACCCCACATGATCAGGTTCAAGCACCACTGCATTTTGCAGCGGCTGATACTGTTATAATCACAGAGGGTGCAAGATTTGCAAGTCGCGGAAGGTTAAGGTAAGCCAATCAATTATTATGTGAATCTTTGTTTAACCGAAATTCCCACTGCACTTCATTGGCGTAGTACGTTGCAATATTTTCCGTTCTACTCTTGATGCTAGAAAATTGGCGGCCCAATTTCAGTACTATAGTCTGCTTTCGTCAAGCTACGGGCTGTTCTGAGGCTATATGATAACCTGGCATTACCCAGTGCGACGAAACAAGACCAGCATGTCGAAATTGTGTCAAGCATAATGTCGAATGCGACTTTCTCACAACTCACACGCCGAGACCAAGTCCATCCCTGTCCAATGGATTTGGCGGCTTGAACATGGCTGATCTGGAGTTGCTGCACAACTATTCGACCACAACATGTATTTCCTTTTCCGAATCCGATATCATGCGAGAGTATTATCGTATCAATGTGGTGCAGATGGCGTTTAGGAACGAGTATATCATGCGAACATTGCTTGCGATTTCTGCTCTGCATATTGCTCATCACAGGAAACAATCATTCGACTATTACGTTTCGTTGGCCATGGCACATCATCAAGCGGCATCACGGACGGCCATGGAGCTCATGACGAACATCACCTCGGAGAACGCGCCGATGCTGTTCTTGTTCTCAAACCTCACCATGTTTTTCGGTATGTAAGCATGACCCCTGCGCGTTTGCATCTATGATTTATCACCTAGAATTCTGGTATAAAAAAAAGAAAGAGAGAAAAAGGGACCAATCAACCAGTTGACTTACGATTCGGGGGGGGAATAGCCCTAGCAGCACCACGTCAAGAATCAGAGTTCCTCCTCGTCGGGGAGAGCGGGTTTCCCGACTGGATGTTCCTGCTCCGCGGTGTGAAGCTCTTCCACCCATACCTATCCGACACGAGCAAGACCACGGAGCTGGCGCCGATGCTCCAGGACGGCGGACGCCGCTGGCTCGCACAAGCCGGCGCCACGCTGGACGCCGACTCGCCCGCCAAGAAGCGCCTGGACGACGTGGCATCCAGCATCAAGACCCTGGCGGCGGGCGGCGACGGCGACGACCACGTGGTCGGGGTGTACCTCGACGCCATCGAAAAGCTCGAGCGCATCTTCGCCGTGTACGCCGCGCCGTCCGGGGTCGGGGAGTTGCGCGACATGCGCATGGCCTTTATATGGCTGTTCCAGGTGACGGACGGGCTGCTGCCGCTGCTTAGAGTGCCGACCCAGGAGGCCATGGTGCTGCTGGCCTTCTTCACCGTGCTACTCGACAAGTCGCCCAACCACTGGTGGCTCCAAGGATGGCCGGAGCACTTGATATCCAAGATCCACGCCATGCTGGACGAGGAGCATCGGCTCTGGATCAGGTGGCCCATGGAGGAGATGGGCTGGCTTCCGCCTTCGTGTTAGGGTTTCGGGGAGGCGAGCAACAAAAAACCATAAACTTGGCTGAAGCGGCTGGCTATGGCTATCGTGGCGTGTCATCAAAACCATGCTTGCTACAGTGCTTTGGCAATGACCGGCATCAGGGATGGCAGATTTTACTAGACGCCAGGGGAAAACTTTTCGAAGAGATATTCGCTAAATGGCCGGTGCGTCTTTAGGAGTCAGGAATATATCGGACGGTGGCCCTAATAATTCCAGCGAACCACTATCAATATCATGACTGCTGCAAGTCTGAAGATATACATGGACGGGCAGCCGGTGGGTGGGAAACTAGCATGGCAAATCCGAGACGAAACACAGAACACGTGTATTTGATCCAGCTATAGAGAGACGAGAATTATAATAATCCAGCACAATCCCCGTGGTCGTTGTAGTACAAGCATTGCCTATTGCCATGTGCGCGGGTATCTCGACCGTTCCGAACGCTTTTATTTCTCATGTACATTTTGGGCATCCATTTTCACGTTCATAATCTTACATTCCCTTTTGTCATTCGCTGCCTTGGTCCGGATTAACTCGCGCCCAATCCATTCCCAGCCTTCCGGGGCGATAGGTGGTGTATCGCCACCATCACACTGGTAATCCAAAACATCATCCAGCAGTGGATGAGTCACCGCCTGTTCAGCTGTCAAGCTCGCTCTGTATACCCAGGCCTCCAGTAAACGATAGATGCCCCACAGCGTTCCATCGACAGTACTTGGACGCTCGCTGGGCTGCACTCTCTGGCCCCTCTGTAAAACTTCGTGCTGGCTCGCAACATTGACCTGAGCCGAATCCTTCAATGATTGCGCATAAACATAATCGTCGAGCGCGCTGTACGACATCCACAACTCTGAGGCGAGCTGTGAGACGGGGGGCTGTGAAATAGCCTGAGGTCGCTGGCCCAGATCGGGTATCCAGCGGTCTTGACGAGCCAATAGGTCGGACGACGATTCCAGGAGAAAATCCATAGACCCGAGGCTTAAACGTTTACCTCGGCCCTTCTTCTTCTTCTTCTTCTTCTTCTTGGGAGATGGCTGCTTCGCCTTCCTTCTTGCTGCAGCTGGCTTGCGCGGCTTAATGGACGCCACATTACTTGCGGTATTGCCCTTTTTGACGCCGGCATTTGTTCTCGCCCGTGGTTTCAATACTTCTGGAACGTAAATAGGTTTAGGGGGCCCTGCAGAGCGTGAAGCGCGATGGGGTTGCTGCCTCGTAGGAGCTGCCGGCGAACGTTCTGGTATCATCGTGGTTTGAGATCGCACTATGCGCGCAGAGTGGTCTTAGAGAGTTTGAATGATTGGAGCAGAGTGGTGGATAGGTTTAAGTAGTAGACTGAAGGAGTGACGGAAATATACTCGGGATAGACATGTCAGTTCATAAGCCATAGAGATACCGGAAGTTTCTTGAATATAAAAACCAAGCAAGTCTGGCGCACTCCATGTGAGAAGTCTTGGGGAAATCGTCAAGATGTATTGTCTCGCATCATGAGGTACTCCGCAGACAAAGCAGTCGTTGAGAAATACCTTTGACCTTGACAAAGAAGCGCTGTGGCAGGTCGTAACAACGGCGTCTGTAGATAGACTCGATGCCTTGTCTCCTAACCGGCTCGCAAATGGTCGAGCCCGCGAGTATTGACTTAAGATAATACCCATTCACTATGACATGAGTCGATGGTAGTCTTCTGTCTAGGAGAACTGATAGATTAGACAAAGGCACACCAGTAAATCGATCTCACCCTTATGATCCCAATCCCGTGTAACTTTTTTTTGGACTGGGTTCCATACTGGCATCAATTGCGATATCTGTCATTTGAGTCTTCGCAGATGCATTTGACGGTTGCTTCTCAAATGAACCATGGAGCGGCGATATTGAGATCAAGCACATCCCACCACTTCGCACTTGGTGACCTGCCACTATCGGCTTGGAGATCTTGATGCTTCCAAAACGTCTCGATGATGTCGCGAAGCACTTTGATATTGCCAATACGACGTATAGTATCCATTTTATCCAGGGCTTGAAGTATCTCAATGCGTTGTTCGTCGACTTCGGCTTCGCAAGCGAGAACAAAGAGCGGCCAAGGGCTGGAACACGTTTCCAGAGTGTTCAGTACTTTGAACGCTTGGTCCAAGTACATCGTCCTGAGTTCGTGAACTTGAGCAGTGTTGCAAGTTCTTTGCAAGTACAGAAAAGTAGCGAGGCGGTATAGTTCTGCAGTGCTGCGAATCATCGTGCGCTGGTACTGAGTCAAATGATCGACATGAACAGGGTCTAGTCTTTGTTCCAGGTTTGCTAGCCGACTTTCGATGATGTGCCACTCCTCGTTACGGCGGGTCTTGTCTTCGGTTGTGGGCGATCCGGTGTCTCCGTTAAGCTCGCGCGCGCGGAGTCCATTGATGAAACTAATGATCTCCATGACTTCCACAGAGCAGCCAAGAGAACCCACAATCTAGACTGGTGAGTAAGCTCGTCAGTGTGGGCAGAAGTTCAGGTTCAACCTACAAGAGATGTATCGAACTGTAGATCGTCCTTCAGCTGTAGCGATGTAGGTCCTTCTGGGTAATACGACTGTGGATCGCCGAATTCACCTAGTACCTCGTGGTAGAGGAACCAGGTATAAAGGAAGGTGGACTCCGGATAGCCATTGCGAATGCTCATCAGCTTGTGTAATACAGCGTTAGCGCCTTTAAGGTGAAGCGCCCAATGTCCCTCGGATTCATCGAAGACCTAATGAGAACTATCAGTAAAGTGACGCGAATACAATCAGATGTCGGTGCCCTGACATTATACACACATAGCATCATCGATGTTGCAAGTTGTGTTTCAGTAATGGCAACCGAGTCGCCCGATAAGGACCACGATAGAGATTGTATTGCCTTGGCTTTGAATGGCAGTGCGGCTTCATGACCGAGAAGATGGAAAGCAGCTACCGAGATCATCGCATTTCGTAGTCCCTCGGAAGTCGGGTTATATGGCGATAATGCCAATGGGAGGATATACTCTCTGAAGCCATTGTTGACATCAATGGTCGAGACCATTCGCGAAAGTTGATGCTCATCTAAACACGACACGGTGAGCCGATTGCATTTATATCACATGAAAATTCACGTACAGTAGTATATGAGCTGCGGCTCTCTTTCATGAAGGTTTGGTATCAACGGGATGAGTCGTTGAGGTTGGGGAGAGCGATGATAGAGAATGGGGCGGTCACTAGATTCGGCATTGCTGGCTCGTGCGACATCGTCGTAATTGACGTTCAGAAATTGCCTCCCATAATGCTTTGAATTGCCAGCAGGTAGCTGTATAGCTTGGTCTGGTGTCTGGCTCTTGCGCCGACGGCCATCAGGTTGGTCGGGCCATGCCAGCCTAATTCCGTAACCAAGACATTCTCTGCCAGTCCGTAGGCAATTATTACATGCAGGCAAACCGCGATCGCACCCAATCTTACGTTCTTTTTGAACGTAGTCAGCGTTTACCCACATGCGGTCTGTTTGAAATCGCTGAACTCACGTTTGCACGTCCAGCAGCCCTGTGCGCGTCTTCCGGGCTCCATGTCTCGACTCTCTGCAATTGCCGAAGTCGCACGGCGCAGGAAGCTCTCCGATCGTCGCGCTTGCTTGCAGTTGATTCCCCGCAAATCTCACTTGGGTTAGTTTAGTGTTGCCTACGCCGCCGTCTGGCTTGCAGCATCATTCCTAACTTCACCGATTACAGTGTACAGTATTGAAATCCAAATGATTCTCCGAGAGATTTGGAGAGATGACAAAGCCCACCACTTCACGGCACGGCCCCTGTTGAAGATCAGCCGCAGGAGAATCGGTCAAATGAATTCCTGGGGGAATATGGAGGTCTCCTCGCACTAGACTAGGCGCAACGGGTTATTTGACAGCACCCTTGGGTGCATGGGATTGTATGCCGGCGACAGTTGTTCCTTTCCAATCGTCGGAGTTTGGCACACACCAATACCGAGCCAATTATGTCTCGGTTGGCTCCTGTAACAGTAGACACGTTTGCGCAAGATTGCCGTGATGCATATCAGTGAAGGGGTAATCGCGTAACTGCGACCAAATGACATTTCTTTTTGCACGGAACACATGAGAAAGAAAGCTCGTCCAGGTTAAAGTGGCTTGGCTAAATAAGTCTGCGGTCGCGATTTTCTACGCACATGGGCAATAATATCCTAGGTTATGTGGAGTGGGCGCCTGGAACATGCTTACATGTAGCACGACTATAGTTACAACGTCTGCTAGTTCCTGGTTTAATTGCTACGTCAAGCTTGGAAGAATGCCTGCGTCGTTGGGCGTTACAAACTTACAAAATTCCCGGTGCTGTCAACGGGATCCTTTGATTTCCGATGCTCTGATTTCTAATGCAGAGGGCATGGCGCATCATGGGTGGCTTGGACAACCCGGCATATGCTAGAGTTGTGCCCATCGAACTATTGAGTGATGATCTGCTGCCCGAACCGAACACGGCCATTCCGACGCAGATGGTTGGGGGAAAGGGTTTCGTAGACCAACAACACTTGTACGACGCGAGATTGGAAAAAAAGAGACTTGGATAGAAACTAAGAGAAACGCGACCCTACAGTGTTAACCAGTAAAGTAAACGATATTGGGTGCTATCAACATAATTGGCTGCAGGATTCTTGCTTGTGCTCGCAACAGACAGGGTATGTTGCAAAGAGAAGCAACAGGGCAAGCATGGGCCTTATCCATGTAAACATCGTGAGTCCGGTTACATTGTGAGTCTAGTTACATATGAGTCTGGCAGGTCTGGCTACATTACGGGCTCACTTGAATCTGGGGACGTGGGTGCCCGCCACCGCAGACGGTTCATGCAGTGGGTAGAGCAGAGCGGAAACCTGTTACGGCAGTTGAGCACAGTTAAACCCCGACTGCTGAGGGGCTGACAAGAATCAGATTATGAAATCTGCCACGCTCGTACTGTAGCTCAATATTTGTGGTTCTTTGCTTGGCAGATGTCTTCTGAGTATCCGTATACTCGGAACGAAGACGAAGCTGTGGCTTAACTTGCATTGTGCCACAATGCCGGCTCTTTAAGTAGTTGACGATCTTTCTCCACCTGTGGCGCGTTAACGTCTCTTTAGTGTGAACTCGGCCGACCACATGAATCAGACGGATCAGGGAGTCGCCGAGGTTCCAATTGACATGTGGTCGTCGATGCGTTTCGGTCGATGTCATGTTCCGAGCTCTAGTTTAAGAAGCACCCTGCCACCAACTGAATACTGATATCACCTACCAAAAACCGGGCGCATTCCATCTGTCGATTAGTCGTATCTACATACGCCACTTGAATTGATAACGTGTTGCCTCACATATAAACAGCCTACTCGAACAGCCCTTCCTTACCAGACAACTCGCCAAGATGAGCCTCAAGAACGGTACGGACTACGATATGATGGCCGCATTACTTTGACGTCGGATGCTGACTAGAAGCACTTTGCAGACAAGTTCCCGTCCTCTGCCGCCTTTGACGCGATCAACAGTGCCCTGAACTCGAGCGAGGCCGATAAGAAGGATGCGATCAAGCAAGGAAATGCCGTCTTCGCATTTACGTTGAAGAACAAGGCTGGTGAGACGGAGAGCTGGCACATTGATCTCAAGCAGAGTGGTTCGGTCGGGAAAGGCCTCGGAACGAAGCCCACAGGTAAGATATGGCTGTCAGCGGCACACGTGAGCTATACTTTTGAGGCTAACACGAGGGATACGCAGTCACGCTATCACTTTCAGACGAGGATTTCAGCAAGCTGGTAGCTGGTCAGGCAAACGCACAACGGTTGTACATTTCCGGAAAGCTGAAGGTCAAGGGTGACGTGATGAAGGCGACCAAGATGGAGCCTATTCTGAAGAAGGCTCAGACGAAGGCCAAGTTGTAAAGTAGTCTAATGCAGGGAATGGCGCGTACAACCAAGCATGATTGACCGGCCTCTTCGATCTGAATGAGAGACGCAGGACAATGACTGTCATGCATGCAGGTTACATTGCCCAAAGTCCTGGATATCCTTAGGCACAAGGTACTGCAATCTACATGGTATATCAGAATGTATTAATACCCACACAATGTTCAACTAGTCTAGAGGCCACATCGTATGGCGGTGCATTCTGGAAGTTTATGAGGGGTTTATAGTGGAAGCCTAAGTCTGAAATAGCCCGCCTGTGTGTTGCCTGGCTAGAGTGGTGAAGTCGTGGGAGGGTGCGTCTTTGCGCCAACAGAGACAATTACTCGTAGTTAGTTAGGTAGGAGACACTGGATTTCACTGATTAAACAGATCGGTTCAGGTCATATGTCTTGGATCACATGTCTATCTAGTATTGCGTATTTGAGACGACATTTGGGGAAGTCGCAGAGTGAGCCGAACTCAACTGAACTAAACCGAGTCTCTTCAGTTGCGCTGTGATATCAACAAAATGGGCCTGTGCAAACACGGCAATCAAAGCAACAGCTGCCAGAGGCTGCAGGTGATTTTGTCGAGATGAAAACTACCAGTGCGTGGTCATGTACGGAGTTAACTACTGCAAGTACATAATAATAAGCTTGTCAGACACGCCCAGATCCAAAACAAACCAAACACAGGTCCGTATCTCTGGCCGACGCGCCGGAACCTTGGGAACCTTCTAAAAGTGCAGCAACGAGATCCAATCAATCTTGTTGCATATTTTGTTTATTTATTTAAACTTAATTTTCGATATACGTATTATACATAAATATATGTATATATATTTTATGTTATTATTAAAATCTTTTGGCTACTGGCCTGTGCACACCCGTCTCAACATCACGGATCAGCGGTTGCCAGTGCACCAGCTCTGTAGCCATTAACTTACGCAGTAGGCAAGGAAGGTACAGAGCACACGTACACATGTGGCATAGCGCACCTAGTTAGCGTACCCAGTCGGCCTCCCTAGCCAACCTAGCCCAAGCTTCTAATTCTTTTGCTTTGCTTTGCTTTGCGGTCCACTCAAAATAACGACCACCCGGCCGCGATTTCTTCAACGCCTAAAAATCCAGCTTCGAGGGCACCCGATATCACATCAACAATAATCCCAACACGTGAATTACTCGCGTCAAGGCACGAATATCATCGAAAAACTTTGATACAAGGCCGTCTTTTTATTTCCCTTTCACGCGCTGTGTAGGCAATGATGCAATAGTCTCTCCCCCTGCTGCTCGGCCACTACCAAGACCCAAGACCAAAGACACAAGACCCAAGACCCAAGACCCTTCTTCTCATCGCCACCCTTGCCTCTCGAGGGAGCATGCTACAAGACCCCTCAATATCAACACGAGTCCATCTTGTCAAGCCAGACCATCGCAATACACTGCGACCACGTATACGGCTGTAGTCAGCGCGACCTCTGCGAGTCTCGCATTCCTCCCACTTCGAATCCTACTGCCTCAGACAAACATGTCCGCGAGCTTCAACCCGAAGCCGACGCCTCGTCGCACGAGCGCCGCTCCCGGCTCCCATAGCTCCATCACGCCCGCCGCCAACAGGTTCAGATCTTCTCTCGTGCCCATGCGCCGGGCGTCACCCCTTCGGAGCTCCCATGGTCCGAGTCGAGTCACAACAGCGCCGGCTCCATCCGCATCTGGAGCCACATCTGCTTCTGCATCTGGCGCACCAATTGTCAAGGATTTGTTCAGAACAGAAACCACACCCAGGCCTAGCCGCATCACACCCTTCGCTCCCCGACTGCCCGCCGAGGCTACCAAGACCCCGGCCTCTATCCGAAAACTTGCCCCCAAAGGCGCCCAGACTGGCATGGCCGGCACCGCGCCGCAAGAACTTTTCAAACAAAGGATACCAGATCCTGACGAGGGACTTACGGGCCTGGAAATCTCGAACGCAGTGCCCAGTCATCTCAAAAACAGGAAAGGCACTGTATATGCCGACCAATATCTCGCCCACAAATGCCCCCCCGAATTCGACGATGATCAGAGGAGGCAGTTCTTCTGCATTCTAGACCTGCGACGACTCAAATATGCCGCAAATGAGATCTTTGCCAAGAAGGACTGGAAGTTGAATATCATCAATTTTGCCAAGGAGTATGAGAAGAGTCGGGGTCTAATCATGCTGCGTTATGGGCTTTACGAGTTCAAGAATGTCAAGCCTTCAGAGGAGGTCATGAGAAAATGGCGGAAAGCCCACGGCTTACCCGAGCCCGAGCCCGAGTCCAGAAATGCTACCACAACCACCACGAACATTACTCCCAGTGCACCTTTTGGTAACACTGCCTCCAAGACCGACGAGAACGCTCAGCGTAAGGGCAATGCGCTCCAGACTTCCATCTTCAACCAAAACAAGAAACGTAGTGCTGATCATGAATCCACTGCCGAAATCCCCAGGTTTGCCCCCTCTCCTTTCAAGAAGCGCAAGGCAGTTGAGGCAGACGAAGACGACGAGAATGAGCGCAACAACCCAAAAAAGGCTACGCCATCAGCTGCGCGATCGAAACTGGAGGGCATCATCAACAATGTTCAGTCGGCCAGCTCGACTCCTGTAGGCTCGCCCGCTAAAAAGCCAACCTTCGGCGCGAGCGCAAGCACTACTACTGGCACAACTATGCCACCCCTCTTTGGCGTAACGAAACCGGATGATGGGCCAAAGTCCGTCTTCGCGACGAAATCAAACCCCTATGCGGCACCTTCCAACGGCGTCGTTGACTCGTTGAAGCTCAATTCAACTCATTTCCAACCGGGTCAAGCTCTCAACGGAGCCAAGGACTCCGTCTTAGGCAGCCACAAGTTTGGCTCAGGTCTAGCACCCAAGGCCGGTAACATTTTCGGCTATCTTTCAGAGAGCTCAGCGAACAACAGCGGCGCTGAGAATGGTGATGATACCGATTCAGAATCTGGTGAGTCACAGCCTGAGACGGGAAGTCAAGATGCTGCTCCCAGCGCGGTAGCTAGCACGGGTACTGCTACACCCCCTGTCGCAGGATCTGGAGGCTCTCTATTTGGGTTCAACAAGCCCGCCGCGCCCGCTTCCAACCCATTCGCGAGCGTCTTCAACAAGCCTGCCGAAACCATACCAGAGAAGCCTGTGGATGATACGAAAGGCGGTCTGTTTGGCCGCGTGTCATTTGGAGCTAATGGTCAGCCTCTCCGAGAGACGTCTGTCGAGGAGACACCTAGAGCCTCTTCACCTGTGAAAGAGGCAGCTGCTGAGACCGAGCAGACAGAGACTCCAGCTAAGGGCCCTGGAGATTTCACCTTTAACCCTGCATCAACACCCATTGTATTCGGCAAGAGTGACAGCTCAGTTCCTTCTCAACCCGCTGCCCCAGCTGCAGATGAAACTGCAAGCGAGCTCAAGAAGTCTGAGAATGGCCCTGCTAGCTCTTCGTCTTCTCTATTTGGAAACTCGTTGTTCAAGCCGGCTACCGGGGCAGACTCCCCCAAGCCTCTCTTCGGTATCAAGCCCGCCGAGCAGCCCTCGCAACCTCTTTTTGGTGTAAAGCCGCCGGAGCAATCCTCTCAGCCTCTCTTCGGCGCAAAGCCTGCTGATCAGCCAGCAACTACCACTCAACAAACGTCACAGCCGCTTTTTGGCAATTTCAGTAAACCGGCTGAACCAGAACAACCCGCTCCAACGCCATCGGCAGGAACATTGTTTGGCGCGAAATCCCCAGACAGCACTAGCCAGCAACCTTCAGGCTCCCTGTTTAGCAGCCTACAAAAGCCCGCAGAGAAGGAAACCACAGAGACTGCGACCGCTCCAACCACATCCTCCATTTTCAACACCCAGCCGGCCCCTTCTGCATCGTTCTCGTTTGGAGGTGCACCTACATCGAAGCCGCTGTTTGGTCAAGCTGATCATTCAATGGAAGCACAGGCACCAGATCAGGAACCGCCTAAGAGTTTATTTGGATCTCAAGGAGGCTTTGGAGCGCCATCCACAGTCAACGGAGACGTGACTGTCAAGAAAGAGCCAACGCAAAATGCCTTTGGCTCTCAGCCGCTCTTTGGCAAACCAAGCACAGAAACCAGTGCTTCAACACCTGCTCCTGCGCCCCTATTCGGTGGATTCCAATCATCTACTGAGCCTCCAAAACCAGCTTCCAACCTATTTGGCAATAACACGACCTCTTCATCGTCTAATCTCTTTGGAAATAATAGCTCATCGACCCCTGCGAACCTCTTCGGAGCCGCTCCTGCCAATCCGTTTGCTTCTGCAGGTAGCACGTCAAACAAGAGGAGCGCCGAGGACGACCTTCAACCGGCTAAGAAAGTCATGTTTGGCCGGCCCGACGAAAACGGTAACACTGCAAGCCAGCCAGCATCATCTTCTTTTACTTTTGGTGCCTCGCAGCCAGCTGCGCCCTCAAACGATCAACCTGAGAAGAAGACAATGTTCGGGAATGTCACTGGAGAAGCTGCAGGTAGTCCTGTCCCTGGCAGGAAAATTTTGACCCCCAAGAGGCTTCGAGGTGCTGGTGGCGCAGCGCGCCAGGCAAGTCCCTCGCCTGCACCCTCATTTGAGGGTTCTGGAATGTTTGGGTCACAAACACCGAAGCCTGATGTTGCTGCTTCTGCAAATTCTTTTGGCAATAGCAATGCTTCTTTCGCCTTCGGCCAGCAGAGCGATGCGCCTACAGGTGGTAACCACTCTTCCTTTACTTTCGGCCAGTCGAGCTCGCAACCCAATGGAGCTCCAGCCGGTGGCTCATCTTTCACGTTTGGTGGTAGCTCTGCAGCACCCGCTACTGGATCTTTTACATTCGGAGCAGGCGGTGATGTATCGTCTAACCCATTTGGCGGTGCAAGTGGCCCCCCTACCCAGTCTTTCGGGGCAGCCTCAGGAACTCCAACTCCTGCTGGATCTTTCAACTTCCAATTTGGCGGACAATCTTCATCTGCACCTGCGCCTGCTGACCAAGGCAAGCCTCTTTTCGGTGGCCAGCCAAATGCTAATGCATCTGCACCCACATTCAGTTTCACATCCGCGACCCCCCAGTCGACCCCTCAGCAGAGCTCAACGAATCTCTTCGCACCCCAGCCATCCGCCCCAAGTATTTTCAGTGGTCTACAGCCAGGTGGTAGTGCTCCCGGAGCCAACTCCCCGTTTCCTGCTGGGTCCAGCATGAACACTACGCCGGTTAGTGGAACACCCGAGCCACAGACACAGCAGGCAGATGGTGATGCTGAACCTCCCCAAGAGCAGATTTCATTGACCCAGGGTGGACCTGGAGAGGAAGACGAAGATGTTGTGTTCGACGTCAGAGCCAAAGCCATGAGATATGTCACGGTGGATCCTGGCGAAGACAGCCCGGCTTCCAAGTCGCCCTGGCAAACTAGGGGTATCGGACCTTTACGATTGCTCAAACACAAGACAACAGGCGCTGTTCGTATTCTGCTTCGTGCTGAACCGAGTGGAAATGTTGCGATGAACAAAGCCCTGCTGCCAAATGTCGCTTACAAGGCAGATAAGAAGACAGTTAAAGTCATGACCTCTAACGACGACGGATCTGGTCTTGAGACGTGGGTTTTACAGGTAAAGAAGCCAGAGAACGCCACGGAACTTGCTAGCGCTCTCGAGTCTTGGAAGGCTTCGAACAAGTAACTCGGGAAGGAAGTACGAAGGGGCCATTTTAACTTGGTCCTCGGGGCATCGGGCGATTAAACATAATACGGTATCTTTTGTGTGCTGTGATACGATGATGGACTACGATTAGGATCATGTCGAGATATACTAGACTTTGTTTTTGTCTGGCGTTTAGGAAGACTCGTGCTTTGAGGCTGCATATAGTAGTTGTAAGGAATATTGATGCGGCAAATGTGTCCTTCGTTGCCTCGAGGGATGTTATTCATGGAAGGCACCATTTTGTTTTCGGGTTGTGGCATCGAAAAAGGGCAGGCGAGCAAATTGTCTGGGAAGCATCGAAAAAGGGGTTTGCTTGAACTTGACTCGTTTTATTTCCGTCTCTCAAATGTATGTAGTAGTCACAGAGGCAAAAATCCCACGTGCACGATCAATCACTTGTTGGTTTGCTGGTTTGCTGCTTGAGCTCTACTAGACTGTTCGAATTGGATCAGAATGTGTTCGTCACTAAAGAAGCTTCTCAGCGCTGATGAGGATTACCGCGCAGAGTCGCATATGCTGAATGACGCGAATCAGGTTATCAGACTCAGCGACGAGCCAATAGACTTGAAGATTCCTGAAACCCTACCAGCTGCGTACCAATCCTGTTATCTTTCTGGACGAGTTGTGGAGTGTTGAATGTTAAATATGTCAATTTCTTCAAGAAGGGATACCGACAAATATTACGGCAGGATGACTGGACTGCTAAAGCTTGGTGGAAACAACGGCCGAACTTTGAACTTTGATGCTGGTCAGTATCGACTTCGAATTGTGATGAATGGTCCTGACGGCTTTCATCTGACAGGACGACGTCGTGGGCAAGGAGTCGTTTCGCAGCCGGTTCCAGTGAAGGAAAGGGACTGGGGACAATCTACCGAATCGTTGCTGGGAGCCGGTCTTCATGATATGATCTCGGGAAGTAAAAGGCAGTGCCGTTAGGATTTCTTGGTTCCATAGTGTCCCATGTGGCTAAATGATGATCTACCAAGCCATTGCCGGAAACAACTGGTGGTAATTTATTTCAGATGTCAGACTGCTTGCGCAATAACCTCAGAACATCAGAGACTAGGTATAAGCTGCCGGCAATCACAATTGGTCCTTTGTTCGAGACTTGAGATGCCCATTGCAGAGCGTCCCGCAAGTCTGGCCCAGAGTTATGCAGGTCTGAAGGGTTTTCGAATTGAACCATATTCAGGACATGTCCCGCTTCCATTGGCTTTACCCAGGGCATACCGTCGACAGGGCCAAACTCCACCGCAGCAGCACGATCTTGGGGCTGTATGAGTGTCTTGATAATTTCCGTCAGATCTTTGCCCTGTGATGCTGCAAGGACCCAAGTCACTGACTGTGCTGGCCCATCTTTTCTCCAGCGTTTCTGGACAAACTGAGCCAAAACCTCGGCCGATTGGGGGTTGTGCGCTCCGTCTAAGAGAACCTGCTCTTGACGACCTGTTATGGCCTCTATGCTCAGGTTTTGTAGCCGCCCTGGCCATGACACGTTTCTGATCGCTGGTGACAGAGATTCTGCGGTTCGCGTGAGGTGTGGAAAAGCCAGGCGAAAACCCTCGTCAGCGAGTGCGAGGTTCTGAACCTGGTGAGGCTCGAGGTCATTTTGTAACGACTGCGCAAGAGGGCTGGACTCTGGGGACACGATTTTGAGGTTGGCCCCGACCTCTTTGCTATGAGCTTCAAGCACCTCAAGAACGGAGGTAGGATTGCTTGCATCGGCAACACAAAGGACACCTTGTCGCATAATGCCGGCCTTCTGCAACGCTATCTCTGAGAGAGTGTTTCCCAGGAAGGACTGGTGATCGAGACCAATCTTGGAAATGATTGTGACACTTTTCTGCTTCAACATGTTGGTCGCATCAAGCCTCCCTCCCATGCCAACTTCAACGACACCCACCCGCACCTGTTCTGCCTCGAAGATCTCAAAAGCAGTGGCCGTAAGCAATTCGAACTCGCTTGCACCAACCTGCCACTCCTCGTTTCTTTTCTTGACCAAGTCTTCAAAGTGCCGAAACCTGGTTTCAGACACGGCCTGGTCGTTGATGGAAATGCAGTCCCATCGATCTATCAAATGAGGCGAGGTGAACTTGGCACAGGTGATGTTATTGGCCCGTAGCATGGCAGTCAGGTAGGCACAAATCGAGCCCTTTCCGTTTGTGCCAGCTACGTGGATAGCCTTCCATGTCTGGGGCGTCTTCTGCAACAATCTCTGGATTCTCGACAACCCCAGCTCAATCATTTCGCTGGATGAGAAGGCACCACAGCACAATGCTCGGCGGGATAGTTTGTTTCAATGTGGAGGAATCGCTATGCTTTGTGGCACTGCCGATGCGTAAACAACTTGAAGAAGTGAGTCATTACAACTAGGTGGCGCCCGGTTTGAATGTTGCGCTTTTGCAATGCCCAGCAGCGACAGTACGCAATCGGGATCCGTACAGTAGCAACGGCTGTCAGCGATTCAATGGTGCTACGGATCCGTAGTTATGCACAGTAGCTCTATATATGTAGCCGGGCTAATAAGTTATCGAACATGGAACATCGAACGGGCTGACGGTCCAGAGTGCAGGCATGTCAAGCTCGGGCCCGCAGAAGTGCCAGCCAATGAGCAAGAGGCGCTTGCCGGGATCGCATGATAGGATTCAGATGATGGCAACATGAAACTGGCAGCAAAATGGCGCCTGAGATGAAGTCCATCCTTAACTTGAGCTAACAGTTGACTTGAAACAGGGATCAGGCGTGGTTGCCATTGGCAGTCACGGCAACAGCTCACTCAAAAGAGCAATCGTCAGCCCCCTTGAGATTTTCAAAGTCCCCCTTTGAACTCCTCCACAACAACCAACTGTTAATACCCCACGAAGGTGAATTGAATTGGGTCCGTTTGCTTTCGCGACGACCATTTGTTGGTAGCTGACAACCGGCGCATTGCATTGCGCACATCAGCTTCTCTTCTCTTCATCTCATTTCTTCATTCGTTTTCCTCTCAACGGGTCTTTCCCTATTCCTGGCGGGTATTCTCGTCGGTCGCCTTCCGTCGGTCGCTTTCGCATGCCTGCCTGCGCGCAACTGTGGCCCAAAAGTCTTAAGTAGCCTTGCCCGGTGGTGGTCCCAGTTCCAGTCCAGTTCCAGCTCCGTCATTCCCCGTCACGCCCCGTCACGTCACGTCACGTCCCGTCACGTCGCGACTCAACCACCCACTACTTACTTGCACTACCTCGCCATCACTGCACGACGCGCACCGCCACCAGCCAACTCACCAAAGATGGGCCTCCCGTAAGTCGTCCTGACGCGCTCGACGCGCTTTACTGTCGCATCAAGTCGCGTCCTCTATTCTCTCTTCAGCTTTACGAACTCGCATTGCCACCTTTTCTTCTCATTTTCTTTTGCATTGTAGGCTTCACTATTCTCATCTGCTTTTGCATTAATTTGCATACGGCATGTATGTAAATCTCGTGCTCATTTCATACTGATCCTATCATATCTAGCCTCTTCCATGCCCCTGTCGAGTCTGACATCGCTTCCAAATCCGCCTCCAGGAACCCTGCAGATCCTGCCAACACGCGATCGCCTATTCGTCGCGCTGAGCGTAGGCGTCAGCTGCTTGAGACGAGAACACACCGCCTCCACCTGCTTCATGCCCTTCAGAGTGGTGGCAATGATGGCAACGAAGGCACCACCACCGAGCGCGAGCGAGAGCGCGAGCGCGTACAATCAGAGCCGCGCCCACGACAACCTGAAGTGATGCGGTCCAGCGACGGTGCTACTATTGACCATGCCAGACGATATGATCTTTGGAACAGTATTGATCATGACATGGGCGACGATGGATCCTTGTCACAATGGGAGGATTCCTTGGCGCGCTGGGAAGAGCGCGAGGCTAGACGAGCCGGCCATCCTCTTCAAACAACTGCCCTTCCTGGGCCAGAGGGCTTGATTGCCGGGGAGAGCTACATGCGAAGCGATTATCTTCGGCCAGATGGTACCATGGATCTGGATTCTCGCCTTTGGTCTGACCACAGAAGATCTGCCAGCCGCGAGGGAAGTGTGCCTCACCGCTCCCGTGATTTACCCTACATCCCTGGCCGGCTTCGGCCTCCTGTACTTCATCGCCAAAGCAGCTACGAGTCAGCTGCTGCGAGTCGTTCTTCCCGAGCTAGAAACCCCGACCCGGGCGAGTATCTCAACGAGTACCGCCGACGCCGCAATCTTCCCGATGCTGCTCCCAGGATGAGACCACGCCGGCTTGGCCGTTATGTCAGGTACATGGACGGACTTGGAGACCGAGAACGAAGCCCGGAGGACGACAGTGCATGGGATACTCTCCAGTCATCTATCACGCCTGATCCGCAGCCCCCGAGCGTGGGATCGTCCTTTGCTTCGACCACTGTCTCAGGTGCAGCCTCTCAAGTAACTGCTAGCTCAACCAACACGTCGGTTACCACTCCCATCGAGGAGGTTGAGCCTCCTTGTGATCCAGTCGATCCGGCGGATCTAAACGCGGAAAGTGATGATGACGAGGACAGGGAAGTGGAAGATATGCGAGTTCAGCCCTCAAGGCGCCCCACACCGCATGGTGGACGGCGGTCTTACGCCGATGTGACAGCTGATTTGCTACCGGCGGCAGAGGATGACGGGATGGATAGATTGGAATGGTTATCACAGATGCAGCACATTGTCTCAGGCTTGGCTTCTCGTCAGGACATCCCAGACCAGTGGTGGGCTTCAGTTGGACTCACACGTTCCATGACACAGGAATGATCCAGCTTACAGAAAACACGGCGTTTAGCCTTGGTTGATTTAGTCGGCGTTCGGTGGAGACAGGTTGTTTCCACCCGGTACAGGCGTTAGGAAAAGCGATGGCGTTGGAGTCAGCTACAAGGAATTAATGCGTGCAACCATCGCACGAGCTTGCTGTACAGTTAATAATCTGTATATTTGCGAGGTGAAACATCTCGGAGGGAAACATGTGAGACGGGAATGCAGCTTTAATGGAACTGCAGCCCTGAAACATCTGGAACCATACGAATCAAGAATTGGACGTCAGAGCTGTACGATTAATGTTATCCTTGTTGACTGCAACCGTTTTCCTACAGCATCTTGTGATCGGGCTCGGTTCATGGCTGCTCACAAAATCTGCCGACCCTGGAAGATCAGAACTCCGAGCCGGCTAACCTTGGTCTAGACTGAATGCCATATCACGGACACATAAGTCTTTTGCAAGTGGCGGAACGACCTACTGCCATCTATCTACTGGACGGACTTGGATGCAAACCTGAAATTGAACCAATTGCCGTCGCATATATGTCGCAAAATAATACTAGATTCGCCTGGGATAGTTCATACCGAGATTAAAACCAACCCTAGGAAGTAAGCAACAAAGTCTGCTTGCCTGTAAGCGAGCACGATGACATGTTAATCGCCCTGGATGCGGCATGCATGTCTAGACAGGTAAGTGTTGAGTCTGCGTAGCAGGCCGATTCACTGTTGCCTTTACAGGCGCTACCTTGTAAGTGGGAGTGACCTGTGGTCCCCAAGGGGTGTGCGCTGCTTGTTCCTGAGCCGCTGCTCTGGGTGCATACTTTAAGCTAGCCGCAGTTGTTCAGTGGTCTGGAAGGACAAGAGAGTGGATAAAGTTGTTCGGTGTCTCTGCGGCTACTGTAGAGGGTTGAGGCTGGCTTTCTGGCACCACCATAAGTTACCATGGCTTGCTCATTTGGCAGACAGCGCCGGCGCATAACGTGCCCAACCCAATTGGGTACCATCAATCCAATAGGATCCCGAACTACTGCATCTATGTACAGGTAATCTGTGGAAGCGCATTGAGATGCGGCCGCTGCAGTGCCCGTAGAATAGTACTGTGTATGTAAACGGTGAACATACCGGAACCCCGCGATTGAGATGCAGCTAAAAGGTGAAACAGGCTGGCAAGCGAGAGACATGGAAGCTGGAACACAAAGTCCTAACCTACTTGCTTGTGCTTGTGCTTGAAGCTTGTGCTTGCTCTTTGCTGTAGGGAGTTAACTTAGCGGCTCGTGTTCTACATGATCCATGACGGCACGCGGCTCGCTGCTTTTTCTCGAATGACGGATCCTTTCCCCCTGCTTTCATTCGTTCTTTTCGCTCACTTCGCACGGGAAAAGCTCATTATTTGGGGGTGGTTTTTGTTTGTTTGTTTGCGCCTAGGGGTTTTTGATTACTTATGATGTGGTTTTGAGGTCGAAAGAAGGGATATTGCCTGGAATCACGACCTAAAGAGAGCTACTACGCAGCAAATACGCCGCCCAACTCCCCACCTCAGCTGGTACTTGCACCGCATCGTCGACCGCTGCCGGGGCCTGCACCCAGCTAAGGCGATCAAGAGTGCCCAAGCAATACCGGCCGCCCCGAGCCCATTCCACGTCATTTCGGCCGTTCCCAGTTGTGGTTTTTTTTTGGGGGCATATTCGACAACTGCTACAACTCCAGGTGCCGACATTGGAAGGAAGAAGAGAGAGAGAGAGAGAGAGAGAGATAAAGGAAGCCAAAGAGGAAGAAGAGGAAGAAGAAGACGCAGACGAAGAAGAGAGACACTGCGACTGGGGAAATCCAATGATCGAGGACCAACTCCATTACCACCGAGCGCGCGTGCCTCCCCCACATTCGAGATCCGATCTCGTAACACAATTGGAGAAAACAACAAATCTAAATCCAAATCCAAATCCAAGAACAAATCTGGATCTGGATCTGACCCTGAACCCGTACCTGGATTTGGAAGATCCTGGAGCGGGGACCCAACGCAGACATCAAGGCTGAGATAGCCCACGGCTTCCTCCAAAGCGGCCATGGCGCCCACTTCGGGCCACTCCTCGAATGCGTCGACCTCGTCCAATAGCGAGCGCCAACACCACGGCGCCGCAAACGGCAAGCCTGCCGTCGTAGCAGCCCGACACGAGAGAACACCGGACACACCCAGGAGGAAGGGGAGCAGTGGCCGCGACAGGGCTGTCCAAGATGCTGGTTTGAAAGACTACCGTCTCGGCGAATGCTTGGGCAAAGGCGCTTTCGGTGCCGTCTACAAGGCAATCCATTGGGGCACTGGTGAGGCCGTTGCGGTGAAGCAGATCAAACTAGGGAACTTGCCCAAGAGCGAGCTGCGCATGATCGAGGCCGAAATCGACTTGCTCAAGAACCTGCATCACGACAACATTGTCAAGTATATAGGTTTCGTCAAGTCTATCGACTGCCTAAACATTATCCTGGAATACTGCGAGAATGGCTCCCTGCACTCTATATGCAAAGCGTATGGAAAGTTTCCAGAGAACCTCGTTGGAATTTACATGACCCAGGTGCTGCAAGGTCTACAGTACCTGCACGACCAGGGTGTGATACATCGTGACATCAAGGGAGCCAACATCCTGACCACCAAAGATGGCAAAGTCAAGCTCGCCGATTTTGGTGTGTCTACGAGTACCCTGAGTGGGCCGGATAAGGAGAACCAAGTCGTGGGAACCCCATACTGGATGGCCCCTGAAATTATTGAGCTTTCAGGTGCTACTCCCGCCTCAGATATTTGGAGTTTAGGGTGCACAGTCATTGAGCTGCTTCAAGGCAAACCGCCATATCACCATTTACAGGCAATGCCAGCCCTTTTTGCTATAGTCAACGATGATCACCCGCCACTACCAGAAGGCGTTTCTTCAGTAAGGTCGCCCCCTACTGCTTCGATTCCCAAGCTCTTATGGTAGTACATGACTAACATTAGACAGGCCGCTCGCGACTTTTTAATACAGTGTTTTCAGAAAGACCCAAATCTTAGGGTTTCTGCAAAGAAACTACTCAAACACAATTGGATAGTAGGATGCCGGAGGAGTGATGCTCCTGTTGCAAAAGCTCCTGGAAATTTCAGCCAGGCTGTGGAAGAAGTTAAGCAATGGAACAAGGCGTTGGACTCAGACTCACACCTCCGTGCCTCTACGGGGTCGAACCCCATAGAACCACAACATGGTCGCCAAGGATCCCGCTATGCTGCTCCTGACCAAACGACGAGGCTCACGACACCCGCGAAGGGACCTTTGTCTTTAGCAAAGCCGAAACCGACTGCCGAAGATTACAGGTCTCCCGAGCTTGATGGTAAGTTTCATGTCAAGCGCATAATGCGGACCCCTCCAAGCTACAATAGCATTCATCATCCGTGATTGGGAGTTTCTGACAAATGTGCAGATGACGATAACTGGGATGACGATTTTGTCACAGCCATCTCCCCCACCGCCTTACACCTTCCAAAATTAAAACCTCAAGATAACTTTGGTGGATTGTTATCAGCAGATCGAATTAAACAATTTGCTTTCAACTCATCAACGCGGTCCGTTTCGGGTAATTGGGACGACACCGCTGATGGTGAGCTTAAGACCATGAAGAATTTTCGAGATGAAGATCCCCAGGAAAAGACTATCCGACCCTGGAATATTTCTCCTCACAAAGAGCGACAGCTTTCAGTCCCTGATATACAGCCGAGGAGGAAGTCGTCCTCAACCTCCAAATCTTCGTCCTCACCCAAGAAACGTCCAGTCACTAGCCATCAAAGGCCGAGGTCGCAAAATAAGAACATGGGGACTAAATTTGAATTGCCGTCTCGGCCTGATGCTACTCTTTTTAGGGAACATACTGTAGAAGATTATTCGGATTTATTTGGGGATGACGATCACGACGTTGCCGTGTTCAACCAGAGATTAGGTCAAATGAAGAAGGTTTGTACTATTTCGATCCCCGCCAGCCATGTCTTACTCACGCAATATAGCCTGATGCCCCTCAACTATTCCACCCCTCTGACTTGACATCACTACCGCGGTCTATGCAGAGTCCACAAGCAGGAAGTCTCAGGAGGCAGGCGTCATCACGGCCGTCTGTGCTTCCAGACCGTCAACTTCAGAGAACGAACTCAACCATAGAGATACAACGCTTTGCGGAGGACGAGGGCGATGAGGATTTCTCGGACGTGTTCGGACCTACTGACGAGATTACGGAGAAGGACGAGAGCGACAAGGGATCTGAGGCGGGTGGTCTCATGGTGCTGTCAAAGCTTTCGAATAACTCGTGGCTCGGTGACGAGGAAGACGAGGACGATCCCTTTGCAGCCATGGATCCTGGCTGGGATGAAATGGATCTCGAGGCGAACATTGCTCGTGATCGACATGCGCGACTTGCGGAAAAGGTCGAAGAGGCAGTACGGTCAATCAAGATGATAGAAGGGGAGCACAGGCTGGCCGAGCTATCGGAAGATCTGGTACATTGTTGCCTGCTCGTCACACCCTGATCTCCTACATGCGCTAACCATTATTTCAGCTCGCACTGCTTTGGGAAAATCCAGAAGTAAAGGACCTGATCATTAGTGCACACGGCCTGCTTCCCATACTTGAGCTACTAGAGCCCTGCACGGTCAAGAGTCGGCAACATATGATACTGCAACTTTTGAAAGTGGTGAACACGGTAAGGACGAAATCTTACGGCAAAAGCTATCAACATACTCGGTGCTAATATCTGCAATAGATTATCCTGGATGATGTCGAGCTTCAGGAGAACCTTTGCTTCGTTGGCGGCATTCCCATCATAACCAAGTTTGCAGCGAGGCAATATTCCAACGAGATCCGGCTCGAAGCAGCAGCATTTGTGCGGCAAATGTACACAACTTCCACATTGACTCTACAAATGTTTGTCAGTGCCGGTGGTCTCAATGTGCTGGTAGAGTTCCTTGACGAGGACTATGATAACACAAGAGACCTTGTCCTTATTGGTGTCAACGGTATTTGGAATGTGTTCGAACTCCAGGGACCCACTCCCAAAAACGACTTCTGCCGGATCTTTGCCCGGAACAAAATTCTTGACCCCCTAGCACTCGTGTTGCACAGGGTTTTGGACGAGGATGATGAGGACGAGTTGAAGGAGCTCGTCGAAGGTCGCATAGTCAACATCTTCTATCTGTTCTCGCAAGCAGAGAATTATGTCAAGGAGATGGTAGCAGACCGACAAGTCCTGAAGAGTAAGTGCAGGTCCAGCCCCTTCGTGCCACAATGCGCTTACAACGACATTAGGCGTCCTGAAAGATCTTCGAAGAATGACACCTGCGCATCAAATCACCATGCTCAAGTTTATCAAGAACCTGTCGATGCTGTCATCGACTCTGGAGACTCTCCACTCCGCTGACGCTATCGATTTCCTGATTGATCTTCTCAGTCTTAGCCTCAAGAAGGGTCACCCCCATTTCCGCGAGATCTCCAATCAAGTCTTGAATACCATGTTCAACCTCTGTCGATTGAACAAGGATCGCCAGGAGTATGCAGCGGTCAACGGTATTATTCCTTTATTGATGAAAATTATGAAGACAGATAGGCCACCCAAAGAATTCGCGTTGCCGATTCTTTGCGATATGGCTCATTCGGGCAGCAAAGGCCGACGATTCCTTTGGCAAAACAAGGGATTGGACTTATATGTATCTCTTCTTGCAGACCAGTATTGGCAGGTTACTGCTCTGGATGCTATTTTCGTCTGGTACGTTCTGTCCCTTAGAGAAGTGCCGTTGCTCATTCGCTGATATGTCCCAGGTTGCAGGAAGAGACCGCCAAGGTGGAAGGCCACCTCATTAATGGTACTTTTACAGGGGCAATAGTTGCGTGTCTCAATACCCAGAAGATCAACGCTTTCGATCCTAATCTTCTCGAACCGCTCCTCAAATTACTTCGTCTTAGTCCCGATTTGTCGGCAAGATTAGCAAGACCTGAGATGTTTTTGGGTATAGCACAAAAGCTTGGCCACAAGAAAGCTGTCGTACGGCTCAATCTACTCCGTCTCGTGCGGAACATTCTGGATGCACGCGAAGCAGACTACTTTAACAGTCCTAGAGACAAACAACTTCGATATCTGCTTGAAGCGATCCAAACTCTTGCCGATAAGGATTCGGCAGTATTAGTTCGAAATCTGGCATCCGAACTTGTTAGGTTACATATCAATGGTGACCCTGACAGTATCGTACCACCCCCGCTTTCGGCAATGTCTGTGCCGTCTTCATCCTCTTCTGGCTCCGGCCGTACACGACCGAGCAGCAGACGTATATATACACCTCCCTCTCTACAACACTCTTCGATGTCAACACCCATGACACCAACATCTGCTCACCGAGCATCGCAAGCCGCGTATATTGAGATTGCCTCGTCGCCCAAACGGAGAACGGCGGTCCCATTGGATATCGGCCCTACACTCTATAGACCAGGAAGCCGCGATGGAAGCGGCCTTCCCATATCATCCTTGCCCCGTCGCGTAAGCACTGATCAAGGCATGGATATTTCTTCAGCAGGGATGAAGAGCAGACTTCCTCGAAATTCGCCAGTATTCCCACATTCGGCTGGGAGCGAAGCGTCCTCTGGCAGAAGTCACAGCCAACTGAGCAACAAGGAGAACCTTAGCGCATCGAGATATGGTCAACGTCCTTCGACTGCATACGCTGGTCAGGGAGGACATTCTCGTGAAGGGTCCGGCGGAAGTAAACCCAGACGGAGCCGTGCTCCTAGCGAGGGACAATCAAGAAGGTGGGCGTAAAGCGGGACTCACGAACTGGCGCATGTGGGTACGACGGGAATGTGATTATGAGTGAATGAACGAGTCAACGAGCTATGGATGGTATGCGGTCGCGGAACGGTGTTGGCTCGGTCTCATTCGCGTGTCCACGTTCGCGGACTTCGGGCTGGTGGTAGAGTCGCTTGAAAGAAAAATAGGGTTGCGTTAGTGGTGTTGTGGTTTTATGAAAGCGTGAGGGACCAGACGATCAAGCCATACACATACATTCATCAGAACCATGATGCATACCTGAACTTTTCTTGATGTCGTTGCTTTTTGAGTGCAAGCTCCCAATGAGCTGAAGAAATGGTACCCCTTTCCAACGGCATGCACTACCATTTCTTCTAGACTACTGACAAAGACGCGTTGTGCAGTTATGACCCCACAGCTACAGCAACATTAGAGATTCATGTTTCCTCAGTAGCGACGCATCTTGCCGCTGTAACCGCGACAAACATCGACCAATTCTCGGCAAGCTGTCCGCCATGTCTAGCTATACAATGTCAGATCACGGCCCAAGCAGTCCTTAAACTTACCTGTAGCCAAATTTGGGAGGTGTCACAAAGCACAAAGGAGCTGTGTATAAAGTGGTCCAACCACAATGAAACCATACCTAATATGTTAATGATAGATGCAATGCAGCTACTCGCCAGATAACGCCTGAGTGTTGGATAGTGTAAGCTCAATATCTCACGATGTGCTTTGCTGGAATCTAGGTATGGAAAGGGCACATCCGGTACTGCTTTGCCGAGAAAAAGAGAAAAGTGCACGACGGTTCCTAGCCGCCACCGATCCGGTGTGCTAACCTCTTTTTTGGCGGCACCATCTTACTGATGATCTCAAATATCTGTCATAGGCCTTGAGTGCGCTCGCTTCAATTTCAACCTTGTTGCGCACCTCAGACCCCCAAAAATACAGCTTCCGCATTGCCGTACCTGGGTCGAACATCGAGGAAGTACTCACTAATGAATACCAATCATGTCCCAAATAGCCCTGATAAGGTTTTTAGCAGCTCAAATTTGACCCTCAAACCACCATGTCTCAAATTCTCTTTGTAAAACTACAACTTTTGTTTTGGAGCATACTCTTACCAGCTGATCTACAAAAGGGCTTGTTATATCGATCAGAATATTTTATTCGTCGGTCTAGATCGTGTCAAAGACTTGTCGACAAGACAGTGCGGATGTCGTCTGTTTCACGATGGACCCTCTAGCCGAGAATGTGTGCACGCTTTGCTGAGGGCGAAGTAGCCATGCAGAACGTACATGAATAACTACTAAAAGTATCATCAGACTTTGGAATGTAGATGGGAGTCATGGGTGAAAATGTATCCTTTGATGTTATCGACCTTGCTGCTAAGTTGCTGTTAAGCGATGTGAAAGAGTAAGCCAGACATTTTTGTACCACTTGATGATATATCTGTAATGCCATTAGTCCAGATATAGAAATATATAAATCAACTTTATTAGCACGTATATATCGACAAGGTCGCCAGGTACACGAGTCAAAACAGGACCTTGCAAGGCAAAGTCGTGTATTTCGTTGACTGGAATGGTAACAAATCTGACTTCAAGGTCTATGGCTGCCCTCTGAGTGCCACTATGCGCGCCTGGAGCTGCCAAGGACTGCCACACGGTCTCGTAGATGGTACATCCCAGTTTCTCATTCTTCAGAATTGACTAGGAGCAGACGCAATGTTTCGGGGGCGAGGACCAGACCCTGTGTAGCAACCATAACGGTCAATGCCGCCTCATATGCCGAGCCTTGAACCACACCTCGCCAATGTGCTGGACCACTGCAAAGGAAGCAACCGGGCAGACCCAATGGTTATGCCTGGAAGTTACTCACAACTATTACATGACAATGAGCTTATACTCTCTGCACCTTAACATATGTATTTAGGTGCCAAGCGCACCTTGCAACTTCTCGGGCGCTGCTCAATGTGTCCGAACCAGTCTTCAGGGCCAAATACACGAACGTAGTCAGACTTTTGTCGAGTACGAAAGGCAGGAAACTTATGGGTTGGGGTTCTCAGGTGAAGGTCAACAGAGTTCATGTGAAGTCATTGGCGAGCTGGAGTATCTCCTGCAGAACTCGGTTTCAATTATAATTTGTCCATTTTGCAACGGGTTTAGACATCGAGGTGTCATATGGAGGTTGATTGACTACTTATCGATAAAAACCTGTCCCGTAAACTCTCGAATCATGCGAGAGGACCAATACATATAATTGCAGGGGACTATCTGTCCGACCTTCTGAACCTGACGTCGCTGTATCTTGTGGTAAACTCCCATTCAAAAATGGCCGCGCACAAGTTCAACTTCGGGAAACTTGGAGTCTACGCCTTGTAAAAGAGCAGATTTTGTGTGATTGAACACAAAATCATCGAAAGCCATAATGAGGCTTTTAACGATATCGCCGACTCTCATCCAGGGTGTTGTTCCTAGGAACTCCTGTAAGCCTTCGATTATTGTAATGTCTGTGATGTTCAAGGTGCTGACAATCAAGGGAAAATCGGTGAAGGATCCGTGAAGGGTCCCGTTTACCGATATTTCGATCATTGGGCCCTGCGTATTCTGATAGAATGTATCCCATGTGGGATCTTCTTTCCTATGGTTCGGTCGGCCAACATTGATGAAAGGTCGCGTCAATCCGGTCTCTTCCACGGGGTTGAAAAATCTCCCATCCAGGTTCGCGCCACCGTATATGCGTGGGTCCGACAGCATAGCGGCCGCTGCTGTTGCTCCACCAAGCGAGTGACCATACATGACGGTCCTTGCAAAGTCGATATCGCAACCGCTGCTCTGAACGGCTTTTCTCAATGATGGTAAGCTTTGGAGCTGGTCGATCACGAACGAGACATCTGCTGCGCGGACCTTGATGTTCTGTCAGTATTTCTGGACCCAAGATGGCTCAACTTGAGGCTCGTGCAGTGGAGCGCACATACCTGAACGAGCGCCTCGAGAGCTGCTATGTCGTCACTCGAAATGTTAGCAGCTTTAACAAGGCTGCCGTCGGGGAATTCTACAACAGAGGCATCGTATGGGTGATCGATGGATACCACAATATGCCCCTCGCTCGCCAAGGACTGAGCCATCGCATTGTATACAAGACGTGACTGCCCGAAGCCTGGAGAGAACAGTAGAAGTGGACGCAAGACTTTGGGAATTCCGCGTTGGCTTTTGCGACTTTTCGAGCATGTTTTATACTCTGTAACATTACAAAGCTGCATCGTCAGGGATGTAAAAGTCCCGTCTGGCAGCCCACCTGATGTGGCGAGAAGATCATAATCCTTGGCGACGGGGGTAGTCATGTAGGGTAGCGAGTGATTAACACATTGGTACTTGGTGGTGTCCACTGGTGTGAAGACTGATATCATAGCTCTACGCCTTTGAGGAGTATCAGCCGGGGCGTAAGGATCCATGCGTGCCACATCGGTTAGCGCAGTGGTGAAGAGAGCGACAGAGAATGGCCCAGTTGGGGTCGGAAGGGTGAGTGCTCTCACAATCGCGAGGTGCAAAAAAGTGAGGAATAAACGTATATGTGCCATGACAGCGGGAGCGATAGAAATTTCTCGAAATTTTCGTAGTATGCCTTGAGTGTGTCTTGACTACAGAGAAGCGGATCAAATACAACTTGGTAGAGTATGAGTTTCTGGATCATTTTGACGCTGGAGTCTGAGCTGTTTTATATCTGGACATTTTGTACAGATTTAGAACAGAAAAGCTATGAGTGGAGTCAATTCCGCTTATGATGAGTCTAGGGCGATGAGAAGCAAGATGTTTCCTATTGTAGGAGTGACTGCGCGAATACGACGACACGCGATCTAAGTAGTAGATGTTCAAAGGTGTTAATATGATTGCTAGGGCCCACTCGATGGCATTCTATCCGAGCTACTGAATTAGAGTTTATTAGCATCGTCTCCAACGGGTGAAGTGGAGCTGCCTCGCGAGATCGATGCCGTTTCGGGCATAGTGTTGTTAAAGCCCACACGGAGGATTAGTCCAGTCGCTTGAACCCGATCAGAGCCTCATTTTACCAAAGCTAAACAGCGGTTTCGACAAGTGTCGTCAACACTTGGAGAACGAGTGATGAATATTTCATCTTCCGCTCGACGAAGAGCCCTACCTCAACATGGCTCTTGGACCTTTTGATTCCAGGGCCAAGCGATCGCGGTGTTTGTGTTGTGCCGAGAGTCATTTGAAGGTACGTTTATCACGAGTGCCTATCATTTGTGTCGAGTATGACCTGACACCAGATAGTGTTCTAGGGAATTTCCTTGTAAGACTTGCGTACGTCGGAATCTGGTCTGCAAGTATCCGGGCGACTCATCCATACAGACCATCACATTGGATCTTGGACAGCACAAAACGTCTATGCACTATTCCAATTCTGTTACCAACAACGCTCAGGTAGCCTATAATCACCTACCACCTCTGACACAGTCTCCTTCTTCTGATTCAACCCACCGTTATATACATTACTTTGGTCTTTTTGTTCAAAAAAATACCTTCAACCCCCAATGTCTATCGTACGATGCCAGTATCAAAAGCTTGCTTGGGACACGGGGTGCCTGCCCTTTAGTCCAAGCTGTCTTGGCTATCGGCGCTCTAGAAGCTTCAAAAGTTGAAGTTAATCGGCCAAAAGAATTTTCGAACTATACTTCAGATGTCCAGTTCAGTCTGAACTCATACTCACGTGCTATTATCACACTCCGGGACTACATAGATTCTCTTGAAACCCCCTCGCGAATCCAGGTTTTATGGACAACATTGCTATTAGGATTGTTTGAAGTAGGTCGGTTCTCTTCTTTAAGATTCCCATGATTCTCGATTGTTGTTTGTCACATATTGTCCATGGTGCTAGCACTAAATTGTACGCTGCATTCTAACTATTGGCTAGCTAATGCACGACCCAACGGGCAATGGCTGGATCAAACATATGGTCTACGGTACATCGAGAGCTGTAGAAGCTGCAGGCCCCGAGTTTTTTCGTACCGAGCCTGGTAAAAGTTTCTTCTCCCAAGTGCGGATATTTGAAACTTGTAGGACGATTGTATTCAATGAGACCACGTTCCTCACCCGCTCTGATTGGGCGGCTTTGTCCTTTGGATCGAGGGAGGCAAACTTCGCTTCGCCGCAGCATCCACTTGAAAGTCTTCTGGACATCATCACGATGTGTGCCAAGCTGAGCGCAGGGTATGTAAACAACTCATGATTATTTCAACAACGAAGCTGATTAATGGCTGCACAGAGCCGGCAACCTTATCGATACTCTCGACCAGCTAGACCCAGTCACGGTCAACGAGACAGCGAACGATCTAGCCCTTGAAGGTCACCGTCTGCGTCGGAATCTCCTACTGTGGAACGTAACGAATTCACAAATGTTGAACAACAGTTCTGTCTCGAACAAGTTCGAAGATCGCTTCCCTGTGGACAGCATAGCTGTTCTTATAAATGCCTTCTTTTCAGCAGTCAGTATTTATCTCTCGGGAATATTCGATTACAACATATATATATGGAACGACTTGGGTATCCCAACTCCTACACTTACTGAAGAGGACATCCAAGCTCACGTTCGCATCATACTACATTCAACGAGGTGTGGCCTAGAGCGGACGAGTTTATCACATCTACTTCATCTGTTCCCTCTCAGGGTCGCTGGGGCACGATGCACCACCCCTTGGCAGCGTGAGGAAATTTTGGCGCTCTTGAGGAATGCCAAATCAAGTTTTTCAGCAACGGAGGCGTTTGAAACAGAACTGACAATGCTGTGGCGTATGAATCCACGATTGCCTGCCTAAGCCCCTCATATGACAGAGACATGATGAGCAACGTGGTTGATTGCTTGCACTATGCAATACTAGCCTTCTTATATCGTTACATCTTTTCTGGTCCCCTTTCAGCTTGACTGTATGAATGTGACTTCAACATGTAACACTGGCATTCTCTCATACTACTTCTTCCTGATACACGGATACACGCCATGGAAGATCCTATAATCGAGAATGGGGTGGCCGCCATACTCGATCGAGAATGTTGTGTCATTTTGCCATCGATAACAGATATGTGTGGGGCCTTTTGGTATATCCAACTGAGTACTTTCGAATAGGTTGGTTCATATTGTAGAACTGAACATGGGGGGTTTGGACTTGCTTTGAGATACGAAACTACGGAGGTTGGAAATAGTCTAAAGGTTAGACTGCGCTTCATGACTTAGGCTTTCAATTGAACAGAACTCCGAAAATACATGTTTAAACTGTTTGTAACAATGTATTAATAGCAATACCATTGCGCTGTCCTATCTACTGATGGACTTGCACTTGCAGTTGCTGCCTCGGCACCACAAGAACAAGCACGGTTTTTTGATCATGAAATCCGACGGCTGGGAATAAGACCATACCAAATTTATCATGCCGTAATCGGACTGCGCTATACGTCTTGCTGAGATGCTATAGAGCCTCCAGGTATTACCCGCGGACCCAGTTTAATGTAATTAATAATACCCCTCTAACCCCGCTAAGAGCCTCTATAAAACCTCGCAGTTGAGCTCCCTGGACGCCGAGGCGCTATGCCGTTCGTCGGCATAAACTCTATACCTGCACCATCTAGCCTAGATCCTGCTTCATCGTTGCTATACTCTGGTATCTCGCGAAACCATAGACGACCTCTTTACCCAGTCAGACCTGCAGTCCCGGCCGAGTACGAACAATGTCCACACCTAACCCTTTGGCCGCCGGCGGCCCCGCGCAGAATGTCTCAAAGACGACCCTCCCCATCGCCGGCCTGCACGTCGACATCTACGGATTGACCGAGCTCCCACCCAGTGCTCAGTCCATATCGTGTCTCTGGCTACATCACCCGCGCCTCCGTGCCAAGGAGGACATGTCGACGATTGCGTCCCTGGCCCTGAGCTCCTGGCACCGCCACCCCTCCTCTTCCTCCTCATCCTCCTCCTCCTCGCCGCGGGGACTCATCGCCGTCGCCTTCGACCAGCGTAACCACGGCACCCGCAAGATATCCGACGTCGCGAACCAGGCCTGGAGGCAGGGCAACAAGACGCACGCGCAGGACATGTTCGGGATCGTGAGCGGCGCGGTCGTGGACACCTCGCTGCTGCTGGACGGGCTGGAGGGCTACATCTTCGGGAACGGCGAGCACGGCGGCCCGGGGAGGAAAGTCGACCAGCACCTGGCGCTGGGCGTCAGCCTGGGCGGGCACAGCGTCTGGCAGGCCCTGTTCGCGGAGCCGAGGATCACGGCGGGCGTCGCGGTCATCGGCTGCCCCGACTACGTCGCGCTGATCCGCGACCGCGCGAGGCTGTCCAAGCTGGAGACCTTTTCCGCCGCCGACGGTGGCAGCTCGTTCCTGGGAAGCAGGGACTTTCCCGCTGCGCTGGTCGGGGCGGTCGGCAAGTACGATCCCAAGGGCCTGCTGTTTGGGACGGGAGACATCAGCTTCCCGACCTCGGAGGCGGAGCAGAAGAGACTGAAACCCGCCCTCGACAAGACAATCAGAGGCAAGAAGTTCCAGGTCCTATCGGGCGGCAAGGATAAGCTGGTGCCGTATGCCAAGTCGGAACCTTTCCTGGACTTCTTCAAGAGCGCCGTGGAGACATGGTACAAGGACGGCGGCGTCAGCGTGGAAGACATCGTCTACCCGGACGCTGGTCACGAGTTCAACGAGACAATGATGAACGACGCTGTGCGGTTCATCGTTGACGTGGTCTCAGATGCCCATAAGGGGCAGACCGCAACAGCTAAGATCTGAGATCTTGCGTCTTAGCATCCAGCCCAGCTGCCCAAGCCCGTTGCGGCGAGCAAGGGAAGACCGCGGCTGCGTAGGCTTGGAGTCCGAGAACAACCCCACGACGTCAAGCATTGTTACATAGGCCTGGCACGCTTTTGGCTCTCTTTCTCTCCGCTTACCCGCCAGACTCGCACCAGCCCGTTAGTGTGTTCCGTCCTATTAGTGACATTCTCGACGACGTCCCTAGGTTGCTGTTCTGTTGCTTCTGCGCGGAGAGGCTGGCGGATCCCAATAATCGATGGACCGCCTGGCATAATGCACATCCAATGATGCGAAAGACACGCGCGCTTAAATGCATGGTACACATTCTGGATCAGTTTCAACGACCGCACCCAACTGCCCCATTTATCCCATGACCCTGCGAGGCAGGGAAAATGTAGCATAGCACGACACTATAAGGCGAGTCTAGCCCTTGCGGTCTGACCCTGATTAGAAACAATAACCTCACAGGAGTTATGAACAGCAAGATTATGGCAACTTTGTACTTCTCTTATATTAGATTCAATCCTGATCAGGTCACTGCCTCTAGGTACGCGTTCGCCGGGACTATCTGAGCCAACAGTATTCTTTTCTTTAGACTAGACAAGACAAACCTTAGAGATAAAACCGGGCCACAATCCCCATCAATACAAAATTGTAACGTCAGGATACTCGATGCTGGTTGATCATGATGAATAAGCTCCACCTACCAAATAGTTTCGACCTGAGAACTCAACTGGAATGCGACCTGGAATGCGACCTGGAATGCGACCTGACGGATGAAGACACACGAGAAAAGTCAATGCAGGCCATATGCACACACAGCATTGTACATTACAATCACCACAAGCCGCATGCTTAAGTAGTATGGAATCAAATTATACATTTAATTTGTTCATTAGAAGTTATTTTTGGGAATCTTAGTAGCCTCACTACATATTAGTCAACTACCGAGCTATGTCAGGCGAGATCTTGATACCGTTCTCATTAACTACCTCTTATTCCCGGAACTTTTCTTGAATACACAGGTCCAGGATTCTTGGGTTCCTCAAACTCTTCGATGGGGTCGTCAATGAAGTCAGGAAGTGCTCGAATGTCGGGTCTCCTCTCGTAAATTTTCTTCGTTCGGAGTCCTTTAGCTTTTCGTTTGCGTGCTTTGGAGGGCAAGGGCGGAGGCGCCATTTCACTGGGAGTTGCTCCCAATATCGCCAGCTTCCCCATGAACATCTGCGGCGCTGAAAAGCGGAATGAATATTTAGGACTGCTGGTTGCTATAGAATCTCCTGCAGTCGCCATGTCGGATGCAACGCCTGGTACTGACATATTCTGAGCTTCCATGGACTGACTGTAGACTCTGGAGGCTGAGTTCGGAGACGTTTGAAAGCCGAAGCATGTGGACTTGTCTCTGTCTGGCTTCTCAAAAAAGGGCTGGCGACCCCCAGATTGCAAAATCGGGGATGATTCAGAGCCCTTCGTTGCTATAAGGCTAGCATTTGCATAGTCGCTTGTGGTCCGCTGATCACCGTCCGTCATGATTGTCGGATAAACCGGGTTGTGCGCCATTGCTGCACACTGAAAGCCGATATCGGTCATCGGGAGCTCATCTGAGCTTCCTGATGATTGTGACGGCTTTATGTCCTTGGCAGCATCATGAGCGGCTTCCTGGTAAGCCCGGCTATCGAAGTCATCATTGTGATCTCCAAAAATGAATTCCATCCACTGAGTATTGTCATCCCCTGCGGACACTGACGATTGTCTCTTGTCTAGATGACGGGGTTTGTCATGCTCGGCCTGTGGGTTTCGAAACCATGACGGAGTGTCATCAAGAGTCTTCGCATGTTTCAAATGGCGAGGGAAATTATCGCCCAGGTCTGTATACTGCTGTCTAATGAGATCCACATCTTGACCGGATGTTATGTCTAACATTCGAGCTTGTTGCATGGAATAGCTTCCCGAAACATTTCGAGACATTGAACGAGCCACATTGTGATTAGAACGGGCCATCTCCAGTGCTATAGCATGTTTCCCAGTTGCTGAACATGAAGAGCCAAGCGACGAAGCTTCGGGCTTCTCAATGGTACCAAGATCGACCTGGGAATGCCTTTCGCTGATGCCAGGACTTATGCTCGGCCTTGGTATTGAGCTTTCTAGTAAAGAGGACCCACGAGTTAGCGGTATGACGAGATTGTCCTCCGGCAATAATCTGTTCATCCAGCGCTCGTTGTCAGCGATTTCGGAAGGAAGTCCGCGCTTTGGCCTACCAACTTCAACATTTATGCTCTCGGAATCTGTTGACTTTGCCGACGGAGAGCGTTGCAGGATCGTTGAGATTCTGGTACGTCGTGGTATGGGCTCATATATATCGGAAGAAGCGTGAACGCTATGTTCCGGCTTATCTTGACCATATTGTCGGTGTCTGCTGTCAGCCACGTCCGCTCTTGGGTTCATCGTCTGAACATGAGTACGATCGTTGCTTGCCAGTAGCATAGAATCCCCATGTAGTCTCGAGTTGGAAGAGCCCGACTTTCCGTTCCGACGCTCCGAACCAGAGCTCAATTCGCCTGTGTGTGGTAGCACTGATAGCCTATGTGCTTTGAGCTTGGGCATCTCAGGATCCTGCAAGATTTGTGAACTTGTGGCATCAGTGATGCTCTGGCTACCGATTGTTATCTGTATGGGCGGTACCTTGGCTGCTCGCCTCAGAGGCCCCGCATGATTTTGATGAGATCTATGAAACGCACGAGTTCGCGGTTCGTTTGCTCCCAAGCGCGGGCTGAGGATGGCCCCGGATCTACGGGGTCCTGTATCGCTCCACAGTCGTCCACTGGAAGCTTGTGACTGACCCGGGAACACAAGCTCTATGGGCTGTTGCATCTCCAGACCAGCCCAATCCGGCTTCCTGAGTAGCTTGCGTCTCCTTTCTTGTGCAATCTCTTCGTCGACGATATCGGCGAACGTCGAGCGTTTTTGAGTGCCCGTAGGACCACCATCACGCTGCGTTGACAAAGGCTTGGGATTCTGGTTTCGTTCGACTCTCCCTAGTCCTCGGGGCATTGCGACTGAGCCATTCTGTGGTGAGTGGGCTTGTCTTGCCATTATGGAGTTTCCTGCTGGCGACAAGGTCTCTGCTGGGACGTGCTGGAAATATTGTTTGTGCTCTGAGTTGAGAAATGATATGGTCACAGGGCCTCGTGTTACATTCCCACCGAGGAGTTTGGTGCGAGCTTTCGCAAAATGTTGTTTCTGACGCTTGAGGACTTGATTGTTCGCCTTACCTCGAGAGTGACGTGCTAGATTGCCTTCGGTCCAATTCATCTTAGATTCTTGAACAGCCAGGTGATTAATGGAATACTTTCAACCGGACAAATACATCTGAAGAGATACAGCAGAACTTCTAGAGCTGGAAAAGAATTAGCTCATGTTGATTGATATTGACAGCCAACAAATTTGTCATGCATATTCGGAGTAGTTATCGCTGTTTGCATTGGGGTACTTGACGAGTTGCAGGAGGGTTTGGTACGGATATTTGGTGTTTTCAGGTTACAGGTGATTTTCTTCATGGACGAGTTCAAACTATTCCAGAATCTCGGACAGCTGGCACGCGTCAATGCGAAGTCCAGGAAGCTGCAACCTTCTCTTGTGTCGGCGTGCAAGACCTGGAAGCGCCGATGAGCCGTAGCGTAGCAGCCCTGCTGTGGTACAGGCTTTACGCATCACATACTTAAGTATATCTATCTGAATGGGGGGTTTCTTTTTCTTTTTTTCTTTTTGGTATATGCGATAGATCGCACTGAGTACCTCACGGGTTTTGTGGGGTCGCCCTTCGTATACTACTTGGCGTATCAGACGCAATCGGGAGATAACCTTATGATGTTGTCGAATCTGTGCCTGACTCAAGCCCAGCTCTTCGGGCTACGAGGAGTAACGTAGTGAGCACAGATTTACCATCTAGAAATGCTACGCTATTCTTTGAATATGACGACAATTGCGGCTAGACTGACGGCAGCTGTATGCTATATTTGAAAGTGGTATACAATGAGGGCCCAGAACCGGAACTGGAACACAGTGGAGAAGATTTCCGGCGTCTTCCTGCAGTGATTATCTGCAGTTACAGTACTGTATGCAGACCACCAACTTGCAGTGTGCTCGTAAGATACTGACAAATATAAATGGGAATAGTGGACAAATCGTTAGCTGCTCTCAGCGGAGTTCCACCGCCGTGAAGCTAATGTGGAGCCCCGTAGAGTCAAGCTTCCATGTGCTCCAGCGCGTTTGTGCGCGGTTGAAGGCGCCACGCTGCGGGGTTTGGTGGGGTTGAGCTTCCCCCAATTTGTGACGACATCGGAAGGGGCTTGTCGGCTTTGTAAGTCAGTCGGTGGTGTGCCTCCGTATAACTGAACTACGATTTATGATAATACATCGAAGGTTCAGTATATTATACTTGCTTGTGTCACTACCGTGGTTCCCGAGATTTACTCATTGGGTGTGCTATACCAACCTTTCTGGCCTGTTATTCGTCGACCCTCCCGTCTAACTGCGCCGATCTGCAGGGCACTTGCACAGCACGGCATCTAACCGTTTGTTGATAATCTGGGTGCCGTTCTTGGAGGCGCGATCTACGGAAGCTTACATGCGAAGAGCGTATATCTGTATCAGCAGGACTGCAGTTCTTGTCGGCTGTTCTACGTGACATATGACTGTTCGTATCAGCGAGACGCCGATTTTCACCCGAATAGACCACTAGAGCCACCGCGACAATGGCCTCGACAAATACCAAGGAACGTGGGATCCGCATTGCGATTGATCGGGGCGGTACATTCACCGACTGCGTTGGCACACTCAATGGCCAAGACATTGTCATCAAACTGCTCTCTGAGGATCCCGCAAATTACGACGATGCGCCTCTCGAGGGTATCCGTCGCATCATGAGCCATTTCCTTGACCGCGAGATACCCCGTGGCGAGCCCCTCGACACTTCCAAGATCGATAGCATACGCATGGGAACCACAGTCGCCACGAATGCCCTGCTAGAGCGGAAGGGTGAGAGGATAGCCCTCGTCGTTACTAAGGGCTTCAAGGACTGTCTCTCTATCGGCAACCAGAGCCGGCCGAAAATCTTCGATTTGGCCATACGAAAACCCGATGTGCTCTACGAACAAGTCGTGGAGGTCGACGAAAGAGTAACGCTAGAGGATTACGCGGAAGACCCCGAGAGGCGCCAGGCCAAGGCACATGTCAAAGTTGGTGAACAGGGGTCGGAAAAGGAGGATCTTGTCATCGGCTTGTCTGGAGAAGCGGTCCGAGTGCTGCGGCGACCCGAGGGCCATGGCATCAGGAAACAACTGCAAGAAATCCACGACAAGGGAATCAGAACCATAGCCGTATGTCTAATGCATGGGTACACCTTCCCTGACCATGAAGCGCTTGTCGGCAAGATAGCCAAGGAAGTTGGATTTACGCATATATCGCTGAGTCATGAGCTCATGCCTATGATCAAGCTCGTGTCGAGAGCAACCAGCGTCTGTGCGGATGCTTACTTGACCCCGGCCATCAAAAAGTACATATCTGGGTTCCAAAAGGGTTTCGAGGGCGGCTTGGGAACCCGGAGTGTTTTGGATCAACAAGGCAACAAGGGAGCACGTTGCGAGTTCATGCAAAGTGACGGCGGTCTAGTCGACGTTGAAAAATTCACAGGCTTGAAAGCCATCTTGTCCGGCCCAGCTGGTGGTGTCGTCGGTTATGCGATAACGAGTTACGACGAGAAGACCAAAACTCCAGTTATTGGTTTCGACAGTAAGTCTGCTGAACACCCCCAGAGATTCCCATATTGTTGCTCAAAGTGTCACTAGTGGGCGGCACATCAACCGACGTGTCTAGATATGGCGAAGGACGGTACGAGCATGTCTTTGAAACGACCACCGCTGGAGTGACGATACAATCTCCTCAACTAGATATCAACACTGTTGCAGCAGGTGGAGGTAGTAGGTTATTCTTCAAGAACGGTCTTTTTGTTGTTGGACCCGAGTCAGCTGGCGCGCACCCTGGTCCAGCTTGTTATCGAAAAGGAGGCCCGGCAACCGTCACAGATGCGAACCTGTTCTTGGGACGCCTTCTACCTGAATTTTTCCCAAAGATCTTCGGAAAGAACGAAGACGAAGGTCTGGACCCTGATGCAAGTAAGAAGGTCATTCAAGAACTTGCCGATCAGATCAACAACGAGACTGGAAAGAACATGAGTTTAGATGAAGTGGCATATGGCTTTTTGACTGTTGCTAATGAGTCCATGACGAGACCCATCAGGTCAATCACCGAGGCAAAGGGCCATGATTCTTCGAAACACAGGCTTGCGACGTTTGGTGGCGCAGGCGGCCAACATGCTGTTGCTATTGCAGAGGCACTGGGCGTTCAGCAAATCCTGGTCCATAGATACTCATCAGTCTTGTCCGCCTACGGTATGGCACTAGCTGATGTCGTCGACGAGCGCCAGGAACCCGATTCAAAGGTGTGGGAAAATCAAGGCGAAGCGGTAAACGAGCTCAAATCTAAGATGGCAAAACTCAAGGATAAGTCTCTGCAAGCCCTGAAAGACCAAGGGTTTAGTGACGAGGATATAGTGTTTGAAGAGTACCTGAATATGCGATATCGAGGTACCGAGTCTGCACTCATGATAGTCAAGCCGAGCAAAGGCGATGATATTGAAGAATGGGACTTCGGCAAGGCGTTTGTAAAACACCACCGTTACGAATTCGGTTTCACCCTGGACGAAAGAGATATCATTGTGGACGACGTTCGAGTCCGCGGTATCGGCAAAAGCTTCAGATACCAGGACAAAACCGTCGATGAGCAACTTAAGGAAGTCAAGCGACAGGATATTGGCGACAAGAATTCTTTCACTAAATCGCAAGTTTACTTCGACGGCGGGAGACTCGAGACTCCCATCTACAAGTTGAAGGATCTGGATGTGGGCGATGAGGTTCAGGGACCTGCAATGCTTGCAGACGGAACACAAACAATCGTCGTCACGCCCAAAGCAAAGGCAACTATCCTCAGGACGCACGTTGTCATCGACCTTGTCAAAGATGCTAAGGAGTAAGTCATTGTGGCAAACCGTCGAGACTGCTTGATTGCTAATGTATGTATAGTTTGCAAAAGGACGATGCTTCAAAACGGGACGTTGATCCTATTTTGCTTAGCATATTTGGACACAGATTTATGGCTATTGCCGAGCAAATGGGTCGAGCATTGCAGAAGACCAGTGTGAGCACGAACGTCAAGGAGCGCCTTGACTTTTCCTGCGCCATCTTCGATGCAAGTGGTGGCCTGGTTGCCAATGCGCCACATCTTCGTAAGTGCCACAATATCAATAAGAAATCAAATACTAATCTTGTCATCAGCTGTGCACCTGGGCTCGATGTCGACCTGTGTGCGCACTCAAGCTAAAATATGGGAAGGAAAACTGAAGAAGGGTGACGTAATCATCTCAAACCACCCATCATACGGTGGCACTCACTTGCCCGATATAACCTTACTTATGCCTGCATTCAACGAGAAGGGAGACAAGATTCTGTTTTACGCTGCATCAAGAGCCCATCATGCTGATATTGGTGGCATAACCGCCGGCAGCATGCCGCCTCATTCCAGAGAATTGTTCCAGGAAGGTGCAGCTATCAAGAGCGAGAAGATTGTCAGTGAGGGCAAGTTCAATGAAGAGCGAATCACAGAGCTTCTCTACAAGGAGCCTGCCAAATATCCAGGCTGCAGCGGTACGAGGTGCTTGGCTGACAACATCAACGATCTGCGAGCGCAGGTATCTGCCAACCAAAAGGGCATCTCGCTCATCGAAAGTCTCATTGACGAGTATGGTGAGGAGACCGTACAGTTCTACATGGTCAATATTCAAAACAACGCCGAGAACTGTGTCCGAGAGCTGTTGAAGAAAGTCTCCAAGAAGTTTGAAGGAAAGGACCTTTCAGCAGTAGATTTCATGGATGATGGGAGTCCTATTCGTCTACGTGTCACTATTGATGCTGAAAAGGGCGAAGCTGTGTTTGATTTCGAAGGTACAGGCCCCGAAGTCTACGCCAACATCAACGCGCCCGAAGCAGTTTCTTACAGTGCCATCATCTACTGTCTACGTTGTCTCATCTCCGAAGACATTCCCCTAAATCAGGGCTGTCTAAAGCCTATCACCGTCAAGATCCCACCAAAATCTCTGCTCTCACCTTCCACTGGTGCTGCAGTCGTTGGTGGAAATGTGCTCACAAGCCAGCGTGTTACAGATGTCATTTTCAAGGCTTTCGAGGCTTGTGCTGCTTCTCAAGGTGACTGTAACAACCTCACCTTTGGGTTCGGTGGAAATGTCACCGGCGAGAAGGAGGTCAGAGGATTTGGGTATTATGAAACAATTGCCGGTGGTTCAGGTGCTGGTCCTGATTGGGATGGTACCAGCGGTGTACACACTCACATGACCAATACGCGCATTACGGACTCGGAAGTGTTTGAGAGACGGTACCCAGTCATCCTACGAGAGTTCTCTCTCCGCAAAGGCTCGGGAGGTAAGGGCCAGCATGACGGAGGAGATGGTGTGATCCGTGACATCGAGTTCCGAATCCCTGTCCAAGTCTCTATCCTGAGTGAGCGGAGAGTTTACAGACCATATGGTCTCGCAGGCGGCGAAGACGCCGAGTGTGGTCTCAATATTTGGGTCAGACGTGTGGCCAAGAGTAACCCGGAGAAGGACCTGACAGCGCGTCATGGGCATGCCAATGTCGATGATGACGAAGTTGAGTATGAGGAGAGATACATCAACATGGGTGCGAAGAACTCTGCACCATTCAATGCAGGTGATAGGATCATCATCAATACACCTGGTGGTGGTGGCTGGGGTAAGGTCGGCGAGAAGAAGGCCCACAGACAACAAAAGGACCCTACCGAAGCGTGGAAACAGGGTAGTCATGGAAGCCGGGAATCTACTGCGCTACAAGTGTAACATGAGAGAATGAACATTCCTGTATCAATTGGGAAATCCTGGGTCTGTTAGATGAACATGGGTTCTTCAGAATACTTCAAACTACATACGGAATACATTCCACATTCCACCAAATAAGGTACTATTGTCGTTCTAGGATACTGTCCTCTGTCACTACTCATTACGACGCATGTGACGTTACATATTATTGATATCCGCAACCACAACGGGTGTATTATAGACATTGATATCTTTGCGAGCTACTTGGTAACGTTCGTGGAACCCTGCTTTTGGGTCTCAAGCGCTTTAACTGGCTGGTGAGATGTAGAGTTTGCCAACAGCGTAGCAGCGGCACTTTTGGCCCCCAACAGGGATATAGTCTAGCAAGACTTGTCGATGGTACCTTCGCCGGATGCTCGGAGATGGGTATGCACTATCACCCTGCGTTTTAGAATATCGTGCTAGGGCAGTTCATGGTTTTTAGTAAGCATGGCAACCAGGGCTTCACTACTGGACTAGATGAGGTAATTACAAAGTCCTATACAAAAGAAATAGCTCGCGTGCCAGGGGTTGGTCTGCCAATCATCGGCAACAACGATCCTAGGATAGGCGAAGCCGTTAAAGTGAACCGTATCTTTGGGATTCGGGGGTCTGCACCTGATGCGGAAGGTCACACAAAAGCGCCCGCGATGGTGAGGCTTAAATACTTCCTACACTAGACGAGACAGTCGAGCATGTACTTGTAACCCATACGAGTTCGACGCACATCACCTCGTGTCAACGATATACCGTTGTAACGGTCCCGGTGAGGCGGGTTCCAATGAGATCCTGGGGACCAGGTTTGAGCGCTATCTGAGGCTGCGGCGCAGGTACCAAGGTGTGTTGCAAATCCTTGTTCACCGAGATGACGTCCTCATATGTGGCGAACTGGCGACTGGACTACCGATTGTTTAGTCTACGGCCGTCGAAGATTCCTGAGGATCCATAGAAAAACGCCATCTGGGAAATACGGACCAGTTAGAGCTATAATGCTTTCCAGCAACTGATCATGCTTGGCAGTCGGTAATCTATTATACAATCTTCTATTGTATTCCTAACCTGTCGTGCTCCAAAATCACGAGTTTGTTTCTCAAGAATATACCCATTACAAGCGATGATAAGGCCAGTCCTCAGGAGCAAGATCGACCAACTTGACTTGATTATACAATACCTGCAACTTAGTGGGCGTCATATATTCCGCTATGTTTTGTCGGATTCGTGATCCAATGCAAAGAATGAAGTTCCGTTTTTATGCCAAAGATGCGATTTGTATGCAGGCCAATACATATACTGCCCTGAGGAAAGCTGAGCACGTATATCGTAGTCATATGACTTTTTCCACACCAAGTTGTCCACTCCGGTGGAGATCCGGGGATTCCTGCGGATATAGTGCATTGGATCGAACAGGATCCGCCGCTGTCCGCCGGAAATATTTTGTTTAAAACATTACATCCGTAGTGACTTCACCTTCCCTGTCTCTTCTTCAAGATGGCGACCGGGTCTGGACTTGAAAGATGAGAAACTGGGGAAGAGACGAGACGAGACGAGATAAAGAATTGGTGAAATCTCAAGTTTCGGTGTTTGGCAGTAGTATTTTGACAGCCCGAAACAGCTCAAGTTTAGCGAAGGTGGCCCCTAAAGACCGCCCCCGAGCTGTCCCAAAAGTGCGGGGAATGTAGTGGGGGCATCAAACGCGCTTCCGGAACCTGCCCGTAATACACTGGACATCGGTGTTCGCCGTTTGCTGCTCTTCAAATTGGCATCAAGACAACGAGTTCATTTCTAAGCACCTTCATATATACACGTCCTTCACTTTCGTCCAGGTACTTCAACTCAACTTCTCCAAGAACGGATCAACCGCTTAAAGATTGCTGATACCATCAAGAGTCATGCCGTTCACAAGCGAGGAGTGGGATGAGATATCTCAAACCATCCCTAATGTTGACGAACCATTTGTCCAGAAATATCTACAAGGCCGTGATGCTCTTATAGCTGAGGAAAGCAAGCAGCGCAGTGGTCCGTGAGACTCCTGGTCCAGCCATCTTATAAATACACTTCGCTCATATCACACTAGATGCTTCATTTCGCAAGAACCTCTCGCCCATTGCTAGGCAAGCGTGCGACATAGTTGACCGCATCCGCAATGAGGAGGCGAAAACAATCTGGACCCCTCAGCTGGAAAACGCCATTGCCCACGAGGAGGAGAACATCACGGTGCACCCTGGAATGATGTTCTCCTTGTCGAAGGAGCGCATGGAGACCACGAAGTTGTGGAAAATCATTCGCCAGATGCCGAAAGGTGCTCTCCTCCACGCACATCTCGATGCCATGGTTGACTTCAATTTCCTGCTGGACTTGCTGCTCAAGGAACCCGGTATTCACATTATGGCGGATCGGCCTCTGACGTCATCACAAGCTTTGGCAGACGCGGTGATTTTCTTTCGCTTCAAAAAGACGGCGCTGACTGAAGGCAATATCTGGGCCGAGGATTACAAGCCAAATACTTTGATCTTACTCACTCAAGCTGCAGACGCCTTCCCGGACGGTGGCAGAGCAGGCTTTCTTCAGTGGCTCTATAGCAGATGTGCGCTATCCCGCACTGATGCCGTTGCTCAGCACCATGGTGTCGATGAGATATGGCGAAAGTTTTACAGTTGTTTTCGGGTCGTCAACTCCATCATCCACTACGAGCCCATTTTCAGGGCCTTTCTGCGTAGACTAGTAGCACTTTTGAAAGCAGACGGTGTCAACTATGCAGAGATTCGCTTCTCGTGGCAGCTGGACTACTACCGCCTTAACAGCGAGACCCCAGAGCAGGACTACGTTGCAATGATGGACACGATCGACGAGGAAGTCAAGGCTTTCCAGGCAACGGAGGAGGGCAAGGGGTTCTGGGGCATTCGCATGATCTGGGCTACCATACGGTTCAACCCGATACGTCACATCATCCAGGACATGGACAACTGCATCACAACAAAAATCACTCACCCCCATCTGATCGCTGGTTATGACCTAGTCGGGCAAGAAGATGCGGGTCGTCCGCTCAAGGACGTGCTTCCCGAACTCTTCTGGTTCCGCAAGCAATGTGCTGAGGAAGGGGTGGATCTCCCGTTCTTCTTCCACGCAGGCGAGTGCCTAGGCTCGGGTAGCGAAACAGACCACAACCTGTACGACGCGATTCTGCTCGGAACGCGCCGGATCGGCCACGGATTCAGCCTGTACAAACACCCACTGCTGATTGATCTCGTCAAGGAGAAGAAGATCCTGATCGAGAGCTGCCCCATCAGCAACGAGGTGCTGCGTCTCTGCGGGTCCGTCATGAGTCACCCTCTGCCGGCACTTTTGGCGAGGGGAGTGCCCTGCTCGCTCTGCAACGACGACCCGGCAATGCTGGGCCAAGACACCGCCGGTAGCACGCATGACTTCTGGCAGGCACTACAGGGATGGGAAAACCTTGGACTGGCCGGGCTGGGTTCATTGGCTGAGAACAGTGTCCGCTGGGCTGCCTTCGAAGATCAGACCGCGGAAGCGTGGAACAAGGATGTCAAGGAGGCCACCGTCGGTAGTGGCCTCAAGTCCCAGAGGCTCAAAGAGTGGGCTGTCGAATGGGAGAAATTCTGCTTGTGGATTGTGACTGAGTTCGCCGAGGAAGAATAGGGGAAAGAGACTTGGAACGACCAGTGAGAAGTGTATAGTCGCCGGAGTCAGCCGGAGCAACAACCTCGCCACCTCATCGGGAATGGCGGAAAATAGGTTCGTTTTGACGACGCATGTAATGGTGAGATGGGAATGCTGTGAGGACTCCAGTTTTGGATATGAGGTTCGTCGTTATTGGGTGCATAAGGGTGGGGCGTTCGGCACAAGACTTTCAACACAAGGCGTTCTTAGAGGGCATCAAGGCACCAAAGTTCAACCTGGCAGGCAGAAAACTGGGCATGCGAATTGATTAAGCTGTTAACAGGCAGATGACCTGTGGAAGTCGCCGCATCTTCAACGCTAAATGTGGTCCTTTTCTAATTAACGGTTACATTTGAGATGGGTGTGCTGAGCCACAGTCGTACTTCAACAGGACGTGAGGCTCCGTGTTGGCAGCCTTTTCCTTTTTTTTCTTTTCAATTTCAGACCAATAGAAAACCCCCCAAAAAGAAAAAAAAAATCAAGCATTTCTCGAACCAGGGAAAGTTTCAGATTGCAGATGTGAAGGGTCTCGGGGCGCGGACTGTTGGAGCTTTCGCCGGTAAGCATGTGGCAAATTCCTGCCAATAGGGGGAGTATACGCTGTGGAATGGCTGGGGTCGCGTAGTATGTGGGTCTGATGATATGCAGTCTTGCTCGCGTGGGGAAGCTTCACTTCCAATCATCCCATGTAGAAAAACCTGTAGCGGAGAAGCCAGAGTCATTTCCTTTTCCTTGGATAAAAAACTGGAGCATTTAAATACGCTACGGTACAGCACGGGGGCCAGTGTTTTGCTCTGGGCGAGATAGATAAGTCGAAGTGAACATTGGAGTATATTGGAAATAGGTTGAAGATCATGAGTCCATCTAACATGAAAACGCGGGACACAGCCATCAGAGGTAAGCCGAGGCCAGCCAAGATGCTGTACGCTAGTTGCTGATTGCATGTGAGTGCTAGTCCTCTAAGTCTTTCCAGGCTTCTAAAGGAACACGAAAGAAAGGAAGGTATCCTCCAATTCCGCCTAGATGTGCTCCGAACCTTAATGGGGGAAAAAAAAATTTATTGTGTAGTGGTTGTCAGTTGTGTATCGGCCATCTGCGTCTTACAAGCTACGACAGGGGTGACCAGGTAACCGGAACTTGATAGTTTCGAAATGTGATTGAGAGAAGTCAAGATCCAACACGGGCCCAGTTGTTCTGTAGCCAGGTTCGAATGCCCATGGGTCTCAGGCTGACCAGGTCGTTCAAATTTGCATCACTGAACGAGTAACGACCATTGGCAGTCTGTATGAGCTGCTGCATCTTACGCCAACCATTTACATTTTGGCTCCCCTCGAAGTAATTGAGCCAGTCGTAGAGCTCTTGATAGGGCCTGGACACAACTTCGAGTTGAACTGGTTTCATTAGTACTTACTATAATAGAACAAACCCGAGATAGCAGGGCTTGATGCTTACCTCCTGTTACTTCTTGACATATCTCGACTAGACGCTCTGTAGTAAGGTGAGCTCCCCGCATCTTGAATTCGTTTGGCCAAGTGTCTATGCCAAGGTCGATAGCTGCAGCGACAAAGAGGGCGACATCGTATACTGATATCATGGTGACATGCACAGGCCGTCCTTGTGCGTTCGTTCGAGGTATTTCTGCGATACCTTCGGCGATGTTCAACATGTAGTCTCCCTGGTTCTGAATACCAAGACTGGCACCTATATTCAAAGCTGCAAGGCCTCCTGCCGCAAAACGTTCATAGAAGACACCGCAGGTGAATACGGTGAATCGCATGGGCCTTGATCTTGAAGCGGCGCAACGCCCTAAGAACTCGAGAGCCGTTGACGAGCCGTTGTCGATTGGGTCATCGATGGGACGTTGAGATAAAGGGCCTTCGAACTCTGCAGGTACGAAACGACTAACATGGGCTCTTCGTGCGGCGTCGATTAAATTGACCTGTTCCGGACCAGACACTGTAGAGACAACGAGTTCCACACCGCGAAGGGCGAAACGTAAGTTCTCCATGTTATTGTAATCGACAACGATGACTTGGCAACCGTATTCTTCGAGTTCAGTATGTGACTGAAATACATTAGAAAACTTGGAGAAAATAGTCGGAGATGAAAACTCACCCTTGTTGACAGAATGACAATAGCATGGGCACTCTCTGCCAGTCGCGCTGCTAGAATGTGGGCAAGCCCACCTCCTCCGGCGATAGCTATGCGCATCATGGTTGATTCTGATGCATGGGGCATGTTTGGGATAGTCGTTGGGATTCAGAGGCGACTTATATCCTTTCCTATACCGAAATCAAACTGGAAACTCGAAGTCGTTTCAGGCAAAGTTTCCCAAAGATTGTCACCGATAGACCATAGAGAGAAGTTACACTCGACCAATGTCTCAAAGTACCATGCTAAGCCAAGATGGCACACCTGTAACTAGCGGATCAAATTTAAGTAGACAGCTGGGATAGTAGGATTGCTCCGAAGTGCTGGGTTGAAGAGCGGCTGGATGTGGGATGTTGTACAAAGGGTGGTCAATAGCTTCACAATGTTCCGTGTCAGGGAGGTCTTGAACTTGCGTCAAACACATTACGTGCCGGTGAGAGAAAATGAGCACAGATGTAACAGTGAAGTCCCCCCGAGGTGTCGTGGATTGGCTTGATGTGCTGGGCTCGAAGAATACGTCAGTCGCATGGATACACAATAGTACTAAGTTGTTAACACCCTACCCTGGAATCCAGTCCGCACCAGTCGGTACCTTGAGTTATGACGGGTAAACAAATGAGCCATATCTTGGAGCAGGGGTTGTGGATTAACTTCCAGAGAAGCCAGACCATTGAGCGCTGACTGGCTGTCCAGTCTTCAAGACTGACATCCCGTGGCACATTGCCAGAGCAGATGGTAAATGCTGCCTGAGAGTCTCTGCATAGTCTCGAGGTTTGCAAGAAGGTTTGCGGCGCCATCCGAGCGTGAAGATGCCCGGCAACTCATCGCCCCACCAGCAATGCGAGGTAATGCAAGACCCTCTCTGCATGAGTAGGCCACACCAAAAATGCAGAGACTGACCTGATGGACGAAGTCTCAGGTACAGCCATACTCGTAGGTACGTCGTGTGGGGGACAGGAAGACACTGCGAACGCCAAGCCTTCTGTGGTTCATGAAAACCGTAGCTGGTAGTAACCCCAAGAGGAAGAGGACTACTGCAGAAAATCAGCATTCTAAATTGCAGCTAACACCCTCATGCCGGGGATATGGCACGTTTAGTCTGGGCGATCGGTGCTGCAGCCTTATGGCCCGGAGACCTGGCAGCATCAGAAGATATGAAGTGCGGTATGTAAGCCATCACTTGATCACTGTAAACCAATAGAAATTGCAGAAGATTGACTCGTTGTTCAAAATTATTCCCCAGCTTTAGAACAAATACTGATGAGCGACCAACAGTTGTATGTTACCTGCCTGTGAATCGCTATATCACTCGAAGCTCGCAGTGTTCGTACTAGTAGTTCTTCTGTGCCTGGGAGGCTTGCGCCCAACGCGGGACTGTTGCACTAGCATGAATGAGCGACCACACGGCACAAAAGCCAAACTCTAACCGTGGCTCAGGTAAGAAAATGTATCAGGCCACAGGGGTCGCCGACTATGATTGAGGGTGAACTGAAAGCGGGTCGCAATCCGCAAAGCAACCTCCAGGATGGTATGGGCGATCCCGAGCATTGATTGGTGCCTGCGTGATGCTTGTCATGCATGAGGGAAATAAGTTTCCCTGTAGCCTTCCAGCGCAGCGAACTGAAGCCTGGAATGGTTGCTTCCAGGCGTTCAGTTAATACTTCAGGTTTGGTGAGTTGGGGGCGGAGACAGAAGTAGATGATGTGAGGTTGTATGAACTTGATGCGGCGAGAACTCCACAAACAAGGCGGACCCCACCGTAGCCGTTCCCGGCGTCACCTGATGCATCGTACGGGGGCCAGTGAGAGTGCCGCAATTTGCCACATTATTTTTCGAAGCTTTCTTCCACCGTGAACAAGCCAGGCCTTTCCTACGGATCCATGCAGATACTCCTGACCAAAGACTTGAGTCACTCAGGCAAAGGTTTGCATATCTAGCTTACAAGAGCGGTTGGGAAAGCCGAAAGTGATCATTCATCGGCGGCGTACGAAATGCCATCACCAACGTCTGTCAGGCTTTTCTTGAAACGTCTCCGGTGCTCTTCTTCTCTAGGTTAGTCTATCAGTGGACAAATTTTGCCTTTGTCAGCTTGCCGGGATATGTACACCGAAGCGCCTTGCTTCCCAGTAGTTAAGTATGTTATCTACTCGCTGGCGGGCTTGCACAGACAAATCTCGGGGACCCTGGAAAATACCTTGGCTTGAATCATCGAGCAAAAGTTCGCAAAAGCAGGGTAACCTATTTGGGCCTTTCTGGGGGTAGAGTCGTTAAGAAACCTGCATTAGCGGAAGGATTCCATACAGATTAAGCCACTGTGAGCTATGATAGGCTATAACTCATAATCAGTACCAGAAATGAACAGATCTTGGCAAATCTTGACGACAACTCTGCCCTTTTCGGCCAAGAATCCTTGATGCTATCTTAGATGTCGCAACTTGGCCACGTTATCACCCTGTTCGAGTGTGTCTCTTCATTGGGTTAGGATTGATTGGGTCAGATATTTCCATTATGCAGCCAATAAGAAATTAGGACTCAATACTTTTCAAACTTACACAGCGATTGACATGTGAAATGTCATAAATCTTTCAATCAAGACACCTTGTCGGCTTGATGCATTCAGTCCTGTGGCTGAATATCTGTGACCAAGCGTATCGACATGGCGATCATGTTCCATATACATTGATGATCAAATTCCTAGGTATGGAAGTCTTCGGCGAATCGGTTTAGGCCGCCGAATCCTGCTCTCGGTGAGAGTCTGACTAACGCTTTAGTATTACTATTCTATTTGCTCGGCGCATATGGCCTTCGGGACCGAGACAGACCCTACTAGAAAACACTCAATACTGAATCTGGGGTCCTGTTATAGAACCGAAGGCATTAAGCTCTCAATGTGTCTATAATCTCACAATAGTGACGTGCACTGACCACTTGCTGTGCAAAGCATATCTCTATGGCAGCTCATACTCCTAAGCACTCTGATATCCAAAACTTGCTTGTGACACTACCCATGCAAACACCTATATCTTACCGTTTGTCCCCAGGAACTTGTCCTGAAACAAGTTGAGAGAACCAATTAGCAAGAATGACTATTACCAAAAGCCACAACAGCTCTGGATCGTGAGGGTGCATCTCATGGTCAACCAAAGAGTAGAGCACACTATCGGCATGTCCACCTACGATGTGGACTGATTCAGTGTATGCGGCTGAATACAAAGTATAATTTCTCGTCGCGTATATCCTCGTCTGATCGAGGGAGATATGATCATGTAAAACAATGCACCATTGGTCGTCGAAAGCAGCATAAACCAGGAGTGCACGTAGCGTTAGCTGAAAATAATCCAAAATTGATGCTTGAATACTCGACACGCCCGTAGATACAGATGTAGTACATTAGTTTAGTCATGTATGCTTGAGCGTTTGAGTTCCACGCCGGTCAAGTGACCTCAAATTGCTGCCAGCCCTATTAGAATTCCGTATTTATGACGATCGTGCCGAAACTGGTGTAGCTATCAGCGGGTTTGCCATCACGATCCTATGTCCCCATAGGCGCCGGTCGTTTGCGGATAGGGGCCTGACGAAAGCAGCCACACAACCACACAACCACACAAGGCTAACCTGCCGCTTTGCCTGGTGGGCCGCTTCGCATTGCAGAAGTCTGGGTCGTGTGCGCCACTAAAACATCAAGTTCTCAAGAGTTATGGATACGGCAATGGGTATTACGTAGCTGCGTTTCCGCCTGAAACAGAAAACAAACTAACTTCAAGCCACAACCTGGGGATCGTTATTCATGCTACTTGGTTCAGTGTGATGTTATTCACACCCGGGGTTACATCCGGGCCTCACATCATTCGATAGATACGGTATACCATTAAGACTTACACCGCGTTGACTCAAATCTTAATCTTCATACTCAATTAGTGATGCTGTTGCTGACCCCAAGACAGTAGGTCCAGCTTGATACCCCCAGGGAATGATTATCGCAAGGCTTGAATCCAAGGGACACTTTCCAGGTGATCGATATGTTCACAAGACCAGTTCAGACAGTCTCCACACTGGCGTCCGACTCTTCTCCGTCCGAGTGCTTTGACGAACCTTTTGCCGCATGCTTCGACGAACCGTTCCCATCCAACCTCTCCCTCACTGGTTTTAGAAAGCTCCTGCCTGTGTTATCCCAGACCCTAATGTGAGTTGGCTTCTGTAGACTCTGGAACGTTTGGATCCTCTTCTCCGTATCTTCAAGCTCGCGAAGCCTCTTCTCTTCCTTGACGTTTACGACCGTCTTCTCCACGTATTGGTGTAAGCCCTCCCCCGTTTGCCAGAAACTCGTGCTCACTTTCTCACTGTTGTCACTGAGGCGGCGGTGGCGATGTTTATGGGGGACTGCTTTGCTGGGAGAAATTTTTCGAAAATGGTGTGAATGCCGAAGGGGTGTTTTCGAATCTTGGGAGCTTGCCGCCTTGCCATCCGGCGGGTTCGTGGACAGTTGTGACGGGTAAGAGGACGAGTAGTTCACAGGGCCGCCGTAATACCAGCCTGAATCTCTCCATGGTGTATACCCAAGCATTACGTCGTGAATTTTGTGCTCAATACTACCACGTAATTCTTCATGATTTTGTTTGCGGTGTAAGCAAAAATAGGTTGAAGGTAGTGCTAATGACAACGGGTATAGACCAACCCCAATTGTTGCAATTTCCTTGTGGACTTGGGGACGCACCTCCTTAAAGTGAGCGTTTTGCTGAAGTGGCTAACGAGAGATGGAGTCAAGGGCGCGAGCTGCTTGCGATCGCGACTTCCTCGAGTGCACCACCGTAGTAGGGTGAACGGAAGGCGCAAACTTACTGCATCAAAGCACTGTCTGACGCAACATGGCATGATTAGACGGCATTAAACATGTTGACTACATGGTCTGCAACACTTTGCAGCGCTGTCAAGCTTAAGAGGTCAGTGGCCAACATGTCATCATTCACATGAAATACACACCATTGTCGGGGGTATCACTTTGGGTTGTATTGCTACTTGACAAGTCTGTCAAAATAACGGATTATACAGTGTTTGGTATTTATCATATACAGACTGTGCCATGCAAAACCATTCGCGTTCAGCATCATTACATTCAGCACATGTAAGGACAGAACTTTTGTAGTCGCAGTCATTGACCCGCCCTCGAGGGCTCGTTCCATGCACTCCGATTTCAGGCAACCTTGATAGCTCGCCACAAGGAGGGTGTTAATTCGTCTCCCATGGGCGGACGAATGGCGATGCGAGCACACAAATTCAGAAGCGACCGTAGCAGTCAGGCCAAAAGCCTAGACGTGATTCACAGTACGCCATACGTTACAATCCTGACGTTTAACCCGTTTCTCAACACCATACCCTTAGTGCTGGCTCCATTCGATGGTGTTCAGATCGATACCTTCCTGGACAAGCTCCCACAATGGGCTGAGCTCGCGCAAGAAAGTGACACGTTCTTGAACAGCCTTTAGGACGTAGTCGATCTCGGCTTCAGTGGTGAATCGCCCAATGCCGAATCGGATACTACTGTGAGCGCTCTCATCACTGTTGCCCAAGGCGCGGAGGACATAGCTTGGTTCTAACGATGCGGATGTACATGCACTGCCGGACGAAAGTGCAATATCCTTGAGAGCCATGAGAAGAGACTCGCCTTCAACGTATGCGAAAGATACATTGACGCATCCGGGGTAGAAGTGTTCCGGGTCACCATTCTGTGTAGCGTGCTCCAGGGATAATAGACCCTTTAACAGACGGTCAGAAAGATACTTGATCCTCTTTGTGTCGTACTATTTTGGAGTCAGCAAGCAGCCAGATATGTGGACGTGGCAGTAAAGCAATTCTTTATGGGAGAAATCAGACGCGTGTGCTGTGTCTCAACAAACGAGTTCCGGTCAAGGAATTCAGCAAGCCATGCATGTTTGAGCGGTTCATCAGGAAGGAAAGAAATAGAGAAAGGAAGCGCATGACATACCGGAAGCTCCTCCTTGGCAATGCGGCATGCCTCACCAAAACCAACAACCAACGGCGGTGCGAGAGTACCACTTCGGAGACCTCTTTCCTGTCCACCACCACTGATGATGGGGTCCAGTCTCACCCTCGGGCGTCTACGGACGTAGCAGGCACCGATGCCCTTGGGGCCATAAATCTTGTGAGAAGAGATGGACATGAGGTCGATGTTCATCTTGTTGACATCCATAGGGATCTTGCCTACTGCCTGGGCAGCATCTGTATGGAAGAAGATCTTCTTTGATCTACAGAGCTTGCCGATCTCCTCGAGAGGCTGGATCACACCAATCTCGTTGTTGACAGCCATTATGCTCACAATGGCAGTGTCAGGTCTGATCGCCTCCTGGAGCTGCTTCATATCGATGAGACCGTTGTTCTGGACCGGCAGGTAGGTAACATCGAATCCTTCGTCTTGCAGGTGGCGACAGCTATCCAAGACGCACTTGTGCTCTGTTTGACTTGTGATGATGTGCTTCTTCTTGCCTGATCGGCCGAAGAACCTGGCCACGCCCTTTATACTCATATTGTTACTTTCCGTAGCACCGCTTGTGAAGATGATCTCCTTCGGATCGGCACCAATGAGGTTTGCAACGTGCTCCCGAGCTTCCTCAACCGCCTTCTCACTTTCCCATCCATAAGCGTGAGTTCTCGAATGTGGGTTACCATAGACGCCCACAAAGAATGGTAACATGGCGTCGAGCACCCTCGGGTCGACGGGTGTTGTGGCTTGCATGTCGAGATATATGGGTCGGCCTTCATCCATGATGGTAGCCTCTTTCAGCACTTCGGCGACCGGGCTGCCGGTGGGATTTATGGCGGTGCCCATACCGGGCATGATCATCTGACCCTTCTCATCCATGAAGTCCTTCTTGTCCAGCTTGATAGCTGTTTCGATATTTACCTGAGCATTCCTCTGTTTGGTCTCGGTGACATAGCCTCTTGGCGAGGCCCGACATGTGGCAGTGACTCTGGGCAAAGCAGAGACGGCTCTTGCGGAAGAGAGGGATTGCCTCAATCCGAGGCGTGATGCCTGCCTAAGAGCAGAAGTTGCTACATTCGCCATGGTGGGTTGTGCGCAATTATTAAAATATGGTACAAGAAGAAAGGGGTATCTGGCGAAGGTGGAAGAAAAGTTGCGGCTGTTCTAGCAGGATGGCAATTTTATGAAGAAGGTTTGTTGGTTGGCTTTGTTAGATGAAGGCAAAGACAAATCATGACGGGCTGCAAAAAACGGGATCCGAGCTCCAAATTCCCGCCTGCAGCGAGCCCGCAGCTTAAGTTGGTCTAGTACAGACGATTAAGCCGTCCACTCCTCGGTGATAAGAGCGGCGAGCGGAGAGCGGGGAAAGTATAAGACCGACTGGAAGATAGCCCCCAAACACTAAGAACGCCTTGGGTTAATGCTCTCAGTAGCACACAGTATGTAGCACGCAGCGCACAGTGGCTTCAGGCTGTGCATATTCTGTTGCCGTTTCATTCCATTCCTGACTTCAGGTCCAATCCTCAGCTCATCAGCTCTCTCGACGGAGCGGAGTACAAATTGGACCCCCCTCGAATCAATAGTTGCTAGATATGACGTAAGCACCCCCTCTGACGTTGTTCCAGGTTCTGGAGTGAAAAGTATTGCGTCGCATCGCATCGCATCCGGATGCCGGCAGTCTCGGCATTTAGTAGACCAACGAAGCAATCGAGCTCAAGCTTGATGCTGGCGTCTGCTGTGGCTTCCGTGGAATTCCAGTGCACAACATGTGTCGTCTACCGTACCGTACTATTCATTGATGGGGTCATTTTGACTGGATTTGATTGATATTGGCTTCACGCGTTCCCGGCATTCGTAGATACAAACAAACTGCTGCAGCAACTTACGCCTGCGCCCCTTGAGAAACCTACCAGCACCCATCCATCCACCTCTTAATTCCTTTGTATCCTAATAAGCACGCTTCTGAAGGAGCAGATTGTAGTACAGAGACGACGTTCTGAATGCCACTGCCTAGCTGAGCCAAGCCTGTCTCTGGGTCAGATTTCAACTGCAAAGGCCTGTGCCGCCACAAGCCACGACGCGAGGTGGGCTTGTGATTTGAAGCCTGTGGAAGTAGAAGCAGCACTGCCACGAGAAGCTCGTCACCAGAAGGAAGCCGGCCTGTGTATGTACTCATGCTAAAGCTTGACCTTGACCTTTGACCCGCGCGCGCCCACACTCACGAATCGTACATCAGGCATCTCTCATTTGCACTACGGCATATTTTGGTTCAACCTTAATATCCTGATTCTGATTAACTGGGTCGTGGTGTTCGAATTCCTGTTCTCCATCATACCATCGATTCATTACTTTGATCTCACTAAAAGCCGGGCGGCGCTTCTCTCATACATACTGTCGCAACAGCAGCCAGTTCCGTCATTTCTTCGACGACATAAATAGTGCCCCCACCAGACATCATCGGGTTGCCTCCAAATCCCCCCACCAGCAACAGTACACAGAGATGAGCTTCAAGGGGTTCACCAAGAGCGTGACCCGGGTAAGTACAAAATTCACCACCTGCGCACGGCTCTGTATGTGCTGAGTTGCCGCTGACGCTATCCTCAACCACGACAGGCGCCGCAACAGTTTCGGGCCAAGTTCAATCTTGGTGAGACTACCAAGGATCCCATCTACATCGACGCCGAACGACGTTTCAAGGAGCTCGAGACAGAAACGAAGCGCTTGCACGATGAGTCCAAGAAGTACTTCGAGTCCATCAATGGCATGGTCAGCCACCAGATCGAGTTCAGCAAGGCCATGGCTGAGATCTATAAACCCATCTCCGGTCGCATGTCAGACCCCGACTCACTCGTAGTACACGGCAATCCCGAAGGCATTCAGGCATGTGAAGAGTACGAGAGCATCGTCAAGGAATTGGGCGAGGCATTAAAGCCCGAACTCGAGATGATCGACGCCAGAATTATCGCTCCTGCCAACGAGCTCTTGGACGTGATCAAGGCAATCAGGAAGACAGCTCTCAAACGCGACCATAAGCAGCTTGATTACGATAGGCATCGAGCGACTTTAAAAAAGCTACAGGACAAAAAAGAGAAGACGGCCAAGGACGAGAAGGCCATATGGAAAGCCGAGGGCGATGTGGAGAATGCGACACAAGAGTTCAACTACTTCAACGATTTGTTAAAGGATGAGCTACCCAAGCTTTTCAGACTCGAGCGCGAGTTCATCCAGCCCTTGTTCCAGTCTTTCTACTACATGCAGTTGAACATCTTCTACACCATGCATGAGAAGATGCAGGGCTGCGATATTGGATACTTTGATCTTACATTAGAGCTTGAAGAGGGTTTCAACATGAAGCGCGGCGATATCCTGGAGCAAGCTGAGAAGCTGTCCATTGTAAAGTTCAAAACCACTGGCCAAAGAAGACCGCCCAAATATGGCAAACCGGCAGCTCTTTTGGGTAACTCGACTCGACCTGCAGCCATAACTGCTGGGCCTTCTTCAGCACCAGCTTCGACAACACCACAAATCACGTACGGCGAAGATGCCGAGAACGATGGAGTTGCTGCTCATGCCCCTCCTCCTTATTCTGCCACGACAAAGCCTGGGTTTGCGTCGCCCGCATCTCCTGCTATGAAGAGTCCGCTCTCCGGGGGACTGGCGGCGGCGGCAGCAGCAAAGAAGAAGCCCCCGCCACCCAAGCCCAAGCCTAAGGCTCTCATGGGTGCGCCGGCGGGAGCTGAGATGGTGACAGCGCTCTATGATTACTCGGCACAAGCCGAAGGAGACCTAAGTTTTAGAGCTGGCGACGTCATCACGATCGTCAGCAGAACAAGTAATGACAACGAGTGGTGGACTGGAACAGCGCATGGGAAGACGGGTCAATTCCCAGGTATGTCTCCTCCTCAGAACCGTGTTCGAGTCATGTAATTAACAAGACACAGGAAACTATGTTCAGTTGGGTTAGAAGCCAACTTCTCCAAGCAAAGAACCGGCTCCTCCAAAGCCACGATGTTCCCAGCCTCGATCATACCCTGCCGTCTAATATCCGTTCGGTTAGTGGGCAAATAATGTTTTCAGGGATTGCATAAGCATGGGTTTGATTGCATGAAATTGTGGGACTTAGATTCGGGTGTACATAGGATAATTGAAGGGAGAAGACGACATCATGGCGTAGCCGTTGTAAGTCGTCAGGATTGACATCAAGGCCCTGACTGTATGATTGAAATTCCGTGAACTGACATGACCCAATGGCCACCATGTAGGTAAATAGAGCAAAGGTCTCTGTCTCTGACATGATTGATGGTGACGTGATTTCGACCATCTGCAATTGGCTCAATACGCTTTGAGTTACCCCATGGTATGTTGGTATTTCGATATCGAGCGTAAAAAGAGGGCGCCCCATCTGAGTTTCAAACTCCGCCCGCTCAACGCTGTCATCTTTAACCGCCAATTCAAACGTGGTACAGCTCTATTGCCATATTCAAAACTTTTACCCATGTGATCGGTGTAGTGTGCTGGGATTACTATCAGCACTCAAATTTCTCGAGATCGCCAATATTACTGGCAACTTCCTGGTGTTTCATGAGTTTCTGTTAATTTGATATATCGAAGCAAAAGATAGACTTTCTTTGTAGAGAAAAGAAAACCCCTATAAACATCAAACCGCCTGGAAAATACCTACAAATCATATACGTGTATATATATAATCATCTCGGATATGTCATTCTCAAACAAATGAAAGAAGGAAGCAAGGAAATAATGAAGAAGAGAATGGAACAAAAGAACATAAAAAGAGAATGGGACATGACCTGGGAGATCGAAACCCAGACCCTCTCACCTCTGCCATCATAGGTTTTCAAATCCCATGTACCGTTGAGCTGCACAGATTATGCACGTCTACAACACCCTGAGCCACCACAATGATTATACTTGTATTTGGCGTTCTATAGAAACGGTTGCGTATATTCAATGCCTCCATATTCGTAGCATTTACCACAACAGAACTATGGATTGTTTTGACTCTGGGGCTCTTCTCGAAAGGTCCCAAATCAATACGACAGACGTCAGACACAGGTTCCAGCGAGATTGTTCTTCCTTTGGCTGCCCAGCTTGGAAAGCCTCGTCATTGTCCAGCAGAGACTCTTGGCGCCATTCCTCTTTATGTAGACCTAGTGGGGAAGCCGGTACGGAGTATGTACTGAATACACCTTGCACGGTTTCTGTATACATTACTGCGGTAAGCCATCCAGTTTGGCCGGTTTTCGCAATACCCACTGCTTCGTCGTTGTGACATCCGGTGCCCCAGGCATAGATTCGTCCCGCACGGAGTACCATCCAATCTGCAATGAGAAGGCTTGTAAGTTCCAGTACAGGGTCTAGCGACTTTGTTTTTCTCCTTCCGACGACAGCCTTAGGCTTTTGTCCGAATCCACAGGAGAGATCGGGATGAAGGGCTGACGGGTCATCGGAAAAACATGACACCCGATCGCCCTTCAACACAAAATTCAGAAAACATTCCAGTGCAATATGTGTTCCTTCGGTAATGGCACTGCTTAAATACAGATAGAATATGATGACAAAAAGACTCTCCTCTGCCTTCGAGGCGGCGTGAGAGCGTTCGGAGCTGTCGCGTGACGATATGAAGCATCCAGCGTGCCGTAACATGTTCAATTTTTCATACCATGGCTGAAGAGTCTGTGTAGATTTTTTGAGTTTGGATCCCCCCACTGCGACTCCCAGGCAACTAAGTCACGGCGGGACGGCTATCCGAATGTCAGCACTTAATCGAGATCCACGGCCAGGTCCGGCAACCTCGACAACGGCCCAACAGTTTGTACCGGCGTCTTCAACAACACTGAGTGTGCAATAAAAAGCTCCTGCTCGTCACCATGTCTGGTATTGGTCTGCTAGAAGTTGATGTACATGACTTCCCGCATCGGCTATCCGATTTATATTAGAAGTGCCATGAGATTGTTGTCAGGTTTTTTTTTTTAATACACTTGACATCGTTTCTTTGTGCTCGATTGAAATGGGCGGTTGAGAAATCTGAAGCTGTTTTTTTCGGAGATCCTTAGATAGCCTTCTTTGAGCACATGGTGAGCGTCGTTCTAAGACACGTATATTTATATGGAGAATTGAAATTGCCATTGCTGAGGGTGTGTAAGTTGTTTGCTTTTCAACAACAAATGTACCTAACTCCCCAAGCACATTCTCTGTGAGGCCCAAGGCTCAGAGTCAGAAAAACAGCAGTTCCAAAATCATCGATCGTCAATTTTGTTCAAGCCTCATAATGACGAGGAATTGTCGGAGATGGCTATTGAGCATTTGGCGGTATCTGCAGCCAGAGCGATCAGCTTCAGAGACAAGAGACAGCACCGAGTTCGAGGAAAAGGAAAATCACGTCCACAATGTTAAGTTCTCCATTACTCTGTTAGTAGATATACTATCTTCAATCCGTACCGTCAGCCATGCATGCATACTGGACCCCCGAAGCTCAACTCCTCCAGCACAATAAAGAGGAATAGACTGGCATATCCGGAAAGTCTGTCCAGGAGGAGTGTGCCACGGAGGATTCCAGTGATACTGACTACTCCAATGTGATTCAAAGAAATATCCGCCTCACAAATGACCTGAGCACAGCTTTGAAGAATGACGAGGACTTTGCAAGACAGAACAATCTGTTTAGCGTGACGGAATTATGGCTGCGACTCAGCATGTACGAAAGCTGCCTTCAGCAGTACTAAAGGAGGGCCCATGGACCGTAATAAAAATACTACGCCTTATGAGACAAAAGCCGTGCTAACGTTACACACAGCTCTTAAAAAGCAGTGGGATGGATAGTTGATCACGTCCAAGTCGATGGAGAAGGCGGACCAAAGTTCGAAAAAAGCCTCACGTACACAGATGAGGATGGAAATATAATCACCGCCTTATTCGCTACCTTCAGCAACGCAGATGAAGTTCTCGGGTGTTCGTTGACTATAGAACGAACGATGTATTTTAATATTGAGCTTGATGTGATGGACTGGACAGTTGAGCCAGCTGCCAGACAGCTGATACTGGAACTCAACTGTGAAGGTTTCAACGCCAAGAGTATGCCTTGTTAACATAGTCTAGCGTGACGTTAAGATATTTCTGCACTGCGCGTTCGGGTCGTCTAGAACGTCTGCCGCTTGACAAGGGTGCCTGTACCTGAAGAACGGGGGCAATTGGTCAGCTCCCCACACTCAACGTTGTCGCAATGCAACAAGCGAGCTCCAACCTCACGAAATTGGCTCGAGCTTCGATCGGACATAGCAACGGTATCGGCTCGAGTGGGCAAAAACGAAGGAAGAACGTGGTCAGAGGGAGCCAAAGTTCGTACCACTCATCGGCAACTTCTTTATTTCATCCCACCCCTGTCTTTTGCGCGAGGTGCGCGAGGGAAGCTCCGGGAAGGGTCTCCCGTCATTGGCCAGTGCCTGTGACGGCTCCTGTTTACCTTGGACTTCAGTTCAACCTCAAGCTCGTTCATCTACCCTCCCATCTCCATCGTTTTCACCTCAACCCTGGGCCAAGTTGCTCAAAATTCATTGATTTGTGGGCGCAAACAGTCGGCGATCGTGACTGAACCTTGAAATCATCAAATTTTATTGAATCTGTACCCATTATCTCATATCATGGCTCCAGAGCTTCGTAAGCGCAAGGCTCCTGCGCCCGCGCCTGCGCCAGCTCCCAAGAAGACGTCAAAGGTCTCCAAGGCCGTCTCCAAGGTCAAGGAGACTGTCACGGGCAAGACCGCAAAGTCTGAAGAGTCTGTTGCCCCTGCTGCCCCTGCTGCCCCTGTCGTCCCCACGAAGACCGGTGCGCCGGCCGTTGGCGATGTCATCTCACTCGAAGGTTTCGGCGGTGAGATTGAGACCAACGATGGCAAGAAGACGACTCTGAAAGAGCTCGTTGATGAGAGCAAGTCGGGTGTCGTGCTCTTCACCTATCCCAAGGCTTCCACTCCTGGCTGTAAGCACATTCTTCTCGTAGTCGTGACATACAGGTTTCATATCCGGCGCTCATGACCATTGTCTGACTTTCTGCACCAAGGCACCACTCAGGTCTGCCTTTTCCGTGACAGCTATGAGCCGCTCACCGCCGGTGGTCTTGCCATCTACGGCTTGTCCAAGGATTCGCCCAAGGCCAACACGACTTTTAAGACCAAACAGAACCTGCCATATCCGCTGCTCTGCGATCCTAGCTCGACTTTGATTGGTGCTATTGGTCTGAAGAAGGCCCCCAACAACACAACACGCGGTGTGTTTGTTGTCGATAAGACGGGCAAGGTGTTGATCTCGGAGCCTGGCGGCCCTGCTGCTACGCACAGTGCCGTCAAAGCTCTTGTCGAGAGCCTTGCTGGTAGTGAGGCGGAGGAGGAGTCGGCCGCTGACAAGGCTGCCGAGGAGACCAAGAAGACTACTAATGGAGACACAATCACTGAAGAGGGGCCTGAGGAGGCAGTCAAGGAACCTGTGGATGGTTGAGGTAGATGCTTTTATCTTGTTCTAGTCAATGCCAATCTGTGTAATGCTGCAAAGCACTCAATCGCCATGTGCCGTATTCAATGTATGGTAGAAATATGTTAAGGGCCAATGAGCTGGTGATGTTAGCCTCAATGTGCCGTTGATGGCGACCTTGGCCCACCATGATGGCCTCATGGTGTTCAGCAAACCTCCAGTCTGCACTGTAGCGAGCCACAGCCACCTCGGCGCAGACTCTTTGCAACATGTACCCTGCTGCTTGACAGGGCCTACTTGAAAAATAATAATGCCAAATCCCCCCCTTCCCCCCCGAAAAAAAAAAAAAAAAAAAAAAAAAAAAGGAGGAAAAGAGGAAGGCCAGATAGACATACCATGATCACAAGAATAGACCATGCATAGGCCTCAGTTCTATCATGTCGTTTCTAATATCTGTGGTCTCGTTGGTGAGGCGCGACAAAAGCACGACCCACTTATCGGCTAGACCAATCACGACTGTCTTATTCACAATGCACGGGCCCTTTCTCGAATCTCAACCGTCACTTCGGACCATTGGATTGTATGAATACATGACGCCTACGTCTACGTGAAAGTCAAAGAGCTCAATAGCAACCTCGACACCAGCCATTGAGCCGCCCATACACCACAATGGCGTCCAAATTGACCCCTCTGCTGTTCAGGACGGCCGCCCGATGCGCCGCCCGAGCTCCGCGCCCCCAGATCCGCCCCTTCACAGCAGCCAGCGCAAGGAGAAGTGATGTCCTCAGTGTGGTAGGCTTTCCTTTCCAAACAACCCCAGCTCTAGGCCTTGAGAGGCCGTAACCGACTCGGGAGTGGGAGTCTGAGTCTGGCCCTGAGTCTGAGTCCGAGACAGAGACAATTGCTGATTCGCCTTGCCTCCTACAGCACCGCAACACAGCCGACAACAACCCGGACATCCCCTTCAAGTTCACCCCACAAAATGAGGCCATCATCGCCGAGATCCTCAAGCGATACCCACCGCAGTACAAGAAGGCTGCCGTCATGCCCGTCCTCGACCTGGGACAGCGCCAGGCCGGTTTCACTTCCATCAGCGTCATGAACGAGGTCGCCCGCATCCTCGAGATGCCCCCTTCCCGAGTCTACGAGGTCGCCTCTTTCTATACCATGTACAACAGGACGCCCGTCGGCAAGTTCCATGTTCAGGCTTGCACTACGGTGAGTTGGCCCTGCTATGCCATACCATGAGTCCGGGGCGCCTTGGGGGGGTGGCGGAACTATGGGGAGAATAGGTACACGACAGATTTTACCGCAGCAGCGGCTAATATGCAATTCAACAGACACCCTGCCAGCTCGGCGGCTGCGGAAGCGACGCAATCGTCAAGACGATCAAGGAGGAGCTCGGCATCAAGCAGGGCGAGACCACCCCCGACGGCCTCTTCACCTTCATCGAGGTCGAGTGTCTGGGTGCCTGTGTCAACGCACCCATGGTTCAGATCAACGACGACTACTACGAGGACCTTACTCCCGAGACCACCAAGCAGCTCCTGACTGCTCTCAAGCAGGCTGGCTCGGGCGACGCCAACGCCAAGGTGCCCGCACCAGGGCCCTTGAGCGGAAGACAGACGTGTGAGAACAGCGCTGGACCCACCAACTTGAAGGCTGAGCCGTGGGGTATCGAGACTACGCGGTCAGATCTATAAGAGCGCGCGATACGATAAGAAGTGCATGGCTCGGATAATGGCTCAATTCAGATTCGTGGTTTCCCAGTGCTCTCGACAAGCCAGAGGAACAAGCTGTGTTCCTACGGAGCCGCGATGGGATATGCTTTTTTCCAATAGACCCGAAGAATCCAGCGGGGAATCGGGGCCATCTTGTACATAAGAAAGAGTAAAACGTTGTATTCATTGATCCAGACCACCGCTCACGCAATAAGTCGCAGCTTCCTCGCTGCCAAGTCAAAAACTGTTTTTCTTGTTTTTCTTGTTTTTCAAATTTTCGATTTCCCAATCCTAAACCCCCTGCATGAATGTAGCCTCTGTCTGGCCCCAAGACGGCAGACCTCCGTTTCTGGTGATGTGCTATACCGCCAATGCAATATTCTGACAACAGGAGGTCATCGAGCCTATAAATGTTCCGTTTGGAAGACCTACTATATGAGACTTCCCAGGTTGAAATCATACATTTTCATCTCTTCGTCGTCGGCTGCCACGCCGGTCGTCCCTAAAATGTATTTCAAAATGCGGCCGTTGTAGGTCTCAACACCGTCTGGGATCAAAAGATGGCCGAAGGGAGATTGCCACCAGACCCGTTGCATCCGAGCACGAGAATCAGCCCGTGTAAAATCCAAAGTCAAATTTCGAGTCTCTTTATGCAGGTGTGATCCACTCGGAGCAATCGCCCGCTACCAGCTCCTGCCCATTCGTGCGAGGCAACATTTGTTGTACGAGCATGGCCCGGCGGCCATGTCCATCCCGATGATACGCGCCGTGCAAAGCATTCGTAACGATCACCACAGATATTCATGTGCTCTTTCTGCTTTTGAGTTGTCGTTGACATTTTGAAATCGAAATTGAAAATTTCATTTTTGACTATGCCAATACAATAAAATAAGACCCCGAAGAGTTTCAAAACTCCCCAAACCCCCAAACTCCCAATGCCTAGCATCAATAAGGCAGCATATCCATTCAAGTCGGCATGACTCTATATCAAAAGTTTTCGTCTTGCAAATAACCACGTCTTTTATTTTGATTTTAATTTTAATTCGTCCAGGCCTTGGCATCACCGAGTCTGAAGACCCAGCCATCGCCCAGTCTCTTGTTGTTCTCATCAATGCCGCCAAACAGCACGACACCGCCCTCCTCTAGATCGCCCATGGCGTCACTGGCGAACCAGCCTCTCGGCCCAGGACCTCGGGCGTCTGCGTCCACCTCGTCGTCGTACGGCTCCAGGGCGATTCTAGTCCATTTGCCCTCGCCCGTCTTGCGGCCGGTAGCCTGCAAGAAGGCATCCTTGAAGCTCGCGGCAGTCATGCCGATCGGTGGGACCTGGAAGACCCATACATCGCTCCAGAACTTTCCGGCTCCGTCGTGTCCTGCGCCGGAGGGCGACTGCTCGCCGAGGAGCAGGGCTAGGTACTCACGGCCGCCACCACCCATAACGAGGTGTAGACCGCTCACGGATCTGGCACCCGGCCACTCCTCGGTGACGAGGGATCCTGTCTCGCCTTGACCTTCTGCGGCCGGGGGTGTGAGTGTCACCCAGTCGCCTCGGGCAAAGAGTCCGATCTCCCCCTTGCTGACCTGGTCGTTGAACACCTCGATGCCCAGCTCCAGGACGTCCAGCTGGCCACCAATCTCGCCCTCGCCGTCGAACCCGCCGAATCTGTACAGCCGGCTCTTCGCGATGGCGAGCGCCGCTCCGCCTCTGGGCTTGCCCGGCGCGGCGGGCAGCTCCTTCCAGATCCGGCTCCTGACGTCGAAGGCCCAGATGTCATTAGTCCTGTCGCCGTCCTTGAGACATCCACCATGCACGATGAAGGTACCGAAACCCGCGTCTTCCTCGTCCTGCGCGTTCAGCGCCACGTTGCCGGCGATCGGCTTCTGCGGGATGCCGACCTCGGCGCTGTCGCCCTCGGCCCACTCCTTCCAGGACTCTTTGACCTTGCTGGAGCCCTTGAGGGCAAAGTCGCGCGGCTTGTCGGTCGCCACGGCCGCGAAGTAGGATCTGGCCGGGCAGATGGGGGAGTTCTCCGCCGGGTCGATGTAGGCCCAGGTGTGGGTCTTGGTCTCGAAGACCCACACGCGACCCTGTTCGTCGAGCGTCTCAGAGGCGGCGCTGCGGCCGCCAAAGAGGAAAATGCGGGTGCCAATCACGGCGGTTGCGTGGCCGACTCGGGCGGAAGGTACTTCGGCGTTGGAGAGGTCGGGGGACTTGCCCTTGTCTACCGCCGGGGCCGAATCGGAGGTGGTGGGCTGCGGGGATGCCAGAGGGATCTCGTCCAGAGGCTCCTTCAGCTCGGTCATGGGGGTTGCGAATTCCTCCTCCTCTGCGCCGACTGGGGCGGGCTCCGGCGCAGTCGGCTGCTGGGTCTTTGGAGTTGGCTTTGCCTTGACGTTGTAGTAATCAGCGGGGGCACCGCTCATCGGCAGCGTCACAACGTGCATGTCATTGTCGACGGGTTTCCGGGGTTCGACCTCGCCGCCAAAGATGTAGGCAGAGCCGCCAACGACATTGAGCGAGTGGGAGGAGCGAGGCAGCGGTGGGAGTGAGATGTGCTGCCAGGTACCTTTCATGGATGCATCGGACTTGAAGTGAGGCAGGTTTGGCATATGGGGCATCTTGGGGATCCAAGAAGAATCTCCCTTTGGCATGGTGGGTAGGTTCTTGGAGGCGTTCTCCATGAGGTCCGTCGTGCGGCGCTTGATCTTGGCGAAGGAATCCATCTTGTTTGGGTGTGGTGGGCAAGAAAACAAGCGAATGATGTCGTATGATGTTCTTGAACAGATGGCTCTTGGGCTGAACCACAAAAGTATGGTATATAGACGCAGGTCTTTTGTTTTGTTTCTGGATTTGACGCTTAACTACGGAGTAATGTGACGTAAGACGATGACGATCAGGGAGAGCCTCGACTGTATGACGACGGTCAAATGGTGCATATAAGTACTGCAGTTGGTGCGGGAGAGGTGCCAGGAATACGAAAAAGTTTGAGACAGATTAATTGGATGTCAAAAGCAAAACGAAGCTTGGAATGTTGTGAAACAGAAACTTGGTTCGTTCAGTTCAGCAACTTGTGTTAAAGCTCAAGCAGTGAAGCTCGTATCAACAACTCGTCAATCATGGCTGAGCTCACACTGGGGTCAATAGCGGGGTTCCAACGTGCTACGGGTCCCCTACTTAATCCCTTACAGTACAGTAACCTAACCTAGTACCTTACCTAACCTACGCTAACCTTAGGTAACTACCCTCCGAGCCTGATATGATATCCGCTCCATTGCCCGCCATAGCGTCCCCGCAGCGCCCGGAGCTGGCAAAGAGAAGCTACATATGTAACCTAGGTAATCATTCATAGTACTGTTCAAACGGTCGACTTAGTCTAGTCTAGGGCCTATTTTTAGTGTCTTGCCGTTGAGTCTGCTTGATGGCTGGTAATATTGCGTGCGGTTTGCGCAGCTCAACAATGTATATTACTTAAGCCTTGGAAACTATCAGGCTGTGCTAGCTAGGTGGCGTTTCTTCGTCAGACGCCCAGACAAACGGACATTCCGCCTTCAAAAGTTCAGTACCAGCCCCTCTGCTTCCGTGTCTTGGAGACTACATTTATCATGACAGCGCCCACTCCCGTCCCGTCCGCTCATAGCGCTCTCTTCTCGTCAGCCGAATCGGCCGGGCTTCTTTGCTGGATCGGCACCTCATGATCGTCGTTGTCGTTGTGGTAAAGCGGTTCAAGTTTGGCACCACGCTGGAAGAGAACCCATCGCTTGAACCACCACGGTAAAGCCTGGGTAACCTGGTAATGAGCGAACTTGTAGATGGGAACGGCAAAGATATAGTCTAGTTCCTCTAGAGTCCGTTGCTTCGTCTCCGGCACCAAGAAGAAGATCATGACGAAGGCTACCGCGTTGAAGCCCGCGTAACAGCCAAATGCTCCAGCAGTTCCGGCTTCTTCCAGTAGGAATGGGAATGTCATTCCTAGGATGGCAGCCCAGAACAGACAGGTTGCCACTGCGAAACTCATTCCGACCTCACGATGCGATAGAGGGAACACCTCAGCTGAGTATGTGAATGGTACTGGGCCTTCACCGGGCGAGTAAAATGCTCCGAACATGTAGACGAAAAGAGCAACAAGAGCAGTTCTTGCTGTGTTTGCGCTGTCGTCTGCCAGCGTCTTCGGCATGAGAGTACACAATCCGGCGGCGAGCAGCGTCCATGTCATTTGGGGGAATGTAAACAAAAGTAGCGATCTTCGCCCGAAGGTATCGATAGTCCAGAAGGCTGGGAACGCGAAGACGAAATTGACTAGACCGAAGCCGAGAGAAGCAATAAGTGCTCTGTAATCGTCGTATCCTGCGTCCTTGAAAATGGTGGTAGAGTAGAAGGCGATGATGTTGATACCGCACATCTGCTGGGCAATCATGACGGTGAAAGCAGCAATATTCGCCCGTCGCACGCGGGGATGGTGAACAGCTGTACAAAGCGCTTGGCGTAGTTGGTTCCTTTGGATAGTTCCATCTCAATGGACAATTGTGCGTGGATATAGTAGATGTCCCGCGCGACCTGGATTTTGTTGTTACGGAGGACCAATAGCGATTTCCAAGCCTGAGCATATCGTCCTTTTTTCATGAGCCATCTGGGCGACTCTGGACAGAAGTAGATGAGGCAAAGTAGAGGGACTGCTGGAATAAAGGGCGCTCCCAACATCAGACGCCAATTGTTGGGCGCATTGTAGACTGCAAGATTGATGGCAGTCCCTAGCAGGATACCGAACGCAGTCCACATTTCTAGGATTGTTAGTGGACGTAGATCGGTGACGGATCATGTAGGGGACTTACGCCAAGACATGACGAGAGCACCTCGGACAGCGGCGGGTGCATTTTCAGCAGCATAAACAGGAACTTCTCGTCGTCAGTGTTTCACTTAGAAAACGCTTTAGTTGGTGCAGACTCACCAGTCGATGCTTTGACGCCCATACCAATACCCATGAGCAGGCGGCAAGCAAGCTGTTGTTCCCAGTTGTGACAGAAGGCAGAACCGATGACGGGCCAGATGCAGAAGTGCGCTGAAAAGAAGATGACACCACGTCGGCCAAACCAGTTGTTAATAGGATCTGAGAGCCAACAACCACACAATGCGCTACCAATATAGGGTCCCGCGTTGACAAGTCCAAGGATCTGGTGTCAAAACATGTTAGCAACCTTCGCGCATGCTCGAATGAGTAGCCTACCAGTCGTGAGCGAGCATCCTCGCCATCGATGCCGTACTCTTTTGGGAAGAAGATGTTGGCACCGTTGGATCCGGTCTGGTCCCAACCCTGCACAGCGGCACCGATTGAACATGTGGCAATAGTCAGAAAGAGTCTCCAGGGCATGCGCCATCTGTGTGCAACTTCATCGTAGAGGGCTTTCTTCTCCGTTTCATCGAGTGCTTCGGGGCCATCGATATTCTCGTAGCCACTGGGATCCTGCGCGACAAGCGCACCCTTGCGCAACAATGGAATGTGCTCAACCAAGCCCTTTTCGTGGGCAAAAGCCTCGACATCGCGCATCAGCTGAGCACGAGAAACCCCCTTCAGGGGATTCTTGATTCTAGGGTTGACTGTGTTAGGGTCGCGTCAATCTGGAAATACGATTGTGAGTAACTCACTTGGCTTCCAGATTGGTATTAATGTCGACATGGTTGTCAGCGGAGACACCGTGCTCTAAATGATGACCAGATACACCTTTTGGGTCACTTTGCGAACATATATCAGTACATTCACTCAAGTTGATTTGGTAAGTCGTTTGCTTACTGCTCTGTGTCGCCAACATGGCTCACGTTACCGTCGGCCATTTTAACTCGATCGTTGGTTGAGAAAGTGATCAACTCCCTTTCGGGCTGGGACTTATCGAATCCAGTAGTGTACTATACGAGTAGATCAAGAGTATCCGTTGTGTATAACGGCAAGATTGGACGAAACGAGTTCAAACAAGAGCCTCGTATAAGTCGATGTTTGTGCGGTTGGATATATGCAAGATTGAAGGCCGTAAGCTCGAACAATGAAGCGGTAGGGGAGGCGCATCTTATAATCACGTTTCGATATGATGCGAAATTGCCTTACATCTCTGAGCGCATCATCTTCACCTTCATCCCTACCAGCTCCAATCAACTGTCAAGACGTGCATATGGATCCAGCTAGTTTTCCCATGGGGATAACTCCAGAATGACTCGACCCAGCCGAATCTCCGACCTCCACGCTGCTACCGCCTTGAAGCTAGTACCACAAGTGCGCCGATTCATCATGGACTGTTCCCAAGATTGAGGGCGTACACCACCCCTCTAGCAAAAAGCTTGGTCAGTTTGGACGGTTACTGCATGGCAAACGGTCGAAGCCCCCGTCGCCAAGTATGAAGCCTGTCTTGGCCGCTCTTGGTAAGTCGCGGCGTCGAGTGCTAACCCGTCATCTCCACCCGACGGCTCCTTGGCTTTGGACACACCAAGATGGCGATTCCCTTGTCATGACACAGGAAGGATTCAATAACAAATGGAAGGAATTCAATACACAGTAAACCGTGATTATCCCGTGTGTTTTAGCACTCCTTCTGACATGCGTGCCTTCGAAAAATAAAGTACCAAAACACCATACCAATCAGACCGGAGATGTGCAGTCCAGAGGTTGCGGCTCTGCGGCAACGTCGAAAGCTAAACTATCTACTGCGTACTTACGAGACACGGTACTTGATGGCTTCCCCGGACAATAGTGCGAGCAATGATGCGGAGAAGCAAACATGGGGTAGGATGTAGTCATCCAAGATGAGTGCTCTCAGTGATTCATTCGTCGGCCAAGAGGGTTTTTGTGTGGCGATCATCTGACGGCTACCATCTTGGCGGCCTAATCCTCATGTTTTAATGATAAGTTGAGCCGTCTGCCGAGAGGTCGAATTGCTGATAGCGTCTTGGGATGAGAACCCAAGCCTCTGGGCAACCCCACAAATAACGTCATTGCCTTGAAGACCATGTGAAAGACTCGCATGCTTCCAAAAGCTAGATCAGTTGGGATAGAGCGACGTATCTCATCAGCACAACGGTGCTGACGTTCGGACGACACTTCGACACCAAATAGGATCACATCGCGTTTGCTCAGCCTTGTCGCCACATTGCTGGGACTTAAGTGCACATCAGCAGATAGTTAATTCTGTTAACAACATCGCAGTATGATCTCTTTCAACATACCCCTAGAAGCCGCGACTGTACCCTTTGGTCCATCGAGGCTTAGTCACCAAAATTCAAGTGAATAGTTGAAGCTTAGCCTCAACAAAAAACAAGACTGACAATAGGCTGTATTTACTACGAGAGGTTTGTAAATTCTTGTAATAGCTTAGATAAGGCCTATCTTGACGAAACGCGCCTACTGTAGTACACCGCAACGGATGTCTTATGCAGCGTTTCATGCTCCACAACGCTTGCGACCTTGTTGGTTCTCGCAGTGGCATTGCGACAACCAAAGCTAAAAGACGTCTCTGCCTGTAACGCTGAGTTACTTCTCAACTAGCACAGTATGCAGACCATTACTTAGAAAATGTGGACAAGCACTAACATACAAAGATTAGTGTTCCTGGTCAACTCGGAATAGGTACAAAACAGGTTTAGCAAAAACAACTCAAGAACAACTGGGAAAGACATTGGTGTAGTAGAAATTCGAGAGCCAAGCCAGAAACGGGACTTAAAAACAGCTCGATGCAAGCCTGTGGGTCCAGGTTATTTGGTCTAGCACAGCGGTTCCTATACAAACTGGCGGTGGGTGGAAGTCTAAGAGCCGGACCGAAAAAGCGAACGAGGCTTAGGCACGGTTGTGTCGACTCGGCACCTACTCATCGGCGTATAGACCGTCGTTCTCCTAAACACTGGTCCATTGATACCCAGACCTGCTTTTCCATCAGGCAAGTGTAGACACCAAGCTTCATCATCGCGGAAGTATGAAGCGCCAACTGACATGACGCTCACCATCAGACCAATTTTCATGGTTCGTGTGTTTTTCTGAACAGTAGGCATTACTCAACTCAACCTCGTAGAACCAGAAGTTCTATCAGATGTTGGAACGTAGGACCATAAATTCATCCTCAGTAACTCAGCACTTCATAACAGAGTATCAGGCCCATCCTAAACTGCTTCTTGAAAAGACATCTCACCCATGGCTACGTAAAGAAGAAGAAAACGGTCAACACGCTGTTCAAAGAGTCAACAAGAAATCACCTTTTCAGTCCAACAGTATTTGCTGTACAATGTTCTTAGGTAAGAATTGAGAGTATTATTCCCGTCGCTTCCTTGTCTTCGGCCTTGGAAGCGGGCCCGCGAATAATGTGAAAGGCCGCGCCGGAGGAGGCGGAGGGAGATGATGAGGATGAGGATGAGGATGAGGAGGAGGAGGAGGGAGGGCCAGCGGTCCGCCACGTCCCCGTCCTCGCCCTCCAGGGTTAACCCCTGGATGTCCATGTGCTGCTATAGGCGGGAGTGGTGGCGGCGGTGGCGGCAGACTTGTGGAACCAATGGGCCACATATGCTGCCGAACCAGCATTCCTGGTACCTATTGGAGGAGTCAGTAAGCACCATTTTATACCTGGTTTTGAAACTCGCGTATGATAGAGCCGTCGTTTCAGAATATTCACAACCGAGTACAATCTTCGTCGACATTTGAGCGACTGTAATGTGGTATGAGATAGCTGGACTTACGGCAAGGTCTTCCCATAGCTCTGGGAGAATAATATGGTATCCCCAAACGGGAATTTTGTTCACGAACGGAGAGAATTCACCGTCGGCAAGCGAGGCGGACGAGGATGACGAGGATGACGACGACGATGGGGAAGGCGATGCGGTCGCATTACTGGTAAAAAGGTTTTCTATTGATGGAGTACTTGCAGAAGTAGCTCTATTTATTCTTTGGCGTGGGCTGGCAAAAATCGGGTTTGTGTCCGCTATGAGGTCGAAGTGGCCGGCAAGTACATGGGGTGCGATTATGTCCACATGAAGGCAACATGCGTCAATCAAGCGCTTGATACCCTACTATTCTGTTAGAGCTCCTCAAGGAAGGCAATACGAGACAAGTTGTCCTAGAATACTCTATGCGAATCAAGAAAAGCGTGCCACGCAAGATTTCTGGATCGGATTGCCGGAAGGCACTGTTGATATGCATGTTTCTCAACACACCAGAATTGGCAACAGCACAATTTCAGACACCTTATTCTAAGATATGAAAGAAAAAGGTAGCATTACCTCCCACGTCCTCGCCTTCTCCCATGGGAAGACGAATGCTCGCCCCACCGCATCGGTAAACTGAATGGGGAGCTTCGCTGGCGGGCGATCAGGGAAACTCTCCCAACCATAGTCACCAGAGCCTAGATCAGTGCGGACAGGCTTAGACGACGATGACGATCCAGCGTCCGCGTCGGCATCTCCCAGACCCGATTCGTTGAAAGCAAAATGGACTGCTTTCTGTTTCTGTTTACCCTTGCGAACGTCGCTGAAGTCGCTGGAATCGCCAGCATCATGATATTCTGGAGTACGCAGGGGTTTCTCGTCATCCACCACCGTTGCCATGGGATCGGGCCCGAGAAGAAGACTTTCCTTTCGTTCTTTGGTGCATGGCGAGGTCAAGGAGCCCGTGTCAGGTCCGCTGACAATCGTCTGATTCCTGGTCTCCAGGGTCGCGTCTAGATGGCCGCATTTGGACGAATGATCACTATCTTGGTCGAGCTGAAGGTGGCACACCCGATCATCGAAAGCTGTTTCAGCTGCATGACGATCTACCTCTAATCCAGGAGTTCTTGCTGCGCTGAAGGTTACTGTTTGGCCCTCCGTGGCAGAGGCAGTGGTAGACAAGCCTATGTTGAAGTGTGTGGCATTGTCAGGATTCGACGAACCAGGCACATCGTTGTTGGCACCATCGTCTGCCGGTCCCGTGGTGGGCGCACTCGAACCGCCGGGGGGGAAGTTTTCAACGCCAGCGGGATCAGCCATGAGCAATGATGTGGAGTGAAGGACAAACGATAGATTTGGCCGGCCGTCCGTTCCGTACCGTCAGTTAACCCCTCAGCTCTTAACATGTCTCGAATAGCGCGCTTCAGCTCTCTTCCCCAGCCGCTCGAGTGGTACCAGGTACTTGGCCCAAACCCAACCTTAGTACGCTTTGTCGTGCCCCGGGAATGCAGGAGGCTGAAGGGGGTATGAACTAGTTTAGGTTCTGAACGTCATCAAGACCAATTGGAGAGGCACAGCATGGTAGCCGCCGGCGCTTATTTTGATTCGGAGATACGCGAATGGAGATGAATGGTTGAGCCGTAGAGGCGGATTCAGATACAGTGACCTGGCAGGAAGCGGAAAAGTGGAATTAAGGCCGCGCATGGCGCATTTCATCGTATACACAAGAGATTAGGCGACGCGTTGCTCCTTGGGCTTGCGCCAGGCACTTCTGTGTCTCCTTCCTCAAATAGCGGGATATTAGGCCCAACAAGAAGGTTTATGATTCCCGATTGGCCGAGAGTAGCTATCTTTGAACTGGTAAGCGTTGGGGGCTGGAAAAGCAAGGCGCCATCCTCTCCTCAAATTGGTACGGCAGATGGAGGGCACCGCCAGAGTAGGAGTCATGGGTTGACACTATTGGAGATTGTAGCATGCATCACATGGATAATGGCGCAGCAAGCCTGTACTACAGGTGCAACCTGGTGTCAACGTGCTAGGGAAGACAGCGCAAGTATTGCAATGCTATAGTCAGTTTATTAAGGTTGGCAACTTAAGCAAAGGATTTTTGTTAGCGTCATATGTACGTCCTTCGGTCAGCACGGCCACTTGGGCCATGTTTGCTGCATGGTTGATCTGCACAGATGTCCAGTATTGCTTCTGGCGGATATGCATGCGCTCCGTTGCAGATCAATGTACAGATTCTCTACAACTTGGCAGGAAAGAATTAACCGCACATGAAATCACTGGTAAACCTTCAGTGGAACCGCCATCAATACATGCCCTCTGGTCGGTAGATTGCTGCCGTCAATTTATTGCTTCTCACAATCCTAAGTCAGTTGCCACATGCAGTGATGACAATAACTCCTCATTCCAGCAATCTCTGGGAAGTTCGTCGCAGGCGTTGAGATCGAAAACTCTTTGTAATGTATGTTCATTGCTCAACGTGACTATACAATTGGGGTATATAAATTTCGTGAAGTCATTAGAAGGAAAGCCAAAAGAATCCAAGCCTCTATACAATTTCATTCGTCCCATTCATGCATTCCCTGCCCGTATGTACCATTTATGTTCTAAAGTCGTGAATACATCATACATGCCATTAAGAATATCCATGAAGAGGAATCCTGCTCAAGCAAGACCATTTCCCCTTCCATATTGATAGATAAAGTGTGTGGTAAGGACCGACTTGTTAGAAAACAGTATAATCTCAACTTCGTTGACAGCGTCAGTAGTCAACCTCCTCGCCAGGCGCGTCTTCTTCGCTGTATTCATTCGGCAGAGACTTGGTACTCCTCTGCGGCTTGAGGGGGTTGTGGAGTTCGAGTTTACCCTGGGCATCTTGCTGGACAACCGCAACATCAGGGCGGAGGACCCAATTCATCAAGGTGGGATCATTCATGCCTCCAAACGTAATCATCGACTCCAAGCCACTCGAAGCCCTCTCAAGGTGCTTAGCTACATGCTCCATTCGCTCGTCCCATGAGTTTGAACCACTGGCTTGGAAGCTGCATCCCGTAGCTGGACATGTCATGTACTCGGGTAACTGGCAACGTAGCTTGTGGGCTTCCTCTTGACAAACTCTCACACGATCTTCCCACTCTGGGAACGTCTTTTTCGCTTTGAGTTGTTTCTTGACTGACGGTGGTATGTGCATCCTACGAAGGTGTTGAGTGTACAGGTCTTTGCGGTTGAAGATGGCACCATTAGGTAGGGCAGGGCAAGCGATCTCGGGCTGGGAAGGGTATGATAAACGATGCTTTGTTGTGCCTGTGGCTTTGGTCAAGGACGCCGACGTGTTTGAAAGTTTCGCACATCCATCTTGGTCGCAGAGCCAATAGTGTAACAGGAGGTGTTGCGAAGCAACATGGCGCTTCCATTCGTTCTTGCTAGCAAAGGTCGAATCGCAGCCGGCGAAGTGGAATACACAGATGAAAGGTCGTGTGTGCTGCTGTTTGATGTGCTTCTGTAGACCAATCTGGTCTTTGAAAACGGCGTCGCGACACTGGTCACAAGCCAAGCTGCCCTTTGTGATTGAATGGATCTTGTTTGTTGACTTTGGGGTTATGGCGGCAACATATTCGCGCTTGGCCTTCTTAGCTGGCGAGATACTGACTGAGGAGCCAGTTCTCTTACGCTGTTTTGGTGTGCGGCTTGTGTTTGAGGTTGTCCTTTGATGTGCTGCTCTTGGGCGCCAATCCTCATCTTTGATATCATCTGCTTGGTAATGCTTCTGGTCGTTGGAGCTGTCTTCGTCGTCGTCATCGTCGTCAAGTGGTGGATAGCTACCAGGCTCTGCATATATTTCCTGTTTGATGAATGATGTCTCGGCTAGACTTAGTGCCCTTGAGATTTGTATTGGCTCTTGTCGACTCCTTATACTCAAGTCACAAGTGCTGCCATTGCTAGACATGCTTAGTTCGCGGAAAGGGAACTCTGGCTTGTCCATGGCGTAAATAGGCGGTTCTTGATAACGATTGATATCTTCTGGCTTGATGCAGACATTGTTAAGACCTGCCGACTGAACAAGCTGACCTTGAGACGTGAAATTGTCGTACTGTATCGTATAAGGCGACATTACATTGTGATCTGGTGTTGACGGATTGTCGAAACTGCCATCACTTTCGCTGGGAGGGCTATAAGCGCTGTCGCACGTGGAAGACCTCTGATCGAACGGAGACAAGTGCCGTGACATGAATACTGGTGGCGGCGGAGCAGTCTGTATATTCCCATAATCATAACAGGAATAGTCTTCGTGGGCCATTTGGTATTGGTTGTAGTGCGCCAGGTCATGGAAAGCATTCGAGTCTCCTAAGTGTGGATCGATGTAGAATGTGTTGACACCAGGCCACACAGTTTGCTGGGAGGACATGACAAATGATCTCCTATGTAGAGGAAGTGCAACGTATATACTTGTGTGTAGGAGGAAATCAGAAAATATGTCATAAAAGTTGGCGTTCTCAGACCATGAGAATTTGGCGAGTCGTGTGTCCAGTAGAGGCGGGCACTAACACACAAACTACCATGCCAATTGACCCATGAACAGATGGGAACAATGATATAAGTATATGGAGAAAGATTGTGTAAGCTTTCTAACTTCAGAGGACTGCACAATAGTCTTCTAGCATGAGTTCGTAGGCAGCTGTGAGGCGAAGCAACTGGTCTGGAGCACTTGCTTGCAGACAATAGCCTCGAGAACGACGCGATACTTAACTAAAGTATTATCTTTGAGGCCAGGGTCATAATCATTCACCCCTCGGCCACCTTTGGAGAGATCCACCACAGCAGCAGAGCCTCAAGTATCTTCGTACTAAGTACCCTCGTACCACACCACTTTGGCAGGCTCAGACTTTTGGCCCCTGCCAGCAATCACGCTGGAAGGCGGATCGTCATTACCGCGACGGCTTGCTTTTTATCCCACGGCTTTCCCAGGCGCCTGGCGCGACAAGGCATGCAGACCCCTGGATCCTGGCTAGAAGAACTGGCACATCGGTTCGGGATTGGATGGTTGTGCTGTTTATGAAATATTGTGACTGTACCTGTACTGCTACACAGCTGTGGTGAGTTGCAACAGTGAGCATGGTGCGCGGCCCACCTCATAAATTCCTATTTCGTCACGCGCGGGCATGGTTCGGACAGGCTGGCTGATGGGGACAGTGGAACTGGGAAATTCAGTCCGGGCAATGATAACAAGCCTCTGCAAAGTCCTCCACTCGGTCGCATACAGCCAGCTTACACAGCAATAATATGGAAAAACCCGTAAAGCATTGGAGACGGGCGACGGGCGACGCAAATGCAGTGAAATTGTGGCTAACCTGGTACGGCAACGCGAAACTGCGAGGCAGATGCTGCGCACAGTTGTGTTCCGAGTCCTGACCCCAGGTTGACTCTCCCACCCAGTTTTGTCGTCACGGGCAATCAAGCTGCTGTTATTTTCTAAGTACCACTTCGCGTACATTCATTTTCTTTGGTGGTTTTGTTAAATCTGCCAACCACGTACGACGAGTCTAGACAGGCCGAAGATAGCATCACTCGTTACGACCATAAATTCGCCCGGTTGTAGAGGAGCAGTCGACGTCAACGGCCCTGTCGATTGAGTAACAGGAGTCGGGTTCAATTCAAACCAATGGCCACGCATCGCTTGGCAATCTGGAGATGGCGGGGGTCTTGGGATGTGCTCAGTTCCACCGCCGTGGAACCCGCACTTTGCGCATGGGCATGGGCTCCATGGAAGTAGCTGATAAATGTTTCATGGGAGTTGGGTACTTTGATGGTGACCATATAATAATATCGCTCGGGATTATAGAGACAGATCAATTAGATCTAGGGTTGCTTTGAATGTAGAGAAACAAACCTTGTCTATTGTCGCCGGATATGAGCACGAGCAGATCTCTGGCTCAACTAGACTGTGGGGACACTGAACAGGGGCATGCGAGGGACTTTTGTCTACTGTAAGGATCTTTACTCCGTATTTCACAGCAATTTGGGCCTTTGGAAAAGAGTCGAGAAAGTCTACAGGTCCGTGGAGAGAGTTCTTGACAGTGCGACTATGTCCTACCCATGCCACGAAGAGGAACCCCGGAAAACTTGATGGGGCTATCTATTTTATGGACGGCTTGTCCCTAAACAATTTCTCAACACAGGGTAGCTCACGGCGCCTCCGTTTCCGACCCCGAAGACTGGAGCAATAGTCGCGATGAATACCCGAAAAAGCTTTGGGGCCCTGGAGCACTACACTACACAGTAGAAATACAAGGTTGGACTCCTTCGGATTGTCGAACCGAAGGAGTGACTGATCGACAGGCTTCTTTCGCACAAAGATGATATATACCAATGAGGAGTTGTCAAGAAAATTCAGCTCCGAGCAGACCAGACCAACACTGTAGTCCCAATGTGTCAAAGGATGAGATGACACATTCTGAGATGTGTAACCAATAGACTTTGCTCTACCTTGCAAACACGCACAGCAGACCACACTAAGCCCTCCCAGGCGCTGTAGGGCAACTCGGATGGGGCAGTTTATCCATTTCGCTAACCCAGTGATCTCACACCCGCCAGTCTCTGTCTGTGCTCACCGAGCTAACTAGGCAATCAGTAGCCAAGACAAGGCAACCTCTGGGCCTCACTGGAGGTCTAGAGGCCTATATTCACCTCGAAGTTTCATAGGTCGTTAGAGCACCTCTCCATCTGACGACTTGAAATGATTGGAAAGCTGCCTTCGCTACTCTTGTGCCTCAGAACCTGATGCCTCAATGCGTTATGCCTCGGGCCTGAATATTGTTCACTGCAGATCAAATTTGTCACCGAGACTATGCTCTCTTCCGGCCTTTGGCCTAAGCGGTGGGGGGAAAGCAATAGAGCCCCAAATCAAACTGGGGATCCTTCCTTGTCCCCATATCTATTGTGAGAGATGCATCTTATGTCCCAGTATGGCAGCCAATTGGCCCCCAAAAAAGGCCTACCTCCCGACCCCAACTCGTCCTCGAAGAATGTCTGGAAACGGAAAATCAGAATTTAGCAGATCAGGGCGTATTTAGTTGATTTCCTGGAACTCCTTATTTCACTGAGAGCTATTCATCCTCGGCTTCAGTCTCATGTAAGTGTTCTAAACAAAGATATCCGAGTGAGTGAATCTCTAGCGAGTGCGTAGGGGTGTTAGTAGATCTGGCCCGGGCCCAACCTCAGCAGCCCCACCAAGCGATCCTGCTGAAAGCACGACAAATCCACATGCGCGGTATGTGCCGCGCTATAGCGAGTGCGCTGTGCGCTACCCTATCACACATGGTATTACTGCAATATATCCGGACCAAGTCTGGAAAGAAACAGGATTCTCGTTGACGCAGCATGGGATAACCCAGACTGATGCCCAATGCATCCAAGTCGCCAACATCAGGGTGTCTTGTTTCCTCTCTGAATTTCCCAGATGATTAACATGAACATTCCTCGACACCGCCCCCTTTTCGCACGTCGAAGCTGCGCCGCTTCCACCGCGGGTAGTCTCACTGCAGAACTTAAGACATGCAGGTTACAGCCGTATTCGCCATGCCTGACACCCTTTCTAGAAGGAGATGACGGTTTCCCGAAGGACAGCCGCCGGCGCTACACGCTCAGCCCCCAACAAAACACACATTTCCACGACCCAGAAACTGGAACCCAGGACTCAAGTGCCGGGGGGCCGTGGTCAGCTTTGGTTTCATCGGACCACGAGAATAACATGGATTCGTTGCAAGGGCTGCGTTCGTCCGTCATATGCGTCTAACCTATTGTCGCTCTATGAGTGTGATATGAACGATTCAGCACCGACTTTAATGATTCCACGTTCTTTCCCCACTTTGAAGTGCCTCGCTGTAATTCATTTATGGCACAGCAGATCGACCACTAAACTGACCATCATTGTCTCATCGGGAGGCTCTGACAGCACTTCCATGGCAACTCTCTGCGATCGCGATAAGAAAGAGCCAACGCTGACATAAGGCGGCTTGGGTAGCACTAGTCTAGCATGAATCTGCATAACGAGTCTCATAATTACCCGTACTTGCGCAAGGAGAACGTCAATTCACATGCCAAAGTCCAAATACAATATCAAGTAGATTGCTTACTGCATCACTAGTGGGATATCGTGAAATTTTTAAATTTTTTTTAAATTTTTTAAACAAGCACAAAGCATTGCCAGTGTATTAATCATCATGTCGTGTTACCTAGCCCAACAATGTTTCCGCCACACCATGATACTCGTTACTCCACACGGTATAACGATGAAGCCCCTGCACTGAAAATTCTACTACGTGCAATTGGAGCAAAGAGTATGTTGGCATTCAAAGCTGATGCACATTGGGTGCATTCCACTTCGAGTGTTACCTTCGCCGCATTGGCACTGGAAACGAGATGTCAGCTGGCTTATCCTGGGGAAACAAATTTCTATAGGTTGAAGTTTGAGTGTATGCTTACACATTTTATAGTTACCAGATGATTCGCGGATTTAGCTCTCTTGCTAGAACGACCATCCCCCAATCCATCGGCCTTGCGCTTGGTGCTGCCAACTCGGCCCAGCTCCTTCGGGTTTGTGTCAGCGGCAAGTGTCTTCCTGCTCACAAATTTTGGCGATGCTGAATTATCGTTTGTGGGTTCTGGTTCAGTTGCCGATGATGTCTCGGAATGTGACGTCGATTCGGGATCGACGCTCTTCCAATCATTCATATGCTTCTTTGACAGATCATTTCGCCCGGCAAGGTGGTCGTCGATATGGTTGTACCTTTCGGTCCAAGCATCGACACCCTTACTCTTGATTTTGATAACCCCTTCGCAGAAGCCACACCAGAAATTAGCTTCGCAATTCCGCCCAACACGGCATTCTTCTAGCTTTTTTTCCATTACATCTCCATTGAGTTGATGATTGGTCACCAAATGTAGTCTGAATGTCTCACGCCGATGACTGACCTTACCGCACATTTCTGTGGGGTTTTGAGCTCCTCTTACATCACATTTCCAGACCTCTAGAAGGAAGTGCTGGCTATTCTCATGTCGCTTCCAGTCATTTTTACTACCGAATCGCTTGGTGCATCCTTCATAGGTGCAGCCGTACGGCTTCTCGTGGCGTTTCAAGTGTTTTCTGACCTCTGTATTAGCTATTGCTCAATATCTAGATCAAACAGTTACCATACTTAAGCTCGCATCGTCGTGAGAACGATTTAGGACAGGATTGTAATGGACAATGAATTTGGCTATCCTGATGCTGGACGTTGGACTCTGGTTCCTTTTCTTCTGTAGACGGTATTTCTTCCTTCTTGTACCCGAACTCTTTCAGAACGCCTTTGCTCTGGAGCGCTTCAAGAATTTGTTTGAGTTTCTCGGGATCCTCGAGGTCTAGTACCAGAGAGGATAAATCCGCGGCGGTCGGTATTGAGACGTCTGGAGATTCCGAGGTGGCACTTTTCTCACTCCCATCGATGGAGAAGGGACTTGCAGCAGAGTCACTGCCACTTTCTGAGGGATCTGGAACTCCGATTTTCCGGTACTGAGTCTCTGCGCTTGTATCTGCATTCAGTCTTAAATTCGGAGATATTACCGCACGATGGCTCAGGTCTCCTGGGGTCACGAATTGGTGCTGTCCTTCTATCCGCTGTGGGATGGCAAAATCGTCGGAAGAAGGCGTCGCTGAAGCAGACTGAAGTTGTCTCTGGAGATTTGAGGCTTCTATTTTGTTCACAGAATCAGAGTCACCCTGGCCGGCAATTCCTTGATCTTGTCTCACTTGAGGACCGGGTGGATGTTGACTCAGGTTTGAAGCACCAGCCATAGACAATGTTGTTCCAACATTGGGCCGCTGTGGCCAATAAGAGCCGGAGAACTGATTCGGCACATCTGAACTCAACTGAAAGTTATATTCCTCCGATGGAAGTTGCATCCTTACTAGATCAGGTAACAACATATCCTGTGTAGGGCTGTAGCCGTTAGCTTATCTCGATCTTGATTGCGACGTGCCGAAACATACCGATGTATGAGCTTCTCCATCTCTTCTTCGGTAACTGAATGACGATGAACTCGTCTGATATGGGCGCGGAAGTTGTCAGCTCGGGGCCAGATCTTTTCCTTGTTCCTACAAGCACCGAGATCACATCGATAGAAAGTACCCGTGGCAAACTCGCCAGGGTGGCAGCTCCTCTTGTGGCGATCCAGATCGTTAGATGTACTGAATCCATCGGCCCGGGTGCAGCCTGGAAAATCACAGACATGGGGTCTGGTATGTCTTTGTTTATGCTTTCTAAATGAGGATTTCAGCGGCTGAGACTCTGTCGAAACAACCCGTTCACGACTTACTTGAGCTCCGAGTTTGTCTTCATAACCTTACGACAGGTTTCGCAAATCAATTCCTTTCCCTCCGAGTTTGTGAAACGTTGCATGGCAGATGCTGGTCTCTGACCCTGAGGCTGGACCCATTGGTTTGGATCCATGGTGAATGCGAAGTTGCCTACTATACTTGTATTTTCCTGAGTGTCCAGAGAATCGTCGTAACAGATGGAAGTAGTTGCGATGCTATGCTTGGGTCTATGGCTACCATAACCTGAATCTGAGGGCATGGGCCCAGGAGGGGCAGTGTCGCATTCAGAAGGAGAAATGCTCTCACGATAATGGCCCGAGAATACATATCCATTGCTTACTTGGGTTTGACCTATCTGGCTTCCGGGGGCGGCTATACCTTTTGGGTGCCAGGGACCATCATTCCTGGTGTACCATTGCTGTAGCGGGTCCGCGGACACTTGATGACCATAGGTGCTCAGAAGTGCCTGATCGGTCGTAAAGGGCCCAGATAGCAAGTTGGAGCCAGTGTCAATTCCAGCTAGATCCTGTGATCGTTGAAACAGGGACACGTCCATTCCTCTCGACGGCGTTTCTATGGTGCTCCCATCCATGTGCCTGGGCGATGTTTGTAGCTGGTTACTCATGGTGAACAGATGCACCTCTTGTTCTCAGCGAGACTTCTCTCGGTAATAATACTGAGATATCACACGGTCGAAGCCGATGAATGTATCGCCATGTAGCACGGCCTCGATTTCCGAAGGGTGCAGGTAGAAGTGCACTGTGGTACGGCAATCGCTGTCCTCGAAACACCAAAGTTCAAATCAAGCCAAACCGCGGGCGTATCTTCAAGGGGCTGTTGATCCTGTCATTAGCCTACCTGCTTCCTCAGGGCAGAGCTGATGATTCAACGGCGTTGAGACGCCAAGATGCGACGGTATCAGGCAACAGGGAGTCGGAGTGGGGCACTGATGGACTGAGAGGAGCATAGCATCTGGGAAGACTAACAATTGAGAACAGCGTGAAGCGTTTCGCAGAACCTTCTCCAAATGCTCCTAAGGGCTTGTCTAATTGGAGAAGCTATCTAGGAAAATTGGCAGTATGCATAGGTTGCTCGTTGTGGGTAGGTTTGCGACACAGTCAGATGGGAAAGCGAGGTGTCGCTGCGCCAAACAAGGTCAGAAGCGTCGAGGGTCTGTTCTGGATGTTTGCTGACAGTGCATGCGACTCGTAGGGAGGAGCCAGGGTCGCAACAACAAAATATCGTACCTGGATCAGAATAGCATGACGTACACTCAAGTCTGTCGTTATCGTTGTGAATTAGTCAAAGCCAGAAGCAGCAGAACTAGCGACGCCGCGATGAACGGGTGGAGGGCGATCAAGATAGTTGCAGTAGTCAAAATGAGGGCAGAACAGCACGACGTTGTAATAAGGCAACCATTGTCGGTACGATAAGAAGTGAGGCGGACACAGTTTTGCCCAGTCCAATTGTAGACATTTGATTCACTCATGTATGGTTAGGTAGGTCATGCATACCATTTTTTCTCTTTCGGTGACGGCTGTGGCATTGGTTGCCTCGTGGTGGCGCAGTGTGCCGAAGAGGCCAATTAAATGCATTAATAGGCCTCAACACGCTAAATTCGTGTACGTACTCGGCAGAGAAGCAACAGCACAAATTCAGAATGCCGGTATCAATCAATTCGGCATGGCGCGCGATCGTGCGATTTGGCATTCCGTTGAAACCAATATCACATGAGACAGATGCCATTGACATGTAAATAAAGATCGGTCGCAGAGCTGTGTCTGTTACTTCAGTGAATGAATATCCGGATTGTTTAGCTGTTTGATCATGTTTAGCAAGCCGCATCAAGGATTAGTCGATTGTTCCTCTCCCACCCCTTCACTATTGACCCGTCAGAATCCGGGACGGCATTGCTTATTTGGAGGTTCAGCTCCAGTCCTGCGATATTAGGTGACAACCAACGTCGCTGTTGCGTATACATAAAAAAGTTTATTACTGTCAGACCAGTTGAGTGCTCGGTTTTATGGCGCAACCTCGGAGACCTGGCATCTTGGGGCCGGCGGCACCATTGGCGGACACACATAGGTGTCACAAAGGACATTGCATGCCCATGGCTTCACGTGCCGGCGTGGATGGGGAGAGCTCAATATCGTGGCGGTAACGTAAGCTAAACTTCTACCATGTTAAGATCACTTTGGTGGCCAAATGGTTTCATGGTAATACAGAACGCAAGGGATCTGGGGCTCGGCGACACCAGTTGTCATATATTTATGAATAGATGAAAATGAGGTCATATTATCTCTATGATGAGAAATCCTCCTGTAAATCCATAGTCTTTAACATGCACCATTCGTCTGACTGGATAACCTTCAGAGGCGCATGCAAACCAAGACTCTAGACTATTGAACTTCAAAAGTGTGTCGCAAATATAGCCATTGGCTCGTGCAGTGACAGCTATGTCACTGGAGAGCCGCACGCATAGTCAAGGCAGGCCCAAAACAAGCTACGCCACTATCCATAGCAGCTGAGCTGAATGCCCGTTACTGTAACAACAACACCAGCAGCCTAGGTCAATACAGCCAAGTACGCGCCACTATGAAGGCATTTATACCAGATTAAGTCCTTGGTTATAAGTCTTATCAAGGTCTATCACACTAAGGCGAACATACCGCGGGATTCTGTGATGTCCGTGTATTCTCCTTACGCTTCTTTCAAGTTATATAATCAAACAAGGAGGGGGATAGTTTGACCGGGTTAGTTTATCGACATGGCAAGGATGTTTGAATACCCATTCCATACTTGTATCTAACTGGGCCACCGCCGATGGGGTCTCATTGAGTGGAAGTAGGTTAATTCCTAATGGGAATGACCTTTGACCACATGGATATTGGGCATCTATGTATAGTAGTTGCGTAGCCCTATCGAGCACAATACTCGCATTATCTTATTCCTAATCACAAAACGAACAGCACGTTTAGAAATTTGCTTCTACTAAAATAATAGAGCGAATGAACCGCTGAAACCATGTTATTACAGATGACACGCATGCTTCCACACAACATGCGAAGTCACGACACTGATCTCTGATCTAGATGGCCCAAATCGACTGAGTTGGATCATAAAGACGGTGATCTACCAGGACTATCCTGTTGTGCTGGCAGCGGCGCACTTAACACGTATATATCGAGGTTTAAAGGTTCCATTGTTGCCCAGTTGCCATGTGCTTGAACCGTTTCTTGGTCCACACAAACACATGACTGTATTGGTTGCCTGAAATAGAGTAACATGAACTGGGCTGCGATTTTGGCCGGTCTGGCTATTCTTAAGAAGGTTTCGGCGTTTGTATCAAATTGGGCTGGAATGAGCCCAGAGAGTATATTTGCTCTCAACCTAATTTCTGTTCACAGAGCTAGCGGATCGCTAGTAATAAAAGTCTTTCAAAGATATTAAGCAAACAGTCGTGTGCCGTAGTATGGTATATTCAAGTAACACACGGGTTGAGAAAAATACATAGCTATAACAATTCCCTACGCTCGATACATTTAAATCCACTTCGACAAGTCGAAGAATTATGTTAAGATACTTGCTCTTAGTGCAATTGTGGAAGACCTTCTCCATTTTTCTGCATCAAGCATTTATGCCTACCAGCTGCTGTAATGCCATTTCATAGAGTGGGCGACCTTGAAAAGTCTGTTAAGGACTCTATCTCGAACAAAAACTGTAACGAAGGTCCCTCTTTCAAAATGCGTCAGGCCCTGGCCCGATTCCCGCCGATGTTCAGCGTTTGTTGACCGGCTAAGAGCATTTACTTCTACCATCTGAGGTAAGACAACTTGGTTGCTGCAAACCCATTAGCTTCTCTAGACAGTTCTAGTTGTCACTTCGAGTTCTGCATCGTCAGGTATCACCGATCAAATCTACCCAACTGTAACGCCAACGCGTCAGGAACATGTGGGATGACGGGTAGCCCAGCATGGCACAAGAGCCCAAATGCAGGTTTCCCTTGAGCTATTCTACATCACTTAATGTCATCTTTCTGATAACGGTATCCCGCATAAACAACTAGAGACAGTATTATCTCATTTGCGTAAGGTTTGCCTATTAGTATGCAGTATCAGTGCCAAACCTGGCTCATCGTGAATCGCATCTTCGTGGAGCGCGTTGGGTAAAATTAGAATCTGAATTCATCACAAGCACTTAACACATAGCCGCGAATAAGTGGAACTAGCTAATCATATGTCAGATACCTGTATCATGCAGTTGTCCTTGCCAAGACGCCAGGAATTAATGTTTGCTTAGGTGGCACTTGTGCCTCTTGTCATCTTCCCCGGACCGTTCCGCGTCTATCCGCAGTCTGAATTTCTTTTTCGAACTGTTCTGATTCGTCAAGAGTACATTGAAGAACGTGTTTACCTGGTACTCGGAAAGTTGCTACTAAAGTCCGAGTCTGGGCAACCGACATTCTGGCAACCACCCGGCTCCAATGCAACCAATCTGTCACTTTTGGCATCTTTCACGATCTCTTCGCGATCTGCTATCGTGATATCTACGTTTCCTATTTAAGCTAAAAGTAGCTAGTTCTTAAATAGTCATGAACTTTAGAGGCAAATGCTACGCCAGACTCACGATAAGCGACGTTTAGGTGGTCTGTTAGGTCTTTAGATCTCCAGAGAAACTTCGGCATGGCCCACCTGTTCAAATTGAACACCTCAAAATCATATGTGTTGTGGTACATCATGAGCATGACTGGCAACAGGTGCCCGGAGTCACTAGGCCGGTCTTCTAGCCTCACACAGAATGCTATGGCGAGCCTGGTAAAGCTGGTGGGGGATCTTCAAAATTGCAGATGGAGGAAATGATAGGTCAAAAGAGACCAAGCCAAACAGTGCAGCATATCCAAGATAAGACTTCCTAGTTTTCTGTTTCAAGCATGCAGTTTTCCCACGACTGGGTGCATCCTTCCAGAATACATGAAATGAACCATTAGCTAGAAGCTGAGTTGGGCCATAGCTATGTGACTCGGACGTGATTTCGCTTAGTGCTTGTATTTTGGTAGTGGCATCGGCGTGATTCTCTACATGCACACAGTAACCTCCAAGCAAACAAAATCACCATAATGAAGATATAAAAGCGTGACGGCACTTTAGCGAATAACGATCTGCAACACTTTGTTTTTCTGACTTAATCCGCGCTTAACTATCACGCATCACCTCTGTCCAGGCAAGTTATCAACTCACTGGACTTGTTGATTTGCAACGATCTAATTATAACCCAGAACGCAGGACATAAGCATTCGGCGTAAATCAATACACACACAGAGCTCTCCACAGACGATAAAAATAGAGACGGCAATGTGTGATTGGGAGGAATTTCTTTTCGAGTGTCGCCACTCCACTGTCCGGCTCAAGTCTTACTGTCATTTCGCTCGCAACGATCCCAACCACGAATGCCTTGGCGTTAAGGTGCTACGGGAGTGTTGGAAGCAGGAAGGCCAGCTTTGCCAGTCCTGCCTTACGAGTGGCTACCGCTTTGATGTTAGGAGCGGCATCATTTGGCATCTGTCGAGAGGTGGAGCTTCGTAAGTGCCGGCGCAGACAACATTGCTCATTCCCATGGTGGTGGGGGGGATACCTGGTCATTCCTATGGAGCCAGGCGTTGCTCAACCAACCCATTGTTGCACTGCTTCTTCTTAGAGATGCGGGCATAGGTGCATAGGCAGTCTTGGTTATATCCATGGAGTCGTCGGTATTTTTGGTTCGTTCGCCCAGAAGCTAGAAAAGGTGCTTTGGCGTGTACCTGGTAAAGAAAAGTTCATCGAACGTGTTACACGGTCGTTGATTGGGGTGATACAAAAGCTTAATACTGTTCATCTATGTACATGTCATGGAAGAGTTGCACAACGTACGATATGTATGATACACTGTCAATGACGAATTGATACAAATCAACTCTGAGAATTGATCAGCTCATACATGTCGACGATATCGCCAAATCTCTTATGTGATGTAGTATGCGCAGTTTTCCGAACAAAGTGTACCTTGACTGGTTCCACGGTCTAATTTATCTTGAACTTTTTGGCTTTGTAACTTGTTGGTGTATATACCGGCGAGAATTCTGCCCATGACGTGATACAATGTAAGAACTTAATTTGTCGTCGTCGTACAGTAACGCTGCGGAGCCTCTTCTGCCAAATGGATTTGTCTACCAGTGGTGAAGCTTATGCGGCCATGGAAGCGGCGACGGTAGAACACTCGGGATTTTACTGGAGTAGCACAACTACTGCTGGAGAACCTGAGCCTAGCTTGTTCTAACAAGACTCAGCAGTTGATTTGGTGGCTTGATTACAACGTAGGTCCGAAACCTGTCACGGCTGCAGTGCTTGTTGTACGGTAGCAGAAACAGCAAGTGGATATATGCGAATGTGAGGGGACGGAGTTTGACCGCATTGTCATGTTGTTTTCACGGCGGATGCAGGTTCATACTGTCAGTCGGTGAGCTTGTTCATGCCAAGGCTTGTCTCAGATACAGATCTAGATCGGAACGACTGTCATGATCGACCCAGCGACCTTGCTGTAAGGTCCCTAACGCATGGTAGTAGATATTGCGAGTAGCCAGGGTAGATAAACGAATCAGATCCGATTCCACATTTATAAAAGGCTTGCGGCAGGTAAGCGGAGGCGGATTTCTTCCAAGGACTACATGGGCCATCGATTTATACCAAGGTGCAGAGAACTACTTCACCACCTGTATCAGCTGTTCATGTAAAACTGAGCGCAAGGGTATTCTTGACACAGTACGAATGTAGTCTCTAGGATCTGTGGACAGGATAAAAGCAGGCGGATGCCACCCACCCTAATAACTTTTGGTGTTACCGTGGTTTGACATGTAGGACACTTAGAAGAGAGACTGTTTCCTGAGGAACGGCTGAATTTTGAATTCCTGTCGAAAGTAGTTACCTGCAAGGTCCAAGTCTTCCATGAACCTATCCAGGGACAGACATGTGCTTGCCGCCGAGCCTCAGTCAGACCAATGTGCCCAAAGAGTAACTGGCGCATGCATTTTAATAAGGACGTGAAACGATGTGAGTGTTTACTCCCTGTTGGTGGCTCCCTCAACGACACCAACAACATTGTATCTCTTGGAGAAGAATGTGACCCAGTCATTGAGCGTTCCCTGTTCCTTATCGTCGAGGTCCTTCCATTCTGACGATACATCCTCGGCCTTGGTTGATGTCTTGCCCAAGGCCCGAGACGCATCCTTACCAGCAAAGACTGCATGATAGTTAGCGAACAGTCACATCACAGTAACTCAACAGGACTTTGTGACACAGCGGATTGTATCTGAGTGCTCGAAGAAGCTGACTGTTTACCAAGTTGAAGTCGCTGTGCTCATCCGTTTTGGGAGTGGGGGGGGGGGGGGGGGGGGGGATCTTCTATCAAGAGATCGGACGAAAGTCGTGAAACGAGGGTACTCACCGTTGTATGAACCTCCCGGTTGGTACGCTTTGTTGCCAGTGACATCGTAAACTTTGCCCTAGAACCCGCACTTAGCCACTGAACAATAGACGAGCGACTTGTGACTTGTGACTTGGCGTGGAACACAGTAAATGCGATATGCTGCACAGTCTCCCGAACTAATCGAGGCCCACGTACCTTGATAGCTACAAAGCACTTTTGACCCTCGCTGCCTGTGAAACGAGTCAATACGAAGTTCCTTTTCTCCGACCCCGGCGACTCTAGAGGCAAGCGTCGTTTGTCAAGAACCGGGAGACTCTCGAATTCACGGAGCCAACCAGATCAACATGCCGCACTTCATCAGTAGTGGCGGGCTACTCACCATCGGCCTTCGCAAGATCATCCAGAGAGATAGCATCATCCTTAGGCGGGTTCAACTGAACCGGGACCTTTGGTTCGAACTTTCCAGACATGGCGATGATTGGCGATGCTTTTCTTTTTCTTTTTCTATTTTCTTTTTAGGAGTCTGCTGCTAAGCGGGGTTGTTGTCTCGTGCCGGGCTGTGTATACTTGGTGTTGAGAAATCGAGTGAGTCCACTTGCGTCAAAATGATTGAAGCGTCCTTGGCGCTTAGAAAAAGGGAGGGGTGGTGATGTCGAGAGGCGAAGATTCCTTGATGGCTATAAATGCAGGCCCTGGGAGCATCCCTTTGCGATGAGGTGATTGATTTGGTGCATTCCAGTGGGGCCAATCACTACCGAGGCCGTTTAGCGGCTTTGTTCCGTGCCTGAGCTTGAGGCTTGGCGCAACGCAAAGCGAAGCTTGGGGGAGCTCACGATGAATGCATTCAATATGACATTCTCCAATGCTAAGAAGACTGGCCATGCGGGGCTCGGCGATGTGACGGTCACCATCTGATTGAAAAAGCCAGTCAGTCCCCTTTGTGACCGTCGTACCGTATGGGCCATTGTGTGGCAAGCTTGGCGTCCACACGCCGCCCGCTGTGGGTCGAATCGAGCTCCAAGCTCTCGGGAGCTACAATGCAAATTTACGGCGTACTGCAGTCGTCAGTTCAAGATCGATCAATCACTCACTCGGCATCGCTCTCGATCCTCTGACGCGCTCACCCCCCCCCCAAATCAAATGCTCATGTGCATCGTCTAGCTCAACATGCCTGTGTATGGCTCTTAGATGAACATGTCAGCGATACGTATGTGCGCCTTGCGTCCGCTCAATGGGATCCGGAGATCCCATCTTGGGCTGGCTCAAGCGCAGCTCCAGCGACCGTACGGCCATCTGAAAACGAGTGGCGGTAGATATACAGAGGCCCTCGTTATCGTGAGGCTCCAGCAAACGCGGAGTCAGTCGACTGGAGGCAAGAAGTTTTCAGACCAACCACCGCCGACGCCGTCTGGGTCACTGCTGCTTCGAGCTTTGCGGCAGAGCTTGAGTCTGCGTCCCTTGATAGGCGCCTTCCGTGGACAAAATCTGCAAAGACTATACCGTCAGAGCCCCGAAGAGCTCGTTATTGCCCTGGCACTGTACGTGAAAACCTCGCACCATGCCCAGGAACTCATCATCTAACGCTTTCGTGCTTCACAGTTTGGCTGGCATTTCGGTCATTGTTGTCTATGTAATATACACATATTACAACTATTTCCAGTCAGAACAATTCACAAAGTTCCCCCCCGATGTCGCCAAATCGATGCGACGTGCATTATACTACAGCAACTACAGTCCCGACCCGAAACTCGCCTTGAAGTACTACAAGCTGGCTCTGGAGCAGTGTGAGCAAAACGGCATCGACCCTTTCACAGATGGTGTCTTGGGTATCAAGATCCAGCTGGCTGCATGGCTGGAGAAGATCGGAAGCTATAAGAACTCGACTGACGTCTTGGAGGCCCTTCTCCGTGACTGCAAGAAATGGGTCGAAAAGATGGAGGAATCCGACCGTCAGGGGCTCATTGGCAAAGACGGCAACCTTGTTGGGGCTCCTGTCCAGGCAGCGAAAAAGGACACAAACTCCGATTCCCCAGAGGAAGAAGTGCAAGAAAACCTATGGGGCAAACGCACTCGGGTGCTTGGCAAGTCGGTAGGAATCAGTGTCAAGCTTGGAGAGCTGTACGCCGACGAGCATGTACTTCAAAGCGACACTGCCGGAGAGCGGCTCATCTGGGCCGTCGAGACTGTTCTGAAAGAACTGCAGCGCCGACAGGTACAAGGCGTGAAGGAAGGTGAGGGCGATTGGATGACCCCTGAACAAATCGGAGGCGCTTTAGAAGGTAAGATCATCCTAAATCGACCGTGTATCTGAAGGATATACTAATACCATACGCAGCTCTAGCCCATCACTACGAATCTAAGGACAAGCACTATTTGGCAGCTCCACTCTTCCTCCAAGCACTAACTATGTCTCCCCCCAAGAGCTGTCATACTGCGGTCCTGAGTAAGTCTTGAGACTGTCCATATTTAGCTTCCTCATCTGTGTATTGCTATACTAACCAAGTCAGTGAATAATTTGGCAATATCATTGGCACAACAACCGGTTGCTTCGGCTGATGCAATCGCGCCAGCTGCTAAGGGCCAACCTCGTGCCACAAGAGCGTCTCTTCTTGCCAGCGCCAAGTCATGGGCAACTCAAGCACACGCAACTGGATCAAAGGTGACCGGCGATGACCGGACCGAAGAATGTGATCAGGCCTGTGCTGTCGCTTTATGCAACCTGGGTGAGATCGCAGCCATGATGGGCGACATGGACGAAGCAAAGGCTAGATTCAAGCAGAGTCTTGGCTTGAGTAGACGCATCGGCTTTGAGGCCGGCGTCACCCAGGCTGAAGATGGACTGGCAGCTACATCGATCAGCCTTTCGTCAAAAGCTCCTTGATGCACCTAGCAAACGTGTCGATCAAGAACAACATGAGCCATCCGTGGCCAAGTTTCCGATGCTAAAATGCCTTGTGGCTTGAGCCTTATGTAAACTGCCCGCTTCATAGAAATAGTCAAGACCAGGTTCAGGGCCGTTCAGTCCTTATAGCCCTAGGAGTCGTGGCGCATCTACTTCTAAAAGCATAGAAGATCAACCTTTGCCAGGATTGTTCTCGTGCCAGAATTATTTCGTTTCGATTAGCATGTGAAGCGGTGGGCGTGGGAAATTGTGATAGAATTGATAGGGGTCTGTAAGATTATAAGACGCGATTATGGCCATACCACGAGATAGTTAGGAACAAGCTATGGCGGCGTTCGTCCCCAGATAGTTTCACACGGTCACGCACTCCTTGGCCGTGGTTGAATTGACATCCCTTCGAAGGACATGACTGCTTTTAGTCATGGCCGTCTTGAAGATACTCCACTCCCAGACTAGACGCATTACCAACAGACAGGGTAGGCATTCCTGCGCTGGGACGGCCTCGTCGTACGACAGGCGACTGGTCTCTCGTTCACGATTCACATTGCCCGTTAATTTGCCACCAGCCCTACGAGGCTCCTCGCTTCCATTTGGTGTGTGCTCAAGCCTCTCGACAGCTGGTAAGCGGGTGCTTTTGCCTCCCTATGGAGTCTTTAGGCAGGTATAGAACTGATCTTGAGAGCACCTGGGGCTAGCCGGGCCGCTCACGCACAAAGGGTCTCTGACTCCACCCTAGTCTAGAGGCACTTTTGAGGGGCAGGGGGGGGGGGGGGCTACTATCTTTGTGATGTTCGACACGGCGCTCTTGAATGAATCTACAAGACCCTACGAGGGTGTAGAGATGCGATCAAGGCTGCGAGTATCCAGCGAACGTTGAAATAGGCTGCACAGGTGGCCGGATAGTGCTGGGCATGATGGAGAGCTTTGTTCAGAGTTCTGGCGACTATGACTGATTGTTACCCAGTGGTACTGTGTACCATAGTACAGTCCAAACGCCGGTATCTTAGTAGCTCGCCTGTTCTCTGCCTGCCTCCGTCTCGGCTCGATGCGAGCTTCTGCATAGACGTCGCTGCCGTGACCAGTGGCTTGTCATCGTGTCATTATAGTCGAAGCCATGAAACGTTGCTGAAAGTGCCACCCGACAGCAGCATCGCCGCTTTGTTCCCGTGTTGCGGTGAGATGTCGAAACATGCTCTACTGACAGCTGAAGCGAAAGCCGAGGGGTGTCCACACGAGTTGCCGGCATTGCTGCATAGCGTGGAATGAGGAAATGATCATGCAGTTCGTCTGTTCAACCTTGGGTATACCAAAGATCCTCCACCAAATGATTGGGGCTCACCAATAGAAATTATGGCGGCGCGGAACGACGGAGATATGTCCACTGGCTGCCATTGTATTGGTCCGCCACATTCCAAATGCAACCGCCCGTGTGCAGGCCTCCAAGTGGTCCGTGTCGACTGGGACTGATCGAGATCCGGCCGCGTATTTTATTGGCCCTGCCAGCGCTCGCCGAATGGGTATCATATCTCTGGTTGCGGTGATGTTGGACCTATCTGCTTGCATTATCTAGTCACGCGTGTCTGCAGTTTGATAACAAAGGCAGAAACGCCAGTTCGTCGACCGCCACGAAGATGTCACTGACTGATAGCGATGGACAGAAGTGCTCTACATCAGTCCAGGCGCATGGCCGACTTTTGGAGTTCAACCGGACTCGCTCCACCAATGAGACACGAGACGCCGAGCACTGGCGGTCTCCTTTTAGGCAAGTCCGCTTACTATATGTCCGCCATGACTCTTTCTCACAAACGGCGATGGTACTTTGTGCAATTGTCTCATATTTATGACAGGTGCCCTACGAGGCTGACCATTCGTAGCTTCTCCGTCGGACTAAAGCGAACAGACACAGCCCACGACAGTGTGGTTTACGAGGACGCCTAGATGAAATGAATACGCCGGAGTACTTGAACTATGCTTGGCAGGGGTCCATAGCGGTCACGAATTATGTCCTGTGTGCCACACTGGGCATTATGCGCTCGACGAAATGAATGCTTCCATGTGCCAATGCTTTCACCGCCCACGTGGCAATGGCCATCGTAGCCTGTGGCTCGAATACCTTGTGCGTGGCGTTGTCAGAACTTTGCTCAAATTGGGTTGGTAATCACCCAAAGGTTGCAATGGAAGTATGTTATGGAGTTGAATTCATATCAGGCAAGAAGTTCAACATCCATTACAAAGCTAAATTAATACTTGGGAGACGGCGTTGCCCAAGTCCAATTCCTGCCACGGCTAGGCCTGGTAGGGTGACGCTTGTCGTGCCTTTCGGCGAAATGAAGGCACAAGGACCACGAGTTATGAGAGTCGAATCATCTGAGGAATTTCTTTTGTTAATAATATTAGATACTTGTTCAAAATTAGAAGTTCCCAAGTGGGGCCTGATCAAGAAGGATCCGTATAGAACACCCTTTTGATAAATTTGCGGCTGCTTGGTGTCCCAGCTGAATGGATCACTCCGCCACGTTCCTGGCCAGAAGTAGATATTCCCTAGGCCGTGATTATAGGAAAATGCGCCCAAAATGAAACTCCTGGTGGCCTACAGATACCAAGTAGATTTGGAGGTTCGTGTTCTCGCCATGCACCCCTGAATACTATTTCTAAAAGTAGCGGCCCCCGAGTGGCGATCTTGATCCTATGGCTCCATCCGCTCGTTTCTGAAATTCAAAAGAAGAGATGCTCAAGCTTGCGACGTTACGGCTGAGATATCTTATTGGCGGGTGGTTCCTGGGAACCATCGGCGACGTCCACGATCGCAATCCGAGGAGAGCCTCTCGAGCCAGATATAGCCGTGATCAGACCAAGGCTGGCTATGAATAAACATGGAACTATTTGCCGGTGAGAGCGGTGCCCCATGGAGTATCCTCACCCCTGCCTAAGTTCAACAACTCGTCAATTATGAAGTTCAGGTTGCATAAGCATGCGAGACATTGAAGTAGACAGGGGTGTTGTTATCCCCTGCTTAGTGTCGCTGTACGGTGCTTCAACGTGGGGCTGCTGAAAGCTTGTGTCTGCGGATCTAAGACGGTCGTGGAGCGCCTGGAAAGACAGCAAATTACCAGATCTCGTGACGAAAAACTGTACCGATAGCGGCCGGTATGTGGTGATTTCTACCTTGTGACGCTTGGTACTGCTAAGGAATTCTGCAGGGACCTGTCACCGCTGTTCCATTCCACGTGGGTATTAAATACGGCGGTGTTGAATCCCCAGAGCCTCATTGAGCCAGGTGTTTCTCGAAACTTGTCCACGAATCGATGGAACGATGGAGATATTAAATCCGGCCTTCGTGATTTCGAGGATCCCTTAAACACAGGATCTCATTCAGTCCTTGATGGCATTTCAAAAGTACATCTGAACAGACTCAAGGTGGTGCCAAACATCTGAGGTCGTCGCCTGAAACAGTTAGCCGCTGTAGCAATTTGGGAAGCTGTATTTAATCGTAATAAACCAAGAAACTCATCTCGACTACGGATGCTGCGAAATGGTCACAGCAGCTCTCCAGACTGGTGCTTCTTGGCAGTCAGCATCTCTCGCGCACGCCGTTGAAAACATCGACTTGGCTACGTGACACGAGATAGCTAGAGAATTTTTGGCAGGGTGCATTGTCAATGCAGCCCAGCCATGTCGTGGGGTTCAGCCGCAGGTCTCAGTCGGACGCTTTGTTCCTATTTGTGTCAATCGAAGCGGTGATTCCTAATAATTGTCACATGTTACGATTGGTGGAATTATCAGAATTACATATCGATGTTCAAAGTCTCAATGTGATGGTAAAGCTTTGCGAAGATAGTTGTATTGCTGAGCTGACACGTAACCTTAAGTGAGTGTTGAGTTTGGTTCAGACGAGTCGTAGTAGAAAGGCACTACTGTGGTATATGTAAAAGCAGTTTGACGTCACAAAAGAAAATAACATTTGTTTCGAGAGAGAGAGAGCTCGAGACCTTCGTGCATGTTTGCCTACACAGCCCTTGAACGTCGTGCTGAAGCCGCGTGGAGATGGCTACTTACAACCTTATTTTAGACTCTAGCTTATCGCTGTGGCGCTGCAACCACTGTCGTGACGACATTTAGCTACGTGATGTTGCTGGAAGACGGACTATACGAATGTGGCCCCGCTTCGATGGCTGCAATTTTTTTTAATTTTTTCTTTTTAAAAAGCCCAGGGCCTCAGGGCTGGCACACATGGACGTTGTTGAAAGTTGACGGACAAGGCGGGACATCAGTCCGTGACCCGACGATTTGGCTTGCTCCCCCGCATCCCTAGCGCGGGCCGTTGGAAGAGCTGGTACTCGCGGAAAACGAACCATCTAGAAGGCTTTTTTCCCACGATCGTTCAAGTATCTACTCTGTAGCACTTGCTACTATACGATACTTCGCATCTGTCCCGTATTTGAAGATGAAATCCAGTATTCATAAAAGACCGGTACAACTGTCTGCTGAAAAAGTCTGGACAGGTCTCCGTTGCAAAGCTGCTGACCCGAGAAGGGATTCTCGGTTCGTACCGATTGGTAGCCTCATTTACCCCGTAAGTGTCTTACAGACTGTGGTAGGTTAGATAAGGAGACAAAGTCCCCTAGCCACTGCGCAGACCAGCCAGGGAAACGCAAATGATGAAGTAGCTGCAATAAGTGTGCTAAAATCTCACACTCTATTAGCACCTTGTGCTTCACCTCTACATGCGCCTCCTGAAGACGTGTCTGAGTGTGTAAATCAACCATGGATTGTTACTCTGGTATATCTGACCGAGCTTCACTAACGTTTACACCACTAGTATAAAGGCAAGTTGTGCAGATGCTGAACTAGTGCTCAGCAATATGGAATCTAGTCTAGGTACTGGTTTGTGAGTGCAACACTCTGACATGTGGCACCCGTTCCATTTCTGGATACTCCGATCCGATTATGCAATCACCAGGGTCATTAAATAGTAATTTCGTCAGCATTTACAATTGAACATTTTTGCACACACCCGGTCAACATTCCAGACTGTTCTGTTATAGCTTCTCGTTTGATTCAAATACTATGTGCGTTGGTGGGTCTCGAGAGTCTGTTGGCGATCTCTGTTTTAAGATCGCTCGTCTCAAAGAACCCTACCAGCTTCGGAGTTTGCTGCTGAAAATAGCCAGGGATCCATTTACACTAATACAAAGACTGGAAAACATCCACCCAAAGACATTGGACGTATTGCTTTCAGGTGATTACCGGATTGCCAATCCTCTTGTTGCAGGAATGAGTATAGCTTAATAAGAGGAGATACTAATTGTGGCAACTGCGGCTTAGATTGCCATGAGAGTGCATCCTGAAGTTTGAAAATGGCTAATGGGCGTTATGTGTGGTAACACGACAGATCGCATGTATCTGCAAAATAATCAGATCTAGAAATATGCGGAAGCTTTTAACTCATAGCGGCTGTATTGTCGGTTTTATTGATCTGCCAACCAACTCTGTTGCTATACCGCCAGGTACACGTGAGGTGAATACCATACTCCGTATTACATCCGGGTCATCGGGCTGTTTCGGCTTTCGGAAACCACAGTCACTGTATGGTATTTCAATGACCGGGTCGTATAGGATACCATATCGAGCAAGCAATAAACCGGACGATCAAAACACAGGTGAAAACCGTCCCGGAGATCAAATGGACAGTCTCAGCATCAGCGCCAGCATCTCAGCAGCTGTGCTTCGCTACATGCCCGTGGTACAAGTACGAGGTAATGGCCAAATTGGTAGTGCCCGTAGTGAGCCGCACTGCCGCGCCTCGTTCATTGGCCCCCATTAGCATCCTTTGCCTAGCTTGAACCAATACCTGAGGTTTTCCTGCATGGAGATCCAACTTCTGTCCTGGGCCTGACGTCTCGGACGAGCAAATCCTAGCAGGACCCAGACCTGGCATTGGGATATCTGTAACGATGCAACGCTATTGAACGCTAAGATGATCAAGACCATAGTGGGGTTTTAGGTACCTCCAAATACTTTTAGACTGTATGCACGTTGCAAGTCGGCAGCATTGCTTGGCCAAGCTAGAGACGTGCTGTAGCAGGGGTCCTACCTTTGCCCATCATTGCAAAAAAACAGTAAGTGTCGTTGAATTCGGACTATCTTGGATGGTTTCGCATTGTGGACGATAGATATAACCTGGGTACTTCCGCTCCTACAGCTGACTTCATTTTCCGACTACTATCCACTAACAACCTCAAAGCATACCAGCATTGCCTCAAACCTTCGTCTCCCTCTCAATCATACATAAAGGAACATACCCAATCTTATCGACCGTCGCTTTTTGCTGCTACTACACAAGCCAGATTAGTTTGGTTACCCGCTGCAATGGATAACTATGACTACCCGTCGCCGGCCAATTCTTTTCCTTATATGTACCACGAGTCCGAATCACGATTAGAGTCATCCGCATCAGCAAGCCCGATGGACTCTACAGTAAGGCTCACACCTATTGTGGTTTATACCATCAAGCTAACTGTTGGTTTTAGTATATAACATATCCAGGCATAGATCCGAGCTTTGAGCATGGCGATGTCTCCGGAGAGTCAACCCCGTCAGAGACGTCGCAATCAAATCAAAAGCCCAAACGCAAGCGCGAGAACAGATATAAAAACGCACCACCGTCAGTTCTATCTGTAAGTATAAATCCCACGTAACCATGATTGTTATGTGATTTCACGGCTCTGACTCTCATTCACAGCGTCGGAGGGCTCAAAACCGCGCTTCTCAGAGGGCTTATAGAGAAAGGAAGGACCAACGCATTAAGGATCTCGAAGACCTCCTGCAAGAAGCCCACCAAAGGAACGATGTCTTGAGCCAAGCATACACATCACTACAATCCGAATACATGCAGTTGAAGACAGAACAGGATATGGCCACGGCAGCTCAGTATCACCAGTCGCTCGGCTTGGGCTTCGACCCCACCATGGTTACACCTTCAACTGTGCAGGTAGAGGGGGTCGATATGGACTTATACTTGTGTGATAATGGGACGGTCTACAACATGTGATGTTGTCTGGGATTTGGACAACCTGGGAGATTCTCTCGACTGCCATGATTTAGGATTTCACGGTGAAAATGACTGCATGGGAATCCGGCAATGGACACTAATACGGAGTTGGTACAATGTTTTCGGATGGCGCCAGGAGTTCATCGACTCGCAGCTAGCTCTGCCATTGGTATGGGGTTCAAAATTTGGACATTTGACAATGATATATTACATTCTTCCTTGCCCTCAAGTCATGTGCTTGTACATATGCTGAAGTGCAATTTTCTGCCATTATCTACACAACTCAGCCACAAATGGCACAGTAAATGCGTTCACTAATGAGTTCAATGTGTTTCACGTATGTGCTATCGTGCCATGAGCTGCTGGACTTTCGCACTCAACGATACCTCCTTATCGCTTTGTGAGGTCAGATTTCCCAGCATCGGCCGTGGACAAAGGGTCCTCCTTCTTCCGTTGGGTCATGCACCAACGGGACTGACAACAGTCTAGACTGGAACTTCAGCCCCAGAACCCAAGTATTTTGAATTTGGCTAGTACTAGTGGTTGATCATTGTACTGTGTAGGCTTAGATCGTTGTTGTTCGGAACGTTTCGATCTGACAAGCGTCGCCTATTAAACGTTCGCTAGGAGCCCATTAGCTCACGTAGCTTACTGCAAGTTCGAGCTCTTGTAGTAGCTGTCTCTGTATTGTACTTGGTACAGCTTCTCTGCCTCAACCTGATCTTTGTGCACGACTGTCAGATGTTACATCAGAGTGAGTAGTCTATCGAGCATTCGAAGTTAGCAACAGAGTAATCTTAATACCAATCCCATCTCTATGGATGCTTGAAGCCAGTGGGAACTGAAATAACCCCTCATCCACTCGAAATCGTTGAGTTTGAAAATACAGTTGTGGCTGCAGCGATGGCTGACGTCTCCCCGCAATCAGCGGCGCTTGTGGTAACTTACGCGGCTTGGCCTTTTCAGAGTATTCATTCCATCGGTGTCTGATTGATCGTCAGGGCAATGTCCGCAGGGACGTTCCTTGCAGTAAGCTGTCTAGAATCCTGCTTAGTGAACTCGGGGACTGAAAGGTGAGAATAGCTCCGGCGACCAGACATGCATTTCATCATATTCAGCTTCCATTGCTGTTACTTCGGATAGACATAAAAGTACATTGACTTCGGCAACGATTGTGTAATGACTGACATATCTGCATAGCTATGCTCGGGCGGAGAGAGGCATTTGTATTTGAGTGGTAACGACTGCATATCTCGTCATTTGATTAATAAACACATAGTAACAATCATTAGTGTCGCGCTGTGAGATGATGGTTGTAGTGAAAGGAGCATGGCTGAAGATACAGCTTAGCTTCGGTAGTAAACAGGAAATGGATAAACACCATGGTGTCGGAAAACAGGTAGTTGCACATAATGCGTATTACACGTGGTGTGTATTCCATCTAGTGGTGTTGGGTCGAAGCTATGCCTACCCTGCGTTAATACTTGTACAATGCCTACATTCGCGTGTATACTTTGCGTTCTATTAGTCGGGCAGTCCTTAGTAGTACCTTATCGCGGTGATGCTGGTCGATGATTGTTACTTTGGGGTTGGCATTAGTCAAACGGCATAGAAAGTTTTTGTTTATACAGTACACAGTTCAAAGCAACACACATGTGGTCCGCGAACTTGGTAACCTTATCGCAGAGGCCACGTAGATGTACTTCACGCTGTGCAGGTAGCTCTACAGCTGGAACCTTTCCAACTAGGGTTGTTCCAAGTCTCGACTAAATAGTGTCCTCGATTTGTACATAGAATGGCTGATCGAGCTGTGTTAGTCATGGCGTTATCGTAGGTGGTATTCTAAATTACCCAGAATTTCTCATTCTCCTCGAAGACTTTCGCGATAGATGTGACTCTAAGTTGGCAACAAATAGACAGGCAACAAAGCAAGGAACAATTCAATAGGGAATTTATTGTTCTTATCTTGTCTACCAAATGTGACGCTTCCGTAAAGGGTGATGAGCGATGGGTTCTTAGTCAGCTACCCCTTGTTCCGCGAACCACATCATATAAGGCAGACCTGCTCCCATTAGGCTGGGCACCTTGGCTCTCAGGATAGACCAAAAGATTCCTCCCGTTGTTGCGAAAAAATCGTTCAAAATAAAGCATCGGATTTGTGGTCGATCCCTGTTAGTTGGTACAAACTAAAACAATTACGACCACTCAGCTCCAGCATCAACATTCCGTTCATTAGACTGTAGAGCCCAATTCAAAGTCTATACCATCGACCTCCGAGTCGGCTCCTCCTCCACCTCCTCCTCCTCCTCCTGAGGAGATGGTCGGGGATGTGCCAACAGCAGCCTAGCCACATAACCACGAATAATACGGCCGAGAAATAATAGGGCTTCTCAAACCATGTTCCGCCTCCGTCTCGCAAATCAGCTTGGCAAGGGGAGTTTATTTTGACGCTCATAACCACAAATCTTATCTGCTTTAATATTGCTAAGAAGGCGAACAATACACCGAGATGTGGCTTTTTAACCATTTGCGATACAGCAGAACGAGCAAGTTCAGGAACCGGCGAACCGACTTTGAACAGAACAACGCCATTTAGGGTGCCCTGAAAAGATGGGACGGCCGCGACAATGCAAATATCAACGGCCAACAGGGCGTAAAAACCTTTAGGAGTACAACATCGCGCTCGAAATGCGCTAGCCACGGCCAGACGTAGCAGATCGAAGGGGTTTACTATGAGAAGAACAGCAACAGTTTCGAGAGCCCTGACCAGGTTTCTGTTGAGGGAGGCGGAATATTCCATATGATATCTCGAAGGAAGCCATCGTACAAGGACACTTATTGAAGTAGTCGCCAGTGGAAGAACCAGCACTGCAGGCATTACGAGGAACCAAATACCTGTGCTGTTTCGCATATAGTTCCAAGAGGTTTTCGCGGACTCGATGGTGTTATGCAGAGAATAGAAATAAACGTTCTCCGTCCTACTACGGTGATGGACGTCCTAGCGGCTTGGGGAATGAACCTTTCCCTTCTTGAGTGTTTCTGGGAGTATGGCTGCCAGACCGAGCCCCCCAAGGATAAAAAGCAGTCCTACCAACAGAGGTGTAATTTTCCCATTAATAGTGGCCATTATGCGTCCAGCAGCTAATGACGCAAATGCCTCTGCGAAGAGCACGCTGCATATCGCCATATAAAAGAACATCGTACTGGAAGATGAATCAAGACGGAATTTCAACAAATTCGAATGAGATTGCTTACCGCCATTTATCATTGGAGATATTCGTTATCATGATAAGCTCCATTGCTTCAGCGATGCTGAATCCGCCTCCTATCAAAAGCGCTATACTAGAGGTCGGCACAAGTTCTACGAGTGACCCACCAGCAACTATTCCAAAGCCTGCTGTTGTTTGCACCAGAAGGACGAAGAGACTGGGAAAGAAGACCTATTTCCTCCCTTTTTGGTCGGCGATGGCACCATAAAACAAAGCAGTGAGTATCGCTGTTCAGCAGTCAATAACCTCCACCATTCCTCTTGGAGCATTCAAATCTAGACTAGATACGACTTACTGGCCAATGTCGAGGAGACAGTAGTTAGCATCGTACTATGGCTTACAGCCCCTTGGATGCCCCAAGAGCTGCAGAGTTTAGCGTTGATTTCGGCTATGTAGCGGTATTTGGCAGCGCAGAGGGAATCCTGAATGGCTGTTTATTGCACGAATTACTGTAACCAAATCATTTAGTGGTCATTGATATACAATTTTCAATGTCGTCGTTATTACATTAACTCTGAATTAGAGCATTGATAGACTCAACAACCAAGCAAATAGTGTTAGGGGAAAGCTGGAGGCAAAATCCTAACAGCTGCAATTGGTGCTGATGTGAACGATGCCGAAAATTATGTGAGTTGGTCTAGTCTAGTCTAGAGGCATTCATGTTGAGCCGACGGCATGCTTCGGACTTGTTCGGTTGTGAGGGCCGATAGATAGAGAGCACGCCACAGTGGGAAAGCTCATTTCGCTTAACGCCTTGCAGTGAGCAAGTCGCCAACGAAATAAGCTTGTAAATGACAGTTTCTCAACTTGGCAGGTCCTTATTAGTAGCATTCTCCGAGTAGGAAGCAATCCTGGAATATCTCAAAATTAGGCAATATGGGTAAGGTGAATTGACGAAGTACTATCCCAGCAAATGATTTTCCCCGAATCTTCCCTTTTCTGTTTGCGAAGGTAGTCTGGATCTCTTGGGCCTTATTAGCTAGCCTCGAGAGCCTCAAAGAACCCCACACGACTGTGCTAAGTTAAGTACGGTCATAGATTCACCAAGTAACTTAACCTTAGTCTTTACCTCACCCGATTTATGATCTGAATACCATGGCCTGCGTTCGTGTTGTTAGGACGTACCCAAAACTGCCAAATGAGCGATGGCACCCTTGTAGAGACAAACCGATAGATGTGGCCTAAGCTAAAAGTTCCTGCAGGCCGTCAAGCCAAGGTAGTCTGTTCCAGCGGGTTTAGCGGGATCCAATGATGAGTTCAAAAGATGACACCCACAGACATAAACAGATGCTGCAAAGGGGGATCAAACGAGAGTGTTGGCCTCTTTTTTGGTGAATTATTCACTATCCAAGTGCCATTTCCAGCTGGTTTGAGATACCCTTTGTACACAATTCCTACAGGATCTCCCTTTCCTGCGCTTCTATTGACTTTGCATTCAATTTTCATATTTGTCCATGCAAATGTGATCATGTGTTTAAGCTTATTTATTCCGTATCCCTGAACAATCTGACCAATAAATTGGGTTCCTACTCGGCTTTACGGACAAGCAAGCCTAAAGAAGGGAACTTGGTGTGTGGAACTATACCAAACTCGACCACCCGCGCGTTGGTGGAATCCTTTTGAGGTATCAACACCAGGCTTCAGTGTAGAGACCCCTGTCTTGACTCACTTGGCACAGACTGTGCCTCTTCAAATGCAATGAGTTTATTACCCGAGTTCTGTAGACCATTTGGTGGACATCACCCCTAATATTTTGGCTGGTGGAGTACAGAGCCAATAGGAGCTTTCAACACCGCCATTCTAATGTCGGTCTTGATATCTGTGCCGTAGAGTCACATAGTCACAACTCCTTTAGCAAGTTGTGTACCTGCATGACCATGAGTTCCCAGGGTTTGCTTACGTTCGGGCTGTTAGAATAAGAGAAGTCAAACGCCGGTCATTATTTGTAAAATTCCTCTTTTCTGTCACACCACTCTCCTACTGTCAAGTCTCGTATTCGAGTCGGAGTTTCTGCTCGTCGTCGGACGTATTGTACGTCATTCCTTCATTTTACAGTCATTCATTATAATACACTATCGCCATAGCCATGGCCCCTTCGCTCTTTAAAACGGCTGGGTTTGCTGCCGCTGTGTGTGCGGCTACTGCAAGTGCAATGGCAAGTACACCGAAGTCATATGTTGTTACCGAAGTTTACAACTCAACCAATTTCTTCGACAAATTTGATTTCTTCACGGTAAGTCCTACTTCAATCTGCGGGTACATGGTATGCTTTCGACTGAATAACTCAATCGTCCCATAGAGCGTTCTGAGCGGCGATGTTCTCGATGCCGACCCGAGTTGGGGATATGTCCAGTATCAAAGTCGTGCCATCGCTGAAGAGCTTGGCTTGGTCTCTGCTGACAAGGACGGGGTGTATATCGGTGCCGAGTCTGATCTCACCTATAACCCTTTTGGATATGGACGCAAAAGTGTAAGATTGGAAGGTCGTAATACCTACTCCCACGGCCTCTTCATCGCCGACTTTAGTCATTTACCCAAGCCTACATGCGGTGCTTGGCCCTCTTTGTAAGCTTGGCACCTTTCCCATATCAAGCTGGTACTGATTTCATCAAGCTGGATGTTTGGTGACCCATGGCCCACGAAGGGAGAGATCGACATTGTGGAGAATTGGAACGATCTCGAGTTCAACCGAAACACGGCTCACGTAGACCACTCGTCTGTTGTTGGCGACTGTACCATAAAGTCTACTGACATGACTGCCTCACTGATCGAGGCCCAGAACTGCGATAACTACGACCCAGCACAGTACAGCAACCAAGGATGCTCCGCCGATGTCTACGGCCTCCCATTCGGCTCAAGTAGTGGAGGCGTTTACGCTCTGGAGTGGACAAGCGATTACCTCAAGATCTGGAGTTGGACTCATCTTTTAACCCCCAATGACATTACCTCGGGCACGCCTCAACCGTCTAATTGGGGGAAACCAAACTTCGTGATCCAGGACTGTAATATCGACAAGGCGTTTACTGATATGAAGTTCATCTTGAATATTGACTTTTGTGGTGTCGCCGGATTGGATGGCATATGGGACAGCTGCAAAGCCAAGACAGGTTACGATACATGCACAGGCTACGTTGCTGAGAACCCGAAGGACTTCGAGGAAGTGTACTTCCAAATTGAGGATATCAAAATCTACGAGCTGAAAGATCAGGCGACATCAACCAGCTTGAGCTCGACAACGACTATCTCGTCAAGTTCGACAACGGCTTCCACCACCAGCGTCGTTATCACGTCTTCATCCACCAGCAGTTCGAGCTCCTCGACTTCGTTCATTGCGAGTAGTACGTCTTCATCCACCAGCAGCTCGAGCACCACGTCTTCGTTCATTGCGAGTAGCACTCCGCCTTCCTCCAGTACCAGCAGTACCACGTCGAGCTCGTCGTCTGATAGCAACACAGCTAGCTCAACCAGCTCCGCCTTGACGTCAGGAGATGAGGCATCAAGTACTACTGCGTCTGGTGCTCCAGTCACTACCATCTCTACCACGATCGATACAACTGTATTGTACACTCCTAGTACTACTATCTCTGATACTTCGGTCACTACCACCTCCATCACTATCGATTCTACTGTATCTGACATCACAGGGACTTCTACGTCCCACACCTTGGCATCGAGCGCCTCAGATATCTCGTCTTCGTCGTCTTTTTCATACTCAGTTTCCGAGACTTCCAAGAGTGTAGTAAGCACAAGCGCAACCGATGCTATCACGGTTTCTTCTTCCAGCTCTGCTTCAGAAGCAATTAGCGTCGCAACTAGCAGTAGTTCTTCTACCACTGGTACCAAGTCGGCTTCAATCTCTGCGATCACCAGCTTGTCATCCTCAGCGGCCACATCGACCACCACAAGCTCCAGCAGCGCTCATGATGAGGGCTTGACAATATCATCCACATCTCCAACCTATAGTGTCACAGCCTCAACTGATTGCAGCACTTCGTCTTCGGTGAGCTCTTCTGTGTCGGAGAAGGAGTCCTCAACCACGAACGTAGGATCTGCTGGTACCACTGAATCAACTTCGCCAACAAGCTATTCTGCAGCCCAGACCGCCACCTCGTCTGCTAGCGGATCGACAGAGTATAGCACCTCAAGTGCATCTGTGTCTACGGGTTCGGGCAGTTCAGTCTCTGCGACTGACTCCAGGATTTATTCTGCATCTTCAACTGGTGTGCCAGAGTACACAACCTCTACAGTCGTGACGACTCGCGTACATACGGTAACTTCTTGTGCGCCCACAATCACAAACTGCCCCGCTGGTGCAGGCACTGAGTTGGTTGTCACCGAGATCGTCCCCTTATATACGACTGTCTGCCCAGTCACCGCCACGGAAACCGCTATCGGCGTACCAAGCAAGTCAACTAAAACCTCTACCGTGCCTGTATCATACAACGCTTCAAAGTCAAATATCGAGACAAGTGTTACCATCTCTCCAGTCGAGAGCCACTCTGAATTCAGTAGCACCAAGAGTTACAACAGTGGACTCAAGGCTTCAACACTTGATAGCACCACGACAACAACCACTACACAACACGTACCGATCACTGTAACGTCCAAGCCTTCTTCTGCCTCTGCGTCCTCTTCTTCCTTGTCATCATTGACCTCTCCACTTGCCCCATCCTCAAGCAAAACACCAAGCACATCAGAGGAGGTCAATCACTACACTGCCACAGCGACTATTGTCCCTGTGACACCGACAGGTCCCAAGTACAACGCTACCCTGTCAACTGCCCACACTGCTCCTCATGGTACCGCAACGGGCACGATCCCTCACAGTGGCGGATCTGGTGGCAGCGTGCCCGTCAGTGCTGGGGCTACCAAAGAGGGCGTTACTACAATTGCTCTATTCGTTGTACTTGGAGCTTTTGCACTTGTCTTCTAAATGTCTTGAACAGTTGCTTTCTGGCGCCATGTATTGCATTAATAATCCTTAATTACTTTCTGAATGAATAATGGTATTATGCTTGCGATATTTAACGCAAGACATATTTTGCAGTTCTTTAATTGCTTGGTATCCAAGCATGTATGTTCCTGTCCACCTCGTTTCTGGCTACATCTAACGTTAATGGGGAGTCTGGTAGAAAGGCTCCCCTAGTCAGCCAAGCCACCACCTCTCTCGAGGAACAAGGCAAGGCAAGGACTAGAGACGGGTATACACTCGACATTATTTCTTTCTCCGGGGACTGTAAAAACCTGGGATTCGTCTAGGAATATACGTAATATTGAGTACAAGTCAACAAGTCTGGCTCGCGTGACTGTTGATGGAAATTGTTTTTGAGTCTTCCACTTCTGAATGTCTCCCAAATCTATGTTGTTGGCACTGAATAGGCTAGCACGAATTATCCCAAGTTCATAATTAGCTTTATGATATCTCCCGGCCTAGTACCATATCAGAAACGCGGGTGCAATGCAGCCTCTGGCGGCCAATAAGTGTAAACTTGTATTTGTGTTACCAAGAAGGATGTAGAAGACGTTGTCGTTATTGTTGGGGAGTGGGGGTGGGGAATGGACAAAATTCCGGGGAAGGCCTGTTGGAATCGAAATGATAACTGAGTGGTGTTGAAAATGAGGTCGTGAACTAGAGCTACCTTTATGGAGAACAATATTCATGAAGTTGCCTCCGAATCATTCCACTTGTCATGAGTATAGTCATGTTTCGTAGCGACCGTCACAAATCAGCGTCCTCGTTTAGATAGCTGCAACTGCTTCAACTGCCAGATCTTGAGTGACAAATCCTGACGGATCACTTGCAAGCACACAACATTCTACGCACGCTTTAATTTATCAACCAAGGCTCTTGTAAACTGGAATTTGATTGAAATAGATTATAATACAACTTGATGCCATGCATGGTACAACAGTTCTTGTAGTCAAATTAAACCAAGGTCCTGCCAATCATCGTTAAGACGCTCATCGTTTGAAAAGCAAAGGCTTCACTTCACAAGCAACATCAGAACGACAAAAAAAATTGGCGGATAAAAAGCATTGTATCAATCAGTTCCAGAAACTACGTTCAGGGACGCAGACGGTTGTGACAGAAACCTTAATAGGTGATGACTTTCCACGTCACTGGACTAAGAGTCCTCTCCTACCTCAAACAGCCACCAGACATCAATTATCGAGACCAACCACGATTCGGACATGCAACCTTCTGCTACTAGGCGTTTCTTATCAAATTTTGATACATTGCTTCGTATAACTTACGCAAACGCTTTCCAAGCGAGATTCAGGCCCAAAACCCTAAATTCACATCACGCTCAAGATCGGTAAGAACGTTTTGGAAGCATCAATAATTGCCTAGGCAGGCACCGTCATCACGAGCATATTTTGCATGTACATTTCCAATTGCAGCTGATTAGACTCATAAGATCGGAACATTTGAGTCTCAAAAAAAGAAACTGCTCTCTTTCTTCTATCCCAACTGGCAGCAACCAGCTTCATACATCCCAATCACCACCATCCTAACACATCCCGACCACCCTCATCGGCTACAGAACTAACCGCTCAGTGGGCGAGTTGACCTCATTGTCATCGTAAACTATCCAGATGGTAATATAACCTCGTCGTCAGCTACCGAGTCGGCGAATGACCTTGTCCGTTCGTCTGACCTTCCAACAAAATGGCACCTCTTCTTGCCCTCAACGACCAGTCGCACAGGCACGCTGCCGTGACTGCAAGCAATGCACGTGTAGGCTTCTTTGCCAAGTTTCCACTTGAGGCAAGTATCGTCTTTTCCCCAATCAAGTCGATCCTGCTGAAACAAGCACAAGTTATGTGACATAACAAGTTACCGTCATTCAAGTGGTCCCGCATTATCCCTGCGGTGTCTCGTCAATTTACTGACTGGTGGTCAGATTCGCATTTCCATCTACGAGTATGCGCTCGTCGAAGAGCAGCCTCTGCTACCACAGCAAGTTGCAGCCAAATCGAACAAGTTCCTCTGCCGCCGCTCATTACACGGCCGAGCACTGCAGGACATGACGTTCAAGGGGAAAGAAGTGACCAGGCGCGTCTTCTGGATGTCTCAAATCACACGAACTTGCCGCCACTTCTATTTCGAGCTCGAGAACTACCCCGTCTTCTATCGTGTCAACACCTTCAACTTTTTTGAAGCTTCAATGATTCTGCGGTTCCTCTCTGCGATCACGCCTCAAAGACGGTCATTCATTCGCAGCATTACATTCAAACCGATGGACGTGCCTTGCTGGTTTCGTATATGGAACGGGGAACCGGCCAGCCACCCGGCAAAAGCCAAGTTACTTCGACACGTAGCAGTTTTGCTGCATCAATGCGGAGACCTTCGCGACATGCAAATCTTCATTTCGGCGAGGTACCCGTTCGATATTGGTTTGATGGACATTGTCAAGTGCTGCAATCACTACCTTGTCAGCCAGGATGATGCACTCATTTGGTCTTTGCCAACCATCAGACCAATGGCTGTGCCTGATAACGCTTTTGGTATCACCCTGATTGACCTCACCACCGCCGTCGATCTCACGAATGTGACTGCGAACGCACCACACTTCTCTAGCACAGAGCTCTTGAACGCAGCAATAAAGGCAGAAAAGGCGATTCTTGCACTTCGTGAGCGTCTGTCAAAAGACAAGGCTGGCGGCAACGGCGTCCAGATTACTTCACGTCAAGTTGATGAGGCTATACATGCTTCAGAGATTGATTTTCCTGGAGAGGAACGCATTCAACAGAATCGGTTCAACAGCACCAATGGCCCAGTCTCTAAGCGTACCCGACAGAAGTGTAATGGAGGATTGGTGAATGATTTGGGAGTCATTGAGAGGACCAAGAACAGGTACAATGCTGAAGGGCTGCTCACCTTGAACATTTTCGCTATCACAGGGCTCAGATGGAGTGGTTCAAACATTGAATGCGAAGTCCAAGGCTACAGCGCAACTACCGACCCTCAGAACATGAATAGCTCCTGGGAAGACATCGAGGCCGTGCTGACATTCGATGGCACGTTATATCTGGGATTCTATTACCAGAAACTCAGCACCATGATGTCCGGGGCAGATCCGGTCACTCGTCTTAAGAAAATCCAGTCGATTCCCACTCCCCAACATGTCTCGGAAGCAATAGACCACATTTTGCGCGGGATGTGGCAAGAGCAACGCCACATTTATCGAACCTGGGCTTTACGATGGGCACAGATCCGAAGCGGCTACGAAGATATGATCGCGGACTTAGAGAAACAGGTTAATCTCGCAACCGAACAAGCAGCTGAAGAGGCCAATCAGAAACGTAAGCCCAGCAAGGCGTTGGGTAAGAAGGCTGGAGGAAAGGCCACGAAACGACCAAATTGAGCTTTTATCGGCATTGCAAGCCTTTGCATTCTAGACTATAAACGGGTTCTTGCGACTGGTGGGCGATACAACTTGCAGTCACGTCATCGAAATGAGCACGCTATGCACAACTCTTGGTAAATTGTTTTTTTATGTATCACTGCGACAGGTTGGGCCTAGACCGGAAAAATAATATTGACTGGCATTGAACTCAGGGTTTATGGATTGTGATGTCCCTATGTATCCTATGGTAATACTGTTATCTTGTTACTCTACTTACTTCCTTCCTCTGAGGGCCTGTGCCTGATGCATAATGCATGATCAGCGACGGGATAGCGAGGTGTGTTTATGACAAAGCCGCTGATCGTTAATAGTCAACCATTAATTTGTTTATGGAAGATGTATTGCTTCATAGCTTTGAGTATTAGGGTCGCGTGGTCAAATTTGGCTAAGCATGATCCCGGTGAACCGTGGACAAAAGATCCGACCATGGTCATAGCTATTTGTTAGGCTACTTCACTCCAAATCGTACGAGATAGCCTCGAATTTCACTAGAGTTTATTTGCTATTACTAGTAGACAGCAGATAGCAAAATCTGGAATAAACTAGGTAGCCGTGTTCAGGTCAGGAGATAGCAGAGTCGTGCAGTTGTGTGACCGTTTGTATATACGGCTTACCCAAGGTATGGGAGACCAAAACGTAAAGTCAGGCAAGGGAGCAGTTGATTTTACGACTGAACAATAAATATGACTGGTCCAACGGCGAATCTTAAGCAATAGCCCAAGACGTGGACCTTGTTGTTGCTGTGACTTTGAGCTCGCATTGGGTCTCGGAGCCCATGGGCGTGTCCGGTATGGTAAGGTACTAATATTTATACATCGCTTCGTTGCGTGGCGCGGCCTTGAAAAAACCTACAAAACAAAAGCCATCGTGTCCACGACTATTTTAGGAAGGTCATATGCCGACATGATATCAGGAAAAGCAGAGCGTCGTTGGCTCAGCCCTACGCTGCGAAGTAGACCCGGCAACAGGGTACAAGTAAGACGATCAATGGCCCGCAAGACTGAAGCAGCCGAGCAGGATGTTGGTCACATTTGGCATGAGACAAAGGTTAATACGGTGTTTGACCCCCGAGGGAGTGGCACAAGTGGATGACGGATTGTACAAGTCAAGGTGATTTGGGTCTATAAAAGAACCCTAAATTCATCCCTTGGCTGATCTTTTATAGTTTTCCAGTCAAAATGATCATAACATCCGCGATCTCGTGGCAACTAGGCCGGCGTCCGTCAGGGATACCACGTAATATCAAGAAAGTATGAGGTTCGAGGGCCAGAGATACGCAGGCCGCGAATAACGGCGGCACAGGCCAGGGTTGTCGAAACACTCCTGTCATGCCTGTCGGCTATACTGATACTTTTGTCCTTGGTTCCCTTACCATCTTCAGAGTTCAGCGCACCGTAGCGTATAATGGAAAAATTGCCAGCAGCATATATAAGTTATGGCGGGATGGGCCCCAACACGCTTCCATAAGACACGGTATACTCCGTGAGCAAGTCGGCCAAAGTCTCTAGTCGTAAAGGTTGACCTGGCAGCCTGCGAACAGAAGTGAGAATACATAATCCTGTAATAGTATCGGTGGAGAAGATGCTTCAATACCACGTTAGCCAGTGGAAAGTTTGCCTATAGGTGATGATGGGTATGTGTTAATATACATATGCCACAATTATAGCAGTTGGGGGGAAGCGCGTACGACGCCGAGCCGCTCGGGTCTAGTAAAAGAGGCAGTAAGGCAGCTGCAAGGACCGCGAAGAGCGCGAAACAAGTCCTGTAGTGATGCGCCGAGGTTAGTCTCTGGATGCTAGCACTCAGGGTGCTTTCAATAACTAACAATAATCGCCCATCGCAAAGACTTAACAGGGCTTACGGGCGCCTGATGACAGATACTTCTGTAGCTGCTGCTTGCTACGCCTATCCTGGGCACCGTGCCTTCCGATGTGAGGTCTCGCCGAGGTACAAGCTTCGTCGACATCTTGAGCAAATCAGTAGATCCCGACAGATGGTCATCGCGTTGCGACAAGTGCAAAAGTGTATCAGCGGTCGGCTTATGCGATGCCTCGTCTAAATGAGATCTCGACGCGTCAATACAATTAATCTTCATCAGGAGACCTGACTTCTGACATGTCCATCAGTGAGGACAGTTGAGGGTACCAATTTCAGAGACAAATGATTGGTCCTCTGGATGTAGTTGACCCTTGGAAAAACAAGTTGTTGACGCCGATTGGAAACCAGAGCGAGCCAAACTCAGGATCCGGGGGTGCTTTGTGTCATTTTTAGCGCTGCCGGTACTCTCTCTGTACACACCTCTAGGCCCCCCCCCCCCCCCCCCCCAAAGTCAGACACTGCTACCTGTAACGGCCTCATCGCAACGGCTTTGACTTGTAACAGGTTCGACGAGAAACGCCAGTAATTTCAATGTTATTTGATAGCCCAGTGAGTACATCACCTTGGATTCTGATGACTAATGGGCTTATTGAAGACGTATTTACTATCTGAACAATACGTTAGGGCTGATTTCATGCTTTCCGAGCCATCATGTAATTACATTGTGAAATAGACATGCTTCAAAATCTTTGTTTCCTAAAAGTCTCTCTGAGTATCCCAGAAGATTCCGAGGTAGTAACCAGATGTAGTTGTCATAAAGAGAACATACCTCATGGTTGCGCACACGGGGCCAAGAACTTCCAACGACGTCTCAATATAACATGATTGCTGTTGCACAAGAACGTTCTTCTCATCCAGGCATAAGACTAGACGGGGGCCGGCTGGTAGTATCCATACGAGAATCGCACATGATCTGATGGAAATAAATACCACGTCGAGGTACGCCTCAGTGAAGGCTGTGTGCACCGGATCTAGAATTCTCCTTGCTGCAGCCAAACGACATAGTTCGCACCGTCTGATCTTGCGGCAGAGACGCCTACTTGCGGTCCGTGGGGCCTTGCATGAGTAAAATACACTCCTGTGACGTTTCCTTCTTGCTCCATGGAATCGACCCAAACTGCGTAGGTGATGAAGCGATACTTCGCTCTCCGTCCTCGAAGCGCACGCTAGATTCCTCGCAGCCGGCCTTAGTTCTCGAGGCACCACATTGATCGGGCCGCCGCATCTGGTGTGCGACGGTACCTAACACCGTATGAGGGACAACTTTAAAAGGGTCAAAAAGACCGGCCGTTTTGACGATGGCTGACTCGATCTTCTGGACCACGGGCCACTCAACGTGGGGCCGTAATAACACCCGGGCGATGCGTCGGTTCTTGTGCAGGACTCCGTTGGTGAAAGGGTGTGCGCTTACAACCCACGTCTAATAGCGTTCTGGATACGGTGGTGTACACTGAGAATCGGACTGGAATTCCTGTGTGACAGCAGCTTCAAAAATATTGGAGATGCTTTCAAGATGAGCGACGGGATAAGGGTTTCGAGACAACGAGCACGGATATTAGCCGTGGTTCACAAAGGATTTGTATGACCGGAACAAGTCCCATCGTATCCGTGAGATTGAGCGCGCCTAGAGTGTCCTAAAAACTAATCGTCATGGTTACAAAATCTGTTAAGAAGCTGCGGGTCAATATAAGCATTTCTCTATTGTGAAAGCGAACGCGACTTGCATGTTTTGAAGGAGTCCATCATTTATGTGTTAATCTCAGTATCTAGAATCGTGGTGTACCAAGCAAGAGCTTTTAGAATCTCCTTCGAATTCATGACCTGATTTCCCTCAAGACATATTTCCAACACGCCCACAGTGACACCGCACCTTTTGAATAGAAGAAAGTTGGTCGTCATCAAATCGTTAAACAAGGAAATTTGCTGTAGTCCTCGTGCGTCTCTAACATAAGGCCGTCTTAGACGAGGTGGACACAGTAAAAGCAGATTTGCCTCGTGTCATGAACATTACCCGCCTAGAGCTCATAATAGGCGGGGATCTCCGTTTGCTCGATTTCTCGTCGTGCTCGGCATGAAGTTGAGGTCGGAAGCAAGAATGGTCAAAGGTGTGAATCGGTTTTAGAGAACATTAGATATCCTCCATGCGTCGCATCAATTCGTGAAGCATGTACACAGCCTTGGGGGGCGTAACAAAAACAAACAAGAATCAAGTCGTCAGGATCGTCATCGCGTCTTTAGGTTTATGTCCCAGGCATGTTCGATGCTGAGTCCTTGCTCTCAAGTACAACAAGAACGGAAAGAAAAATTGAAGGAGTGAGAAGTCGTAGTCGTAACAGGCATTGTAATCTATGGCCGCGGGATTTCAATCCAAGTAGAATCGCCTTTCGGACAAGCCACGACGCCTGAGTTTATGCGTTTGATGATAAAAAAATATGCTGGTTCCGTGGACGCTCTGAAGGCAAAAAGATCATCGGTGCAGTCCGGAAGCAACCGAAGCCGGTCGATTCATAGGGTCAAAATTGGTCGTGGGCATAGAACCATCAATCGTCATTTTCCTGCGTTTGATGTCGAAACCTCCGCTACCAGGTCGAGACACCTCATCCTCGTCATCCCGTCCGCGCTTCATACCGCCAGAAGCGCCGTTCATGATAGGCGGGGCTACATAGCCATTCTGCATGGCGGACATGTCTTGTGAGCCATAAACTTCTCCACCAGAAGCAGGTGCACGGTTGTCGTTGCTCATCACACTGTAGAGGTTACTTGAAGACTGGACCCGAGCTGGAGAACTGTAACCTGTCTGCTGAGAGTAGTAACCTTGCGAAGGATCGGCGGTCCTGGGTGTTGCTCGGCCAGAACCTGTCTGATGTCCTTCAGATCCGGCAATATCCCCTGGTACATGGTTGGAGAGAGGAGCTAACGATGGAGCACTGTAGCCGTACGAGTTCCTGTTCGTATCGTATGCTCCACTATTGTGTGTGTAAGCTGGATCATGATCAGCTTCGTCCTCGCCAGCCTGCTCTTGAAGCTGCTCCCCAGACTGGGAAGAGTGCATCATGCCGTTCGGAGGCTTCACGTCTTGTTCACCAGTACCAGCAGGTCTTCCTGTTGGCGGAGCCATGTCCCCTCTCATGTAGCCTTGGCCGTATGAATCGCGGTCCGACGGACTGGTGTTGGAGGGGTTGTACGAGGTTTGTTGGCCAGCTGAGGCGTTGTACGCACCACGCGAGTTGTCGTAAGTTTGTTGTCCTTGTTGAGGATACTGTTGTTGCATACTCTGTAATGAAGCTCCAGGAGGGGTGGTTGCCGGCGTCGCAGGCATTGATCGCGCGTTACTCAAACCAGTGTCTATCGACATAGGATTAGCGCTTGGGGCTCCGCTCATTCCTTGCTGGGGCCACTGGTAATTGTCCGAAGGCATGCCACCCATTACACTCGAAGCACTAGTTGGTGGCGTGGGGAAAGTATGGGCGCGATCCAACGAAGGTCGGCCAGAGGAGTTGTGGGAAGGAACAGAGGGCTGTGGGCCTGGTAGCCCCATGTGATGGTGATGTTGTTGAATCGAGGGAAGAACGCCTGAAGGAGGTGCAGGGCCACCTGGACCATTGCGCATCTGGTTGTTGGCCATGTCTGCCTTACGACGCTCGGCTGCGGCCATTACCTGGTTGGTCCTCGTCTGATTGGTTGGGTGGTAAAGTAAAGCACCAATGTTGTGAACGAAGAGAGGATATAACATTTCTGTGATCTTCTCCTTATTGGCAAAATCTAGAGCGCGTTCGAACGGGATCCTGTTTCACCACATTAGACGCCAGGAATGCTAAACCAAGCGGCTGGGGGGAGACTAACCAAACGCCTTTTAAGTGCATCGGCCCAATCTTGACAACGTGGCGAACTTTTTCGCTCTTCAAAATACCATCACGTCGACCTCTGGTCATGCCAGCAACATTCAAGAGTTTTGTACCGTTGATCATGTGGTTGTCTGTACAGCAGTCAATACTTGAAGCTCTGGGGGTATGAAAAATAAAGATAAAAATAAAAAGGAAGAAAAAGGGAGAGTGGAAATCTTACCCTCACGACGAGCTACACAGATGCCCCTAGCTTCGACCTGAAAACACAAACTGCCTTCGTCTTCCCAAAGCGTTGCGGTCACCCGCGGCTTCATGCCGGGCGGCGCCACTTGGCCTGTCGTATCCATACCCTGGTAGTTGCTCTGCATGCCTGGCTGGTGAACACCGGGCGGGGGAAGAACATTCCCCATGGAATTTGACACGGGAGGAGCAGACTGCGGAGACGTCAACCCGTTCGAGTATCCACCGTACTGGGAGTAAGGGGCCTGGGCATACTGCGCGGGACCCGGCTGTAATAACGGCGGTTGTGGGTGGCTGTAGTGTGGTAGGTTGGATGTGACGGTTTGCGGAGTAGGTGCAGGACCTGTGGACATATTATGATAATACATCTCGTTGGGATGGTTCATAGCCGGATACTGGTCGTAAGTCCCAACAGAATGGGAAGGAGGTCCCGTGATAGCCGTCACAGGAAGATTGGGGGAAGGAGTTTTGGGACCGTTTGAGGAGGTGACCGAAGTGGCAGACGTAAAGGATGACTGAGATTCGCCGTTCGAACTCACGGAAGACCCAATGGAGCTGACCCGGGGAGAAGATGTACCCGAGGAATATGTCAAAGGCGGTTGGGGAAGTGGGAGGGATGGCAACCTCTCACTTGCATACGGCGGTCGCTGGGAAGCAGGAGTGCCGTAATATGGCGGTACGTCGCTTGGTCCCCGGGTCTGCGAGTAGGAAATTGGCGGGAGAAGTTGAGGATCCAGCTTGACGACCTTTGGGGGACTGCCGGAGAGGCGTGTCGTGGGTGAAAGCTCAGGACGGCGTCGTGCAACAGGCACGGCTCAGAGCTGAGATGGAGAAAAGCCCGGATCGAAGCTGGGCGAGATGCAACCGGCGAGATAGGCCAATTGGACTTTCGACGACCTGATGTGGGAGGACGAGGGCAAATTTGGCGGGTGACAGGTGTTGGCGAGTTTGGCAAATAACTCGACCGCTTGTGATACCACGAAGCCGGCTCCTGACCTACAGTGCTTTGCACGAGATGACCAAGCTAAGCAGAAGCACTCCAATGTCCCAGGGCAATGTTTGTATCGCTGGTGAACAGGCGTGCTAATGCCGCTGACTACACACAGCTGCTGCTCAGGGCTGGAGTTCTGGAAGTAAAGACAGGAGAGAATGTATTCGTCTCCTTCACCAATGGACAACTGAGTGTCTAGAGAAAGGACTTATAGGCCAAAAGTCAAGTCTCACTGCTACTTGATATAAGATTCCGTCGCGAAGCGTAAAGCGTATTCGATGTGATCTAAGGCGATGCGAGGAGATGCTGCTGGACGGGGTGGTTCGCGGCGTGCGAAGACATGTAAAAGTCGTAAGTCCAGAGGGTTGTCTTGGTCTCGTAAGTGTAGTGTGGGTGTTGGGAAGGAGGTCTCTAAGTCGTCCCTCGTTTGGTGAGTATGATACCCGCTTTTTTACTTCAAACTCTTCAACTCTAAAGCAGGAACGATCAGCTCAACTTGCGCAAACAGTTTCGTGGTGGCCAAGTAGAGAATTCCTCATATACGATGATCTATTATACAGTTTTGTAGAGTGGGAGAGCGCAAAGTATAGTGCTGCAGGAATTGGCAGAATTTGCGCACTGGGGAGGTGAAAGTGGAGGAGGGGGATTGGGACTGAGAGTTTGGACTTGGGACTAAGACTAGGAGGACTGGGACTGGGACTCGGGAAGCCAAAGGTCATAATCGTCAGAATGTTCACGTACCTGCTCCAACCTCTATGGACCTTCTCTGGGAGAAATTGAGGTGGTCGGACGGGCGTGCAGAGGAAAGAAGGAAGGGAAGAGAGAGAGAGGGAGAAAAAGAATATGGCGCGATGGTGAGGAGGCAGGGCAAGCTAGAATAGTAGTAGTATTCGAGCAGAAAATCGAATCAGTGAAGACTGGACTCAGAGCTTCTCATCGACCAGGCTTGAGGTCCATGTCCCAGAGCCAGGACGCGGACGGTTGAGAGATAGTGTCTGGACTCTGCGCCGATACTGGCTTCCGGGGGTGTGTCCCTTGTAAGTTGAGGTACTCCAGTACCCTCGCATCCTAGCCTGGGTGATCCTAGCAAGCACCCTAGCTCAGCCAAACCAAACAAGTCCAGTCTCCGGAGGTGTGTGCTGGGCTTGCTGGGTTGTTGTCGTTCAGCCGGGGTAGGGGTGGTTGGGTCACTAGCCTAGACAGAGCATGGGGGGTCCCCGTCGCCTCCAACAGTACACAGTAGGCATCGAACGCAACACGGGGGTGTACACCAGTTGTTCGGTCGTTGTTGCACTGGCGAGCGAGATTGAGAGAGAAATAGAGAGAGAGACAGCAACAGAGACAGAGGAACAATTGACCAGCTGGAGACACCCCCCATGCCTCTCTCTCTCTCATCAGTCTGAAGTTCGATTGCCCACTTCATCCTCCAAGTCTACAGTTTTGGTTCTCCTCTTACCACGGTATTTGAATGCTAGCTCGATATACTCGTTTGCCGTCGAAGGTATCCGTAGCCACTTGCAAAAAAAAGTGTCATGGTATCGGTTCCTCGGCGCTCGTGCACGCATATCGAGCAAGTCAAGGTGCGCGGATTCTTTTTGTCTTGCTCCACAAGTCCGGTAAAGCTTCCTCTCTACAACCAGCAATCTTTTTTTCTATTTTTTATTGTTATTCTTATTTACAACCTCTCCAAACTTTGAAATCCAACCATGGGTTTCGTCACGCACCCAATGAAAGGGAACGCTTGCATGTACCGCGCCTGCAAAGACAACGCCTGTTGTGGGCCGCTTAAATCGTGAGCAAACTAAGTAAATCCGTACTTGGGAAACCAAACCCGAGCTTTTCCACTTCTCACCATGGTTTGGGCCTTTTGTGCTAGACTAGTGGGTAGAACCCGGACGCACTGTCCATGGTGGGGAACTGGAGTACGGAAAAGTCTCTGGGACTTTAGGCAGTGCCAGTGCTTTTCGTCCAAGGACAGGTCTTACTATGAGCAAGTTAGCGAACGCTCACCAGCTTTGACGTTGGCTAAGAACACCGATAAGAACTTGGCCATGTTTGCTATGCCTATGCGAATTTTTCCAGAATCCAACTCGTTCCAGGTTCAGTTCATGGTTTTAACAGTTAGGCGATTTACATTTGAGCGAACCCACGGCCGTAAAGGCTCAATTCGCGCCCTACAGTAGTAGATTAGGTCACATCCCGCCCCCCGTAGAGTTGGAGCACTGAACACTTCACTGACACCCTAGTTCATGCTAGGCCTGGCCATGGGGTGGAAGTATCTGCCTGAGTTTGTGTCATTCAATGAATTTCCATGCACAGGGATTACTTTCTTTTATCAATTCCACAATTGATGAAAGTCATCCTTGAAAAGCTTCAGGTGGACGACTGGCTGTAAACAGTCTCATGTCGAACCTGTAAAACGGCCATGTAGCCTGTGAGACCAAGAAACTAAGAGTCCAGTCCAGTCCACATTGTGCACACATCGCAAACTGCTCATGGAGCATCAGGCGTCATATGGACAATGATTGCGCAATACACAGGGAGAGTTGATGTATACCAACTTCAACTCACGCCTCCGCAATTTCGCGGTTATGTTTATCATGACCTTCTTACAAACCAGATATGCATTCATAACTTGAGCTATATCTTTAAATAGAATCGTCGTCACTGGCAGTAAATGTCCTTGGGGGCAATGTGCTATCGCGTATCAGATTCCGGCCGTCAGGGTAGTATTCGAGGTTACAACGTGCTAGTAGACAGTGCTGAGTAGGAAAATGGAAGGAATGCGAGATGGATCTGATCCCAGAGATTCCGTCTGCTGCTGATCAATGATTGGAGGATTAAGGAGCGACCTTTTCAGAGGCCGTCTTTCTCACCGACCAACGGCCTCAAGGCTGGGCATGAGCATCGTGGCACAGTGAGTATCTTTTCAATATATCGCGTACTGGGGTATCTGAGACGCTGGTGGCTTGGGTGGCTTTTCTCGCATCGGTACGGAAAACCGCTAGCAGTACTTTCGCCATGGCCGAAGCGCGGTCCCGACTTCAACTAGCTTCAACCCCTCACTGCTTTGGCTCTCCTCAGTTCCTTCAGTTTTCGTTACGTCTTGCCTATCTTTGAGGTCTGCTAGGCCGTTGATCCACAACCGCCGACTGCGCGCCAATTGAACTTACGATGACTCGCAAACCCAAGAGCCCACCGTTGATAATGACCGACCGGAAATGGAGACAGTGACGATGTCCCGAGATAGCCTTGCATTGCATGTGTTCGAATGGTCTGTTTCAGGCATTGAGCATAGTGAATGACGGCTGTGCACCGCAAGGTATCCAGGTGAAGAGAGGAAACTACTACATGGTATAACTACCCTCTAGCCTATAGAATAAAATATTCGTTAGAAGATACACAACACGATCGATCATCCGAACAACATGTTCACAATCGCCAGTGCTGGAACTCCAGACCATCGATGATGATCCCCCCCACTATCTCATCGGTAGTCTGCAAAAACGCGGCTGGGCCGCCGGAGGGCCCAATTGAGTATTAATGTAGAAGTTACAGTAGATACATAGATGAAATCCCTCGGATTGGAGAAGGCATGTGCACAGTAACAAACGACTACGATGGGCGGTTTGTTTAAGCCACCCCACCTCTTGCTCTGATGTCCAGCCTGACTAGAAAGGTTAAAAGGTCCCTGTTGGCATAATAGTAATCAGCATCCTGGATATAGTGGATCTTATCTAGGGTGCAAAACCTTCAGGCTCGTCAGTCGTCGGACCAGCCAACAACCACGACCATTATCATCCTGGTCGTTACGGACCGAGGTCTGATACATCCCAGGCCTCCGAAGGGAGAGCAATTAACCAATATTCCACCATCCGGATCAACAATTCGACATTGCAAACTCCACGTGGATGATGCTCCCTCGTTCGTGATTGCCTCTTAAACTTTTACACACGGACCAATCATTCTGTCATGCTCTGCTCTTTGTGCAGGAGAAACGAGGACGAAACTACATTATTCTGAGCGGTGACAAGCACAAACGTGGTTTTGCCATATACGTCAACAATTTTGATGGAGCTTTGAGAACGCTCGCAAACAGTTTCAAACATAGGAGTAGGTGTGGGTCAATATTGTGATGTTTGTGGGAAACGGCACTCGCTACAGATGCACTGAGCTCTGTACGGTGTCTGCATGTGTCTATGACAGATTGTGACACCCTGTGAGTTTATAACATATTTCTGTTTGGTCCGCCGTATAGGCAGAGCTGCAGGTGCAACATTCTTGCATAACCATGCAGGTTCACACCCCGGGGACACGATTGGCCCTCGTTATCTTCATAATGGTTGTGAAATCAAAATATGTCAACTTACTAAATTCCAGGTAGCGAAGACGATCTGAGAAACAGCACTGGTCGTTTGGGTAGGTTGAGGAGTCGTTGACTTCACAAGGCCCATCACACCGGCTACAAGTGCTGTCGCCGATCAAGTCGTATTACTTTTAAAGTTGCGAATTCATTATCACGTACACACCTCATATCTTTAAGGATTAACAACCAAATGGGGTAAGGGGGCTCTGCTGTATATTGGCGTGCATGCTGCATGTGCGAACCGCTACGCAACGTCCCTCACTCCGATGGCGGGTAGAGAAGTCTTGCCGTGCTTCTTACCATGCTTGATTGTACAGCTTTGTCCCACGCGAAGAAGCAAGCCGGTTGCACCTGCTTCATGCAGTAGCACGCTCGATATATCTGATATGGGGGCCATAATGCTGCTCTAGGTGGACTTGGACAATGATGTCGCTCTATTGATGTCGAGTATCAGCTGAGAAAACAAATACATAGGCTGCGTGACGCGATCATCGAGTCCACTGGGGATTTCGTGTTCCGCGAGCGGGCAGATTGTTCTGGGCCAGAAGGACACTACCACTCCTGTGAGTCGTCACCGGAATCGTGTCCTGTTGGCTTAGTCCTCATATTGGGCTGCTCTAGCCTTGCATGATCCCGGAGAAAAGCTACTGCCCCGGACGAGCCGTTGAAGCCGGGCATCCTAACGCGTTGCTCGAATCCTCTTGACCACGATGACCACTGCAGCCATGAAATGAGACTATAGCACCCTCTGCAGACGGAATGCAGCGTAAGGGTGGGGCGCCCAGAACACTAGATGAAGCCGCAATGCATTCTTCTGCAGAACTTACGTATCCCAATGCAAGATGCCGCTGTGCGTAAAAGCATCTCCCTGCGTGTAAATTCAGACATAGATGCCAAGTCCAAATTTTTTTTGTATATGCCACAAGATCTACGTTTTTGAATTCGTTTGAGCAAGAGACAGCGCCTTTCCGAGTCCTTCAGGTTGTTTGGTTGGAAACGAACTATACACCAATTAAGTTCCCAGGCTATGCAAATATAGGTTATGGGCTAGCTGCTGTCTTGGCCGAGCGGCAGGTGGTCTCTCGTACAAATTATACTCTTCTTTGGTATATTGCGGCCATCGAATAAGGTTCTGGTCTGCCAGGACTTACATAGTACCCTTCCTAGAAAAGCGGAGCCTGCACGTCAATGGACATGCAAACCACAGTGCAGACAGCAGGTACCAACGGAAGAATCATCAGACCGCTTTGAGTTCTCAGCAGGACCCTTGGAATTGCAAACAACTATAAATTTGCTTTCTCAGCTGCCAATGAGCCTTTGTATCGATATTTCTTTTGAATGCGCCTTGACAACGTGGCAGAGTTACCAGTCCCGTGTCCCGCTCGTGGTCACCGCCTACTGGCTAGGAGAATCCACAGACTTCCCGTGGTCAAAACACGGGCTGCTCAGCCCATTCGCGTTTCAAATTGCACATGATTAGTATGGGTTACGCCGGGCGACCAATCAAGGGTGGAAGCCATAGTAGTGACGCAACCTTCATGTCTCTGATTCCAGCCGTCTTTTTTGTTTCTTTATCATTTTCGTGCCGTTGTCTCACTTGTTGGCCGATCTGAAGAGACCGGGAGTCTAAAGCCATGTTAGTGTCTAGATTGGGGAGAGGTGGGGTTTGAGGTGTTGAGAAACACTGCATATGTAAGTGCAAATGATACGGAAAAAAGTACGCCAGGGCATTTGTCGGCAGCATGGCACCGCAGATCGAGCTTCTGGGGCTTTCCGTGGTCTAGTAAGGTTGATCAGAAGATATGTGACAGACGAGCTCCAATCCTACGTCTCTGGTAATATGAATGGAATGCTCAGGGCCACTATACTAGAGCAATGCAACTAAGGTAATGCAGGTCTCCGAGAAACACCTACGCAATACGCACGGGAGCTTTTCATGCAGGTTCTTAGCCTCTCTTCAATCTCACAGGAGCCTTTTATGTGATCGTTACTTTGAGCGCGTGGCGTAAGGGTCTCCCGTGTGGGATGACCTGACAGGCCATAAGTGATAGAGAAGCATGGAGAGCCTCAATGTAATGCCATGTAATGCCATGTAATGCTATGCATGACGTTCCGCAGAAAGCTACAGTCTAATCCCCCGGTTGGTGTGATCTTAACTATGGAACCAGCTGCCAGGAGCCCAGGACTTGGCTCGTCGAGGTACAAGTTTATTTCTTCTTTTTCCTTTTTCTTCGG